TCCCCAGTGTTTCGCCAGTCCTTAAGGCTCTCGAAGCTCGCCATCTCATTTATCGAGGTTCGCGGCGTTCAAGGCCTGGAGCCAAGTCATCATTCTCTATGCATCGACTGCTGAAGCAAGCCTTGCTCAGAAGCCTCAAAGAGTCCCCTGAAAGAAGAGATGAGACGTTCGAGCAAGTGGCACAGTTGTTGCGGATTGTCATTCGAAGCAGTCTTCCATATCTTCACCCACTCATCACCACCACGGGCGGATTTGGGATGAGTATTTGCCCCATTTGCTTGCGCTACACATGGCTTACGACGAGAGTCTGGCTACTCAGCCATCTATCAAGGGCTCAGTAGCTTTCGTCGAAATGCTCTCCGATGCTGGAAACTACATGTGGGAGAGCTCTCAACTCGACCACGCACTTGCAGTCCTGAAGACAGCGTCAAGCCTATGCGCCCAGCTACCTCAGACCGACGAACTCAACAAATTGCGCTTCCAAACCTTGTATATCCAAGCTACCTTCGAGACTAATGCAGGGAGTATATCCCGAGCCGAAGGGATGAAGCATCAAGAGATGGTACTTGAGTGGAGACGCAAGCGTGCAGAGAAAATTCCTCTGGACAATGTTGAGGATGCTTTACAGCTTGCAACTGCGTATAACAACGTTGCTTGCACTCACATGCATGCAGATCAATGGGAGAAAGCAGAATCCTTACTCAAGGACGCGTTCGAGCTCAAGAGCCGCTGGAGCACCGAAGAGAAAAAACCCGGACCATTTCGCTGAAGCGTACAAGAACGAGGCCTTGGTTGAGCTTTCGAAAGGAAATTCTACCAAAGCTTTGGAGTTAATTAACAAGAGTCGTGATCTCATGGTTGCTTGGGCTGGACATCATTCTTTGAGTGCGCAGGGTCACAAATTTCTGAGAGCTTGTATTCTTTTCAACAGCGGACAAGCTGAGCAAGCGCTTCAAGAACACCGTGAGGTGCTCGAGATTCGATTAAAGATATTCGGGTCTCGTCATGATAGAACCTTAGACAGCTACTATCACATAGGCATGATCTGTAGTCGAACGGCAGAATACAAGGAAGCAGAGTAAGTCTAATGGCCAGATCTATCATATGATGCTGATTTGACCAGGGAAAATCTGCAACACTGCTTGAGAGGACGTCTCACATACTATGAAACACGTATTGCCCGTGTTCTGTTCTGCATGTCGCAAGTGCTGCATGACCAGGGTCGAGAGGAGGAAGCTGATGTATATCTCGCGGAAGCGCGAGAGCTTCGAAAGAACCTCATACCTAAGGATTGCCCTGGTATTGATCCGACCGCGGATGAGGCGGTGTTGTTCGATCAGATGGTGATTCAGTGGGCTGGAAGAACATACGGGCGGCTCTACCACGGAAAGTGATTGCGTTCACTACCAATAGAGTCAAGGGGCAAACATAACTAACAACCTGAAGTACCATCAACCACATGCGCGATGCGCTGTCTTTTGCCTTGTTCGAACCGATCCCACTGTACACGTCACAACAATCGTTTGATTGGCGAACGAGCAATTGAAGTACCTAGCAACACATCACAAATTGGTATGGCTGCAGGTGCCAAGGCGAGACTGAGAGAAGATGACCAGCGAACCTACTATAAACAGCAAATGGGAAGTGATGTCTCCCACAACTCCGCTTTGGAGCAACTGATAGGAGATTCGCCTCAGCTCTGGGAGATATAAACCCCTCACTTCAACAGACGTGAACACCCAGAGCTGTTCTGACTTGAGACTACACATACACCGCCTTGCACACACGACAACCTAACACCCTCGAGTAACGACATAACAAACAACAAACGGTATGAAGTCGAGATGGCACACCGATAACACTCAGTAGCTAACTTCATCAGACTATGCCTTCAAAAGCCGTGAACATGGCATCCCAAGCAGAGCGTAGCAAGCTGCCGCTCTGGGCTGAAATAATCGCCCACAACGCCGAGAGAGATTCACGGGCTCAACCATGGAGGACTGCTTTCCAGGGTAGGGAGGTCAGCTCATTCACCAAGGGTCAGGGCACTGATCAAGTGATCTATGAAGCTACCAGCCCGGCCGATAATGGCAGTTAAGCAGCCGCTATTGGTGGCACAAGGTCATCGGATGATCAGACTTGATTGCACATGCTGAACCGGCTGATGACTCCATGACATGATTGGTAGATAGCTTACTGGTTGCGCACTGCTTCATGTCTTATTCTGTTACAATCCAAGTACTGTCAAATTTCATAAGTTTTGAGGTGATTTCCGAACTGTGAGGTCTGCGATTGGTTTGAGTACCCTCTTGATCCACAGCGGGCGCCATGTACGTATACAACAGCTGACTTCTGCCCCACTCTACAGCAGTGCAGCCGAGGACAACGCATGCATGATGTGGACTGACCCGACTGCAACAGGCTGTTTCAAGCACTGATAAGGTTATGAAGAAGAAACATCAGCCTCACTGGCGCGGGCCTTACCTTCAATCTCTCTAGGTCAGTGGGTCAGTCTAAGATGGACAGTCCTCAACAACACATCGATATTTCTGCCCACGACGTGACGAACCGGTTTTCGTACCTACAATGGCAAGATCTATACAAAACTGAGAAACCCTTCCAGGTCCTTATTGAGATACCAGAAGATGCACTGGAACAGCGAAAGACCAACTTGGTATTTGCTTCTGGGCCACCGGAGACAGTGCGGGACTTGCGTGGAGAGGAAGGTGAATATACTCTTGACAAGAACGGCTTTGCCTTAATGGAACATCAAGTGTCGCTCCAAGGAAAAGACTGGTACGATCCACAGAAGGTTGAAGCTATCTATCTTCCCGAATGCGAACAACTCATTCGAGAAAGGATGGATGGTGTAGACAAAGTCCATTTTTACGACTGGAGAGTGAGTTGCCCACGTCTCTACTCTCCCTCATGTTGGCTCAAATTCGGGAAACTCCTTTGTTTCATACCTTTCTCAGTCATAGTCAGGCACAGCTAATACCAGCATCAGCTCAGAGATACAGATGTTCAAAAGAAGGACGGAGAGGTTCTCGACATGAACAATCCTGTCTCTCCACTTGGACCAGCTTTACAAGTCCATGTCGGTTCGTAAGCTTGTTGCCATCCTGCAATGGCGATTGCTAATTTACAGACCAATCACCAAGCACGGTCGTCGAAAGAGTATTCCTCACATTTCCCGACGAGGCTGAGCGACTGCTTCAAGGCCGGGTGAGATTGATCAAGTACGTGGATGAAGACAATTGTCTTGACTCCCATCAGCTAATCTCGTACTCAAGTCTCTGGCGACCTCTAAACGGGCCCTTGCAGAACTGGCCTCTGGCGCTTTGCGATGGGACGACCATGCCAAGAAGGAACCTCGTCGAGACCGATAGAATCAGACGCAAGTACACTGGTCGAACAATGTTTGTCATGCACGAACCTGGTATGGAATGGTACTATCTCAGCGAGCAGTCTAACAATGAGGTGTTAATATTCAAGAGCTTTGACTCTCAAGAAGACGTGGCTGAGTGTAAGTGTCGTCTGTCGTCCTCACTGAGCTCGAAGAAGCGGGACTGATGCAAAGGCAGATTCTGCACATGCGTCTTTCTGCATGCCTGGAATGGCGCCTGATTCATTTCCGCGACAGAGCGTTGAGCTGAGAGCCTTGGTCTTCACCAATATTTAGGCGTTGATGATTCAGAGGTTGAGAAATTATACCCTTGGCTATTCATCCCGTAATGCGTACACCTATCTGCGTATTTATGGATATTTCTATGCTTCAAACACGCCATAAGTGTTTCCGAGATGAGACACCGACTTCCCTCCGATCACCATGTTAGTATACCTGCTACCACTCCTCTCATCAACACACTGGTGAAAGATTTGCCCCAAGTGAGTTTTTGCTTCACCTTCTATGGTGATCCTATCGAATGTCAATCCGTGAACTTGCGCTTCTACGTTGATTGTCTCCTTCAAAATCTCATCTTGATCTCCGACTGCGTCTAGCAGCAACGGCAGGTTCTCAGAGCTAGCGTTGGCGACTTCTTGTCGGCAAAGTTTCAGCTCCTCCATCCGAACGGCAGGGAACAGCTCTTCGAGGTCTTTGACTAACCCTGTCACAGAGCTGATCAAGATGTTGAGGTGAGTACGGTGGTACAGAACCCAGGATGTTTTGCCAGCTATCTTTTGTCCCACAGATGTGAGGTTTCGATACTTCGAAATAGCCTTTCTTGTGAAACTGTGAAGTGCTCTATGAGAATTGTCGGATAGATCCGACCCCTGCGAAGGTTCTAGTGCGTCGAGGTCTCGTGTTCTAGTTGGATTCGAAGGCCCTGGCTTGGATCTAGCAGCAGTGGCTTCTGCTCTGGCGAAATCTTGTTTGATCTGCGTGAGGATTTCCGAGATATTCTGGAGGTCTTGTTCTGAGAAGTTGGAGATCGATTTCGCATAACCAGAAAACGACTGAGGGTTATACCGGAGACCGACCGCTTCCCCNCAGCGGAGCAAACGCAACTGAGCAAGCTGTAGCTGAACAGAAGATGTGGCATAATCTTTCTCGAATTCTCGGGCCAGTTGAATCCATTCGAAGCATTGAACACCGGCGGTGAAGAGGCCAGGAATGGCGAAGGCGAGTCCTGTGACCTCTGCCATATTGATTAGATTCGTAGAAAGGACAAAAAAGAGACGTAAAAAGGCTGTAACATCACCTTTATAACCACCTCGTCACTAAGCTTCATGAATTCGGCGCTTATTCCCACACTCTGATTGGTACACAAGAAGACTCAGCCATGTCAGGAGATCATCACGATTGGACAATAGTTTACGCCGCCTCTCGATCTAGCTCGGTCACTTGACAGTTCATACAATTGCTACATGAACATGTAGCAGAGGATCGCCGAATGACATCTTTCGTGAGGGAATATAATGTTCCGTCGTAGCGATAGTAGTCGTTCTCCCAGAACCTACAGCATTCCTCCAGGTGTAAACATCAACGAAGATGTTCATGGATTATAAATCACAACGTCTGTGTTGTCAACGTGTTCCAGCTGATTGTAAGCTTGAGCGACGGCATCTGCAAGATTGTCCCTCCCCACACTGAGCCCTCTTAACACCGGCGCATGCTGATGAATCAGTTTTGCAAGTCCGTTTGCATGTTCCTCAGCTTCCTCGGCACTATTTCAATATAAGCCTTGAGCAACAAGCNNACAATCGATATCAACATACCTCGTGGAGAAGGGCCACGGCTTCAGCTGCCCGAGTTCGAGGTGACGCAATGTGGGAAAGAGTGGCCGAGATGACACCCTCCAAGCACCTATATCATGTATACCGTCCATGGACAACATGGTCAGCTTCGAACAGCTCTTCCCAATTATCCTAGTTTCTGAGATCCAATGACTGTCCATTGGGCGAACGGCAAACATCAACTTCTCCAGGTTAGGATAACTTAATATCCAGGTGTCGAACAGGTCATCGGTCCAGCCTTCAGCAACCAATAGAGGCCCAGTCTCCTGATACGGGTCTGCGGAGGGTCCGTAGATACTGAGGTCTTTCAGACGTGTCAAGCTCGATATTGACTGCAGCTCTTGGATGGCGAGACGCTTGGGCTTAGAAAAGGAAAGTTCAACCGTCTCCAGGCAATGCAACGATCCGATGAGCCCGAAGACATTATTCTCAGAATCGGCTAGATCTAATTGCAGTTCGACCAGAGATTCCGCTGTTGAGAGAACGGGCCTCACTGCTCTCGACTCGATGCTCAAGGATAGATTGTGTGCGTTGCGGAAAGGGCGTAGGCGTGGATTGTCTTGCATGATTGCCGCTATCGAATGGTACGAGATGAGGTTGAGTGGAGCACAAAGGCATTCGAACTGTTTCCGAGATACCAGGTTCTCCAGCACATCTACTGGAATTCTCAAGCCATTCTCGGAGCTCAAAGTGAGCTCACGCAAATGCTTACACTTCCTTAGAAACTTGAGAAAATGTTCGTTTCTTTGATCTCCAGCCACGCAGTCCAGATGTACGTCCCGAAGCTTCGGACAGCAGAAAGCAACCAGGTCAAGTAGTGACTTGGGCAAATGATCACATTTCAACATGGTGAACGACGCGATACTCGAGTTCAGATATGGACGAAGGTCGAGGTTCATCCAAGGTGGGCAAGAGTTGATTTCNAGTCTCTTCAGCTGCGGGAAGCTGAGGTTTGCAAAAGCTGCAGGACATTCGATGTGGTCGGCTCGGTATAGGTAGAGCCCAATGCTCTGAACCTTGTCGGCGTACAGCTGTCGGCGTTGGCGGTGTATCTTGGCCAATGCAGGAGTGAANGGTTCACGCCAAAGTAAGTCTGTGCCTCGAGTGGCCCAGTCTCGATTGACTAGTATAGCAGGCAGAAGGAATCGAGCATAGCAGCGCCATGCCTTGTCGTAATGGAACTCTGAAACTGCATGTCGAGCATCCTCTGCAAGGAATTCGAGTATCTCCAGTTGAATTTCTGTTGACAGACGTGGACACTTCCTGGCAGACATGCTTGTGTTGAACTCGTTTGCTGGTCTCTCGTCGTAGGCAGCTCATAGCTTTTATCCTCTTTCAGGTCGAACAAAGGGTCAACGCAATTGCAGTTCACCAGCTCGGAGAGACTGAGAGATTGAAAATGGGTGGTTCCTGGAAGATGCCTACCAACAAGACTATAGTCGCGTATGCCGCGACGCCCGCGCAGAAACGGCGAAGCTGATGGTCAGCCAATAGAGGTATAGCTGGCGGCAATCGAATTGATAAATCATATGCAGTCTCGGTACGTGCCATGCAAGTGTAGAGGCGGTCGTGCATATCGAGGCTCGACTACGAATGGCTCGTGGAGGATGCATGGCATTGAGGCTCTTAGAACGCGGAAGGAGCGCAAAGCGCTTCGCCAGCCAATCACGGCCCAACAACATCCATCGTCATGCGTGCCGAACGCTCGACACACTCATGGTGAAGTACGTACCGGAGCAGGATTGTGATTCTAGACAGACAACAGCCGGGGTTTTAGCCGGTAGTGCTGTTACCACGGCATTGAAGTCGCTAATATTATTAATACGTTCAGCCGGACTCCTGGGCATCAGACCACGACATTCATGTGGTTTCCGTTCCGGTATGCGGCATCCGCCAACAGCGGCAAGCCACTGTACAGTACTATACCTTGTAGATCAATGGTCACCGTGGGGATTATACATGGACTCGAAGAGGCATCTGGCCGGGATCGACAATTCGAGTGGTAATCGTTCCCTGGTCGAGAGCGCTGAGGTCGCATGGTGCGTTCAGCTCAACGATGATATTGACCTAGTTGTCCCGACAGACTGCACAAGAAGGAATGGGGATGATGGACCGCACGGTGAAGTCCAGCAGACTGTCCAGCAATATGCGGAATAGAGGGCCATGTTCCGGCGGATCGTCGATGCAACAACCATCCCGAGAATTGAGGTGGGTTAATCTAAGAGGGTCGCCGTGAGTTTTGAGTACAAAGCATATTTTGGAAGGGTTTGTGAGAGAAGCAAGGGAAGGAAAAGAGAAAAGGAAGGTAACCCTTGAACGAGGGTTCTTTGCTTGGCAGGGTCCTCCCAGAAACATCCCCACCGACTCCTTCTCCATCAGTCTGTTGCTTCGTAGCCATCATCATAATTTGATCTTCCATCAAAGGCTTTTTGTGGCCGGCTTTTCATGTCCAGACTTTGAAACGTTGATGGACCAAGCCAGGGAGCATGACGATGGCTCTCTCTCAAGTGCTCGCGTGTTTATGCACAATTCCGCTTGACAGGACTCATTGTTAGAGGTATGGTACTATCATGCAGGTGCCCTGCTCGGGCGTTTTCCTTCACTTCCCGACGTTGATGCACGCACCATGTTCACTGCCTTCTATTCAGAGTTGGTATCTTGACAGGACACCACTGGCTCGTACTCTACGAATATATTGCTTGTGTTGCATTGATCGATACCTCGAGAACTTGTCGGGATGTTCAGGTATGCGCCTAGCAATACATACCTGTCAATTTCAGGCACCAGCTTGTTGGCTTCTCGCAAACTGAAATGAACCCACGTCACGTTGAGTCCATAACAACGTCAAGCAACAACATTCTGGATCTGGGCACTCATCGTTGCTGCATCAAAATTCCAATCTCGGCGTCTCCTCCATGCGGGTCGCTCGCTTCCTAGCGTGACGGCGACTCGGTTGTTCATGTTCTCCCATGCGGCTCTTTCCCTATCGAGACCCTGAAGCTCGACCATCAACTCATACACGAGGCTGGCTCGTTCAATGCCGTATGGACTCTTCCTACAACTGCGATTTGCAAAGTTCACCCATGGAAAGAAAGAATTCAACTCGAAGCAGATACAACCGAGTTTATCAGCAAAGAATTTCCCAGCATTCCCATCACGGAAGTGCTATACACCTGGGTTGACAAGCCTATCAACCTCTCCTTCCTCATCATGAGGCGTATCCACGCTCCGACGATAGACCAAGCATGGATAGACTTTTCTTGTCAGCAACGGCTCAGCATCGCGGAAGAAGTGGCGCAGTACACTGCTCTCGTGGCCACCAAGACAAGCAACCACTTGCAAACCGTTTCGGGCCGTGGAGTGTGCATTCCATCCCTGATGCAAGGACATCCTCAAGAGAGCCCAATACACCACTGGTTCCCTCGCACCGTTGGACCTATGTCCTCCGTTCAGTACCGGGCCTACATGAAGAGCATATCTAGCCACCTGCCTCCTGAGTTCGCCGATGACCTCGTCCTCTACCACGATGACCAAGGTCCCACTAACATTTCGATCTCAAACGATGGCAATAGCGTTGCTACGATCATAGACTGGGCCAACGTGGCGTACCTTCCACGCTTCTGGGTGGCTACCGCACCGCTCACCGTTGCCGGCTTCATGTTGGAGGACGACAAACCTCCCATGAGCGCACGGGGCGGCTGGGGCAGAATGTTATCAACGGCGTTGACGGCGCAAGGATTCCAGGAGTGTGTTCCTGAGTACCGTGCTTGGATCAACAAGGTGTTCAAGAGCGATACTGCAAAAGATCTCGCAGAATGGGGTAAGGTGCAGGTAGACCCATCTAGGATACGCGACTTTGCATTATTGATCGCTTCGTCAACTATGTTGCATCAATTTGCTACCCCTTCACTTATGCTTATCACGGCTACACTATTGACAGTTACACGAACCCTTCCCTTCCCTCTTTTCCTCCATCAACAACGCATTCTGCGTTACTCCACCAACGCACCTTTCGCTAGCAAGAAGACCAGATAATCGCCAAATAGGACATGAGTGTCCGGGTGGATACAAATATCTGATCAACAACCGTCGATAATGTCTCTACAACAGAGCCACCATAACACTACTTTGTGTTGGAGCTGATCAAAGCTCTTTTTTATTTCCAGGAAGTAATGGATTTCTCAAACACCCAGTCGAGCAACATGCAAACCGACAAGTGTCTGTTTTTGCCAGTCAGATTTATACCTAAGCAAGGGTTGCTCCAGTGTTCTTGAAGTTTTGTCAGTGTTTCAGCCAATCACACACACCACTTAATTCCCACAACCCCCAGATAACTGTAACCATTTTAGCAGAATCCAACAAGACTTACCTTTCCAAGCTCAAGAAAGGTGAGAAACATCCCCTTTGAATGACTATGAAACAAGAGCAAAAAGTGAAGGACAATCTTCAAATGTCAAAGAAGGGGTATCTCGGTACCAACTAGCAGAAAGCCTGGCGGACAGAAGAGAAACTTTAAAGCCAGCAATATGGATGCATATAATCCCACTCTTGCACACGGATAGATATGCATGTCACCTTGACTCGGACACAAAAGGTATTTCATAGATGGCAAGGATGCCATAAACCATCTCACCTCATGTTTCTGCCACGAACGGGAGGCTTATGGCAAGAACAGTGCAGCGATGATAAGCGGTTATTGACTATAATACAAATGATGGAATACTCGGCAACTCCTGTCTTGCAGACTGGGATGCGAATGCTACTGATGATGCTAAAAGTACAATGAATGACTTCTTCTCCCACACGCCTCCTCGGAGGAGCCAAATGCTAGACTCTCTCTCAGCACTTTCCATGCTTGCTTGCATGGGACATCCATTCCGTTCTTTCCATGTCCAGTAATGATGTATTTGAGCCCTTGAAACGCCAGTAACCACGATCCATGCTCAGCTTCTTATCCACGATAAGCAAAGATCCTTTCCTTCTTTGCCTCCCATAGCATGTCCTCAGTGAGTCAGGCCAATGACCTTTCTGTTTCTCTTGACCAGACGGCGCAGACCAGCTTCCTTGTCATCAGCAAAACGTCTGGCCTCGGCAAGCTTGCGCTCCAAGTCCTCGACACTGACCATGTGGTTCTTGTCTCTCTGCTGCTCCTCCTTGGCAGCCTTCTCATTGGGAGGGCTGAGAGGTACAGGAGGCATGATGAACTCGTTGACGTACTTGCCGGCAGTGTCGACCAAGAAGCTGCCCTTTTGCTGCCCTCCTCGACAGCCTTCTCCATGGCGTTGGCACTGCGGTGACGGTTGCCGTTAGATGCACCCTCAAACTCGCGACGAAGAACGGCCAAGTCTACAGCCGGAAAGTCGACCTCAGCGGGTGTGTTGCTGTGCTGAATGGGGTGGAACCTAAGGTTCTCTGGCAGTTGGCGGTTCATGGCTTCCATTGCTAGAAAGCGTTCTTCAAGCTGAGGTTCCATGTGGCGGATGATGGTACCGCTAGGCGAGATGACCAGGCGGTCCCACAGACGCTGTTGCTCGTCGGTCACGGGACGCCAGGCGTGTCCTGAGAGCAGAACGTCGATGTCTTCCTTCTTGAGCTCAGGCTGGTGAGGTGGGATTGCGTTTTCAGGAGTCAGGTCGGCGGCAGTGGGCTGTTGAGTAGGCTTGTAATGGGCAACAGTCTGGGCGAAAGGGCGAAAGAAAGCGTCGAAAGCGCCGGCTATAGAGCCATGTTCGCTGCGCAGTTCTGCAATGAGAGAGGCAGGAGTCAGCGCTGCTGGTGGTGGCGGTGTAGGGGCTTTGACCGGAGTGACAGGAGCAGGTGGAGGAGGGGAGGAGTCTCGACCTTAACGGGCGTGGGCGTGGGCGTGGGCGTGGGCGTGGGCGTGGGCGTGGGCGTGACGGGCTTCTCTACCTTTGGTGGTTCCTCAATGGGCTGAGCCTTCATCTTAGGAGAGGCGGGACGCGAGGGAACGGGTGTGGACGCAGCAGGCGTAGATGCAGCAGGTGTCGCGGGCTTGGCTGTCTTGGACTTCTTCTTGCGGCTGGTGATGGCCTCCTGAACGGGCTCTGAGATGGTCTGAACATCCTTGGCCAAGATTTCTTCGGTCATCTGTCTGGCCTTTTCTTGACGCATCTTCTTCTGCTGACTCTTGGTGTTCTGTCGAACATACGCTGAGCCGACTCTGCTCGAAGATGGTGGGGTGGTGTGTTTGCGCGAGAGAGCGAGGTAGATGTGATAGAGACATCATCCGAGACGTGCTCACTGCTGGGAGTACCGGGAAGTTGGATGGAAGCAATACTGGGCTGTCTTGATGGCATGCGAGATGCTGCGGCGGGAAGTGGGCGAATTGCAGGAGCGACGACTGGTGCAGGCGGAGGCAGGGCTGTTGTGAGACGCAGTGTGCGTGGAGCTGTCACCTTTCTGGCCGAGTCTGATGCTATGCTGGGACTCTGAGGACGCGATGTAGTGATGGTGTTCCATGTACGAGGAACGTTCTCAGTCTTGACCGGAGTGGAATTGAGCGAAGTAGGGACTTCACCACCCTTGAGGACGGCAGCTGTAATGTCAATCTTTCCAGGGTGCTTCTTCTTACTAACGGTCTCACCGGCAGCCGACTTGGCCGCGGCAGCAGCTTCGGCAGGCGTCAAATCCTTGACAAGGTCAACTGTGTTGGTTGCGGCTTTGCTCTTCTCTTCCTTGGAAGCACCTGGCGGATCCGGCTGTGTCTCAGAAGCCTTGGCCTGCAATGCTGCCTTCTCAAGCTTCTCAGCGGCATTCTTCTGAGCAATGGCTTCAGCTGCGGCAAACGCAGCGGCAGCCGCCTTCTCTGCCTTCTCTGCCTTCTCAAGTCTCTCGGCTTCCTTCTTAGCCGCCTTGTCGGCTCTCTTTGCCTTCTTTGCCTCAGCCTTTTCTGCCTTGGTCTCTGCCTTTGATGGAGTTTCGGCCTCAGCGCCTGGAGCAGTGTCATTGCTCTCGGCGTATTCAACGTTAGCAAGATGGGATTCGGACCTTCCACGCTTGGTAGGCGTAGCAAAGTCATCGATGACGTTGGCGAAAGGTCTGGTTTCATGCCTCAAAGGTGTGGGAGCTCGAGATGGTGTGCCAGACAGTACTGGAACAGCAGGTAGGATCTGCGAGTTTCCACGTCTGAGACTTGCTCTTGAACTAGAGCGCGAAGTTGGAAGGGAAGCAGCTGAATCATCCTTCAAAGGAGCGATCACTGGAGCCGTGAAACCTGGGGGGATTGATGGTGTCGAGCGTCTAGGCACATCGTCTTCGTCGTCGAGATCAAGGGGCGGCAATGATTGACCAAGACCTTCCAGACCCGGAGGAACTGGCGGTGTGGATCGTCCGGGCTCGTCGAAGAGATCGGATGAAAGATGAGCTGCACCACCAAGAGATGAAATGTCTGAAATATCTATACCTCCAGTCAGCACAATTCTAAAAGATGTGTTTTGTATACGTCGAATGAGAGCGACTAGTTTCGGCAGATGGTAGACGACCGCCGAGGAAGAAAAAGCAAATATACATGATGTGGATCACACAAGAACGCCAGTTGAAAGTATAGAAATAGGTGCAAGACGGCAGACACTGACTTTGTTAATCTACCAATCTGCGACACCAAAAGGTAAGAAGATACGTACAAGAATGTGGCTAACGTTGGGGAGACGTGAGAGGCATAAGGAAAAGTGAAAACTCCTGCCGTCCATATAGCCACAGCGGCAAATGCATCGATAACAACTCCGAAGCTGACGAGAAGAGCCAGCCGGACATGATATAACACCCGAAACGCCAGTGGCTCGAGACTCTGAAGATCTCTTTTTGGGAAGGCCAATGCTGCGCTTGCTTTCCACCCTAAATCAAGACGCCGGTAGCAAAGTCATAAGGGATAGATAGACATGATGGAAGAAGGGAAAAGCAAAGAAAATAGCAAAACAGAACAAAAGACTCAAACAAAATCAAGAGGGGATGCGGTCGTCTACCATCTGCGGAAAGCACCAGCGTCGGCACTGCCGTACACATTGTGTAACCCACCTTGTCCCTGACCAGTGAAATGCCCCTGGTTTGCGATTTGGCCAGCCTGGTGCAGTCTTGCCTGAAGAACGCTCGGGTCTGCTACATCAACTACACCGCCTCCAGAGGAGGAAGTGTTAGCATGTTTGTGCTTTTGCCCTTCTTTNTTGGGCTTCTGGACAGTATCCTGAAAAGCTTGAGGCTGAGTGCCATAAGGAAGATTCAGAAGACCAGGGGCTGGAACTGGAGTGGAACTGGTGGGGTGCTGGTGTAAGAAAGAAGGAAACAATAACTCACGCTTTGCGGCATCTGACATTTGGGCACTGCCACCGAGGTTGCGGTTGCGCAATAGATCTCTCATCATTTCGTCGTTAGGGTTGCGTCCGGTCAGGTTGGCGCCATAACCCAGGCCGCTAGTCGCAAATCCATGGCCTTGACCGAACATGCCGCCACCACTGAATGGAGGAGTGCCCGTGGTTTTGAGGCCAGGAGGGGGTCCTTGGACATTGCTGTAGAATCCACCGGGAGGAGGTTGTTGGAAGGAAGACTGAGAAGGCATCATGGAGGATTGTTGGTTCATGAGTTTGGCGTTGGCGACAGGCTTGACGGCAGCCGAAGCCGTGTTGGTCTCGTTTGCGAAAGTGTATCGTGAAACATTACGTGCATGGCCAGCCGGGGCAGCAGGTGGTGGTTGGAAGGGGGCTGAGTAGATGCGGCCGAAGGGGTCTTGAACTGTTGGAGGAGCAACTGCTGGCGTTGTNTGAGCGGTCAGATTGGGAGCAGTGATGCTCAAGTTGGAGAGCTCGTTGGAAAGGAATCCGCCGTCGATGACCGAGTTGGTGCGCGAAGGAGGCTCGATAGCGTGCTGCGGAGATTGACCACGGCCCATGGTGTCTTCGGGCTCGCCTCCGAGTTGCATGCTACCGCCAGTCTCGGGGCCGTTCTCGTCTTCAACACTGTTCACAGTCTGTTGAGCAAGTTGAGCTTCGGCTTCCAGGCGTCTACGCTCCTCGTCTTCCTCCTCTTCACGTTGTCTCATTGCACGTCTCTTGGCTCCGCCGTGTGCGTCGAATAGCGAGGGAAAATTGTCAAAGTCAATGTTGCTGTCTTCCAGTGTCTTGCTGGATAGAACGAATTTAAGGTCGAAAGACTGGAAAGCCTTAAACATATGTGTGAGAGGATCCTCGACGACCGGCTTCTTCTTTCTGACAGGTGCAACAGGGGCCGGAGGTGGGCTGGGGTTGCAGGCTCTTCGGGCTCTGGCGAAGGAGACGGTTCGCGTTCGGGTNTCAGGCTGAGGCTGGGGCTCAGGCTTGGGCTTTTCCCTAGCTGGTTCTTTAGGCATTACAAGTGAGACAGAGCGACTACTAGCTGTGCGGCTCATCTGAGGAGCCTTGGAAGCCCAGCTGGCAGTAGATGGCAGCGCAGGGCCGTCATGCTCAAGGCTCGGGCTTGGAGGGATGTATTGCGAGTCTTGCCTGGAGAGGGTGTGGGCGGCGGCAACGGGCTGTTGGCTTTGCGGCGGAGGCTGCGAAGCTGGTTGCGAGGGTGCTTGGGGATGCTGGGTCGAGATGACGTTCATCGAAGACAAGTCCTGGCGGGTGAAGCTGTCATTTTCCTCGCCAGGTTCGTGCAGGAACATGCAGTTGCGGTTGGTGCATTGTTCGTTGCGCAGGTAGGCCGAGCAGTATTTGGTAGTGCCGAATTGGGCTCTCAGCACTCGATCGCCATTTTGCGAGCCATCAACAGCAGCAATGCAAGAGGCGGCATCTTGCTTGCGGGCGTAGGTGACGTAGACGCCGACGGACTGGGGTTGNATGTTGTCCTTTGCCTTGCTGACGACTATCTTGACAATCTTGCCGTACTGACCAAAGTACTGGTCGCCGCGAAGAGTCTCGAGCAGTCTATCTTCTTGCACTCTCGGGCTCAAACCAGTCACATAAACCAGGTTCTTTTGCACGACGCGCAGGCCAGCGAGATGCTTGCGTGAAAGAGTGTCGGCCTCACGCTTCATAGCTTCCTTTTGGGCGGCGGCAGACTGCTTCTTTTGCTTGGCGGCCTGTTTGGCNTCTCCAGAGGGCTTCCCTGAGATTGGTGTTAGTGATGGGCAAGAGAAGCAGCTGGACAGAGATGGGTACTCTTCCGGGCCAGGCTTGCGAAACTCTATGTTGGCATCATCGTATGGACGGCGACAGGCGGGACAGAGGCCGTTCATGTTGTTGCGCACATTGTGATAGCAGAACTGGCAGATCTGNGGAGTGGAGGTTAGCTGGGCCGTGGCTGGAAGGTTAGGGCAGTCAGCACACACCTGGTAGCCACAGACGCATGGTCGAAAGCCTCGATCTGAGAGATCAAACTCTTCGACACAGAGAGGACATGTCTCTTCCTCATCGTCGTCGATGAACTGATCTTGCTGGGTCCGCGACATGGTGTGGCACTGTGAGCGAGCGGCAGTGGTGGAGGAGGGAGATGGCGAAGAGGGAGAAGGCGCGCAGAGGCGGAGGGAAAATTGCAGCTGCTTTCACAAACGGACAAGAAAGGACAGGCAGCTTCCGAAGTGAATTAGAAGGAGATGGAATGCGATTGTTGCAGTGTAACAGGTAACAGCGCGGCCGCGGGAAAGAGCAACTGCTGCTTTGGCTTGTGAGAGAAGGAGACTGTGTCCCGCACAGACCACCCACGCTGATTGGCCGAGCGAGGCAAGAACGATGATGACCATCATATCGTCGCTCCTTCCCAAGTACTAGCTACTTTCTAGTAGAGAGAGACACCACACATCGACACAATGGCTCTACGACAAACCGCCACTCGCTCGCTGCGTCTTGCCTCGCGCAACGTCGCCCCCTCGACCCGCGCCTTCACCGTCTCGGCCCTGCGCCAGAAGGAGCTCGCCGCCGATGTTTCCGACCTGCCCAACATGAGAGTACGACCGTCCAGCTACGCAATTGCCACAGGCCCATGTTCGAGTATTGATTTTTGTATCAGCNACGCCCAAAGAAACGCTCAGGGCCGTCTCCATGTTCCCATTGTCAACCCTGCCGACAAGTTTCAAGAAAAGGCCGACAGTCTGCACCAGTACGGCCAGTACTTGATGGCTTGCATGCCCAAGTACATCCAGCAGTGCGTGCTTCCTCTCCCTGCAATCGCCAAACTAGCATTGACACGTTCCGTCCAGGNNTTCTCGGTCTGGAAAGATGAGCTCGTCATCTACATTGCCCCCGCCGCCGTCCTCCCCGTCTTCAACTTCCTCAAGTACCACACCGCCGCCGAGTTCACTCAGATCAGCGACATCACCGCTGTCGACTACCCTACCCGCGACCAGCGTTTCGAGGTCGTCTACAACATGCTTTCCGTCCGCCACAACGCCCGTATCCGCGTCAAGACCTACGCCGACGAGGCTACCNCCGTTCCCTCGCTTTGCGGTCTCTACGACGGCGCCAACTGGTACGAGCGTGAAGTCTACGACCTGTTCGGTGTCTTCTTCGTTGGACACCCCGATCTCCGCCGTATCATGACCGACTACGGTTTCGACGGCCACCCGCTCCGCAAGGACTTCCCTCTTACTGGTTACACTGAGATCCGTTACGACGAGGAGCAGAAGCGTATTGTTGTCGAACCTCTCGAGTTGACTCAGGCCTTCCGCAACTTTGAAGGTGGTAGCTCCGCTTGGGAGCAGGTCGGTCCTGGTAACGACAGAAAGCCCGAGAGCGTAAGTCTAGCACTACTCGAATGCTGCCACAATCGCATACTGATTCAGAACCACAGTTCAAGCTTCCCAAACCAAAGCCTGAGCCCAAGCCCGAGGAGAAGAAGTAAACGATTCAAACTAGACCCCCTGGCGGTGTATCATAGTGTAATCAGTCCAGGTCAAATTTCAATACCGACTTTTCTTTTTTGTTCATACCTATACCTAACAAATTCGAGTTCACATTTCATGTTTTCTTTTCACAGCTGCAGCAATTGTGTTTTTGGGTCATTCCGAGCTCCTTGTCCGAGCATCAGAGAGTGGCGCGCACGGCCCATTGGTTCGCGCACCTTCCTATCACGGTCACCGGCTCCAAACAGTCAGACAAGACGATAGCATATAGACTGAAAGTGCTGACTGACCAATAGTGAGTTTGAGCATTAACAGTGAGTCCAGGCAGACAGTTCGGCTTATTTTTATCACAGGCGTATAATTAATCGAACGACCCAGCATACTTCCAAAACGAACCACCAAAATTAAAACATATCTACCACAAGCCTACGACTAATTAGCACAAGGAACTCCTTCTCTGCCAGCAACATGACAGACCCAACCTTCCGCATCACAACACCTCGCCTCACAATCTCCTACCTGAACCCTTCAAACCCTCTCCACTGCTCCTTCCTCGTCTCCCTCTGGAACATGCCAGAGTTCATCGCCATGCTCGGTGGCAAACCAACGTCTATCACCAGCCCCTCCGCCGCCAAATCGCTAATTCAAAATCGGTTCATGGCCGAACATGCCCGCAATGGCTATGGAATGTACCTTGTCTCTTTACTTGAGGATGACACACCCATTGGCACTGTATCACTCATGCGAGGAGAGAGTTCTTCACTACTGGCTCCTGATATCGGGTTTGCTATGCTGTCCGAGCATATGCGAAGGGGCTATGCTGTTGAAGCTGCCAAAGCACTTGTTGAGTATGTGAATGAGGAAAAGGGTGTCAAAGCAGTATTTGGGTTTTGTGATGAGGGGAATGAGGCTAGTATGGGCGTTTTGAGGAAGTTGGGTTTTAGATGGGAGGGAGTGAGAAGCGTAAAGGAGTTTGGGGGTAAGGAGGCGGCGGTGTGGAGCTGGGATATGGATGCTGTGGAAGACCGGGGGCTTTGAGTAGGTGAGTAGGTTGGTTATGACTCGTTTCTGGTAGATGGACATAGGTCACAAGCTGCCCTCATGACCATTGTGGTTTGCTTTGCTTGCTTTTTGTTTTCTCTCTGTCCTGTACGGCTTCTGCGCTGGCCATCTGTATTTCCTGTTTCTCTAACCATCATACCAGAACAGTTCTTGCCAGCAACTCACAAGACATAGAACCTGCTACAAAACAGCCATGCGTTGTTCTTTCTACCTTTCGGAACATTACGAAGTCCCTACTTTCTGCATCTTCAATACAAAACCTACCCCACTTCAACTTCCACTCGAATCGCCAATTCAAACCCAACAATGCCAAAAGAAACAACATACCTCGTCACCGCAGCCGACACTCTCCTCGGCTATTCAACGATCTCCTCCTCGCAAACCGCCCCAACACCTTCATCATCGCCCTGTGCAACCATAACACCGAGTCTCGGATATGGCGTCTCCTCTGCACAGGCAGAAAAGCCATGAACTCGTTCGTTCAACCCCTACATCTCCATTCTGGATTCAGTATCAAAGATGCTGCAGAAACGGTGAAGAAATGGGGAAAGAGTGTTGATGTGGTTGGCGCTTGTCCTGATAGCAAGATTGATGCTAGATTCTTGGTTTCGGGACTAGGAAAGATGGTGCGGCAAGAGGGCAAAGTCGTGGTAGTTCAGACCAAATTGGAGAAGTGGTGTAAGGATTTTGTGGTGCAGATGCATGAGGGAAGCGGCGTTATCAGCATGGGGTTGAGATTGGAAAGGTCAAGGAAGAGGAGATGAGGGACAAGATGGCATGGTTATTGGGTGTCATGGACAGAATGACCAAGAAGAAGGGGTCGGAATGCGTCATTTCTTGGAATCAATGATGAAGTTTGACTGAGATATTGAGGATGCTTGGTATCGATGCTTGGCCACTCTGCTTTGTCGACCGAAGGGAAATGACTTGCATAAAACCCTTGCTCGAAACTGCAAACAAAACATCGACAGTAAACGGAAGAAAAGAACAGCAGAAACAGCAAAAAGCCAGAGCACTGAGCTCTTATGGGACAACTACCCTGGAGTTCCTTGATTATAGTCACCAGATGTCGGCCATCTAGGGGTCATGAATTAAGACGTACAAGGCAGGGATTGTTTCATTACGAATCGGGAGTGTACAAGCCGTTACACCACTCGACCGATTACAGAAACAAAGGCAACTTTACTGGACTATCTGGTGTTAATGTATGGGGGTCAGGGTTCGATTCTCAGGGTAGGAATAAGATTGTTTTGCATTTGATGGTGAAGATCGATCATGGCTTGAACATGGAGAAATATCACTATTGACGCTTGGTATTATCAATTTACTCATTTGGTGTGCTCCAGTCGCGGTTGAATTTGCAAGCAAAGGCGATATCAGAGACTAGCAGCGATTTTTCGAACCAAAGCCAAGAGGTTATGAGCATAACACAAAACACAGCACCGCCACAAGGGTTATCTCGAGAGATGAAACACTACACGTTCTGAATCCAGTAGACACGGTGCTGTTGAGTGCAGAAGAGCTTGTCGCTGTAACTTTGGGTGTTTCCAAAGTGAGTGTTCCCGCCGAAAGTGTGGACTGAACAGTGATCATATTGGAAGTGCGGGCGTCCAACGGCAAATAGTCCTGAGGTCCGCCCATGCTGTAGTCCAAGGGACGATCTGAGACAACTCTATACGAGGTGCTACTGGTGTAAGCTGGTGCCGCAATCCTCCTGGCCGTTGTGTATGTGTATGTGATCACAGTCAATGAAACGCTTTTGGAGGCGACAGCACTGGAGCTTTGGACTGGACGGGTGGCGGTGTACAGTTTGGAAAGTGCTTCCTGCACTACATTGGGTCCTTTGGGTAGGCGTAATGCATTGCTTGAAGTATCCACGTAGGTGTCTCTTTGACCGATGGTGATTTGTCCGTAATTGAGATCGAAGATACTGTACAAGTTCCGAGTCACGATTGTGCCCATATATGGATGTGGCGCTCCATCAGTCATGTCGGCCCTACTCAGAGCCAGTACACACAAGAGTCTGCCGGTGGCATCTGTTGATTGCTGACCGTTCTTCTGGTACCACGGTGTAAGGAATTCATATACAGTCGTGCTGAAACCTTGACCGAAATCAATTTTGATTTCTATGCCAGTGGTCAAATTGTCATCGCAAGATACCACGCCGTCACTTCGCATCTCCCCGGTAGTATTGTATACGGAGATGAAAGCGTCGAAAATTTCCGGCGGTACTTCCCACTGGCCATATGTGTAATCGATCATGACTGCATATTCGCGATCTCCTTGGTTCTCGACTGCAGGAAATGTCCGATTCAGCTCAGGGAAGTGAGACTGAGTTTGACGATGGGCACCACTGGAGCTCGCACTAAACCAGTGACATTTCGAGCAGAGTTAGCGCCAACAGCCACAAAATCCAGGGTGACCGGCCGTTGGTTTTGGTGATGTACGCTGGGTTGAAGCCTCCCAAGGCCATTTGGTGTCTTCGTTAACTTCCCCAATGACAGGACTGGCATCGGAGGTAGGGGGTGCATCATAAGGTGTAAATGCCATTTTGTATTCGATGGATAGAAAATATAATAATGAAAAGATGGGTTTGCATCTGATACCTAGTGACTTTATACAACTCTCAAACCTGCTGGCATTTGAAATGTGTTATAGATTTGTTGAGCTGACAGCATCAAGTTCAAGGCTTCATGACGAACGTCCATGGTACAGAACGCGTCGTCAGCTGCGACGATAATGGAGTGCATCTGAGATATGGCATATGAGTGGTAGGTCAAGAGTCGAGCCATCTATCTCTACAGTTGAGAAGCAGTGCGGTATTGTTCACAAGGAATCACGCATTATCGATGTTGAGGAAAGAAGGATGAAGTTGAGCTCGAAGTTGAGAATGTGGGTTGCAGCTCAAGGCTTTCTGCTCATAATTTATGCATTCGCATAAAGATTTGTGCATAGTAGATTCATATCTTCGATAATAATCAACCCTGCAAATTTGTACAGCAGCGTGATCTTTCACTTCAGCTGTCCTCTACGTGCAGCTGCTAGACCCAGAAACAAACTGTCCATCCGAGTTCTCACATCCACAAACACCAGTCTGAGGATCCTTGATACACCCAGCACCCTCACCACTGCTCTCGCCATTGTCATTCCAGAAGAAGGTCCAGTAATCAGAGTCAGAGCTCAACTGCCCATCAGTAGGTGCAGTGCAAGTGTAAGCCACACAGGTACCATAGGGAGCACCATGGTTGGCATCATATTGGTGGTCAACCTTGAACACGGCAAAGGTTTGGGTCTTGGAGGTTCTTGTGTTGTGGCTGCACTCGGCGGCTTGGATGGCATTGCTGGTCTTTGCGGGGCTACAAGAGGGTGACTTTGGGTATTTGCCTTTGGTGTTGGAGAGAGCGGGAGAGAGGGTGGCGGTTGCGAGACCGAGGGTCAGGGCGACGGCGAGGATGTTGGCGGTGATCTTCATTTTGGTTGGTTGACGAGATGGAAGTCAAAAGTGTTGGATTTGTAACGAGTGACTATGAATGGAAAGCGAGACCAGCTTGCTTGCGAAATTTGTTTGGAGTTGTGATGAGAAGGAATCAAGCAGCAAACCCTTTGGGTCTTTATAGGCATGCGCAACACAGCTACAGGTGCACCTTGCTTTGACCTACTTGGTTTTGATTCATAAGGCAGCGAGGGTATGATCTGCTTGACAGGTCCATCGTATCGTGTATAGAGACTCTGCGACGTTAAACGTGTCAGGTTGAGCGACGGGCCTTTCCAACCCTTGCGAACGCGTCAACGCTGCATCCAAATGCATGAGTCTCCTCAATCTGCGAATATCAAGCAGACTTGTTGAGAAGCTGCCCTAATTCAAGGTGACTGGTCGTCTAATCGATCAGATTATTTCGATGTTGGTCGTCGCAAATCTCAAAGAAGTTTCCTCGATGAGGTTTGTGTTGACGCGGCTCAAACTTCGGCCAAGTTCCACATTCCGGCTGATGACCCTGACCTATAATAGTTGACAATTGACAACGACAACAAAGACCTCAACCTAATCGTTATGTGTACAAGACAAAGTACCAAAGTTCTGTTGTATATTCTTATCATGAACCGTATCAAGATTTGTTGTACAAAGTGCAAATCTGAGCCGGAACAATACTAAGCATTTTCTTTGTCTCTGTGTGTAAAACATATGCACACTGATCATTGCAAATCTCTTAGCAAAGCAAATCGTCAGGCCAACACAGATTAAGCTCCCTCGGAAACATGCGTTTCCCTCTGCTCACCAGTCGACCTATAAACCCGCCAGACATCGTCCTATTTGCTGTCCTCCTCTTATCAACAACAATCATGGCAGCTCCTCTCAACCAAGCCGATGCAAGCCCAATACTCGGCAACAGGGAAGCGGGCCTCTACAACCCCAAACACATCCTCGAATTTCGCAGATCAGCAACACTCCTACAATGGGGGAGAGACTGGTGGTAGATACCCGATCTCGCCAAAGATGTCGCAAGCACGCCTTACTTCTATGGTACCATTCACCAGAAGAAGCAGCGTGATCTGGCTGCAAAGTAGCTTGCATCTTGCGTACCAGCGGAAGAGATGGCACATTCGAAACGGAACGCAGCTTGGTGGAATCGATATTCAATTGAAGAATAGAATTTGCATGCAAATATCGACGCTTCTTACAATGCGTGCATCGGTGAAACACATGCGAGCATCCGGACGTGACACCATATATTTCAGCAGCCTTATGAGAGGGAGAATAAGATGCAGGGAGACTGTGCTGGATGGTAGTACCAGCTGAGCCTTGTAGGCTTCCAAGGATTGTGAGCCTCTTGTTTCACCACATGTGATGGCTGGACCGGTGAAGGATGGAGAGCGATTATATTGTGATATAGACCCACGCAAACAATACTGACAATCATTAATGGGAGTTGGATGATAACAGCAACACTGCATACTCCGATGTGCCGAGAGGGAGGCTATCACTCATGATACAGACCAATTTGAACGCCACCATCTGGGCTCAAGGTAACACCAGCAAGATCCTCTTGGAACGGTCTCGAGTCGCGACACTCGATGCGGCGGAAATGCTGCATAAGGCGCACGGTGAGATAGTACACCTCCGTAATGGCGAATTGCTCTGTGTAGTGTTAGTCTTTGGTATGTCGATGTGCCCATTTTTACTTACGGCCTAGGCAGATCCGTGGCCCGCCTCCGAAAGGGTGTAAGCCTNNAGACACAAGATCGTTAGTCGACTTGTGGCAAACGTTGTGCATAGCACATACCCAGCCTGGACGAAGGTTTTCCCATCTTTCTGGTCTGAACTCTTCGGCGTCCTCTCCATAAACCTCCTGACGACGACTCGCAGAATGGATGTTGACAACCATGACCGAGCCTTTAGGCACAAACAAGGGTGACTTGCCGTCCTTACCACCACCAAGCGGAAGTACAGTATCCTTGTTAGCAACACGAGGTGGTAGGATTGGGGTCACTGGATGGAGCCTCATAGCTTCANNTATACTTGTTAGGTCGATATACCTCAACACAAGGATCGGTGCGGACGTACCTTCATGCTCACAATATCTCAGATATTTGGCATTCTTTACCCATTCATACGACGGCGGTGCGCCTTCTAGTTGGTCAATCTCTGTAAGAAGCTTGTTCCACACCGTGGGATGCCTGGCCAGTAGATACCACATACTGCCGAGCAGTGAGGCAGTTGTATCCTTTCCAGCGAACATCAGACTGAATGCTTCTTCTGACATCTTCTTGATATCTTGTGTCTGAAGTGCCATCTCGTCTAAGAAGGAATACGAAGATGCCTTCTCGGTTGTTTTTCCAGCATCTTTCTGATCCTCAGTTGCGCGATCCAGAGCCATCTGCGAGTATTTGGTTGTCGCAACTTGCACATTACGAATCGCCTGATCAACGCCCGGTCGCTTCAGCCAACGATACAATAGAGACCAGCGGGAGCGGTCCGCACAGTCTTGAATTACGAGTTCGAGATCATACGCTAGTTGAGATTTGGCGCCCATTGACTCTTTTAGAGAACCGACCGACTCTCCGAACAGAAACTCGGAAGACACGTCAATTGCAAACCGATGGAAAAGAGCACCGAGATCGAAAGTCGACCCATCCTCCGGTATCAGCTTCAGTAACTGCTGGAAATGCGCCTCGAACAGATCAAGGTCTGTAATACGATCCTTGGCAAACATTGGTCGCAGAATACCTCGTCTGTGAGACCATGCAGCGCCATCAGACATGAACGTCGAACCAGCCATTACATGCTTGAAAGCCTGCCGCCCGGGAGCGGCGGACCAGTCATCGAATTTCAAAGAGTAAGCTGTTTTGATGTTCTCGGCTTCGGTGGTGTGAACGGCGATGCTTGGGAGGGTGCTGACAACAAATGTCGGACCATATTTATGGAAGTTGCCTCTGAACCATTCCAGCAACTTCTTCTTTCTGGCTGCGGATAGTACTGAGAGGACCATGTCAAGCGCCATGAATGGTTCCAGATTAGGGTAGAAAGCGTGTGGAGGTAGGCATTTGTTGCTTCGCTCGAGTTCTTGCCTTGACTGCCGGAGCTTCCACCAGCCGAGAGCGATATAGACGAAGCTCCCGACCAGCAACGTACCTATCGCGGCTACGGTTAATGGATGAGGAGTCTTGGAAAACATCATGTGGTGATTGTGTGAGAAGATCCTAGAGGTGACACCGATGTGCACTGAAAGACGACGCTTTTCAGGCAGAACTTCAGAAGGATCAAAGGAAACGCAGCTGCAGCTTCCACGAAGCTAGTCCATCCCGCATGTCAGACTGTCGGCTCATTGTATCGTGTACTTCTCAGAGGAGCGCTTATGCTTGCATGGGGTGTGAGCGTAACCATATTTTTGATAGATCCCGTCCCCAACACATGAGTTGATTGTGAGCGTCAATCACAATAAAGCACATCTGGCAGAGAGAAAAGTGCCGAAAGGTGATTCCGAGCGAGAGTGGTCATCCAACACATGATTGGCTGGTGCTCCGAAGCTCCTCGAAGTGGGGCATTTGCGGGTGCTGGAATTGCCCCACAAACCCCGTCATGATCACTCTGAGCAACGACAACCACCAAACATGTGAACAACTGTTATAAGAGTGCGAGGCGCACGTCTCGAGAAGCTCAAGAACTCCCAAAACCAGAATCGACATATACACCATACGCCATGAAGGACCTCACCACAGAGAACATCACAGAGAATGTTCATGCCATCAACAAACAGTGCACGAATCCCAGGACTAGATACATATTCGAACGTCTAGTATCTCACTTGCATGACTTTGCAAGAGAAACCCGGCTCTCGACGGACGAATGGATGACCGGACTGGACTTTCTCACAGATGTTGGCCAAATCAGCACCGACTTGAGAAGAGAGATGATCTTACTATCGGACACCCTAGGATTAAGTGCTCTAGTTGACTCAATCGACCACCCACGCACAGGAAGATCGACAGAGGGAACTGTGCTAGGGCCCNTCCATACTCACGATGCACGAGAGGTGGAAAATGGTTATGCGATCCACAAAGATCCCGATGGCACACCTCTGTTGGTCCTCTGCACCATCAAAGATACTGAGGGCAACCCACTGGAAGGTGTTCAGATCGACGTCTGGGAGGGTGATTCGCATGGAAATTACGACGTGCAATATCCAGACAGAGATGGTCCAGACGGTAGAGGTATTTTGTTCTCCAAGCAGGATGGAACTTTCTGGTTCAAGGCTGTGAAGCCTGTATCCTATCCTATCCCTATGGATGGACCTGTGTTCAGCATGCTTCAAATGTTGGGTAGGCATCCAAACAGACCAGGCCATGTTCATTTCCTGTTAAAGAAAGACAGCTTCGACCCTCTGATCACGTAAGCATCTGTTGCCAGAGTTGTTCTTCACTCAAGTTCTGACAGACGTGTAGTGNCTTTGTATCCTCGTGGAGACCCATATGAGTCTTCTGATCCTGTGTTCGGCGTCAAAGATTCTCTGATCGTTGATCTTTCGACAGTGACAGACCCGGAAATGGCCAAGAAATACGAGGTTGAGGAGGGAACAGCTCTCTTGACTTACGACTTCGTGCTGGTGACGGTGGAGGAAACCTTGAAGCTGCGCAAGGAAAAGGCTGAAGAGGCGATCAAGAAGATGGGGAGAAGCATGGAAGACTTCCAAGGTCTGCCCATATTGGACGTCGACTGATGATGCGGCAAAGTAGTAGTATCTACGATTGGTTATCCACTTCATCTCGGTGGAGAAATTGCTTGCAGTTCAACGAATGCAGGCCGCTGACCGCCAAACTCATAGCGACCAGGCGCTGTTGCTTGTACTTTGTACTCTGTGTTTGTCAGTTACGGCATCTGGAAGACGAGCCGGATGGCTAGTGTTGAGGTTTAAAACGATGCAGGGCCACATGCTCCGGGTCAATCACACGAAAGGCGGCTCTCACTGCACCCCGCACTCTTACCCGCTGCAGTACCAAGTAGAAAACCCCCAATGCGATGGTTTCGTGTACCTGTCCAACCGAATACTGGCTGCTCGCGGACTCGGGTGTGTCTGCGATGTTCCACCCGTTGTCATCGCAGTCGGCGTGTGGGACAACATGCGATGAGGATTTGAGCGGGTGCTCCGGGGATTGCATACCGCGCCAAGGGGATGGCCTGACAGCGCTGACGCAGTCGGACAGAAACTCCAAGGGTCGCTGGCCAGATGATACTGGAGATGAGGTTGATGCTTGTAGTTATCCATCTCAAGGAGAGACACGAACCAATGGCAGCACTCGGAATGCCGAGCGAGTAGAATAAGAGTGGTTTGCACCACCTTTGGTGGTCGAGGTCGAGTCGGTTAGCGCCGAGGGAAGTGGCTGATCGAGGGCACGAGACCCCGCCCACAGAGAGAGCAGTTGCGCCGCCTCCGCATTTCGTTCACGTCTGGCGCCTTCCTTATGTGGTCGTTTGAGCCTGCGCGTGCCTACATATCTTCTCCTCCCTCCAGACCTTGCCAGCCTCATCTTCATCTTCAAAAGAAGAACGACTGTCGAACCTCAAGAATCCTCCCTCGCGTCGAACAGTTTTGTATCGAAAGTCTCGCCCGGTCGTGAGGTGATCGGCGTCCTGCATCATCATCCGAAGTCTCCCCCACAACAAGGGGCCCGAGCAATCCAGAACATCTGTTCATTTCACCCTCGTTCAGGTGCGGAGTCGCTTTGCAGTCCTATTTTACGAGTCTCTGCCAGTCGAAAATCAGCTGAAGCCGTCCTTCGAATTCGCAGCCTGGAAATATCCGACGACACGGTGTGCTGACTCGACCCCACGTGTCGCACGTTTCTCCACAAACATCGCAAATGAATCTTGGAGTACCTTGCTTTGTACAGGCCCAACTCCATCGAGACAGTCTGCTGTAACCCGGAAGAAAGGACCATGAGACTGTGATACAGGCGTTAGACCGAACTTGTAAGCGGACATATCTCAAACCTGAAGCCCAAGTCGTTTATTACGAGACTTGCGACCGTATGGAGGTCGTCGACTGACCGGTTATAGGTATTTGAGAAACTTCTACACGACCTCTTGTTAATGTTGCAAATATTTCTCGTTTTGTTTCCATTCTGTTTCGCTTAAACGAGACACTCGCAATCAATAGGTCAGATTATCTCATATCGCTCACGGTCCAGAACTCCAGCACTTTCGACGTGGACGCTAACCTCAATCCATCAGACACGATCAATAGATAGAAGGAAAAGGGCTCGGATACAGGCAGTACAAGCGATTGTTAGGTATGTCTGGTTTTCTGTCTCGAGTTTTGACTCGATAGTCCCATACGTGATCAAGGCTGTGTGCACCACTCTTGCCCCAAGACACCATCGACTATCGGGCTCAAGAGGCGTACAGCCTGACAGACGACGCAAGTTGTGACTTGGTGGAGCGTATGGTGTCTGGAGCTCAGTCTTCGCATCGTGAACCTATATCTAACACTATTGTTTACGCAGAACTTTTCACGGACCTCTTTCTCTTCTTACGCTCGACTTTCGACTTCTCTCTCTCAAAGGATATCAAAACGCCTTGGCGCGAGTCTTTGTTCTCAGCGTTTGCTCTCACAGCTTGTAACAACGCAGAACCAGTGACTACTTTGCTGGCATATCACTTGTGAGTTTTCCTTTCACATGCCGTCGACCTGCTTCAAGAACCAAGCTCCTGCTCAATTTGGCGAACTCGACGTCGAATGTACACCTACCACGACGACTCGAAGACCGAACTTGAAAAACGAGGTCATGCAAATGGCAGCTGACATGGATCGATCAGGCAACGTCGATTCGGGGACGACATCATTCTCTCCGCTAACCAATTAAATCCTCAACACATTGAGAGATTTGCCATCTTTCCATCCAACCACATTTTCGTGCTACCTTACACAACGCGGATTCGCCTACTTGACAACTTCTCCTGAGCATTTCAAGAATTAGGAAGCTTCCACGATCAATCGACACATCCTTTGTCTCACACCACCACAGCGTGACGCGAACCACCAGCTATAACCTCCTCTGACAGCTCACTCAAACCTATTGATTTTGTTCAGTTCGAACTTCCTACCTTTACTTCACACACACGTCGGAACATCATTTCACGCCAGCATGGCAGCTAGTACCGTCAACCGTTCTGGCTTTGGTCCTACTGCCATCCGAGCTGACAAGATCAAATTTGGTCGCTCGACGCCAGATTCTGAAGCTTTCGCTTCTTCCGAGGATGAGCCTGAGCTCTCTCACTCAGCTTCTTCAGTAGCTGTGCGACCAACCGCGGCGACAGGCATTCGCAGATCTTCGTTTCTCAGCGAGATCAAGTCAGGAGATCTCAGGAAATCCTCTGTCACTGGCCCTATCATGCCTCTCAACGGATCACAACCATCAACGCCTTCGGCAGAACACAATCCATGGACGTTTGGATCCACTCTTGGCCGTGTCCCTTCCAACGGCTCGAATGGTGGCGCATGGGCCGCGCCCAACTCGATCTGGGGAGCCGATCGAAGAGAGCTACCTCTCAGACCGAATGACGGCAGTCTCAACTCATACCTTCCTCAGCAAAGTCCAGGCGTGGTGGATCCCACTGAGTCCTTCCCTTTCAATATTCCACTTCAGCCCATCCTGAAGACACACAGATCGCAATCATATTCGGTCGGCCAACTTGAGAGTGAGGCGGGGCCCCAGAGCCCTGGTGCGGTGGGCACGCCTTCAAGAGCCCGTGCTGCCATTCCAGGCTCCCAGTACCGCCCTATGCGTCCGAGCGGCCTCGGAGAAACAATCTATGCCGAAGGCAGACCTTTGGGACAGTTGAGTGAGGTTGAAGATGATGAAGGACCTGATCAAGGAGTTCTACTTGCCAATCCAAGAGCACGCCAAGACCCGCTCTCGGATCTCAGCAACGCACTACTTCGTCAGGCTACACACGAGAGTGCACGCGCAAAACATGGATCTGCCTCACTCGGTGCCTCAGCTGCAGAAGACGTTCGTCGCTCCATGTCTGACAACTATGCACAATCTGGCGCAGAGTCCGCCATAGAAGACGATGACTCTGAACAGCTCTACTCTGGAAGACCTCAAGACAGCACTCATCGCGGGATGTGGTCTACTTCTCTTGGCTTTGGAATGGATGATATCACTCAGAGCAGAAGACATTCGCTGGCGGATATCCCCACACGCCGTGGATCACTGGTTGGTGGTTTATCTGGCCCTGTTCAAGGTTACAGCGGCGTCGGTTCAGCATTGGCCATCTTGCCTCATGGATCAGAAAATGGGTCCAATGGCAGTGTTCATCTAGACTACCGTCAGACGTCTCACGACCTTGAGACCAACATGACAGAATCGGATATGCAGCACAGAGCTTACGCCCAGAATTATTTCTCTGGTGCAGCTACTGCCCACAGAAATCGCGCCGAATCGACAAGCCTTATGATGAACAGCAGCCCCTACTCATCAGCGGCATCTGCAGGAAGTGTCTTCGGACGTCAAGGATGGAGTGCTCCATTGTACATTGTGACTTTCAAATGTTCGAGATCCGGTATCTTCTACATCCATGAAGGCACAGGTCTGGATGTCAAAGAGGGCGATCTGGTTATCGTCGAAGCGGACCGTGGCCAAGACCTCGGAACTGTCACTCATGCCAAGATCGACTGGCCTAGGGCCAAGGAAGCCCTAGAGAAAACTGGAGAGGATCACTACAAGTGGCTGATGATGTTCTCTCGTCACAACCTCGCTCTGACGGACTCAGAAACACGCGGTCTTATGGCTTCGAATGGGGCAGACAGCGGCAGCATGCACAGAGAGAGACCGCTGGACGAGTATCCACCTGGTATGGGCGGACCTCCAGAACTCCCTCAAGAGCCTACTAAGCCGAAGATGATCAAACGTCTCGCTCAACCTCATGAGATTGCCAATCTTCGCGAGAAAGAAGGAAACGAAGCCAAGGCCAAGAGAATCGCGCAACAGAAGGCCAACGAGCATAACCTCAAGATGGAGATATTGGATGCCGAGTTCCAGCTCGACTGGAAGAAGCTCACCTTCTACTTCTACTCTACTGAGTACATCAACTTCAACCTTCTTGTAGGAGATCTCTTCAAGATCTACAAGACACGCATTTGGTTGTCGGCCATTAACCCTGCGGCTTTCCGCTCACGTCCAAATCAGCCACCTAGCTCGATCGGACCTGGTGCCATTCAACCTGGCTCTTCACCTAGAACCATGAATCCCACGGCCTCGTCTTTCTTCGTGCCCCGTGCAGACGGCCGCTCAAACTATGCCGATGATGTGACAGGCGCAGCTCCCCCTCAGGCATATCATGAGACTCCCGTAAGCCAGGCTCAGATGCAGGGACAAACAGCAACACGCAACAGCTTTGGCAGACCACCATACTTTGGCTCGAATGGCTTTCCTGGTGCTTCTGAACAGCCTTGGTATATGCCCGTCGGATCTTACGGTCAGCAGCCCTTTGAGGCATCCTACGGCGGCATCNCCTCGCGCTCGCAAGAACTAGCATTCAGACCAGCTCCACCATTCAGCCAGAGCCTGCTGAGAAACAGCAACCGCCAAACACGTCCTGGCGAATTCAGTCAGATGCGCTAGAAGCCAAACCATGGTCTGGGCAGCGATGAACGATAAGAAAAAGGGTAGAAAGTTGAGAGGAAAAAAAGGAACAATCACATATGGTAAAGGAAAGATGGGTAGAGCGGAGCTTATATGAAGAAGCACATGGCTGGGAATGAATGGTCACAAGAACTCTCTTTTCACTTTTGTATTGTTTCTCTCTTTTTCTTCATGATTTTCCAGATGCAGAAGAAAGTTACTATGGCACTACGGACAGCAGACGTGGAAGAAGACAGTACAGGTTGTATCAATAAACTCAGATAGTCATTTTCAGAATCAAGATTGCAGATAATGCTTACACAAGCACTACCGATCGCCCATCGCCTTCCGACTTTTCTTTGTGTCTTTTGACGAGTTGAGGTTTCTATGAAGCCCTGCGTCTGAATGTATAAAGACACCATGCAAGTCTTACGGTTCGGAGTGGTGGGTTGGTTCCGTCACCTCTTCATTCTGCTCAATGAAAGAAGAAACTTGAGTCTTTGATGGAAACCTACGTCCGGTTCCTTGAAGGTGCTCTGTTGCTTTGTATGTGACGGTTCAGAGTCATGATAGCTGTCAAGTTCTTCTGCTTGACGAGAAATGAAATGATACGGACTGTGTCGCTTTGGTTTTCTTGACTCGATTGAACCCTGTGTCGGTTTTCGAGACGCTCAGCTGAATCCTCGTCTCCGAGTTCAGAATCGTGCTGTCCATCGAGATTTTCCATTCTGCTCAACAAAGGACAAGCTATGCATAGCAATAGTACATCCTGTGTCGCATAGATCCTTTCTTGATTCCTGACCATTGAGTTTGGTTTGGGGTCGTTTTCATCCTTCTCCCTTTTCATTTTTTGATGATTCGCGAAGAAGGAGCCGTGCAGCGTGTCTGCCTTTGAAGCAATACTCAACTCTAGGATTCTTTTTCCAATTCCTTTAACCACCTTTCAACTTACTGCACAGGGAACTCTATCAATCAAAGCTCTCGAATCAAACGGCAAGCGGACAGAGACACTATGACAAGAGGCAAACGCAAGGCTGAAGGTACAAGCTACACGTCAACATAAAGCCAAACGGGCGTTGACGTGCAGNACGCAGCGACGCAGTCCGCAGACAGCAGATCATCGAAGCGCAGAGCAGATGTTGAAGAGATTAGCGACCAAAGCGCATCTGAGGAAGAAGAAGACCAGGGACGCATCGAGAGCCAGCAGATGCTGCTAGTGATAGATCGCCTCAAGCACAAAGATGACGGCTGGATTGACAAGATGCGCGCCGATATCGACAAGGACCAAGAGGCGCTCATCCAGATGCTTGACGACAAGGAGCGCGAGCTGTNNAAGACGTCGCATCTTTCTCTCTTCCCAGCTGACTGACAAACCCTCAGAGCAGACCTCGACTCGCAGTTTCACAACAAAATTCGTTCCCTTCTCACTGATGTACTCGGCGGACCTGCTCCGAAGCAGAGAAAGGGCACCGATACCCAAGACATCTTCTACCTCAGACCCGCACACGAGCATGCTCACCTCTTGTTCACCAAAGCTGAAGACCTGATCAAGCAATACAACCACGTTTCCGACGCCATCGACACAGGCAGAGACAAACTGGCCACCGACCATCTTGAGACGTTTGAGAAGGACAAGAACGATGTAGCCGAGATGCTCCATGCTGGTCAAGAACTTGCTCGCCGTCAGATCCAGCAAGTCCTGAAGCGACCGGACGACCGCGACTCTCCACGTAACAAGACCAAATCTCTCTTCACCGAAGAAAGGTTGGATGATGTGGCCTCGATGTTCAAGGTTCTACGCGATGAGACCAGGGAAGAGGACGAGGGCGTTAAAGCTCAGCAGGAGACCAGAACCGACATAACCGATGGAGATGGCCTTTTCCCTATCATCCACAACACCAAGAAAGGCGTCAAGAAGCTGGCCGGACATCTGATCGCCGATGAAGAATGATTGGCTCAGCGCCCGTCAACATTGCTGCTCGGCAACCCGGTATACCTTTCGCATCTCTAAGCTCGCTTCACGACTCACAGACATCACTCGCTTGTTTTGCTATTTCTCGACAGGACATCTACCGAGGGAGTCAAGAAGAAAAAGAGGAAAACGCTGAGATTGAGGCTTCTGTCGGATAACCTTCCTCTTTCAGTCATGGTCCACCATGACGTTGCACTGTATCTCGGTACACTGTCCCCGACCACATGCGGGAAGTGTCACCCGAAGAACCTCTTTTAATACATGAATCATTTGCTTTGCTATAGTCTACTTCATCTTGCTTTGTCAATTCGAGAAATCGTTGCTCTCCACAGATTGTACCACATCTCGTTCTCACTTCAAGGCTGTATTGTATGCCATTGCACTCGAGAAACTTCAACATGTCTGAACGCGATGCTCTTTCTTCTCGAGCAATTCCATTCATGGAGCTCTCGAATGGGACAGATGCTTCACTGACTGCTCCTCCTCCGCCGTTGCCTCATTATCTGAATGCCGAAGGAAGGGCCATGGCCCGTTTTGCTGTCGAGGGCAATGCTGTCAGTACGTACATCCAGATACTATTGATCAACCAAATCGCGAATCACGTCAGGGCAAATGAAAGCAACAAAGATTGATGTATCGAGCAGNTCACCGGAGGAGCCGGAACACTCGCCCTAGCAGCCGCACGAGCACTCCTCGAACACGGACTCTCCAATCTATTCCTCTTCGACCTGCGCTCTACTTTTGACTCTTCCGACGACGCCATCGAAGCTCTACACGACGATTTCCCCTCCGCAAAGATCATCACAGAAGCTGTGGATGTAACCGACGCCGATAACGTAACTCGCGCCTTCTCTGCTGCCGCCGCTAGAGGCTCCATTGATATTTTGCTTTGCTTTGCAGGTGTGGTGGGTTGTTTACACGCCATCGAGATGACACCTGTTCAATGGAGAAGAACCATCGACATCAATACTACTGGTTCTTTTCTGTGCGCTCAAGCTGCTGCTAAATGCATGCGAGATCAAGGCACTGGTGGCAGTATTGTGTTTACGGCATCGATCTCTGGCCACCGTGTTAATTTCCCTCAACCTCAGTCTGCGTATAATGTCTCCAAGGCTGCTGTCATTGCTATGAAGAACAGTCTGGCGGCGGAGTGGGCGAGGTTTGGTATTAGGGTTAACTCTATCTCGCCGGGGTATATGGATACGGTGTTGAACGAAGGTGCTGGATTGGAGGAAGCGAGGAACATTTGGGCGAGCAGGAATCCGATGGGGAGGATGGGGGCAGTGNGGGAGTTGGATGGGGTGGTGGTGTTGTTGTGTAGTGGGGCGGGGAGTTATATCAATGGAGCTGATTTTGTGGTTGATGGGGGTGCTACTGTGTTTTAAGACTGGAGAGGGAGATTGGAGAGGTGAGAGTCTTCTTGATGGTACGAATGATAGTACAAGTTTTGTCACGGTGTTTGAAGTGCACGTTCATAACGAAAGAGCGCCATTGCTCAGCTCGCTATTGCAAGCTCGATCGAATATATAAAACCCGCAATAGCAGGCCAACACTTCTCGCATGTTGAGCACAAAAAACGGAAGAATGCTTCACCAGAGAGTCGAACTCAAGCCTTCAAAAAGAAACCCAAGGTGACGGTAGAGGTTTAGACAACGGACAAGCTGAGCCTTCGAACTATAGAAGCTCCTGTAAAGATGTTCATCTCTTGGACCCAACTGGTCCGTTGTCTGACAGCAAAACCCGCACTTACAGAAGTTGTATAGGTTGATGCATATCGGTGAGAGATGATGGGAGAACATTTCCATGAGGATGCTAATCCCTGTACTTACAACTTGTATGATATGGGTACATGTTGCTGTTTTCCACATTCTGTCCATCGCTTCAAGAACAGCTAGCGAGACAACAATCGGTAATGCTTTTGAAACAAAGTACATACTACCTTGAAGCTGTGATTCTTTTCGATTGACAAACGATGCATAAAAGGCCAACAGATGCTTTGAAATGCTTTTGTTGATCAACCAGCGGATTGCCTCCGTCAATGATTCCTCCATGACCTACGTCGTCCAGGCTTCACGGTAGGTCATTGAGTCCTCGAAGATCAGAGTGCCTACTGGATGTAGCTGCGCCTCTCCCTTTGCTGAGAGCTGCATAGAAAGCCAACTTTTGCAGTGCAATGATGCTTTTGATTGATCCACGTAGCACTCTCTCTCTGCAGCCTCTTCCAAGTTGTCGTTGCGTAAAGGGATATCCGTGCGTCTTGATGACAGTCGGCCAGTAGGGGAGATCCGAGTGCGAAATGGTGTGCAGGCTGTATACAGGGCAGAAGGCGATCACAGTGTCGGTGGCTAATGTCGCGGCAGATAGTCGACCTGACTTTCGACGCAGACTCTCGGGATCCGCGACTTCGCAAGACTGAACGATGACTGGTTGAAGAAATTCCTCTCTGGATGGCATTCTGAATCCGATGCAAGTACTTCTCAATCAAATGGCAAGGATACAAGTACAGTCAACCAGGCCTTATTGTGACTACGCCCATACCCTTCGCTCCATGGCGAGGCAGCAAAGCGTACTGAGGTCGATGTCATCCTCATCGAAACAGAACAAAGAAACAGCCAAATCGTCTGCACTGTCAACTGTGGTGTCATGGGGGTCACCAGATGAATCTGGATCTGTGGATGGTTCAGCTCCATGCTCTCGAACAGCCACCATCTCCCTCCCAAAGTGCAGCACGAAGATTTAGTGACTTTCAATGTGACCAGGATGCTGCACCATGGTGTAGCACTCTGCATGATGGTGACATTTCACCTATGGCAACTTCTCCTGGATCTTATCAATCATCTCAGCGATGCCTAAACCCTCAAGGGATATTCAAGGGATAATTTCTGGACAAGACAAAGGTGGAGAGGTTGGTCTTGTCGCAGTATGCCATCCTAGATGTTGAATGCAGGAGTTTTATAGCTGTCATGTGATGAATATCGATCAAATGTGATGGCAGGTCGAAGACGTTGGTATGAGACAAATCTCGATGTAACAGGCAGGAGCCAATAAGATCGGGGAAGATCGGAGATGGTCAGGGTCTTGGCTTGCGATTGGCCTCGAAATGGCGGTCATGGAGAGCCTCAAGCGGCTACCGCAACAGAACAACGAATCTAATTTTTCCTCTACACACACAACGGACCTCGATTTATCGCTGGACGATTCGAGAGCACGGAGCAGTATAAGCATGTCGACCACCCAATAAGGCAGGCGCACGAGTACTTGACTAAGAAGACGATACATCGTTTCCCCATTCCTGCAACCAGCTCGTGACAATTCGACGTCCGCTACGTCACGCCAGGAATCATAAAGAAAAGGCCGACTGTATGCGCCTTTTGCCTTTGTCAGGAGACGGATGTGTCTTTCTCTCAAACTCGACCTCCTTTTGATACCTACTGCGCAAACAAGATGGCACGAAGCGCCATTACCGTGCCCGACATACAGACGGCCGAGGCCATGTCGCCCCGGTCGCTGAACGTAGTCGTGGCGTCGACTGGATGTACCGATGCTAATATCATCAACAAACTATTACCCCAACTCGCGTCGCTACCCGAGTGTTCTGTCAGAGCCGTACTGGATCCCGGCTCGCACGGTGCCGACCTCATCGCCGCTTCTAGCAGCTGCCTCGCCATCCCAAATGTATCGCGCGTTCAGATGAAGTCGACCGGAGATGTGATCGACATCGAGAAAGAGGCATTCGACTTGTGTCAATGGGCTGACCTGCTGGTTCTGGCTCCCATCGACGCCAACAACCTGGCCAAGATGCTGCACGGAGACACGGACAACCTGGTACTCGAGATCTTGCGAAGCTGGAATGTGTCCAAGAAGATCGTTATGGTGCCTGGCATGTCGAGTCTGATGTGGGAAAACCCCATGACGAAAAAGCAGCTCACAAAAATAAAGAGGAAATGGAATTGGATACAAGTCTTGCAGCCGTTGCTGTGGACGTTTGAGAATGACAAGAAGAAGGTGACGTGTTGGGATGCCTTGGATGAGGTTGTCGACACGGCACGCAACCAGGTCGACTTGATGAACATTGGCCATGGTGTGCATGTCACACCTAATGCTTCTTCATCCTTCAAGACTAGCTCCAAGAAGTCGCGTACTGTCTTGCCACCAGAGTTGTGGTCTATGATCATCGACGCCACCAACGATTGGGAGCTTGCCAAAACACTACATATCTATACCAACCTTGAGCCGCCTGCTGAATGGCAACAGCACGCGAGTCCTAGGGGTCCTACAACATACCACGAGCAGCTCGAGTGGACGCTGTTGACCGGCAACTTGTCCGACGTCAAGAAATTCATCGCGGACAACTCTGTACCACGCTGGCTATCTCGCCTCTGCATCAAGGTCATCATGCGTTTCAGCATGACCTCCGTTCTCTCCTACCTTGAATCTCACCACAAAGATCTCTTCTGGTCCACTTTTGACGGCACCTTCTTGCCCGATAAAGCTTCCTCCGTTTTTGGCCGTGTCGAAATTCTAGAATATTGGAACACTTCAGCCTGGTTCCTAAACAAANAGTACACAGCCGAAACTTTAGATGGCGCATCACGACAAGGCTTCATCGACGTCCTAGACTGGTGGCAGAGATCAGGCCTCACGTTGATCTTCACCGAAGCCGCCCTTGAACAAGCCAGTTCAGCTGGCCACATCGCCGTCCTGGAATGGTGGCGCGAGATTTCCCAACGTCACCACCACGCCTCTAGTCCTAACGACGATACCAAGCCCATCCGTCTGAAGCCCGGCAAGTCAATCTGCTATGCCTCACAGTCTGGAAAGGCAGACGTGGTGCGATGGTGGGTAAACTCAGGCATCCCTTTCCCTCATGAGGACTCAGTCGCCAAACTCGCAAGCACTCATGGACATGTAGAGGTATTGAAGGTCTGGCACGCCGTCAAGGGCTCTAAAATGATCTTTGACAACCAAGTCCTGGTCGGCGCCACAAAGATGGGACATGTCAGTGTTCTCGAATGGTGGAAGCAGAGTGGCTTGCGGGTCGAGTACAAGACCTGCGATGTCGAAGAGGCGCTCGAAGATGGCGTCGAAGGCAGAAAAGGCATGGAAGTCAGGCGATGGTGGGCACGCAATGGCTTGAACCTTGGTGTTGGCACTTCCGAGTGGATGAAGCCAAAAGTACTTTGAGTGGTTTTCCTTTTTTTTCTTGGATCATTTCTTGATTCTTCATCATTGGTTTCGGGGTTCTTACTTGTTCTTGGATGGAGCATACATTGGATGGTTTCATAGTGGGCCGAAACGAAAGGCGCTCAGGGATTTTTTCTTCATCAAGCACTGCAACACAGGAACATTGGTGGTGTTTACAGAACCTAATTCTGACTGGGAAGTCTAGATGCGGCGGGCCGGTTGCATCAAATAGCGTATGTTCTTCTCGTCAATCAACCAAACTATTTGAAAGAAACAGTCTTCTCGATTGTTGTCTGTCGAAAAACGATATGGTTTCTCTTGCGCACGGGCCATCTGATGATCGTATCTGATCGTATCTAATCGTTCAAGAAGGTTTCTACTTATTCACGCTTTTCCCTACATGCTGCTGCAGAGACGAGCTGTGGTCACAGTAACATATTCTACCACCAAGAGAAAGCAACACAAAGGCATTAACCAACCACAAAACGGAAACCCATATACAGGTCTGGTCTATCCATGAGGATGAAATAAGTGCAAAGCAGCGGCAAGTCGACGTATTTGCAGCTCCTCAAACACAGGCATATATCCTGTACGCTTGTCACTTCCAGCACAATTCTGCTCTGAGGTTCTGAATGAGAACTCTGAGGTCTTCTGTAATGGTCAGACTTGCCCCATTCGCAACGTGCATGCAGTTTCCGACCTCCCACACCATTATCGCATACGACTATTAACATCCCGCACCTCCGCATAAATGGTGCAAGCCCCATATGCACCCGAAATGCGCTTCTTGGGATCCCTCTGTGTTCTCTTAAGCGATCGAGCCAGCTACAAGCCTGCAAGCCATGTCCGAGTTCGGCGCTTGAACTCTTGTTTGAGCGAGGAATGCACATGGCGTTGGCTGACTCCAGCCTGGTCGTGGCCGTACTGCATGCTACATGTACTTGCCTTACGCGCAGGTCTTGTTGATCGAGAGACCAGATAGTGATGGAACTCCATTGGGTAGGACATGCGGCACAGACGCATGATGAAGCCAAGATGCAGTACTGACTACGCCACGAACACCTTGAACCCGGAGCTGAACAGCAGTTGCCGCTCATGAACTATTTTTATGGCTTGCCGATCGACAGCTGGAGCGAATTAAGAAAGGAGAGAGTGTCCCCTCGAAAAATTGTCCGTTCTTGTCTTGATCGGTTTGCTGCGTCAACGGCTTTGATTATCAGTCGATATGACAGACTTCAAGTTCGATGAGTTGTTTCCAGACAACGAAGAAATATCTAATTTGTTCTCGAATTTTGGTCTTGTAGCTGATGCTTCGCAGTCTACACCAAGGACAATACCTGAGATCGCCGTTTCTGCGGTCAGCGAGGATGAGCAGGATGAACTGCAGCCGAGGAGGTCATCGTGGGCATCAGAAGATGAGGTAATGCACAACGTGCCCGAACCTTCTCAAAACAAAACCGCTGCAGAGGAAGTTCATAGCCGTCTCTGGTACAAAAGCTATAGCACGAGCAAGTCGTCGTCTCCTTTGCAAAAGGGTTCTGGTCAGGGCGGTGTATCTCTGCCACGAAACACATTTACCGCACAAAGTGTAGCCGAGTATCTTCTCGAAGCAGAACCGGATCTTAGTAGAGAACCCGCACCGCCCTATCCGCAGTCATCGTCTGGAAAAGACGAACAACGCTGTGCTGACTGTGGAATATATGGACTCAACAGGTCTTACTGCAATGTCTGTTCTCAATCGATGTGTGAGCCTTGTTGGAATCGACAGCTGTGTCACAAGACCACCAATCACGAGATACCTCATGAGAAAACCCCAGAGTCTCTTGCACGAAAGACGCGGGCGGTATTCAACCCAGACATCAAGGACGAAGAGCGCGAAGAGTTACACTGTAAGGATGTTCTTACTTCGTGGTTTGGTGTTCACCGCGAGGATAGCGCGCGGCCTCTTCTTCGAGATTACGGAAGATTTGAAGGTCTGATGGCTTCGATGAGACAACTTCCTGAGGATGGCTCCTCCTATCTTGACCCGAATGCACGTTATCCGAGCTTCGTATCGTTTGTCGGCCAAACTGGAGCCGGAAAGAGCTCTCTAATCAAGCTGATTATCGACCTCAGTGTGAAAACACACAGACAGTTTGACACTCCGGTGGTTGGCGCGATTGGCAATATTTCACCAACTTCAACTGACGTGCATCTCTACATGGATCCGTCTACCTCCAACTCCGATCATCCGATACTTTACGCCGACTGCGAGGGACTCGAAGGTGGTGAACGAGAACCTGTTGCTACCAAAGCGGTCAGACAAAGAGCAACAAAGGCGACTTCAGGTGTTCCCGATAATTCTGTGCATCACGTCTCCGAGCGAGACCTTATCTGGGCGGACAATTCGTGGAAAAGGACTCGAGAGTTTGCAGTCAGGGAGCTCTATCCTCGTCTTCTATACACGTTCTCTGATGTTATCGTTTTTGTCCTCAAGAACCCGAAGTAAGTCTCTCTGCAAAGGCAATCATATATATTAACGGGTCTCACAGGGTTGTTGAGAGTGTACTGGTCAAATTAGTGGAGTGGGCCGCAGCTGCACTCGAGGGATCTTCGAATCAACCAGTCCTACCGCATGCTATCATTGCCCTTAACGCTTCAGAGAACGCGACCCCAGCAGAGCTCTGGGATGTCGATGTCGCAACTGAGACGCTGATGCGAGAAATGTCTCAAACGGTGTTCAAAAACGATACTTTCCGAAAGTATGTGAAGTTTTGGCGCGATTGTAACCGGACCATTGGTACTGTGGAGGACCTCATCCTCTCCTATTACACGTCAATCAAGGTCGTTCGTATTCCCGAAACTGGACGGCCCAACCTTATCGCGCAGCAGATCACCGAACTCACAGCAAATATTCGGTGGGCGTGTCAAATGTCAGGAAGACGAAAAGGAGACCTACGCATGCTGCTGAATGCAGAAGACATGCAGCCTTACCTCCAATATGCTTTTGATCATTTCTCGAAAAGCATCGAATCTCCATTCGACTTCGTTCAAGCATCGTTCGCTCACAGTCCTATCCCTGACGACTTTGGCGGAAACATATTGAAACTTGCTGTACAACTCATGGAGGCTTGGAAAGACCGAGCAACACCAAAGCCCATCTTCGAAGAGCTTGCAGCTGTGGTTGCCAGTTGTATTATGCTGGATGCTACGCGACATGGGATCCTTGGTAGGCCCTGGGAAGGTATCGTCGAAGAAGTCAGGCTAATCCCGACAGGTACCGCTGTTGACATCATCCCCCATATTTTGAACATCTTGATAATGCCTTGATGAACTTTTGTGCTCGATACTGGCCATGTGAGTACGTGCATCCTGGCAAGGGTCGTTGTGTGAACGTCCAGAGCGGACATACCAAGGGACATCAATCAGCATCTGGTAAAGTCCTTGCTGGTGGTGAATATGAATCACACTTCACCTTTGATGCTTTCCAAGAACATTTCCGTAACGAAGTTTACGTCTTCCTTGACGACTTGCTCTGCAGTCTGCCGCGAAGTCATCCAGGCGATGGTAGACCCGAAGTCAAAGCCGCCACTGAACGACACAAAACGATGATCCTGAAACCGTTCTTTGCCCATGTATCGGAAGGAAATAGGACGTACGACTTCTCAAGTCATACCGTCTGCTTTTGTTGTCTGTTCGATTTTCCAGAACATTCTCTACCATGTGGTCATGTTATATGTACCCGATGTCTCAAAGCATACGGCAATCCGACTAAAGAACATACTGTGGAGTTCTGGGAATGTCCCATCGACGGCAAAAAGTTAGGATACACGCCATTCTACCTGAAATCCTCGCATTGTGGCGTCAGAATTTTGACTCTGGACGGGTCAGTAGACACAACATCATTCTGTCTGAGTATTTGACAAAACTGACATTCGACTTATAGCGGTGGTGTGCGCGGTATTGCTGAACTCGAGATTCTCACACAGATCGAGAACGCTCTAGGCAACGGGCTTCGCATACAGGACTTTCTGGATCTTGTGGTTGGAACCAGGTGATTGATGAAGACTCCTCCTAGCTCAGGATTGACGCTGACACCGCCATCACAGTACTGGTGGTATCATTGCACTGGGACTAGCAGCCAAAGGTTGGAGTGTCGAAAATTGCACTCAGAAGTTCGAAAGTTTGTGTCACAAAGCCTTTCAAGAGCGTATGATGGCCAGGGACCCCTTGATTGGCAGATTGGTCCGAGGCTATTACCACTCGCTCTATGAAACGAGTGCTATCGAAGGAGCGCTCAAGGAAGCATTCACAGAGGACGACAACCTCTTTGGCGGAGAAACTCAGAACTCAGGTATGCCGAAGATCAAAGTTGCTGTCACAGCTGCAGCTGTGAGCTCTTGTGTCGTTCTGTCGAACTACAATCGCTTCCCAGAGACGTCTTGTAAGTGATCCTTAGACACAGACAGAGCCAAGCTACTAACAACACACAGTGCCCTACCATTTCGAGCGTCCAGAGAAAGCCTCTGCCGAACTCCGAATCTGGGAAGCGTAAGTCTTAACAGTGTGATTGTCCATCTTAGACTGACTGTTAGTAAATAGTGCAAGAGCCACCTCTGCGGCTCCCACATATTTCACACCTTTTAGTCACCCTAGTTCGAAACAAACTTACTACGATGGTGGAGTCTATCACAACAACCCCATCAACATCGCCGAGCGCGAGAGGAAGCTTATCTGGCCAGAAGTAAAGGAGCCAGATGTCGTGATCTCGATTGGAACCGGCCACAATCTCAACAGTCGAGAACAGAAGAAAGAAATACCATACAAGCCCGTCGCTACGAGAGGAATCATCTCTCAGGGGATGTTCCTTGCCAACATGGCCAAAGATCATATTGCCGTCTCTTTGGATTCAGAACAGACCTGGAAAGACTTCCTCGCCAACACCAAGAAACCCGACGATAGGTTCCGCTACGTGCGACTCAATACTACCTTCCGTACTCATCCGCCTTTATTGGATGACCTTTCCAAAATCAAAGAGTTGAGGGACATGGCGCACAAGCAGTTTGCAGGCCAATATGAGACGAAGATGCTCGCCCTCAAGCTGGTTGCAACATGTTTTTATTTCCATCCCGACGAGGCGGATCCTCGCAACAGAAAAGAGGTGATGGGTAAGTCCACGAATGTTCAAATCAGACACAAGCTGACATTGCCGTTTCAGGTTATATTCGCTGCCGCCTACCAGACGACGATCCGAGAATCTCCGCTCTAGGCACTTTCATCTTCGAAAAGGTCGGCGTTGCAAACGAAGCTTGTTTTCTTATCAGCGAACAAGGGCGAGCCGGCTCGCATACTACGGTCAGGCTCGGCACCGAAGTCCTCGAGCGAATGATCCGCAGTTGTGAGTTCCAGCTCAAGCAGATCAAGATACCTGTCAGCAACGAGATCTACAAGACGTGTGTCGAGCTTCGATTTGCTCCCGGACAATCATTCCCTATCAGCGGGTTCCCCAGGTGCCTCATCCCATCCAAAAGACATTCTAAAGGTAGACAAATATCTATCTCCGCGTAAATCGAGGGATACTGACATATCTCCAGGCCCGCGAAGAGCGTTGACATCTATAGAGACAGCTCGCTGGGCAGTGCGAACCCAAAGCCAACGTAACAAACACATCCAATGGACTCCACGTCAGAATTCGAGTTACCGCGGCAACCTGCTCTGGCGCTTTGGTGATGCATGTCATATACTGGGCAACGCGACCATTTCAGACTTGGCTTTTGAGGAAGAACGTTTGACCAGAGGCGCTTATGGCCGCGCGCCTCGAGACCCAGTCGAATTGTGGAGTCCAACGAGTGACTACTGGTCACCGTCCGACATCGTTGCCATGCCAAACCATCATATCTATGAGCTTGATAGTACCCCAAGACGAGCTGAACTCCCAGGCTGAGTGTCTGGACCTATAGAATGATCTTTCGTTGTCATAAGATTAGCAGGCGTTTGGGTGTATCGGTAGCATTCGCCTAATGAAATCAACTCTGATCATCTCTTCTTCATCCGAAAAGTCAGGAATACACTACATCTCGAAGCACTCAAAGGCGGATTATGCTGCTGCGCCGCCACTCGAGTGCGACTCGCTTCTTGAATAGCAAAGTAATTAATAGGAAGTCATGATTGCTCAAGTTACGGTCCCTGCCAAGACCTACAGGCTTCACACAGCAAATTTTCCCACCTCCACAAAAAAAAAAAGTCCAACGCGCATTTTGCTGCACAACACAACAACCTTGTCCAACAACATTCAGATGTTGGAAGAGCAAAAGGATGATGATCAGAGTGGGACTCGAACCCACGCGATTTCTCACTAGTAAACTCATTTCAGGTGAGCCTGAAACTAGCGCCATAACCACTCGGCCATCTGACCAGCTCGTGCTCCCGAGAACTGTTGGTCTCCGGGTACTTCGATGAGGTCGTGATTGCTAGATTGGTGTATATATTCTATGCCAAAGAATCCAGAGATGAACTGGGGTAAAAAAGTATCTAGGAGAGCATTGAGGTGAGGGAATGTGGCGGCTGATGGGTTGTATAGGGGTCTTTGGAGTGTTGGGTTAATAAACCTTCCGTTCAACACTTTAGAAGGACTTCTGAGTGTGCTTTGAGATACAGCTGTTACACTCGAGACAAGAGTCATATCACTATTCCACATTAGTGGAAGATTTACTTGATGCTTGATTGAAGCAAACAGAAACACAGAAACAAAGATATACAGACAGTTTCATGTGTGAGCAACCAATGAACTTTTGTTTGCAAAAGACTGATCTGCTTTGTGGACTATCTATGCGGGGCAGCAAATAGCTATCGTGGGTATCGTGACGTGACATGATGATAGACAAAGGAAAGGTGTGTGCATATCGATGTTGAGAGTATCGAGAGGGCAACGAGTGACTTGATACACTCGAAGGATGCAGGTATGCAGGTATGCTGGCCAGCAGCATATTGACGTGAGGTCGTGGGTCGAGTTCAAGGCTGTAGGATTTCTCGTGTTCGTTGTGGTATATTTGAGCCGAGGACGGATGGGCGCGAGGTACAGCCTTGCAGAATGGTGTTCGTGGTGCCAACTCTGAACTGCAGCTGGATGCTTGTGGCTTTCTTTAGAGCTCTGAGTTCTGTCGGATCATGGATGCCAATACTGCAAGAGCTTGTTGATAAGGGTCGGTGTATGATCGTATGCAGAAGTGATGCCTTGGAAAGTGGTAGTAGAGGAGATGTAGATGTTTGCAATAGTGCCGATGCAGCCAGAATCAAGGCCATGCTCCCAAATTCGCGTTGACAAGTTCCACGCGAGGTTTGACTTCAACCTTGGCATCAGGACCATCGTCCTCGCCCCAAGCGGCAGGAGTATCTTCCCAAGGTCTGGCCGTCGAATCATAGAGATGGAAGTCGTTGAGTATCTCAGGAAACTTCCAGATTGCGAGATGCGAGAGGCCAACAACACTGCCGCCAATTACAGCAAAATCTGTACATGTTTCCCATGATTCTGCTGGCATGGCGAGTCCGCAGAAAGCATAGCCCAGCATCGTTGTTGAAGAACCGAGGAGAATTGATAGAGTGGAGCTGGTGAGATCTGAAAGAGCTCCTTCCAGTTTTGCAAGGCATACTGATGATGGGAGGGGNTCGTAAGCGGTGCCATTGTATGGAAATGATACCGTAGCGTTGAGACGTGGTTGTTGATAATGTGTAGGTGCTGCACTTGCTTGCAGTGCAAGCATGGCAGGTAGTATGATGGATGTGGACTTCATGTTTGAGGAGTGATGTGGACAAAGCACGTAGCAGAGTAAGGATAATGGTAACAACAAGCAGGACAGGAAGTAGATATAAGAAAACGGGACCATAGGATCTTCAACTCAACTATTTTCACCTTGATGCCCTAAGCACCTGTCAAAGACCGTGGTGAGGGCATCGTGGAGCGCCTAACACAAAGATCCATTCCCACAAGAGTCCTCGAAACAGAAAAGTCTCATGCCCAAGGCCAATTCGAGGCACAAGGCTTCTAGACAGCTCAGAAAATGGGTGGCCGAAACAGCGAGTCGGGGTCATTAGAAGACGTCGCTCGAGATTGCAAAGGAACGCTAACCAAAAGCCATGCGCCGGTGCCTGTCCGGCACGCGGCCGCGGTCGATCTTCGTCCCGGACGTATCCTCACGCATGGCACCGAGGATACTGAGCTCTGAGCGGACTGCGACGGCGCGCACAGTTCTCTCCGCTTTGTTGCATGCGACGGCTCAACATAGCAACCTGCTGTGCCCACTATCATGAGATGCGAGTCTGGCCGCCATGGGTAGATTAAATCTCACACCAGAAGGATGACGCGTAGCAAATTGACTCGCGATATACTCTGAGGTGACGTGGAGTTCGAGCGGTCAGATACTGAGACCAGATGTATCAGGCCTCCCAGAATAGGCATCCATAAGGATGGAGCTCATGAAGGAGTCTTTGGAGGTCTATGCACAAGCTTCTCTGGAATTCCGAAACTTGTTTCCCCAGATTGCCCAACTCCTTCGTGTTTCAGCACTCGAAGTGTTGTCCATGCCTTCTTCCGACTCCCTTTCGGCAGTTGGCGAGGCAGGGACTGGCACCATCGTCACTGAGCTGAGGTCACAAGGGGATTGAGTTGTTAAAAAGATGTCTGTTCGCATGAAGATGAAACAAGACGACTGAAGATTCATTCTCATGCGAGAAGTCAATAACGAATGTAGTGATCGATCCCAGAGGCTACTTTGGCATCTGTCTTGGACCGATAACAGCAACAAAAAAATCGACAACGCCTATCCCAGCTGTGTGCGCCAAATTGATCGATCCTCAGTGAAGTCAAAGGGCAAAGATCATGCCTATATCGAGGCAAAAAGGTAGTTCCCAGAAAACAAAATCCGCCATCCCAAATTTCCTCCACCTAACCCGAAGGCTATGCCTTAACCCATCCGTCATGTCGTACGTGAAGTTTTTCTTGCCATATGTTTCGACCCATCATTATTGACCTGCTAGCTTCTTGAGTGCTTCGTCAACAGAGTATTGGTTGAAAAGGTAATCAAGGCCCTTTTGAGAATGCGTGGCATGATAGTCATCAAGAGGTGGCTGTTTGTTGTCGCCCGACAGCTTCTTGAACGCAGCATCCACGTATTCTGATGGCACAGTGACACCAGACTCTGAACACTTGGCCTTCGCACGAAGCTCGGCACAGAGATTGTCGAGATCGAACTTGCCCTCCTTGAAATCCTGGTTGGATTGTAATTGCGACCTTTGAGAGGTGTTAGTGTCGATATAAGCATTGTTGTCGGAAGAATCCACGCACCAAATCGTGTTGCAATTGAGCATCTGTTCAGCGGACTTCAAACTCATCTCATTGATGCTCTGCTGGGTTTGCTGAGTGGGTACCTGCTGTGGCAAGTAAATGTCATCGTCACCACCTTCGCGACACTTCTCAACCTCTGCCAGCAAGTTCGCGCTTGCGGAAGTCTGCTGGGCAGTCTTGGGAGAAGAAAAANNGTCGTTCATGGCGAACGGTGTGTTCAGATCGTAAGGGAAAGCAGCCTCAAAGAAGCCACTGTTAAAGTCGCCATCGCCGACAACAGCATCCTGGCTCTCACGGTAGTCACCGAACAGGACAGGATCAAATTGACCGCCATTCTGTGTAGCAAGCCAGTCGAAGCCGGGCGTCGAGGCGTTGGTGATCGCGCCGTTCTGCGCTGATTCTGAGNNATCATGTTAGTCATGTGCTAATGGTTTTGGAGTCTTTCCTAGCTTACTTAGGGTGTTGTTAGAAGTGACAGGCTTAAGAGAGTATATGTCGTTGAAGTCGTTGATACCCGACTTGTTAGCGTCGGACGGAGGAGAGTTTGCAGATTCAGGGGATGTTCCGCATGAAGACGTGTTGCAAGAATTGGTGTTGTAGTGCGTCAAAGAGGGCACCGAAGGCGACTGGTTTGAGTTCATGCCAGAGCCAGAGCCAGAACCAGAGCCACTGTTAAACCTGAAAACCCTGGAGATGCCACTAGTGCTGTCGGTACCGTTGTCGGCGTATTGAGCAAATGCATTGCCATCATTGTTGTTGGAGTTCTGCATGAGGAAGTCATTGTTGATATTTCCGAGGGTAGACGGGCTGAACAGATCGGCGTAAGTGGTGCCAACAGCTGATACTTGAGCAAGAGGGCTGTTCGTTCCCTTGTTCATGCTGCCACTTCTGGAGTTGTGGCCCGAGCTCATCTGGTGGTTACTGACTTGAGTTCCAGGGCTTGTGTTTCTGCCCATGCTGTTCGATCTCGGCAGGCTCGCATTTGGACCAGCAGACGGGCTGACAGTCTTCTCACGACCAAACTGAATGTTGTTTCCGAAAAGTTGATTTCCAGGGAGCGCACCAAATTTGGGGAAGTCAAACTGGAAGTCGGCTTGGGAGTTGCTGTTACTCCTTGACGCAACACGAGCGGCCGAAGGNGGTGAGTGTGCGGCAATGCCTCCACTGGCATAAGACATTCTCTTCTTGTACTCGCCAAGTTCTGATTGCAGACGCTGAACCTGAGCACGCAGGATACCATTCTCGTGTTTGTCCTGTTCCTGGGCTTTGCTGAGGGCCTCGACCTTGGTCTCGAGATCTTTCAGGTGCTTCTCCTTGCGTTCCCTGAAGGCACGTTGGGCAGCCCTATTCTGAGCCTTGCGTTTCTTTGACACACATCAGCTCCATATCATTGGACCAGCACAAGATGGTCTACTTACAGTAGTAGGCTCCGAGGTCAGAGGTTTCCTGCCAGGTTTCTTGGCCTCCTTTGGTTCGCCTTCTCTTCTTTTGGCGTCGACTTCGTCCTCGAGCGAATCCTCTTCCGGGCTCTTGCGCTTGTCGGGCTTGTCGCCATCAGTCGAGTCGGACTTGTTGCTAGCAGCGCTGCCCATGTTGTCAAACATGTGTTGACCGCCCAGATCGGAAGCGTCGAAGTCGAAGCTGGTGTCTCCGTCCAGATAATCGAGATAAGGGCTGGTATCGTCAAAGTCGAGGGATTTCATGTCGGCAGAGGGCTTTGATTTTTCGCGATTGGCAGATGGGTTGTTTGAAGCCAATGCGGCAAGAAGTAGCTCCTGTTGTGCGTTGGAGAGGTATGGGTTGAAGGGCTGGTTGCCGGTCGTCTGCCCCGCCATTTCTGACACAGTCGTACGATTGATACCAGAGCGGAGAGGACGGTCGAATGTGGTTGATTTCGGTCAAGTTTGCTTGACACAGAGTGCGACTGTGATGCGCCGAAGAGAAAGAGACAAAGGTGTGCAGGTGTTGTCGAAAACGAGCTGAGGCTGAGCGATTGACCAGTCCAGCGGCCAGGCAAACACGCTTTGAGTTTGAGATGATGCAGCTATGAAGCTACGGCGATATCGGTCGGATTGTCGTCCACGGGCTGCGAGATGATTGTGTTTGACGTCGAATTGGTTGCAGGAAAAGATGCGAATGTCGAGTTGCAAGGTCAGAGTCAGCAAGCGTTGAGGAGCAGACTCGAGGCAGGAGCGAGAATGTGGACACCGCAGGCAGACAGCGCCCTCCTCAGTTGCCCCGGCTCTTACCGTAACAGGCTCTGACCCTTGGGTGCTTAGAAATCCGATGTCCTAGCCCATGCCCAGACTTTTGCGACCTCTTCATCCATCGACCACCACCACTTGTTTCATTGACCTCCGCCTTGTTCTGGTCAACTCTGCGCTCGCCAGATCTAACTACATTCTGTGTCGTCTAACAGCATCTCTTTCACCCGTCTACTTGTCGTCGCATGGCTGCTCGGACTCACTTTCCTCCATCTCATGCACGACAGCACGTGTATGTAGACTAGTGTCTTCCACGGCCTTCTACTCCGCGTCCTCCGCTTTGAACATTGCCTTACCCGTCCGTATTTTTGTTTTTCTGTTCTCTTTTTCTTTTCTTTCTGCCTGATCTCGATGCCTTGCTCCTGCCGCTGCCGCTGTTGCCACCCTGCCTTTATTTTTGTTCCTATGTATCTTTCGCAGAGCATTATATATTTCCAGACCATCCGTGTCTCGGAATCTCAGACTATCGAAAGCAAACTCCCTTCTGTTCGATGACTGATTAACCCCATGATGGCGTCTAGGAGAAAGTACAGACATCTAGTACTGTTTGAGCTGCAATACAGCACCTGACTGTTTTAGGAAGCCACAGGTACATGATTCAACGTGAGACTGACCAGTTGATTGCTCACATGCATCGCATCACTGACTTCTGTGCCTCTTTCACGAAACGCATCACAGCATTCGTTCTCGCTTGTCAGGGATTGTCCATCCGAGTCACCGTGACAGACGCACGAAAAGGGCGTGTATTCTGTATTCTGCGCGTCTCGGACTACCGGCATATCCTTCTTCTTGATCCGAAGTTCTGGATTCCGACTTCGCTCGCTCGCAATCTCTTGAAGAGTCAGAGAAAAGGCACTGTGGTATGCTAAGTTTGATGGCCTGAAAAACTCGAGACAAAATGTGCCCCTTGCAATATTTCCCCAAGCCTTATCCGGTGGTTGACACGAAGGCCCGAGTCGTGTTTGTCCAATCCGGTTCAACGCACGATCCCCGCACGCCGATGTTTGACCCGCTTTGGTTAAACAACTTTCTGGAGGCTGGACCCTTGAACTTTCCTTGCCGGGGCCTACAGGGCTATCTCTTATCACCGAGAGACCCGGATACCTGAGTAGCGAGCTTAGAACTATCGGTGATGCGCCGCCACCAGCAAGGAGGCACTACCTGATACGGAACTCGTCGACCCTAGCCATGCTTATCGGGCATCCCTCGTATCACTTTTCAGGCAAGTATCCGACTCGGCCTTCGGCTTCGTTGACCGAAGCTGAGCAGGTGATGGAGCTGATCGCTATGCATAACCCCTCTACTTCGGACCGCGCGTTGGAATTATCAACTTCAGACCCTCGTCCGGGCCATGAGTCTCATTTCTTTGCCTAGATAACGATAGCTCATTGGCGCAAGGAAGAAGCACCCCTTCACCCAATGATCCCTGCCAAGAACGTCTTCGGTCATTGAGGGAAAGTATTTTAATGCGACCGCGTGACCAGCACGATATGAGGCCTGTCCTTTCTTTTCCCCTCAGCTCCTTTATGCCCAAACGTTAGACAACATGACCGCTGCTCCAGGAGCAGGTTACTTTGAAGATGAGGGCGCGAGATACAAACGCCAGAGAATATCCTCTCCCTCACCAGCACATACCGTTGTATTAGACCCCTTCGACGCGGTCACTACGAGCACGACAGCGGAACTACCGCTACGACCACCTACCATCGATGAATATCCTATCCACACACAACAACAATGTCGAATCTTTCAACTTCCCTTTGAACTTCGCGAAATGATATACGGCATGGCCTGCGTCAACGATGGCGTATCAGCAGTCATGCGCAAGAGTACAAGTCGTCATGCAAGTCAAGATTCAGCCAAAGAGCCTGCCTTTCTGCGTAGCTGCAGGCTAGCGCGTTTCGAAGGTCAACCCATCTTCTACCAGAAGAACGACTTTGTTGTCAGACGCCGCGACTCGCTCAACTTCCACCCTCGGCCGATTGTCGATGCACCAATCGCATACCCGTACAGCTCTTTCAACACCGGGGTGCCCAGGTGGCTGGATAACATGAGCAGCGAGAAGATTGGAAAGATCAAGACAGTGGTGCTTGTGCAGATTGCACGCGGAGTGTACAAAGATGCATACAACGAATGGCATCGCGACGCGAGTGCTTGCTTCCGTCTGCGATACTCTGCGAAACGCGACAGCGGCTACGAGATCGAATACATCCGCGTCGACACGAGTGGACGGTCAGACAAGTATGCCGAGAGACTTCGCGAAGCGCTCGAAATGAGAATGAACAAATTGGTGAAGGATATGGGCATCAAACAGTGGAACAGGCAGTCGATTTGGGATATGGCGTATCTTTTGTGACAAGTCCTTGAGCGGTTTCTTGGGTTTTATGGTTGGTGGCATGGCGTTGGGCCTTGGGCATGACAGGCGTTGGATGGGTTGTTGGGCATGGTATACGGGTGCTAGGTTGGGACATGAGGCATGGAATGGCAGGGCGTCAAGGTCGGGTGTCCTAAGCAGATCAGCAGCATACTCAACATATGCCAATACATGGATTCAAAATCATCTTTGCAAGAATATGTCATGTGTTCGTGGTTGGATGAAGGGCAAAGAGAGCAGGAAGGTGACAGCTTTGCAGAAGGCGCACCTCACTCGGGAAGCACAACCGAGAGGTCCGTGCGTTGAGCGTCATTGGCGCCGCTCCGCCATTTGCGCCGTCGTCCATCAATCGTGACAAACTTTCAACTTGACCACAGTGAAGCGCATCGTGAGAGGTGAAAGTGCTGTCGGAGTTTATACATCGTCGAGCCCAAAGAAAGACGCAGGGCAGATTGGTACCACCCCTAAACGACCAACGAACAGAACTCTACTGAACGCATCATGAGTCTCGCCCAGCTCCAGTCCGAACGCGCCGACTATGAGCGCAACGTGAGTCTTTGTGTGCTAGTATCCGATAGACCGTACTGACCGACACTCGTAGNNCTTGTCGAAGTCGAGCAAATGCTCGCCGAGGTGCCCGACCTGGAGGACGCCCTCGCCATGAAAGCAGAGATCGTTGCCCTGCTCCAAGATGTCGACAGCAGAATTGCCGCTCTCAACCCAGAGCCGTCCGCCAGCAAGCCAGAAGTCGCCTCGTCCAGTGAGAAGTGGAGCAAGGAAAACCACCCGGCATACCGAAAGCAAGCGCCAGCCGCAGCTCCTGCTGTCGAAGAGAAGAAAGCCCCCGTTTCGTTCAAAGTCAACGACACGGTGCTAGCAAAATATGCAGGCGACAAGCAGTTCTACGAGGCCCGCATCATCTCCGTCACCGGCTCCTCAGCCGCTCCCATCTACACCGTCAACTTCAAGGGCTACACGGGCACCGAGACATTGCGTCAAGAACACCTGCGCCCTCTTCCAACAGCTTCATCTTCGACTTCTCAGAAGCGCAAGGCTGATGGCTCTCCTGCAGTCTCCGTTCAATCTACACCTACAGTCAGCACTCCGATTCCCGGCGTCATCTCTGCCGAGGCCAACATCAATCCTGCCCTAGCAAGCGCCGCAAAGAGGGATCTGATCAAGCCGCTCGACGGTGACAGAAAGCCTCCGAAGAAGGTAAAGACCTCCAAGGCACTCGAGAGCAGTAAGAGCAACTGGAAGTCCTGGCAGTCAAAGGCTTCTACTGGTAAAGCTGCCAAGGTTGTCCAGAAGGAGAGCATGTTCCGCACAGGTGAAGCTCCTTCTGCCAGAGGTACGTTTATTCTACGTCTTATCATTTGATCATTTGCTAATACATATGCAGTGGGCTTCACTGGCTCTGGCCAGACTATGCGTAAGGATGTCGAGCGCACCCGTCATAACTACACTCTTGACTGAGCATGCATCATCTTTCGGCATGCCTGTAAAAGATCCATCATAGTCTCTTTGGCGCTCCTTGGCCACTTCTGAGGTAGGACCAAACTCACCCGCCAGTCCAGAGGCGAGTCATAATTTTTTTCTTGTTCATTGTTGTCTATTGTCATGGCGTTCTTTTCGGCTTGGTCTGAGGGGCGCAAGAATTGTCGAGCTTTCAGAGCATAAGTAGATACCAAATCTATATCCATGAGGAAGGAGGTCGTGTGGTACTTGACTATTCCATGTGGTCTACCATCGACGTTGCTATGAATTGTATCCCTATAGTCATCCACGTGTGTTGTGCTTCCGGCTGTTGAGTGGCTCTTTTGATCGCGTTTTTGCCCTGCCGATATGATATCCGAGATTGACTGCGGGTCTGAGGCTTCCATGAGCAGTGATTAAAATCTCGTAAGAAATCTGGTATACGGGCACGTGGGGCGTGTGATTGGGCCGCGGCAACTTCGTCGACCTCCACATCGCCGGCCTTCCTCTTCTAACTCGACCTCACCCGAGCGTTTCGTGAATACTAACGACTTGGGACGGCAGAAAGTGGGCACGCCGTGTCTTCTGCACCATGTCATTCGCTATCATGATTGAAGTGCTCAGAGCCATCTTCTTCGTTCCCCTATTCCCAGATCAATGGCAAAGTATTTCTATCCCAGCCGGCCCCGACAGATACACAGGTAGGTTTCGATCTTCATTCTTGTCGTGACCCATAGTCAGAATGGTGTACACGTCTGTTTCTCTGGCTTCTGTTGCCATCTCGTTACTTGCACTGAGCGATGCCAAAGCCATCAGCACCACCTCCAGCTCCTCATACTCGATTGCTTCATCGACAGATTCGTCGATACAACCTACCTCGACTCACCCTACCTGCCCTGAAGCCAACAACAACATCTTCATCGCCAAGAGCGGTGCCACTTTTGTCGTCGAATGTGGAATTGACTATGCGGGTGGTGACTTGAAGTCTGTCAACATTGCCAGCAACAGAATCGGCGACTGTATCGATGCATGCGATGCTACTGAGGGATGTATTGATATCAGCATGTCTGGCACTGCCTGTTACATGAAGAACAAGCTCAACAAGCCCCTCGCCAACAAGGGTATCAGAGGTGCACGCAAGATCAAGGATGCACCTCTGAGGTCGTCTAGCAGTTTCTCGTTCAGCACCTCGTTCAGCACCTCGTTCAGCACTTCGCACAGCGTCAGCCATAGTGTGACCCAGGCTCCTACCTTCTCTGAGCCTACTGCCTCTACAGCCCCAGCAACTGCTTCTCTTCCCACTGTCAACAAGGGCACTGAATACATCAACTACACCAATATTGCTGGCTACTTCCTCCAGGACCTCGATAGTACAGTCCCCAGCACTTTCGACTATGTGAGTTCTCACTGGAAGGACTTCCTCCGTTTAAAACATTGCTGACATTCATCAGATTNNGCCACCAACTTCGGTCTCATCAATCAGACCTACTCAACTGACACGAGCTCTAATGCAGGACTCACCCAATGGCAACGCTTCAACGCCCTCTTGAAGCACATGAACAGCAATGCTCCCAAGAATGTCGCTTACAAATTACTCTTCATCGGTCGTCACGGCGAAGGCTACCACAACGCCGCACAGACTTACTACGGTACACCCGCTTGGAACTGCTACTGGAGCCAGCAGACCGGCAACAGCACCAACAGCTGGCAAGACGCTGATCTCACCCCCAATGGTGTTGCTCAAGCACTTAAGGCCAACACCTTCTGGGCCCACGAGATCTCTACCCAGAACATCCAAACGCCAGAGAGTTTTTATGTGTCTCCATTGACGCGTTGTCTTAAGACTGCCAACTACACTTTCAGTGGTCTTGGGTTGCAAAACTTTGTCCCTGAGGTCAAAGAGTTGATTCGTGAGGGAATTAGCACGCATACTTGTGATCATCGTGGTAATGAAACTTATATCAAGTCTCTATTCCCTACTTGGAAGATCGAGTCTACATTTACCGAAACCGACGAACTCTGGAACGGCATCACTGAAGAGTCTTCGTCGGCCCAGGACTACAGATCGAAAATCGCACTTGACGACATCTTTTCTGGCGATGACGCTTCAGTGATTTCTATTACTACGCATAGTGGAGAGACGAGCAGTCTTTTGCGTGTACTGGGACACAGAGCTTTTAGTCTGGTCACTGGGGCTGTTATCCCGGTGCTGGTCAAGGCTGAGACGATTAAGGTTGCCAGTGGTGCGACTACTACTACTGTGCCTTGGGATGCGGGTGCTTGGTGTACTAATGGCCCGCCTTTGGCTAGTAGTACTGCTTGTGTGTGCAGTGATGGTGTTGCTCCTGTTGCTACTACTGTTTCCGCCATCTGAGGGGATAGCTTCACTGCCACGCTTATGGTTCTGGATTGTTTTCTTGTTTAGAGGAAAAGTTGCTCTGTGAGAAGGGATGGTGTGAAGTTTTATGATTGTCTTTTCTTGCTTTAGAGGCCTCGAAGTAACGCACACACAGTGATATAGTTTCTTGAGCCTTCGAGTCTTTTGTGAATAGGTTCGCAGCGGTCAGGGGCTAGGTTCGAATTCGCGCCTCCTTTGGAAAACGTATAGTGATATGAAACTATAGAAATGCACAGTTGCTTCCTGGTCAGGAGTGTGGCCATTGAAACACATTAAAATAACCTTGTCTCCGTGGCCACCACTCTCTTTCAGAAAACACTGTGCAATTCTATAGCTATAATGTGACAGCTTTTACAAAGGATAGGGTAATAAGAAACCAACACGCTCAAGCTGCTTGTATGCAAAGGCTAAAAATTACTTTTTGATTCATCATTATACATCAATACTGCTCCAGAAAAGGCTTCCGAGGCCCCATGGCCACATAATGAAACCCTATCTCAATGCACAGTGACACTCGGGGTTCAACAGGGTGACGTGAGATCCTCCCAAACCTCCAATCTAGGCCTCGGCGACTTCGTCCTCGACCTTTGCCTTCTTGCTGGAGGCTTCTGAGGTCTCGTCTTCCAGCTTTCTCTTGCTAGCAGGACCTGCAGCAACAGGTGCAGCAGCAGGCTTCTTCTTTTTGATCAGGCCGCTGAGATCGTTGGCGTTTGCTGTTGCTTCGGCGATGCGCTGTTTTTGATCAGCAGGGGTTTCACCCAGCATACCGCCCAAGATGCCACGGAGGGGGTTCTCTGCGGCAGCTACAGGTGTCTTGAGGTCGATGAGGCGCTGCTCCATCTCGGACATCATTTCTTTGACGTCCTTGATTTCCTTCTTCTTGGCTTCTTGCTTGTCGGCTGGGTGGGAAGAGAGAGTGGACTCTTCCTTCTCGACTCGTAGGCGGCAGGACTCGATGGCAGACTCCATGTGTGAGACAGCTTCCTTGCGCAAGTCCTCGTCGACAGTTTCCTCCTTTTGAGCACCTTGTTCGACTGCTTCTGCGTTTGTTGTAGTGACCGAGGCAAACTCCATGGCGAGTGCCAGCTTGAAGTGTGCTTCTGCGAGAAGGCTAGACTCGAGGGGATATAGCTTCTGCTTCAACTCGAGTGCTGAGCGGCCTTCGGCGACGGCTTCGGGGAAGTTTTCGTTTTCCATGGAAAGTTCGGCTTGGAGATCGTGGGTGTCGGCTAGGCGGTCCATGACTTGTCGTGCTTCGGGGTGCTCGACCAGTGTCGCCTTTCCCTTGCCCTTGCCATCGAGGTGTTGGGGTATCGTGTCGAGCTTGCGGGTGAGAAGGACGCGAGCGATGTCGAGAATCTCATATGCGATAGCAAAGTCATCGTCCTCTTCCTCTTCCTCGGCGTTCTCTTCGGCATCGTCGCCTTCGTCTTCGCTATCTGTCCAGTTCTCGTCGCCGGTAATTTGGAAGAAGGGCTTGTTTGCAGTCTCGTTCTCTTTTGTAGCGCTGGCATCCTTCTCATCCACGACAGCCTCGACAACCTCCTCGGCCATCTTCTGGTCGCCGTCCTTGAGGGCATCGGAGTCTGCGGCGGTCGACTTTGTCTTGCGCTTCTTTTTNTGAGGCTCTCCACTGCCAGCTACCTTGTTTCCTAGCACATCGCTCTTGCTGACAGCCAGGTGGTACAGACATCGGCCGTATTGGTAGAGCAGATCGGCGTTGTCCAGTGACATTTCACCGTTTAGCAGCTCCTGCAGCTCCGAGGCTTGCGAGTAGAACTCTGAGGCGGCGGCATAGTTCTTGAGCGAGTATTCCTTGGTGGCAGCAGCTTGTAGTCTGGCGAGACTTGCTTGTGCTTCTTCTCTGTTTTCGATCTGAGGAGTTTCTTGAGCTGTCTGCTCTTCGGCGATAGCGTCGAGTGGCTGTTGCTCGGGTGTCGACATGGTGATGTATGATGTGATGGTTCGATGAAGAGTTTCAAGCAAGAAGATAGTCGTCAGTGGATGGTTGTAGCAAACAAATGTAAAGTTGGACAATGTTTGGTGGGTTGCTCGGCCAATCACATGAAGATGGAAGTGGAAGCACGCGCGCCTTCCGCGTCGACGCGACAAGCACTTTAGGAAGTCGCGTCCACCACAAACCAGTTGACAAGACAAAAGACAAGGCACTGTCAAAATGGCAACTACGATCCGTCTACACGAGAATGCTGTTCCTTCGTCGAGTCCGGCCTTTGGAACACCCGTTCACCCCATCAACCCTCGAGACAAACGACCTCCAATTCCTCCACCAGCATTCAAGCCTTCGATCCCTACTATTTTACCAATTCTCCTACCACCTGCCAGTCTGAGACCTTTGGCATTCCGAACTTTCACAAAGAAGCACAATCTTACACTCAGCTCTCCTGCTCTACAATCACTAGCCACCTTTATCGGCAAACACTGTGGCTCAGGATGGCGTGAACGAGGAACAGCAGAGGGCGTCCTCGAAGAAGTCGCAAAAGCATGGAAGAAGAGCGGTGGCAGCTTGATTGTCAACGATGGCTCGCTGCTCAAAAACATCTTGAAAACCATCGAGAGCTTGATGACTGGCGGCAAGGTTGCCCAAACAAAATCAACCCTGAGCAGACAAAGTAGTTTTGCCTTTGCTGGCGAGAGTCAAGACCTGTCACGACGGCCAAGTCTTGCCGACACTTCTTTCCAATCACAAGACATTGTAGACGACGATGACGCAGACATCCAAGATCCTCGAGCATGGATCAAGGTTGTCGGTGCCAATGACCAGCCCAGGTTGAGCTACAATGTCCACAAGAAGCATTTCGAAAAGATCACTACAAAGTCTACCCTCCTTCCCTCACCAGCTCACAGAACACAACTCTTCCGCGATCGCTTCAACCTCATTCATCAGCGTCTGATGCGGAACGAAGCCTTCCAAGCTCCCGCAGTCGCCAACTCTCGCTCTCTCAAACGTCAGGATTCTACTTCTATCCAACAGTTCTACAAAATCACCCCTATTGCAAACCTCTTGGGCAGAAATGGCAGCAATCACGTTCTACTCGGCATGCTGGTCATCACTCCTACTGGCACCCTGGCGTTGAACGACTTGACTGGAAGCATCACTTTGGATTTGCAGCATGCCAAACCTCTACAAGGCCTCGACTCGTCATGGTTCTGTCCTGGTATGGTCGTCCTGATCGAAGGTGTATACGAAGAAGAGTATTCCGGAGCTGGTGCCAGTGGTCTGGGTGCTGCCACTGGTGTCGGTGGCACTATTGGAGGCAAGTTCATCGGTTTCAGCATCGGTGCCCCTCCTTCCGAAAAACGTAGCGCAACACTGGGCATCGCCGACTCGTCCAAACAACCAGATGTCGGTCTCGGAGGCGGCTTCGGATGGACAGACTTCCTTGGCTTGGGCAGTGAGAAGGTCATGGGAGCAAAGATGCGCAAGCTGGAGAAACGCCTTCTCGCACCTACAGATGAGGCTCAGCAACGCAAGATGGTCATGCTAGGTGAGGTCAACCTCGATGATCCATCATCACTAGAGGCTCTGCGCGCTGTTCTACGCCTTTATGCTGCAGACGATGAACTCACTCCTTTGTGTTTCATCCTCCTAGGCAATTTTGTCAGTCATCCCGTAATGGCTGGAGGGGGCAGTGGTGGCAGCATCGAGTACAAAGAGTACTTCAATGACCTCGCTACTGTACTCTCAGACTTCCCTGCACTCTTGCGCACATCAACGTGGGTCTTCGTGCCCGGCGACAACGATCCCTGGGCATCAGCCTTTAGTGCCGGAGCCAGCAATCCCGTTCCACGCCCACCCATTCCTGGCCTCTTTACAAGCCGTGTGAAGCGTGCATTTGCTGCTGCTAAATCGGAAGCACCCCTACCAAAGTCAGACGATAACAACGTACCCGTCGAACCAATCTGGACGTCCAACCCAGCTCGCGTGTCTGTCTTCGGCCCAGCTCACGAAATCACAATCTTCCGCGATGACATTTCCAGCCGCCTGCGTCGCAACGCAATAACCTTTAGCAAAGCTAGTACGGCTGAAGATGAAGACGACGACATGCCTGACTCTGTGCCAGCAGAGATTCCTACACCTACACAGATTGCCCGTAAACTCGTCCTCTCCTTGCTCCCACAATCACATCTTTCGCCCTTCCCATTGTCTACGCGCCCTGTGCTTTGGGATCAAGGCAGTGCGATGAGTCTGTACCCTCTCCCGCATACCTTGGTTTTGGCTGATGCTGAGGCGCCGGCGTTCGCGGTCACATTCGAGGGATGTCATGTACTAAATCCTGGACGCTTGTGCAGAGATGAGGGAAGAGGCAGACGAGTTGCTTGGATCGAGTATGATTGTTGGGCAAAGAGAGGTGAAGTCAAAGAGATCTGGTCATCGTGAGGCAGAGAAATTGTCAAGAGGTTTGTTGCATAGCGATGGAGTTCTGTCTCTCAAGGGAAGACTAAATATGTAGAATGAATGAATATTACAGTTAATCGAACCTCCTCCCTTTTCTTGGAATAGCACTTTCTTCATTTGATTGATAGGACTTGGTCGAGGTTAGATATTGTAGCTAGAGAGAGCCGATAGGACAGGCATTCTTGGAGACTCCAGTCTGTTTTTCTTAGGAGGTTATCATGCGGTTTCATGGCAGTGTGCGCTATATCATGTAGCGCATAGCATGATGCTGTAGTGTTGTAACCGTAGAATGGCTCCGCGTAGGTAGTAGTATCAAGGATGTCGTTATGTGGTACTCGAAGTGGTGTCACAGGACCAACCATCGGTCAGAGCCAAAGGAGACTGCGATGTAGCGTTACTTGAGTGACAACAACCACACAACTCCTTGACTCAAAGAAGCATATACCTGCGACCTGCCCTGTGTAATTTGTAAAGAGAATGTGAGATAGCCATATTCGCGTCGATATCGTTCAGATATTCATGTTATCAGGGCAACCCTGTGCTTCATCACCCTACAGGATACTCGGAAAAAATAGCCGAATACGACAACGAGAGCGACACCAAAGCCACACAATACTCGTTCTTGTCTAGAGATACCGTGCAAGCAGCAAGAGACACCCGGCAGTCTTGTTGACCTACGAAATGTCCAGTTTCTCGTCGCCAAAGACAACCCAAGATGGCCTGTCGCGAGAGCAGCCGAACACAAACGTTTGGGATTCACCAAACGGTCCTTTTCTTGAATCCTTCGTCGCTGACAACTGACCTTGGCTCTTGCGAGTTCCAGCCATGGATCTATGACGGAAAGAAAATCATGCGATGTGGTCATGTACTTCATCGGCAGTTTGATCGAATCTCCAATTCTTCGATGGACGAGGCTCGAAGAAACGATTTTGCTATTTTTGTTGAACCTGCCATGAAGGACTCGTGATAAAACACTGGAAAGCGATAGGAGTAGAGCTCCGAATTTGGGTGAGCAGGATCAATGACGTTGCTGTATTGTTCTGATCAAGTATCAGAGGAACATCGACGACCAGCCTGTCAAGTTTGGCCGACTGCTTTGTTTGTTCAACGGTCTGCTTGCGCGGAGTGAACTCCCTCTCAATGCAAAGCGGCAGGCTCGACTCGTGAAGTAAACTGGGTCGAAAGGTATGACTGCTGTTGAGCAGAAGTCACTCTGCAGTAGTGTTGATGCGCGCTCGTCGTCTTTGTTCGTGTGAGTGGAGAACGCAGATGTGGTATACCAAATCGATGATCTCGAGTACAATCACACGATTGTTGTTGTCCCAGAGATGGCTGCAGTGGAAATTCATGGAGTGTGGTCCGAAGCCTCAATCCAGTAAAAGCGGCTGCGACAGTCGCTTTATGACGAGGGGTGACGAAGGAAAAAACGAGCAGACAGGAAAGTGGAGAGGAAAAAGAAAAAGGCAAACAAAAACTTACTTAGAATCGCCGATGATGTTGCATTGTCGATGCGGGATCAACTCCGAGCGAGAACGACAACGACGACGACATCAAAGACGGTGCAGTTATACCATAACACAAGCTGATTAAGCTCGGTAGCCAACGGGCGCCAGCGACATCCAGGACACTCGACCGATGGCTGCGGGAATGCAAAACAGCCCAAATCCATCGGGGGAAGCGACCTGGTATGGTAGAGGAGATCGTAGAGGACATCGAAATCCCATCGACGACGACCATCGGACTGGTGGTGATGAGTCCGCACTTCCTCAAGCCACAATAACACGCTTGGAACGGGTTTTCGGAGGCAGGCCTGTCAAAAACGATCCGTGGACGCCGACGCCCTGCGTTGTGTTATTTGAGCCGCGTGAGGCTACTCTTAGGTTGCGGCATCCGAACAGCAATCGACCGATCCAAGAGAACTAGACCGCCCGATTGTGGTTGGGGTTCGTTTGTACGGCCATTCCGTGCTGTTTGCGGGAGAGGTATGCGACTTAAGGATCGCAAATACATGGCGCATAAACACTGAGGTGTCCCTGTTGTCTTTGTTGTTGTCAAAGGGACCGAAAACTCGAATCGGTAGATGTTTAGTGGGAGAAGTTTGCAGAACTTGCCAGACACCAAAATCAGCAGAGATGGTCGAAACGCCAAGGGGAAAACTGGCAGAATACGTGATTAAATCACCACCATTACAATGAGTGAAGCTTGCTGAAGAGCTCTCAAAATTACCATCAATCGAAAACCACTTGCTTGGGAATCGCTCAATAGATCGACTCGATAGCCCATATCGAAGAGTTCTAGGTCCATGATGCCGATTTCCGATTCGCGATCTGACAACTTTCCTCGTGCACCCTAGCGCTGGCATGTAAGTAAGAGTAAGCAATCGATGGCTTTTTGTATCAGGACATCGTTCACAACACGCATGAAGGACGATGGTGAGTGGTGAAACCGTGAAAAGGTTCCCCAGCAATCTGAATGCGGCAGTGCGGCTGGTGGAATTTGAAGATCGACCAACCACAGCTAGCCCCGGAGCGCGTTCCGAGATCAGCAACGCAGTGGATGGTCGTCCAAGCATGTTCTGTTCTCTCGAGACATCAGTCCATCGCAAGAATCGACACTTAGAATTCATGTTTGTATGTTCGTAGAGTAAAAGTACGTATCGTTGCGAGTTGCAGCGCACACTGACGAGATACATACCCAGAACCCCCAAGTGCAAAGCGGCTGGACAGCCAAAACCGAGCAGCCCATAATAGAGCATGAAATCAAGCGTGGCTTCGTAGGAAGATCATGCATCGAACAGCTGTTCTGCAAGGGGTGGAAACGACGAGAAGCCCTACGCAGACAGCTGATTGTCTCCTCAAAAGTAAGCGCAAATAGGCTTATACACGGAAGATTTATCGCTGAATAAGCGGGTGAGAGCATGGCAGAAGACCAGCAAGCAGGTCCCGTCAATCGAGATTCGATAGGCATTAGACATTCGGATGCAAAGCGCCCGGCATGATGAATGACGGGGACAGGCAGTCGGACATCTAGGCGCGTACGAACGAGTTCATCGCCGATGTGGCTTGCTTGGTCGAGCAACAAGCAAAGGCGGAAGGCGAAGTGTCGATTCACAAACAAGTCAAGAAGGACAGTCTCGCAACTGCGTTTTGCGCATCTGTCCTTGACGAATCTCTCAGCACAGAGCTCGATAGAAGATGGAGCGTCGGTTTCATAGGGCCTGGACGCTGGAAGAAGATGGACGAGAAGGATGCAGGAGACAAAGCACTGTCGAACTGTGCGGTCTAGACCGATGGGCGTGTCCGCGCGTTTGAGGGTCTCGGTGACATAATTCACGGCGTGACGACCGAAGCTCCAATCGAGACAGCCCGATCCTCAGAGCCGCAGAAGAGGACATGAGGATCGAAGCATGTAGGCCGCACAGAGCACGTCTGTTTGGCGCGATCTGGTTGCAACAAGAGTGATGGCTGCAAAATTGTGTCTCGCTTGCCTGCAGAGTCAATCATGGACAGTTGGGCCCTCTGATCCCCCACCACGCGAATCGGCGCTCGATACGTCTCGCGACCTGCGATGCCCAAGGCCATCTGCTTTTTGGAATCTGTGATTGCGCGCTGCCATCTTGCTTGATCACAGGTGGGTGTTTCGATGTTCTGATCGACCCTTGACACTTGCCCCATACGCCAATCCCTGATATTCCCTACCTGGTGCACCTGATTGCTCTTTCCCACTCCAACACATCTACAAACACCTACACGCCTATTTCGCCTACTGCACTAATCGGCTCCGTTAGCGTCTATACCGGTACTCGACTACTACACATAACCACATCAACACACTCCAACCACATTCGCCTTCATGGCTTCTGAAGCCTACTTACGCNCCCCTCACCCCCGGAGGCCACCAGCTCAGCGCTCCGTCTCCCTCAAGCACCACAACGGCCCCTCGCCGTCGTCCAAGAACACCAGAAGCACACAGACTGAAGCCTCCAGCGGCTCTCCCTCGAGTAACAAGCCCAATGTCAGCAAGGCCGATTCTGGCGAGAGCAGCAACGCCGACAAGTGGTTCGACGGCGCCAACANNACAATGCCGATGGCAAAAACAGCACAGTCATCGACAGTGAGTGCCGCGCATGGCCCTGCTAGTTGTAGCTCGCTGTTGGCTAACCCATCTGCTAGATGACCCCCGTTTTTCCTCCAGCACTCCTCCTCGGAGGAGACTCCGAACTACGGGGCACCGGGCGCAATGATCGATCAGCGAGTCCCAATGCATGCTCTGATGCACAAGAACGATACCGAGGACAGTGGCAGCTCAGACTTCCGCGCTGTCATCGACGACCTCACTGTGCAGAACAAGAAGCTCAAGAAACGTCTGAAGAAGTATGAAAAGCTACACGACGCCCACCTGAAGGACGAGAAACTGTTCGAGGTCCGTGTCCACGGTCTCTCGTCGACCAAGAGGCGGGAACTGGAAGATATCCTGCGTAACTTCGCTGTCGGCGCTGCTGGTCAGACAAATGCTGCCCTTACTTCTCAAACCAGCAACCTCTACGACCGTGTCATTCCTACTCTCAAGACCCACAAGACAGCCTCGTCATCCTCCAACTTCGCCGACTCCGCTTATGCTTCCAACTCAGCATCTGCTTCTGCTTCGGGCACCTCTAACTCCAACAGCGGTCAACAAACTAGACACCCTTACCGTCGCTCCAGCAAGGCCCGCACCAGCAACATCCAGACCTATCTCCACGATATCCCTGAAGGTCTGTTGCCACAACATCCTGCAGCTATGACCGAATACTCGAGGAAGAAGCTCGTCGTCCGTCGTCTGGAGCAGATTTTCGCTGGAACTGGCGCTGGCATGGGCGACCACCACCATCCTATGCAGCAGCAAGAGGTTTCGCAAATGGCTGCAAAGGCCGATAGAAGTGCTCTGGAAGCCACCGGTCAGACTGCTAAGATTGAGGGCACCAGAGAAGCCCCCATCATGAAAGATGATGAGGACCGAAGCACTGAAGAAACCAGCGGACCTGAGATCGTCCAAGGAACTGAACCTGATCAGAAGATCGCCGAAAAGGATTTTGCCGGCCTCTCACCTCAGCAGCGACCTACCAGACCTCTAGATCTTGACCCTCATCGCGCCCAGAACCCCCGTGACAACTTCCAGTACATTCGCCATCTTGGCTTTTCGCCACCCGAGCCTTACACTATGCAAGCTCACGAAGAAGGTCATGGCTGGATTTACTTGAACTTTCTCTTCAACATGGCACAGCTTCATACTCTCAATGTTACTCCCGAATTTGCCAAGAAGGCTTTGCTTGATTTCAGCACAAAATTCGAGCTTTCAGAAGATGGTCGCAAGGTTCGCTGGAAGGGCGGCAGAACCATCACAAGATCGGCCAGTGATACTGACGGAAGTTCACCATCGACCTATGGCCACTCTTTTAGCGGCACGAGCCCTCAGAAACGCTCCAAATCTTCTCATCACAAGTCGGGTGCCAAATCAGCAAAGCGTAGAATGCTGGAGAAGCAGGACAACAAGTTTGCGTACACACCTCTGTTCTTCCATCGCAGCAGCGAAGATGACAGCGATCTCTCCTCCGAAGAAGATGAGACCGAATCTCAGTTCTTGGCTCCTCCGGGTGGCGACTCTTCCGCTATGACTAGTTCTGGTATCCGCACCGTCTCCTTGAGACAGAAGAAGAAGACCGATAATGGTCCTATCATCTTTTACAATAACGCCAAGTTCTGTACGGATCTCAGTGGTGAGCCAAAGACAGAAGCAGCTATGACGTACAACCCTATCCTCTACCACACTACAACCGAACACGCGCTGGGTATCCCAAGACCTTCTGAAGCAATCTACCAAGGCATCATGGAGTCTCGTGGTCCTCTTGATGAGGCTAAGGACCTTCCCGAGGCCATGAGTCTGAACGACAATCCAATTCCCGAGGCTCTCGAGCTCAACTTTCCCGGAACGTCTCCCTTGTCTGATGCGAGCGGAGCGTCTGGCCCGGCAAGAAACCCGATCGATCTGGAGGTCTCTGGCATTGGTGGTATTTACCCCTCGGACAACTTCTCCGTCAATGTGAAAACGGAGCGTAAGCGCAACTCTGTATTCGTGGCGCTACCTTCTCAACCAAAACCGTACTCCGCCCAGATTGCAGGGCTCNTTCAGGAGAGCAAGCAGCAGCCAACAGTGTTCAGAGAAAATGTCGTCGGCACTTTCCACCAGGAACTGCCCCCTTCTGAGCTCCCTCCTGCTTCCTGCTTCATGGACATTGATGAATATGACGATGATGAATCAGAGTTCGAAGATTGCCATTCAATGATCCCTGATCTGGACCGCGTTCATGACGTCCCAGCCACAGCACCACAAACCATCGACATGCCCTACATGAGCAGTGATGAGAGCGATGACGAAGACGAGGAAGAAGGAAACAAGGATGACGATGCTGCTTCCGATGGTTCCCTCGATTTGCTTGCAACTGCTCGTGAGCTTGACCCTCAATCGATTCAGGCACGCGAGCGTGAGTACGACGCTCACATGGCCGAAAGACTGGCCGAGGAGATTCCTGCTGGTAGCTCTGCCGCTACAGCAGGAGGCGGTAGCGGCTTTGCCAGCCCGGCGGCCGGCATTAGCAGACAGGAATATGAAGAGGCACGCGCACAGCATGCTATGCGACACGCCTCCACCATCACATCCGTGGCTTCGTTCAACAGAACAGACACGAATGGTTCGATGATCGTCAATGGCAAGTCGCCTTGATGAAGTATATGTCTCACGTGGACTATGTTTATATGGTTGCATTTGCATGGTGTACAGGAGTCTTGGTTTGGGTTGAACTCGTTCAGGACATTTGGTTTGATAAGATACCCCCACATGTAGCATGGGATTTTTGAATTATAATATGCTTTGACATCTCACTTCTCGTTTATGCAGTGCTCTTCTCAATGTGACTCAGACCGGAGTGCTGGTGTTAGTCAGAGCGTTCTAGCGTGCGGTTGTTGCAGTTGACACAATTCGGTCTTTGCCAAGCCGTTTGTAACCTAGGGCATGCTCTGCACAAAGGGAACCCGCGTTCATCACTCAAGGTTCCTACCATAATTGGAGGCCTCACTCCTCGAGTCCTTGCCAGGTTTCAAGATTCTCTCAACTCCCAGTCCTGGCTGAACTTGACTCGTGTCGTCGTTGCCTGAGATTGTTGGGTTTCACGTCGGGGTTTCGAGGGCATCGGAGCGTAGGCCGCAAGGCTGTTAAGCCGGTAAGCCCGCCACCAAAAATCATCTTCCATGCTTCTCATCACTCGCCCGCAGGATAATCGAACAGAAGGAATATACGCGCAGCAATGGAGACAGGGACGCCGAACATGACTCCGATGCCAGCAGAAGTACCTGCCAAGGCCGAGGTGGACGACTTCCTGCGCCGCAAACGAAAAGCGCGTGAGCACAAGGCTTGTTATCCGTGTCGACAACGAAAAGTTCGCTGTGATCTTGCCAGGCCGTGTCGCACCTGTGTCGAGCGCGAACACCCTGAGCTATGCGACTACCACCCACCTAATAAGAAGCAGAATAACTCTACTTCGTCCTCGGCGTCTCTCGCGCTTCCTACTGCGGGTACCAGCAGTGGGGTTCCTGCATTGAGCGCCAATACCGTGACGCTTTCGCGATCGGATTTTGATCATCTCTGTCGAAAACTGGACAATGTCGAGTCTGCGCTTGAGGATTTGCGCAGGGAGATGAAAAGCTCGAATAGTAGACCATCTCAACACGTTTCTGGACGTTCTTCACCATCAAGTACTACGCAGAAGGCGGATGGTGCGCAGCCATGGATCAACAATCAATTCACCCGTCATACCACTGTCCATGGACTTCACGCTCGAAATGATCTGACTGGCCAAACAGTACATCTAGGAGGATCCTCAGTACCCGCACTTGTCATGGCCTTGGGTCAAGGTGATCGCGAACAGCCCTCTGTACAGGAAATCCTCGGCAGATCTATTCTTCCCATGTTCGGTCTGGATAACGAAACGGCGACGTATCCGTTTGTGGATCTCTGGNGGTTGGCTCATGGCTCTCTCGCACGCGCTCAAGAACTGGCCAAGACGATACCTACCGATAGTCAATGCTTATCTTTCTTCCGGTATTACCAAAATTTGGGAAACATCATTTTCCCGGGTGTTGCAGACATTTCAACCTTCGAGATGGACTTGACGCGATTCTTGCAGAAGAGAAATGAGCAGATGGGCGTGGCTGGATCTTTGCCTGCCGACAGTCCTCTTCCTGGAGTCACTGAGCAAGCTATTTACGACAAGAATCTCGAGTGGGTTGGCCTACTATTTGCTGTTCTGGCGAGTGGTTGCCAATGTTCTGGTCTGCCAAGGAAAGAACGTGAATTGACTTCTCAAGTCTACAGTACGTGATCAAGATTGCGATCTGAGAAGCTCGAGAGATACTAATGACAAGCAGTGTGTTGTAGTTTCGAGTGTCTGCGCTTCACCAACTTCCTATCCCATGTGACACTAGAGAGTATCCAGACACTGTTGATCCTAGGAAACGTATGTTATCTTTGCGCGCGCGCGCACGAAATCAGGAGCTGACATATCTCTAGGNTGATTTCCAATAACATGAACGCTGGTACTTCGTGGTCTCTCATGGGGCTCACATTGAGACTGGCAATGAGTTTGGGTCTGCATCGCAGCTGTCCGCCTGCCGCAGACATTGAAACCAAGGCGATTCGTTCCAAGGTTTGGTGGTCGATTGTATGGCAAGACAGTCTACTATCGATCACATACGACAGAGCCGCGACAACAGCATACATCGACCCGTCAAGTATGCCAGCACCGAATGCATACACTGAGATTCCACCTTACCACCTCGCCATGTACAGACTCTGCAGAGTCGGTCTCGAGATTGTACGCGATCGCACCAAGACCATGAGCTCGCGCGAGCTGTTTGCCAGAATCACAAATCACAGAAACGAGATCGACGACATTATGGCGGGCACAGCCGACTACTTGCGCGACTCACGCACCTGCAAATCGGTAGAGGAGTCGCTCGAGCACTGGGCTCTTTACCTGCACGTGTCGTACATAGTCTCCGAGCTGTGTCGACCAGCCATCAGTCCCAGCACAGCCAGCTACGAACTATCCAAAGCCTTCAAACAGACCTGCATCGACAGCTTGGTCAGCACAGTCGAGGCTTTCCTCGGACTCCAAAACATCACACCTTATGCGAGACAATCTTGGGCTGCTGTGCACCGCAGTCTAAGCTCTGCACTCCTCCTCGGCATCATGGGCGAGCATGCCCACAACGAACGTGCTCGCCGTCTCCTAGGCCGATTTGTCGCACTCATGTCAGACATGCAATCAGCACTGGACCCGCAAGAACTCGCCGCACCCATGGAAAGAGCCATCACCGCACTCAAAAAGCTAAACATCCAAGAATCGAGACCGTCGAGGTTTATCGAGGATATTGCTATGGCGCCTTCCGGTGGCAGTGTTGCGGATAGCAGTGAGAGTCCTGGGATGGCGGGTGTTGACCACTCGAGTGTGTTTCCTTCCAATACCAGTGCGTTGGTTGATGAGGAGTATTCGCCGTACAGCGTGCTCAACTCGATCTTGTGGGGGCAGGGACTGACTCCTTGAGTGAAGGGTGAGCAGGACGGTGACTGAGAGTAGAAGAAACATTGCTGAAGAGAAGACGGAGAACTGTATATACATATGACACGCATTGGCGGCTAGGAATGGTGAGGGATAGCTCATACCGAATACCATAACCATAATTATTCATCGCAAGACCATGCCACAAGTAATTTTTGGCACAAAGATACAAGTCACAAAGTCACGCAAGATGGAAGTTCAAGACACAGATGTAGTGATCGGGACAACGACTTTATTGCAACACACTAGATAACTAGCAGAGATGAACAAAAGTCATCAACACCTGCCTTCGCGACACATTTACTTAGGGTCGTCGAAGACGTAGGTGAGGTGGCAGCGACCGCAGTACTGGCGGTTGTGCATGGCAGCCATGAAGATACCGGCACCGCACNNTGAGAGTGTTGTTAGTATGTGGAAAGATTGAGCAGAAAAAAGTGGACAAAAACTCACGGTGTCCGAGGGGCACTCGCGACGCAGGCGCTCAATCTTGCCGTCACCGTCGACCTTGTAGTACTTGAGGACGGCAAGCTTGTTCTTCTTGCGCTTGTGCTTGATCTTCTTGGGGGTGGTGTAGACCTTCTTCTTGCGCTTCTTACCACCACCACGAAGGCGGAGGACGAGGTGAAGAGTGCTCTCCTTCTGGATGTTGTAGTCGGAGAGGGTGCGGCCATCCTCAAGCTGCTTACCAGCGAAGATCAGGCGCTGTTGGTCTGGGGGAATACCCTCCTTGTCNTGTTGAGTCTGGTTAGTCTCTGTGCGCGGGTATGGTGGCGATGGAACGCCAGCGGACGAGGAATGCGCACCCTGGATCTTGGACTTGACATTGTCGATGGTGTCGGACGACTCCACCTCGAGGGTGATAGTCTTGCCCGTGAGGGTCTTGACGAAAATCTGCATGATGGCGACCTAGACAGCGGGGTCGTTGTCGTCCTAAGTCGTGAGGAAAAGGAAGTCGCAAGAAATGTTCGCTTGGAATTTGACATGCGGTCGGTGCGCGCGCAGACTTCGCTTACCTAATCCGGCGCCGAGAACCAATCATGCTGGGCCAGTCATGTGACCGGCTTCCTTTCTCAGCACCATCGCGCCTTCCATCTTCGGTTGGCTCACATCTTGAACATTGCTCTTGCTTCACTTCAATAAATGTATAAGTTGTACATTGAGATTGATTCTATATACATCCGAGCAATTTGACGCCAAACCCAGCCTGCTCTTGCCTCGACCATCAGTATCTCGAGCAATCATCAGGTGTGCAATAATCATGTTGCTCAATGCAGCAAGACCCAAAGTCTACTATGGTGGCCGAAACCTCAACATCGCTCGAGTGATCAACTGAAGTCGTCGGTTAGCAATATGCTTTGTCCCCTTCCTATCACCTTTCCTGCAGATCATCAAAGCTTGTTCCAATCATCTTGCTCGAACCATGATTCTAATTAGAGCCCTCTTTTCACATGAAAGCGTACTGAGGGCCAACCTCTCCGAGTTGTACTTGTGTAGGTCAAGACCGTAATTAACTGATTCTTCATCTCAACACCTCTCCAACAATGGCTACCAAATTTTGCAACACTACTCCTTACGGCACGACTCCCGAGCTGTCACAGGAGTACCGAGAGTCGGTACACGGTGTGGCTCTTAATTTCCTCTGTACCCAGCACCATACAGTTCCTGCTTGGGAAAGGCCCAGATGCTACCCTCAAAACCTCATTGTCCTCGAAGCCCACCTCACGAGATTCTATGAGCACGGATACTACTTCAACGAGGCTCAAATTCTGCTGGCAGTGATGAGACAATTCGGACAGGAAAGCGACAGCGATGCTATTCTTGACTGGCTATATGACGAGTTTCTGCTTCGCATCCAGGAAGATGCACGTCATATCTCATCGACAACCACAGAAGTTGCACTGCTTTGTGNNAAGATCACCAGACTCGCTCAAGAGCTCGAGAAGACCGTCCTTCCTCCTGGTCCTATCCACAGTACAACCGGATCTACCGCGAAACTTCAAGTTGCATCAAACACTTCGCTCGTGGAAGATGATTTGAAGAAACTGACCAATCGTGTACAGGAGTTGGAACGTGTAATCAAGGAGAATCGCGATGGTATGAAGTTATATCAAACAGCTGTCCAAAGAGAAGAGCACGCAGCTCGAATTGATGCGCTGGAGTACAAGGTCATGGTAATGATGCTGTCTGATGCTTCGACCTCCTCGATTGACACGATTGCCCCTACACGACAACAACACAAGCAGGAGCTTTCGAGCAGTCCGGGTTGGACCTCGGAGGCGTCCACCACGGGGATGTTTACGCCTACATNNCCGTAAGGTGCAGTATGAATAACAATGAGTACCAAAACTGATACAGATATACTAGACTGCCAGGAGTAGGTCTCTCTCTCGATCGTCGGGCAACCAAAGCCAATGGTATCTTTGAATCTCAGAGGCCCTGTGCCATTCAATGGAGTAATAGTAAACACGGGTCGTAATGTACCTTTCGGGCGCGTGAGACAGAGTCTTCAAAAACTAGCCCCGCGTTACGCGGAGCTGTGGCATGGAAACACTCAAATCATGGACGAGGATACGCCAAACAGTGTGAGTCGATAAAACCTCATCCCTTTGTCAACCTCGTTAATCCAGAGCTAATTCGAGACTTTTCCAGCTGGATNNCTCGAAGATGATGCGATGATCAATGTCGTGGAGAACCTCCATCGAAAGGATTGGATTTATGTTTCGCGATGGACTTCTGACGATATCTTTGTTACTTGATAAATCATCTGTGTCGCACAGTGTGCCTAGACAGCAGTGGTGAATGCAAGTCAAACTACTGTACAATCTGAGCAGCCTGATTCCGTGCTCTGAGACTTGACTGGCTACAGAGCTTCAATATACAAGGAGAGTCAGTGTTCAATATCAGAGCATGAGAAACGAAAGCTTTCCAGCGAACAGACGTCGCAAGATATTGGCGCGAAGCAAACTCACAGCAATGTTCCCACCTGTCTCGAATATGCTCAAAATACGCTGTGGTTCGATCCTTTTCTACGAAACCTAATGCATTGACAAGGAGGTTCGTCTCTCCAGGCTACTTGAACACAGACACAACCCTCATCCGGTCTTGTGGTGGACGATTTCTGTTGTTGGCAGCTTATGTCCGATTTTTGTCTTCAAGAGGCTCGATGGGAGAGGTGTTCACATACGCCAGCAACCCACAGATCAGGATTGTGCTTCGGAGACAACAGAGGTGGAGTGGTTGACTGATGACGATGCTAGTAGATGGGAAGACATGGATGAAACGAGCGACTCATCAGATACGTGGAGTCTGAATATCGATACACCTCCCGAGACCGAGAAGCCTCATTCGAGCGGCACTTGCACTTCACTGCAACCTGTTTCAGCAGACCGAACAAAGTACAGAAAGGCAAGCGCAAGTGACACGATTGATATTGCCTTTGTTTCGAGCGACGCGACTTCCTGCGTTACTCCCAACCAGCCGCCTGTACCTCAAGATCCACCAAGCCACCGAATGTCAACCGTGACTAAATGGCTTACGGAACGCTCTCAAGCAGCGAGATCGCCCGAGATGGAAAACATGACCGCACAGCAGCTCGGACCTCCAAAGCTGGAGAAATAGAAACAGGCTGTCGTGGCGAAGCTGAAGCATCCACTGGAAGAGAACACCATCGACCACTCGCTCATGCCAAAGAGCAAAAGATCGCTTCTCGATCACAGACAACCACCGCTCCCCACACTTTCCGCGCTCATCAGGGCCGCAAAACAACCCGATGACATCGTAATCCTTCAAGTCATGAAAGGAGCCGACTTTCAGCAGAGATTGCTAGTCCGAATGTACAAGACAACTCCATTCGTGCATCTCAAGAACGAGTTGAGGAAGAAGGGTGATACTGTCTGCGAATTAATGACCGACGATCCCGAAAATGATCTTTCGGTGTTTGACAACGACACACCGCTCTCTGTAAGTTCGTTCGTTGCAAATGATGATAGGAGGTCGAAAAGTTGAAAAGCTGATATTTTGTGTTCCGCCACGAAAGCTCGATNNCTACAGCCCGTGTCTGTTTGATTTTGGAGACATGTATCGGATATGCCGAGATCGCTCGATTTGACTGGAAAGACTCTAGTGGAGAGTGGATTGTGACCACTTAAGAAGCCTGTGTGTTATGAATTGAGCCGTAATACTGGAGAATACTGAGGGCAAGCGTGTGCCTTGTGGGTTTGCAACAAACGCAGTATGGGCAGAAAAAGCTCGACGGCCTCGAGAATCTTTCGTTCAGTGGTGCCAAATCTCCGCAGTTGCATATTGACAAGGTTAGAACAGTATGTATCTGTACCGGGGCGATCTCCAAATTCTCCTCTTTATGCCTTCGAGCCTTTCCTTTCGCGCTTCTTCTCTCTTTTCTGGTCCTCCTTCTTCCTAATGGGCTCGGACTTTGTGTGCAAGTCTTGCAGGAACTCTTTCAACCAATTGGCGTCCTCATCATGTCCCTGCTGTCGCAATACTGCCTCGGCATGTTTGCCTCGTCCAATCCAAGGCGTCACTGATGATCTTTTTGCCAGGCGCTGTACGAGAATGGGTGTTTTTGCCAGCTTTCGACAGTATTTGAAGTAGGGAGCTGGGTTTGGTCCTTCTGGGTGATATAGTGGCAGCTGCACCTGGAACGGTTCACTGATATCCTGTCTGGCATCGACGTTCTCGAGGAACGCTTCCCATAACTTGACACTCGTGTTTGGCCATCGTGGTGTCTCGATCTTGGCGTCAAGATTTGAAGACATGCCAGCCTTCTCCGCTGGCATCATAAGCAATGTAGCACAATTCATTCTGGCTGGCGAAAGCGGGATAGAGTATGTGCTGTTCTTTGCACGAAAGAATGTTTCAAGAGCTCCATCGAGGCTGTCGCGGTCCGAGGCAAATGCTTTTGCGCCGATAAGCGCTTTTACAGTGTCGGCTCTCCAGACGAATCGGTCATTGGGGCCGAGATTGCTGGATTTTCTGCTCTTCTGCTCAATCCATTTCCACACCAGGTCCTCCTTTCCCTCCCTTACGAGGTGTCTGACCATGTGGTCTAGGAGACTAGTGTCTCTTGGGAACTCGTAGCTATCATGCTCGTTCCACATCCATTTGATAGTAGCTTCACCTAGCCCGCCATCATAGCGTTCCTGTCTGGTCGCCGTTTTGAGGCATGTCTGAGCCATTGATTTGGTAAGAGTCCCATCTCGGAGATGTGTGTTGAACAGCTCGACCGGATCTTGATCATCATTGGTTCGAGGCTTTCTGTACTTAGTATCGGTTCTACCAGTTGCTGTACTTGCAAGACGACTAGTAACGTGATAATAACTAGCAGAAGAAGGCAACCATGGCTGACTAGCTAGTCTGTTGTAGAAAACACTGCTTCCAGAAGCTCGAAGCGTCTTTTGCAGTCTCAAGCCACGCAGTGCTTGCGGAAAAACTGATACGTACACTCATAACGATCGAAATTGAAGTGTTATGTTTCGAGGTGTAGAGAAGGCGGCGAGGATGGATTGAAGTTTGCATGCTTGCCAAGACTTATATTTTAGCTTGGCAGATATTAGAAGAAGGTACCATTTGATATGCTCCTTCTTCTATTCCTACTTTCACATGCGCTTCCCAAAGTCTTACTGTGTCAGGTAACTAGATCTTCTACGAGAAGGTGTCTCACAAGAATGTACAATATGATCACTATCGCCGTCCATACGAATACACAACTCTTCTATCAATTCAATAAGGATATGCTTTACACTCATCCTCTCGACTCAAATCTAGTCCAGTGGCCACCTGCTCTTCATGCTTCTTATCCAGATAGTCCAACAACACATCCCCATACTTTGCCTTGCCCTTGTACTTGCTAACATCATCACCCCAACTCCTGATCGCACTAGCCAATCTCCCTGGCACATAATCCTCTTGCGCAATATCGGTGATCGGATGGAAGTATGTGTGGATAGTAAATAAAACACCTCCAGATCTGGGCAGTCGACGAAGAGATTGGCGTTCAGAGCGGAAGTGATGGTGTTCAATGGCGCGATTGGCAGCGGCAGTGTCCCAAGAGGGCTCAGCGTTGTCTTCGTCTCCAATACTGTAGGACCAAGCGAGATCTTCATCAACTTGGAGGAAGTAGTTGTTGCGATTTACTGGAGATTCGGGCTTTAAGCGGCGGAAGAAGTTGTTCATGCCTTTGCGGAGCTTGTCGTGATAGCCAGGGACATCGCCGCTGCGTCAGTGTCAGTACAAAAGAGTTCTCGTACGGCGTCAATATCAGATACGAACCTGTAGTGAAGCTCATCGAGAGACATGCCCAACTTGTCCTGCAAACGCCAGAAACCCGGCAGCAATATCGCACCAGCAAGAAGATACATCTGGCCATCTTCCTTTTCGAACATGATTGCCAGGTCGTCTTGCACCATCCGTGCAGCCATCTGCATAGGATCCTCGCGGTTTCCATTCATGGTCAAGACATCCTTTCTTATATCGAAGGTCTCGTTCGCAAATAGGTTCACCATTCCATGTTCAGTCTTGCGGAACATGCTTGGGTAACGCTCAGGTAGGTAGCCACACAGTTCTTCGAGAAGTTCTACGGCGCCTTCGAAGACTTGTGGGTTAGGGTCTGTATGGAAACACTTGCTACCGCGTTCTTCGATGCGGCGCTTCTTATCGGCGTGGAATTTAGGGTAGTGGTTGTCCAATTCGATCCACTCGTCCCAGTGCATGGTACGAAGGCCCATAGTGATGTTGTACTTGGGTCCATAACGGAAAGGTCGATAGGGAAGAGGCTTGGTCTTTTCGAGAGACCAATCTGGGTATGGTGCAGCGGTTGGCCTCTTGAAGTCTGATGGGAACCACACTGGGATTTTTGTCAGATACGGTCTACGTGGGGCATGGTCAACACTCACCACCATCGGGTCTTTCGGGTGCCTTGGGTCTTGTTCCTGTAGGCTTTTCCGGGTCCGGTGACCGTGAGGGCAGTCTAGTTTTTGTTTTGGGCCAGCGACAACACGCTGTATGAGACAGACTAGAGCTACGAGAGCTAGTCCAAGATATATGAGAGGCTTCGCCTGTTGTAGTGATGAGATGTTCCGGATGGCACTGATGCTGTCCTGCAGCATTGTATGTATATTGCTCATGGCGTTGGGCAGTAAAAGGTTGATTCAGAAGACGATGATGATGTGAACACAGGCGGAACATATATGCTCGAGCAGACAGAATGTTCAATATATACATTGCTCGTCCTAGATTTATCTTAGTTGTGACGATAAGGCTGCTGGACCCCGCCATGTCCATCTTATCGACCCCGGACTAAACGTCCAGAAAGGGACACTGATATGGCCATAGTGGGGCTCGCGCATAGGCAACGTCCAGTAGAGATCGAGCAACTACACTCGGTCAACACTACACGTCTGAAATCGCTCTGACTTGCCCAAATCGCTAGAAATCGATCAGGTGACTGGTATCACAGAATATGAATAAAATGAGCAGCCCTAGCTCGAGGACTTTTTGCGGCCCAGAAGACAGTACTCGCCCCATTGACGGCGGTACTTGGACGGGATGAACTCCCAATCAGGGATCCATCCAATGCGACCGAGGGTCCCGGTTCGCGAAGCATCGAGGAATGGCTCGCACGACAGCTTCTCCCAGGTGTCTGTCTGGTTGATGTAATCGGGTTCCAGAGGAGATGGCTCGGTGCCGGGGAAGGACGAGTCAACCATGAAAGAGCAAAGTGATAGTTCAGTCTGAAAGGGATTAGCTTGTGTTAGCACATGGTCAAGAAGCCAACTTACATATTTGCTCGGATCCTCTTTGTTTTCGTCGTTCATGCCGCTTGGAGTGAGCCATGCACCTGGATACAGGCCGAATCCCTTACCAGCCTGACTGAAGTCACCAGGGAGCAAACCGCTGAACTCGCTCTTTACAAACTTGGCACTAACACCAGTAGGAAGGTGGTAGGAAGAAGGGAACCGATACCATTCCTTGCCCAAACAAACATTATCGCCAGTTTGAGTGACATCAGGAAGGCGCAGAGGTTTGTACACACTCAAAGGAGCGTTGTAAGCGGTGATCATACCAAGAGTTCTCCAAACCCCGAAGTCAACAGCAGCAATGAAGCAGATAGCAGCGAAGAAGAGTCTCAACTTGGCAGGGATCATGGCGATGAGAGAACGAGGGTTCGAGGTACCGAGCCAAGTGAGAAGAATATGAGAGCCCAACGCAGCATTGAAGCCCAGAGCAGGGTAAATGGGATACATGAAACGCTCTTCCTTGTGAGGCTGCAGGGTGAAGATGGCTAGCCAGAGGTAAAAAGGGGTAAGGAAGAAGACACCGCGCAGGTACGACTGCTTGAAAACAGGTTGACGAAGAACAAAGGTGTGAATGAAGTAGAGAGGCATGGCGGCCAAAGCGATGATGAACCAGATATTGAAGTTGAGCAACAGATTGCGTGCGTAGAAATGCCAGGGCTCGGTGCCATAGATATCCGGACCTTTACCTTGGCGAGCAGCAATGACATTGTACCAGACAATGTTCCAGGGCACGATAGCAATTCTTCTGTAGAAGAAAGCGTCAAAACAGAATTGCAGAACGAGGACGATGGTGGAGCGGACGGAACCATCGAGGATACGATAACAGAAGTCAATGAACTCTTGCTTGTCGGTAAAGTAGGCAGTCATGAACTCCTCGACCATAAAGGGGGCGACGAGGGCAGCCGCGAAAGGCCAGCCGAGGACGGCGCCTCCAATCATGCACATCATTCCCTGAGCAGTACGCATACCTCCACGCCAGTCCATGAAGGCAGCCATACCCAGTGCAGTGGTGTACATGGAGAAAGAAGAAGGCAAGAACGAGACGGATGCATGGAACATGCCAGGGCTGGTGAGCATGATGAGGAAGAAGAGCATGCCGAGTCTAGGATTAAGGGTTCGCGAGATCTTGGAGTATAGTCTGGCTTCGGATCCGGCACAGATGGCGCCCAGAGCGGTGCGCAAAAGTAGAACTTCCACACCTTGGGCAGACCCCAAACAGGGATTATGCGACGCAGGCCAATGACAAAAGCATGAAGAGAGACATAGCCCCAGCTGCGGATGGCGTATTCGGGAGAGTACTCCCAGGTCTGCTTGCCGTAGCCATCGGTCAAGTAGTGGGTGGGCTCGTAGTAGTTGTAGACCTCGTCGCAGTCTTGTATGGGGAAGTAGAAAGCGGCTACGGCGTGGGCAGCGGCAAGAATGTAGAAGGCAATCAGGGGGTCGAGGAAGATGGGGTCGGCGACTGCATCGAGAGGTTTTGTGAGTTCGGCGGGGAACATGTGGATAGGGCGAGCTTCTGCTGGCGCTGTCGGCGTCACGGGCAGCGCCTTGTTGCGCTGCTGTTTGGCCGCCTTGTCGGCCGTCATGGTCGTCATGAATTGGCGACGCACCGGACGCGACGGCGGTGGAGGGGACGGCATTGCTGCTGCTGATGTTGGCGATTGGCAGAGGAAGCAAGAAGAGAAGTGTCCAATATTCCCTGGCAAGTTGCAATATTGAATTGAAGCCTTGACCACCGGCTTCAGCTTCAGCTCGCAGCTCGCGGGAGTGGCTTGACCTTGCCGGCGCTAGCATACCCCAGATAACGCTAGGATGGCATTAAGTCCGGCAGGCCCGAGCAAAACTGATTTTCTTCGCGCAGCCAGCGCAAACATTCACATCATCATACCAATGTTTGAGACGAGTCCTAGACCGAACAAACGTGCCCGTCTGTCTCCCTCACCCACCATGTCCGCTTCTGTTCCCGTCGACGACATGGACGACATTTACGGCACCCCGTCCGCCAACACCACCCCCGCCCTCCACACTGCCCAAGCAACCAGTTACGTCGATGCAAAGCAGCTCCCCTCGACTCAGTCGCACGTCGCTGGCATCCCTGGCCTGGGCTCTTTCCCCTCTGCCGCTTCATCTAGTCTGTCTCAACCACAGTCTGAACAACCTCAAGAAGCTGCCCAGCCAGAGATCGTCAAAGTCCAAGAAGAGACCATTGTGAACCCTCTTCCCGAAAACCAGTCCCTCGAAGTCCTTGTTGAACAGCCCGTTGCTGCTGTCATCCCTGCCGAAGCTGCCGTCGAGACTAAAGCCGAGCCTGTTCCTGCGCAAACCGCGCGCCCCGATGCCACCTCCGCTCTGTTCGATGCTCTCGGTAACAACGACGAGCTAAACAAGAACCTCCCCACACCCGTCAAGAACGAGCCCGAATCAACTCCGGCATCCGCATCTGCTGCCGAACCTGAGACCGCCTCGGTACCTACAAAGCCCCCTGTCGACCCCGAGTTCCTCGAAGCCGCCGCAGCACAGAAGGGCGCTGAAGGTGCCGAGTGGCAGTACGACTCATCTGATGCCGAGTCTTCCGACGATTCCTCTAGCAGCGACGACTCTTCGAGCGATGAAGACAGTGATGAGGAGGGATACGAATTGCTCGACCCAGCCACGGCTGCACGTATGCTTATGGAAGAAGGTGGCATGGACGATGAGGATGGTGGTAGCAAGGCTGCTAGTGGAAGTCAACTTCGCACCAAGAACGAGGTGCCAGAAGAGATCATCCCCAAGCCGGATGTCACCGTCACCCCCGACATGAAGATCACACCCCTGGGTGCCGTTCAGCACGTCGTCGACACACTGATTCTCATCAAGGCTTTTACGTCTGGAGAGTATCAAGTTCTGGAGTCTGGTTCCGTCTTGTGTCTGGAGAACCGCGAGGTCATTGGAGCCGTTCAGGACACCATTGGCAAGGTCGAAGAGCCCTTGTACTCGGTTGCCTTCACCAGACCCTCCGACATCTCGGATCTCAACATCGTTACAGACACCAAGATCTTCTACGTTGATTCACACTCAACGTATGTCTTCACACAGCCCCTCAAGAACCTCAAGGGTACCGACGCCTCAAACCTCCACGACGAGGAAGTCGCAGATGAAGAGATGGAGTTCTCTGACGACGAGGCCGAGGCTGCCTACAAAAGAGCTAAGAAGGAAGCCAAGAAGGGCGCAAGAGCTGCTCGCGACCAGACCAACCAGGCACCTGCCCCCAAGCCTTACACTGGTGGAGCCATGAACTACGACGACGAGCCTGAAGCCGAGGAAATGTACACACCTCTTGCCCGTCCTGATAACCTGCAAGACATGATGGCCAATGGAGCACCCCCAGCTCGTCGTCAGTTTGCCGAACGTGGCGGCAGAGGTCGTGGTAGAGGTCGCGGCGGTGATAGAGGTCGTGGCGATCGTGGCAGAGGCGGTCGTGGTGGTGGCCGTGGTGGTGCCGACAATGCAAACCAGCGCAAGGGTCCCTCCAACTCATACCCTGATACACACAACGCTGGTGCGCAAGCCTACGCCCAGCAACTCCCGCAGAAACCTGCCGTGCCTCAGCAGATGCAACAAATGCAGCAGATGCCTCAAATGCCTCAGATGCAGCAGATGTGGAACCAGGCCCAACCTCAGATGAACGCGCAATTCGCTTTCCCTCAGTTCAACCAGNCAGCAGTTCCCTCCCCACCACCTCCTCCCCAGGGTCAATCGCCTTTCCCTAACATGCAGTTTGCATGGCCACCCAACCCTCAGTTCTTCAATCAAGGTCAGCAACAGCAGTCCTACAATCAGGGTCAGCAGCAGCAGCCTTACCAGTTCCCTGGAGCACCTGCAGGTGCATTCGTCAACCCTGCTTTCTTCCAACAGCAGCAGCAAATGCAACAGCCACAGCAGCCACAGCAGCAGGCTCCCGCAGCATCAGCTCAGAACGGTGGCCCTTCGCCCGAGGCAATTCAGGCAGCCGCCGACCTCTGGCGCAGACTTCAGCAGCAGCAACAGTAGAATGGGCTGTAGTGCAAGTCCACGGAGTTGTAAATGGTTCACCTATGTGCAGCACATGTCCCATACATCTCTTTTTCCTTGGCTGTCTGTCTTGTCGCAGCGCAGTTCCTAAGTTCTTGTCGTGCTGAGCAGCCCAGCTCGAAACCAAGGAGCCTACACGTCCATAGTACCAAGAAGTTCACGATATTGTCCACGATCACCTCCTATCCCAAACAGCAGCCTGAATAGTGATTTCAACTCTCCCATCGACGCAGGATTCTGTTGAGGGCTTGGAAGAACGGTAAGTCAAGAAACATGGTGAGGCAGAAAGGGGTAGTAGACAAGAAATGGAAAACAGTTTGGCGAGTCGTTCCGAGGGATCTGCAACTCTGATAGACAAGTGAGAGGCCTGACAAGACAACTTTTTTTTACCAAACCAAACGTGTAAGACGCCATCTCTTGATCAGGGGCCAGGGCATACCTATCTCCGGGGTGCGGTCTCGGAAGCATACAAAGTATGGGATCTTGCCGCGAGTTCACCCCGGACCTCGTGGTCGTGGCGCACTTTTGACACGAGTCGTCGAGTAGGCTGTTCCCTTTAACAGATCCCGACAGAGCGGCTGAAGTCGGGGCACGACCCTTGGGCTCGGTTTTGGCTTTCTCCATGGCTGTGGTTCCTTATCTTTGCAGTCGAATCATAGCGTTTTCACACTCTGCGCGCCACAAGATAAGAAGGTCCTGTATATCATGCACAGCTGTGTCTTTTGTAAGAGGGCATTGCTGTACTTTGATGCCAACCCCTTGGCAATGTGCTCCGCCTCATGGATAAAGAACACGGCAGCTCGTCAAGAGATTCACATGTCACAAAAGCGACTGCTGGTCAAGTTTGGCTCACAAGCCGTTGCGAGTGCTTTTTGGCACAGAGATAAGAAGTGGTCACAGCCAATGAGAGGTGACGAAATCTTGTCTGTCGTCAAGCTTCTCGAACCCGCATGGCGCATCACTACGCTCAAACAGGTAAGGACTGACCAACAGATAAGAGCACCGACGTCGGCTGTTCTCTGACTGGACAACGTTCACTGATAACGAGCACCTTTGTTGAGATGGACACACAGTGTGAATAACAATCGTCTACAGTCCTTTATTTGCAAAACCAAGCACAGCTTCCAAGAAGCGCCATCCCGTCATGTATTATGCATGTGTCTCCTCTCGATGGGGTCTTCGAATTGAGAGCCGACTCGAGAGAAGTTATGGCTAACAAGCGATTGAGCTCAATGGTGGTCGTCTCAGGCTTCGATTCGGGCCTGCAGTGGCGAAAAAGAAGAATGCTTACTGCCGGCTTTTGTTGAATCATGACCGCAAAGAGTTACGCTGCTTCCTAACGCGTTACGAGGGCTGTCTTGTTCTGGTAAGCAAGGTTTCTCTGGCTGTCACCCGCGTGAGAAATCCATGGCACCAAAAAGCAGTGGTTTGGCTGCAGCGTAAAATGGACCGTTACGCGCGGGTGTCGCTGATAAGGCCAGCCCGCTGCTGCCGCTGCTGCAAACAATTTCAATTTCGATGGGCAGATCGTTTGACGTACAATAAACCCTTCGATTGTCCTCCTCAAGTGTGGCCCGTTTCCCTCCGCTAGTTGAGACTCTTCAAGAGAGCCAGATCCGACCCTCGGGCCCCATTATTTTATCCTCATCCCATCAGTCCGTCAGTGCACATCGCCGTTGTTGCCGCGTGCTGAGCCAGTGACGGCCTTTAGAAGCCCTCTTTATATATCTCTTGCTTCCCCCAACCTTCCCCAGCAGTCATTTGCATACCGTGTGTCCATTTTTCATCCTCCAACCTATCCACACTCGTCCTACTTTTCCTGGAGTATTATCTAACCCTCTGGAGCAACGACATCACTGGCTTTGACACAAAGGCCTTTTCTTAACCTTTCCTGAGCGCCATCGACGCTCGACGCACATCAACCATGTCTTACTCCTGGGTCGGCGCACCTACTGTGTTCAATGGCACGGATCCGTTGGGTGGTGATTCCAGTAAGTTCATACCACATGGTCATGGACTTCAATCCGTGGCATCCGGTTATGGACCTTGTCTGACCTCGTCGTAGCCANCCGAAAACTTGAACCAATGGTATCAATCTGGTGACCAGGCCTTCATCCTGATCGCATCAGCGATGGTGTTGATCATGATTCCTGGTCTTGGTTTCCTCTACTCTGGTCTGGCACGCAGAAAGTCGGCTCTTAGTATGATCTGGGCCTGTATGGCATCCTGCTCAATTATCACCTTCCAATGGTACTTTTGGGGATACTCTCTGGCTTTCTCTGGAAGTGCAACCAATGGCTTCATCGGCAACCTACAAAAATTCGGTCTCAAGGAGACTCTCGGTGCACCTTCTCCTGGCTCCCCTCTTATCCCTGAACTCCTCTATGCTTTCTATCAGGTATGCATTCGCTGTTTTGAGTCTACACACCATCAGTCCTCTAACAGAATCANNCAGATGCAATTCTGTGCCGTCACCGCCGCCATCGTCGTTGGTGCTGTCGCCGAGCGCGGTCGCCTGATTCCTTGCATGGTCTTCATCTTCTTCTGGGCTACTCTTGTCTACTGCCCTATCGCTTGCTGGGTTTGGGGAGCAAACGGATGGGCATTCAAGTGGGGCGTTCTCGACTACGCTGGAGGTGGTCCCGTCGAGATTGGCTCCGGTATGTCCGCTCTTGCCTACTCGATGATCCTCGGAAGACGTCAGGAAAAGATGATGCTCAACTTCCGTCCCCACAATGTCTCTCTCATTACCCTTGGTACTGTCTTCCTCTGGTTCGGCTGGTTGGGCTTCAACGGTGGTTCGGCTTTCGGTGCAAACCTTCGTGCTACCATGGCCTGCTGGAACTCCAACTTGACTGCCATGTTCGCTGCCATCGCTTGGGTTGTTCTCGATTGGAGACTTGCTCGTAAGTGGTCTATGGTTGGTTGGTGCTCTGGTACCATCTCTGGCCTTGTCGCTGCGACTCCTGCTTCTGGTTTCATCACTCCCTGGGCATCCGTCATTCTCGGTATCACCACTGGTATCGTATGCAACTTTGCAACCAAGGTCAAGTTCTGGATCCGCATTGATGATGCTATGGATGTGTTCGCTGAGCACGGTGTTGCTGGCATGGTCGGTCTCTTCTTCAACGGCATCTTCGCTGCTTCCTACATCATTGGTCTCGACGGTGTCAACAACGGTATCGACGGTGGATGGATTCAGCACAACTGGAAGCAGATGTACATGCAAATTGCCTACATCGCTGCCGTCACCGCCTACTCGTTCGTCATCAGTGCCGCCATCGCCTGGATCATCAACAAGATCCCCGGCCTTCACCTTCGCGCTTCTGAGGAGGCTGAGCTTCTCGGTATGGATGACGACCAGCTCGGTGAATTTGCTTACGACTACGTTGAGGTCCGTCGTGACTACCTCGCCTGGACTCCCGCTCGCGACATGCCTGAGACTGCCGAGCACCAGATTCCTCAAGGTGACCGACACGGTATCCCTCAACATTCGCAAATGCTCGAGGGCAAGGCTCCTAGCGAAAGCGACAGCCAAGGAAATGAGCACACCGGTATCGGTGGTGACCGTCACGCCGTTGCTTACGAGAAGGCGGAACGCGAACAGCGCACCTTGGACGGTTAAACGCCTTGATTGTCCTTTTTAACGAATACATTTGGAGGAGTTTTTATTGTTTCTACACCAAAGTCTTGTTGTTCGGGGTTTGAACAAAAGTCTGCGATTACTAGACCGACGCTGGTCCTCGGTGCACATGTTGTTTTTACGATCTACTTTTTGGGAGCGGGAAGAGACTTGGGATATTGCGCGATACCACCACCACCATTGTTTGTTGTTTTCTTTCTACCTGTAAACCTTCTATATATCGATCTACTATACCCGATGGTAATATGTCATGTTTCTGACCAACTCTGCTGTATAACTCTTGACCTGTGAATTCATCTGCTTCTCTTCCTTTCGCGACCGAGTATCCGTTGTCTGCGAATACCTAGCCAGCAGTTTCACAACTTCGAAACTTGCCAACATAGCGCTTTGTCGGCCTAGCCCTCTTTCCGGTTGCGATACCATGTGTCTCCATCCGTTTGACGCAAGATTCACATACCACCACGACGTCACTGATCTTTCTCCCCTTGTGCCTCGCAGTGGCCAAATGCGTTACGAGTCCTCCAACATCTCTACCACATGATCGAGACTCCAAACAGAGCGATGATGCGATCATCGGTATACAAGGTGGATCGTGCATCTGCCGAACCATGTTTTATCAATCTGAGGGTGTTGATTGGACAGACATCTCAGCCACAGAGCCGCAAGCCCCGCTTACAGAAAGCTAGCTCAACACCGAATAGGGTAGGTACGGTGGTTAGGGTGCTATCAAGGTCATCAGGATCGTGATAGCATGCAAAAGCTCGTGTCTGATGTGTAAGCCGGGCGTCTTTCTCTACCAGCAAGGCTTCCCTATTCTTTCTCTTTCCGAGACACAACTATCTATTGTTATCCTTCTCCTTCGCCTTCGGACTTTGGGAGTTTCACGACGCTAGGAGGCATTGTACAAAGATGTCGGAACAAGAGAATCAGAGAGCTGGTGTGGGCGAACAGGAGCCTTTGCTTGGAAGACCTGGTGACGCATCGCTGGAGGATGGACTTCCGCTGTACCACAACCTTGTCATTGGTATGGACTTCCTCAAGGTGGTTGTGTAAGAACGGTACTTATACGAACCTCACANNGGCACTGGAGCGATCGCACAGGCCGGATCCTGGATTCTTGTAGCCATCGTCTGGGGCGCAGTGTTCTCCAACCCTGTGATCCTGTTCTCTGCGCATCCTGTAAGCCTTGCCGACTGGTTTACACAGAGGCTATGCTAATGCGGATCTTCTGCAGNNTTGCTCAACTCGGCAGCAATCCTGCTCTTCACCCAGGGTGTCCTCATCCTCCAGCCCACGCATACACCCAAGCAGAAGAAGCACGGCACTTGGGCTCACGCCGGCCTCAACGACCTCGCTCTCTCGTGCGGTATCGCCGGCCTCGTCGTCATCGAGTACAACAAGATTGCCCACAATGGCACACACTTTGTATCACCCCACGCGATTTTGGGTCTGATTACCTACATCCTCATCCTCATCCAGGGACTTGTTGGCTTCACGCAATACTTTGTGCCGCAGATCTACGGCGGCGAGGAGAATGCGAAGAAGCTGTACAAGTACCACCGTGTGAGCGGATACTTCATCTTCTTGATGCTGCTTGCGACCGTGGCAGCTGCGACGCAAACGGATTACAACAAGAATGTTCTTGAGATCAAGCTGTGGGCTGTGCTTGTCGCGGCTGCCATCACATTGATTGGAGTTTTGCCCAGAGTCAAGAAGCAGAAGTTCGGCTGGTTGGCCGGACAGTAGAGAGCACGCACAGAGTATGCATGGTATCGAACGAGAACGAGAAGGGTCTTTCGGTAGAACCAAAGATAGTTTCGGAATACGATCAGGGGAACAGGTGTGGAGAAGCACGCGCAGAGGAAGGATAGGCTTAAGTGGAGCTTGGGACCAGGAGAAGGAGAGCCGAAAAAGGGCAGCTCTGGTGGAGCTCTATGAAGGATGCACGATGGCGCCGGGCTGGCTTACGATTGAGCAAGCCTTTTTTGTTACATATACTCACGCATTGCATACAAATTGGTGATAAAATTGATAGGGTGTCCGTATGACCGATGACCTGACGGGCATGCAGAAAATCAGCAGTCAGCAGGCGACCGTTGTGAGTAACGACAGAACTAGAGATGCATTTGCATGGTAAGTGCAGACAACGGGGGTTGGTGACCCTGTTAGGTTGCACAGCGGCTTTCGCTCAGGGGTATTGGATCTACGGTAAGGGTCGGGCGGGAGAGAGGGTCGCTGCACATATAAACCCCAGGACCCGGGATAGGCGAAGACGGCGAGAACAAATTGATCACCATCATCCGCGTCTGAGCAGAGATTTGAAGAAGTCGTTGTTGAGGAAAAAGCAGGTTGTTGCAGTCGGGCAATTTCAGGCGCAGGCTTCTCCAGACGACGGGGCTCTCCAAACGGCCAGTGCTTCACCAAGGGACTGTGTTGTTGATCTCTCTCGAGCGGCGCATACGTACTGGGTGCTCGCCTTGCCAATTTTCCTTTGCTCAGCAGTTTTCTCTGCCTGGGTCTTAAGGACACGCATGAGCAGCAGACGCGCATGCAATTGAGGACCGGAGCATCGAGTGGGCTCGATTGATTGCGGCGCCGACAAAAGCATTATATCTACGAAACAAGCCGGTCGGCAGGAGCAGCCATAAATACGACGACTGCCATGGATGAAACAACAGCTCTCCACACGTCTGCCTCTAGCAGCGACCTCAAGCGCGACTCTGCCATCGCAAAACCCACCACTGCCTCCACCAACCCCCAAGCCCCTACCCTGACTCTTTCGCCGAGTGCAAGCGTGCCGTCCATCATCGTCCACGATGCCATCGCCGCTGCTCCCAAATCAACCCGAAATCCTCCCTCCTTTCTGCGACGCAAATCGAAGCCTCTCGACGAAGACAGCGACCAAGACCTCGCCGAATCCCCTCGTTCCAACCTAAGTCACCCTCGCATCCGCTCTTTCCACCCCATCGACATGGACATCCCCACGACGGGCTTCGACGACCTCACGTCGCCCGACTCGCTCAAGTTTTCGACCCGCGGTAGCATCATGGTGAACTCGAAAAAGCTGGCAAAGATGATGCGACAACACGATGGCGACTGCACCGATGGCGATGTTACTGACACCGACTTCCACACGGCTCCCAATTCGCCCACCTTCTCCCCTCGCATCCAGGCTCCGCCGTCACCTCCACTATCTCCCATCCCCTCGTCACCACCGAATCCGAAGCGTCTGACAACCGGTCCTCGCACACCGAGCGTACACATGCTGAATGCCGTTCTCGATGGTCGGCGAGTGCTTTCGGCTGAAGAGAGGACCTTCTCGCAANAAGTGCGATCCATGTACAAGTACGGCGATGAGAGGGCTGCCGACTGGACCACTCCTGCCGAACTGGACCGGGAAGACACGCCCGAACCACCTACCCCTTCACGCTCCCTCACCAACCCTCGTCGAAGACCTGTCACAAGTCGAAGCGCGAGGCCCAGGGATTTTCACGACCGCTTCAGCTTTATCCAGAATGAGTTCGAATGTGCAGGCGGCGTCGAGGATTGGGAAGACCTGTCTGGCAAAGACGTTGATCGCTACGGCTTCATCAACCCGACCAAATTCATCCCCACCGAAGGCCCGCAAGGCACGTCTGTGAAGCCTAGTCTTCAGCGTGTCACGACATCACTACAACTCTTGTCCAGCAGTCCGCGCAGGCGCAGAGGCTTGATTAGAGGTCCCTCCACAGCCAGATCTTCGCGCTCTCTTCCCGCTCCGACCCGCACCAACACCCGTGGCACTGTCGCTTCATCTCCTTCCGGCCACGCTGCCTCCGTGTACTCGTTTCAATCCAGCCACTCGCAAAATCGCTCGCACAACCCTTTCCGATCTCGCGATCGTCGTATCCTCGACGACGCGAGCGACATGCTCACACTGCCCGCCTGTCTCGATAACCTCGCAGAAGAGGATGCGCATGAAGGCTTCTTGAGACGCCGCGAAGTTTTGCGCGAAGAGAAGTGGCGCAAGATGGCACGTTTGATGCCAGAAGGTCCCAAAGGCGGCGGCATGAACTTCGAGTTCGATGTGACGGACCCCAAGCTTGTAGCGCGTACTTGGAAGGGTGTGCCTGACAAATGGCGCGCAACTGCATGGCACGCTTTCCTGTCCGCCTCGGCCAAGCGTCGCGGAGGATGTCAGTCTGATGAAGAGCTTATCGAGATCTTCCACGAACTGCAGGAGGAAAGTTCTGCCGATGATGTACAGATTGATGTCGATGTTCCTAGAACGATCAGCATGCACATCATGTTCCGTCGCAGATACCGAGGAGGCCAGCGTTTACTCTTCCGCGTGCTCCATGCCATCTCCGTACACTTCCCTTCTACTGGATACGTCCAAGGTATGGCTTCTTTGGCCGCCACTCTACTCTGCTATTACGACGAAGAACACACGTTCATCATGCTCGTACGCATGTGGGAGCTGCGTGGACTCAAGGTGCTCTACGAACATGGCTTCTCAGGACTCATGACAACGCTCAAGGAGTTTGAGACCGACTGGCTGGCCAACGACCAAGACCTCAAAGCGAAACTCGACGATTTTGGCATTGACGCCATGACCTACGGTACCAAATGGTACCTTACACTCTTCAACCTGAGCATGCCTTTCCCAGCACAACTCCGCGTTTGGGACGTGTTTATGCTGTTGGGCGATGCTAATTTCCCTGGCAACCCACCACCTACCCATGAGAGCAAATCTATCTTTGACGGCGCCGACTTGAGTGTGCTGCACGCAACCAGTGCTGCGTTAGTCGACGCTACCAAGTCTCTCATCGTCGAAGGCGACTTTGAGAACGCAATGAAGGTGCTCACCAGTTGGGTGCCTGTACGCGACGAAGACATGCTGATGCGTGTCGCAAAAGCTGAATGGAAGATTCATATGAAGAATCGCAGACATGCTTCCCCTTAATCTCTCCTTCTTACACCACTTTTTCGGAAAAGTCCTTCTGTTCTGCTTTTTCTGTTTGTTTCGTTCCTTCATATACCCCCTTTGCGACGCATTGAGAGCGTCGCTTTTTGTTATTTCTCTCCTTCTGTCACCACCTACAGACACCTACGCATCCTGCGCATCTCTTTGCATCAACCTTTTCTTTTGTTTGGAATCATGTTCTATATGGATAGGACTCTGTCTTTCGTCTTTTGTCTTTTCTCATTAGCGACCACCCCAAGGCGGTGCATCGTCTCTTGACTTTCTATTCTGTAATGTTAGCCTTTTGGGCCTGGTTGAGGAGGACTTTTGCGGTTAGTGATTGGTTGAGTCTTTTTGGAGATATACCCCCGAGTGTTTGAATATGAGAATTTGTATCGATTACTTAAGTGTCCAATCTTCCTATCTGCACTGTGTCTTTCTAGAATTGCCTTGTGTCTTTGTTGGGTTTGCACATCACGATCCTTTTTTTTTCTTTGTTTTGTCCAAGGAAAGCAGGAAGGTGCTGCCAGTCCCTGAAGTTTTGCAAACCGGCCAAGCGAGACAAGACTTCCAACCTCCTCTTCCTTCGCTCAATCCCATCAATCGACAAACTGATATGCTGAAAACCGTTTTCAAGTGTTATCATGGATGACAATATGCTTGAGATGAGTTCTGGATATCTTGACTGTCAACGTGCAAAAACTAACACAGGTGACAACCACTTGCTAGAATGGAAGTAACAGTGATGTGCATCCTTGTTTCCCGCATAGTGTTTTCACCCAACCACCTCATTTTTGCCCTGGTTTCTTTGTTGGCAAGAACTAGTAGGTCTGTGATTACCTTAGGGTGCATCTTTCCTGCATTTCTCTTTCCTTCCATCTACAACTTTTTTGTATTCACATTTCTGGTAATCGTCGGGCTGCACTGCATTGTTATCTGGGCATCATTATCTGGACATCGTCATTCGACATCACTGTTCGACACTGCACGTCTGGCCAAAAAACCTCGCGCGGTAGAAAAAATACAGGAAGCGACGAAGGACCTCTTATCGCAACTCGGGGATCCTGATTCGGTGGAACGTAACTCGGAGTGACTTGAATTGTTTGCGCCTCCCCATTTGCACATCAAATCTTCGCGTCAATCAAAACATCAGCATATAACCATACCATCCACACCAGACAAACAATGGCTCGTCACTTCCTCCTCCTCACCGCACTCTTCCTCACAACCTCTCTCGCCTCTGGTATCGCCGCCCTCAACACCACCTCCTCCGAACCCCTCACCCCACGTTCCAATTACGGCTGGTCCCCCGCCGTCCTCCTCCAAGACAGCAGTGGCATCTGCCCCCAATACGCATACATAAACTGCCAATCCATCAGCGGCCCAAACTATTGCTGTGGCACGCATACTTACTGCGCCTACGGTGGCCCAGAAAACCATATCGGTTGCTGCGCAGACAATGCCGTTTGTGATGGCGAGCCCGATACACCGTATACGACTGTATATGTGCCTAGTGCGACGGCAACAACATGGTGGACGCGTAAGTGCAGCTTTTGTAACTTGGGAAAGGAGGCATGAGTGCTAATGAAGAACATTANNGAATCGGGGACTACGGCGACTGGGTTGATTGGGCCGGCCTATACGGTTACGACGACCACGACGGCGACGCAATATGTTACTGGCCCTGCGTCGACTATTTGCAGTACTTTGTATGCACACGGCGATAATTTGCCTACGACGGCTGCTGCACAGTGTGGTCTTGTGCTTGTTCTGAATGCTGCGCCGGGTAGAGGCGTAGATGGTCTTGGTCTTGCTGCTGGACTTGCTGCGATGAATGGGTTTGCGACTGCTCTGGGGTGGATGGGATTGCTATAATGAGGTGTAATTTGAGGGTGCTTGCGGCTGAGATTTGCTCGTAAAGTGTCATTACAACCATTCGCCAACGATTCAAGTCAAGAAGACCCATGAAGTCTGATTGATTTGCTGCGACTAGAACAGTTCAGTTTTTCTGACGCGATGGGCGTGTTAAGGAGCGGGCAAAGTAGGACGGCGGTCTGTATAAACGAATAGGACAGGCATCCAAAAGAAAACTTGATCAACTCCTGATCACTATGGAGATGATGTGGCAATCACAAGACACTGGCAGTGACTCTACACATTCCCACTCATCTCAACTCAGAATCCGCCCAAGAATTTGCTGGGTTGGGTCCAGGATGTCTCATTGCCGCCCATTCTGGAATGGGTGTGAATTTCAGCGACCCCAAGCCAAATCTCGGTACCCAGTCCGCCCACATGTCCTTGGAGAAAGCATTGTACACCTCCCTTTGGTGGACGGGATAGGTAATAATCGGCGTAGTTTTGTCTTCAAATTCGCCTGCCTTCAAGCTCTGGGGTTTCTTGTTCGACCCAGAACTGGCCCACTGCTCCCACTTTGACGTGAAACAAAGCCCGAATGGTGTAAAGGCATCCTGTTTTAACCACTCTGAATCATGTGCAGCTTTGTCATGAAACTCGAACTTGGGACAGGTCACCACGCCCCCAAAAAGGTGAATTACCATGGCGTGGCCCAATTCGTTGTTTCGGTTATCCGCCACCCACGGCTCCGGTGGCGAACTGTATTCTGGCCACTGGTAGTGCGCCATAAAGAAGGCATGGGCAAACTCATGCATCAACTCCGCTGCGAAGAGAAGAGCAGTGCGCAACGCGGCGGACTGAGAATCGCCAGTGGAAGGCCTGTGAGTCTCGGGGACACCTGCCAAGTCTAATGTCTGATCGAAGAACGTCTTATAGATGTCGTTGTTGTCCTTCTGACCATGCATGTTCAGGGCCTGATAGAATTCTTTGTTCAATGCAATTGCAGACCGGCGAGTGTGACTGAATAACGATTAATAGACTTCTCAAGTGAGGCTTTGAGCAGCATTTACTTACGGCAGTCCGGCAGGGACGAACTTGCCATCCTGCAGACGAGGTATAGTGCATGCGAGGCTATTTCTATCTCGCAGTATTACGTCACCTGAATCCCAGAAAAAGCTGGTGTACTCCCGCATAGCACTGATGTTGCGGAAGGTTAGCAATTGGTCGACTTCCGTCAAAGTTTCGGGGACTCGAAGTCTCCTGCACGTCTTCAGAACCGGATCCTCAAAGGCAATCATCTCACTCGACTGAGCTGACATGGCATGGAAAAGACAAAGTGTACTGGGCTCATCGAGCATCGCGCTTGCTAAGAGGAGAGCTGGTGTGATCGCGTCGTACTCCTCATCAGTGATTCCTTGCCAGCAATCCTGTCTGAATGCCGGATGTATACGATAGTCCTGCCGATTCGCGGGATTCCTTTTAGTAGAAAAACGACCAATGGGGTCCATATATGAGTCAGCGATGTCCAAATCGAGATTGATGAATCCAGCTTTGTCCAGGACTTGCAAACCCCATTTTTGGATCGGATCATCCCAATGTATTGAGGGGTTTGGAGGCCCCAGTCTGTACTGGGGGTCCCAATCGTCTGGAAACCACTTTAACTTCCCTGTTGGATCATCGAAATTGAGATGCCGGACCTCGAAACCTTCTCCCCGGGGTTGNTCTCGCGCGCCGTAATATGTCGCGTCTCTATCCCAGTTCAAAAACTCCAGAGTTTCAAGATTATCATTGAACGGATCTCGTAACGTTTGCATGACATCCAATTCTGGTGGATATGGAACGCCATATGGAAGCGATGATCTTTCGAGTCCGATACCGCCCATATCGACATCTGAGTCGTTCATCCAGTCGTTCATCCCGTCGTCGTCCATCATGTCGTCGTCGTAGTGTGCTCATGGTCGTTTCGAAAAATCTAGATACAATATCGATGAATCTGTTTGCGAGAACAATGGGAGTAAAGCTTACTTTTATGTGGAGATAGCTCGACCGGATGCGGAGTGAAACGACACAAAGAAACACGACTCGAGAATCGGCGTCATGAATGCGGCTGACAACATATCGAACAAAGAAGATACAGGCATCGTCGCCGAGATCGTGCTGTCCACGGACAGAAGGTTGTGTAAGGGTGCTCAAGCATTGGTGGGTTTGGAGAGCGAATCTCTTCTGAAGGCGTTGATTGGTTACAGGAAGTGAACGTTGTGGATTGTAGTTGTGGTTGTCGGATCGAGGTCTGCAAATCCCATTGTCTGTTGTGATCTCCTATTTCAGTAGACGACGCTTGTTTGATGGAAGTGGTTGTCAACAAAGTCGATGCTGTAGATGAAGTTCTTCGTTCCTTCCAGGAAGCTTACCTCTTCGAGAAGCTTGCGCCTCGCACTGACAGAAAGTTGTTGCACACGCCAAGTGCAGAAGGAAAGGCGCTTTCAAGGTAGGAGTAGTTCATGCGTCTTCCGTGTTATTTTCTTTCTTTTTGTTTTTGCTCTCAATTCCAGGTTTAGCCTGCAACATCACTGCCTATATTGGTAGTACTTGTACGGGGCCAATATCTTCGAGTACGCATTAAAATCGAAATTCTATTGATCTGTAATCGTCTAGTAGGAGCAAAGAGCGTTCAAGATGGAAAAGGGGTATGTAGTGAAGAAACCAAAGGGCCTTTCCTGTGAGGCCCAGATATGTACAGTTCAAGAAGCAGAGACGCTAAAACTCCGGTGATGCAAAAATTTATGGTCATCTAGAAGCGAAGGCTCGAGGAAAAGTATGACGCTTAGGAGATGCTAAACGACTCTCCGCAACCACATTGCTCAGCTGAGGTATGTTAGCATGCTGGTTTTCAGCCGATGAATTTGTAGGCGAACTTACTGATATTGGGGTTCTTGAAAATGAAACGCTCATTCAGCTTGTCCTCAAGCCAGTCCATCTCTGAACCGATGATGCTGAATAGGGCCTTGGAGTCGATCAAAACCTTGACACCATCTTGCTCAACCGTCTCGTCGAATGCTCCAGCCTTGTCCACGTATTCGAGATGGTATGCCAGTCCCGAGCAGCCTCTGTTACGCACGCCGACACGGACCAGCTTCGCCTCGGGTTGCTCGAGGAGCTCACGCAAATGCGATACAGCAGAAGATGATAGTGTGATGGCGGCCTTACGGGGACGCAGCTTGCTCTTTCTTTGAGGCTTGGTGGAAGCAGATGTGGTTGCTGACGATGACGTGTTTGCGGGCGAGGACTTTTGAGCCTCTTGTTCGGGAACACTGACAGGCTGATCAGCTGCAGGAGATGGCTTTGACTGGCGTGACGAGGTAGACGGAAGTGGAGGAAGACCGGCAATGGAAGTCTCGGGTACACCAGCGTTGCGCGGCGAGGGCATGGGATCCAGCGAGTAAGGGCGGTAGGCAGTGGCGGTTTGCAGGTTTCGTCGCGAAGAGAAGCGGAGAGCAGGCTGTGTGGTACCAAATGCAGGACGCAGACATTGTTGGCATTGGACACGAGGGGCACCGCCGGCGGCGAATCGGAACATGCTTGTCGAGACCGACGATGTGGCGCGAGGCAAAGACATGGCTGGTGTGATGTGTATGTATAGACTTGTTGCAGCCAGACAGTATACAAAGTGAGGGTTGTTTGGAGTCGTAGGTGAGAGTGACGTCCTGTGCAGAGTCGAAGGATGATGATTGTGTCTTTGTCAGAACGGCAAGCATGGGCAAAGCGGACTCTCGAAAAGCTATGATCGCATCCATTGCCCCCACCAATCACAGACGTCGCTTTGTAAATCACGCCGAGCCTCGGACTTTACTATGCCGACTTCTTCACATCACTCATTGAAGGACTTGCTTTCAGAACACAATCGTATTATTATCTGCTCTACTTGACCACAATCATGACAGAACCACTAGACCTGCCCTGAAGGCACTTGGTAAGGTCCATAACCGGGTTTTGGGAACTTCGGGGATCCGTCAGCATTCCACGTGAACTGCTGCGTTCTAATCGTTCTCGCACTCCATCCATTCGTGGGATCTCTCATGCCATGATAAACAATCCAGTCTTCGGTACCATCAGGGCTCTTGGTGAAACTGGCGTGCCCTACTCCATACGCTTCTTCCTTGGGGTTTTGGTAGAAGACACAGCCTTGGTTATTCTTGCGCCAGTCTGAAGGGTTCATCGGATCGTCACCAATGAGTTCAAGTTGACCCAAGCAGTAGTTGCGGTTGTCGGAGCGAGCAGCGCTGTAGATGACAAACTGTTGGTCTGTGGTTGGATTAGTGAGTTGCTGCGGTCCTTCGTTCGAGGAGAGGCGGTAGTTGAAAGGTCGTCCATATGGTGTCTTTTCCCAAGGGTTGTCTGGGACGCTGATGATCTGGCGTTCCGTAAAGTTGCTCTCTACAGTCCAAGGGTCGGACATCTTGGTAATGCAGAGATTCGATGGCCATGCATCATACTGACGATACCAACAGCTGTAGATGTGATACAGCCCAGAGTCGTGTTGGAAGTAGGTACCATCAATGGCGAACTGATCATAAGTGTTGAGCTGAGACTTGAGAGTGTAGGTCGAGTTCCAGGGATCAGAAGACGAGCCTTCAAGAACGTACATGCGGTGGTGAACTGCAGGGCAGTTGTAATCGCACCACATATCGATTTCTGGTGATGGCGTGTCATGGTTAGGATCGCCAGTAAAAATTATGTACCAGGAGTTGTCAATCTGATGCAATTCAGGTGCCCACAGATCAGTCGAGTAGTTCATGCCCGGAGGTGGGTTGAAAGCCAGCTTTACGTCCGCATTGTCCCAATCGGTCAAGACAGAGCTACGAAGCATGGTGATGTTATCGTTGGTCGTATAAGTCAAGTAGTAGTAGTCCCCATGACGAATCACCCATGGATCAGCGCCTACTTCGTTGAGGATAGGATTGGTGTATGTTGACGCATTGGCTCCAGAAGTGCCATTGGTGGCGTTCGTATACTGAGCAGAGACAAGAGAGGTTAACAGGCCCAATGAAGGGAGTGCGGGGAGGAAGAACATGGCGCTTCTCGGAGGTTGAAGAGAGAAGCGATCGAGACGGACATGGTGAAGGCTTTATTTAAACCTACCTTTGCAGATCGACAAGAGGATGAGCAACCCAGGAAGGAGCGATGGCAGGGTTGCATGCATCTTGGCCTCCATCATCCCCGCCTTTTCTTCGAACTCTCCGCAAACCGAGAGGCAGCCACGCGATTTCGGCTTGTTGTTCGCCGAATTTAGCCGCCGACTTTTGACAATTGCGCCTTTACAACTGTCACTGCGACGACAAGATCAGGATGAACAACGACCAGTTTAGAAAGCTCCTCAACACGCCGGCGCGGCAGGATGGCGACAACAGCAGCCCACGGCCCAGTGCCGTACCGTCATCACTTGGATCCAAACGCTCCTCTTTCATGCCCATGACGCCACGTTCAGTTCGAGGTGTCTCTGGAAATGATTTCGCCCGTCAAGTGGCCGAGCGCAATGCCGCAAACCAGACGGGAAAGAAGTTCAAGGGTTCTGCTGCGCCCAAAGGATCTCGACTAGGCTCAGGCTTCACCGACCGTACGCAGAACCGATACGATGACGAGGCAGACGAGCGAGCTGCTCGTATCAAGGCTCTTGAAGAACAAGTCAAACTTGGACAACTGGATAATGCGACTTTCGAGGCATTGCGCGATCAGATCACGGGTGGTGATGTTGGTGCTACACATCTGGTCAAAGGTCTGGATCGTAAATTGCTCGAGCGCGTCAGGAAAGGTGAAGATGTACTTAGAGCATCCAAGCCCGCAGATGAGGAAGACCTGGAAGACGAATTCGAAAAGTTCGAAGAAAAGGAGGTTGCTCGTGTAGAGCGCGAGAAGGTTGCGAAGAAGGGAGAGATGGCACTTCCACCGCCTGTCGCTGGCGCAAAGAGATCTAGAGACCAGATTCTGGCTGAGCTGAAGGCACAACGGAAAGCACAGGCCGATGCAAGACTGGCTGCAAGACCTGAGTTGGGCGACAGATTCCGCGACGTTGGTTCTTCGCGTGCAAGTTCCCGTATCGAGATTGATGCAAAAGGGCGTGAAGTCCTGATCACAACTGACGAGCACGGAAACGTCAAGAAGAAGGTCAGAAAAGTCCAGGTACCGACCGAAGAGCTGGCTCAACAAGCTCAATCGCATAAGTTCCTCGACGAAGGTGTCACAGTGCCGGCGCCCAAAGCAATTGAGAAACCTGTAGAGGCACCGAAGGATGATTCAGACGACGACATCTTTGATGGTGTGGGCGATGCCTACGACCCGCTAGGTGGAATGGACGATGATGACTCTTCTGACGACGAGGATGGAGAGGTAACTGAGAAGGTGCCTAAGTCAGGCACAGCAGCAGTAACACGGGAGTCAAAATCACCATCCTCCGACTCAGAATCGACCAAGGAACCTAAGGAAGCCACAACAACATCAATGCCTCCACCTCCACCACCAACACAACCCACAGCACCACGCAATTATTTCAAGTCCACCTCAACCACTACCGACCAAGCAGCAGAACCACAAACACCCCAAAACCCCTTCAACGACGCCGCCTTCCTCGCCGCCATCAAAAAAGCCGGTGCTCTCTCAAACATCTCTCTATCCCTCAATGCTTCCTCCGAAGATCCCTCAGCGCCCGAATCAGCCGAAGCAAAAGAATTGCGTTTGCGGAAACGAGCACAGATGCTTGCAGCCAGTGACCGCGACATGGAAGACATGGATCTCGGCTTTGGATCTTCAAGATTTGGCGACGAAGAAGAGGGAGATGATGGAAAGAGGATTAAATTGTCGACTTGGAAGGGCACCGGAGATGACGATGACGATGACGGTGATGATGGAGGTAGCNAAAGAGAAGAAGAAGAGGGAAGGAGAAGAAAGGGTGATAAGAACAATGCTCAAGATGTGTTGGGTGTGATGGAGAGGAGAAAGGAAGCTGGCAAGTAGAATTTAGAGTAGCGACTACCACATTGGCATATCGAGGCCACTGCATTCCTTGAGTGCTGCGCCTACCTGCTTCGCACTTACCATTTGCGCGTGCCACCTGCTCCTGCACTACGAAGCCTAAGATCGTGAATTCGAACCTCACTCGTGGCATTTCTTTTTGCTCTTTGTGACACCAAGACCCGTGCATATTCATACTTTGCTGCTCATCACTAGACTGTCGAGTAAGAGACATGAAACAACTAAAGAGAAGTCTTTCACCAACAAGGCATCCCAACTTCGACAACACAGCCAAATCAATAACTACCTACATAAAAACAGCAAAAAGCCAGGCTGCAGTGACAGCTAGGGAAAACCCTTTCGTGTTGCAAAGTATTCTACCTTTGCAAGTTAGAGAGAAAGTTCTGTGTACTATCAGGATCGAATAAGTGACCTTTGGTTTCCTGCAAGAACTCCCAGGAGTTTGATCGCAAATCGTGTGGTTTGCCAATTGGGCCATCTTACCGATTTGCTGAGGAAAGGCTGGCTTGGCTAGAGTATATGGCTTGAGGGACAAGTGATGGTAGGCAGATTGAATGAGAAATGGCGTTGCTGCTTGACTCGAAAGTGAGTATTCCGTCAAGATTGCTATTGCTAGTATTGCTCTTCGTTCGCAGCTCGTTAACCAAATCCTACCTCTGGCAACCCTCTAGCAATAATAGCATCCTGGACACTTTTTTTCACATCCATACACGCTTGGCCCCAACCTTCTTTAACGTCATCCCCAACCTCCTGTTCCAAGACCTCCTGCTCGACAACCAGAGTCAACCACCTGGCGATTTTTACGGCTTTGTCTACGTCTCGTTCCTGCTTGACCACAGCAACCAGATACGTAACCAAAGACCCCGTGTCTTCTGCATACGGCACCTCATCCCAAAATTCTTTCACCCACTCCCTCACCGCCTTTCTCAAGTCGGGAAGCTCAGTCAACTTGTTAGACGTGAAACTAGGCTTTTGCGGTCGAGGCGGTAGCTGAAAGAATCGTTCGATTGTGTTGGCGGGAGTTTCTTGTCTTTTGCTGCCTGTTCGTGACTTTGTGGCTTCAATGCCGCCAGAGCGGCGTAGTTGTGCAGACCTTCTTTCATCCAGAACTTCCTGGCGGATTTCCGGTGGGAGGGCGGCGAGGAAGTCTTCGTCAATCTCCTCTGCCGCACTAACGTCCTCTGTATCAGTCTCCCGGGCGACAAAGTTGGCTTGAGTCAACGTTGAGTTACCGTTGCTGGCTCTGGCTCTAGCGAATAATCCTCCACCGCGAGGTTTTCTACCACCTAGTTTCTTGACTGGAGCAATGATACGGTTTTTTNNTCGCGGCGACTGGGGAAGGATCGTTTGATCCTGTCCTTTCCGCGGGGACGTTGTGGTGGTTTGATACATTGCCATGACATCTCGACGGACATCTTCGGGTAGCGAGTTCAGTATCTCTGGGTCGAGTTGCGATTGGTTGGGCATATTTATTGCTGCTGATCGTGGTGGCTTCTTTACTGGTGTGGGACTTTTGCGATCACTGGCCTGATTGACAGGGATCTGATTGGAACGCGATTGTTTGATGAGTCTGGCCCGGATCTCTTCTGGTAGCTCAGCCAGTACTTTCGGGTCAACCTGGGTTGGAAGTGCAAATTGCGTGCCGAAGATGTTCAAAGGTCGTTTGCTAGGAGATTGGTTGTTGACTAGGTTGTCCAGGAAGCTTTTACCTCCAACATCACGTACTTTGTTCCTCTTTGGTGTTTTAATATCGTCTGTGATGGGATCTTCGGTCGGCTCGGTCTCAACAACGGCATTCGACTTTGGCTTTGTGGTTTGAGCTGATTTGAACTGCAGGCGCGGTTGACTGCTACCAGCGCGGCCATCTGTGCCAGCTTTCAATGGTTCCAGCTTGGTCATCTGGATTCCTATTCCACGAAGTTCTCCAGGACTGAAACCAAAACTCCGCATCACGGTCAAGACCTCTTTAGTCATGATGGCACTTTCGTTGGTCGCAACCCCTAGTTGGATGCTCTTGTTGTAAGTATCGCACTTGCCGTGTCCTAGATGCTTAGGAGGATCGAGAGGAGCGTCAGGAGATCGTCGCATGACTTTGACTGTCAGTTGTCTGCCCTTGACATTTTCCTTGATCAGTCGCTTCTGCAGCTCTCCGCAGAGACTGACCATGAACTCGTCAACCTGCTCTTGGTTTTCGAAGCGTACGCCCCAGTTGACATCAGCTGAAACCGATTTTCGAATAACTTGATCGCCAACTTCAGCTTTGTCGAAACCTCGGCTGTACTCCCATATCTTCTCGCCCGTCTTCGGACCAAGCGTGTTGACTAACTTCTCCTTCGAGAGCTCGCGGATGTCTTTGACGTACTTGACACCAATCTCCTCCAGTTTACCGCCAATACTATAGGCGACACCAGGAAGACTTTGTACCTCGAGAGCACCAACTAAATCAAGGACATCATCAGGTTTGAGCTGAAACTGTCCTGCTGGCTTTGCTTTGCGAAGCGCGATTTTGGCGAGCAAGATGTTGCCTCCGATGCCGACCGACACATTGCAATCAGTGCGTCTCAGTACTTCTTCTCGAAGTTCTCGACCGATTCGATCAGCCTCTGACTGCTCACGATAGTTGCTTCCCTCGGACCGTCGGACACCATCAGTGCCACCAACGGCTATGCATTGCGTGCTGATATCAATGAGCGCTTCATCGACACTAACACTTTGTACTAGGCCTCCAGTTTCCAGAATAGCGGTATAGAATTGCCTACTTGACTCTTCGTAGGCTGGAAAGTCGTATGGAAGGACTTTGAGGTCGGGGCAAAGTTCTTGAGCTCTTTTCATCCACCTACAGATCCGTTAGCTCTACTGGTCGGTGTTCAAGCAACGAATAACTTGCATTCCATTCTTTACGCCAAATTCTCTCGCAGGATAGTTGCAAGAAGCGATCTCAGATCCGTTACCACCAGCTGAGCCAGTGCCATGAGCAACCACACATGGTTTGTCTTTGAGTTGTGGATGTTTCTTCAACGATACAGCAGCAAAGAAGCTGTCGAAATCGACATGCATGATGTAACGACGAGCGCCAACGGGACGCTTTTGACGGTTCTTCTGCGAAGCAGACTTTTCCGCTGTGAGTGCCTGAAGTTGCGATTTGAGGTCTGCTTTCCAAGTCGATAGATGATGCAACCGTGATTCTCGATAGTACTGTTGAAGAAACTCTGGATTGACTACGGTTGATTTGCGAAGACGTGGATCTGCCAGGAGAATAGCGTTGTGCTCTTCCGCGGTCATCTCGGTAGTCTTCTGCTGTGGTCCTGTCTCCAGACCATCTGTCTGTTTCGAGCTGCTTAGACCCGAAGCATCATGGCCGTACGGTGATGTGGAGTAAGGTAGCACTGAGTCTGGCTCGACATCCTGTTCAACAGAGTTGGTGCGAGGAGGAGTTTTNGGAACTTGGTCGAGCGGCTCATGCGGTTCTGTGGAGGGTTCTGGTTGGTCTGTCGCATCTTCATTTTCTTCTTCCAGTGCCTCAAAATCAGAATCATGAATGTCATCGTATTCAGGGGTTAATGTTGGGGGCTTCGTGGGCGCCGGNGGACCTTTTAGGAATGAGGTTTTAGGCGAAGACACCTGACTGAGACCGTCTGTTCGTAAGCCCTTTAGCTGGCTAGTATACCAGCTATTGTCGCTCTGATCCTTGTAGCCTCTAGTTTGTCTGTTGACCTGGCTCGACATTTGACCATTGTTAAAGGCAAGCACTTTCTGGCCAACGCCTTCATCCACGACGCGGTAGTTGTCCCACGGAAGACACTTTGCAGCAGCGATACTATCAACGATCCAGGCAGGCTTGACAATCCTATATCGTTTGAACTCGACGGCTTTCTTGGGAGTGAGGCTGCTCGCGACGATATGTGTCACAAAAGTCTTGCCATCCAGATATTGTGCAAAGCCACCACCACGGGCGACGATCATGGTATGAAGGTCATTGAGCGAAGGTTGGGTGTAGCCATTAACATAAACCACGATGCCTTTGAAGATAGGTGGGTTATCGGATCGAGCGCGTATCTCGGAATCCAAATTCTGCAACTTGATTCTCTTCCGGCGCATGTACTCTCTGTGGCCACCGAATTTCGAACTTTCATACTCGTCGCCGGCTTCATCTTCGAAAGTGTGGTTCTCGATGCGCTTGCGCGTCTGCGCAGATCTTGATTCAAGGCGGGAATTCATGCCGCATATTCACTGTGTTATAACGGTCGTCGCATTGTACGTTATGAACCAAGTGTTGATGAGATACAGCATCTCGTCAAGATGGGCATTGTGCATGGTGGTTTCACTGAAGACAAAGAATAAAGTGGAACGCGAAGAGACGCGCCGAGGCCAACGCCACTTCTTTGATTTCTGGAGAATTGATGTCAGGCGTCCATGCCAAGCATTTACCCTCCAGCAGCTATCAAATACACAGGAATGTTCTCTGTTTGGGGCTCAGTGGTCAATAAGAGGGAGATGTAGATGGTTGACTGAATACTCATTGAGTAATGAAGTGCTGCTGGGTCTGTAGAGATCAAGTGAAGGTTCGAGTTGTGGCAAGAGATGGATACGAACGACCGACTTCTTGCAGCTTCGATTCGAGAAGTTCTCGTTGCCCTGGAGGTCGTTGTGGTCCAAGCTCAAGTTTTTTCGAACCTCTTGAAGCAGTCTCAGCGCAACTTTCTATCTTCATTCTCATCACTCTTTCTTTCCCCAATTAATTCATATCAAATCTACCACAATGGGTGTCCTTCCTATGGCTGTTTTCGGACTCGAGGTCCCTGCCGGCGGCATGCCCGTCGCTGCCAGCGGTGAAATTCCCGCTGCTGTAAGTTTTCACGAGTGACCATCAGCTACCAAGACAGCATTACTTACGTGATTTTCAGNNTTCCGCCTGACCATGGCTGCCATCGACCCCAGCGCTGAGCCCGAGTTTGACGAGGACACCAAGGGCAAGAAGCCCCGTGCCACCCTCAAGATCATCCGCGCTCCTCTCCAGATGGAGGACGACGAGGACGGCTCTGACTTCGACCCCGAGGAGATGGACATGATGCTCGCCTCTGACGATGAGGAGGACGAGTCCGACGACGATGCCGGCCCCAGCGACCCCGCCAAGTCCAAGAAGGCCCGCAAGGCGGCCGCCGCCAAGCAGCTCCTAGAGGAGCTCGAGAGCATGGATGTTGACTCGCCCAAGGTCAAGGGCAAGGGCAAGGTCCAGGCTGATGATGATGAGGAGGAGGAGTCCGATGATGACGACGAGGATGATGAGGAGTTCGAGCCCGAGGAGTTCGTTCTCTGCACTCTCGACCCCGAGAACGTAAGCTGCCATTCCTGTCACTCCCCTGATTGCGAGCATTACTGACAAGATCCAAACAGCNACTACCAGCAGACTCTTGACATCACTGTCGGTGATGACGAGCGCGTCTGGTTCATGGTCACCGGTACCCACGACGTCTACCTTACCGGTAACTACGTCGAGCCCGATCACACCCACGGCCCCGAGGAGGATTACGACTCCGAGGATGAGGATGAGGACGAGTACGACCTCTCCCCCGATGAGGATGAGCTTTACGGCGACGAAGATGACTCTGAGGACGAGCTCGACGACCTCGAGAACCCCCGCATCACCGAGGTCGACGAGGAGGAGGCTCCCGCTCTTGTCCCTGCTAAGGCTGAGAAGAAGGCCGACAAGAAGGGCAAGAAGCGTGCTGCCGAGGACGAGGCCGAGACCCTTGACGACCTGATCTCCAAGGCCAAGCCCGCCGAGAAGAAGAACGCAAAGAAGGTCAAGACCAACGAGGGCAAGGCCGTTCCTGCCGACGAGGCCGCTAAGAAGCTCGAGACTCCCGCTGCCGCCAAGTCAGACAAGAAGGTACAATTCTCCAAGAACCTCGAGCTGGGTCCCACCGGCTCGAGCTCCNCCGCTGTCGCAAAGGGTGCTGAGAAGTCCAAGGCTGCCCCCGCTGTCAAGACCGTCAACGGCGTTACCATCGACGACAAGAAGATCGGCTCCGGCCCCGCCGCAAAGAAGGGTGACCGCATCGGCATGCGCTACATCGGCAAGCTCCAGAACGGCAAGGTCTTCGACTCCAACAAGAAGGGCAAGCCTTTCAGCTTCAAGCTCGGTACCGGTGAGGTCATCAAGGGCTGGGACATTGGTATTGCCGGCATGCAGGTTGGTGGTGAGAGACGTGTCACCGTCCCTGCCCACCACGCCTACGGCTCGCAATCCCTCCCCGGTATCCCCAAGAACTCCACCTTGATCTTCGACGTCAAGTGTGTCGAGATCAAGTAAACTCGGAACCACCGCGACGACACAACAACAAGAATACCCGGACCCAATGCGGTCCAACCTTAGAAGATACCCAACTTGCATCTCCTCGATACAGAGGTGATAATTACGAACGAGACCTATAGGGGCGGAAAGAACGCGCGATGATATGTACAGCGTGTGGCAGGAATGAAGGGTCATCTCTGATCTGAAAGCAACATCTCCATTCTCAGAAAAGAGGAAAGGAAGAGATGTGCTTTGGTACAAAAAGTTTTCTTATGTCCATGTTTTAGCGAGAGCGTGTTGATTATCACCAATCTTACTATTTGAACAAAACATTATTGCGAACCCAATATGCTTGTCGTCCTTGCTCTCCTTGTTTTTGAATTTGTGTGCGTCAAGTGTATGTTTGTGGATCTTGTTTGTGTTCAGAAAGAAGCGGCTGCCAATGCAACTCTCAAACCTTGTCGCAAGTCTATTCATTCTAGCCATTAAATTGCTCTATATCAACAGAATGCCCCGTATCGATACCGTCTCGTCTCTATACATGAAAATGACCATGGAGTGTCTACAAGCAGTGTGATATTTGTGACTGAGCTTTGCTGTGGATGAGTTACTGACAAAATGTTGCTCTGACACATTGTCTAGGGTATCACCCTGTCATAAGTGAGCAAGTGATCATCGTAATCCTCTCTGCAGAAATAAGAGCTGCGAAGCTGTCTTTCGCGACAGCATTCATGAGAGTAGGTATTCTTAGAAGTTGCCGAACGCGGTGAGATGCTTCGTGTACTATCGACTTGGCACTGCCACGCAACTCAAAGTGTTCCAAAGGCCAGCCAGTTATCGTTCATAAAGTCCATGTTGGTATCCATCCAAGTCTGGAAGTCTTCCGGGAACGCCACGTCGTTCGACGATTGATCGAAGTTGGTCGTCTGCATGGTATTCATGACGAGCTCTGTACTGCTTAAAGCTTGATGCTCATGATCTGCACGCAGCCGAGCGGCAACAAAGTGTTTGGCGAGGTTGTAGAAGGCATGGCACAGCTGTTGAAACCGCTGGAGTGGTTCGCGTTGGTTCCTGTCATTGAGCCATTCGATCGATGCGACGAAGTCTTCGAGGAGTTTTAGGTCGTCGATGTTCAGATCTGTGACGACGTTTCGAAAGAGTACGATGAAGGATGTGAATGGACACAACATGATGGACCTGAAGACGATTGTTAGGTACTGTTGTGAGTTTCAACATTGGCTGACTCACCAGGTCATGTATTCGAGCTTGAACTCCGAGCCCATAAACTCTGCTTTCTTACTGCAGCTGTAATGGACTTGCATGGTCGATCTTGCGGCTTGTAGAGAAAGCTGTTGGGCATTTGAAACTTCAGGCATGGCTCGATAGACAAGAGTGAACAAGCTGTAGAGAATAACGTCACTGCACTCCTTGTAAAAAGAAGTATACTCCTGAAGCCACCCTGGCTCCTCAAAGCACTAGAAACATGGTATGGTCAGTCATGTATGAGGGCACTGAATCAGAACACTAACCTTCTGATTCATTGACAGAATTTCGTGTATTTTGATTATGAATTCTTGGCCTTGATTTTGTCGTTCGGACAGATTCTTGATACTTCCAGGAGCGTAGAGCTTGTCATAGATTGCACCCTGNCGATAGTGAGCAGTTGGTAATCTCGGCCCTCCGTGTCAACCTACCTGGATCTTTGCCATTTCAAGTGAGAGATGCATCCAATCCGTCAACTTGACGTGCTTGTAGTCAAATTGGTCTTGGCTGCGCCAGATGTCGATGATGTCTCGCGCAGAGGTGGAGATATCGAAGTCTTGGAGTGCGGATGCTCGACCAAGTCGAAGCGACAAGGATTTGTCCATGAAGTACACCGACCAGAATAACATAGCCCGCTTCTCATACAGGGTGGTATCACCAGTCTTGTCAGTACTCAAGCGGTGGTAACCCAGAGACTGGCACAATCGCGCTGCAGTGCTTGATAGTGTCCAGGCAGCATTTATATCGGCGGTGTAAATAGCGTACGCGGCNCTGGGTCGAGTCAATGATTGTATGAACCCAGTCAAGAATCGCGCAAATTCACTTACAGCAGACGATAGAGCTGCTATGTTGAGGTCCGTTGGTTCGAGGAATAGATTGTAAGAAGATATGCAGGTTGCCAGATGTCTGTGGCAAACCGGAACATAAGCAGCATACTTCGACATGTCCAGTCCTGCCCTTTGCATCACTGGGTTACCCTCTAGAAGCCAACAGAGCGCGCAATACACAAGTATAGATATTGCAAGAGGGCATGTTGACGAATGACAAAATTCGTCGTACATCTTGTAAAAGTCCTGGACGTCGTCAAAGAGCCACCAAGTGAACATGTCATTCAGATCATCCNNACTGCCACAAGTCTCAGCTTCAAACATGATTTTTCCTGGTTCGATTTTCATACCTTCGACATAAGCAAAGAGTCTCAATATTTCATCCCGTGAGGGTAGTTCCGAATGCTGAAGGTCGTCTGGCGATCCGATTCTGGATAATAAGTTGAGGCTAGGAGGCTCAGAGCGGTGCTTTTCCAGCAGGTTTCGCAAAGCTGCGAGAGCATTGACTGTGTTGGGATCATTGCGAATAGTTGTTGGTGCTGCTTCCAGTAGATGTTGCAAGGCTTCATGAGCTTGTCTCGAATGTGCTACCAGGGACGATTCTCCCTCAAACTGTTCAACTCGAGGAGTAGGTGCTGGCATAGAAGCGCTTGGCACAGGCGTGAAGGTCACAGATGATGGCCCAGACTGTATATAGTCAGGGGTCTTTGTGGTCGATGCTAGTGCTTGCAACAACTTTTCTATGCTTTCAAGGCGCTGTTCCATCCGGTCGATCTTCTGTTCACTAGATCAAATTAGATACGGCTGTAAAGAAGCCTTGCATCGCTGAGCCTAGCTTGAAATGCTCGCTTAACTCACTATNTGACTGGAGATGAGCACTCTAGATCGTGGTTTGGTTATATCATTACTTCGACTGGTGATCTTGCACGCCACTCCAGCAGTTTTACAATTGGAGCAAGGTATGGTCTTATCGCAGCGTATCTTACGGCTTCGACAAGTATCACANCTGTTACACGTTAGTGCAAGAACAGCACGTAGGTTTACTGGACATACAGCTCTTGGCAATGACTTGCTGAAAGCAGTCGATCCTTCCTCAGAGTCTGTCATCCTGGAATGCACCAAAACCCAGTAGCCCTGAGATGTCCTCGGATACCGAGAATGCGCGGAACCCGAGATTGGTCTGATAGGAAGCTCTTGGATGCTCCTCTTTCCCAGAAACGCCTTTGTGGGACCACTCAAACAGCGTCCTCAGGAATTATATTCATTTAGGCCAAGACTGAGCGCGCGGCAGCCCGTGATTGTCCGTAGGCAGAAGTGATGGACTTGGCATTACTAGACGACGTGGTGGGTATTGTAGAGAATTGGGTGGGTGTTTTGCTCGCTCGGGCGTCCGCGGGCAGCGAGCTCTCTATGGACATCGATGTATTCAATAGAAAACACTGGTGCTATTTTTGCCCGCAGGTTTGAGCGCCAAGCTCTACTACAGAACGTTAATTCCATATCAGCGTTCTACAAGTCTTGCTGCGACACGCGACCCGCGCGCGCCCCGAACGAGCAACTTCGATCGACGGCGACATCAAACGATTTTCGCTGGCCGCAGCAAGGAGCGCATTGGTGTTCAGAATATAATATGGTGACTGCTGCTGGAAATTCGCGATGCGGTTTTACGTCCCTAAGTCAGATCGTCTAAGGTGCCAGATAGCGAGAAGGCATCGGTCTCCAGCTCAACTGGAGAAGCTGCAAAGACACAAGGATGGTCTGCCTATNATTGTGTGTAACATTGCAGTTGTTGATAGGCATCCACTCATTTGCTCAAGCGAATGTTTCGATATGCCGACTCACTAGGCATTCTGTTGTATGCCATCGGTGTGATCTGTATGACAGCTTCAGGAACAGTCTTGCCTTTACTCGACCTTATTTTTGGTNATTTCGATGCAAGCAATCCCGGAGTGATAGTACCTAACCGATGAAAAGGTCAATCCGTGAACACTTTCAACGACTTTGCTCAAGGCAATATTACTGTCAGCCACTTTCGCTCTGAGATTGCACGAGCCAGGTGTGCATGTCCACTCAAAAGATAATCAATACGGCCTTATACTGACTGTCTCAGTCTATACCTTATCTACCTGGCAGTGGTAAGATTGGTTGTATTCTATGTCGGTACTGTCACCATGTCGTTCGCTGCAATGCGAACAGTCAGAGCACTGCGCATCGATTGCGTCAACAAAACATTGAGGCAAGAAATTGCTTTCTTTGACAGCGGCAACACTGGTGCCATTGCACTCAAGCTGAATACCTGTGCTAGCCATATACAACAAGGTCTCGCGGAAAAGGCAGGATTGGTAGTGCAAGCCATCAGTGCACTGATTACGGCCTTCATCGTGGCTGTTGCAGTTCAGTGGAAGCTCGCTCTTATCACGATTTGTATCATACCCGCTATCGTAATCACCACTGGCATCGGTGTTGTTATCAACGCCTCGCAAGAGAACAGATGTATGAAGTTGTATGGCAAAGCAGGTTCTCTTGCAACGGAAGCATTTTCGAGCATTCGTGTGGTCCACGCCTATTGGTCTCAACCTAGAATGATCGAAAGGCACAACCAAATCTTAGACAACGCCAAAAGAGAGGGTATGCGAAAGTCGCTGAACTGGGGCTTACTTTACGCCAACGAATTCTTCTTCGTTTTTGCTGGATATGGTTTGGCCTTTTGGCAAGGCATTCATATGTACGCTAGAGACGAGATCGAAGCCCCTGGCAAGATCGTAACGTGTGTTGAGCTATCCTTTTTGAGACCGGACCTACGCTGATGAAACATAGAGNTGATCTTCGCTGTTCTTGTTGCCGCCCAGTCTGTGACTCAAGTCGCCCCTCAAATGCAAATAGTCGGTACGTATGATCAAACCCTTTGTAGGCTTCCTTGAAATGACATAGAGCGACGATGGAGTTATGGAAACGCGCACAAATTGCTTCCGAACCAGATTATCAAAGTTATGCTAATTTTGACCAAAGCTAAAGCAGCCAGTAGCGCCGAGGAACTTCTTGAGGTAATCGACAGAAAGTCGCTTCTGGATCCTCTGGAGAACAAAGGAGAGCGCCCCGAGTCAATCCAAGGGGAAATTGAGCTTGGTGCCATCAACTTTGCTTACCCCTCCCGGCCAGATGTTCGAGTTCTCGATAATTTTTCATTGAAAGTTCCCGCGAAAAGCACGATTGCTCTGGTCGGTGCATCGGGATCTGGGAAGTCTACCATCGTGGGCTTAATGGAGCGTTGGTATGAGCCAGATTTGGGGACTATCAAGATTGACGGGCGAGACACTCGCGACCTTGACGTCCAATGGCTTCGTACCCAGGTCAGATTCGTCCAGCAAGAGCCCGTGCTTTCCAACACAACGATTTATCAAAACGTACGACTCGGCCTCGTAGGTGCAGCAGATCTTCCAGAGAATGAGATCGAAGCGAGGGTGGTAGAGGCCTGCCGAGATGCAAATGCAGATAGCTTCATCAGAAGCCTTCCAGAAGGGTATCAGACTGTTGTTGGCGAGCGAGCCAGTAGGCTCTTAGGGNGTCAGAAGCAGCGAATCGCCATTGCCCGAAGCATCACATCGGACCCTAAAATCCTTTCCCTGGACGAAGCTACCAGCGCTCTGGACCCACAAGCGGAAGATATTGTCACAAGCGCCCTGGATCGACTGCAAGGCTCAAGGACCACGATCGCCATCGCACACAAACTCTCAACCGTCAAAAATGCTGACAGGATCGTCGGACTTGACCAAGATGTCATCAAGGAGCAAGGCACTCACGCCGAACTCTTAGACCAAAAAGGCGCTTATTATCGTCTCGTGATGGCACAAGATCTGGGGAAAGACGGTGACTCCTTGGAGAAGAAAGACGCTGAGACTTTGCATACGGAAGTCAATCAAAGTCTGTCACGCAAAGAGTCCAAAGGTATTGGGCAAGAACTTCTCAGGCCATCAGACGAACGCAGTCATACACTGGATTACAATTTGTTGAAGTGTCTTACCATTTTCCTCAAAGAGCGCCGGGATTGCTGGATGAATCTGTTCATCATCGCGGTAGCATGCGTTATTGGTGGTCTAACCTATCCAGCGCTTGCTGTTCTAATCAGCAGACTTATCACCACCTTCCAACTACAGGGATCTCAGCTGACAGATCGCGGAGACTTCTACGCACTCATGCTGTTTGTTGTGGCGATAGTAAACGGTTTATTGTACTTCATCGCTGGGTATGTTTCCAATATCGTGTGCCAGATCATCTCGAGGCAGTATCGCGAAGACATGTTCAAAAACATCATCTACCAAGACATGGAATATTTCGACCAACCCGAGAACGGCACTGGAGCCATTGTATCTCGTCTGTCCCAGGCGCCCGCCAATCTGCTCGAGTTCATTGGCCTCAACTCTGCACTGCTTCTCATTGTCTTGATCATGCTGTTATCGTCTGCCATCACTGCCATCATCTTTGGATGGAAGTTGGCGCTCGTTGCTATCTTTACCATTATGGTGCCGGTTGTTGGCATGGGATGTTGCCGTCTCAGAATGAAAATTCGACTCGAAGAAGCCACGGAAAGGCTATTTTCCGACAGCGCAGCTACTGCTTCAGAAGCAGTCTCGGCAATCCGGACTGTGGCTTCACTGTCACTAGAACAGCACATAGTTGAGCGGTACCAACCGCAGCTCAGGAACATCACCAAANAGTCCAGCAAGATGTTGCTCACCGCGAGTCTGTTTTTCGCTGTAGCTCAGGCTGTCGAGTTCGCTGCTATGGCATTAACACTGTGGTACGGCGCACGTCTCATGTCTTATGGCGAGTATAGTACGAACCAGTTTTTCACCGTGTTCATCGCAGTCGTGTTCGCTGCTGAAGGCTCGGTTCAGATGATTGCATACAGCACTTCGCTTTCTAAAGCACGCGCTGGTGCGAACGAGATTCTCTGGCTTCGATCTCAACATCCACGCATAGGCATGCACGACCGATGCCGTCAGGTACTTGACAATGAGAAGGGGTCAGAAGATTCAGCGACTTTCGAACTGGGCAAGGTCGAATTCGCTTACAGTACCCGACCTGACAACACTATCATCAAGGGGTTAGACATCGACATCCACCCGGGTGAATTTATCGCATTCGTTGGAGCATCAGGATGTGGAAAGTCGACTGTGGTGTCACTCTTGGAGCGATTCTACGAGCCATCTGCTGGAAGTGTCAAGCACCACGACAGAGAGCTTAGAGAATACTGTCCTCGGAAGTACAGAGACGGCATTGCGTACGTACAACAAGAGCCGAGTCTGTTCGATACAAGTGTTCGTGACAACATCCTCCTTGGAACAGTCGACACAGCTACGGCCGCTGAAGTCGAGGCTGCCTGCCGTCAAGCCAACATCTGGGACTTTGTTTCCTCTCTACCTGAAGGCCTGGAGACTGGTTGCGGAGCTGGGGGTACACGCTTGTCCGGTGGCCAACGACAACGAACATCGATCGCACGAGCACTCATTCGCCAACCTCGAGTACTGTTGCTCNACGAAGCGACGTCTGCATTAGACACTAACTCTGAAAAGTACGTTCAAGCCTCAATTGCCCAAGCGTCCATTGGTCGTACTACGATTGCGATTGCTCATCGACTTTCTACGATCAAGGACGCAGACAGGATCTTTGTTTTAGGCCAGAGAACTGTGGTCGAGCAAGGTACTCACACTGACTTGATCAAGCAAAAAGGCATCTACTACAAATTGTGCCAGTCGCAGTCCTTGTAGGCGGTACGAAACACCGCTCTCATGTATTAGTAATTAGAAGCCCATGTCCGGGACAACATTCATCCTCTTTCATCTCTCACCCTTCTCAACCCTCCCGATGCATTTGCTTCGGATTTTGAGACTTCCTAATGTGGGAGGTCGAGCACTATTCAATTGCTCCTAGATTGATAACCCCGCTTAAGTCCATTGATGACGAAATAATAACCAATCACGCCAAATCACGAAACATTGAAACACATCTTGCCAGATCTTTGAACATCATACCAACCTCGATATATCCAATCCATATACACGGCAAAATGGCAAGCTACACCAACGGCGAGAGTAACAACGGCGAGACCAAGGGCATCCAGCCCAAGATCACTCTCTACACCAACCACCTTTGTCCTTACGCCCACCGCGCCCACATCACCCTCGAAGAGCTGGGTCTGGACTTTGAAGAAGTCGTCATTGACCTGGACAAGCCTCGCGAGCAATGGTATCTGGACATCAACNCCCGTGGCCTCGTGCCTACGATCAAGTACACCGTCCCCGGCCTCTACGATGAGGAGATCATCACCGAGTCGAGCATTGTCGCACAGTTTCTCGCAGATGCTCGTCCTTCGCACTTGCTGCCCGGCAGCTTGCACGACCCTTTCGCACCGCTGTTTAGAGCTAGATTGGCTTTCTTTGTCGACACGTGGAACACAAAGGTTCAGGGCAACCTTTACCCTTTGATGAAGGCCGAAGGTGAAGAGAAGGAGAAGCTGGCCAAGGAGACCATTGCTGCTATTGAGAAGGAGATTGAGCCTCTGCTTGCAAATGCTGCTCCTTTCTTTGGCGGCAAGGACAAGCCTACGCTTGCCGAGGTATGTTGTGACTGGAAGCAATGTCCACTGGGTATCATACTGACCGAAGACCCAACTGCAGNNGCCATCATTGCGCCTTTCCTGATCCGCTTCTTCGCTTTCTCCAAGGAAGGCAACCTTCTTCCTTCGTCGCTGAGGAAGTCCATCGAGGCCCTGCCCAATACTGGCAAGTGGGCCAAGGCTGTTGTTGAGCTCCCCAGTGCTCTGACCATCTGGAACGAGGAGGATGTCGTCAAGAGAACATCGGCTCGCGTGGCCAAGATGAAGGAGGCTGCTAAGTGAGCGCTTCTTCTCGGTTGACTGACCGGCAGAGGAGACTAAAGGAAGCAGACTATAGCATGCATAATGTGAAATGACTACTAGGCATATAGCAACGGCAGAATACATGGTTTGATCGTGCAACAATGGCTTTCGGAACCAATGGTTTTGTCTTCCCTGACGAGAGAGATGGTAGATTCATGGATGCATTTTGAATGACGAACTGGATTTGACGGTCTCAGAATGACTCGGTATTGATTGTGTAGCCGAGACTGAAATGCATGAGTTAATTAAGCACTCTCAAGTATTCGACATATACTATCAAGACAGCCTTGACCTTGCTATTTCTTGTATACGACTTGTGTTCTACTCAGACGAGCATTCAACAAAGTGAAAGGGTCCGAAACGCTCGTCGAGTAGTTCGGTCGGTTGGTGGCGGCTTGGCGTTGCGCCAAGAATGTCGCGCACAGAAGTTGCAAAATCACAAGGCTTGCGCGTTGTGAAGATTCTCTCCTCTTCGTCCGCGACCAACGATCACTAACGACCCAGCTTCCCCAATACCGTAACAGTACGTCGAACCTCTGCATCAATACACGATTGGTCGCAGTCGCCTGGCAAAGAGTCGCATTTGCTGACAGTTGCAAAAGATGGGTGCCCTCAAATACGTCGAAGAGCTCCAGAAGAAGAAGCAGTCTGATGTCCTGCGCTTCCTTCTCCGTGTTCGCTGCTGGGAGGTACGCGCTACATGAGAATTGATGCTACTCGTTGAACTTTGCTGAGAGTGCATCAATATAGNNCTCCGCCAGTTGAACGTCATCCACCGCGCCTCGCGCCCTTCGCGCCCCGACAAGGCCCGCCGTCTGGGATACAAGGCCAAGCAGGGATACGTTATCTACCGTGTCCGCGTCCGCCGCGGTGGTCGCAAGCGCCCCGTGCCTAAGGGTGCCACCTACGGTACGGCTGAAGAATCTGCAATGCGAAGAAGGATCTGGGTCTAATACTCTCTACAGNGCAAGCCCACCAACCAGGGTGTCAACCAGCTCAAGTTCCAGCGCTCCCTCCGCTCCGTCGCCGAGGAGCGTGTCGGCCGCCGCTGCGCCAACTTGCGCGTCCTCAACTCGTACTGGATCAACCAGGACTCGACCTACAAGTACTTCGAGATCATCCTTGTCGACCCCCAGCACAAGGCCATCCGCAAGGACGCCCGCATCAACTGGATCGTCAACCCCGTCCACAAGCACCGCGAACTCCGTGGCCTTACCTCCACCGGCAAGCACAACCGTGGTATCAACAAGGGCCACCGCTACAACAACACCTCTGCCGGTCGCAGAAAGACCTGGAAGAGACAGAACACCCTCTCTCTCTGGCGCTACCGATAAACGTCTCGCCCCTGCCGGCGTTGACGTGGTTGCTAAAAGGGATCTGGGCAAGGGTCTTCGTTTCGTGTCGTTGCGATGTTGGGACGAAGGCATCCACAAAATTTCTGGGATTATTAGCGGGCATTACGAACTAGCCATAACTGTTGTCATTCAAAATCACAACGCTACCCGCTCACTTCCTCGTGTTTCCTGTGCAATGTGAAGGTGATTTGTCTTGGAAGCCAAGTGTATAGTATGTAGAGCTTACGCAGCCCTAACGCTACAGACAGGGGTCGGGTGAAACAGGATGGAATTGGAGCATATTTGCAATTCAAGCTGATGGAGAAAGAGCAAGTTGCAAATGGGGCATTGGTGAGTGGCAGGTGTTAGGTTTAAAGGTTCCGAGTAGATTATTACTAGGTTCGGCGCAGGGCGACCCCAGAAATAGGAGCGGTAGTGAGGGGGCGGCGCTGGGCTCGAGAGTCATGTCAGGGAGAGGTTCCAGGAGCTGAGCACAGTCGAATTGTGGTCGACACGAGCTCAACCGCTTGGTGCTTCGTATTTGCTTCTCTCGACAATCTCTGCCCTCGTCGTCTGGCCCAGGACATGACTGTCGTGCTTTCCCCGGCACGCCCAGCGTCCGTCTCAGCTGCTGCCCACCTGCATCAACAAGACATTCTTCACCCTTCACCTGTCCCCTCGTCGAGCCAGGAGCCACCTGAAGCATCGGCATCCGGGAAAGCATGTCTCTCTGGCCACCGCGATTCACATCTCTAACTTCGGGCTCTTCGGGAAACGCAAACAGGCCGCCTCCTGCATCCCCTCCACGCGCTTCGAGAGATCAACAACCGCCGCTCTCCCCACGGCCCACCCAATCCTCGAGTCCACGACAGCAGCCACACACGCGTGCCGTCAGCCACCCGTTACCGAGGATTTTCGGAAAGAAGAAAAGTGCACCCGTCTTGAGAAGTATTCCTCTTGATGAACACTTGGTACCTGTGCTGGACGCTGGTCCTTCCGGAGCGTCTGCAACCGACAAGCCCATCGGAGGTCGCAAGAGAGATGAAGAGTTGATTACACGCCAATGCATGTGCTGCGATAACAAAGTCCGCTTTCCTCGCCATCTCCACGTCTTTCGCTGCACCAGTTGCTTGACCATCAACGACATTGAGCCCTATGTCAAGGAGGCCCGCGGTCCCAAGTCTGGAACATATCCAGCTCAGCAGCAGGGTCCGCGACGTAAGTTTGATTGTTCAGCTACAAGAGTCGCACAATGAACTGACCAGAACAAGNCGATACTTCCGCTCTCAGTCGAACGTAGTCGAGCCATCATCGATCGCTGTCTGATCACCTACCTTGAAGCACGATGCCGAAGAGGAGATGCTCCAACCTTGCGAAGTGCTTCGGGCCTTCCGGATCCTTTCGTTGGTGGTGACTCAACAACAGAACATGCAACTCTGCATCCACCTCCACGCTTCGAGCAGTCGCCTCCTGAGACGCCTGAGCTCCCTTCGGCAACCTTGAAGACTCCCGATGATTTCCAATATTTCTCATACAAGGCTTCTCCTTCACCGAACAAGAGTCCTTCAAGACCCAAGACTGCTGCCTCGTCATACACCGCTCCACATATGCCTCCAGTGCCACCGATGCCTCCTCTGCCGCCAAACAGAAGACCTCCTCCACCACCTGGCTTTCATTCCGCACCCCTTCCCATGCGTCCTACGCCTCCTGTCTACGACGGCCCCAACTCTCAGCGTTACGATCGTGTCAAGGTCATCTTTAAGCCTCTTGAGGATTATATGCTCAGCAGTTTTGGCGATTACAACTGTCTTAACACTTGTTTCAGTACTGTACGGCATCCGATTGCTACACGCAGGAGGAGTGAGAGTGCTATCAAAACTCCCNCTAGTGAAGCGGTCGAGGCTCTTACTCAAAACATTATAGATTCATTTTCCCAGCTCGATGCAAAGACACTACTTCTTGGTGATTTCGCAGAGAATGGCGACTGGTGGACAGGTCGAGTCGCTCGCGATTGTTCGGACAAACCTGACAAACGTGGCCACCAGAGCTCAGAAGGCAGGCGCTTGACCACTTCAAGGTCTCCTCACATTGACTGGGAACAGCTCTTCCATTGGTACGATGTTATTCACACTGCTGGGTCTAGGTGGCGCGACAGAGTTGCAAACATCAGGGATGTTGACCAGGAGAAGGTTCACGAACATATCCGCGGTCCTGTCAATGCTAAGGAGATTGATGAAGATATTGCAGAAGCCCGACTCCATGCCGAACGAGCTTTGCTGAAAATTACCGAGAACATTTTAAAACGACCTACTCGACCTCTGGTTGAACCAGACAATGTACGCTTCCTGCTTATCGTCTTGGCAAATCCTTCATTATACCCTCTAATGCGGACAACCTGCAACCGACCGCCAGTGCCACGCACTCCTTCTGGGCTCAAGAGCTCAACTCTGGCGCCGCCATCTACTCTGAAGCTTCCATCTCCACAGAAGCCGTCAGGTACTCCCATCGGGAACGAGCCAGGGCAGCATGCTGGCATACTCAAGCGTATCTTTGGCTTGATCGCCAATTCTTCTGATAATTGTCATCGCTGCCTTACCAATTGGTTCAGTAGACTACCAGAGCAACAATTTGTCAAGATGGTTGATCTGGTCGCGAGGTTCGTCACATATCGACTTTCGCGACGGAAGAGCCGACCTCGCAGTGTCATACCTCAAGATGGTGGCCTCATTCCTGATTTGTCTGGATCTGCGAGGAACACTTTCGCTCAACTCCAGTCGGCAACTGGACTGAGTGGTAGCGGAAGTGGAGCTGGGAGAAACAAGATGCCACAGATGGAGACTATAAGCGTGATCGACTATAGTGAAGACTGGCAATTGAAGGCTGCTGCCAAAATAATGGCAATGTTGTTTGCTGCAAATAACACATGGCAGACGAAGAGAGCTGGCCTCACTCCTGCTCAGACAAGCCTGAACTCCCTTTCTAAACCACGTACAAAGATGCACGGACAACTGTTGCCTACCTCGGATTTCTATAACACGCTACTCGACTATTACGATCTGGTCGCAGATTTCAAGGCTTGGGAGTCGAAGAAAGCGAAGTTCACCTTTTGTCAATACCCACTCTTCCTTTCTATGGGCGCCAAAATTCGACTCATGGAGTACGACGCTCGTCGACAGATGGAGATCATGGCTCGTGAGGCTTATTTCGACTCTGTCACCACGCGCAGATCTATCGATGGTTACTTCCACCTTCGTGTGAGACGTGAGTGCATGGTTGATGACAGTCTGAAGCAAATCAGCGGTGCTGTAGGATCGGGTCCAGAGGAGCTAAAGAAAGGTCTCAAAGTTCACTTCACGGACGAAGAAGGTGTTGATGCAGGTGGTTTGAGAAAAGAGTGGTTTTTGACAGTAGTCAGGGATATCTTCGACCCTAATCATGGTACGTCTCAATTTCAACAATCCTGACTTAGCAGATAAGAACTAACATCTCGGCTAGGCATGTTTCTATATGATGATGACTCGGGCTTCTGTTACTTCAATCCATCATCTTTCGAGACGAGCGATCAATACTACCTCGTGGGAGCTCTCCTCGGACTCGCAATTTACAACTCGACCATCTTGGATGTAGCGCTTCCGCCATTCGCCTTTCGCAAACTGCTCGCTTCGGCCCCTCCTTCGACTCAAAATCCTGCTCTTCCGTCGAGTGGTAGGACTCAAGTAACCTATACTCTCGAAGATTTGGCAGAATGGCGGCCTATGCTGTCAAAGGGTTTGCGCGATCTTCTAGAGTTCGATGGCGACGTCGAAGCAACCTACTGCAGAGACTTTGTCGCAAGTGTCGAGCGGTATGGTGCAGTGACGGATGTTCCACTCATCCCTGGCGGTGAAGCGATACCGGTCACCAACGAGAACCGCCGTGAGTATGTTGACGCCTACGTACGCTACCTGCTCGACGCATCTGTGGCTAGACAGTTTGAGCCCTTCAAGCGTGGCTTCTTCACCGTGTGTGCTGGCAACGCTCTTTCCCTTTTCCGTGCTGAGGAGATCGAGCTCATGGTTCGCGGTTCTGATGAGGCTCTTGATGTTGACTCGCTCAAGGCGGTTGCTGTGTACGAAAACTGGCGCGAGGTTTCTCCACCGCACAAGCCTCTGCCTAACCCTGCCGATCAAGTGCCGGTGATATCCTGGTTCTGGGACTGTTTTCGAAGTGCCACGCCCGAAGCACAGCGAAAGCTTCTTGGTTTCATTACTGGTTCCGATCGCATACCTGCTGTCGGTGCCACAAATCTTGTTCTTCGCATTGTCTGCGGTGGTGATGGAACTGCTGGCCAAGGACAGAGCGAAGGCAAGGATAAAGAGAGGTTCCCTATCGCGCGAACGTGCTTCAATATGTTGGTGCTTTGGGGCTATGAGAGCAAAGAGAAGCTCGAAGAGAAGCTTTGGCGGGCTGTGTCTGAGAGCGAAGGGTTTGGATTGAAGTGATTGATGAGGACGCGGGTCCTGGTAGCGTATGTTCTTCTATCCTGTTGTATTCATCTACGACTTCTTTCTTCATTGCACCTTCCTCTGTTGATCTGTTCATCCATCGCTAGCTGGTCCTAGTAGTGTGCTTGGCATGCATACTAGTCACTCTTGCCCACTCGATCGTTCCTGCAACCCCTCACATTCTCTGGGCTTCAAGATGTATCCTTGCTGTCTTTCCACCTCCATCAACTCATCGGCACCTGTATTTCATTTGTCTGCCGTCCAGGCGCTCGTGGTCAGCCACAATCACTTTTATATGCTAGGATGAATCCTTCGAAGGAATCACTCCGCGATCTCGGCAACCTTCCGCATATCTTTTGCGACGATCCCCCACAACTCTATCCTCGGATATTCTACATGAGGATGCTGTAGAGGTACGTAGGTACATCTGTCGGTCTTCTTCCCTCGAAATATATAACAACCATGCATGCAGCCGTCCAGAGTTCCTCTACCGACTCTCTCCCCAGAGCTGCCTACCATCATGGACGACGCAATGAAGAAACACTCCATCGAGCACTTCGAGCTTGCCCCGGGGCCAGGCTCGGATACTGCANCCTTTATTGATCCCGTCGCTGAGAAGAAGCTATTGCGAAAAATCGATCTGAGGATTTTACCGCCGTTAGTTTGAACATTGCACATGGAAGGGACTACATTCTGATTGTTTCTAGGTNTGACTGTGTTGTTCCTTCTTGCCTTTTTAGATCGCACGAATATTGGAAATGCAAAGATCCAGGGTATGACTACTGAGTTGAAGATGGGTGGGCATGATTACAATATTGCATTGTTCGTGTTCTTCATACCTGTGAGTGTCTATCGTCATCTGCTTCCAGGTGATGCTGTCGTGGTTAGAACATGCTGACATGTTGACAGTNATATCTTGCTCGAGGTACCGAGTAATATCGTATTGAAGAAGATTTCGCCCTCACTTTGGTTGAGTTGTATCATGGTACTTTGGGGTAGGTTACATGCCACTGTGGTAGGCAGGGCCAATTGTACTAATACTTGTCTTACAGGTATAGCAACTATTGGACAAGGTTTAGTCAAGACGTTTGAAGGACTCGTTGCTATGAGAGTCCTCGTTGGTATCTTCGAAGCTGGGCTGTTTCCGTAAGTTACAAGTAAACAATGTGCGGAAACGCGAACTAATCGTTTTGCAATGCAGTNNGGCTGCGTATATCTGATCAGCATGTACGTAAGGCAAAGGTACAGATAGCACGAACCAGAACCCATCAGATGGGTTTTGGACTGCTATTTGTTCCATGCTCAAACATAAGACACATGCTAATTGTACCTTCACCTTGCAGGTNACTATCAGCGCTATGAACTACAGTGGCGCCTCTCCTTGTTTTTCTCTGCCAGCATTCTCGCGGGTGGCTTTGGTGGTGTAAGTCCTAGACAGGGCTTTCTCATCAATCAGTGCTGACATGAATTAGNNCTTCTGGCTTATGCTCTTGCCAAAATGGATGGTATGTCTTTATGAATGTGGAGTAAGTGTCACAATATTGACGTGTCTTGCGCAGGCATAGGTGGATATTCGGGTTGGAGATGGTAGTCCTTCCTTCTATGATTCATTCTCGAGAGACGCTAACCTTTAAACACAGGANTCTTCATCATCGAAGGCCTCTTGACCGTTGTTGTTGGCATCGCTTCTAGATTCTGGGTCTGCGATTGGCCCGAAACAGCAAAATTCCTCACCGAAGAAGAACGTCTGCTCTTGATCTCACGACTCCAAACTGATTCTGGAGAAGCGGTGATGAACAGATTAGACAAAGCTGCAAGTATGTGTTCTTCCTTCCTTTTTATTGATACCCTAGTCGTTTGACGTGTACATGAAAGCTAACGGAATTCGAAATTAGCTCGCCGTATCTTCAAAGATTGGAAAATCTGGTGCGGTGTAGTCATGTACATGGGCATAGTCAACACCGGCTACTCGGGTTCCTTCTTCGTACCCACCATTATCCGTGAGATGGGCTACACGTCTGCCTCGGCCCAAATCCGCTCAATTCCCATATTCGTCGTTGCTGCGGTCTGCTCGGTTGCTGCTGCTTGGTTGACCGATCGTCTTCGCCATCGCTTCGCATTCTGCATCTTCGGTCTCGTGGTGGCATCGATCGGGTACATCATCCTGCTTTGTCAGACCGGCCTGTCGGTCGGCGTCAAGTACTTTGCGCTCTTCCTCATCGTCCCTGGCGGCTACATTACTCAACCTATCGTCCTGGCATGGGTACAAAACTGTATGTCTGGCCACTACAAACGCTCTGTGGCCGCCGCCATGACAGTCGGTGTTGGCAATTTGGGCGGAATCGTTGCGTCAAACGTCTTTTTCGTTCAAGAGGCTCCTCTCTACCGCACAGGATATGGTGTCGGGTTGGGCTTCTTGTGGATCTGTGGTCTTGGCTGTGTGGTACTATTCGCTGGTGTCATTTGGGAGAACAAGAAGAGAGATAGAGGGGAAAGAGATGATAGATTGGCATGGTCAGATGTCGATAACCTTGGGGACGATCATCCTAGTTTCAGGTTCACTACTTGAGGGAATGTGTTGGGGGTCAAGAGGAAAAGAGATGCTCACGCATACAGACGGATATTAGCATAGCTGTTCCCATCATTTCGGTTGTCATCGTTGCCTTCGCTGCAGATTCGATGCCATCGTCGTCCGAAATATCACTCGATGGCATCATTCCTATGTGCAGCCGTTCCATCAAACCACCATCCTATCGCTCCTAGTACCATATATACTCATTTGCTATGTTGACACCTATGTAAATCGTGCTTTTCATCCACGAATCTACCATATCTATACGCCACTATTCCTCATTCTTTCGACAGTATTACGTGGGGACATACCAATGCTCATCAACCTTCTCAATTTCGAGATCGGAAAATGCAGTTTATGCGAAAACTGCCTCTGATCGTTCTACCAATAGCTCAAGGTCTGGGAAGGCACTAAGGGTACTACTTGGCTATCTATGTAACATGTTCTGAGTACCGTAGGGCCAATGGTGAACGTGTTGTCGTCGATTGTCATGATTGCTCTGTTGAAAAGGGTATGACCCTGTCGGAGTGGGAGAGCAGGGTTACCCATACTTACACAAGACTTGCTAAATTCGAGGCGAGCAACAGCGACGGACACATTGCGTCAAGACAGACCGGCAATCGCATCGAGCAAAGAAAGTGAAACGGAGACATGCAAAGGTATAGTGAAATGGAAAATAATTGCTCGCTGATTTGAAAACAACAACAACAACAAAGGATCCCTAGGTATCAATCTGTGTGTTCCCTTAGGCGCATCCCTTTTCAACAAACTAAGACTACATTATCGACCTTTTTGTTTTCAGCTTTTGCGTGCCATGTGCTATGTGAAAGTGTCATCATTGATATTCGTTGAATCCATCATTACGACCGTGTCAGACGCGATGGTGTTGTTCCTCTACAGAAGGGGAGCCTCGGCTCTGACGTTCTCAGGTGCAGAGTTCTCGTGGTAGACGTTCTCATCACGGAGGACGGGTTGAGTGTGTGCGGCAAGGCTGGGCTCGGTGGTGGGGACGCTGGGAGCGTTGAACTCGGTCAAAGGCTCAGTGGAGCGGTCGATACTCTCAGAGGCATGGCTGTTGGAGCCGAAAGAGTCGTAAGAGTTACCAGTAGCTTGCGAGGTCTTGTCGGCAGCAGACTGGGCAGTAGCGGAGGTCTTGTTGGCGGCGTCTTGAGCAGTGGCAGAGGTCTTGTCAGCAGCGGTCTGAGCGGTGCTGGCAGCAGAGTCATAAGCGTTCTGAGCAGAAGCGGAGGTCTTGTTTGCAGCGTCCTGAGCAGTGGCAGAGGTCTTGTTGGCGGCATCTTGAGGCGGTNNGGCAGCGGCCTTGTTGGTAAGGTTGTTGGCGGCGTTCTGGATGTCTTCCTTCTTGATTTCTCTCTCAGGCTCGTTCTTGGCGGGGTTCAGGTTGGCAGGGTTGGGGGCATCAGCCTGACCGGCACGCTGCTTGGCCTGGCCGATGAGCTCGGAGGCGCGGTTGGAGAGGTCAGTGGCGGTGCTCTTTGCAATGTCGGTAGCGTGCTGAGTCTGCTCGGCAGCAATGGTGCGAACCTGCTGGGTCTGCTCGTTGATGATGGTGCTAGCGTTCTCAAGCTGGGCGTCAATGACCTCGCGGTTGTTGATGTAGACAAGAGGGACGGTGTAGATCAGAGTGGTGAAGAGAAGAGCAAGGCCCCAGGTAGGCATGATCTTGACGAGGAAGTAAGAGATGAAGGTGATGAAGAAGGCACCGACGGTGACAAAGACGTTCTCGCCGAACATGATGCGCTGGAACTCAATGACGAAGAAGTTGATGAGCTGCTCAACATCGTCCAGAGAGGCCTCGAGGGTCTCGCGGGGGATGGTGTAGTACTTGCGAGGGCGCATGCGCGAGGCAAAGCCGCGGTCCATGACAAGCTTGCCGACGACTTCAGCGGCAGCAGTAACTGGGAGACTTGTCAGACACAATATCATCAGATGGGCGTGAAACGACTACTTACTACCGAGAACGATGTAGAGGGCCTTGAACAGGTACTTGAGGATGGGGACATAGCGGGTGAAGAAGATGAAGGTGAGGATGGATGCGAAGGAGATGGTGGTGACACGGGGGTTCTCCCAGCTGAGGAGGTTGTAGAAGAACGAGTGGTAGTGGGTCAGGGGCTGGCCAGTGGCAGCGGGCTGGTCAGGCACTCTCTTGGAGTCCATCAGGTTGGAGTACTCTTGCGAGGTCTTCTGGCCCTCGATTTTGGCCTTCTCGGCTGCGGGGCCGTTGGCAAGGTTCTGGTAGGCAGCGTTGGCATCTGGAGACATGGTGAGTTGGAGCTCTGATTTGCTCGAAAGAGTGNNGAATTACTGTGAAAGCACAAGTCAGCAAAGATGGAATCAAGTTTAGGGAGCTCCAGTGCTGAAGAAGCGTGTTTCAAGAGCAAAGCTGCAAACGCCCATCAAAGAGAGCGGCAGCTGTGGACTGATGTGCCACACAGCGAGCTCTCCCCAATGAACAGCTGCTGACAGAGCTCTGGCTGGAGTGAAGTGGCCACGTACCTTACTGTTGACGACAGCGTCCTTAGCGTTGATGGCAGAGACCTTTGCGTTTTGCAGCTGGGGGTTGAGGTTGGGGTAGTTTGTGTTCGACATGGCGGCGGCTGGTCTGTGATGGGTTCAAAAAGAGCTCAGGAAGCAAGGGAGACAAGGTGCAGAAGTCGCTTACCGATCAATTGGATAGGAAATGGGAGAGTGGTGAAGATGGGAAACAAGGATGTTTTGAGGAAGAGCACGCGACAGAAGAGAAGACAGCGAGCAGCTTCCCAAACCTGCGCCCTGATTTTTGGTGCAGAAACGTCATCCGCGCGAAACAATCAGAGCTCCGTGCGCTTTCACATGCATCTGCGAGCTCCACCAGCCACGCCCGAAAGCTCGTCATTGATTGGGGAAGCCGCTGCTGTCTCCTTTCCACGCTCCTGCCGTCTGCCAGCCAATCTTGGTTTCACAGTCCAGGCAATCTTGTTTAACGCATGAGTTCGCAAACTGGCCATTCCATTGCTTGTCAGAATCGTCTGTTCAATTCCCCGTCCTATCTCGACGCTGTATCGTTTCATCCATCCTCGTGGGATCTGCTCCGATCGCAAACAAACAAAGATCGTCCACTAAAACCCACAAGACCCGCTATCCAAAACACCCTCCAAAAGAGCCTCATGCTAGAAAAAGAACAAAGAGACCAAAGAAATACGAAATCCTGTGTTTTTCCACACAGTCCCTGTCCATCGACTTTAAGCGTCCTGTCCGAATCTCCATCCACCTTCTTTGACAACTCGTGCACGCATCTCACGGTCCTTGACCTTTTCTTCCTTCGTGACTGCGTCTCCCGTGTCGACCCAGCGAGCAGATGATCCACGCTCGCGGAACTTCTTCAGTCGTTCGGGGTTCTTGCTGTTGCGGAACACCTCTTCCATCTGTAGCGGTGCGATGGGTCCAAAGATGCTCTCAGGATCCACAAGCTGTTGCTGTGTAAGCAGATCGCGGAGTGCCGGCGACGCAACCCAAGAGGGCGCTCGGAATCCACCAGTTTGATCATCGTCCGAATCCTCATCTTCGCTGTCTGTGGCAATCTCAGGCAGATTGATGTTGTCTCCATTGGGGTACAGAGGTGAAGATTTGGCAGACTTGGGTACCGATTTCTTAGAAACGACTTGAGCCGCCGGTCGTCCAGGTGTCTTGAATGCCGATGGAGGTGCTCCCTTGCTCGAAGATGCTCCAGGAGGATTCGAGTTCTCTGCGAAGGGGATCCGAGCTGTCGACAACTTCATCATATCATTAGGATGCATACCTGCTTTGGCGTGCTGTGCGTGATGTTGTGCTGTGACCGTCGCCTTGAACATGTTCTGAGAGTGGTGAGCAGCTGGCGGAGGTGCGTGAGTGTAACCGTGTGGGAATTTGTTGAGTGTTGACTCTTTGCGCATGTTCGACGGTCTCTTTGGAGGAGCTGTCAAGGCGTTGTCTGACGGCCTATCGACCTCATCGTCGTCACCCTCCAACGTCTTGCGTCGCTTGTCACCTTGCTGCTGGTACGATGTTGGCGCTCTACCGATAGTAGGACGCTGCGATGACTCTTCGACCTCTTGCTGAAGAGGACGTTTGGCGGGCTTTGCACTGTTGGCTTGAGGTGCGGGTCGATCTTGCTTGGAGAGCTGTCTCAGTGTGCCACCAATGTCTCCACGGGGCAATGTAGACTGTGCTTGCTGCCTGTCCATCTTCTCTTGCTCCATGTTTGCAGCCTATGAACGTTAGCATAAGTAAAAATCTCTTTAAAGCAATCCCGCTTACCAGTTCAGCACTCTTCTTCTGCTGCAAAGCCAGCTGTCTCTGTTGCTCGACCTTTCTCTGCTCTGCCTGTTTTTGTGCTGCATTTCTGGCCTCTTGAAGTCGTTGCTGCTCGGCCGCCTTACGTTCCTGTTCTGCTTTACGATCTTCTTCGGCCTTGGCAGCTCGCTTGCGCTCAATCTCGCGCTTCTGTTCTGCTTTCTTNNCAGTGCCACCTTTTCGTCTTGTTCCTTTTTTNNTCTGGCAGCAGCCTCGAGGGCCTTTACGCTGCGCACCGAACCAGCACCAGCACCAACTGACTTGGACAATGCAGGGGTTGTGCACTGCCAGAGCGTGTCGCTTGTTGGCGAGTGGCTGGGGCAGTGTTCGTATCTTGAGAAGAGCTTCCCGGCTGGNGTGGAGCCAAGTCTTTGCGAACCCGATGCCACCTTGATGCTGACTGGGGCAGGCTTTGGCTGAATGCTACCCAATCTCGATGGCTTGGCCAGTCTGCCAGGCGCTCTCAATTTGCCAGCTGGAGCGCCAGTCTTGGGAGGCACTGGAGGACCAGCTTCATCGACGTCGCTTGCTTCATCTGCAGTCGATCTCCACGATTGCTGTGATGCAGCACCAGGACGACTAGCCGCAGCATGTCTCTCCTTCTCGACTCTTGCGGCTTCGGAAGCCTTGTCCTTCTCAGCCTTCTCGTGAGCCTTCTGCCTCTCTTGTTGCCTGACCTTCTCCAGATCATCCATAGCACTCGTTTCGTCCTTGGATTCCTTGTCCTTCTTACGGGCGTGCTCAGTTGAGCTGCGAGTTCGCCTGCTTCCACCGGTTGCGGGAAGAGCGGTGGCCGGCCTGTTCTGGCTAAGATCAGGGTAGAGACCGCCAGGCATCTTGGACATGTCTGAATCGGGACGTTCGAATGTTGCCGCAGAGAGCGGTCGATGGGGAGAGGAAAGTGAGTTCATCTTCGCCTGGGCGCTGGCTGCAGCACTACTACCAAACATACCTTTGGCAGATTTAAAGACAGAATAGAGCTTGGCCTTGGATGCGCTAATAGGTGCTTCGGCGAACTTTTGTTTTGTCGGAGAAGCAATAGAGTTAGCAACAGGAGTCGTGGCACCGCTGCCGGGAGGGAAGTTGGGATTGGAAACAGATGTGTTCTTCTGGTGGTGAGCGTGATGAGGAGCAGTTGCAACCTTTGCAGGAGAAGCGAGAGTGGCTGTCGAGTTGGACTTGTGGTGTCCCATGAAGTACTTGGAGGGCGATTCGCGCAATGCAGGCTTAGGAATGCCAGTAAAGGCTGGTTGCGCTTCTTCAATTGAGACAGGGTCAGATACTTGGTCATTCAGCTTCTGTGTGTCAACGCCGCTAGCGGCACGAGAGCTGGTAATTATGGGAGCGATCCAGTCGTCATCATCATCATCGTCGACGAGCGGTTGTGTGTCGCCTTGAACATTTTCTTGAGACGGTCCAGCAGTAGATCTGTGCTCGTGGGCTGGTAGAGAAGGATAAGCAGGCATGTGAATGGACTTGGATGTGCGAGGCTCCTTCTGCTGGCCGAGCAAAGTTATGCGCTCGTGCAGCCTTTGGGTCGACGTTTTGTTGTGTTCGTCTGCATCTTCTGCCGACTGAGAGTTGGTCTGTTGCGTGATACCAAAGCTCTTACCAAAGGCACTTGTGCGAGCACCACCAAACGCATCCATGTGACTGCCTCTGGGGCCAATACTCCGCTTAGCAGTCAAAGGCTCACGGGCAGGCAAGGCGGCGAAGGTCAAACTGCTCTTACGCGTTAATGGCTTGTCGGGTGTCGAGGTTTCGGATGGCGATTTAGGATTGTCGTCTTCTTCTTCCTCTTCCAGCTCTTCCTCGTCTGCCATTTGGTTTTCGTTCTGGTCCTCTTCAGCCTGCAAATCTTCATCCGCAAATGGCGCGTTCGAATCTTGTGTAACGGGTCGGCTGCTAGACTCGGGGTCGGGCACAGTGGCCTGGTCATCGTCTTCTGCGAGATCCTCGTGGACATTCTCGGCGTCTTCGTTAGCCGAAACAGAAGATGCTGTGTCGTTAACAACAGGATCGTTTGTGACGTGCTCTTGTAGAGGTTCGAGGTCGGGAGCTTGGGCGTGGCTGTTTTTGAGCATGGATTGTTGCGAGTCAACATCCATCTCGTCCTCGGTCATGCCATGGTATCCAGAATCCATGTTCTCCTTGCCCACGCGCAGAGGGCTTTTTCTGGAAGTTCCCGAGCGAGGGCGCTCTTGTTCGCCATCCTGCGCGATCTGGAACTGGGCAACCTTTGAGTAAAAGTCGTTCTTGGGTGCTGGACTGAAGGTCGATTGGGGATTGGGCGCAAANAGATCCGTCAGAGGCTGTGATTCCTGTCAGTTTGATTCTTCTTGAGGTGGTGACCAAGGGAGACGCACAGCTCGAGCAGCATTCTTACGCGCTGTACGAGGAGTCTTTCCTCGCAGCTTTCCAGGAGTCTTGAAGATATCGGCAAAACTNACTGCGCAAAAGTCAGCGCGAGTATTCTAGGAGAGGATGGCGAGAGCATACACAGGGTTGCTACTAAAAATCTCGGCCATGTGCTCGTTCAGCCATTCCATCTCGTTCTGGGCAGCATAGCCAAACTCCTCAACCTCCATGTCGACAAACTCGGCAGCCTGGTCGCGCTCGGTCTGGATCCATTGCGACGAGCCGACAGGGGCTGTCTTGGAACGAGGGGCCATTGTTGTTTGACGCGTTGTTGTTGTGCTTCTGGAGAGCTAACCAGGAGAGAGTGGACCGAAGATGTCTGAGCTGGACGTGCAACTGATCAGACTATATCATGTCGTTGGACGTAATTGGTTGGCGTCAAGTCGAGGGACGTGGTGTTGACGGAGGCGCAAAGACGAGATCTCGAAGCTGCTTTGTTGTGACATGGATGTTTATGCTCGTCAACTTTGGGACCCATCATCTTGCTTGGCGCGACCCTGGCCAATCACGCTCCATCGGCCGACTTGCTCCTCCTTGCCGGCCACGATCGCCCAAGACCTCATCATCGACCGAAACCCCTCAATCGGCTTCCTGTTCTTCTAGCCGAGTTCTATATCATTGTAATTGTAGGTTGCTTGAACAAATTCCGACTGCGTCTTTCTTTCTTCTGTAAACATGTCAAAACATCTCCTCCCCTCGCTTCGTGCTCTTTCACGACCTTCTTTTCACAGTATAGGCGTATCAATACCACAAGCAAGATGTTTCTCCATGACCAAGCCTACGCGACTGATGGAGACCTCTGGCTTCTCGGAAGAGCAGATGGAAGTTCGTGATGCTATCTCCAAGATATGTTCCAACTTTACAGATGACTACTGGCTCGAGCACGACCAACAGGAGAAATATCCCCATGAACTACACGCTGCACTGGCAAAAGACGGCTGGATCGGCATTGCATTACCAGAATCTCTCGGAGGAGCTGGCCTCGGTATATCAGAAGCCACCATGATGTTGCAGACCATCTCAGAGTCCGGTGCTGGCATGGCAGGTGCTCAGTCAATCCATGCAAACGTCTATGCCACTCAACCTGTCGCCAAGTTTGCTACAGAAGAACAACTCCAGCGAATGCTTCCAAAACTAATTAGTGGTGAATGGCGAGCTTGTTTCGGTGTTACGGAACCGAACACTGGTCTGGAAACCCTCAAGCTCAAGACTACTGCCCTCAAAGACGGTGACTTTTACAATGTGACTGGCCAGAAAATTTGGATCTCTTCTGCCCAGGTAGCCACAAAGATGATTCTTTTAGCGCGCACTACGCCAATCGAGGAAGTCGCGAAGCCCTCGGAAGGTCTGTCTCTATTCTTCATCGACTTCGACAAGGCACAGCCAGGCCTCGAGTTGAAGAAGATCCGCAAGATGGGCGGACGAGCGGTCGATGCGAACGAAGTCTTCTTTGACAACTACCGCATCCCAGCCGACTCCCTCATCGGCAGAGAAGGTCAAGGGTTCAAAATCGTGTTGCACGGCATGAATGCCGAACGCTGCCTCCTAGCAGGCGAAGCACTGGGTCTAGGCTACGCAGCTCTACGCAAAGCATCACAGTATGCCAAAGAGCGTATCGTGTTTGGTCGACCCATTGGCGTAAATCAAGGAATCCAACATCCCCTCGCTCAAGCATACATGCACCTCGAAGCTGCAAAACTGTCTACTTATCATGCGGCACGTCTATATGACGCATCCACGACTAATTCAAGCATTAGTCAGCATGCCATTGGTGTTGCGTGTAACACGGCTAAATACGTAGCTGCTGAAGCTGCGTTCACGGCTTGTGAGAGAGCGGTCTTGACCTTGGGTGGTATGGGATATGCAGCGGAATACCATGTCGAAAGGTACTTGCGAGAGTGTTTTGTGCCCAGGATTGCGCCGGTCAGCAGGGAGATGATCATGAACTACGTGGCCGAAAAGGCTCTGGGACTACCAAGAAGTTACTAGCTCAAACTCATGCATCGTAGAAAGGTAGATTCGTGCTGTAAGCCATCTTCATCGTCACTTCCGTCTCCCGCTTCTCGCATTGATCCTTCCAAGTGATCACTTTCAAAACGAAACACATCTTCAAATATACAACGGCAAAATTTCGACAAACAGAACCCCCCTAGCCGCCGTACTGCTAGGAGGGGAAGAGAAAGTATGCTACCTTTCGTCATTATTGTTGTCGAGTGAGGATTACTGGGACCTCCGGCTTCAAGTTGGCGTCGAGGAGAATAGAACCAGTGGGCTTTGGCCAACTACATGGGAGACACGAGCCGCTACCACTGCGCCATCCCACCGGTTCGATTATGACAATGCCAACTGTGTTTGATATGATGCTGACGTTGCTATCTTGTAGACGTGAGGACACTTTTGGTCGGACATTCAGGGGTAGGTGGTGATAGTCTGACTTCCCTGAATTGTCGTAGCTTAACGCCCTCAATCCCTTCTCACACTCCTTCCTCTCAGTGCTTCGTGAGTCTACTGGAAACTAGGCCACTTGCTAGTCCTCTCGGTGCTCCATTTAGTGCACTGAAGACTTGCCTGCAGAGCAAACACATTCTTTTGCCCACTGCTTTTTCCGGCATAAAGCGCAGCAGAATGATGAACACCTAACACATGCAGTCGACATCAATAGGCACCGGTCACGAAGGTCAACGTCAATATGGCAACCACTCAAAACAGTATTGAAGTCAAATTGTATGTGATCTCAGAGATGAACTATTCTCTAGTATCGATCATTCCGGCATCTACAACATTCGTGGATGGTTCACAAGATCTTCACCAAAAATAAGCCGGGAGGTGGGTATAGCAGAACCTTCCTGATGTTGTAGTTATCGGCACCTCAGCCACATCTCCACCTCTCTTCATTNNCAACGCAGCTAGCAATGCCGTCCCGGTTGTTGTGAGATTTTCGATGCCAAAGTTCTGGAGACCAGGTGCACATTTCAGCAGCATTTTGGCACACAGCTTTGCTCTACCACCAGAAGATAGAGAGCTTACAGGGTCAGTCGATCTTACCGCCATGAACTCTGCCACTTCGCCTAGATACAGGATCCATAGGTTCGGAAACAAAAATGTCGAGGCTGTTTGATCGGGANNACCCACGTGCTCAGATCGTGAGGGTAGATCAAAGCACAACATTCCAGTAATGGACAGGCCTGAGAAAGCGACTTGATCGATGCAGCACCCAGCTTCAGACCCTTTGCCTTCAAGATCAACATTCTGAGTTGTGAAAAGTTTGGGATCAACTGCGCGAACATGCCGTCATCCAACCCATGTATACTAGAAGGTCCGGAACGTGCGTAACGATACGAAATTTCGAGATATTCGAGCAGCTTCAAACTCGAGAGCACTGATAGGTGTTTGGAAGAAAACACCCTGTGTGCGAGGGGACATATGGTAAGACTCTTGAGTTGCCTTTGTCTTCCGAGGGTAGGAAACAGCTCTTTGGCGGTGACATCGAGGAGACACAACTCAAGGACTCGAAGCTGATTCGAAACCTGCTGCAAGATAGAGACAGCACTTGACGAGCAACCCCATNTTCCTCAACGACCTAAGCTTCCTGAATGACTGGACTGGTTGTGATGACACAGGCATTCGATCCAGTAGCTGTGGCCCAAGCCAATCCCCGACTAACTGAAGCAAGGGATTTTCCTCTAGTACATGGACCAGGAGACCGCCAGTCATGAGCTGTAGGGAGAAACGACCCGCAAGAGACAGATGCTGCAGCGACCTACAATTCATGATGAACATGCGGAACGGCTCAGGATCTGGATAATCGGCGAAGTGCCACAGAATCAAGCTTTCAAGTCGTGGCGCTAGGTTATCCATGTTGGCCCTAAGCATATGGTTGGTGGCTGAAACGCTGAATTTGCGACTCAAGGATAACTTTCGTAAGCAGGGTAACGATCGGACAAAATTTGTAAAGTCGGCCTCGCTGACCTTTGCGAGGGGGCCGCATAAGTCTAGGGTCTTGATCACAGGACAACGCCTCACTATCGATTCGAGAGATTGCAAGTCCAAGTCGCAGCTATTCAAGCCAATCGAACGCAGTTTCGGCTGTAGATACGGAACGAGCTGAAGTCCTGTGCTCGGGTCTTCGACGAGATCCATCCACAGCGCACGCAGCGACGGGAACACGAGTTTGTTGAAAGCAGAAATGGCATTCAATCGCGCAACCAGGAGGATCTGAATTTTGTTCGCGTAATACTGACGTCGTTCTCTTGATTGCATAGAAGCCAAGTTTGTGAGACGACCAGTGGATGGCTCCTCCCAGAGTAGGTGAGTACTCATCTCGCACCATTTCTTGTTGACCTGTACGGCGGTATGCAGTGTTGGTCTGTCGAATCGCTCGAAGATACACAGCTGGATCTCCGGCGATAAGTCCGAAAAACGGAAGATTTGCACCGTCATCCTCGTTGATGTGTCTGGCATGAACAGATCTCTCAGGCGTGTCGAAGAACTTGAGATTGGAAAGTTGAGAAATCCATAGAATCAGCAGTGTGAAGAAAAAGTTTGTCCATACAGAATTCACTCAAACCCACTCAGTGATCCAGCTTTCATACAACAGCATATTGCGGATCTTTTCTTTGTGTTACCTTTCAAATCATTCTTGCGACTTGTACAAGCACCGTATCCAAGACGAGACAACCAATGTATTCCTCGGGATGCTTACGAGTTGCAGCCCACCGGTACGGCTCGCAGTGCGGACGTATATTTTTTCTTTTGTCTTGAAGTTGGACTTTGCTTCCCATGTGCTTCTCAGCACATGGGAAGACCGCTCTCTCGTATATTCTTGAGGTGAGTTGGTACGAAGCGCCAAAAATCAGACTCGTTCGAGATTCAGGCTCAGTTCTTGTAGCCGACGCCTTTGTGTTGCATAGCAAGTACAATTGAAGACAAGGATGGCTCGAGTCGCATTCAGAAGTGCAGATAACATGAGTGTTGGTTTCGAGAAAGAGCGAGGTTGTTGCGACAAATGTAGGCGACGAGTGGCCGTCTTGGCAATGGTAGCGGTAGCCTACCACATAACCGACCTTACAGTCTTGGACAGATCTCTCAGAGATGCAGCCATCTTCCTGTCATTATGCATCTCATATGTGTCAACGCCGCCGTCCGGCTAGGATCTGCACATCGACATGCAATCCAGGTTGAAGTCCAAGTAACCACAAGGGCCCATGGTCGTGTTACACGACACTCGTCACGCGCGGGAAGCCAGGCCGACATGAGACGGCAGGGACGAATGGCTGACGCTCAACACGCTATGGTCTGATTGCAAGGGAAAAGGAGAAAAACGACAGGTTTGCGCCCAAACTCGAGGAGACTCGACTAAACGCAGGTTTTTGGGGTCTTTCTGGCCTCAATGGTGATACAAAAATGGTTGGGCGGCTTCGTCGTGAAAACTTGCTGTAGTCGTGTCTGAACCCCTTGAGTGGACGAACATTCTTCGAACCGGAAGAGAGACCGCAGTCTCGAGTAGCGCTCATATTGAGGCTCAACGTCAATCAAAGTCAACACTGACTCGTGATAGTGTAAGCCTCAAACATACGAGCAAAACACGCAATCGTTGTCTGCCTCACATACGAGCAATCCTTCACCGAGAGTCATTGTTTGGAGTTAGCACACTGCACAATGCAGTTTGTGCCACCGTTATACCGCTCGAATCCGTCGCATGAACTACACGCGGAGAGGGGTTTCTCTTGACAGGCTCGTAGCACCGCCCTAAGAAACTCTGAAACGTTCTACACGACATACATCAGTCGCTCTCGAAAACTCCCCGATTCGTCCGGCATTCAACAAAAACGACCCGGGAGCCGAACAGGACGAGACAGAACAGAAAATATGTCCGGTCGCACAAGATTCTTCCCATATCAAGAGCTTGTCTTCCTTTTGCAATGTCCAGACTTGGCATCGACAGACTTACACGACATGATGTACGTATGTCCCATCCATCCCTGCTGCTCATCCGCGTTATGGTGTATTGCTGAGTTAGGCATCGTTGGTTGATTGCTGCACGACATGTGAAGGCGCAGGAACAGGCCTAACCATACATCATGATCTGCGGCGGGAAGCAATCGCTTTGAGATGCCTGCGATTCAGATTCGCGGTTCGATCGCCTTCACTGTCCAGTCATCTCTGGGACTCTCGATCTCCCGGCATACGAGCCTGCAAGTGGTTTCCTCAGCTACAAGAGTGATCACACCCTTGTCACAAAAGTGCTGTTCATTTGTGACTGTTGTCAAGGGAAATGGTGGGCTTGATGGAGACGGATGTGGCGTGTGTCCAAGAGCGTTTTATCGGCAGTCTGCATATGCAAGCCCCATAGGCGTTATGGAAACTTGCAGTCAAACCTGAAGTTGCTGCAGAAGACGGCATAAAAATCGTATAGGTAACATTCAGTGCATGCGAAGTATATCAGAAAGACCTTATCCTGTTATGAGAACGTCTTTGGATATGCTTGAACAGTCTTCGGAATCCACAACGGAACTATTCTTCTCCAACCTCGACATTCTGATAATCTCGTTCAAACAACTGGTGTCCCAGCCTACAGTGCTGAGAAGCAGCTTGGCGACCAACCACACAAACTCGACGGCGCTTTGATCCTCCGTTGACCACTCCAGACATCACTCCATCAGGCAATACTCTGTGTACAAACAGAGCTCTCCTCAAAGCAGGAAAAGAAAGCGGCGTTGCCTGGTCATGCGAAGTCACTGAGACATACAGCCCACTTGAAGGCAATCAACCGAAGCCCAGCATACGAGGTGCAGACCGACATGAATGAAATCCTGCTATTACAACAATAGGTCAGCAAGTGAAGACCAGCAAAAGATCAGTGCAGACCAACTTCGGCATCGGCAATTTACAAAGAACGGTAGAAGGAGTTAGGTGGAGANNAGTGAATAGGAGAAAGAGGCATCAGCAATAATGACAGGCGTTGCTTGTTCCTCATGGTCCCTGGAGCCTGTCTTTGATACATACTGCAAGCTCCCTTTAGACTTGATAAGGCGTCGAGCTCTCGCAGATGCTCACCGCCCATCGCCTCCTTGTCTGGAAACCCAATTGAGCTACTTGAACCCGGTCCAACACCCTCACATAGTAACTCCCACGTCGCTCAACTCTACACACCTCGACGCAACAATGGCATCGGAAGGCAGACACAACATGATCAAGATTTCGTCTCTCCTCAACGCTCCACCATCTCCGGGTATCCTGCCTCCTTTCTCGTCATTGAGCCCGCCTTTCACCCCTGCACCAACCAGCCAAGCATCTTCTGTCACGGCCAGTCCTCCACCACAAGTTGCACGCTCTGGTGGAGCCTCGACAGGCTTTCGTCAGAAGATCGCCAAGGACGCTCCGGTGTTCAATCGTAACCCAGCCCAAGGCGAGATCAACTATGGTCCATTCGAGGTCAGTGACCGATGCGCTATGCTCAGCAAGCGAGAGCGCCAGGAGCTGGCTGAGCATCACCGTGGCTTCAGCATCTTCCCCAACGGTAGCAGTGATCAGGGTCTGATCCGTGACTTTGTCCGTCACATTCCTTACAACAGCGAGAAGAAGGCCTTCTCAGACAAGACTGGTCGCGAAGCGTTCGAGTGTGAGTGAGCTTCAGGGCACTTGTGTTACATTGTGAGTACTGACTCGTCCCAGNTGTTTCAGTACACCTTCAGCCTGCCCCACGAGCCGAACAAAACCTACACTGTCATGTGGGACTACCAGATCGGCCTTGTACGCATCACACCTTTCTTCAAAGCATGCAACTACCCCAAGACGCAGCCCAACAAGGTTCTCAGCCTCAACAGCGGCCTACGAGAGCTATCATTCAGCATCACTGGTGGCGCCATCGCAGCCCAGGGCTACTGGATGCCTTATGGGTGCGCTCGTGCTGTCTGCGCCACCTTCTGCTGGCACCTTCGCTGGGCACTTACCCCTATCTTTGGTCCCAGCTTCATCAGGGACTGTCTGCCTCCGAACCATCCTGGTTTTGCGAGATTCACCATCGACCCAGATGTTGTTCGTGCATGTGCTCGTGAGGCAGAGGGCTGGCGCACCGGTGCCGGCGCCAACCACTACAGCCTTGTCTCGGGCCACCCTACCTCTGCGCCCGCACTCCCTATTCCTCGCTCAACACCCATGCCCATGCCAGAGCCCAAACGTCTTCGTGCTCGACCTACACGCCCTCGCATTGATACTGCCGCTCACCTCGGAAGCCCCTTCCACAGCGACGACGAGAGTGCCGCAATCGTCACTGACACGTTACCTACGCGCCGAAACATCCCTGACTCACCCTCGGTATCTCCCAAGACTCGCATCTCTCCCACAGTCCACTGGTCTGCAGTCAACGACGCTCGCGAGGATAACAATGGCACACCCACCCCTTGTGCCAGCCAGGTCAACACGTCCAAGCTGCCAGTAGACATGCAAAACCTGCTCGTCACACCCAACTCTGCCACCGGACACACCATCCCTTCTCAAGCAACTGGTGCTCGCAAGCGTCGCCGCTCGTCCATCATCGAACTCATGTCTTCATCGCCAACCACTTCGCTCACTACATCACCTATCACTGATTCTGGTTCTGATGGCGAAGACCCCGAGTACGTGGCCTCGTCAAGCGAGAAAGAGGACGATGAGAGCGAAGGCGAAGGACCGAGCAATCGGCCCAGAACAAGCAAGAAGAGAAAGATCAATGTGCCTGGCGTTGGCCACTTCGGAACCAGAGAGGTCAATGCGGCCAAGATGCTTCTTGCCTTGCACCAGGACGACGCTTCCATTGGCGCTGTGTGAGCTGCTCCTTCCTTTCTTCCTTCCTTCTCCCTTCGTTCTTCCCTTTGCCAAGAAACTCTTCGAAGGTCCCGGCTTGCTGGCAGAAGGCACGATGCAAACATTCTTTCATGACTATCTCTTACGGCCTTTGTTCTCCTTTCCTCTTCTCCTTGGCTTCCGCTCAACATGGCTTATGACTCGAGTATGATGTTGTCACGATTGAACTCACACACTGCACTTGGCGATATATGGCAACGACTTTTATGTATTGATACCCCCTTGCTTCCAGCAGATGAATGAAAAAGTCTTCGTTTCCAAGCATTCATGCTGTTTGTACTCGTGTACGTGCTTCAATCAGTGGAACTTGTTCTTGTTGTGAGCTACAGAGAAATGCATGTTTGGCTGAGAAGATTAGCCCAAGCCGTGCACAACGGTGAGGAACAGGTGTGATGCACCATATCTCTGCTGATTGCGGGTTACAGGGTGGTTGGTGGCAGTTTGATATTTAGAATCTGCTACAGGACGATCAGAGCTGCACTTGGTGATGGAAGATGGATTTATCGTGAGCTGGATGGTCAAAGTGATGCCAGAAGAAGGGCGATGTGTGATGAACTTTGAGGGCATGCGTGTAGTTGGATCTAGACAGTGCCTTCTAGAAACGGAGTGTCATATTGAGGTAGAACTGAGTTAACTGTCGGACGGTGGGATGGTGCAGCGGTCAAGTTGAGCTCGTTGCTCCTTCCCTGTGAGCCGGAGTCCACCTGTTCGAACCGGCTCGTCACCAGCCGGTTCTCTTGAATAACGATGAAAGGAAAGCGCATGCGTTAGTACTTACTCTTCCCCCAATCGCCTGGGGGTTTGTGCTTTGCTCGAGTAGAGACATGACCCCTAGTTTGTTTGCGCGCTCCAAGATATTGATCGCGCATTGGAACAGGCAGCAAACAGCTTCGATGATTTGCAAAAAGAATTGCTTATCAGGGAATCGAACAAAAGATCAGAGAGCCAACCAAGCACACGATGTATATAAAGGTTAGCAAAAGCTGGGACATCCTTGTCGTTTTCGTTTTGCTTGGTTTTGATTCACTTGTTTCGCAATCTCTACTTTTTCACTTGAGCTTTATTGCTTTGTATGTCTTGAAATGCTTTGGCTTGTCATTGATTCATCTCTCATCTATCAGCCCCCGAGCGTTGAACTCCTAACCGAACCCTCCCTGGTCGAATTCCGATTCCGTGCTGTAGACAGAAACCCATCGGTATGCCCGCTCTAGACCTCTTCTCCATGAAACGCCGAGAAAAAACATCATTCCGTAATCAACCCAGCTTGGGTCCGTTGCCTCCAGCTTGAGCCTTCGAGAACTCGGCAAGAAGTCCCAAGACTCCGTTGTTTGGACGGCGCTCGTTGACCGCCTCCGGTTCTTCCATGTCGTCCCCTTCGCCAAATGCCTTCCATGACTCGGTTAAGTCTTCGTCTTGCTCAATAAGCCTGCTCGTGGTCAAAGCATCCAGGCCTGCCATTTGATCTTCTTCGCCCTCATCAGGACTCTGATATGCAGGCGCACTCGGGCGTTTACCACCTCCGCGTAGCTGTGTCAATCGCTGCTCTCCAAGGCGCTTGGTTGTCGAGAGAGCGGTTTTCTGTCGCGGTACGTCCAATAGCAGAGACTGATGCGGTGAGAGTTGATGATGTGATGGCGGATCTCTTGCATTCCTGCTTTTGTCAGCGGCAGTCTGTCGCGTCGGAGCTTCTAGCGGCGGGAACGCTGGTGGCAGTTGGATTCCCTGAGGACGATTTTGACGGAAGGCCTGCTGCCTGTCATACTTGTCAATCCGTTCCATGAAATAATATTGCGACATGGCCATCTTGTCATCCTTGGTACCAAAGTAATCCTCACGAAGTCCATCAATGTCTTTACCCACATCGTCTTCAACATTCTTGCTCTTTCTGAACTCGAAAACGGCGAATGTACACAGATGGCCAAGGCCGTCGACTTGCACTGTAGAGTTGCGGAAGAAATCGATGATCATCTCACTTCGCTTTCCAGAGTTTCTCCACAGGATGAAAGGGGCGATCAGAAGACTTAGGATTTCTTCAAGGAAAATCATGACCTTCATCTGATACAGCGCAGAGAATTCAACGCGGACTTCGTCGCTGTGTAGCTGGTTCTTCCACCTGGCAGGACAGTAGTGTATAGCGCCGATCACATTCCTCAGATGGAACATAGGTTCGTGTACTTTGCTCTCGTCAGGGATGGCGCTACGTGCTCCTGTAGCCACTGCCAGTAGTATAGAGACATAGAAGAAAGCCGTACGGCCAGGTGTGATTTCAAAACCAAGGAAGAGCTCGGAATCCCATAGGGTAGCGATGGTCAACAGGCCTGCTAGAGTACCACTAACAAGACTGATAAATTGCAAGAACTGGTGGGTTTTGTCTCTAGGAAACTGGTCGAGGTAAGCTGCTGCCATAGGATGCGCCTGCTTGATACGATGGCGAAAATCATGATCAAGTTCGTTGAACTCGCGAAACTTCCATTCCGCTAGAGGGGTGAAAGTACGAGCTCCAATGGCCGAAGGGCTAGCACGGAATTCCTGGAGCACATTAGCTTTGGTGCACTAAGTCTGGACAGGGATTATTTGACTTACAGCATAATATCGTGAGAAATAGTAGATACAGTGCAGAGTGATAGTGAAAGGGGCCATGAAGATGCTCATAATGGCGACCTGACGAAGACGCTGGCGTAGGGTCTGGATCAGGCGATGTCTATCTCTTCTTTGCAGACACTGTGGGTCAACTTGGCCTTGCTTATCAAAGATGAAATTATTGAAACAAGTGTTGAGGCAGAATTCCAGACTCTTGGAGTAGTACTGGCGGTTGCCAAGGATAGGTATCGAGAGAGTCAGGTCAATGATCTCTTTGTTAAAGAGGGCAATGCTGTAATTGTCGCGACGCATCAGGCGGTTGGCGATATCATGAGCATCCATCTTTTGCTTTGTCTGCTTGCCTGCGGCCTTCAAGTACTTGGGTACCGTGTCGGCAGTTTCTGGATTGAGGGGACGAAGTTTCATGAGACTCTGGACTACTCTCTCCCACGACACGGCCTGAATGTCGGAGTCGGGTATGCCAAGCAGGTGTTGGTAGAACATCTCCATTCTGCGCAACCTGGGAATGTCGGCGATGTAACCAAACAAGGTTTTGATCCACCAGAAGCAAAATGCCCAAAGTAACAAACTCTTTGTCCACGTCGACTTCTTCATACACTGAGGTATCAGAACTTCCGGGGTCCCCTTGCTAGTGGGAATCTTGGTATAATCTACGCAAGTCGAGAGAAACATGGAGAGGCTGAAGAGGAAGGCGGCTGTGGCAAGGTGAATAAAGCGTGATAACAATATGGACCATACGCCGTGTCCAGTGAAGTATTCATAGACCTCAAGTAGGAAGGCATCCAAGTTCTGAACATTTGTCCAGAGCCACATGGCTTGCTCTCGGAGAACAGCATCTTGATTGGGTGGGTGCGAGATGGCAGGGCGAGGCCGATCGTCAGGATGTAGTTGTTGCCTTTCTTGGGTCTTTCTCCATTGTGTCTCGGTGCGATGGCTTGGTGGTGGAGCGAATGTGCTCTGGTCGGCCTTATCTTCCATGAGTAGTGAGCCTGGAACATCGTCTGCGTGAGGTCGGGATGATGAAGGCTGGCGCGGATAGAAGTCGAGGTCGGCTTCAACGTCTTCAGCAATAAGGGCATTAAGCTCATGCTCGTCGGATGAGTCTCTCAGCCCTCGTTCAGCTCGATCGGACGTTGGGCCGTGGTCGCGTCCATAGTCGTCTGCATAGGCGCCATCATCAGCGGAGGGTGTGAAACGAGACAAGATGCGTGAGGCCATCATCTTGTTCGTCGTCTGAGCCCGCGTGGGTGCATGGAGGAATGAGTTTGTTCAGCTCGAATGTGTCAAGTTGTATGAGTTGGTTGCTCCCGTGCCTCTGCTGGTCACCCGAGTGTTGATTCGTCATTCTCCGCATTCTGGCCCCACCGGTCCGAGCCTCAACCCTGCAGCTCTAGCCTCTAACCTTAATTGTACTGGCATGTGATACAGCCGTGCAAGGCATCTGAATCACATTTTACCATCATCACTTGCATTCTCGATGATATAGGTTCAGCAAAGACAGTATTCATTCTGCCGATATCGACATGAGAATACGTCGTGAGGATGTCGCTTTGTGTGTTGTACAAGGAAAGATCTAGCGGTTCGTTTCGATGCTCGTCCTAGATATAAATTCTGGTCCGTGCACTCGGATTCATCACATCATCCAAACCACCGTAAATTGTCCCGACTCTCGATGCTCTTGTGGTCTGAATCAATCACCTTCAACTTCAATCATGGAAACACTACAACACAACATGGATTCATCTCTGCGAATGCTTGTCAATGAGTGGCTACGTCTCGATCAAGATGTCACCACACGGTCAGAGGTTGAGAAACTTGCCGCCGAGAACAACGTAGCTGAACTCCAACTGCGACTCCTCAAGCGTATCGCCTTTGGTACTGCTGGATTGCGTGGAAGGATGGAGGCCGGCTTCTCACGCATGAATTCTCTCACTGTCATCCAAGCTTCGCAAGGATTGGCCGAGTACCTGCTCAAGACCAATCCTATCGTCAAAACACAAGGTGTCGTTATCGGAAGAGATGCCCGTCATAACTCTAACAAGTTCGCCAAATTGGTCGCTGCCGTCTTTGTAGCAAAAGCCATACCCGTCAAATGGCTGGGCCAAGTACACACCCCGCTTGTACCATACACTGTCGGTCATCTGTNNGGTGCGGCTGCTGGTGTTATGATCACTGCTTCACACAACCCAGCAGCCGATAACGGCTACAAAGTGTACTGGGGAAATGGGTGCCAGATCATTCCGCCACACGACGCTGGCATTGCTGCATCCATTGACGCGAATTTGGAGCCAATCACTTGGGATGTGAACGTTCTTGAGCACGGCAGCCCTCTTGTGACCAATGCACTCCAGCAGGTTAAGCAAGGTTACATGGCTACTGTTGCCAAAATCGCACTGGTCTCGAGCCCGAGTGCATCTTTGCCCTTTGTCTATACACCCATGCATGGCGTTGGTCTTCCGTTCTTCACGTCGGTAATAAAGCAGTTGGGGTTGGAAAGCAAGATGCACATCGTTCAAGAGCAGGCCCACCCAGATCCCGACTTCCCAACTGTACGCTTTCCAAATCCCGAGGAGAAAGGAGCCCTGGATCTTGCAAAACAAACTGCAGACCAGAACGGTATCAATCTGATTCTGGCAAACGACCCCGACGCCGATAGGTTTGCAGCTGCAGAGAAGGTGGATGGTGAGTGGAGGCAGTTGACTGGCAATCAAATGGGTGTTCTACTTGCCTCCCACGTCTTGGACACATACCAGCCTAAACAGAGCAGCAAAGGTCTGGCCATGTTGTCATCAACTGTTTCCTCANAAATGTTGGCAGCCATGGCTGCTGCTAGTGGCAAGTTTCACTGGGAAGAAACATTGACAGGGTTCAAATGGCTAGGAAACAGATCTCGCGAGTTGCAACAGCAAGGCTACGATGCGTTGTTTGCTTATGAAGAAGCCATCGGATACATGTTCAGCGAAGTGGTGTTTGACAAAGATGGCGTTGCCGCAGCCGCAGTCTTCCTAGCAGCCTGCGATCGCTGGAACAAGCAAGGCCTTTCCNCTTGGGCCAAGTACAACGAGCTCTGCAAACAATATGGCTACTTTGAAGACGCCAACACATATGTCATCTCACCGTCCTCGGACATCACCAACGCAGTCTTTGAACAAATACGAAGAACAAAGCCTACGAATGTTGGAAGCCGTGGTATTCTTCGTTGGCGCGACTTGACCATCGGATATGAGTCTGCAACACCCGACCAAAAACCAACGTTGCCGATTGATAAGAGCTCGCAGATGATTAGCTGTGAGTTGGAGGGCAACGTACACTTTACGGTCCGCGGATCGGGAACTGGTAAGTTGGCCTACAAGATGCGGAAACGTAGATCACATGCTGATATTCCTAAGNAACCCAAGATCAAGTTTTACATCGAAGGCAGTGCAAGCACATCACAAGAAGCAAAGGCATCAGCTCAGGAGGTCCTCGAGGATTTGATGAAGGAATGGTTCAAGCCCGAAGTGAACAATCTGAAAAGAGAGTAGATACATTGCGAATAGAGGGTTACAGTAGAGCGCGAGTCAATCCAGTTCCTTCCAATCAAGGCTCATCAGTGTACTCGTCCTCGATAGCATTCTCTTGACTGAACTTGCGATCCTCCATATCCGCGGCCCAAAGTGCACTTCCTGCAGCAGTTGTGATCAAGAAGAACATGCTCAGCACAGGAATAAGCTGCAGGATCAATGCGACAGTACCAAACCACATGTACTGGAACCTCATTGACTTGTTACGAATAAAGATCTTGCGCTGGTCCTTGTTCATTCCCTTGAGGTTGTGGTAGCGGCGTTGCAGCAGGGGACCAGCACGGTATCCAGTCAAGATCAAGAACAGCGGAACTCCAACGAAGGGGATAAAGTTGAGCGGCAGGAGCACCACGAATTCGAACAGCTGGCGGAAAGAGAAGGGAGCAAAGACTGCCCCCTTGTCGCGGGGCCCCAAAGCTTTGAGAGGAGTTTGAGGTTCCTCAGTATCCACAGGTCGTTTTGCCTTGACGAGTTCTGCATGGCCTCTGGCTACCATGACAGTATCGAAGACATCAACCTGAGTATGATCGACGAAGAAAGCTTCGAAAAGGAGAGCGATGATGAGGTTGCCCTCGGTGAGGACCAGGAAAGTGCCACTCACCCAGGCTGAACCTCCTGGGTGGAAAAGCTTGAGAAGGGCGACTTGAGGGAGGTAGGCCGTCAAGAAGAGGATGACCAGAATGAAGACTGACATGACAACCAGAGGAAGCATCTTAGCTTTCAGCAGTGGCCACATATATCTATGCTTCATGAAGAACCAGATGCCCTGTCGAAGGACGTGAGATCAGTTTGAAGTTCATTCGAAATGTTGGAATGGCTTCCCATGTGCTAAGTCCATGATATCCTGTGGTCAGGATACACGAAACACACTGAATTGAGATGCCGTCCAAGGAATGCCTATTTGATAGACTATTACGAGGACGCGCCTCGAGTCAAGAAGTATTTGTGTATTCTGACAGCTTTCATATACTAAGGCAGCGGTTGAGGAGGCAAGACGCGGAATGACTTACCATCAGTGGATAGAGGAAACTGGTGGTGAAGTTCGCTCTCGCCCAGCGGCGGAACGGCGTGTCTGCTGTATTGGCCATGGCGAATGTCTCTAAACAAATTTCGATAATGAAGAAGGAAGCAGCGAAGTGGAATCTGGATGCCTGCCACGCCTGTTCTCGCGAAACGGTCCGTGCGCAATGACGTGAATTTGTTGATTACCTCGCTGCCGACCTGTTTGTTTGACCTATACCTTTTCATGCCCATGCGGTATGCATGTAGCTCAGGAGCCCTTGTTCACTATGTTCTTTTCTTAACACGAGTAGGTATGGTGGTGATGGCGATGGCGGACGATGCTGCTCGCGGTGCATCCTTCATCTCCACCTTGCGCTTGGACTTTCGGCTGAAATCCGTCGCTTTGGTTTCACCACCTCAACGACATCTCTACGGAGTAGGGAACTCAACTTTCCTCTCGTACCTTCGTTGAAGAGCCGTAGTCGACAACATGGGAGCACAGGATTGGGACGATGTCTACTTTATGGTCTCGAACAGAAAACGTCCAAGTCAAAAAGGCATTCCAGATGTGTTCCAGGTACCTCAGTGTGACGGCAACGATGTTTATGAATTGACTGCAGATGAACTCCAGCATCTTTTATCTACCAAGGCCACGACTTCGGTATCTCTTGTAAAGCATTGTTTGGAAAGAATCAGAAGAGTAAGTTTGTCCTATCAAGGTTATACTCGCTGCTAAGCAATATCAGNNGTCAATCCGTACCTAGAATGTGTGATTGAGACAAACCCCGATGCCTTGACCATTGCACAGGCGCTCGACGATGAGCGAGCAAAAGGCAAAACACGAGGACCACTGCATGGTATCCCTGTTCTGGTCAAGGACAATATGGCTACCAAGGACAAAATGCAGACGACTGGCGGCTCATGGGCTCTTCTCGGCGCTATAGTTCCAAAGGATGCCCATATTGTGTACCTTCTCAGAAAAGCCGGGGCCATCATCTTAGGCCATTCAAACCTGGATGAATGGGCTGGCATGCGCTCGAAAATATATTCAAACGGCTATTCTGCACGCGGCGGCCAGACCAGAAACCCATATATGCTTAGTCGGAGTCCCCAAGGCTCAAGCTCTGGCTCTGCCGTATCTGTGTCTAGCAACATTGTCCCACTTGCATTCGGCACGGAAACTGATACCTCGGTCATCTGGCCGGCCATGGTCAGTGGCATTGTGGGTATCAAGCCCACAGTCGGCTTGACCTCTCGTAGCGGCGTGATTCCCATCTCAGAGACACAGGATTCGATTGGAACATACGGAAGATGCGTATCTGATGCAGCCCGTGCTCTTGACGCCATTGCAGGACCCGACCCAGAAGACAAACACTCAATTGTTCCTGAGAGACGACAGCCGAAGACTTACGTCGACAGCCTGACTACAAGAAAGGCGTTATATGGTGCAAGATTTGGTCTTCCCATGAAGCGCTTCTGGGAATTGGTGCCGAAGCAGCAAAGGAGGGTGGCTGAAAAGGTCCTACGGCTGATCAGGGATGCTGGAGCAGAAATCATACCGGTTGAGATGCCTTGTGCCGAGGAACGTATCGCGCCTGATGGTGGGTGGGACTGGTGAGTGATATTTGGAAATATTCATGGAGACCTGCTGACAAAGTATAGGGAGCATGGCAAAGAAGAAGTGTCAGAGTTCACCATCAACAAGGTTGAATGCTACTATCTGATGAACGAGTACCTCAGCAAACTCAAGAACACAAATATCAAGACCGTTGAAGATGTCGTCCGCTTCAATGATGAGAACAAAGGATCCCAAGGAGCCAACCCAGGAGATCATCCAGCCTTCCCTTCAGGTCAGGTAAGTGGACCCCTCTGTTGTGGATATCCGAACCTATATACTAAAATTCCCNAGGACAACTTCCGTGAGGTGGTTGAAGCAAAAGGAATTAAATCTCGAGCCTATTATTCCGCCTTTTATCACATGCGCAAGCAATGCCGTGAGAATGGCATAGATGCAGCCTTACACCCAACTATCGGCGGCAAAAAGATCTCTCTCGACGCCCTGCTTTTCTGCGATGTCCGTGGCGCAGGTCAACAGATCGCTGCTCAAGCTTGTACATTTCTCATATCCTCCCTTTCTGTATGAGTAGGATGTTATGCTGACAAGCAACACAAAGCATATCCTGTCATGACCATCCCCATTGGTCTTGATCCCGACGGCATGCCCATAGGTCTGAATCTCCAACATACAGCTTGGGAAGAGGCAACTCTGGTGCGTTGGGCATCGGCAATAGAGGATCTGCTACGTGCAGAAGTTGGACCTAGGAGTCCTCCTCGCTACCAGGACCATTTGGCCAAAAACATTCCTGTGGAGAATGAGTACAGGTATCCAGGGGCTCCGCCCAGATTCGGTGATAGACCTCCGCCTGCTTGATTGACCATTGATCTCTCTGAGGTTCGCATCTTAGAAGGTCAATCGCGATACGTCGTCGCTGTTTCCAGCATACGAGAATGTACATGTCGATGTTTCTGATGGAGCCATCAACCGGGTTGCGGGACAAGCCGGGAGCCTACCAGTATAAACTTGCTCAATACAGCATCACCTCACCATTTCTCCCATACAACCTTTATATTCTACAAATATCCAGTCCTGTAATCAGATAAGCCGTGATGGTGTAGTGGTATCACGCCCGACCCTAAAAACCTAAATCCCTAAGTCCGCCCACCTAAGCTCCTAATACTCTTTCTGGGATCGGGAGGTCGCAAATCCGATCCCTGCTCACGGTGTACAATTTTTGGTGCTTGTTTTGCTACAGATTACGGATGACAACGCCAGCGAACAGACGAAGAAAGCATCAAAGCATCAGGTATGTAAGTCTCTTGGGAGGCATCTCAGGTTGGTGACATATTGTGTCTTGAGAGAACGATCAGTCACTTTATGGTCAATCGATGCTTGGATGTTGGAAAATGCTAGACTTCGTTGCTCTATCAACCTAGCATAATCAGTCCACTCGTGACATGCTCACCTCCCACCTTCCCCTCAGTTCAAATCAGGTCGTCCAGATCTTGAACTTCTCACTGAACTCTGTGTCGGCGGCGGTGGCAAAGAGAAGTCGAGTAGAGTATCAGGCAATATGTCTCTGAGTTTTGAGTGATCACCCTCATCCTCCGACTCGTCCTCATTGTCACTTTCCACTTCGGGACTTCTGTCTTGGTATCGTTGAGGTACAAAGTCAAGATCCATATCATCCTCATCTTCGTCGTAAAGGGGTGGTTGTGGCTCATCCTCGTCTATCTCGTCCTCATCGTCTGAAGGGTACATCTCAAGGAACCTTCTGAGATGTTGTTTTGCTTCAGGTGGTGGCGAAGATGTGGAAGGCGGCATAGGCGGTGGACTACTACTCACGTACGCAGTCTTCTGAGTGTGCTTCCTGAGCGAATGAAACAGCTGCGTACCGCCAACCGTACTGACCTGCGAAGGTGGTATTGATAAGATAATTGGTAGAGGTGGAGATGAATGGCGTTCGGTATTTTTCAGCTGCTCTTCAGCTTCGGCTTCTGCGCGAAGACGTGCATCGTTCTCGACAACTAGAGGTGGCGAAGACGGATACTTTCCGCTACTGACACTCTTGCTGTTCGGAGAGGAGGCAATCTGTATCACCTCNCTCATCATCGTTCTTGGTAGGACAATGTCACCCGACAAGTCTATCTCCTCTATTTCGTCCGACTCATAGAGCACTCGTGGAGGCTGTTGAGGGGATGACCGTGGTGATTGAGTAGGAGGATCCTCAAAGTCTTGCTCAATCGGCTCAGGGCGTGAAGTTGGCACAGGCAGTTCATCGCCGAGTTCTTGGGACTGCTGCTTTGTGACCAAATTGGTTTCTAGATTCTTTTCGACCTGTTTTGGTTCGTGTTCTTTTTCGGCTCGATCTTGCTCAGCTTGAGAGAAGCTTCGGCTCTTGTGAAAAGCTTCGTAGTCGAGGCGATCTCGTTGCAACTGCGTTTGCAGAAAACGGGCGGCATCGCGGTCCAAAGCACTGCAGACCGGATCGAAGTTGTAGTCGTAATCATCGTTCTCGGCGTAATATGTTCCTCCAACATATTGAGTATAGTTGTCAACTGGAAATTGTGTCTCAGTGACAGGAGCAATTTCTTCGCCAAACATCTCCATCTGGGTATCAGGTATCTGGCTGCGGAACTTATTTTGCTTGAATGGAGTCACTTGAGTGGCCGTGTCTTCAGAGTCTGGAATAGTACTGCGATGCTGGAGTGTAGGAGGCTTGTCTGGTACACGGAAAGTGGGTCGATTCTTGAGCGGTGATAGACGGAAGGGAGAGATGGGCTTCGTAGGACTCTCAGGAACAGGACTCATTCGGGAATCCTCGACAGCGTGATGTTGCGAGAATGCGTTGTTACTTTTGTTCCGTAAAGGTGAACGCTCAGGTGAGCGCATCGTCTTGGCCGAGCAAATAGATATGATGGCGCTCTGTGGAGTATTGGATGATGGAATCTCGGACATGAATTTTCTCCTCGGCGTCCTTAGATTCATAGCAGATATAGGCAACTCCGGACTTGGACGCAATCGCGCCTGTTGCTTCGCAAAGGCCGAGTCAACTCTTTCCTCGCCTTGTTCCGAGCTAGGCTGTGTCCTCTGACTTTGCTTTTCCTCGTCTTGTTGCATCTCTACGTCTTCGTCTGCAACTGGGATTGCAGTTGCGTTTTCGATTGCGTGTACTTCTGCTGGCAGATGGTCATCATGACTGTCGTGTGCTGGTTTCGACTGAGAATCTCGAACACCATCGAAAGTGTCGGGTCCCACGAATTGTAGCAGGCGATCAGCCAGCCCGTCGTAGCGTTCGCCGATGAAAGAGGATGGGACGTATTGTGTCAAGGTTGTCTGTTTCCTGCCGTCTCCCTCACTCTTTCTCTTCTTCCTTCTAGGTCTCGACCTCTCCAGCTCATCCTCTTCATAGTCCCCGTCTTCATCCTCGACTTCATCTTCGAGTTCAGCACCTGGCGGAGTCCGCGATACGGTCCAGTGTGGTTGTTGGGTCAGAGTGGACTGCTGGCGCAGCGGAGCTGGAGTACTGACGCCGGACGTACGTACAGTACGTCGTCGACTGGGGAACTTCTTCTGCCGTAATGGCGTTTCTGAGCGATAGATGGTGTCGGAATCAGCTCTGGGTTGTTTCGGTGGCATAATCGATTAGCTCGACATTCGTGAGCTTTCTGATCTTGTGCAACCGCTTTGCCAACTACTGTTGATCGAATGGTCTTGAATTGACCTGGGACTGCTTTGGACTGCCTCTGACTGTGATAGACTGTAATAGACAGCCTTGGATCGCCCCAGGTTGCCTACGGTCGCACGCGACTCGAGAGACGCGCCGGCGTCGTGCACGCGTTCTTCTTGTACGTCACATGCAAGACAATTATTATTTGTAAAGCATAAAAGATAAATTCAGTTGGGTATATAGCGCCTGCAATGCAATCGTAACTCGTGCATCATGCTTCAATCGGAGTCATAAGCGACCAGGGAAAGTGCTGGTGTTGGTCGCGACCTCTCCATGCTCTCTATCTCGTTCTCGTCCGAATCGTTCTTCTGTTCTGGGGCATCGCTTTGCGTCTTCTTCTTGATGCCAACAATAGCTTTGAAAGCGCGATTATCTGCATTACCAAAAGACAAGAATGGATCTGCTGCTGCACGCGAGTTTTCGCGGACTTCCCGCTGCAGCGCTTTCTTCCTGCGCTCAACTTCTGCAGCCGCTTTGTTCTTGTGTAAGGTTTTGGCTTTGACTGGAGTTGCCTCAATTTTCGTGTCCTGTTGGAACAACGGCCGTGAAGCAACTCGCATTGTGTTGACGTCGATGTCTTCATCCACAAGGCCGCCGAAATCGATCAAAGTAGCATGTTTCCTGTCTTCGTCGTTCTCTGGCATTAGTTCGACGTCCAGTCCCATTCTCTCTCTGAGCTTCTCCGAATAGTCATGCTCCTTTTCTCTGGTCTTGCGCTCTGCTCTGAACGTTCTCCTCAGACGTTTGTTGGCCTCATACGGATCGTCCCAGTGCTGATCTCGCACTTCTTGTAGCTCAATAATGCGTTTGCCTTGCTCCTTCTCTTGTACTTTGTCCTGCTTCTTGTCCTCGAGAACAGCAAAGGCGTCTTGCCTCCTGCGCTCCCTTTCTTCGGCAGAGAGAATGGGCACACCCTCCTCTCCCTCTCTTACACGATCTTCTCCTGTATCTCTGGCCTTGCCGCCTTCTTTGACCACATACGCCGTGTTCTTAGGATCCGTGTGTATTTCGATCCAGCCTCCACAAGCGGTGTGTTTCATGCGAAAGGACCAGATGGGCGTGCTAAAGTAGTTGCCGACCTTTTTCTTCTCGGCGTTGAATCGCACACCTTGGCCTATGATTGTCGGTTTGGGACAGTGGTTACACCATACTGCGTAGGGCATCTCGAAGCGTACGGTCAGGATGCCTTCTTTGATTTTGTTGGCCCTTTTGCCCAGAGCATGTTTGCCGGCGACTTTATTGGCTGACATGGTGCCCTCGAGCTCCGGAGGGACGTAGCGTCCCATATTGAAACCCTGCATGATGGATGCCTGGATGGAGCAGTTACGCTCCCAGATGTTGTGTGCTCCGGTGAATTGAAGTTGTTATTCGATTCTGGTAAGGTTGTTCGAGGATGCGATCTTGAGAAGCTGCGATAGTATTGCCGAGGTGAGGCCGTGCGACTGAGCGACATGAGCTCTTCAGTCGAAGTGTTTCTGCTCCTTGGCCAACACCATCAAAATGTAGGTTTGTAGTCGCTCTCGTATGACCCGCTACACTGGTCTGCAGTGTTACAGCTGGTGATCGAGTATGTTTGTTGAGCTTCTTGTCCAGTCATCAGGTTGAACCGGATGCTCGTCAGGTACAAATCCAGGGCAACCAAATGGCTGGAACTGTGATAGAAGTCGCAGTGGACTGTGTTCAATATTGTGAGTAGTCTTGGGCTGTCCATTCGACGTTCAAGATGTTATTGGCCTCTCTACCTGTCGAATTCCGGTCCCACGGCTCTGTTGTTGCGTCTTCTCTATTCGCATCTTCTATCTCACCCTATGTCTCATCTATACACAACATCTTCTGTTTCTATATTTGTCATTTCTGCAGGGTTTCTATCTGCAATCTCAACACGGCGTTCACAATGACACGCAAGTACAGTGTCGGCAATCCAGGTGGAGGCGAGGCATCCAGAGAGAACTGGGAGCGCTATACCTGGTTGTCCATAAGCAAAGAGTGCCACAAGCGCGGCTACTTCCCTGCCACCTCAGCCTATGATGAGAAGGGTTTACTGAGAGAGTCATCATGCCCTGATCTTCACCATGATGTGGTCGGTCGTGGTCCAAACAGTTTGTTGGCATTAGGTCTAACAAGCNAGCAGCACACTTACTATGATCAGTATGTCACCTGCTATAGCGCTGTAGATGCGATGTAAGCCACAACATGACCTACTTAGGATATGCAATAATCGTTTTCTTCTAGGCCTGTCATCAAGCTTAAGCACGGCGTGGTAACGATTGAGTGGACCACTGCTAAGCAGCACGAACGTCAGCAGCGTATTGCCGACAGCTCGTATGGTCTCTTGACTACTTCTGACTTCTCAAACATATACTGAAGACGACAGTACCTGATGTGGGTTCCTCCACACGACTTTACGATCTCACGTATGACGACTGAATCTACAATATCCATGGAGAGGAATAAATCAAGAGAAAACTCTTGATGAAGCGGACCAAGTCAGTATTTCCATCTGTACACTTCGAGGTATAGAAGCGCATATTCAGCCAGCGAAGGTCGAGTTCGTGAGTCTCACACTGAAACTCATGATCAGAGCGAATCTGAACAGGGTCTTCTGATGCTTGCCAATATCATCCAAAAGTATAGGATGACAAAGAAATCCAAATTCTCAACCTCAGCCTGATATATATATGTGTGCATTCGCTTCTTGTTCGTTCATCAGTGTGGTATAAGTATCTTTGTTATCTTGAGTTTACCACGGAAAGTCAAAGAGTAATCCTAAGAATACCTATCATGGGTCAAGCTCGCATCGATTCTCCCCGACAGATATGTGAATTGTTTTTGGCTGCTATACTCTCCTAACTCGGGCAAGACGGTGTTTCCTGTTAGTTATGTAACTCTTGCTACACAACCTGGACCTTTGGCCAGAATCTCTGGCTCTCTTCAAGTAATAACGTCTTCAATGCGCTGCGAACATTCTTCATCGATGCACACAAAGATGTTTCAGGTCATGGCTTGAAGAGTGCGCTCGAAGGAACATGACCTACATTAGGGCTTCTTGTTGAGTTGGCTGATATATGCGTCATCTCAGCCTTCCGCTCTTGGTGGCTGGCCAGGCCTCGACAGCTGTCCGGATGGTCGGGCTCGACAAGCCTTGCCCAAGGTATTCAAGGGTTGATCGACGTGTGGATGTGATCAGTCTTTGTGTTTAGCAAGGTGATTAGCAAGATGATCCAGCCCGCATTCGTTCGTTGATCAGGACAATCTTCATGTGTTCTCGTGTATGCAACTTGCCGCCAGTAGCCGCGATATGGCATGAGCTATCACTGAAGAACGAACGTCTGGAGCAGTACCTGTCACCCGTTGAAGATTGCCGGCGGCGAAGGATTCTGTTCGTTGTGAGATGTTGCAGTTAGGGTTGCACGACGTAGATCAGTCATACGTTGGAATCATCCCAGTGGAAATCGATCATCTACCTGAAAGGCCATTTTCAGACAACCCAAGATGCGGGCTCCCGCCTGGATGGTTATTTCCAAGACTGATCAAATTTGACATATTCCACAGCGTGCTGCATACGTTGCGGAAAGCGAGCAGACCTGCGGACTTGTGGTGTGATAGGCACTGACGGCACGGGGATTGCGAAGGTTGGTGACGGAAGAGCTTGCATGGATGGTGGTTATGGACCTTCCAAATGCCCTCGATATGATGGCCTCAAGGTGATTGAGCACTGAGCTCGATTGTTTCATGGATTAACGGCAGCTGCCCATTCTATTTCTGAGTGCAGAATGGACGTGAGGTTGTAGCACAACAATGCTCATTGCCCGGGTTTTCAATGCGACTTGACTTTCGACTACGCACCGCGGACCACCATCCGGCAGAAGGTTCCTAAAGTCTAACCATAGTTTATATGCATGAAGGGATGAAGTCGGTTGCTGGAGGAGTTTGTTAGATGAAAAAGCTGCCGTGTCGGTTCTGGCAGGCGCGGACATCGGATACGGGATGGCTTGCGCCGCCTGCGTAGTTACTATGGGTCGAAGCTACAACACAGAGCTGGACTCGATATCATCTGCTGCTCGGCTAACTCATATACTAAGTAGTAATCATGAGTGTATCCACACGAATCGGTGGTTCAACATGAGGGGCTTTCTACGGACAACTGGAAGTCAGTTCCCACTTGACCCTCTCCTCCAGAGTCTAGACAGGGCAGATTTGGGGCCGCCCGCCTCACTATGCATGCTGCACTGCCATGCATGTTTCCTGTAACGCAGAACCAACAGATTGAAAGGCTGTAAGGAGGCTGTAAGGATGGCACATGCCAAACTGTTGGAGACGAGCGACGTCTGCAGACTGTCCTTTTCACCCGAGACAAGCCAATCTATCTTCAACGGTAATCGTGATGGTTGATAAAAACACAGGCAACGGGGTCCGACAAGAAATTGGAAGCTCGGTACACGCGTCTGTGGGTGCTGCTCGGGAGGGGCCGCAGACAGTGGTTTCAAGAAACCGTCAACTTAGTAATCATTAATAAAGACGCCTACAGGAGGAGCCCGTCTTTATGGGAGAATTGTGCTTTTCGATGAACAGGAAGCAGTGACTTGGCACATCTACAGAACCGATGCCGTTCACATGATAAGCTTCAGGTGTGGTTGCAAAAGGGCAGTCAGGACCGGGGTCCAACTGCCACGCCGTCAAACGCTTGTAACGCGGCGCGGCAACAAAACGTGGCCTGGGTGGACATGCATCGGGCATGAACGCCTGTCTGCTGGAGGAAGACGGTGTTGTTGAATGCAGGTCTCAGCCATCAGCCCAGTTGACAGAGCATGCTGCGGAAACAGTGTTTCAGAGTAGATTGGCGCGACACATGGGCTGGGGAAAATAGAGGAGATGGTCAGGAAATTAAACAGCTCTGATAGCTGGGAAGCATCGTGCATCGGTTGAAGGTTGGACGGTGGATTGCCAAGACGATTGGGGCTTTCAGTTTTTGACAGAAGCAGGCAGTGGAAATGCAGTGGAGAAGTCGGCTCCAGCAAGGACAAAGAACAAAGGCCATGATCGATGGCGGCCGTTGGGAGCAGCGAAAACAAGCGAGTCAAGGGATTCCATAGTTAGTGACGGTGATTGGACTTGTCTGCGCTCGCCTGCCTTCTCTCATCAACCACGCTGTAGTGTATATTGCCAGAGCAGGACCTAAGCTGCACGCAGTCTCCCCCTGCTTTCGCGTGTCAGTGTCACTTGTCGCCGGCCGCAATTCATTACCTATTCCTTGCATCTCGACGGCCGTACAAATCACGCCCGGCTGTAGCCGCCGCAGAAGCAGAGTCCTGTATCCGACCCTTGTCTTGGTGCTGTCAGTGTCGAGAGTCGTGCTGCTGTTTCGGCCTCCCGACCAACCACATTCGCTTGCCCTGCTTGTCTCCTCCTGAGCCCCTTCGCCTTTCATGGCCGACTCGTCCGTACAACCTCAGCAACTTCTGAGGAAACACTCGCTGCAGTATTCGACGTCTTCGCTTGGCCAGCAATCATCCCAGGGCCCGCCCAAGCTACGCAGAAGCGCCTCGGCTGCCGTCCGCTCGCAGTACAACACGTCGTCGCACACGACCAATCAATCTCGCCGACCGACCAATCCCTCTCTCGCGCGCGATCTGTCCGAACCTGAGTTGCGCTCCCACAACGGCCTCTCCTACAACCACCTTGCCAATCTCGCCGAGCACGCTGCCGACGAGAATCCCCAGCTGCGTGTCGTACCGCCGGACGGTGCTGCTCGTCCGGACTCCATCTCGCTCTTCAGCGCCGCCTCGCACTCCCACGACACCTCTCCCTCTCCCGTCGGCTTATCTGCACTCCACTCTGCAAACGCCCAGACTCTCCCTACCCAGCCCAAGCGCCCGTCTATCTCCCTCAGATCACAGACCGCCGGCTCGCGTTTCAACTCGCTGCGCAACTCGACCAGCTTCCGTCTCACTCGCAACAATTCAACCGCTGGTCCTATGGACAGCCTGTCACCCCGTCCGGAGAGTTCGAAACGCCTCAGCGATGAACTGAAGGCCAAGAAGAAGAGCGGCTTCAGCATATCCAGCTTGTTCAAATCCCCCGGCCGACCCACCATCTCTGCTCCGGAGAATCCTGTTCATATCACCCATGTCGGCGTTGACAACCGTACCGGCGAGTTTACCGTAAGTTCTTTGGTCCTTTCAGTCTAGCCCACGAACCAACCGCTAATTCCATCAGNNGGTCTTCCGCGCGAATGGCAGAACATACTGGCTAGCGCTGGCATTTCGGAGCAGGAACAAAAACGCGACCCCAAGGCCATTGTTGACATTGTCACTTTCTACAAGGAGAACGCAGAGAAGAATCCCGAAGATGGCATCTGGCAGAAGTTTGGGCAAGCCCATGCGCGCGACACCNCCCAGCATATGTCTCCCNCGAGCGGCCTCACATCGCCCATAGTTACTCCTGGCTCAGGATTCAACTCACTTGTCAGTCCTCCGCAAAGCCCACGTTTCCCACCCAACAACGAGGACAGCTTTGAGAATCCCAGAGCCGCTCCTCCTGTCCCTCGCAACGTCGGCCTTGGTCTTGGTCCCATGTCGCCTACTATGTCCAGCGGCAACACAATACCTCTGCGTGCAGCCNCCCGTCCTCCTGGTGCAACTCCTACTGGTCCTGATATGACTCCTGCTCGTGCAGCCNCTGCTGTCCCTGGAACAACGTCTCCTCAACAACAGAAGTCCCAAGATGAATACCCTGCCGTTCAATATGCTCCCCCAACCATCAACGAAGTATCACAGCCTACTGTGTCTCGTTCTCGGTCAAACACCGCCACTCAAGCGCAACAACACCAGCTCCCGGCCGCTTCCTCGCCTTATGCATACCAACAACAACAGCAACAAGCTATGGCTGCGGCTCAGGCAGCACTTCACCAATCAAGTCTTGAACGCAAGCAAAGTCAGCGCACCCCTCAACCTCACGTCCAGATCCCAAATCCTCAAGCGGTCCCCATGCCCAATCAGGAAGCTCGCGTCGGCCCCGTTCCTCGACCGAGACAGCGACCCCAGCGTCAAAGCCAACAGCAGAATGGAGAGATTATTGCGAAACTCAACGCAATCTGCACACCTGCGGATCCCACAAAGAAGTACCGCAACCTCAACAAAATTGGCCAGGGTGCCTCTGGTGGTGTCTTTACTGCTTACGAGGTTGGCACCAACAAGTGCGTTGCGATCAAGCAGATGAACCTGGAGCAACAACCCAAGAAAGACCTGATTATCAACGAAATCCTGGTCATGAAGGACAGCAAGCACAAGAACATCGTCAACTTCATGGACAGCTATCTGGTCAAGNGGGACTTGTGGGTCGTAATGGAATACATGGAGGGTGGCAGTTTGACAGATGTGGTCACATTTAACATGATGTCGGAGCCGCAGATTGCAGCTGTGTGTCGCGAGGTATGTTTCTCTCGACTGAAATTTCCTGTTGCATTGACTGACGTTACATCTAGANCTCTGCACGGTCTACAATTCCTCCACTCAAAAGGAGTTATTCATCGAGATATTAAGTCAGATAACATCCTCCTATCCCTCGAAGGAAACATCAAATTGAGTATGTGGTACCAGTTCGTGATGAGAAGCCTCTGCTAACCTTATGCAGCTGACTTTGGTTTCTGTGCACAAATCAACGAGTCTCAACATAAGCGTACGACCATGGTCGGTACACCATACTGGATGGCTCCTGAGGTGGTAACACGAAAGGAATACGGCCGCAAGATTGACATTTGGTCACTCGGCATCATGGCCATTGAGATGATCGAGGGCGAGCCCCCATACCTCAACGAGTCGCCTTTGAGAGCTCTGTACCTGATCGCGACCAATGGCACACCTCAGATTAAGGCTGAGGAGGAGCTAACACCTATTTTCCGCGACTTCCTCGCCTTTGCGCTCAAGGTTGATCCTGATAAGAGAGCCAGTGCGCACGACCTGCTGATGGTAAGTGATGGTGATGAAAGATGGTATTTGAGTTATATGCTAACAAGGTCAACAGNNCATCAGTTCATCCAAGGAGCAGAGCCACTGGTGACACTTGCACCACTTGTGCGATCGGCCCGTTCAGCAAGGGCCGAGGAGCGCAAGAACAAGGGCATCTGATAAACATCTCACACCATATAACCGCGAGTACGGTTCGAGCATTTTCAAGCATTTAAATAACGGGCAATTTCCTTCTTTCTCTTCTACGAGATACGACATGGCCATCTAGATGTGGACGCATCTCTTCCGATATACTTTGAGTTCAGCACGCGTGGGCCATATCTGAGCCCAGTGCAGGAACCAAGGAAATGTCCAAGTCAGCCGATGAAGTTTGGTTTGATGAATCTCCACCTAGGCACGGTCGGTGTAGTTTATGTTTGGGTATCGACATTTCAGGATTTCGGGCTCTGCACTGGCAGCATTACAGAGTGAGAGGAAAATGAGAGCGATGGGCGTTTACCGGCGAACAATTGGTTTTGTTACTATACCAAAGAAAGAAGACCATGGCAAAGGTCAGGAAGAAACAAAGCAGTTACAAGAATGGAGTTTCCCAACAAGGACGGAAAGAGCAACTCAAGCTCTCATGAAACTGCATAATCGTGGTGAAAGTGACCGCCAAACCATGTCTCTGAGAAGTGATTTTCTTCGAGCTAGGCAGTGTAGTGGTGGCAGTGAGGCGAAGTGTTGCGCGGTCTTTACGAAGATGCGTGTCAAGGTTTGGTGGCGGTAAGAGCAGAGTGAGTTCGAGAGAGGCAGTGGCAGGCGCTCAGCTCGCCGCTGGGCAATGACGTGCGGCCTTGGATGTCCGGGGAGAGTGTTCACATGCCCTCGTTGCCGACACGAACAACTCGACCAAAACATCCGAGTGCTCAGGCAGCAACTTAGAAGATTTTGTTTCTGGAAGACTAACAGAATCTACACTCGTTCAATCCTACAACCGAATAGTAGAGCCGTCATGTTTCGCGCTCAGGCAAACACGTTCGACGAGGTCGTCAGTAAGTAGCTCTCCTAACCAGCCAGACGGCCGTGTTTCGACACAAGACACTAACGCTGCCACCACAGCCNNAAGGCAACCGACGAGAACTTGACCTCCGAGAACTGGGCCCTCATTCTCGATGTATGCGATCGCGTATCGACCTCACCAACAGGGCCTCAGTCAGTGACGGCTGCCTTGATCAAGCGCCTCGCCCACCGCAACGCCAACGTCCAGCTGTACACACTCGAGCTCGCCAATGCCTTGTCGCAAAACTGTGGTGGACCCATCCACCGAGAGTTGTCCTCTCGTTCCTTCACAGACGCTCTGCTTCGTCTAGCTGCCGACCGCAACACACACCAGCAAGTCAAGAGCAAGATCCTCGAGCGCATGCAAGAATGGAAAGACATGTTCAAAGGAAACCCCGACTTGGGCATCATGGAGCAGGCGTACGATAAGCTACGCTCCTCGAACCCTGGTCTCGCTCCACCTAGCAAGCCTGTCAAGCGTCAAATCGAGGACACCGACCGTCGCAAGGAAGAGGAAGAGCTGCAGATGGCCCTTGCCCTAAGTTTGAAGGACAAGGCACCTGAACCAGAAGCCTCCTCGGCAAACTCGCCTCACCCTCAGTCAGACGCTCAGCAAGGTACAACGGCCGCCACTGTGAGCAGAGTAAAGGCTCTCTATGACTTTGTCCCGTCCGAGCCCGGTGAGTTGGCCTTCAAGAAAGGCGATGTCATTGCTGTCATCGAGTCTGTGTACAAAGACTGGTGGAAAGGATCTCTACGTGGTCAGACGGGTATCTTCCCGTTGAATTATGTCGAAAAGCTGCAGGACCCAACCAGGGAGGAGCTCGAGAGAGATGCACAGACCGAGGCAGATGTCTTCTCACAGATTAAAAACGTCGAGAAGTTGTTGGCCCTGTTGAGTGTCAGGGGTGAGAACACGCGCGACACGGGTAGCGAGGACGAAATCACCGATCTGTACAACCAGACCCTGTCAATTCGACCCAAGCTGATTGAGTTGATTGGGAAGTACTCACAGAAGAAGGGTGAGTTTTCCGAAGAGAACAAGCAGTTAGGGCGACACTAACGTTCTGCAGACGAGTTCACACAGCTAAACGAGAAGTTCATCAAGGCTCGTCGCGACTATGAGGCTCTTTTGGAATCCTCCATGTCACAACCACAATACCCTGCCCCAGCCCGCCAACACTCTGGAGGTTACCACAATGCCTACCCTCCCATGCAATCTGGATACCCACCACAAGGTCCTCCTCCTGATCAGCGCTTCTACAATCAACCTCCACCATCCGAGCCTCCTCAACAGAATGCCTATGCATATCCTCCACCTATGAGCAACCCCTCAGCAACTCCAGCACCAGCTCCTTTCCATTTCCTTCCCAATGGTGCCCCGCCGCCAGAAGTCCAACAAAGCCCTAAGCCCATGGGACCCGGTCCAAGTGCTCCTCCTGGCGAGGGTGCCTACAGCCCTGGCATGCAGCCATATAACAATCGTCCTCAGAGCATCCACACCCTTAACTCGGGAAACCCGCAAGAGCTGAGCACGAGTGCATATGAAAGCCCCACTGACGGTCGCAACAACGTTTACGGCGCTGGCGCCCCCGTGCCAGCACCTCTGACCTATGCCTCCACATCACAACCCACAAACGCACCTCCTGCACCGCCACAACAACAGCAGATGCCAGTCAGACAACGCACTTCGAGCTTCGAAAGCCCGACGTCCATGTACTCCGCCCAAGCACCCCAAGACACGTCTACTGCCTCGTACCCTCCACAGTATCCACCTCAGCAACACAACAATCAGTCCTACGCTAGCTTGAGTGGTGCTCAGCCTTCTGCTCCCCCTGCATCGGCACCTGCTTACCAGGCCTACAACCCTCAGGGTGCGTCTCAGCAGGGACAGCAGCCACCACAACAGCAGCGGTATGCGCCGGCGGCTGGTGGCGATGATGCTAGTGATTACTACCGCTAGACGCGGAAGCAGATACCCAGGCGTGGTCGTAAGGTGGCGTTTGTAGATGGCAAGTAGTGGTGAATAAGTTGGGTTTCTCTTTTCCTCCGTATGTACTCAAGACAGACCTTATATCAGTATCTGCTCAAGTGCAAAGAGGGCCTTCCTCGTTCGAGTGGACCCTGTTCAACCCGCAATGTAGGATGTCGTGTAAGCACTTCTGCATATTGGTTATTGGAATCGTGATGGTTTGAAATATGTAAAATTTGTCTCTAAACACCAGCTCCTGAAAAGACAACAGATGCGCTTTGGAGATCTCAAGCGCCCTCTTCCGTGCACTACTGGCCATCAAAACTTCCCTGCCTCGGCTCGTTGTGTTGTCAAGCGCTCTTGCCCTGTTTGCTTCTTTTTTCTCCTGCCTAGAAGCGAGAGAAAATAATTTCTTTCCCGTGCGCTCTAGTATCAAACAGATTTCTTCTGCTCAGCCCCTTTCTTGTTCTTTGCTGTCGTCCAATCTTTTCCCTTCTGCCAACCTTGCGTACCAAAACGAGCATTTCAAAACACGTCTTTTAGTTCTTGACCTCGCCGTTTGCCTGAAGGTAAGAGTATGCAAAGTATGCCAAAGCACCACCAACAAGCAGAATAGCATAGAGACCAGCACCCAGACCGGCAGCATCGGGGCCCGAAGTCTTGGAGGAAGTGGGTTGGGCAGAGGCCTTGGGGGAAGGGTCGCCGGGCTGGCGCTTGACGGTGCCGACGAGGAGGCCTTCGAGGATCTCGCGGGCTTCGTCGCTGTGGCCGACGTCTTCGAAGGCTTCGGTGGCGTCTTGGCCGCCGACGTCGAGCATTACTTCTTCACCGCCACTGTTTGAGGGAAAATGTCAGCGGGCTGGGCTTCACAGAGGGTTCTTTGTGCTGATGTGTGGTGTGATCGACTGGGATCTCCTTTCTCTTCCTTGTGCAACTACCTAGTGCATGGGTGGGGTTCTTGGGTGGGGTGGTGAATGGATTGGGTGAGGTCCAAAGGCCTCAGAGAAGAGGTTTGAGACGCGAGAGAGAAAACGTACGGGTGCTCGTCGACGAAGCTTGTGCAGTCGTAGACTTTGTCGTGGACGACCATGTAGATGTCCTAGAGTTGTGTTAGTCAGGAATGTTTCCTCGGTCAAGAGTTGCTAGACTGGTTGTTGGGCTTGTCAAGAACGCGCACATGTTGCTCGATTCGATCTCCGTGCCCTCCTCGTTCGCGCGCCTAGCAACTCTTTTCTGGATCTGCTTACCTTCTTGGTGTTGTGCTCGGAAATGTCCGAGTAGGTGAATTCCTTAGACATGGCGGCGGTTGTGTGTGTGGTGTGATATACGGAGAGTGAAAGCCAATGGACAGAGGTGTGTCAGAGTAGGAGCGAGAGTCGGGAAAGAAGTGACAAGGATTGTTGGTATAGAACAGGCAGAGTAGCAAAGACGAAGAAGTTGACAGACAAGAGACTACCTATCAATCGACTGATTATCGCAGCCGCGACCCTTAGAAAATAAAGCGGTTTAATTCGTCGAGGCAAGCCCGGCCAGCCCCCTCCTGGAAAGCCTTCCCGAGCCCCGAGTCTCCGCATCTCTTAACCTGCTTCGGCAATGTTCCACTTCATCGCGGCTTCCATTTCATCTGTTCCGCTCTGACGATATCTGCGAGTTCGGCTCTTTCTTTGATGCGTGGAATTGAATTGGGTTGAGGTTAGATATCCTAACGACTTCCGCTGTCCCCTTGCTACTTACTTGCTTGTTGGTCTGTGAAATTTGGAAGCTCTACAAGGTAATCTCCTTGACGATCTCCTGTCTCAAAGCCTCCAATCTCGGACTATCTCGACTCCATGTTCGATCCCATATCTGACATCCACTCCGTCAAGGTATCCGAGGCACTGTATATGATCATTGACATCTTGTCCCTCGTCTCAAGTATGTGACATGTAATGAATGCCCTACGTGAGTGAGTCTATCAAACTCCCGCGGCAATGCAGAGAGTATAAACTGTATATTTGCACAGTGATTCAAAGGGACTACTCCGCTTGAGTAAGTTGCTCCTGTTCTGGCAAGACAACCATATCGACATTCTCGGACCAGTCTAGCTCTGCTCGGCACGCTAACCCTTTTGTCGGTCCTGCCTTAACTGCCGAGACTTCTACATGCAAGAGCATATCGTACTTGCCAGAAAGATTGCGCTGGGAAAAGGTATGCCAGTTAGTGCTTCTAGGAGTGAACTCTTCCCTGATGACTGATCACCGCACGCGACAATTTGCGGTAGAGGAATGATGCTGTTGATGCCGACTGCGCGTAGACCGTCCACGGCATCGAGGACAGTGCGCATGTCGTCGTTCTGGAGTTTCTCCATGTTGACGAATTTCTAGTATGAACCGGACATACCATGGAGTCGGGCTGGTGACCGATGAGTCTTCAGTGCGGAAGTGTCGTATGGTAGGATGGACTGGAGAAAGAGGTGGAGGGAAATTAGAGAGGTGTGGTGGAAAGATGTATGAGAAGCGAAGAAAGAGTTGTGACGCTCGATTGTCTCACTTGCTCAAGACTTAGCAAAGACAGTGAGGTGAGGCTGCAAGTCATCTACATCCGATAGGTCTGCAACACTTTGTAACTGACGAATACTCGGGCAGACTTCACACAGCAGCTGGTCACAGAATTCACTGCGATAGCTCCTTCCTACACTGAAGATCAATCCCGCTTACCTCAACTACTGCCTATGCACCAGGCAGGATACGATGAACTGAAGGCAGCAAAAACAAGGTTTCTTGACATTCTAGGGACAAACCCTTCTAGGTCATTACGCACAGGAAGATAGACACTTTTAATGCATCTCACCACTCTCAGCAATACTCCTCTGGCAAGCAGCCAGAATCTTAGCTTGTCTAGCAACATCTCCCAAACGTCCGATGACCTCCTTGTTTCCATCGTAGAAGCCATAGATCGCATATGGGATACCCACCTCATCGCAGAACTCCTGAACCAGCTTTTGAGCTCTGCGCAGGTTGTGACGAGGCATGCGTGGGTACAAGTGGTGGATAGCCTGGAACTGGAGGCCACCATGGAAAAAGTCAAGCCATTGAGGGCAGTTGACATCCATAGTGGTGCGCAGCATGCGTTGAGGGAAGGACTCGTTGACACCGAGGTCAGCAGTGCTCATGGCGAAGTGGCTGAGTGTGATCTGGACGTGCAAGGGCATGGTGACGGCGTGACTGATCATGATGAAAGCAAGACGGCTCCAGCCATCTGGAATGCTCTTGTACACAACCTGATAACCAAACCAGTACCAGAAGAAGAATTGGCCGGCAATCTCGAACCAGCGGTGCCACCATGCGGGACCCTTACGGGGACCAAGGCCAAGGATCAGGTACTCCCAACTTAGTCGGTAGAGATTGAAGCGACCGAAGCAGAGAATAGGATAGTACAGCCAGTGCTGATATTGAATGACGAATTTGGCGAAGGGGTCGTATGTCATGACGCGGTCGTAGTAGGTTGATCGGAGCGACTTGAAGAAGCGATGCGAGATGGCAAAGAACGGCATGTGCTCGATGTCAGGGTCATGCTCAGGCGAGTTTGTGATGATGTGGTGAACATTGTGGTTGCGCTTCCACCATCCCAGACTTAAACCTCCAAGGTAATCGGCGATGATCATGCCGATGACACTGTCGACGTGGAAGTTGTGTGTAATACCCATGTGACCAGCATCATGGGCGCTGAAGACCAACTGGTGCCAGAAGGCGCCAATGAACAGGGCAGAGGTACAGTACCAGCCGTAGTGCAAGGTGGTCAAGAACATGGCAAACAAGAAAGAGTATCGTGATATCTCGATGGCGTAGGATTTGTAGTTGCAGTTGTAGAGACCTTCACTTCTCATACGCTGATCCAATGAGCGGTACTTTTGCATAATGTCATCCTGCGTCTCGGGATCAAGCTCTGGGTATCTCTCTAGGTCACTCTTGATCTGATCTTTCGTCCAGTCGCTTTCGGGGTCGTGGATGTTGTGTGGTTTCTCATTGTCGACGTCCAGCGACGACATGGATGTAGCAGAGGAAGATCGTGACATGGCGGGCTTGCGCTGGCGGAGTTGGGCATCGATGGGTTCGAACAAAGGTGAAGGCTCTCCTGAGCTTTCCTGGCTGGACGAGTCGTTGTCGTGGTCTGAGACTTGGTCCTCGGTGTCGACAACATCTTTCAAACGGAACTGTCCTCCTTGAATCGGGGGCAGGAAGTTGAACCAGCGTCCTTCAACAACACCGATTTGATAGGCGTGCATGCGCTCGAGGGCTTCGGGAGAGTGCAGNACTGAATACAAGGTCAGAAAGAGCTCGAGAATGGCCAATTGACATGATCAAGCAACGTACGCGGTCACCTCGTCTGTAGCATCTCTACCAATCATGTGCATGATGGCCTTGTCACCACCAGGGTGATACTTGAGCCATGCATCTACCTTGAGCACCTTGCCATTCATGACAATTATCGATCGGCCTTCGGCGATCTGGGCTTCGACTTCCCTCCGGCTAAAGACTCGCTCGCGCCTGCTAGCCATTTTGACGGAACTCATGGCGGAATGCTTCAGAGGAAAATGACAGACAACATGCCCACGAACGAAAGAGCAGTTGAAAAGGAGGAGTTTGTTGAAAAGACCCTTGACCTGGACCAGGCAAACACGAGACTCTCACGGGTTCCTTTCCCCACATTTTCTGTGCCACTCTGATGTGCAACTCTAGACGAGAGCCCCTGCTTTGCTTGTTGCATACCACCAGACATGATCGGTTTTACCAAAACTGACGAGCATCATAGTAATTGAGATATCGATCCGAGGTCAAACACAATCATGGCCAGTGGCCACTTTCCAGAGCGGCTGAAAGAAGCCACATTACCTGCTTCACCAGCCATGTCTCCCGGTCCACCAACAGCACAAAAATCAAGTGCTCTACAGAGTCGAATCACGAGTGTACTTGCTGCATCATACTCAGACTTGGAGATTCGAGATGCACTGGAAACTCTGGATGCTCGCAAAGTCCACAACACAGCCGAGACAAGACGCAATCTTCGATTAGATGCTCAGCAAGAGTTGATCCAATGTAATGGAGAGATCATCCGTGATTTTGGACAAGTTGCTCAGGTACGATAACTCGTAGCATCGATCTAAGTTTTTCTAACAAAGAAGTAGCAATTGCAAAGGGTGGGTGCTGCCATTGAGGATTTGAACAAGCTATGCACAAGCATGCGATCCCATATATCGGCCGCCAACAGAGAAACTGGTCCCATGATGGAAGAGAGCACGGCAATGATGACACAAAGGCAGCAGACCGAGACCAAACAACAACTACTGGGCGCCTTTACCTCTCATTTCCTTCTATCCGATGCAGAAGTGACCTCCTTAACATCTACTGCAGAACCGGTTACAGACTCCTTCTTTCAGGCATTGGCTCGGGTCAAGAAGATACATGATGACAGTCAACTACTTCTGGGAACCGAAGACCAACAACTGGGCCTCGAGATTCTAGAGCAAAGCTCAAAACAGCTCAACGCAGCCTTCCAGAAGCTTTTCCGCTGGACTCAACGTGAGCTCCGTGAGCTGGATCTTGAGAACCCTCAACTTAGCACCTCAGTCAGACGTGCTCTTCGTGTACTGGCCGAGAGACCTGCGCTCTTTCAAAGCTGTCTCGACTTCTTTGCCGAGAATCGGGAGCAGGTGCTTTCGGATGCTTTCTATGCTGCTCTGACTGGAGGATCTGCTCAGCGGGTGGGAGGTCCTGCAATGGGTAAAGCAATTGAGCTCAGTGCACACGATCCGCTGCGCTACGTCAGTGACATGCTCGCTTGGGCGCACGCTGCTACGGTTGGTGAACGCGAAGCATTGCAAATTCTGTTCATCTCAGACGCGGACGAGATATCGAAAAACATCAAAGCAGGTCGCGAACGTGAGCCTTGGCTGCAAATCACCGATGGAGCAGATGGTGAAGAAGTCGCAGCCTTTGACGGCAAGAAAGCGCTTAATGACCTGGTTGATCGTGATCTGTCTGGTGTCCTCCGTCAGCTACGTCAACGTGTCGAGCAGACGGTACAGAGTCACGAGGATGCGACGTTGGCCTACCAGATTTCTAATCTGATACGATTCTACTGCTCCATCTTCGTACCCCTTCTTGGACCAGAGTCGGCGATCGTGCAAACACTACAGCCCATCACACAAAAGGCATTTGAGCAGTTCAAGACACTGATGAGAGATCACATCGCCAATATCCACAGCGATGTGGCAGTCACACCACTGGATCTTTCACCACCCGACTTTTTGTTGGAAGCACTAGATACACTCCGAGGCTTGATGAAGAGTTACGATACATCGCTAGCTAACGCGTCTTCGGGCGAGGATCGAAGTGGATTCCAGGCCGTGCTCGAAGAAGCGCTTGACCCCTACTTGGCAGGCTGCGATAGCATTGCTAAGGGTATGGGAGCGCCACAAAGCCAGATCCTTGCAATCAACTGTCTACTTGCGACTATAGAGACACTCAAGGGCCGAAGCTTTACAGAAGACAAGATTGGCGAAATTGAAGAGACGGTGCAAGAGCAGGTCGAGAGACTTGTAGAAACGGTGATTGCATGGTTCGAGTCAGAATCGGGACTCAAACGACTCTTCGACAGCCTTGAAGAGTATAAGAACACCAACCTTGGTCAAGGTATCAGTGGCATCAAGAAACTAAGAGATATGCAGCCGGACCGGTTGGCAGACATGGCACAGAAGCTGGACGCGTTCTTACCAGGAGCAATGGAGGACGCTAGAGCATTCATTGGCAAGCTTGCAGAGAAGAGGATGGTGCGCAAGGTGTGTGAAGATGCATCGAATGTCTTCGTCAACAAGTTTGAATCTGCTGAGCGGATTATGATTGGCTTGGACGAGATGACACTGGCCGAGCAAGGAGAAGAGGTGGAAGATGGCATGCTGGTCCGCGATGTGTTCCCTCGCACTAGCGACGAGATCAAGGTGCTGCTCAGCTAGAGGTAGAGTAGATTGAACAGTAAAAGTGGTATCATTTGGACATTATGTTGTCATGTGAGACGGTGGGTATATGCGACACTCAGAGGGAACCCTTCTTCTTCTCCCACTCGGCAGGGGTCATGCACTTGGGCGTCCAGGCATGGATGGCAGCAATCTCGGCTTTGAGGGTGTTGTTGACAAGGCGATGGCGGGCGAGCGACGTCTTCTTTTCGAACTGTGGTGAAACGATGATGGCTTCGAACATTTGGCCGCATCCACCTAACATCATGTAAGTGTTTGCGAAGAGCAGATGGATGTTATGGCAGTTACCTGACAGATCTTGGATGTCTACGTGCTGTGCCTCGAGCTTCTCAAACAGGGTGGCCTTGAGCGACTCGGGCGTGACACCAGACGAGAGCTGGTTCTGGGTGGCTTCAACGTCTGTTCTGGCACTCATGATTTCGTGATTGGTCGTGTGAGTGGATGCTGAGGTGAATTGTCGCAAAAGTGTCGCTGCTCGAGGGTCGTTCAAGAATGACGCAGCCCGTGGTCGAGCTTTGGCCTAGACTTTGACATTCTTGACCAGCACCTCTTCCTGCTTCTATACACTCATCTTTTGCTGTCGCACAATCTGTATGTTCTCGGCAACGCTACGTCGCACCGTCAAGATGAGTTCAACAATCTCCTCGGCCCCCTTCTCCAAGGCCGTCGTCGGCGCAATGCGCAAACTGTGAGTTACTCCGGAACCATTCTATTACCATCAAGTCGCTAATGCACCCAGCTACCCAGAGGCCCTCGCGGACAAGAGCTGGGACAACACTGGCCGTACGTTCATTCCCTCGCTATGACCATACAAGCAACTCTAACCTGGATTAGTCCTCCTCGAATCGCCCTTCGACCCCATTCGTCGCCAGATGAACTCGGCCCTCCTCACCATTGACCTCACCAAAGCTGTCGCCGATGAAGCCATTGAGCGTGGAGACTCCATCATCGTAGCCTACCGTACGCCCACCTAACCAAAGAACGTCAACCAGAAACAAGCACGCCTAACTTTACGTCAAGCATAGATCNCCATCATCTTCAGAGGTCTCAAAAGCTTATCCCTAGCCGACACCCAACAACAAACACTACTACGATTGGCCGCAGAAGGCATCAGCGTATACAGCCCACACACCGCAATCGACTGCGCCCCCGGCGGCCTAGGCGACTGGCTCGCCGACATCGTCTCCGGCACCCCCATGAGCGCCGAAGAACTAGCCGCCCAAGCACAAGAAAAAGCAAACGAACAATCCAACACAAAGAAAGAGCCAGAAACCCCTTCCAACGAGCTCAAACGCCCGACCTTCCAACTCCAGCACCATCCCAGTCAACTCAGCATCAAAGACCGCACCCTCAAACTCGGCAACGACACGCACACCCGTCGCCCAATCAAGCCTTCCTCGGTGCCAGGCTACCAAAACACTACTGCAGGAATGGGTCGTATCGTCCGCTTTTCTACTCCACAACCCCTCCTCGAAATCATCGACCGCATTGGCCGTGGTCTCGGAAACCCAAAGGGCTTCCCCATCGCCATCCCCCAAGGCAAGCAAATGGACGAAATCGACATTTCGAGCGTCGCCATCTGCGCCGGCAGTGGAGGAAGTCTGTTTGGCGGGCTGGGCAAGAACGGCGAGGAAGACGTGGATTTGCTGTTTACCGGCGAGTTGAGCCATCATGAGGCGTTGGCGGCAATCGAGCAGGGTAAATGTGTTATTGCGCTTTTCCACTCGAATACAGAGAGAGGGTTCTTGCATGGCGTTTTGAAGCCGCAGTTGGAGAAGAGTGTCAAGGAGGAGTGGGAGCGTGTGAGAAAGGAGGAGAAGGACAAGGCTTCCTCTGCCGCTTTGAGTGAGGACTACCTCGAGGCGCTCGAGGACGATCATATCGAGATCCATGTCAGTGAGGTCGACCGCGATCCTTACGGCATCATGATTTCAAAGGATGAGATCTAGAACAGTCAAGGAGACAATCTGGACATTCTGATTCATCATTCTTTGGTAAGAAGCTGTGTATATACCCCTTGGCCCATGGCTTTGTAATCTCGGAGAATCAGTATAGAGAAGAAACAGAAAAATCAAAAGACAAAGGTATATCTCGCACTACTCCATAACACCCTTTCCCCTTACTATGAATCCCTCATCTGTAACGTCAAATGCCTCAAGCAGCAACATCAACATTGGCAGCACCGGCTCTAGCGTTCCTGCTCTTGCGAACAGCACCAGGTCTAGCAAGCGTGTACTTTGCAAACGCCCTAGCCAGCGCTTTCTTGCAGCTGACCTTTTGACTGCCCACGAACGAGTCAACGGCGACAGCGATGGCACGGTCAATATCTGTGCTGCTGCAGTATTCCGAAAGACGCATTTTGGCAAAGGCTTCGGCAATACGGAGGATAGATTCCAGATGACGGACCTGTACTCGTATCAGTAAAGGAAACGACAAGACAAGAAATTAGAGAACACTTACAGTAATGGGATAAGCACCGGTGGCGAGACTTTCCCTACGCATGTCCGCAAACAATCTCGCAATCTTGTCTTGATCGATCGAGACCAACTGAGGACGATGCTTCTCGCGGGCATAGAGAATGTACTTTCTTAACATATCTTGCGGAATCTCGCCTTGCTTGCTGGTGCCCTGGTCGCCGTCAATCTCCATATTGGCATCCTGCATACTGTTGACTGGTGCGTCGTTGGCGGAACCGCTGAGAGTAGGGTGAGCTCTGCCGTGTGAGTTTACAACGAACGCAGCTAGGCGTTCGTCTTCTTCTGGGTCAACGGTATCGCGAACCACGCAGAGGATGTCGAAACGAGAGAGAATGGGTTCGGTGAGTTCGACATTCTGACTGAAGGGCACGGTGCCGTTGTATCTGCCTCCGATAGGGTTGGCTGCTGCCACTACTGCGCAGCGAGCTTGTAGTGTTGTGACGATACCGGCCTTGGAAATGGAAATGGTTTGTTGTTCCATGGCTTCGTGGATGGAAGTGCGGTCTTGATCGTTCATCTTGTCGAACTCGTCAATCAGGCAGGTTCCTTTGTCTGCCAGTACCAAAGCACCTCCTTCTAGAGTCCACTCCGAAGTCATCGGATCGCGTCTTACCGAGGCGGTCAAACCAACAGCTGAAGCACCCTGACCTGTTGCAAAGACGGCTCTGTGTGCAGTACTTTCTATGTACTTCAACACCTGTGACTTTNNTGCAGTACCGGGGTCTCCGAGGAGCAAAACGTTGATATCACCTCTGATGGAATGCTTGCCTTGAGCTTCCTTGCTCACACCACCAAATAGACTGAGTGCGACAGCTGTCTTGATGTCGGTATGGCCATAGATACTTGGCGCAATACTGTTGATGATCTTGTTGATGATCTGGGGNTCTTTTCCCAGAGCACGGATGTCTTCTACGTCTTGCTCTGTTAGTCTGAAGCCAGAAAGCTGGTCGTGGGACTTGACGACATGATTGGCTTCAATAATGGTTGCAAAGACAGGGAAACCGTTCTTGTTGTTTAGGGCGGCATCGTAGTTGTTGCGGTAGATACCAGTAATCTCGACTTCCTCACCAGGCTTTGCCGAATCGATCAGATCCCACAAAAGAATGACTTCTCTGTGGCGAGGCAGACGACCGGCAGGCACAGTTCCCGGCGACTCTTGCAGAGTGATCTTCTGGTAGTTGCGGTAGACTGTCTTTTCGGAGTTGATGGTGAAGGGACCACGCGATTGGCAGTTTTGACAGAACGAGATCTTGACTTCAGAGTTGGAGTCTTGGGGNAAGGGACCCAGAGTGACACCGCACTTGGTGCAGTCGAACTTGATGTACTTGAGTTGAGGGAAGACACCAGTACGGCGTGTCACAACACCACTGATTCTGACGAGGGAATTGAGATGACTTTGACGCAACTCTCGCAAAGTGTAGGTCGTAGGCAATCCGTTGATGCGTACGTGAATTTCGGAATGGATGCGTTCGTAGTCGGGGTAGTGGTAGAGAGTGACGTCCATGGCAACGCGGTCGAAGATTTTGAGAGTCTCGGTGGGTACGTTGGCAATGAAGTATGCCAATGTAGGCTTTGTCATACTGAGGTGCTCCCAGTCGATCTCCAGAGATTCGGCGTTGACCTCACCCAAGGTGCGGATGCGGACACCATAAACAGAGATACCATTGTCGTCAACGAACTCGGTCAAGAAGGATTTGAGCTCACGAGCGATACCGCGATGTACAGCGGGCTGTGCAATCCAATCAGTCAGGTTGGCGGCCTTGACATCGGCTAGGCCTTCGGCAGAGAGCTCTTCGGTCATGATATCTTCGGTCATGTCCATGTCGTCCTGTTCCTCATCGTATCTGTGTCGCCGCCTGCGGGGCTGTCTGGTCAGATCCATCAAGTCGTCCTCGTCCTCATCCAAAGCTACTTGGGGTCTCCTTTGGCGAGCCAGCTCGCGATCACGGCGGTTGAGGCGGGCGTCGAGTTGTCGTCTGGCAGCCAGGTCTAGGTCGTCGTAGTCTCCTTCATCGTCGATATCCTGGCCTTCGTAGAAATCATCTTCGCGACGTCTGTAATCGTTCTCAAAGTTGTCACCGAACAGGTCGACGCCAGCATCGTCTTCTAGCTGTTCTTCAGCATCGTCGAGGTCTGGGATGAGGTCCTCATCGGGCTCAATGATGTCGTCTTCGTCGTCGTCAAGCTCGTCTCGCGGTAGCGGGAGGAGGAGAGAAGGATCTGGGAGGGCTTGAAGGAGGAGCGGCAGAGGATGAGCGCATGTGTACATCTTCGTCGTCCCTCTGGCGTTTGCGGCCACCAGCAGCAACTGATGATTCAGGGGTCCGAGTGGTGAACTGAGCAAGTGTGAGTTGACATGATCTGTATGTAGCTACTATTGAGCAACTCACCTCATAATTGTGGATGTTCGTTCTGTAAAGAGTGGTAAATGTCGATTGACAGGGTGTGCTTTGTTGATTTCTGTGACCGAAGCGGCCGAAACATTGTCGTCGCGAGTCTCCGCGGCAGGCGCGTTTCTCGCGTAAAGTGCTTCCCGATTAGGAAAGATGCGACTCGTCCTCCGCGACGCGCCTGCATCACCGTCACTCTTTGCCTTTCGCATACTGCATAATCATGTCTCAAAACACCGAGGCCTCTCAGACCGCTCAAGAGTAAGTGCATCAGATCTGGCTATCACAATGAAACACTCACAATCCATAGTTTCATCGCGTCGCAGCTACAACTTGAAGCCGATGCGCGCGAGGCTCTTCCATATCAATTCGATACCTGCACAAAGCCTCTTGGTCCGCTGAGGCAGGCCATCTTTGCATGCCTGACATGTAACCCTCCAACCCCTTCGGACAGCAAATCACACACCCCAGCCGCCGTATGCTACTCCTGCAGCATCTCTTGTCATGGCGAACACGAATTGGTCGAACTCTTTACCAAGCGTAACTTCGTCTGCGATTGTGGTACCACCAGAGTACCCGTATCAGCTCCATGCACACTCCGCATCGACGAGTCCACCAGCCAGAAGGGCAATGTGACTGGCGAAACTCCTGCAGAGAACAACAAGTACAATCACAACTTTTCCGGCCGCTTCTGTGCATGTGGAGAGCCATATGATCCCGAGAAAGAGAAGGGCACCATGTTCCAGTGCTTAGGTTTAGGCACGGTTGAAGACGGTGGTTGTGGAGAGGATTGGTGGCATCCTGAGTGTTTGATGGGCTTGCCGAGACCTCAGCCATCCGATACTGCTCCCAAGGAAGAGAAGGCAGAACTAGAGCAGCCTACCCAGGACGGAGAAGCTACCGCACAGCCCGCCCAGGGCCAAGAAGATGCCGATGAGGCACCTTTGCCGCCTGGTTTCCCTGCCGAGGATGACTTTGATCATTTGATCTGCTATAAGTGCGTTAGCTCGTTCCCCTGGATCAAACAATACGCAGGTCAGGACGGCTTCCTGAGTCCCATCTACCACAAGCAGTCATCCGGGAGCACCGAGGAGAGCTCTACCGCCGAGCAAAGCACAAAAGATGCAACCCTGCCGCTGTCAACTGAGAGCAAGAAGAGAACTGCCGAGGACGATTCAGAAGTTCCCACATCTAAGAAGACCAAGGTCGAATCTGAAGATGATGTCTCTGAGACTGTCACACCCAACCCAACAACCATCACAAATGCCGACGAAGCTCCTCTACACACCAAACTCCCTGCAGCTCCATCAGGCACCTTCTCTCTCTTCCTCAAAGAAGACTTCCGCTCACACATCTGCCGCTGCCCCTCCTGTTTTCCTAACCTAAAGCCACATCCTCAACTTCTCGAAGAGGAAGAAGCCTACGAACCTCCCGTCTCGGAAAGCGATAACGAGGAAGCACAGAATGGACGCGGCGGCAGTGTGGGCTCAGGAAGCACATATGAACGTGGTGAAGCTCTGCTTAGCAACATGGATCGAGTCAAGGCCATCGAGGGTGTTATGGTGTACAACCATCTGCGTGACAAGGTCAAGGCTTTCTTGCAGCCGTTCGCCGAGAGTGGGCAGGCTGTTGGAGCGGAAGATATCAAGGCTTATTTTGAGAAACTGAGAGGTGACGAAGAGGGTATCAGGCTTGCTGGGGCTGGCGCTGGTGCTGCGGACGAGGGTGCAGAAGGTGACGGTAGACGTGAGCAGGGAGGTCACTAGACGGATACTCTCTTTGGGCTCTTTGGATGGGAAATGAAAATCAAAATTGGAAGATACCCCGGGTCGGTCGAACAAGGCAGAAAGCAGAATTGAAATCTAATTTGTACAGTTGTTGGTAGTAATTCTTTGAGCTTGGCTCGATCTCAGTGAGACCGTCAACCTCTATGTCATCGTCACTATAGTCTTACATATCTTTCTTCTCGTTTTTCCAGGCCATTCATATCCTCACACCCCAGTTCCTCGCCATGTTGACAGTGGCTATGCCCTGGAAACTCATCCACTCCCTGACGTTCCTCCACGCACCTCCCACCACTCTCGCCTCTTGTAACCTCCTGTTCAAAAACTCCTCTGTGTCCTTGAAGTCTGTGCTTTGATCTGTAGTCGAGTATGTTTCTGTCGCGGCGTATATGGAGCTCAGTGTTGCACGCTTGGTGTACCAGGAACTGTCGACCGCCTCATCGCCAGCCAGGAACCAGATTTCGTCTGCGAGGAGATAGAGTTCGCGGAGCGAGGGAGGGATATTGCCGGCCAGAGACATGAGACCTAGTGCNCTGTGTTTACCTCTCTGTCAGTATCTCATCCATTCATCTCCCATCGTTTTGGTATAGAGAAAGCTTACCTCCTGCCACCTCTCCTGCACATCAACCTCCACATTCCCCCTCAACCTCTCCATGACCAAAGCCTTCACCTTACTCGTCACCCCCAACCTCGCTTCCTCTTGAAACTGCACACGCTCCTTTAACCCCAACCTCTGCGTCCGTAAATGGTACAACACCAATTCAAACTCGGCTTTCGGGAACAGGTTCGTAGATACATCTGGGTATCCTGCGTCGCGGGCGCCTTGACGTAGAGATGCATTCGTCCAGCCGTTTATGGGTACGTGGGTGAGTGCTGCAGACAAAATTGCGATTTCGGTGGGTGGGTAGGGTGGTGGGAGAGGTGTTTCGTAGCTGTAGTATGTGCGAGTGGAGAGGCGAGGGAGGGTTGAGGATGACAGGAGTCTACGGGTTGTTGGGGTGCGAAGTACTTGAGACATCGTTTTGTGTATGTGTTGGGTGTTGTCGAGGTAGAAGAAGGCGAGGATCTTCGGGTATGGAATCTTTGGATTGTCGATGTCATCGGTGAGTTCTCCGCTTGCTTGATGCCAAGACCGTACTATACCGATATATTACAGAGACTTCTGGATGATGATGATGAAGTTGCCTGTATTTATGGATCTACTTGAACCTCTGGAGATCGAGACCAACAAATTGATCGAGTTCTTGGTTCTTGAGGTGTGTGGCCTGCCTTTTCTTCGGGATGTGACTTCAATCTTGTACGAATGCTGGCCTTCTGTCTGGTCAAGAGCTTCTCGAGCACAACATGGCTACTGGGAGGCCCACGGCACTCTGGATAACCGGATCTTACAAGCAATCAGTATTTGCAGTCTCAATACTAGTCGGAGCGCATGCGAATAGGCATAGTCTGGTGTGAGTGTTGAGGGAGAGGTCAATGTATCCAGGAGCAGGGTCATCCACTTTACAGCTTTGACTTGGGTAAAATTTAACACAAAAACATGAATCAGAAAGATGACATAGGTACAAGCTATCAGGCTGAATGCATTTGAAACGCAATGATGCTGTCGTAAGGTTGGTTCATAGGGTGTCAGGATCGACTGAGACGGAAGACCATGCATGGTTTACCAGCGGTCATTGTCGTCGCCGTAGCGCTCATCATCTCTGCCTTGGTCGTAGGCGTTGTCCATGTTGTCGCCGAATCTGTCGACATCATCGCCCCAGCGCTCGACCTTTCCGACGCCCTCTCCAGCAAAGCCAGCAATGTCCTCGGGCACATCCTCGACATCCTGGACACCATTTGCCCACTTATTCTCCATGCCGTACTTGACACGGTCGTAATCGTTCTCGATGTCCTGGGGGATGTCTTCGACCTCTCCGACCTGTTTAATGAATAATTAGCAGGTAATTAGCTTGCAAGATGGTCAAGAGTCTTACCTTGCGGCCTGTCCAGCGAGCTGCGTCCTCAGGGCATCCTCCACACGGTTTTCGAAGCGATCGAACTTGTTCTCGGCTCTGTACTTGTCTTCCTCCCAGTCCTCCTTGACTTCGTGACCTTCGTGCATGAGTAGTGCACCGCCAGCAAGTCCAGCTGCGGCGCCCATGGCTCCGTATGCTAGATTGTGGTTCTTCTTCTGCTGAGGCTGTTGTTGTTCGTATGCGCCGTATTGAGCTTGAGGAGGACCTTGGTTGTAGCTGCTTCCATAGCCACCGCCGTATCCACCAGCACGACCAGGATGCTCGAAAGTGCGTTCGCCGTTCTGCTCGTTGATGAAGAGCCAGCGATTCTCACGATCGTCCCAGACGGCGCGCCATGGAGGCGGGACTTGAGGTGTTCCTTGACCAGCACCGTAGCCTCGCTGTGGGCCGCCATATCCTTGTTGAGGACCGCCATATCCCTGCTGGGGACCGCCATATCCTTGCTGGGGACCGCCATAATTGCCTTGGGGTTGGTTGTAGTTGTTTCCTCCGTAGCCGCCCTGATTGTAGCCGCCCTGCTGGCCGCTGCTACCGCTCTGGCCCTGGTGGGTGACCTCGTTGATTAATTTGTCGAGCAAACCCATGGTCGCGAATTGTGGGCTGTAATTTGTGATGTGAGTGTTGTGTAGGATATGTGTGTGCGATGAGTGTGTGAGTGAAATGAAAAAAGTGGTTTAGGACGAGTTAGAGGAGAACTGAAGATGACAAGTGGTGCAAAGGGATGATAAAGAGGTGCTCTAGCTGAGGGCTGACCGCGTTGATCTAGAATCAGCCAAACGTCACTGATCCAAGCTCGATCACAGAACAACAAATACGAATGTAGGACATGAGGCACTTTCAAGCACACGGATTGGCTTGTCAACACGGTGTCAGTCGCGTTTCTTGTTTTTGTGGCTGAGTGTTACTATTTACAATAATGCTCAGCCTGTCGACCGGACCACAATGGAGCAAGCCTCATCGTCTGTTGTTGCGGCCGCAATGGTTTCCCCTCGGTCTAGAACTCAATGTTGGGGATCATCATGGCCAAGCTGTCCGCCGATTGCTTGAGAGGCTTGTTACCGAACAAGCTTTTGTTACTAACAGAAGCCGGACTTGTTGGTGATACCATTCCCTTCGGCGGTTGCCATCATCCCTCGAGACCATCTGTTGACAGCGTAGCCATGGATGTGACGGAGGGTCGTTAGGAGAGATGCAATGAACAGCGAAGCTCAGCATAAACACAGCTGCTCAACTTCTGCTGCTCGCCCGCGAACTTCTGAGTTCATATCCCGACCTTCTGGTTTGACTCGGAAATGCTCGTGTGCTGTCTGAGATGCACGATCCAGGTCGGACAATTCGGCTTTGTGTGTGTATGCTTGATCGAGTAACCGTAAGGGAACTGATCCTCATTCCAAGTGATGGGTTTGTTTCCTGTTTCCAGATGTTTTGTCTCATCTGGCGAGGCCTTCGATGTCCTTCTCCATACTGCTGACCCTTGATTGAAGCGCTCTTTTCTTGTCCTCGAGAGCACGGATTTCGTCTTCCTCATTAACAAGGTCCTCCTTACTCATGTGGACGGTAGGCTCGATGTGATCATCCTGGTAGTCATATTCGTCTTGATCGCAGTCATCGTGGCTCTGGTGCAGATGATCCAGCTCGGCGGACTGCATTGCGACTCGTTCTTCGTAGTGAGCAATGTTGGCACTCAACTGTGCATATCGGTTTCTCAACTCCCCAATCCTGTCAAAAGCACCTGGGATAGGACTGTTCCAACGATTAATACCAACAAACACGCTCGGGGACAGGAACCAAACATACTAGACTCTACACAGCTTCTCCGCGCCTCGCAGAAGAAGTTCGACATCGATATCGCCTTTGGATTGCTTCCCGCCGTGTCCGGACCTGGTCTTACGATACAAGTCACCGCCGAGAACTGCAGCAACAGCAGTATGGCGACGAGGTGGTCTTTGGGAATTTGATGTAGCGATTGATCGTGAAGCAGAAGTCGTAAAGGTGGAAGATATTTGCTGGATTTGCGACTTGGAAGGAACCGGAGGAGGAGCGATCGAGAAGAGGGCGCGTTCGTGTTGTTCGGTGTCTCTGATCAGGGCGGTAATGTCGTGGTGGGTGAGAAGGGCATTGGTGAACTGTTTCGGGCGCGAGAATGGAAGATCGGATATGGACGAAGCACAGAGGGATAGCTGGTCCAGATGCGACGACAGCAGAGACGAAGCCATGGTTGTGTTGGGCGGAAGAGTGTTTGGCAAGAAATAAACAAAAATGGGTAAACAAATGGGCGGGCTGGCATGTGATGATTGAGTGAGAGCTCCGGCGGGCTTGGCTCTTTCCGTCATCGCCATCGCCCTTCGACCAGCACCATCAGCTCCAAGTCCGCGAAGAGGCAACTCCATCAACTCACTTCATCCACACACGACCACGCGCTACCTCCATCCTCTCTCCCACACACACACGTCTCTGTCTCCGAAGATCGTCATGGCCGACAAGATGGAAGGCATCGAGGTCGCCTCTGCTCCTGTCGACAACGCTCCTACCGCTGAGCAGCTCTCACAATGTACCTTGGCCCATCTTCACGTCCAATCCATATACTGACATCCAGCTCCAGCCATAATCGCCAACTTTGCACTCCTTGACCAAGCCGTTGCCCGCTTCGATGGACGCTTCACCCTCCGTGTACTCCGCTCAATATCGAGCATGCGCAAGAGTCCCCAGCTCCTTGACGCCTTGTCGACTGCCGTGGCTTCGCTGTACGCCTCACACCAAGATTCGCCCGATAAGCACTTCCTGGAGTCTGCTCTTGAAAAGACTTCCTCTGCCCCTGCCAACGGCAATCCCTCAAAGGACGGTGATGTTCTCCCAGAATCCTTCATCTACCTGGCCGTCCTGATCCAGGTACCGTCTTACCTAGTACGCTGTACAAAAACATACCTCTGACTTTACTTGCNNCAGGTCTACCTTTACGATGCGCAAAAATACTCGCACGGCGCCGAGTTCTCATCTGCTCTGGTCGACAGAGTACGAGAGTACAACCGTCGCACACTGGACTCGCTCGCCGCAAAGTCCTACTTCTACTACCACCTCTTCCACGAACAGCTCGACCCCAAGCCGCCATCCAAGCAATCGCCCGTCATTGCCACGAGATCAAAGCTTCTGGCTGCTCTTCGTAGCGCAGTCCTGCGCAAGGACAACGACACCCAGTCCGCCGTTATCGTCCTTCTCCTTCGCAACTACATCTCCACCGCCGACATTAACCAGGCCGACCTTTTGGTCAACCAGACCTCATTTCCTCCGAACGCTCCTAATAACCAGGTTTGCCGCTACCTCTACTACCTTGGACGCATTCGTGCGATTCAACTATCATACACTGCAGCTCAAGAGCACTTGACAAGTGCCACTCGCAAGTCTCCCACCAACAATGTCGCAGCTGGCTTCTACCAATCGGCCATGAAACTCCTGATAATTGTCGAGCTTCTGATGGGTGATATTCCGGATAGAGCCATCTTCAGACAGCCCTCGCTCGAGCGTGCTCTCTACCCCTACTTCCGTCTGGTTCAGGCTGTTCGTGTTGGTGACCTGCAAGGCTTCGTTCGCGTTGTCGAGGAGAATGCAACTCAATTCCGCCGCGATGGTACCTACACTTTGATCCTCCGCTTGCGTCAGAACGTCATCAAGACTGGTGTTCGCATGCTCTCTCTGTCATACTCTCGCATTTCGCTTCGCGACATCTGTCTGCGCCTCGGTGTTGAGAGCGAGGAGTCTGCTGAGTACATCGTTGCAAAGGCCATCCGTGATGGCGTCATTGAGANNGCAACTCTGGACCACGAGCACGGTTTCATGGAGTCCAAGCAGGCAGGAGACATCTACGCGACAAGAGAGCCTGCTGAAGCTTTCCACGAGCGCATCAAGGCTTGTCTGAGCATTCACGACGAATGTGTGATGGCAATGAGATATCCCATGAACAAGCACAGACAAGAGCTGAAGAACGCCCAGGAAGCTCGCGAAAGGGAGCGTGAGCTTGCCAAGGAGATCCAAGATGGCGACATGGACGAAGATGACGCTGGCGAATTTGAGGGTATGTGAGCACGGAAATGCATATAGACGCGCAACTCGACTATGTAAGATGGAGATGTGCCTGGTCAAAGGGAAGACGTGGAATGTTTCATGAGCAGCATGGCGTCCGCCGGTTGGTGCATAGAACGTCTTTTTCAGCAAAGTAATGACAATCTTTCTCGTTCAACAACAACTTGTTCGTCCATTTGCATCTTCTGATGATCGGAGAGCTACTGTATCCCAAGTGTCTCCTTCGCTCGTTGTTCCAGCGATGAGCTTGGACCAGGCAGTCAACATCATCCAACCACCAGCTTTCGTTGTGCCCATCACTTCCCAGCCACCTCGACAACCTGTTGCACACCGCATTGTAGTCTTTGCTTGGTACAGTTGGCGCCCTGCTTTCTCCTGACTGACGTAGACTTCACTATATTTGCCATTCGGAAAAATAGATGGCTGGAGGTATTATCACGCTATTAATCATTTTGCTTTCTCACCATGACTTTGCCTGCGTTTTACACCACAATTTTGTTCGTCGCGGTATTCTAGTTGTTTTTGCCTTTCCTAGCATTTTTATCCATTCACCATAACCGTTGAACATGCTATACCCGTCACATCTTCTCAGCCTACAAGCGTCCTTGCGACTGACAGCACTTGCCACGATCGCATCTTCGACCTTCACACAGACTGCACGTGCTCAAACAACAAGTAGCTGCAACCCAACACAACAATATGGCTGCCCTGCTGATCCGGCACTTTCAAAATCAATCAATGTCGACTTTACCTCTGGCGAATCAAGTCAATTCACAGCATCAGGCGTACCGACATACAACTCTAATGGCGTATCATTCACAGTCGCCCAGTCAGGCGATGCTCCCATGCTTACATCAAACTGGTACATCATGTTTGGCAAAGTCGAAGTAAAGATGAGGGCTGCTGCTGGCCAAGGAATAGTCAGCAGTTGTGTGCTACAATCAGACGACCTGGATGAGATCGATTGGGAATGGGTTGGCAACCAGCAGGATCAAGTACAGTCCATCTACTTCCGAAAGGGTGATTCTTCGACGTCAGGCCGTGGCGCAGCTTTCCATATGGAGAACCCGACAGAAGACTTCCATACCTATACTATCGACTGGACATCGACAGAGCTGGTCTGGCAGGTAGACGGAAAGACGCAGCGTGCTCTGAAAGCCACCGACGCTGGAGATCAATATCCTCAGACGCCCATGATGCTCAAGCTTGGTATCTGGAGTGGTGGTGATTCGTCAAACGCTCCTGGCACAATCGCGTGGGCAGGAGGCAATACCGACTNNTATTCAGCAGGGCCATATACAATGGTTGTTCAGTCAGTCTCAGTCACGGACTATTCGACTGGCAAGTCTTACACATACTCAGACCAGACAGGAAGTTGGTCGAGTATCAAGGCAGCTGGAGGATCCATCAACGGAGGCTCGACCAATGTTGACACCTCGGCACCTGCTATCACTTCGGTTGTGAGCGGTGCCGTTCCCTTCGAAGGGACTCATCGCACATGGACTTCGGTCTCGACCCCAGGTATCGGCAACTGGCGAGCCACGGCGTCCGGCATGACCAGTACGGTAGCCACCACGTACCCCGGCCTACCGAGCGGATGGAGCGTAAACCCGGATGGCAAAGTCGTTCCTCCTAGCAAAGCCACCATAGGTGAGTCACTGGACCTAGAACATGACCCCTTGAGCTCAGACGCTGACCAGTACTCCANNGTTTCGATACCTCTTCGTATGGTTCTGCTCCTCAGCTGCAGTCTCTCTTTGGGGTTCGCAATGGGCTTCCTCTTGTGAAAACTCTGCCCAAACACCCCGCTTCCTTACGGAACAACTCGCGATTTCCCCAATACCTATTTGATAATATTCGTAATAGAAAGCCCCATTTAGAGAAAGGGCAACGGACAGACCCTCCGTCGCTCCACGAAAGCCGTTTGCCCCGCAAATGAGGAGCGAGGGGGAGGAGCCATGTGAGCAGTCCTGGGGAAATCAAAACCACTTCGTCTTATGCGTAGACTTGGCTAGCATCAAACTATGACTAAAAATACGTAACAGAGCATGCAAACGTGAGCACCTTGAAGAGACGAAAACAAGACAGCTGGTCCGATCGGAAGATGAGGGAATTGATGATGAGAGGAAAATACATGGCTACGACCACCATTCACTCCATAGGGCCTTGATTGAAGCCAGGAAAACGAGTTTCCGGGCAATCCCTGCTTACTCCTTATAGTCCGTCTATAAACGCGCAAGTAGGGCGTTCAGGGCGTGTGAGAATCTAGAAAAAAGGCGCAGCAGCTTTGGAGCGCGGGCCGAACATTTTCGGCAGCGCTAAATTTCCCCAGATCGTCCGTTGACGCTAGCGCTCTGAGGTGATCAGGTACAAGTGGGTATGCCGCGAGTATGCGAGAAAAAGTGCTCGAGTTGGAATCGACAATGATGCCATGTGACTGGGACGTTGGTATATAGCCAGAGCTGATGCCAGGTCAGAGGGCCTGAGCCATTTCCCGCTCGTTTCGAAACAGCTTCTTCTTGTTGTGATTGTTAAGGCCGCGTCTCTGTCGTGCGTCATTTTGGGAAACCTCGATTCACTCAAAGCTCCCTGCTCCTGCTCCTTCTGGAAATCCCCTGAACCGTACCTTCCCTCCAGAGCTGCTCGGTCTCACTCGCAGCTACTTCGGCTCTTTCACGTGCGTGTCGTCACCGCTCTGCTATAAACCGGCGTCGTACGCTCGCCGAGACTCTCTCCTCGACATCCACCTTTCTTCATCAAGGTGTTCCGTCAAGACATCATGTCAAGCACAACCAACGGACTCGCCAACGGCAATGGCGTGCCGCACAACAAGCATCTCGAGCAGGTCATCAGACCCGCCGACAGACAACCCTCGCCCCAACCCACACATCTGAGCGTGCCTGGCGCCTCGAGCCATGCTCGAATCTTGAGCGAGCAGGGCTCTGGCTACGAAGCCCCGAAATTCGAGGGCAAGACCCAACAGATGGACGAGTAAGCAAACAATGATCAGGCTCTCACATGAATGTGCAATTAACTCGTATGCAGGGTCATGGACAAGATTGAGGCCAAAGGCTTCCTTCCCCCGGAGTTTGTCGAAAGCGAAACCCAATGGTTCTACAACGAATTGGGCATTGATGACATGTACTTCTCGACTGAAACGTCTGATGCGTATGTCAACCCTTCCACAACACATCGATTCCACAACAATTGCTAAACTTTTGCAGCANTCGTCAGCCACATTCACTCACTCTACGCCGCCAAGGTCGCTGCATTCGCGAGAGACGACAAGCAGCTTGAGATCCGCCTGGATAAGGAAGCTGCCGACCACGCCGTCTTCATCGATACCAGCAAGCCTGGTATGACCTCTGTCGGCGGACCTCGCTATGAGCAACGCATCGACGAGAAATACCTCAACAACTCTAAGGGTGCCAGCAGCTACCGTGTCGAGACATTCAGATCGTCTAGCAAATTGCCCGGTGATCTCGACCAACAGCTGAGATGTTACTTCGTATACCAGTGCTCTTTCGAGCAGCCCAACCCCAGCCCTGAGGAGACCAACCTCGATCTGATCTCTGACAAGAGGTTCCTCCAGAAGGCTACCAAGAACACCCGCGACATCTACCAACACATTCTCGAATCGGCTGTCGCTAGAACCGGCCCCGTCATCGAGCTCTTCGAGATCAAGGGCTCAAGAGAAAAGAGATTGGTTATTGCCTACAAGCAGGGTTCAGCTTTGGGTCTCTTCAGCGCCCTCAGTGATCTCTACCACTACTACGGCCTGACCTCATCTCGCAAGTATGTCGAGCAATTCTCCAATGGATACACAATCATGTCGCTGTACCTTCGTCCCGTACCCGGACCTGAGTCCAACCTGCATCCTCCCATTGAGGCCTCCATCCACCAGATCATGAAGGAAGTCTCTTTGTTGTACTGTGTTCCTCGCACCAAGTTCCAAAACCACTTCGCGACTGGAAACCTCAGCTTGCAGGAGACTATCTACGCCCACTGCGTCTGGGTGTTTGTCAGCCACTTCTTGAACCGTCTGGGCTCTGAGTACAACACTCTCAGCGCAATCCTGGACGCAAACAACAGTGTTCACGCCGAACTGCTTTCAAAGCTCAAGCGTCGTTTACGTACTGAGACATTCACTTCCGATTTCATTCTGGAAATCATCCAGCAGTTCCCTGACCTGGTCAAGGCTCTGTATCTCAACTTCGCCAACACTCACTACGTTCAGACCCGTGGTGACGAGGATGACTTCTTGCCGACTCTCAGTTATCTCCGCTTGAAGGTTGACAAAGTCTTGAGCGACACCGAGTTGGAGAACATGATCTCGACCACCTGCCAGAACGAGCATCAGGAGATGGTCATGACTGCTTTCAGAGTGTTCAACAAGGCTGTTCTCAAGACCAACTACTACACACCAACAAAGACTGCCCTCTCGTTCCGCTTGAACCCCTCGTTCTTGCCCATCGAGGAGTACCCTCAACCTCTGTACGGCATGTTCTTGGTCATCAGCTCTGAGTTCCGAGGTTTCCACCTTCGTTTCCGCGACATTGCTCGTGGTGGTATCCGTATTGTCAAGTCTAGGAGCCCTGAAGCTTACGATATCAACGCTCGCTCGCTCTTTGATGAGAACTACAACCTGGCAAACACTCAGCAGAGAAAGAACAAAGATATTCCCGAAGGTGGCTCCAAGGGTGTCATTCTGCTTGATGTTGAGCATCAAGAGAAGGCCAGCGTGGCTTTCGAGAAGTACATCGACAGCATCCTCGATTTGCTCCTTCCACCCACTAGTCCTGGTATCAAGGATCCCATTGTCGACCTTCATGGCAAACAAGAAATTCTATTTATGGGCCCCGACGAGAACACTGCTGAGCTAGTCGACTGGGCTACTGAGCACGCCAGAGCCCGTGGTGCTCCCTGGTGGAAGTCGTTCTTCACTGGCAAGAGCCCTAAGCTTGGTGGTATTCCTCACGACGCTTACGGCATGACAACTCTGTCTGTTCGTGAGTACGTCTTGGGTATCTACCGCAAGCTTAACCTCGACCAGAAGAGCATGAGAAAGCTTCAAACTGGTGGCCCCGATGGCGACCTTGGAAGCAACGAGATCCTTCTCGGACAAGAGAAGTACACCGCCATTGTCGATGGTATGGGTGTCCTTTTCGACCCCAACGGTCTCGACAGAGAAGAGTTGCTCCGCTTGGCCAGGAAGCGTGTCATGATTCATCAATACGACGTCTCCAAGCTTTCACCCCAAGGCTACAGAGTCTTGATTGAAGAAAACAACATCACCCTTCCTTCAGGCGAGGTTGTCAACAACGGCATGGCATTCCGTAACACCTTCCATCTGCGCCAGGAGGCTTATGACGTCTTCGTGCCATGTGGTGGTCGTCCTGAGTCCATTAACCTGAACTCGGTCAACAAGCTTATTGTCGATGGCAAGGCAATCATTCCTTACATCGTTGAGGGCGCCAACCTCTTCATCACACAAGATGCCAAGCTCCGTCTCGAGAAGGCCGGCTGCATTCTCTTCAAGGATGCATCTGCCAACAAGGGAGGTGTCACATCATCCTCTCTTGAGGTCCTGGCTTCATTGTCGTTCGACAATGCTGGCTTCATCGAGAACATGTGTGTGCACGAAGACGGCACTACCCCAGAGTTCTACAAGGCCTACGTCAAGCAAGTGCAGCAAACCATCTGCAACAACGCTAGACTGGAGTTTGAGGCTATCTGGAGAGAAAGCGAGGCCACCGGCACTTCCAAGAGTGTTCTCAGTGACCGTCTGAGTACCGCCATCACTAACCTTGATGAGGAACTGCAGAACACTGAGCTCTGGGACAACGTCGAGCTTCGCAAATCAGTGCTCAAGGATGCCCTTCCCAGCTTGTTGTTGGAGAAGATCGGTCTCGATCTCATTATTGAGAGAGTAAGTCGTTGACGAACAAACACCCAATAATCAATGTACTAATCGATTTGACAGGTCCCTGAGAACTACTTGCGCGCCATTTTTGGCTCGTACTTGTCGTCCCGCTTCATTTATGAGCGCGGCATTTCGGCCAGTCAATTCGCGTTCTTCTCTTTGTAAGTCTGCTGATCGGAGTGTAATAAGATGACCCACAACTAACCAATAATACAGCNNATGAACGAACGCATGGCCAAATTGCGCTCATAAGCTGGAGGAATGTACCCTGTCTCTAAGGCCTCAAAAGCGGGCCGGTCTTCTGCATTCTTCTAGCAGATAGGCTCAAAAGTTATAAACAAATAATCATGCCGTGACGGTCACAAGGCGTTTGGGGCTCATTTTGTTTATTTTGCTGGTACTTTTTCGCTCCAGCTCCTCATGGCTTTCTATTGCTAGATTCGTTCGATACAATTCAAAAGTGCTTCAACAAGTTGTCGATCTACTGTTCCATTGTAAATACCCTCTGTAAGTCCATCCTCAGATCTCACGATACGTGTTACGCAACAAGATTTGGAAACAGAGCAGCGGCTCCATACACTCCTGTGCCTATATCTTTATCTACAGCCTTGTACTGGCAGGGAGTACAGTCCGAGCGCTGTCTTCCTAGCTATATATCCTCCCCGTGTGCTAAGGTTTACAACGCATATAATTATAGAAATGCACGATTATATCAAGGAAAAGGGCAATATCCACTGAGAGCCGACATTTTAGTGGCTCTCTTTGGCCGCTGCTCTGCTCCGGAAGACATCTGTGCCTTTTAATAGTGCACACCTTGCTCCACGCTTTCGTGGGAGAGGGTGGAGTCACAGACTTTAGTACATGGGGAGGATACTCTTCTTGCTCCGAGGTCCTCCCACATGCTGACACAATGCCCAGTCAAAGACATCACTCGCAATCATGGCGCCCAAAAAGAAAGTAGAACGCACAGCTGCTTCCTCGCGGCCCAAACGAACCCCCAAACCAACCACCGTTGCCACGTCTTCATCTGCTGCTGCACTAAAGCCCAAGGCGAAGACCACTGCCACCAAGCGAACAGCAATCAAGACGGCTGCTCCCAAGAAAACAGCAGCGACCAAAGTCATCAAAAAGGCTGCTCCAAAGAAGACCACCACCACCAAAAAGGCAGGCACCAAGGCCACTGGCAACAAGACAAGCGCCAAAGGTGCCCAGAAGAACGCTCCCAAATATCAGAAGTGGATTGTTCCAGCTTGGGTAAACCCACTGGGGCCTGAAGCTCAGAAGAAAGTTGACAAGAGAAAGGAAGAAGAGAAGTTTGAAAATTGGAAATGGTCCGTCATCAATGCCCGATACACCATGCCATTCATGAGAGAACTCAAGAAAGAATACGACGAAGGAGTGGCCAAGGGCGAGTATGCACACATGGGATACGAATCGTTCCGCGAATGGAGCAAGGAAATCTACGGAGAAGCCTGGGACAAAGCCTACGAGAAAAAGATTGGCTCGCTGGAAGGCGAGTACACTTATGACGAGGCCAAGGCCATGAAGAAAGAGATGTTTGCGCAACAGGCCAAACACGAGATCCCTCACATCAAAGACTTCACCGAGTTCCTCTACTGGAAAGAAGTTGAAAAGGAGAGAGCCAAGCTTATTGCAAAGTACAAGGCAGAGCAAAAGAAGAAGCAGCAAAAGGGAAACGTCAGTGCCATCAGCTCCCCAGTCAAGAAAGTCCAGAGCACCATCGTTAATGCCAGTCCAGTGAAGAAAGTCCAGGAGGCGTTTACGAGGAGCAGGTCCAAGAGCCTGGAGAAGAAGAGTCCAGCAAAGAAGATGTTGAGTAATGATAGTGGCTATCAGGCCGATAATGAGCAGCAGAGTGTTATGAGTAGGACCTGGGAGCTTGCTGCTAATGCTGTCGAGGCTATGAGGAGTGCGGTCAATCCAGAGTAGTGTCGGTGGGTCGTCTCTTTTGTCATTGTTTTGTGGGATATGAGAGTTTCTTGTTTGTAATCTCTGAATTCATGTAATTCCTTTTTCAATAGCTATGAAAATGCACAGTGTTATCGAGAGACAAGGCACTATCCACTGAGAGCCCATAGTTTGGCAGCTCTCTCCGGCTACTCGTCTGCTTCGGGAAAGAATTGTGTGTTTTCATAGTGTGTGTATTCTCCGCTCTCCGCAACTTAGGAGAAGGGTGAGCGATACTTTGAAGAAGCAAACACTGGGGCCTCGGAGAGGAACAAGCTGAGCTCACCTCCCCGTGTGCTAGAGACAGTCACAGTCTAGCTATACAAATGCACAAAAGTTACCGGATAGGAGAAGAGACCAAGGAGAGCCGCCGTAATTACGACTCTCAATGGACGCTACTTATTTCAGGAAAGTACTGTGCGTTTCTATAGCTTACCATTCCACTATGCTTCGCCGTGAGAGAGAGGGGTTGGTCGCGAAATTGTGACTGTCAATGACACTCGAGGAGGCAGGAAGATCATGAAGCTCCGCACTTCGGGACAGTTTCATGGTCAGCAACCCGTATGAACCCGAGAAAGCCGACGAGGTTCCCCACATCTCCACAGAAGATCATGTTCAAGGTTCGAGGCAAGGACGAGATGTCGTGTGCAACTGATGCTGTATGAATGGAAGAGGTTACTTGAGAAGAGCAGGCAAACAAGTAGAGGCTCACAAGACCCGGGATCAGATGTCGCACCAAGAGCGCATTAGATCTGTTTGCATGGTGATGATTGGGACGCGAGCCATGTTCGGAAGTCGGTCACTAGTGCTCGTGATTTGTGGCTTCTGTACAGCGTGACTGCTCATGATCTCGTCAGCCCCTGGCAACTGTATCGGCTTCAAGCTATGAGGGCTTATTAAACAGGCGGACCAGTAGCACTCGTCGCTCGAAGTGCTACCGTTGGTAAGTAAGAAGGAGAGAAGGCCGAGGGACGAGAACGAAGTGACTGGGCGAAATTTAGCGCGACCCACGTTAAATCGGCCTTAAGTCGATAACAGCGCAGCATCGAACCTGAATCAACCGGCACTCTGCCCGTCACAACCACGGCTCCTTCTCGTGGACCAATGCCTTGTGCTCACGCTCGCTAACATCCAGCTCTTTGCGTATCCTAAGAACATCCATCTCGACCTCCCCTCGACGTATTTTCAGCATTGCGACTTGGCGCCAACTCGACAACACTTTCTCCTACAACCACCAGCGATAGAGTCGGCACGCACCAGTGCGCAATAGAGCAGCACCTTGACAGCTTTCGACATTTTCTCCACCTAGTGTCCTTCAATCTCGCCGCCGCTGTACGGACGGTCGAATCTCGAACACCTCCAAGGACGCTTGCCTCGAATCCTCAATGGCTGCCGGAACACCGTCAAAGCCGTGGGACGGTACAAAAGAATGGCTCTCACAACCAGTAGTTGCATCCTTCATTGCTGGAGGTATGGCGGGTGCTGTGTCGCGAACCGTCGTGTCGCCGCTTGAGCGTCTCAAGATTCTCTTCCAGATTCAGAGTGTTGGCCGCGAAGAATATAAAATGTCGATAGGCAAGGCTCTGGGCAAGATGTGGCGCGAGGAAGGATTCCGTGGATTCATGGCAGGTAACGGCACAAATTGCATCCGCATCGTGCCTTACTCGGCTGTGCAGTTTGGAAGTTACAATTTCTACAAGCGGGTATGCAATGCGCCTTTGGCTCTTGTTCGCCATCATGGTCGTAGGCTGACCCATTCTAGTNTCTTTGAGGACACTCCTGGTGCGCCTCTCGGTGCTCTCCAGCGTCTGTCGTGTGGTGCCATCGCTGGTATCACGTCCGTAACATTCACCTACCCCCTCGATATCGTTCGAACGCGACTCTCGATTCAGTCGGCCTCATTCGCAGGCCTAGAAAAGGCAGAAGCTGGAAAGAAGCTACCAGGCATGTGGCCGACATTGGTCAGGATGTACAAGACAGAGGGCGGCTTCTTCGCGCTCTACCGAGGTATAGTTCCGACGGTTGCTGGTGTTGCGCCATACGTAAGAGCCTTCTATCTTTCAGATGCGATCGCGGAGCTGACTGGTGCAAGGNTTGGACTGAACTTCATGGTCTATGAATCCGTCCGCAATTATTTCACACCAGAAGGTTCGGACAACCCAAGCTCTATTGGAAAGCTGGGTGCAGGTGCCATCTCAGGAGCCGTCGCGCAAACATGCACATATCCCTTGTAAGTCTCGTCAGGTGTAAACCAACATAGCGATACTGACCAAGGACCGCAGTNNGACCTACTTCGCCGAAGATTCCAGATCAACACCATGTCAGGCATGGGTTACCAGTACAAATCAGTCTTCGATGCCGTCAGAGTCATCGTCAAGCACGAAGGTATTAAGGGCATGTACAAGGGCATTGCTCCCAACCTCCTCAAGGTCGCTCCTAGCATGGCCAGTAGTTGGCTGAGTTTCGAGCTCACGCGTGATTTCTTCGTTGGTCTGAAACCAGAAGTATAAAAGCCGACACGATCTTTTTCTTCTACTATATCTCCTTTCGCCCGTCTATAATTCTTGGACGACTCGGTCTAGATGGAGGGTCACATTACAAAATGCATGATGAAACATGATTGCAAGATTTCAATGGTTTTGTCTTTCTTTTGTTCATTACAGAAAAATCACGGCGTCTTGGGATACATAGCTTTCCTGACCACCAGGCATCGCACGGAGTTTGGGCGCACGGGAGGTAAAAGGCTTGATGTAGTTGACCTAGATATGGAAGGCAGACCATTGTATTGGCGCAAAGCCTTGAGATCCTCCTCGTGTGCCAAAGACAGTCACAGCCTACGATCGACCCCTCTCCCTCACCTACCCATTGTGCCATCATAAGCTATAAAAATTCACACTTCGTTAATAAATGGAGGTGCCACCATGGAGATGCCTGAACACAAAGTTATCTCCGGAGAGATCACTTTATTATAGAAGACATTGTGCATTTCTTTAACTAGACTGTGACTGTCTATCACAGACGGGGAGGATATAGTGTTCATTTTGTGGAGAGAGATGTGCAACAGCCTCGGAAGGTGCTGGTGAAGCATGTTGGCAAGAACGAACACCATCAGATTTGGGAAAGAACACCATCGAATTTGAGAATTTTCAGGAAACAGCAAATGTAATCCCCTCACATCAATATTCTCTCTTCAACAGTCATTTTAACCATTCCTTCTGTGCAAAGAAGTGATACAGCAGTCTGAATCGAGGCTCTCAGCGGTCAAACCCCGGCAAAACTCGCCAACGTGCGCTCGGACCCGCTCCACCACACACTTGCAAATTCCTGCGTCGAATCTACTCTTGCTGGACGACGACGAGACGACTATTCCGACAACCATCCTCCCGGTCGACTAGCAAACATCATGGGTATCGATCTTGACCACCACCATGTCCGTTCGGGCCACCGCAAGGCTCCCAAGTCGGACAACCCCTACACCGCTCTGCTGGTCAAGCTCTACAGATTCTTGAGCCGTAAGGATTCCCTCCCAGAAGACAGCCATCGAAGCGACCGCCCCTCCTGCACCGTCAACAGCCGATTCCGCACGCATTGAGAAAGAAAAAGAACGAGACTGGCTGCTGCTGCGGTGTTTGAAGACGCGCGCCGGCAATGGCTGCACGAAATTCCAGAAGAGCGCAGGGCTGACATTTTTTGCGCAAAGGCCNGTACCGACAGCAAGTTCAACGCCACTGTCCTCCGTCGCTTGATGATGAGCAAGATCAACCGCCCTCCCATGTCGCTCTCCAAGATCGTTGCCACTGCTGCCAACAAGCACTCCAGCAAGGCCCACGAGGGCAAGACCATCGTCTTGGTCGGCACCGTCACTGACGACAACCGTCTCCTTGAGCTCCCCAAGCTCTCGATTGCCGCCCTCCGCTACACCAACACTGCCCGCGCCCGCATCGTCGCCGCTGGTGGTGAGGCCCTGACCATTGATCAGTTGGCCATGCGCGCCCCTACTGGTGCCAACACCCTCCTCCTCCGTGGCCCCAAGAACGCCCGTGAGGCCGTCAAGCACTTCGGCTTCGGTCCCCACTCTCACAAGGCACGTCAAACCCTCTGCCTGTCTCGCGAACAGCAACAGCAGCAGCACACCTCCCGGATATACATGTATACTAACAACCTCTGCAGANAGCCTTACGTCGAGAGCAAGGGTCGCAAGTTCGAGCGTGCCCGTGGTCGCAGACGCTCGAAGGGTTTCAAGGTGTAAGCAATTTACACTGTTGGAATTGGGGTATTCATGGGGTTCAAAATGGCTGTCTCTGGGTGATATCAATCATGAGGCGAGACATGATGAGATTCTCTTTGCTAGCGAATTTAAGCATCTTCCGGGACAAATTGGTTGGTGTTGCAAAAAAAAGCGCCGTTTTCGCAAAAAGGAACAACAACGATCAAATGGCAATATTTCACGACGTGACTGCAATACTGCTGTCCCCATGCTTCGAGAGTCTGTCCGTCCATGTCATTATCGATCGAGGCACTTTTACGCCTGCCAATTTGTCCACCCAAAATCATTCATCTACCTCACTGTTTCAGACTCGACCATCTAGGTGTTTCCTTTCCTGTGATCTATTGCATGCATGTTCAATTGATATTCTGACTCGTCCTTCGGCTGCTCGCGAACACAAACCGCAACCAGAAAAGAGATCGGCGCTCAGAATTTGACTTTCGCAGTCATATTTCTTGGCACTCAAACATTTACATAGAACACTACGCAATCTCTTGACAGCCCGTATCATTTGATCTATATCTATACAATCACACACAAATATGGACAAGAAAGTCGTAGGTTTGCTCGGAGGTGGCCAGCTGGGCCGCATGTTCGTCGAGGCTGCAAACCGCCTGAACATCCAAGTCAACATTTTGGACGCAGCAAAGTCACCCGCAAAGCAAATCAGCAGCCATGAGGGCCACTTCGAAGGCTCATTCAAGGACCCGGAAGCCATTGAAAAACTATCAAAAACTTGCGATGTTGTCACTGTGGAAATCGAGCACGTAGACACTCAGATTCTGGAAAAGATCTCATCTCAAGTCGCCGTGGAGCCCAGCTGGAAGACCATTCGCATGATCCAGGACAAGTACGCGCAAAAGGAGCATCTTCAGGAGCGCAATGTCGCTACTGCTCATTCAATTCCTTTGGCTGGAGCTACCAAGGAGGACTTGCAGAAGGTTGGCGAGCAGATTGGCTTCCCTTTCATGCTCAAGTCACGCACAGAGGCATACGATGGACGTGGAAACTTCCCAGTCAAATCATCCGCCGACTTTGACGCTGCCCTGAAGGCTCTTGGAAGCCGTCCCTTGTACGCTGAGAAGTGGGCCAACTTCAAGGCCGAATTGGCAGTCATGGTTGTCAAGACCAAGGATGGTGTTTTGGCTTACCCTACTGTCGAGACTATCCACGAGGACAGCATCTGTAAGCTCGTGTATGCACCCGCTCGCAACGTCTCCAAGAAGGTGCTTGAACAAGCCCAGGAGCTGGCCAAGAAGGCTGTTGCTTGCTTCTGGGGCAAGGGTGTGTTTGGTGTTGAGATGTTCTTGCTCGACGACGACAGTCTCTTGATCAACGAGATTGCTCCCAGACCTCACAACTCTGGCCACTACACTATCGAAGCATGCCCCGTCTCGCAGTACGATGCTCATCTTCGTTCCATCTTGGATATCCCCATCCAGCAACACGAGTTGCGTATCAGAGAGCCCTCAATCATGCTCAACATCCTTGGTGCTTCTACACCCGACTCTGCCGTTCAGATTGCCGAGCGCTCCATCGCTGCTGGCGTTGGTGCTTCGATTCACCTGTACGGCAAGGGCGACGCTCGCCCTGGCAGAAAGATGGGCCACATGACTCTCACAGCACCCAGCATGCGCGAAGCCGAGAAAGCTATGCAACCCCTTCTGGACATCACCGACGATATCCGCGGCAAGAAGAGCGCACCTGCTTCTGCCTCTTCGGCCGCCAGTGGTGCCGGTCAAGCCCAGAATGCCATGGTAGGCGTCATCATGGGCTCTCACAGCGACATGCCCGTCCTCCAAGCCGGCATTGCCATCCTCAAGAAACTCAACATTCCCTTCGAAACCCACATTACCTCTGCCCACCGTACCCCTGACTGGATGGGTGAATACGTGCACTCTGCCCTCNCCCGTGGCATCCAAGTCCTTATTGCTGCTGCAGGCGGTGCAGCACATTTGCCTGGTATGGCTGCCTCGCACACCGCCATCCCTGTCATTGGTGTCCCTGTCAAGCCCACCATTGGTGATGGCACCGACAGCGTACTCAGCATTCTCAACATGCCTCGTGGCGTTCCTGTTGCCACTGTGGGCACCAACAACAGTACCAATGCTGCTTTGTTGGCTGCGAGAATTATTGGCTTGAAGGAGGCCAGCATTCAAAAGGCCCTGGTCGAGTATGCTGAGAACTCCACTGCTGAGGTCATGGAGCGTGAGCGTGCTATGAACGAGCAGGGTTGGGATGCTGTCTATGAGCAGTGGCACGGTGCTAAGAAGTAAGGAAAGAGATGCTGGATATGAGTGGAAGAACAGGACTGGTTGTTATGTGTAGATTTTGTCTCAAAGAAACGAATAGAAAATGTATCAGTACTTGATTCACAATTATCGAAACATTCAAAGCTGAAGGATTTTCGTTGAATGAGTTGGCAGTATCACATACCAGTCCTTTTACAGGGGTGGATGGTTTGGCATTTGTAGTATCATTCAAAGCAAAGCGCATTGAAAAAAGTGTGATACTAATCACCAGTCTTTTCTGCTGCCGCACTGTCATCGGCATCTTGGGTAGCACCACCTTCAGCCATACTTGTGTCTTCTGGCTCGGCTTCGGCCTGTGTGCTCGTGCCTTCTTGACTGGGTCCCGCAGCGGTGGACGCTCCTTCGGCAGGGGTGTCTTCATTGGTTTCGGCGACTGCTTCGGGTGCTGCGACCACTTTTCTTTTCTTGCGTGGACGACCTTTGGGTCTTGAATCACGTCTGGCTTCTGGTAGACCCAAGCTCTGGCGCAGCCTTTTACCGCTGGGCGCACCTCCTCGAGCACCGCCACGAGCCAAAGTCCTTCTCTTGCGGGTGACTAGCTTGTTGCCATCGGCATCGGCATTCTTGTTTGCATCATCCTCATTCTCTTCTCCACTGTCTTCTTCTTCGAGCTCCTCCTCGGTAGGCCGGGCGTATGCGGGACGTCGGTTCAGCCTGGTGAGTCGAGCTGTTTGTTCTGCCTTTTCTCTCTTTGCGCGTGCGGCTGCCTCTGCNCTTGTCTTTTTGCTTCGCGCGCTTTCCTTTTCTATGTAGTCTGCGCGCTCTTCCTCCCAGCCCTCGGGTGGGTGGTAGACTTTGATGTTTGTGACGGGCACAGCGTCTTGGTCGCCACGACGAGCTTTGATGGCTGACAGAGCTTCCAAGAATTTGGCCTGACTTGTGCGCTGGGCACTGGCGGTAGAGGGGAGACCAATGCGCAAGCCTTGGGCTGAGGTGTGCTCGATCACGTCTCCTTCGGCTGTTGTGTATGTGGTCTCTGGACCAGCATATGCGGCTTTTATGATGTTCAGGGGAGCGGTTTCTCGCGGTTGAATGCTGGCTGGTATGGCTACAAGACGAGCGGCGCTTGTGCCCAAGACGTCGAAAGAAGGGGTGGTTCTCAGGGCAGTATGATCGGGGTCGAAGTCCGTGGGCGGCGGGGCGAGGAAGATCTGCGTGGCTAGGTCGGTAGCCCACTGGCATGAGTAGATGGAGTTGTTGTAGGAGATGATTGGATTCCTGTCATGCAAGCCGACAATCTGCATGCGCTCGGTGGTTGTGTCTGCGCCATCTCCATCGCCGTCCTGAGCTGCGCCATCCTTTGTACCCGATTCGGAAGTACCAGGGGCATTTGCAAGACTCTTGTTCGAGCCGCGGGTGGTCGACTTTTGGGTCTTGGTGCGTCTATCCCTAGCAAGAGCTGGCGGGATGTGTGTTGTCAAGTCGAGAGTCAAGTAAAAGTCGTCGGTCGCATTAGTGTCGTACTCGTACTCCCACTTAGACTCATCCTCCGAGCCTGCCATGTTTGTGCTTGTCATGGTTCCAGAGAGATGGCATGCTTAATTGATTCGCATGTTCATGTTCACAGCAGCTTCGAGCTGGAGGCTCAAACATTTTGGAGATCATCAAACAGAGAAAGCCGGCGGGCCGGGACTCGGAAGCAGATACTAGCGCCATCCGGCTTTAAATCCTGCATCGACCGAGGGTGACGATTTGTCTCTTCGGCATTTGTCAACAGACTTGACATTGTTGCCTTGCATCCTGTTTCGCTGACCTGTCTCTTCCTCTGTATATCTCTTCGTCTTCTCACGTCTTTCATATCAATTGTTGGTGGCTCGACAAGTTCTTGCTCGATTCCAGAAGCTTGTCCTTCGTCATCACCCCGCATCCCGAGGCATCCGCACAGGGTCCAAGTACGCCTCTCGTCGCGACACCATCGAGTACGTGTTGCTTACCGCTCTTATTGGGCATGTTGCTGTGGTGTTTCCGGGCTATGCGTTGTTCTAGCGCAGTGTCTCTTGCATTTTGCTATTGATTCCTGTTGGCATTGCTTGTCTTTCCATGGCTGACGTGTTTTCCTTGCCTTGTTTTTACCACAAAGCTTACTTGTCGACACTTGCGTCCGTCCAAACACAAATTGCTCGAATGATAGTTATGACTCTGTCTTCTTGTAGCATGTGATTACCTATACGGACTTTTGCTGACCCGTGCATCCGGATGACAGTGGAATTAGCTGCCTGCAACGGCGAACTGGACGACCAACCATCTGCCACCACTATCTTACCCTCACCCTCTTCACCACACTGCACTGCTGCCACTTTCCTACACGACAGACACATCTCTTCCCATGCCCCGAAGCAAGCCCATCACACTCGCTTCAAAAACACTACTGCTGCAAAGGCTTTAATGTGCAAAAGCTGGATCCAACCCATGGCTGTTTTGCCTGCCATACTATGCTGCTTAACACTGACATCAGCACATCCACATCCAGGCCAGGTTGCCACCAAAACTGAAATCCCCAGCTGGACTGGAAGTTCTCTGTCATGGGTGAACAAACAGACTTGTCGGTGGCTGAGCAATTGCGGAACATCGAGCTCGAGTGGCGAAGATGCCCTTTACCAGAACTTACAATCAAATCAGCAAATGCTTCTATCACAGACAGAACTCCAGAACTTGCCGGATGCTTCATCTTTCTGGACAAGTGGTCTCGAAACACCAGAACGCTGGTCAAAAGAAGAACACCTTTCACGAAATATTCCTCAATATGTTTATGACTACACACCATATGTCCATTTGTTCTCGGGAGAGCAATTTTGGCCGTGTGATATCGCCGAACATCTCGTCCACACATCGCCATACGCAAACTACACTCTTATACGGAACATGGAGAACGACAGGACTCTCGACAACCTCGATGAGCTAAACGCGTATGCTCCCTATGCGTATCTGAAGAGTGAGGACAATGTGGAAGAGCGACCGGATTGGTTAGGCGGAAGTTCGAACATACCCAGAGCCCCTGAAGACTTCTATGGTGAACGGTCTGATCGAGTATTGAAGAACCCGCCGCTCAAGCCAGGACCTGTGCAAGGTCGGAAACAATGGAACTACTTTAGCAGACATGGCTCTGAGGACCGTGACAAGCCGTCAGATCGCCTGAAAGAACGTGGAGGGCACAGTTCCGCGCCAGCGGTGCTCATCGTTGTGCCCAAGGAAGATGGAGTGGTCGACGCATTCTGGTTCTATTTTTACAGTTACAACCTTGGAAATAAGGTACTGAACATCCGATTCGGTAACCATGTGGGAGACTGGGAGCACTCAATGGTCAGATTCCGCAACGGTACCCCTGAAGCAGTGTACATCTCAGAACACGGAGCGGGAGAAGCATACGCATACCACGCCATCGAAAAGTACGGCAAGCGACCAGTCATCTACAGTGCAACAGGCACACATGCCATTTATGCAACACCGGGATTACACCCGTACGTGTTGCCGTGGGGCCTCTTGCACGACCAGACCGATAAAGGGCCGCTATGGGATCCAAACTTGAACCACCATGCGTATGTGTATAATCATACGACTCGACATTTGAAGTCATCGGCGCAGACACCATATGCACCGGTGAGTTGGTTTAACTTCAAGGGCCACTGGGGAGACAAAATCTACCCCATGAGCGATAAGCGGCAGTACAGATTCTGGGGACAATATCACTATGTCAGTGGACCGTTTGGGCCCAGATTCAAGAACCTGGGACGTAAGAAGGTGTGCCAGCGCATGCAAGCACAGTGCATAATCAGACATTGGCTTGGAGATGAGGAAGGTAGTGATGACGGGGAAAAGAGGTTGCCAGGAGAAGAAATAGGGGACGAGGTAGGGGGCCCAGAGACGACAGAGTAGCGGGCGGGAAGATGCATGGAGAGAATGGACATGACGCATGTTTCAGGATTTTGCAGGCTTCTCGGTGTATATAGGTATCTTTTGCAGCAGCGATGGAAATAAAGCTTATCAAGGTTTCGATGTTATCTAACGCCAACACAATTAGGCTGTGGCTAGTGCGTCACGCAGGGCTCACGAGCACAACAGGCAGGAATGGTGCCATGAGCTCAGCAGCGAATCGTGACTTGTTGGGCAGGTGGATGAGTCGAGAATGATGGGCTGCGATGATTTTCTACAAGCCTTTCGTCTTCTCTTGCTGTCTTACTGATGGAAAAATGATCGAATACTGATGCTGTTGTCTGTACATCAATAATAAACGGTGGATAAGAAGCAATACCTACCCCAGATCGACGGCGCATACTCGAGCAACAAGCAACATCATCTGCAGGCAACCCAAAGCACACGTTGCTTGCGCCTTTTCTCCTGAGAGGAGTCAAACCTTCGTCCTAAGCTACAAACAACCACCCAACAGGCATGGCATTCCGACAGCCGCTCCAGCAGCGGCGCCAGATCCAGCGACCGGCATCCATCCCACACTCTCTCGTAGCCCACGACGCCACACGTCACGGACGTGTGGATGAGTCGCAAGAGTGGATCCTCTTCTCACCACAACTCGAACACGAACCATCCTTGACCTCGTATACATCACAAACATCACACATCCAACAAGTGACCGGCTTTTCTGACTTTGGCTCCCTCGAAACTGGCGACCGCTCAAACCAAAGGCAAGCCGACGACGATGGTGAGGTCACCTGTCAGGGCACCGAGATCGATGAAGAGGACGAAGAAGAGTTGGACAGCCTAGATGATGGCCTACATACCTTCCATCCGTCCTTCTCTCTCGATCAGAGTGGTGGTGCGGTGCTGCCCAACCATGATGGCATGGGCTCTTTCCCCGCACTCTACCACAACAACGACAATGTTCAGGAACATCTATGGCAGTTTGAGAGGTACAATCCATCAAATCGACGACGAGCTCAGCGAAGGCGCAGCAGTGTACAGCGCAAGTTCGATGCCCTAGAGGAACTGGAAACGGACAAACAGGAAGAGAGACGACTTCGGGTTGAAAGATGGCGCTTGGAACAGAGTCGTGCTGTGCTTGAAGAGATTGAGAAGGAGACACGCAGACGAAGAAAGAGACTGTCGATCGCTTCGCGCGCCGCTTCGACTGCTGCGCCAGCTACAGATACCGAGACCGAGTCGTTCTGGCAGCGTATTACTCGCAGAGTCATCAAAGATCTCATGGGTTTAGACGACACCACTTTGTCCGTCATATTTGGCGAAGAACTCGCTCCAGCAGCTCAGACGACGCCTACTCAACAATCTCCTTTGACCGAAGTCTTCTCTGCACATCAGGATCGAGTATGGGAGAACCGACTCCTGAATCGGATTGCCAAAGAGCTTGGTATACTTGCCAACCAACTCGCCGAAAACGATCGACAAGATCGCACCTTTAGTACCTATATGCCTTACCAGGTTGAACAGTCCACACCATCGCAACCACGACAGATTCCACCCTCGACTGCAACAGCTCACTCTGTCGATGCCCCTCAGTCCAGCTCTGCTCCTCCACTTTTCGCCCCTACTTTCGCAAACCCTCCTGTATCACCTGCCGTCGAAGCAGATACTTCCCTGTGGGGCATCCCAGAACAACCGCAAGAATCGACCGAAGAACAAGCCCAATCACAGGATAAAGATCATGAAACAGAATACTGGGAGCGTGACTTGGACATCGGAGTAGTATTCCGATACCTCCGCAGCCGCTTCACATCACGTCCGCCATCGCCATCTCCTCCTGAATCACAGCCGCAACCACAGCAACAATCGCAAAGCATTCTACCAGCAGACTGGGCATCTCCCAGCAATGCTGCCGTCACAGCTTCTGCTCTAGGCACTTCTCCAGAGTCACGACGTCGAGCCGATCTCATCAGGCGACATCACCCACTAGTGTCTCACGCAGCCTCGGTGTCGGCACAGCGTAGACGAGAGAGCGTCCTGTTGCACACACTCATGCATCGACGAGCACAGAGCAGCAGTTGTGCTAGCCAGAGCACCAAACGTACACGCTCTGGCGGTTCGCGCCGCTATTGGGATTTCCCGAGTAGCACGGGCAGTGTGGTCAGTGTTGGAAGCACTGGCGAGGGTGTTTTGGGAGGTTGGGGTGAGGTTTGAGCATTGAGTATACATGGCGTAGTCAAGGCGGGACCTGGCGTCGCATTCCCTTCTTGTACGATTGGAATGAGTGATTTGGATTTGGTGCTGACGCATATGTCATGTTGTCGTTTGCATTTGCATTTTGTGTTTTCAACTCATCTCTTTTGCCATGACTGTTTCCCTTTCATCTCCTCTTTTCCTCGCGGCACTATATGACAGTATTCGACTTAGAAGCTTCAGACAGAAACATCACCAGAAACCTAGAACAATCTCATATCACGAAACAGAGCCAATGTCCATTTGTTGTACAAGGATTTTTCATGGGATTCCTATCAACCACCTTGTCATGATACTACAATGAGAAGTCAAGACAGCCTCAAGACGTAATCATCGGCCTCTCTTCTTTCCCAAGAAGATTCTTCAGAGGTCGGTAAGAATGTTCTTTCCTCAGCGGTCGATGAGACATCCTAGGAGGTTCATCATCCACCTCCTCTGCCTCCATCATCTCTTTCCTCTGCTCCCTTCTCTGCCGCCTACTCTGCTGCTCGGCCAAACTCTGCTCCACCTTTGCCCTCCACCTCTCCATCACCGCAAACTCCCTACGGTATTTTTCAGTGGTAAACAGCGACTTTACCGCTTGCCCCAGTTTCTCATTGTTGACGCATTCGTTGCGGTAGTTGAGGATATAGTCTAGAACTTTTAGGGTGGAAGGTGCGGGTTCAATGACATTATCTTCCATTTCTTGGAGGAGCTCGTTGCAAGTCCCCACGTCGGAGAATTTTCGAAAGTGGAAGGCGAGGAGTTGGTTATAGAGGTCTGCGGTTGCTGCTAAAGCGTATGCTGAAGGACCCAGTTGTTTTATGCGCGGTAGAATGGCGAGGATGAGGTTAGAGGTGGGAAAGTAGGTGCGGAGGACGGAGGCGGCTTTGATGAGATGAAAGGGAAAGACTTGCATTAGGAAGCTGCGGCGTTCGGGGAAATTGTTGCAGAGGCAGGGGCAGGGCTGTCGAGGTGCAAGAGGCCGATTTCGCGGAAGAAGTTTTTTCGAGGATATCCCAGAGCTCGGTGTCTGTGGGTGCGAGGTGGAGGGCGGTAAGGAGGCGTTTGTTGTCGCGAGCGAGTTCTCTGAATATTGATTCTTTTGACCCTTGTGGTGCTGGCTCTGGCTCTTTCTGATCTTTTGCTCTCTTGACGGACCAGTGCATTGGATCTGTCACGTCTGAGTGCTGTAAAGCAATAAGGGCGCGCTTGTCTTCGCGAGTCAGTGGTATCCAGTCTGTCTTCTTTTGCTCTTTGGGGCTGGATACTGCTGTGTCTGATGCAGTGGTGAGACTGAGATTGTCATCTTCGCTCTTTCTAGGATTTTTCTGGACCGCTGCTGCCTTTGCTGCTTGTGCGCCACCTCTTGATCTTTTCTTTGTGGGTGTGGGATTTTGTTCGCGGCGTTGAATTTGTTCCTGCTCCATGACCCCAATGGCAGTGATTGCTTCGTTGAGCACATCGTCTAGACTCAATACCGGTTCCCTCTTTCTGGCGACGGGTCGTTTAGGAGCATTGGCTAGAGCTTCGAGTTGGGCGAAAGCATTACGCTCTGTCCCTGTAAGAGACTCTCCTTGGACAGTATCTTGCACGACGGCTGACTCTGTCGCTCCAGGAGTTTCAAAGGGCACAAAGTCTTCGTACTCTGGCTTTTTGGTGGAAGGAGCGGTGGTAGATGTAGGTTCTCGGGCGATTCTTGATTTTCTGAGTCTGATGTTCTGGACGGGCCTCGGGGCGTTCTCGTTAGCCAGGTCTTGTAGTGCGCTATAGTAGCGGCGCAGGGTGGGTGTTTGATAGAGAAAGGGTAGTGTATATGCAGCTTTGGAAGTGTACGACTTCAAGCCTCTGCTGAGAGCTTGACCAGCATTGGCGCATCCAGACATTTCTTCGAGTTTAGAATGGTTTGAGTAGTGGGTGATTGTGTGGCGACAGAGTTATTGTGCCCAAGTTTCCAGCTCTTTCGTATAGTTCCCTGCCTGTCCAGCAGGCTGATGTATCCTTGTTTGGCAAAAATGATCCTGGTCGCGGTATAGCACTTTCTTGATTACCATGGCAAACCAAAAGTGTTTTCGGTCGGCATCTCGGATCGACAAAGGCCGCTGCTGCACGTCACCGAAACGCGACCTTGACTGATTCGCGTCTCCCTCGACTTTCTCGAGGCAGTCAAAGTGCCAATCTACCACCACCAACCAGAAACGTCACCATGCCCAAGAAACCTACCGCCGAGCTCAGCGAGTATGAACTGCAACGACAGGAAAACATAGCANAAAACCAAGCTCTGCTCCGTCAATTGCAACTCGAAGCCGCATCCGCTGGCATCGCGCCCAAGAAAGCCTCACGCGCCACCCCCAACAAATCTGCCAAAAAGAAGAAGACGCCTGTGCAAAAAGTAAAAGAGGAAGTCCAGCCGCGGAGAACATCGAGTCGACTACGCGGTATTGTTGCAGATAGCGAAGTCGCAAAGAGAAAAGCAGAGGAAGAGTCGGAATTGCTAGCTCAAGCTGAGCGAGCCAAAAGACAACGCGTTTCTGAAGACTTGCGTTTCTCAGATGTCGTCGTTGCAGGAAAGGACTGGGATCAGAGTGGCAACTTCCTACGACTCGTCGGGCCTGCCAATCCAGGAGAAAGAACATTCAGTGCTCAAGATGTCAAGGAAACCACCGACAAGGAGTTGAAGGAGCTCCGAGAACGCATGAGCAACCTGGAATTGTGGGAAGGCTTCGAACCAAACAGGATCAAGATCACTCCCGAGAGAATTTACTCTCTGGGCTTCCATCCGACCACCGACAAAGCTCTTGTCTTTGCTGGAGACAAGCTGGGAAGCTTGGGTCTCTTTGACGCCTCCCAACAGCCTACTCCTGCTGTGAAGAACGAGGACGATGACGAATCAGACGATGAAGAAGCTAAACCCTCAATAACGACCCTCAAGGTCCATACCCGCACAATCTCTGCATTCCAGTTCTCCNCCCACGACCAAAACGCTTTGTACTCTGCCAGTTACGACAGTTCGATCCGCAAACTCGACCTACAGAAAGGTGTAGCCATCGAAGCATACGCACCCATCTCGAAAGACGACGATGAACCCCTCAGCGGTGTCGAGATGTCGCAATTCGATTCCAATACTCTCTTTTTCAGCACCCTGAACGGAAACTTTGGTCGTCACGATACAAGGTCTAAACCCGGCAGTGGAACCGACATCTTCGCCTTGTCTGAAAAGAAAATCGGAGGCTTCAGTCTCAATCCCGCACACCCTCATATCTTCGCTACCGCATCGTTAGACCGATATTTACGCCTTTGGGACCTGAGAATGTTGAAGGGTGATGGAGATGATAGAGCGCCGATGGAAATTGGAGCCCATGAGAGCAGATTGAGTGTTTCCCACGCAGCCTTCAACTCGGCAGGCCAAATCGCTACAGCTAGTTACGACGATACGGTAAAGATTTACGACTTCAGCAGTGTTGGCACAATGTCCGCTAGCACAGAGCTGAATGATGAGCAAATGACACCAACGACCATAATTCCTCACAACAACCAGACCGGCCGCTGGGTTACCATGTACATATATCCTTTTCTCTTCTCATGCCCCTTACTGACAGAAATAACACAGCNNCTTCGCGCGCAATGGCAACTCCAACCAGCCGACAACATCCAACGTTTCGTCATCGGAAACATGAACAGATTCGTAGATGTGTATGCCTCAAATGGACAGCAACTCGCTCAACTCGGAGGTGATGGTATCACCGCCGTGCCTAGCGTTGCGCAATTCCATCAGAGTAAAGATTGGATAGCTGCAGGCACTGCTAGTGGAAAGCTGTGCTTGTGGATGTAAGGAAGCATAGAGGGCAAGAAGGAACGGATATTGCATCTTTTGGTGTTTGGGCATGGCAATAGGTCTGGAAACATGGTCGTTGCAGGCACGATATAGTGTTCTTCCCTCATAATCTTTTTTTTCCAATGCACAAAATCAAAAGTCTCGAGTCATGACCTCATCTGTCGGAAAGACGTCACCCCTTTTTGCGTATGTTGCAGTAGGGGACGGTTGTGATTATATGTATCTGAGGATGAAGCTTCAAGGTTGAGCACATCAAGTCATCCAAATCCGGGTATCTCAACCACAACCACTGTAGATAGCTCAAAGAGCTTATCCAAGCATGACAAATACGTATAAGAATTTCATTACAGTTGATGAACAAGATAGATACAAAGTTGGAGCCAGAAAAACGTAAAGACATGTCTAAATCACATGTCAGCAGTGCAACCCTGATTCCATCACCCTGTCCCACAAGAACAATACCCTTCATCTTCCTCTCTTACACTCCCATCTATCTTCATCACTCACTCCTAGACGCCCTATTCAATTCCAGACGTCACAGTTCTACCAAAGCGCACCAATGGATCTCACACTCCCTCCCACATATCCCGAGCTCCTAGCCAATAATCNNTCGCCTACTCCGTCCAACGCCTCCTTCGCCCTCTACACTCTCCTCCGCATCTCANCCTCCAAACTCCAAGCCATCGCAAACAGTTTAGATGCAGAATGGTTCAAAGGCCAAGGAAACGAAGGCTCCCATCTCGTCCGCATTGCCCCCTCTTCGTTACACAACTCCCTCAGCAGTATACTCTCTACCCATGCAGCACTGCATAAAGTGGCGCCAGGGCAGAGTGACTCGCAATATGGTGCGCTGGAGCTAGAATGGTATCCTACTGCATTTATAGTGGTGACGGCGGAAAATATTGATGATAGAGGGTTGCTTTTTGTTTACGTGGACGATGAAGTCGAGACCGATGACGAGACTNCAGAGTGTAGGACTGATAAATTCTTCTTCAAGCAGAAAGATGCGAATATCATGTTGTCGCGCTTGGTCTATGATGACGATACTTGTGCGAGGTCAAAGGAAATATATGGATATTGAAGATGTGTTTTTCAAGCAAAGATGATATTTGTTTTCGATACATCAATGCTCGTGATAAGAACAATGCAACCATCGAGGAAGAACGACGATAAGCCACATCCGTTGGGCATCATAGTGATATGGAATCGTTTCGAGAAGCACTACCTCCTCGATTCCTTGAACCGTCAATGAAAATTCTCAATCTGTCCATTTCCCCAGAACTCCTCGCTTCAAAGCAAATATGTTTAGAACTCCTTGAACCATCAACAAGCCTGTTCTTTTCTCTTCCTAAGTAAGGGTGCTCGCACTGCCCGTCTTGGGTAGGAACCGACAGCGTTCTATGCGTCGTTCTTTCCCATAACCTTGGCGGCTTGCACGGCGTTCATCTTNTGAGTCCATCCAGGTGCTGGCTGGAACTTGCGCACTGTGCGAACTTCGTCTAGGGAGTAACCAGGGACACGAATGTTATAGTTGCGCTCGAGGATGATTTGGATGTCGCGAATGTCAAGAGTTGAGTTAGGGCGGATCTTGGCCAGGCGACAGGCGGCGGTAATAACGCTATCGACAAAGTCATCGGCGAGAGTGAGGACGGATTCTTCGACATCGGGAGTGAGACCATCGCCTTCACCACCACCTGTAACTTGTCTAACCAATTCGTCCAACTTCTTCTTGCTCAGCACGCGGTCTCCCTCTCCCTCAAGAATGAAGTGGGGCGTCTTCTGAACGGCAGGTTGACCCATCATACCGGGGGCACCATTGCTGGGACCACCGAAGGTAGGACGAGCGGGGCCAAGCGGCACGGGATTGTGGGTGCCTGTGGTTGGCAGATTCTTGGGGATAGGAAACTTGGGGTTGCCGACGTTGACAGCTTGCTGAGTGTGGTTGAAAGCTTGGCCGCCAGGCTGGGAGGTGGGTGTGCCTCCCTGTACTTGCTGGGCTGAGTAGTTGCGCTGAGCTTGATTGATGGCATCGGCGTGAGAGAGAGCTTGAGGTTGACCTTGGGGAGCGGGCGACTGGTACGGCTGCTGCTGGTTGGGAGGACGTGCGATGGGTTGCTGCGGCTGCTGCTGCTGCTGCTGCTGCTGAAGATGCATAGGGGCGTTCGATTGTTGCTGCTGCTGGAACTGCCCGGCAGGGCTCATAGCCGAACCTGGGTTATTAGCCTGAGCTGCTTGGTTGTAAGGTGAGGCGACCTGTTGTTGGGGCGCGGGAGTCTGCGAGTTGTTTTGCTGCTGCGGCGGCTTGGACTTTTCGGCCCAAGCCAGACGGTTCCTCTCGTTCTCATTGCGGACACCGTCAATCTTGGACTTTGCGTCTTGAACACCCGTTTTGGCGGCGTCTCTCGCAGAAACCAGGTCTGGTGTTGGCGTCTGTCCAGCGGCCTCCAATTGTGATATTCTCTCATGTGTCTGCTGGAAGCGACTGACGCTGCTCTCTTGCATGGTAACAAGTCTGGTCAGGGTACTCATAATACGCCTCTTGTAGTTCTCGTAATCCGGGGTGTTGGGAATGATGCTGGTAGGAGGGAAGACCTTGAAGCCGCCGAGGAAGGCCTTTGCTTGCGGGCCGAGAGGAAAGTTACCAGGAACTTGAGGGATCTGCTGCTGTTGCTGCTGCTGAGGGATTTGCTGTTGAGGTTGAGGATGATGTTGTTGCTGAGGCGGTTGTTGCGACTGAGGGTTTGGCATCGTAGGTTGCGGCGGCGCAGGCTGCTGCTGGGGAGTGGGTTGTGCTTGCTGCTGTTGAGGTTGCTGGGGTTGTTGCTGGTTTTGCTGCTGCTGAGGAAGCTGTGGAACCTGAGCTTGCGACTGTGGTCGCTGCTGCTGTTGGTTTTGATTATTGGCCTTCCAGTGAGTGATGTGGCGCATAATCTCCCTCGAGACTTCCTTGATCTTCGCTGTTGCCTTGTTGTGCGTCTCACTGCCGCGTGGGTTGGCTTCTAGTGCAGTCCACAGCTTGGTTAAGCCTTCGGTATATGTGACTTTGTTCTCGGCTGAGAGCATGGGAATGTTTGCAATCTTCTCGGGTCGGATCATGTCAGGAGGGTAGGCCGGGGCCGCTTGCGGTGCGCCGCCTGGTTGACTCATGATGAAGGAGGCGTCACTTGTGCCAGCTTTCTGAGTGAAAGTGATAGAATTGAAAGTGATGTGCGCCCAGGGATCGGCACTTCACAAGCGCTGGCGTAGTGATGATGATGATGGAGGTGGTGAAGAAGGAAAGCGCCTGTCACTTTCACGCTACTCCGCGAAGTCGCGAATGCTCGCTGTTGCGCCTGCCAAGAAACGAACCATCTCTCCCAGAGACCTGAGCCCGACAAATTCGAAATGAGAATTCAATTGTTTCCATATCAGAGCACTCTTGTTACTTAAGTGTCTATGTACCTCATCTGCCGCAATTTGGACAACCTTTTTTTTCCCCCCCTCTTCACATCACATTTGTATGCTCAAGACAAGTCCTGCCTGTCTAGCTTTCTTAGTATTACAATCAATCAACGTCCATCTTGACCTTTTACTGGCTTCTACCTCTCAGCAAGCCAGCAGCGCAAGTGTTGTCGGACCAACCGAGAGCAAGGTTGTCCATGAACCAAGAGACAGGCTCCTCGTTGGCAGAAGCCTGGATACGAAGACCACTCAGTTCCTTCATAGACGAGTCAAAGTAGACCTTCTTGAGCTCGCAGTTGTCGGGCAGGAGGCAGGAGAGAAGCGAGACGGTCTGGTGGAATGCTGCCACTTCGGACTTGGTATGCTCGTTGTAGACAAGGCCTGTGATCTGCAGCTTGCATTGGTAGGCAGAATGGTTATCGCATCCAAGGTAGGCGCTACGAGCATTGAACCAGAATGCACTTGAGCTTCTGCGTGTGCCGGCACCAATCTCACCAGAAACTTGCCCTCCCTCGCTGTGATTTTCGTTATCGCTAGTCTTGTTTGCCACGAACATGACAAGACGAGGAGAGGAGACAGGCAAGAAAGGCAGAGTTGGGGGTGGAGCGTAAACAAAACCATCCGAGAAGTACATGTGGTGGTACGGATTGAAGACAGGCGAGGCTTGACTAGGTTCAGTGATAGGGTCTGTAGGCAAAAAGTTGGGCTCATCATCCCACTAATCGTTCGTGTCAGTTGTGTCTCATCAACAAGGAGGGGAGTACTTACAGTCAACGTAAAGTCGCCATGTTCACCACACACGGTGGACATCGGCAGAGAGCTCGAAGTGTTGATGTACATCCTGGTCAAAGTTGACGGTGTACGCGAGAACGCAGCAGGTGCGCTCAAAGAGATTGCAGGGACTGGAATGAAAGGGATGTATCCAGTAGCGGAGGCCATGGTTGAGCTGACATTCTTGCCTTGGCGGTAGGCTGACGAAAGGACGATGGGCGAGATAGCTGTGGCTATCTCGCGGGAAGCAGCCCCAACAGAAACAGACGACACGACCGAACCAGTGAGAGTTGAGACAGTGCCCGATGGCTTGTGAAGAGAACCAGTAAGAGTAACGTTCCAGGCAGATGCAGCCCAAGCGAGAGAACTGAGATTGCCAGCACTGTTCATGACGGAAGTGAAGCCGGCAGAAGGGGTAGTAAGGACAGTATAGGTAAGGTCGGTGGTAACATCGACGTAGCTGACAGAACAGACTGGTTCTGAGGTGCTTGCAAACTCGACAGTGATTGTAGTAGAGGTTGGAGGTCCGGTCAAGGTGTGTATCGAGTGAGGAGCAACAGACTTGGAGCTCTTGGATGACAGGTAAACAGTCAGGACCGAGATGACGCTCTTGGTTAGGTAAGAAGTAACTGTCGAGGTTGAAGTATCCTCGTTCGAAGAACCAGCCAAGGCCACGGAGGATTGTGGTAGGAAGGAAGTGACAGCAGGGGGCGTGATGGTAACAACCGTGGTTTGGGTAACGATGACCTCAGGATCGTTACTGGGGGTAGGGAAGACAGTCACCTCGATAGTCTGGGTGAGGAACGAGCTGAAGCTGCTGGTGGGAGAGATGCCGTTGATCCAGCTGGTTGTGCCATCCTGAGCAATGTAGGAATAGCCCGAACCAGAAGGCAGCAGATCATCAGAAGAGACAGGGCCAGCGGCAGATTGCGAAGGAGCGACAGTCCCATAGCTAGTCAGAGTAGAGTAGCTGGTGATGGTTGAGAACGACTGTGTGATAGCCGAGCCGACTGCAGAGAGAAGAGCGGTCTCGCTCTGGCAGAACGAGACGGTGATTGTCTCAGTGACAGGCTCGCAAGAAGATAATGCGCTGNNGGTGACCATGTCAGCAAGTGTTGAAAGCGTAGAACGCATGTCACGATCTCCGAAATCTCATGCGCAGATGTTATGGACTTACTTCTGGGTCTCACCAGTAGCAAGAGAAAAGCCAAAAAGGCTCAGTGCCACGAGAGAAATTGTCAAACGCATGGTGAGGCCAATGGATGGGGCAATGAATGACTTGGGTAAGGAAGAGGTAAGAAGAACGAGTATTGTGCTGAGTAGATAGGAAAGTGTGAGGCGGAAAAAGGTAAACGAGGAAAGTGCGAACAGTGACGGAATTTAGACTGGCAGGTGCACTCGGTCGGTCGTTGGTGACAACCAATCAAACTGCCGTAGCGATGGATGGTCGTGAGCCTCCGTTTGTACTGTGGCCCGTCTTTCCCAGCACCAGTAGCAGCTTTTGCATCTTGATGCATGACACCAAGTTGAACACCTTTTGGCGGCATCTTGCGAGAGTTGGTTTACTGGCTCTCGTTGAGCCTACTATTCCGACAGCACCTTGAACATCGCTTCCTTGTCTTTACTCCTACCTGTCTCTACCACTACTCAACTCCTTCGTCTTCACTTTCACGCTCTTGAACTATGGCATACCACTGGACGCAGGTCTACCCCTTCCACGATTTGGAAGCGATCGTGCGTCCATGTGAGGGTTCCTGCATCAGCACCACTAGACAATCTCGAACTCGCCCTAGCCGGATAGCCTCGTTTGCTCGTGGAACTCCCGGGACGACAATCCGCAAATCCAGAAACAGGACGTCAAGATATCAAAGCCGGACGGTGACACAACAGTCGCCGATTGACCATGTGTCAAGAAAATCTCCGCATCTTGTATGCCAGGAACGAAGAGTGTGGTTCAAAGAGGAACAGCTCGTGCGGCAAGCTGCACGCGTGACGCTCTCTGTGGCGGTGAGAAAGCATATGGCTGTTGTGCGACCAAATGGAGCTCGATGCCGATAGTTCTAGTAAGTGGCCATGTCTTTGGACAAAGAGAATTGATTCCGACTGCTTCATCGACCAAGTTCGAGAGTCAGTCACGTCTCCGAGAAGGAAGATGATACGCGGACGAACCACTCCTAGTCCGGTTGGGAACTGATGGGCCTGAAGGAGAGCGAGATCGACTCTTGCTACACGGAAATATCCAGGACCAGTCGAGGCCGCATTTTCGCGCATCGTTCGTGTGCTCGAGTAAGGTGAGGCAAGCTTCACGATTCTTCATGCCATCCATTTCCATCAAACACGATCAGGACCGGATCGTGACTTCTTTCCGTTCCAGGTCGACGAGAAGAGCCAACAAAATACGATGGACCCAAGCAAAAGCCAAACACATACCGCTATCGCATTTCTGCTATCTACTATGAGGTGGAGCACAGGTGGATACCGGCCAAGATAGCCTCCTGCTGAAGGTGAACGTGATGAGCAGATGGCATTGCGAAGTCGCGCAGGTGACCAATCGGCTCACATGGTCGAGCGCTGTCGGACTCGAGCAAGAGATAATATCATCTCACAAGCCCGCCCGAGCACAAGGCTTGCAAGACACGACAAGAAGCAATCCACCAGCGGTCTACAGTGCGACGGTTTTCAGCTCGACAAGCAGCGGTTGTTAGCGTTCGCTTCTTCGATTCCCCTCTCGACACCTTTTCTCCCGCAACGCTCCGAACCTCCTCCGCCTGTTCTCCCTCTGCCAACACTGCCCCTCTCCACACCCCACCACCAACCTGTCCTGGCCGGCAACCTGGCCATGAGTGTCGAAGAAAACACGCCTCACAGGCGCTCGAGCAGCGCCTCGTTTGCTCAAAACATGTCGAGGGACTTTCCCCAGCCAAATTCGGCCGCTGCCTTCGCCGGCGCCCGCAGTCCTCCCAAAGCAAAGAGTATGGCCAGCCGAGCTCCAAAGCCCTCGCATATCTAACATGTGTTTTCAGACACGTCGCATGTGCCATGCAAGTTCTATCCGTTTGGCACCTGTCAAGCCGGCGCGGCCTGTCAGTTCTCTCACGACATGGACCNNCCATGACGCAGAATGCGCCTTGCAAATACTTTGCCAAGGTACTTGCGCCATCGTCGCATGTGTCTGCACTTGCATGCCACTGACTCGCTATACCAGGGTAGCTGTAGATTCGGTCAAGGATGCGCCCTCGCCCATATTCTCCCCGATGGCCGAGTCATCAACAGGCCTCCTCGCGGCGGCCAGCCCTTCAACTACGGCCGCCGTGGTCCTCAGCCATACGCTCCCGCCCCGCCATCATTGCTCACCATGCAAGCCAATGATCTAGCATCGCAGCAACAACAGCAGCCGCAAGAGATGGGATACCAGAAGCAAGAAGATGTGCCAAACCTTCCGAACCCTGCACCCTACCTCCAGGCTTCACAGCCCCTCTCGCTAGACCCCAGCAACACGTTTGGCTCTCCGATGAACGACAACCGCTTTGGTGCCTCGCCGAATGCTAGAGGCTTGAGCGTACTGGATGCGCCCCTGCCCAGCTCATTCGACAGCCAAGGCATCTCACATGCTGCACGCCACGGTCCATTCGCGTCGTCCGTTCCTCCTCGCCTTGGCCAAGGTCTTGAATCACCTCCTTCGTCATTGCCCAATAAAGCATTCCTCGGAAGCACTCTGCGCGGCCTCGGCAATACTACTCTTGATGGCGTGTTGGCTGGCTCTTCTCCTCCCACCTTCGAAGAGCCTATGAGCTTTGGCAAGAGACCTTTGCACTCGGAGAGATTCTCGCGACCCAGACCTATGATGTCCGCTAGTGTCGGCACACGGCCTTCCTTTTATTCACACTTCCCACCAGACGCCACTGATTCGGAGGAGAGCGAAGAGGAGGGTATTGGTGAGGACCTTCTGCCATCAAGTCTGCACGAGCTTCTTCCCCCGGAGAAATTGCGCAGACCTTCGCAACAGATCGACGACGACATCAACCCCTCCTTCCTGTCCGCTGGCCGTCGCGCAATATCGAACGGACAAATTCCTGTGGACAACAAAGTGGGCAGTGTTAGCCCACACACTGGCAGTCCTTCCAGATATAGCTCAATCTGGTCCTCAGGCTCATACCGCAAAGAGGGAGAAAACGGCTTCGGCTCCATTGGATCTCCACTCCGGCCATCTTCATTGCGCTCCTCGTCACTCGCTGGAGGCGACTTTGGCTCTCTCATTGGCAGCCCACCCAAACAAGCAAGCATGTCGATGCTCACCCGTGAGCTACAGAGTACCAGGATTTCCGAGAAGTCTCCTTCATTGCACCCCCGTATGAGTTCTTCTTCCAGCGATTCTCGCGCTGCACTCCGTGGAGGACTCGACAGAGGCATTAGCAGCAACAGTCTGGGCCGCAACGAGACGATCGAAGAAGAGGACCAAGGCTTGTTCTCTATGGAAGAAGAAGACGAGTTCGAGAACTCATCAAGGAAGCCCTCGGTCTCTCCTATTGGTCTCCTGCCTGGAAAGAGCGAGCCAACCCTCGGACCCATAGGCGGCCAAAGAACCAAGTAAGAAGAAAGAGATGTCCTTCGAGAGAAACCACCTGTCAATATATGTTTTGAAAGGATTGCTTTGACGATTCATGAAATACGGAGGCTTGATTGTTCACATCATCCCGGCGCTTCAAAAGGGATAACAAAATCTACATGGAAGGACATTTTGGAAAGAGAAGCCTGTTTTTTCAACAAAAAGCAGAAAAGAAGCATGGCGAGTGAAACGACTACTCATAATTGCTGCTTTGACGAGTTGCATTTTCATTCAGCAGAGAGGATTTAGGAAATCTTTGTTGCATTTATGTATTTATTATCATCCATCATCCAATTCTATACTTTAAACCAACATGATATTGTTCGAAGTCTGTGTCCAGAGTCTTTATGTGGGTTGCATAGAATTTATTAATCTAGCAGGTGTTGCCAGATGAGACTTGAGTGGTGGCTGAATCATCTGCTCCCTCACGCTTCTTGATCTCGTTGAAGATTTGCAGGAAAGTGGCAGGTTCCTCTGCACCACCAACCTCATACATGTTGTTGAAAGTGAAGTGGGGGACACCTGAAGTAGAAGAGGTCAGCAAATCGAACCTGATTACTCTGAGGAAAGCAAACTCACCAGAGATGAACCTCCTCTGAGCAGCAGCAACCTCACGGTCAACCTCAGGACCACCCTTGTCACTCTCCAACCACTCCTTGACCTCGTTCTCCTCAAGTCCACCACCAACAGCAGCCTTTGTCAAGACAGCATGATCGGTAATATCCTCGTTCAATTCAAAGTACGCATTAAACAACTTTTCCATAACCCTCGTCTGCGTCTCCTCCCCTTTNGTCTTTGCCAACTGCACCACCCTATGCGAATCCCTAGTATTTCCAGTCTTGCCACCATACGCAAACTCAATCCCCAATTCACGGCCGATTTCTGAGAGACGACCTTGCATCATTTTTACCCTCTGCTCGCCAAACTTTTCGACGTAGATGGTTTGTTTGTCTCTGCTTTGCTTTGGTGCGTCTGGGTTTAGGTAGAAGGGAAACCAGGTTGTGGTGAATGTGTCGTTTGGGAAGGTTTTCTGGTGGGTTTTGATGGCGACTTGGAGGCGGTTTTTTCCTACGTAGCACCAGGGGCAGACGGTGTCGCTGACGATGGAGATGTTGTAGTTTGTCATGTTGCGGAGGGTTGTGCGGAAAGCCAGGTCGGGCGGTGTTTTTTCTTTTTGAGTATATGAGATTGTGATGATAGTGTGCAAATGGGTTATATAGGAAAAGGTGGGAAAGAGGCAAATGTTTTGGTTCAGGACATTATAGAATTGGATGGAGTTGTTTAATAATTGTCATTCGGTTAGCGCGGGAAAGAGCAACACAGCAGAGAAATGGTAAGCGAATTGGCATCGACAAATGAGAATGTATCCAAGTGACCAGTGGGTTCTTCTTTTGGCTGGAGTGCATGGGCGAATAGACTCCGGCAGGTTTGATGCATGACAGCGGTATAGAAGATGTTAGGAAGGAGCAAGGTGGTGCAAGGATTGTCTTGGCTTTTCACATGCCAAAAACATGACGAAAGCGTTGTCTGACGAACCATGACCTAAACTCTCGACACACAACATGGCCGACACGAATGAGGGACCGGTATTCAGAGCATCAAAACGAAGAAAGGTGTTTCGCAAGAGACGCGACGATGATGAGACATCCGACGGCGACATTGTGACACCAACAGTGGCGAACAAAAAGCAGCACCACGAGGCCGAAGCAGAAAGTAGAGAAGGCAGCGTATTCCTGAGCCATGTCAGACCACTGGGCTCAAGGAAGGGCGGCGTAGCTTTCTCGTCAAGCCGCAATACCAACGACAGTGGCACCAATAGCGTCATGGACACGAATGCACCGCCTACACCACTGAACGCCGTCGAGCATGCACAAGCCCGCTTCGTTGCTCCTACAGGACACATCGCCTCGGCAGACGACAAACATATGTGCGTCTCTCTCCTACTCCTCCTCCAACACCACAAGTTACAGAAAAGACTGACAGTCCAAGGANTGGCCTATGTAGATTCCAAACTGGCCCGCTTGACTCCATCACATGAAGCCGCAACACAACCATTCACACCAACAGAATCTACTTCGACTTCGAATACAGCAGCACAGCAGCATGAAAACCAAACCTCAGCCTCCCACGGCCACCTCCACCAAGTCGACATCCCCAAACCCGCCCCAACAGCAGCCACAACCCGCCCTCAAAAGCCACCTCGCAAACCACACTGGCGCAACCGCCGCAACAGCGCAGACCTCGCCCGCGACGCAATGGTCGACAAAATCCTTGCCGAATCCCAGCTGAACATCTACGAACCCTCTGCCTCTACAACCCACTCCAAGGCCTCTGCCGACGACAGTCAAGACGCCGACGAACGCATGGCCGAAGAATTCAAGAGGAACTTTTACGCTGCGGCTGAAGAGAGGGCAGTCAGGAGAACTGCTGCGCCGCCTCCACCTACATTTGGCGCCAACAAGCTGGAGAGTATCAAGGGGCCCAAGTTGGGTGGCAGTAGGAGTCAGAGGGCTGCTATGCATGCGGCTGAAAAGGCGAAGACGGCGAAGAAGTAGGAAGAGGATGAATATTACGAACCGTAAGTTGTAAGAATCATGAAATCGATAACCCCTTCCATTCAAAAGTCGGTCACATAACATACGTACGATCATCAAAACGCACAATACCTGCAGAAACATGGTCATTTGCCCCGAGAGGCATGATCTTTGACAGCCCCCTACAAAGACATCTCTGGTGTAGAATACAATTGTGCGTTTTTATAACCCTCAGAACACTGCCAATTCGCTGTGAGAGAGCTTGGATATGACTGAAGATCTATACTACACTACCATCTCCTCGAGCCTTCCCAGCATAGAATCTCTTCAATCCCACCTCTACATCATTAAACCCTGCTCTGGTCGTCTGTCCCAAACTCGCTTTTATCCATCCAGGAAGTCTGTCTTGTATCCTCTTTTGCGTATATCTGTTATCAAACAGTAAAATCGCACTCCAGTCATTCTTATGGCGGACAGCTCTACCGATTGCTTGATTGACAGCACGCATACAAGTATTATCTGCAAAGTCTCTTGCTGCTGCTGCACCCGCCGATAAAGCACCAGAAGCAGCAACAGCTTTCTCCTCGATATACTTGATCTTTGCTTTNTGCTCTGCGGTATTTGGGTTTGCGTAGGGTAGACCGATGACCATTACGCACCTTCCCAATTCGTCGGAAAAGTTGATGCCTTCGCTGAGGCGGCCGCCGATGACTGCTAGTAAGAATGCTCCTGTGGGAAGGGTTTTCACAGCGGTGGTGTAGGCGTTTAGTGTTTCTTCTGTTCCTGTTTGCTGGGTTTCNCTGAAGATTGGCTTTGCCTTTTGCATTTTCGTCCACATGGATGCTCCTGTGGAAGGTGTTTTTTGCCAGTGGGAGACTACTTGATCCAGGTAACTGTAGCTGGGAAAGAATGCTACGCAGCCGTGAGGAATGGTAGGTAAGAGTCTCAAAATCGAGTCTCCGAGTGCGGTGATTGTGGAAGCGAGGTTGCGGGACGAGAAGCTAAAGTTGAAGTCGGTGTTGTTGTGGGATGATACCACGGGGTTGACGAAGAGGTTTGTGGTTGGGATTACGTGACCACAGGAGAGTGTTGTGATGCGTGCCTTGTCGAGGTAAGGGAAGAGTTGGGCTGTGTAGTCAGACATNCTAGAATCACCCCTCATCAGCCGCTGTGTTGATAGTGACAAGATGAGACGAAGAATACTCACGGGTGACATGGTTCCTCCTGCTAGTATGACGGCTCTTGCCTCCTCGACGATATCGCGAAAGTGCTCTGAAGGGTCAAGAAGCATGTACTTGACCTTTGTCTGTGTCTTTTCCTCTCCAACAGTGTAAAACAAACGGCCCTCCCTAGCCGGATTCGTCAACACCATAAACAGATTAGTGATGTGTGTGAGCACCGGCACTGTGGCTTCCTTTGCAGTACCATTGCTATTGAGTTTCTGCTGTTTTTGTTGCTCGACAGAGACATAGCCTTCCACTTTCCTCGCCAACTTGCTTTCTTGCAGGTAATGCATCAATTTGTAGAGGTTGATCTGATCCACGCCTTTACCTTTGAGCAAATCAGTGGCTTGTACCGTGCCTTCATTACCTNNGTTTTGGGGGTCCAAGGATTGTAAGAAGTTGGCGATAGAATCAAGTAAACGTACCACTTGGGTAACGTAAACGCGGTTCTTGCCTTTGAGACGATTGCGGAAGCGTTGGAGGTAGGCGGTCAGTTGAGCGCGAGCGAGGTGCAGTTGTTGTAAGCTGACTTCTACAGTGTGAATGCCTGAGATTGCATCCATGAGGTTGTGGGCTTCGTCAATAATTATGATGTGATTCTTCAAAGACAAGCCTAATGCTTCTCGGGCGGTCTTTTGAAGAAGAAGTGGATAGGGCAATGTGACGATNCTGAATGTATCAGCATCAAAACTTCTGTGCTCGATAACGCGAGTGGAAAGAATGAGGAAGCTGATTTCAAAGGTAGCACTTACCTCACTCGGCTTCACAGCAGGTCTTGTGGCGTAATAAGGACAAACATCCAACTCCTTGCCCAGAGCCCCCAGATCCTCAATATCACGTATCTTTGCCAGAGCATGGTGTTGAAAGTCCAAAACCGAACCTTCATTCTCCTTATTCGGCACAAATGGACATTTCTTATCCTTTGGCGTCTTTGCATCTTGGAGTTCCAAGCACCGTTCATTGACTGCCGTCATACTTTTTAGACTCGACACTTTGGCGTTGATGCAAAGATTTTTTCTTGAGCCCAAGGATAGATGTTTCAGTTCCTCGGAAAGTGTGGCTTTCTTCTTGACTTCTTGTTGCAAGGCAGGTATGGCAGCCGGTAAGTCTATTCTTCGAAGCTCGTTGACGAATTGGCTGAGTTGGGAATGCGTGCGCGAGCAAAAGTATATCTTCAACTCGTCTTCTGCTTCGAGGTCCTCTGGCTTGGGCAATGAAGATATACCATAGCCGAGTTTCTGCATTAGTGCTTGCGTTTCTTTCGACAAGCCTAGTTCTGTTTCACCATTGTTGGAGTGTGAAGCTTTGGTGCCTTCATCATCGCTCTCGTAGTCATCGAGGGCGAACTGCTCATCGTCAACAATATCAGCATCTTTGCCGTTGTTGTTATTGTTGTTTTCATCGAGCCTTCGCTTTTTGGCCAATGGCGGCCCATTCTCTTGTCGATCCCTGATCTTGCGCTCGTGTTGACGGATGTTTTCGAGTTTCGCTTCTAGTTCTGCTCGTTTCTGGATGACTTGGTTTTTCTTTTCCTCTCGAGAGTGTTGGACCATCCACTCAGGTTCGTCGTCGTCTGTGCAAATTTAGTCACAAAAACCAGAGTCGAGTCATCTACAGATTAAGAAAATACCTCCTTCGATAGCAGCTATACTGTCATCGAATTCCTTCCTCTTGTGGTCGCGCAGCCATGTCAATGAACCACATGCCAAACTTAGAGATTTGCCCTTNGATATGCCTTCGTTAGAAGAGTGATCACATTGCCAAAACCAAGCCACATCCTTACAGTACCTACCAACTTATCAGAGAGATATTCAAGAGTTCATGTATTCAAATCGTTACTTACCAGTCGGAGACTCAAAGATGCCAATTTTACCTTGCTCGATGCAATCGTACAACGCCCGCATGAATTGGAGTTGGATGTCATAGGGCTCGTATGGATGATGGAATTTCTCGGCGCCTTCCATGTCTCGTGAAGTAGTGTGTCATAGGTTGAAACCAATAGTAAGTGATGGGGACCGCCGCGTTGTGGTAATTGGATCAATCAAATACAGAGACAAGAGAACGCGATCAAGTGAAGTCGAAGCCGGCGTTGGATGGGAACAGTCTGGACACAAAATAAACACACCCATATAGTAGACACAACTTCTTCCTACAACAGCAAACTGCTAGTGACTTTATTCAAGAACACGGTGGCTGTAGCTGAAAACATTTAATTTCATAGATCAAGACTAAATCCATGTCTGAAGAGTTCTGACAGGGTAATGCCCCGGTGAGAGTTATGAAGGCAACAAGAAGGCTTCACAAAGAGTGTTCTTTCGAAATTGCCATGTATCATAATGAGAGAGGTGACCAGCACAAGATTGCGACAGTCTTTACGAAGCACACAAGGAGAACGTAAAATGATTTAAATGAAGGAACGAACCCAGACCAGACTCCATTTTGGTATAGTAAAAAGAAAATGCAAAAATGCTTTATATGCAAACAACCAATCCTGTCTTTTTACATCTACGGCGTAATGTCGAACTTCATCTTGACACCCATAGCCGCCAACTCGACGTCCAAGTAGCGCAGGACACCAGGAACCGCGACGACAGTGACATCGGAACCACCAACGAACTTGTCACCTCTGCCGTCCTCCCAGGTGTCGCTTCTGGGCTCAGAACCGGTGGCCTTTGTACTACATCTTCTGCACCTGACGTTGCTAGCATTGACGCCCTTCTTGTGACCATATTGGTTGACGGTCGGTTGTGCGGAAAGGAAAGATCCGCAGCCACGGCAAATCCAGGCTTTTTGGTAATCGGAACAGTTCATCAGACGATCTTGCAGCAGGAATGCTGTACCGTGCGCAATAAGAGAATCTCTCTCCATCTCTCCGACACGGATACCACCACCCTTAGCACGACCCTTGATGGGTTGGCCGGTCAATGCTGTGACGGGACCGGTGGTACGGACCTGGAACTTGTCGTTGACCATGTGACGCAGACGTTGGTAGTAGACGACACCCATGTAGATATCGGCACCAAGCTCCTGACCTGTGATACCAGAGTACATGGGCTCGTTTCCGTAGTAGTTGAAACCAGCACGCTTCAGCTGGTGACCGAAGTACTCGACGGCGGTTTCGCCTGCTGTGTCCTTGAACTTGAACGGTGTGCTGTCTTGCGCGACACCGTGCAAGCATCCAGCCTTACCAGCCAGCGACTCGACAAACATACCGATGGTCATACGCGAAGGGAAAGCGTGAGGATTGATGATGACATCGGGTTGGATACCGCTTTCACTGAAAGGCATATCCATGGCAGGCCACTTCTGTGAGCAAACACCCTTCTGTCCGTGACGAGAAGAGAACTTGTCACCGATGACAGGCGAACGGGGGATGCGGAGTCTGACACTGAGCATCTGGCAGGGTTCATCACCACCAGTGTCTGTGCCGAGCATCTTAATCTCCTCAACGAAAGCCTCCTCGTGGTCCTTGTACTTGTGCAAATGGGTGATGCCATCACGGTTGACATATTCGCCAGTGATGGGATCTTTGGTGACAGTGTGCGATGCAGCAATGATGTCGCCCTCCTTGACCTTCATGCCGACAGCGATCAGACCATCGTCATCAAGAGTTGCGCGCCATTGTGCGCGGACAAGACCGCCAGGTGCGAAACCAAAGAGCTTCTTGACAGCTCCACGACCGCGTCTGCCGCCATTGTCTTCTGCGAGATCGATCTTCTTGGTCTTGTAGACGGTTCCGTGACCAAAGCCGCGCTCGTGGGCGGACTTGTTGATGATCATGGCATCGTCCATGTCGTAACCAGTGTATGAAATGACAGCAACAACAGCGTTGGTTCCGTTCGGGAAGTTGTCCAAGCCGTACTCGTTGTAGAGAGGAGGTCTGACGACAGGTGTCTGTCCAGTCTGTAGACGGTATGATTTGTTGTCGGTACGGTATTTCAAAGCAGTTCCGGGAGTACCCATGGTTTGTTTANNCCCATCTGACATTGGTACCTAAATGCAGTTAGTAAAAGGCGTAGATTTGATTGTGGTCCTCCGATCTTACATGTTACGGGGAGACTGGTTGAAGTCTGAGAAAGGTGTTTGGTTGGCGAGGATGGAGAGGATGTTGGTGGGATCGAATTCGACGTGTGTTGAGTCGCCGGAGACAATTTCGGGTTCTGTGCAAGCAATTGACATGAAGGGCTGCTCGAAAGGACCGACAAAGTCCTCCTTGCCAAGAGGCAGGTACTTGACGGGTCTGAACATTCTGGCTGCCTGTGAGAACATGTAGACACCAGGGTATTGACCTCCGTTCGAGTTGGGAATGTAACCAATCTCCAATTCGGAAGGAACACCGTGGGTACCCTCGACTTTCCAGTAGCGGAGAGTGTCCCCAATTATGCGAGCCTGTTGGGGAGAGCAGAAACCAAGGATACGACCGTCGAGCATAACAACGACGCTGTCCTCAACAGATGCAGAAGGAGTCTCAGTAACACCAAGTTGTGAGATAAGGCCGGGAATGGCCTTGGTGTCGACGCTCTTTGTAGCAATCTTACACTTGTGAGCCAAGTGATTAAGAAGACCGCAAGGAGAACCATCGGGAGTGTGGACAGGGCAAAGGAAACCCCAACTCTCGGGCAGCAGCTTTCTGACGGTTGTGGTCTTGAGTTGGGCGAAGAAACTACCTCTATGAACCATGCGGAAATGACTGATGAAACGCCAGAAGTTGATCTTTTCGGCGACAACGGTGAAACCAGAGGTTTGTTGCAAATCCAGACCACTAGGCGAGACAAGGTTACCAGTAGACAAGAAGTAGTCCAGAGCCTGTGCCAAGTTCTCGTTGGTTCGACGAAGGATCTTTGCGCTGAAGTCTCGCTCGAATTCGTCCGAAATAATCGATGCCCAGTTGGTAGTTCTGCCCCAGTCACGGAGTTGCAGGCCGATGGAGTTTAGCCACTCCTCAATGCGCTCCTTGACGATCATGCCGTAGAGGAAACCAGGCAGNAGAATCTCCTGATTCTGGACAGCATCAGGGTTGTCGACAGCACATTCTCCCTCGACAAGAGAGTACAGCTTTCTGGTCATGAAAAGGAGCATGCGGAACTTGTCGGCGTCGTTGGTCTCCTTGTTCTCTGATGTTCCCAAGTGAGGGAGAACAATTCGTCTCAAGAACTCAACACCAGCATCCTCGTCTGACATGTCATCGGGAACACTCAAGACAACGCGGAACTTGCTTCCGAGGTATGCGCGCGTCTTTGCTTGGCCATGGACGTTGTAAGCCTTGTAGGTACGTAGCAGAAGTTCAACGCGATCGGTGACGAACTGCTTCTCTTCAATGCCCTTGCTTCCTGCAGGACCGACCAGTCCTTCGAAGATCTCGCGGTCGTTTGTTTCAACCAGAGCCTTGAAAATCATCATGACGGGGATGAGGTATTCGTTTTTGCGCCATGAGAAACGGAAGGTGACGTTACCATCGTTGAGGTAGTGGAGGACGTTGGTTTGCGAGGTCTGGTCGGGTCTGACGGAGCGGATCTGAATACCAAACTTTGTGTAGGTTGCGCCCCTGTTGACGAAAGAGGGACGGATGATGGCCATGGGGTAGTTTCGTCGGTTAACAATGAGCATACGGATCAGCTTCTCGATACCGTTGACAATGAAATATCCTCCCAGCTCTTCAGTTTCTTCTCTCTTGTCGACAAGCTCCTTTGGTGAGAGACCTTCGAGGTGGCAGCGGTTCGACNNTGCGAAGACTGTCAGTAGTAGTCATCAGACTGGCGTAAGAACACGTACGCGCAACATGATAGGCAGAGAGCCAAACTCTCTGACACTCTCTCTCCACTCGCCCTCGTTGATGCGCCACTCGAAGCGGCCTCTGAAACGACCTCTGTAGGTACAATGGCGTTCTCTGCACTCTACAGGCAGAATCTCGCGCTTCTTGTCGATCTTGTTGGACGGAGGAAGCATGCTCTTCTCGAGGAAAACCTCCTTCACGCGAACCTGAAGCTTGTTGCGTCTGGGACCGTCGGGCGAGAAGGACTCGTTCGGGTTGCCATCGAAGAAGGTCTTGGTTCCAATATCGCGGAGAGCATGGTAAAGCTGACCCTTCTCTGCGAAGACGGCGTTGAATGATTGGACATGGGGGTCGACGGCCGAGGCGAGGGTAGGGTATGCCGACTTGTCCGAGGGAGGGTTGCGGAAGAGGTTGTGTCGGCGCACCGTGTCGAAATTGGTCGACCACTTGCCGCTCTCTGTGGATGATGGTGCCATGGTTGTGGAAAATGATCGAGGTTGAAGATGGACTTGGGTATTCCTGCTTGGTGCTGGCAAGAGCTCAACCTCTCACGCCCGTGGGTCGGGTGCTAGGTGGTATTCCAAGATTTGACTGGGCTGGTCTTTGTTCAGTTATCCAGCTTCCTGCTTCCCTCCAAGTTTTGATTTCTTCTTCGTACACTAGTGGCAGCACCGAGATGGGCGTCGCAGATGTTTTTTTGCTTCGAATTGAACTTCTAGAATTTTAGCGCCGTCAAAGCCGGCCGTGCCAAGCATTCGAACCCTCCGAGGCTCCGTCCTTTTCGCCGCATCTGCTGCCACTGGCCGTTATCGTGCCCACATCGATTCCCGACTCAAGTGACCTCTTGGCTGTCAGGAGGCACCCGTCACTCGACGCTCATTGTTCTTACAGCAAGCTTTCTACCGTGACAACTCCTGCGATACCCAGGAACCTGTAACGCTGCCCAAACACTCAAAACTCCGTGACAGCAGTGCCTCGTCTGCGGATAATCCTTCGCCTTGAATCTACATCACCAACACCTCCAATAAGAATTCGACCCTACGCGAGCCCCGCTTCTGCTTGTATCCTGCGCGAACTGGCCAAACCATTCATCCGTGCAACCATCGAGCTGCTCTACTGCTGTTGCCTGCGTCCTAGCTCTTCGACACTTACCTGCAGTGCCTAGTCTGTCAAACACATCATCATGGCAGGCCTTTTCAAGCGTCTCTACGACTGGCTTCTCAGCCTGTTCTGGTATGTTGTCTTTGCTATCGTCGACGGCCACTTCCTGACGTGACATGTCTCTTGCGATTAGGNNGCGACCGAGATGGATGTAACAATGATCGGCCTCCAAAATGCCGGCAAGACATCTCTCTTGAGGGTCCTAGCAGTAAGTAGTCCATCCTGACCTTTGTGCTCGTGCCTTTTGACTTGATGTTGACGGTATACATCCAGGNGCGGAGAGTTTACAATCGAGTAAGTCTGGTCTCGTGGTGCTGTAACAGAAACGTCCACTAAATGGTGCCTGCAACGTGACAGCTCAATACCTACTGTTGGCTTCAACATGAAGAGGGTTACCAAAGGCCATGTAACTTTGAAGTGGTAAGTTGTCTTGTCTTTTGCCCACCGACGACGAGGCTCACAGGGCGCANGTTGGGATCTAGGGGGTCAGCCGAGGTTCCGATCCATGTGGGAGCGCTATTGTCGAGGCGTCAACGCCATGGTGTACGTCTTCCAGTCCTCACTAATGTGCTTGTGTTGACGCGAAACCAGATTCATCGTCGACTCGGCCGACAAGGAGGCCTTGCCAGTGGCACGAGAGGAGCTCCATGTACTGCTAGAAAAGCCCGCCTTGGAAGGTATTCCTTTGTTGGTCCTAGGCAACAAGTCTGACCTTCCCGACCATCTTTCGGTCGACGAGCTCATTGAGGAACTAAACCTCAAAGCTGTGACGCACCGCGAGGTGAGTTGCTACGGTATCAGCGCCAAGGAAGAAACCAACCTGGATGCTGTGCTGCAATGGCTGATCGCTCGGGCGAGCAAGTGATGTTATGACCAAGGTCACGAGCATTCATTGCGGTATAGAGGTGGCTTCCAATCATGATGTCGATGGGCATTTGCATATGGTATTGCGAGCGACGGGGTTTAGACGGTTTCTTTCCTGCGAACCAGCAATGGCAGCGTAGCGTAACGGCGGGTGCACACGGGTGTCTTTGTTTCTTTTCGACTTCAAGCGATTCTGTTTCTTTTCCAGGCGAGCTAAGGGGTCGGATTATGGATTCACGAGTGCAATACGACAGTCAGCAGACGCAATTTAACGATTGATGCGAACACGAAGAAAAGAGGAGAGACAAGAGGCCAGAATGGCGAGGAAAAAGTGCAGTCCTTCAAGTGTTTCAAAGCCCCTCGATATCATGTGGGAGTGCAATGCAAGATGCGCTGGCAATGCTGGCACCAGTGTTCTGGAAATGCCGGTGGCTAGATTGATACGTACACTGCCACAGTGGCTGAGGCAAGCCTATCGCATAGCCGCCTATCGTACTTCGTTCACGAGACTAAACAAGACAAATAAAGTGCATCCTTTAGAGGATCAAAGAACAAAAGAAACAGAATCGTGACAATTATTCCCAGATCGGCTGACAAGCCGTCTCCAAGATCTGGGACGGCAAGGCGCTGCCGGTCACTGCCTCGTTCGTTGGAAGTGGTGCTTGGCCACCAAGCAATTGTTGTCGTCACCGCTCCCATTCCAAGCCACGACGAAGGTCTCACAACCACTTTGTACTTAACACAGTCGTAATCCCTCGCCTTTGTCTTCTTCTGGCACGCGTGAACAACCCATCAACTAACTCGACATGTATACAACAATGAATCTTGAAGCTCGCCAGTACTATGGCTACTACAACAAGTAAGATGGTTCCTGGCGCCTGTGCTTGAAGATCTGCACACGCGCTCGTCACTTTGTATTCGCTGGACCCTCATGCTGACATGGTCTTCTACAGCTGTTATGGCAGAAACTGCAACAGCACCTGGAACCGCTGGGGTCGCTGGGTGCTTCTCGCATGCATAATTGCTGTCTTCTTCATCTTGTTCTTCCTCTTCTCGTGAGTATCACGCCACTGCAGCATTGCAACTTGCGCTGACTCTTTGTTCAGATGTCTATCAGCAAGAAGACGCCGCAAGCACGGTAACAACCCTTACTTTGGCACTGGCTGGACTGTTCGCCACGGTACTCCTACCTACAACCAGAATGCTCAGCCTCACTACGCGACTGAGACAAGCTCGACTCCGTACTACAACAACTCGAACAACCCTCCTCCAGGTATGACACGACGCGACCTTGATGGTATTGTTGTAGCACGTACTGACACATATGCGCAGCCTACAGCCCTCCTCCCAACACCACCACCTACGGCAACAACATTGAGCTGCAGCAGCCCCAAGCCGCCTACAATGGCGCCTATGCTCCTCCCAAGGACCCCCTCCGGGCAGATACTAAACAATGAACGTTGCTAAAGGACGAGAATGCGCCTTTGATCACACGAGACGCTGTAATGAGTTTGGAATAAGATTGGGCACGGGAACGATGGCGTTACGAATGGGCGTGGCTTTGATACCCCGAGAGAGCTACGATTATGATGAGGGCACAAATGGGCTTTTCTTTTCACCTTCAAAAACGAAGGCTCTACTATGCTAATATTGAAACCGTTTTTCACAATCTTCGCTCCGTTCCATTGTCTTTGAACCTCGGCCGAGTCTGATGACGTACCATGTTTCGTCTTTCGTTTACTTATCTCCGTCCATGATCAAATAGCGACACTTTTTAAGATTATTAAGCAGGCGACGATGTGCTTCCAGAAGGCGAACTGTAGCTCTGCCCCTCATTTTAATATATCGCTGGTCAGCCTCAAGTACTTCAGTAGAGCCCTCAATTGACTTTCCTATTTCCCAATTCCAACCACACACACTTTCAAACCACATCACAATGGCACCCTCAAACATGAAGGCTATCAAAGTCGTCGAGGCCAAGAAGGCAGAACTCCAGGACGTTCCCGTCCCCAAGCTCCGTGACGACTACGTTCTGGTCAAGGTCGAGGCTGTTGCTTTGAACCCTACCGACTGGAAGCATGTCGACTACCTCGCCAACCCTGGTGCCACCGTTGGCTGTGACTACGCTGGTGTCGTCGAGGAGGTCGGTTCAGCAGTCCAGAAGAAGTTCTCCAAGGGTGACCGGATTGCTGGCTTCTCCCACGGAGTCAACTCTGCCAACAAGGAGGACGGATGCTTTGCACAATACGCTCTTTCCAAAGGTGATGTTCAGATGAAGGTTCCTGACTCTTTGTCGACCGAGGATGCTGCGACTCTCGGTGTTGGTGTCACCACTGTTGGACAAGGGTAAGCAATTCATCCAGCATGCTGTTGCAGAATACAAAGCTAATTCTTGAATCTAGTCNTTTACCAGAGCTTGAAGCTCCCCCTTCCTACTGAGCCCGCTAAGCAGCCCTTCCCCGTCCTTATCTACGGTGCCTCGACCGCTACCGGTACCCTCGCCATCCAGTACGCTAAGCTGTCTGGCCTCGAGGTCATCGCCATCTGCTCCCCTCACAACTACGACCTCGTCAAGTCTCTGGGTGCCGACGCCACCTTCGACTACAAGGACCCCGAGTGCTCGGCCAAGATCCGCGAGCACACCAAGGACAACCTCAAGCACGCTTTCGACTGTATCGCCGAGGGCAGCTCTCCCGACATTTGCGCCAACGCCATCTCGAGCAAGGGCGGTGTCATCTCTTACCTTCTTCCTGCAAAGTCCTCCCGCGAGGACGTCGTCGACCAGAGCACTTTGGGCTACACTGTTGTTGGCGAGGCCTTCACCTTCGCTGGCAACCCTATCCCTGCTAAGCCCGAGGACTTTGAGTTTGGCAAGATGTTCTGGAAGCTGGCTGAGAAGCTGTTTGCCGAGGGCAAGGTCAAGGCTCACCCCAAGGAGCTCCGCAGCGGCGGTCTCGAGGGTGTCTTTGGCGGTATGGATGATATGAGATCCGGCAAGGTCTCGGGCAAGAAGCTCGTCTACAAGATCTAAAGTCACAGATCTTGCATACACTAATGACATGAAGTAAAAGTTAAATCAAAATATACGATGAATCTTCTTTGACATGATAATTGACAACGCCGTGGAACTCCTGGTATACCTGCGAAAAAGAAAACAGTTCATGAATCTAGCCATCATGCTAACATGTGCGTGCTGCTCCCACCTTTCGTATAAATGACTTGGATATGCAGAGCGTGTCGTCATGTGTTTCCATCTCATCATGTCGTTGTCATTGATCATGGCTCGCCCGGCCCACTGACTTTGATGTGAGGCATAGGCGCCGGCGGGCTGCCGTTCGAATTGTCGATAACCCTTCGCCATTTCAGGACTGGGATTCTTTGGTCGCCNCTGTAGCACAAAGTCAACACACATGCACTTATCATAAGGTTGGGTGTCAGAAAAAGAAAAAAAGAACTCACCCTAATCTCTGTAGGCTCCTCACTTCCGAGCACCAACACGTTATCGTCTTCCTCAAACTTCCACGTTCGAACCTGGATATCGCCTATCCAACCTGGTAGATTACAAACCTGAAATGTGTGTCTCAGAATCTCTTCTCTGCCCATGCCTTCATCGGTGATATAATATGGACCCGCATACGAGAATGAGCGTTTGCCCGCTTCTGCCCATTGTGGTTCTTCGCCCTCACCACGCTTGAAGGACATTTGGCCCGGGATCAGCATGTGAGCGCTCATGTAGCCGTCGGGCGTGTACATGATGAGGCCGGTGACATTTTTTGTCATTGGGAAGGTTGGGCGTTGGAAGCGGCTTGAGGGGGTCGGGTAGGCGACGTAGGCTTCTAGGCGCCAGGTCCCGACTAGTCTCTGCCGCAGCGGTCGCTGGGGTGGAGGAGAAGGTGTCTTTGAGAGTGTGTAGTAATCGCCATTCAAGTCATCTATGTTTGAGATGTTGATGCTGGGGGACGAGACATCGAGGTTATATATCGCGCTTCCATTCGTCCTCGGGGTGCTGGAGCCATTTGTCGGCGTGGTCTTGAAGTCGTAGGCTAGACTTTGGCCCTGTGGTGACTGTGTCCGGATCTCAGACATCTTGGGAGGAAAAGGTGGAGGCGATGGGGGCGTGACTGGTCGTAGCAATGGTCGGGCTTTGATCGGCTGCGGTGACACGGGTTCCGGGGACTTGGGTCGCGAAGACGATCTTGACCGTGACCTTGACCTGTTCTTGCGATACGGGACCACTTTTGGCACTTGGAGGTAGGTTGTGCTGGTCAAGGTGATTACCTGGCTAGGCATGGCGTGAGGGCAAGGATAACAGGTGGATTGAAGTGATGATAACAGCCAAGAGACAAGGAGTCTGTCATCGAAAAGCAACCAGAGATTGCAGAAAAAGAGAACAAGGAAGACTTTCGTGAGAAGGAAAAGATTGTACAAACTAATAGAGCTCTCGGTAGTCTGGAATGTCCTATTTCATTCCATCTACGGGCAGCACGGCAGTGGTCCTGTCACGGCAGGGCTTTTTAAGTCATGATGTTTCTACCTCACCCGTGAATCATCAGCTGCTGATCAAGCCAACCGGCCAGCCATTCCTAAACCCGAATGCTCACACTCGTGTAGGGTGTGTGTGTGCGAGGGTAGGTTGGAAAGCAACGTGGTGGGGCTCCGGAAAGAGAGGAGTAGTCCGAAGTGCAAGTAGACCTTGGCGGGACCTGCCTGCTTTCTCACCACTCTTGCAATATCCAAGCAATCTTTGTAAAGAGGCACCCCGCAGACCAGTTCTCCTGTTTCTGGCCAACAAATACAGCTAAACAGATTGTACTATTACTTTCTAGCCGTCAGCAATGATATCGGCGTGCAGGTGGATTCTGCAGAGGTCGCATGGAAGAGCATCATCCCGCTCCGAATGTGGTAATGGGTTTGCTGAATTGTTCCGCATCCGCTGACACACACGAGAATGCGGCTGAATGCATGATTGCGCCCTTGGTCTCCTCTGCTCCAGCGCCCGCCAGGCTTTCACATGGGCGATTTGCACAGCTCCTCAGTCCAGACGAGCAATCTAGAAAAGATACAATAGAGCCGGAGAGTTAGACTGCATGTCATGGCTTGCTTGGCTAAGGCTTGAGCCAAGAAGAAAAGACTTCCAGTCGTTCCTTCGTTCGAGCGAGGGGTCCGTTTGACTTCGCTCGAGCCGAAGCCTATTTCACGTTGCGACATCGCAACTCCCAGACATCGAGCGAAACTGGCAGTCACGACAGAAGCCCCTCACTCAGTCTGAGGGAGATGGCTTTCCAAGTAGTCCCACAGTGAGAAAACAGGGCAACGCGGCAACGAACAATGGATTGCCCAGCATAGTGGGACTACGATGCGATAATGAAGGAGCGGACCTACTCATTACTCGAGCACATCCTGTGCCGTTTCTTGCGGACGTGGAGGTTGATATCAAGTGCAGATGTGTCTCTTATCGACCGCAAGCCAAGCTAGCCCTACTATCCTATAGACAGGTCATGTCAAACGGTCTATCTTATCACTTCTTGTTGACATGGATCGAAAAGTATTCCCTGGAGAGATCCATTGCTCTTATACAGGCCGCTCTCGACAATACTGACATTGTGTTCAGGTAGCTGTACTTTGGAACAGCTGCTGGACTGCTTGATAGAATAGCCCACGTGCTTGGTATCAACTTTCTAGGTGGCATGTTCAGTGGATTCGGCCCGCGCTTGACTCGCACGGCATAACAGTTTATCCATACAAAGCTCTCATTTGCCAGTTGGATCAACTGACGTCCGAAGAGCTGTTGTTCAGATCAGCTATCGTGCCGTGCGGGAGAGGGGTTGTAAGAGTATATTACTAGGCCCCGCACTCGCATGTACTACTATTGCAGGTAGCTGGGTATATAAGAGTCAACTTTTCTCAAGCTGTCCTTTCTCTTTCTTCTCTTCCTTCCCTCCAAACACAATCTTCAGAAACAAACACTTGTATCGTAGCCCCATGTGGCCATGCTACCCAGTGCTGACTCCTTCGAGCAGGTCCAACCTTTCTACGGTACGCTCATCCATCATGGATGGATGCGTGATACACTTTTCGAATGGTATTCTCTGATCAGAGATGATCAAGGGTCAAGGTAACTTCAAACAACGGGTTTTACCTGATGCATGAGCGGGTGTTCGATAGCGAGCTTCTGTCTGCCAACCCATTGATTTTTGATCATGGACATTGGTGTCAGAATTGTATCGCCTCGCTATCGTTCTGAGATTAGACCGCCTGAACTTGATTTCTGGATAATACCAGCGAAAGGATCATGCATACCGAACCACCCTCTTTGTGCCTCTACGGCATGTTCTAACCTGCAACAGACATACCAATCTTGACCCTTTTTCACAATGTCTCCCCCAGCCATCCTCCAGGATCCCGTCTCTCCTACCGTTCCTTCCAAGAAGTTGAACCTTCCTCACAGCTCGGCTGTTCCTGTTGGAGGACAGACCAAGACAGAGACCATCGAGGCCATGGCAGGTGACTGGCAGTCCTTCACCTTCCGTCCCATCCGTGAGTCGCAGGTCAGCAGAGCCATGACCCGCCGCTACTTCTCCGACTTGGACAAGTATGCCGAGTCCGACGTCGTCATCATTGGCGCCGGCTCTTGCGGTCTTTCTGCCGCATACTGTTTGGCCAAGGCTCGCCCTGACCTCAAGATTGCTATTATCGAGGCCAGTGTCAGCCCTGGTGGTGGTGCTTGGCTTGGCGGCCAGCTCTTCTCTGCCATGGTCATGCGTAAGCCTGCCGATGCCTTCCTCCGCGAGATTGGTGTCGAGTACGAAGAAGACGGCGATGACAGCAACTATGTCGTTGTCAAGCATGCTGCTCTCTTCACTAGCACTCTGCTCAGCAAGGTCTTGCAATTCCCCAATGTCAAGCTCTTCAACGCTACTGCTGTCGAGGACCTCATCACCCGTCCTCGCGAGGATGGAACTATCCAGATTGCCGGTGTTGTCACCAACTGGACTCTGGTAAGTGTCCTTACATAAACTCTGGAAGCTTTGATACTGACTCTTGTCTTTTACAGGNTTAGCATGCACCACGACGACCAGTCCTGCATGGACCCCAACACCATCAACGCCCCCGTCATCATCTCCACCACCGGCCACGACGGCCCCTTCGGCGCCTTCTCCGTCAAGCGTCTCGTCAGCATGCAAGCCATCAAGTGTCTCGGCGGCATGCGCGGCCTCGACATGAACACCGCCGAAGACGCCATTGTCAAGGGCACCCGCGAGATCGTCCCCGGCCTCATTGTCGGCGGCATGGAACTCTCTGAAGTTGACGGTGCTAATCGCATGGGACCTACCTTTGGCGCCATGGCACTCAGTGGTGTCAAGGCTGCTGAGGAGGTGGTCAGGGTCTTTGAGCAGCGTCAGAAGGAGTGTGCTGCTTTCTACTGAAAAGTGACATCTTGATGGGAGACCCTGATTGAGGTCGAGGATTATGAACTACAGTCTTTACCAGTGTTCGACAAATTGAATGACGAATGATCGTTTATGCCATGCTGAATATCTTGCTCCCTATATGTTCATCTGATAAGTATGCCATCATGTGCTGTGACAGGCAATCAAAACTCTAAGAGCCTTTCATGTGAGTTGATGAAAGGCGGAGATATGGTGCAGACTATGCTGCTGAGGAAAGCACGCCCGAAAGTTGTCAAGAAGGGACGATGGGATGTCAACAACAATCAACGTGAGAGGCGTTACAGGCAGAAAGCACGAGCTAAGGAAGAGATTCATTCTAGTCATACATTACGCGCTTGACCATAAAGCTACAGATGAGAATTTTGATAATGGATACCAAAAAGCAGAGCTTAATCAGTGATCACTCTAATCCCGATTGACGACACGCAGACTGCGTCTTGGTGCCAGGACAGTACCCCAAAATGATGGCGTGTTGCCAGCGAGTAGGTCCTCAGGCGCACCACTATCATCACTGCTCCTTCTCATCAAGAAACCGTCTACACTGTCTTGACCAGCAGTGTTTGTTCTGTAAGCCTCAGTGTAGCCCCAATCGTTGTTGTTGTTACGGTTCGAGCTCCCTTTACCACTGTTGTTCTCGCTCGATGTCCAAGGACGACGATCGTTCGAACCGCCACTTGAGGAGCCTGCTCCTGTAGGAATGAGACCTGGAATATTTGGGTGGTTCTTCTCGTTGAGTGCTTGCTGTTGTGCCATTTCGACATGGCGTTTGTAGAGTTGGAGGCGTTTGCGGTAGAGCCAGGCACAGAAGGCGAGATAGCAGACAATGACGAAGAGGATACCTGCAATGACTCCAGCAACGATGGCTCCAATATTGGGGCCGCTGCTGCCTTTGTTGGATCCGGAACTCGAGTTTCCTCCAGAGTTTCCTGTGGCTGTTGCAGTTGAGCTGGAAGTCACAGTGCTGTAAATAATCGGTCCACCAGTCTTCAAAGGTCCACCTTGAGGTGTTTGAGCAGGCGCTGTGACCGTCGCACCTCCTTGAGCATTGCCACCAATGACCGAGACGACAATGTCAGGAACCTGATAGCCGTAAGAACCTTCAAGACCACCCGGACTGCTGCCGTTGGCTAGTTGGGCTGGCTGTTGGTTGAATGGGTTGGTACGAGCATTCGAAACCCAGTTGTTGGAGCTTGATCCAGTGGGCGATGCTGCATCCCCGTTTGCAGATGCGCCTGATGCTGACGCTGCAGCTGTGTCGGAGGAACCTCCAGAAGTACCAGAAGACGCTGAAGAATCCGAGTCAGAGCCTCCACTCAATGCAGTGAATCCAGTTGCCCATTGTAAGCTGCTTGCGTTGAGCACGTAGATGCCAGGATTGTCACAGCTGAGTTGACTGCCAACGTAGCCGCCAACTACCACCATCTGACCATCCCACATCTGACACGAGTGACCGGCCCTGCCGGGTGGTACTGCTTGTGAACTCTGGTCGACTTGGATCCATGTGAAGGAAGGGACGGTCAGAATCCAGAAATCGTCATACTGAGTTTGGTTGCCTGCAGGAATAAGATTTTGCCCGCCAAACATGTGTACTTGGTAAGAACTGCCGTCGGATGCAGCTGCCACAGCAGCACATGGGTTTACTCGAATGTTTGGCGTTGGTCCACTCGTTGCTTGTTTATACCAAGTCGAGGTAGCGATATCATAGACGTCAATGACGTTCATTTGTGTNCTACGTTCATCAGCAAACATTCTCGCGTAGATCTGGCAAACACGCGGCGATATTGCCTGCGTAGATTTGCTGCCAGAGTATAGCATCTGACTTACGAATGTGTCCGCTGTTCCTCCAGCTAGACCGAGGAGGATGCCTTGATCGCCAAATCCAGGTATGTATACAAGTAATCCATCTGCGCGTTCCGGGAACCCTGCACTGTCTTGAGCACCTCCATCCGTGACATTGCGCCATGCGCCATCGCTGCCTGCAGCTTTATTGTCCGATAGGGAGGTTACCTGGTTGTTCTCGTATCCGGGGAAAGTGAACTCAATCAATGATTTGATATAAATTCGGGCGACTTGGTTTGACCATCCTTCGGTTGTGTGAGTATCTTCATGTCCACCAAAGTAAAACCCACGCCCCAAACCTGCTATCGAGGCGCCAGCGCCTTCAGCAGCACGTTGTACTGGTTGATTGCCAGACTGAGCATTGTCGCCGGATGAGGTTGTCGGATTCTCATGTTCGATCCACTGAGAAGACACGGCATTGTATTCCCATAGCGAGAAGGTTGTTGGTGTGTCGATCGGATTGTCTGAGAACTCTCCGCCATATAGATACACAGACTCATGGGAGTTCCACAAGAAGCCGTTCGACACATTTGGGGGACCGGATGGTTGTGGTAGACCAGTCAACGAAGGGTTAGAGATCTGCCAGCTCTTGGTGAGATCCATCGATAGAAAATCGTTGTCTGGAGGATCATATTTAGCAACTTCCCACGAGACACTTCAGGTGATACTCTTACTCCACTTGTTCTGAGTTTGCCCGGGTTCGGTCGTGGCTTGTCCGCCATAGACGAAGAGTGTTCCATTGATCACAGCAGATTGGTGCGACCATCGTGTACACACATCAGTTGGACTGTCTGCTCGAGTCTCGAGAACCATCTTCCGCTCAATGGGAACAGCTCGACTGTCGACACCGATGCTAGGGGCGGCGTTGCTCTCAGTTGGAACTGGTTGTTGTATAAATGGCAAAGTTGCTGCGACAATGAGGGCGAGCGCGCCTAGTCTGACCAGGTATTGATTGTTTGATCGGGTTGTGGTGTCCATTATCGATGTTTGCTGTTTTCCATCTCTTTCTTTTGATTCGATACTGTTGACATTGGAGTCTGATCGCGTATCCATATTGAGTAGATGGCCAGCCGAGGTCAATGGTTTATCAAGGTCCTTGATTGCGAGTCGAATGCGCTGCGCTGACGAGACTGATTATAGTCTGTCGAGATCAAAAGTTCAGGTCATGCGAGTTGGGAGCACAAAATTGCAAGTCAAAGAGGACGTTGAATCTCTCCCAAGTAATAGCAGCGCATGAACTGGTGAAGATCACACGTCACAACGCCATTGATATGCCGCTATACAGTACAAAAGCAATATAAACCAGATATAAGGCACAGGGTTGGATTCGCGTGCATCGCTACCGAGCGGAAAATAGATTGGAAATGTCCGTACTGTGACGTGAACGCATCAAAACAGAGTTAAGGGCTCAAAGGAATAGGAGGTGTGGTGCTACGGAATGCCTCTTTTGCAGGCAGGAGTAGAGTGAGATGTCGTCACAAAACAAGTTTTGGGAGGAGAGGCGGGTGTCGAGGCTTCGCACGGCCAATCGCTCGAGGATCAGCCGGCGTCGTTGCCCAATGCAGACAGGATTGGAGACACCGACTACTTGAGGCGGAGTACAAGGATCTTCTCCAGCTCGCTTGCGCGAATGCAACATCTGATCCGTCTTTGTCACTAACAAGTGTCTAGCAAACAGCTTTCTGAAATGAGAGCTGGTGGTGGAACAGCTTTTCGCTGCTCTAGTGTTGAATTCATCTTGCATTCCAAATACTCGGACGCTTTCCCCCTCACACACCAAAGACTCGTCCTTGAGGATTTCGACTACTTGAACGTCCAACGGAGACTAGGGGTCTGTTTCAGCCATCCTAGTCTACGCAGCTTCACGTCAACCCAAGATGAGCAAAATGAAGACTGCCATGCCAGGTAGTTTTGCTCCTTCCTAACGACCTAACGCCCGATGACAGAGTGGAGTGTGGATCAAGCTCGAGGTTCAACAAAGGAGAGTGCTTCCTGGACGTAAAAGAGCCCATGCAAGCATAGAGGTCAAGGGCGTCCCGTCATGTGCTCGCAATTCGGACGATCGTAGTCCTGAGCCTGGCAGCAACGAGATCGCGAATTCGATTACCAGCATCGAGTTTACGTCTTCAGCACAGTGACTTCTTGTCCTGGCAGGCTGGGGGTTGTATTTCTGCAGTGATTGTTTACCGACGCAGCAGGACTCTTTCAGATATCGCTCTGTGCAGAGAGACTCGGGGATGGCAGTTCGAGAGGAACAACCTCAAGAGGAGTAACAGGCTGTTGACAAGCGTCGGCGATAGCCTTCGCCGATTCTCTGGTGACCGCGCCGATGGCACCTCCAGGGTGATTCTTCTTGAACGTCTTTCCCTTGTTCTCGTGCAGCTGATCCGCCACGGTGAGCGCCAGCATGTCGCCAATGGCAATCTGTACGGTCGTGGATGTTGTGGGTGCCGACACACCGAACGAAACTTCTTCCAGCTCGAACAAAGGTGCTGGAAGCAATACACCATTCTGATGCTCTTTCAAGAGGGGGCATTCGGATGCCTTTGATTGCGAGGTCAAGGCGACGATCTGGAGTTGGCGAGGTAGGTGAGGAAGAAGGTTAAGCAGCTCGGGGGTCTTGCCGCTGTATGAGATGAAGAACAATACGTCGTGNCTATACAAAGGTGTCAGTGTCCTGAGTCGAGTCTCTGGAATGGATCAACGTACCTCGCGGATATCGCCAAGGTCACCATGCGCGGCCTCGGCAGCATGCATGAAGCTGGCAGCGATGCTCAGACTCTTTAGCGTCGCGACAGTCTTTCTGCCAACAAGACCACTCTTGCCCACACCGCACACGATCACCTTTCCTCCGGCAGCCTGTGATCTGGTGATGCATTCGACTGCTCCGAGCAGTCCCTCTCTGGCATGAGGATCTGTCTGGTACAGCCTGGTGACGTGGGATAGTGCAGTGGCTTCGATGGAAAGGACCCGAGTGGCGCGATCAAGGATGGATGTCGACTCCGGGTCGTGAATGGTCGATGGAGGAGTCACCATCGTACGCTGGCGCTTGCAAGGTCTGGGTGAGTCTGAGGGGTGCATGTTGTCGTCGAAAGTGGCAGAGGCCTTCGAGTTATTCGTAGTATGCGAGAAAGATGTTAGGCAAACAAGGCGGTTGTAGGCGGGGTATGCTGTGATAAGGTCTGATAGGTGTAAGGGTCTGATATGTCGGCAGGGACTACTTGTATGTATCGCTAGGCAGTGCCCTTTCATGTGACGGCCAGGAGAAACCGCAGGATCCCAGCGGTAGATATTCCATAGTTACTCCAGCGTCTAGATCCTCTACGTGGTACCAACCCGATCTGCTCCTTGGACACACTAGTACGCCCGTCATGGATCGAATCACAGCAATCGGCCATCATTAGTCATCGACAGCCAACCATTCATCGCTGCAACTCTTTGTTCACAGCGGCGGCTTTGCTTGGGCCGTTTTTTGTTGGAAGTACACGGTCAGTGCTTCCTCCGAATCCAGGCACAAGCTTTTTGACGTCCTCGATCTCCATGCGAGTGAGACCGTCTGCCGTTTCTCTGTGAAGCGAAGCCAGATCATAGGCAACAGAATCACAAACGTAGTACTGCAGTCGTCGGGGAGCCCGCGGACGCTGTTGTATTCATCGTCTTATCGGTCGAATAGCAACCAACTTGTATGCACTCGTTGAACCTTTGGGAGTTGATGTTCGTGTCAGACACGTTCGGCGCGCAAATTCCCGATTGGTCTGATACCAGATTAGATTGAGTCGGATCTTGAAAGGGTCCGACTCCGTCACGCGATCTCGATCGGCGCTGTCGCGATTCCTGCATGGTTTCTCGGGGCTCCTTCTCGATCATTAATGGGATATAAGTGGCTGAGGAGTGTGTCTACTTGATACATGTCCCCGCAGATAAAGAAGATACACGCGTGAAAGTGCAAGATGCGGTGACAGAACTCGGAAGGTCGCAAAGGTCTCGATGAACTTAGGCCCAGGTTGAGCGTGTAGCCAGCGCGTTTTGCGCTTTGTGAACTTGCTATACGTCATGCCGAGGATGGCAGGAACGCGCTTTCCTCACGCTTCCACGTTCAGCGTTCGCATACCGTTCTACAGTCGAACATTTGGATGAAAGTACTTTCAGCTCACAGTGTGGCGACCGTCGAGTCTGATTGAAACGTTGTTAACTTTACTGAAATGCTATTCAAGTTGGAACAGCTTAATTGGCTACGCTTACACCACGCAAACACTTGGCGCAATGGCTCCTTCTACAGCGCAAAGCAAAGCGCAGAGTAGAGTGCAGGATAGAATTGCTGCAGTCCACAGTGCGGCCAGGAGATCGAAACGTAATGCTCCGGTTCCTGATGACGACCGCGATGTGTACCGCAGCCTAATATCTGAGGCGTCCATTCCGGAAGTCGTCGAAAGGCCTCTCAAAAAACCTAGACTTGCAAGACAGCGACAGACTCAGCCCCCGACCACTGGTCCCTCTACGACATCCCATCAAAAATCCGGAAACGAAGAACGAGATGTACATGATAAAGATACTGAAGAGGAAGCATCATCAAAACCGCAGCAAACCATCATTGATTCTGATGAATCCGAAGATGATGACATGGACTGGGAGCAAGTCGGTTTGGATCACGTTGAACCCAAGCAGTCTGCTTCTCGAAAAGATGATGAATTTGGAGATATATCGCTGGAGATCAGCACCAAACAAGCCCAGAAGAGAGCGATAGCAAAGCGGAAGCCTGCTACTACTGCAGAGAAGTTACTTCGGCTTGAAGCGCACGAAGCCCATCTACTATTCCTCCTCTTTCATGTTTATGTTCGCAATGCTGGGTGTAATATGCCAGAAGTANAAGGTTTGGTCATCTATCTTCTGCTCCCTTCCATTTCCGACAAAGCTGATCATCCTCAGAACAAGCTAAAAACAATCCTCATGCCGGAGATTGTATCACTTTTACACCCTGATCAATCTCTCATTCAATTCGGACAATCAGAGCAATTCTTGACTGGACTGCAGAAAGCTGTCGTTGTATGGAAACACAAATTTAATGTTACAGCTTCTGGTATACGCCGACCAAACTGGGCCGAAGGACCAGAAGAAATCAAGGAGGTAATGGTCGATAAACCCCATGAAGATTTGCAGCTTGCTGATGTATGCTCTAGCNAAATACGAGCCATTCAAGAAGAGATGCCACCCATCGAGAAGCGTGACTTTGTCAAGGCAGCTATGACTCTTTCGGGCTCCCAAGATGTGGGCGCACAGCTTTTCTGTGCCCTGCTGAGATGTGTTGGTGTGGATGCTCGACTGGTCTGCTCATTACAACCTCTCCCTTTTGGTGCATCTGCGACCAAATCGGCAACACCGCTTAAAGCGACCAAACCGACTGTGTATGCAGGAAGCGACAAAGATAACACGAGCGCAGGAGAGACATCTGGAGGGTCTGCATCCGAAGGGTCGAGCTCATCGCGGCGCAGGATCATTGCTCCTGGCCGTATCCGAAGACTAGGAAACGCAGCTTTGAGTGCAGGGCCTTCCACACCTGGTACTAAACCTTCTGGTAAGAAGCCCCCAAGACCAGGAAAAGTTCTAGCACTAATGAAAANNACAGCCAGGAAGAAAAAGCGACCAGTTCGTACGCTTGACTATCCAGTATACTGGGTGGAAGCTTTCAACGAGGCCTACCAGAAGTGGGTGCCTGTGGATGCCGTAGTGACAGGCACGGTTGCGAAGCCGAGCAAATTAGAGCCACCTGCTTCTTACGAGGCAAACGCCATGACTTACGTGGTAGCTTTCGAAGACAACGGTATCGCAAGAGATGTCACTCGTCGCTATACCAAGGCCTACAACGCGAAGACCCGAAAACTGAGAGTCGAGATCACAGAAAGAGGAGAAGAGTGGTGGCGCAAAGCTCTCAAAGTCTTCCGAAGACCGACCTACCTCGACCGCGACCAAGTTGAAGATGCCGAACTTGCAAAGAAAGACGCCTCTGAAGGTTTGCCAAACAATGTGCAAGATTTCAAAGATCATCCGTATTATGCTCTGGAACGACACCTCAAGAGACACGAAGTGATCTGGCCGAAGAGGGCAAGCGGAAAAGTCACGGTAGGAAAAGGAGCCCTTGAACCTGTTTATCGACGTAGCGACGTGCACATTGTGCGCAGTGCCAACAAATGGTACAGATTTGGCCGCGAGATCAAGGTGTGCCAATCACCCTCTGCTGTTTGAACCCTAGCTAACAATGATCTTTAGCCGAACGAACACCCACTCAAGCATGTGCCTGCAAGAGTGTCAAAAAGCCGAGCTCAGGAGTTAGATGATGTTGACATAGACGAATCGCCAGCCACAGCCCTATACGCCTTCAACCAAACGTCATTGTACGTGCCGCCTCCTGTTGTGAATGGTAGGATACCGAAAAATGCTTTTGGTAATCTCGACATCTATGTTCCGTCTATGGTGCCTCCTGGAGGGTACCACGTCCGACATGCATCGGCTAAGAATGCAGCTCGACTTCTTGGTATCGACTATGCTGATGCTGTGACTGGCTTCCAATTCAAGGGGCGCCACGGCACAGCTGTCACATCTGGTGTCGTTGTCGCACAAGAATACCGCGAGGCTGTTGAAGCCGTGGTAGAGGGATTCCAGTACGAACAGGAAAACGAAGAGGCACGAATTTACAGCGTGGAATGCCTGAAGCTCTGGCGCCGCTTCCTGACTGGACTGCGTATCAAGGAGAGACTGAGCGAATATACCACTACTGGACCCAAAGCTGCCAAGCCAGAGATTGTCAAAGCAAAGATGGACAAGGCAGAGGAAGTGGAAGATGGTCCTACGGAGGCTGGTGGCTTCTTTCCTGACGCAGGCGAGATCACAGCGCCGACCGCTCATCGATTCCATGATGCTCCTGAATCTGACCACGAGTTCGATATTGCTGAGCAGGCACCTCGACTCAGGAGACAGAGAAAGACAATGGTCGAAAGCGACCCCGAGAGTGGCGATCAAAGCGAGGAGGAGTACATACCATCACCTCGAAAGCCACCTGTCAGACGTCGTCGCATGTTGAGCGAGAGTCCGCCCGCTTCAGAGAACGAGCACTATGACCCCCACCATGAAGAGGGAGGCGGCTTTGTGTCAGACGATGTCACGGAAAGTAAAAGACTTAATGGTGGCTTCCTGCCAGATGCAGACGAATCTGGAGGTGGGTTTCTACCTGGAGAAGATGATGTACCCACAGCTCACGAACCTGGTGGTGTCATCATGCCTCACACAACCGATTCCACAGTAATTGACGAGGCTGGGGGTGGTTTCATACCAGAAGATGAGTCTACACCCGAGTCTGGAGGCGGCTTTGTCCCCGTAGTCGAGGAAGAGATGTCTGGAGGCGAACTTTTGCCAGAGGCAGATGCATCACAGACTCAATTAGTCGTCCATCCTCCATCTATCGGGGTGCAGTTAGATGCAAAAAAAGCAAGACGGAGGTTTGGTAGTTGACAAGCAGGAGGAAGATACCTTTGACCCAGATGAGGCGGAAGATACCTTTGATCCTGATGAGATGGACACTGAGACCAAAACTCTGTCCCGAGAGGACTTGACAGGTGCGCATCAGCAAGCAGAGGAAGAAGACGACCACGGATCATTATTGTCACATGATCCTGAGGACGATGACGCAGAGCCTGACTGGCTGTATAGCGACTAGATGAATCTCACAAAGGGCCTCGAAATCCTTTCTTTGTTCATGATGTTGCTCTCGTTTGTGAACAGTGTTTCCAAGGTGATGGTGAGTATCTTGTAAGTCTCGCCATGCGTTCTTTCTATAAGCCGCTATTCATTCATCCCTCTCAATATCAAGAACCAAGACGAGATAAACTTCGAGTCAGCAAAACAGAACCCTACCCACCGGCGTGGGTAGGGAGACAAACCCCGCCGGTTGGCTGAGTTTGCTCTTTTGAAAGTCCAGGGTCCAGTGAGTCCAGGTCCAGTGAGTGCGAAAGTAGGTGCTGACGCTGGGCTTCGAAGCCAGCTGCCTCTCCCAGGGCTCGCGACCATGTTGAACGAAGCATCCCTTACGGTCCGCTAGCCGGATGACCACTGCACTAGAGTGCCGTGTGTCCGTCCCCCGGGAGAGGTACAAGAAAGGCAGCCTCGCTAGTATATAACAGCTGGACTATGCAGAAGTGAAGGATGGTCATGCTCAGGGGTATGTGAGGATTGGAACTCTTCTTCCTATTCTTCACTAACAAGTTGATCATACGTTCAGGTTCATCCTCGATGACTCGACGACTCGACGCACATACACCAGGCTCCGGTGCTCTCCAGTCTGTTTTGATCAGAACCATGCGGCTCTCTTGCATCGACCATCCTTGAGTGCACGCAAAAACTCATGGGGTAGATGGTACAATGCCCTCTTTTGCCCGTCGCTGTTATAGACCGCATGGGCTCGATATTCAGTGCCCTCTCTAGCTTTGGATGAATGACACACCAAGACGACTCGATCTCGACACGACAACAACCATTCACACACCCTTCAGCCGCACGACGACTAAGCGACGACTAAGCAATCACCAGCCGCAAGACGACTAGAAAAGCAATGGCAGACGTCTTCCTCTGCTTTCTTTCTCGTTGTCGAACCTGCTGCACTTCTCTCACACCCAAGCACACCTACTTGGAATACTTGATCATCTTCNCCTATCCATCTGACGGCAACTCCATCTGCATCATACCCATCCAACTCAAGATCTCAAACNGCACACCTTGCACCGTTCTCGACGTCGCTGTCTTCTCTAACAACTCAACCATCACCACCATCATCGAAATCAACATGACTGCCCCTGCCCGCGAGCAGTTCATGGTCGGTGTCAACAGCACTGGCCCCGATGGTAGACCTCTTCCTGCTGGCGCCGCTGCTGCAGCCAGAATGACCGCTGCTGAGAAGGAGGCCGCCAGAAAGGCCGACGACGAGACCTTCTCGATTGCCTCTGCTGCCATGAAGCAGGCTGAGCGCGAGGAGGAGCTCGACAAGAAGGAGCAGAAGAAGGGCGACCACAAGTCCCTTATCCGTCGTCTCTTCGGTTCCGCTGGCGACAAAGTCGTTGCCCTCTTCAAGCGCGAGCAGCACAAGATGAACTAAGCCGTGCGTCGCGTCCGATCCCTATACTTCTCTGTTCACGCGAGCTGACTGTTCTTTGCCAGGCCCGCCACCACTCCTCTCGCGACCGAACACCAGCCATGGGTGTTCTATCGGAATGCACGACCGTGTCGCGCGCGATAGCGTCGGCAGAGAGATGAAAGCAGGGTAGCCATCGAGAACCGGGTACCAGGATCGTCGCGAAGCAGACTCGGAAGGAGCAAACGAGAAAAGCGACTTCTCCGTTCAGCGCAATGCAAATTGAAAACTTTCGTGCCAAATTCTTTCTACGTGCTTTTTATGGTCTGACTTGCTTGTACACGTGAACAATGAACTTGCGCTCTGACACTGCCAATGCGACAACAAAGACACCAGTGATAGCACCGATTCTGCCAAGCTCGCCAACGATACCATATCTTGACAACAATCCAGCAGTTGCCTTGAAGATACTAGGCACTACTGCAGCGATAGCAATGCTCACAGCCGAAGGCAGGATCTTCATAACATCGAAAGCCTGTTTGTCACTCTGTCAGCAAAGCCACATCTCTCAAAACGGGAAGGAAGTATGCGAGTAATGTACCTGCCCCTTCTTCGCAAAGAACTCTTTGACAAACGACAGGTTGAACAGAATTCTACATGCCATATTGACACAATTCGCCCAGACCAATCCTTTGGCGCCCATCTCCAGCACTCTGAGGAAGAGATATGCTGAGCCAGCGAACGCGGCAAAGAACCCACCCATCCAGATTGATTGGGTGTACAATTGCTTGTTATCCGCCACGGCAGCGACAAAGGCTTCCGAGACACCGTTTAGAGCGAGAAGAGGGATGTAGTAGCAATAGCAGCCCAGAACCTCACCAGCACCTGTATTAGACCAGCGGCTTCCTGCTACAAGAGAGAGAAGAACGGGAGCTGCAGTAGGACCAGCAGCAAAGGCGACAAGTGAGATCAGGGAGTAGGCTTTAAGGATGAGGGTGAGGGTGTTGTTGGCTTGTTTGACACCATCTCCAGTTTCTTTTGCGTCGGTTTGCTTGGCAGTCGCTGGTGAGGAAGCGGGAGCGCATAGTTTGGCAAAGAGGTTGCGAGAGGCTTCTTCGATGGGTTGGAAGAGCATACGGGCGATGAGACCACCATAATTTGCGGACAAGGCATATGCTCCTTGGTCTTGTAGTGAGGCCAGAGATGCGATGAGTATAGAGTCTCCTTGAGTGAGCACATACTTGATACTCGACTGAACTGTCAAGCTCAATGAGAGATTGAGCAGAGGTTGCGAAAANAGAGAGAGCCAGAACTTTTCGGTTTTGCTATGCTAGCTGTTAGCTTCGTGATTGCCTTACACTTCAATGAGCTCCACAGACCTTTGTATACCACGAGGAAGTAAAGAGAAGCCCTCGGATCTCGCTACAAGAGCAAGTTTGGCAGAATACACCACCAGCAACGATGCAGCATAAGCCAGCTGTCCAACAGCAAAGGGCAATACACCTAGATCTCTACCCTGTCGACTCGCCCACAAAATCAAGCCAACAGTAGCGAACGTCTTCATGATTGTCGCAGCAGCTTCAGCAGAAGCACGAACTTTATACAGCATCTTTTGTTGAGCAGCCACAAAGCTAGGCTCAGCAAACAACTCGACCATGGCAGCAATGCCGTACACCTTCAATGACCGAAGCAAGAAAGGCACTTTTGGCACCTCGGTCTGCAGATATAGCTCTGCGAGTGCATAGCTCAGAGGCACTCCTGCAGCAATTGCTAGATAGGACATGTTGATTACAGCTTGCGTGCCATCTGCCCTTCTTTGCAAAGCCACTCGCAAGCTTTCGCGTGCAAAGTAGAGGACCGAAATGCAATACAACTCCAGCTGTACATTCACACCTAGTAATTCAGGTGACAGGAAGCGGAGCAGGATCTGGTTTAAAGCGAAGGTGAGGGCGCGAGAGCCGATCTGGAGGAGGATGAGAAAAGAAGCTCCCTTGGCCGAAGCAGAGACAGCACTGTCGCTTGTGTTTGGAGTTTCCGACATGATCTTTCCTCCAGAGGCTCCAAAGAGTCAGGCGTCCTTGAGACTCGAGTTGTTGGTCAGTCTTAATCTAGAAGGAGGCTCAAGTTTGGAGACGTTGCGGGAGCGCGATGTGGAGCACGACCAGGGTCGTACCGCGGACATTGATTAATATTGTGACTCAACCACGAAACAAGATCTCTCTTATCTTCCACCAACAACCGACTTGTATTGTAGGTCAAAGACACTTGTCGTCGAGCAGCGATTAAGATGGCAGAATCAACCCAAGAGCCTATCGTCACCGAGCGACTAATCCTCCGCCAAATTCGACCTTCGGATGCAGAGGATGTCTTCGCGTTCATGACTCAGTCGTCTTCAATGAGATACACGTAACACACCCCAGTCCCTTCTCTTTCAAGAGCTTGCTAACACTACCAAAAAGAANCCCGAGCACCTCTGACTGGAGTCCACCAAGCAGTCACCTACCTCTCCGAACGCACCGGTGGCCCCAACACCTATAACTTTGCTGTGTGTCTCAAGGACCCCACAAACACAGTCATTGGTCTTCTGGGGAGCCCTTCGTACCCAGAGATCGGGTATCGGTTCTCACCTGCTCATGCTGGAAAGGGATATGCCACTGAAGCTCTGCTTGCGTTCACTCCAGCACTATTTGCTGTGATGCCGGTAGACCAGACGTTTGCAGAAGCTCATGTGGATACCGAGAATGTGCCTAGTCTGAAACTGCTAGAGAGATGTGGGTGGCAGAGATGGGGAGGAGTGGAGGAGAGAGCTTATACGAGTCCACTTTTGGGACTCAGAGACAGTGTGTGCTATAGGATTGCTAGGGAAGGGCATAGGCTAGATGATCTGGTGAACAAGGAGGAAGAGGAGGCATTCGTGCCGGACCTGCAGTGATCTCAGGAGCGGGTCCATGAGCACGGATCTGGACTTGTACTATACTACTGAAACGCACAATATCGAAGCCCCTTTAGCTCAGTTGGTAGAGCGCGGCACTAGTATCGCTAGATCATGCCGAGGTCGCCGGTTCGACTCCGTCAGGGGGCATACGTTGCTTTTGTTCGTGGTTGTGATGTTGGAAAAGGAATTTTTGATGGTGGGTGTGTTTCGGTATTTTTGCGTGAAGCCTACACAAATCAGCACAACCCGTAGCCGGCACAAATCTGGGGCATTCATAACATAAAAATCTTGTGCATATACCATAATTGACTGCAAATGATCGACATATCACTCTGCTCCTCGTCAAAGAGGACATGGTCACTTTATAGTCTGTGCCTTATCAGTACCCTTATATGCTCGTGGCTCGACCCGTACAGTACCCTCTAGTTTTTAGATTCTGCATTCTTACCCACTCTACGAACCTTGTCCAGTTCTCTGTCGCAGTATCCAGACCAGGAGGAACCATAACACTTCTCTTACCTCTGTCTAACAACTCTGTAAGCGTTCTAGTTAAGACACCTGCACCTTTGTAGTTGTTCTCGGCGCGAACTTGCTTGTTTAGTCTGGATTCTTCTTGCATGTCCGTCTCAGCTTGGCCCCTCAGAGCTGACAGGCTATTAGAGGGTACTCCAAAGACCTCACATGCCAAATCCGTGGTGCTTTCGGGGTTGATGCTAAGGTCCAAGCAAAGATTCTGGGCTTGCTTTGTAAAATCTAGTATGCCGACAATGTTCGACCTGCCTTTCGAATATCTTGTCAAAATGATAACATTGTCGACACCTTCATTCAACAGCACGCTCGCTTGTGGGAATTGGTGAAAAGGGTATCAAAGTACAGCTAGATCTCGTATTCGTAGGTGCCTGAGACGTTGTGACCGTGCTAAGGTTTGACTTGCCCACATGTCTCGTTGTTGTCCGTACATATCGCATGGAAAATCTCCATCGGAAAGGCACTACACGTCCATCCTTCGGATTTACAGCGTTGGCATCTCGTGGCTATTCCTAGGGAAGTGATAACCATGCTGCTTTATTCGTCCTCCTCGTAGTCTATATCATATGTTATAGCCAAAGGTGTCGGCGGTATCCTGAAACGCTTTTGAGGTGATGTGGACCCTCTCCCTCATCGCCGCCCTATTCAGGATAACAGGGCTTTCCACGAAGAGTGGTTGCTTGATGCACTTGCACTGGATGATTCCGTTAGCTAGCTATCGAAGATGTACATTCATACCTTGGTAGGAACGTGTCGATCCTAACACACGAAAAGCCATAGAGAGAGCCACAGAAGGCTACACTTCCTTGTAAGACCGTGATTGGAGTAGGATGCAAAGCTCGAATCTGAGGCCTACGAGGAGAGTAGCTTGAAAATGGTGCCCTTCGACACGCTTTGTGATTCCTGTTATTTGGGTATCTGAACAACGCACTAGATGCTCTCTGCATTCTTCTCGTGCGACTATCCCTCGCTATCCTCTTCCTCTTACACTGGTATGGATATCTCTCAACCTCCCTTTCTGGGGGCACCAGGTGGAGGAGTGCCTCCTTGAGCAGCGCGCTGAGCGATTTTTCTCCTCTCACCCTCCAAGACCATTCTGATTCTGTTGAGGGATTCCTCCTTGCCCTTGGGAGCTTTGCAGTCATGCACATTGTACGGCGGACTGATAATCACCGAATCGTTGACGACAATCTCCTGTTCGTGCCAGCGAGTGGGGTACCTGTTTGTTACCGAGTTAGCTTGTGGGCGACGTGCAAAGGTATGGACGAGGTAGCAACGCACNAGTCTCTTCAAGGCATCGTAGATTTGCTGGGCCTCGCGGCTGACACCCTTGCCCTTGTTGGCTTCTTGATCGCGCAGCTGGCGGATCTTGGCCTCTTCACGGTCGCGCAACTTCTTAATGTCGACGGCGGCGATGGGAGGTTGGACGGTGCTGATGGTCTGTTTGGCGGCATTCGGGTCTAGCGAGACGATGTCGAATGACGAGATGTGCTTGATGGGGATGATGTGGTAGTCGCCGGGCTGGTTGGAAATGGTAGACGACGGGTTCGGAGGAGCGGGAGCGGTGTTGATGGCGACGACATTGAGCATAGGACATGCGGTAAAGAGGGTGCCTTGGAGGGTCTGCGAGTGAGGCGCAATTGTCGTGAGCTTGACACTGCGGTTGGTCGCATGATTAGTCTCTTGGTCGCGAATAGGGGCCCTTCATCATCTTGTAGCATACCGGGCGCCGATAGCAGCGACGAAGCTGTCAAGAGCTTCTGGCCCTTGTCCAGCGCTGGCCTTGCCTGGATTGCGCTTGACGTCGGCCATGGTATCGAAGAGTGGTGTGTAGTCGGCACCCCGCTGTTGGTCTGGATGGCCTGCCTCGTCACCAACGCTTCGGAGTTATGGACTGCACCGTCAAGAAGCAAGCTCAAAACTTGCGCATTCGACCAAGAAACGGACCAAAAGAGTGTCGAGTGAAGCGAAACATGGACTGGAAAGACGGCGTTGCCTTTGGCTTCCTGCTTGAGAGGAACATCATGAGACTGCCGCTCGACTTTCCACCCACATTCAACCATGACATGCCACAATCGCCAATCCTCTACCAACAACTACCATCATATCACACCACGAGTTGCTCGTTGATCGATTCCATAGGAAAATGTGTATCATTTTTAACTGTAAAAGAAATTGCTTGTTCATGACTATTGGGGTTATCTTTCGTTGCACTACGCATAGCAAGAGACCGGTGCCATTGTATCTGTGGCCCATCTGTATCTCTGCCGCCGCCATTCTTCTTCCATCGTCGTATCATATTTTCGCTTAAGCGTTGTAGGTAGAGGCCGAAACGTCACCACCACGGCCGGTCCAGTTGACGTGGATGTCCTTGCCGACGGGGTACTTGTCGTTGGCGAACTCGGGCTTGATCTTGAAGGTGTGGGCACCGAAGTAGTCACGCTGGGCCTGGAGGAGGTTGGCGGGGAGGTTCTCGGCACGGTAACCGTCGTAGAAGGACAGGGCGGTGCTGAAGCAGGGAGTGGGGATACCCCACTGGGCGCCCTTGGCGACAATGTTTCTCCAGCCCTCCTGTGCGTTGTGGATGGCCTTGTTGAAGAAGTCGTCGAAGAGAAGGTTCTCGAGGTCGGGGTTGTTGCGGTAGGCAGTGGTGATGTCCTTGAGGAAGACGGAGCGGATGATGCAGCCACCGCGCCACATGAGGGCGATCTCGGGCTTGTTGAGCTTCCAGCTGTACTCCTTGGCGGCCNNTGTGAAGATGTGTTAGCATTGTCTTGCAGAGACGGAAATGACAAGACGTTGACTTACGTTCTGCATGAGCATGAAGCCCTGGGCGTACGAGATGATCTTGGAGGCGTAAAGGGCCTGCTCAAGGTCGTCGATGAACTTCTGCTTGTCACCAGAGAAGCTGGGNGTGGGGCCCTGGAGGAGCTTGGAGGCGCGGCCACGCTCCTGCTTGAGGGAAGAAAGGCAGCGGGAGAAGACAGACTCGCCGATGAGGGTGACGGGCATGCCGAGGTCGAGAGCGTTGATGGCGGTCCACTTGCCGGTACCCTTCTGGCCTGCAGAGTCCATGATCTTCTCGAGAAGAGGCGAACCGTCCTCGTCGTTGTAGTAGAGAATGTCACGGGTGATCTCAATGAGGAAGGAGTCAAGGACACCCTTGTTCCACTGGGCGAAGATATCACCCATCTCCTTGTTGGAGAGACCAAGACCACGCTTCATGATGTCGTAGGCNCTGTCGAATGTTAGAAAATTGTCCATGTCAAATGGAGCTTGAAATCAACCACTGACCTCGCAAATGAGCTGCATGTCACCGTACTCAATACCGTTGTGAACCATCTTGACGTAGTGACCAGCACCCTCGTCACCAACCCACTGACAGCAGGCCTCGCCGTCAGACTTGGCAGAGATGCCCTGAAGGACATCCTTGATGTAAGGCCAGGCCTCAGAGTTACCACCGGGCATGATCGAGGGACCGTAACGGGCACCCTCCTCACCACCAGAAACACCGGTACCGACGAAGCGGATACCCTTGGAGGCGAGGTACTTGGTGCGGCGGTTGGTGTCGGGGTAGTGAGAGTTACCACCATCGATGATGATATCACCCTCCTCGATGCCACCCTCGTTCAGGAGGAGCTCAATGAAGTCGTCGACGGGCTTGCCGGCCATGACGAGCATCATCATACGGCGGGGCTTCTTGAGCTTGGAGCAGAACTCCTTGATGGAGTGAGCACCAACGATCGACTTGCCCTTGGCCTCGTTCTCAAGGAAGCGGTCAACCTTGGCGACAGTGCGGTTGAAAGCAACAACAGTGAAGCCGTGGTCGGCAGCGTTGAGGATCAGGTTCTGACCCATGACGGCCAGACCGATGAGACCGAAGTCTCCGCTGTGGAAAAGGCATGTCAGCTAAAGCTACAGCTATGATTGAAGAAGCCGCATTGTCGATGGGGCTCCGCCAGAGATGGCATTGGTGAGTGGCAACAACAGGATGATGTTGTGTATACCGCCAACGGAATGTAGCGGGAGAAATGTTTTGGTGGGATGGTGGGGCAGAGTGGGATGGAGGGTGAGTGTTGACTTACACAGCAGAATCAGAAGACATTGTGGTGGTGGTGATGGATTGTTTGAGTTGGGAAGAGAGGCTAAGAAGTCTCCGGGCGGCTTGAGGCTTTTAAAGAAGACGTGTGTCAGTGGAGATTGTGTGAGGGAGAGAGATGATGCGGCCGGAGGTGTTGAAAAAGCAGCCCAACACCTTTCGGAGTTACTAACGCGGAGGGGCCAAGGTGGCATTGACCCTAAAGTGTGCTAAACATTACATGCTCTGTCAGCGTCTCTCGATGCCGCAGCAGCCCCGAACGACGTTTGCACCTACTGTTTGGTGTTTCGGGGTGAGGCCTGGGAATGGATGCAGATGTGCAGGAACTCGCGAGTCGTGTCAATCTCTCGATACCGATGGTGGTTTTTTCCTGGCAGAGTTGCTGCCTGTCTCGGCGCGCTCTTGCTCGTTGCCATGTCCCCCTCCTTCTCACAACCGACGAAGCCGACGCCAATTTGGATGAGTACCTTCCCCGATGGAACGCCGATGACGGCTGTTTACCGATCGCTTTGCTCAACCTGCCCACAGGACTGCGCTAGACGTCACTGCCTTGCGTCTGTGCTTCACCGTCTCGTCGCAGAGAGCTGTAAGCTCAAACAACACTGTCTGTGAGAGAGAAGTCGTTGGCAAACGCCGACGGGTCAAGAATCCCATCAAACATCCAGTGCTTCCGTTCAGCCTCTTTGCTCGTTCCCTTCCATATCTAAGCTAAGCTAGGCACTTCACGCGGCTAATTATCGACGGACTATTTCGATATCGTGTTTCGGCTTCTATCAGCTTCTTCGCGCTTTTCGCGTTTCAATCTAGCCGACCGGGACCCCGGACTTGTTTTCTGTTCTCCTTGCTACCTACCTTCACTCCTTCCCTTTCCGGACAGCTCGGAACTCTTGTCAAGACTCGTACTTTATCGATCACCGAGACATACAGCTATTGTCGCTTGTGTTGAACAACTTTGCGCGCAACGACTTGATCGAGAGCATAGATCGGAACAAGTTAGTGAACTGTTTGTGAGGCAAGGAAAAATCTTTCAACGTAGGCATACCCTTGAGTCCTTGACCGTCATGTCGCACCCAACTCAAGGACCTTCCACCAGCCAGTCCAACTCAGCCCGTTCTACACCACAGCCCCCAGCAAACCTTCCAGCGAGACCTCCTCCGTCCGCGGTCTCCCAACCTGCGCGCAATGTCGCTGCCTTTAGCGGTTTCAAGCCACGCAATGTCGCCGCTGCACCTGCTGCTCCAGCCCCGTACGCTGCAACAAACATGAGCTATCCCGCTCAGTACTCGGCCGCTCCAGCCTCACAGTCTTACTACCCTACGACGTATTCTTCAGCACCGGCCGCCAGTCAACCATACTACGCCGGCGCTTCCTATCCAGGCGCTGCTGCCTATCCCGCCCAAGCCCAATACACCGACACACCTCCTCAGATCAAGAACCCCTTCGCACCGCCTCCAGCAGCAGGTCAAGGTTCTCTTTACGGTAACGGCAGCTACGATCCCGAGCTGGAAGCACAGATTCAACAATGGCAGAGCGCATACACGAACAAAGATGATCCATCAAAAACTGCAAACAAGGGCGCGGCTGTAGGCAACGCGAACAACATCCCGCTTGGCGCCAACAGGGCTCAACCTTCTACATCCACTGTCTCTGCTGGACCTGTGGCGCCTGTCGATGCATCGGGCAAGCAAAAGACCGTCCTCCGTGAAGGTGGTGGTCAGAAGTGGGAAGATCCTACGCTTCTTGAATGGGGTGATCACCCACGTCTGTTTGTTGGTAATCTTGCGGGTGAGGTGACTGACGAATCTCTGCTCAAAGCTTTTGCCAAATACCCGTCAGTCCAAANNAAAGCTCGTGTCATTCGCGACAAGCGTACCACCAAGAGCAAGGGCTTCGGTTTCGTCAGTTTGGCCAACACAGATGAGTTCTTCCAAGCCGCAAAAGAGATGCAGGGGAAATACATTGGCAGTCACCCAGTCTTAATCAAGCGTGCCGAAACCGAAATCAAGACAGTTGTCAAGAAGGACAACAACAACAGATACAACAAGAACAACAAGAACAAGAATAACAAAGACAAGGTCAAGGAAGACAAGGGTCCACTCGGAGCCAACACCGGCGCCGGAATTCAGAAAAAGCAGACCAAAACCACTGGTGGTGGTCAGTTCAAGGTTAGTAACAAACCCCACTACCCCTCTAGAATCGTTGCTAACCTCTACTTGCAGTTGCTTGGATAAATCTGCTGGACTGCCATGCTCCTATCTTGTTGTACAGAGGATATTATATTAGCGAAGGCGTTTGGGATTTGCAGGACTGCTTTTACCGGCGAGTGAAACCTTTCCGAAAAAAATGCATAGATAGACAACAAAGACCGTCTGACTCTTGCAGCACAATTCCTTCTGTGATATCACTCTACTGACCTGAGAACACTTCTGGTCATGATCGCGCTCCGCCTGTAATTCACCACTTGGTGATGCCGTACAGAACTGTCGTCGTCGTCGTTGTAGACATCGCTGTGAACTGTCTTTCGACCGTGAAGAGCTTCTAGAGCCACAGGGTAACAGTCCCTCAAAAGAACCCTTGTGTAACTCTAACAATCTCGCGGCTCATGTCAAACTACCGTCAGGTGTTTAGCCGCGCAGTGGAATCTATTTCATCCGCCGCTTTGTCTGCGCTGAGCTCGGTTCGTGTGCTGCGGATAAGACAAAGAATGGAAGCAAGCATTGCCAGCCAATATTCAACACAACACAAGCGCTGCCGAATCTTTCCTCTCGCATGCACTGCCATACCAGTGGATATAGCCACAAAACCGTGTTTCGCCGTCAAGTCATGAGCACGTACATTGTTTTGTTGGGACGTGTTTTGATTGTTTCCAACATCGGCTCCCCCACCTCGCGAGTCGCCGCAAAGCAACGTGCCGAGCCTGACAGCTCCGTCGCTCTTATCTCGGGCTTCTGAGCCGTAGGCATTCTTCCTCACTACATATACTCTCATATGCCGATGCTCGTCGCCGAATTGTTCAGCTGTATAATCGTTGTTAGAGACGTTCTGAACCGCTTGGTGACTCTATTCACCTCTATCTGAGTCCTTGAACAGACCCATAGAGCAACGAACGTAAACTGTGTGCTCAGAGCGATCTCGACTACCGATAGAGGAGGTCCAGAAGTATGCTCGAGGTCAAGATATCGGTCACTTCTCACCATCCACCCACTCAGTTCTCTTGCCCGAAAGTTGTTCAGAGTTGAAGGCAGAGGTGATCAGAAGTGACTTATGTAGGGTATGAAGGTATCTTCTGATTGCGGTATCAAACTGAAGTCTCTCCAAGCAACCAAGGTAGTAGAGAGGAGACTTATATCTGTTGACATCGTCAAGTTACGTGGCTGACAAGGCCAGCAGTTCACAAGTAGCTGTCGTTCTCGCAAGCAGGTACACAACATGCCGGAGACGTCACCCACCAAGAGATGCTTACGACTCGTTGTTGAACATGGCCATTGTACGACTAATATTAGGTCGCGCCAATGCGAACGTGGCTAACCAACTCGAAGGATTTACCAAAGCGGCTGTGCCTTAAAACCGCAGCCAGCTCTATTTTGCAGCCGATTTGCAAACCAACACCCAAGTGCAGTAAATAGCACCACATACTAACGTCGCTCGCAGCCATGTTGTACTCATCTGCACGTCTGCAAGACGCTGATAATCTCTCCATGCAAAAGATGGTCAAGTCCATAGCTTCTTTCTTTGCCTCTCTCTTTGTTTTGCAGTCGCAGTCGCCCATGTTCATCTCTTCCCTTTTATGTACGCCATCATGTGGCTTAGAAATGTTCTTTGGTTCTTCGTGTGGATTCAAATCCATCATGTAGAGGCCTTCGAAGGAATTTACAGTAAGGCTTTCGTCGAACAAAGGTTGTTACTCAATGCTTATAGCCCTTTCAGCCTGGCGGAATTTCACTTTCTCCCCTAGATCTTTTCGAACAACCAAACCACCACATTTACCACGAGTATATCGACCTCGACATTACTGAGTACGATTTCAGATATTTCGAACAAACCAATATCTGCAACGTCCACCATAAGCTCATTCACAACCGTCGTTGATTATACGACAATATCTGCAGGCTCATCGTTGTCTACATCCAACAATAACAACTTTTCAACCGCAAATCTGAACAACGCGACCTCTTCGACGACATCGAGCTTGTCTCTGTCGTCTGTCTTTGCGCCAACAACCGGTTCCTTGAGTACCACGACTTCAGTACCTACTACCATGTCTACACTGAGATCTACCAGTACTAGCGTGACTGACTTGTCGATCTCGACGTCGTCTTCTTTGTCGTCTACAAAGTCACCTTCTGTATCGCCCATCTCGAGCACAACTACTGCAATACTTCTGCTATCTTCTGCTACTATTGCTGCCAGCCAAGCCATCAATCCAGGAGTTGTTGCTAATGCTTCGAGCACTGGACTACAAGTCGTTGAAGCAGCACCTTCGAGCAGCGTCTCGGTATCAGCTTCGGCAATCTCTGCTCCTAAATCAGCTCAGTCGGCTTCCACATCCTCCACAGAAATCAAAGCAGTTTCATCAGCATCAGGGACCACGCCGCTGTCTAGTTCAAGTAGTGCTTCAAAGACGACTTCTGAGAGCACGTCCTCTGCGACCAGCAATGCAGCCTCGAGCACCTCAAGCGCAAGCGAACCTCCAGCACCCTCGACTTCGTCCAGTTCTGCTATATCCACGGCTATATCTAGTAGTATAAGTAGCTCAACTACCACCACTAGCTCAAGCAGTATTACTTCGATTCTGACTGCGTCCGTATCTCCTACTATCCTTGAGTCAACGTCCAGTACCGCAATACCAAGTTCGATCCTCATTCTTCCCACAACCAGTCCTTCTCCGTCTTCAACCTCAACATCATCTTCATCGAGTTCGACAATCAATACCGCAACAGCTACTTCTGAGTCCAATTCTGCGAACCCTAGCATCGCCCCTGTGAAGCCAACTCCGCATCAGCTATCATCCCAGGAGATTGCAGGAATATCCTTCGGCGCCGTTGCAGCTGCTGCTATCCTATCGCTCATACTATTCGCACTCTATCGTCGACGTCGTGCTCGTCAGGCAGCCGCTGTTGCTGTTGTCAAAGACAAACACGGCTCTTTCCCCGAAAGCGCATGGCTCTACGATCCTCGAATGACACCTGCTCGCGCACGGTCTGCAGCATCTGCCGCTTCTCCCCATCACGGTTGCAGTCCAGTCAGCAGCATGCACTCCAGTGTATCCAGCAGTGCCAGCAGAAGAGACGCAGCTCTCCTCTCTACCATCGCAGTCCCCGCCGTGCTGCCAAAACGCCAACTCAGCAACCCCATCGGACCCGCTTTAATCTCCAACCCACCTTCTGCTGCAAGCCGCCATCGCCTCTCCTCTTCACTACCCGACATCAAACCTCTGCCGCCTACACCCTCTGCCGCTGTAAATGCCTCCACCATCCCCAGTCCTATCGCAGAAGTCCCTAGTCCTGTGTCAGACATCACTCCTGCACCCAAGGAAACCAAACGTGAGAGTTTGCCTGCAATCTTGAAGATTGGTGGGGGAATAAAGAGACCACTTACTGCTGCGCCAGTGATGGAGAGGATTAAGCCAGGGCCGAACAAGCCCTTGCCTCCTAGACCTGTCATTGATGACAAGAACAGACCGTTTAGTTTTGAAGCTGGGGATGATGGTGCTAAGAAATTTGGGATTGCAAAGTAGATATAAGTTGAAGCTGGTGTAGAAGGAAGGGACGCTCAAGCGTCTGGTTGAGTTGAGCGTGATATCCCTGTTTTGTGCCTTGTTTGTGTAGTTGTTAGTTCATCTGTTTGTCAATATTACGGATCTATTCAGAGTTGACCAACAGGCAACATCGTATTCACGCTGTGGTCTACCGGTTACAACGATATGTAGTGAAATTGATGACCAACACCCAGGGACTGATTTCTTGAAAGCCAAACAGGAAGGTACAGTTGAGAAGATAATACACTGTTTCATTAAGTCTTAATTTTTGCTGTCGGTGCCGTATTCCGCATTCCACACTACTCCGGAGCCTGACCCTTGGTGGCAGTCTCCTGAGGATCCTCACCAGTAGCAACCTCCTTGATCGCGTCTGTGATGATCTTGATACCCGCAGCCATGTCCTCCTTGGTAATGTTCAACGGAGGGATGAAGCGAAGGGTGTCGTAAATCGATGTTGTCAAGACGAGCATATCCTTCTCCATGCACTTGGCCTGGATCTTGGACGCGTAGCCCTTGCCAGGCGTGCACTCGAGAGCCAACATGAGACCGAGACCGCGGACGTCGTAGATGAGCTTGCCGGTCTTGGAGTCCTTCCACGCTGCTTGAAGAGCGCTTTTCAGCTCTGCTCCACGAGCATTGACGTTGTCTAGGATCTTCTCTTCCTTGAAGGCCTTGGCGACTGCGACACCTGCAGCACATGATACTGCGTTACCAGCATATGTTCCGCCCATACTTCCAGGGTTTTGCTTGTCCATCAGCTCCTTGCGCGAGACAATTCCTGATAGAGGGAAACCGTTGGCAATACCCTTGGCCATGATGAGAATATCGGGTCTAATGTCCCAATGCTCAACAGCGAACATCTTTCCAGTTCTGCCGAAGCCGCACTGAACCTCGTCGCAGACCAGGNNGAGGATGTTGTGCTTGTCGCAGATCTTGCGGAGGGCCGCAAGGTAACCAGCAGGTGGAGGAACGTAACCACCCTCGCCGAGAACAGGCTCGACGAAGATAGCTGCCGTGTCTGAGGGTGCAGTCTCACGCTTCAAGAGCAGCTCGAGCTGCAAAACGGGGTCCATGCAGCAGTTTTCGAAACCGAACTTGCCATCAGTGCTGTGAGAAATCGAGCATTGTTTGCAGTAAGGGAATGGTACTGAGAAGACTCCAGGCATCAGAGGTGCGTAGTTCTCGCCGTAGATAGTTTTTGATCGTGTCATGGCCATGGTTCCGAATGTGCGTCCGTGGTAAGAGCCTTGCATGACGATAATGTTCTGCTTCTTGGTTGCGTGTCTAGCCAATTTCACTGCTGCCTCGACAGCCTCTGATCCCGAGTTCCAGAAGAAGAAGGTGTCGAGCGATTTGTGTGGCATCATTGGTAGAAGCGATTCGACGAGCTCCAGATAAGGCTTCTGGAAAGCGATGTTCACCTGACCGTGGACGAGTGTGCCGACTTGCTCCTGTGCCGCCTTTGTCACGGCAGGATGGCAATGACCCAGATTGGTGACACCAATACCGCTGGTGAAGTCGAGCATCTTGCGACCCTCAGTGGTAGTCACGTAGCTGCCCGCGCCGCTCTCGAGGACATGGTTCGAGAGACGACCGATTCCACGAGCCACATGCTTCACACCAAACTCTGCCAACTTGCTGACGCTCATGATGGATGTGATTGATCTGTTGATGATGGGTGGAACAGGAGAGCGAGACAAAAAGGCCAGAAGGGACTCTAGCAGACCACGGGGCCGACACGTTTATGTAGAAAAAGAAGCAGGAGGAGCTAAACACCGCGGATCGTCATTGACGAATCATCAGAGCTCCGGCTGGTCAGCGCAACGCCCAAATCTGGCTAATTTGCACGAGATACACGCGGTTTCGGTAGGCACGGCAGGTCTACACCGAGGCCTCGTACCTTTCTTGCCAACTGCAAACAAGCCTATGTCTCTCACTGCATCTCACCGCCGGCTCTATGTCGTATCTTCTTTCGTAATGCCATCTCTTGTTCCTGCCCTCTCCGCATTCCCATCGCTCTGATTACCCCGGTGAATGACCAATGATCGCGTTCTGATTACCCCACTTGTGATATAGAAGCTTGGACCCTCGAGCTAAAAGGGCAGGTTCAAGCGCATTATGAATAATCCTATAAAATGCATAGTGGTTCCTCTCATCACAAAGAGAGTACGTTTCGTGCAGAGTCTCTTTGAAAGCGATGTCGTGGTTCAATCATGCTTTGCATTGCTACCGCTCGAGACACAGTTGTCAATGGACGTGAGGGTCTGACCAGGGGTCCTCGACGAGTACCAGGTATGGGTCGGTCGCGTCTTCTACGAACATCTCCTTTCAACGCACATTTACAGATACTGCTATAACAATACACAGAACATCAGTGGTCAATCAAGCCGTCCACTGAAACTGCTGGTTCTCTTTCCTCTCTATGGGCAGAAAAAACTTTTTGAAAGCACTATGCATTGTGATAAGGTCAATTCATGAGAGTAGACTCCTGATAGAAATCACGAAAGCAATGTTGTGTGTGGCAGAATCAATGGCTTGTGTTCATCTGTTGATGTTTCAAGAATCAATGGCTTGTGTTCATCTGTTGATGTTTCAAGAATCTAGTTCTACATCTCTGCAATTGCTCAATTGCTCCCGACGCCCCTGAAGAGTGTTCTGTGACCTGATTTGACTAGTGGTATGAACCTTGGCGCTGTTGCTGTTAGTTGTGTCTGGATTGATGGTGATCATAATGGGCTCTTACGTCGACTGCGTCCTCGTCGAGAGTATCCGAGTGACCGCGAGTGGCAACAAAGACCCTGTGACCGTTCTGAAGTGCAGCCTATAATTTGACATTGAGCAACAAGAACATGCATCATGGATGAACTCGACTCACCGAAGCGCAGGTAGCCTCACGTGTCAGATGAGTTCTGGTATCTTGGCTCCAGTAGACCATGTTGTGCTGATAGGGTTTGCGGTCGAAGATGCGTTCGTTGGGCTCGAAGACGACGAGCTCTAGACGCCAGATTCTACCGCTGGGATAGTTCGAGGGNGTGAACCAACGGATGGTGACAGGGCTAGCGGGATCATCGGTAGGAGGTGCAGCGGGCTCGGCGGACTTGCGTTCTGCTTCAAGGTATTCCTGTGGAGTGGGCCACTGTGAGAGACCCATGATGGAGGTGGTGGTGCTATACCGGTGTGCTGACTGGACAGAGACGAAGAGCTGGAAACCAGCCATGACATAGCTACACTCTGCTTAGTTGTCGAGAAGTGGTCGTTTGCTCCGGAATCTTCTCATCGTTACTTGTCACAACATCATCGTAGCCTAAGATGATATCTTTTTGTCGGCTTCTCAATGTCATTCGCTAAGGTGGCTTTGACGATAGCTACCGAGTATGGTCAAAGAAGATTGTGCATTCTAAGCAGACTTCGTCTGCGGTTTGCTGCTTCGACATTACTATGACTACCGGAAGCTTCTAGCTGTAAGTCACCAGGATGTTCATGTCATAGCTTACGACCAAGGGAGTCTGTTTGCTTGCTAAGATAGTCTTGCACAGAGCCGTGACTTTAACAGTCTTCTCGATAGAATGAGATGCCTTAATTATGGATCTTTAGCAAGTTTGACGGGTTCAATCTTCCGGAACAGCCGCCCAGTCCTTTCCGCAGAAAATTGTGCCCAGGACAGAACTTCAACCTATTGCGGTCAAAGAGAGGAACTCATCGAAATTCAGAAAAGCGTTGGCCTTTGCGCTGAGGTGTCCAGCCATCGCATGATAGATTCGACGAGCACAGTCTTCACGAATCGATACGCCTGCAAAAGTTCGCCCAAGTCAAAGAATAGAGATGTCGACGGGAAGAGGAAAGAACATCTCCTCCGCTCAGCTCAAGTCGCCAGCCACAACACCACCCCTCAGCTTGGGCTCTTGGCATGCAGCTTCGTGAGAACCTTCGCTCTCTGTTTTCTCCTACCAAAATCACCACAAGACGACGATCATTCAAGCTTCATCGTGTCCCCCGCCGGGTTGAGTCCTGCATCATGTAGATGGCGGAAAAATCATTTCGGTGGTCGGTTCATCAGTATCCGATAATCTATTGCAGCACGCCATGTGCTTGCGTGATGACAGCGATGCTGTCGACATTGTCTTGTGCACATGGTTATAAATTGCCTGGTAGGTTCTGCATTTCTCGATTGGTGCCACCTCAATTCCTCGAACTATGCCCATCCTGAAGTTATCTCTGTTTACGTTGCTTGGCCTTTCTGGTCAAGCAGTATCCCAACTGTACAGCAATTCGAGCAGTTCTGAAGATGGGACCGTAAATATCCAGTGGTTAGACCAGAAACCTGCTTACAATCCTGGTACGACTTTTGGAGTGCCATGGCCTCGAGGAAAATATAAGGCCAACGACACGATCTTTGCGGTATCGTCTGAGAGTGGCCCTCCTGTCGCATCCGAATCTTGGATTACAGGATACTGGTCCGACTCTTCTGTCAAATGGACGGCCCATGCCATCGCAGCTGGTGTACCAGAGGATGGCTACACTGTCACTGCACTATCGAAGGACTCGACGCGCAGCACTTCTGAAAATACCACTTTGACAGTGCATGATGGCCCGGACATTATCGAGATCAATACTGGCAAGATCGCTGTCTCCTTCACAAAGACTGGCAACGTTCTCGTGAAGGACATAAAGACGTCGAATGGTCAGGTTGTTGGGCAAGATGGCAAACTCATTCTTCGTTCACAATCATCTGTTTTCGACGACGAAGACAAACAAGGTCAACTCGCCCCCGAATATTTCAACTTCGAGAGCAAGATAGACAACGTCACCGTCTCCAAAGACAACACCGCCCGTGCTCTAGTCACTGTTCGCGGTGATCATCGACAGGTCCAGGTTGGAAACTCGTCGTCTTCTACCCACAAAGATTGGCTTCCCTTTGTTGTTCGTTTCTATCTCTATTCCAATTCGGAATCAATCAGGATCGTACACTCCCTGATATACGATGGGGTTCCCAAAACCGATTTTGTACGCGGTATTGGTCTCCGCTTTGATGTTCCTCTCGAGGACGAATTCTACGATCGTCACATTCGTATTGCTGGTGTGAATGGCGGGATACTAAATGAAGCCGTTCAAGGCATCACAGGACTCAGAAGAGATCCCGGACAAGCGGTACGGACTGCGCAGTATCAAGGCAAGAAGACTCCTGCTCTCGATACTTGGGACACGAGAGTCTCTTCTCGGCTAAAGTGGATCCCTACATGGAACGACTATAGCTTGACTCAGCTATCTTCTGATGGCTTCACTCTGAAGAAGAGGACAAAAGCCGGTCAGTCTTGGATCAACATTCCTGGCAGCACACAAGCTGGAGGACTTGCATACCTTGGAGGAGCTACAAAAGGTGGTCTTGCTGTCGGGCTCAGAAACTTCTGGAAGCAATATCCTTCCCAACTGGATGTTTCGAATGCTGCTACAGATGTCGGTTCGATCACTGTTTGGCTGTACAGTCCTGCTGCCCAGCCACTGGATACCAGGCCCTACCATGATGGCCTAGGCGAAGCCGACTATGCAGATCAACTTGACGCTCTTGAGATAACTTACGAGGATTGGGAAGGAGGTTACGACTCGCCTTATGGTGTCGCAAAGACAAGCGAACTCTTCCTCTTCGGCTTCGAAAACACTCCTGAGTCTGATTCTCTTGCAACTTTGACCGAGTATATCAACTCTCCACCTGTTCTCGTTGCCGATCGCGACCACATTGCTCACTCAGAAGCTCTCGGAACTTACTGGCAGCGTCCCNAAAACAGCAGTGCATCTGCCCGACCCATCGAGGATCATCTTGACTTCCTTACCGAGTTTTATCAAGGCCAAGTGTCTCAGCGTAAGTGGTATGGCTTCTGGGACCATGGCGATGTAATGCATACATACGATGTCGATCGCCACGAGTGGAGATACGATGTCGGAGGTTATGCTTGGGACAACTCGGAACTGTCCCCTAACCTCTTCTTCTGGAACCAATTCCTTCGGACTGGACAAGCCGATCTATATCGCTTTGCTGAGGCCCATACTAGGCACACTGGGGAGACCGATGTCTACCACCTTGGTCCTTGGAAGGGTCTGGGAACAAGACATGGCATAAACCACTGGTCAGACTCATCTAAGCAGATCCGCATCTCGCAGCCACAGTATCGTAAGGTGTTCTACTATCTGACTGGCGGTGACGAAAGAACAGGCGACCTTCTCACGGAAATCTTAGATGCCGAAAAAGCCTTCCTGGTCGTTGATCCAAGGAGAAAAGTACGAGCTGCAAATATCACCTATGTCGCTGACCCCAAGGCTCTTCTCATCGATGTTGGTCTAGATTGGTCAGGGCAAGCAGCAGCCTGGCTTATCGAGTGGGAGCGCCGTGGACCTCGCTGGCAAGAGGCGAAATCCAAACTTCTCGAGACCATGAGAGGCATTGCAGACTTGAAGAATGGCTTCGTAACTGGTGAAGCGCTCTACAACCTCTACAATGGCACCATCAGTCCTCCGTCCCAAGATCCTGACAACAAAGGCGTGGTCGCGGTATCGCATCTGACCGCAGTATTTGGCCTCGTGGAAGTCATCGCAGAACTGACAACACACCTCGGCGATGCCTTCNCTGCGGACTTTGAAAAGGCTTGGTTGGACTACTGCTACTACTTCGGCGCCACACAAGCAGAACAGAAAGCCAGATACGGTGAAGCCTTTGGCAAATTGAACCTTTACCAAGGACATTCGCGCTTGACAGCCTATGCTGCGAATACACTGCACAATGCGACATTGGCTGCTCGCGCTTGGAACGAATTCTACAACACCGACGGATTCAAGGCAGATGCACCGTGGAAGACTGAACGTGTTGAGGGGAGTAAAGTACTTTTCCCTGTCGATGAAGCAGCTTGGGTGAGCACGAATGATGTGGGCCAGTATGGTTTGGCGGCAATTGAGAATCTGGCGTTGATTGGCGGGTATCTGCCGTAGACTCGTGGGCAGGTCCTGATTAGTTACATTGTTAGCCCTCAACCCTGATCTTTCCTATCCATAACCACGTTTCTGTCATAAAGACCTTGTTGCCACAATCGACTTGTATGATCTGTCGACACCTGCTTCCAGAGCCCTGAGTCTCACCGCTCAGTATCCGTGAAGTCAAAGGTACCCGATACCAAGGTAAGAAAGCGAGAAACACTGTTGAGCCTCGCTGGACTACTGAAGTGGGCATAAAACCCGTCTTTGAATTCCAGCATGGGTTGCTTAGTAAGGAAGAATGCCTCGAGTCGATGTCGGTTGGTTGGATTATTGTCGGCCCTGAGGACGATTCGCAGGTCAACCACCAACATTCCTAAGAAAGGCATATCGACCTTCTGATACGGATTTGATCCGATTGTCGCATTGCGATATGTGCTTAAGCACAGCTGGCAGTCAAATATGCTGGAGACCGGACATCGGAGAATGATGAAGCTGGAACATCTGCTTCGACATCCAAAGCAGATGAGAGTGCGAGCATGGTTGATATGATCACTCACCGCTTCTGTTGATTATGGCTGCTTGGGCATACAGGTGAACTCCTGCTTCTCTCATGCTGTTCGATGCTCCCCTCCATGAGTTTTGCGACTCGTCCTTTTCCTGACCGACTGCTTCGTGTGTGCCCGACGGGTCGACAATACCCTTTCTGGTGGATTGGGGTTGCAGGTATTTGCCATTTTCTTTTGCCTTTGTACCCAGCGTTTGTAGCTTTCTCTTGTGATAATTCTTCTTTGTTCAAGCCAGTTTGGATCATCCTTTTTCTTCTGCACATAAAGCTCATAGTACTCTCTTTTGCGCTTCTTCCGAGCTTCATCGAGATCTTGCGATGGTTGCGGTGTGAAAGCGTCGTCCTGTGGACTACCATGAGCAAGAAAAGTGGTGCGGCCGGACGAGAAGGCAAGTACTAAGAGAACTTTTGTCGGAATGCATGCCGTAGGGTTTCGGCGATTCGGAGTAGCATTGTGGGCATGGGAAAGCCGTGGACGTACCGTTGAGGGTGTAGACAGAGACGGACGAACCGCGCAAGGGAAGCGCCATGCATGTGAATGCCAAGGAAACACTTTCGACGCTCGAGTTTCGCGTGCCAACTCTCTTCATAATTTCCTTTGCAATTTTCACAAAAAGACAGATGCTATGCATCGTCCTACCGCGCACCCTTCGCCCTCGCCTTCTCAAACTTTGCTTCGAACATTCATCTGCTGTGTGTTCCGACCGTCGCATCTGGTCTTTCATCCGCAGAAGAATCAATCGATAATCGTGACGGACTATCTTTGGCACAGTGCTCTCATCAAATGCGGACCACAGTCCCAGTAAAGAGTCAACACGTTGATCAATGCGCATGTCTATATGAATTGTACAGAAAGGGGTCCAAATCTATAACACCGTATGTATAATGCATACAATGCTTGGCTCACGCGTCTCATATTGCATATGATCGATCTGCAGTCGCACCAATATCAGATCTTGCAATACAGAGTGATCGAGGGCGGCCGAACACGAAAAGCCAGGGGAAAGAGTTGGATCTTCCATCCAACAAAGAGGGCCAGACACGCATACCCCATCGCGTCATGTTGTCAGAAGTTGGACACACATATCACCATATCACCATATGCTGTGCCGCCTCCAAGCGACTTTCCTAAAGCGGTGTTTGCTTGCGGGCAAGAGGCCCGTGTCCGACCCGTTTTATGTTTGTGCGGAGTCTACCCCGAATCTAGTTGGAGAGCGTATGGAGTACGTTGCCGCATGCCTGCCCCCTTTTGCCGTATTCCAGTCCCTGTCAATCTTGTTTTGAGGTTGTCAGGGAATGGAGATTTGCGTATCTCCTTTGGAGCAGCCCCGTGTCGGTCGTGTTTCTTTCATTGCTTTTTCCAATCAGCTTGCAACGACCGTGTTTCGTATAGCTAATCCTGGAGCCTGGAGGGCCCACGGGCTGCACGTCGGGTGGCCGCTCCAAGACAGAAACGCCGTCGTAGGTCACCGTGCATCTTCAGGGCAGCGCGTCGGTTGGCGCATTCGCAAACAGACGCGCGTGTCATATGGTGGAAGTTGCACATTTGAGCCCAGGCCCTTGGCGCGAGACCCTCAGGACCCTCAAGGACCCTGTGGATGGGTTTCGCGTTCTTTGGAAGATCCTCCAGGAGTGAGCGAGCTAGTTTGTCGAAATTGGGGCGCAGTGTTGTTCGACGCAGTGCGCCAGTCTCCCTAGGCGATGTCGTGCCTGGCGGGCGGGATGTCACTCTGGGATTCTTTCCATAAGTGATGGGGGCCGTCCGTAGGCCGTACCTTCTTTGTCCTTTCCCTTTGAGTTTGTTTTCTGCTTGTTCACAGCACATTCATTCATTTGCATCAACATGTCGAGACGCGATCAGATTCTATCAGCGGCGGCCATCGAACAGTCAATTGATGAAGGCCACATCATTGTCGTCCACGAAGGATACGCCCTCAAGCTGGACGGATGGCTCAACAAACACCCTGGTGGCCGACTTGCCATTCTTCACATGGTCGGCAGAGATGCGACTGACGAAATCAATGTGTAAGTTCTTTTTCTTATCGTGCGAAAGGCACTGTTGCATCGAGTTGGTCGCTTGACGATTTGATGGATGGGCAACGTTGTCGCATGATTTTCTGGGGTCAGGGTCTCAGGGTCCCTTTAGAATAGCAAGAACGACGTCGAGCATGCACCTTGATGATGCATACCAAGATTAGCATGGCGACTGCAAATGCTATTGGTCGATCCAAAGGCTTGTTTAGATTAGGTTGCTGACATGCATCAAGGTACCATTCGACGCACACGCTCCAGCGCATGAGAGCATACCGGATCGGCCGGATAGCCCACCCCTGGAGGAATCTGGAGCCGCCAATCCGCCGCGCTGCCATTCGTCAGCACGACGACATCCCCTACGATGAGAAGACTCAAGGAGACATGGTCATAGATGAGACAGAGGCCATATTAATCCAGTCCAAAACAGATGCCTTGAAAGCAGAGCACTCGTCTCGCATGGCCTTCACCTCAGCCATGGAACAGAAGGAGATTACCGAGGGCCTTGCTAGTATGCCGTCGGTCGATGAACACACACAGTTGGCCATCGCCATGGACTTCCGTGCCCTGCATGAGCGTGTCAAGAATGAAGGCTTCTATGACTGCCCGTACATCGAATACGGAAAAGAGCTGATTCGCTATTCGCTGCTTTTCGGTACCTTCATCTACTTCCTCCGCGCTGAGTGGTATCTCACATCGGCCTGTTTCCTGGGCATGTTCTGGCAGCAAATCATGTTCACTGCTCACGATGCTGGACACCGTGGCATTACCGGCAACTTCATTGCTGATACTCTGGTTGGTGCTTTCATCGCCGACTTCTGCTGTGGTCTCAGCATTGGATGGTGGAAGAGCTCGCACAACGTCCACCATCTCATCACGAACATGCCCGAACACGATCCTGATCTTCAAAACGTCCCTCTTNTTGCCACGTCGCCCACCTACTTCCGCTCCGTCCTGAGTACTTTCTACAACTTCACCTTTGTCTGGGACGCTGCCGCCGACTTCCTCGTGCCCTACCAGAAGTACACTTACTACCCTGTCATGGCCATTGCGCGTTTCAACCTATACCTCCTATCCTGGCTGCACCTCATGTCGCCGCGCGCTGCCAACTTGGGCTCTGCCTGGTGGACTCGTCCCGTTGAGATCGTCTTCATGGCTGGCTACTGGGCTGTCTTCGGCTATGGCCTGCTCTGGTGTACACTCCCCACATGGCCAATCAGAGTCGCATTCGTGCTCATCTCTCACTGTATCACTATGCTCTTGCACGTACAAATCACCCTGAGCCACTGGGGCATGCCCACCGCCGATCTAGGCCCGACTGAGAGCTTCNCCCAGCGCCAACTGCGCACCACCATGGACGTTGATTGCCCCGCCTGGTTGGATTTCTTGCACGGCGGCCTCCAATTCCAAGCTATCCACCACCTTNTTCCTCGCGTGCCTCGCCACAACTTGCGTAGACTGCAAGTCTTGGTTCGCGAGTTTTGCGACAAGACGACCATCAAGTACGAGTGCTATGGCTTTGTGGAAGGCAACAAGGTTGTTTTGAGCAGGCTTGAAGAAGTCGGCAAGATGGTTGAGACGCTGGTCAAGTGTCAGAAGTTCATGGCCGAGACTGGAGAGAGTGGACTTCATTAGTTTGTCCTTTCTCTTCTTGCCTTTTTTTCTTGCCTTGTTCTCTTCTAATGGATACCCCTATCGATAGTGTTAGTGTATACACTGATTCCACTTCTTCTCTTCATACTCTGTGCTTACCCAACATCTACTGCGTTTGAATTGTGATCTGTCATAATGTGTCTATCCAGAGCCCATCTCGTCGCTTAAGGACACCCCCTGATCCGCATTGTATTTATAGGTAAAAGAAAGAGTATGCGCAAGAATCGTTGATAGCTGAGAAACCTCCCTTGTTGATATCGTGACATTGTGGGTTACCTATGGCTGCCAATCGCCTTCAAGCAGCTTGAGCCATACCCTCACGATCATATCTCAACCCAGAGCTCGAAGCCCCTTGTCCGCCAACCACAGTCTCATCATCGCTGTCCGGACTATGACGACCCCTTCTCTTGATCTTGTCATCTTCAGTAACTGGTTGTCCCGTCTGCACACTAGGCGCAACCTGCTCTTCCCTGCCGTAAAGATACCAGAACGGTATACTGCCCAACACCACACCCCCAACCAAGTTCCCCAAAGTAACAGGAACGATACTCTGATAAACAAACTTTCCAACCCCAAAGTTTGTGCCGTAGAACATGCCAATGGGAACGAGGAAGTAGTTTGCTATACTGTGTTGGTATCCAGCAATGACAAACGCCCACACAGGAATCCAGATGGTGTAGACCTTGGACACGAATTCCACAGCACCAATGGATAAGAAAAAGGCGAGCGCAACGAAAAAGTTGCAGCCCACGCCACGCAGCAAGTTAACCGACCATTGCACATTAACGCGGTTCTGGGCTTGAGTGACTGCGTAAGAGCTCATGGTGGTCGTATCAAACACATCGCTCCACCAACCCAAGAAGCCTGCGACAAACAGACACCCACATAGATTCGCCAGATACGAGACCACGAGATTCTTCGCCATATCCAGAACGGAAATCTTGCGTTGGAGAGCAGTAAAAGGCATGACAAACATATTGCTCGTGCACAACTCCATGTTCGTCAGGGTAATAAGCACAAAGCCCAGTGGAAACGTAAAGCCAGCAATCAGAGTTGCTAATCCAGGATTTGAAGACCGTAGACCTGGGCTACCAGCTAGGACAACAAGATTGACGAGTGCACCGAGAGAGATAAAGACGCCGCCGAGGAAAGACTTGACGATTAGTTCACTCCATCTGAGATGGGCTTTTGCGATGCCGGCTCGAGAGGTCAAGTGTGCGATCTCTTGGGGCGAGAAGCCATTGACGGTAGGCATGATGTGTGTGGTAATTGGTATATGATGACTCCAGATCCAGAGAGATGATGTATGTTCACACTGTAGAGACAAAAAGGAAGAGTAAAAACTTATCGGGCACGACAGGGATTAGAGCACCTAGAAAAGATGACGGTGATGAGTGTGTAATGCCATCCGCTGCCTCCGAGCGCTATCATCTGTCCATGACAAAGCAGACTCAATTATGCCTGCATAGATTTTGTACCGTCATCGAAACGTAGGTGAGCGGGTTGTAGATGGAGGGAGAGCACTGGATGAGGTCGTGTAAAGGTCATCTTTAATATATCCTGCCAGGGTCCCTTTGAGATCTGAACGGAAGACTTGTCCGCTTGCAGATGAATCTTGACCAAAAGCTTCACTAGCATGTTAGAGTACATGCTTGTTATACGCATACATGAGCTTTCTCTGCGCACTCCACTAGATCGTTGAAACCAAGTATCATCCAGTGTTCTTGGTATGGCTGTCCACGATTATGATGAATCGGACTGAGGTGGACATTGCATATTTGCAAGGATGTTGGAGTGTGCAGGCAGAAAATGCAACATCAATATCAAAGTGACGTAGACGTGACGCAGAAGCATTGGTTGTCTTGATCGTTGTCTTGCGACCTTCACGAAGAAAATGATTCATGCAATGAGAATGTTAATACACAAGCATGTTTGTATTCGTCCTTGCTGCTCTTGCCTGTCCCGCCTTTATCTGCTGTATGTATAGTAGGTGGTTAGAAGTTCAAACGTACCAATGCCCTACCAGAACATCCGCATGCGTGCCGATGGGTCGTTCACACCGACCACAGCCTTCCACAGTGCCTCATCGGTCTCACCCTTGGGCAAAGGATGCTCTTTCTCCTCGCTGTACCCATCAAGTGGCAGTCGGTCTGGCAGACAAGTGGTGTCTATCTCGGGCAATTCGCCAGTCTGGAAATAGGTTCTCACAGCTCTGGCAGTGCAAAGACTTNNGGATTGTATGGTCAGAAAATGAGTTTGCTTTTCTAAAAGGAGAGTCAAGACTTACCTGACGCCAGAAGAAGAAGCATGTCCTTCCGTATCTTGGCGCAAGACGACGGAGCCCGAGAAACCTTTGGACATCCTGTAGGCATTGCCAATGGGTGTGACGTTGTCGACAGTGTTGCCGATGAAAAGGATTGGATGAGCGGTGGTTGCATTGAGGTGACCAGTGTAAGGCCATTTAGGGCGTGCATGCCACTGTTCACATCAAATCAGTACGTGAGCCTCTCCCGACCTTGACAAAATGAAAGCATACCTGTGTGCATGGTACCCTGCTTGCCCCCAGACATCTCCAATCATCTTGCTTTTCTCCATTAAATCTTTCACGTACTCCCAATACTGCTCTTTTGTTACGTTGGTCTTTGGTTCGGAATCGCTGCACACAACTGCCATTTGAACCATTTGCTGGTCCATTGTAAGCCCAGCGAGAGGATTGCAAGCTCTGGAGTAAGGTCCGGTCCTTTGACATCTTTCGCGGAGATCCTTATTGGAGGAGATCTCCACAAATTCTGTGGTCCACGCGCGTCTTCCTTGTACCAAGGCAGTACCATTACCATTCTCGAGTTCTGCCATGATCTGTGCGAGACCGTGGAATCTGCGAAGAGGACCGTAAGCGACGCCGGCGAAGAGTCTCTTGAGATCGCTGTAAGTTGCCAGGTCAGGAGAGTAGGCGTTGGTTCCTGGCACACCGATGGGGTTATGCAGAAGATTTTCGGTGATGGCTGAGAACCGCTGAGCGATGGAGGCGGGTCCGTCCTTATGGTATAGAGCGCAATTCTTGGGTCCACCCTTCGAACAGTACTCTGCGAATTTGGCGATCTCCTTGTCGGTGTCTTGCACAACACTGATCCATGTGCCTTTGTAGTAGTCGAACGAATCAACGACACCATCCAGAATTGCCCGCTTCACTCGGTCGGGGTACATGTCGGCCAATGTGGCTCCCAGGACAGTGCCATAACTGAAGCCCCAGTACTGGACCATTTCTTTGCCAGGTTGATACTTGAGATGATCGGGCAGGTCGCTTTCTGAGTTTCCAGAAGACGTCAGAAGTCTGCGGGCCTCTTGCTCTCTCCATTCGCCGTGTCTCTCGAAGATCTCCACGATATCTCTTGCTACACTCGTCGTCGACATGTGTTCTCCAATGCCTGCCTTGATGGCTCTCTTCGAACATAAGTCTGCTAGGGTGCGTTGACTGGTCCAGAGATTTATGAATGCTGTATCGCTGCTACCAGGCAGACCGTAGGACGCATGTTCCTTCTCAAAGGCCATGCGCTCGAGGGCATCAGGAAAGCAACGGAAATTGGGCGTGGTGTTGTTGACACCACGAGGGTCGAAGCTGATGACATCAAAGTACTTTTCTGTTTTGTCGTCCGTGTCTGGTCCTGCGCTAATAATTGTCTGGGTGTGCGTGCCCTCTTGAAGAACCNNTGTCTGTGATTAGCTCGAGATCTTGTGCGTTGATGGATTGACATGTACCAAGCCGACACCTGAGCCACCTGGGCCGCCTGATCGGACAGTCAGCGATCAAGCCACAATATCAAAGGTAGCATTGCGGTAAGACACACCAGGATTGAGGACCACAGCACCACCGTATCTGCTATCAGTCACTGGGACAGGTGCAGGAAATTTGATCAAAGCTATCTGGACAGTTCGGTTGTCCGCTCCCTCTTCTGCGGTCCAGTCGAGAGGAACCTGTAGTCTGGCGCATTGAAAGCCAGCATAGCAGTCGTGGTAAACCAGAGATTCGGTTGCGGTTGTCTATCGATGGTCAGGAATCCGCTGAACGATTACAATCAATTCGGTACTTACTTTTTCCCAATCAAAGCGTGAAATATGATCAATTGAAATCTGGAAGTTGCTAGTCACATATCTGGATGGTTGCAACAGATTTGTGTTGGCCAGCAGGAGAGCCGAAGCTTTGTCGAAGAGCATGTTGGATAGAGCGAACCGCAGATGATGCAGTGGAGCAATGGACTGCGAGAAGTGGATGATAGAAGAATGAATTGCGAGAAGCAATGGGCTGTGAGGGATATGATGATGGTAGAAGAATCGGTTGCAATAATCTGATGATGATGGAAGCGTGGTGCGATAATCTGACAATGTGATGGTAGAATGCGAGAATGCGATGTTTCGATTACGAGTATATTGTTGCCTTGATGTTCAACATGCAGGAGCGATCCTTCGTGCGGAGACCGCGAGTCTTGCTTGGCGAGTTGATATACTCCTTCCCGGTACAGAACAGGTTGTCTTTGGCAGCAGTCAGCACAAAAGTATCTGTTGTGGCTAATCGTGTAACAACAAAAGAGGAGATCAGTTTTATACATGTCTAACCACAACACCTATAGCCCCTCGAACGCCGATGCTTTTTACAAGGTAAGTGCTCCAAGTCCCAATCGTGCTGCGGTATCAATCCCTTACCAATCAAGATCCCCATATCGTACAATAAGAAGTTTTTGGTATCCCTGAGAAACGCCCGAGTAAATGCAATTCATAGATCAAACATCGTGAAAGAATGCTCTGATCCAAGATTAGTATCGATCACCACCTCCTCTGCTGAAGCCGCCTCTGCTTTCTCCGCCGAAGCTTCTGTCGCCTCCTCTGCTGGAGAATCCACCTCTGCGCTCACCACCAAAGCCGCCACGCTCGCCGCCTCTGCTGAAGCCACCACGGTCACCACCGAAGCCACCTCTGCGATCATTGTCACGACCGCCGCCGAAGCCGCCACGACCGAAGCCTCCGCGGCCGCTTTCATTGCGGTCGCTGGAGTATGGACGGTTGCGGCCGCCGCCATAGCCGAAGCCGTTATCATTGCTGCGAATGGGTCTGTCATCAACGTCGTCGATGTTGCCCTCAATGATTCTTCCGTCAATGTTCAAGCCGGGCACTCTTGTGAGGCCAACGCGTCTAGCAAGAGCGGATGAAATCTCTGGAGGAGTGGACATGCCCCAGGCGTAGCGGGAGAGATTGTTGATAGCCTTGACAAGAGCCTTCTTGCGAATGAAGCCGTAAGTGCCGATGTAGCCTCTGTAGGCATCGCCCTTAGCCTGCATGGGAATACGCTTGTATGCCTCGGCGACCTGGGCCAGAATAGTAGCGGCAGACCTAGGGACGTCTGCTTCACGGGTCATGTCGACGGATGCGGTAGCCAGGGAAGTGTCTTTCTTCAGAGGAAGATCTCTGAGCTTGCGAGGGAGATCCTGAGCCTCGATCATAGGTGAGATCAACCAACCTTGACCCTCCTTACCAGCACGAGCGGTACGGCCGATACGGTGAATATAAGTCTCGCGATCGCGAGGAATACCAACTTGAATAACGTGAGTAACATTGGGGAAGTCCATACCACGGGCAGTGACATCGGAGGATACCAAGATACCAGAAGAGCACTTGCGGAAGTTGTCGGAAGCACGGGTACGCTGGGCTTGACTCAAGCGCGAGTGGATCTCGAAAACACGAGCAGGGTAGAGAGCACTTGGAACAGTACGGGAACGACTGCGAGTGTCTTGCTGAGGCTGGATCGAGTCTTCGTCGATGGGAAGCTCGGTGAGAGCGGCAGAAGCCAATGTAACTTCAGCAGTCGAGTTGAAGTAGACAATAGCCTTGAAGGGGCGAGCGTCAGGCTCAGAGGCATCGGCAATGGCGTTCTTGCACAGCTCAACAATAGCAGGGACGGTATTCTCCAGACCATTGACAGTGACAAGATGCTGAGGAACACGAGCGTGGGTAGGCTCCTCGTCGTCGCGCACAGTCTTGACAAAGTCGAAACCGGGTCTCAGGGTTTCTCTGACCAGCCTCTGCACCTCGTTGGGCACGGTGGCACTGAACATGAGAGTCTGACGGCTCTTCTCCTCGGGCTTGGGCAAAAGGTTCATGATCTCCTGGATCTCGGGCCAGAAACCCTGGTCGAGCAGACGGTCGGCCTCATCANNGAAGACCAAGGCGTCGAGACCGGGAGCCTCGACACCAGAGTACTTGTCGCTGAAGATGTCCTTTAGTCTACCGGGGGTACCGACCAAGATGTGGCAACCTTGGCGCTGGATGGCGCGCAGACCAGCGGACTTTTGTGTTCCTCCTACTGCCGTCTGTACAATGACCGAAGTGTTTGCGACGAGACGCTTTGCCTCGACGGCAATTTGTTCGGCCAGCTCACGGGTTGGCGAGACAATGATGGCGCGGATATCGTCGGCGGTGGTCCTGTTGCCTCTGCGAGCGGCGTAGCCTCTGCTGCGCTCGCCCAGAGAAGAGTCGGTCTTGAGGATGTTCTGCAGAACAGGGATCAGGAAGCCCAGGGTCTTGCCGGTACCGGTCTTGGCCTGGGCGAGGATGTCGTTGCCATTCAGAGCCTGGTTGATTGTTGCCGTCTGGACTTCGGTCATGTTTTCGAGGCCCATGTCCTTGATCAGAGTCTGGACAACTCCTTTGCTGACCAGCTGCCTCTTGCCCAGTTCGGCGAAGGTTGTGATGGGACCGTTGTCGTTTTGCTCGGACTGGAAACCAAGGCCTTCGTCCTCAGCCACGGCGGCATTTTGCTGCTTCCATTGACTGGTCTGGTGCAGGCTTCTGGTGATGAGAGCTGCGTTGTAGGGCCTCGAGATTTTGGAAACAGCAGAAATTCTGGATACGCTCGAGACATGAGCGAGACTGCGCGGCAGTGCGGTAGAGCACCTTCTGAGAGCTCCCAACATTACGAAAGATGGAAATACACAAAAACGAGGGAAACAAGTCGATGTAGATTTGCAAGTTGAGGCAAAGGTAAATTTCAGAGAGACTTTCACATGGCGAGTCCGAGCGCCAAACACCCCCGGACTTGCTGCTCGCCGCCTCCGCCGACAGCTTCCATCAATCTGAAAATACCACCTCCATGATGCCATGACCTTGACCTTGACCTTTCGATTCGTCCCTCACTGGTTTCGCTTCCTTGTCATGGCGAGTATATGCCCCTCAGCAGCCTCTTCCTGCATGTCGCGCATACCTAGGTTCTTCTCATAGAAATCCTTGCCTTCCCCTGGCGAAGCCATGAGCATCGCTCTCATCAGATGCGGTTTTGAATCAAGAATCTCTCGACAGCACGAAATCAACCATTTCCCTAGTCCTTTGCCTCGAGAATCTGGCGCAACATAGACATCGGTCAAGTAGAAGACCGTGACATGGTCTGTGACAAAGCGAGCGAATCCCACCTGTTCCAGCTTCTCTGCTCCAGCTCCGTTTCCCTGAAACTCGTTCGAGAAGTAGAATGATGGGTCCTCAAGTGTGGGAGAAGGTGTGTCTGGTGATGATGGTTCCTCTGCTGTCTTGGCTGGTGGAAACGATGGTTGCACTGCGTACACTCCCATCACAAGTGAATTGGATAGCATGTTGCGGAGGATGGCAGCAGGCATAGCTTTGGCCCAGTACATGTCGTCGCTGGAGTAAGCATTGTTGACGAAGTCGTGTGAGATGTTGTTCAGGTCTGTCGATATAAGGTATTCCTGGTCAGAGATGGTTGTTCGCCATTCTCTCGGCTTTTGATTCGAGGACATGATGGAGACGTTGTCGTGAATGAGTACTATTGGCCGTCTCTCTCTTCTGAAGGTTCGTCGCCGTGATAAGATACGTCATGAGACAGTCCCTGCCGTGGCCGAGGCGTGACTCGGACAGTCGTTGGAAGACTGAAGTTATCCTTCTACGCTCGCATATCTCAGCAAGACACTCCCAGCAATTTTTGGTCTTGACGACCACCCGATCCAGAGTGCCAGTGGTGTTCTTCTGGCACCGCAGAGGTCGAACAAGACCCAGATCGTCTTGATACAGACAATTGTCCCAAGTCTGCGCGATGACCCTGACCGCGACACGGATTCAGCCGCCGCCCACAGCAAACAGCAGAGCAGCAAAAAGCTCAAAATCTGAGCATGGCCAACCTCAGTCTTTGCTCTTCCGTCTTCCTCATGAAATTCGCCATCTCGTCTTCTTGCTAGCTTTAGCTAAGCCGCTCTCGACCACTCTTCTCGACTCGTCCCACGATGATAGGCTAGACGTCGAGCCCGCTGTTCTTTCTACCTGCCATCGCGTCCGCGCCGAGGCACTCCCTCTCTTCTACGGCATCAATGACTGGGTCATCAAGACACGGCGCGTGGGAGGTGACACGGGTCGTCTGGATCCCATCAGCAAGAGGTTGATCACATACCAGTGCATACCTCGCTGGCCCGATGCCCTGCCAGACAGCAAGCTTGCTCTGATCAGATCCATTGTGGCCATTGGCTCAAGAGGCTCCTATGTGGACTTCAAGGGCAAATGGTGGGATGGCGACCGTGCTGCCTTTCGCTTGCAAAAGTCGAATACGCTCATTGGCTATCGCGTCGATGAGCTGGACACTCATGACGAAGAGTTGGACCTGCCGAAGCAGCAGAAGCACAAGGAAGCTTTCTGCAGCATACACCTTGTCGATCTACTTCATGCGAGAATGCGCATCAATGCGCAGACCTCTCGCGACAAGTGGATCTGGACAAGAGAGCGGGTGCACGATCTTGCTTTCCTGCTATGAACTTAGCAGGACACGTGTTGCACCGTCATCGCGTTCAGAGGCAGGCTTACCAACACACCTACAGGTCATCAGCAACCTTTGCAGACTGTGCTCGCATGGTGGAAACACCCGACACAAGCTTCCGCAAAGGGCACCACGTCTACAACGACTTCTCAAACAGTACGTTCCCCTCTCTATCCTCACAATCCCCTCCACTCTCCCTAAAATGATGACTACACTTCGTTATACCCAGCTCACTTTGATGCAACAAATGTTGTACTTGATGCAAACGCGATTCTGTTTCTGATTTCCATACCTACACACCGCCTGTTCATACAACTCAATCCCGGAGATCATTTACTGACGTTGAGGATTAGAACTCTTTCATACACACATTGCTGTCTCTATTCGTGATGACCATGCTTTGCATACGTGACAGTATATACTTTTCCCATTATCAAATTATTTCCTCACGACCTTTTCCTACTTCGTTACTGCAACTTCTATTTGCGTCTGTTGAACCGACTCTTCTCATCGGTACATGTTAATACTGATCGATCGTTCGAACAAAGATTCAAGAGACATGTCCCCGAGGCCCCACTTTCCTGAATCCTACTTGAATTTCTATATTATCAATATAAGATGTCCATCAACCACCCTCCTTATCTTGCCATTGAACCTCTTTCGTTCACGATAGAAAAGCTTTTGCATCTCATACACCACGGTTCTTCGATATGTGGAACGTCAAACGCACACTTTCCATAGCGACTATTCTGACAGTGCCATTGTTCACGTTCGAATACACTGTCCATGGCTTGCAGGTCCTATTCTGGACCTTGATGTGGCGCCATTACTTTGCAGAAAACCATCCTCAGGAAGCCATCTCGCCACAGACACTTCCCAGCAAAGAAGGATCTCTCGTTGGACTACCGGAATCATGCCTTGATATTGAGCAGCAACGACAGCAAGACGAACGTGTGCAGCCAAACCATCACGAACCTAAACGCCGTAGCACTCTACCCCACCGCGCCATCGATAGTTCCTCCTACAAGATCATCTTCATATCCTCCTTGCTTATCCTCGGCATGTTCTTTGTCAAGTCCTTGCTATGCTGGTCTGTCCTTTCGCCAGAGTCTACTAGCTCATGGCCGCGGCTTTCCTGCTCAATGGACTCCACGAACCTGCCCTTGGGGAGATTTATCACACCGCCGATGCTTTTTCTTGCAGTTACGAGGGTTTGGTCTGAGTGGACGAGGACTGATGGGATGGACTATCGGTGGGATATTTGGTCGCAAGACTCGAAAGCGAATCCTCTTGTTGCTTCGCAGATGCTTGTGCAGGTTTTGAGGTTGTCGAGTGACTTGACACAAACGATCGATCTCGTTGAAAAACATCGTGTCTGAGCCTGAGATACTGGAGCATGGCAATATTTACCATGTTGTGATAAAACTACCTTCTATATAACAATTCCTCGCGCCTCCATTGGAACGTTCTCTGTCTCCGAAACCGACCCTGAGATCTATGCCGTGTCTTTCTGACGAGTTCCGGCTGAGACAATCACAGCAATACAAGCAACAACAGCACAAACCCACATGGTCTTCGAAAACGCCTTCGCATAGACCAACTTCTCGTCAACCACTCGACCTGATCCCATAGCTTTTGCTCCCATATCACCCAAGATGGCAGACGAGGCTGCAATCCCAATGCTCCCGCCCAGTACTCTGGCTTGCGCCACAATACCCTGTGCAACAGCGAGATCCGCAGTCTCATGTTGCGTCGCGGCGAGTAATGTCGAAGTCGAGATGGACAAGCCCAGCCCCAAACCTAACAGCACCTCAAAGCCGTATGTTTTGGCTTGAACGCCGTGATGTTGTGTCAGCGTGGACAACAAGCCTGCTCCAAGTGCTATTAGACTGTTTGCGATCGCCAAAGCAGGGAAGGTGTGGTTAGCGGTAAGACCGCCTAGCATACTGCCTATGGCTGCTGAGACCAAGAGAGGCAGTAACGCTACTCCAGCGGTGAGGGGACTAGTCCCATTGACGACCTGGAAATGGAGAGGAAGACTGTATATAGCGATAAAGTTTACAAAGCCTGTGAGCATGGTAACCACAACAGTGGACATGTACACGCGGCGTTTGAGTAAGCGTGGAGGCAAGATGGCTGAGATAGAATGGTTTGCAGCGAAGAGTTCCCAGCCGAAGAGGGTGCACCAACAGAGACAGCCTACCAGCAAAGGTGCGAGGAAAATAGTCTCGTCCCAGGAATTTGGTCTGAGGCCGGCTTGTTGGAAGGCAAANACCACGAGAACAGAAGCGGCGATGAGGAGGAAAGAGCCTGGAAAGTCGAGTTGTGTCCAGGAGCGACGTAAAGGTTGCTTCATCATATTCTCAGAAGGCCAAGTGAGATAAAAAAGCACAACAGCGACAAGAGCAATAGGACCACTNATGAAATGTTAGCAAGCTCATTCAAGCCATCCAAAGATTTTTCACAACACTTACTTGATCCAAAACACCCATCTCCAGCTCGTAAACCTAGTAATCACTCCTCCAACCGCAGGCCCCATCACACCCGCGACCGCAACAACCAGTCCAACAATAGCACCGATCCACTTTCTTTTTCTCTCCTCGACAAGCTCTGGCATAACAATCATCGTCAACGAGTACAATCCACTTCCACCCACCCCNTGCACGGCCCGAAAAGCAATCAACTGCACCAACGTCTTTGCAAACCCACAAGCCAACGAAAAGGCAAAGAAGATAGCAAACGCAAGCAACCAAGCAACGCGACGGCCAATGACATCGCTGAGGTTGGCAAACGGGATTGCAAAACTGAGGTAAGAAAGAGTGTAGGACAGAGCGACCCAAGTAGTTGTATGAGACGCGGAGAAGGAAATGCTGATACTGTATAGCGCTGTTGCTACGATCGAGGTATCGAGGAGGGAGAGGAAGAGACCGATACAGAGGCTGATGATCAGAAGTATGAGACGCCAGGTTGGTATGTTGGGAGTTTTCATAGTGTTCAATGTTCCTAGTTGTGGGATTGGGGCCTCTTTAGCTGCCGAAGTGTGTGGTGTCTTGAGATGTTCCATGGCCACGTGAGATTGTGAGTGCTTTATCACAAAAGAACGAATCGACAGAAGTCATGCATATATACTTGCCAGCAGTTGTCAGGCGGACATTCCATTGCACCTACCTTGCGACCTGGAGCAAGTGATACGGAAACGGTTGTATCAGGGACAGCCATACTCAAACACTGTTTGGGACATCGTTTGCGAGTTTTGTATACTCAAACATGCAATCGCTGCAAGTAGTGTTGTTTGCGGAGGGATTGTAAAGCCGACTGGGAGGTGCTCGAAAGTCCTGTCGGCCGTAAGCTTCACGAGGCTTGGCGGGTCCTTCCATAACTATCTATGGACACCCTGATAAGCAGGCCTCATCTATCGAGTAGCAGATATGCGCTATATAAGTCCCATTCGTTCTACCTTTTAAGCTTACGCAAACACTTGTCGTATTTAGACTTCATTTGAAGTTTTGATGAAGAAGTCTATATTAAATTCTCGAAGAGAGGTCTCGAGAGCATGTTAATTCCAACGACTTCCAGTACCAGGCAACCCATAACGACTACCTGTTTACTCGAGCAGCGTCTTCTTCAAGAACTCAATGTCCTTAGCGAGCATCATCTCAAACCCATCACCCTCAAACATGCTAAAGTGACCACCTGGCAACATCTGTATCTCTTTCGGCTCTACCGCACGGTTGTATGCTTCGAGCATCAACTCAGTGACCGTGACGACATCATTCTTTGGCACTTGCATCAACAGTGGCGTAGGTCCGATCTTGTGAATTCGGCATGCAGGGAAGTATGTTTTGAAACCCTCGAAGCTATGGTTTGTGGTCAGTAGAGTACCTTGTTACAATATCGTTACTTGCCTCCTGATAGTCAGATCGTTCTTCCAGCCAATCTTCTCAGCCCAAGGAGAAAAGAAGGTGTAACTTTCGGCATGTGGTAAGGCGGCTACATCGAGTGGATTTTTGACCACAACAGGCATTCTTCTAGGCTCATTGCCAGCTGCTCGTGACAGTCGTTCTNNGCAGAGCGTTAGTCCGCGAGATCGATTGAGTATAAACCCCATACCTTGAGCTAGCATTTCGACTATGGATTCCTCAAAGTCTGTCCTCATGTTGTTTGAAAGAATATCCCCNGTGGTAAACGGTGCCAAAGCTATCACTGTTTTGACACGACGATCGATGGCACCGACCCAGAGTGAGTAACCCCAAACACCAATCTTTGCCGCATCGATATCCTCNCTGGATTGTGCATAGGTAATTGCATCCTGTAGATCACTGTGCTGGTATGTCGGGACAATCTCATTGCGAGGTTCATTGGCCTTCTGATCACTAGCGCCATAGCCCCGGTGGTCGTATACCAAACATGCGATCGAGAGCGCGGACGTCAGACGTTCGGCCAAGGTATCCAGGTGCATCTCCTTAAGGCAAGTCAGGCCATGGGACATCACCAGACAAGGGTATTTGCCTGGTGCGTTGGCTGGCTTGAAAACCCAGCCACGTAGAGTGACATGGTCGACGGTTTTAAATTCGATGTCTGAGCGATCCATTCTGCTGAATATCCAAGGGCGTCAAAGAATGGGAGTCGTGAAGAAAGAGATACATAAGGGCCATGATTTATATGTCAAGTGAGGTGCTAAGGTGAGAGTCGCGGCTGACCGTCAGCCTAGTAAATTAGCATAGAATACGCTCTTTGGTCGTCGAATCTGCCTGCACCATGTAGGCAGCCGCGAGACAAGGCTCGTCCTTCGATCTGTGGAGCTGTTCAATCGAAGGCCATCAATATTCAATAGATGGATGTCTGGATTCTGTTCATTGCGTTATTAAGATACACAGAGAAACCAGTCGAAGCTGTTCGGTGAGCTAAATTGGCATGAAGGTCGATCGTGTGTGAGTGTTGATGTCCCGGAGCGGTAGCCTTGGAGAGGCAAGAAATCATGGACTGGGACCGGGATCGGTCGGGTCGCGACATGGTTGGGACCTGCAAAGGTACCTGAGACGTGGAAGGCGGAAGAGCTTCAACAGCTGTTCATGCAGAAGACGAAGGAAAAAACAGATCGCTTGGGAGATATAAGCGAGTTGGGTACTTGGGATGCGTAGAAAATTAGATTGAGCTGGATAAATGATTAAATATCGAATTGCGAGCGAGTTGACGATAAAGAGATACATGCGGTGGCTGTCGTGCAGCTGTGTACAGCGCATGTGGCTCTGAAGAGGTCCAAGAGACTCTTGATACAAAAGGCAAGAAGGAAGCACAAAAGGAAGGAAGTCAGGGTGTGTTCATGACCTCTGTTGCAAAGCGTTTGTCAACGGCGCAAAGAGTGGCGTCAGCGTTCATGCCCCTCCTTCTCTCGCTGTACTTTTACTGCGAGATCCATCCGTCCTTGACCAGAACCATCGCCGCCATTACTCCTTCTTTTCTACATTTTGAGCACGCATCTTGGCTGCTTGACCCGTTCATCTCATCTCGCCTTTCAGAATGTCGACTTCAGCCCGCCGCCGTTTGATGCGCGACTTTAAGGTGCGAGCAGTTTGATGCCTATCTCGACAAGATGTCATGGCTAACCGTCGTCTCTGCAGCNGCATGCAAACCGACCCTCCCGCTGGTGTCTCGGCCTCGCCCATAGCCGACAATGTCATGACATGGTATGCTTGACTTACGCTCCTTGTCGGTGACACGTGCTCATTCGCCGCATAGGNNAACGCAGTCATCATCGGACCCTCAGACACACCCTTCGAAGACGGCACATTCAGACTGGTCATGCACTTCGAGGAGCAGTACCCCAACAAGCCTCCGGGCGTCAAGTTCATCAGCACCATGTTCCATCCCAACGTCTACGCCACAGGCGAACTGTGTTTAGACATCCTGCAGAACCGCTGGAGCCCTACATACGATGTCGCCGCCATCCTGACCAGCATTCAAAGGTGTGTGACTAAGGTCGACACTCTCCAAGGCCAGGCTAACATGACGGGACNNAGTCTTCTCAACGACCCCAACACTAGCTCGCCCGCCAACGTCGAGGCATCAAATCTGTACAAGGACAGCCGCAAGGAGTACTACAAGCGCGTGCGCGAGACGGTCGAGAAGAGTTGGGAAGACTGAGGAGGCTACACAATTGGACATATAAATGCTTTGACATTCAGCGAGGCGTTTGGCATCGGCGTCGCTACATTGGGCGTTGTAAGGGACTGCATTCCGACTATTGTATTACTGCACGCAAGACACGAAACATCATACAGCCATAGGATTAGGGAGTACAGACTGTTCAAGGATGATGACGGTCTGTTTAAATACAAACGGCTTGGAGAACAAGATTGCATCAAAGTCTTGTGCACGATTGTAAGAAGTGTCGATGGATGTGCAGAAGGAGTGTCAATGTGGAGGGGCTGATATAGGGCTGACTCAGGCTGAAACGCTGAAACCGGGGCTGGCCGAGGGCAGCTTGGCTCCCATGAGAAAGCAATCGCCGGCGAAGAGACCAGGAGACACGGCAGTGGGAAATATTGTTATCGTACGTTGCCAGTCACACGCCGGTCTGTTCTGGAAGCACAGGACAGGCGTCATTGTGCACGAAGACGAGTATTTGTATACAACGGTGGTTGCTGTGAGGCTTGATTTAACTGTTTGGCCTTTTGAGTTTGGCCCTGGCCCCTGTTGATTCCATCTCTGGTCACGGTCCACCACGAACTTCTCCAGACGTGTACCGCCGTGCGTGCATCCTGCATACGTTGGCGCCGACCCTCTCTAGCCTCGCCTTCCTCAGTCGCCCGCCTACTCTACCCTCGTCCAAGAGAGAGACGATTCCCTAACAAGCAGGCCACGACCTGCCGCAACCCGGCCACCATGGCGTAAGTTGACGCCAGACCCCCACCTAACAAACACAACCCCATGCTAACCACAGCCATCTAGGAGCAACTCTATCAAGGGTACGTCTGCTATCACTCGACAACACCTTCGCTCGAGCCTCCATAGTCCACCACTAACACACCCCAGTCGTCGCTCGTTTCAGGCCGCAAAACAAGATCGAACTCGCCAGCGGAGGTACTCCTATTGTCCAGTTCGAAAGTCCCGACACCTGCAATGTCCAGTCCAGAGATGGCGGCGGCGGCGCCTTCACCTTCGACCGCGTCTTCGACATGGGCTGTCGCCAGTCCGACGTCTTCGACTTCTCCATCCGTCCCACCGTCGACGACATCCTCAATGGTTACAACGGAACAGTCTTTGCCTACGGCCAGACCGGTGCCGGAAAGTCGTACACCATGATGGGCTCGGACATTGGCAGCCCTGACCACAAGGGTGTCATTCCGCGCATCACTGAGCAGATCTTCGCTTCCATCATGGCGAGCGAGAGCAACATCGAGTACACGGTGCGAGTCAGCTACATGGAAATCTACATGGAACGCATTCGCGATCTGCTCGTCCCGCAAAACGACAACCTGCCCGTCCATGAAGAGAAGAACCGCGGCGTCTATGTCAAGGGCCTGATGGAAGTCTACGTCAGCAGTGTCGACGAGGTCTACCAAATCCTTGAGAGAGGAGGCATGTCTCGTGCTGTCGCTGCTACAAACATGAACCAAGAGTCGTCCCGATCCCACTCCATCTTCGTCATCACCGTCGGCCAGAAGAACGTCGAGACCGGAAGTGTCAAGTCGGGCCAATTGTTCCTGGTCGATCTGGCTGGTTCGGAAAAGGTCGGAAAGACAGGAGCCAGCGGTCAAACGCTAGAGGAAGCAAAGAAGATCAACAAGTCGCTGAGTGCTCTGGGCATGGTCATCAACGCCTTGACTGACGGCAAATCTTCTCACGTCCCCTATCGTGACTCGAAACTCACCCGTATCCTACAAGAATCCCTTGGTGGTAACTCGCGCACCACCCTCATCATCAACTGTTCGCCCTCGAGTTACAACGATGCCGAAACCGTCTCTACCCTTCGCTTTGGTATGCGAGCAAAATCCATCAAGAACAAAGCCAAGGTCAACCAAGAACTCTCCCCTGCCGAGCTCAAAGCTCTCCTCCGCAAGGCTCAGTCCCAAGTCTCAAGCTTCGAAACATACATCACCAATCTCGNNGAGTCAGAGGTTGGCTCCTGGAGAANNAAAGGCCAAACTGTACCGAAAGAGCAATGGACTCCGACACTCAAAGATGGCCCTGCCAAGTCTGCACCTCGTCCTGCTACTCCTTCACTCCTCGGTGAACAACGAAAGGGCGCCGAAACACCTACTTCGTCAAGGCCAGACTCGAGAATGGATTTGGAACGTGCCGGTACACCGACGACCGCTCTGGAANAAGACGAAAGAGAAGAGTTCCTACGACGCGAAAACGAGTTACAAGATCAGCTTGCTGAGAAAGAGTCTGTCATTTCTACAACCGAGAAAGCCCTTCAAGACACACGTCAAGAGTTGCGTGACCTGAGAGAAACACATGGCCGTGTTAACAAGGACAACGAAAAGCTCGCCGGCGATGTTGAAGGCTTGAAGATGCAAGTTGAGCGCATCACTTTCGAAACAAAGGAGGAATCCATCATGATGGACAGTCTCAAGGAAGCCAACAACGACCTTTCCAACGAACTTGACGAGCTGCGCAAAGAATTGCTCGAGGCTAAGATGAACGCTCGTGAAACATCGGCTGTCATTGACGAGAAGGAGAAGCTGAAGAAAGAGCGCATGGCTCAAATGATGGCTGGCTTCGATCTCGGAGACGAGGTCTTCTCGGACAACGAACGCAGCGTGCAAGAAGCCATCAAACAACTTGATGCCCTTCTCGAGTCCTCTTCCAAGGGTGAAGCACCTGGCCCTGAATCCCTATCGAAGCTCAGAGAGAGATTGGTCGAAACCCAAGGTGCTATCCGCCAGGTTGATCACTCGACCCAAGGCGGCGCTCTTGAGCATAAGCTTTTGACCGTGCAAAAGCAGTATGAGGAGCTTTTGCAAACGAATCTTTCAGAAGCTGACGTCGAGGATGTCAAGCGTCGTCTGCAAGAATCGCTCGCATCGCATACCAGTGGTGAAGCGGGATCTTCAGATCTCAATGCTGCCCTGGCCCGTCAGCAGGAGGAAAACACTCGTATGCGCAACGAGGTCGAGTCTTTGAGAAGGCAGACGGTGAACGGAGCAAATGGCGCTAAATCATTGCACCAACAACTGGCAGATTTCGACGCAATGAAGAAGTCCTTGATGCGCGACCTGCAGAACCGCTGCGAGCGTGTTGTCGAACTTGAGATTTCGCTCGACTCGACACGGGAACAATATAACAGCGTCCTTCGCTCAGCAAACAGCAAGCAGCAACAGAAGAAGCTGGCCTTCCTCGAGCGCAACTTGGAGCAGTTGACTCAAGTCCAAAGGCAACTGGTCGAGCAAAACGCCCAACTAAAGAAGGAGGTCGCTATTGCTGACCGCAAGCTTGCGGCACGTGGAGAGCGCATCCACGGTCTTGAACAACTGCTCGGCGAGAGCCAGGAGAAGCTCATGCAGGCCAACCATCGGTACGTTGAATCTCCTTATCCGTGCATACCGAGCACCGAATTGCTAACACGCATTCCACAGTNNTTCGAAGCCCAACTCACTGCAGTAAAAGAACGCCTCGAAGCCGCCAAAGTCAGCGCCGCATCACGCAACGGCAATATCACGGGCGCTGGCGGTGCAGCCCCCAATGGCTTCGGCAGCGAACTCGGCAGCCGCATTGCAAAGCCCCTTCGTGGTGGTGGCGGCGCAGGCCCAATGGTACCCACGCTCGCCGGCCTGCAACAGCAACAGCAGGAGGGCCCAAAACGCAGCAGCTGGTTCTTCAACCAGAGAACCTAAGACTTTACGAATTGGTCCTTGCAGTGCTGTTTCTGCTGTTGGCTTTTGGGTTATTGGTTTGGTAGATTCGCAGTCGCATCTTTTTGACGAAAGAAAGTGCATTTAGAGGGCGTTTTTCGTGGAGTGCTTTCTCTGTTTCTTGAGGCATGGCGATCCTTGTGCCTGCCTCGTTTTTTTCTTGCATATGCTGGCGGGTGACTCTCATCTGCGTGCCCTGCTTGGGAGGATCTTCTTCGTCGTCTCTCGCTCGAGCCGTTTTATCCTCTCATATCATGGCCAAACAAAAATAACAAACCTCTTGATATTCTCTTCCATCGTATTGCATCTCCTGAGAGCTATCAGATGCTTTTCACGTTTGCGCTACTGTGTGTCGTTCCTGCTGTTCTCTATACTGTACACATATCACGTACAGACGGGAGTCACACTCCACTTGTTGTGGTGGCTGCCCAAATCCGAGATTCCCTCTTTATGGACAAACACAGAACAACCTACCAAGGAAGTCACGACCCAAATGCCCTCTCCACAAGAAATACCAAGATCAAGACGAAGAACGATCACGCCCCTCAACAAACATGTATCACCAGCAATGGCACCAAAGCCTTCTCAACCGAGTTTGGAGCTGTGTAGACGGTTCTTTCCACTTTTCACATCCATGTTTTGGGGTTTGTTTTGGTCGTAGGGTAGGTAGCATGACTGCCTGATCTTCGTCACAGATTACCTCTTGAAAGCACTGTGCTGCGCAAGACGTTCTTCGTGCCCGAGCCTGAGAGCGGATGGACGTCTACAGAAGTCTGATCAGATCAGATTAGATGCGGAGAAGAATGCTGACCAACATGGCCTCCGCAATCGGCTTTGGGCTGGGTAAGCGGATGGCGTGCTTGTACCGTCGGCAGAGTGTTGACTCCAACGATTGTTCGCGACGTCGACTTTTTGCCGTGTCGTTCGCCTCTTGTCGCCGTCCGCTCGACATTCTCCTTTCCACTCGCTGTCTGTTCTTTGGAGTCGCCTCGTGCAATTAGCCAGGCCTTTTGATTGTATTCTTGCAGCGGCTTTGTTGTTGTAGCGCATTCATCTTCCTACGCCGCATCTTTAACCCCTCCACAAATTACGAATCATGTCGGCTTCCGAGCAACAGTCCTCGAGCCTGCCTTTCGGCCAGAACATCTCCCTCAGCGATGTCAGCGGTCCTACCTACTTGACTGCTCAGACCTTGGTTCAACAGGTTGCATACTCGCTCTCAGACAAGATCTTCTCGTACTCGCCCGAAACCTTCGACCTTGATGTTGCCGCAAAGAGCTGGGAGAGTGCCGGTGAGCAAAATGTTCACGGTTACAAGACTGGTCTCGCAGCAATGGAGACTCGCTCCGGTGCTGGCTCAATTGCCCTCGGATACATGTTCTCCAAGGACTTTGACTTGAAGAAGCGCCACATTCCCCAGTCCATCGTCGCCTCCTCCGGCTCTCTTGCCCATCTGCGCCCTGCCCTCGACCAATTGGCTCTTCTTTACAACGTTGCCAACCCTACTGTAGCACACGTCGCTGCTGTCGACTATGCTGCCAACTCGTCCACCGGTCTCGTCACCGACTATGTCTCGGCCCTTCGTCTCGCTGAGGAACTTGGTCTGGGTCTTGTTGCATCCGCCTCCGCTTACGAGATGCAGCACATGTCCCTCTTCGCAACCCTAATGGCCTCGATCGTTCCTTCTATCCACGTTTACGACGGCATCACTGTTGGCAGAGAGACCACCAGAATCATCGACGTCCTTGACAAGTCTGGCCTTAAGAAGACCTACGACGCCATTCTCGGCGATTCGTCCCTTACCGAGAAGAAGCACTCTGACAACGAGGGTAGAGTCAGCCGTCTCATGAAGGCTTTCAACAACGAATTGGGCACCGAGTACAAGCTGTTCGAGTACTCCGGCCATGCCGAGCCTGAGTCTGTCCTCGTTGTTTTCGGTACCGTTGAGGCTTCTTTGGCTTCGCAGATCGCTCGCGCTCTTTCGGAGAAGGGTGTCAAGATTGGAGTCATCAACGTCCGTGTGTATCGTCCTTTCGTCGAGGAAGAGTTCCTCGAGGTTCTTGCTCCTTCGGTCCAGAACGTTGCAGTCCTCGGCCAAGTCCTTGACCAGTCGGCTGTCACCGACGAGACCCAACACTCTGGTCTTTACACCGACGTTCTTGCTGCTCTCAGCTTTGCTACCCTTAACCAGACTCCCGCTGTCTTCGACATCAAGTATGCCAGAGAGCAGGTCTGGACCCCTACCTCGGTCGCTGGCCTCTTGCAGCAGATCGGCCAGAAGATTGACCATGCCCCTACCGAGGAGGAGCGTTTCGAGCTCCCCACTGGTGATCTCCAGCAGTACACTTTCTGGGACGTCGACAGCTCCAACGCCGTGTCCGCTCCCATCATGGTTGGCCAACTTCTGTCTGGTGACAACAAGCTCAACGTCAGTGTTCGCAGTGGCCACGACAACCTCGTGGCTGGTGGTGCTATGCGCACCGATATCAGAACCTCGACCAAGTCTATCGAGGCTGCCTACTCTGTCAGCTCTGCCGACGTCGCCATTGTCAACGACTCTGGTCTGCTGAAGAGCTTCGATGTTCTCAAGTCCGTCAAGGATGAGGGCATTGTTGTCGTCAAGCTCGCTGGCGTCAAAGACGATGAGGTCGAGAAGCACCTCTCTACTGAGGTTCGCAAGGCTCTGGCCTCCAAGAAGATTCAGCTCTTTGCCCTTGATACCGCCGCTTCTGCCAAGGTTCAGGAGCAGCCCGAGCTGGAGAGCTACCTTGTCCAGCTTGCTTTCCTCAAGCTCGCTCGTAGCGATCTCTACGAGACTGGTGTCAAGAAGCTCGCTGGTGGTAACGACGCTCTCGAGGCTCTTTCCAAGGAGCTCGATGAAGTTGTTCGCAAGGTCGAGATCCCTGAGTCTTGGCTCACTGTTGATCCTGAGGCCAACCAACCTCCGCTTATGCCTGAGGACTTGAACATCAACAGCTTCATCAAGTTCGACAAGGAGGAGCCTGAGGAGGCTTACCTTCTTAGAGACTGGGAGAAGGTTGCCAAGGGTCTTGCCTTCAAGGAGGCATACGGCACCCAGAACGCTCTGCGTCCCGACCTTAGCGTCAAGACTGCTGTCGTCACTGTCAAGGAGCGTCGCCGTCTTACTCCCAGAACCTACGATCGTAACATCTTCCACATTGAGTTCGACCTTGGTCAGACTGGTCTTACCTATGCCATTGGTGAGGCTCTTGGTATCCACGCCGAGAACGACAAGACCGAAGTCGAGGAGTTCATTAAGTGGTACGGTCTTAACCCTGAGGAGGTTGTTGAGGTTCCTTCTCGTGAGGACGCCCAGGTTCTGGAGAACCGCACTGTCTACCAGGCTCTCCTTCAGAACGTGGACATCTTCGGCCGTCCTCCTAAGCGTTTCTACGAAGCACTTGCAGAATACGCTTCGGACGATGCTGAGAAGACTCAGCTTCTCTTGCTCGGTACCGGTGGTAACCAGGAAGCTCAGGTTGACTTCAAGCGCCGTGCTGAGGTTGACACCGTCACTTACGCTGACCTTCTGCTCGAATTCNCCTCTGCTCATCCTTCGTTCCATGACATCACTCGTCTCGTTGCTCCTATGAAGCGTCGTGAGTACTCTATTGCTTCTTCGCAGAGAGTCACTCCCACCACTGTCACTCTCTGTATCGTTACTGTCAACTGGGTTGACCCCAAGGGCCGCGACCGCTTCGGTCAGGCTACTCGCTACCTCAACGGTCTCGAGGTTGGCCAGACCGTTACCGTTTCTGTCAAGCCTTCGGTTATGAAGCTTCCTCACAAGTCTACCGCTCCCATCATCATGGCCGGTCTTGGTACGGGTCTTGCTCCCTTCCGTGCCTTCGTCCAGGAGCGTGCTTGGCAGAAGGAGCAGGGCATGGACATCGGTGCTGTCATGCTTTACATGGGTTCTCGTCACCAGAAGGAGGAATACCTCTACGGTGAGGAGTGGGAGGCTTACAAGGATGCTGGTATCATCACTCACATGGGTTGTGCTTTCTCTCGTGATCAGCCCGAGAAGATCTACATTCAGGATCGCATGCGCGAGACCCTGAAGGAGATCCGCCAGGCCTACCTTCGCGAGGAAGGTGCCTTCTACCTCTGTGGTCCTACCTGGCCCGTGCCTGATGTTACCAATGTTCTTGAAGAGGCCATTGAGGTTGAGGCCAAGGAGAATGGCAAGAAGGTCGATTCTCGCAAGGTCATTGACCAGCTCAAGGATGAGGAGAGATACGTCCTCGAAGTCTACTAGATGCAGCGAATCTGTTGTTCAAAAATGTCTTTTGGAAATTTCTGTATATAGAACTGGATCTGTCAATATGGTGAAGTCTTAGAATACAATCTTTTCATGATCTCGATCACTTGCACAGTCCGTTGAATGTCATGCGTTGTGACTTGTGCGTTCAGGCGACTGCCAATCGCTTTCCACTTTTCCATTTGACGATCAAACAAAACATCAAGGTTCGGCGGGGATACCCGGTTGACTTGTGCAGGAGGGCTTGCCTGCAAGCCGCCCGCTTCCATCAAACCAAGAAAGTTCTGGAGGAACAAGAGAATTTGGCAAGCACACAGGCACCGTCAGGGCTGTGCAAGGAACACGGTTGATCGGCACTTTCTCTGATCAGGATTCAGGAACACGGTCGATCATTTTTGTTGTTGTGCTCACCTCAAACACAACAAAATTCTGAAACCGCGTGAATTTTCTTCTACGTTTTGTCGGTTTATCTTTGGCCATCATTCATTTTCACATATGATTATATGTTTTGAAGGCTCGATCTCCTGATTCCCTTCTCAGATACTGCAGTATCTACGTATCTCTTGCTTGTTCGCAACTCTCCAACGAGTTGTCGCAAGCAAATGACGTCGCGTTTCTTTTCTTAGGCCCCTGTCTCGTGCTCGGGAAGGCTCGTACTTTTAGGGGCCCCACTGCACACCACCACCTGTTTTTTCTGGTGTTTTCTGCCCGCGCCCGAGCATGCTCATGCTTTTCAACAACACTGTCGACACGCTAGCACAGCAGTCTTGGCTACTTTTGCTTGCGAGACCCTGTCAAGGATAGAAAAAGAGGCGACCGAAGAAAGATGGCTGGTTGCTGGGGTCAAATTATGCAGGCACTCCCGAAAGGCTGACATCTGTGATCATCGCTGGGCGATAAGTATATTATCTGAAACTACTTCCTGTATCTGTTTCCTTTCCTCTTTCTCTTTCTTCCTCCCAACCGCCATTTCAATCAATCCAATCCAATTTTCTCATCCTCACAAACAACAACTCCAATCGCAATTATGAGATTCTCCGCCATCTTCGTTTTGGCTTCTGCCACCGCCGCCATGGCCGCCAACTCCACTCCTGCTCTGTTCGCCCGTCAGTCAACTGGTACCGTCTGCTCAAACGGAGAGTCTGTCTGCGGTTCTGGATGCTACGACCCCACTGCCTACCAGTGCTGTGGTCAGGAGGGTCAAGTTTGCCCTACTGGCACCTACTGCGCCAGCGCAAGCCGCTGCTGCGCCAATGGTGCCAACTGCGATGGTCAGGGCACCTCGACTGCTAGTGGTGTCTCTGCCACCGTCGTCCAGTCCGGATCCACCATCCTTGGAAGCTGTAAGTCTATGCATTTTTCGTGATCACCTTCCCTGGACTCGTAGTGACGAGCCGTTCCTTGTAGCAGCATCATCCGCAGCCGCATCCTCTGCTTCCCAGTCTTCTCTTTCGCAGTCATCTGCTTCAGAGACTTCTGCGTCGCAATCTTCCTCTGCTTCTTCCTCTCTTTCTTCCATTTCTTCATCAATCTCTTCTTCTGCATCTTCTGCCGCTGCTTCTTCAGCTTCTTCTGTTTCATCGAGTCTGACATCGAGCGCCGCAGCCGCCTCTTCTGCCGCCAGCAGTGCTAGCTCCAGCATGTCTTCGGCCGCTTCATCTGCTTCTTCCTCGGGATCCAAGGCCGCTTCTTCCATGAGCAGCTCTGTTTCTTCTGCTGCATCATCCGCATCCAAGTCTGCCTCATCTGCTTCCAAGTCTGCTTCATCTGCTGCTTCGTCCGCCTCCAACTCGGCAGCAGCAACCTCTTCCGGCGCCGCCGTCGCTGGTCAGGCCACCAACTTTGGTCTTGCCCTTCTTGGTCTTGCTGCCCTTATCTAAGCACTCCTCGTTACTTTTGACAGCATATGATACCTCGTAAGGCGTCTGGGCTGTAGGAGCTCTCATGCTTCTTTTTACTTCTCAAGCTTACGCTAGACGAAAAGTTTGGCTGGTTGTATTCAATGTATTTATGATATCGGGTTATGCATTGTTAATAGATAGGGAATATTTTGCATATATTAGATCTGGAAATGACCGTTCGATACACTTATTCTTACACCATCTTCCCTCTGATGAGTTTCCTCGAATTCTATGTGCTGGAGTTTTGTCACATTGAACCTCCGTGCCTTCGTCGTACAGTCACAAAGTAAGCTACAGAAATGGAAGGCTCTACGATCAAGTTTGTGGCCCCCTATCCTCCAATTCTGCTCGCACCCGTCCTCCACCAAGAAGGCTCACTTGACGTATGTATTGAGTGACCATAAGATCTTGTTGTGATCAGTCAAGAATAAAAGAGGGATGAGCAAAAGAAAAATCACAAAACATACAGCAGCAGGGATTCCCACGTGGTCACCCACCGTAGTACTAATCTGCCGTTCAACTGCTTATGTATGGCAGAGCGGACGGGATGCCCAGTTTTCAGCTGACTGTGGCCGTATGTGCTGAAGACGAAGTTTTTCAAGCTTATCTATCCTCAAATCATTGGTAAAAACACCAAGCTGGACGCGTCTATATCTGCATCTTTGTAATAATTCACGTTCAAGTAGGCGACCATGACCACCTTTTCGTCGGCAGTTTACTTTCCAGGAAAGCTAGCGAGATGCATTGTTCGCTACTATCGGACTATGATGGATCTCTTTCGTCCGATACATGAGAGCCCTCTTGTAAGCCGAGACACCACTGCAGCTGCGTAAGAGTCCGTCCGAGTAATCAGCATCGCGGGCTCATTTAGCAATGGATTCACACAACAGCAACCACGATCAAGGTCATATTGCAAGTTCCTATCGATTGGTGAGATTGCTTGCCGGAAGGAAGGTGATGATCGGGGGCTTGTACAAGCGGGTCCCGCATGGCTTATAATAGGTAGGTGCATAACCACCATCCTGCTCCTTCTCTTTTTCCAGAACGAATCTCTCTCTGCAAGTTTTAGGTCTTGTTTGTGGTCTACAGTCACAAACGAAAAGGAGAACTATCATTCAATCACGAAATGGAGTCGAACAGCAACACTAGCTCGGATATTACTGGAAACAAGATACCCAAAGGCCCGAACGAGCCAAGTATCACTTTATTAGTCCATCCACCAGCAACGAAGAAATGGAGAACGAAATTGAAGACGTCGACTTGAATCTCATTCACCGTGAAGGTCGAGGACACGGGCCTGGTCCTAATGCAAGAAGAAGTCGAATCTAGCTGTACCTTCCAATTTTCCATGTGTACCGATGAGGAGAGGGAGAGAATGATGGTCAGACTCCATCGAAACCGTGTATATTGAGAACATCGGTATTCGGATCATCTGGGTACGTGGACCTTTTGGAGACTCAGAGAAGAAATTTGTTTGGGAAAGATCCGAATTCAATCATTCAGTCGTACTTGCTACATCAAGTATCAAGCAGGAACTCCATTACCTCTAGTCTTTCCCTCCGCTCATTCCTCACATCATCCATCATCTCATAATTTCACGCTTTCCCCCTCAATTTCTGATAAAAGCAACATTGTGCTCCTTGTACAACACACTCGAATCCAACAACTCACCAGTATCGCTTCTCAAGAAGTTGATCTGCAAATTCTTCGCATCCTGGAAATTCAGTGTCGCATAGCTGAACTCATCGCCGTACGCAAACACATTGGTCGAATAGTTGGCACCAACAGCACTCAAGCCTTCAATGTTACCAGCTCCTCCTGCAATAATGTATGCAGGAGCCTTGGGATTCTTGAGAACAGCAGTGTCGGCAACATTGTTGTAGACAGGGTTAAAGCGTTGAGAGTTGTGGACATGGCCGAAGACTCCCAAGTCCACGCCGTATTTGTAGAACAGGGGTTCAAAGGCTGTCTGGCAAGGGCCGCAGATGTTTTTGGAGGCGCCGGTGCTGTACCAGGGACGGTGGCCAGCTACAATGACCCAAGGAGTGACAGTGCGGTCAACAGAGGCTAGATCAGCGTCCAAGAACTGAAGTTGTTGGGTAGGGGTTTGACCAAAGGGACCAGCACCCAGACCGGCACTGCCGTCCTTACCATCAGGTGCGGAGGGGAAGTCAGTCTCGGTGTCGATCATGACAATATGAGCCATGCCGTACTCGAATGAGTACCAGAAAGGCGGGTTGGCCAATGCTTGGGCCTTCTTTGCTGAAGCCTGAGCAGTTGCGTTCTTGGATGAAGAGGGGAATGCAGTAGGCATAAGTCCCTCGAATCTAGTCATGAAGTCGGTGAAGTTCTTCTGACCTTCGGGGCACAAACCAGTGGTGTAGGGAATCTCTGTGCAAGCGGCTTCGTGGTTTCCGGGTGATGCCATGTAGGGCTTTCTGCCTGCAATGGGAGCCAACTGATCAAANAAGTTTTCGAGGATGGCAGCGTAGGCATTTTTGCCGTCCAGCACGTTCTTGGGCGTGAGGTACCAGTCGTCTGCGTATGCGAAATCTNNATCCTTGTCAGGATGGGTGTTTTAAGCTTTGGCTTATTCATAATTACCTCCTGGGTGCAGCACAAACTCGTAGTTGTCAATGGTGCGAGCGAGTGCAGCAATAGTAGTGTGATTCAAAGCAGGCTCGATGTAGGGAATGTCGCGCTTGCGAGATGTGGTATAGCCATCTGCACCATAGACACCAAGNCTGATGATTGAGTTATATCAGCGCAAATCCCATGAGTCGTACTCTTGGTTTTCGAAACTTACATCAACAACAACATCTAGATTGAAGCTAGTCGTGTCTCCCGGAGCACGGGCAGTCTTGAACTGGTTGACAGTCGAGTTGGTCGAGTTGATCTTGTAGTAGTATGTAGTAGCAGCATCAAGTCCAGAGAGGGTGACCGAGTTGGCCCAAGTGCGAGAGGTACCATAAGTCAAGGACTGAGTAGAACATGCTTGAGAAGTCAAGCTGTTTGCTGACTTGCCATAGTTCACACAACCTTCCTCCAGCTGCTGGTAAGTGTTCCAGCCAACAGAGATGGCNTTTGATCATGTCAGTAAGATGTCGTCAGAAATCCTAATTGACCTCTCAATCATACCATTAGGACCCTTGAAGGCGATACGTTGTTGTACAGGAGTGGTCAAGTCCTTGGGAAGGCTAGGGAAATCTGCTGCCAAGACCAACCCCGACAACAGAGGGAGAGCTTGGATATAGAATGATGTAGGAGCCATATTGACTGGTCTTGACCACAATGGGTGATCAGAGCCAAGTGCTCGTAGTTGTTTTGATCTGCGATACAACCTTCATCCTTCGTGGCAATTGCAGTGCTTTATGTAGTGCAGAGTTTCAAGTTCATGCCATTGTCACCTACCTTTCTGGGATGATCGCCTTTGCCTTGCGACATTCGTACAACAAATGCCTCTTGCATGAGTCTAGAGTGACTGCAAACAACCATGCTTCTGACGGTAGTCGTCTCGTGTGATGAGAAAGACAACACGTGGGTGGTCCAGTCAAGCTTCAATAAGCTTGGGTTTTTGCTTAGCGAGGCACGCTTTACGCTCGAAAACGATGATTGGTCAACACAAAACTCGGAAGAATGGACGATCAATCATTCGAGAAGGTAGTTCCTTGTACGCGTCGCTAGACGACTGGATAGATAGCATCTTGTGACTTGTGAGCGTGGCCTCGGCAGAAGGCAGCCCTGGAAATCCATTCTGTGTACCTGTTGATCACTTCGAACACCCCTTCGCTAGACCACACGCTTCTTTTGCAATTCAAGACTTCACATAGCTAGCTTTACGAAGCGATATAGTTTGACATGCAATATGTGGCCATAAAACGCATACTACTTCCAAGAAGCAGGTTCAAAAATATATCTCGCAATTGACATAGCCATGTTTCTCGAGTCATTGTGTTGTTTATCTTCTGATATCACTCTGTGGCGCCGTGAGAGCAGGGAGGCTGGTGTGGTGGACTCCAGTAATGATAAACAAGGACTCATGTATGTTTTACAATCTGCGTGTTTTCATCGGTCCTCCATCATGCGACAAACTTGCTATCCGTGACCGTGCCATTTGCTTCTGAGATCAGCTAACACTATTTCTCTCCAGTTGGCGTCATGGATATCGCCCCTTTGCGCCAGACGATTGACGGAAATGAAGAATCCAGAGCTTCTTTCATACTTGTCGCACCTCTTAGCCCGGAATAGAATATGATCCAGTTCCCATACAATCACGTTGACAACATCCACGCTCAGAGGACTTGTTGAACAGAGACTTTTCCAATCAGCCAGAGTCTTGTGCAGTGTCTTTTGCAGTAACCAAATGGTCAAGGAAAGAGTTCCGTCCGAACTGTCTGAAGCAGAATCATTCATGCCTGCTATGTCCCTTCCGTTTGGGTCAGAGATTCGCAATAACGGGGAGGCATTTTTCTGAGGTGTGATGGTAACGCCGATGTTCATAAAAGTGGACCAGATATGTATTTGGCCGCACAGAGGCACGAGATAAACCATGTCGGACTTGCAGAAGTGGTTCCAGGAACGTAAGATACCTGGCAAACATGACAGTATTCTTCCGTTGGCGGTCACAAGTGGTCTGAACTTGAGTCGATCCGAATTGTCCAGACCATACGTGTTCAGCGTATTTTGACCGCTCATGGCAGAGAGAGTCAACTCGAAGCCACTCATGAGTATAGGCAGGGCTTCTTGACGTAGCTGCTTGCATACGGAGATGAGCGGGTGCGACAGCTTCTGCTCCCGACCTTCGAGAGAGTCGGAAATTGTCTCGAACAGACATTCATATATGACGAACCTGATCTCGAGCGGCAAGTTCAGAAGATGTGCAGATTTGGTTGAAGACATGGTAAGGGACGAAAGAGCTGAGATTGAGACGCCGGCAGAGTTATAATGAGTGTGCGACAAGATGTATATTATACTTGGAGCTTGACTCATTGGTTGTGAGACAGATTACCTGAAGATGCGTGCTTTTGCGCAAGTATGGCTAAGGACAGAGGGCAGTGAGTGGCTGAGTAGATTCTGGATGGGACGTGCATGTTGAATGCACATTGGGACAGTCATGTTGAATGCACATTGAGACAGGCAGTGTCGTAGAGACCAGAGAGACGGGTTGAGGAAGGAGCGTGGGAGGAGCCAATGAAAAGACATGTCTTTCGGCTGATGCTTCTCGCCTCACCGCCCAAACGTCATGCGGCAATAAACATTCACGATTCGTCCTTATCCGGACAATCAACACCAACACACGACAAGACAAAGGCCAGCTATATAGATAGCTTACCATCTGCGCCTAGTCCTACCATACTCATCAGTAGCACATCAAGATGGGTAAACCACGAGTAGGTGCAAAGCAGGATGGGATGCCAACGAATGGGCGGCTAACTGGTTGCAGATGATTATCGTGATTCGCCATGCGCAGAGCGAAGGAAACAAANACCGCGACATCCACCAGATGATCCCGGACCATCGTGTCAAGCTGACCGAAGAGGGCTGGAAGCAGGTAAACACTCCCCACTAGACCAACCACCAAGCCAAAACTCACCAGGCTGGCNAGGCAGAGGAAGCAGGCCGACGACTACGAGGAATGCTCAAGCCAGACGACACGATCCAGTTCTTCACCTCCNCCTACCGCCGTACCCGCGAGACCACCGAAGGCATCCTTTCATCCTTGACCTCCGAGACCGAAGAAGAGNGGCCCTCGCCATTTCCCCGCCACACCATCAAGGTCTTTGAAGAGCCGCGACTGAGAGAACAAGACTTTGGAAACTTCCAGCCATGCAGTTCAGAGATGGAGCGCATGTGGCAAGAACGCGCCGACTATGGCCATTTCTTCTACCGCATTCCCAATGGCGAGAGTGCTGCCGACGCCTACGACCGTGTCAGTGGCTTCAACGAGAGCCTGTGGCGCAACTTTAGCGACGACGACTTTCCCTCCGTCTGCGTCCTTGTCACGCACGGTCTGATGACAAGAGTCTTCCTGATGAAGTGGTATCATTGGTCGGTCGAATATTTTGAGGATCTCCGCAACGTCAACCACTGCGAGTTTGTCATCATGCAGAAGAATCTCGATAGCGGCAAGTACGTCCTACAAAATCAAATGCGCACGTGGTCCGAGTATAAGAGACGAGCTATACCGCAACACAACCAACAAGTCACAGCCAGCCAGGTCGCTTCGCCTGTCATACCCGCTCGCAAATGGGGCGGTTGCGTCGGCGGCTGCACACATCAACACTCAAAGTACCCTCGTCGCATTAAGAAGCAAGACGAGGCAACGGCAAAGGCTCCTGACCAAGAACAAGAAGACCACCCCATCGCCACTGGAGAGGTCGCCATATCGTCAACTCCACTCAAGGCTTCGAGCACAGCAAGCACTACCGAGCCCAACTCCNCCATCTCCTTCCGCCTTCCCACGCGTCCGAGCTTCCTTCACGGCCGTGATGGCGGCGGCTCACTCTCCGGCATGGCCACTCCAGCTGAAGGCTTCTCGGACGTCTCAGGCACCGAGAGCGACTACTTCGCCCGCTTTCAAGAACACCACCGCGACCTCTCAGACGCAAACCCCAACAACCCCTCTGCCGCCTCGTCCTCGAAACGCAGACCTAATGCCAAGGACCTTGAGAAATGGGGCCGGGAAAGCGGTATGGGAAGCGGAGCTCGAGCCGATGCGTTAGGAGATGGGGAAAACGAGCACGACGAAAATGCTGATGGTGACGATGAGCACGACGATCATGACGAGAATGTTGTCAAGATGCACGAGCCCAGTGAGATTATCGAGGAGCTGAAGAAACAGGAGATTCACGACAGAAGTATCCAAGGCAGTGTTTACTGATACTGGAGAAGAGACTGGAAGAGCATTCACGCATGAGGTTTTGCATAATGGGGTTTGGTTTGCTGGCATTTTTACTACTATAGCTTTACGACTTTTTCCTACGTATCCATATAATACCCAGATCTGCTATTTTCTGTTACTTGTTGCCTCTTTTCCTTTTGACCTATGCCAGATCTTTTGCTTTCGCATCAGATATCGTTGATCATGACCACAGAGGTATGTATCTCGTCGCGGCCGACACTTTTTCGCTGCCAGGAGAACCCTGCTCAGCGTTTCCATGACCCGCGCCGGCATCGATGCATAGATCCCGAGTCTTTTTAGAAGATGTGTTCGTACTAAGCGGTATCAAGATAAGTGATTTACATATCTCCAAGCTTAACTACGTCTTTCAGGGCAGATTTTTGTCGATGTACTCCAAACACCGAGCTTTTGTTATAGTAGATGTGTAGATCAGACACCACTTCTGTGCTCAAAACATCGTCATTAGAGTTGAGTATATGCCCAACACCAGTCTCTTCCACCCATTGAAAGATCATTAAAAGATCTTAAAGAACCAACACAAACGCCAAACCTCAAGAAAAGAGAAAAATGTGATCAGTCGTGACAATCATGCTCCTAACATCAATTACTCGTTCAAAACCCCTCGCATGAGGTTTCCTCATCCATCCCAGGCCCAACTTCTTCATCTTGCTCCCTCCATTCTTCTCTAAAGCTCCACTGCTGACACTCAGACTTCTCCTCATGGTCACGTCGGGACCGTCGGCTGCACATTCGGCACCGCCTTCGACGCTGCTTTCGGTCGTCACTGAGCCCAAGCTAGTGCTCGTAGACTCTTCGCCGGGTGCTTTGGGNGGACGTCTGGTGGAAAGGCGAGCACATTGTTGAGATGCTAGTTCTGGATCCCAATTACGCTCTTTACAGCAGAGGGAGTGCAGGGTTGCTTGCTCGAGTGCGGCGGCGATGCGGTCGCGGATGGCCAAGGCAGTAGGACGATGGCTCGGATCTGGCAATAGCATGTCTCTGACTACGCCTAAGATAGGTACCAAAGCCGATAGAACATGCACAGTTGGCGAGAGCCGGACGGCGTCTGATGCGAGATGGGCAAGCCAAGTATGCAAGGTGGCTGTATTGGTAGACAAGGGCGCCTTTGCCTGTGCTCGAAACTTTTGCAGATCGGAGAGCTTGCCTTTGACAATGTAGGTGACGAGGTCTAGATATACGCAGCCTAGAGAAAAGACATCGCCTTCAAAACCTGTATCTTGGCGTGTGGGTATTGTTGCAAGGTTACTGCTGAGTGATCTCTGTGATGCAGTCTTGCCTATGACAAGAGGTTTGGGAACACTCAGAGGTTCGTTTAAGAGCTCGGAGAGCAGACTGGATGGATCGGAGGGNGTGCTAGAGGTAGGGCATGGTGTTGTACCCCAAGAAGCCCAGGATGGTCTTCTGTCCGCTCTTATCGGTATTGGATGCGAGGGCCCAACATCATCAGGAGAGAAGAACTTCTGATCTCCATCAGGAGGCGAGCCGTTTAGTGATGCTGGAGGACTGTTCGATTTGCGAAATGAAAGTCGAGTTTTGCCTGAGGTGGGGGACCATATACTCGCAGAGGCGAACGTTGGTGGAGGAGGTAGATGTCTACTGAAGTTGCGAAACAGTGGTATTGGCGGAGGTAGAGAAGGATGGTTGAAACTGTTCATCGGGCTGTCAACCATGGGGCTAGAACTGTGAATGAGTATGGGATTCGAAATCTTTGGTGGACTCGAAGAGGATAACGAAGTTCCACTCAAGGTACTGTCGTCGGAACTGCGCTTGATGTTGATTTGACTGCTCAATGTATCGGCGACGTGCACGCCGCGCACCTTTTCCTCCACATACATTTCGGGAGCAGAGTAGCCCGAGGCCTCATTCTTGATAGACTTCTTGCCACGCTGAAATGTCCTCAAAACGCCTATGTCAGAGAATGCGATACAGTTGTCATGATCGATGAGAACGTTAGACGGCCGTATAGCGCCGTGTGACACACCATAGTGATGAAGCATAGCGAGCGCATCAATCAGACAGTGCATCCACTCTAGGAGAATGATGGGCCTTTCAGCTTGAGGTACACGCATGAACTGATACGGCGTCCGATGAGCAATGAACGATGCCAATGTGTGCTCCGGCACAAAATCAGAGAGGACATAGCCAGCATCTCCGGCGGTGTAAGATGCCCACACTCGAGCAATGTGGGGATGAGCCAGCCGTCTCGCTTGTGCAAGATCCTGCATGTACATCTCTCTCAGATCATCTTTGTCGTTGCCAGTTCCGAAGATGAACTTGCGCCTAACGAAGACTTGTTTGTGATCTGTGGGGAAGTGAATTCTGTCCCAACTTTGAAGCGACACGGCTGGAGGTACTTTGTGAACGTACTCCATAGGGATATGTTCTTGAGGTCCATAGTCAACATGGCCACCTTGCCCTATTTGGCGCAAGAGGTACAGGAACTGAGTAGCGTAAAGCTTTCGGTTCAAGCGCTCATCCGGCTCAACACAAAGATCCATGTCAACAATACTCTCGAGAGAAAACGGTAGGTCATCGTCATCCAGAGAGTCATCGATTAGACCGAAGATCTGCTCTGGCTTGCCAATCTCTGCCAAGATCAGGAACAGTCGCCTTGCTCGACTCAGGATCCATTCCATGTAGGTGTCATCTGTCAACCCTTCGCCGAACGCAAGAGGTTTGTCCAAGAAATCCCTCTCTTCTCCTTTGATTTGTGACACAACGAACTTTCGAGTGACTTTGCTCTCGATACGGTTTTCCGTCCACCATAGTTGTTTGAGAGCTGCATGCGGCGTTACTAAAGAGTGTCCTCCATAACCGTAGATGTAGGCGTTGAGAGCTATAGTTGCCGCCGTCGGAGGAACCTGAGCATAGCTTATGGTTCCCATCGTAAGCGCATAACCTCGAGGTCGGCCTCGGGCAATCTGGTGGAATAGCTGGCCACAGTGGTGTCTGCAGCGGGAGCGAGGCTTCTTCGGTCGCGGTTTGTTGAAAGTGGCAGAACGTGGGCTTCGTTGATACAAGACGTCCTAGCTTATTCCAGAAAAAATGAGGTGCAAATGATCGACTGAGGCTTCAGAAAACGTAAGTGATAGAGAACGGTGTACTGGTCCGCTGGCATCGTGAAGGGAAGTAAGACTCGGATAGCGATGTTGAATGTTTAGACGGATGGTGTTGCCCTGCGAGATATCAGACAATACTCAACACATGTGTGAATCCGCCGGGGTTGTGTAGCCACCCATGTCGTACTCAGAAGAAAGCAGGCGCCTATCTGCAGGGTTCACCAAAGAGATGGGAGGCTGACGCCATCATGCCACTGATTCAGCCAACGATGGCATCCGGCAAGAACAAGTGACCCGGTTGGACTACTGTGCCCAAGGGCGACATTCATCCAACAAGAATATCGCCAGGAGTGCTTTGCTAGATGGCGGCAGTCGAATCAAAACACCCAAAGGCAGGATGAAGAGAGGATGATTCTTAGATTTGAAATATTGTGTGCGAGCCGTGACGCCGGAGGACTAAAGGAGATACATGTTGTGTGACGATAGGCTTACTGCCCACGTTCTCTGCCGATTCCAGGCACCAAAGAGGGAATAGGTTGCGTGTCACGGGTGAGACGGCCGTGTACGTGCGGTCAGTCATGGACTTAAGCCCAAGTCGTACGAATGATGAGCACTCTGGCGGGTGAACTCGTGCCGTGGAATGGGTTGTGTCGTCCGTAGCTGGCATGTTACAAGTCGACGAAGCATGTCTTGGGGATAGTCGGTACTTTGTCGCAAGCGTATCTCGCTCGCGCGTACCTGACAAGTCATTTAACGGCAGGGTGTCAGCCAGGAACCGCTTACGGGACTCGATCCACGACTGGTGAATCTGTGTAGAGCCCATAATTTCGGAGAGTTTGTTGACAGGAATACCAGGAAGTGCGACAAAGTTTGGCTTTTTGGGCCCGCAGTGGCAGGCGTCTGAAGCTGCGTTTCAGAGCAGCATGAAATTACTCCGGTTCGTGCAGCGTATCACGGAAGGAGCTCATGACGAGGTTTCGGGCCTGGGCAATCGATCTCTCGTCATCCTGATTATCGTGACAAGCAGTGGAGAAGAAGAAACATGAAGAATAACGTCGTACCATTTGCAGGGAGCATGATGATACAGCTTGTACAGAGGTTATCGGTTCGATCAAGTAGTATGTAGAAACACCTCCGCCAATTCGTACGAAACAAACCAGAAAACCCTTTTGGACAGGAACAAATTCAAGAAACCGCTCTTTTAGACCCCACGACCAGCGACTCCGGTACTCCGACCATGATGATGGCGCCCACATGCAAACATAAATGGCAACAGAAAAGAGACTAAGAGATGAGAAGACACTGGAAGTCTAGTCCTTGCTCTTCTTCTTCTTCTTCTTTTCCGTCTTGTCCTCGTCCTCGTCGGCCTTTCTCTTCTTGGACGATTTGCCGGCTGCTTCGGCGGCCTTCTTGGCTTCCTTTTCAGCCTTCTTTGCCTCCTTGGCGGCCTTCTTTGCTGCCTTTGCTGCCTTCTTCTGCTCCTTGGTCATCTCTTCCTCGTCGCTGGAAGCCTCGGCACCAGCCTCGGTGACATCTTCCATCTCAGCGTCCTCGTTGGCGGCAGGGGCGTTGGCGGAAATACCGTCAGCATCGGCGTTGTACTTGCGGGCCTCCTTGACTTCCCACTTGGCAGGCTGAGCCTGACCGCTGGGTGCGACACCGGAAGCAGTGCTACGGATGGGCTTGCCCTCAAGACCTCTCAATCTTCTCTCGACCAAAAGTCTGCCCTGAACACCAACAGCCATCTTCTCCTCCTCGGTAGGCTCGGGCTTGTCGCCCTCGCCAGAAGTTCCCCAGTCGGAAAGAGCATCAACACGCAGACCAAGGGCGGCCTTGGTAGCGAGCATACGAGCGATCTTACCCTTGTTCTTGCCAGTTGCCTGGCCGATCAAGGAAGCGTGGTAGATAAGACCGTACTTGGGTGTGTCGTGCTTGGTCTTGAGAGCTCTGAAGAGAGCCTTCTCGGCACCGAGAATCTGGATGGTCGAGGCAGGAGACTTGGCCAAGTTGAGGAGCGAACCAGAGTGAGCGATCAGACGAGCACCAACAAGCTCACCGACAAGAGCGGTAAGGTTGGGGGCAATGGCCTGCATACGGGCGGTGAGGTAAGATGACAGCTGCTGTCTGTACTCGGTGAAGCCAACAACCTGCTCGGCAAGAGCCTGAATGTTGTCCAAATCCTCCTCGGTGATCTCAGTACCCATGGAAACCTCAGCGGCGGCCTTGACGGCGCCCTCGATCTCCTCGGGAAGAACATCGGAAAGGTCGGTGGTGGCAGCGTTAGTACGGACACCCATGGCCAGGATGACACGGGCGAAAGCGAGGTTGTCGTTGATGATCTTGGCCATCTCGGGGAAGTGCCAGCCGTACCATTCCTTGACACGCATAGCGTAGGTGTTAAGCTCCTTGTCCAGGTCGTCGAGCAGGGCAATGGCCTGGATGATCATGGTGTCGACCTTGTCGGGNGAGAACTTGAGCTTGTGGCGCGAGAGCGAATGCGACAGACCGAGGGACATGGTGGAGATGTCGTCGGGCATAAGACCGGGGATGAGCGAAGGAAGGTGCTCACGGATGGCGCGGTAAACGTCGTTGGTGGAGGAGTCGGCGATGCACTCAATGTCGAGCTTGGGAAGCTTGCTGATCGACTGACCGAGCTTAGGGTCGGCAACGGCAAGCTGGACCTTCTTCTCGTCCTTCAGGGTGTCGAGAAGCGAGGCGAGCATGGGAGTGACCTTGCCATCGGTGAGAGCAGCGGCCTCCTCGAGGGCAGCGGCGGCGCTGTCGAACTTNTGGAACTGCTTGAGCTTGAGCCTGGAGAAGAGGGATTAGTGCTGAACAGAGTGAGAGATGGTGAGTGCATCGTACAGGCCAGCGGCACCNTCGGCGGTGGCAGCCTCCTCGTGGATGTCGGTGCGCTTCAAGAGCTTCTTGTCCTTGGACTTGAGCAGCGCATAACCGGCCGAGGTTTCTGTGAGAATGAAGAGAGTCATCGTGTCGGCGGAGTCTCAGGTGCCGTAATAAAGGATTGTCGAGAGTCGCTGGACGAGGATAGACGCGACGTGTAGATGGTGGGCTCGACGACCTTTTTTCCAAAAACGCAAGACTTCAGCTTGGTGCAGGTTCTTGTCGAGAGACCAAAAATTTCGACGGCCCGGTCCGGCTTTTCTTCGGCTGACTCCGTCGTCGAGCGGCGTTAGCGCGCGGAGCTCCAGCGTGTCTGGCCAAGCACAGGACCGACCAGCAGCTTCAGCACACAACCATGTAGTAACACTCTCTGGCGAGGCTCGGCCTCTGTCCTCACACATCTCCCAATGGCCGCTCCGGACTACTTCGCCCGCAAGCCGTCATACAATCGCTCCCGCTCTGGCCTGGCCGTCCCTGGAGTCACTACCCCGGCTTCACCGCACACTCCGCTCTTGACCCGCTCTCTCTCCTCTCAACTTGGCTCACCCGGTGCTTCGTATCGCGCCGAGGAAGACACTCTCGTCTATGAACTCGGGTCGAGATCGTTTCGTGCAGGCTTCGCTGGCGACTCTGCTCCGAGATGCATCATTCCCTTCGGCCCGGACCAAATGCGCCGTCTTAACGACTTCACCACATCCACAACATCGCGCTCTGTGAACGACTGGGCAAAAGATTGGGAGTTGTGGGACTTGGATGTCCGCAACATGAATCTTGGTCTGATCGAGGACAAGATCGAACGTGCCATACGGAGTGCCCACACCAACTACCTCATGCTGGATCAACGGCCTCGCAAAGTCTTTCTTGTTCTGCCCTCCACCTTGCCTCACCCACTCGTCTCTCTCACCTTGAATGTCGTTTTCAATGCCTTCCAACCCGCAACTATTCAATTATGGACACCACCTGTCCTCTGCGCCGTCTCCGCTGGTCTGCGCTCTGCCTTGGTCATCGATATTGGTTGGCACGAAACAACTGTCACCGCTCTATATGAGTATCGCGAGGTCCTCCACAGGAGGTCAACCCGAGCCGGCAAACTGTTTACTCAGACTATGGCCGAAGACTTGCGTAAACACGCCNCCTCTTCCACATCTCTCTCCTTCGACACTGCCGAGGACATAGTCATGCGTATGGCTTGGTGTCGCGACTCACGCGATCAACACTTCACCGACAGTGTCACTCTTCCACTGGAGTCTTCATCGTTGCAAATCCCCTTCGAATCCCTAGCCGACCCGGCAGAGGAAACCTTCTTCTCCACGTCTGTTCCAGTCGAGCAAATTGATGACCACGATCTTCCTTTGCATCTTCTGGCATACAAGTGCTTGCTATCGCTCCCACTAGACGTACGCGCAATCTGCGCTTCGCGCATCGTTATCACTGGTGGTGTAAGTGATACACCAGGTCTGAAACCTCGTCTGTTGCGAGAGATAGAGAACGTAGTCAATACCAAGGGGTGGGACCCAGTCATGAACTATGGCTCGGCTACAGAAAAGAGGCAGCTCTCATCACAGCAACAGACAATAGCTTTGCCAACCAGGATCAAGCCACCTGATGTCAGTGAGGTGGATAAGCATATTGCTTCTCAGCCAGATGAGCAACCACTGGCTCGCAATGCACCGCAAGAACGCGATGAGGTTGCTGAAAAGCTACAGCGTGAAGTGCTGAAGCGCGGTATCACAATTCAAGGCGAGGTGCGCGGTGTTGAGACGCTAGGTGCTTGGGCAGGAGCTTCGCTGGTTGCAACTCTCAAGGTGGATGCCGCATTTGAGGTAAAGAGGGAAGACTTCTTCAAGAACGGCCTTAGTTCATTGGGTCACACGTTTTAGATGAGAATCGGTGGTCCAGAACACGATTGTTAAATTCTGCAAATGATACCTCAGCGCATTGAGGTCTTGTCTGAGAGTCCTAGTGAAGCGGGTAGTTGTATCCAAGATTTCTTCTGATATATCCGAATGCACTCCCGGTGCTGTGGCGTTCCCTCGTGAGATATAATTCATGGGTGGAGTACGACTTGTGAGGAAGAAGCCTCGGCGGCACGCGTCAACACCAAGACAAGATTGTTGGCCATGGATTCACCACGCAACAACGACCATTGCTTTTTCCTCTGATCACACTCAATGCGGATTCTTTGATAAATGCCTTGTAGTCATCGCCACCTCTCTAACATTGAAGCACTCATGTTTGCGTCCATCAAAGTCACGGTTCGGAACAAAATCTCATCAAACATCTGGCATCATGTTCATCCGTCACGACTCTTTTCATACGTCGCCCTGTACACTACCACCTGGTCGGCTCGGGTCACTGTACCCGGGCCTCAGGACCTAGCACTGGCGACACAATTCGATAGAGAAGTCGACAAGGCAGATATTCTCTAGCAATGGATACTTGAAACCAAGATGCAAAATACCCCACTATACTCGTATATGTTCAAGTCACGCACCAAGCAGAAGGAACACTCCAACACTCCAACGCACACTGAATCACAGTCTCGACCTCAGTGTATCGAAGCAAGCGTATCGCTACCCAAGAGTTATGAATCGTGCAACCTCTGTAAGGTCTGCCTCTCAAGCGTTACAAGGCACACATAAGATGATTCTCCACTCTGTGGACAGTCCCGCGTCTGAGGCTGGCTTCAACCGGAGGAAGAAGTCTTCTCTGTTCTTGAATTTGTCCTTCAGTAGTTTGACGAGCTGACCGAAAGGCATGTTGCGACGCATCTTGATTTGCAGGTGTTTCCCCTCCCACGCTCATTTGGGGTCCAGGACGTCCACCAAGATCGTGATTGTTGGCACTTTGATTTCCTGACTGATCGAGCAGCAAGTGACGGTCTTGTAACACGATCAGTTTCTTAGCGGTCATTGTGAATACTGGCTTACTGATGTAGGAGTCATCATGCCAGTCGTAGAAGTGGCGATAGTCTCATCGTCGTCGGACATCTTGTCGGTCAAGTTGAAAATGGCTGTCCAGAGATGCATCCAATTGTGAAGCCAGTAACACTCTGATAGTTTCACCCATTCCAAAACGAGGATGATCGTTGCTTTCGAGGCGTGGGGTTGCTTTCTTGAAGGTTCCAGTATGAGCATGAATGAGACTCCAGCATCGTACGACTACGCGTCTCTTCCAGCAAGATACATACTAGTCGCGTGTTGCATTTGTTTGGGAACCACAACACAAACATCTCAAGAACCACAAAGCTTTCCATCTCAGCTGCAGAAACGCAATATGGCTTCTCTCTATGTTGGAGACCACCTCATCTCTACTATGAATACAAAGACAGACGCTTTCCAGTCTGGTTCCCACGATGAAGTCTCAGATGACTTTGTAGATGTCCCGGGACATCGGTGTTCAGAGGGCGACGGCACTCCAATTATGCCTCCAATTATGGCGTACGATCCCAATATGGACCCTCCATACAAGATCCTTCGTGTAAGTGCAAACTCAAGGATTGATATGCAGACAGACACTAATTCCTCAAGATGGGACAAACACCAGAACATGACGATTGGATTTCTGCCAGTGCTCTGAGCGGCTCACAACCATTTTACTCGGCCCACTACGATACCATCGCCAGAGTCAAATGTTCCGAGGATTATGCCAAGAGTGCTCGAGCAGAAAGAGATTTAGCCGAACGCAAGTGCGAGGAGATCCAACTCGTCGCTATCGCAGAGAAGGAGCATCTGCAAAAGGCACTTGAGTACGCCAACGACGAGAGAGCTTTAGCAAAAGAAGACCTTGAGAGCATGAGGTTTCTCAGAGATCAAGACAAAGAAGATCTAGAGAGTTTGAGGTCTTCCAGAGACAAGATATTGCAGGACCTCTCGGAGGCGAAAGCGCAACTCGCCGCGATCGAGTCGCAGAAGACCGACCCTGCTTCTTGTCAAACATGTCGCTATGTTGTCGACGAAAACCTCAGAGTTCTGTTCAAGAACGAAGACCTGGAGGCTCAGCTCGAGCAGTCCGCTCGTGATACCGAGAAAGCTCAGCAGTCGATCGCTGGAGGTGACAATATCTTTGCTGTTATTAACAAAGTAATTGCTAAGCAGAAGACAGAGATCGCTGAGCACAAGGCAGAGATTGCTCGTCTGAACACCAGGGTTGCTGAGCTCCAAGTGTCACAGCCCTTGCCTGACAGTACTGAAGAGAAGGAGCGGGCTCTTGAAGAATCGATCGAGCACTCGGAAGCTGCCGGGCACTGTATGTGTGACTGTCCACTTGTCATGCGCATTACAGTGTGGGTGAGTGGAGCGAGCGGGAAAGACACCGAATTTGCCCTCGTCAAGATGGATCCAGACACATCATTCAAGGCAGTGCTGAAGGACTTGCGTCGTCATCATCCACTCAAGGCTTTGAGACAAAAGTCCACTGGGAGATGGATCTTCGACTCTGATACTCCCACTGATGTAAGTATCTTATTGTCTTTTCGCAGTCCATGTTTGTGTGCTGACGATCTCAAGTTGGCGATGAAAGACGAAGAGAAATTAAATTTCATCCAAGAATGTGGAGAGCCATTGTACATGTTAGATGCTACCACGGATGGTGCAAAGTGTTGGAGAGGTAAGAACAGCAGGATTTGATGGATCAAGTCCGAGGGATGTTGTTATCCTCAAGTGAATATCACGCAGAGTGACCGGTCCTTGTCTGAACAAATTGTTGATAAATGGCGTTACGGATTGCTTTTACTAAAAAGTTCTTTCCAATCAGTGTTTAGTCGTCATGTACAAGCAAAGAACAACGTGATACCTGAAGAGATGGCTATTGTTCCTCATAGACGCTGCCGTGTCGTGATCGTGGTATGCTGAGTCGTTGTACGGTTAGATGATAGATTTTTGTCGAGAGTCAAGTGAGTTGCTGAGAATTTGCTGTTGAGGATAACGAATTGAACGGCAAGTCTGTCCTTGTGTGTTGCCAAACGAATTGTGGAAGCTACGAATGACGGACCCCTTGCCTAGGTATACTTCAAAGCAGCGGTTGAAACACAGAGATAGAAGGAACGTCCGAGACTTGCAAACGTCAGCGTTACTGACAAAGTCAAATTACATACCGCTCTTCAGCCCTCGCAACACGGGTATACAAAGTCTATATAACATAAGAAAAAGAAAAAAGATACAGTTATACACAGGTTCAACTTCCTCCCTCCTCGAGTCAGCGAACCACATATCAACCCTTGAGATCACCCTTCAGACCACCTTCACCACCGTGTGTGAATCTGTAAGCAAAGGTGACGGTCACAGCGGCGAATAGAAGAACACACAATATACTAGGCCCCCACTTATCATGATAAGTAATGGCGCGACGGCTGCGGATCGATTGCACACGGTAGAGGTACAGTCCCATGCTGTAGCAGATGGCGAACAAGGCGACAATGGTGAAGGCCCATGCAGAAGCCAGAGCGGTGGTGTCACCGAAATTGAGCAGGGTGGCAGCGATACTGCCGATGATAATGCTAAATTCAAGCTGCGATGTGTGTCAGTATAGAGCAAAGAAGCGGAAATATAGACGAGAGGTGCTTACCCATGACAAAAACGTGCGCTCAGCTGCGAAGAAGACCTTGGGCTCGACACGCACTGGCACGTGAATTTTCTTGCCCTTGGGTGCCTTATAACGCTTCTCGCGGATATGGTCATTGTTCCTGGCACTCGGAATACCCATGGAAGCGTCTCCATTCGAAGGCATGGCGGTAGGTTTGGGGGTGGGTGCAGCGAGTCTGAAAGCGGTTGCCAGCTTGTCTCCGACCTTGTCAGCGTAGTGTGTCAACAGCTTGCGACGATATGTCCAGCCGCCGATGCGTTTCGCTTCCTCAAGATCATCATCCTCATCATCACTGTCATACAGTGGGTAATCTTCTTCATCGGTGATGGGTCTGGCGGCCAGACGCTCTTCCTCATCCAGCGAGTTGGCGTCGGCGCCACCGTTAGTGGTGCCGTAATCCATGCGCTGAGCAACCTCATGCTGTTCAAGAGCATCCCTAGCAGCCCGCAGACGACGGTAGTTCTCATCATCGCCGTTGGGCAGGTTGGCGGGATCTTCCATCTCATCGTCGGTGTCATCGTCCATCTGCCCACTAGTGGAGATATCTGTGCTTTGGCCAGGACGTTCGATACCGAATCGATGCGAGACAGGCTTACGGATGTCGGTATCCATCTGGGGCATCCAGAAGGGTAGCAAATCAATACGGTCAGGGTTGAGGGTTGCAGTACCGTGGATGAATTTGGAGAACTTGGGTACGGCCTCCACCAAGTGAGATGCGACAAGCTCACGGATCCACTCAGGAGGCTGTTGGCCGGCCTGTGTTTGCAGCTTGACCTCAAGAACAGCGTAAGGGAAGCGCTCGACGTCTTCGGCAGGCAATTGACCGAAGGGCCAGTCGATACCAATATCCATACGACGCCAGTTCTTGCCGGCACGTTCGCGTCCATCTAGGTTGTCTTCACGAGTCATGGTCAGCTCAGTATCGAGCGAGACACGGACGCGGGCATCGCCAGGCAACTGAAAAGCGGTACGGTTGTAGAAAGAGCGGGTAACAGGTTGCAGCTTGCGGGTGATGACACGGTACTGGATCTCTCTAGCGAGTTGCTCAAGATCAGCGATTTCCTTTTCGCTCTTCTTGCCATCACGGCGCATCTTCTCGAAAGCCTGCTCGACGGTGTAGTCGCCGCGCATGAAAGCGTTGACGTTCTTCTCCTTGAGTGCGAAACGAGCCTTGACCGACTTCTCGCCGGTCCAGTCTTCTCTGTGTGTTTTGCGCTCAACGAAGATGGTGTCAACATCCATGTCTCCGTACCATCTCAGACGGATAGCTTCTGCACCCTCAGTCTTCTTGAGACGGCCCTCGTACAGCTCCCAGGTGTCTGTGTTGTCGTAGTAGATGGACGAAATGGCCGAGTCCTTGATCTCAAACTCTTTGCTGGGATTGAAGACAAGCACGGGCAAGTGCTTGAGGATGATGAGCTTGAGCTCGGTAATGTTGTCGGGGTGGACCCAGTATTTTGTTGTTTGACGGACGAAGTTTTGCTGGCTGCCACCAGCCGACGAGTCACCCTTGGTGGGATTGCCGCGGGTGCGGACTTGGTCGTAGAGCTGCGACAGACGGACGATGGAAGCGTCGTAGTTGTCCTTGAAGAAGGGCTTTGCATTGAGACGAGCGGCAAAGAGAGGCTTCAGCTGCTGGTCAGGGTAGAGCTTGTCGTGCTTCTTGATGATCTTCTGGAAGCCCGTGTAGTTGAGCTGGGTGAACTTGGCCAGGTCGTGGACGTCGGCAATGATGTCGGACAGATCTTCCTCGAGCATGGCAAAGTCCTCCTCGCTAGGAACCTCCATGTTGGACTGCTCATTCTCTCCTTGTTGCAGAGCGGCCTTTGCGCGGGAGATGACCTCTGTGACCTCGCGCTCGCTGATCTTGATGCGGCGCTGGATCTCGCCGCTCTTGACCTGCTGGAAGTTGGAAACCTTGTCCAGCTCGGCCTCAAGCTCGCGGTAGAAGCGAGTTTCGTGTTCGTCGGTCCATGACTTGTCGGGTTCGTCGGCGTTCTCGGCGGTCGACTTTGACTTGAGCTCGGGCTGGAGGAGTCTCTTGAGCTCGTCGTAGGAGATGTAGTAGTAGTACCAGTCCTTGATCAGGGAGCTCTGCAGCTGCTGGCCGAACCTGTCGAGCTGGATTAGCTGTTGTTTGCATTGAGTGGGGCGCGCTGGCAGCCGTCGTGTGCTACTGNNTACGCACTTCATGATTGTCTCTGCTGGCGCTTCCTTGCAGCAATTTGCAGTCTGGAAACAATTGCTTTGTCGTACGGCTCCCTTGCAGAAATGGTATGCCAGTCGCTCAACTGAAAAAATCGTAGACAAAATGCGCAATGCACGATGCGTCTTCGAACAATAAATTGTGACCTCTCGAACTGCTCGTGCCACCAGCCAATCAGCGCTCGCACGTGTTTTGGATGTGGCCGCCTTGCTTACACTCGCTCCCCACTCTTTGCTGTCCCCGAGCGTCATCGAGACAACCACAGCCAACGAGTGACATCCTCTATATTGCAACACTTGCACGCCTATACACAATTTCAGAAGGAAAACTTGCAAGTCTTTGTTTGCATCACAGTTTTTTTGATTTTCACTTGTCTGCAATTTCCTTATCCACCTTATGCATAACCCCATATCAAGCAGAAACCAGTCCTTGCCCTGTCTAGTCGTGCGAATTCGTTGCCTGATGACCATCCGGCCATTCCCATTTTCCTTTCCGAATCCCACACCATATGCCAAATTCCATTCGTTAATCACATTTGCGCGACCTGTCATTCAATGACTGGCCCGCTTAAGAAGTGTAGGTGGCGTAAGTCTGACCGAAGCTCGAGGGCTCGGTACCGCTGAGGAGGGCGCCGTCACCAGCCATGAAGTAGCTGTAGCGCTCGACGAAGGACTGGCTGTCCATCCAGGGCATGACGTCCTCAAGGAAAGTGGCGATGTCAGCGTCCGAGGGGTTGTCGGTAGGGGCGAACTCAGTAACCCAGACAGGCTTGCCGCCGGCAACATCAGTGGCGTTCTGGACGTGCTCCTTGAAGTAGGCAGTGTTGGAGGCCTGGTCGTACCAGTGAATGGTAACGAAGTCGATCTGGCAGCCATCGCAAGCCTCGAGGAAAGCGGCGAGCCAGTTGAGACCCATGCTGCCACCACCGTTGGTAACGGCAGGGGCACCAAGCTTGGCCTTGCCGGCGAAGGGCATCATCCAAGTCTTGTAAGCAGAAGCGGCGTCCTGGGGAGACATGTTGGCCTGAGAAGTCATGTCAGGCTCGTTGAAAGACATCAAGTGAGTGGCACCGTTGGCGATGGCGCTGGTGGCACGCGAGTTCCAGACATCGGTGTGGCCGTTGGTAAGGCCCCAGAGGAGAGGAACGTAGTTGAAGCTGCTGGACAGGCCGGCACTGTCGGAGTCCCAGTTGTAGCCCCAGCTAACCTGGTTGTTGTTCTCGAAGCAGGTGAGCAGAGAGGCAGTGTTGTAAGCAAGACCACGCTTGCCGTTGCCAGTGCTGCTAGACTGGGGAACGACCGAGGATGAGGTCGAGGAAGCCTGAGCAGACGAGCTGCTGACGGCGACGGCAGAAGTAGGAGCGACGACAACGCTGAGGCTGGAGCTGGAGCTGGTCGAGACGGGAGCAACGGAAGTGGTGCTGGTCGACTGAGCAGCGGCAGCGGAAGTAGAGGTGGAAGCACGAGTCCACTGGTGGTGACCCTTGTTTTGGAGCTCAAGACCAACCGAGGCGAAAGTGCTGCTGGCGGCTTCGGAGCTGCTGACAGCGGCAGAGGAGCTCTCGACAAGTACAGAGGTGCTGAGAGCAACAGAGCTGCTGACAGCGACGGAGCTGGCTCTGGTGCTCAAAGTGGTCTGGGCAGGAGCAGCCTCGGCAGAGGAAGCGTGAACGGTGACAGTAACACGGTTGGTGTGGGTGATGCTCACAACAGAGTCGGTGCAGGTGCTGGTGGAGATAGCAGCGACCTCAGATGAACCGGTGTGAGGGCCAACGGCGGAAGGGTGAATGAAAGAATGACCAGAAGCCAGACCAGTGGAAGCGGCGGCGCCAGTGCTCCAGATGCCGGTAGCATTGGCCATGCCATAGGGAGCGCCAGTGCCAGTAGCAACGCCGGAAGAGCCGAAGAAGTGCTTGTTGTGGTGGTGGTGCTTGCCGTGGTGCTTTCCATGGCCGAAGCTAGGGACAGCAACGGCAGAGCCGGCGAGAGCCAGGACGGCGAACTTGATGTTGACAGAAGACATCTTTTCAAAAGTAGTGATGAGAAAGATAGAAAAGTTTGAAGATCTTGCTGTGTTTGGGAGGGCGTAAAAAGTGCTGCTGCTAGAGCGCCTTGAACAAAAGCCTACCAGGGCTTGAGGGTTGCTGAAAGAAAGAGAGTGATGTCTATACAGACGAGAGAACGAAACGAGCGAATGCTCTTGAACGAGAGTGGACAATAAGGCGGATGTGGTTGAGGGAAGGAAGGTCGAGGACAAGGTGTGGCAGCTAGACACCTTTATAAAAGCGCACTGCGCGGAACATTCGTCTACTTTTCACGATATGCGCCTCGCGACAAACGCTTCACTTAGACCCGTGCTCTCGTCACTTCCGTCTTCACATGCAGAAAGGCAAAAGTTACAACAAAGTCGTCCCAAGGGGTAAAGGGACCACGCAATCAGGTACCCGTTTTCCACTCGGTGTACTGCACAAGGAAAATCGAGCCGCGCACAGAAAACGACTAGAGACTGGAACGGCTGTCACATCGGGTCTAGAAGATCAAGGGGCACACAGACGCCATTCGCTGCTGGGCTGATATGGGGCTTGCACGGATCACGCTGTAACGTGCTGCCGGCGCATGCTGGGAAAGCTTGTGTATGGCGCCCACAACCTGAGCTGGTATGCCGTTGCCCATGAGTGATAGCAAAGGACGTTTGAAGATGCCTTGCCAATAGAACACCGCGAACTATTTCACATGTGCGTGATCTGGAGATGGAGGAGGATGAAACGAAACGCCCACCGTTCACAGTCCGGTGCTCGGAAGATCGGCCAAGGAAGGCAGGCGACGCCATCGGTTTCAGATTGCGGACCGCAACCTTCTCCAAGACCCGAAATGATTGACAGGGGTAAGCAGCCCATTCAAGCGGTGCTCAACAATTGTCATTGTCTTCAGCTTCTCGACCACAAGCCAACCCACAGGTACGTGTTTTGACAGTCGACAGTTCGCCCTGCTCCATGCCCTTGTGGCATGCATGCGATGCATCTTCTCTCCCACTCGCCAAGTGTTGACGGGACGGGAGACTCTGGTGAGTTTTCGCTCTCGAACCTTGAGGCAAAGGCTTGCCCAAATCGCTCCACTACACCACACACAGTCCGGACGACAGGCGCCGAGGAATATTGAATCAAGCCTCCACCAGCCACCGGGACGCATTCGCAATCGCGGCACAGACAGACGTCTGCACCTCACCACATGGCAAGTGGGGAGCGAGCAGCTGTTAGATCGACGAGTGCAGCATGTGGAGTCTCAACGACAGGCACAGAAGACTTGTAAGAATTTTTGCCTTTGATTAACAACCACCTCTAGGCTGTTCCACTACTCAGCTCGCCTTGTCCTCGGCGTTATACATCGAAGTACCATTGTACCTCGCGCGGGCAGATGTGATGAAATCGATTCAAGCGGACTCATCCCGAAAGGAAGCCATCTAGTGTTTACTTGGAAGACATGCTCAAGACCACTTTGCCGCATGGTGTCAACACTCGCCTGACACCAAAGGAGTCCGGAAGTTAATCGATCGAAGAAATGACTGTGACAGCTTGCAGGATGTCGTCGGCAATTTCAATATGCAGGAGCGACAGCCTTGCCGCTCAGTCTTTACCTCCGTCCGCTTAAACCTGCATCTTCACCAACAACCCGGTCCAACTTTCACACACCTACCCTCCAATTTGTCTAACCTTGCATCAGGCACAATCGTGTGTTGCCAGCTCATGATCGCTTCCTTGTACAGCACATTGAGCATGAAGGTTATGGCCTCCTCACCGATATGCAAAAGTGGCTGTACGTCGTGGCGTGTTGATGCTTACAGTCTGCGGCTCGAGTCATCTGCACTCGACTCCCGCCCTGTTCTTCCTTGTTGTCTAGAGGAGCCTGATAGCCGACCATGGCCTCGGACAACTGAATGACATCCCATCCTCGGTCTCTTGTGACTCTCGGATGTACCCCTAAGGATGCGACGGGCTCAGCCAGCATGACTATGCTGTCTTGTCGTTTACTCAAGGAGCAAATCTCGCAACGACCTGTTCGCTTGGATGATGGCATTATCGTCTGGACTGTTTCGCGGAAGACAGGCTTCTGAGCCCCATCTGCCATCATCTGTGTTGCGTGTGTAGAAAAAGTTATCAATCGTAAATATGCCAACAACAGGCCATCAATTACTCGGTTGTCATATCTACGCCTCAGATCCAATGGCATTGGAAACATGTAGCTTGTGTTGACGATGATGTAGACAATGTACTGTTGGCTTCCACTTGAAACCAGGGTCATACCCGTAGCAAGTCTGTTGATCCTTCGCTTCTGTTTCTCTAGACTCAATTTGAACCATCATCCCAACTGCCATTTTCCATCTTCGTCCTTTTCCTCGAGATAACTTTAATCTTGACTCTCAATGGGCCACACATATGGGTATGGCACATAGAGAGCTGAGTATGGATATCACTAACGCGGGGCAGCGAATCATGGGCCTTCTTCCACAACACTCCGGGTGTGCCGCGGCGACAACTGTATTCAGGCATTACCGTTTCTCTGTCGGAAAAAGGGTGGCATCAGACGTCANTGATACGAGCAGAGCAAGAACTTGAGGAGAGAAGACGTCCACAGTACGAACCTTCGTCCTCTCGGCCGACGCAAGTACATGATACTAACGAACACCAAAGACAATCAGAAGTGACACTAGAGCAAGCAGACCATATTCCACAACGAACCCCTGCTCTAACACACACATTCCAACCCTCGCCAAATCCGGAGAAACAACCCTCTTCGGGCCTTCCTCGCTGCTGGGATCCATGTTGCAACGGTAGAATCTTCTCAAACAACAGTAACCTCGCTAGGCATCAGAGGGAGAAGCGTGGTGGCAATGCGAATCTGAATTGCTCGTTTTGTGGTGTTGGGTTCAGTCGGAGTAGCGCAAAGAAGGCGCACGAGACTGAGAGAAGATGTAGGATTGTTAGCGGGAATGCGGTTGGTTGACTGAACTCATCGAGGCTCTAGAATAGTCGAGCTCCTAGACCTCATGTCAGATGCGCATCGTTTGTCGCGTTGCTAACTATGGATGATGGAGAGCAACCGAGCGCGCATCGGAGAAACAAATCCAACTGTGCGATGTACACTGGAAAGTGTGATGAGGAACAGCCGTTGACACTTCCATCATGAGAAAAGAGATCACAGCCATGCCTCCTCGACCACGTCTTCAAGTACGTTAGATTACGAATAATAAATAGCGTACGATATACAAAAATGAACCCCAAATCCTGCATGGAAGCAAAGAAACCACCCCTCCAGGTGGAAAAAACGGCAGCCTCCGCGTTCTCTTATTGTGTCCAGATCCAGTGTATAATGTGTCCCCCGTCACGGAGATCGAACCCGTGCACGGGGATTGGCGAATGTCGGCGCCAGCCAAGTATGCCACACGACCTGTCGGTAAGGCAGGGCACCGTACTTGGCTGGAGACAGGAACAGACAAAACAAGACAGTATATAAAGGTAGGGTCAAGCTGTGGGGAAGCAACAGGATCGTGTGATGGTCAAGCCGATGTTCGTGCCTGAGGGCTCAGGCCGGCGTGGAAATCCCATCTTTCGCCAGAAGGCTCTCCTGTGAATGCCCACCGTTGGTTTTACTGCATCACTCGATTCGAGACATGCCTGCGGACATCTCAGTCGTGCTAAGTTGTAGATCGACTGAGCCATCCCGATGCCGAGGTCCTTCGGAGTACACGACGGCCCTCATACAGGCTTTCCTAGGCGTATCATGGCGCCGAGAGATTGAACCAATATCTGAGGCTTTGCCGCATCGTTCGAATATGTGTTGGTCTAGCCAAGAACCATGGTGGTTCGCAAAATTGTTGTCCTTGCTAGTCGTCTGCAACATAGTCGCTCCTCATTGACGAATTCGGTGGTCCTATAGCAGTATCTACCATGACAGTGTCGGGTATCACTGCTCGGTACATCTCCAAGTTTGTTATCATCTCGAACCAAGCCGTGAAACAAGGGAATCGTGCTCTCCAGAGTCTATCGAAAACCTTTGCGAAGCCGAAACTGACCAACCCAGCACAGAAGAGATCGGCCAAGGTCAAGCAGTCCGCCACAAGGTATCTCTTGTCCTGTAAATGATCCTCGAGAATCTGGATAGCTTGAGCAGTTTGCTTTTTCGCCATCTCGACGCCTTCCGGAGCATAAGGTGCCACACCTAGCAATGGCAAGATCCAGGCCGCCATTCTCTTGACTACATCGCTGTTACAAAGTGACATCCAGCTGACGATATTGATGAAGTCCATGTGTCCAGAGCCGAGCATGCTTGATTCGGTATCCTGACTCGCCACTNNGCATCAACATGGTCAGATTCTTGATGAGACAGATCTACGAAAAGCTTTTGGTCAAATCATACCGTGCAACGCAATCGCCATACACTCTGTCAGGACTGTTCCATCAGAGCTCACAAAAGTAGGCGTCTTGCCCAGTCGGTTCAGCTTCAGGTACTCTTCGGAAAGCCCATCTTGTGGATTTGCCTCAACCACCTCAATATCAAAACCAATGGCATGAGCCACAGCAAGGATACCGATCGACCTCGGACCGCCNCTACTGAGTGATTGAGCTGTCAGCCATTCTGAAAGCTTAATATTGCCCCTAGGACTCTTACCTACCTTGTATGTGTATAATTTGTTACGAGACGTCATTGTCAAAATTACCACACTTCACTTCACCACATCAGAAAGTACGGTAACGATTGACAGATAGAACATTGCTCCAGCGTGATTCGAAGTAACAAAGACGTCGTCCGAGGTCTCGGTCTGATCCCTCGGTGCCAAGCATGATCCATCGGCATCCGTCGGCATCCGTCGGCATCCTCGCGATCCTACATGATCCTCCATCTCAGCACCGTCTTGGACGCCTGCTTGAACATTATAAATACGCAGAAACTGATACAAGACCATCGTGCACGGTATTACAGGTAATTGGAGACCTCAATCAAGACTTCACATGCTTGGTCATATCTACGAGGTCATCTGAAGGTGTTTGTGTTCCATGTAGGGTAAGAATGTTTTGCAAGCCATCACTGCATGAATCGTTACCTTCTTAAGGTAGGCGCAGACCATCCTAGTCAGGAAGAAATGATGGAGCATTCCTTCCTGATCCAACGCTAGCACCCAGTCTTAATCGTGCTACATAAAGCAAGAGTCGTTGTCCCTTTCTGTCTTCTTCCCAATCGCTTCAATATTTGTCTTCCACAATCGAGTTACTTCTTCGTCCCTTTCCCCTTCAACGTTCCTCTTCACCATAGGCAACTTGTGTCGACCATTATTGAGACCCACAGTTGTCCTTTCCCACTTTCCAAGCAGTACAACATGGTCAGCCTTGACCTCGTACGCAAAGCCAATAGTAGCTTAGGCTCCAGACTACCCAATCCTGTGGCCCTCTTCGTAGGAGGGACCAGTGGCATAGGCCGAAGCACATTACGCCAACTCGCTCTCAATACCAATGCTCCAACAGCCTACATCGTCGGACGTAGCGAGAACAGCGCCAAACCAGTTCTCAAGGAGCTACGCCAGATCAATCCACTCGGCTCTTTCAACTTCATCGAGGCCGATGTTTCACTCATCAGCAACGTTGATAAGGCTTGCGAGAGCATCAAGCAGCGAGAGAAAGCACTGGACATGCTCTTCATGACTCCAGATGGACTGTCACTGGTCGGACGTCGAGAGACGAGTGAAGGCATCGACAAGTTGTTTGCCCTACGTTACTATGCTCGTATGCGCTTTACTCAGAATCTGCTTCCATTATTGGAAGCTGCAGAGACTCAGCCTGGGCGTGTCGTAAGTGTTCTGGGTGGTGGCTTCGAGGGCAACATCGATGCCAGCAACCTCGACTTGGAGCACAACTACAATATCGTCAGCTGTGCCATGCATTCTGTCACGATGACATCGCTGGCTATGGAACACCTAGCCACCTCACATCGCGCTTCTTTTGTGCATGTCTTCCCTGGCATAGTCGGCACGAACCTATACACCAACAGCTTCGCTCCGCCGTTGGCTGCGATGTACAACTATGGCATGTGGCCTTTGATGTACCCGTTCTCGGTCAACATCAACGAGAGTGGCCAGCGTCATCTCTTTCATGCGACATCTGAACTCTATCCTGCCAACACACTTTACAATCATGAGGCTCCGACCACTCGAGCTGAGACGAAAGCAGCCATGGGCTCTGATGGAGTGCTTGGCAGTGGCGCGTACCTGATGAACTGGAAAGGTGAAACGTTTGCAGGAGGCAAGAAGATGCAGAAATTAAGGAAGCGAGGCATGGCTCACAAGGTATGGGAGCACACTATTGATCTTCTCAGCCGCACTGTGAGGTAGTCGCGACCAATGAGTCATGTGTTATATTTGAGAAAGTCTTTCAGAGTCGACAATTTTTACTCTTATCCGAAGGGGGTGCATCGGAATATTTGACCAGTTTCCTCAGATCCAGATCTTAGTCGAAGAACTGTATCATGGATTGTAGATTTCCATCAAAGTCGAATGTGCTTGTATTGAGATCCGTTCCGAACCAATCGACTAGTTGCGTAGCGTCTAAGCTTGCGGATGGCAGCGTAGAGTGCGTAGTATCCGGCATATCGTTGGTTTGGTCTGTACTTGACATATACCATGCCAGTGCTTCTGCGTCAGATGTAGACAACATTGCTCTTTCCGTACTTCCAGGGTCTTGCGAGATATAGGCATCTTCCCCAACATAGCTGGACTGCTTTTGAATTGTACTCGCCTGAGCAGCCGTCTCGGTGTCAGGTGCCTCTTCCAGCGTCCATAGATTGAGCCAGGCTAATTCGGAAGCAATATTCCGGTCGCCACATTGTCGCAACGGCTCTCTCAGTTTCCGCAAAGTACCCATAAGCTTCTGAGTGGGCCACAGAGTACCCCAACCACTGAGCATTGTCAACAGACGTTTAAGAAAGACATCAGCCCTGATGTCCCCAATCTTNTGTGCCGCATCTGCATGATCTGCAGATCGTGCTGCGGCAAAGTGGAGTTTAACGAGAACAATCGCCGTATGTGTTATCTGAACGAAGTATGTTGACGGGAGAGTACGTATGAGAGGGATATCCAGGGACAGAAAGGAGTCTAATGAGTTGTGCGCGGCTGTAAGACAATCTGGAAGGGTAGACGGACCGACAGTGACTGCATTTGCACCGAGTTCCGAAGGATAGTTGGCCGATGGAGTTGTAGTCATAGCCAACTCGTGGATGTAGAGCGTCACAAATTGCTGAGATGATCTGAGCGAATCTGATTATGTCAGCAACCGATCAAATCATTTCAGAGTTGAAGAGATACCGTTCCATATTTGGACCTTTGTAATCCACTCTGCAAGCTGACGCTTAGCAGCTCTGTAAGTGATCTCGACCGCCGTAGAACCAGAACAAGAAGATAGCTGTGCTTCGAATTCCTCAAGGACGTGCTGCAATCTGATATGAGCGCACAAGACCTTATCAGAAGCAATAGCAGCAGGAGACGTTTCCAAGACTTCGAGGCATTCATCCATGTGACGATTCCAACGCATCACATTTGGTGTCTGCGATGCCAACGATGTACTGCTNATACATTAGCGTGTTGACACAGCCAAGCATCCATACTATACATACTTCACGCATATGTAGTAGCATGCCAACCACATCCTCCTAACTTCCAAAGTAGAGAATTGAGACTCGCTAGTAGCGCCACGAAGGTTATCCGTCTGGAGCGACGTCATCATACTCCATGACCAGTCCCTCAAACGCTTCCCTAAGCCCATCATCATAGCCATATTCGCAGCTGCATGAGTGATGTGAAAGACATCTATCTCTTCACCAGCTTGCGGATGCTCGAAATCCTTATACCATATTACAGAGATGACAAATGCTTGTAGTAGAGACATGCTGTATGCATTGGTGCGAAGCAAACGAGTAGAGTACACCTTTACGAGAAGTCTACGCAGCTTTCGCGTGACTTCTAAGTCATGAAAGCCATCACCTGCGGCGTCTAGAATGGCCAAAAGCAAGATAGGTGTGTTTCGCCGGAATTCTTCTGTAGTCACGCCCAAGGGAAATGTCACCAAAGGTAGATGCTGCAGCATATCCGCTCTGAAATGGTCAAAGATCATGCTTGCCGTTTCATCATCAATAACGTCGCGTATCGACGCACCAACATGAGCATTAGAATAATCAGTCGGAGACGAGTAAGAGGCGTCGGCGATTCGGTTGGAGTCCAAGAGAGCAGTCACCAGTCGTGGGTTTAGCATGGTCGTTCCTTCCGCCGTATGGGTCTGAGCTGCAGAAGAAGCAGATACACCTCGATCTTGCACAGAATCAGTCAACGGGCTTAGTCTTGCTTCGATAGCACCGATGGGTCTGTTGTCGAACCGCTTCTGCCTTTTGTTTGACTCCTCGAAAGGTAAGCAAGATCTGCCCGCCTTGCTACAGCGTGCACACGACCGACCATCATCTGATTTCCTACAGCGCACTTTGGAGGTACGACATGCTTGACAAGCTCGGCTCGGTTTCATTTGGTCCACGTTGGTAGGTATTGATGTTTCTGGACTCATAGTAGAGCGTGATTGTTGAACGCGTCTCGATGTTGGTGAAGCCTATAGTGATGGTTGTGTTCGGACTCCATCATATAGATCCGTGAAAAGATGCTGAAGAGACGCGGACAATAATCAGATGAAAGATCCAGACAAGATGATGTCGCTGATGTCGATGACATGTTGAACCAGAAGTCCTGGTAATGCAGATGTTGACGAGAATGATTCTTATGTCCGCATTATTTCCGATCACTGTTCGTCTTCCTCCACCAACATGACATCTGCACCTCACGAACAGCTTGCAATGGAGAATTCGCTAGGTAATTGACTTCTATATGATACTATGCTGAGACTGATTTTACCCGCCGTTCGCTGATGTAGACGCACGCATTATCCGCCATCCAGCATTCCCAAGAGGCCCCTCCGTATCTGCAATGATTCGGCGAACCACGATGCATCTGTAAGCGCCGTGGTGCATGTTGAAGCGCTGTGCCGCACAGAAATGCGATGCATGATAGCCGCTCAAGAAAGTCCTCAAAACTCACGGCAGTCGAGAGAACAAATGTACATTAAATCTCAAAGGCTGCCTTCTACCCTTAGATTCGGCAGTCATCATCAGAAATTGATTCGAGCTCGACCCTTGACGACATCAGGCTTGGGTGGTAACTTGAGATGGGCTTCTTCTATTCGTCGATGTTGTTGTTTCTTCTTCTACTTGCCTTCGTGCAGCTCTCGCTACAGCAATGTTACAATCTCGATGGCAGCATAGCACCCCACGATTCGACTGCTGCACAATCTGGGACTAAGACTGATGTATCTACCATCAGTATACCCTCGATCGTAGTGGCAGCTCCCACCACATCACCTACCGAATCTACAGGCCAAAGAAGAGACTGGACAGGCGTAGGCATCGGAGCAGGCATCGGCGCTGCAGTCCCACTACTCATCTTACTGATCGTCGGCAGTCTGCTCTGGCGGCGTCATCGTCGTCGTGCGTTGCAGAAACAGCTTTCATCTGAAGAGGGTGCTTCGTCCAGGATCACAAAAGACCCATCGATACGTATGGACAGACCTGCTTATCTGAAAGCGTACGAGGCAGATGGAGTGCCATCGTATGAGTTGGATGCTGTTCGTGGGACGGAGCTGCCATGGAGAAGTCCAAGAGAGTTGCCAGGGTCAATGGGAGAAAGGCAGAGACATCAAAGATATATTCTGGGAGTCCTAACAACCCGTTCGAGCTTGGCTAAGCAATATGGCGACGACAAATAGAATTAAATGATTATACATATTCTTACAACAAAACCCCTATATATACAATAATACTACAGCATTGATCTCAGACTTGAAAGCTCAGGGCTTACAGCTTCCTTGCTCTTTAGAGTCAAAACAGCAGCTCTCTGGGCAATGTCGATCAACTCTTCAATCCTGGCATCATTGCCTCTCTTAGCAAGACCAGCGACTACAGTGCCCAGGAAAGTGTCCCCAACACCGTTGACACTGACAATGTCCTTCTCATCGACCTTCTCAGCAGCAGGGAAGAGACGCATGTAGACACCCCCAACGCCAGACGACTCTTCAGGGAGATTGAAGCAGCGACTAAGTATGTACGGTGAAGATGCAGGATCTTGGAGACGCGAGTCGCCAGCAGGCAGAATCTGAGTGAGGAGTACACCCTCGGCGCCGAGCTTGACACAGATTTTGGGGATGAAAGGTAAGAGTTGAATAGTCTGTTGTGGGATGCCAGCGTCGACGAGAGACGAGTTTGTGGCCATGGTCATCGCCACACGAGCGCCTGTGGAAGGAATGCCCAAAGAATCAATGACTGCCCACCAGTCCTGGCGGTCGAAGAAGCCGAGGGAGCTGGCTGCTGCGTACATGGCTGAGAGTTCCATAGAGTTGGGAGTAGACAGATGAATCGATGGGTTGGGGAAAACCTGCAAAGGTGTTTGTGGAGGAAGTTGGAAGATCTTGGGCGCCTTTGCAGTGCTCACAGGCTCAAAGGCAACGTGAGCGGAGATAGACTTTGCAGCTTCGAGCCAACGAGCCAAAGACGGCGGCTGCCAGTTCGCGTCCAAGACTAGATGTGTGGGCTTGCCCTGTTGTAATTGAGGCAGCCAAAAGTCGTTGAGCGTATCACTTGATGTAGAGGTGGCTGTTGATGGCTGGCCTGGATGAGCTGCAGGTTCGTCCAGAATGTCCATATCGGCCATGGCGATTATCAGATCCTTGCTGGCGTCGTTGACTGCCACGTATTGAGCGGTATTGCTCCCCTGACGAGTCTTGATACCGGTGCTTTCGAGGCCTTCTGTTGCAAGTGCATCGAGAGCAGCTCTGCCCGACAGGTCGTCGCCAACTGAACTGCAAAGACGTACCGAGTCACCTACGAGATTCGCTGCACGAGCAACGTTGTGGGCTACACCACCGAGGGATTGATTAATCTTGGCGGGGTTGGAAGTATGCAAGACAGGCTCCTTGCTCGCGGCAGATGATATCGGAGCATAATCACACGAGAAGTCAACAGCGAGTGCTCCAGCCACGAAGACCAAAGGAGGGGTTGCGGTTTTGGTTTGCTCGACAGGACTGGAGATGGCCTTTGAAACACCAGATGTAGTATAGTTTGAGGAGCCTGGTCCAACTATCTGTGAGCGCAATGCTGGTTGAAACATCCTACCAAAGTCAGCCGAAGTGACTTGGAGCTCCAAAACTACACTCACTCACGAAGGTGGACTTTGCTCGGTTTCGGCTTGCAGCTTCATCAGCTCAGCCGCCACCGAGGTGCCTCTTCGGACGTTGTTCTCAATCAATGCCTTGTTGGACTTGACACTGTTCTTGCCTGTCAAGTCCTTGATCTTGGCAAGAATGAACGGAGTGTTGGCAGCTCCGGTAGCACCTGCCTGTGCGGCTTCCTGCAGAGCCTCGTCGATTACCTTGTCCATTTCGGCTTTGGCAATACTGAAAGCTTCGGGGATTGGGTTTGCGAACAACAGACCAGACTGCAGGCCTAGCGAACTGTGCGCGTGGATGACTGCAGCAGCAGTCTTCTCGTTCTTCAAAATCATCGGACTTTGGATACCACTCTCCCTGGTCCAGAAAGCAGGAAAATCTATGTTGCCATCACGACCATCAGCGAAGGTGGCAACAGGTACGCCTTGGGTCTCCAAATACTCTAGAGTTCTTCCGATGTCGAGGAAGCTCTTGCAGCCGCTGCTGACCACAGCGACTGGAGTACGGCCAAGCTCGGTCAGATCGGCTGAGATGTCCATAGTACTTTCAGCACCTCTGTGAACACCACCCAAGCCTCCCGTGGCGAAGACTTGAATGCCGGCTAGATGAGCCAGAATCATGGTGCCCGCCACAGTTGTGCCGCCATTGTAGCGGCGTCCAGGAGAGCCCAAGCCGCAGGCAAAGCCCAAGTCGCGCCGCGAGATCTTGAGGGTATCAGGCTTACCAGCAGCACCAGCGAGGCGGATGATTTCCTCTGCGTCTAAGCCTACACGGGCGATGCCATCGAGGATACCAATGGTAGCCGGGACACCACCGCCGGCTCTAACAATACTCTCCAGGTGAGAGGCTAGAGCGATGTTGTCCGGATAGCTCCAGCCATGTGTGTAAATCGTGCTTTCTAAGGCGACAACGGGCCTGTGCTCGTGGATAGCCTGCTGGACTTCTTCAGAGACCTTCAGATAAGGGCTCTTAGATGAGAGGTTGCGAACACCTCGCAGAGTAGGCGTCGATTGGCGCCATGTTCGGCTGCGAAGTGCACCTTGACGCAATCTGAACATTTACAGCAAGCAGCAATTGAAACAATCCTTCTGATTGAGTGCAATGGTGGGAACAAGAATATATTGCGCGAGGTCGAGGTACAAAGTCGAAAGTGTTTTGGAGGAAGTCACGATTGGATGACGCGGCGAGTCGGGGGAAGGTGGGCCGAGAGCGAGAGGCCACGCTTCCACCAAAGCTGGAGAGCTATCGGCGAGATGCTTCTGCTTCCTCAGGAACTCACCAAACCATACAACCACTATGAGGAGTTTGAGTTTGCTCGCAGGCTGCGCCGCAGCGCTGCTCTCCTTTGCCAATGCCGAAGCCAACCTCAGCAACCCCGATGTCTCCAAGCAGATGCTCAGCGGCACCTTCGAGCCTCCGCAGGTCTTCCAGCACACCAACCTTGTACGAACCGTCAACCTGGAGAAGGAGTACCCTCGCGAGACAATCAATGTCGTTGTCGAGAATATCGACTCGAAGCCTCAGCAGGACTACTACCTGCCTTTCCCTCAGGATCTGATTGCCAGAATCGGAGGTCTGGATGTCAAGGACAAGAACAAGCCCGACGCCATCTTCCCTAGCCCGGAGATTGTTGGTATTGACACATACAGGTGAGTGGGTCTTATCTATGTAACATCCTCAAATGCGCTGACAAACANNAGCCCTATCGAGTACTACCGCATCAAGTTTCCCTCCGCACTGGCCCCCAAGGAGAAGCTCACGCTGTCTATCACCTACTCGGTCCTGTCCGCCCTGAACCCTTTGCCCGCCACCATCAACCAGGCCGACAAGCAATATGTCCAAGTCACCCTCAATGCCTATACCAACTCGGCCTACAAGACCATGAAGCAAAAGACCAAGCTCAAGATGCCCACCAGCGACGTGCCCGAATACACTGTTGTCGGCACCAACGCCGAAGGTCAGGAAGATCCCGTCAAGCAGGGCGTTACCTTCACCTACGGTCCCTACGGCGAGGTTCCTGCTGGCGCCAACCAGCCCGTCTCGCTGAGATACGAGTTCACCAAGCCTCTGCTGCACGCTACCCTTGTCGAGCGCGACATCGAGGTCAGCCACTGGGGAGGCAACATCGCTACCGAGGAGCGCTACTGGCTCGAGAACAGAGGTGCCACCCTCAAGAACCAGTTCTCGCGTGTCCAATGGCAACAGACTCAATACTTCAACNCCNCTACATCGGCCCTGAAGGAGCTCGAGTACCCTCTTATCATCGGAAGCGCAAATCCCTACTTTATTGACGATATCGGCAACGTCAGCACTTCTCGCTTCCGTCCCAGAAACACCCCCAAGGAGGCTCTTCTCCAGCTCAAGCCCCGTTACCCCTTGTTCGGTGGCTGGAAATACAGCTTCAAGGTCGGTTGGGACAACGACCTCAAGAGCTTCTTGCGCAAGCTCAAGACTGGTGACGGCTACGTTCTCAAGGTTCCTTTCCTCGAGGGCCCCAAGCAGCCCGAGGGTCTGGAGATTGAGAAGTTGACTGTCAGAATTGTCCTCCCTGAGGGCGCAACGTGAGTTTTGTTTCCTGCTGTTTCAGTCTATTGTCAGAGCTAACACGAATTGCAGTNNAACATCAAGTTCGAGACCAAAGTTCCCATTATCTCGTCCAAGGTCAGCACACACCGCACCTTCATGGACACTGTGGGCCGCTCAACGCTCCAGCTCACTGCATTGAACGTTGTCGATGACTTCCGCGGCAAGGAGCTCGTCGTGACTTATGATTACCCCTTCCTCGCAGGCTTCAGGAAGCCTATTGTCATCTTCAGCTCCCTAATGGCAACCTTCGGCGTCGCATACCTCATTAGCAGACTCGATGTCAGCATCGGCAGAAAAGCGTAGATTGTTTTTGTAGAATTGAAAGTTGTTTCCTATTTTTGATCTCTATATGGATGTACATCTTTTTCCAGAGAAGGGTCTATGATGTATGGCGGAGAGGGCAGATGGAGTTGAGAAGTATTACAGCGGCCTCGCTGAGGTACGCTTGTTGACTAGTGCAGACCAGCTGCACTGCGTGGGTGATTGGATGGAGAGGATTCAAGGCTTCTTGGTACGCTCGGTCTGGGTTCCGTCGTCCCAGAATTCCATGTCGCTCTCAGAGTCCAGAGCACCCTTCTTGAGCAGCTGGCCCTTTTGCGCGAGAATGTCTTCCAGAGTGATACGCTTGTCGGAGAAGATCNNTAGACATGTCAGCGGTTGTCGCGTGAGATACATGAGACTTGATTTGTGTACCTTCAGATGGTCGGCAATCAGATGTCTGTTCTTACAGCCGGGACATGTGATGAGAATAGTGCCGTGGTGGTAGCCCTGCTTTGACATGCGATGCGAGGAGCGGGTAGAGCACGCCTTGCAAGTGAAGGTCATCTCATACGAAGGCACCTCCTCGCGGGGCTCGGCCTTGGGTAGTTGGTCGGGACGGTCGGTCAATGGCCTCGCAGTTGATTCACATCGTCGTTGTTGTGACTGAAAGGAGGGAATGAGATGTGTTTTGGTGCGGAGGAGAGGCGGGGATGCCGACGAGGGTCGCGACGAGAGGTGACGGAGTTGTTGGCGGCATGCTTGGGTGACTGGAGGTTGGCGCAAGCAAACGCGCTGCAGGATACGGGTCGCAGACGGGAGAGACATGGCGTAGGAAATGTCGATTCGAGGGAGTGAATTGTGAAATGTCACAGTTCAGCTGTTTGCGGCTGCGTCACTGGCGGCGAGGAATTCTGCCAGGTGGACTGTGCGCCGGAGTGAATTGGTGCTTTCCGAATGCGGCGGGCAGCTGCCCATGGCCGCGCTGCTGATATCACGAACAAGAGCCCTTCACCTTCATGTTCTTGCCTCCAGTCACATGTCTTTATTTCCCATCGCTCTTCACTCTACTATTTGACTTGTCTGAAGACTGTTGACTCGCAGCTTTCCACACAAAGCGGCCACAAAGACCCTGACCGCCCAAAGCCAAAGCTGTCCGCTGTCACTGCAACGGCTCTCCGACCCCGCCACCATCCAAAAGGCGAGACAACCCAAGACAATTGCTGATCTGAAAACACCACAACCATGAGCAGTCGCCAGCGCACAAAGATCCGCGCTCCCAGAAGGGTGAGTCTAATCCGATACCTATCACTTCCATCTCGAAGCCTGCTCCTCTTCTTGCACTGTAACCCTCTCTAACATGAAGCGCATCCAGNNGGCGTGGCTGGTGCCAACGATGTCGACTTTGAGGACACATGGGCAACCCTTTCACATGCCTTCGGCGAAATCCACACCAAAAACGCTTCCGCTCTTTCCTTTGAACAGTTGTACCGCGCCGCATACAAGATAGTCCTCAAGAAGAAGGGCGACGACTTGTACAAAAAGGTCGCCGACTTTGAGACCCAATGGCTGTCCACTTCCGTCCGTCTGGACATCGCTCGCACTCTGCACGCCAGTATCCTCGCCAACGTCGACGACTCCCTAAGCGACCCTAGCGCTACTGCTCCCGAACGCCGCGAAGCTGGTACTCGCTTCCTCGCTGCCCTCAAGTCCGCCTGGCAAGACCACCAGACTTCCATGAGCATGTTGACAGACGTCCTCATGTACATGGACCGTGTCTACTGTGCCGACACTAGACAACCTTCCATCTTCTCCAAGGCTATGAGTCTCTTCAGGGATAGTATCCTGTACTCAACCGCCATTACCTCCACCCAACCTTCGCTCTCCTTCCTCGATACATTGAACGCCGTCGTTCTCGACCAGATTCGCATGGACCGTGATGGCGACTACATCGACAAGTCCCTGATCAAGGCAAACACCTACATGCTCGAAGGCCTCTTTGAGACGGACGCAGAAGGAGAAGACGAAAAACTATACCTCACCAAATTCGAACAAGATTTTCTCGACAAGAGCGCAAAATTTTACCGCGACGAGAGCGAGCGGCTTNTGAAAGAGTCGGATGCGGGCACATACTGTCGTCATGTTAGGAGAAGACTGGACGAAGAAGCCGACCGCTGTCGCTCCACCATCTCGGAATCGACTTCGGCCAAGATTGTCAAGGTCGTCGAGGATGAGCTCATTCGCCAGCAGATCAAGGCCTTGATCGAGATGGACAGTGGAGTACAGTTCATGGTCGCCAACGACAGGCACGAAGATCTTGGTCTAGTCTTTGAGCTGGAGAGCAGAGTGGATCCCAAGAAGCCCGAGTTGACCAAGGCCATCCAGAAAATCATCCAGGAGATGGGAACCAATGTAAACACCAACGCTATGAACCAGCCAACTGCGCAGCCGACCGCTCCGGCCGAGGATGGAGAGACAGGAGAANAAGAAAAGGCAAAACCGGTAGAGAAAGTCAATCAACAGACCGCGGCAGCTTTGAAGTGGGTTCAGGATGTTTTGGACCTGAAGGATCGTTTCGACCGGATCTGGAAACTTGCTTTCAACCAGGACCAAGTTCTACAAACCGCCCAAACCCGCAGTTTCTCCGACACGATCAATGCTCTCCAGCGAAGTTCCGAGTACATCTCGCTGTTTATCGATGACAACATGAAGAAAGGTATCAAGGGCAAGACCGAGGAAGAGATTGACCAAGTACTTGAAAAGGCCATTACCTTGGTTCGCTACCTCCAGGACAAGGACATCTTCGAGACATATTACAAGAAGCATCTCTCCAAACGCTTGCTCATGGGCAAATCCGTGAGTCTCGACGTAGAGAAACAGATGTTGGGCCGCATGAAGATCGAGCTTGGCAACAGTTTCACACTCAAGATGGAGGCTATGTTCAAGGATATGAATCTCTCGGACGAACTTACTTCAGGTTATCAGACATATGTCTCGAAGCTCGGCGACAACGACTCGAAGAGAATCGAACTCAATATTCACGTCCTCACCAGTATGACGTGGCCAGTCGAGAGCATGAGAGGACATGATGAGGATCGAGATGGTGCACTCAAGATCATCTACCCTCCTGCGATCGAGAAGATCAAGACCAGTTTCGAGCAATATTACACTACTAAGCACTCTGGCAGAGTACTGAGTTGGCAAGGCGGCTTGGGAACAGCTGATATCAAAGGAACTTTCAAGCTTCCCGGCAAGGACGGCGGTCCTCCCAAGACCAGAGTGCACGAGCTCAACGTGTCGACTTACATGATGATCATCTTATCTCTCTTCAACGATCTACCTGTAGATGGCGGGCTCACCTACGAGGAGATTGCTGCACAGACCAACATTCCACAGAACGAGCTCATCAGAAACCTGCAATCACTGGCAGTGGCACCTAAGACTCGTATTCTTGTCAAGGAACCTATGAGCAAGGATGTCAAGCCCACCGATCGCTTCTCATTCAACGAGAAGTTTTCATCCAAGTTCATAAAAGTCAAGGTCGGCGTCGTCACTGCCGGCAACAAGGTCGAGAACGACAAGGAGCGCAAGGACACCGAGAAGAAGAACAACGATTCTCGTGGCTTTGTCATTGAAGCGGCCATTGTTCGCATCATGAAGCAGCGCAAGGAGTTGTCTCACCAACAGCTGATCAACGAGACGCTCACGCAACTAGCCCAACAGTTCAAGCCCGACGTTACCATGATCAAGAAGAAGATTGAGAGTCTTATCGAGCGTGAGTACCTGGAGCGTATCGAGGATGCCAAGTTGCCTTCGTACCGCTACCTTGCATAGAGTGACTAGGGATATCGTCTCTGCCCTCTTCCTTTTCTGGCGTACATGGGTCTTCTGCATCACATCACAAGCATTACAAGGAGTTTCGAATTCAAGCGATGGTGTTTCGGGGGTCTTACAAAACAATCCTAGGGGCATGGAAGGAAAACATTCAGGGGCAAAGGAGGCAGTTCTTTCCAGTGATACGGAAGAGGGTTTGCCATGTGGTTTTAGCGATTGGCGTTCACGGTGCCTCCCGTTTTCCACAGATGCGATAGAAGAAAAAAAGACAAGCTCGAAATAATCACTCTCTTTTCAAACAGGCACCACGTGTTCTCAATTAGTGCAAGATCTGGTGAATAAGCACAGAGTAGTGCTTGATCTTGGTTTACAAAAGGTACGTGGTGGATTCTTCCTCTTTTTGTAGTACCGGTTCCGTGCGAATAATTACCATCTTCTTCTGATACGAAATCCTCTCCGGTATCTACCCATTTCTGAACAACTGGCTTATACCACTGATCCACGTACTTTTACATATTGAGCTTGCCGTTCTAGTTTCTAGGTGTAAAATATCCCACAACTTCAGACTTGAAATCATAGCTAACTATAGCTACATAATGGAGCCGTTTTAACTCCTCATTTAAAAGCAGTTTTTGCTTGTATTTAGTGATATAACTAGCGTAGTGCCTTTCTCTTAGCTTCCTAGTAACGTAGGGTGTAAATTCAGCTGCCTAGCCAATGTGTATCTCATTGCAAAACCTGACTGTACGCCAGTCTTTAGGCCTTAGATGGCGTTGAAGCATTGTCTCTGCAAAAGCCTTTGAGTGTAGAAGGAATCGACAAAATTCGGTTGAACCACGTCAGTTCCAATGCATGAAAATGCTGATCAAAGTTTCTCTTCATATCGTTGCAGACCTAAGTATCGAACAAGCAGCCGAGAACTGGGCATCCATGCTAGCACTCGTGCTATTACCCGTGTCGTTAAAGACCACTCACCTACTTCGATCCCAATCGCAGCACCGTAATCCTTCGTTCGTCTTTCCAGTTTCTGGAATGTTGGAACATCTCCATCGCCAAGTTCTTCTCCTTCATCAGACAATCGCTGAATATGTTCGCCTGCGTCGCCGCCGAAGGCTTTCCGTGTAGCTTCTTCATCTTCAACTTCAGATGTTGTTTGAGCGCTCTTGCCTGCGTGTCTTCTTTGAGGCCGATTTGTGCTTTGGATGGAGTCGATCGAGTCTCTCCTCCCTGTCTCTTTTGTAATCTTGTTCCCGCGCCACGGCTCGAAATCTCGCGTTGCGTTCTTCTCACACTCGTACCACGAATTCATGAGATCGGTCTTGAAGGTACTTTCTGCCGAGCAAGCCATACATTGTATGGATAAGCGAAGGATAGGCATGTTAGGGTAATATTCGTCGGTTGTCTGCTTGCGCGCGTTAAATTTGCGACCTCTGTAGATGAACTCGCCGCAGCTGTTGCAGCGCATGGAAAAAGGACTCATCAAGCGGACAGATTCTGATACATTGTGTTGCCTCTTTTCGTGTCGTGTGAATTTGCTTGGATCGAGATCCGCTGGATAGTATATACAAGGACTTTTTCTTTCCGCCATGATGCTAGTGACTATGGCAGAAAGAAAGGTAGGCGTGGTATCGAAATTGTTCCAAGGACAGATTACCAGTGTACTTTGAATCAGAAAAGGGTGTGAGTCAGAAAGAGGGTGTTGGAAAAAGGCTGTGAGTTAGAAAGAGGCCTCACTAGCATCACCCGCGTGACGTCTCCATTCTACGTATGATCCGATGTTTTCTCCCTCGAAGCTTCTTCTCAAGCCCTGGAACAAGTTACTGAAGACGTCGTAAAGGGGTGTATCTGCAGTCGCAAGGAAAAATAGAAATCTTTGCCATGCGCGACCTTGCAAGATCATCTGCGCCATATCTTCTCGTCGAAGGCGTTGGAACATCTGCGCGAACTCATATTCCTCTGGTGCCAAGTCGTTGCTACCATCGTAATACTTCTGAACAGGCCACATCATGCATGGAGAGCTGAATGCTAACTTGTTTGTTTCAGTTGACGCGAATTCCCAATCAATGATCCCGGTGATGTTGTAGTCTTCGTTAATGAGTATATGGTCGCCTTTATCGTCGGCATGTTTGATGTAGTACTTATCATCCGTCGCACTTGCCAGAAGACTGGGCAACTGCTCAAGCCTCCGAAGATGAGTCAAGTAGTTGTCAGTGGCAAGCGTGGCGAGCTCTCCACCTTTGATCATGTCGATCTCGTGCTTCAAGATCGAGGTGAGCGATTCCTCCAAGGTAGGAAATGGTCCGATCGATCTTGTAGGAGACACGAACATGTGGCTCTGGGCGAATGGTCCAACCAGTCCACCNTCGAGAAACACATCTACAAGCTGCTCTATGACTTTTGTTTTCTGTTGGGTCGAAGCAGTAGACCATTGTAGTGGCTTACCAGGAAGCTTCTCCAAAAGTATGTATGGAGTTCCAATCTCTCTCTCGTCGAATGAGTGGTGGAAAACTTCTGGAACTCGTACGTTGGTTCGAGCAAGGAACTTCAGAGTTTCCACTTCACTGGTGAAGATGGCCGCTTGTGCATCGTGAGGCAGTACTGTAGGTTCTTCAAATCTCAGTCGTACTATCCAGACAATACCGTCATCGAAGCAGATGTCGAGATCGCAATTCTGACCGTCCGTCTGGTCCAAGATCTGCTTGGACGCGGCATCTGGTACTGCCTGTCCGATATCGTCCAGAGAAGCGGGTATGTGGCAGGGGACATCGCTGTGAAGACGAGTCGCAATGGATTTGAGAGCATTGAAGTCGACTTTATTGAGTAATGCTTGCAGATGGACCTGTCTTGCAGCGTCGTATGCTGTGAAGAAAGCATCGGCGTCATTGTCCNNTGCGCAATCAATACTTGCTTTTCTGCTCTATTCTAGGAGTGAAATGACACGAACCTCGGATGGACATGCATGAAATTCGGGCGCCAGGTGTACCAAGCAACGATGATTAGAACATATCATACAGTCGCCACTTCCACGCTCGGCAGGACTTTTGCAATTGGAGAAATCACAATATCTAAGAGGCATGTTGAAGAAGATATTGTTGCAAGGTCTGTCAAGTGGAGGAAGAGAAAGACAAGAGAGTCAAAGGACTGGAAACCTGTTCGCTATCTGCCAAGAGCCATGCAAGGCAGCACACCACGGCTATCGAGCAGCTCTAGATACCAACGGCATGCTCTATCGCATCTCTCAATTTTTTGGAACCACGTCTGGCCTAGATGGCCATTAGTCCCCTTAAGTTACATGACTGTTTGAACACCATATATCGGGTTCTCACACGTTTCGTAGGAACACTGGGGACGGTGACATCGTCCCAATGGAAGAGATAGGCTGGACCTTGCGGAAGGGTATTGGAGGCGGCAGTCATGTTCTCATCTAGAAGATGATAGACAAGCCCCAGATTCATCATTGGCAGCCCAGGTATCAATAGTTCGAGGATTGATCATTGCAATTGATCCATCTCAGAAATTACATTCCAAGTCTGGTCAATTCAGGTTGATGATGGACGAACTGGACTCTGACATGGATTGTTTATCGCTGTTGCATCACAGCTTTATCAAAGTATCAGAGTATCAAGAGGATGGGCTGCTCTGCTCGCTAAGGCGGACCTTTGGAATATCAGCAGATAGTACGACTTTGCACACATGCGTCGAAGGTAGTATCAACAAATTGTGTGATCCAAAAATCATGAGTTTCAGTTTTGCCAGTCCGAACGATTCACGAAAGCACAGTAAGGCGGGCGGACAGGCTTCGATGCATCACTTTGCGTGTTTCTCCGTCGCGTGAGTCGGCTCGGATCGAAGTCAGCTGGGTAGTTTTCAGCAAGGCATTCTCGTTCCGCCATGCTGCTGGTGAGTTTTGGAAGAGAATGCGGTATCGATATACGTCAAAAGGATAGGCGTGCTTCGAATCAGAGGTGGCTGCGAGTCAGCTGACTTGCCATGGACCTCCCCTTTCTTGACGGATGTCAGTCCCATACACAACTGCCGGCTCTATCTCTCGCTGACTCGAAGAGACATGTCGGTAGATCGTACCGACATGCGATTATCTCAACGTCGTTAGATCTACCTGTCCAAAAAGAATCAACTTCGCATCGGTCGGTCGAGCGTGGACAAGATGGGACCAAGCTTGCGGTGGTGGAAATGTCACCCAACGCCTCCTGAACGAGTCATGACCGACTACCACTACCACGAAACAATAGTCGACGTTAGATGCATGAACACATGAAGGGGCAACCAGGGTAAAGTAAAAAGTCATGGAGGAAGAGTTTGATATTGGTACAATCCCTATATCATAGCCGCCAAAAAGTGTGGATCCTTTCCTCTTTCTAACTCATCAATGCGTGTATCAGAACAACGGTAAGAGTGGCATCGCCGGCCACCAGGTCAAGACAAGCAAAGACGCCAAAGCTTCAACCCCATCTCTCTAGATGCTCGAATCACTTTTTGGTTATGCCCTTTTCCCTTCCGAGAAATGCTAGCCTCCCAATTTTCCCGGCCCTTTTGTATCGTGGAGACACCGTGATGAGAATACAGTCCAGTAAAACATGAGAGAAAGAAACGTGATGCGTGATCAACATGTGTGCCTCGTGCAAAATATAGGCATCGGTCGCAAGAACTTGTACAACTGCAAAGGGGTATAATTCGGAACAAAAGAAACATTGGTCGCAGATGCTGGCGGTTGATGGTCGTGAAGTCGTTACTGTGTGTGGTATAGTTTTGTGTTTGTGGTGTGTGATGAAGACAGCAAAACTCAAGGTCTCTGCTGCTTTGAGGCGTTGGCTTCGTAGATGAGACGCTGTCTCTTCATCTCGTCAGCGTCGAAATGTGGGACATCGCTACGATGACCACTGCTGGCCAGTGAGGTCGAACTGGAGTTGCCAGAACGCAGGCCGCCAAGGTTGCTGAAGCTGCGAATCTTGCGCAGACTCTTGGACGATCTATCGGGGGTGGTTGCCTCAACTTCAGGGAAGGCGGGAGTAGGGGTAGGGACAGATGGCTTGATCATCTCGTCGACGTCGGTTCGGTTGAAGCCCATGTTTTTCATCTCACGAGCGAACTTCATCAGACCTGAGGATCTGAGAATGTTGGAGGATGACTTGCGGCGCATCTCACTGACTGGAGCTTCCTCAGAGAAGGAGCTCTTGCTGCTCTTGCTGCTGCTAGATGAAGGGCGGCGTTGCTCATGGTCGGGGAAGCTGATGCCAGAGTCGACCTTGCGTCCCTTCCGTTTGGTATCAGCCGAATCGACGATGGAGTCGGTGTCGGTGTAGAGAATCTCCTGGCATTCAGAGATGAGACTGTTGGCAACCTGGAGATACATGTCGAGTGTGTTGCGAGTCGATGCCCAGCCGTTCTCATCTGTGGGTCTCTTGCCTTGCTGGATGAGGTTGACCAGGACAGCGGGACCACTCTTCTCGACAGCTTGGATATACTTGAAGAAAGTATCGCGTTGCTTCTTCAAGATGCCAGGGGTGAGCTTAGAGGTTGGTTGGGAGGAGACAATAGGAGGGTAGAGAGTGTTGAGCATGGCGATGCAGTTGTGCTTGTTGAAGGGGGTCAGGGAGAGCTCGTTGATGAGGACCCAGCGGCGAAGGGCGACGTAAACTTGTGTGTAGAGAGCCTCGATCTTGCGCTCCTTCTCCTCGAGTGTGCGGAACCATGCGAGCACACCAGGGTAGCGTCTAGAAAGCTCTTCTTCCGCAGCACCAATAGTATTGCGGTCGATGCCTAGACATTCCAGGGCGGCAGCAACTTCTCTGCGTCTTCTAGTCTCCAGGTCCTTGAGGTAGTCGAGGCCAGTCAAGGATTGAGGGAAGTCGACGAAGCGAAGGTCGGCGGAGAAAGCCTTGCGGAGGAAGGCGGTGATGAAGGAAGGCGGAAGCGAGGTGGGTTGCGAAGGAAGGCTAGCCATCTGCGCCATGAGGTTTGTTGACAGTGACTCGGTGGCCGTGTCGTTGCGGAAGGGAAAATTTGCGGAAGTTGGCGAGTTGCTAGCACGCGAGTCGATGGAGTCTCCGCGTGTGCGTTCGTGTGACAGAGAATGTCCAGCACGTGTGGCGGGTGTGGAGTTGATGGTGTACATTGTGCGCAGAGGCAGCTCGTAGGTGGCTGGGTCATTGAGGATGTGCTCGAGGATCAATGCATAAGCGTGGTGATCCACCGAAGCCGAACGTGAGTGCGACGCGTTTTCCATAGTGTCCATGTTTGAAGGTGGTAGTACTCGACGGAGCTTGGAGCTGCGAGACCTTTCTGCTTTGTATGGCGTTGTGGTGGGATCGATTGTTGCTATGTCATCAAGCAGGAAGCATCAAACGCTTTTCCGAGAGAAAGACACGACCGTTTGTTTGGAGCTTGGATGAAACGTTCAGGCAAACACCCCTTCTTACTTCCAGGTAAGTCTGGGTAGGGTTGTAGGAGTAATTGTGATGTTTCGAAGAGAGACTGGCACGGCCAATGGGTAAAGACTGAATGTTTGAAAGAATGTTTGGCTATGTATCCAGCACGCGACAGGTGGGAAGACGGATGAGGAAGGAAAAGCCCGTTTGTCAATTGCAGGAAGGAACAAACAGATTCTCAATGGGAACGAGGTGGGATGTGGCGAGTATTTTGATGGATTGCGGCGAACGTCGAGTCCTCGCTACTCTTTATTATTATCCACAGTCAGTACACAGCATGAGAGCGAAGAGCATGGGGCATGGGGAGGCAGCGCCATCTCGCTCTGCACAATCGAACCCAAGCTTCCTGGGACCAAAGCTTTGTGCACCGGTCGGCGGGCGCTGATCGCAAATTGGGCCCGGATTATGGAGCTTGTCGACCACAGACACACCATGCTCCGCCATAGGCCCTGGTCCCGCATCGCCCATCAGGTGTCTCTGTTCCTGCCCAGGTCGTGGCGCCACGATGCCGCTAATGTACCACCATTCTTGCCGCTCGCTGCTTGCTGCAAGCCCTCAGCCAAAATCCTCCCTTTCGACTCTTGTCAGACTCTCGAAGGCTCAAACTGACTTGTTCCATCATGCAGGTCTCCGCTAGACCGTTGACCCTAAACCTTCTTTTTCCGTCCAACATCAACGGCCGCCGGAAGCTGAAGCGAACGCTCTAAAGCATGTGCCGTGCGGTTTTGAAAACATACGCTCGCTCTCACCCTGTATCAACACGTGCACATGTCTCCTCGATGTCTCTGTGGAGTCATCGACTCAGCATCTGTTCGGCACCCCAGCGTCTTACGTGCTTAGGCCGATCTAGGTATTTCGTGGGCTTTTGCGATTCAAGAAACCATCGAGACTCGGCGACTTTGGGCGAGTTCCACACAATTTGAGGTCCATGCCGTTGCATGCACGGCCTCGACGCCCACATGCACCCTGTTGAGCTGTGACGAACGGGAAACGAGCCGGACGAGCTGGCTTTTCGTTGGTGTCACATCAAAATCCACCTTCTTTATGCTTGTACAAGAAAGCATTACTAGTTCAGGTCAAGATCGGAGCAGACAGGTGTCAGGGAGTATGGTCTAGCAAATCCACATGATCTGGTACTGCTCGAACTGCCATGGAGAGCCAAGGCACCATACATCGGATAAGGCCGCCCACGGGCATAGGGTGAACAATGCNNCAGTGGCAGGACAACANNCATCATCATCTCAATCACGGGCGAGGAGGAGTTCACAAACCCAAGAAGCACGCACAAAACCTTGTTCTTCCTGNNAGCTCTCGATTGATGCATAAAAGATACGCAGTCGTCGTGTCCTGCTTGTCTGATGAGATTGATTCCCCATGCCACCACATTAGCTGACCAGACAATCGCCAATATATGNGCGCGGACTGGGCCACGACAGCCGACAAGCGCCATCCGCCCCAGAACACTGGGTAAAAGCCTCGTGAAGTCAGCGACTCGCCGACAATAATCAACAATAGACGCAGACATTCTTTCCCCACCTGCAGAAAATCATCATCGTTAGCAGCATCAAACATGCGTGCGCAGCTGTGGTTACACGTCAGGCAATATTGGCGGCAGTGCGAGAGTTTCTCCCCGAACCCCAACGCTGCTCGGCCTATAGAATAGGCACAGCAAGCAAACAGGTCCGCGNTTGGCTGTTTCTGTCGCATCGAGTGAAGATCCCTATCTTTTGGTCGGGTCGTTTGTCTGGTTTGCCGCGTCGTGCCTTTCCTTGCTCGTCTAATCCCGTGCTGGGCGGCTGCGCTGTCAACGTTCAAAGGTCTTCGACGCTCTATTGCAATGTTAGGTTGGCAGTGGCTTTTGCGGCAGCGGGACAGCGATTGAGAGTTCCTCCACAAAAGTGAAGGGAACGCCATGAGGGGTGACGGAAATATTATTTAACGAACGCCTGCAACAAATAACCAGGGTCTGAATCCTTCTCGCCTGGTCGATGGCGTTCAAGTGTCTGCCCAGCCAGCCGAACATACGCTCGTAGAAACGATTGTCGAAGATGAGAAAAGTTTCAAAACCAATAATAGGATGGGGAGCTGAAGTGGAGGTTTGAGGCCGTTCAACACATGCAGCACCGTTTTCGAAGCTCATGCCGAGTAATCCATGCAAACCCGTTTCTGTTGGCACATCGTAGAAGGACCGTTTTATGCAAGATTTGAAAGATGTGCCTTTTGCGAACCGCGAGAGTTCAAATAGCTGGACTGCTCAACATCATGCAGCAGTGAACGCAATACCATAAAAGGTCCAATGTATCCTGTACAAGAACAATCGGTCAACGGATTGGTGAGAACCAAATCTCCAACCATCAGCACGATCAGCTTTTCGATCTTCAGGCACGTTCAGCTTGTGATCTTCGGGCGCGTCCCTCGATGTCACGCCAATCTCCGTACTCGAAGCTCGAGTCTCTTTTGTGCTTTCCTACTGATCGCCAATCACCAAATTGCTGGATCCCATCACTACCCATGTACCTGAACAAAAAGTTCCCTTGTACAGGTACATTTTCCGTACCTGCATCACTTCGACACACGCCCATGTCCGCACTTTGTTTAACTTTTGCCGAGCCTTCGGAGAGCCTCCGTGTTCAAATCCCAACCTCTTTTCTGCTTTGTACACAAAGACGGAAGATCTCACGATTCGCACGACCAGATGAGCAAAGATAGATGGGCAGCATATTGTTGACAGGCACGCCGTCTCTGCCCGAGGCTGCGGCACCAGGGAACAGACCGGCGCTCGGTTGACAAGCGACGAACGAGTCCGGTTTGACGATCGCAAGCGCTTGCGTCGCTGCTCTGACATCCATCGTGCAAGAACTGCTGACAAGAAACTAGCACGTGTGTCTACGACACCTGGTTCTATCTCTTTGCCTCCTCGCCCATGACTCTGGGGAACCTTGATATATTGCTTTGCTTTCCTCTTGTTCGGAGCAGTTAATGATGTTTCAGGCGTGCCTCCCCACTTGAAGTCTGCTTTCTCCATGGTAAGGCCAATATATTAATATGTTGGGGAGCCAGTTGAGAAGGATTTCCCTCTGTGCACCTTTTGCGGGATTTCTGACTCTTTGCGCTCTTTCGCTCTTTGCTGTTGCGTATGCCCGGCGGTGCGAGTACGGGGGAATATATCAAGGCGATCCACTGCGTGTGCTATGGCCTTGCTCGGCTTTGGCGGCGTGCCCTATGGATATCGATGTGTGTGCGTGATGTGCTCTCTTGATCGGGCACGTGTGATAAGGGCTCTTGCGTGTCAGTGTGTGATATGGACAGCAAGGGGCAGGCAAGCACGTGTGGTGTTTTTGACTGGTATAGCAAAACCATGTGGGTGCTATGACATCGAATGTCTCATCCATCTTCTCGATGTGATGCTGTCAGTGACATGTTCTGTCCAGCGATGCAAGAAAATCTCTTCGCATGCAAGATCATGCGGGTACAAGCCCATCCTTTCACCGAGCCATCATCCATGTTCACTCACATTACTTAACTCCTGTATAAACACCCAAGATGCCTAACTCGTGTATAAACACGGATTAAACTTTCACTCCGACGTCTGAACTTCTGAAAGTTTTGAACCGTTCTTCACTCGATGAGACTCCACAACACTCCATTCTCTCCACCAAACATTTTCGCTGGCTTCCGAGGCATTCAAAGGCACAGAAAATAGCGGGTCGACAGCTGTTCGGACTTGACCTTCGCATAGACTTTGTTGCATGCATATTCTTGCCGCTTGTTGACGAGGGCTTGCAGCGGCTCAGCTCTTAGTTCTCGAAAATTTGTGCATGGAAAATCGACTGTTTCACGTAACAGCACAGTAATAGCTGCCGAAAGTGACAAGAGATCCATTACCTCGAAAAGGTAAAAGCAGAACAGTACGCGAGGGTATGGCTTGCATGGTGGGCAACGTTGAGAGGTGCAAACATGCAAGCATGCATGCAAGGGCAATCTCACCGCAAAAACTTTTCTAGACGCTGCTCTGAGCATAAGAGATCGGAAGAAAAATTTCAAGGTCGCCGAACAGAGCAAAGGAAGAGGAAGATCAAAAGAAAACGAGGCATTTGTATCGAGCGCAGTTACGCTTTCCTCCACTATATGAAATCAGGCTATTGGCGAGCATTAAGCTAGGGATAGTTGTACAAGCTAGACAACCAAGATATTTGAACACCAAATCCCCCATCGACGATGTTTGAGGAAAAAAAACCCAAAAAGAAAACAAAAGACCAGAAGAAGAAAGATCCGATAACCTTTATCGATCATCACTCAGTGATACCTGTTTCAACAAGGCCTGTTGTGCAGCAAGCGCCATAGTCCTCGCATTCGTAATCTCCCACTCAAACTCTCTGAGCGCGCGTAACTCGCTTCCCACAAAGAGCCCTCCCATCAATCCGTCAATGACGCCGGCTGAAAGTCCCAATGTGCTTAGCAGCATGAGCAGGAAAGCGACAAAGTTGCGCGGTGACCACCAGACGGCTATCAAGCAGCCGATGGCGATGAGTAGCTCGAGGCCAAAGTGGTATAAGCGGTATCTGCGTTGCTTGCGTTCGCGAAGCTCGTACTTGTGAATCATGGCGAGGATTTGGTCGTAGGTTTCTAGAGGCAAGAAGGTGGTCGATTGTGGTATTGTGTTTGTTGAGTGTGATGAGCGTGTAAGTGTTGTTTCTACGGAAAAGTGGTCGGACAGGGAGCACAGGAGTTCTGGGTGTCGTTCTGTGGCTCCGACATTGACGCTGTCGATGCTCCATTGCGATGCTGGGCCATCTGCGTCGCCGCCGAAGAAGATGTAGTCTAGACGTTTGGCTCTGATGTCTGGTTCTGAGCCATCAATGTAGGTGTCTTCTCTTTTCTCCAGCAGCTTCTTCTTGTCGCCCTTGTTCCAGCGCCATGTGTTGTATCTGTGGTCGCATGTGGTTCCGTGCTCTTTTAGACATTCGTCGGATGAAGGGACTGGCAGTCCTCTTGCCTTCTCTGCATCGTCTTTGGCGGCACCAATGGCAGAGTCGGGATGTAGGACTCTCCAGACGTCCTTGACAGGCGAGTGAGCCTCGATCAAGCGATGGGCCAGAGACAGTGGGATCATGTTGAAGTCGCCCAGACCGAGGACAAGGTGGCCACGCTCGGCAGCACCACGCATGAGCTTTGCAATCTCCCAAGCTTGGGCAGTGCGATGGCAGATGTAGGAGTCGTTCGGCTCGGCTTCGTAAGGGGCGTGCAGGTGTGTGGTAAAGACCTCGACGATATCCTTCTTGCCCGTACCTAGTCGGATACGGGCGCAAGCTACACCTTTGCCAACATACCAATCGCCGCGGAAGAAGGCAGCAGGTCGGCCATTGAGGGGGTATCTAACCATGGTGCTCTCCTCGATGGGCCATTTGCACAGGATGGCCAGACCGCCGCCGAAGATGCCGCTCCAGTAAAACTTGCCATAGGGCAGGAAGTGTTTTGTTCGCTCGCGAATGGCCAGGTAATCTTTCTGGGTCCAGCATTCTTGGAGGCCGACGATTTCGGGAGCAGGGTCTAGTCTGGCGAGGTGGTTGCCGATCTCGACGAGGCGTTCATGGCGGTACTTGGAGATGAACTTGAGCCCCCAGCAGTTGAGCGTGAGCACACGTATCGAGCTCGGAAGCTGCAGTGTGTTTCTTATATTGTCCATGTTCGGGTATGCAGAATTGAGAGAAAGGAAATTGCGAGTAAATCGCGAAGGAGAGGCCGATTTTCTGATGTCATCTGGAGAGGCATTTCTGGAGAAGCGACAAACATTCGCATGTGAAAGCCAAACTTCGTCAAACATTCTTGTCGCAACCTGTCGCATCCCGTCTTTCGACCTCAGCTTCCTACAAGTCTTACAGCATGAGCATCGCCGACCAGGTCCAAGGCCTGATGGACGACGTTCTCGGCCCAGAGCCTTCTCCAAAGCGACGCCGACTTGCTTCCAACTCACCACACTCGTCCGACGACAACGACCAGAAGCCCGACCACGACACGCCGACGGACGCAGAGAATGGATACGCTTTCGAGGAAGAGTCAGATACCGCAGACCAACCTACCACCAGCAACGAGCAGACCCCGCGTGGACGAGACCAGCAAGCAGACGACTCTCGGCCCTTGGGCGTGCACTACAAGCCATACATGACTCTGAGAGGCCACAAGAGAGGTGTCGCTGCCGTGAGGTTCTCGCCAAATGGAAAGTGGATTGCCAGCTGCTCCGCCGACTGCACTATCAAAGTATGGAATGCTCAAACAGGAACATTGGTCCACACGCTTGAANGGCCACCTTGCCGGTGTATCTACAATATCATGGGCTCCCGACTCTATAGTCCTTGCATCAGGCTCCGACGACAAATCAATCAGGCTCTGGGATGTCCGAACGGTACGCCACACATGCTTCGCACCGAGGTCCAAGGCTGATGACACGAGTAGGGGAAATGCATGCCGACCGCCTTGACGGGTCACCACAACTATGTATACTGCATTGCCTTCTCACCAAAAGGCAACATGCTCGTCAGCGGATCATACGATGAAGCTGTCTTTCTCTGGGATGTGCGGACAGCTCGAGTCATGAGATCGCTACCTNGCTCACTCCGACCCGGTCTCGGGAGTCGACTTTGTGCGAGACGGGACACTGGTGGCATCCTGCTCGAGCGATGGTCTCATGTGAGTGGTGCATTTGGACGAACGAGAAGGACTCGACTGACATGACTATGTAGCCGAATATGGGACTCAAACACGGGACAGTGTCTGAAGACGCTGGTCCACGAAGACAATGCACCAGTCACATCAGTACGCTTCTCGCCCAACGGTAAATTCGTGCTTGCAGCGACACTGGATTCGAGTGTCCGGCTATGGAAGTATGTCGAAGGGCGATGCATCAAGACATATCAGGGCCACAAGAATCAGAAGTTCAGCATCAATGCATGTTTCGGGACATTTTATGGCGAAGAGGATGACGAAGAAGAATCAGCATTCGCCATGTGCGGCGATGAGGAGGGCAAGGCGGTGATATGGGATGTCAACACGAAGAAGGTGCTGCAGGTCTTGGATGGACACGAGGATGTGGTGCTTGGGGTCGACAGCAGCCCGGACAGCGTCATGGTAGCGACGTGTAGCCTGGATGGGAGCGTCAGGGTGTGGAAGAACAGCCCTGATAAGAATTAGATAATGATTGAATCCAGTGAGTGAAAGGGAGTGGTTTGCATTTGGAAGTGATTGTAGCAAAAGCTCGGACGCGTTCGGCGGACATACATCGTCATCGGCTTCTCATCCGTAAACTCCACCAGCAGCTGCAAACAAGATAATCAACACAACATGGCCGACCTCGTGAGCTACCTGCTGTCGGATCCGCTGGTGGATGACAATGGTGCCCCTCTGGACGACAGAAAGTGCGATGCCAGTGTACGCAGACTTGTGGATCACATGCGAAAGCTCAAGGCTCAGGATGTGCCGCAGCAGGTCCAGGGCAAGCCCTTGACAGAGGCGAGTCGCTGTTCACTTGCTCGGTCTGCACACGACTGACTTCTTTCGATAGNNCTACTGCATCCTACCCGCAACACAATAGGCTACTTGGCTGTACTCCTCGCATACGCCCAACAGGCAGTCCTGGCGCAACAGGTGGCGCTGGTCCTCAACTTCCTCACACACTTCGATCCCGTTCAGGCTCGCTATGTCGGTCCTGAACTCCAGCAGCTGTTGGTCTGGCTGGCCAACTACTATGACCACTCCAAAGATGTGCGCCCACATCATCAATGCCCAATGAACCCTACTAACGTCTCTGTCAGGNCATCCGTCATTCCCTACATCGCAACCGCCATCCTTCGCCTAGACCCTGAGTCCAGCACCCTCACATCCAACCACCTTGTTCTGTTGCGACTGTGTCTAGCAGCTCGTCTCCCTCGTCAAGCCCTACCCATCCTCGACAAGGACATCTACAACCTACCCACCGACCCGCAAAAGGGCGTCGACGATCGTCTGCCATGCGCCAACCACGAACTCAGTGCCACCTTCATCACAAAGTCGTCCCACATCTCAGCACCACTCACTGCTTCTGATGTCCACGAATTCTACCTGTTGGGCGCACACGTCTACATCGGTCTGCATCGCTATACCCGCGCCCGTCTCTTCCTCGAGCTCGTCCTTGGTTCACCCACCCAGAATGTTGCAACTCCCTTGATGGTCGAGGCATACAAANAGTCCATCCTTGTCAGCTTGCTTTCTACCGGCTCTCTCACATACACCAAGACTTTGATCAGTAACCAGATGGTCAAGACATACTCCAGCCTGTCCAAGCCGTACGAGGTCCTTGCAGACATCTTCAAGAGGCGTGATGTCCTACGTCTCGATGCTGAGATTGCTGCTGGAACTGCTGTTTGGGACGAGGTAAGATTGCTACATTGTTGCCATGTGAGAGCTCATCTCTAACTTTTGCAGGACGGCAACACAGCCATCGTCAACCAAGTCGCCGAATCGTTGCGTAAATATCGTGTTATCGATTTGCAAAAGACTTATGCTGCCCTTCCCATCGAGACAATCGCAGTTCACCTAAATCTCACCCCACCAGCAACCACTACTCTTCTGAGCACCATGATTCGCGACGGCCACTTGAACGCCATGCTTCCACCACCCATCGCTGGTGCCGACACTAAGCCCGTTCTGCGCTTCCTCTCACACAACCCCAATCAGCCCGCTATCGACCAAGACGCCCTCTTGAAGGAGAAATCCATCCACATCGAGCGTCTGGCCAAGCACGTCCGCGAAGCCGATCGCAGACTTGCCGTCCAGAAAGAATTTGTCGACTTCACACGCAGAAACAAGCGTGCCGAAACTGCTGGTGCTCAGGGCTACGAGGATCCGATGGACGTCTACGACGCACCTGAGATTGGCGACCAAGACGAGGATATGATGGCCGACCTCTGATCACTGCATCGCCATGGGGAGGAGAAGCGAATTGGTATTTTAACGACATGACTGCATATGAGACGGCGTTTGCTTTTGAGGTAGAGGAGCCTCTATCTTCATTTCCTCTTGTTATAAGCGGGCTGGAAGAGACGACTTTCAAGTGTATTGCCGATGGGGCACGAGGCACTAGAATAGCTGAATATAAGTGCCTCTAGAAGATGCTGAATCGATACATAGCTCCAATGGCCGCGATTGTTGATAAAGCCTTTTTGAGCCCCCTACTCGCGGCTTGACATGACTACAAAAAGGGCTATAGAGGGATATGAATACAGACCATTCTTGCATAACATGGTTAGTGTACAAGCTGCGACTGTTCATCTTCACACAGCTGCGATTGGCCAACAACCCTGATTCCGCAAGAGGCAGATCATGCACGCTAAGTCGTACTCTATGAAACCCAGGGGTTGCACAAACAGAGCTGCGATTTCACACGAACCGTCACTTTCTTCTTCACGCTTTGGTAGCTAAAGAGTACACTCAGCAAGATCATGACATTGATCACACGATAGCCTTTCCCTTCGTTATGTGCAAATAAACTCCTGCCCCAAGATAGCGCAGGTCGGCCCTTTACCAACACTAGTAACATCGTCTTCAAATGCCCAGTTTCCTTCCAAGATGTCAATCTCACTCTGGATCTTAGAGCCTCGATGCAAGAAAGTATCGAGAGACTTGAAAACGAGAAACAGATCTGCACTGCTGAACCTACACCCACATGCTCATCTTCTCCGGACGATTCTTGTGTACGCGTGGAGATATCCTTATGCCCAGGTTCGATAAAACTCTTTCAATGCGCCTTTGTTCAACAAAAGTCCTCTCCAGACCGCAGTCCTCGAGATATCGGGACCGAGATCGATGGCGGAGCGAGGAATGACGAAGACAAGGAGGACCTCTTATCTGTATTCGTGGGTTCTACTCGCGTGGTGTCGGGATTTTGTTGCAGAGCAACGTCTTTGTTTGGAGGCTGGGTTTGCTGGAAGGATTTGGCTGCGATGTCAGTTGATTTTGTGGTCAGTTATTAGATTTGGTTTGGGTGTGATGCACGGCAGAGAGTAGTCGACCATTTACGTCGACAAAACACATAGTGGGAGCTGTCCCTCCTCGATACAGAAAGAGAACCCGATTTGTCGAACCGAGAAAGAAATGGAACGGTGAAGAAGGAGTGAATCAAATCACATCTTTCCATATCTCAGAGCAAAACAAAGCAGATGCACCCATATCTTATCGTAAACCTCCACTTCACCTCCACGTTTCATGAACATTCTCCCGTCTCGCTCCTCCCTGTCAAAAGGAAGGCAATCCTTCGCGCTTCCAGTTGTCGACCTTGTACGCCCATGACCCTGTCCCACGNNAGGATAACCCATCAGCTGTCCAACCGTCGTATACGTTCTTCCCCCGCCTCCNGTGATATCGCCTGGCTGTGGACCTGAATCCATACCCGGATCCTCGTCGAAGCCCTCTGGCTCGAGTCTCTCCTTACGATAAACCCTCAACAATTTCCTCTCCTTGAATAGTTTGGGGTCCAATACAACGACGTGTTTCCTATTGAGAAAGTCACCAGGTGCGTCCTTGATATGCTGGAATGCTGATTCGATGGTGGAGTCGACGAAGGGAGAATGCCAGATACGAGGTAAAGGTGGCTTGGTAGCTCCTTCCGCCAACGATTGCGGTAGGGTGGAACAGTCGTCAGCCAGCCAGTAACAATATCCATATACTTCCTCGGCACTGTGTTCAAGTACCTGTTTAATCACCTCTAAAAGCACATCTTCAAAGCAGAAGAGAGCGTATACAAGACAATCTTCGTCCCACTCATCGATATTGTAGTCCTTTAGTTTAGTGGGAAAGATTTCTCGCTGAGATCCGTCTGTTACATAGGCTTTTAACATTTTTTGTCTTCGTAAAGGGGTTTGTCCAACACCACGATATGCGATTTGTTCAGCAGCTTTCCGGGTGCGTTCTTGACATGCTCAAAAGCTGCTTCGATGGTAGAGCCAACAAACGGAGATTGCCATGTACGAGGCGATGGAGCTCTTGTACCATCAACTGGTCCACAGATCTGTTTTGGTACAGTCGGGTAATCAGAATCGGCTAGCCAGTAGAAGTACTTCCGCTCTCCATTGGCGCTGCCTTCCAGGACGTCTTCAATAATCTCTAGAGGGACATCTTGGAAGCAAAAAGGGCGTAGATTGTATAGAAACCTTCGTCGTAGTCGTCGACATCGTAGGTTGTGTCAATGTTGTTGTGGTCTTGGGGGCACGGATTGAATTGGTTCATGTTGTTTGTGCGGTAAGAGAGTTGTGAGAATGTAGAAGGGTGATTTCAAGAAGAAGATTGAAGTCTAGAAGAGGTGGAACAAGGTGGTGAAACGACAGATTAGTCATCGATCAAGGACACAGGACCGAGTTAGTAGCCACTTTTATATGGAGAATATGGTACAAGGCAAAGAGAAGTTGATCAAGATTGTATATTGCCATATTGAGCCTCCAGAGCAAAGAAACCGACCAAACGCCGGAAAGTCTAAACAACCCATCAAAGCCATCCCACCCAAAGCACCAAGAAAAAGAAGGCAAAAACCATCTATCTCTTCCTCGCCTTGACAGCCTCCTCCATCTTCCTAACCATCGTCTTGAGTCCAACACCTTTATCACAATTACCCACCAACCACGCCTCCATCTTCTCTCTCAACCCCTTGAGCCCTCTACACAACGGCATCCTCTGCTCCTCCTCATTCTGCACAAACATGATCGGATTCAACAGCATCTCAAATGCCTCACCCCAAATCTCTTGCTGCCAATATCTTTTCAGTCCTTCTTTGATTTTATAGTGTTTGGTGGCGCTCACACCGATGCCTTGACCTTTTTCGGCGATCGTGGACATGTATTTGCCGAATAGAAGACTGTGGAGAAGGCCAGCGAGACCGTGGTAATCGACTTGATAGGTCCATGGGCGAAGCTCGCGCATCTCTGCACAGTCTGCTGATGAAGTCTCCCAGTCGGCTACAAACTGGACGTGTGGAGCGAACACTCGCATGTCGATACCACGGCCAAAGTCGATGAGCGAGATACCTTTGCTCTTCCAGCCAGAGCTGCCAGAAGGATCGTACGTTGATGACCATTGAGAACATTCGTCGAGACGAACGAGGACATTATCGCCTTTCAAGTCACCATGTATAAGGCCTTTGGTGTGTAAAGCCTCCACCGTGCGAATCAACTCCACAGCGAAGAACATAGCAAGCGCTTCATCGAGTGTGCCTCCTGCTTCTGCTCTAGCCACATTGATGAGATCGAGAAGTGTGCCTTGACCTCTGAACTCTTCGATCAAAAAGCCTTCGTCGCGGAAAATGTGCATCTCGTAGGCGTGGATGACGGATTCGGTTGCGCGCGAGACACCCAAGCGACGATGCACTTGACGCAGCATGTAGAATTCCCAGGCAGAAGGAGGATCTTCCATCTTCAGGGCTTCTAGTGGATGGCGGCGGATTGCTGAGAAAGCGCCTTGACCCATCACAGATGCATTTTCGTCATTTTCGTCGTTGGCGACATCCTCAGGGAAAGACGAGGGATTGTGGTTCTCAATCAAGTAGACTGGTGCAAAGGCACCGGCCCCCAGTTCGCGTCTCAAAGTAAACTTGCTGAACGAGTTTTCGAACGCAAGAACAGGGGCAGGTGGTAGTGAAGCACTGCTCTTCTCTGTTGCGGTCTTGCCTTTGCCTACTGCTTTTGAGTATTTGCGGATATCTGGTGTGCGTGCGTGTTGAATATTCTTGTGCTCGTAGTATCCTTCGTACGAGTTCAATGGCGGATGGATCTGTGACAAGATAGTCTGTCGGATCTCCGGATCTACAGGGTTGATCTGAGGGTCCTTGATGATGGGACCTTTGTTGATGGGTTCTGCATTCGTTGCTGGACGCAGCGCAAGAGGCTTGGGTTTGGCAGCACCTGCAACGTCTTCGCTGAGGGATACTATGCCCTTTGTCGTTTTTGTGCGAATGGGCTGTAGGATCTTGCGTTTGTTCTCCAGATCTGCGCCGCTAAGGACTTGGAAGGGACTGCTCATGAGACTGTCTTCGTCCTCTTCTTCTTCCTCGTCTTCCTCTTCGATGTCTGCATTGCCGTGGTTCTGTCTCGATGGTGTCTTGGCTGCGAAACCTTTCTCTAGCTCGGCGCGGATAGTGGCAGCACCAATCGAAGACTCGGTGTGCTCGACAATGGGTGTCATGAATGGGAGACGGTTTTGAGCCACGATGACAGGATCTCGATATTGCGACCTTACAGGCTCGTAACCCTCGGGCGGTATCGGAACATACTTCATCTTTTGCTCACCGTTCTCTCCAAGTAGCGGACCGGGCATTTCATCTATCGGTGTTGACAGCTCATCGTTGTGTGAAGAGTGTGCAGAGGTTGCAGCAGTTTCGGTGACAGCCTTGCTTTCATCATAGTCCGACCAGGCACTGACATTCGTCTTGTCTTCATCATCATCGTCTTGGTCTTCGGTATCGTGTGTTGTCTCTTCCTTGGATGATTGTTGCGATGCGAGTATCTCTCGTCGTGTTTCGTCGCCATAATCGCTTCCTGCTCCCGAGACATGGCCAGTGGTAGTGTCTTCGCCATCGCTGCTGTATTCGTCGTCACTGTCATCATCACTATCTTCCTCGCTCTCCGACTCTTCGGTCTCCTCTTCTGCAGCAGTCGCAACAGGTTGACTGAAGATGCCATAAATCTCGTCCATGGCTTCTTTCGTGTTGATAGTCATTGTGGGTTCCGCAACCTTTTTCTTCCGTAGTTTCTTTCCAGAGGGCGAGTCCATATTAAGTTTGATGGTCTGAGTCTCCTTCTGTACATGTTCAACATCCATAACCTTGATCTTGCGTGTTCGGTTAGCACGCTCTTCTCGTCGCATTCTCTTTGCAAGCTCAACATCTGCCTTGGATGGCGGTCTGTTCTCATCATTTTCATCTTTGACAGGTACGACTTTGAGCGAAGTGTCGATTGTAAGGGGAGATGATTGTGCGGGCGACGATTTGTTTTCAGAGTCGTCTTGGAAGATCTGGAAGCCTCGTTGGCTTGTCGGGCGTTCCGGTTCTGGTTGTTTATAAGCAGGAGTGTCGCTGAATATCGCAAATCCACGCTTCGACTCCTTCGGCTGTTGGGTGACCTGCGCGCCTTCGTGAGTCTGATTAATCGACTGCGCCTGCCTTCCTTCGGCAGCCCAGTCACGATCTAGCCAACCACGATGCTTAGCTCTCAATTCTTCGAAGCAGAATTCGATGGAGGGGTCGCTGGGGTCAGGATAGACAGCTTCGAGATTCACAAAGACACATTCAGGTCTACCAGTCTTGAGATTGATGACTCGTTGAGAAGCATGTTTACTTGATTCGTATGCACGTCGAACAGTGGAAGATGACTGGAATACACAAAAACGTCGCCAGCCCGTTAGTCCTGCATTCGTGAATATTTTGAACGTAAAAAGAGGATTGGGGGATGGAATGCTTACCCTGAAAATAGCCATCTTCTGTACACCAGTGTTTGTCTTTCCTGTCTTCAGCGTCTCTCCTGCCATTGGCTTTGGGGCGATGGCGTTCTCCTTCTTTCTATTATGAATCGACTCGATGCTGTCCCAGCCGTTCTTCTCTCCAGGAGTGCCGAAAGCGCTTTGATCTTGTGGTGAGTCGTCGGTGAAGATGGCCATCTTTCCAGCCTTGGGCTTCTTGGTTGCTGCAGACTTGGCTGCTGGTTGGGGTGTGGTAGCTGCGAGGGCAGCGGCAAAAGGATCGACCTTTGCGCCCAAGACGGCGCGAGCGGGCGGAAGAGCAGGACTTGTTGGTTCAGCGACATCCTGAGGACGAGCAGCGTTGCGTTGCTGGAACTCGTTGAACTTCCTCGTCAAACGTGCGACAGGTGTGGCACCCTTCTCAATGCCCATGTTGTAGACTTCTTCTGCCTGTGTCCACCTGCCAGCTTGCTCGAGCCAGGCAGCGAATTCTTCATAGTAGAGTGCGAGCGACTCGGCGATTCCGTGACGGTTGAGGAAGACAAAGGTCTCGCGCGGGGCATCTGAGAAGAAGCGGATGTAGTGTAGCCATAGCTTCAAGTAGCGTGGGTCGTTCTTGTATTGTGGTGAGGAGAGGAAGGATCTGGTGGCGCGCTCGAGGAGAGGCAGCAGTTGGGATGCTGGTGTTGATTGTGCCGAGGGATATGTGTCGAGAGTCCACTTGACGTAGCGGTCGTAGATGTCGAGCGGGTCGTCTGCTTCGTCAATCAGGGCAAGTTCATCCTCGTAGTCTTTGCGCTCGTCGTCGTGTGCATCGTTGGAGAGGGATGTTTGTCTGTTTCCGCTCGTCAATGGCGGCGAGTACAGGGCTGCCAGAGCTCTTGCTGATCGTCCACTCGGTAATGCTTGAATGTTCTCCTTGTGTCCCTCGATGACCTCAAAATCGATCAGATCCGAGCCCGCCATTGTTGCTGTATGTGATTAGTCGTCTTGTGTTTGTCTCTCGGTCTGATGCCGCCGTCGAGACAATTTATTGTTTACCCCAGCTTCTGTTGACGTGCGAGGCTTGGCGTAAACAACATGACTCGCCAATCACATGCCAATTTGTCACCACCACCTCATCTCGTTCAGTTCGCCTTCTTGTGCTTTTCGTCAATGACAATGAATTGTAGAGACTGCGTTTGGTCTCCTCTGACAGACTGTAGATCGTCTTTGTTCACTCTTGCTGACTCTTTCATTCGCCTTCGTTCTGGTTCAAGGTCCTTTGTCTTGAGCGAAGCACAATGGTCCGGTTCTTGAGACTGCCGCAATGCCATATACTACATATGTGCCCTCCGAGTGGCTAAAGATACCATCTTTACCGATCTGATTTTGAAAAACATACACTACTCCATACACTAACACATAAACAAGATGAACAAAGAAGAACGTCAAGCCCTGATTGATGAGCTTTGGNGGAGAGATGACACGCAGGTCATGGTCATCAGATACGACCCCTATGACAGGATTGGCACACAAGCTGAGGCTGTCACTATCCACTCGAACCCCATGCAAGCCATTGATGCCTTCTATAGACTCTTTACCGGTCCTGAGAGGCAATGGGAGCACCATGACTTCTTGAAGAACGGTCAATATCTTATCAACTGGCTGAACGCCCATTTGAACCCTGAAAAACCTGAGCCGAACGACTTGGTCGACGAGGTCATGTCTGATCTTACCCAAGATCTTACTGTCTATCATGAGATCACTTACATTACAATCATCCCCTATGATGAATGGAATTCTAGAGACCATGGAACACTGGCTGAGAGGCTGGAGGGAAAGTCTGGTGTCCTGCCCCACAACGATCGAATAAATCTCGACCCAGGCCCTGACCCACAGCTTCCTGACGAAGAGATGGTTGATGCAGATGACGTTGTGATGTCTGATCACGACCTTCCTCCCTCTTCCGCCCCGCCTAGAAGACCTAGTGAGTACTCCTTCCTCAATGATGAAATTCAAGCTCAGCTCTTGCCGTTTGAAACTGAGCCCTTTGATCCTCTCTTCGCTACTCCTACTCCTGGGCCTGTACCGCTTCCCTCAGCTAACAATGCTCCTGCACCACCTCCCCCAGCCAACAACCCTCGTACGCGTGAGATTCGTGATACTAGTTTGGGAGACTTGAATTCTCGTCGACGCTTCCCTTGCACTTTTACTGGTTGTAACAAACGCTTTACTAGACAATCCGACTTGAGGCGCCACTGTGTCAGATTTCACCCTAGCCATCCTCAAACGCAATCAATCATTGGCGATAGGTGTTCATGGCAAGTCTCCTCCTTCACATGTCAGTAGGTATCTTTTCTCTTTTTGCTATCGCTCTCAATACAATTCCCCTTTTCTTCTTGACATGACCTCTCTTTTGTAAACCTCATAGTGAAAACAATTTCTCATGCGCGCTGACCGATGTAGCATATATTGGCAGACATGGTGCGCTCAAGATCAGCTGCAATAATATGGTGACGAAGCCGGAGACGACAACGAGGTTCGTTCTTGCCTAGCACTGGTGCTCCACAGACGGCACAGTACATCTAAAAACACATTCTTTATCGCTTCGCCAAAGCGGAGTTTCCTGGGTCGTTGTCTAAAAGAAAGACCTAACGGGAGATCGATATTCTAGGGCAAGTCGTAGAAGAGTCGGGCTCAGTCAATGAATGGAAGACATGTAAGATGGACATCTTGCAAGGCACAAATTCTCAATATTCAAGCGTGTGCAAGCGAGAGACAAAAACATCCGACATCTTTCCGTTGCCAGATACAGGATAATCGAGACAGTAGGCGCCCCTTTCCAACCAAGCAATAAGAATACCCAACCATGGAATTTACCGTCTAACCAACTCCATTACATTCAATCGTGACATGTTTCGTACACCCAATCTTACATCTCCATCTTTTCGGCGCGAGCCATCATCTCAGCAACTCTCTTCTTCTTCATGTTCATCTCTTCTTTGAACACAATATCAACAAGCACGTCTGCAACCCACGAAGCCTCAACCAAGCCACCCTTAATGCCATTGAACACCACTTCGTCGCCATATCTACCCTTGGAGTCGCGTCCGCGATGTCTAAGCGCTTCGGCATCACCCCAAGAACCAGTGTCGTATTGTAGGCGATCGCGCTCTTCCTGTGGCAAGAGTAGCGACATGAAGGAGTCAACGACATGTAGGTGTGTCTGCGTCCACACAAATTGCTGATCTAGTTCGTTGGTCCTGGTTCTGCCGAGCAGACGTGATAGACCATGACCTAGAGGTCCGCTGCGTGGTACGATGCTGCTACCGGACTTGGAGCGTGTAGAGTTGAGCATGCGATGCAGTGTACGGATGTGTGCATATATGAACGGGTGGGTATCTGGCAGTAGACCATACTTGCGGCGCAAACGTAAGACATGATCAGGCACCGTGGGCACTGGTGCAGCCTCCAGTATAACCGATGTCTTCCACTTTGGCGATGCATATACTGGAGGCTTGGTCACGGCTTCCCAAAAAGACTCAGTGAGTTTCATTAATGGTGACCTGGGCTGGGTGATCTCAGGAGACTCGATCGTGGGTTTCGTCAACGTCGGGGCATTTTCAAACAGCGGGGGATATTGTCGTCTGGGCTCCAAGAGAGTCGAGTTGCCAGCATCATCGTTGAAGTTGACCTTGACACGCATTGGCGAGTCCAGATTCAGATCTTCCTGATAGCTTCTTGCCCTCGAGGATACAGTCGAAACATCTTGTTCAGAAGGATCGCTGATAGTGAGGTCAATGGTATTCACGCTTGCCGTCCTTCTCGATCCTCTCAATTGGCTTCCTGAGGTCAAGCCTGAAATGGTGCTTGCAGCTCTACTAGTGTTTCCTCTCATCTCTCTCTGAATCTGCTGCGCATCAGAAGCCAGACTTGAGTCTGTCTGCGTCTCCGAAGTGTCGACATGATCGCCTCGTCGAGTAGTTCGAATGTTGTTGATGTTGCTAGACTTGACCAGGCTTCTGCGAAGCGGTGACGGACCAGCGGAAAGGTTCTGACTTGAGCCATTCTCAAAACTATGAACGTTTTTCATGGGGCTGGTATCCAGAACTGTGTTTCTGAGTGGACTGCTAGGTGCAAAACTGCTCTTTGCTGAGTCTGCAACATGTTTTGTTGTCCTTTTGTTGTACACAGATGGAAGATTCTGCTGGAAAAACGACCCGGTATCATCACCAGACTCGGACTGGCTGAGCTCTTCATCGGCTGTGGCATTTGCTGAGGCAACTTTTTCGTTCGATTTCGCTCCACCGGCAACACTACCGTCGTCGGATGATGGCGGTGTCATGACGCCGCTACTCTTTCTAGAGGTGCCCATAGTAGAGGCACTAATCTTGCGACTCTGACGTTCCTGAGCTTCAGGAGAATCACTGTATGAGAAGCTTGCACCAGAGGTGCGACGCCAGGTACCAGGGATTTTACTCCTGCGAGGCTTGACGACGAGGTCATCCAGGAACAAGTCAGTCTGTTCAGGAGAACCTTCTTCATCGACTATAGAGCGGCTTGCTTCCTCTTGCCAAATGTCCTTGTCATCTTCTTCCTCTTGCTCTACCTCTGGCTGTGCTGCACTGTTTTCGAGATGCTCGTCTGCATCATGCTCGGATGCTGGCGAAGAGCGAGGTGGACTTTGGATCTGGGTGGCTGATGGTCTCTGAACATTGATATAACTCATCTCAGGCTCTTCATGAGTTGGGCTGCTTCTTCTCGTAGGTTGAGCAAGTTCGGGATACTCGACACCGGCCTGGGGTTGGAGACTTGTGGTGGATCGTGAGCGGCCGTCTGTTTCGGGAGTGAGAAGACGGCTGGGAAGAGAGTCGAAAGTCTCCTGTTGTCGCACTGGGCTGTGGAAGGGGGACAGATAGTTGTGCATCGTGTTGGTAGTAGGTACAAGTCTGGGCGCATTTTGCATAGCTGATGGAGAGGCCAAGCTCTGGCCAGTGTGTAGACTCTGGTGCAGTTGGTGCCTGGTGCCAGAGCTGAAGCCGTTGAAGATGGATTCTCGTGCAGATGGTAGCTCTCTTGACACGGACTCGCGGAACGGACCATTCAGTGCATCCTGCAACGCTCTACCAGACTTGCGCGCGCTTTCCCTCAGAGGTGTGGCAATCTCGGCTTCATGATTTTGCGATGGTTGTGGAGCCCTGGGATTCTCTGGAGTCGAATCTTCGGGCACCGGGGTGGTCCTGTCAGCAACAAAGGCAGGNGGTGACGACGGCATGTATGAGCGATTGACAGAAACATTGCCCTCAGTAGCTTGGAGAGCCTGCGAGGGAGATGAATGGCCAGCGACTCGGCTAGGCAAGGAATCGACAGATATCATACTGAATTCTTCACTTTCAAGCATGGTCGCGTCACCAGGAGCACAAGCGCCGAGTGCCGCCTCTGGCTCTTCATCTTGTTCAAATTGCGGTCCATCTATGGTAATGGGATCTGCGCGGCGTGATGTGAATGTGAAGCTGCTGCCAAATCGTTTCCTGGAAGAGCCGATGCGGGTACTTGCGGGAGTTCTGCGAGAGACGTTCGGTCGCGACGGCTCGGGTGATAGCGAGTCGACCGCTGGTGGATGACGAGAAGACTGCATTAGGTCCTCGGGGAACTCAATCTCCGATAATGAATAGTCTGTCGCAGCGTGGTCACCTAATTGAGAGACAGGGCAGAGATCCGGGACTTGAGTGTTCTCCACATCGTGTAAGGAAATGAGTTGTGTTTTTGTGGTGGACTTTGCTGATGTAGGCATTTGTTCGGCCTGCACAGTAACTTTGAACTGCCAGTTATTTCCTTGAGAATCGTTTGGTTGTAAAAGCATAGATTTGACAGCAGGCGACGTGTGGTAGTTGGCTGATCTGGAAGATAGAGGTCCTCTAGTGGACTGATTGTTGGTTGGTTGCAAAGGTGACGTTGCGCTTGTTGTCGCGAGATCCAGTGGGGAGCGAGTTCTCATAGTTGCTGGTCGACTACGAAGCACGAGTCGCAGAGTATCTCTCCAAGTCCAGATGTGTACAGATGCAAACAAAAATCGATGGCCCTCGCGTAGCGAGTAAACAATCAATTCGCGCCCAAGATTTGGTGACGTAGCGCGATCTTCAACTCGAGGATAAATCGAGCACGCTCGCAACAAGGAAAGCAGAAACTAGACTTCCTAAAAGTATAGATGGAACACGCAAGTCTCCAGTCCTACAAAAGACTGCTAACCTTGTAGAAGTGTAATCAAACAAGTCGCGGAATAAAAGAGGTCATGTGACAGCGCGGAGCGAAGCCGCAGCTGCTATGGCAACGCCTCCAGGCAGTCGCTGCTTTGGTCAAACAAGTTTGCGACAAGAAACAATCGGCTACGGACATTGTGACTCGACTGGCTGCGTGGCTATGGACGTGAAAGAAGACCTGGTATCAGTTGCGCTCAAGGTTGGTTGAGCCAAGAAGTATGGGTATCCATGGGTGAGTCGCATGTCTCTTCCAGCTGGCAAAGGCTGCCACTTACATCCTCTTCAGCATTTATAAAGAGATCGGCCCTGGGCAGCGCATTGCCGTCAGTAAACTCGCCGCAGAACACTACATCCAACACTCTCGCCCCTTCCGTCTTGCCATCGATATCAGCATCTGGCTCTTCCAGATTCAATCCGGCAAGGGTGGCACCAATCCTGCTCTGAGGACTTTTTACTATCGCCTCTTGCGCCTTCTCTCCCTCAACATCCATCCTCTCTTTGTCTTCGACGGTCCTAATAAGCCCACATGGAAACGAAACAAGAAGGTCGGCGGGCCCAACGTGAGAGTATCCAGCGTGCCCGAGTTCCTGGCCAAGCAGCTTCTCAAGCACTTTGGCTTCCCTTTACACTATGCGCCTGGTGAGGCCGAGGCAGAGTGTGCCCTTCTTCAACGAGAGGGCATTGTCGATGCCGTCCTCAGTGAAGATGTGGACACCCTGATGTTTGGAAGTGGCATGACTTTACGAAGCTGGACACCGGAACAAAAGAGCAGCAAAATACCCACCCATGTGAACGTATACCGAGCCGACGCCACCAAAGAGACCAGTGGTCTGGATCGCAATGGCATGATTCTTGTTGCCATGATGAGTGGAGGTGACTATATCACCGAAGGTATTCCTGGATGCGGTCCCAAGCTAGCCTGCGAGGCAGCAAGAGCTGGGTTTGGAGACGAACTGTGCAGCTTGGACAAGAAAGATACTGAGGGCCTCAGTGCTTGGAGAGACAAGCTACGGCATGAAATACGAACCAACGAAAGCAAGCACTTCCGTCAGAAACGGCCTGGACTGACCATCCCGGACACATTTCCTGACCAAAAGGTCCTTAGCTATTACACCCATCCGTGTATCTCGGCGCCCGACAAAATCGCAAAGCTCAAGGATACTCTTAAATGGGACATGCCGCTCGACTATCCGAGTCTTCGAGACTTTGCCGCTGATGCCTTTGACTGGCGGTGCATTGGTGGCGCCAAANAGTTCATTCGCAACCTGGCTCCCGCTGTGCTTGTCCGAGAGCTCAGAATGCGAGGGNAAGCTACAGAGAGCCACGGTGGCGGTCTCTCGGCACAGAAGGCAAGAGAATCGTCTCTAGTCAACGCCATCCATGGCAAGCGCCTACACCCGACGACCGACAATATCCCTGAACTCAGAATCAGCTTCAAGCCCATTGAACTGATTGACATCGATCTCAGCATTGAAGACCCAGATGAAGAGATACCCGAAGACGAAGAGGATTCTGATTCGGAGCCACTACCGACTGAGGATGGCGAGTATGCTGGATCACCGAAGAAAAAGCGAGGCCCTTCCACATATGACCCGACTGTTCATGACAAGGTCTGGCTCCTCGACACCTTTGTGCGCCTTGGTGCGCCTCTCAAAGTTCAAGATTGGGTGGCCAGTGCAGCCACAAAATCGAAGCCCGCCCCACGACCTCGTAAACCCACCGCGAACGAAACAACGGCCGGCCGTAAACCTACAGCTGCGAAGAAGACTGGGGGTATGCAAAGAGGCGCCTTGGATCAATTTACGAAAATCACCAAGCCTGGTGTGGATCGTACAGCACAGTCCAAATCTAAATCTCCGGAATGCGATGAGCTGGACTTGTCGAGGATTGATGCTCTTGCAAAGAAGAGTATAAGAGAACCTGTTGTGAAGGCGGCATCCAAGAGCAGTTCATTTAGAGTCCGAGCAGCAGTCACTGAACTCGATCTGAGTGGTGACACATCAAGCAGAACTCCTTCAATACCCGAAATGGATCTCAGTCTCGAAGCAAACGTCCCTCAGAAACGATCTTCGAAGCGTTCTTCTCCCGAACCAACATCTCCACCCAGAAGAGCCAGGCCAAGGATGGTTTCGCCAGCTCGAAAATCATCTGGACCTCCAGAAATCGTTGACCTTCTTTCATCATCTCCTGTAAAGCCAGATTCACCCAAAGCAGCGCCGATGCGAACATCCAGCATTCAAGATCATTTCAAGCAGTTCAGCAAACCGATTGTGGCTTCTCCTCGGTATGAAATCGATATCGTCGCTCCACTGCCCGATACAGTAACTCGAAGGCGAAAACGATCACCACTGAAGAGATATCAGACTGCACCGACTACAGGGGCGGACGAATTGGGATCGCCTTCTCTCCGACCTACTACTCCTCGAGGTCTGGACATTGAGGCTATTGATTTAGCTTCGCCAGAGTCGCTACCAAGTCTTCCCAGGTTTGGCGCGGTTCAGAGGGTGTCTGACAAGACGCGTCAAGCAGTCGCGCTTTCTAATATGCCTCCGCCCAAGGCCAACCCAACCGGACGAGCAAGCGCATCCTTGAATAGGGCTACTCCAGCTCCGATGGACGACGAAATCGAAGTGCTGGAGCTACAATCTTCTATGCCCACCCCGCCTTATGAACCGGAACCGGCAAAAGAAGTTGCAGCCATCGAACGACCTGTCATATCGGTGTCTGCTTTGCTCCCGGTCAACAAGCGGTTGCGCAACAGGAAAATTGAGGCTACAGTCACGAAGGTTACGGCAGTTGCAACAAGTTCTTCCTCCGTTTCTATATCGAGCACAACGAAAGCCGGACATGATCCCAGCTCTGGAACCATGCAATCAACTTCGGCCAACGACAATCAGCAGCCACTCCAGACACCAACGAAAAGGATCAAAAAGCGATTCATTCAGCCTCGAGACAGTCTACCTGGCAACTGGAAAGAAGTCGTTATGGAGGTTGATCTGACTGAACTAACTCCAAGAGACCGACGTATGTACAGAAAGAGCGGTGTAGAGGAGTTGGATTTGACAGGAGACTGAGGTCACCCTGTACCTATAATAGAAATGTTTAGTAGAAACTAGCATGGAATTACGGACACGGCGTTTACTGGGCACAGGCGTTGGGATATACCCTTTCTTTTTAGCATCCAATTACTAGCATTATCAGACTTTTCTATGATACAAAGTATAGTCGGCACACAGTCTCAAGGCCTTTGCAAGCGTAACGTTTATAACCACCTCAACAATTAACCTTTCATCCTTCAACCGCATCCTCCTCATCCTCTTTCCCTTCCTCCCCTTCCACAATTTCATCTTGGGATATATCCTTCCGTCGACTTTGATTTTCTCTTCCGAAGAAGTCTTTGATGGCTTCTGTTTTTGATGCTCCACTGCTGCTAGAATGTAAAGACCAATTACTACTTGATCTGCGGCGGTTGTGTTCGGCTAATGCTGTGGTGATTCTGTTTAGCAAGATTTCCATCTGCTCGATGCGATTCGAGAAAGAGGCAGAAAGAGGAAGAAGGGAGATGGGGAGAGAGTATACCATCATGTTCATCATTACTAGACGCTTTCTTCAATTCGTCTTTGATTTCTTCTGGCGCGACTGTGGCTTTGTTAGTCCACCGATAGCAAACATCCACAATCATCAAAGCAGAGGATTTTCTGAGGACTTTGTGGAGAGGGGTTTGAGCGACGCACTCATGTTTCCTCTGCCTCCACGGCCGATGGATATCCGGTGTGGCGGTGCTACAATCGGTTGCTCTCCACTGCTTCTTCTGCTGGATGTCATGGCTGGCTGTTGTCGTGATCCTAAGCGACTGGAGAAAGGGCGTATATATGGATACGGCAAGTCTTTTCCACGCTTCTTCTTTACCGCTTCGGTCTTCCCTTCCAGGTTCACCAAAAGTCCTCGAATGGTAAATGATGATATCGTAGATAAGTCTTCGTTCGCATATCAACTCCACTCGACAGGACGTTGGTCGTTTTGATACTGTTTTTTTTGTGGTGGTGAGAAGAGAGCAAAACAACTCGTGCGAAACTAGTTCTTTGCTTCAGATCTCTTGCCGTCCCTATGATCAGGTGCTCTTTAGAGATGTTACCGAGGCATGCGATGATCAACAAAGAAGAAATGCTGTTTTGACAAAAGTTAATTTCTACGTCATCGTCTTGAGCCTACACCACACCGCCTAATTAGCAAGTATACCTTCACCAGCAATCATAAGCTACGGATAAGAAAAGCATGATAGAAACAAGAGGATACAGAAGTTTGTTGCACGTCTACCATCTCCTCGACACAGCGGGACCATGGCTACATCCTCAAGAGACCGATAAGCCATGATCCGGCGAATCAGAAGAGGATGTTCGTTCGCAACCAATCAGTGCAGGCAGCAACTCGCAAGACAATACTGATGTTTCATTGCCTTGTGATAAGCTCAAGTCTCGTTGTTAGAAGTCTCACGCCCTGATCCATAGGTGACAAGAAAGTTCTGGAGAGCGTCAAAGTCGTCATTTCACGTTATGTATACCTTCAAACCATTACTCGTTCCTTCCGGTCATGCAGAGATTGAGCCTCTTGCAATCTCTTGCGTTTGCTCGTGTCTGGTCGATGTCTATCAGATCAAACCCCGATCTATGCGACACCATCGACACCATTGTCAGCACGACCGCGCTCTTTAGCAGCCTCGGCTCCGTTCTTGGGGCCAAAATAGGCCGGCTCCTCATCATAGTCCCTCAACTTAAGGCCCATACGACCAGGGTTGATGTTCCAATGTCCAACAATCAGTGCAATGGAAAAGCAAGGCTTGGCCAGGAAGTCCAAGATTCCATAGAAGACAGCCTCTGAATCGGGAGGAATGATATTGGCGCCTTCGGACACACCCCAACAGATGGGATAGCAGAGCCAGACGACGAGAGTCAAAACTCCGCAGAGTAGGTAAGTCTTGTAGACGTCTGAACCGAGGTGTTTGGCGTGTTTGCGGCCTTCGATTGCGAGGTTCCAGAAAATGGCGAACATTGCGACGGTGCCGAAGGTCCAAAAGCCNTGTATGCATGGTCAGTGTGTGTGTGAGACAGATGGAGAGCACTACATCTTACCCCACTTGTAACGACTCTTGACAAGAGCACCGACGAGACCAGTGACGATCATGACCTCGTCAAGGAAGATGGTGTAGAGAATGGTAGGCCATGGCAAGCCAGCAGTAAGGAGAAGATCCATCAGAAGCAGCGGTGTGGTAACAAACNNCTAGCTTGATGTCAGTTCACTGTCCTTCAAATGCCTAACTTGACAACTTTACCAGTCGATATAGCGGACGTAAAAGATCTCACGATTGACACCAGCGACCTTTGACCACGACCTCTGGAACTCGACATCGATGGGTGTCCAGCCAAGGTTTGAACCCATGGCAAAGTAGGCAATGCAAGCAGTCATGTTGATAGCGGCAGTAATGTAGAAGAAGATACGGTCTGTACGAGGCTTCATAGCAGATGCTGCCATCGTGCCGAGTGCGACGCAGCCCATGACGGCGCAGATGGCAAAGTAGAAGTCGGAGCCGCGGACTGTAATGGCAATGTCGACATGCTTGTCATTGACGGTGTTTGGGTTCACCTGGATGGCGTCGTTGCGTCTCTCGAGCCAGCTCATGTTTGCGGTCGTGTGGCTGCGTATGGCTTAGGGATAATAGGAGAGGAGCAATTGCAGGTAGTGGACTTGGTATTATATCAGTTGGATTGGAGATCTGATGGAGTAGATCGTCAGTGGCTCATGACTCTGTCTTGTCTCGAGGACTGTTTCTCCGGACAGCAGGTGTGACAAGCGAGTCACAAACACGTCAGAGCTGGTAACCAGCGACCGCACATGAACGACTTTCGTCTTTGGCTTACCCTTTACATCCGCTCTACCATCCAAGGTAAAGAAAGTTACTTGGCCTGATCTTCAGCTGCTAGCAGGGTCCTAGCCTCCTAGGTCGCGCGAGAACACAAAAGAAATGTATCATTTCAGAACTTGTACAGTTCATCTATTCAAGCGAATATCCGAGTTGGAGATCCACGAATCGAGAAGACCACTCTCCAGCTTGGACAATCAGCGATTTCCATGTCTGGAATGCCGTGCGTTAGCCCTGCTATTTGGAACAGCATTCAGGGAATTGCATAGCGTCGATAAAAGGTTTTTGGGCACTTGCGATGGCTGTCATACTTCGGTCAACCGTCCATTAACAGCTACATCATCAAATCGACGTTGAGATATCCCGTGTTTCAACAGCGAGATCTGCGCAAGAAGTGGTAGGAATGACGGAGGTTGGAGCCAGTGCTTGCAGATTCTCCAGTCCCACACTCCCGGGTCGCGGGTCGGTCTGGAGCTTATTTTCGCGCCACGGAAAGTCTTGGCCTCTGATATTTCTATTGAAAAGGTGCAACATCAGGAGCTCACGTTTGTAGCATCTCGAGAGGATGGAATGTCCGAGCGTTTCTTGATTGTTACTCTATCTACCACTTTCGAGACCGTGATTACCCTCTCATTAGCGCTACTCAGGGCTCGCCATACCCATTACAAGAGGACAACTGCAAACATACAAATCACCAAAGCCATTGTAGCGGGCTTCAAACTCAATGCAGGCTGCTTACCACTTGCATCAGAGGTGGTAGTCTGAGCTGACGACGCGCCCTCGGTCCCGGTTGAAACTGCTGCCTCCGTCGACGCAACGCCAGCACGAGTTGACGACCTCGACAACACTGCAGAATCCGAGGTCGAGGTCGAAGTCGAAGAAGCAATACCCTGCCATACATAACCACCGATCCCTTCTGTGGTCGTGCTCGTTCCTGACCGGATCACCATTGCAGTTCCATCTGTAGGGATGCTGAGAGTCTCGCCTTGAACGATGATGGCTGGACCACCAGGGTACAACGTCTGCGACGCAACGATGATGCCAGAACTGAAAGGTGTGAAAGTCAGTAGCTGAGAACCCATAGAGAGTTCAACAACCCCGGAAGCTGCCGTCGCAAAGGACGTTGTTTGGCCATTGACGACAATGCTGCCTATAGCATCTGGAGGCAGACTGAAAACAGTACCGCTTACTGTAATGGCACTGCCGCCAGGGATCAATGTTTTCGAAGCAATGACCAATGGGGTTTCAGATGCAGCGACTGCAGTGTATATCTGTGACCCGACTGTAAGCACAGCATCATTAGAGGCGATGGCCTGTATCGCAGTCGTCTTCCCATCAACGACCACCGAGCTTCCAGAAGCTGGTAGGGAATAAAAGTCCCTGAGATATCCACAGCCGATCCACCAGGACTGACAACTTGACTCCCTACAACATATCCACCTGCAAGCAGTGGCACCGCTGTCGCGCTACCAAATACCACAGCAGAAACTGTTGGGATGTCTGTCCGTCCCACGAAAGAGGTCGCTCCGTTGATCACGACGTTGGCTCCAGATGTTGGCAAGGAATAAGTCACGCCTGAGACTTCGACTACGGAACCTGGACTGAGTGTCTGGTCTCCAACCAAGTAGTATGCGCCCGAAGACTCTGGCTTTGCCGTAACATCACCTATGACTACAGTGGCCGGCGGTTGCACCGAAGTCTGAATGGTAGACATGGGCGCCACTTCTCCATTGACAATGGCATTGCTAACGGATGGTGGTAGAGAATACGTAGTTCCGGAGACTAGTACAGCAGGTCCTCCACGATTGATAGTTTGATCTGCTATCACGTATTTGTCGGAAGCTACAGGTGTGGCCGTGATCGAACCAATAAGTACAGGTGGTAGCAATGTTTGAGGCGCTACTGCCGAAATGGATACTGCATTGCCATTGACAAGGACATCGCCCGACTCTTGCATAGAGTATGTAGTTCCAGCGATTTCGATGGCAGGGCCACCAGGATTAAGTGTTTGGCCTCCCATGGCATACGCGCCGGATGAGATGGGCCCAGCCGAATTGCCAACGACTGGCGCGGCAGGTACAGTAGGTAGAGCAACAGTAGAGATCTCGAACGTCTGTCCATTGGCGATGATATGGCTCCGAGAAGCCGGTATCAGGTAAGTCGTGCTCGACACGACGACAGCAGGTCCTCCCGGAACAATCGTCTGGTCTCCGATGACAAGAGCACTCGATGCGATTGGGGTAGCAGTAGCATCGCCAATCAAAACTGGTGCCGGTGCCACGAGTGAGATCGCTTGAGAAGATGCCGCAACTGTGTTGTCGGATATCTGTGGTGAGTGAGTACTTTCGGGGACCTCTACTGCATGTCCTCCAGTATTAGGGGCTATTCCTTGGTCAGGGATGGCAGTTGGAGAAAGCGCCGTGGCGGTAACACCACCAATGACGACGACAACTGGCTCGCTCGACTGAACAACTTTTGTGCCTGGATTCGTATTGCCCTGGGAAGGCGCCACCGACGTTACACCTGCCTCTTGACCGATTGTCGTTGGTGCAGGCTGAATTTCAGGGTTATCGGAAGGTGCCACTGAGAACGAATCTGGTCCCTGACTAGCTATTTGGCTGAGCTTCTTGGAAGGAGCCACTGACGGCGCACCTGCATTCTGAGTGACAGTAGGTAGAGCAGGCTCTTGAGGTGGCTTGTCGGAAGGAGCTTCTGCTTTAGTGGACGGTGCTGGCTGGCCAGACGTTTCGCCTCCTCCTTGAACCGTGGTAGGTTGAGTAGGTGGATTGTCAGGATTATCGGAAGGCACGACCGAAGGTGCGCCCCCATTCTGACTCTCAGCAGGCTGTGTAGGCTCGTTCGAGGGCTTGCCGACAGATACCTCTGCTGTGGTGGGAGATGGAATGTTGACAGTTGGCGGTTTCGTATTGGTAATAACAGGTGGTGTCTTGCTGGCAGGTACAGCCGACGTCGTCGTGGCTGCCGTGTTGAAGTAAATCGCATTTGTCGTGCTGGTAACCGCAGATGAAGACGTCAAGAACGAAACTTGGATGTGCAGCTGAGGAGCACCAGCAGCAGACGCACGTGAGCAGCTCATGATATGTGGGACCAAGGATATGACGGTGGATTGCTTCGCCAGCCAGGCCAACATTCCATCGCCTATCTCAGTCGTGACAACCCTCTGGTTCCAGGTGCTCGTCTGAGACGAGACCTGACTGTCATAGCCGACATAGAAGCTTGTGTAGTCGGTGCCGTCGTAGAAGATTTGGCTGTTAGGTATGAAGGGAAATATGGCAGCGGTTGAGAACCAAGATTGAGCCACAGAGGAGACATCATATGTCGTACGCGGATCGTTCACATTAGTACCAATGCATACTCCAGCACTGTTTTTGTAACCGGCGAACACGAAAAAGTCTGCAAAATTCATGCTGGGTGTAGGGAATGCTCTGTTGTAAAGTCATCAATCGATTCTCGGTGCTAAGATCATGCGACACTTACATCGTGGTAAAGTTGCCAGTGGAGACTATGGATTCCACAATGGTTGCATCATATGCTCCAGCATAGCTTGGACCATTGAGATCCGTTGGAATGCCTGGGATGATAGCTGGTCCATCTATATCAGCAAGGTATTCATTCGCATATAATGTCGAAGTGGGAGGTGCTGTAATCGTTGATGTTGGGAGGATTGTATCTATGTAAATGGATGATCAGCATTCGTCGAACGTTAAACAACAGAAGAGGTTCTAGGACCTCTGGTTATCATCCGCTGGGATGGCACAATACGTGCATCAAAAGTGAACACGCTTCGACCGTCTAGGTTTGGTTGTAATCTCGGATACGTACTGTTGTAGCGCAGGTATTCTGTGATGATGTACCCATTGTTCACCGACACGTTGCCCCCTTTGTACCAGAGATTCAACTGCACTCCTGGAGCATAAAGCTCGCAGCAGAATGGACCATGGGTGGCAGAAGTTGGTGTATTGACAGAAGTTGAAGAATTAGTATAAGAGACAGTCACTTGTCTGGGGATTTGCAGCGCGAAAGCTGCTCTCACACAAAAACATATAATGTGATGTGGGAGAGCATGACTGCTGTGTAAAATAGTGTTCTACATTCAAATGGTGGAAGGCCTCTAGTTATATAAGTCTGTAAATTTTGGACATGAAGCCTGGTGCAACTCAGCCTCTTTACACGGCATCAGTCTGTGAGCGAGCCGTGTGCTTGCGAAGGATTTGGCGTGCATTTATGTACACGCTCCATGCACTCTTGTACTCTCTGGAATACAAACGTTGTGGTAAAAAAATCTGCCACTTGATGTACGTGGACGCCACGGTTTCGTGCAAATCCTTGCGAAGCGTCGAAGTCCAGGCTGATTGGACTTCATGCGGGCTGTGGGCGTGCATGCATGCATAAATCCTGTCAGCCTTGCACCTAATATTGGAAAGGCTGAACGCTAGCCGCTTGGATGAAGTTCTAGGTCAGCGAGCCTCTAAATATATTCAAGAGGCTGGCCGCCCGAAGCGAAGACAGTGCCGTCAGTGATTTTGTTGATAAGGGCTCATCCATAGCCTGACCACGTGTCGACCAAGGCCTCCATCTGCGGCACGAGATCCTTTATAGTGAATGGCTTGGTGACCACCGAGTCCATTCCAGCTTCAATCGCAGCAGCGATCTGTTCGTTGCGAGCATTCGCCGTGATTGCGATTACAGGAACATGGCCAGATATCTCTCCAGATTGTTCGAGCGCGCGGATGCGACGTATACAGGTCAGACCATCCATGATAGGCATCTCGACATCGAGCAAGATCATACTCAGTGGCGTGGCCTTCTTTGTACTCGAAAGATATGTGGTTTTGGATAGGTAGTTGAGGGCTTCGAGACCGTTCTCAGCTACATTGACTTGACAGCCTAGTTTGCGCAGTTGTTTTGACATGACCTTTGAGTTTATCAAGTTGTCTTCAACGACTNNGTAACGTATTAGTAGTACCCCTGAAAAGATCTGAATATACTTACGCAGAACATGCATGTCCTTCACTAGAGTCTTTGGTTGCGGTACTGTATCGATCTTTTCAAGAACTTTGACTGTGTCAAATGTTCCACCCACAGAGCGTGGCAGGTTCTTAACACTGATCGTGGACTCGACAGATGCAACAGAACCAGAACGACTCAATCGCACGGCACGCTTGGCTTGAATGTAAAAAGCAAATCGGCTACCCACTGAAGGTTCGCTGTGCAGACCGATTTGGCCCTTTTGTAGCTCTACGAGCTCGCGACTTATGAACAGGCCCAATCCAGACCCACCATACTGCTTGTACGTTTTGGGAGCTTTTGGTTTCAGTCAGCCGTTGCTTGTATATTTTGACTTGCTGACATGAGACTTACCTTGTGCAAACCTTTGGAACAGGAGTTGCGACTCTTCTAGTGTAAGGCCACAACCGGTGTCTGTGACGCTAAACATCAGGTAAACATCATCAGCGCCGTCTTCCGAGTCCTCAGCGGCAAGCATTGCTGAGACAGTCTCGGTTTCATCGAAGTCCTTTTTGCGCGGTTTGATAAACTGAACTCCGCAATCCTGTGCTGAGGGTGGTGCCGAAAAGCATCCATACGCCAGAGTGATGCGACGGGTATCAGAGTTTCGGGTGAATTTCAGGGCATTTGTGATGAGATTGATGATGATCTGCAACAACCTGCTAGGGTCACACACAACATCTGCTACAATGCACTCACTCGGGAACTCTTCAACTTCGGTTTTGATGTCAGCCTTCTTTAGTTCGGCCTCGAACATCTTGAGAGCTTTCTCGATCACCTCTCGAGGTCTTGTTCTTTCCGGAGCCAGTACCAAAAGATTTGAGTCCAACTTAGAGAAATCAAGAACCTCATCGATGATCACCNNTGTGAGCTGCGTCAGCCGTTGTGTCGAACGAGTTCGCTGGCGAAGTACGCATACCTTCATGTGTAGAGCACAGATGTTAATTGTGTGAGCTGCATCAGCCACTGTATCGAACACCTCCGCAGGCAGGGTTTCTGCTGGTATGGAGATGACAGACTCTGTCAATTGTATAATGCTGCTCAACGGATTTCGCATCTCGTGCTTTGAGCCTGTCAGTAAAGAGAGTCGACAAACATATGTTGAACTACTCACCGATATCATGTCTATAAAGTTCTGCGCCTTTCTCTTCGTATCGATCGCTGCATTCATTCTCTCGGTTGTAAGAGCTTCTGTCAATTTTTTTGTAGTTACATCTGCCAGGTAGCCTTGTATTGTCACTAAGACACCATTCTCATCACGCTGTGGGAAGCACACGACTTCAAGCCAGCGTGCGCGAGTGGGTGACGACTCGGTGCCTGCCCTGACACGAAACTGGAACACCTGGACTCCGTAAGACTCTGCAGCGGCCCTCCAGGCTTCTTTACTGAACTCTTCGTCATCAGGATGGATACAGTCGCGCCAAGCATATCCCGTCTTAGCCTTCAATGTGAAGCCCTCTCTTGTCTCACCGAGGAGTTCAAGGAACGAATCATTCATGTAGATCGGTGTACCGTCACCTGCGTACAAGAACATGCCAATCGGGGCATCTTCTGCCATGCGGCTGAATGTCTCCTGGTTCTTCTCATTCTTCAGAGTGGCGATACTCAGCTGTCTGGTAAGCTTCTCCAATTGGACGCGATATCCGAGACTATCATCTGCCCGCAGCAATTTGCGTTGGTCAGATGGAGATTGCAGTATAATGACCGCTTTGAGGAGCATCTCGCTTAGCGAGTATATGAACCTCTTCATTTTNTCGTCAGCTCGCCTCCGAGGGTTTGCGCCTACGACGACTGAGCCTTGAGCTGAGCCTTTAGTGTCGAATATGGTAAAAACGAAGGCCGAGGTGACTGTGCCATATTCAGACAAGGCAATGCCGAGCTCTGGCAAAAACTTGTCGCCTGTCAATGCGATGACGTTTTCACCCCTNTCTGCCTGCTCAAATATCTCGATCAACTCGCTAGATGGATTCTCCAAGGCGGCGTGTGAGTTTAGACCGGAAGAAGCGTATATTTTGTACTGCTTCTTCCCATTGAACTCAGCCGCCTCCTCCTGCACTTTATACAGAAGTGTATAAGCTACATCGTCAGCCTCTTCATCCAGAATACCTGAATATTCGAGCCAGAGGCTAGAAAGGTCTGTAGCGTGCGTAGTCTTTTCGAGGAGCTTGAAGGAGACATCCTCTCTGTTCCTTCGAATGACTTCAGACGTCACTTCGTTGAAGCAATTCACAGAGCAAATCCAGCGACCGTCGGAACCAGTGAAGGGAAGCAAGAACCAATCGAAATACGACTCTTCAGGAAAGCCATCTCGCTCAAGCAACATCATTTTTTCCTTGTTGTGAACAGATTGACCTTCCTCCCAACTGGTTCGGATTAGCTCTGTTGTATAGTCCTTCATGCCCTGACCCCAGGTATCGACCTGCTTGTTGCCCAATGAGGCAGGATGTCCAGAACCAAACAGCTTTGCAGCGGACTCATTGTAGAATTGGATCAGATCTGGGCCCCAGTAGACAATCCTTGGCCGCGGACAGTGCATAAAGCTAAGTAGTATCCCACGTAGCTGTGTCGGCCATTGGTATATGTGTGGACCACAGAGGGTCCCTATGGCGGTTCTGCTCCAGTCGTAGTCCAACAGATAGCGTATCCAAGGAGTGATAGGCACCTGATCTGGAAACCTGATCCAATCATGAAGCAGACTGTCCAAAGGGCTATCTTGTCCACTTTCACTAGGAGGTGACACGAAAACGTGCTTACAGTATATGACGACGTATGACTCTCCGAGCTTTTTCTTGGTCCATTCTCTGTTTGCGAAGCCTGTGGCCGGCGTAGCCGTTGTCGTGCACGGAGTGCTCAACTCGGTAGAGAACCAATCTTCTAGCGCACTCGAGGGGGCATGAGCGAGGGCGTGTTCGAAAGCGAGATTCTTGAAGATACAGGTCGGACGCGATTTGGACGAGTCCAGGATCACCGTCGGGCGGCTGTCGTCGGTAGCGAGTTGGACGAGAAGGTCGAGCTCCGGTGGCAGCTCACCGAGCGAAGGCTCCAGTAACATGACGTATGCTGGCTAATATATCCTTGTTCAGTGCATTGTGCTTCCTTTGAGTTTGCGACAGCGGTTGATTCCTCGTGGTATGTGCTTAGAGCAGCCTCGTGCTCATGAGTATGAAAACGAGAAGCGATACCTCTGCGCGACAAAAGAGTGAGAATGGTTCAAGTGGCAACGGCGGTGCCGAAGGCTTCCTAAGTCTCAAACCTTGAGGCCTGCGCAAGGAAGCCGCGCTCTTCCTATGCACTTGCTGCATTCGTGCATACACTTGCCTATCTCTTGCGTGAAGCGTTTCCCTACTCGACGAGAAGTCACACATATCTATAGATAAATCTGGCAGGACTCACATTGGTCCAGTTATACACCTTGTTAAAGCCTGCAACGACACAGCATCGATCTAGATCTTGGCTATGTGCAAACTGTAAACTACGGATGCGGGCAAAACTCCGATTTGTGTGTTAGAGGTACAACCCTGTCTGTAGACAATTAAATCAACATGTTCGCCAGCCATCATTCTTCATTCATTGTAAACTGTCCTCGATGCGACATGTGAGAGGGTCAGGGAACGAATAATCTATAATCATCGTATGTCAAATATCGCACACCTTGGTCTGGCGAAAATTGGGGATAAGATATGTGTCAAAGAGGTGAGATCGTTCATCATTTGCAGACCAAATTCCGCCTGCCTGCTGTCTAGTCACACCGCAGCCATATCCAGATGCACCCTATATTATGAACACCATAGTTACCAAGCATCACAAACGAAACGCCAGGCTTTCGTCATGATGTCATTAAATCGTTAAATCAGTCCTGCACCACAGTCCAGCGTCTCTTCGGTATGCCCGTTTCGCGAGGGAAAGTACCGTTTGGAGCACTGCCCCAGAGGCCTCTCTGGCTAAGAGACCGAGCCAAATTTGATGGTGGTGTTTCATCGACTGTGGGTAGTGCAGATACACTTGACTTGGCTTCTTCTTTAATGGCAGTCTCTTCCATTTCTGCTGGCGTGGATCTGGGCTCGGCTTTGGGTGAGACCGAACGCTCTGAACTAGTTGCCTTAGGAGCTGATAGGCGTGCAGCTAACGAGTTTGAACGAGCTAAAGTGTTGAGGAAGTTGGGCGAATCGCTGTCTTTGGCACTGATCGGATTCCAAAGGCCAGTAGGCGAGTCGTTCTTCACAGCAGATGGAAGAACAGGACTCGTTACCACAGGAGCAATGACAGGTCGTGATGGACGGCGCATGCTGCCAAGCGAACTGTTAATTCTGGCTCTTGGCTCGGGCAAGTTCCAGTTTGAATCAACAGGCGCGCCTGCTGAAGCATGCGAGCTGGCAGACCCGAAACGGCGACTACGTGATTGAGGCACGGTTTGTGAAGCAGACATGATGGGAGAAGACGTCGCGGGTGCAGACGCTTTGGTAGGATCAACACCGGGACGCAGATGCTCGGACGATGCAACTATCTTCATCTCATAGTGCGAAGACAACCCAGAATCCATAGAACTCTGACGACGCGGTAGTGGGCGGTGTACAGCGTCAGCAGGACCAAGTGAGGGCGAGTTGCCTGGAGCTGGCGAACCAACAGGTGATATGTGCTGGCTTGTAGATGGCGAGGCAGATGCGTCATCTTTGCGTACGGCCATGGTAAGCGAGGCCATGCCGACATCAAGTAGTACAGGTTGGTTGGTAAGGGCGCCAATCAAAGCGTTGCAGCCGGCTCCGTGAGTGATCAGAACTACCACGAGATCTTCGTCATCATCGTCAGTGGCTCCAGACGCAGCTTCTTGGTCATAATGAGCGGGTTGCTTCGACTCTGACTGGGTCGTGGTATACCAGTCAACCATACTAGACAAGCCATGGCGGAATCGCTTATGCATCTGACTCCATTCCTCGCCAAAGCGACCACCATCACCCCAACAGTGCGGCTCGCGCATGCTGTCCCATTTGTAATCGACTTTGACACATTGATCACGGGCGTGAGCAACGTAGCCACGAGGAATTGGGTCGCCAGGAGAAATGGCATAGGTTGGGGTAGGTGGGGTGTAACCAAGAGAATTGTTGTGCCTGTGAGACACAGGCGAGGAATCGGCAGGTCTGAAGTGCTCCGAGGGCTTAGTGGTACCCAGGCTGTTTGTACGATCTCTTGCAGGCACGTCGCGGGAGAAGACGTGCCAGTTTTCCAAGGGACCATTGGTTTCATGCGACAGAGGAGAGGGAACGTTGCTGACTGAACTCGAATGCTGACGGGCAGCTTGCGGTGTTCCCCAGAGGTTGCCTCCTGATACGATAGGGGAAGATGGTGTGTAGGTTTCGATCTTGTCTGCCTGGCGGAGCAGTTCAGCCTTTGCGGCTGTGACCATCAAGGTACTCTCGGGAGGCGGCGTAATCATTTCGAAGTAGTCGGGTGACAGCCATTCGCCCAAGAAGGCATCCACGCGGAGAATGGTGCGGCTTTGTGGTACGGGGTCCTTCTGCTCTTTCAGCGAACTGTGCGGATACTCGCGCAACTCTTGTTCATGTTCGGGTACCGGGCGTAACTGTGGAGAGGCGGAAGCGTCCCTAGGCCGCAGGCTGGGGGAGGCACGGAGCTGGCTGAGTGTCTTGATGCGTGCATCGCTGCTCTTCCGGGCGACGGCTGGCAATCCCTGGTACTGCGACAAGCCAGCGCTGATGCCGATACCCGTTTGGACGCATCGCTGGAATGGCGACGAATGGATGACGACTTTGTGCTTCCTGGGTTTCGTTCGCGACCTGGACGTCGATCTGGCTGGTAGGTTGGCTTCGGAGAGAGCAGATTCCTTGATGCCGAGGCCAGCATCTGAAGGTGGTCCAGCAGGCGATGAGGTGCCCGACGAGGCTTTGGTCTTCTCGCGTTCGTGGAGGAGACTAGCTATGCGCAAACCCAGCGCTCTCGACTGAATCCAACCACCGTACGTGAGCGGTGGGTCGTATGGTGTGGGCGATGTGAGATGCCATGATTGGTCGGCAGCGTCGAGTCTCGCACCATGTCTGTTCGGCAGCAGTCAGCCATCTCGTCGATTTTGGCACAAACATGGTGGGAGACATGGAGCCTACCTGACAACTATCACGACTGCTGGTGCCTTTGTCATGGCGCAGCAAGGGAGCAGTCGGGTGATGTTTGACAGCTCGCTCTCCACTTGCAATTGCCTCGCCAGCTATGATGATGCCTTTATCGTAAGCCGCCTCGATGATGTCGTCGGTGTCGTCGGATCTACTCTTCACAATCGTCGGACAAGAAAGGAGTCAGTCCAAGAGTAGAATGATCATGTACAATTCGAGCGAGACACGAAACACAAAATACTACAGCCAAAAGGCTTTCCCTCTTCATAATCAATCGGCAACTGACACAACCTCCCGAACCATCTCCAGCCCGACACCACCTGCCCGCCGCCGCCGCGCGCCAAGCACCCCACCTTCCGTCACGGTTTCGCGTGCTTTAGCTCCGAATTTCCGACGTCGACATGCATCAACAGCGCGACCAGCCACCAAGCAAACGCATCCAAACGTCCATCATTTGCCAATGCCTGCTACATTCGACTGTACAAGTTCATGCTTGCACATCTAACAGCCAATACATGCCAGCCTTGGAATGCTGTAAGCAATTGTTGTTGCAGGATCTGCACCTTAGCCGCTTCTCTCCTGTTTCCTGCCTTGCGCTCTCCAAAAATTCCCTCTGACAGAGGACCAATCGTTGCAGAAGCCCCGCTGTCCCCGTACCGACTCCTTAGTTCACGTTGAGCTGCTCTGTTCTGTCTCACAAGTACGAACTGCGTTAATGGTTCTACAATTCCTTCGGCCCAGAAATCATCCGGCAACCGCTTCGGCTGATAGCAAGAATCCCCTGACCGCTTAGGTGCACGCCGGCTGATTTCAAGCATCCGAAATTTGATACTATGGTCTGATACTCGACTAACAGCTGTCTGGTACATACGTGAGCCCCTGCCCATCACTGAAGGTAGTCACCTCCTGTCTCCTTGTGAATCACATCAAACAATGGCTTGGCACTGAAGTACCCTGCCATTGGGGATCCAATCGCCTTGAATGTGTACACCGCATCCTCTTCATCAATCTTTTTGGTCTCGCCTCCACGGCCCCCTGCTGCCGCGTCTGCGAGCAGCTGCGCCTGACAGCACTTCTCAAGAGACACGAACCAGAAAACCGTCTCTTCCACCGTCTTGCCCACAGTCAAGAGACCATGGTTCTGCAGCAGTGCCGCCTTCTTGTTGCCGAGACATTTGGCAATGTTCTCTCCTTCCTCAGCGGCGAGAACAATGCCATTGAACGACTCGTAGAGGACATGGTCTCCATGGAACGAGCATGCGTCCTGTGTAATCGTGTCCAGCTTCCTGCCTAATGTGCAGAAGGATCTGCCGTAGATACTGTGACTGTGTGCTGCAGCCATAACATCAGGTCTGGCTTTGTGGATGGCGCTGTGGATCATAAATGCTGCTGTGTTGAGCAGCCTGGTCTCGCCACCGCCAATGATCTCGCCTTCTTCGTTGACATGGATCAGGTCGGACTTGTTGATTAGTGAGAATGCCACTCTATTCGACGAAACATATCAGCCAAGGACACCAAAACAAGAGCGATTTGACCTCTGCTTACCCNNAAAGGGATTGACCCAGAAAGTGTCGGGATCTACAGGATCGCGAAGAGTGATGTGACCAGCCACGCCTTCGTCAAACCCATACTTTCCAAAGATCCTGAACGCTGCGGCAAGACGACCCTTGAGATAATCACGTTCTTCGTGCTTGTCGGCAAACTTTGGTGGCNNCTGTTCTACTGTCAGGAGACATTGCAATCTATCGACATGTGGAGACTCTTACTTGGGGAACTTCCCCACCTGGAGTGCTGCGGAGGGCTCATCGAGTCCCGGCTCGTTGGGGGCTACACCGGCCTTCTCTGAGTCTGCGTGTGGTGCCATTTTTTGTTGTGCGTGCGTATATCAGGATGTCGAGAACAGCAAGACGGAAGAAGAAGAGCAAGCAACCTCTTTTGTATTTCTGCTGACCTTAGCTGAGTTCGAGGTAGGTTCGGCTGTCGGCCTATCGGTTTCGCGCTGCTTGCCCGATTTGCCCATGGGGAGGCGGGGTAATTTGGGTACGTCCTGCAGATCAACACGACCTGTTACACTACCACCAGTGTTTTATGGGAGTCTTGCCACCACTGCGAGCTATGCAATACAGTTGAGCTTATATAATGAGTCTTATGCATCTATACTGTCAAGACTCTTACGTGCTCATAGCGACTTGTGTTACCTCTAGCCATAGCTATTTGCGTGTATTAAAGAAAGGACAGCCTTTAAGATAAGAAGGCAGTAGAGTGTTATAACAAAATCTAGGGTTAATATTATAGCTAGTTAACAAGAAGAAAAAGAGTAACAAATAGTTTATCAAAAAGTAGTTGCCTTCCTATATGCTAAAGACAATTACAGTATTGCTATAGAAAAGATGCGCAATATTCTTTTTGATATAAAGTTATGTCTAGCAAGAGCTATTATCTTAGAGTTATATCTGTGGTTGTGATCTGTGTTAGTTTATAACAGTCTCTATAGCATTACCTATACATCGCCATGGGAAAGAGAAGGGAGTGCGTTGTAACACTCGAGGCAAGGAAAGAGAATGCCCCTTTCTAGCCTCTCTATATGCTAAACACTACTATAGTATACCTATAGAATTGCACAGTACCTTGCAGAAAGGAGCATCATCCGTTAAGAGCTGTGATTTTGTCGGCTCTCCGTAGAATCGTCTCTTGCCTAGAGATTATTATGCGGTATAATACTTACACTATGATTGCCATTTCACATGGGGAGAAGTGGAGCAGACGAGCAAGAAAGGAGAAAAGAAACACACCGCTACGCTATGCTATCGGCTGGCTATGAAATGCTCGAAAAGAGGAAAAAGAAAAACAGCAATACAATCACAAACATCCCTAGCATCCAAAAACGCCTTTCTTGCCCATCTTCGGAGACTCTGCAATTATAAGACAACAGTGGTATGAATACATGGCGAGTTAACCTTTGAATAGTTCCTCACCAACAACTCTCCCACTCTCGGTGTTGAAGTATTTCTTCTGCTCCTGGCTCTTCTCCTTCTTAATGTCCTTTTCCTTCTCTTTTCCCACTTCCTCGGCTTTCTGATCCTTACTCTTTTCTTCCTGTCCATTGCTTGATGTACCTGCATCTAGCATCTTACCCAACTCCCTGAGCTTAACAGGCTTGCACAAGTAGCTATCCACTCCGCTACTGAATGCCTCCTGCTGTGCCTGTGCACTTGCGAGCCCGGTAAGTGCAATGACGATGGTAGGTCTGATATTGTTCGCCCGCTCGTGAGCACGGATCTTGCGGGTCGAGGCCAGGCCGTCCATGACAGGCATCGATAGATCCATAAGCACGTAATCGAATGGTGGATCTGCCATTTCGTCTTTGTCACTGGCTTGTTCGCATTGAGATTTGTAGGCTTTAAGGGCCTCGAGTCCATTGTCTGCTGTCATGAGTGCGTGGCCGCTTTTCTTCATGTAGGTAACGAGTAACTGCAGGTTTACCCTGTTGTCGTCTACCAAAAGCACTTTACGGACGGCCTTGTCAAAGTCCGAGTTTGTCCTGGAGGAAGGACTCATGATTCCGGCCGATGGCGCTGGTGAGTCAGGAGAGCTGGTCTTATTCAACGGAGAGGTCTCCAGCTTAGGCATCCTAGACTTGCCTTGCGCCATCTCCACCGTATCCTTTCGAGGATGTTTCAGTGGTGCATCTCCGAAGTGGCCCTTCTCCTTCGCCTGCTCACTCATGGCATGTTGTTCGGAATCTAGGACTTTCTGGAAAGGACTATCCTGGAGTTGTTGGCCATCTCCTATGCTGTCGTCCAGAACTTTGCGCATGGATGGCATTGGCTCGTTTGTGTTGGCGTTCTTGTGGGCTTCTAAGCAAAGCGTGAGTGATTTTGCTAGTTTTCTTGGTCCGCATGGTTGGGATAAGACTCCGGTGATATGTGATCTAGGGTGGTGCATCATGGCATTAGCGGCAGAGACGCTGTTGCATATGACCAGCAAAGGGATATCGGCTTCTTTGCTTTGAGCGTTCTTGTCGGACTGGTTTTTCATGCGCTTCTCCAGCTGATCTTGCACTTGTTCGAGACCCTTCTCAGTAGTAAGGAACACGTCGACCCCAGACTGGTCTATGCCGTCGGATATCTGCATGTCCATTCCAAACCAGTTCTGGCACATTCTGTGGAACGAGGCCATAAATCTATGGCCAGCGTTCTCTGGATCGCGGGTCCCTGGCTGCGGCTCCTTCTCGTAGGAATTTCCATCAAACCCAATAAAGCCGATCTTCATGTTCTTAGTCCTCTTAGCCGCACTTGTAATCACACTTCGATCTACATCCTCTTCTTTTACTGCAATGTGCATCATTTCCAGGGTAACGGTGGTCTTGGTACCTTTACCCTGCTCACTTTCCACTTCAATCTCGCCACCCATGGATTTGATTATGGCCGAGATGATCGCCAACCCCAAACCTGTGCCGGGCTGCATCGGATCTTCTTGAGCGAACGGGGTGAAGAGACTTTTGTCGAGGTACTCTTTCGACATGCCTTTTCCGGAATCAGTGACTGACAGCGTGACTTTAGATTTGCCTCCTTGTTCTTTTGTTGGCAATGGCTCACTATCGAGCTTGACCTGAATGAACCCACTTGAGGTATACTTGAGGCTGTTATTGAACAGATTGCTCAAAATACGGCGCCATGCTCCAGCCTGTGTTCTGAAGATCCAATGTGAGTCCTGGGCTTTCGAAATGTCAACCACGATAGAGACGTTACGATTACCATCCGAGCTGTTTGCATCACCGTCAACTTGTTTGTTTGCTCGCGGCATCTGCTCGGTCTCACGACCAGCTCTAATGAAGTCATGACCAGCAAAGACAGTCTCCAGCACTTCCTCAGTGACAACGCTCAAGTCGACATCAACATCCAGTGCAAAGTTTTGTTTCTGTTCATGTGGATTCGAACTGTTCGTGCGTGTTTGAGTACTCTTCCTAGTGAAATTGTTGATTTTTGCGAAGTCGAGTAAATGGTCAATCGTGTCGAGCAAAGTGTGGCCGCAGGTGGCAAGCGTATGTACAAGATTCTCCTGGAAGGGATCGAGAGTTGAGTCTTCGAGACATTCTACACTGCCGAGTATACCATGGAGTGGACTCCGCAGCTCGTGTGAGATAGACGAGATAAAGTCTGACTTTGCTTTGTCAGCAATCTTAGCATTGATCCTTGCCACTTCGCTCATGATGCAATCGCTGAACGCTGCGAGGTAACTAAGTTCGGAGTGTGTGGTCAGAATTCTATGTGGATCCAAGGTCCAGGCTATACAAGCACTGAAGAACTTCTGATCAGAGTCCCACATGGGGTGAATGGCGAAGCTGCGCACGCCTGGGAACAGCTGCTTTATTGTTTTGGCATTGTTGGATCTCAACCGCTTGCGTTTCTTGACCGTGTCTTTCGGCGAAACTTCACCGTCCAGAGCCTCTGATAGTACTCTATCCTGTTCGAGTGACGAATCTTCATCCTGATCGAAGTTGAGGACTTTACCATGAGGATAGCGACGCAAAAGGGATCGTACAAACTCTTCAGTCATACCGTCGGTGAGTTTTGCTGATTGATCACTATGTGCGCTATTCATGGTAGGTGTCGATATACCAAGGATCTCGGAGGGTTTCGCACCATCTTCCTTTTCCAAGTCCTCACTATTTCCTGACTTAGATCTCTCCGTGCCAGACTTAGTAGAAGAGTCACTCTCGGAAGCTGAGGACAACTTCCTTCGTTTCGGTCGTTCATGGGTGGTGCGATCGACAAGACCTCCAAAAGTAGATTTGGCGGTAGCATCATATATGACAACAGCATCTATCTGCAATGACTCTCGGATGATGTTTGCAGCACGTCCAAATGTCGCTTTGACTGCGGGTGCAAGGTGATCGGTGGGCGATGTCTTTTTCGCCTTAGGGTCTTCCATTGATGACGAGGGTTGTGCTGATGCATTAGAAGAAGCGTGTGAGCCTCGTCGTGAAGGCGACTTGTCGATATCCAGGTAGACGCCAACATCGGAGAGGGATGGGAAGTCCTTCTCACCGCTCAGCTTAATATCCGGCGGTTGGTCGTGGTGTCTAGAGTACTGGCGATCGGCCCAGGGTAAGGATGAGTCTTGCTGATCGGGCGTCTCCAGATCAGCACCTAGGGCTCTCCAATCGCCCAAAGTATCTTTGCCTTCAACAAAGCATCCCAAACCATGTACCATTCTCTCTTTCTTTATGCTCTCGGACTGCGAGCGCAGCATGTCAAGGTGTATCATGACTGTTGTCGCCATGTCCTTCATGAAGGCCACTTCTTCAGACGAAAGACTTTCTCGAGGCTCAGGATCTATGACACAGTAGGCGCCAATCTTGTAGCCATTAGGAGAGACGATGGGAACTCCTGCGTAGAATCTCCATCCGTGATCCGTGGTATATGTTTTGTCGTTGAATCTCTCGTCCTTGGACAAATCGGGAACCACAAAGACTGTCTCGTCCTTGGAACCATTGAGGTCGTTGGATGAGAGATTGATCGTATGTTCGCAGATGCTCCCTCTCTTAGGAACCATGGTTACACCATAGTCTATCTGATCGCCTGGCTCATGGACGGATTCAGTCTGCAGGCTAAGCGACTTGGTGGCTTCGGCGACGATGTACTGATGGTCTCTGTCGAAGAAGGAGATGAAGGCACGTTTGCAGTCCAATCGGAGGGTAGCCAGTTGAGCGAACGCCGTTAGTGCTCTGTCGGGTGATGTGCGAGCTTGTGGCGGACTGGATTGGTCTCTTTGCGCCGACAGGCCGGTTAATCCAAGTCTGACGGGTTGAAAATATCTGTGTCCCCAAGAGTCAGCTCATTGGTCAGACTCAAGGTCAACACGTCTGTACTTGTAAAACTCGCGCTCGTGGTTGACATCGTATGGCGGTTCCGAGTCCGTCGTGGGACCTAGAGGACAGAATTTCATGATTGTGTTGGCTCGCGAAGAGTTTCAGTCGACATCAAAGGCAATTGAGATCAATAGTTTGACGCGCGATGCCGATGGTGATAGTTGATGACAGGGCGAGAGAAAACAGTACTGGACAACGAAATGATGGTGACAGCGAAAAGCAATACGTCATTGTACTGTCAAAGACGACCCTGGAGACGGAGACCATTCCGGCAACCTCTTCCCCAATTATTCCACACCATATTTTCGACTGTCTCTAAACTGACTGTGTCTCGTTTTGTATTACTAATAGTTAGAGCAACGAGTTGCATGAAAGGTAACGATGTGACTGGCTGAGCCCCGGACGTTGTAAGAACAAGACAGTCGAAATTTCATAATTGGGTATCTAGGTAAATGCAAGAATGGCTAAACAAAAAATAAGGCAAGAGCTTTGCAGCTCTGAAAACAACATCTAGTCCGTAATATCATGTGAGCATTCATCTTTCCAATCCCTTGCTGAGCTCGGAAATTTCATTGTCGGCAAGCGCTGCGAGCCAGAGGCACTTGGCCAGGATCTCAGCATCGGCCTTGATAGCATATCTCGAGCTGGCGTCCAGCAGACGCAAAACTCCTTTGACAATCGACGCAGTAGTGCGGTGGCGCTCAAAGTTCACAAGCTGCTCGTGCGATCCGTCTGTCGATGCTCTTCCAGCAGGTGTGATGAACGCTGGCTTCTGAGCATTGAGTGCAAGGTCGCGAGTATAAACACCAAGGAAAGGGATGACACCCTTGCCAGCCGAGATATCGTCGTCGCTCAGCTCAGCTGCTGCACTTTCCATCTCGGCACGTAGCGCAGCGAAGTTACGCATTGGGCTGACCAATGTTTCGAGGCTTCGAAGTGCATCTTTTTCGGCTTGTGCTACTTTCGACCACGTCGCGCTGAGGCGGGAAAGATCTGAGGAAAGTAGAGCGATAGTGATCTGTGCTGTTGTCGCAAAGTTCCGTAGGCCGCGGTGCGAATGTGTTGCGATGTGTACAAACTTCGTAATGCACTGAGCGCGCTCCTCCGATGTCCCACAGAGCAGGACGGAAGAGATGCACCATTTGATGACAAGATTGAACCGTGTGATGATCAGATCGATACTGCTAACATCCGTGACATTGGTGGGAAATGCGTGAATGTACTGCGCCCAGTCGCGCACCAATGGAACCTCTTGTGACCAACTGAGATTGATCAGGTCTTTCCAGTCGACAGAGTCTAATGCGTCCTTCTCGATTATGGTGAACTGCATAGCAAGTGCTTCAGAAGTATGTGCCAGAATAAAGGGCGTATGTTGCGTCGGAAGGTTGCGTGCTCGTGGAAGCGCAGAATGTTCCGCCTTCTTTGCGAATTGCTCCGAGAGTAACAGTTCTGAGAGGCGGAACGACTTTTGAGACTTTGCGATTGGCGGGCCAGGGAGCAGTAGTTGTGTATTGAACTGGTCACAGCCGTGATCTGAAACGTGGTCCGCAGTTGTAGGCGGAGTAAGGGGATGGCATCCTGGAGGAGGTTGGAGATGCCCAACGGAGCCTACAACTGCGTCCTCATCTTCGGCGTCAAGCAGGAAGCTATGTCCAGTGTCCGTCGATGGCTTTGGCTCATGTTGTCGAACGATCATAGAGCTGCGATCGACGAGCGATTCACCATCGTCAAGAAGGAAGGTCGAGGCAGGTGTGTTTGGTGAGTCCGTTCGTTCCAACTCGATCTTGACAGGAGTGACAGGTCGCTCAAGTTCTCTAGGCAGATCAAAACTGGCGAAGTCCTTTGTGGCGATCATCGGTTTGTTGACCCCATTTCCTGTTACTGCGAACTTGCTCGGTGGGCTGGCCGCTGCAACGTCAATTGCTCCATGTCTTCTATGCATGCCTCTGCTGACTTCAGTTCCAGCAAGAGGAGGACCTCCTTTCATCAGCTGTGGTGGAACCAAAGTGTCTTTTACATCTGAAACCACACGCTCTTGACCACCGACTTGCTGCCGCGTAAGACTTGGGAAGTCACCGTCATCGTGACCGAAATCAAAAGACTTCACAGTTTTATCAGACGAATGACTCGTTATATATCTTCCTTCGAGTTTTAGCAATGCGGACTCCGGCCCGCCGTCGTCTTCGACGAGTGGCATCTCCCGGAGTCTGGCAACTTCCACTTCCATCGATGGGCGTAAGCGGCGTAGGGATGAATGAGTAGACAGTAGTCGTAATGAGCTTCTTCTCGCCGCATCATAAACATCGCCGTCGCTAGCCTGAGGTCTGAGAGAAAGTCTTGCGAGTCGTGATTCGATCTGTGCATCATCACTACCTCCAAATGTGGTCGACAAGATTGGCGACCCATAAATAGAGATTGGTGATGTGACTGAACCAGTTGATTGACGTCTATGAGAAATCCCAAGGTCATGCACAGTATCGACACCACGAAGATTGCCTCCAGGTTTGCGACGAAGCTGTCTCGCAGGCCCTGGCAGATCTTTAGGGTCTACCAGCGATGATTGACGAAAGCTTAAGGCTGGGCTACCTCCCACAGAGATGTTCGGCGAGTGGAACAAGGAAGTGGTAATTTCAGTATCGGGGCTGGGCGTGTAATCTCCTGCCACAGCTGCGGGTTCTGTAGAGAGGTTTGAAGCGGTCGGGAGTGGTGGTAGCGGCGCAGTCGGCGGAGGCGAATATGGGGATGACATGATGGATAAGGTAGTAGGTGCGGTGGACAAGGTAGCAAACTGGGTCGGAATCGTCCAGGATGGTAGGTCAGAATTCATCATATCGTAGGGGAGTAGGAAGGCAGTGTTGTTCAGAGCCACGTCGTGGACTGCTGTTCGGTTGTGTTCTCGCGTCGTTTGTCTTGACAAGTCGGCCGATTGTGCGAAACCAGCAATTGTTTGTGCTAAATCCGGAGTTCGCTCGGAGTCATCAAGCCCTGTGTCATCAATTATCATGATCGACCGACTGCTCGTCGTCACATTACTCAGAAGACGAGATGCTCCAGGGCGAACCGGAAGATTGGTTTCGATTGTCTTTGACCTGTTCCGTGTAATTGGCAGAGCGCTGGGCTGAAGTTCAGTCAGCTCATGCGCCATCTCGTTTCCTTGCTGTTTCCAAGAGCGCATAACCATTGCAGCCAAAGCATCGGTATGAACATTCTGTGCTTTCCTGGCTTGCATTTGTCTGATCATATCTCTTGGCTGAGGTTCCGTGCTATCGATCTTCCGCAATTCACCAGAACTGGCAGTCTTAGGTCGGTGTTGGAATGGATACTTTCCACCAGTGCGTGTGCTTAGCGCCCGCCGCACACTGCCGAAGATGTTTAGACGAGCATGCTGAGATGGGACTTGCGACGCTCGTGACAGGCTCTCTGATATAGTAGGTCTGGTGTCCTCGGGTCTTGCTGAGAAGGTAGGGCTGGGCGGACCAGGGCCAATGACGTTTGCCGAACTGGGATGGATAACGAGACCTCTGATAATCCTGCCAGGTTGAATATGAATTTCCATGCTTGGCTGCGAGGAAGTTGGTCGTTCGACACGAGAGTTTCGGAGCGCGTCTGAGAAACTGTCACTTCGCTTGTGGCGGTGGAAACCCTTTGGTCTATTAGGTGAGTGATGGCCTGGTTTTTCGGGTTGGTCCTTTAAGTCATGCTTGGAACGCTTCAGTCTAGGAAACGAACAAGAGGTGACCTGAATACTAGCCTCACTAAGGCGAGATGCTGTGTCCGGACGTCTCAAAGCCACGGTAGATATATTATTACCCATGTAGGACGAATTCCGCATATGCGATTCGTTAGTCAACGAGCGCATGCGAGTCGTTTCAGGAATCTGCGAATCGTTGTCACCATCAAGCCTGAGTGGCATATACGAATGAGGTGCAGCNGATCGACCCCAAACAAGCGCACACGTCCGATTCCAACACTTTTGTAGCTCGTTCAATACTTGAATATCACCACCAGCGCCACCTTGAGGTCTTTGTGTCACATACAGAGCGAGTTTGTTGACAAGATTGCAAAACAGATTCCGAAGCTCGTGGTCAGGCTCAAAATCCTGAGTAAAGTAGTTCAGGATCCAGTGGCGTAGAGCAACAAACGTTCGCACACGCACTACCCGTCCGGATCCATCAGTCTGCGATACGGCCCAGCGCAGTCTGGCAACCAGATACCTGGCCAGATCAGAGGGCGATAAGAAGGCTCTGTAGGTCAAGAAAAAATCCGATAAGAGATCATAATCCAGAAACTTGACGGATGTAATTTCGACAACCAGACGAGTGGGTATTGCTGCGACAATTTCGCTAGTGCCGTCTGCGTATCTAACATATTGATTGCTGTCTGGGTCTGCAGCCACCTTGTCGTAGATAGTATAAGGTATCTCGTCTCGATCCAACTCCAAGGGCGGAGTAGCAAGCGGCGAAGGGAGTAGCTGACCTCGGCGAGTTTCCACAGCGGGTGAGACTGAAGGCGAAAACCAGGAAACGCTGGGGGATCTGCGTAAATCTATCGAGTTTTGGTGGCGCTGAGAGGAAGGTGGCATCAAGCGATCTAAGCGATCAGTTGAGAGTTGAGCCAAGTCAGTCGTGCTGGAGAAGGCAGTATGGTACGAGTTGTGGAGGAATGCAGTTCCACGATCGCTGAATCTAGGCGAACCAAGACGGAAGTTAGGTATAGGTACCTCAAGCAGAGGAGCAAACAAAGAGTCCGTAGCATGGGATGGTGATTTCTCTGAAGGCTGGTTGTGGTGTGATGGTACTTGGGCGTGCTTAGGGATCGAGTCGAGACTCGGCGAGCGGAGATGGGTGGCCCTAATTGTTTCATGTGTGCTCTTTCGACTGTAGCCGCTGTCAAATGACGACCTTCGACGGGAGTCGATGAAGTCATGGTCGAGCTGACGTATAGACAGTTGAGCAGCACTCTGATGTAGTCCGTCGTGCCAATAGAGGCCAGAGGGAGTGTGCTGATGGGCATCCGAGGTATCCGGGGGAGTTGGAGGAGGACGAAAGGCTCTTGGGTAGGGACGGGCGACCGGTCTAGGCAGCATAAGCTTGTGGTGGTGGACTGTATCCAGAGGTGTCTGTTCGAACCTCAGATACATGGTGCCATTCTGACCAACGTTTGCGACACTGAAATGGCGGTCCGCCAGCTTGCTTGGGTTATGGAGACGGGGTGACGATTGTGATTGTTGGTGCTCATTCTTCTCGCGATTGTACTTGAGACGGGCCATCTCGGCACTGTCTTTGGTGTTGCGAATCGACTTCTTACGGGCTTTGCGACGGAGGATAGTTGGCGGCTCACGCGGCGGTGATAGCGGCAGACGGAGGGGGAACGAGTCGGTGGTATCGTTGAGATTGGCGATATTACACGAGGGCTCTACGAGAAGAGGCCCTGTGTCCATGACAGCTCATGGTCGCTGTCCCGCAAGACGGTGGCAGGGTGTCGACTGGCACAGCAAATGCCTGGGCAGTACAGACGAAGGAGACGCGACGAGGCAGGAAACGTTGGATAAGGATACAACGGCCGTCCGCTGATGCGCAACGTGGCACACGCGTGCAACTGTGAACCAGACCGATATCACGGTGTATCCGGGTCGTCCAGGTTATCCGGCTTGCAACTTGCAAGCGAGGATGCGAGATACAAGGGAGGCCTGGGAGACGTGTCTATGCTGGCTGCGCGTCTATGATGATGGCAGAAGAGGGAAACAAGAAACAACAGCGCCCAGAGACGACGCGAGACAGCAAAGACATGGTGTTAGATTATGACCTTGCCAGGTCTCGCCGACCGCCTGGCTCTTGGGCATGACATCGTCCATCTGGTGTGTGCCTCGATGCCTGTGCTTGTCCTGGGGCTGAATGACTTTGATATTAACCAAACGCTAACCGCGTCCCGCGAACCGTATTTGAGCCACGGCCAATCAACGTGGTCGCGTCGTTGCAAAACCACGTTTTGATCTGGCGCGCGATGTGCAAACCATCAGATCAAGTCTAGCAAGTCTAGCCTCTGCTCCACCTCTTCCGCCAACAACAAAGACGGCCTTTTTTCTGTTGCTGCATTTGCTCGCGCCTGCAGCTGCAAAACACACTTGGTTACATGGCGCGAGACACCGTTTTTCGAGCCCTCCCGCGCAAACGCAGTCCTCCGTTCTCATCAAATCTCAAATTTCCTGGTCGATCGTCGACGTAACCGCGCTGTCAGACAGGGAAGCGAAATCAAACAGAAAGCCAAGCCATCCCTTTCTTAGCTCCACTCTGAAACATCCTCCCGGCCCTCGGCAGCACCGTAGATTTGGGTTCTGTTGTTTCTTTTCATCATCTCGCTACTCATGTCCTTTTTCTAGAAGGACCGGCTTGAGACAGCAACTGCCGTCATCTCCAGTAAACAAGCCGTGAGAACAAACACTTCTTTTCTTGCTGGTTTGTTGTGTTTTTGACTGCCTCTTATCGCTGCCGAGCTCGGCCACTACCTGTATAAGCTTCCACTCATGTCATCTGCTTTTATTGCTTGTCCCAAGGAACACAAAGCCGAACTTGTCATGGCTTTTCGCTTTTGTCAACCAGATCAGGGCTTCATAGCCTATTGCAAGGCCGCCAGCAGCCACCAAATGGGACTCATGCCTCGCTATACGCGACTTTCCTTATGAACTCACAGTCGTTGAAGAATGATTTCACACGTCGAACATCATGCCTGTTGAGATTCTCTTCTTTGTCAGCCTCGGCACCCAAATCCGGTCCTTCTCGCTACCGGTTCTTTTGTAGCGTGGAAAAACTATCCACAGCCAAAAAAAAAAAAGAAAGGGAAAAAAAGGGGGAAAAAAGGAAGAACGAGATCGATTTTCACAAATCCAACGTGGACATGAGTAGTCACCGTTTAACAAGTTGATGATACTCCGGTATGATTGATACAATGACCACAGCTATGTGTATCCGGTGGGTGCATAAGCACATTTGCTTAATCTCGGTCGATATACTTGTCACCAGAAGTTTCCGAACTCTCCCTCAAGCACTTTCGCTCAACTCCAGTCCTCAAGTCATCATCAATTATCAATGTCCAGACGCCGCAACTCTCTGATCCAACCCGACTGGCTTTGCATCAGCCATGACAATTCCTTCTCGCGCATCCTAAGCCTAGCCACGTCGTCTATGGACCCCAGATGAGGACTTGAACCGTCACTCTCAATTTGNCAGTCCTTAATGACTTCTCGAAGACCATGCAAAACATTAGCCGCCTTCAGTAGAGCTGGAATTCGCGACACCAGACACACTTCGGTACTCTTGCCATGATGTTTCTTGACGGGCCCTGCTTTGCCGCTGCCGGCCAGTTGCTGCACTCTCGTCGATGCTTCGGACACGCCATCAGCATATTCTGATACCTTGTCGGCAATGACTGTCACAGACAATCCCGTGTGATCCAACGCTTCTTGGATTGGTGGATGTGTCTTGTAGAGCGTGGTTAGGTCTTCTAGAAGCTCAAATTGTTTCTTGTGGCCTTTTCGGATAGCCTCCACGGCGTCCAGCATTCTGACAAGCGCTTCCACAAATCCAGTGGCTTCTCTCATATGTTCGGCCAGGTTTTGGATTTCTCTTACTTGTTCGGAACGCCAGTCTTGCTTTCTCGCACTTGGCTTGTTTGGGCCCATGTCAGAATCCACCTCTGTCTCTGTTGACGGGGCAAGGGGTGCGTTGCGACGAGGCTGTATGACAGGCCTGTGTGCCAGCTTGATCATGTCTTGAGATGTCGATGTCCTGGATGTCTTTCTGTCTTCGCTGAAAGGCCCAAATGCTGGCGGTATCAACTTCCCNTTGCCTTTGCTGGAGGAGGGCACTACAGCGTCTGCTATCTGCTCGCTTCTGCTGGATGGAACGGCAGGTGTAGATCTCGATCCAAGTTGGCCTTTGCCAGAAGGCGAAGATCTATAGAACATTGTTCTTGACTTCTGTTTGTTGGTGGTTATGCAAGAGGGCCAACAAGAGCCGTTATATATACGACGTCGTCGAACCGTGCTGAAAGCACATGCTGGCAGACAATGCTCACATCTGCCAGCATGCTTTTTAGTTGTTATGGTCGACAATCACGGGCCCGACAACAGTCTGATGCAGGTGCAAGAGTGATCAAAGTAACGCAGACAGTGACGCTTGTTTGACAGCAAACAATCCCTACTCTTGAAAGAGTGTATCGAATAATGCGAACCAAGAACTACAGGTATACCATGTGCTTTGGCATAGCCATTCAGTGATTGACACAGGTAGGTGACTTTATTAGAGCTTGCGTTCGAGAATCGTTAGATAGGCAACCCTAGTCCTCATGACAAACACTCTGCTTGGTAAGAACTCACGGATCAAACAAGAAGCTCGTGCGACATGTTCTCACCAAAGGCAAGATATGTGAATTTCGAGAACAAACGAAAATGAGATCTACCTGACTACACAAATCTGGATTTCAGCTGCCTGGGGCAAACTCGATTTTTGGTGCCTAGTCGTCTCTCTTGATCAGAGACAGCTGCATTGTCACAAAACGCTCGACTCTGCCCACTCGAACCTTGCATTCAACACATTGCAATTTCTTTGAGCATTATCGGCGTTTCTTTGTAATCTACCAACAATGTCCTGTGCCATACCTTGTCTTCTCCGAGACGTTGTCAATCTTCTTTGTTCTTTGCAACATCTCAGTCCCATTGTTCTTTGTATTTCTCCGAAGTCCTTGTCCTAGTAAATCTGGTTACGGACATGCTGAACCTGCGGGAATGCGAACTCGAATCATACATAACCACTTCCAGATTCCCAGAACCCATCTCCTGTTTCCTCACTCTTCACACACAACAACCGATCACCCATTGCAGGTAAGTAACTCTTTCCCTAAAGTTTGCTAACAGGTACACAGAACATCATGTCCAACAACTCAGACTTTTTCAACGCTTTCAATGCCAGCAATACTTTCTCAATCATCCCTTTGGAGTCTATCGGGGTCGCCAACATCCCTGATTCCATTGAGGTTCCCGGAAATACCGACCTTGTTAATAGTTTTACAGACTTCCCTGAACTTGACTGGGGCGAAGACTTGATCATGAGAAGGGGAGATGACACAGCTGACGAGCGTGGAGTCAGTCAACAGGTCATTGAGAACACTGATCACTCTGGGATTGCTGAGAATTCTGAGTCGACTGGTGTCCACGAAGATGAATTGGCACACCTTCTTAGTGATTATGTCGCTACTCCAGTCCCTGGTCCAGTCATGGGTACGTTTGACGGTCATCCCATTGAGCTTACTGAAGAGAACAAGACATACATGGCTGATATGGCTGCCCAGGCTGGGTTGTGGCTTACTGTCAAAGGCAAGCGCAACCAGCACTACATGACACATGCGCCTCCTACTGATGGCATCAATCAGGTGTTCATCCCCGATACTCCTCCAGAGACTCCTCCCCGCGAGCCCAGTCCTGCCCCTGCTCCAATTGCTTCCCCGACTCGCGATGTTGGTCACACTGGTGCCGGTATCCGCAAGCGCCCTTACAAGTGCGCTCACTGTATGTCCACCTTCTCTAGCGTTGCTCGACTTACTGCACACATCCAGAAAGTGCACGCTGACAAATTGGCTAGTTCTGCCGCACCTGTCACTGACCAGACATCTCAGAAGTAGAACATTTTCTCTAGGTAAGTCATTCCCAAACATTCTTGTTCGCTAATATTCTCTAGGTATTGCAACTCACCAAGGCTTTTTCTCCTGCTCCCATACTACATTATGGGAAAGGTTTTTTCAGTCTTGGTCATGCTCTCTATTTTCTCCCGTCACTTTCTACATTATTTCAAAACGTCAAAGTATTTGAAAAACAAGGAAACAAAAAAGAATCTTCTATCTTTTGACGGGTGGGGAGCATGCGATATCAATAGGGCGTTTTTTGAGCTAATTTTCTTACTGAAATTTTTGACCTGTTTTTACGTCTAGCTCTTGCGTTCTACCCCTGGTCTCGCTTTTTACTGGTCTTCCCTTTTGCACTTGATTGTGAAGAGGTAGACTGGCTGTTTTGCTCGACTGGGTCGCGATTGAGCATCGGTATCCTCTTACATAGTATTTTTTATTGAATACAAGCATTTTTTTTTCTCAAACCATTATCCTATAGTCCTCTAAATGTTGTTTAGTGATTTGATCTCGTGTATGTCGACGAATGAGAAGGCCTGAACACAACATCTCGGATGGAATCATTGTCTGAATGTATTTTCACAATAATGTTGGCCAAAACGATTGGAAGCTGATCCCTTCACGCATCTCGTCCCTTTCCTCAGACTATGCTGTTCTATAGCGTTTTCCACCGGCGGAGTTCGGTCGAGATAGCGCTCTGTAGATCGTTGCAAACGCCTATTGGCTCGAAGTCGTGGTCAAGTGCTTGGTAGCTGGGACTTCATCCTACAATTCTTGGGCAAGAACGACCATCAACCAACCTCTTCTGAATGCATGTTCACGATGCCTCTCTGCACCCCTCAATCATAACCGTACCCCGCAATGATCGGCCAAACACCACCAGCAGACACATTCAGCCAAAATGTAAGCATTATTCGAGCTCGATATCACCTTTTACATCAGCAAGGGTTCAGGCTTGGGCTCCTTCCTCGTGTTTAACCATAAGGGGGATACATATATGACATCCATCTAAACTGTAAGATACATGGAGCAAGGTTGTTGATGTTCAAGAAAGGTAGGTCATGTCCAAGCTGTAGGCGAAGATCTATCGTCTATACCTGCAAGAGACTTTAGCCGGCCATGTAGTATTGTACTGCCTGGAAACAGCTTCCTCATCCTTGAAGACTATATAAGAATGGCAGGAACCGGATGATGTCGCACCCTTCTTGTCGATAATCTTGATTTTGAAGATCCTTGTTACAATGAGGTTTCCCAGCGGCACCATTGCAGGCATTGGCCTCGCAGTGCTTCCGTGGATTACATCAGTTCTAGGCGCCTCAAGCCCCATGTGTCCGCCTGCAATCAATTATACCGCCGACTTCGACTACGTCGAGTGTCGTCAAGACAGCTACTACGGCCGCATCCTTGGGAGAGAACGCAAAGCAATCTTCCGTGATACCAATACACCTCAATACTGTGCTGACTACTGTGGCCGATCTGGTTATCCATGGGCAGGAGTCGAATTTGGAAGGTGAATTTTTCTATCAAGCTTTCGAAGTTGACCCTTGACTAAATTATGAAAANGCCAATGCTTCTGTGGTGGCCAGCCCGATGGCGGAGCAGTGACCGGCAATGCCAATTGTTCGACTTACGCTTGTTCTGGAGATCCGTCTCAGAAGTGCGGTGGTCAATACTTCTTGCAGCTGTACAAGGTCAACAACCCACTTCCAGTGGAGAAGGTTGATGGAGATGTTAAGCGTCAACCTCTCTGTCACACAAGCCCTTTGTGCGAGCACACAGTCTGTAATACATCGCTGCCTGTAGCAGACAGAATTGCATCGCTTTTGTCAGACATGACATTAGAAGAAAAGACTGCCAACGTTGTCAATGCTGCAGATGGCGTGGGTCGTCTCGGTCTGCCAGGCTACGACTGGTGGAATGAGGCTCTGCATGGTCTTGCTCAAGCTCCTGGTGTCAAGTTCAACAGTCCCAATGGCTCGGCTTTCAGCTATGCCACTTCCTTCCCCATGGCCATTACGACTGGCTCTGCTTTTGATGATCCTCTTATCGGACAGATTGCCGGCGTCATTGGAAGAGAAACTAGAGCCTTTGCGAACTTCGAGCAGTGTGGATTTGACTTTTGGACACGTGAGTAACTGTATCGAGAATGAAAGCTACCTGCTAACCACTATGCACAGCCANACATCAACACCTTCCTTGATCCTCGCTGGGGTCGTGGACAAGAGACGCCTAGTGAAGATGCGTTCCATACTCAGCAGTACACAAAGCAGTTGATTCCTGGTCTACAGGGCGGTCTGGACCATCCCGAAGAGAAACAGATCATTGCCACATGCAAACATTTCAACCTCTACTACGCTGAGTCTAACAGGTAAGTGTGTCTACGGGGTTACAGCGCAGTATCTCTGATCCTTTCTACANGATACGGCGAGAACTACAATGCTACCGTTCAGGACTTGGCCGAATACTTCAACCCTCCGTTCAAATCTTGCGTTCGAGATGTTGCTGTTGGATCTGTCATGTGTGCATACGTAAGTCATCCCTGATTCGGATCTTGACATGACTTAATGTTTTTCATAGNNACTGCCACCTATGGTGTCCCTAGCTGTGCGAGCGAATACTTCTTGCAAGACACTTTGCGTGAAGACTGGGGCTTCGACGAACCCTATAAATATGTCGTCGCCGATTGTGGTGCTGTAGAATACATACATACCGTCCACAACTTCACCGATACACCTGCTGAAGGCGCAGCTGTTGCTCTGAACGCTGGTACCGACCTGGACTGTGGTCTCACTTTCGAGACATACTTGAACGTGTCGGTGATCAACAACTACACTACAGAAGCACGCTTGAACCAGGCCTTGACTCGTCTGTACTCTGGACTTCACACTGTTGGATACTTCGATGGTCAAAACCGTTACGCATCATTGTCATGGGGTGATGTTGATACCGAAGATGCTCGAGCTCTTGCTTACAAATCAGCTTGGGAAGGTATGGTTCTGCTGAAGAACGATGGTCTATTGCCTCTTTCAGCAAGTTACCAGAAGGTAGCACTTGTTGGACCATATGCAAATGCCTCCAGCCAAATGCAGGGTATCTATGCGGGTCAAGCACCATACATCATCACTCCTTTGCAAGCGGCAGAAGCCAACTGGGATGACGTCCAATATGCTTTCGGAACCGGCGTTAATGGGAGTAACACAACCTTCTTCTCGGCAGCACTAGAGACCGCAAGATCAGCTGACCTCATCATCTATATGGGTGGAATTGACAGCACTATCGAGCAAGAGACCCAAGACCGCAAGTCCATCGGATGGCCTGGCAACCAACTTGATCTCGTGCAACAATTGAGCGAGCTTGGCAAGCCTCTGGCGATTGTTCAGTTTGGCGGTGGTCAGATTGATGATAGTGCGCTGCTTGCCAACGACAAAGTCAATGCTCTTCTCTGGGCAGGTTATCCGAGTCAGGAAGGTGGTAATGCCGTTGTCGATGTTCTGCTTGGTAGAAAAGCACCCGCTGGACGCTTGACCACGACTCAATATGCCGCCGACTACATCAACGAAGTCAGCATCTTCAACCCGGACCTACGTCCAAACGGAAGCTACCCCGGTCGCACCTACAAGTGGTTCACAGGCAAGCCAGTCTTACCTTTCGGATTCGGACTCTTATACACGAAATTCGCTCTGTCGTGGTGTGGTAAACCTCTCAAGCAGTCTTACAACATCAAGAGTCTGTTCAACAAGCGTCAACACCACGGCTCGAAGCCCACTCCTCTCGACACTCTGCGGTTTGTCACTCTGTCTATAACCGTCTCAAACATAGGCAGCCACACTTCCGACTTCTCTGCCCTCCTCTTTCTCTCAACTTCCAACGCCGGACCTGCCCCCTACCCTAACAAATGGCTCGCCTCCTACGCTCGCGCCCATGGCGTTGCCCCTGGAAAATCTCAAACAGTCAATTTGGACATCTCCATTGGTTCATTGGCCCGAGCTGATCAGAATGGAGACTTGACTGTTTACCCTGGTAACTACAAGTTGGCGATTGACAATGACGAGCTTTTGACAGCAGAGTTTGAGCTTGTTGGTGAGCCGGTTATTGTTGATCGCTTGACTAGGCAGGGAGTTTATGAGTATACTGTTCCAGTGCACTACAATGCTAGTGCTAATCTGGTGTAAAGAGATGGAGTTTTGCGAGTTTTCTTGGAGTTGTTCATAGTCAGGCAGGAACCAATCAATGTGTGTCATCCATCGTCACTTCCAAGGGGAGAGCTTTGGAACGCCTAGGTGCAAAAAAACTTGGAAACTGGGTTGCGTCTTCCGCAAGTATTACATTCAGCATCGAATTGTTTGACAACGATGGATTGATTTGTTAGGTTTTGATTAGGTCGTGAATACTAACATTAATACCGTGTTCTGCTGACTTTAGCACTACGATGCAACAACCTTATACTTTGCAAGGATGGCATCATATTGCTGCTGATTCACAGCCAAAACCTTTCCATGCTTGATATCGTTGGGGAATCCACTCATATCATCAAGCACCCAAGCACTCATATCATCCAGAGTATCTGCCGTAGCCGGAATATAAGTCTGCAAATCATTCTCATCGATCCAGAGATGGAACTTCCCAGCATCCAAGTTGTCCCTGAAGATCAGAGGACCCTCATTGTTCGAATACTGGGAAGCAAAGGTCACGCGGACATAGTCGGACGCACCTCCTACATTGACCCAGTCGCCGAGAATGCCGTTCTCAGAGCGTTGTTGGTAGATTGTGTAGTCGACTTCTGATTTGATCCAGCGGTACCAGACGTTGGGTCCTTGATCGGGAGTTGCGATGAAGGTAGCATCGATGACAGGGTAGCCAGGATAGAAGTATAACTGTGCTTCCGAGAAAGTTACGAAATCGGTGGTAGTAACGTACATAAGTTTGTTAGGAGGCTGAGGGCCAGTACGATCAGGGTCGGCATCAGGCCAGAAGCGAGAAGCGAAAACGACGATGTAAGCGTCAATGAGAGGCTCCCAGTATGCTTCAGGTGCCCAAGCATTTCCAGCAGTGGAGTTGACGAGGTTAGGCGTGAGACGAGCCTCACCCCAGGTAGCAAGGTCTTCGGACTCCCAGATCACTAGTTGCCTTGATCCGAATCTTGTGGCTGCGTTGAAGTCGTTGGTGAAGTTGTTGGCGAGCAAATCGGTTGCAATGAGCCAGAATTTGCTTCCATCTTGGGAAGGCACGATGAAGGAGTCTCTGACGCCTTTGGTGCCAACGTCACTGCGGAGGATGGCTTGCGTTTCCGGTGTGCCATCTAGGGAAAGAGCTTGGTAGGACAAAGGATCGTTGCCATTGGAGAGATGCATATAGATGGCTTCATCGTCGACGGGAAAGGAGGTAAAGAAATATCCAACTTTGGTGTCGCGCTTCGTCGGCATGGCTGCAGTTGAAGTGATAGCAGTCAAAGCCAGCAGAGATGGAAAAACTCTTGAGAGAATCATTGTTTCGAGTCCGTCTAGGGTTATATTTGAATATACTGAACGATTAGATAGGGGAACAGGCTGATGGTATTTATATCAACCGATCGTCGCAGTGATTTCTCCATCCTCCTCTGCCAGTGTTTCTCATGACATTATGGAAAGCATGTTCGCTTCTTCCTGCATTTCGACAAGCCCGAGCCAAGAGGATATGTCTTGGTATTCGGTGTAACAATCGCGACGATATTATGTTTCTTCAGCGATGAAGTCGCATTTGAAGTGGCTAGTATGCATGACATACGAGGTGATCGGCTTTCAGCCTGAACTCCTCCGCATCGCGAATTGCCGTGTAGCAGATCCTTCTGCATCAGGAAGCTCGCACATGAGCCCCACGGGGCAATTGTGCGTTGAGACTTTCGCGCTTACACAGGCGCAGCACGATGATTATCAACGACAGTTTGACAAAGAGAGACCGACGCGAAGATGATAGAGCATTGTTGTCGGGTTAGAGGATGGGAGATTGCGGACGAAGTTGAGGCGGAAGCCACCGAAGCGACGACTGAACGAAGGTGGGTCGTCCTCGAACTCCGACCCGAGTCTTGAGAACAAGCAACTAAATACATACTGCCAAAACAAGACATAGACGAACAGTATCTCGAGCACTCAAGACATATCACCACTGTCCCTGTTATGCTCAAGCGAGTCGACTTGGTTCACCGCTGTTGAGCAACGCAGGAGCAGTGCACGTTGGGCTGGAACATAGCAGATTGAGATCAGGAACATATTGTTTGAGATTTGGATTTCCAGCACATACGGCCACAGTCAGCTGAAAACTGGGCATCCCGTCCGCTCTGCCATACATAAGCAGTTGAACGGCAGATTAGTACTACGGTGGGTGACCACGTGGGAATCCCTGCTGCTGTATGTTTTGTTTGTGATCTNNCTTTTGACAATCTTTTGTGCTGTGCATGATTGTTTGTATCTGGTGTTTCTCCCAATCTCGACACCCAGCCGACCTTTTGTGAACACGGCCATCGTCTTCACTCGGCCGATACGCGACGCAGACAACTTCTCCGAACGTCGGTTTCGGTCCTTCTAGTAGATATTTTGCTCCTCATCAACAGTCATTTCAGCGAATCTGATGAGCGAAGAAGGAGCAGAGGTTGGCAGCCAGGTACAGGCAACTAAGTACCTCGATGTGGGGTTGCAGTTTTGGAACCGACCAATTGAGGCAGGCCAGCAAGATTGGAAAGCACCAATCACATACCACAAATTGCACAGCTAATGTCCCGTTCTGCTGCTTGAAACGTCAGCCTCTATCGTATGAGGAGATGGACTGCTGCGCTATTTCCATGCTTGGTGTGCACCAGGAACATACATAAAATGTCATCGTCCACTCCGGAATTCGACCATATATATACAGCAAACTTGGTACTACGAGTGCTGGAAGTCCGGAAAATCGTACAAACAAGCTCCATCTACTTTCATTCTGATCAGACATCGACATTATGAGTCACATGCAGCCAGACCCATGGTGTAATGCATGCCCCTCTCTTCTGGAAGGTGCTCGGTGTGAAAGCGGCAGCTTGTGCCCGTTCAGACACGACCAGATTCGCAAACGCCGCCTGGCTGATCATGATGGAGATGGACTCATGTTCGTAACGAGTACGATGCACATGGAGAAGCGATGAAGCTGACGATCTCGCAGCATGCCACAAGCCAAACAACCTCGAAAGAGAAAGAACATCAGAAATATCAAAAGCGAGGTCTGGGACTATATCGACTGGAAAACAAGGAGACTGGATTGCGCAGGTTACAGTTGGGCAGTTCGGGTGAATGGCGAGCTTTTGGATTTCGAGACAGTTCACAAAAATACAAAACGATTTGTAAGTGTGAACGATACAGCATATTCGAAGAAACGGTATGTCAGCCATTCTCTTTTCGTATGCACAGTTTTGACTCAGTATCGACACAAAGCTCCAAAAGTACGTAGCGACGATCCTCCTAGTCGACCTCCCAATTGTGCTATCCAACCTCGCCCCTAGTATGATCACACTGGCTTGGGGTGCGAGCACTACTGCAGGAACGTCGAGATACATTGCTTCGACTGCAACAAGTGGTATCCATGTCAAAGTTGCCACGACGATTCTCCAGATCTGGGCTTCTCTCATCGATTGCGCCGTAACATGATACATCACATGCGATGCACGCTCTGCGATACCTCCCAGCTTGCCGGTCTCACTTGCACTGTATGTCTCATTGACTCTGCCTACTACTACTGTTCCGCATGTAAGCTATGGGACGATGATGGCTCAAAGACCTATTACCACTGTGATGACTGCGGCATCTGTCGTCAAGGCGAAGGTCTCGGCAAGGATCATCTTCATTGCAATCGTTGCGAGGACTGCATCTTGATATCCGCCATTGATACACATCCCTGCTTGAACAAGAAGAGGGGCGTCGCCAAGAATGCTGACACGGGGTCGACTTCCGATCATAATTCAAAGGGAGAGGCTGCAAAAGTCTTGCAACACTCCTTCATAAGAAGAAGGACTTCGATTCAGCACGACGCTGCGAGGCCACGAACACCTATCTGTACGATCGTCTGCCCCCATAGACTACGTCAGCTATTCCTCGTGCGATGCCTATACAAAACAAGAAGGCTACCGCCTCTGCCGTCGCTGGCATCTCACTTCCCAGCGATTTATCTTGGAACCCCAACAATTCTCTTTTCCGAAGCCTACGACCACAAAGTTACGGTTTCGTGAAAACTTCCGCCCAGTCTCTTCGCCATTCTTTGACTAACTCCACGGCCGCGTGCGATATGGAGTATTTGTCTCTCAGTATGTATGGGATGACAGTTTGAGCATCTGGTACTGGCCGTTCGAGCAAGGAAGACCGTACGAGGTTGACATCCCAGAGAGAATAGAACGTCTTTCTACTTGTATTCGGGCCTATCTCGGCTAACATATTTTCCCTTCACTTTTCTTTGTATCGTGACATGGTTTCTTGGTATGACAGTTTCAACCATTCCAGGAAACTTCTTCCTACCTCCAAGCTAAGATTCATACAAAAGTACAAAAAGGAGACAATCAGATGAGCATCTCATGATTTGATCGGAGCTTCAATCTCAGCCTCATACTCAGGCTATGTGATCCACCCCCTTGTTTAGGGGTCAGAGGCATGCATTAGAGCGGTATGCAACTCCATTGGCTGGTTCCAATGTTCGACTAGTTCTCCCCACAGCCAGAAAGCATGTAGAAGACGACACTGCATGATCTCAGACGTTCTTTCCGAGTCCTCGGTAAGCATAGCGTTAGCGGTAGGCAACGCTTCTCATTGGTCGATGCCAAAATACCGTGCTCGGACGGGATCGAACTTCTTGTGTTTCTCCATGAGGCTCTGAAGGATGACCATCTTGATTGGTTGAGACCAAAATGCTGTATAGCGACATCATACTCATGGCCATACTAGCCACCATCGATTGCAGTTGAGACTCATGAAGATATCCGCAGCACACTTCGTTCGGTCATTGGCCAGTTCCAAAGATCTACTTGGACCTTCAACACTCAGGCAACATATATAACGACCATGTTACTGACTCCACCGTGCTCTATCCAAACACCTCCTCGGTTAGACTTCCTTTTTCTTCAAGCCATCCGTACTGGTTCAAAGACTCTTGAGTTCAACTCACATCAACACACAAATGGCAATGACAACCGATACCATCATTGCACTTGTCGCCCTCCTTGTTGGACTTCCTCCTACGATTTTGATCATCTGGCATGTCATCAAGACATGTGTGGGACGACCTGTATCGCCCGAGTCATCTGATGCTGAAAATGATATGCTTTCCTAGTAGTATCCGAGGATATTCGGTGACCCGGAGCAAAGAACTCTGAACAAGATTCATCCAGTCGCCATCATCGTGTATGATTCTTGACATATCAGTGAGTATGGATATTATCCAGCTAGTCGCTTGCATGTTTGTTGATGCCTTCGTAGGACAATCTTCCTGGAAAATCTCAACTTGTTGTGTTGCCGTCTGGTTTTCATGTTGTTTCAGTCCTTGCTTGTAATCCAATCTTGTTTCTCTCGATGCTGAATCCTCTCTGTTAGGTTCAAGCGTGACTTCCTTGTCTACTTCGTTTGGCAACCTTATGTGGGTCTAGTCGTCCTGCTCGATACAACATTCTTCTGCAATGTCTCCAATATAAACGCAACAACAAGGGCGTAATTTCGTGTTCTGGTGTTGGAGGTTCGAGATTTCGTAAGTTGTTCGAGCTGGCTAATGTCAGCATCGCTGAAACCAGTGACTTTGATCTGCTTTATCTGACCTAATCCGCCCTAGTCGAACGCACACTGCAAATCGCTTCGGTGCATGATCGATCAAGCAGTTGACTTACAGGCCATCCAGAGACGAAAACATCTGAAGACGTCTGCCTCTCCACGCCCCTACCACCGCGGACTACGAGACAGCGCATGAGTCAAGCGTTCGGTGTGGGAAAAGCGGTCGCGATAGTTCGTAGTCAAGACATTCTGCACCCAGGGCCAGTTCGGGTTACTCACGTATCTCTGAGGGCCCAGTTGCTCGCACAGAAGCATACACGCTTTGGCTCTACCCACAGACACTACCTGCAGGCGATGCTGCAGATCTGATTTAAGTGTGGGAGATATGGAGGCGAGTAGGCATCTCCTGAGCATGTAATAATCCGCGGGCATTGATTCCAGACGTGGAGAAAGCTCCTCGTGGTCATAGACATGAGCCTCCATGGCGGTGTATCAATCCTCTGGATCCATCAATTTGGTCATCCAGAGTTTTAGTGATATCGCGTCTCCATTGTGGTAAGCGTGTCTTGTGTAAGACTTCATTTCGTCAGTAGCTAGTTCCATGGCTTCTTTCCCGGTTGATATCGTTAACTCAACGATTTCCCGAGCGATTCGTGGGTTATAGCTGAGCCATAAATTTTGCAGGAACTTGTTTGCACTTGCGAGATGTAGTGCTGTCTGGATGTCAGAGCTCGATGAGAAGACATGTATGAGTAGCTCGTTCGGGAGTGAAAGTAGTCCAGACATTTCGCCCTTATCGTGTCAAGTGATTTTGTTGGAGCGAGCTATGTGGGGGATAGCCGTTTGATACCTTTTGCTGTTAGGGTGAAAACTTGCTCGCATTGCTCAATCACTCAGAACGCTGGTCGATAGTTCTCTAAAACCGGATCACCTCGTCCCTTACCACCATAGACTTGTAGACCTACCTTATCATAGGCTAAGATTAAGATCTGATATCTGAAAGATCGTGAATTTCGTCAAGACTCGATCGAATCATCGATCGAGGGGTCTTTGTTCCACAAATTAAGCTGGTGCGGGAACACTAGAACTACCGGGCCAATCTNNGTGGAACGTCAGTATCGAGTGTACCCCAAAGATCGATCAATAGCAACATCACTCACCGAAAGTCGTCCTCTCAGCATTACGCCGAGTAATCGTTACCTCATCGCCAACAGCCAAAGACTTGCCTTCATCACCCTTACCCAAAAAGGCATAGCGACCAAAGACGGGCGAATATTTCGATCCCTTGTCCACTCTGCGATCGCTTTGTAGCTTCTTGAGCACTTTTCCGGATTCGCCTTCACCTGGTTTGCCAGTCGCATAGTCGATGTTCAGACTCACACATCTGACACAGTTCTGCACCAGGTGCAGTTTTACATTGCCGGATGTTTGCAACTCTGACCAATAGTCTTCTTCCCAAGATGATTCGGCACCACTGATGATGATGTTTGGCCTGAATTTGGTGATATCCATTTCTTCGCCATCGGGAAGACGTCTGCTGACGTCGTGGAGAGAAGTTTCGTTTACGACAAGGAAAGGAGCACAGTCGGCAAAAGTGATTTTGTCATCGGCTTGGGGTTCGCCTGAGATAATCGTGCCGATTGAAGTAGGTAATTTGCTGGTGATAGAAGAGAGCCAACCTGCCTGCTGAGCTTGAGATTGGTTGTTCTTCTGATAAGTGGACATAAGAACTGGACGCTCGTTCTCGCCGAGGTAAGCTAGCACCACATCGTAACCTAGGCATGCAGACAACCACTTGTTGTATTGGTCGTCCATTTTGTATGCATCGGTAGAACTGAAATGCATGGTCACGTGGATTCTCTCCAGCGAAGTCGTGTCGGGGACAAGAGGAATATCCATTGCCTTTGAGTCGCCATGAGGTGGCCGCCAGGTCAGGTGAATCGAGGCTTTCGCAGCGTCATGATCTTCGGGAAAGTTGATCTCGGCGAACAAGAGAGCTAGCTCGGTGTAGTGCGCAATAAGCATGTTCTTCAGTGAGCCATCTGGTTGCACCTGAAGAATCATGAAACGCCGATCATGAGTAAAGCCATGTCTAGCTACTTCGGCCGAGGATGGTTCGTAAGGTCGGACGGACTTGATGGGATAGACGAGAATCTAACTTTGTAAGAGGCGGTCCAGCGACGCAGCGAGCCTTAATACTGACCCTGCTGATATGCATGGCAGATATGAATGGAGAGGGTTCACGACGATGGTAATAAAACAGATCTTGTTCAGAAGTGCAGGAGAGCAAACAGGATGTCAAGCGTAGGGCGTGAGCGAGGTGAGGTTGCAAAGTAGGATGTTGACCCCGCAGACGAATCCGAGAGGCAGGAAAGCTTGGGGAGCCCTTGCCCCATTCGGTATTCAGACAACACTTGGTGAGTTTTGTGATTCGAGAGATACTCGATTGTTTCGATGCTCTCATCACCCGAGATGATCCGGAGCAAGACGTCAAAGATCAGTCACTAAATGTGGCACAAGCATAAAAGGTCTATAAACAGCCGGCAGTTTTGCTTGCCAAGCACACTCGGATTGTTCTATTTCTGGCCCAGTTGTGCTGGCTCGTCAATCCGAAGGCGACGGTCTCTGCAAGCGAATTGGATCAACGCAAGGAGGTGAGAAGACAACAGACTTGACGGATATCATCAAGATCGAGTGAGTAAAGCTGGGAAGAAGCATGAATTGAAGCTTGTCGCCAAATGAAGAGCGACAGGCACCAAAAAACATGGATCGCATGGCACACACAGCCACCACGCGAGATGGCCAAAACGTCACCGACCCCGCCATGCGCCAATGAAAGTGCTTCGCCTTTTGGTCGGTGACCATGTCAGTTGTTTCGCATATCATCTTGGAAGTGTCCAGAGAGGATTGCCGCGACTGTTTCCTGCCGTTCGCACGGAGCGAATGCCAACTCGAGCGATGACGCATCAGTCAGCCTTCTTCGAGTGAGATAACCGAACACGTTCAACAAGGCATCCACGCAGCTTGGGACAAGCAACGCATCCATCCTTCTTACACGCACACGCCAAGCGCGACCCTACGACTCCTACGCTCTGACAAGACCGACCGAACCATCTGAACCCTACCTCGAAACGCACCGACATCCCCTCCACTGCGAACTGACGACACCATGGACGCAATCAATGGAGTGCGGAGAAAAGACACGACCAAGGGCCCGCCGCTGCGCATCCTCAGTCTGGACGGTGGAGGTGTGCGCGGCTACAGCATGCTGATTATCCTGCAAGAGCTGATGCACCGCACTTTTGTCGAGATTGAAGGCCGCGCGCCAAAGCGACACGAGATTCCGAAACCATGCGACCACTTCGACTTGATTGCGGGAACTGGCACCGGCGGCCTGATTGCCATCATGCTGGGCCGCTTGCGACTGGATATCGAAACTTGCAAAGACGTCTATGTACGCATGACGCGACGAGTCTTTGAGACAGACAAGACCATTGCCGGCATCCCCTACCGCTCCACCCTGTTCAAAGCAAGCAAGCTAGAAGAAGCCATCCGAGAATGCGTAAGAGAGCACACAATATACGACGATGAAGGAAACGACTCTCAAGATGCCGTTTCCTCGTCCTCCCGCCAAAGTCTCCAAGTCGCCCGGCCTGCTCGCTCAGTCAGTGTCGCCAGCAGACACAGCACCATCGGCATGACTCCAGTAGACCCTCGTACTTCTGTCGGCGTTTCGAGATGGGGCAACCCAAATGCCTTGCTCTATGATAGTCGTGAGAGTAGGACAAAGACTGCCGTCACTGCTGTCTACCGTGGCACCCCTAAGGGTGGAAAGCCCGCCCTGTTGCGCTCATACGACTCGCGTAAGGAGCCCTCGCCCGAGTACAACTGTTATATCTGGCAAGCTGGACGCGCCACTTCGGCCACTGCCCTTGCCTTCAAGCCCATCCAAATTGGTCAGAGTACCTTCCTTGACGAAGGTGCCGGCAAGTACAATCCGAGTCCGCAAGTCCTCGATGAGGCCGTCTGCAATGAATGGCTGGGAAGGGATGTAGGCGTCTTTCTCAGTGTCGGTACCGGCAAACGTCCTCCCGGCACAAACAACCGTCAGCACGAGTGGTGGGAGGACTTTGTTGGAGGAGGCATGGGTGACTTTGCCGAAGCCCGTCGCAGGCTGATTGCGAAGATTGAGGCTTGTGAGGAGACACATCAATATATGATCGACGAATACCTGTCAAAGCGTCAGGTCAACCGCCAGAACTACTATCGTCTGAATGTCGAGGTCGGTGTCGGCGAGTATGGCATGAACGAATGGAACAGACTTGGAGACATCAGCACCAGCACCCGTATGTACCTTGCTCGACCTGATGTGCAGGCACAGAACTTCGACGCTGCTGCAAAGCTCGCCAAAGTCTACTTCAGCAAAATCCGTCATGACCGACACCCCTCCTGGGACGGCCAGGAGATCATCAACACCACGTTTAACAGACAAACTGCTCCGCTTGCTTCAATCGCTCCCTCTAGCCACCCTCTTGCTGTCGAACTACCAGCCGAAGATGTCTTTCCGCCTCAATCATATCAGCAACGCCCTCCAACATCACAACCGCCGTTACGACAGTCTTCTATTTCCGACATGAAATATACGGTCGTACCTGACGATCAATGGCCCAATCATGAGCCTGTGAGGACACCGACTAGCGCTACACGTCCTTCGCCTCCGCCGGGCGCCTATAGACCATCGATGGACTCGATGCATCGATCAAGTGGCTCATTGAGCCATCATCGGCCAAAATCTCAAGACAGCGGTACGGCCGGGTATGCGCCTCCATTACCTCCCAAGACCCCTCTACCATACCCCGACAATGCCGCACCTTTGAGCCCTACCGTCGGAAGCCCAACTGTTGGAAGTCCGATGAGACATTCATCATACAATGGAGGGTCGTTTAACATCGCGCCGTTACGACAAGCTTTGCCACCTTATCCAGATACAGACGGTCCTCCGCCAATTGTCAACATCGCACGCAAGCCTGAATATACTAGTGGTCCTCGCTACTAGTGTTTGGTAATGGCTGCGGCAATCTTGTACATGCTTTTACTACGGCGCACGACAATTGTATATGATTTAATTTCGCTCATGGTAGCCTCTGGGATTGGATAAGAGCAAGATTCAAGCGACGGACGATGGATTCGATGATACCCGCTGCAATCCCGATGGTCTTGATCATTTTCTTCTTTCTCTTCTTACGACCCGACTTTTTGTCCTGATAATTTCTGCTTTACTTGACGAATGATACCACTCTGTTTCTTGCCTTGCATCCTGTTCAACATTCGCAAATTAGACAAAAAATGATTACTGTACAGCCCATGGGTATTCCGAAAATCGCCATCTCATCCTTTCCTTCCTGCACACGAAGCTAAGAATAATCGTCAACATCCATCTCTGCCCAAGTCCGATCTGATCGCCTCATCATTCCAGGCNACAACAACAGTCATCACACCCACCATAGCCAATTCCACGGCTGCCAGCTGCTCCAACTCTGTAAGATTGGTGGAACCATATGAATCTTCCGAATTTGCGTCTTCTTCCTCTCTGTCAATTTCCTCGTCTGCCTCGTCGTCATCGTCTTTGTCGTGGATGGTTTTTCTTTTGTTGAGATTGATTTCTTGGGCTGGGAAGTGGCGGTCTTCGTCTGCGAAGATGTCTTCGCCGGCCATGGAGGCGCGGGTGCTGAGCCAGGGGATTGATTTTTTGCTGCTGGTGGGTGGGGCGACTAGGGAGGAAGAGTCGTTTTGGGCGGTTGTTTTTACACGTTTGTTGAGTGGTGTTGAGGTGCTCGTGATTTGTTCGAAAGATGAGCTGTCAAGTGGTCGTTTTGTTGTATTTTGACGCGATGGGTTTTGTTGCTTTTGCTGTACAGAACCAGATGTTGATGTAGATAGCTGCTTGACTCCATCTCTCCAACCTTCTATCCTTGTCCTATGCAGTTTTTGGCCTTTCTTGGTCGTCTTTTCGGTTTCTTTCGCCTTGTTTCTTTCTGCGAGTGCGGCTGCAAAGGCAATGGCTTTTCGCTCTGCTTCTTCGGCTCTTTGCTCGCGTCTTTCTTGGATGTAGGCGAGACGGTCTTTAATGTCTGCTATGCANCTTTTTGTGATTTTTGCAAGGTTGAGGAGGGGATCGTTTGCTTCTGCATCAGCACGGCTTTGGAGGAATCTTGCTTTGATCTGGTCGAATTTTTCTTTGAATATGGGGATGTGCTTGAGGCCTTCCATTACTTTGTCTATGCGTGCTGGGGTCGACATTTTCGGATGTGTTGTTATCACTTCGCTCTTGAGGGATGTGTATTCTTTGTACTTGTCTAGGATCCTCTTCCGTGAGCTTCCCTAAGAGGAAGACAAGGGAAGTGGTTGACCGCGAGTAGAATGGTCCGGGTGGGTAAGCCGGACGTGAAGCGGGACAATTGCTTTCCCCGGGTTCCTGGAGGGTAGTCGTGTCTATCGGACGTAATCACTCGGAGTAAAGCAAGCTTTCGCGACGACAGTGAACCGCGAGCGGGCAAGCGACGGCTTATGTACCGGCAGCCTATCTCCAACTTTATACTTTCAGCGAAGGAACAGGGTGATGTGGTATATCGGAAAAGGAAAAGTGTTGCATAGGAAGACGCCTCGGCAGATCGAGAAGCCGAACGACCCGAACGCTCATTGCCAAGTCTGGCATTTTGAAGCTTCATATATGGCCTACCTCCGCGGATCTTCTTATATGGACCTGTGGCGCAGCGGTAGCGCGTGTGATTCCAGTCTTCTCGGGACATCCACAAGGTCATCCGTTCAAATCGGGTCAGGTTCATTAGAAGACACGGGACAAGAGCTCCGTGACAATCCTTTTGTCAATTGATGTTGGTGAAGTCTTGTTTTTGCAATAACGCCTACGAACGAGAACCCAGGCTCCTTCCTTACGTCAGGGTCACTAGGTGACATGGATTAAAAGTTCTTGGAATAACTTTTATCAACATGCTTGAGGGTGGTTTGTTTGTAATAAGGGCTTGCAAGACCCCTGGGATCACAATACTGACGTATTCCTTTTTATAATTGCATACAAGACTGTCTGTTTATCAATGCAGCTGCTAAAAGCATTAGCTTACTACAGCAAATCAATATCCAAATTGCTTGTCATTTTAGGTGGATGTTTGTCGCTTGTGGTTAAACAGCGGGGTTGAGTTCTGAAGGATATTTGCCGATGTGTCGTCAATAATCATCCGAATTCCTTCTTGACCATGATGCACATATCCTGTATGGATGCATGTCGAGTCAACTGCCACATACACTTGCTTGCCCGACTGACAGCTAGTTCAACCAGTTTGCAAGGGTTCTGTCTGCTCACAGTGGCCACTCTTGTAACATGCAATTGAAAACGCAAGCAAGCACACGAAGAGTGCTTGGACACGGCTCTTAGGTATCGACATGAGGACTTCCTCTTAGAAGAGATTGGATCTCATACCAATGACAACCTGTCATGCCTTCTTCGAATAGACATCCATCTTGCGATGCTACATGTGTTGCCACAGGCAAGTCCATCCTTATAGCAGTTTCCCTCATCGAACCCACTTGGTGCTTGGTAGTATTCGACAATGTGCCTATACAAAACCTATTAACAAGCAGCAAACAACCGTAGATCAACCAACCGGCCTCTATACTGACAATTTCATGTCTACGCCAATGTTGTATTCCAACCTTTTGACGACCGAAAGCCGTCCTTATGACCAACCCTGCCTCCGATCACCAACGAGGCAGGCACATTCGACAATCACAGGCAGAAGTCACGACTCAGAATGGACTTCTGTCCCCTCATCGTCGAGATGAAAGATTTCTTCTTTGCAACAAACATCCATAACAAATTAACTCAAACTCGTGGCATGGGTGAGTCAAGCCTGCTCAAACCACAACAACAAGCTTCCTCGAAGAAGAGTCACTACAAGGCCTGATTGATTCAGCTCATAAGTTCGGTCTCTGAGGTTTCCAGTTTCTTCAACTTTTTATCTCTAGACCTCGCAGGATATCCTCGACAAGACTCAACACAAGTCACACTGCATTTTATCAACGACCATCATGATCCCTTACAACATGAGAGCTGTTGGAAACGATGATGGCCGTGGCTGGACAAGACTCTCTGGCAATGACATGACGAACCTGAACAAGCCAAAGGAGCAGACATCTCGTCCATCATGTCGCTACACAGCACCCAACCATTTTGCAACATCAAACTACGACATGTATACCAGTCCGGTCACCGCGTCCGTAGGATCCAGAAGATCCGTTCTGTCGAGCTATGCGCTGCCCTCGCCCCTACCCTCGACTGTCGAGATGCAAGATCTGGGTACTCCATCAACCAGCCGTCAAGATCCGCCAGCACCTGGTACTCTCCCAACACCAGCTACACAACCAAACAACCCACGCAGATCACTCTTCATGGGTCCTTGGTCTGCTACACTCCTCTGGATGGCCCTCTTCATCATCGCAATGGGCCTGCACCCCCTCCACTTCACACCAGAGCCCTGGAGTTGGACCGGATGGGCACGCCCCGGTCAACACGAACTGCTGAGCGTTAAACAAGTCATCTTCGCCACTGTACCCAAAAAGGCCATCTGGGGTAAGTTTCTGGCGGTCCTGGCACTTGACGTGTGGGTTTTGCAGCTGGTGTATTGGTATGCTACTGTGGCTGCCACGCCTACTCGATGCTTGTCGAAGAGGTTTGTGAGCCTCAAGGGTTTGTTTCTTATGTTGGTCGCGCTTCTTCAGGCTGTTCTCATGTGGGGCTCGTTGCTGTGGTCTATTTGATGAAGGCGGTGTCTGTATTGTCGAGTTTTTGTACTCGGCGTCAAAAACTTGGAGATAGAGAGTGAATACGGGGCAGGGCCAGTGTCGGTACCGAGTCCGCGAGACATGGAAGCGAGCCATGACAAGATGAGAATTTTACAGGTTATCAGCGTACCCATAACTTGCATTTCAGCTTTCCATATCAGTGTGTGACAATCACTTGTTGACCTCACCATTCGGAGACAGTGCTGCAAGCGGTCAGTCTTCCTTTGCCTCGAAAGCTGCATTGCGAGTCCATGGTCAGAATGACAGTGAGCGGAGCACGATTGCGCCTGCCATAGGCACAAAAATTGATCGTTCAGGGAAGAATGATGATGCATGCACCAGCAAAGCTAGGGGTATCTAAAAGATCCAAGCACAACTCACACGCTCAGCCAAGAAACAATAGGTCCATGATGGAGAAAAAGCCCCATAAACCACCGCTCTGCCATATCCAGATGACCAACTTCTACAACACATGCAAAAGAAGAACTTCATTCCTCAATTAAACCCACTAGGCTTCTTGGGCTTCAGATATCCCAACTCTTCATCATCATAACGTTCATAGTTGGTGCTATCGTCATCACTGCGACTACGACTTCTATCCATCCGCACACGGCCAAGATCACCCATGATATCTTCAGGGCTTTCGCTTCTACCGCTGGTGACGAGCCAGTCGTCATCTTCAACCTCGTAGTCGTGTGTTTGCGGTTGCTTGCCCTTGCCGCCAGTGGGCGAGGAAGCGTCACCAGTGACTAGACCTAGTCTTTCTTCCTCGCTGGCATTGTTGCGGCTGTTAGGGCGTTGGTGGGAGCTAGTGCTCTTGCGAGAGGCGAAACTCAATGCGCCGCGGGAGATGGGGCGGATGTTGCCTTCGTCTGCGGGTTCGTCGTGATGTTTGCGGTGGAAGACGTTTTGGAAACTAAAGTTGCGTTTGCTGGAGTCTGGTCGTGATGAGTGGAGCGGGGGCTTGGGNGGCATGAGAGAGCTGGAGTGGCTCATGGCGCGTTCTTTTTCGCGCTCGTCGATGCTGGTTGTCCAGTGGATGGCGCTGCCGCCTTTGTACGAAGTGTCGGAGTCGAGGTTCGGTGAGCGAAGACTTGAAGGTAGTCCGTAGACGTGCTCACGTGCAGGCGTGCGTACGGATGTTTCGTCAGCTGTCGTGGAAAAGGTTGATTGGGCCTTCAAGGTAATTGGCGGCTTCATCTCCAACAGAGAATGGTCTCCTCCAGACGGGTGTCGCGTCTTTTTGCTGCGACGGAAACGTGGAAGGAACCCGGGATGCACATCATTGTCACTGTCGGTATCGGTGTGGTTGTCGTCAGGGAAGTGTGTGAGTCCGAGAGGAGGATGAGATGTCTTTGCTGATCGCAACGATGTGTGTCCACTGGGTCCGCCGACGACAGTCTTGCGGCGCCGCAAGCCATCAAAGTAAATCGAATCGTCTTCTCCGATAGGCTCCATGTGTTCGCTAGCGATGGTACGGGCTTCGTCAAGCTGCTTCATGGTACGCTTGCTGCTCATGGCGCGAACGATTGCAGCACCGCCACGAATAGTATCGGCGCGTGGTTCGCTCTCTGGCTCTTCTTGCTCGGCAATGGTTCGTACTTGATCCAGATCTCCCTTGAAGACCGCTGTGTCCGGTACGTCTTTGGAGGATTTTGCAAGCTGAAGTAACACAACGCCAGAGCAGATTGTAAGGAATCCCATGATGACGTTCACGATACCTATTGTGCTGCCACCAAATCCTCTGAACAAGATTGCCGAGGTGACGATGGTGGCCGAAGTGAAGTAGACGTAGTATGTAGGCGTGACCAGGGCGGCATTGTATATGTTGAGCGCTTTCNNTGAAAGGGGTCAGCATGGCAGGACGAATTAGAAGCTTGCTTTGTAACTCACGTTCAAATATATGATCTCTGTCAATAGTGTTCCAATGACGAAAACAAACAAGACCCAGAGAAACCATTGCTTGAACTGGTTGACTGGGGTGGTCTTGCCGATAGCGGCAACGATAGCAGCACCAAGCCCTTGAGTTGCAACGACACTCAGGCCACCGATAAGACTGCAAATGGTGAGATAGACGAACATGCTCCTGTTGCCATAGCGGGGACCAGCCCAGAGAGCAGTGAAAGCACATCCAACAATGACAACTCCGGTGTATGCCAAAAAGCCGGGAGCAATGACAAAATGTTGCATTTGCTGAATATTGGCAGCGGAAGATTGCTCAGGAGCATTCAATGCGATAACAACGGCACCAACCACACATAAGAAACAACCAACCTTGCCGACAAAACTGAGACGCTCTTTTAGAAATATTGCAGACAATATTGTTGTAATGACTACGCTGAGAGCTCCGAAAGGGGTAACGAGGATAGCATCGACAAAAGCTAAGGAGAAAAGTTAGCCACAGGTTGGTACGTTTGCTGTTTGAGTAGTCTTCCGAACGAACCGTAAGCAACAAAATTGCATATTTCACTGGATAGAGGTTAGTCTTTGGACACATAAATGAAGTCGGCCGGCCGTATCTCACCCTAGAATCATCAAGGTCATTCCGCACCACCACCAGCCATTCTTGAGGTAACCGTAGCCCTCGCCAGCAGCCTCGTTGTACTTTTCGTTGGCCTTGAGCAATCCATGCTTCTTCAGGACGAACGAGGTTCCGATAAAGACACCAGAGCATACGGCAAGGATGATACCAATGGCTTTGTATATCGGCGGTCTCGAGGCATGGTCCTGACTCTCTTCGGTGCTGGTTCCATTGGTGGAGTTTGCACGAGCGTACAGGTTGTTGGCTGTGAACATAACATGACCAGCTGAATCCATGTTGGGCTGGAAAGTTGGAGGGGCCAACAGGGTATGTGAAATGGCGGCGCTGGAAGGCCTTATCTCTGGCGCTGCTCACGGAGCATTAAGCGCTGAATGGTTCTTGGGTATGTTGTAGGATGTGTATGTGTTCCTGTGAAGGTCTTGTCCAAAGTCCCTTCTCTTTCCAAGGAATAGCCAGCAGAGAGATGGCGGTATGTACAGGGCGTTTGTCGTAAGCGTGATACGACGGTGACTTCTTTGTTGATGGTGTGCTGACAATGTGGGGATATCGTAGGAGTTGCGGGCGGGAATGTTTCGTTGTGCGCGACTCAGGGCGAATCTATCGCAGACGTCGTCTTGGACTGGATTGAGTCGGCTGAGATGGACAAGTGAAATGGTCGACTGTACAGTAGGCGAATGGTGGAAGGAGATGTCGTGTGCAGCCAGACAAAATGTTGGACTCCTATGTGTTTTGAGGACTGCGCCACGGACGGGAGAAATCGAGACGCGAGCCATCCAAGGTTTGGGAATACGCGCTGTCACCCTGTACTTTAACAGATTATCTCACCTTCTGCTTGTCTACACAAAGAAACACATATCGTTCGGCTCTCATCATGGCCTTGTCTTTATCACACGAGCACCTGCACCGCCAACCGACACGACTCCATCACAAATCATGGACGTCAACAACCCAACTGTGCAAACCTTCCTGCTTTGTCTTTCGCCTTGCACGTCAAGGAAGTCAATCGCCAAGTTTGACAGGACAGAATAGCATGAGAGGTGCTCTTGACAAGAAGGAAGAATATGCGCACAGAAGAATCGGCCTTCAACCTCCCCGTGTGCTAAAGTCTGTGGCTCCACCCTTCTCCCATAAGAGCGTGGAGCGTACTGTATGCTATAGGAAGCCACAATTCTTTTCTAAGGCAGAGGGCGAGCCATAGAGAGCCGCCAGGATGCTGGCTTTCGGTGGTACTGCCTTGTTTCTCCTTACCATTGTGCATTTCTATAGCATACGCGTTACATACTTTAGCACACGGGGAGGAACTTTACGAGCTGAGTAACGTCCCTAGCCATATGCCCCTCGAGACAGAGCGTTGCTAGACAAAATTTCGGCCTGGTCATCCATCCACCAGCTGAGTACTCGTACTGCATATCGCTTGATGGTATTTGTAGAATACGAGATGACCGCTGGTGGATCAATATTTCCTTGCATGACGCTCGATTCAATGTTCTGGGATCGACCTCCATCCATGTCCATGTCTTTTGTACCTGATGATCAAGGCTTCACATGCTCGGAGTTGTCGCGAATGTCTTTTTCCCGAGACTTGTATGAGACCTCTCGTCTTCCCAAACGACTCCAGCTTCTGAATCTCAGACAAAACAACGACAACCGGTCGAACGTGCAAGCTGAACCGCTGGAGAGACAGTTTGGAAATTTGCAACATCGTGCTGTCAACAAGGGGTTCTCTTGTCAGATGCGTCAAGGTTCGGAAAGCTGAGAACTGTTCCCGCTTGGGGCTGACGTCTGTCCAATCGAAAACCGGCGCTCCTGAAACAAGCTGAGGCGTCAACTGGTGAAGCTTCCATAATTGGGATTAGCCTTCTCGTAAGCCGAAGGATACCAACGGGTAGACGCTGGCATGGTTTGCGTTGAGGGTGCAGTGCGATGCACGATCAACGAGCACTCTCGCTGCGTGGGTGGAAAGATGGGTCGTGGCTGCTCTTCGTATTGATAGAGATTCGTCAGCTCTCCATAAACACTCTCCTGTTTCCTCTTTTTCATAGCTTCGGTCATTGTGTTTTCCCATGTTGATTGCTTGTTCCCAATTATTTCTCTGAGCTTCTTGTCGAGCATTGCGACAAAACTCGAGCTGCTGCAGGCCAAGATATACCAAGCCTGTCAACGACTCGAGACTCCGTTCTACCCGACGATATGGCGACATCGTCCGCGGGAGTCTTCAATGCTTCCAAACTGGCCATCATCTTTGCTCTGTTGTGTTCGCTATATGTGTTCCGCGACATCTGGCTCCCATCGACGCCTACCACGCCGGTGCATCCCACAGCAACCCCTCAGTCGTCAGCTCCGCCCGTCGAAAGCGAATTGACTCTCAACCACACCACGCCAACTGAACATGTCGCCGACTGCCTCAATGCGCCGGGCGCTGATCGCGTCATGATTGTGCTCAAGACTGGTGCATCAGAGATCTACGAGAAACTGCCTACCCACCTTATCACTCTGTTCAGATGCACCCAACACTACCTCATTTTCTCCGACCTGCCCCAAACTTATTCCGACTACCAGATCCACGATGCTCTGGCCACCGTCAGCAACCAGTACAAGGACGAACACGAAGACTTTGAGGTCTATCGCAAGCTGCAAAAGTACCACCGCGAGGGTCAGAATGTTGCCAAGCTGAAGGGCGACAAGGGATGGAACCTTGACAAGTGGAAGTTCCTCCCCATGATGCACGAAACATATCGATTGGCTTCTCCAGACGTTGATTGGTTTGTCTATATCGAGGCCGATACCAGTATGAGTTGGACAAATCTACTACAATTCCTCGAACGAATGGACCCAAAGAAGCCGCTGTACCTAGGTGCGCAGAACGTTATTGGTCATACCACTTTCGCTCACGGTGGCTCTGGCTTCATCATCTCGCGCGCCGCAGCCAAAAAGATTGAGAATCGCAGGAACAAGATCGGTGTCAAGAAGTACGATGACCGATGGGAGCTATCAACGAGCTTATCCTGCTGTGGTGACGAAGTTGTCGCGCGCGCATTGGTCGAGGTTGATGTTGAGTTGACACCTTCGTGGCCTCGTCTTCAAGGCGAGACTGTCGATACACTTGACTGGACTGAGAAGCACTGGTGTACCCCTGCCATTACCTGGCACCACGTCAGTCCCTCGCAGGTTGACAGCATGTGGCGCTTCCAGAACGAATGGGTGAAGGAAAACGTGAGTATCTTTTGACTTGCAGTGATTTGGATACCAATACTGACACAGAAATAGGGATGGTCAAAACCTTATCTCTATCGCGACGTTTACGATGGCCTCGTAGCTCGGCACGTCTCTGTCAACCGCACCAGTTGGAACAACCTTTCCAAGGATAAAGAGTTTGTTGCGCCCACACAAGACTCGAGCGAAGATGACAAGAAGGCCTGGGAGAAATTGTCAGATGTCGAAAAGAACTCAGTCAAAAGCTTCGACAACTGTGCTGAAGCCTGTCTCGCATGGAACAAGTGCTTGCAGTGGATGCACGAAGACGGAGTTTGCAAGTTGGGCAAGGATGTTCGACTGGGAGAGACGGACGAACGACACAGCGATACGTGGTCTTCTGGATGGTTACAACACCGGATCCAAGGAATGCGGGATAACCTTGCCGACTGCAAGACCAATTGGGACCACTGAGGACTCTCCAGGCTTGCGCAAGTCTTCCCCTTCTCTTTCTTATTCAACATCCAGATCAAGAACCATGTACCAAGTGCTGGGAAAATGGTTTCTTCTTACAGTTGATGGTTGGGAATCCCTGCTCTGGGTTTCATGGTGGGAAATTCTTTTGAAGAGGTCTGATATGGCATTTTGGCGCATACATCGATTTTCTGTTTATGATTTTCATTGGAGGGAGAAGTTAATGGGAGATTGACGAATTGGCATGATTATGAACATTCATCATAGAAAAGCAGAGATTACATAGACAGGACACATTTTCTATATAGCATCTTGCAATCCAGCATATCCGAGCACAACGATGCTGCTTGTACACTGGAGGCATTCAGAAAAACAAGAGAAGAATGACATGAAATGGCTTTGTCCGCCAACAATTTGAAGGGGGTATATGTGACAGGGAAGAAGATCCAAGGCAAGGAGATGCAAAAGGCGAAAATGAACCTCCTCCCAACCATCCTCACAAAAACAATCCAAAGACCTTCAGAAAGACATCAAACAAGCGTGAAAAAGTAAACAATCAAACAACGCCATGATCCAAACATAGACATAACCAACAGAGGTGGAGGGGGCATTCGTATATCAGACATATCATTCCTTGGGAACAGCCTCACTGCTCACACTGCGGTTGTTTGCGCCAAACCAACCCATCCAACTCGACCGCTTGGCTTTCTTTGCTGCTTCCTCTTCCTCCTTTGCTTCTTGGACGAGGCGCAGGGGTCGCATGCCTGCTCCACGCATGATGGCTCCGGTGGGCTTTTCGCCGCTGGAGGTCGTGCTGCGAGGGGGNCTGACTGTGCTCATGTTGTCTGCGAGCCCGGATTCGCTGTATATGCTGTTGCGGGCCGAGTCTCTGGGTGCGGCAGAGGGTAGGGCGGGCGGGGGCATGCTTTGGCGTCTGTCGTCTTGGGACTGGGGTACTGAGCCCGAGGAGGGGACGCGGGCTGCTGCTGCGGGAGCTACGGGCAGCACAGGGCTGAAGAGNGAGCTGCCGCGGGGAGGCACCATGCTGGGGCTTGCTGGGCCGGAGCCTGGTGAGAGGGGCCCGCGGTACATGTTGTTTACTAACGCTGCTGGGTTGCCGAGTTCGGAGTTTGAACGGCGGTGGGAGGGNGGTGCGCCGCCGATGGACATGCGGTTGGATTGTGTGCGGTTGAGAGGGATGCGAGGTGCTGTGTTGGGGTCTTCGTTCAGCGTTGGTGTATCAGAGTTGGTTTCGATGGGCTTCGGACGGCCACCGCGGACGACTGAAGTGGCTCGTTTGAGGAGCGAGGGTTGTTCGTCTTTCTCTGGTGGGGAGGTNGGTGGCAAAGCCTTTGCGCCGTCTGCTCCTGACATGAGGTTGGGCGTCTTGTCGAGGATGTTCTCAAACTCCTTGTGTTGCAGTAGGCGCGAGATGATGTTGTTGATGTACAAAGTCAAGGCCTTGTTCTGGTCTCTCATGGATTGCAAATCAGCCTGCAGACGTCTGTTGTCTGCCATGCCATCATCGCTGGCATTGTCGAGCTCGTCGGCAAGAGTGGATGCTCCGACCATGGCAGAGGGAGAAGAGGGACGAGAGCTAGCGCTCATGATTGAAGGAGGACGCAACAGACCGCTGTGAGCAAAGTCGCCATTCAGCGTCTTTTCGCTCAGCAGCAGCTGGAAGCTCTCGTTGTCCTCCATCAATCTGGCGTTGGCCATTCTCGTCTCCATGAGTGTCTTTTCCAACTCTTGCATACGGCCTCCGCCCCTATTCTCCATCTCGACCAGCTTGATTTGCGATTCGGCCAATTCAAGACGTAGTGATTCAATAATCTTATCCTTCTGCAGAACCAGACGGGATTGACTGCGGGAAGAGTCGCTGCGCTGGAGAGCGGATGGAGGAGCAAACTGGCCAGCTTCTTGGTTAGGAGAGGCATTGCTTCGGAAACTTNNGCTGTAGACTGGGTCAGCCATGCGGATTGTAACCATCAGGGGGTAGGCCAACATACACGCTCTGGAGATGCTCTGCCGCCTCTCGTCTTCGCCGCGCATCTCTTTCTGGGCCATTGTCTCTTTCAGTCTCTGGATCGTGTCACGAAGCTCCTCTTCACGGTCTTGTAATTCTTCCTTCTCTTTCATGGATTGAGCACGCTCGGCTTCGTAGATGGCTTCAAACTCTCTGCGCTGGCGGGTACTCTCCTTCTTCTCAATTTCCAGCTGCTCCAAACGCTCTTCTTGCTCGTGCATCGACTCTTCTAGACTATTGTGCTCTTTGTTTGTCTCATCGAGACGAGTTTGGGCGACAGCATGCTGCTTTTGTGCCTCTTCGGCAGCCAATTCGGCCTTTTGCAGGCGTTCACGCAGGTCTTCGATGACGGCAGCAGCCTCTGCCTTTGCGTCGGCCATGGCAGACTTGGTGGTGTTGAGGGTGGACGTTGTTGTTGTAGGCTTCTTGACGGCAGCGCGGGCAGAAGGTGGGGCTCCACCGACTGGGGTGCGGACAGACTTAGCGCGAGAAGGGGTTGCAGCTGAGCCAGGGGTCGTGGAGACGGTTGGACGAGAGGGACTGCGTGAGGGTGTCGTCTTGGGAGGATTCATAGACGGACGACGAGGAGCACCTGGGTGGGTAGAAGTAGCAGCAGCAGCGGGGGCTGCTTGGAAGGCGTCGACATGGTGAAGGCTAAGTAAGCTGAGCGCCGAGCTTACTTGAGCCTAGATTCCAGCGTGTCACAGGTACAAGCAGTGAGTATATGTTGAGGCCCAGGACGTGTGAGTGATGGGTGAGAGGTGTAGGATGCGGAGACAACTGGACAGGCAAGACACACAACAAAAAGGCGCCCTCGGCGACACAGCAACAGCTGGAGCGAAGGAGATTAAAGTACCATATTTATTTGATGAGCGAACCGACACCGCCTTGCCTCGCCACCGCTTGTTGTGCGGGCTCACACATTCAAACCCGCTCGACCGCTGGCTCAAGTACTTTTCTATCCAACACTGACGAGGCAACATCAGACCAACAATTGACAGCTGTTGGCTGATGCATGTGATGGTCGCTGGCGCATTCCAACAACAAAGTGAACGGTCGAGGGGCCCTGAACAGTGATCGGCGTTCACTACGTCCGAAGCAGACTAGTGTCTTGGCGCTCGCTCGCACTTCGAAAATTCGAACGCCCGTCCTCCGCTCCGACTTTTCTCTCCAGCCAGCGATTATAAGCCAAACCAGGACCGGAGCGCCGTACTTTTCCAACAACCAGACAATCATCAAAAACCGACGCAGAGATGGCCCCCAAGAAGACCAAGACCTCCGACTCTATCAACTCGCGCCTCGCGCTTGTTATGAAGTCCGGGTAAGTCGACAGCGACACGCCAACAACCCGCTATTCAGTGCTGACACCCTGCGCAGAANAGGTCACCCTCGGCTACAAGTCCACCATCAAGGCCATCCGCTCTGGCAAGGCCAAGCTCATCATCATCGCCGGCAACACTCCTCCCCTCCGCAAGAGTGAGCTCGAGTACTACTCCATGCTCGGCAAGACCGCTGTCCACCACTTCAACGGCAACAACGTAAGTCGAAACACTCGCTCTGAGAAAAAGCCCGGGCGTGTGTGTGATTGCTCCTGCAAGTTGATTCAACATCGAGCTGGCTCGCCAACTGTTGAAACAATCCTAGCTTCAGTTATGAAGGCGAGGCAGAGCAATCACACACACTACCCACTCAAGGCTTTGGAGAGCAGAACACTGGCTAACGTGTTATTGTCATATAGATTGAGCTCGGTACCGCCGCCGGTAAGCTCTTCCGTTGCTCCACCATGGCCATCATTGATGCCGGTGACTCCGACATCCTCACCGCCTCCGTTGCATAAGCGTAGAGTCTGTGTTGATCAAAAAGATATCTTAGAGGAATGTCAATCTGATACCCCAACAAAAGTTTCTCTTCTACCCCTTCCATCTGTCCATCTCAATGTGCCTTTCGTGTTTGTGCGTGTTGTATCTGTCGTGTATATCATATTCATCTGGAGTTTGCCGTAAAGATGGATGGGAACATGCACTGGATGGTAAGTCTCCCGTCCAAAACTTTTGTCGAGTCGGCTAATGACCTGTGATTGCAGCCGAATGTGTCACATCTTTTCTTGGGCTGTATCACTGCTGAGTGGGACTCAAGTCTATCGTTCACGACTCTTTTTGTGGCAACATCAACCGATATGCACACTGTACAAATGCATGATTCTTTGTGAATTAGAGGTGTGTCCAACAGGGACTGTCAAGACGACGCTTCTCTGTGGAACTGCACTGTTTTTCCAAGGCTATAAAAATGCACAATCCTTTCCAGGCCAGGGATATGGCCAGAGAAAGCTCATGAGAACGACAGCTTTCAGTGGTCATTGCTCTGTGTCTGAAAAGCGCTGTGTATTTCTACGGTAGGCTCATCACAGACTTTGTTTCGTGGGAAGCGTGCACAGGGAAGGTGCGATCAAAGTATCATCAGACACAAAGGGAAGGTACGCTCTCAGACTGTCCTTCCTGACGCTTTGTCACTCTGTTGTACTTCAGACAATCGAATTTCAACACAACAACGGAAAACAGACATCGTTGCCAGGCCTACACAATGCCTGACATTCTCAATTGTGTGTCGTCACTTTTCAAGATCGTTCCGCCGTTCGTCGCGGCGCTTTTCTCTCGTCAGTTGCCTGCGCATCGCGACGTGAGCACCATTTCTGCTTCACCACTTGAGATGGGCGAACACAACTCCAATCCGATACCTCCTGACGATGGTGATGCTGACGCCGCGTATCGCGCCCTTTCATCTGGCAAGGGTCGCCATTACAAAGACCATGACTTCGTCCCTACCAGACCCGGACCTCTGGATTATGATGACATGGAACTCGATCTACCCACCAGTCACCACAAGAGATACAACTCTCAAGACGGCTATCATCTAGTCGTTCATGGCTCGGACTACAGCAGCAGAAAGCCCGAAAACAACACTGCTCTAATCTTCAGCTCTTACGAGACTCTTGAACAAGCCCGTGTAGGCAAAGGCCCCGAACTCCAATCACTGCCATCGAAGAGAAAGAGAGGTGCCGATGTGGACAAAAGCCTTCAGCATTCGTTCAAGAAACCACGCAAGGCCAAGGACGATCGTAGCGACCGACTCTGCCTGCAGTGTGGCAACTACCATAGCTCACCTTGCTATGTGCCCTACTGCAGCAGCTGCGACCTGAACCATTATCTTGGCATCCCATGCTTAGAGGCTATGGAGCAATTGAAGAAGCGTCTCGAGCTGCATGCTNCCCAAGGGACACCCTTTTCGTCTAATCAGAAGAGCAAGAAGAAGATGGCACGATCGTCAATGCCCTTGCGCTTCCGGATCGAGAACCAAGTTTCACCAGCCTTGTCAAAACAGCACGCTCCTACGACCTTGCTCGGATCGGCCTCTCAGTCTCCTGTGAACAAACAACAGAAAGAAAGTCCTAGCAAACGCATCTGTCCCATCTGTCGTGAGTGTGGCAACCCCCACAGATCAGCCTGCAAATGGCTCGTTTGCGACAAATGCCAGGTCAAGCACCATCCAGAGACTCTCTGCGCTGTGGCTGAGGCTCGACTCAAGGCGCGTCTGAAAGAAGAGGACGCAAAGCAAGCCCAAGTGACCGAGGAGATCAGAAAGCGGGAGAATAGTATGATCGACCAGAACAACAAGATGGCTACGGCTTTCCAGTTCAGGCGCTCATCTGCTCCCAGCCCAGGTCGTGCATTCAGTCCCGGAGTTGCATCCAGGAAGCTCAAGAAGAACACCAGATTCTGCAGAGATTGTGGTCGCTATCTCAATGGACCATGCACCTGGCCCATGTGCAAGAAGTGTAACATCAAGCACTTCGAACACGTTCCTTGCTGGCAAGCATACCGAAACCTGCAGAACCGTCTTGACAGATTCGACCGTGGTTGGGGCACTTCCCAGCAGAAAATCGTCAAGACAAAGACCTTGTCCCCTACTGTACAGCCCTCGTCGCAGAAGATCGAGCAAGTTACCAACACCAACCGAGTTACTCCAACTGCGTCCGTGGATTTTGCGACCCCTGCCAACATGACCTTCAACATTGGCGGCGACGGACAGATGTCCTGGTCGCTCGACTCGAACAAGACCATCCATTTCGGTCTTCCTCCTAGCAACCCCCACTTCTCCGTATCCGTGTCATCGATGCCACAGCAGCATAACAACCATGTTCACCCTAGTCGTCAAGCTTTCTTCTCCGAGCCCGCTCAGATTGCAGCCACCATCCCTCAATCCTTGGCCGACATCCCCTCGAACGGAAGTGTGCTCCCGCTCTACAGCCCACGCAACGATACGCCTCAGGTTGTTACCTACGGCGCATCTGTTGAACAGAGTGTTGACGCTTTCATCGCGGATGTTGCTCAGGGCATGCATAGCAGCACTCGCGGTGCTTTTGGATGTGTTGACGACCCACAGAGTACACCTTCGTACCTGGACTATGTTCGTCAAAATGGCTCTTCGTGATTGCGTCTTGCACCTTTGAAGAGGAGCATGGTTGGAAGCTGGATAGTCAGGAAGGCCCGACGAATAACTCTTCTGACTACAACAGATGTAATATCTGCAGCAGCGGTGCTCTCGGCATAGACGTCGTGATAGGTCAAATTGGTGGTTGTCACAAGGGTTATAGCAGTACTTTAGACATACGGTGGTCCGATGTTGGCAGCGGCGCTCCAGGCTGCCCAGTCAGCTCAGATGATATGATATATTACATGGTTCGAGGAGGTTACTGCCCTCGTTCACAGGTAGCTTAGCTCAGAACAACAAGCCGATGCTTTTGCAAATAAAATGTCATCTCGCGGCTGTCCTACAAACTCAATGCTTGCTGCTCATGTCTACAGCTGCTTATGTCCACAGCTGCTTCTGAGCGCAGCGTAACACTGTCGTGCAGGCTCATTTAGTAGATCGATGTAGGGAAGGTAGACAAATTTTGAGACCAAATGACGGAAGGAAAGAAGCGATAGGTTTTATGCGACTGATATTATCTGTCCATACTTTCCTTGATTAGGGAGTTACAATTAAGCCTCTGCCTGAGGCTGAGATAGGAGGTGGCAGCCTAGCGAGAACTCATGCTTGCTTTCCACTTCAAGCTGCGTGTGAGCAAGTTTGAGCGATGACTCGAAGAAGAAGGATATAAAAACTCACCTTGATCCTTGTACGCTTTTGATCTTGGCCGGCTTCGCACAATACTTGATGGCTTTATAGATTTCCACGCTTCATCACGGAATCCACACTCCATCGTCTTCATCCTCGAAACTTGATCGCTCATCCTCAACCTTCTCTACACGAAATACCTCCGAATCACGACCCTTGTCTCTCAAAACCATGGCAAACTTCAACTATCTACCTCTAGAGGTTAGAAACATGATTTACGACCACGCTCTCGATCCCAACCACGATATCCTCGCCGGCGGTGTACCAGCACTACTTAAAGTATGCCCCTACATAATCCGCGAGATCTATTCCTACCGTAAAATCACCACAACCATCCCTATCCACACAAGCACCAGAAACGTCTGGCCACCAGAGCTACAGCAAAAACATGGCGAAATGGTCAAGCGATTCAAGCAAAAGAAGACGCAAAAGGCATGCTTGTGGTATCCAGAAAATTCAGAGGGAAGAAGCAAGAGATTGGAACTTCGTCTTTGATGAAGTTTGAGGAGAGTCTTGAGGAGATTTTGAATGATGGGTTTAATGGCTTGTATGTGGGCATGTATGCTTCGTTGTTGGGTAAGGTGATGAAGATCGAGACGAGAGTTGAAGATGGTGTTGAAGACGGTGTTGATGATGCAGTGGATTGAGGTGAATGTTGGGGTCGTCGATGATGGAGACATGATATGTGTGATACCTAGTTTGAGAATACATCGAGGTACGGGACGGGTTTGAGATGGAGTCGGGAAGACATGTGTGATTTATCTTACCAACACCTCCATGTTCCAGAGATCGATGGCGGAGGACTCATGGATATCAGACACCAGCAACACAGAAGCCTGTAAGATGCTTCTGCATACATCAATCTCAAAAGAAGTCCAGTACTCCAGAGACATAGAGCATGATAAAGTAGAATTGTCCTTGCTGATGAGAAAATGTTGGACAGGGTCGTCCCCTCAAAATCATGTCTTAACCTTATGTTTTCTTAGTTTTGTTCCAACTGCGTTGTCAAGGAACTCTGTGGTGATCTATTGTGGCACAATTGATGAGCTTTGTAACCATGGTAAGCGAGTAGCGCGGTGGTAGGCTCAAAAAGACATCGATCTTGATGTACCTCGCCAGGCATCCTTGAGAGGGCACGTGGAAGGAAGAAGTGACCATGCTCTCACATCTCGGGGCAAGTATGTGCCGATAGTCCAAGAAGGTATGCGATACGCACGGGCGAACTTCTGTCCGGCCTGCAGGTATGGTTGACTGCCGCCCTTTCGCTCGATCGTTCTGTTTGTCCTGGCGGCTTGAGTATCCATGCCGTGCCCGACTTGGCATACTCCTCGAGCACCTGGTGCGGGTAGGATTTTAGGTCGAACGAGGGAATGGAGTCCAAGCAGATATGCAGATGTGCAGAGACATGGCAGGAATGAACTGGGTTCTTTCTTTTGTGAGAGTAGATGAAGCACATGTGTTTGATGCAATTCTTGTGACGGGGAATGACAAAAGAGACTTGAAAAGGAAAGAAAGATACTCTAGGCTCGAAACATACTGGATTAGGACATGGCACTGTTTCTTGCCTCAAGCATGTTCGTTCGTTACCATCGCTTGACACAGATGATGCAATCACATTGGCTTTCAAGATGCAAATAGTCTTCCACGTTGAGTACGAATAGGATTCACAGAGAAAAGCCCTTGACCTCTGCTGTAGCTGCCATGGCAAGACATGCGATCATGGCTGATGGTGAGTCACAGCATCAGCATTGGCGGCGTGCTGTGACTGGTTGCAGCGTGGTTATGAAGCTGAAGAAGATACGAGTAGAGGCGTGCGGTGTCTGGTTCGAGGCAAGTTCAGGGGGCAATTGATTTGAAAGCAACCAGCAGGCGAGCAAAAGGAACAGAGAGCGACGTTGGTGCATTGATAAGCACGTCATGGAATTGGTGGTGAGCAAAGGTGATTGATTGATAATCTGGGGTCACGCGCACAGACCAACGCACACAAAGCAGCCGAGATATTGGCCTCGCAGCGCGCCACTCAAACTCTTCCTCTCTCTCGAACACCCAGCGACATCACAACACCGTCAAAATGGCTCGCCGTCCCGCTCGTTGGTGAGTGCAGAACTGCTCAGACTGTTGGATCGACTTTGCCGGCGACGAAATGCGCATATTGGAGACATGGACCATATTGCGCTTTTCGACCGTCGGGAGAGGCCCTACCACGTCGAAACCCATCTATAACGATTCCTTGCTGACTTCTTCACAGCTACCGTTACTGCAAGTAAGGATTCCCGTTCGATCGAGTCGTTCTACGCCCAGAAACATCCCCTCAAAAACATCCATTTCGAACATCGAAAATCGTCAAATCCGCACAACTCCGTCATCACAACCGCTCCCTTCACCACGCGACTCTTTCTGGTCGTTACCTATCCTCGACACATACTAATCACACTCCCACAGGAACAAGCCCTACCCTAAGTCGCGCTTCAACCGCGGTGTCCCCGACCCCAAGATTCGCATCTTCGATCTCGGCCGCAAGCGTGCTGGTGTCGATGAGTTCCCTCTCTGCATCCACCTCGTCTCCAACGAGTACGAGCAGTTGAGTTCCGAGGCTCTTGAAGCCGCCCGTATTTGCGCCAACAAGTACCTCGTCAAGTCTGGTGGCAAGGACTCCTTCCACTTGCGCGTCCGTGCCCACCCTTACCACGTCGTCCGTATCAACAAGATGTTGTCTTGCGCTGGTGCCGATAGACTGCAAACCGGTATGCGTGGTGCCTGGGGTAAGCCCAACGGCACTGTCGCCCGTGTCAACATTGGCCAGATTCTCCTGTCTGTCCGCTGCCGTGACTCCTGTAAGTTGACCTGATTTCAAATCAAGGTCTGACTTGATACTAACAATCACATCAGCGNNCGCGCTGTCGCCATCGAGGCTCTCCGCCGCTCCCAGTACAAGTTCCCTGGTCGCCAGAAGATCGTCGTCTCCAAGAACTGGGGCTTCACTCNNCCCCTCCGTCGTGAGGAGTACGTCGCTAAGCGCCAGGAGGGTCGCGTCCGTGTTGACGGAGCCTACGTTCAGTTCCTCCGTAACAAGGGTCCCCTTGAGTACAACATGCGCCGCTTCCCCGACGCCTTCTCCGCTTAAGCGCAGATACCCAGTTCAAGTCGAACGCGAAGGATTGATGGGCTTTGGTGCATTACGGCGTGTTGAGGCTTTCTAAAATTACCATACCATTCGTCAATGAGACATGCTGCAAGACCACTCTTTTGTTTCGTATTCGTGACCTGTTTCTTCTATATATGCTCCTGGCAATGCACAACGTAAGATGCAAAAACCGAGCAGTACAAGTAATGGTGCTTCATCGAGAGTGTCCGATTGACGGACTTATCGGCCTGTCGTGGCATGATAGAGTGCAAAGCTGCCCGCATTTCTCGACCTTCAATTGTCCCACCATGACTTGATGCCGCTACAAGCTCGCCCGATCACTCTGTCGCTTAGGCAGACCTGTCTATACCATGCCCTCCGACCACGACTGAGTCTACTGGCAGGCGTGCAACCTCGCCATCAGCACTTCTCCAAAACCGCATACTACTTCCAAGGCGCAAAGGCCGCCGACACCGCCGTACCACTACGCAAACAGCTAAAGGAAGAAGCAAAACAACGAAAGAAGTCTGCCAAAGCTGCCGGAAAGGGAAACAATGAAGTCAATGCATTGCTGGACAAGTGGGAGTTGACAGTGGGCATCGAAGTGCACGCCGAACTGAATACTGCCCACAAGCTCTTCTCGACTGCTCGCACCTCTGTCAATGCTGAGCCCAACGAACATGTCGCTCGATTCGATGCTGCTCTACCAGGAGCCCAACCAGCATTCCAAAAGGCTACTCTCATCCCGGCTCTTCGTGCTGCTCTGGCTATGAACTGCGACATACAACCTCGTAGTAGTTGGGACCGCAAGCACTACTTTTACCAGGATCAGCCGAACGGATACCAGATTACTCAGTACTATGGTAAGATTTGCTCATCTCATGGAACGTTACGCTTTGCTGACTTTCGGCAGNAACCTTTTGCCCGTAATGGTTCCTTAACTCTGACCTTGGAGGACGGCATCGATCCGAACGACATTGCTGAGCCCAAGGGTAGTGCGGAAAACACAAGCCTCACCATTGGCATCAAGCAAATACAGATGGAGCAAGACACGGCAAAGACGGCTCTACAACCTCCTTCGACATACCTCCTGGACTTCAATCGCGTTTCACATCCTCTGATTGAGATCATCACTCTGCCCCAGATACACTCACCCGCCACTGCTGCTGCTACTGTGCGTAAGATCCAGTCTCTGCTCAAGTCTGTCGACTCGTGTGTTGCTGGCATGGAGATGGGTGGCCTGAGAGCCGATGTAAACGTCAGTGTGAGGCAACGAGGATCCACAGGCGACAACAACGAGTACTCGGGCGTCACGGGCCTAGGCACAAGAACCGAAATCAAGAACTTGAGTTCTTTCAAGGCAGTAGAAGATGCTGTTACTGCCGAACGAGATCGCCAGATCAAGGTTCTTGAGGCTGGAGGTGTGATCGAGGGCGAGACAAGANGCTGGACTATCGGCAGTACAGAGACAACTCGTCTTCGAAGCAAGGAAGGAGAGGTTGATTATCGATACATGCCGGATCCTGACTTGCCTCCTGTTCTGATCTCGAATGAGTTGGTGGATCATCTACGGAAGACTTTACCAGAGTTGCCAGATTCAACAGTCATGAGGACACTCAATGACTTTGGCCTGTCCATGAAGGATGCAAAAACCCTCTTCTCGCTAGACGATGGCGAGAGACTGGAGTACTGTGCAGAAACGATTGAGCTGGTCCAGGCAAAGCTTTCTGCTCAAGAATTGGATGAAAACCAGGATCAAGCCAAGGTCGGCAAACTGGTTGCCAATTGGGTGCTGCACGAGATTGGTGGCCTGCTCGCTTCAGACGGCCGCGAATGGTCAGACCTTGCAATCACAACCGAAGAACTTGCTTCTCTGTTAGCAAACCTCATGTCGAAGCAAATCACTGCTCGTGTGGGCAAGCAAATACTTCAGCAACTCTACGAAGAGGACTCGGATGACCGATTATCTGTCGATGCCCGCATTGATGAAGGGAACCTCCGCCTACGCCCGATCAGCAGGGAAGAGTACATTGAGCTGGCCCAGTCAATCATGGACGAGAACCCGAATATGGTCAGTGCAGTGCGTGACAAGGGACAGAGAGGCAAGACCATGTGGTTTGTTGGCCAAATGGTCAGAAGGGCAGAGGAAGGCACTGTGGAAGCAGAAAAGGCAAAGGAGATCATCGAAGAGCTTTTGTTCTAATGAGATGGAGACTCTGTATCTACTAGCCATCAACACAAACTCGTATAATACCACGCGCTGCAAGGGTATCTAAAAGCAAATTCAAGTCCAACGCCAATGTCTGAGGTCTAGTATAGCGGGTCGTAAGGCATCTGTGTTTGCTTCAAGGCGACTCCCTCTTTGAGGTAAAGCACCATCCTGTATGCACTGTTGCCGTTTAGATAGTAGCGATGTAGGCGTTTCGTCCTTAGGAATCCTAGACGTTCGTAGAGTTTGAGAGAGGGTATGTTGTCAATCTCAGTCTCGAGTGCGATCTGTCAGAGTCAGTATCAGGTGCTGGGATATGATGGACAGAAAGTACCAACCTCATCTGCATCCTTGGCTATCATGCCGTCCATGGCCATCCGCACTAGTTTTGATGCAATACCCCTTCCTCTGTGCTCCTTTCTGACTGCCAACATAGCGATGTATCCACGCATTGGACCATCGCGATGAGGTTCCAATTTGCAGACTACCACGCCTATCAATTCCCCAGTCGAATCGACCGTCNNTATGAGTAAGTGTCAGCTTGCCGATCCCACCAGATAGTCGTCACACAAGAACAGTATACTCACCATGTAACAGAGATCTGCCCATTGGTAGAGAAAATAGCGATAGACATAAATACTGTATGGCTCGGAAAGGTCTTTTGATATAAGTTCGCGGATGGCGGTGAGATATTGTGCTTCCTTGTCTGGATCATATTGGATGTAGTGCAGTTCCGGCAGCGGCGGTTGCACGGAACCATCAAGTTGAGTGGTCATTCCAGATTTTGTTCAAGAAAAATGGTTTCACGAAGATGATTTGGCACATGTTCTGAGGCTCCTTTGGGGACAGAGCAGCAGCGCACATGAAAGTGAGCTCGGACCAATGACGAATGTGGCAGGTGATGGACAGGAACAATTGCGACCAGGAAGGAAGCAGCAATCCAACATTTGATTGCTGATCCCTGCAGAGCGCGCGCCTTCTTTTTCAATCATGTCAGGTCTTCGGAGACGCATCTTCGGCACCTCGACTTCTGCAGACTCGCCCTCCCTAACACCCGAACACTCGCGAGAAGGCACACCGACATCCGAAGAGGTCCGCGTCGTGTCGGCGAAGAAACTCCAGAAACTCACGGCGCAACACAAGGCCAAGGGCACAAAGAGACGGAATGCGTGGATCTTTGGGTTGGGAGGCCTGTTTGGCATTCTCGTTGCCGGCTTCTTTGCGTCCAGCAATGATGTCTTTGACATGCAGGCCTTGAGGGACATGAATCTCGACTCTATCCTGGATGTGCTGCCTGCCGGTTTGATCAAGGATGCCCATGAACTCCAGGTCGGTTTCTTCAGCGCACTTGTAATATCTACATGTCTCCTTTCTTGTTTCTCCGCTTGCTTTGCTTGCCTGTTGTGCTACCGAGACTCATGTAGCTTACATTTTTGTGCTTTGTGTAGANAGAGCCAACGGGACGCCATCGCATATGATTCCTTCGCAGTCGGTCTGCATGCCCAATCTCAAGGCATAACAGCCAAACATCCCGTCATCATGATCCCCGGCGTCATCTCCACCGGTCTCGAGAGCTGGGGTACCGAAGAGCCCTCGCGACAGTATTTCAGAAAGAGACTATGGGGCAGTTGGAGCATGATGCGAGCTCTAGTTCTGGACAAGGCTGGCTGGAAGAGACACATCATGTTGGACAAGGAGACTGGGTTGGACCCGCCGGGTGTCAAGCTGAGAGCTGCTCAAGGCTTCGATGCGACCGACTTTTTCATCACTGGGTACTGGATCTGGAACAAGATCTTGGAGAACCTCGCAACGATTGGTTACGACCCTACTAACGCCTTCACCGCTGCCTATGATTGGAGAATGAGCTATATGAACTATGAGATCCGCGACCAATATTTTACCCGTCTGAAGCATCACATCGAGACGGCCACCAAGATATCTGACCAAAAGGTTGTTTTGCTCAGTCACAGCATGGGCTCTCAAGTCCTGTACTACTTTTTCCATTGGGTCGAAGCCGAAGGTTATGGCAATGGCGGTGAATCATGGGTTGACGACCACATTGACTCCTGGATCAACATCTCTGGGTGCATGCTCGGAACACCCAAGGGCTTGCCTGCAGTGCTGTCCGGCGAGATGAAAGACACCGCCCAACTCAACGCTTTTGCCGTCTACGGGCTGGACAAGTTCTTGAGCCGCAACGAAAGAGCAGAAATGTTCCGCGCCATGCCTGGCATCTCCAGTATGCTTCCTATCGGTGGCGACGCAATCTGGGGAGACGAACATGGCGCACCCGACGACCGCCCTGATCAGAATGTCACCTATGGCAAATTCCTCAGCTTCCGCCATCTCAACTCGACCCAGTTGCCCAAGAAAAACTTGACCGTGGAGGAATCCCGCGCATACCTTTTCAACAGCACAGAGAACTGGTACTCTGATGCCGTACTTTCCTCTTACTCTTTTGGCATCGCGCACACCAGAAAGGAAGTAGAAGCCAACCAAAAGATTCCCCGTAAATGGTCTAACCCACTGGAAACCCGTCTTCCCAAAGCCCCGAACATGAAAATTTACTGCTTTTACGGCATTGGCAAGGAGACTGAGCGCGCATACTATTACCGCGAAGACAATGAACCCGGCAGCAAAAACGACGTCATGATTGACACGCAAGCCTCATTCCTTAACCCTGACCATGATCATGTAGCCAATAGAGGTGTGGTTATGGGGGAAGGAGATGGTACTGTCAATCTACTGAGTACGGGATATATGTGTAACAAAGGATGGAGAATGAGGAGGTATAATCCTTCTGGAATCAAGGTCACGACATACGAGATGCCTCACGAGCCTGATCGTTTCTCGCCTCGTGGTGGACCTAATACTGGTAAGTTTGTCCTCGCCTCTAGGGACCTGATTAGCGTAATTGACGAATGTAACACAGGTGACCATGTGGACATCCTTGGTCGTGCCTCTCTCAACGATCTGATCTTGCGAATCGCAGGTGGAAAGGGTGACGATATCAAAGAAACCATTCACAGCAACATCACTCAGTATGCTGAGAAGGTCAAGATCTGGGACGATTAGAGGCGTCTCTAAAATGTGAAACCTAATCTGCCCATTTTTGTTTGTTGGAGGTTGGGATGGCTGTATTGCGTAATGTATAGAAGGTGAATTCCGGATCAGAAGGCGCGGTCGCTGATGCATTAATGATTATTCTTTCTACACTCCTATAGACGCTTTCCTGGATTCATCATTGTTCGTATGCCTTTGAATGGCCTGGTCGGTAAAGGTTGAAGACAGCAGGTACGACTGACCAGACGCCAAGAGTCAATCATTCACCTCTCACTCCTTCTACTGCGCACTCAGCCACCTGAATATTCCACTATAAAAGAACCTCAATCTGTTACAAAGCCTCAAACCATCATCGCTCTCCGCCTCCTCCTAAGAGGGACTGGGAGGCTGTCGGTCATGGCCAAGGGTAAGGGCAAGGGCAAGAAGCGCATCCGTAGATTCTTTGAAGTCATGCCGCCCTTATACAAGTCGGTGACCGGGTGACGAACGCGTTTCTTGGACGGTGTTTATCGCCCTCTAGCGTGTGAGATTGTGGGCAGTAATCGTGAAGTAGTTCCGTAATCAGAGTCGTGGAAAGGAGAGTGATTGTGGTTGGTATTTGTCTGGCTACGACGGTTGCTTTCGCCTGGTGATTGTGTTGGCTCTGAGTGTGAAAGTTAGTATCTCATAGTTGGAGGTGGTGTATTTGATTGCTATCAGAATGCGGAATGTTCTTGAGAGCTAGAAAGTTATCCGTTGAAAGCAGGTGCCGTTGTGGACTCTCTGCGGGCAATCGAAAGTTGTCGAAGAGTATTATGTGTCTTGATAGCTCGGTTTGTGGTAGTGGTTCTGATGGAGTATCTTCTCCTTTTCTCACCTGCTATGGACCTTCGATGTGTTTCCTGCTACTGTTGTATTATATCAGTATGAAGAAGTTTATAAGTCGTTCAACATAGATATCTCTTGTACAAAAATCTATCGAGAGGGCTTGACATCCATCGTCGGGCCATGTCGTGAATGCGTCGAGCCTAGCTTTTCGACGAGTTAGCTCGGCGCATTCACGACATGCGATTGTTTTCAAAACCGCCTTTCGGCGGCGAGGTTCTCTTGTTTCTCTTCTTACGCTTGCTGTAGGTACGCTTCCGGTACGTCTTGATACGCGTGCACCTGATATCGGATACAAAGAACTTACATCAAGCAGGGTAGAAGCCGCATTTCAAGATGAACAACAGGGTCCCTCACCACACCACCGAGCAACAGGCTCACCAACAGCATGAGATCTCTGCTGAGCCTCGTCGTCTCCTTCCTGCGCCGTGAGTCCGCCTTACCTATCGTTGCAATTCACAAGGCTAACCTCTGCCTGCCAGTCTTGCCGTTGAGAAGGATGTCATCATCATCTGCAAGACCCCTAATGGCCAGGTCAATCGCGAGTATCGCTTCAAGCGCATGGTCATCTGCCGCCACTCAGCCCGCATCGATGACCTCTGCCTGCGCCGCCCTGGCTCCACTGCCGACATCATCTACGTGTATGTCGAGCATTCCCCTAACCTCTTCGCCCACTACGAGCGCTGGGTACGCAAGTCTGAGCTTCCCATCCTCGACGTGACCTTCGTAGACCAGCGCGATGTCCTCGTGCTTTGGATCAACATGTACGAGCTCGCCCGCGAGATGGAGGATTGCCGTCTTGTCGCTGCGATCAACACCCGCATCATCGATGTCGCCAAGCTAGGTTCGTGGAGCTTCTACAAGCGCAGTGTTGTGGACTACCTCAAGAAGGCTCCTGATGGTAATGAGCTTCGTCAACTTCTGCTTGACTTGCACGTTGCGAGATTTGAAAGCGGTCTCTTCAAGCGCTACTTTTGGATGTTGGGTCCCAGACTGCGCTTTGCTATCGCGCGTCGCAAGATGATGGCTGAGACTCCTACTATGGATGGTGTTGAAAAGACTTGCGCTTATCATCAGCATGATCGTCTTTACCCTTGGGGAGACTGCGGTGGCAAGGTGGTTTTGACGTGGACAGGCAAAGCTAGCATGACTTTGCACAGAAAGCTGCTTTTAGTTATTGGGACTGGGGTCAGGCTCCGGGTCCCGATGGAATTCGCATCGTTAAGGCTTCGGGCCAAACAGTCATTACACAACTGCATTGTTGCATAATAGTACCGCTTTCATCCAGTTCTTTTGTTGAGTTTGATCATATCGAGGAAGTGGTTCAGGGAGCTTGTGATGTTAATGATGTCTCTGCAGGAGGTTCAATACCTTGTTGGAGGCACTGAACTCGCACAGTCGACTCCAGCATGGCCATCTGGTTGTGCAGATAGCCGTCGAAAAGCACAAAGTATTCCCCGAAAGCAGGAGGATCCGTGGAAAATTCAGCTGCGCGTCACTCTCAATGAAGACTTGGAACTGTAAAACATATTCCTGCAACTTGATAGCTCATAGTTAAATGACCTGGCAAGAGAGAGGTCACAAGCATGAACTGTAGTTCTAAAGTCCGAAGCTCGGACACTCCGAGATGGAAAGATAACGACCAGTCAGCATGGGCATGATTGGCTGTAGATGGACGGCGATTGCCGTGTCGTTGCGGTCTGTAGGAAAGGTCTGACCGAAAACTGCGGAGAGACGCTGGAGGAGGACACTCTTAGAGAACGTTGAGCTCTCATGGCTGCCTCCGTCCGGTCTCGGGTCCGAGATCGCCGTTCGCCGAGGATCAGATTAGCGTCATAAAGTGTCGCCTCTCTTTCAGCTTTGTTCAAATCATCGCTTTCCCCTCCACCAAACACTCGACCCACTTACGAACCTGTCACCTACAACATCAAATACACAAACGATCAAATCAATCACAATGTTCAGAAGAGTCGCATCCACCGTTCCCGCTCAGGCCAGCAGAGCCATGGCTGCCGCCGTCAGACCTTCGATTGCTCCCTCATTCCGCGCTGCCGCTCCCGCCATCAACACCGCAAGAAGAAGCTACCACGAGAAAGATATGNTCCATCCATCATCCATCGCTCTCCCTACGCCGATGGTCAACGCCAGGCCATCGACGCATTGATAGCGTTGGATCTGGTCATTCACGAGCGCTCAGCTAACATGCGCAGCACTGCTCGACCACTACAGCAAGCCCAGAAATGTTGGTAGCATGCAGAAGAACGACACCGACGTCGGTACCGGTCTCGTCGGTGCCCCCGCTTGCGGCGATGTCATGAAGCTTCAGATCCGTGTCGACCCCAATGACAACACCATCAGCGAGGTCAAGTTCAAGACTTTCGGCTGTGGTTCCGCCATCGCCAGCAGCAGTTATTTGACCGAGCTCGTCAAGGGCATGACCCTCGAGCAGGCCGGTCGTATTAAGAACACTGAGATTGCAAAGGAGCTCTGCCTGCCCCCTGTCAAGCGTGAGTTGGCCTTGTCCGCGGAGATGCTGGAAAATGAATACGAATACTGACTTTGTCATAACANNGTCCACTGCTCTATGCTTGCTGAAGACGCCATCAAGTCTGCCATCTCAAACTACTACACCAAGAACCCCAACGCAAGAAAGACCGACCTCGGCGGCACCTCCGCACCTCTCCCCAAGGTCGAGGTTGAGACCGTTTCGGCCACCGCCTAAACGCCTTCTCTCTTCTACAATTCTTGATGTTTTCGTCCTCATATCATTAGCGAGTTTTCTTACCATCTGAAATTTCCTTTTCTCATCACAAATCATTTGGAGTGGCCCGGATCGGCCTTTTTGGGGATTCACGGAACCGGGCTTTTCTCTTTACCCCACGCTCACACTGCCGTCCATCATTCATCGAAGGATTTGGAGTTGGGTTCCTATTGTGCTTCACGGCTCCTCTCACGAAACACAGTAACCGTGTATATTAGCTTCACGAAAGAGGAATCAAATTGGTATACTCTCAAGTCTCATCTCACCTCAACTTGCTTCTTCACACAAAAGACCAGAAGACGCTTGCCAATGCTTTGCCCGTTGCACGTGTTCTCAGTCTCTTTGTAGTTGCGTACTCAATCGTATAATTGATTCTAGTGTTCAATCCTGGCTTGACCTTCTTTCACGCTTCTTCGTCGTATGTTCCTTCGAACTTTTGATTATCTACAGGAGGTACTTTATCCTCATCCTGTATCGTGGTGATGGGTCTGGGCTGTAGGGTGGCCTGACGGAACATTTCCTTGAGTTTGTTCGTTAAAGACTCATCGCTCGCATAAGCATCATCATCCTCCGAATCAGAAGAGTCGATTCCATTAGCAAATGCGTCTTCATCTTCTTCACCGTCCTCATGGCCAGGACTACTAAAGGGTTTCCTCAGCCACGCCCGATTCCGTGATGGTGGTTCACGCATGCATGCCGTTACGATTTCATCTGTCCAGATACCACTCGTGCCTGCGTGCCAATCCTTGATGTGCTGGCGGAAGTGATCGGCGCTGTAGAACCTCTTTGCTTCTTTACACTTGCCGAAGCCGTGTGTTTGCACAATGTGATTACGTCGATGTTTCCAATCTGCTGGATTGGTAAACATGGCGCCACAGTAGCCACAAACGTCAACCGTCCAACTCTTGTTTGATGCATGGAAAGCTGTCTCAACCATGTCAAGAGCTTCACACGACCAGAAGCGGCTGCGTGAAGAATGTATAAAGTCTTGGTGCCGCTCTGCTGTACCCCAGTCCGTGAAGCGCAATGATTCTTCTTCGTCTCCAAAAGTTTCAAGAATTTCTTCGAAGTCTTCAAAGTCAGGGTCATCTTCAGGTTCTATGTTCTGAGGAACGGGCCATCCTCGTTCAATGTAGATGGTAGACTTTTCGTCGTACTCAGAAGTAGAATATTGAAGCACCTGAAGCGCCTCAGGCAGGGATCTCAGTCCTAGAAGTTCTGCTGCAATGCGGCTGTCAGGAGTAACGGGAATTGTCGTCATTTGGGTTCTGTACGAGACGGGGATGTTCTTTGTCCAGCATCTTCACAGCCGCTGCCAGCTCTATTGGCAGGGCGCAAATTATGCCGATGGTATATGTTTCGTTGATGTACCCTTTACCATTAGAAGAAGTAGATTCCAATGCCCCAGACTTGATTACGGTGGTGAGATGTTGTTGGAATGATAGTGAGTAGTCGTTTTAGAAGCGAATATGAGACGCTTGGAGAAGGAGCAAACCATCCACGCGATGGGAAACCAGAGGCACCTATCCTGCAGATGACCGCTCCAGCCAAACGCCATGATATGCATGATGTCGAACTAATCCCGGCTGATGGCCAATCGCTGCTTGAGAACGCCGAAGAATCGCATGGCGCAGCCGCGAATCATCCTTCAAAGCCCTGTAGGAGTGCTATAGAATGGATTATACTGGACGTTACTTCAATGGACGGCGGGGTCGCATAGCGCAGCTGCAAGTCGTCCTGCAAGCCTTTGGATAAGTAATTGTTGCCGCGCTGATGTTTAGAGAAGTTCTGATAATCGAAGAAGGAAGCGCAGAAGCAGGCGTGTCCAGTCAACAGCGATTCGAAGGGAAACTACATGTGCAAGCGCCTTCCATCCAAAGATCTGATATGCGATCGTCGAAGTCGCGAGGAAAGGCGCGTGACTCCGCTCGAAAACGGGTTCACGGATGATGGGAAAGAGCGAAAAGGCAGCGTTCATGCAGGTGTCCAAATATAGTATAGGTCAGCCATAAACCGCACGACCAATCATGAAGTGACAGATTCCTTGAATATGGCAAATTGGCGATGAATAATTAGGGCGTGGCATAAGTCGTTTCTGTGTATTCTATCACCTATATAGTCATCTATACCTCGGCGTAAACATCGCTAGAGAAGTCAGCAAGACGAATAACGTAGATGTCGACGAAGGTTAAACTCACGTTCTTCTGTGAAGAGGTACGCCCTTCTTGATCTTTGCTAGTTGATCATGATCAATCTCAACGGTTGCAAGTTCGGGCTCCCACGAATCACCCTTCTTGTTGAAGTCTTCTTCACTACCCAGCTCTGCGAGGATCCTGCCCCAAGGATCAACGATCAAGGAGTGACCGAAACTTGATCTCTTCTCGTTGTGAGGCCCAACTTGAGCAGGAGCAAGAACATATGACTGTGACTCAATGGCGCGAGCCTTTAGTAATGCATGCCAGTGGTACTTGCCAGTGTCAGGGGCGAAAGCTGAAGGGTAACAGAGTATGTCACACTTTTGACGCTTCAGTGCGAGAGCAAGCTCGGGGAAGCGTAAATCAAAGCAGATACACGAGCCGACTCTTCCAACAGGCGTATCGAAAGGAGATAGAATCCTGTTACCAGGTTCTACAGTATCGCTCTCCCTCATATTTGGACCGTCGTCCAGCTCCATGTCGAACATGTGGAGCTTCTGATAACGTTGGGTGATGTCGCCACTCTCGTCAATCCAGATCAGAGTGTTCTTGATCTTCTTGGGTGTCTTCGAAGGCTCGTGGATGCCAACGTTGATGCATAAGCTGTTCTTCTTGGCCTCCTCCTGTAGCCCACGGACAAAAACTGAGTCGTTGACCGACTTGCAAAGATTGTAAGATTCATCTGGCGATCCTCCAATGTAATCAGCGGCTTCAGGAAGGAAGAGGACCTTTGCGCCTTCGGCAACAGCTTTCTTGACCAGGGTCTTGCACTGCTCAAGGTTGTGCGAGAGATCTGATGTTGAACATATTTGACCAATTGCCTGCAAATCACATCAGTATACTGGGCAGCAGTGGCGGGTGAGAGACTGACTGCTTTGGCCATGGCTGCGGTATTGTCTACTGCTCGAAATGTTTATCGTGGTGAAGTTGAAGAGAGATACAGAGGGCAAAGAGAAGGCTATGGATGAGGAAGAAAGAAGGGTGGCATGGAAAAGATATGCAGGGCCTGCAGCGATCCGATCGATCGACACCAGGAACGCATCTGGTAGTGAGATAGGGTCATTAAGTGTCCCGTTAGGGAAAGCGCAATCGGTGGATAAAATGCAGGAAAGAAGGCCGGTTTGTCGACGTCACCTTTTGCCAAGGCTCACCTCCGAGCCGCCGCGTGTTACGGCAAGGCGGAGCTCATGGGCGGAGGCATGCGAACCATCAATGTTTCTGTGACCGCGCTCAACAACAGTGCGCCGCAATGGCATCGCAGCCACCGAACAAAGCCAAAGCATCACGATGGGGCTCGCTGCTCTCGGGCGCCGTCGCCGGTCTGGAATCGCGTCTGGACACAATCCTAGCTGAGGACAACGAAGCGTCTGCTCGCAGTAGAGCCCAGGACAAGGCTGCCACTGTAGAGAAGCCATTGGCCGAAAAGTCGACTGCTCTCGCAGTTCCCACCGCTTCTACAGATGTATCGCGTAGCCCGTCGCGCTCTCGTCTGAATGATCGATTACAGGAGAGACTGGCCAAGGCGGTTGCCAGCCAGAATCCTTCTCGCTCTTCAACTCCCCTGAATCAACCTGCCAGTCCGAGGTCTAGTCTCGACTCAAGACAGTCGACCGACATACCAAGGCCCCTTCCAGAAACAAAAGAAGACACCCCATCAACACTCAGTGCTGACGTCCCGGTCCTCGGTGTCTCGGATCCAATCAAGGACACTTCCACAGAGCTCATACCTGAGCCGCCAGCTCTTGACTCCGCTCCTGAACTCGTGATCACCGAAGTCCCTCCAACTCTCTTGACCTCGGGCCTACCTATCAACCCTGCTCGTGTGTCCAATGAAAGCGAAACCAGGCCCTCTGTTGAGCTCGATGTTGAAGCTCAAACAGAAGAGTCGATCCAAGAGCTCAAAGAAGAAGAACCCGAAGCCATCGTGCCGAGAGATGTTTCAGATATAGACAACGAGCTTGCACAATTGCGCCAGGAGAATGCCGAAGCCGAAAAGCAAAGGCAGGAAGAAATGCTTGCCAACCTTGAACGTATCGACGCTCTACAAGCTAAACTTCAGTACCTTGCGAAAGAGACGGTCGCTGCTGCAAAAGAGGCGAACTCATCTCAGGCAACTCCTCAGGAGCGCAAAGTTGCGGAAAAGGACGAGCGCATTGCTCTCTTGATGCAAGAGGGTGAAAAGCTGAGCAAGGTTGAGATGCGCCAAGGAGCTGTTATCAAGAAGATGCGCTTGAAGACACAACAGGACGAGAAGGCCATGGCTGAACTCCGGAAACGTCTTGCCAGACTTGAGGATTCTGAATCTGACCTGAAGCAACGACTGAGGCGGACTGAGCAAGCTGAAAAACAGGGCACCGAGCATTTGAAGCGATTCTCAAATCTTGAGAAAGATCTTGAGAGTCACAAGTCGGAGCTCGCGAGTAGCAATGCCACAATCGCTAGTCTGCGAAGTCAACTGCTCGAAGCTGAGAAGAAAGCCGAGGAAGCTGAATCCAATGCACAAGACAGTGTTGTCCAAGCAGATACTAACAAGCTGTCTGCCATTCAAGAACAGCTCGAGGATTCGAAGTTGGAAAAGAAGCTAGCAGACGATAAGTGGAGCGCGGAAATCAAGCGAATTACTGAAGAAGCTCGTCAGCAGAAGCAGCAGGCGGGCTTTCGTGAAACAGAGCTTACCAATGAGATTTCGGTAAGTTCCAGTCGTGATGTAAATCAAGTCGTCTGTGTGATGCTCATATACGAATATAGANACTATGAAAGCCGTCTCGAAGCACTTCGCGTTCGTGCTGAGGAAGCATCTTCCGATGTTGGAGGAGATTCTCAAGCCAAGCTCCTTCGTCAGATTGAGACACTGCAGACTCAATATTCTCTGGCAGCGGAGAACTGGCGAACTATTGAGACTTCACTAAACGGACGTATTGCCGCCATCGAAAAGGAACGAGACGAAGCGACAAAGCGTGAAGCCGATGTACGCAAGAAAGCTCGTGACATTAGCAGCAAAGCCAAGCGCTTTGAAGAACAACTCGAAGAGATGACCGAGGAGTCTCAACTCTTGACCTCGCAACTTCAAGCTAGCAAGGCGGAGATGAAGAAATTGCAATCACGTCTCGAAACTGCAGAGACATCACTGAATGAAGCAAGAACAGATCTCGACCGTCAAAAGCAGACTTTCGAAACAGAGCTGAGCCAAAAGCTAGAAGAAGAGAGAACAAAGCAACTGTCGCAAGGTCTAGGAATCGTCAGCCCCAGCAACGGAGCCATAGCTTCACGGACCCAATCTCCAACCAGCTATTTCCGAAAACAACCGCCACAAGATCCCTATGGGTCCGTACAATCACGACGTGGACTCTCACGTATACCCTCCCAAGAGCAGACCACAACACTCTCGATAGACCGCTCAGTATCCCGACGACCCTCAACCCTCACACCCGGCCTAATAAATTCACGCACACCCATGACCCCCGACTTCCCCTCCCCAAGCGTCAGCAGACAAGGCTCTATGTTCTCTCTCGCCCAACTCATCAACGGCGGCAACGGAGCAGCACCACAAACACCTTCCATCCGCACCACCAACGACGATGCCGACGACGCTTTTGACAATCGCTCAAGTCCCCAGCAAACCATCAACGATGTCATTAGTGCCTCCACCGTGCACACAGGCCCCAGTGTTCAGCTGGTCCAACATATGTCATCCAAAATCCAACGCCTCGAAGCCGAGAAATCAGCCCATAAAGACGAACTCACACGTTTGGTTGCCCAACGTGATGAAGCTAGAGACGAGGTGGTTTCCATGATGCGCGAGATAGAAACGAAGCGCAGTGTCGATGGCAAGACTGACAAGCTGGAGGAAGAGCTTGGGCAAGTCAAACAGAGATACGAGGCTTGTCTTGAGATGCTGGGAGAAAAGGAAGAGGAAGTGGAGGAGCTGAAGAGTGATCTTGTGGAGGTCAAGAAGATGTACCGGGAGCTTGTTGATAGGAACATGAAGTGATGTTGATGACGATCAAGGGGTAAACAGTTGATAGAAAGGAAAAATCTCTAATAGATGAATTATGTCGTGTTTATGCTTCGTTTCACTGCCTCTGCTGTTTGAGGTAATGCCGTAGAGAGAATAGGAAGGTGCTCTTTTACAGGATAATGCCTTCCTCCTCTGCGGCACGAGTGATGTAATCTCGAACCTGCAATCAGTCAGTAACACGATTCTTAACAGCCACAAGAGTAAGCACATCAAAACATACCTTCGCATCAGGCGCAAGATCCAAAGCCAAAGCACCAGTATTATCCTTCTTGTCAGTCTCCGCACCCGCTTTGAGCAACACCATCGCCGTATCACCATGCCCCTCCGCAATCGCATGATGTAAAGCTGTACATCCATCCCCATCAGTCGCATTAACCGGACTCCTGCTCTCCAGCAACAACTTCACCATGGGCACGTTTCCCACCGCAGCTGCCCTGTGCAAAGGCAATTGGCCTCTCTTGTCTTTAACTCTTGCTGAAGCTTTGTGCTCGATGAGCTTTTTCGCCGTGTCTAGGTTGGTCTTGCTAGCTGCGAAATGTAAAGCTGTGGCTCCGGTATTTGTGGTCAAAGTGGGGTCGGCGTTTTTGGAGAGAAGGAGGGTGGTGAGGGTTTCTGAGGTGGAGGAGTCTTTGAGGGAGGAGGCGATCATGAGGGGGTCCAGCCTGCGCCATCCTATCCTATGTGTCAGTCTTGCTGATTTCTTCTTTTTAGTCCAAGAGTGGCGTACCTGAACGTCTGGGTCAAAGTCTTTGCGATCGGACAGGATCTCGACGATGGGGAGGCGGTTATAGGATGCGGCCCAGTGGATGGGAAGTCTGTCATCGTCATCACGCAATTTGGCGAGTTTAGGATTTGCCTAAGAAGGCAAGAATCCGTGTCAGATACATGACCATCGGTGAAGGGATATGGAAAGAGCGTACATTTAGTAGCGATTCGGCGAGGTTGACTGTATGCAATGTTAGTGGCATGTCTTTCGCTGATGGTGTGATTCCTGAGCACTCACTCTGTCCGTCGCGGCAGGCAGCGTGAATCGCGAACTTATTCGTCTCTCCTTGATCAGTCGCCATCTTCTGTGTTTGGTTTGTAAAAAGTTGAAGCAAGTGCAAGCTTTGGTGACGCTTTCTGAGAACAACCCTCGTGGCGGGGTGACGATCTGCATGTGGGGTTTGTGAAACGAATGCAAGTGAGCATAAAGTTATGTACGGACCGATATATTGCGATGTTGCGAGATGTACTTCATTCAGTTGTCAGAGGCACATATATCACATTGGGCTCGCATTGTCAAATTTGTGAAGTTTTCTTGAGAATGGTTTGAATCTGCATTCCTCTTCATGGTCGGAGTTTCTGCTAGTAGGGAAAGGCAACATTATCTTCGAGCAGAAATCATGTCGTTCAAAAAGCCATGGACCACTATCGTGTTGTCCTGCTTGGTAGACACTCTTATTGCTCATTCGGGTCAGGAACATGGTGATCGCAGTTGCGACAGGCACTGTATTTTCTTCCTTTGCCCATTTCGCGAATCAGGCGCGCACAGATCGGCTCGCTTGATTCCATGATCTTGCTCACTTGGATCTTCTGCTCATACACCCAAAAGCTCCGCTTAGTCAAAATCTTTGCTATACCGTCCAGGCAAGAGGTGTCCGACAGTTTGAACTCGCCATAGAGTTCTGAGATCTTCTGAAGCGTTTTATATAACTTTTTCTTGGAACTTTCCGGCCAAAGCGAGGCTCGGACTCGACAGCTTTGCTCGTCGAGATGATTAAGAATGGATTTGGTGACGGCTGTCGTAAGTGATGATACTTGATATTCGTGGGCCACGAGGATCCAGAAATCGAGAGTCTCATCCGCGCTCGGTGAACGGGCAATGTGCTCTTGATGATACCAAAAGCCGTAGATGTGCTTGATCATGGTGTACACCACTTCGGGGGTGTAGTCATTGATTTCGTACTCGGCTTCGTTTGCAAACTGCATCCTGTCAATACAACACTCTAAGGGTGGGAGAGTACGGTTGATATACCGAGATAAGTGGACAGCACATGCTTCATGAAACAAGCAACTTCTCGCTCACAATAAAGATTAACTCTTCACTCGACCTAGCCAAGAAGACTTGTGAGCTTGGATTGTCATGGGCGCCCTGTTCCGGTCCATCAACATACCGTTGCTCATCAATGCAATGCGTTAAGTGATTGCATCATGTTGTTTGATGTTTGAGACTGCTCCCATCTTGCATCTTTCATCCCTTCTTCGCAGCTTTCGCAAACATCTCCTCAACTCTGCCTGTTCCCTTCAGGGCCAACCTTACAGCCTCAAACCTTTGCTCGGGAGCTCTCTTGCCATTGGCTACACTCTCCATAGCCCACTCAGCAGTAACAAACTTGACGTTCTTGCCTCCTATCTTGGCTATCTCTTTCTGCATCTTCGAGGCTGAAAGACCACCACCAGCACCTGGAATTGTGGAGGCATTGGGACGACCGAGAATTACGTGGGTGACTGAGCGGCGGCCGAGGTGAATGCTGAGACGAGCGCCGTGGGTTACGAGTAGGTGTTTTAACTTGTGGTCGGAAATAGTTGGGAAAGTGCTGCCATTGATGTACATGCATGTGCCGGCAAAGATCTGGGGAGCTTTTGGTGCAGCAGATGCAGTATCCTGATTGTGCTTTTCTTGCGCCTGCTCGTTGGGACTCGAGTTCTCGCGCAGAAGCTTTTCTTCGTAACTTGACAGCTGTTCCTGATCCTGGGACGAACCCTCTCGTACCGGTTGAGCACTCGGTATATCCAGAAGATCCAGCTCTTTGTCTTCCACCTCTTTGACCACTAATTCCGCCTTCTCCTTCTCAATCGCTGTGTCCTTGACACCCACTTTCTTGACCCTGAAAGCTTCTACCACACTGATTTGGCCTCTGCCTCTCAAGCCTGGTGCTCCCTTAGCCCAGTCTCCATTCTCCAACCTGCCATCTTTGCCAAAGTCTTCACTGCCAGCACCAACGGTGTCTGCGAGGCGAGCGCCACCAGAAGCCCCTCCGCCAAACTGGTTGCTGAGTTTGAGACTACGAGACTCGCGCCAGCTCGTGCTTCCTGCAAGGCTGTTGTCTGCCCTTTGATGGCCGGTTGACGACGAGTTCCATGGATCAAAGAACCGGCGTTTGGGCTTTGCGCTCGCCGGAGGTGGGAGTTGGTGTGAATTCGACATGATTGGTGTCCGACGCGCTTTGATGTAGAGCTATTGTCGCAAAGCAATATGCCCGAAAAATGCTATGACAGCATCTGCTATTGGTATTGAATTGCCATGGGGTCGAACAAGGAATTGTTTTGGTTGTCTGGATTGCTCTTTCTTTGGATGACGCGACGAAGGAGACCACCAAGTCACGTTTCTCATTTCGCTTGCATCTGCCAACCCTTCTGGCTCGGCTTCACCTGCTTCATTTGGATTGGCTAGATATTCGTCTCTCACGCATGAGTGAGTGAATGCATTCAAAACAAATGTCGGCGTGGTGTTGTTTTACATATATGTACATGTCTTAACTTCAGTCCTTGGGTTGTGATGCCACTTCCTGGTCTAGCTGCTCCATGCGGGCTACAACCCTCTTCAAAGGCAGCGCTGCTCCTCTACTGACCACACTCAGTCCGTCACGAGTCTCGACCTTGGCACCGTCCTCGCTGTTCCTGAGTATAGTGTGTGCTGCGTTGATTGCTTTGGGCAACAATTTCGCACCATCAGCATCAGTATACAGCCACCTCAGCACATTTTCGAGGCCTTCCAAGCCTGATATCTCGCCACGTCCTAGGCGACTTACTGGCGAAATGAGAAAGGCTCTCGCACGAAGATAGGTGCGTTCTGTGTAAGCCACGCTGTTCTGGTTGATGGACGACAGTCCTTGAAGCGGCTCAAATCCTGCCTCGTTGTAGTAGGGCTCGCGAACCAGAACAAGGCCCAGGATGCTGACCAGCACTTGCAGCACAGTACTTTGGTGTGGTGTCCATGCCTCGTTTCGTGCCTGATCGCCTTGCCATGTTCCCAGTAGCGAGAGACAGATCTTTCCCTCCTCGTACAGGTTCGGATTGACCCGTCCAGACATGCCTGCGCCCTCTGCCGTCCAGCTGTGGAAGAAAGCCTTCGGGGGCTCGTATGGGTATTGAGAGGGCAGGTGCAGGTCAATCATGAATGGCGCATACTCGTACGGCGTACCAAGGGGNCCGACAAACAAAACCCTAATCAGGTCCATTCTAGATTCCCAAGTTCGTACATAGACGCCTTCTGGGAGTGCGCCAGGCGCGCTCAGAATCTTGTGTTCCTTCGACACACCCTTCATGTAGCTTGCGGATGTTGGACCACTTTGCAGTAGATAATGATGGCCCGAAGGTACCTCGGATTCGAGGATCTCATAAGCTGCAGGCGCATTCGGTAACGAGGACAGATGCAGATCTTCTACGGGTGCATTATTCATCATTTGATCCGATTTATCGGCAGCNACTACCGCTCTGTGCTGCTTGTGTTGAGGGCATGATCGGTGCTGAAGCGGGCACTGGTTCTGTTGCTGGCGTATCATCTTGTGTTGACATTGCGTCTGAATCGTCGTTGTCTTCGTCTTCTGTGCTCCATGAGTCATCNNGGCGTCGTCGATTGGAACATCTTGCCCGTCTTCGAACCAGATTTCCTCCTCTTCTTCTTCTGACCCGGAGAAGTCTTCCATGTCGAAGTCAACGTCTTCGCTTCCATCGCTGAGGAACTCGCCGTTTTCATCACCGCCAACAACAAGAGGATTGTCCTCTGCGTCCAAATTCATGGCAGGCGCTGTGTCTGTGATCTCACACTCGACCTCTTGTACTGGCTCGGCTGCGCCCAGTCTTACAGTGCATTTGCCATTTCTGCCTATATCCACGACCTCGCCGAACCAATTGACGCTGTTGGGCTCAGTCTGTGGAAGACTTGGTACCTTGAGCAGTAGAACGTAGTCTCCTCGGTTACGGTTGACACTCTTTGGTGCCCGTATGTCATAGAAACTAACTTCCTCTTGTTCCTCATCCAGAGTTCCGAGTTTTGTGTTGGGGACGAGCAGATCCATGCTCTTATCGCAGAATGACAGTGTGGAGTTTTGGAACCATGTAACATGAGCTATTCGATCCTTAATGTTAACTCTGTTGGCAATGCCAACACGAGCCGGTGTTGTGGCCCATGAGGTCATAGCTTCGGGTGGAGCATCTCTCGTCTCGTTTGTGCAAATGACTTCGCCGGGAAACACTGCGTCTTCGTCATCGATTGAGGGATCTGGGATGATCGAAGTTGTTCGTACTGTCTCTGTGGTCAAGTCGTCGCTCCAGAGAACATCGACTTCTGTAGTAGTGCTGGTAATGGTGAAGACGTTCAGATCGTAACCAAGACTTTGTGTGCGGTCAAGCTTCTCGAGTTTTCCATGAGCTCTGGATCCATCGTACTTAGTACAGGCTGCAGAAAGGTCCTTGAACCGTACACGCAGTCCACCCTGAAGCTCTGGATCCGAGCGCGATCTGGTTGAGCTAGGTTCTTTTGGCATGTTTGAGATGTCGTACAGGCGGACTTCGTTGCTTTCTAGCTCGTCGGGCCCGAGAACACCTTCGGGAGCACTACTCCAGATTGGGAACTCACTGGCTCTCTCCATGCGAGGATGTAACCAGTCGACCTGACACTCTTTGGTACGAACATCGACAACGACACCGATAGGAGGTGTGTTTGGAGAGTATGTCCCGAAGATCCATCTGCCTGTCCTGAGAACACCCTTCTTCGTCCGGACCAGTGATCCAACAGCAAATCTCTCCTCAGGATCACCGCTCATGGGTTCAAGCTTGCCCTCATCTGCGATAGCTACGACGCCATTGTCGGTCAGACGAACAGTGACTTCGTCAAAGCAGTCCTTTATGCGGCCGATCCAGTTCTTGTAGATGATGATGTCTCCCTCGTTGAAGGTCTGTACTAGCTTCAATTCGGATGCGGGTATATCGTAGAGCAGTCCGCCGTCATTGACCAGTTCGAGAGAAGGTTCTTCTTCCATAGGCAACGGCAACCAAGCACACTTCAGTGTCTTGCGGCTCTTAGTCTCCCTGACGTCGCACATGGAGAGAAGCGTACACTTCGTCCTTGTGCTGACAACAGTGCCTGACCGGTTTCCCTTTCGAACAAGGTCTCCGGACATGAACGAGCGATCCAAGAGAACGAGATCACTACATGGCACCAGCTCAGCCTTGCTCTCGGTTTGCCATTGCATTAGTACGAAGCCCTGGGGAGGAACGCCATCCCGCAAAAATTCTTTGTACAGTTGACGCGGCACAGCTTTGTGGCGAAAAATCTTGCCATAAGTGTTTATCGGGTATGGTACATGACTTTCCACTTCGGCGTGAGTTCTGTCAACATAGCCGACAGCTAGCTGGTTGCTGCTGTTTGAGGTGCAAACATCATCGACGTGAAGTTGAGGAATCGATTCTGTAGATGCCATACTGCAATCCAGTGGGTTACGTAGACTCTTATCCCAGCTGATGGCAAAGTTCACCGTTCTTTGCTATCAGGGATAAGAAAAAATGAGTAGTGGTCCAAGCGAAGGTAGTGTTTGTTGTTCCAGGTTTTCTGGACGAAGTCGCTGCGCGACAGTCAGGGTTCAATCAAGAAGGAGTGAGTGACGCTTTGACCAGGTGTGATGCCGCAGGTACGACCCTGTCTTTTGATTCCCATCTCCTCTGTTTCCAAAAGTGTGCTCCTGTCTCACCACCATAGATTTGTTTTAATGAAGACCATCTGCTTGTCGCTTTGATGCAGTCGGTATAGGCAACTAGCAGACTCTGGAGTGGGAAGTCGATAGATTTTTGCTTCGAAGCTCACACTACCTACTCAGCGAATAATGTTCATATGGTCAAAGAATATCAAAAACTCTTGCTAATCACAACACCTGCACCACTTTTCTTACACTCGAGAAGGATGTGTGAGCTGGGACACGGTTCACGCAAATTCATTCAAGAATGTCAAATTAGATGATGCTGACCACACATGTAGGCAAATAGCGGCATGATCTGATTATTAGCCTTGCAAGAGAAGTAGTTGTTGTGTCTACAGTAATCACAAGCTGCATACAACGGGTACCGCATTTTGAGTGGTGGTTGATCATACATCTCCCATCACATCTTTGTCATATGTTCGCGCAGAGTTTCCCAGGCATCCTCCCAGGCTTTGCTAGATGGAGCGGAAGAACCAGTGTCACACCTGGCTTGGTCGAGATCTGTAGCTGCTCTCTGAAAGACCAACTCACGCTCATGTCTCATCTTCACCAGATTAGACTCGTTATCAGGAAGGATTTGAGTGTTCTGCTCTGGCATTGAAGCTGATTTAGGTGGGACGGGCTGTGTGGCAGAGCTCGTGGCTGAGACAGGCTCAAACAGTGATGTTGGCGCTGAAAAGTGGATGCTCATGCTATCATGTGGACGGTGCGTGTGATTAATGTCAACATATTGGACGTGGGTTGGTGTTGCAGCAGAGGTGGTCGTTGAGCTTGCTGGCGAAGCCATACCGACCGAGGCGAGATTATGTAGTGGCCAATAGTCTCCAAATGCCGGTAGTTTCGAGGCGGTATTCAGAGCATCGTGATAGTTAGAACATATGGCTCTGACATTGTGGTGTGATTGAGAATACTGTGACTGATGTACCGCGTTGAGATGGTCCGGGCTCCTGTAGATGCTCCCAACTGTGGGTGACCAAGGGTCAGACAGAGGTAGTGGTCCACGCATCATTGGTCGATGACATGTTGTGATGGATCCAAACCCATTTATATACCTGTCAAATACCCACAAGTGCGAATGAGCGGATGCAAGACCACTATGAAGAGACACGTCCTGACAAAGAGAATAGTCTCAGATGTTTGAGATGGGACCTTGAAGTGAAGTTCAGTCTCCAGTGGAACATTCCGCATGAGCACATGGAACCATGCATAATGTCGTGTGGTCGTGGATAGGGCATGGTCGATAAGTACATTATCCAGAATAAGTAGTTTTCATTGTCGATCAGCTGGACGCTGTACAAGAAGATGCCGCTTGATACCCATTGGCTCTCCCGGGTTCGATTTCCGGACTCAAAGTGGAGTATCGCACTGTTTTCGAGATCGCGAGTCGCAAGGATGAAAATTGACCTCCTTTGGAAGAGGCGTCAAAGNTCCTTGACCGTGAACACTTCACACGATGCTGCAGCCTTGTCAAAGGTNCCAGCGTACTGTTGCGCCGCGTCATGTGCAGATGACGCTTATTGGAAAAAACGAGTTTTGCAGTGGCCGAGTGCTGCGCGTGCCGAGGATGTTGAACGATGACAGTAGAGAGCCGGACTCGAGGAAGAACAGCAGGGTGCGCTGTACGATACCAACACGATACCACTAATAATTTCAGAGGAAGTCAATATGCGTATTCCTGGATGCAGAATCCCGGGTTTCCGCGCCGAGCTTTCAACAATCGATCGATGGCACGTNAAAACAGGATATCGGCCGGTGCGTCGACGGGACTTTCGAGGAGCNAGAGTACGGCCGGACGACCTAACACGGGAACCGATGGATACTACAGCAAGAACAGAAAACCAGTGGCCGATTTCGAAAGTGGATCGAACAGGACCGCCAGGCGCATCAGCGCGATCAAAGTCTTGCGCTCAAGACTTGAACCGACCGAAAGTGAAAAAGACACTGCGATTCGTGGACAGCCCTGCCGATGGCGACAATCCGGAGAAACACAAATGCTTGGACATGATTTACCCCAGGAAGAAATGTCACACAAGCAAGGCCTCCCGAACGGACAAGGACTAAAGGATTGAAAATTCGGAGGCGCAAAGATATGTTTGCTGTCAAAGGAAAGGAGCAAGCGGCGTGTTTCAACTTGACTGACTGTACTCGTACCGTTAAAGCTGGTCGCGGCATGCCTGCAAAAGTGTTAAATATATTAACACAAAACGGTCCCGCACTCCGAACTTGAATTGTATGGGACGCCTCAAAAACGCCACAAGGGTGGTGTTGACAGAAGCCCTGCACCCGTCGAGGTTTTGACGAAACAAACTGTCGCCCAAGCAAGCGGACGGTTCGAATTTTTCTTTCGCCGAGCACCAGCATCCCCTTGTTGTCAGATGAACACGGACACGGGGCGGACTTTCCTCTACCGTGTCAATCCCAACAGAGACAAGTCTATCAAGGTCTAGAACGACGCATGCTCCTGTGTGCACGCTAGGCGGCAGACTATTCTTGCCTTTGCAAAGCAAACTCCTGTTCTTCCTCACATGCTCACCTTCTCCGACGGTCTTTATTGATTTTCCCATTTACCGCTCCTTCCACCTGTTTCTTCTCTGATCGCAGCAGCCACAATCCGCGTCCAGTCCACGCGGCGGTTGCTTCTTTACTCCAGCCACAATCTCTTGCGACGTCCTTTGGTGTTCGATCAAGGTGTCAGAGCTCGGGTTTCAATTTCATGGATACCGCAGCGCGAAATTTGCACGGCATCGTTGAGGATGTTCAGTCACCGAGTGCCGGCCTGTTGGATTTCCCCTCACCTGCAAGCGACCTAGAAATCTACACTCCAGGTGTTGACTCGTTGTCTTTGGCAGCAAACGTGACTTCTAATCCATGGCTGGGTTCTGATACGTGCCTGTTTTCTGCAACATCCGCAGTTCCTGATACAGTAGACTTGCAGCCTTCGATTTGCTCGCCCGCTCACGAGTTTGAACAGCCAGGTCTTGGCTTCGACACTCTTGTCGGCGCGCGTGTAGCACCTGCTCCAACCAGTCCTCTACCACTTCCTTCTTTCAAGGACGGTAGAGACCTTCGTCTGCCATCGTTCACGCAACTTGGAATAGCTGCCCCGCACTCCGAACCAGTTCGTCCGGTACTTGTACGCAACCCTCATCCTTGTCTTGGCGACGACGACTCATCAGCTTTACCCCGAGTTGGCACAGTCGCCCTGGGAGAAATCACGAAACTACCTGCCGACCATCGCGTTGACGATGCTTTGCTCGAACACGTAGTCGCATTCCACCCCGAGTCTTCGCCTGCAGTGCAACCCAGAGCACCTCTTCAAAGCCCGGTGCATCACTATGTAACGACGCTTACACCTCCTGACGACACTGGCAGAATAACGTGGGAACCAATCACGCAGTTCGCGACAGGGCCCATGGCTCCTCCCGTGGCTGCAATCGGAGGTCTGGCTTCTGGTGCTGAGCCATCAGCAGCACCGATACCAGACGGATCAACAGTCCCGAGTATCAACGTACAAGTTTCTACTCCGCTGGGAGAATCAACACGCCCATGGCTGAGCGACGCCATAACCATCATGCGTGAGTGCTGTATGACTACGCATTCCACACCCTCGCTAACCTCACTCTGCGTAGTCAAAAATATTCGCTCTGCGTCTAACGCTTATCAAGACCCGATCAAGGTCCTCTCACACGCGCTACCATGCCCGTCTACAGAAGGTCACGCCTTTCCTACCATCATCAGCTCTCTACACGACGAGACTCCTACATCACCTACGTGTTGGATCAATGTTTTCCACGCGCTGCCCGTAAGTACCCAGGAAGCAGCTCTGTACAACATTGCACTCTTGATGCATCAGGCCACCAGGTCGCAGACGCAAAGTCATTGCTCAGCGGCGATCCCAAGCTTCGCCGACGTCAACCTTTGATAGATCGTGTGCTAACAAACACTGCAGGGCAGATTCAGTCTCGCAGATCTTCCCACATCCCCTCCCAGCACCCCAGGTCCTCCTATTGGTGGAGATGATTACTTCACCAGCAAGGTCTTCGACTCGGCTGTACACATACTCGACTATGCCGACAACCTTAAATCCCTCCCACAGTCTCCTCGACCTGTAGTGCCGCCTTCTTCAGTTGACGTTTCTATCGTCGAACGCTATATCCCACCTACCAACAAGAACGAATTTGCCGACATGTTCACCACCAAGGGCCCCTCGCTGCTTGTAGACAGACTGGTCGAATTGTCGCCAGACAACGGCACGCTCATCTTCGTGTACCCCACCAAGCGCGGAGCGCAGACGTTTGTCAATGAGTATCTTGGGCCCATTCTCGACCCAATTCTTAGATCAATGGTCGTTGTCAATGGTTTCTCGTCAGACATGGGCCAGCAACTGGGCAAGATGGTCGCGGCCGACGAACTGCCCGACCACGACATGATGAAGAGAAAGATCATGTCACTCTGCTCTTCGTTGAGCCAGTCAAGCCCAGGCATGGAACGCTTCCAGAGGATACCCACGAATTTTGAGTTACTACTCTCATCCACAGAGGAGGTCACGCTGGATCGCAAAGTTTGGTCGGAGGACTGGTGGGCCAAGCAGGAGAAGCCACGCATTAGGGAAACCATCTCGCGTNTTTTCCGCAAAGCCAATAGAGCTCAGGAAGATCAGACACCTGTTAGTCTGGTGCATGAAGTACTGGACGGCGTTGCTCAANAAGCATACCCAGAAGGAAGAGAAAGACAATCCGGCATTGAAGTCAGCGTGTTTGTCATCTCAAGATCGAGGTGTGCGAAGTGATTGATGGCATGATTACCGAGGGCAGAGGTCCACGTTCTCTAACTTTCCACGCGACGATATCCTTGAAGCATTGCGGGCGAAAAGAGCAAGAGGAGGATGAATTCATTGCATTTCTTTGGCGTATTGGACGAGATGGGTGGTAATTATTGAGCGGCTTAATTGCCGAGCGAAGGTGATCAATGAGATGGTGGTTCTCCAATCAAAACATTTGACACGCCAAAACGACTCTTCCTGGAGGACATGGTTGATTCATAGGTAGATTCATGATCGCGTGCGATGACTTGGTACAGATAGGTACTCGATACATGAGGCTCTTTGAAGTGTCGATCTGACTCAATCAGCGAACCAGCCAAAGCACGCAATTGTTCATGCTTAGGTAAGCATTTTCGGATCAACTTTCCGATTGGATGCTGCATGCGTTTGTGCCATTCACGTCTCGAATCGCATCCCCCGCCTTGAGAGAACAACCGAGGAATAGAGTACATTTTTACATTTCCAAGCACATGCATGACGTGATGAGTCGGGACACACAATGTTTAGAAATCAAAGAAAGAGGCTGTTGCCGCTCGACCGCTGTCAGTATATAGAAGGTCTGGTAAGTCGGAAAGGCAAGTTTGCACAATACCTATCAATCACCACTTATCAAAGTCAATATGTCTACTACCACAACAATGACCGCTACAACAATCACTACCAAGTCGCAAGAGATAGAGATACCCAGAGGTCCCGTAACCTCGACTTTGATCTTCTATGCTCCACCACCAGACAACTCCTCACCCTGGAACTACGTAGAGCAACCCNCCGAAGGCTTCCCTCAAAGAAACTACACCGAACACCCCTCCACGGTCCACGTCTCAGATATCCGCGGCCAAGAATCCGCCTTTCAACTAGACACTCAAGGCTTTACCACCGCCTCCAACATCCCCTCTGCATGCTCAGACTTTTCCTCCTCCGACCAAATAACAAAGCTCTACTACCCAGAAGTCGAAGCCTTGATCTTGGACAAAGTACCCGGAGCAAAGCGCGTATTTCTCTTCGACCACACGATAAGAAAAGCAGACGCAAACGCANAAAGACAACCAGTACACCGAGCCCATGTAGACCAAACCGAAAAAGCAGCTCTTCAACGTGTGAAGCACCATTTACCCGACGAAGCTGCCTCGTTACTCAAAGACCGTGTCCGCATCATTAACATCTGGCGCCCTCTCAATGGGCCAGTGGTGTCTTTTCCTTTAGCAGTAGCGGACTCGAGGACTGTTTCTGAGGAAGCGGTTGTGGGGATTGAGCATAGGTATCCTGATCGTGTGGGCGAGACTGCGGGGATTTTGGCGCAGGAAGGTCAGGAATGGTGGTATTGGAGTGGTATGGGGAATGAGGAGAGATTGTTTTTGCAGTGTTATGATAGTCNNAGGGGAGGAAAGAGAAGGACACCGCACACGGCATTTACGGATCCGAGGACTAAAGAGGGTTGGCCGGCTAGGGAGAGTATTGAGGTTAGGGCTTTGGTATTTGGATAGGATGGCAAGAGGTAATGAGTTTATGACCAGGAGTTGGGAGCATTCTACTAAATGACTGTATGTTACTTTTCCATATACACCGTCTATTCTACATCAACATCATGTCTATTCTGTACAAGTTGTATAACATCGCCTTGTCTATCTATTTTATCCTCATTCTTGATCGCTGCTGGGCTGGGTGTTTTCCAAGATGCCAGCCTGTCCACGTTGCACAGTACCGTCATAGTCAAATCCGTTAGTCGTGTTGGCAACGGTCCAGTTGCCGAAGCAAGCATAGTCGTAGTTACTTAGTGCGTACGAAGCATTCTGACTGGCGACAAACTTGTCCAAAGAGCACATGCCATCAGTACGTCCCTTGCAAGCACCGCCTCTCAGAGTGTCGAGAGGCAAGACACCGTTGTTCAGACGCATGCGAACAAACTTGTGAGTCGCGTTGGATGGGTTGTAGCCATACTGGGTAGGATAGTATTGCACGCGCTCTTTGCTTACAGCAGTAGGGTTGGCTTCAGAGCAACCAATGACTTCGGTGACAAGATGGCCACCGAAAGGTGTCATCTTGGAGAGGATGAAGTGACGGTCAGGATTAGGAGGGTAATCGGTCAGACTGGGAGGGTCGCGGAAGTAGTCCAGAGACATTGCTGTCAAGACACTGACGATGATATCGTCATGGGTGAAGTCAGCATAGAAGGGGCGATCGAGAGGGAAGTCTCGAGAGTTGTTCGTGATGCTGCTGTTCACGGAGCTGTTGGAGACGGTGATGTATTGGTGTGTGAGACGGGCGAGAAGTTCCTGCAAGTAACCAATACCTTGGGCTCTACCAGTTGGGTTACCGTAGCCGTAGTCGTAGTAGTAAGCCATGTCGAGAGTATTTTCGAAACCGGCCCACTCGTCTGCGGTGAAGAAGTCACAGAAGTCGGACATTCCAAGGAAGCCAGTTTCNTGGTAAAGGCATCAGATGATGATTACAGTGCATGAGTCGATTCACATACCATAAGCGCAGAGTAGTTGCATGCCATACGTGTTGTTGTTTGACACTGTGAAACCTGCAGGAGCGTACTGCTGGAGACGAGCGGTCGCGTTCTGGAGGTATTTCGGGATGTAGGTGAATACGTCTTGGTCACCAAGGTCGCCGATTCCCACAAGGAAATCATTGAAACACGAATCATAGGAGGCAAGGGTGTTGTTCTCGGTTCCACCTTCGGGAATGATGACAAGGTCGAAGAAGTCACCGTCGGTATAGTTAGTCAATTTAGGGACAGGCACCGTTTCGTAGGTAGGGCCGAAGAAGCCCAAGGCCCAGTTGATCTGGCTCTCGCGAATGCGGGACTGGCTTGTCGTGCGGAGGACTGGTTTAGGTCTGGCTGTGCCATTGGGGTAGTTGACATTGTAACTGACTTGACCGGCAGAAGCATTGTACAAAATGCGGCCATATCTGTTCCAGAAATCGACACCCCTAGCAAACTCAGTATTGGCGCCGATACCGGTAAGATAGCTTTCGTTCATCTGGTATTTGTAGGAATTGAGGAAAGACAAGGGGCCGGAGAAAGAAGACGACGAGTTGGCCCTGAAGTCGACGAGCTTCTGAGCAAAACCCTCTGTCAAGATACCATCATCGATATAGCTGGTAGGGAAGCGTTGCGCATGGCGCTGGAGAGTGTGGGCCTGTTCGACCTGGCAACCAGCAGGTAGGCCAACATGGTTCACGCCAAAGTAGCTGGCAGGATTATCAGAGTATGTGCTGATCTGGCCCCAGTACTGGGAGATAAAGCTGAGGTCCGAAACGAGAGAGTTGTTCGCATGATTGCGAGTACTGGCTACGGCAGGAGCGACCGCACTTACCAGTACAATGCATGAAGACAGAGAGGTCAAATGCATGGTGGCTGGGGATGAAAGGAAAGAAGCTTGATAAGAAGTTATCGAGGTCAACGGGCCCCAATATATACAGTACCCAGGCACATATACCTGAATTTATACTTTGACAGCTCGCAAGGGCTGATCGAGTCATGGTGTGCATAGCGATCACGGTGTGTATACTTTACGCGGCCTTCGGGATCGGAGCTTTGGTTGAGAGGAGGCTTGTGGATGAGGCTCATCGTGTGGGAGTGCGGGACGAGCTGAGTACAAGCAGAAAATCGCAACATGCTATGAACATGTGCAGTCTTAGTCCATGGCCCGATAGAACTAGACATTCGAGATGATAAGAAACAACTTGCCCGAGAACAAAAGAGAAAGGTGGAGGAGAGCACTGAGGTGGGAGAGGGTCGATGACGTGGTTGGAAATTCGCGCGCATCATGACCCGCCATCGCGACAAAGTTCTAGCTGTCCTTCGAATCCTGCCAACAGCATTCATACCAAAGTAGAGAAGGTAGTCGACAGTCACAGTTCCGATACTCAGCGACCGAGCACGTCTGCACCCGCGACACGACCAAATCACTGCAAACAGCCTATCAACGCCCTCGTATCATCGACTTCCTCGACTCGGCTATTCGCACACAGATCTCGCCATGGCCCACCGCAGAGTAAAAGAGATTGACTACGATGAGGACGAATACGACGAATATTACTCGGGCGAGGAAGAATACGGATACGATGGTGCCGAAACTGGAGCCGCACCAGCTGTCGCTCAAGAGGACGAACTAAGCGCCGAGGACAAAGAGCAGATGCGCATAGGCACTGAGAACGTGAGAGCTGCCCTAGGCGACGTTTCCGACTTTGTGACAGACGAGGCCATACAAGAAGCCCTGTGGCACTACTACTACGATGTCGCCAAGTCCGTCACCTATTTGAAGAGTATGTCGAAGCCTCGCCAATCCACGCGCCCCAAGCTCATGGCTTCTAGATCAAAATGCTCCCNNCAGCAAGCACAGCCGAAAGAGAAGAAGCAGAAGCAAGTCTCAAAGTTTGATCAGGCTGCCACATCGGCTGCTCAGAAGCCAGTTGAGATCAAGGGTACGTGATTCTTTTCTTTCTCTTCACCTCCCCTTTCCTTCTACATTGAGCGCCACCACACATACGACCGAGTCGGACTACCTTGCCAGACATGAGACTCGGACGGGCCCGTTGCCAACTTGATTCCCGGTACACAAGCGAGCACGCTCTGACTGGGCTTGGAACAGNTGCCGACCAGCCCACTGCCCCGACCGCATACGAATCCTGCCGACCTCTTCACCGGCATACCTTGGTTCAACGTCCCGGAAGAAAGAGTCGGATGCATAGTGTCTGAACAGGTCCGACCGCCGCTGCGTCTACTGGGCGGCACTGGCAAGCCGTCCAAGCTGGCCGCTCTGGCAGCTGCGAGAAAGAAGAAAGAAGCCGATCAGAAAGCTGCTCAAGATGGCGCCCAATCTGAGAAGCCTGCTGGCGTCGCATCGCTCATGGACCGTCTTGGTGCAAGGTCCGCTCAGCCTGCGCATCAGGAGAACCTCAAGCCTGGAGAAGTCGCTCAGCAACCCGAGACTCGCACCTTCCCAATTCGCAAGCGCAAAAGTCCTTCTCCGCCACCGCCTGTAGAGGACCGCAGACCTGCTGCTCCAGAACCCACCAAGATCGAAACACCAGAGCCAGCCGCAAAGCCCGTCGAACACGTGCGCGCTGGTCCATCTATTTTCGCCAGCACAATGTGTGGTGGCAGCTCAAGAAGGCGTCCCTCTCATCAAGACTCCGCTATTCTCTCTCAAAATATTCTGCCAGCCATTTACGGCCACGACGCGAACCTTGCTAATACCAATGCCTTCTCAGGTCCGAGCCCAGATGACATTGTCATGCAAGCCCAGGCANAAAGGTTCGGCGCGGTCGTGAAAAGGTAGACGATTCAAGTCATACTAACGGATTCATCAGCCTCGGGCGCAAAGAAACAGGCTTCCCAACAAAAAGACTCCAAATCTGTCACCAATGGTGTCTCATCTCTCAGTCTGGAAGAGCCACAACAGACAAGTCAAAAGTATGCATGAGGCGTAACTTCTCTGCATGCTTGTTGCTCACAAACTCATAGGGTCAAGAGCAAGAACTTGGACGTCCTCGCAGAACACGCAAAGGCCGGGCGCAAAAACGCTGCCAGCTTTGTTGTTATCGGACATGTCGACCATGGAAAGAGTACACTCATGGGGCGCCTGTTGTACGATCTCAAGGTTGTAGACCAACGCTCGCTCGACAAATATCGTAAGGAAGCAACAAGTATCGGCAAATCTTCCTTTGCCTTGGCTTGGGTCATGGACTCGACATCTGAGGAAAGAGAACGAGGCGTCACTGTCGACATCGCCACGAACAACTTCGAAACGGAAAAGACAAAGTTTACTATCCTGGATGCTCCTGGACATAGAGACTTCATTCCCAACATGATTGCCGGAGCAAGTCAAGCAGACTTTGCCGTTCTCGTCATCGACGCCGGCACCAACAGCTTCGAAGCTGGTCTCAAGGGCCAAACACGAGAGCACGCCCAGCTCGTCCGCAGCATGGGTGTCCAGCGCATCATCGTAGCCATCAACAAAATGGACAGCATAAACTGGGCCCAAGACCGCTTCGAGGAGATCCAACAGCAAATCTCCGCTTTCCTAACAACCACGGGCTTCCAACAGAAGAACATTGCCTTTATCCCTTGCTCTGGCTTGACTGGCGAGAACGTCGTTACACCCGCCCCTGAGGCTGCGGCTTGGTACACCAAACAGCCTACACAACAATCCCTCGTCCAAGCCCTCGAAGCCCACGAACCCACAAAAGCAGCTCTATCGTCTCCCTTCCGCCTTCCCATCTCCGACATCTTCCGTGGCGGTGTCCAAAACCCTCTGTCCATTTCCGGCCGCATCGAAGCTGGTAGCTGTCAAGTAGGCGACTCTCTAATTGCCATGCCCGCCAACGAATCTTGCTCCATCAAAGGCATCGAAGTCGACAACGAAGCCGCGGACTGGGCGGTAGCGGGTCAAATCGTCACTCTCCACTTGACAGAAATCGATCCTGTGCACCTTCGAATCGCAGATCTACTCTGCGATGCTCGCAAGCCTGTACAAAACACCAAGGCGTTTACGACAAAAATTTTGGCATTTGAGCATGTTATGCCCATGACTGTGGATGTGCATAGGGGACGTATGCATGTGCCTGGCCGCATCAGTAGTATGGTGTGTGTGCTGGATAAGAGCAGCGGCAACATCACGAAAAAGAAGCCTAGAGTTGTGCAGCCCGGAAGTGTGGCTAGAGTGAGGGTGGAACTCGATACTGCCGTCCCGCTCGAGGTGCCTGGTAGAATTGTGCTGAGGTCAGGCGGTAATACTGTTGCTGCTGGTCTCTTGGAGGAGGTAAATGCATAGGTCTCAGAAGAAAATTGTTGTCAGATAACATATACAACATCTTAGAAGACTACAAGATCCAAATATCAAAAGTTTTTCTGAAATATGCTTCTCGACTCTCTTTTTCTTTCTTCGTGCGACTCTAAGGTGCTTTGGTGGCATGACAGAGGCAGTCATGCAGTGAGAGAGTGATATCACGTCTTTGAGGCATGTTTATTGGGTATCATGGTATCATTCGTGTCGTCGCGAGTAGTCTATGTTTGCTAAGCTATGCCCCAACCAGGCCCGTTCGAATCCTCTCTTTCTCTCTTGAAACGCCCATCCATGCTTTTATCTGATAGTAACGCCGTCTTGAAGAAACACGAAAAGTGAAAAAAATGACACCTCCGTTACTGCTTCTGACTTTCTTCTCTGTGGTGTGTTGTTTAATGCTGCTGCGGCTCTTCGGCAACAGTCTGGTCAAAGTCGGCAGGGACAGTCCATCCATGAGCCATGCAAGCACGCTTGTAAGCTTCGACGGCCTCTCTAGTGCCATACGAGTTGGAGTCACCATCGGCATATGTGCCCCTGATCTGTAAGCGTGCAGGCTTAGGATCGGTAGAGGCGATGGCCATGCGGATCTGCAACAGGACAGAATCGATGGTGTTAGTGGGTAGCCAGCCGTCAGTGGTAAGAACGGCATGGCAAATAGCACCTCCCGCAGTGATGTGACCGCCGCCACCGTTCATGAAGGGAAGGAAGCGAGGGCGGACGACTCTGATGAATGGCGGGTTGTTGGGGTAAGAGCCGGGAAAGCGGAGTTCAAGGACGATGCTCTTGATGTTGTGATTCTTCATGTCGGTGACAAGCGGCAGCACACGACTTCCTTCGTTGAACACGTGGAACGAATGTAGTTCAACTATTAACTGGTACAGGTTGTCAACTTTGCTAGGGTCAATGTACCAGCCAAGCTCATGAAGCGGTGTGTTGTTCTGGACATCGAGCAGGGCCTTCAGATCTTGTGAAAGTCTCTTGTTCGCGATGGAGTTGGCATACGAGGGCGTTGGTAGCTTAGGAAGCTGGTCATGGCTCAGTGAACCTGGAACAAAATCGGTCTGTGGCCGACCTGTTCTAAGAGCCAGTTCCTGTGAGGATGGAGGCTCTTCGAAGATCTCGCGGTCTTCATCGTCGGTGGCCACACTCAAGCTATCGCTTAGCTCACTATCATCGAAGAAGACTTCCACATCACCATCGGCGTCGCTTGTCAAGTCGACAATTGGCGTCTTTGTGGGAATCTTACTCCACAAGCCTTTNTTGACCTTCTTCGTCTTCTTCGGACCAGGCGACTTGGAGCTGGTCAGCTTACGCTTCACAGCCTTGACGACATGCAGTGCTGGAATGACTATCTGTGATTGCTCGCCGGTCGGGATGCGACTGGGGTCCTGCTCTAGCTTGTGCTCCGGCAGCTGGTCGAACTTTGGCATGTTGACATCAGCGGTAGTGCCACACTTCACGAACAAGTAGCGAGTCTGGATCCAATCCAGCTGACTGATCACATAGTGGGGGTTCATGGAGACAAATTCGTTAGGCGCATTAACGATTTCATTGAGAGCCATTGCTCCCGAGATCTGCAGGCCCGAGTTTGGCCACATGTATGGTCCTGGTACACTTCCTTGGTAGTGCATGCCAGTGTAACCGAGTGAGGTAGCGTAATGTGGAGAGTGGTAAACGCCATTTCCGAAGGCACGGCCATTGATGGTTTCATTGAAATGTAAGCCCTCGCGGATAATACTGTGCCAATTCTGAAGCCCGCTACCGTGCCAGGCGTAGAAGGTTGGATATCTGGATTTGAGTCGAGCTGCGGTTTCTTTGACAGCCTTCAAAAAACGGGCTTCCTTGTCAGGTGCACCCATAGCGAAGCGAAACTGCACGTAACCTGACATACCATGCACTGCCTTGTGCTGTTCAACCTCGACAATACATGAGCGATTCGAGGCCAGGGTCCAGCGTAGGATGGATAGTGCAGCTGGTGAAATGGTATCGACCCATCGAGACAGGTCTGGTGTACTCTGTTCTTGGAGATAGGTCTTCATACTTTGAACCGATGGAAGCAAAGCCAGCAGACGCTGCACAGCACCGCGTTTGTCGGCCTCGGACAGATCATCAAAGTTGGTGTTGTACTTGTCGATGAAGGCCTCGGACCATTTAGCAGTGCTGGACTCTTTCTGAGTGACTTGTCCGATCAGAGGGCCAGTCTTAGCGGAGGGCCCGAGCGTGTCTTGGATTCTGCAGTGGAACAAGGGGCTTCCTGTTTCGTCCGGCAGCTCGATAGTGATCCAATCACCCTTCTTGAGAGGACAAGCTGAGTTGGCGTCTTCAAAGAGAATCTCAGACTTGCTCATGTCGAAGCGAGCCTGAAGTCGACCATCAGACGCTAAAGGAGAAGGGTTTGAGGGCTGCACAGATGTACTGTAGTTTGGGAGAGCCTGTGTCTGAATTGGCAAGGCGATAGAACGGGGCAAACTCAGAGCAAGACCAGTAGGGAAGTCCCTGAGTCTTCCCAAAGAGGCGCTGCTGTAACAAAAGCTCAGGAGCAAGTCAACGACCTTGTCTTGATGCATGATTTCATGCTCAATGGATGGACCAAATCCGAGAGTCATGTACTGATAAAGACAGAGGGGTTCATCGCAAACGTAAGGCTTGAGTGCTTCGACCAAAGTGGAGAGTTTCTTGTGACAAACGAGACAGAACTCGGTACAACGAACGAAGTGGCGCAGCGTGAATTGCATAGCGGCGAGAGGGAAGGAGTGCGTTGCAGAGCGATCATCCAGGTGGTCCGCAGTAACGATCGCAGGGTAACTTGGCGCTTCTTCCTTCTCGAAATGTTGAGCAACAGCGCATACGTCTGCGTCAGGGTCGGCCTGCCTCATTCTGTACGAGTCCTCGGCGCCCTGCCACGACATGCCGGCATCTCTGTAGCGTACGACGTAGACAAGTCGCTCCGACAAGAGATCCTTGAGAGGCTTGGAGATGAAAGTGTCACGGAATTGCGTCGAGCCACTGTCTGGAGTGGTTGGTGTACCGGTGGCGTTGAAGGCGTTGATGACTTGTTCTTGTGTTGGTTTGTAATTCTTGGAGGCGCCCACGCGCATATCCATATGTGTGGGCACAGAGGCTGGGGCAAGGGCGAGCAGTTCTTCCTTGGTCTTGTAACCTTCCTTGTACTGGATCAGTAAGATGATGTAGTCGGAAGGCTCAATGCGCCAGGCCTGCATGGCCTCTTCCGAGATGCCGAGCTTGCGGGCAGAGACGGAGACGGAAATGACACAGCTGTAGTTATCGAGAAGACCGCCAAAACAAGCGATCTTGAAACCGGCATTCTTGGCACGTCTGAGGTCGCTGCGGATGCGGGATTGGAACTGACTCGATGGGTCTGCGCGGGTCGTCTTCGTAGGCATGGCAAAGACGGGCTGTGAAGGAGCGTTGTCAAGGCCTCCACCATAGATGTCTTCATCATCGTCATCAAGGTCGTCATCCGAGTCGTGGTCTTGCAATGACACTGCATCAGAGGCGGGGTTAGTTGAACCAGAGAGAGCATCTGAGACGTGTGAGAGGAACTGGTTGATGGTCATGCTTGCTGGCTGGCCAAGGCTGTCTATGATGTCGGCAACATCCTTGGATGCGTTGTCCTCGCAGAAGAGACTGTAGTAGTGAGCAGTGGGATAGTCGGATTGCTCTGGAACGCTGGCGGTGATCGTGACAGGCGATGCGAGTGTTGGATGAGTAAAGGTAAATGTGAAATCGTCCTCAAGGATACAGCAGTTGTCGATGTACTCGACACCGTGGTTGCCTCTAATGGCGGTGACCAGATCGGCCTTGAACTGCTTACGAGGCATGGTTAGAGTGGATGACGGTCGACAGCATGGGCTGTGGCAGGCGTGTGCAGAGTGGAAGGGGAAGATGATCAAGAAGGTTGACGTCTTGAAGATCAGATGGAGGAGGGTGAAGAATTCTTGATGGTTGGATCAAGACAGAGCACTTTCTAATGTGAATCACGCTGGCTGCGACAAGACACTGCGAGTTGCGGAGTGAAAGCAAGGGAATGACTGGTAGAGAGTGAAAGAAGGGAGTTGGATCGAGTTGGTTTCGAGCGCATGTGAGCAGCTTCCCTGCCAAAGCAAAGTCACAGTGAAAAGAATTTACTTGGCCACTAGATAATTGTGAAGGAGAGTGGATGCCTCTCATCAGGCAGCGTTTGCTGGATGGCTGCCTGGCTGCAAAGAGGCACAGACATGAAGAGGCAGGCACGCGCGAAATCATTGTTAATCTATCCCTTTGCCTTTTGTCCTCTCGGGTCAACTGAAACGCCGTCCATTGTGCTCTACTTGCTGTCTCCCAAATGCTCGTAACTGGAGACTTGAATAGATACAGCATCTCGAGTAGTGCTCGTCGAGCGCTCGATGAATGACTTCTGATGCATCGGTCATCTCCTCAACTTGCGTAGCATTTCCCATGGTCTGTGGTGTGGCTTAGAGGAGCCGCATTGTAAGTGCTTGGCACATGCTCCGCGAGAGAGTGCCTATCTACGTTCGATAGCAAGTCGTAGCTTCACATGCAAGACAGAGGTGGTGCATATTGCATAACGATACCATCTTCGCAAACAATCGACCCTCAGCTCGAAGACACTTACAATGGCGGTACAGTCTGAGACCGCTGTACGAAGCGAACCACGATCGACACATGTCCAGGATGAAGCTCTCCAGCCCTTCCTCCAATCTCAGTTCGATCCGGCCGACTGCCTGAATGCCACCTTGCCTTCGTTGACCTTCTCCAACCCTACCAAAGACCGTGTTCCTCTCGCCGAACTATCTACGCAGATCCAGACCCTCATCTCACAACTCAATGTGCAAACTTCGCGCCTCACCAACACTCTCAATCAGCTCACCGATGACATCCTACGAAGCGGCAGCAGGCTCGCCTACCAAGTCGAGATGCTGCGTGGTGAAACCGCTGGCCTCACAGATGCTTTGAACACTTGTATCCAACCAGAAATCGCCCTCTTCGCTCCCCAATCATCACAGCGACCCGCAAAACTCGAGGAGGAGGACGTCTCCCCTGGACAAGCTGACGTATCAACTCCTACTCAGCCTGCCGAGCCGGACTACATCTCAAAGCTCCGTACGCTTGTCATGGTGCGACAGCGCCTTGACTCGGTTATCAAAGTATTTGGCGAAGCCATGGCCTGGCCTATTGCTCCATCCGATCTCGTTTCATCCTCATTCATCTCGGTATCCGCTCCTTCCGCCGGAGGTCCAGAAGAAACACGCAATCGCGAAGAGAAGGCAAAAGAGCATGCACAAAAATTACGCGACGAGATCATCCAATTGCTGCAGAGTGCCGTCTCAGCAGATGAAGGCATCGCTGCTGCAATCAAGAGAATAGATGAGCTGAGAGATCTTACATTAATCTGGAAAGGCACCGCCGAGGAGAAGGCTCGGGCTCGCCAGATAGATGGCCTTGAAAAGATAGTCGAGGACGAGCAANAGGCTCTCGCTCGCAAAGCAGAGGCGAAAAAGCGTACAGCTTCGCCTGCAGCAGTCGACTACAGGTACAATAACACTTCCGACTCCACCCGTACTAGCAACCAGGGCACTGGCTACGGCTTTATGAACAACTTGCGCCGCATCAAAGATGACATCTATCTCGACTGAGATCCTACCACGAGGTGCACCAAGGCTCGGGATATGGCGCTCAATGTTCCTGCATGAATCACGTTGACCATCTTCTCGCATGCCAGAAACATCAATCGGTGATCTTGATCAAGTGGTGTGATGCTCGGCTAATAAGACACCTTGTTATCGCAAGGAAACAAAGAATGAATTCGTCCCTATGAGTTCTCTTCGTATCCGATCAGCACTTGTCAACAAGAAGTGAATCCCCATGGTCAACCAGTCCCTAGGCACGAAAGTTCAGGGGTCCATGATCGGCAGATGTCCTGCGCGACGGTAGGCAGGCGGCTGCCGGGGAAGTCAGGAGCAGCTTCATCGTCTCCATCCTTTTGTGAGAGCAGCGTCGTAGAGCATGATACCCGGCTTCTGCTACCTCTTCGCAGCGATGCATAACTAGGGCAAGGTCTTGTAGGCGAAAAGTATTTGAAGAGACCCTGCGGTTGAATACTACGTCTCACGGCGCTACCAAACAAGTGCTCGCTAACCGTGTTTCTTATTTCCTGTTCCTTGCACAGGCACAGATCATGCCACTGGAGACGGGCGAATCCTTCAGCAGCATGGGTTTCGGGATATATTACCGTGCTGGTGTGGTATTACAAAGGAACGATTGAGAGGACCATCTCTGTACATGCATCAAACCTAATTCAAGTATATCGAACATCTTGGATCATGACAAAAGGCTTGTGTTGGAAGAGCATTTTCATAGATGCATAATTCGGAGCGTTCGGCAGCCCAAAAAGCACGGGACAGGTTCCCGCTCAGTTTGGCGTGACGATCTCGTGGAAGCTCTCAGCTTGGCGTGGGGTGAGTGACGTACTCAGGAAATCAGATGTGAGGTCAAAGTCAAAGTTGACAAACGTGTGAAGCAGTCATGAGCCGCTGACTTCCGCGAAACAAGTGGAGCTCAAGTTGTTGGGGAGCTCTCAAAACACAAGAAGCTGCTTGTCCCTCTTCTCCATTCTCAATTCCTCTTCTTCCTCGTATACAACTCTCACAATGGCCGAGACACAGAGCCTCTCGCCCTTTGGCACTGCCAGAGCTACCGTGACCGACCAACCTCTCAGCAAGGATGAGGTCGACAAGATCAACCGCTACTTTCATGCCAGCATGTACCTCTGCTTGGGTATGCTCTACCTCAGAGAGAACCCTCTGCTCCAAGAACCTCTCAAGGTTGAGCACATCAAGCCTCGTCTTCTTGGACACTGGGGTTCCGACGCTGGTCAATCCTTCACCTACATCCACATGAACCGTCTGATCAAGAAGTACGACCTTGATGCCTTCTTTGTCTCTGGTCCCGGCCACGGTGCCCCTGCCGTTATCTCCAACTCGTATCTTGAGGGCGTCTACTCCGAGGTCTATCCCGACAAGTCCCAAGATGCTGAGGGCCTGCAGCGCTATTTCAAGCAGTTCTCATTCCCTGGAGGCATTGGCAGTCACGCAACTCCCGAGACTCCTGGCAGTATCCACGAAGGTGGTGAACTTGGATATTCCATTAGTAAGTTAAGCCAAAGGTACAGATACCACGACTTGTGTTGGCGGCCTGTCTCGGTCTGTGCGAAAGACCTGTATGGCGCTTGTTCTGACGAAACACTGTCCGAGACGACATCTGGTACAGATGAGGCTAAACACCCAGCAAAGCCGTGGTTTTACTGCCATCCACCTTCGTAAGATAATGCTAATTGTACCTTCACTTCAGGCCATGCCTTCGGTGCAGTATTCGACAATCCTGACTTAATTGCTCTGACCATGGTACGAATTCTGTCTCAGCGTACGGAGGAGTGCTAACTGTATCATTAGGTCGGAGATGGTGAAGCCGAAACTGGTCCTCTAGCTACCAGTTGGCACAGCACCAAGTTCCTGAACCCCATTTGCGATGGTGCAGTTCTGCCCGTCCTCCACTTGAATGGATACAAGATCAACAACCCCACCGTCCTCTCGAGAATCAGCCACGAGGAGCTGAAGGCTCTCTTTGTCGGTTATGGTTGGGAGCCTTACTTTGTCGAGGGTTCTGACCTCGACACGATGCACCAAGCAATGGCTGCTACTATGGAAAGAGCTGTCACCGAGATCAGGGCAATCCAGAAGAAGGCCAGAGACTCTGGCAAGGCTGAGCGCCCCAGATGGCCCATGATTGTTCTCAGAACTCCCAAGGGCTGGACCGGTCCTCGCACCGTCGATGGTCACTTCCTCGAAGGCTATTGGAGAGCTCATCAGATCCCTCTCACCAATGTCCTCAAAGACAACGACCAGCTCGCTTTGCTCGAGAAGTGGATGCGCAGCTACGAGCCTGAAAAGCTGTTCAAGGACGGCAAATTCATCGACGAGCTTCGTGAGCTTGCCCCTACTGGCAACCGCCGTATGAGTGCCAACCCTGTTACCAACGGTGGTCTTCTGCGCGCCAACCTCAGGATTCCCGATTTCAAAAGTTTGCACAGGCTGTGAAGAAGCCTGCCGCTGAGCAAGCACCTAGCATGAACCTCTTCGCAGACTTCTTGACCCAGATTGTCAAGGCTAACCCCAACAACTTCCGTCTCTTCGGTCCCGACGAGACCCAGTCCAACAAGCTTGGCGCCGTTTACGATGTTACCCAGAAGGTCTGGATGGCTGACTACTTCGAAGAAGACAAGGATGGCGGCAACCTCGCCCCTGCTGGTAGAGTCATGGAGATCCTCAGTGAGCACACTGTTGAGGGCTGGTTGGAGGGATATATATTGAGTGGCCGTCACGGTTAGTTCATGATGTTTCTACATCCGACTTGGTGAGGTCATGCTAATGATACGTTCGCTTTAGGTCTGCTCAACAGCTACGAGCCCTTCATCCACATTATCGACTCCATGGTCAACCAGCACGCAAAGTGGCTCGAGAAGTGCAATGAGATCTCTTGGAGACAGGAGGTTGCTTCGCTCAACATCCTACTCACCTCGACCGTCTGGCGCCAGGATCACAACGGCTTCACTCACCAGGACCCCGGTTTCCTCGACGTTGTTGCCAACAAGTCGCCCGAAGTTGTTCGCATCTACCTTCCTCCGGACGCCAACTGCCTGCTCAGCACTATGAACCACTGCTTGAAGTCATCCAACTATGTCAATGTCATTGTTGCCGACAAGCAGAACCACCTGCAATACTTGAACATGGAAGACGCCATCAACCACTGCTCCAAGGGTCTGGGTATCTGGGATTGGGCTTCCAACAGCAAGCACCAAGAGCCCGACGTTGTGATGGCCAGTTGTGGTGATGTCAGCACACAAGAGGCACTCGCTGCTACTGCTCTGCTTCGCGAGTACCTGCCTGAACTCAAGGTTCGCTTCGTAAACGTCGTCGACCTGTTCAAGCTCCAGCCCAACGGTTACCACCCTCACGGCCTCAAGGATGACGAATACGCTGCCATTTTCACCGACGACAAGCCAGTAGTTTTCAACTTCCACTCGTAAGGACTATCCCCTCGCTACAACCCTTTCCACTTTGCTGACTCAAACAGTTATCCTTGGTTGGTCCACAGAATGACCTACAAGCGCAAGGGTCAGAACTTGATGCGCGTGCGCGGCTACAAGGAGAAGGGCAACATCGATACCCCTCTCGAGCTGGCCATCCGCAACGAAACCGATCGCTACAGTTTGGCCATCCTCGCCATCGACAGTCTCAAGTCTGTTCTTGGCAACAAGGGCTCATCTACCCGCGAGTACCTTCTCAACACCCGTACTGCCGCCATGAACTACGCCTACGAGACTGGTCAAGATCCTGATGACTTTGTCAACTGGACTTGGCCTTACTAGGCTCTTGTCACGGGTTGATGGGTTTCAACAAAGGCGTTTTGATAATACGATTACGAGGCGTTCTTATTGTACTGTAGCTAGCTTGCTGGGCCTTCAATGATGATTAATGTTTTCCACCTTCAAATGATGTCTTTTTTGTCCTTTTATTTGCTGTGTCGCTACCGAACAATAAGCCTGATGTTTGTCTCTCGTCCTCCACCCTCCCCTTGTGCTAAAGTATGTAACTCTACTCTCATCCACAAGAGCGTAAAGCGAAGTGTATCCTTTAAAAGGCACAATAGTTTTCTGAAGCAACAAGTGGCCAAGGAGAGCTCGTAAGATGTTGGCTCTCTGGGGAGCCCTGTTTATTGATAGTACTGTGCATTTCCATAGCTACACGTATTACATACTAGCACACAGGGAGGACCAAGATCAGACTTCAAGAACAACACTTGTGATAACGTACGCTGCACAGCAAGCTGAACTGGCAAATGCTTGAAACACATATGATAAACTCCATATTTTACCTTGCTTTTATTTGACGACCGAAAGAAACCCACAACAACACCCAGACAATGCATAACAAACAACACAGATGCAAAACAAAAAGCAAAGAAGAAAGAGAGGGTCTTTTACCATCCTCTCCTCTTACCCCTAGCCTCAGCACTCTTCTCCTTCCTCTTCGCCTTAGTAATATCATGTTTTCTCCTCTTGTCAGCCGCATACTTGACTGGCGCGCTAACAGCTTCAATCCTTCTCTTTCTGCGTCTTTCTTCTCTTTTGCCTCTGACTTTTTCTTGGACGCCCCTCATGGCGATCACGTAGTCTGTACTGCCTAGCTTCTTTTGTAGGAGGCTAGCGACTTCTGTGGCTAGGGCTTTGAGATCTTGGTAGCTCTTTTGAAGGGACTCGGTTGCGAGGCGGGGNGCGGCGATGGATGCGTCGGTGAGGAGATAGATGGGTGTGAGGATTGAGGGGAGGGAGGGGGTGATGTGGGTGGAAGGAAGGATGTTGCAGAGGGAGGCGATGGCTTGAAGGGCGCCGGTCTTTGCGGACAAAACAGAGGCAGTGGGGGCGCCGTCATCGCGGCGGATGAGTGCTGCCAGGCGGGACAGCAGGTGGTGCAGTGCTGTTGTGGGTGTAGAGATAGTGGTTTCCTCGTCTCCATCCTCGTCTTCTGCATCTGCTGTTTCGTCCTCGTCGTCTTCTTGCTCTTCCTCCTCTTCGGCGTGAGAAGAAGCAGTAATGCCATTTCTGGTGAATGGCGTTGGGTGTTCCCAATCCACATTGTCGGCACTGTAGCAGCGGCCCAGGAAGATCAAGTTGCGTACTGTTTGGCCAACCAACTGCTCGCTGACATTGCTAAAACGAAGGGTTCTCAGACCTGCAGCACACAGTTCGTGCAATTCCTTTGTGATAACTTCCATCTTGCTGTTTGTGTACAAAGGCAAAGCAGCAAGACCTTCCTCAGTCTTGGAAGCGCAGTTGCCCATATCCGCAAACAGCAGACCAAGAAGGCGAGCAGAAGAAAGCTTAACCCACGCATGCGGGAACACAAGACACTTGAAAATGTTTATCCATGATGCCTTGGCGGCAGGAGCGAGCGAAGTGGAAGGCGCCATCTCTGCCATCTTAGCAAACGCCTGCAGGGCATAGTACAGCAACTCCCAGTCTTCAGTCTCGACATCCTCAGGATCCAAAAGCTTGGATACTTGCTTGAACAGGAAGGAAATCTCCTTGGCAGTTGCCTTGCCGTGACCAATATAGATGGTCCAGCACTGCAAGGCAATGCGACGAAGCAGCAACTGCTCATCCTGCTCCAACCACGTACGCATCAATGCCACAAAGTTCTCTGTGCGTTCGTCATCAGCGCGATTGAGGGTCTTGCTGATCAATGCACCGGCCATCTCGCGGCATTCGGGAGAGTCGTCGTTGACCATCATCATGACCAATGGCACAAACAACATACTCGACAATTCTTGCACGAGGTCTCCTTGAGTCTTTGCTAGCAACAGGTGCAGTAGTTCAAGCACAGACTGTCTTCCCTCGACATACTTGTACTCGAGATTCTGGACCAAGAATGCAATCTGCTTGTTCAAGCGACTGCCTGCTTGAGGATACTCCATCATGAATGCAAAGTAGACGCCACGAGAAAGATCTCTGGCACTGCGGGTCTGGTTGGTCACCATGATCGCAGCAACAGAATCCATCACCTCGTAGACTTCGGTGATGATGATCTTCCGGGCTACGACAGCCTTCAAGAAGTTGAAGATGACACCTTGGCGATCAGGCTCTTCAAGATCAGGCTTAATTCTCTTCAGCACGTAGGCCATGTCGTTCTCCTTGATCTTGATGTCCGGTCTGTCGCGCAGGATGGCTGAGATCAGCTTCAGCGAGGATTGAGCCAACTCAGTGATGGTGGAGGGAGCAGCCCTAAGGATCTTGACTGCTTCTGCTGCGTAGACTGGTCCGTTTGACACGATCTGCGGCGATGGCACTCTGATGATAGAAGTGAGCAGACGGACTGATGCCATCTGGACCTCCTCTTGACCACCGATCAAAGCGTCACCCAAGATTGGCAAGAAGCCAGCAAGGTTAGCCGGGGTCTTGAGCTCATCGTGCTTCTGCAAGACAGCACGAACAAGATCCAGAGCAAATCTCGTAAGCTTGAAGATGTATGAGCTTGTTGCTCCCTTCTTGCCAGACTTGTTGGCACTCTGCATCTGGATAAGATACTTTCTGATCTTGTAGTCCTCCATGACAGGGCGAGTCTTGGCCTCGGCAGTGGCAGCGTAGACCTTCTGGATGATTTCGTAGCCAAAGATAAGAATGTCTCTGTCCTTGACCGACAGGTTCTGACTGGTGCCCAGACCGATACGACGCAGAAGTTCGTCGATCTTCTTGACAGTCTTGAGGTCCAACTTCTCCAGCAGCAAAGACTGAATAGGTCTGATCAGGTCACCAAGATGAGAGGTCGTCGTGATCTTGGCGATGAGTTCAGCAGAGTCATAACTCTTGCTGCTCTTCACTTCCTTCATCTTACTAATGTACTCCTCAGCATCCTTCTCTTGACCAGCAACACCAAAGATGTCGTCCATGACAACAGCAATAATATCGTTGATACAGTGGTCGAGATCACCAGCTTCCAGGGAGGCAATGTTGTCGACCAGAATCGAGTGCATGGTGAAGGACATAACGTGAAGCTGGTAACCACGCTGCAGCGCACTACGCAATTCCTTGATGACGAACTGGAAGTAGGACGGACCAAGGATACCGGTGATCTCAGATAATGTCTTCCTGGTCATATCTCTGGCCTCAGCTGCTTTACTACGAAGAACGTGGCAAAGGTCCATGAGCACGGTGGGAAGTCTCAAGGCGTGTTCAGCAACAGGAAGAACACGGATAAGCTTGACCACAGCGACACCTACAGGAACACGCAAACTGACGGTTGACTCGTCCTTGAGATGCAAGAACTGGGTCAATGGAGGCAAGAGCTGCTTATTGATCTCATTGGACAATTTCTCCTCCGAGGGTAGAGTCGCAGCAAGTGGGCTCAGTGCTGAGTCGCCGTTAATGGCCGGCTCAGCTTCGCCGTCGACTTCCATAGCAGTGTCCTTGCTGCGAATAGATTCAGAAGCTCGGTCCAGAGCATCAATAACACGACTAACGATTCTGAGTACAATCTTCTGTAGCTCCTGCTTGCTTTGGATGTAGCTGACGAATCTTCTCAGAGTTGACCTGTACAGCTGCCAGTCCAAACATCCAGAGAGAGCTCCAACCGTATTGATAGTCTCGGCAGATAAATTGTGAGCACCGTCGTCACCAGCCGGATCGAAGATGAAATGCTCCAGAAGAGGGATGAAGAACAAGCTGACGTTGTTGCTCGAGATGACACCAGCATGAGCCTCTTCCGACAATCTTCTAAGAGCACGAAGTCTGCGGTGCTGTTGGATGTGCAGTATGTTGTTGAAGAACGAAGCTTCCTCATCGCCCTCAACAAGCAGACTAGCCATGTCGTTGACTGCATCCCAAGACGAGAAGTGTTTGATCATGTGAGCCAAAACTTGAAGATATTCGGATCTGACCAATTCTGAGGGGTCACGCATGCCACCTTGCAGACCACTGTGTAATCCTGAGATGGTCAAGGCCTTGAACTCCTCGTCCTTGAAGTCACCATTTACACTTGCTACCTCGATGAATCTTCTCAAACTGTAAGAAGCGCTGGTTCTAATGGCAAGTTCGTCATTGTCTCTGATGAAGTACAGCATGCTGTAGACGAGAGGCTGCCATTGCATAGCAGTGAAAGTGGAGTACTTGTCCTCGTTTATAGTGCTGAAAGCGATGGCACGGCGCTCGAAGTCAGGCTCGTCAAGCCTTGATGCAGAGAACGAGTTCAGATCTTCACACAGNGAAGCGACGTATGAAAGCTCCTTCCTTTCATCAGCCAACTGCTTGACAACGGCAGCAAGAAGCTCTCTGCTCTCACGATCCTTGAAGTAGCCAAAGAGCGGGCACAGTGTTGAGTAGACCTGGATGAATCGAACCTCATCCTTGTTGAGTTCAGCACCAGGAATGAGATGGAACAAGGTTTGCAACAGATCGCGCTTGGTGGTAAAGTGGACAGTCTTTGAAGGTTGACCAAGTAGGAAGATCGAAACGTCAACAACTTCACGAATGTTCTCAACACCAGTGACCAACGGTGCAAGGCGAGAAACACACAATACGCTTGAGTCGAGGATATCCTTGGGAGGGCTCTGTCTAAGAACAGCACCAAGCCTGACGACGAACAGACTTGCACGTGGTCCTAGAATAGATGCACGTGCTTGGTCCTGCCCTTCGGTGGTGTCAATGTTCATGTCGGCATCCTTTGATCGGCGTGGCTGGATGGTGTCTAACAATCGCCCGATGATGTGCTCAATAATGAACGACTTGACTTCGTTCTTTGCGCTGGGAACCACAAGACAGTCTGCAACGGCATTGAGAGTTTGCGGGAAGAACTCGACCAAGTAGTGGCAGGTAGCCAAGGAGCTGGCCCAGGTTGAGAAGAGACGGAGGAAGGCAGACACAGACTGTGCAGTCTCGATGGGGAGCTTTTCCAAACGAGGGCCTACCAACTCGCTCATGACGACCTTGGCGTAGTTATACCAAGAGACTTCAATACAGGACGAGAAGACCTGGATCAAACAGTGGAAGCCGGCTTGACGAATGGCGCGATCAAGGGAAGTCTGAGACTCATCCTCGATCGGGACTTCCTCGTCAGTGTCGATAACAGTATGCGACTTGGAAGCTTTGAGCAGACAGAGGAGTACGGCATCAGCAATCTTTGTTGCATAGCGGTCCAGTCTGTTGCCGAGAGTGTGTACCATGTCATCCAGCATGTTCAACAAACCAACCTGCTTTCTGGGAGCAACAGCAAACTTGTCCACGGCTGACTGGTTCAGCTCACCATTCTGGATGGGCTCCATAGTGGCCAATGAGCCTAGAGAAATACTCAAGAACTGTCCAACGATGTCTGCAGGGAAGCGAGCAAGAGCAACGAAGATGGCTTTGCGACGAGTTTGTTGTCCACGTTTACCACTTGCCGAACCAGCTCTTTTCACTGCTTTGCCGTATAAAATGCGCAACAGGACGGGCATAAGCTCTGGACAGTCAGCACTTCGAATGGCATCGCCCTCCTCCTCAAGGCGAAGGAACACAGAAACCTCTTCTCTGAATCTCGCATCGTCAAGGAAGTTCAGCAGATGTTCCTGGTACTTGATGACACTGGGAGTCTTCCAAGCAAGAATAGCTTTGAGAGTCGACTTTTGGATCTCATTGTCACCATTGGTAAGGAGGTTCAGCAGAGCCTGGTAGACTTCAGTTGCTTTAAACAACACTTTGGGATTTTGGAACTGCGCGAAGACGCCCAGCATTGCTTTCTGGTCCTTGCGGCCCCAATGGCGGGTGCTTCCAGTCTCTTCTTGCTCTTGCGCTTCGCTCTCATTACCGGCCCATTCGAGTAAAACAGGGACCAAGAGTCGCGATCGCTTCTCTGCCAACTGTGGCATGGAGTTCAATGCGCGGAGTGCTTGTGATCGTTCGGAAAGTGAAGCTGCAGCTGTTTGGACGTGATCTCTCTTGAACTGATTCTCAATTCCTTGGTTGAGGTCCGCGAAAAGAGACTCTGAGATTTCAATATCTCTCTCGATCTGGTTCATGTTTGAACACTCGAAATCGGAGCTGACGTGGCTGATGCTCCTATCTTGTGTTGTCTCCGGCTGCAATGCACTTCCTTCCGCGTCGGCATGTCCCTGAAGCCACTGTGTGATGGTGCTTGTGATGATCTCTTCCGCATTTCCATGTTCAGTCATTTCCTTGAGCGCTGCGATAGAGTCTTCCCAAGCTTGTGCGAGATGAATGTGTAGGAGACCAAAACAGTAGGTAGGAATAGCTTTCGCTAGAATCGGGTCAGAGAGTACATCAGGGTATCCGAGAGCCAGTCGGCGAATCTGGGACGAGATGAAGCGAGCTGTCTGCACACTTGGAGCAGTGTCTTCGATCGAAAGCGCATGTGTTAGTAATTCAGGAACATCTTGCTGTCTCTTCTCATAGATCGTTTGCAATATCCGTAGTCCAGAAAGTCTAAGGTCGTGGCTAGGCGTCTTCAAGCAGTCAATCAGGTAGGCAATTAGAGAATCCATCTGGTCGCCGGTGAAGGCAATATCAGCCTTTTGGAGAACCGAGTTCAAGGCAGTCCAGTAAGGCACGAGCTTCTTGCATCGAGTCGAGGCAGAGCATAGAGCTTCTGCAAGTTCCTTGTCCTGCAGGCTTTCGCTAAATTCATCCGAGATGTATTGGAAGCCTTGACCCAGAGCAAAAAGATCCCAACCTCCAATCTCAGTAGACGATGATTTCGCTGCGGATTTGAGCAATTGGAGAATGCTGGCCGCAATCTGCTTGCGTGTTTCTGAGTCTCCCTGAGAAATTCTCAGTACTGCTAGATGGCCATTACTCATGTGCAGTGTCTCATCGTCCTTTGGTAGCGATTTTCCTTGGGCTTTCTTCAGACGCTGTAGCATGACCTTTTGCCACTCAAGAGGACATTGCAAAGGTGTCTTGGCAAATGTGTTCTTACGGGACAGAGATGGGAGCATTGCGCAAAGTGCCATCTCGTTCTCCTTCCAGTGATTCACGATGAACTTCTGGAAGATGGGCAAAACAAAGCTTTGGAAACGTTCCTGGTTGAGCTCTGCAAAGATATTACAGAAAGGTAGGAAGTGGCCAATCCACTTGCCTCGGCTGATGGTGTCGAGAACGGCAAGCTCCTGAAGAACTGCATCGAAAGGTCCATAATTAAGTACCACGGCCAGCGTGTTGAGAAGTGCAGTCAATGTATCTGAGTCAACGTCCTTGGTTGCTTTGTCGGCTTTCTTGATCATAGTCGTCACGCGCTTGACATACGTCGGCCAGTCCGAGATTCTGCTTCCTTTACGGACAGATGCGGCAGTGAAAAGAAGAGTGTTTGCTGCATCCAGGTTGTCTACTGCATCGTCGTCGTTCGGATCGGTGAACTCGAAGATTGCTTCCTGAACGGATTCAAAGGTCTCGGGAGTGGTATGATGTACGACACTGATCAGCGAACCTCTCAAGATCTGGAGGGACCTGCCCTTGAGGAATTCTGAGTGGTTAGCATTGAAGCAGAACCTAGTCAAGCATTGCAAGACAGTATTTCCTCCGGAATGGAGGGTTCCTTGTACACCCTTGATAGATTCTGTGAACAGAGTCATCAGACCCTGTGAATACAAATCGTCCGAAGCAGTCTCGTTCGAGGCAAAGTCGTTGAGCATGTGCTCGACGATTGTTTCCAACGGTTCCTTGCTCTTGTGATATGTGGTTCCCGCTTTTCTGACCAAGAAACTCATTGCCTCTGCAGCGAATCGAATGACATAAGGCTTCTGCTTTTGCTTTCCAAGATACGGTGATAGAAGGTCGTACAATGGTCTGAGATCGGGGACCAACAGACGAGAAAGGTACTTGAAGAGCCAGGCGAGACAGGTGAATGCCCACTCGACAACCTCAGGCTCTGCGTTACTGGCTGCGACGTGTGCGACGGTTGCGACGGCTCTCTGGAAGTGCTTCTCGAATCGGACGTCGAGGTCGTGTGCAAAGTGTGACATGAGCGCGAGTAGGGGCTCGAGCGACATGACATCTCCCTTGGTGATATAGGTAATCAGGTTGTCCATAATGGCCTCCTCGTGGAAAATGACCATGGGTAGACTGTCGGAGATGTTGTAGACGTGTTTGGCGAAGGTCGAGAAGTTCTCGGACAGGTTGAGGTCCTTCCATTCGTCCAGGGCAGTACGGAAGTATGAAGACTCTCCTTCCAGTTCATGGGCACCCTCTGCTCCTACTCCGCGACGAGTGCGACGAATGGGATCGATCTTCATTTTNGAAATCCTCTGGGCGAAACCTTCGAAGTGGTGTCGTCGACTTGAGGGTGTCGACTTTTTCTTTCTCTGTGTTTTGACGACCTTGGTGGCCGCCTTGGCCGACTTGGGCCCATTTGAGGCGGTATTCCTCGACATGCCCGCCATGTCGTGGTTGTGAAATGCTATGGCAAAAAGTTGGTGCAACTTTAGAACTTTCTTCGAAGATGCGACCAGTAGCGCCAAGAGTGTGGGGAAGGTGGCTTGACCCTCAGCACCAGCCACAGTCAGTACCTGTCTCGACTCCGTCAAATCACGTCAAAGCACTTTGCTTTCTCTTCCACTTCAATCAAATACTTTTTGAAGAACAATGGTGTCGAAGATGTACGTGTCAATACAATATTACGTTGAAGGCCCAACTAACGAGTCATCAGTGCAGTTGTCGGCTCAGTCAATGGCCAAGTCTCTGCAGTCTTTGGCAAATTATCAGCATTGCATGCTAAAAATGCCTTTGCATTTGCTATTATCACTGGAGACTTGTTCGCGGATCCAGTGAATCCCAGCCCGGAGGAAGCTAGCCAGCTCAAAGATTTGCTCGAAGGCAAGATTGGAATTGCCCTACCCGTCTACTTTGCTCTCGGCAAACGTGAGTTGCCTCGTGAGGTCCAGGAGAGACTAAGCGCCAATGCCGGCGAGCTATGCTCAAATCTCTACTTCCTTGGCCGGAGGACCACTGTCAAGACATCCGAAGGTGTCAAGATTGTCGCTCTGGGCGGTGCTCACATGGACGCTGTTTCAGACAAAGCCCTGATCACAGAGTTCAGCCCCAGTCACACCCCAGAGGATGTCAAAGTATTGAGAGGCGCGAACACTGCCGATATCTTGGTGACGAGCGAATGGCCTGCTGAGATTCGTACTGGCTCTAACGCGCCCTACACTGGTGAAGAAGCTGTTTCGCAACAGGGTGTTGCAGACCTTTGCACTGTTCTAAAGCCTCGTTACCACTTTTCTTTCTCGGACAGCTTCCTAGAGCGCGAGCCCTTCTTCCACGCTCAAGGAGAAGATGACAGCGGCTACCAAGTAACTCGTTTCATCAGCTTGGCGCCTTATGGAAACGCTGCTAAGCAGAAGTGGATCTACGCATTTACACTAGATACTTCTGTAGCACCTACTGCGACTGTGCCGTCAGGAGTTACAGCGTCTCCATTGTCGTTCGCGAAGAAGCGCAAGGCTGTGGAATCTCAGGCGCAGTCGTTCTCGCGCTTCTCTGGCGGCAGCGGTGATAGTGGTCGGCAGAGAGGACGCAACAAGCGTGCGCGACCCAATCCGAACCCATCAGAGTGCTTCTTCTGTCTTTCAAATCCCAATATCGCGTCACATCTAATTTCCTCGATCGGCGACAGCGCGTACTTGACGACAGCCAAAGGTCCCCTTCCAACATCCAAGACTTTCTCGGCGCTAGGCTTTCCAGGCCACATGTTGATTATCCCGCTCGAACATTCACCGACTCTGGCTTCGATACAGGATCAAGACTCCAAGAAGGCCACCATTGCAGAAATGCATCGCTATCGACTTGCATTGCAAAGTATGCTAACCAAGAGATCGGAAGATGCTGCTGAAGCAGATAAGCTGGGTGCGGTTACGTGGGAGATCAGCCGTGTGGGCGGCGTTCACATCCATTGGCAGTTTATGCCGGTTCCGCAAGACATTATCAAGAAGGGATTGGTGGAAGCAGGTCTCAAGGTCGAAGCTGAGAACCAAAGCTATCCGGCTTTCGAGTCGTCAAGTGTCTCGACTGATGTTGTGGCCGAGGGTGACTGTTTCAAGGCCACCATATGGGATGGAGCAGAGGAGAAGACTATGATCCTTCCTCTAGACTCGTCGTTCAGATTCGATCTACAATTTGGACGAAGAGTTCTTGCCAAATTGCTTGGTCTGGAAGGTCGATCGCATTGGCAGGATTGTGATCAGAGCGAGACGGAGGAGAACACTGATGTTGAGGCCTTCAAAGCTGCATTTGCTTCATTCGACTTCTCGCTCGAAGCGTAAAAAATTTCATATAGATATTGGACATGCAAATCTCGCTCAAAGCAGTTGGAGATGTTACTCTTCTGGAGTTTCTTCATGACTTCTGAGTTACATGAGCGTATTCATATGCAACTCATATATGCATTGCCATCATTCCGAACACATGTTCACTTTAGGTGCAGAGACCCATCACGTATCCGCATTGAGCCGCCAATGCAGCGATGTGCTCAACAAGCGCGATTAATCAATCAAGAAACAAAGCGGCTGCAATACTTGGACAACATGTAGGGCCTAATCGGTAACACAATCAACCCATCGATAGAGGTACAAAGACGACGTTGAGAAAAAAGATTGCCGTCGAACAAGGTACATGAAATACGAGATAACAGATAGACGTTTGCAGCCTTGTAGCAAGGTTCCGGTGACAGGTCCAGCACGCGCACCGATAGTATGCGGGACGATCGCCAAACTGCGAACAAGGTACACAGCACGTGTGGAGCCGGGAAGCGACCAGCAGGCGGCAGCACTTTGCGCAAGGGCGGTCAGTGTGATGGTGTTGTTAGAGGCCGACCTACCGCATGACCCGGCGCGCATAGCTTCAAGCGGCGTTTGCATGTCACACCGCACTGATCGCGGATGCTGTGGGCATGGTGGTCATCTGGGTCTGTTGTTGTTGTTGTTGTCGTCAATGACGAGTGTGATGAGAGGAGAGCCGGCGCAAAGACAACAATCAACAACTCGAGCTGTCACCGATGGGAAGGCTGTGTAAGCGACGGTCGATTGAGGGCTTCTGTAGACTACGAGTCAAAGCTGTGGAGAGATCGATGTACAAAAAAGCAAAAGAAGCAAATCGACGGGAGCACGGACGGCCTCATGAATTGAATCAAGGTCGTGGCGCACAGATCCGTAGGTGGAGGCAGTTGCAGTCGCAGGGTGGGCGTTCGCGCCTTCCGCTTCCTGCTCACCTTCTCTGTTTCGCTCCTTCTCTCTCTTATCACTCGCTCGAAATCGACTTGCCTTTCGCCTACCACTTCACTTCTCCTCAGCGACACTCACGTTTGCGCCTTGCTGTTTATTCTCCAATCCGACGCTAGATGGCCGATTGACCCGACACGCCTATCGCGTCCGCTCCCGCTTTGTTGTTGTTTCCGCACGCGCATCCGGCCCACAATCGCGACCGCTGCCGCAACTATCCTGCATCTCGAACGTTGCCAGCCTTAGACGTCAAACAACCACAACACTTGCTGCCCCTGACGCTTGCTCCCGATTCCTCGTTGCTATCGCGCATCGATTACGACTGTTTCGTTTGTTGTTTGGCTGCGCGCAATCAGACGCCATGGCTTCACACAAGCCGAGCGTCTCTGTCACGCTCCCTCGCGATTTCAAGTTCTCTCACGACGACACAGAGACACCACAAACACCCGCTAGACCCTCCACAGCTGTGGACTCGTTCGACCTCGAAGCGCCTGCACTTCCAAAGCAGACATTCAAGCTGCGACGTCGTCCACGCGACCAGCAGACTGGCGCGATGGACGAGGCCCCCATTCTGCCCAGTATCGAGATGACCGAAGCGAGTGAGCCGGCTCACCACACCTCTACCTACTTCATGTCGACTCCGGGATATCTCGCGCCACGTGCTGGACACCTACGCCTCTCGTCACCACCAAAGACGCCTGCATCGCAGGTAACATCCTACAACATTGAAACAACAGATGCCACTGAATGGTCCATGTTTCACCCTATTCACCTCAACGACATCATCCAGCGACCTTCTTCAGCACTCTCGACATTCTCTGACTCTTCCGCGACATCTCACGGAAGCAGCTTCGACTCCAAATCCTCCTTTGATGCTGGCAGCTGCACGAGTCCTGAAAGCGACATTGGTGATCCCTTTGCCTTCTTCGAACGCAAGTCTGGAGCACCAGGATCAACCACTCCGTCCAGTGGATTCCCCAATGCGAAGCGCGTCAAGACGATGCGCCATCCTCATTTCAGTCCCGAGATGGACAACCATCTCTGGTTCACCTACATGAGCTACGTCCAGGATCCGAGGGTCACTCCGTTTAAGATGCTACCTGGCACCTCACCACCTCTGGGCGTCTGTCATCGTGTTGCACGAGAGGCAAAGGCAACTTGGAGAGCAAACCGCTTGTCATGTGCTCCTCATGGCATTCCACGTATCTCCATCCAGTGTGCAGACTCGTCCGATCCTGTCAGTCTATCTGATGCCATGGACCAATCCACTCCCACTGCCGCGTATTCACACAACCCCGTCGCACTTAAGTGGCCGCGCTCGNAGGGTGCTACGCGTCGTCGTCTGCGTGAGTTGTGCAAGCGTAAGCCTTCTCTCTCCGCTCACTACATGAGACTTTTGCGCACTCNNGCAGCCCCTCCCCCCTTCGAGTCTTCCAGCAGCGTCAGTGCTAGTAGCAGTCCGAACCAGCCCCTTGCCCCTGTTGCTCAGCCCCCTACTCCTCAGCCTTCGTCGTTCTCCAGTCGCAGTCTAAATGTGTCGCTGGCCGAGGCCACCGCTCCTTCGATGCAGCCAGATGGTCCGCTTGCTCAACTTCACAAGCGTACTCCCCAGGCCCCAATGGCTCCTCAGCAGCGTCGTGGCTCGGACTGGTATGCTCGCATCGGACGTTCTGGAGCTCGTGCTGCTCATCAGAAGAGTCAGTCTTTGCAGCTTGGTTTAGGCTTGGGCTCCTCATCTGGCATGCAGTCAAACCCCTTCGAGCGTGGTAGCATCCTCGCCTCACCATTCGATGACAGCGAACCATCGCGTCAGAACTTCTTGGAGAACATGAGCAAGACGCAATCTCTAGGACGTGCCTTCTTGAATAACAACAACAACCGCCTGACAGATGCTGGCCCCTCGTTGCGTTCTCCATTCCCACTCGACGGCCCTATGCCGAGTGTCAAGTCCTTGAAGCGCAGATTTGGTGTTGACGATCAATCTGCTTCTCAACAGCCGTCGTTGGAAGATGTCTTCACCGCTCCTTCTGCATCCTCCAACCACCCTATGCGCAATCGTGGCTTCAGCTTGAGTGCCGTCAACGGTATGGCTCAGAATGCCAACAACGGCTTCCCTGAACTATTCACGCCTTCATCGTCATCTGCCGATCACAAGATGGGTGAAGCTTCGGACAGGCTTAACNCCCCGAAGCTTGCTCAGCCTCCCAGGCTTGGCTCCCCATTCTCGGGTGGTGTCTCGAACAATCGTTTCAACACCTTCCCACGCCGCTTCACGCCACGCGAAGCGGGGCTGGCCGAACAACCCTTCGAGGAGCGCAAATTGTCCACAGGATCCCAGCCCGACTCATGACACGACTTTACTTCTTATGTTTCGGGAAAGGCTGTCTCCATATTTCATGCAGGCACGGTAGACGAGACTTGCCTACGGATCAGCGACAAACATTTGACCACGACTTCGACGAACGAATCTGATGAAGGAGATCATTGAACTTTCCTCTATACGATTTCTTCTAATCTGTCTTTCCTTTTCTTCTCACTGGCAGGCCAGGCGATAGTGTACTTCAACCCTCTGACGCTGGCCTTCCTTCTTACTCTCATTCTGGAGCGCTTCTCTTTTCTGGTTTTCCATCGTTTTTCATTGTCTTCTTTCCTTATACTGTCCCTCTGACGAAGCAACGAAACCGGAGACCCAAGCAACGCAACAATTATACAAACGCATAGTACGGCGGTGCACGGACGGGGTGTGATGGCGAAAAGCTGCTTTCATGGGTTGTTTTTGTCTTTGTTTTCTTATGAATTCTCTTTACCTCCAAATCATGTTGGCGGAAAACCTTTAATGTTTGCACATTGGAGGACTTTCTTCTCAACTTGGCACCCAACAACACAAAAAAAAGCGCAATGGAATGGGTATGTGTTTATTCCTGGTACTCTGGCGATGCATTTGGGGGTGTGGGATGCATAAGGCGGCCTTGGGAGTTGTTTTCACTTTTTTTCTCTTTGATTTTCCTTGTCACATGGTCTCTTTTTTCCTTTTCTCTGGGTTCCTAAGGTTTCACACTTTTATACAGGTCAGGAGGTTGATTTGATCTGTCGATGAGATGAATCACAAATTTCTCTCTCTAAACTTCCTTGGTTGTGTTCCACCTTCAGTCCTTTCCCCGTGTTATTCGTTCGTTCCCCTCGACCTTTGGTAAGAAAGCCTGGAGCTCGGCCCATGTGATTCTTTGCCTACGCTCTACTGCAGCGAGATTTGTTTGCCTGGACTCTCTTTCATCGTGAACGCGTGTAGCGCTCTGCTGTGCTTTTGATACTGCAGTGCTTGTGTTTGCTGTTTCTTTCTTTTGCTCTGGAGCTTGTTGGCTCTGTGCCGGTGTTGGGAATCTGGCGTTGCATAGTTGGGTCCAGAAGTCGTCTTCTTGTGCTGAGCGTTTGGGTTCGGATGAAGAAGTCATGATGGCGGCCCTTTGTGAATGAGATCTTGGAGGGTGGCTCGATAGGGGTTTAGTTTGGACAGAAGAGGACGGTGGAAGGGATGATAGATGGGAATAGCGCTTTTGGTTATAAGGAATGAGTCATGCTGTTTTGGAGAAGGTGACTGATATTTCCACGTGGAATGGTTTGAGCAGATTTCAGATGAGGCGAAAAGTGTGATCGGTGGCTGACATCTTACCTGCTTTGAAATCTAGCATTGCTCCCACAGGCGATATGGAACGACATGTACAGCTGTAGGAATGCAGAGCTGTATTCAGATTAAAGCTGTGTCCAGAGAGAGCGTCAGAACCCAGGGTATCTCAGTGAACACTATGCAGCTTCCTGAAAGTACTGTGCATTTTGATATGCATCTAAAATGGGGGATGTGGTTCTGAGAAAGGCTAGTTTATCGTCTTGGATGATGACCCCTAGAGTGTATGTAGCATCGATGAGTCTTACTCTCACGGGTGTGGAAAGCGATATATCAACTACAAAAACGCACAATCATTTCTGAAACTGAGACATGTCCAGAGAGAGCCAACAGAATGGATGCATCTCAATGGAGGTGATAGCAATAAAAGATAGTTATAAAATGCAGAATCTTCTCTAGACTATGGTTACGTCCAGAGAGAACCTCTGAGATAGAGGGCTCTCTATGGATATGATTCTGTTTCTCGAAATTACTGTGCATTTCTATAGCTACGCGTAACAGCTTTCTATCTCCACGTTTAATGAGTTCTACCACATGTAGCTATAGAAATGCACAGTTCTGTATGAATCAGACATGGTTCCGGAGAGAGCAGATAATATAGAGGCTCTCAATGGAATTTAAATCGACATGATAGGCTATGAAAACGCACAAATGCCTTCATATCAGATGTGTGTCCAAAGAGAGCCTATGAAACGAAGGGCTTTCAGTGGACACCAACGTAATATATCAGCTATCAAAATGCACAGTTGTCTTGAGACAAGAGATGTGTCCAAGGAGAGCTTATGAAAAGAGACGCTTTCAACGGACATTGCCCAGTTCTTTGAAAGTACTGTGCAATTCTAGATTTATATATTGGCCTTAAAGGAACTAGGAGGTGTCAAGGAGGAGCAAATGTAAGCTGGGTTGGTATTTTCGCTCCTGAAACCAGGCTAATGACTGAAAATAAGTACCAACACNCTCCAACACTATCCCAGGGTATGGATATATCTNTTTCCATGTCACAGACAGCATGCTTCTCACAACCACATCCAGGAGAAAGAAACACACACGGGATACCAGGTCAAATAACCNGGGTCCTCGAAAGAATGCTCCGTAGTCTTCTATCAGGCACCGTGGTCTCGACAGCGCCGAGAGCTAACGACGACGAATATACGACGAACAGCAGATCCAAGATCAGCTCGTTCGCCTCTGCGAAACTTCACCTGACCGCTTCACCCCTGTATCCGTCGCGGCGCAACCAAAACACACTACCAGCTACCACAGACGACGACCTCCGGGCACCACCGCAATCAACCATGTCCTCCCGCCCCTCACACATCGAGTCTGAGGCTGATCCCACCATGGCCGCCAGCTGGAGTCTGCATCAAGACGCGGAGCTGAACCGCGAGTACACCCTCGTCGACAACGACGACATCAACGAACAGGGGTACGATATCATCCCCGACATCAAGACCACTCTCGTCGAGAGCAACCCCAAGAAACCTCCCCACCCCCTCGACCACTACGCCGACGACCGCAGCTACATCAGAAAGCTGGCTGAGCGCATGGAGTACTGGGTGTCCCACCCGGCCGCTCGCCTCAAGGGTGGCAAGCAACGAACACCCGGCGAACGCAGCGACGAAAACCGGGCTGCCCAANAGGAGGCCGACGACGCTACCTGGGTCGCCGACATCAAGAGCGACATAAGATGTTTGTGGGACAACATGGGCGTCGGTCAAGATCTCCTCAATGGCGAGCTGCAGTGTTTGAGCGTTGCGTTCTTCTCCGAATGCCGGGAGAAACTCAAGAAGATTGAGGATGAGGGCCATGGTGTCGGCCTAGTTCAGTTCCAGACCACTGTGCGCTCTCTTNTGGTCGGGCACGACCTCAAGCTTTCAGGAGAAGGAATCAAGGTTATGAAGGAAATGGCCACCGACAAGCAAGCTCTCCGCAACCGTCACACCTTCAGCTTCGAAGAACAGAGGGACATCAGCAAGTTTGCTGCTCAGATGATGGATCGTTTGTCGAGATGGGAATGCGACATTCTCCGCAAACGCCTGTCCTCCACTATGACTCCTGAGCAGAGAGCAATCCACGTCCGCCACAACCTGGATCTCGTCCGTCGCTACTTTAATAACCGTGCTGTCAAAGCGTTTGCTGGAGGAAAGATGAAGCTGATGGAAGAGGAATTGACAAAGCTATTGAAAGGAGAAAAGGAGCGCAGCAGGAGACTTTGGGAGGAAGATTTGAACCGCCAACAGGAGCATCATGAAGAGCAGATCGAGCTTCTTAGAGAGCAGCTGGAGCGTCCGAAGTACTGAGACCCTTGATGGAACAAGAAACCAGGGCAGCATGGGTTTCTGTGTCTTTTTCTTTGAGGTAGATTTGGGAAGGAGAGGGAAGCTACAATGGAGGTTGGAAGGAAGCTGCTTTCGTGCAGCACAACTGAGAATCAAGGCGTTTTCATGCATCGAGCATTTAGAGAGAGAATAAGAAGACATACCCCTTATACAATCGCAATCAACTGAACCACTTTCCTTTGACTGACAGAATACTTCCGTGACGTTTTTCAGTCATAAAAAGCATAATCCCCCAATACAAAGCGTGGTAACATGTATAGCAATAAAAATGCACAATGGTTTCGAGAAACATGGCAGTGTCCACTGAAAAAGGTCGCCTTGAAAGGCTCTCTCTGGACAAAGCTCTGGTCTGAAAACATTCGTGCATTTTTATAGCGTACCATTCCGCCCTTCATTGACGTTAGAGAGAAGTTGAAGGATGGAGAAGACAGATGGAAAGAGCTGCCCGGCAAACGACGTTAGAGTCGGCTTTCGGAAGCCGATTTCCGAAGAGAATCTACCTCGTCACGAGGCACCTACCGCAATGGAGTGCCGGTATACGAGTATCCAACGCGCACGACTCCACACTCGAAAGCAGGGAGAAACTTGACAGCGACTGGCTTGTTCAACGGATAGCTTTACGGCAATGTATAAAGTTCTAGGTAAGCGTCACGCAGCAAAGGAATCGTTCCCAGCGCTGTGTCAACAAACTCTTGGAAGGAAGATCTCGGCTAAGGTCACGCCGGATCTCGTTGTCGGGAGATGATCGATTTGGCCGAAACGCGATCTCGCAGTTCCTCTTTCATCTTGCTTCTCACTTTGTCTTGCGACGACCTACTTCCTTGGGAACGCATCCAATCCATCGATATTTGAAACCGCAGAGAAAATCAATGCGTCTCCGCAGGCAATTGGTCTACCATCATCCGCCTTTCTTTGAGCAATAAACACTCGTCATGGATACCGATATAGAAAAGCAACAACAAAGGCCACATGAACAGCACATCACTGAAGAAGCCGAATCACCACACTTCAGCAAGGAATCCTTTGAACAGGACATTGAATCCTCAGGCTCAGACGACAATGGCATCACACTAAAGCGCACTGTATCGCGAAAGCCGCCCCACCCAGAATGCGCCAGATGCAAGCATGGCCTCACAGATGAAGAGGGAGAGCCTTGTCACAAGCATGACGGCTTTGAAACAGATCCCAACCTCGTGCTCTGGGATGGAGACGACGATCCAGCAAAGCCCATGAACTGGCCCATGTGGCGTAAAGTCTGCTTCTCCATCACCGCTAGTTGCTTCGTCATTGCGGTTTCCATGTCGTCTAGTATCTTTGGTCCGGCTACTAAGACCACTGCGCAGCTATATGGTGTCTCGCATGAGGTGATGAATCTAGGCATTACCTTCCATATTCTTGGTTTTGCCTGTGGACCTCTAATTTTCGGTCCACTGAGTGAAGTCCTTGGTCGTACGATACCGCTTTGGATAGGTCTTTTTGGGATGGGAATCTTTCAGATACCAGAAGCTGTTGCCCAAAACGTCCAGACCATCCTCGTGTGTCGCTTCCTTCAAGGCTTGTTTGGTAGTGCCGTCTTCGCTGTTGTGAGCGGCATGTTTGTCGATATCTGGAGTCCGATCCATCGAGGCGTAGGATTAGGCGCATCTGCGACCTGTATCAATCTTGGTTCTACATTTGCCCCAATTATTGGCGCCTATGCAACCAACCATGTCGATTGGAGATGGACAGCCTGGCTCACACTCATCTACATTGGTCTGGTCGGCTTTCTCGGTCTACTCATCGTACGCGAAAGCTTCGAACCAGTCCTTCTCGCTCGCAAAGCCAAGCGCCTTCGCTTTCAAACCGGGAACACCAACCTCTATGCTAAGTTTGAGGAGAATCCTATCGACTTTAGAACTCTGGTACAGAAGTACGCTACCAAGCCAGTGCGCATGTTTGTTCAAGAGCCCATCTTGATCTTCTGCACTATTTACCTTACAATCGTGTACGGAACACTCTATCTCTCCTACCAAGCCATCCCCTTCTCCTTCCGCAACAGAGGTTGGAGCCCTTCCGTTGCCTACCTCCCTTTCATCGCCATCACTCTGGGCATCATCAGCGCCTGGATCCTCTTCTCCATCTTTACATTAACATGGTACAAGAAGCGATGGCTAGTCAACAAGTCCGCTCCCCCAGAAGACCGTCTTCCCNCCATGATCCTCGGCGCTTTTATCCTTCCTCCTGCACTTTTCTGGCTAGGCTGGTCTCAAGAAACCCACTGGGCATCTCAAGTCATCGCCGCCTACTTCGTCGGTCTGGGCTTGCTGCTGATCTTTATTTCTGGTATAGTGTATATCGTAGACACTTATCTTGTCAACAGTAATTCGGCAATGTCTATCCACATAGTGGTGAGAAGTATTGTATCTTCTTCTTTTCCTCTGTTTGCGAGTCCAATGTTTGAGGGTCTGGGGACCGGGTGGGCGTGCTCGGTATTGGGGTTCGTGTGTCTTGTCATGGTACCGGTGCCGATTGTGTTTTATCTAAAGGGCAAGACGATAAGGAGTTGGAGTCGTTATGCGCCTGGTACTTAGGAATTAGACAGTCCAATGTTTCTTGAAATTGTTTCAAAAGGCCGCAGAAAAACTATGGAAAACATATGTTCAACTCTAGCCCACGCGAAGAATTACTCAGAACACAGCTCCTGCTTTTGAAGCCAGTCCTTTCGCAACTGCCATCACTATAGCACCAACTACGTCAACAGATGCTGGATTCAAGAAAGATATAGTTGGAAAGGCCATAGCAATAACCGTAGGGCTGACTATCATTATGTCAAGTCTACAGACTCACAACATCTGCAAAGTGGCACCACTCGGTCTTGATGACCTCCCAACGGAGAGAAGGCGATCGATCTACACACAAATTGCTGGTCAATCACACATAGAGCTTAAGCTTCTTGTTTGCGTTTTACGGATCTACGATTTACACGGAATACCTTTCAACAGAGACAAAGAGCAAAGTCACTATCTGTTTGTCCCGGAGGAGGTGTTCACAGGACTTACAATCATGATTGGAGGGCTCAGACATGCACCAGTCTCACCCGTGAATCTTGAATTTACGAAAAGAATACAAATACCTTTCAGAAGACTGAACTGCGGAGAATGTCGAAGCATCGGGTAAGGTGTGGATCGGGTCGCGAAAGGGGTTCGATGATGGTGAGGTGACGGAGGACGGAGGACGTAAAACGACGGCGGGGCTAAAATGCATGCTGTGGATCGGGAATCGATAAGAGGGGGAAGGAATCGGATCGCAATTGCGTTTCGCTTGATCTCGTGGACCAGTAGCGTCGAAGGTGGACGTCGAATGGTTGATAATTGATTGGATACGATATCGAAGGTTCGGGTCGCTCGTGTATTCGAATCGCCTCGTTCGAGCTGGTTGAGCTGCTGCTATTTTGATCAATCTCGAAAACGCCCGCCTAAAAACACACCCAACGGCAAGAAAAAAAGACAGAAACGTAGAAGGGGGCGTCAAACAGCATGAACCTCGCGTTTTACCCATAAATGGAACGCTGCAGGGCGGCGAGGTTGCTGCACTGGAGGATAGGGGTGAGAGTGATTTATGCTGGCCAGGCATGCTGACCGTTTGCGACACCGAATCTGACACCATCCCAGTTGGAATGGTTCACACTAGCAGCAATGGGGTTAGTGGGGTAAGAATGGCACGAGTGCAGGATGACTACTCGGCGGTATCAAGGTCGTCGTGGGCAGTGGCGGCTGGAGGAGACTCCACAGCGGGTTCTGCACCATGTTAGTAGCTGTCGAAATGTACAGTACTATTGAGAAACAGGACAGTGTCCAGTGAGAGCCTGTCAAGGCAGCGTCTCTCACTGGACAAAGCTCTGCGCCTGAAACAATTGTGTCTTTTTACAGTGTTCACTGTCGTATAGCACATGTTCGGAGAAGCAGTACTCACCCTTGGGTTCTTCGCCGTTAGGCTCGCGTTCTTCGCGCTCTTCTCTCTCACGATCTTCACGGTCCTCGCGGGGCGTTCCTCACGTTCGCGGTCGTCGTCGCGCTTGGTGTCACGCTCACGGTCGTCGTCACGGTCTCTGGCATCACGGTCTCTCTCGCGCTCGCGGTCTTCGGGGCTGCGGGTGCGGTCGCGGCGATCGTAGTCGCGCTCACGGCGGTCTTCCTTGCGAGGAGAGTGGTCGCCACGGCGGGAACGGGGAGCAGGGCTGATAGAACGACGACGAGGAGAACGATCACGGCGGTCACCACGATCGCCACGGTCGCCACGCTCACCGCGAGGAGGACGACCGGCATCGAAGCGCCAAGAAGCAGAGGGAGGGGTTCTGGCCCACTGTCGAGAGCAGTCAGTTTTTTGTCGTCAATAGATGGCGAGCTGGACGGGAGCGCACCTCGATCTTCAATTCCTCGTTGCGGCTGATACGGCGGTTGTGCATCTCATGGTAGGCATCGTCGGCATCGCGACGGCTCTCGTACTCGACAAAGGCGAAACTGTGCATGGTTAGCAACGCGCTGTGGAGGCTGGACATCCGAAAGAATACTTACAGTCTGCTAGAAGAGGTGCGGGGAGCGGGAATGTCGCAGCGGACCAGGCGTCCGTAACTGTTCAAGTCAGCACCGAGTCATCGTTAAATACAAGTTCGCCATATGCGCATTGCGATAGGATGCATACCGTTCGAACTCGTAGGCGAGATCACGGGCGCGGGTTGCGGGACCAAAGCCGGAGACGTAGAGAGTGGTCGAGGAGCGCGACATGTTGGAGCCGGATGGGCAGTGAATCTTTGGCGTGTACTGGACGTTGAATCTGTCAATATCAAACAGATGCGAGGATGAAGCAGAAGAAAGTCGATAGACTTGTGTCAAATGACGATGCAGGAGATGTGGCTGGGCCCTTCGGCTGCCTGAGAGCTTGCGCTCTTTCTTTTCTTGGCACGGCAAATGCCGGGCGGATGTCCTTACCTTACGATGTCTACCAAAGGCCTGGAGATCCTCGTGCTCCTTCTTTTCTCTCCATCTGTAGAGTCGTGTGGAGTGACCGTCTGAAGACGACATGGCGATTCGCGTCCGGTCCGGTTGATCAGCAAGGAGGTCAAGTTGACAATCGGACGAGCGAAATGTCATGACCATAAACACCTCCGTTTGCGGTCAATTTGGTGCATTCAGTTGCTTGTCTTTCACTTGTTGTTTGCGCTTTGACAAACTGTACAATCGGAATTGTCATTGCACGAAGTACTTGAGTGTTGTAAATTCCTGAACACATTCGCTTGCAACTCCATTCTCGTAAGTCCTCCTGCTTGACAACACCCCGAAAAGCCTCGCATTCAGTAGTCTTCAAGAGGAGGAAAGCGTGAGCTGGCTGTTGTGTACTGAGCTGGCCATCTTTGAGCAACTCGTTGGTTCAATGCNACTGTTCTTATCTTAGTCTCTTTTGTCGAGGTTACTGACATAATCGCTCACCCAACTCTCCCTTGGGTCCATTCGAGATCTCTCTGGACATCTCTAGCAGCTTGGATGCCATCGGCAAAGTTTCTTCTGGCAGACTTGAGTCGAGACTGTGCCAATGCCTGTAGAGCTTGCAACTCACGAGTTTTGGCATTGAGTTCGCCTGATCTATCGTCACCGCGTCAGTGGATTGAACAACTCAAGACTTGGAGAATGTTTTACCTCTGTGCTTGCGTTGCTAGGCTACGGTCCAGAGGGGTAAAGTCCATCGCTCTGTTAAGTCGGTCGCCCATGTAGCTAAGTGCGTCGACTGGACTATTGCTCTCACTGCCAGAGTATGAGCTCACGGATGGAGCTCTGCTCGGGATCGAGTATGAGCTTCCNCCTGTTGTGATACTTTCTGACCGCGAGGGTGGAGGTTGGTATAGCTGGCCATAGACGGGGGATGGCTGGTAAGGTTGGGACGCAGCCGTGTATGCAGATGTCTTTGTCGAGACAGCCCAAGGAGCAGTAGGCTGAGCGGTGTAGGAGTATGTTGCAGAAGGCATTGTTTCTGTGCGAGTGCTTCCTCGATATGGAATCGAGGAGATGAAGAAGGATGAGACAATTGAGATGAGCGTAGCATTGCAATTACTTATCCACCTCCTAACACCCTCCAAACCCTTCCCCTCACCTCTCATCATGACATCCATTCGCTACAACTACCTTCCCACTTCACCACCTCAATACCTCGAACCATCCTTCCCGCGTCAGTCAACAGTCAGCTGAGTGCCAATGAATGCGAGATAGGCGAGGGTTCCGTCTCTTCTATGTCACCCCTTGCCTTTGTACTCACTTCGGCTAAGCTGAAGCCATCTCTCCTCCAATAACTCAAGCCATACGGGCACTCGCATGAATGGATCCTTGAAAAGTCGTGGTTGCCATACAGTGCCTCGTGGAGCCTATGGTCTCGCAACCCGAAGCTGCCGCAGCCAGAGCAATTTGAGTGTTGGGCAGACGTGGCATCAGGCAACGAGGGTCTGTCCAGTAGATTTGTAGACGTCTCTTGCATGTCGTGCGAAGCTAACGGTACACCCTTGACACCTGTCATGGCATGGTATTGGACTCGCCCGAACGTGTCGTACCCAATTCCTCGAGGGAACGCAACCCGTCCTACGTCCGAGACGGCGACGCTGATTCGCCAATGCAGCGTCGGGCAGCCAAGTAGGGTCCAGTACCATGGCTCCATATTTTGGCGTGCATGCATGCTCATACCGCCTTGATGCCTAAGTGTATCTTTTTTCTTTTTTGACTTTTTGACCAAAGTCCGACTTCGAGGTTGCTGGGCAGACCGCTATTTGGGCTTGGACACCACCAAGTCAGTCGAATTCAGGCAGCATTTCTTATCAGCGAGTACATTGGATACGATGTGAATACTTGCGGTTGATTGTGGATGTATATACCTCATCGTCTATTGTACTAGTAGGGATGTGTGAAGGATTAGTATGTCGAGGGCATCATGCTCAGGCGACCACCGTCAATAACTTGTACATTGCCGTTGTGGTAGGCTCCGGACTTGCCAACGAGGAACAAGATCATACTGGCCATGTCTTCGTACGAGCCAGATCTGCTTGCGGGAATCTGAGTGACGGGGAATGAACCGGTGTCTCCAGCGGTCATGTCGGAAGGGAATNNCCTGGGTCGAGTCAATCTACTATGTAACAGCTTGATCGCAGGGATATACTCACTTCCCGGAGCAATGACATTGCTTCTGATGCCGAAAGGAGCAAGCAAAGTAGCCAATGCCTTGCCCAGCATAGCAGCACCAGCTTTGGTTGCCGAGTATGCCAGACCGGCAGTAACGAAGCGGTTGAAAGATGCGATACTGGCGACGGTGATGATCTGACTCGTTCTCGGATCGTTCGCATCGTAGTTTGCGCCTTCGGCCCTCTCTTGCACTTCTCTTCTCCCCGTGGCCCAACCTCTCTTCTTGTTGCCTGCATCGAGCAGATGCAAGAAAGCAGCACTGACGCTGACAATAGCAGACGTGTTCGTTTGGAAAGAAGTGTCCCAGCCTGACCAGTCTCTCTTCATGATCTCCTGCAACTCTTGGATACTCTGTGCTTTGTCAATGCCTTTGTGGTCTGGGCCAAGCACACCAGCATTGTTGATCAAAACGTCAATGTGAGAGGACTCTTTTTCGATTTGCTTGACAGCTGCGTTGACGGAGGAGGGGTCGGTAACGTCGCATTGGATGGGTTTGACGATATCGGGGTTGATTGATTTGGCAGCATCTTCGAGGTTCTTGACTCTGCGACCGAGTAGGTACACCTTCTCGGCTCCAGATCCAGCCAGACTTGTAGCAAAGGCAAGACCAATGCCTNNGCAGGATGTTAGAAATAGGTTTGGTTGGGATGCAGGCTGTCGCTTACCACTTCCACCGCCTGTGATGACAACAGTGAGGCCCTTTGCTGAAAAGAGGTCGGAAGGGTTGATGGGCTTTGAGGTATCCATGGTTGCTATGCGAATGACAGGGTAGATGCGAAGTAGTATGAGGAGATGGGATGTCAATGGAGCAGAGGTCTACTTGTAAGGTTTACCTTTATTCTCTGCCGGTAAGGTGGAGGAAAGTACGACACAAGAGGAAGCTCGGTAGCCCCATATCGTGATTGCCGAACGTCATTTCTGAGTAACCGTTCACGTACACCTAAGAGCCAGTACATTTCTATGGATACTGGATGAGGTCCTACGAGGTTCCAGAGATGCCACAGAGAGACAAAGACATATCAACGACCCACAATGTGTAACTATCAGAGCGGCATTGCTTGACAAAGCTTGGAGCTGTCAATTGCCCTCGGCGTAGCTTGCTCCGTCAGCGGAGTGACAGTAGCCAGGGGCTTCCCACTTCCTATTTTGTTCACCACCCACTCAGTAGCCATGCCAACCATGGCAACTTCCATGCTGTCCGCTGAGTAAGCGACTGAGTAAGCAAGATCTGTGCACAGACTGCAAGCAGCAGTATATATTCTGGGCTCACCCGATACCCTCTTCCTCCCGCATACTTACCTTGGAGGGAAGGCGGCGATCATGAAGGCTGCCCTTCTGAAGAGACTCCGTGCATTGCACAGCGCGCAGGAGACTCTTCATGGATGTCCTTCGGGGCCTCCACTTCTGCAATTTTTCATTTCACACTTTGTGTTTATCACATTGTATCCTTTTCATCGATGGATTGGCTTCCAGCTGGTCATTGGAGAAGAGCCTGTCTGTTATGATGAGTGTGATGAGTGTTAATGTGAGAGCTGCATAGACATGGCATTGGGGGCCCCCAATGCTCTGTCTGTCGTCTGTTGTGTGAGAAGTATATACTGTGTGGCTGTTGCCTTGAGCCATTCTGCTGCGAGTGCAGGCGTGTAAACAAGTGAAGCAGCGATTCGTCGCCCATAGCATTGGATACAATGTGGTTTGACATCTTCATCACATCCCATCCAGGCGTTGATGATTTGCTTACTCTCCGTTTCCCAGTGACATCATGTTGTTGTCCACCTGTTCTTCTCATTGTTATTCCGAGAGTGCTTTCCAGAAGCTGAAGATGCAGCCGCTCTGGGATCGCAAGCTAGTGCAGCTGTGTCACCTGTTCAGTTGATCACATAGGTGCAGCTTGTTTCACTGCGCCTATGTTTGGTGCGTTGGTAGCGATGGGATCAAGCGTAGTATATAATCAGTCATATCAAGACCGATTAGCCAGGTTGGTGAATGCAAGATGGCGTTTGCCTTACCTTGTTCGTGATGCGCATGTGGACGAGATGTTCACAACTTCTACTCGGCATGTGAGGTTGGGTCGGGTGGAGATGGTCGTCTGCTTCTTGAATGCTACGCTGTCTCAATTCTTTCCATGTCCTGGCCATACGACCATGAGGAGGGAAGTTTCATTAGCACCATAGCTTCTACGAATGTAAATGTGATGAACACTGTACGTTAATGGCCTATCAACCACTGATACGGTGTTGTTGGTGTGCTTGAAAGCAACTGACAGGGTCATACTCTTGTCGAAGCTTGGGAAACGCCGCGGCGTGACGTGAGCTCCCGCTCTCTCTCCGACAGCTGCATACACTCGTCAACCATCACCTTCACCAAGCATCTTGCGCGCCGTCATCTGCATACCTCTCTCTATCCCCCAACTCGCCACCCGGAACCGATCACACACAACAAACCCGACACACCAAACCGCAGCACAAGATGGACAGCTTGGTGGCGCAGTACAGCAGACCGGCCTTCAAGGATGAAGGCTACCAAGAGCAGGACCAGCTGGAGCTCGTCGACTGCATGCCCACTGCCATCGATCTCAAGTTTGCGCTTCCTCCTGTCGCACAAGTGAGTTCGACCTCGTCACTTAGTTGGGAAGCACGGCTAACGATCTCACAGGCGCAATCATGGCTCCGCGCAATGACCGACGACCACTCGAACCCCAACTGCCCCATCAAGCTCGCTCACGGAACAACTACTCTGGCTTTCAGATTCAAGGGTGGCATCATCGTGGCAACAGATTCGAGAGCAACCGCAGGAAACTGGATTGCCAGTCAGACAGTCAAGAAGGTTATTGAGATCAACNCCCAGCTTTTGGGTACCATGGCCGGTGGCGCTGCCGACTGCCAGTACTGGCTCGCCTACCTTGGTATGCAGTGTCGTCTTCACGAGCTCCGTCACAAGCGCCGCATCTCGGTTGCCGCCGCCTCAAAGATTCTGGCCAATCTGGTCTACCAATACAAGGGCATGGGCTTGAGCATGGTATGTTGTCACTGCTTCTACCAAACAGAACAAGACGACTGACTTTACATGACAGNNGGTACTATGTGTGCTGGTGTCACACCGCAAGAAGGACCCGCCCTCTACTACATCGACAGTGACGGCACACGCCTTGCTGGTAACCTCTTCTGTGTCGGTTCCGGTCAAACATTCGCATACGGTGTGCTCGACGCTGAGTACAGCTACGACTTGTCAGACGAGGATGCTCTCGAGCTCGGTCGCCGCAGTATCTTGGCAGCCACACACAGAGACGCCTACTCGGGTGGTTACATCAACCTGTACCACGTCAAGGAGGAGGGCTGGGTTAAGCACGGCTTCAACGACACCAACCCCATCTTCTGGAAGACCAAGCTCGAGAAGGGCGAGTTCTCCAACGTCACAGCCGACCTGAACTAGACGGAGGCAGGCTTGACCGTGGATGCATAGCGGGATCGGCGTTCTATGGCGGCTGGTGCTTGATGACTTCTCAAACTTGTAATCATACAGACAACTATGATGGTAGACGAAACATTTTCTTACTGAACTACATGGCAGCGTGATGAACTGTTCTTCGTTTACTAGTGTCTCGTCTATGCCTCTCGCCTATCCCTCTCATGGTGACATATAGTGATATTGTTAGCCACCATTGAATCAGCTCTCTTTGGTCAGAAGTCTTGTCAGAGCACAATCGTTAATGTTTGCAGGTAGATTTGTGATAGATTTTCTCCGAGGGAGAGCATGTCAACCTTTCATTGAAGTCTGTGACCCCATCCTTATCTCACAGCGGCATAGAGACCATAAAAAGGCACAAAAGTCTTCAGACTAGAGGTTCAACCAGAGAGAGCCTACGATGTATCGTCTCTCAATGGAAACCGCTCTGCTTCTGAACATTATTGCGCAATATTATAGTTACCTGTGTTACGTACTTTGGTACAGGGAAGGGAAGTTGGGAAGGCAGTCGCGGTGCTTGGGCTCTTTCTCCGCGACGAACGTCACTTCCGAAGTGGATGCTCTTGCGCTTTCGTGGAATTGGCAAGAAGACTCGTCGACACTCACGAACATCCTGCCATTTCAAAATCATCGAATTTACTATCGTCCCTCAGAACACCTACAGATCGCCTACAAGCAGCAAATCCATCGCGCGTCCATCAATAGCAAAAGCACCTCACGTCCGCCCCGCGCCTGCATCGCCGCGGCATGTTCTTTTTAGGCGCATAGGCTATCTTGGTGCAACATGATGATCTCGGATCTGGAAAGGACCTTGGGAATCTTCCTTAGAGACTTGCCTCGCGAATTCAACAACCGCTTCACGCCAGAGGCAGATTCGGTCCTCCGCTCCCGCCTCTTTCGATCTCTCGTCGGCGATGATGAATCCAAGCTCAACCTTCTATTCCCAAACGGCGTGCCCGAAGAAGGGCAATGGGTACTACGTGACGCCCAAGGCGCTGTAGACGGTGCAGAATACACAGCTGCCGCAAGAGGCCATCCATGCGGTCACATATTCAAGGCCGGCGAGTCAACATACCATTGCAAGACATGTGCTGCCGATGACACCTGTGTTCTCTGTGCACGATGCTTTGCTGAGTCCGACCATGAGGGCCATATGGTCTATATCAGCGTCTCTCCTGGCAACAGTGGTTGCTGCGACTGCGCCGACGACGAAGCCTGGGTTCGTCCAGTCCATTGCACTATTCACAGCGCCGACGATGCGCCAGGCCAAAAAGCTGCTGGAAAAACAAGTCAAACCCCGACCCTTCCTGACGAGCTGCTCGTCCCTGTCCGTATGACTATCGCAAAGGCCGTCGACTACATGTGTGATGTCTTCTCCTGCTCGCCAGAGCAACTGCGCTTGCAAAAGACCGAGGATACTGTTCGGAGAGACGAGCTGCTATCGCGTCTCACCTCACACCTTTATGGTGGCGCCGAGGTTGACGAGTCAGATGAAGAGTACGCTTTGGTATTGTGGAACGACGAAAAACACACTGTCACCGACGTCCAGAATCAAGTAGCCAAGGCCTGTAGAAAGCCCAAAAGCTTTGGTCTGCAAAAGGCCATGGAGGTCAACGATATTGGTCGAAGCATCATACACTACTCGCATGACCTTGCCGAGCTCCTTCGCATGGCTGCAATTATAGAACAACTCAAGGTCACTGTAACCGTCCGTTCCGCCAGAGACACCTTCCGCGAGCAAATGTGCAGCTCCGTTGTTGATTGGATCTCGGACATCTCAGGTTGCTCGATTGCTTCTGACCCTCATGTCCTGCGAAACACAATTTGCGAGGAGCTGCTACGGCCCTGGCGTATGGGAAGTGAAGCCACCAACGCTACTATAGGAGAGNGGGGTATCGATGATCACGAGCATGAGGAGAATGTCAAGAATCGAAGGNAAGATGCCAGATGGTTTCGTCCGTTAGCCGGCATTAACGTCGTCAGAATCAACGTTGAAAATGACGATGACGATAATGAAGAGGTTGATGATGATGATGAGGACGAAGACGATGAGAATGACATGACTATCGAGGAGTTCCTCATGGCAGAACATGAAGACCTCGGTACTGAGGAAGCTATGGATTTGGATCCAGACAACCCTGATCCCCTCGCTATGGCTCTTGCAGACAACGACATGGATCTTGACCTTGTTGATATCGACACTGAAGGTCCTGCTGAAAATTTCGAGGCGACTCTCGCTGGCTATCCCGCACCCCCACCACCACCACCTACTACACGCCGTCGAACGAGATCTGTGACTGTGAATGAATCTGACGATGGTGAACAACATCCGTCGTCCAGGCCAGACCCACCTTCTCAGCCTTCAGCACCATTCTCTAACCTCCCGAAAACACCAAAGTCTAGAGTCAAATCAAATCGTCCCGTCCGTCCTGCTCGTTATTGGCTCGAGACTCCGGAAGAATACAGATCACAATCAGCTTCTACCCCGGCAGAAGACCTCTGGCAAAGAGTGCGCCTTGACTATCTCATACTGTACGACCTGAGGATGTGGAAGACTCTCCGTATTGACCTTCGCCATCTTTACATCAGCACTGTTGTTACTGTGCCTCAGTTCAAGCGCATACTAGGATTGAGGTTTGCTGGCCTATACACCATGCTAGCTCAGCTCTATCTCATTGCTGATCGCGAGCCGGATCATTCCATCATCAACCTCTCTGTACAGATGCTTACGACTCCGTCTATTACAGCAGAAGTTGTGGAGAGGGGCAACTTCCTCACCAATCTGCTTGCCATCCTCTACACATTCCTCACCACCCGTCAAGTTGGTTTTCCAAAGGATGTCAATCCGAACGCCACCCTTGCATTTGATGCAGGTGCTGTAACCAACAGACGCATGTTCCATTTCTTCCTTGATACACGATACATGTTCCAGTCAGCGTTCGTACAAGAAAAGGTTCGGAATGAGCCTCGCTACCTGATGCAGTTCCTGGATCTGGTGAAACTTCATCAGGGAATTTGTCCCAATGTTCGAGCAGTTGGCGAGCACGTCGAATACGAAGCAGACGCATGGATCAGTGCTACGTTGATCATCAAGGAGATCAACAGACTTTGTCGTCAAGTTGCGGAAGCTTACAGATGGTCTGATGATGAGGACACAACTTCAGTACAGAGAGCCATCAGATATGCCGCGCAAGCCACCTTCATAAACGCATTTGGCCTCGAGCGTAACAGATTCCCAAGTGCTGAAACCAAAGAACCTCAGACTTTCTTGCGTCTTCTCAACAAGAAGAGGCCGAAGTTTATTGAGGCGATTGGCCGCGAGGCGACGTGCCGCGATGAAAGCTACAGTCTACCTAAATTTGACGTAGCGACTGGTTCGATGAGTTTCCACCATCCCCTACATTACCTCTTGTCGTGGCTGCTTGAGGCAGGTGTAGACATCGAACGCGAGGAAATGCTGAAAGTGCTGAAGTTTACTCACGCTGATTTCAAAGACCCCTGGCAGACAAGCTGGAAGACCGCTCCACAAGCCACAAATTATGACTCGGCTGAAATCACGACTATGCTCTTCGAACACTCCCTGCGTGTTTGCGCCTGGCTAGCCCAGATGCGCGCTGGTATGTGGGTCCGTAATGGTGTGACCCTCCGTCATCAAATGCATCAGTACCGCGGAACTTCTCAACGAGACGTCTCCTACCAGCGTGATATATTCATGCTTCAAGCAGGTCTTGTACTGTGCGGAAACTCGGATGAATCACTAGGGGAGAGATTCTTGGCTCAAATCGTTGATAGATTCGATCTGTCCGGTTTCGTCAATGGCGTCTTCGACCTTTACCCGGGTTACGATGAACAGCAGAGGCTCGACGTCACCGAAGAGTTCTTCCACCTGCTTATCATCCTGCTCAGCGAAAGACAGAATCTTTTGCCTGGCCAGGACAAGCCAAGCCAGCATGTCAAGCTCTTGCAGCGTGACATCGCACACGTTCTCTGTTTCAAACCTTTGTCTTTCTCAGACATCTCCAACCGTTTGACTGATAGAGTAGCGGATTCGGAAGAGTTCGACGCAATACTCGAGAGTATGACAAATTTCCGTGCACCGGAAGGCTTGAACGACACGGGCACTTTCGAGTTGCATCCTCGTTTCATCGAGCTGATTGATCCATACTACGCCTACTATAACCGCAATCAACGAGAAGAGGCCGAGACCATCTACAGAGAACACATGGCCAAGAAAACCAACAAAACTGCTGCAGACACTGTCTTTGAGCCTCAGCTCCCACCCATCAGTTCCGGACTTTTCAAGAACCTTGGCGCATTCACGCAAACTACGTTCTTCAGTGAGGTTGTCTATTGGGGTCTCGAATTCTGCTTACGTCATGACGACACTGTTGACAAGGCACAAATCACCAGGATCGAGACGATGCTGCATGTCATTCTCCACCTCACTCTCCTGGCTGTGATGGAGGACGCTACTCCAAAAGGACCCAAGCCGATGGCCGCAGAAGACAGCTTTGTTAGATTGGCCCTAGCGGTCTCACACAGCGAGGAGAGTGCAGTCAAGACCATTGTCGATTCTCTTTTCCGCCTGTCAAAGGTCAAAGCTTTCGCATCTTGTGTACCCAAGGTCTTGCATGTTCTGAAGATAATGTCTGAGACGTGGCCGGAAGAATTTGCCAACGCCAAATCAAGGCTATTGCCTGATGAGAAGGAAGAGACCGAGGAGACCACTTCTGCACCGTCCGAGGACAAGGAAGCCAAGAAGAAAGCTGCGCTTGAACGCCAGGCACGAGTTATGGCACAATTCAAAGCTCAGCAAACATCCTTCATGGAGAATCAAGGCTTGGATTGGGAAGCAGATGATTACAGTGACATGGATCAAGATGACGATTTAAGAGAGAGGGCTGTCGAGACCAAAGCCTGCCCCTTCCCCAAGGAGCCTTGTATTCTGTGTCAAGAAGATACCGACGACAGCAGAATCTACGGCACGTTTGCTTTTATCGCGCCGAGCAGGATACTTAGACAAACTCCTCTGGATGACAGGGACTTCGTGAATGAAGTTTTGAATACCCCAGAGAGTCTCGACCAGTCTGCAGACGCTATCAGACCTTTTGGCGTCGCCAGATTCGCAACAGAGACAGTTGGAAAGGTGAACAACGATGGTTCCAAAGGCACGCAAGAGAAGCGAGGTCTCGGCAAAGGCTTTCCGCATGATAGCGCATTCCAAGGTCCAGTCCTTAACAGCTGCGGTCACATCATGCACTTCACCTGTTTTGAACAATATCTAGTAGCAACGAAGAGAAGGCATACACAACATATCTCACGTAACCATCCAGAGCGACCCGACACGGTGGAGTTTATCTGCCCCCTCTGCAAAGCACTTGGCAACACATTCTTGCCAATCATCTGGAAGGAGAAGCACTATCGTCCTGCATCTACTCTTGACCAGCAGCAAAAGACCTTCGACCAATGGATTCTCGATCAGGAAGCACATAGGATTGCTGACGAAGTTGGCCAATTGCCGTCAAGCGTCTTTGTACGCGAAGCCCACATGGATTATATGCAAAAGTCCTTAATCTCCACGCTAGCGTCTTCTTTCCCACAGGCGTCTTCTGCGCATGCCATGGAAGCTCGTTTGATGGATCCGGATTCAGATACGCAAAGCTCCGAAGAAGAGTCAAGATCGATTCTACCCGAGATGGTTCGTAGAGTGGCCAATCAATTTGAGCTCAACACAGCTGGTCTGCCTGGACTGGAGACGCTCGTCAATTTAACACCGAGGCTGGAAAATCTATCAAACTTAGCCAGCAGATTTGATACTCGGCACCGACCTGCTACGCCATCTGCGGAGCTCAAGAGAGCATACAATCGCATCGAGGAGAGCCTAAGTCCGATAGGTGCCTTGAAGCCCAATACCATTGGACTTGAGCCTGGTACCCAATCTTCGACGATCCGCCTGGCTGAAACCCTTTGCAATACCTTGGCCTTCACCGTTTCGAGCATTGAGATATCTTACCGAGGAGTCGCAAGTCCTATGGACGGCGAGACTGGCACTTTCCTTGACACGATTTCGGAACAAAGCATGAAGACTTTACGTATCCTTTCTGAGACCGTCCGCACCACGACTGCCACGGCTGCCATTAAGAGCGGTATACCCGAGTATCTAAGGGAGACCAGAGTACACAGCTCATGGGCCGGTCAACTGAAANAGGTTCTTGGCGATGAGTCTGATGAAGACCCAGCACTCGCATATGCTTCGTTGCTCGGCCACGATTTGTTCACGTTCTTTGCCGGTTGTGTGGTCAACGAAGTACCAATGGGTGAGAATATGCATCACATTCTCAGGCTATGCTACTCCGCAGAATTGATCAAAGTCATCGTTACATTCCTATGCCGCGACTCGGCCAAAAATGCCCAGCAAGACCCTCAATTCGGTAGCTGGGATCTATCAGGGATCAAGCAGTTCCAAAGTTGGTGCAAGGAACAGGGTGCCATTGAATTCAGCCCACATATTTCAGGCTCGCGTCTATCCCAGCAAAGTTTCTGGGATCTGGAGTGGAACACACAGTATCTGAGCAAGTTGATTGACGCGTACGCTCTTACGTTCCTCAGGAAGGCTTTGCTTCTGACTCACATCCATTTCGGTGTCGACTTTGCGAACCCCAACGAGAATCCAGAATTGCCAGAGCTGCAACGTCTGGCCAGGACCCTTCGTCTTCCCTCTCCTCAGGAAGTAGTGACGCAGCTCGGCAATGACGAAGAGTTGCAGATGGTTGCCGCGCGTTGGATCAACAGCGTGCTTGTTAGCACTGCCACAAAAGAAAGATTGCGAACCGACGCCCAATATCTCAGTCACCCAACAATTTTCGAGCTCGTTGGCTTGCCTAAGCATTACGATACCCTGACAGAAGAAGCCATCAAGCGACGCTGTCCTACGACTGGCAAAGAAGTGACAGATCCCGCCATCTGTTTGTTCTGCGGAGAAATCTTCTGCAGTCAAGCTAGTTGCTGCATGACGGACCGCAACAAGGGTGGGTGCTTCCAGCATCGCGAGAAGTAAGTCATAGCAACCTAAACACATTTAGCACTACTAACAGCCACGTAGGNNTGCAGCGGTAACATCGGTATATTCATCAACATTCGTAAGTGCATGGTCTTGTTCCTGCACCATAGTCATGGCAGTTGGTACCATGCGCCTTATCTGGACCGTCATGGTGAGGTCGATCCTACCTTGCGTCGTCACCATCAGCTCTTCCTCAATCAGAAGAGATACGACAAGCTGCTCAGAGAAGCATGGCTTAATCACGGCATCCCTAGTGTTATCTCAAGACGACTAGAGGGTGATATGAACACTGGAGGATGGGAGACACTTTAAGCATATTGCATCAGGAGCATCATATGCATTTGGAGGAGTTACTGGGTGCTTTCATACATAGGTCATAGCAATGAGACTTGAATTGATCAATTTTATGACCTCAGTTCTCTGCCTGTGAACTAAGTCTGTCACAGCGACTCGAGGCAACGATCCAAGGGGATGTCCATGATGCGCTGTGCACCAGCTCTTGCTTACTTAGTTGCTTACTTAGCGGATAATGCAATTAGGTCTCTCTCCTAAGGGTCCTCACCTCAGCTTCAAGAGTGTTGTGTATTAGTATAGCTATACATGTGACAGGCTTCTCAGGGAGAGGGTGGTTGCAGTGTCTGCTTAGAGTACCGGTGCATGCGATGATCAAGCTGTCCGAAACCACAGCCAAGCTCCACAACCACATATGTCATCCATACATTAAACGTACACCGCGGTGTTGTTGTTTCCTCCATGGAAGTCCCCTGTCGTCCGTTTCAGCAAAGTGTCACAAGCATGTCACAAGCATGTCAGAGGCTTGTCAAAATTGTCATTTGGCTATAAGATCTGCACGCTCCGTCTCAGCCCTAAGCGCGTTAGCCCTGAATCCTCCAGATACACCTTCGGACGGTGCTATCCGAGAAGTCTGCGATATTAGCGTCACCGCGCACGCGCCATTACTGTCGTGTGAGGCTGGCTTAATTCTTCTAGCTTTTACGCAATTGAGCGAGGGCTACGCAAGGCAGGTGACGACGTGTGTGTATCATCAAGAGAGCAGGGTAAGATTGGAACGGATGTCGAGGAGGATGCACCAAGCCGGTGGGTGAGCGAAAGCTGCGGCTCAAAAACATTACACACAGAGCCAAGACCCTGGACTGTTAGACATGATCGGCGATCAAACAAGCGTCGGGCCCTGACGGGACTTCTAGACTTGGTCAGCTCAAAATCAGCGAACCATCTTTTCTCCGGAGTCTCTGTCCAGGCGTGTGCCCAGCCAGAATTGCGACAATCGCACAATCAAACACGACGACCCCAATCCCACGCAGATGATTCGGCAGGCAGATTACTCTGCAGGCAGTGGGAGTAGCGCTCCTGCTGGACTCGCACCGCATGCTGTCCAGTCCTCGAATCGGCCTGTTGTGCCCATCGTATCGCAACCCATAAGCAAGCCCATCGAATTACCGCCACAATACCGCCCAAGGAAGCCACGAAAACAAGTCAACGTCGCTTGTCAGCCCTGTCGTAAACGCAGATCAAAGGTGGATCCATCAACAACTTCCCCATCTGCTTGACCCATTGCGGTGACCATGGCATTCTGCGGGAATTCGGTATCAGCCCAGACTGACTTGTCCGTGTAGTGCACGGGCACGGCGCCATGCTCACGATGCGTGGCAGAAGGCAACGAGTGCGTTTTTGATGGACGAAAAGATGCACAAGAACGCAACAGGGAACTTCGAAATGCCGAAAAGGCCCTATCCAAGGTGTTTCGTGTGCTGAAAAAGCTCGAAGCCGGGGATGCTCCGTCGACGGCTGCATTTGCTCAGATCAAACGGTTGGCAGAGAACAGCACCGAGTTTTCTGCATTCGCCCGTGAGCTCTTGAATTTGGATGAGAAGACGAGTGCTTTCGACTTTGCCGGCTTCGATGGAACGGACTCTATTGTGCCAAAGCATGAAGACGAGTCGCGGGGATCAATAAGTTGGTCACATATCTCACCAGCACAGACTGGCGAAAATGAATCTACGGTAGGGCGACCGAGTGCTTCCATCAGAGCGATCACGGCTGACAATGCCATAGCCTCAGTCGTCANNAATCTACAAAGTCCGCCAGATGTTGCCATGAACGAAACTGCATTAACATGTTCACGGACACCTTCTACCAGCACAAACCTTCATGCCGAACAACTGAATGTAGGCTTGAGGTCCGACTTTGGCAATCTGCCATTTTCGAGTGCCATCAAGGCCAATGGCTACCCTGCGCACATCCAACAACAACAACTACAAAATCTCAGCACTACTGCGGAGTATAGCATGCTACCACTCCATTCATTCGAATCCGAGGCACTCGGCAGAGCATATCTGAGTTTCAGGGACGCAACACTGCAAATGATAGCCGATGGAATGCCCGCCCGCGACGTCCTTGGACGACACGATTTCATCAACCTGGACCTTTNNTTCTTCCGCGAGCGTCTGCCTACGGACGGACACTCTGTCAGTACGTTCGTCTGCGAGATTCTGAAGAACCTTGCAAATCCAGATATATACGCAAAACTGGCTACTATAGTCTTGCTAGGACCCTTAATGAAAGTAAGCAATGACCTTTTCTCTCATGCATCCTGCACGTTTCGAATGCTAATGGACGACAGTNGGATCTTGTTTCCCACATCAGAACACTATCGAAAGATACCAGCACTCATGCGACCCCTACCCAGCCAGAGATTTATTCCACACAGCCCAGCCCTCGATTTAGCACCTCAGTAAGCTTTTCATATCACGCTTCCCGCACAGAACCGAAGATCTAACACAACATCCACTCTAGCCNCAGCAATCCGCGGCGTCCTAATGACCGCCTACAACGAAGAATGGCTAACGCCAGAAAACCAAATCACCGCAGCCCCAGTCATAAACTGGCCGCACGAACTCGACAAGGCAGTCTATCACGACCTTACCGCCGGTTGTTTGCGCTTTACAAAGCACTTTGAGGACCACGTGTGTGACCCTAACAATTGGACCTTCTCAAAACGTGTGTTGGAAGTGTTTCCGAGTATACAGGAGCATGGCGCTATCATTGCACCCAGGCCTGGCGAAGAATGATGCTGGTCATCAAAATTTGCGACGGAGAGGGATGCTCGCTGAATTGAAATGGCAATGAAGCACAGGGCAAGAGGCATTCGGTACGATGTCAAGAGAAGTAACGGCCAGCAAAAGGAGACTCAAAACACGAACATTCTTATGGAGGGAAACAACGATCTAGCGATGTTAGCGATTTTTGCGGGACACAAAGTTCCATATCAATACTTTCTATGTTTGCAAGCAGGAATTCCTGAGGGAAGGACCAAAAAGGCATTCCGGTAGTTCCGCTTGACTATATCCTCCAACTGTAGATAAAAATATATATTAATTACTCATCAATTCGCTCAAGAGAGAAGTCAGTCGACCCAGATATTCCCAATGCTCTTTTCTCTACTCAAAAAAGAAACAACAAATTACACCAGCGGTAATCGAAAGAAGGCACGGCTGGCCAAATGACCAAGTCCATCTCCCTCGTCTCATTCGAACAAACTTCGATAGAGATATAGAGATTTGCTAAAGTGACATTGAAAACACGACATGGAAACAAGCCAAACAAATCTTCGGAGATTCCACCGAACAAACACGGAGCTGCCACCGCAGAAAAAAAAAAAGAAAAAAGAAAAGAAATAGCCCCTTGATCTACCTAATACAAGTGCCGAATTGGCGTGTTGCATGTTCATTTTCACATGTTGTGTAACCGGTTTTCGCATGTAGATGTTCCCGAAGAAATGAGACCTGCTGCTAAACGGCAAGAATGATTCCATGTTGACCTGCGTAGGCTGTGGTTAGGAACAAGGACATTGGGCTGTGTCTTTGGCGTGATCATAACCACATAGTCCTCGGACAAGTTTTCTTGTATCATGGTACAAAAACACCTTTATGAGAAACCTACTAAGCACGAAAACACGGTACCACTTGTCGTTTGAGCATGCCGGCCTTTACGTACCAATCAAAGGAGCCAGGACTTGAGCCGTTATCTAGAGAAGATCTTTATAGTCTTCCATGAGAACTTGCCTCATCAGTTCAACCACCGCTACACACCAGAGGCAGACTTGGTCCTCCGCTCTTGCCTCTTTCGTTTTTTCGTTGGCATCTGTTTTTGGACCGTGTACCTGATGAACTTCATTTCTATACGCAGACATAGATGTTGAGATGGATTTATCTATGGACGGCTCAACTCGTCGGCCCCACCCATCGTGCTTGGTTTCTAGTCAGGCGAACAGCGATGTTGGAGTAAGCTCAAACAGCAACAGATAGGTCAAACACCAGGCAGTCGATTCATATGCTAATTGCCAAAACAAGCCAAACAACACTATAAGAGTAAACTCCGTCAAGCGACTTGAGCTCTGCAGTGAACAACCAAAGTCACTTCTCTGGCCAAGGAACTCCATTCCACCGTAAAAGACACAAGAAAACAGCTTTCTCGATTGAAGCAGGCAGAGGTAGCCAAAAGAGGGGTTGCGACAAAGATGGACGCGAAGAAGGAGGCGCGTCATCAACGGAGTAGACCCCGTACAAAAATCACCTTTCGTCATTTTGGCCACCCAAAAACGCTGCCAAGGATGTGTAACCTCAACAGAGGAGCGCGTAGATATGCGACAATTCTGCAATCCAAGATTAGAAGAGGCATGAATTTCGAAATCTCATAGGTGGACCTTCATCTTGCTGATATGCAATCAAGGCGAAAGTTGCACACCTGATGCGGGACTCGTCAAAGGATTGGAGGATTGTTTTCGAAGTGCTTTTGCTTGAGGCTCTGCCACTGCAGCGAGACAAAGGGGTTAGCGCGTAAGTACGCAAAGCTGAAGGCTAGGTTTTGGGGCGACCTTTACATCGGTCATTGCCTCATCCCTTGTGATTTGTGTTTGAACATCGCTGGAATGCGACACGCGCAGACGGCATAGACAACCTCACACCATCCGTCTCAAGTAGCTGGCGCTGTGAGAGAAGAGGAGAAGACGTTTGTGACAGCCATCGAGTGTCCCTAACAGGTTTCGGAGCAGCATCATCCTAGCGAGCCCTCCATCAGGTACAGGTATCGCGCTACGTCATGAGCATAGCAGACGACGACAACTACATCCAAAGTGCAATCGCTGGCCTGACAAAGACACAAGAGTCTGGTGACTCGTGAAGGTATGTAATACGAAGGAACAGGGGCGGAAAGCGCCGGAGACTGACCGACAGGGGACACGTCTTGCTTTCGAGGTCGAGTTACCTGTTGAAATCTAGTTATATTAGGGTATACTGACAAGTAGTCTCTTGTACAAACTGGGTAGCGATTGTCCTGGTGCGCCATCGCTATCGACGAGTTGCAGAGCGACGAGCAGAGCGACGAGCAGAGCGACGACCGGTACGGGGTCAAAGACGCGGTTGACCAAGGGCAAGCCGACGTATTGATGCAGCAAAGGTCTGCAGCAGTCAACCGCTGGACGCCAAACTTAGACGGGCCTGGCTGAGTACTACCGACGTCGAAGCCTTCCTCTTGTAGGTGTTTCAAAACAAATCCGTCCAACTCTTGGATGTTCGAGGCCGCTTCGGACCTAGGCAACACAGGTACTGAGCAACGGACCACAACGATGAGGCGTGATAGCGATATGTGCCTTGACCTCTGTCAGGGTCGAGTGTTCGTGCTCCAGTGCACACAGCCGGGTAAGGGCATAGCTAATGCTTCTATGACTTGTCACAGCAGAACATGTTAATGAGTGCCGAGCAGATAGTGTGTCTCAATGGCATATTGGCGAGGATAGAGTCGACTCTTGTTGTTTGAAGGGTTGGTCGAGCTTCGTCCCTGCAAGAGATACGAGAGAGCAAGATGATGATGGATCAAAGTCGTCTGGGTGCTGATCAGGTGTTGTTGACTAGGTCGGAGATGGCAAGGCGTCTCTTTGGCGAATTGGGCGGCTCAATGCTCTCACTGCCGTCTTGACTGGCACTTCTCGGGTTGTCGCGGCCGTTCATGAGGTCAACTCTCTGGGTGATTTCGCGAACAGGATCGTGGTCGACAGTGGTAGAATCGGAAGGATGGGGGACACTCCGGCCCCAAACGAGTAGGTCCCCGTCCTTGATGAAGGCAAGCGTCGACGATGCATCGTGAGTCCTACGCATGTGGTCGAGGATGAAAATTGCCTCTTGGCGTGGACGGTCCATCAACATATGGACTAGGTCGTGGAGATCGCGCGATTCGGCTTCGAGGTTCTGGTACTTCCGCTTTATGGCAACCATGGGCGTGGCGTCGGGATCCGCTGACCAGGTACACTCGGAGCCTTTGGTGACGCAAACTGAGCAGACTGGACGATGGCCATCGCACNNTGCACGACAAGGTCAGTCGGTCGGTCCTGGAGAGAAGGCTCTGCCTTTGGTCGCTTATGCTATTGCGCCCACAACGTCGAAACATACCTTTGTTTTCCTCCGGCGACAAGCATTGCAAGCAACAGCTATCTGATGCCGCTTGGCCCTGCCCCTGGTTGGCGACTCCTCCTTGGCCGAGCCCGAACTTCTCCTCGAGCTCGTCGCGTTCTTGCCTCGAGAGCGGTCATTCATTGCTCTCGGACATGCAGCACAGAGCCGGCAACTAGACAGGGCCAAAACCCTTCCAACAAGCAAGTGCGTGGAAGGGGCTGGATCTTTGAAGAGAGGGTCAAGTCAAAACGACGAAACTTTGGAAACAACGATAGACGTGTTTTGATTAGGCGATTTGGCGGCAGTGTCGGGGTTGTCAGCCGTCGCCGAAAGATCAGATTTGCTCGCCCAGCACCTCTCAAAGGGCTGTGGTTTTGGCACCGGGAAGAAGCAGAGCAGGCGGCACCTAATGTAATGTCTGAGCGCAGAGACCGGAGAAATGACAGCGATGAGACAATGCGCGCATCATCATGGCATTCTGAAATATCACAGGGAAATTGCACCAAAATGCATGCTTGAAAAGTGCTGTTTCAGTCGAGAGGGAAGCAGCTCCGTTTGATTCCTCTCGCGCCACAATATCAAGCGTTGAGCCGCTTTCCCGTCTGCAGTCTGGCCACCCTCGGCCGTCTTGGACCCACAGAAACTCGGCGTCTCATCCGATGGAGCGCGGCAGCTTGGGCCTTGCTTCGAAGCCGGTGGAGCTCGCTCCGACACATATCAGGAGCTTCTGCCATATGAGCAGTTCATGCTATTCACGACAGTCTGTTCCATATTGAATAACCCTGGCTCATAACAGACAATATCCGTCACGTCGACATTTGCTCTGTCGAGAAAGAAGCTCTGCAAAATGCTCACTGTACCTAAAAATCCATGCCCTCCCCACTTTCCTCGCGCCCTCGCTTCTCAGCAGCTCGCTCTTCCTTCATGATCGCGTTTACGTGATCCCTAAACAGCTCAATGTAAGGCTTGAGACTCGTCTTTTGCCAATCTTGAATCTTGTCGTCAGTGCCTTGCCACGAGTCGATCTCGGACAACAATTGTTGCACAGTCGGAACCTTCTCCGGTTCAAATTCCTCGAACCGCCGGACGTCGATTGGTACACAAACTCTGCCCGTACCCGGATGAATAACGAATGGACTTTTGAGTAGATGGTTGAGCTTCTTCGAGACCTCGGCATCAAGACGTGGGTACGTGTATTCTAGACGGATGTCTTGTTTGGCGTGTACGAGCGTTTCGGGCGTAAGACTTGACAGAGATCCGGAGACGGAAGCCACAGCGTCAATGTCAGCCCATTTCTGTGTACTGCTGCGATGTGGTGTGCTGTCCCATTTTCTTTGTAACGCCGCTGTGAGGCTCTTGTCGGGCAAGAGTTGCAGCAAGTGTGCTGCCTTTTCTGGAGATGCCCAGGGNTCCTGTTCGAGCAGCACGTCGGTCTGGAAGTAGCCATTCAAGATCTTCAAGCTGCGNACTGAGCATAGTGTTAGCATGCGATGAGGCACTCGTTGCTCGGCTCGAACTTACTCCATGTGCGGATGTAAAGGTCTCTTCAGGTTCACCTTCTTGCCAGTCTTGTCACCTCCTTTCAAAAGTTCAAGATAGCCAGCGATTGACCGGCGCTTGTTGTCGTCCATGTCTCTCGCGCGCTTGTCACTGATCCAGGCGTGAGCACCACGTCTACCTGAGTAGACCCACATGATGTGTTTGAAACCAAAGTCGTCTCTTAGCGCCTTGTCTATAACCTTGATGGCCATGGTTATGAACTGCCAGCACTTCTGACAGATGCTGGCTCCAGAACAACACGTTCTGATTTCATCGTAGTCGGTCATATCGATATCAAAGACCAGCTCTTTGGCCAAGGGTTTGAAGGCACTTGCGTTGCGTAGCGTCTTTCTGTCCCGGGGATTTGCAGAGTATACGGGACCGATTTCGAAACGAGTGGGAGTGAGCTGGATACACTGCTTGCGTAGTTCTTCGGCAGAATTGAATGATTGGTAACGGATGTAAGCATCGTTAGGCAAGACAAAGGCCAATTCACGGTTGCTGAAGTCGGTCGTCGTGGTCGGGGAATGGTTCAGCCACTGGAAGAGGTATTTGAACGGGAAGAGTCTTTGGTAGAAAGCGCGCAGGACTTCTGCGTCTTTGCCGACGTTGGTGTTACCAGGCTTTCTGTATTGCGTTAGCTCACGCCTGACCTAGAAGGATCTTGACCTACGGCTCTGGCTGCGAGGATGCTTGAATTTTGGTCTGAGCACTCGATGAGAACTCATCGTCTTCATCCATATCATCNNGTCGTCAAACATGTCTTCCAGCGATGCCTTCTCGACCTCATTGACTGCAGGTGCTGGTGATGCTTGGGCTGTCTCATGTTGCGATTCTACTTGTTCGTCGAGGGCGCCGGATACAGCTTCTTCCATAACTGTGTCGTCGACAGGTGGCGACGATGGCGGATTCGGCGATTCGGCATGAGGCATCTTGTTGTTTGGTATATTGTGGTGTGTTTGAGTAATAGTGTTGATCCAAATGATCCTTGATTGTTGACGACGCGCTCTTGCATCGACAGACGCGCCGCGCAACGCTCGCGTTAGATTGGCCTTTGTGCACAAAGGCTGCATAATTATGCAACATCCTTCTTCCATCACAACTTACGTCCAGCGATACTGGTGTTCTAGATTACCTGCCGGTCATTCTCGTTTGCCTGACGGATGACACCAAGCCCTCCGTATAATAGTCGTGCAATAACAGAGCCTCGAAAGGAAAGGGCCCGGTCGATGTAGCCATTAACAGCTGCCTCTTCATGGATTTTGGAAGGTTGCCTCTGTTCTCGAGCGCACCTTCTCCAGGGAATCTAAGCATGTGCAAGCTGCGATAAACTACGCTTGCTGACACTTCCTTCATGCGTCGCATGCACCTCAAAAGCTGTTCCTGTTTTTCCCTCCATCAACCACGGTAATTCTTTGTGACTTCTCTCATGGCAGACCTGGACCTCGTTCCCTTTGCAGGCTATATCAGCGACGAGTCAGGTTTCTATGGCTCAGTCGAACTACGCAAGAACCTCGATACACGCAGTCAGAAAATCAGCAACAAGCAGCTTGTTCAGCGTTGGAACAAGGATCAAGCAGCATATCCTGCCGCCGTCTCTGTCACGACCACACCGGCAGAGCCTGTCATTCATTACAACAGACTAGAAGGCGTCACAACAGCTCGACAGCTGACCGAAACAGTGGATGAGTTTGTCAAGCGCCTTCCACCCAGAACTACTTTCATGAAACCGTGGATCTGGATCACATGTCCTATAGTCAATGGCAAAGGCAAGATAGCGGCATTCCGACACAATCTAGAGCAGGAAGAATCACCAGAGCAAATGACGAACCGCGCTCATGCTTTGTTAAGCCAATTTGCTGCCGAAAAAGAAAGAATCACCAGTGCCAATCCAAACTCGACGCAATCAACCATCACGAGAAAGCTAGGATCTCTACGTGAGCAACTGAAAGAAGACATCCTCGATATCGCGGTAGCCAGTGGAATGACTAACGGCAAGGTAAGCAATCTCTCAAATTCACAAAGCACCATTTTGCGATCTTCAAAAGGCACAATGGTTTTCGCATTGAACAAGGGCCCATTGAGAGCATTATCGTCGCAAGCTCTCTATGGCAACGATGCTTGTTTTTGAAAATACTGTGACTATTATCATGAATTTTGATTTACTGACATCACGATCTAGTGGATGCTCTTCCCAAAACCAGAAGATGTCAACAGGGTGTGGAAGCTCGTCGCCGAAGCTGTTGTTGATGGCAGACTGGGTGATACTGCCAAAATCGCACCAGCGGATCCGCCTGACCCTTCTGTTCAGAAGAAGAAGCAAACAAGTCATCTGATTTGTGTGTACACCAGAGACTTTTCTGATCTCGACGATGGCAGAAGAGTGCTCGAAGAGCTGATTGAGCTCGGCCTCGCTCCGCGTAATGCTGCCGACGGTGCAATCTACTACAAGGCTGACGCATACACCTACCTCAACATTGATTCTTCAAACCCCTATGGCCTTAAGGCTAGCCTTTACTCCAGCAAAGACATTGCAAGTCTTTCGAAGACCGAGAACCAGCCAAAGAGAAAGCAGCAGACCTTGACCACTATGCTTGGTGGCAGGAAGAAGAGAAAGACATGAACGGAAAGAGGGGCCGGATGCTCGCTATTGTTCGCTTGACAGGGCTTGTTATGCTTCCCACCTTACCGTACACTTGCTTACCACTACATAACATCGCAACGCAATGCAGGGAGACTTGCATGTTGTATGGCAATTGATGCTGAGCTCAGCCAGTCGTAAGACACGACAAAGTTGCTTCCTGTACTGACTAGAATCAAACCTGACTTTTGCAGTCTTTTGCAGGGATTTCTACCATTTCCATTGCGACAGCTCGTGCTGCCGTGGTATACCTACATATTACTCTCGTTGTTTGGCAGTTCACGTGTTCGCTCCATACCTGGCTACACACAAGGATTCTGCTTGCGGCAATTGCGGTCAACATGCTTCTTCTATCGAGTAAAGCAATCGAATAAATATCGAGTAACACATCCAGAACCCAGGCGATTTCAGGATCAACAGCAAAGGCTAAACAGGCACGTTATTAGAGCTTCTCCGGCCATCTCCGCTCACCAGGATTGACGACTGCCGCATCGTTCAGCTTGCCAGCCATGGATGCTTCCTCGAGCACGCTTGTAAGACAACAGCGCGATGCGTTCACGTCTCTATATATACCGACATGTGTTTCCTTATCGTCTACCAACCGTTCCATCATCTCTTATCTGTGGCCGGAATGCTAAACTCAAATCACCATTGCCGGTCGGCTCCGACATTAACCCGGGCTCGACTTCTCTTATCAGCGCGGCCAGCAGCAACGCCGGTCCAACGCTGCACGCGCCTCTTCACGGTAACCTTGGCCTGAGTTTCTATCGAGTAATTCTCTCGGTTCAATGGGATGTGCTGGCCCCCGGAAGGCAAGTCAATGGCCGGTTCTGGTGAGCAGTCTGCTCCTTGCCTCGGCGAAGGCCTCTGTTGCTTGTTGGCTTTTCCAAAGCCTCTGCGCGTGCCGTTGTCTAGAGTAGAGGCATGTCATGTCGAGCGGGTAGGCCCTGGCGGCGGCCCTCGAAACACCTTTATGTACCCCATACAATAAGAGCGCCCTACCCCAGATCTCTCTTGCTCTCTGACATCTTTCCTCCTCTACTCTTCTCTTTTCCCCCTGGTTCAATCTACCTTACAATCTATTGTTCATTATCCCCCCACTTTCGAGTTGATCTTGTAGCGATAACAACAGTCAAACACGCCCGAGCGGTTGCACCAGACACATACCTATACAAAGACCCATCCTCCAACCCCAAAGAAATGGCACCTCATGCCCCCTCTCCTGCTGCCCAATTGGGGACCGCTTCGCCAACACCTACACAAGCACACTCCGACATTACCGTCCTAGCGTCCTCTCGAGCAGTGATCAAAGGCCGCCTTACAGCCGCAACGATTGTCATGTCAACCGCGACAGGCAAGATCCAGTCGATCTGGGAGTCAGTGTTGCCCGCCTCGTCGTTCCCCGCTGGAACCNCCTATGTCGACCACTCGCCGCAAATCTTGATGCCAGGATTGGTAGATGCACACGTGCATTTGAATGAGCCTGGAAGAACAGAATGGGAGGGCTTTTGGACAGGCACACGGGCAGCTGCGTTTGGTGGTGTAACGACGGTGGTCGATATGCCTCTCAATGCTATCCCTCCTACAACAACGGTTGCAGGATTCAAAGAGAAGATTGAGGCTGCACAGGGCAAGTGCTGGGTTGATGTTGGCTTCTATGGCGGCATCGTGCCTGGCAATGTTGAAGAATTGAAGCCATTGGTGAAGATGGGTGTTCGAGGCTTCAAGGGTTTCCTCATCGACAGCGGTGTATGTATAGCCCATGATTGGGAACTCAGCATGCACAAAATAACAATCATCTAGGTCGAAGAGTTCCCCGCCGTGTCTTCCGAGGACATCTCGAAAGTTTTCCGCGAGCTTGGTGACGAGCCCACGACAGTCATGTTCCACGCAGAAATGATTCCTCCGGTCACAAAATCTGTCGGCGACGACGTACAAGCCTCAGACNCCCCATGGCTCCCACCGGTCCTCTGGACGTATACCAAACTTTCCTCGACTCGCGTCCTTCAACCTTCGAGACCTACGCCATTCTGGAGATTCTGAGTTTGGCACACCTGGCACCGCAACTGCCTTTGCACATTGTGCATTTGTCAGCTGTCGAGGNCCATCCCTATGTTGCGTGAAGCACGCGCCAAGGGTGTCAACATTACCGCAGAAACATGCTTCCACTACCTCTCGCTAGCAGCAGAAGCCATCAAGAACGGAGACACAAGACACAAATGCTGCCCGCCCATTCGCAGCCAGAGTAACCAAGACGGTCTCTGGCACGAGATGTGCAGACCCGACGACAGCGTCATCAAAACCGTAGTCTCTGACCATTCTCCCTGCACGCCAAACCTCAAACTGCTGCCTGCAAACGTGCCGGGCGCCATTGAGACCACCAGCAAAGACGGCGAAGGCGATTTCTTCTCCGCCTGGGGCGGTATCAGCAGCGTAGGCCTGGGCATCAGTGTTCTGTGGACCGAAGCCGCAGCCCGCAACATCACCATCGAAGACGTGGTGCGTTGGTGCTGTCTCAACACTGCCAAGCAAGTTGGTCTCGAGCACCAAAAGGGAGATCTTGCTGTTGGTCTTGATGGCGACGTTGCAGTCTTTGACGACGAGGCTGAGTTTATTGTTCAGCCGAATACTATGCTTTTCCGCAACAAGTGCAGTCCTTATCAGGACAAGACACTCAAGGGTGTTGTCAAGGAGACTTGGCTTCGTGGCCGCAAGATCCACACTCGCGATCAAGGATTTGTCGAGAAAACTGGTCCTGCTGGGCAGCTTCTGCTTGAGCCCAGAGTCAAGGCTTGAATGCTGGAGGCATGATCCGCTCATACAAGGTTCTGCATATGGGGATGGGAAGATTTTGTCGCATTTAAGCATATTCTTTCCTGGATCACTTGAGCGATATACTACAAGCTGTTTGAGATACATGAGTTGCATCTACGCATCACGTTCATCGAATCACATATTCCCCTTTCTCTGAGTTGGTTTAGACACCTCTTGTTGTTGCTCCCCTTTAGTTGTCTATCGTGCCTTCTGTTTTCAATTGGTTGTGCCTTCCATCTTTGTTTGGTTGTTCCTTCCACCTCTATCCACATCTGATCCATCGTGTCTTCCTCTGCTATCCTGTGGTGAGTCCCTTCCTCGTTCGATCTCTTTCCTTCCTGATTGGGTTGTGGCACTCTTTCTTTCTAGAAGAAACTCACCTGGAAGCAAGGAAACCTGAGAAGTTGATGGCTATATCACATCACCATGTTGTTCTGCTCCATGGTTCCGAGCATTAGCAGCTATTCGTAGGGTGATGATGCTCTCTGTTCGGTAGGTCACCGTCCCTGAGAGCTCGTACGAGCAGGACTCTCCATCACTGAGATCTTGCGATGACGTGGTGTTGGAAGTCATGATAACAAAGCTTTCTGGGAGGTAGACGGGCCCTTTAGCAGGCTGATTCACGTGAAGTAAAGAAAACGGAAGTTGCAGAGGATCATAATTGATTTGGAAAGTGAAATCTTGGCATGAGCGAATAGACAGTACTGAAGAGTATAGAAAGCTAAACATTCCTTGCGTGCCCGTAAGGCAGCTGATAGTAACACCACTTCATGCAACCGTCGCTGTGCGCGAAGCCGAACCCAAAACGCCATATCCCAGCGGAGTACATCTCACGCTTTTCGCTTGCTACAAACACAGAACAGAGAGAAGGGGTACAGAAACTCGGACTAGAATCTCAACGTGGCTTTGTCGAGATGTCTCAGTGCCTGGACGTCGCGCGCAGCGTCGTAGCCCATCTTGTGCACGGGAATGTCTTGAGGACGGCCACCGATAGGGCTGCGGCTCGCGGGGCGGCCAGCATTGAGTGACTGTGGGTTGCTCGTCTCGTGGATAAGAGAGCTGATGCTTGGAATAGTAGTACCACCACTGACAGGAGGCAGAGTGGCAGGAGGCAGTTTGGTGGACTCTGTGGGAGCGCCTGCAGCAGTATCTCCCAAAGATCTCGGGCTCGGAAGAGGGGGAGGAATAGTCTTTCTAGAGTCGTTGGCCAGAGCAGGGTCGATGGAGGGTTGTCCGTGACTAGGAGGACGTGACGAGCGATCTTGGAGAGAAGGACGGTGGGCGTGGTTGATCTGAGGCAGAGGAGGAGGGTGGTTGTGGATGGGAGTGAGTTGCGGGTGATGATGATGGTGATCAGGCGGCGCAGGAAGCGCGTTATTGGACAGTGGAGCAGGCGCGCGGTCGAAGGCAGTAAGCGGAGGAGGGTAGTGCTGGGCGTGCTGTGGAGGGTATTGCGAAGGATGGAGGTGGTGCATGGGCGAGTGGTAGGCACCGTAGGGCGAGTAGTGCGGCGGCGGAGTGTGCATGGGGCTCGGGGGAGCCCAGCCGGGATGGGGATACGACATGGGACCATGTGTGTATTGCGGTCTTGCGTAGGGAGCGCCAATGTTTGCAGACTGATGAGGAGAGTTGGCAAAGGCTGGGCTGGTCATGGGGCCTCTTGTGACGGCGGGGATGGCGTTCTGTTCGTGGACGGTCGACTCGGGGTACATGCCCTTCTCGGGACGGATGTGACGCAGCTGAGGGTCGCTGGAAGGCTGCTGCAGGTTTTGCGAGACGGCGGTAGAGCGGGCGAAGTAGCTGATGAGATGCAGGTGCTGGCCGTTGGATGTCGTGATGCTGAACGACTGCTTGATCAGGCCGTCGGGCTTGTAGCGGTAACCGTCAGGACCATCATCCGAGGCGTCGTGGTCTTTGGCAGCGGGCGCCTTGGGTGCGGCGTTGAAGGTGCTGCCGCCGCGCTTGCCCTCCATCTCGCGGTATGTAAGGAAGCTACCCGACACGCGACTTGCACTCCATGACTTTCCGTCCGTCCAGCGTCTCATGCCAGCCTCGCGCTCGTCCCACACAAAGACGGAGCCGGACTTGATCGAGAGTCTTTCCTTTTCCGACAGGCGGCGCTGTACTCTGGGCAACAGACCAATCCTGCATGCCTCGAAGAGTAAGATGGCATCTCCTGGTGTTCGCACGTGTCCGTAGTATGTCTCCATACTGGCTAATGTCTTGCCTGTCGAGGCGAAGACAGGTGTTAGTTGAAAAGAAAGATTGTTGGCGATGATCGAAGAGTGTGGGTCAGTCTTAATGATTTTAGCACAAGCTGCAAGGGCGTGGGTGAGCCAGATCTTCAAAGTGGTAGGTGTGAAGGAAGAAAGATTGGAGGAAAGAAGCAGAAGCAGCAGCAGGCAGAAAGAGCAAGAACAAAACGAGTTGGCCAACAGGTGCGAACACGAAGGGAATGCCCTGCGCATGCGCTTACTGGCCCTTCGACTAGCTTCGCTTTGATGAACCACCAAGACACCAAGAATTGCTAAGGCCACACGCTAAACCCTCTTTCCTACCCCAGTTTTGGCCTGGCTGAGAGTCTCGACATGCGCCCTCGCGAGAACTGTTCGTTTTTGTCTGCGTTCTTCGTATGTCCCGATGGCCGGAGAATTGTTCAACATGCCCTGCTCAAGAACCTCGTTTCTTTTCGCCACTGCAGCCATCTACAGTCTCTTCTGTCTTTCCAGAGGAGTATGCTCGGTTCGCCGGCTACCTTGACCTGCCCTACGTGGGCAACGTTCAAACTAGCAATGTACTTAAAATTAACGTTAAAATGGTGGATCGACTCGTGTCGACATGTTTAAGCGAACTCTGGAGGGGATGCGAGTCGCTCCTTCGCAAAAAGTCACCATCTCTCTGTTTGTCATCCATTCGCTGTCGCACAGCGGCCACATGAATCGCTCTTTTTTAAGCCCTAACGTGCCATTACAATCCGCAACTCCGATTGCTGCCAGTGATCCCCGATGCTCCTTACTGCACTCCACCACCTCTGTCTGATAGGCCAAGCATTCTTGACCTCGCGCTTGGCGGCCTGTCTCGATCATAGCGCACCCTGGCGCCGATCTCGACGAGACAGCTAAGTCACAAGCCAAGGATGGCTGTGCAAGAGCGACAAGGCAGGCCAAGCACCCGTCTCCACCCCGACGATGGGGAGTATCTCAATCTGGCTGAACCACCAAGAACTAAACGTCGCCGTGCATACCCGTCATGCCACGCCCAGAAGGACAAGAGCTCGATTTAAGAGTTTGGAGGCGTCTTTGTGGCACCGCACTAGGGGTTCGCCTTTTCCTGCGTTGGATCGTCGTCAAATCAAACGACGTCTCCGTCTTCCCGGATCGCCAGTGGACAGAATATCCTCGACCATTTCCAATGTCACAAAGTGAGGACGTCGGCTGGCCACGTAAGCATTCCCACCAAGATCCTTCGCAAACATCCCAGAGAATCGATCTGCTTGAAACTCTTGATCTTATGGGTGATGACAGCCAAATCAAAACCTAAAATGGCATGTCACCATCTGACCTAAGGCATCCAACAGGGTTCCCGCCCCCAAGCCCGTACAAGATCCAATAGATCTCGGCACTCTTATCAGCTCGGGTTGTGCATACACACTGAACGCTTTAGTGCTTGGCCTCCTGCTCCTTCCGAGCCCACTCAAGCGCGAAGAGTGGACACTGCAGCAATTCCAACATTCTTACGAGAGCTCGTGAAGCTTTTTCTCTCAGTCACGATTGACATCCCGTCGTCTGGTAGGGAGTCACGTCATGTGTCGCATGAAGTTGATTTTGGGTTTGTGGTCTGGTCTACGTTATCAAGGATAGAGTCGAAATTAAAGAATCCGTCCACGAGGACGGGACAAAGCTTGGCTCCACGCATTGTACGAAGGAGCTAGTATCGAACCCTAAGCGCCACAGAGACCCAGCCAGCCCACGAAAACGGGCAAGTCTTACCACGCACCCCCCTTACCTTTGGCCGAATGCTGAGATATACTTTATACAGGTCTCAGAGCCGGGCTTTCCAATTGCGGCCGTGTGAGCGAGGGAAGAGTGCGATGTGGAGTGGTAACGATTATTGACTGACGTGCCTCATCCGTTTACCCTCATATGACATGGATCACACCGCTGTATCGAAAGGTAGAGTTGTGTGTCGGAACAGCCTGGCTGCGTGTAGCTTTTCCCGGTACCGCATGCTTCTTGTCGTGTGTTGGATACACGAAGGAATGGAACAACAAACGCCGCAGTACGGAACCTCTCGGGCTCGAAAGCAAACACCGCCTACCACCAACGAGGCACAGAGAATCGGCCCTTATGCTTGATCATCCATTGAGATGATCTGGGTTCAGCGCTTCTCATCGCCATACTCTCTTGCTAAGTTGTAGAAACTTGGGGAGTGGGATGTACTGTACGTCTTTGCTTGACAGCTCGACCCGAGAGAGCCTCACAAGGTACAGGTACGTATTTTCTCCGTGTGCAACCCACATACTTCCGCCCCTCCACTCTATCAGCTAGCCGAGAACGTTCTTTTCAAGCATAATTCCCCAGCTGCTGTGCACGCAGGCACGGCGGGGATAGTCAACGTTAGGGCTGTTGTGGTCAATTCCATAAGGCCCTTTGTTGAACGAGAAGACTGCATATTTGTATGTCTCTCACGTTGCACTCCGAGTCTTTCTCTCCTCTGATGAAGTATTCTGTAGAACGTTACGCTGCAGTGCGGACTCCGGGGATATGGGCCGTTGGTCTCGTGTTTTGTTCCCTTTTGTTTTTTTCATCGCTGAGATCACAGGATTGACTCCGTGTTTGCCGGGTGCTTGCACGTGGTACTTGATCCAACAGCTGCCTGCGTGTCAGATCTACGATTTTGACACTGCAGCCGGAAAAGCTAGAGTATCTTTCTTATCGAACTCTTTCTATGCCGTGCGCAGAAGGCTGTAAGCAAGGCTGCCCAATGATGGGCATAGGAAGCGGAAGGGAGTGTGAGGAGAAGCAGAATACAGCAGTATTCCCGCTGATGGAAAGAATCAGATTTGGTTGTAGGAGAAAGGCCAACAGGGCCGCGTCATGTTTCATCTATGCAATGATGAGCCTTTTCAAGCACGTGAAGCTCTGCCCGAAGAAGTAGCCTTGTTTTTGGCCTGTCCATCCATGTTCCAGAATCTGCTCTTGTATGCAGGGAAGGAACTTTGGTTCCATGTGTTGACCAGCAAGCTNGTTCGTAATGTACAGTCAGCAAAAAGCTCTACGGCCAGGATGATGTCGCTGTGTCCCGAGATGTTGTGTGAAGGGCATGAAGAAGGGAAGAAAACGCACTTCTGTGTCCTGTCTGCAGATTCCTCTTCACTGATCTCCTTGACGCCGACTTTCATGCCGTCTTTTGTGAACATGACGTTCTTCTTCTCCATTGTCTTTTTCCCTTGNTCGGCGAGATCGTTGGTCCAGAGGTACATCNNTTCGAGCTGTGTCAGTTGCCATTGCGCGTAGGCGGAAGTGGACAAGGGAGGTCTGACCTGGTAGCCGACGAAAGCGAATGCGCCAACCACGACAAAGAGGATGATGAGGGGAAGCAGATTCCAGATGGCACCCATGATTGCGGTCGCAGTGTCGCGGCGGATGCGCTACGGAAGGTGTGCTCAGGTAGGCGGCGAACGGATCGCGGCGGGTGACAAGACGCAAGTCGCCGTTGGTCTGCAAGAAGAAAGACACGAGTGAAACTTGAAATAAGTCGTGAGATTGCGAGTCGTATTCCTGAGATTGAGAGCCCACTAGGGTTGCGTATTCGTCAAGCGCCGAGCGCGACTCGTGTGATGAGGAAACACCAGGCCCGTGCACGCGGATCACTGGAGATGCATAAATATACAGTTATTCTTTGATCATCGAGACGCCTGTGCACTTTCTTCTACATTCACATTCGAGAAGGCGGTTCAAAACGCTCAGCCTCGTTTGGAGCCGCCATGCTCACCAACTGATACGAACTGTAAGGGCCAACGACTATCTAACAGTCTCGCTCTTGTCCGGAAGGTTTTTGTTTGGCGTCGTGAACATGAGCTGAAAGTAGTCCAGCTCGCGTGGTCAGCCATGGTCGGCATGCCACTCCTATTTTGTATGTACAACCGCCACTTTGTAAAATCCTCTGATTTCCTCTCAGCCACCAACTTCTCTATTGACAGTCTGTTGCAATGGTTCTCAGCAGGTACTTTGTGTAAGCTCTTGTATCGCAGCAACAACTCTGACGAGCTGTATAGACCAGAGCGTTGTGATAGATCCTTGGCTCCTCTCAAACTAGAGAAGTTGCTGCTTTGTGGTTATTGAAAGTACAAGAAAGTTAGCGGCTGGATCACTGCCCACTTATGGTTTCGCTTTCGGCTGGAAGCTTGATTGGTCTCAAACTATCATGCTTCCTTGATAGCCTGTATCAATGTTCGATCGCAATGTCATGTCGGATCCCAGGAGCCAAACGCGTACTCATGTGCCAGGCACAAACTTGTCTTTGCGATCAGACGAGATGAGGAGAGCCTGCTCCAATCCACACTCTTTTGCTATCTTGGCAAGACGGCCATAGATATACAGCCACTGGTCCTTTGATATCCGTGGGCAACTTGAGGCTGCGTGGAGAGGCCAGATTAGCGAGTAACCACCTATCAAATCGACTATCGTGTCCATCTGATCCGGTGTTCGTACTGCCTGCTTTCCCATTCCCAACAAGAATGGAACACTCGAGCAAATGTCGTCGACAGTGCGTTGTTCGATCCACCGCGTATGGATGTAGCGGTCATCCATTGGATAGTCATATGGTCGAAGCCATTCAAGTCCGTTCAGAATCACCTGCGCACACAGCATGTGGCACGAGTGTAGCTTGTTCAGCACGCCAGCCTTGTGTCCGTCGACGAAGGCGTGAACAGGGCCTACCCAGGCATCCGCGTTAAGAGGGTCTGCTGGCTTCTCTGGTATGTAGTCGATCGTATAAGGTAGCCATTCATCAGACAACGATGCCGCCCAGTTTTGCATGGTCGCTTCCAGATGACAGGCTCGTTCCATCAGCACTTCCATGTCTGCCATGCTCTCGGCATCCCGTTGTCGCTCACAGACACGTCGGGTCTTTTCCATCAACGACGGAAGCTCGATGGTACAGTGAGTGAGATAGGCCAGTGGATCATCCTCGGTTGTATCGCATAGCCAGTTCATCCCTGCCTCGAGCTGTTTGCTAGGCTTGCCTTGTCTTATGCAGTTGATGAGCACAAGAGTTCTCGCTGCGCGGAAGAGCGCCAGACTTTGCTCGTTCTCGAGTTGTTCCATCCCTCTGCTTTGGACAATGGCACTAGCACCGTCTACGTGATTTGACCATGCATCAATGGAATGATTTGTAGCTTTTATAGACNNTGTCGAGATTGGTCAGTGATGGATCTTCCTGTAGGACTACGCTTCGAGACTTACCTCGTAAAGAGACAATAACAAAGTTGCTTGCAAAGTCTCGTCTGATGTTGCTTGCATTGGATCTTGGAGGGCCCCAGCAGCAATCCGCATAGCCTTGCCATAAGTATCGGCTGCGCGGTAATGCAAATGCTCCTGATTCGGTAATTGAGAAATAGCACACAGTGCTGCTGCGTGAGTAGCAGTCTGTAGCAACGAGCCCTTTGCAGCATTGCTGTACATTGGAGCCAGGAAGGGAAGGAATCCACTGACGGTATCTTGAGTTCTGTACAGTCGAGCAAAGTTTCTAAAGTACACCTGGACGACTTCTTCTTCTATAGAGAAGGTAGGCTGCTGACAGATAGTCGTCCTGGCTGCAAGTCCCATTTGTGAGAGCCCCTGCCTGAGCATTATCTGGTTGTGCGGACTTAACCCTAGATGAGAGTCGATGAAGGTGATTGGCATATCGGTCGAGACATCTGTCTTATCGGCCTTTGCACGTGCTATCGCAGTTCCGTTCTTGCTACTACAGTATAGTGTGTCAGTCCTAAATCGTACATGGCTTGCGAACAGCACTCACCTTGTCGAATCAGGAGATCTGGATGCTCGCGGCTTTCTTGCTTTTGTGACTCTACCGGTCACTTTCTCTGTCTGGTTCCGGAAGATATAGTCTGCTTCATCCTTGTAGCCCAAACATACTCGCGAGCTCTTCTCACATTGTGTGCATGTTGGTCGACCTTCATCGCANCTATATTTCTGTGAGTGACTTGCATAATAAACGGAATCCTGCTTACCCACTTTGATCTTTCGCTTCTTACACGTGGCACAACCTCGACTTGGCTTGCTTGGTTCAGTCAGCTGAAGTGTTTCTATATCTGTTGTTTTCTGTCTTTCTGCCTTACCCCCGTACACCATGCTTGCTGGTCGAAGCGGGTGATACACAAAGCGACAAGAAACGTATAGAGAATCACACCTGGGGTTCCTGCAGAACTACACACAATTGCTGCCTAGATGACCAAGACAAGGACGCAACTGCTTGGAATTTTCAGGGATGTTATTTGCATCAATCTCACCTGGGAACCTTCGTACTGAAGTCATTCTCGCAAGCATTTCCTTTTGGGTTCGGCTGGTCTTGAAAAGTGTCGGAGCTCGGAGACCGTGATCGCCGACTTGCCGTACCGAGCCTTCCGAGGACCTTATCTTTCTCGAACACGTTTAGAGCCAAACATCTCTCTATCTGATGTATAAAAGCATCTTCCCCGGTCACAATACGGAAAGACTCTTCGAGTTGAATAGGAATACCGAATCATCTGTTTTCTTGACTGCTGCCAAGGCATGAAGATCCTCATGGAACATCACCGGTATGCAGACAGCACAGCACGCTCGGACAAATGCTGATGTCAAGTCACACGACATGATTGCTGCGAGAGGCGTTTCTCCTGCTTGCCAGTTGCTATAACGTTCTCATGCATCTCGTGTTCTGGCAAAAAAATTGCTCATGAGCAAGTGGGATACGTCCGAGCTGGTTTTGTATTACAGTAACAGCCAGATGGCTAGGCTTTATATGCGTATGCACAACTCACAATCTACACTCCACCACGCATAACTCTACCACCAAGTCATTGAAATGAGCCAGGAAAATTATGAATCAATAATACTTGACCTTACTACGTAACCTAGTGTAGAAAGTACTTAGATCAAATAAGGTTCCGCTATGTAATAGCAGATAGAAGATAGTAATTAGAATCTTAATTATAATGCGCCCGGAACGAATTCTTGAAACAATAATAGTAACAAACCTTATTAAAAGTTAGGTATAGCTTTCCTACTTGTGCCTATAAATCCTATTGTTTACCCTGCTAAAACCATTGTTCTTACGGGCCTTAGAGGGGTAAGCGGTACCAAAGCGGAGACTCGGTACATGTAGTCCGACTGGGCCCTCAGGTTAACTAGGGATGCCGCTACATTCTCCCGAGGAGTAGAACCACAAATTGAATCCTTCGCCTGGTAGATCAACAGGTGGATTAGGCACTATGCAGGATGCAGGAATGTGAGTACCAGTATTCTAGGCAGCAAAACTCGCTGCTTCCCTTATCCTTTGTTCTCCTATCATCTCATCCGATCGACGATCAGTGTGATATGGAGTCGTAACTGGTCAACACAACTGACGATTCGATATGGAGCGGCTGTGTTTCTTTGCATATTGTGCTTGGTGCTATTCTTGCGCATAAATGCTGGTCCTAAACCCATCGGGCTCAAACCAAGACTTCGCAAGCTTGTGGAAAGCCGCAATGATGCCAAAGAGTTCGGTGTAGAACATGCATTTCCTGACATAGGAATCGTCATGGCAAAGACTCGACCTGAAAATGTCAACTGGCTACTGGATCTTCACCAGGACTTGCCATTCCGGCCTTTCATCTACTCTGTAGATTCGTCTGTCGAGCCTGGTTGTCTGGCCCCTCGTTCAGGAAGAGGCAGAGAGACTGCAGCATACCTGTCTTACATCATCGACGACTACGATTCGCTCCCAGGATATTCTGTATTTATCTACGCAAAGGATGAGCAATGGCACAAAGATGTTCTCGGACAAAAGGCACCAGACACGATCAAAGCCCTTCGCTTTCAACACATCAACGCCACTGACTTTGTCAACCTACGCTGCACATTGTTTCCTGGATGTCCACTTGGGCTAAATCCTCTGGATCCTCCCGAGCAGGACATCCGCAACAAAGACACGAGAGCTTTCTTTGCGGAGATATACATGGAGCTATTTGACGTCACGCGCGAGAAGGTACCAAAGCATATTGGCAACGTCTGCTGTGCACAATTTGCTGTCACTAGATCTCGCATCATGCGGCGGCCAAAGTCAGATTACGAAAGGATGCTCAGATGGACTGACCAGACTCAACAAGCTGACTTTGCTGTGGGCTGGCTGTTCGAGAAACTGTAGGATATCGTTTTCGGGATGGACGCGATAAAGTGAGTGTACATTTTCTGAGCGCTCTGGGTTATTACTAACGTGCGATATCTCAGTTGTCCCGACTATGAGCAGTGTCGCTGTGATATGTATGGATGGTGTGGACCCTTGTCCTCAGGGAAAGTTCTGAGGCCTAGCTTCACTTGAGAGGCCCAACTATTCTGTCGTCAACTCCTGCATGAATTACGAGACCAAATCCGAACACATCGAAAAGAAGGCTGCTATCCTAGTTACGTCCATCACTACAGGTCATGGTGCTTTTGGGCAAGGCGTACGCGCCCGCCTCGAGCAAATATGCCAAGAAGTAAAGGTGACAAGGGTAGACGAATTCGAATGGACTGACCGTGGCATCAGTTTGAGGGACTCTCTTGTCAGATTAGGGGACTCGGCCAGCGATCCATTATCTCCAAGTGAAGAGCTCATGGAATTAGCTCGTCGTGAATGTTGCTACCATTGTCTAGACACATCCTGAAGGGTGAGAGCTTGGCCCATCCTTGTGAGACGTCAAGTTGGATAATTTGCCAGCAGTACAGCAGTGACAACGAAACTAGCTTCATCATCCAATTGTTCACCTCCGTCCTCCAATTTATGTGATGTCGTCCAGACATGGTGACGAAGATGGAAGGTGCACCCGAAGTTTCGTGGGGCTCGGAAAGCATGTTCCCGAGCCGAACGAAATCAACCATGATCTTATCACTCGACCGTTTTCTGCAACATCATCTTCTGAACTAATGTCACCTTGATAATTTAATCTTGTCGCCTCCTGGACCTACTCATCATGGGTATCACCGAAGGATGGAAAGACAAAATGGCTTGGCCGCGACTGGTCGCGTTCATGGTCATCTTGTTTGTTCTTCTGACCACTGTGAGCTCCGTGATGAAGAGGAAAGAAGCTTTCAACCTTCCAGCAAACGGCCATCCAGGAGACGAGAAGCCACAAGAAGATGTAGCAGTCAACACATGGTGTCCAGTGCCGGAACTGCCCACTCCAATCCAAGACGGCTTGGTTCAGCTGGCCGACTTTGGAAACAACAAGGACTTGATAAAGCAGCAGGTTGAACGCCTCAGTGCTGCTGTCAATATTCCATCTATCTCGTATGACGACAACGACGATGTGGATAAAGACCCGAGGTGGCATGCTTTTGTCACTCTGCATGAGATTTTGAAAGCCCAATTTCCAAAAGTGTAAGCGAACACTACAAAGATCACTGAAATCAAACTGACAATGCATGCAGGCNATGAAAAGATGAATCTCGAAATAGTAAATAGCTACGGTCTGCTTTACACGTTACCTGGAAGCTCTCATCACGAACTGAAACCGCTCGTTATTATGGCTCACCTGGATGTTGTACCAGTGCCGGATCCGACAAAATGGAGTCACCCTCCATTTGAAGCATACTTTGATGGACAGTGGCTATGGGGGAGAGGTACTGTTGACTGCAAAGGCGTTCTCATTGGAGTTTACAGTGCCATGGAACGACTCCTCGAGCAGGACTTCAAGAACAAACGTACTATCATTCTATCATTCGGATTCGACGAAGAAACCGGTGGTTTCAGAGGCGCCAAATACTTGGCTGCAAATCTGAAAGAGAAGTACGGCGATAACAGCATAGAAATGATCGTCGATGAAGGTGGTGGGATGACGCCCAAAGTCGATGGCGTGACTTATGGATTGCCAGCGATTGCAGAGAAGGGTTTCCTCGATATCATCTTGACTCTCAACACTCCAGGTGGCCACAGTTCTGCACCGCCCAAAAACACAAACATAGGCATCATGTCACGGCTCATCGCAGCAGTGGAAGATCACCCTTTCACTCCTCATATCGATGAGCACAACCCTTTCTGGAACTACCTAAAGTGCGAAGTCGAAAACTCGCCCAAAGCAGCAGAGCCCTGGCTACGAGAAGCGTTGGAGAAGAATGAAGACTTTGCAGACAGATTGATCGAATCTCGCGGCGGCTATACTCGCTGGTCAATGCAAACGTCGCAATCGGTAGACATCGTGAACGGTGGCATCAAGGACAATCAACTGCCAGAGAAGTCTGAAGTAGTTATCAACTACCGCGTCCTCCCAACCGACAAGATAGACGATGTCTTGAAAGCCGTCGCTGAGGTTCTCGCTCCTCTCGCAAACAACTACAGCATCGCAGTTCAAGGACCAGGGTACTCGCAAACCGATCGCGGTTTTGGTGTCCTCAACACCTCCTCAATGAATATTCTCGAGCCGTCACCAATCTCGCCGACAGGTCCAGACGTAGGAGTCTGGAATGTCTTCGCAGGCTCCATCCGCCAAGTCTTCGAGAACACAGGAGAGAGGTTATCAGCCCAAAAGATCATCCCCGTGGGTACGATTTCGGCTGGCAACACAGATACAGCGCACTACTGGCCTTTGACCAAGAACATCTATCGCTTTTCGCCCTTGTCGGAGGATACGGCGAAAGGTCCGCACACTGTGGATGAAAGAGTTGATATGCAGGCGCATTTGGGTGGTGTCAAGTTTTACTATGAGTTAATCCGGAATATGGATGCCTATACAGGAAGTTAGTCTGCAATGGTATAGTTCTGATGATTACGTATATGACGTATCTGCTTTTTCTCTAGGCTGGTCGATGTTGAAGTTAGAATGGGAATATTCATATGTTCGTCAGCTTCTCCTTGGTCGTGCTTTCCTGCTCTGTGTTGTTGTGAGTCGCAAGGCCCTCTTCGTTTCATACGTAGTCAAACGGTTTTTCTTACGTCGGTTGTCTCGGTGAGTGCAGTACACATTGCTACAATACCGTGTTTCACGAAAGTTGGTCACGAGTGAGAAGATAATTTTTTCTCCATTCGCTCCTTCATTTTATCTATCGAAGATTCTCCGCCGACTCGCTCTTTCCTCTTCGACACCAACTGCCGTTTCCTGATGTGTTCACCTTAAGTTACTTGGAGAAGGCATGAGCAGAATGGAACAATGATTTTGGTAGACGAAACATCTGTAATTTTTTTGTGCTTTTCTATATTTCGTTTATTTTCTTGGTTCTTCCCTTCCCTCGTTGTCGTGATATGTCTTGGATCTCCTTCCTGACTGAGCTCTTCTTCTTGCTTAATATCTTCGCTCCTTCTCTCCATCTGAAATTTGCTTCTCTTCATGAATACATTAGCATCGTGAAATAGCATCGTGAAATGGTCATCTCCCTCGTTGCAGTTCATAAGCCCTCGATTATTCGTTGTGGTCTCTTATTCGTAAGTAGCCTTGACTGTACCGTAGACGATACCATTGACTCTCAAATCGAATACCAATCCGCCACTGTCGATCTGCATACCGATCTCGAAGTCGAGTTGGCGGTACGATTTGCCATTCTTGGTCTTCTTCTTAAAACTTCTGCGAGGAATCCTGCGGAGGTTGGCGTCGATCGTGCAAAGCTTGCGAATCTCTGCCTGGTCGTTGTACTCCTGTGGTGCGATCTTCTCGTCACAGATCATGATCTTGACGGTATGGTTATCGGGGTAGCCATCATCCCATGCAGTCGTGATGTAGAATGGGAGGGTAATAGGCGATCTGGTTGGCATATCCTGGCCCACCTTGACGTGCCATGACATCTGGTTTCTTGCTCTGAACTCTTGCGCAAGAGGATCCAGATACCTGACCGACCACGAGTGTCTCAAGGCGTCCCAGAGCTGGTTGCATACAATGCCGTAGTGACGCCTTGCCTTTCTACTCAGGACGAGTTTTTCCTCCAGATTGGACAAGACTGCGCCCCTGACGACTGCAGTCCAAGAGTTCTTAGGCTTTATGACAATGAATCTTGGTCCCTCTAACTCAGGCTGTGGATCTTCTGTTGTTCGAGTGTATGTCGGTGGTGGGTCCTCATCAGCAAAGCGTTGTTTCAAGCTCGTATGAAGAAAATCGGACTGCCCAAATCCCCCAACTAGCACAACACCCTTAGCTGTCTTGTCATGCGCTGCGAGTGTGATGCGTTGTCTTTCGACGAGATCAATTACTGAAGTTACCAAAGGCCTGAAGACTTCTGCGACTTCTGCTGACGAGAGGATGAAGAATCCAGAATCAATACCCATGGCAGCATTGTCAGGAGCGCCCAGAAATGGGATGTTGAAGCTGCTGGCATCGTATGTACACTGACTGCTCAGAGGATCGAAATTGCGTTTGACGTAGTTCTCAAATTCGGCGAGTGCAACATTCATGCATTTAGGCTTCTGCTCACAGAGGTCCTTGAACGCTTGAGCGCCCATTCGAGACTCTACGAGGTTTCGAAACCTCATGTTGAGAAAAACACCACCGCATAGTGCTCCAGTACCCGTCGCAGACTCCTCGAGGCGGAGAGGCGATAAGGAGCGAATCTCGTAGCTATAGAAAGTATCGTTAGTAAACTATATGTAGGACATCTTGCTCTGCAAAAGCTTGCCTGATAAGNNGTCAACGGTACCTCCACCGGCGTCACAGACAATGGAGTTGTCTCCCACCTTGAGCAGCTTCTGTTTGTTACCCATAGATTTCAGTGCATAGATTGCGGCAGCTTCGGGCTCACTAATCATGTATAGCTCGGGGCCCATGCCAGCTTTCTCGGCGGCCTTGAGAGTGGCGTCTTTTGCAGCATCAGTCCAGACAGCCGGAACAGTAAGAACGACTTCGATTGTCGTTGTTGAGACCATATGCTGGGTGAAACGCTTAACCAAGGCCTCTTTAGCCCGGCGATAAATCTCGGTAAGATAGTCGGAGACAGCTTCTTCAACGGTCTTGCCGCTTTTCTTGAGCTCTTTGTACAGCTCATCTTGAGAAACATAGTCTGGGAGTCTTTGTCTCGGATCAAGTAGAAGTTTCAAGCAGCGCAAGCGGGTCTCGTCGTTCTTGATCTCAAGGCCCCAGCGAATGTTGGTGTTGCTGATAACTTCGCCGTCCCAGCTACGCTTGACTCCCGAGGTCGATGTAGCGGTCTCGTAGATCAGCTCAGAAGGAACTTTGTCAGATGTGACACCTCTAGAACCCGGCCAGCTANNGGAGTCATCAGTGAACATTTTCCAAATCTAGTTGTGTGCAATGTCTCACTTCTGGACGGTCTCGATCTCGTCTGCAGATTCAGGATCACCGCTGTAAGCAAACGCACAGCCAGAGAAAGTGGTTCCAAAATCAATGCCGACGACTAGTCGATCGCGGCCTTTTGAAGGCGCCATGATGTTGGAGGAGTGTGGTGTGGATGTGTGATTTAGAGTGGGAAAGGAGAAAGCAGAAAGAAGTTTGGAGGAAGAGAAAGTAAAATGTAGGTGGTGGGAAGAGAAAGAAAGTCTTATAGCTGGAGTTGTGGTAGAGGTCCGAGGAGTGAATTGTAGTGAGCTTGGTAATGTAAATGAAGTATGATTTGCGGATTCAGGTAGTGTTCCAAGTCGGATGGTAGGGCATTTTTCGTTCAGTGAACGAGGTGACGCTGTTTCGGGTCAGCTTGAACGAGCTACGAAGATCAGTGAAGGTCAGGTTCTGGCTGATTTGGCCAGCTTCGACCCTTTCGAACACGGTAACATCTCACTCTCCTCTTTCCTTACTTCCTTGCAAGAAAATCCAATCTTTTCTCCGGTCTTCTTCTCTTACTATCAACAAATTTCTGGAAACTAACAAGAAGCCGAAATGCCTCCAGTCACCAGGTAGCTTGTCGTTCTTGGATCTCAGTACATCAGAGCTAATTCGCAAACAGAAATCAAACTGCAGCTGACTTTCGAGGGCAACTCGAGACCTGCAAGAGAGGATTGCAATGGGCCGATGCGGCACGAGAGCGAGCCGAGGACGAATGCGAAACCTACCGATTGCAGAACTTGCGCCTTCAACAAGAGCGGGACCGTTTTCGACATTATGCGCAGGTAGCTGCGGAAAAGCGCACTGAGCTGTGGCAGGAGTGCAAGCATCTCAGAGATACCAGTGACACATCTAGCGCTCAGATGAATAAGAAAGACGGCGAAATCAAGAAGCTTCGGGAAGAGATCCAGAAGTACAAGACAACCATAACAAACTCGACTCGACTACATGGACAGCTTTCCGACACCAACATCCAAACCAAGATCAACGATCTCTTCAGTGCTGTGCGTAATTGGGCCGTGATCGTAGTGCGTCGCGAANAAACCAGGTGAGTCTCACATCAGCCATTGCGACTTGTCTTGTCGTGGTCGACTAACGGTATGGAAGCGTTCAATCCATCGTGCCAGGAAACAGCAAGTTGGCTCCACAAGCAAGTTCCTGGTCTCCAAAGCGGTACAACCATTGGAAAGGTGTACACTCTGATCACTGTGTTCGCTGGCGCTTTCAGAGAGCTAGTGAACGCGCACTGGATTTGTGGTCAGGCGTCCGAGGGACCATTGCTATTAGCAAAGAGTCTTTACACCCTCATCCCAGGTGGGTAGCTTCTTGTCACAAGGAGTATGCAGCTGACTCCATACATTCNNTCAGGCAATTCTATGACTGCTCAGCAAAAGAAGGCTCAATGGGTTCTGCTCACCAGAGAACTTCTCCAGACAGAACAGAGTGTCGGTATTCAAATTGAAGAGCAGCTCCTCTCACTTCTCATCACAGGCGTGCAGACGGTTGTAGGCAAATTGAGCAGCGCTCTCAACACCCAAGTTATTGCTGACGATTTGAGGGCGGCAATCGAACCACACATTCATATCGTTCAAGCATTGCACCAGCAAGAAGCAGAGTACTCATTGACGCTANGAGGGGCAGTGGATGGAGATGCGCCACGCAAGATTGATCTGGGATATATGGAGGAGGTCAACGGAGAAGACAAGGGGCTTGTTGCGGCTTGCGTCTTCCCCATGCTGGTCAAAAAGACATTTGAAAATGATGTCAAGGTAAGGAACTCTGACAACATCCGGTATGTTCTTGCTGACACTTCAAAGGGCGAATCGGTCGTCATCTGCAAGATGAAAGTCCTGGCATTGTCATGAATACATCCACTCTAGCTGCAATTCAAGATGAGCGATTCCGGCGATGCGAAGATCACAACGTACATTACGATTATCAAGGAAAGAGCACCACTCCCTCTGAAGCAGCAGAGGTCGAAGTCCCAAGGCTTGGCGGGAAGGATCCTCATTTCTCTCAAGCAGTTCCAAAAGAGAGACGATTCAAATAGCAATCCCACACTCATCAATGAGCATAATGAAAAGACTTCTGGATTTCAAAACATAATCCATATGTATTGCAACCTCCGAGATATGATGTCTAACCTTGCCCATATTCAAACACCCTTCAAAATGCGCTCATTGCTATGTGTGTACAACCAGAACAAAAGAGATATACAAAAACTTCAAAGACTCCTCATGGTTCGTAAAGACTATCGCCATCATCTGCATCTTGGTCAAAAGACTCGTTGTCGTCTTCGATCCATTCACTGGCAGAGAAGCTGGACTGTGAGTTCAGCTGCGACATATCGCTGACGTCTCCATCTTCATCAAGTCCCGCCCATTCATGCTCGCTGTCAGCGCGGCCGGAGCCTACAGATTCGACTTCGGTGTCACCACCATCTGCCATGGCAAGGTCGACGACATTGGCGACGTTGTGGCTGTGTGGTGTCGCATAGGCAGTAGGTGTGCTAAGTCTCTTTCTGCTTGACCCTGCTCTGCAGTGACTGCGAGTCTCCCAAGCATTTTCCATCATAGGTGTCGGCGGCTCATGTGACCATCTCGGCGTCAATTCTTCAAGCCCTCCTCTGTATCTGCTGGGAGAGCCAGATGTGCGACGACGCTTCTGGTAAGCAATAGGTGTACATGATGGACTTTCACGACGTCTGGACTGAGAAGCTCTTTTTGTGATGATGGGGAAGGACTCTGAGAAGCGTGGAGTGATTGTGTCTCCAGAAGAGTTTGAGGTGAAGGATTTGGCTGATGGGCTCTCGATCTCTGGGTCTTCAAAGGTGACGCCAGATATACGTCGTTTGCCGAGAGAAGTGTTGCTGCATTGCGATATAAAGGATGAGAATGTGGGCGCATCGTCGAGCGCTGCCATGTGTGCCCAAAAAGGCTCGGAGGGTGCCTCGCTGCTGAATAGTAGACCGGACCTGGCCATAGCATTCTCATAGCGTGGTAGATCACGAATTTGCTGCCACGTCCAACCAGTCTTTCCTGGTTGGATGTAGCCATCGGCAGTGGTCATATAGAGACGTTTGCGGCCACCTTTGCCGTTCATGAACACGCCAGAATCCAGGAAAGAGATATCCCATGTTGCAGGAGTGATCAACTCGTGAGGTTCCAGGTATCGAAGCCATGAAGACTTTTTGACCTTTCGTAGCGGTACAAATGCTTCTCTGAGTGCTTCGTATGGTTGCTGTTGGTTGTTGGTACGGTAGAGTGGCTGTGTTTCAACAAAGTCGGCAAAAGCGTCCTTGATGGACTCCCAGACGCCGTGCGCGCCAGTGTCGACAATGCTGACGTTACGAATAAGTCCTCGACTTTGAAGACGTTTGAACAGGTTGCTATTCGGGCCTGGTGCTTTTGGCCAGAGCCATGGGTTGATGGTGTTTGCCCAAGCTTCGATTGTATCCGCAGTCCAAGCAGGTCCTTTACTTCCGGTCGGAGCAAGCAAGCTGCCAGATGATCCAACTGAGCCGCACTGGGCTGCATGTGTGCTGGGACACACATTTGGGTCGCAATCAGTCGACTCATGCCAGACCCCCTTCAGCGTCCGGCCGAACGGGAGAAGGACAATTTCAATCTCCCATGGGTTAGCGTATGAAGGATGCGCGCTCTCCAGATCCGCCAATCGATCCTCGACATCAGACACGCGCGAGAGAAGTGCCTTGCTGCCAGCGTGGGTTTGAAGGTCCTGAAAAGAAGTGGAGGCTTGCGAGTCTTTGTCGTCGAGAGCCAGTCTGGATCTTTCAAGGCGAGCGTCGACATCTTTCTTCCAGTATTCCATTTCCAGCAGGCGGCCATCGAGAAGCTCGAACTTTTCGTGTACTTCGTCGAGGGGGACGTGAGAGAAGGAATAAGTCTCGAGTGTTTCTAGACGCCGTACACAGCTCTGAAGGATGTTTTGCACGTCGAGCGTCACGGTTTTGGTTGGTGTACTTGGTGCTTCTTGCGGTTTGTTGTCGACGAACTTGGCGACCTCTAGACATGGTTTGGTATCTGCAACATCGGGTGCTTCTGCGTTTGAGTCCACAGGCCTCGCAGGATGAATTTCTCCTTGGTTATGCTGAGCGTCGGAAGGCACATCGACCCGTAGTGAATCAGGCACGTAGTCGGCAGTGGGTGTACCTTGCACGGTAGGGCTGGCCATCAAGCCATCCATGTTTGGGAAGAGTGACGCATATGGCCGTTCGTTGGACGTTGAACTCTTCACCGGCGAGGGCGTCTGCCGCGGCTCTGGTTGCGGTTCGTATGACAGAACACTGGCGGGTGCAGTAGACGGAATCCAGGTTGGATCTTGTTGCCATCGCGCAAAGTTGTTCAAACGTCCCCAGACATCATTGGACAAGGGCGCAACTCGTGTTGGTTCTATCCGATCATGTCTGGTATCATCTTGCGGAGGAATGACTGGTGGTTGGATCCGAGGACCGAGTTGCAGAGTGGTACTATGGGCGGTATGACGGTCTGACGGTACAGAGGGNGCGCTGCTGTGTCGCATCAAGTTGGCAGGTGGAATGGATTCGACTGTAACGTCGTGGAAACAGGCGTGGTGANNGCCGCAGGCGCAGAGTACTGAAGATGCATTCTGACTATCTAGGGGCTTGTCGAGCCAGAATCTACGACAGCCACAGGTTGCAGCGCTCGAGCCGCTACTGAGTGATCGAAAATTGCAGTTTCCGTTGGGTAGAGACGCGTAGGAAGCGGTCGTGTTTGCTGTGTTTACAGCGTTGTGCCACGGTGAAGCCTCCATGTGCTTTCAACAAAGCATGGTCTGGAGATACGAGGAGACTGAACTGGAGTTGTTGGTTCTGATAGGCTATGCGACTGATGTGGTGCATTCATTGACGTGACAAGAGTGGACTGGCGCAGAGCAGAGTGCAATCGGTGTGTAGACAACAAAGAGGATCGAGGAGTCGGATGCGCATCCCACGCGCCCGGGATGCATCGACTCCACCTTTGGACGGCCCGTAGCGCAGAACGCAGAACGCCGAAACGCTGTTCTCCTGATCTCTCTGATGCCCGAGATAACATGGTGTAGAGTTGAACGTATATCAAGGTGTAAATGCGAGACTCTACTCTCACCAGCTGTAGAGGTACGAGGGCTAGGTGTGCTTACTATCTTACCGTGTGCTCCATCGTGCTACTTGGTCTTGTCAAGCTTGAATGTTCTGCATGTTTATCAGCTTTAGACCACTAAACTTTGGCCTTCTCGCTTGACATATGATATCAAAGAGCATGCAATGCCTAACATGCCTCGATTGAGCCTTTAGAGAGACTTGGTGTCAGGTTGTGTGATAGTTCTACTCGAGCAAAAGTGACGAGGGTTTTAGGGCTGTCATGTCGGGCTAAAGTGGTCATAGCGCCTTGTCGAAGTTGTATCTCACTGACGTTCCCACGGTCTCCATCAACGCGCTCTACATATTCCGAGTCGAGTCCTGACGATCTTTCCGTGGCATAGCAATCAACCGACTTGAACTCGTCGCGTCGTCGACCGATTATCGAGTGTGCAGATCCTACAAGAATGTAAGACTCTTTCCCGGCGCATTCGAGGTTGACGATAGCACGCGTCGCAACCCGGACATAGTCCGTAGAGACAGAAAGGTGTATACTGACTGCCACAGTTCTGCCGCCTGCCTCGGGCGCAACCCGCCTGCATGGACGACCAGATGTCCAGCTACCCTGAGCCCGACAGCCAGCAGCACTACACTCTTTACCCACCTCCGGGCCAGCAACAATTGTTGGACCCTGTCCAGCAAGAACAATTGCAGTTCAGCCAACTCGGTCAGCTTGGTCAGGCCATCTATCCCAAGGCCGAGGGCGAGGTCGACCCGAATGCGCCAAACCACATCGAACAGCGCATCGAGCAGCTGCAGCAGCAACCACCACACCCTCAACCTCAACACCAGCACCAACATCAGCACCCTCTGCAACAACACGACCAGCACCACGACCAACATCAACAGGCCCCTCTTGGTCCACCTCCACCACCGCCAACTGCACAGCCTCAAGGTCCTCCAGTTCAGGGAGAGACTCCCCAGAAGGCCAATCGTCTGCGCAAGGCATGCGACTCGTGCAGTATCCGCAAGGTCAAGGTACATGGCATCTGTTGCGCCAAAACGTCTCCTCCTGTCCCTCTACTAACCTCGCATCATAGTNGTGACGAGTCTGGTCCGCCATGCAGAGCATGCGCTGCTCTAGAGATTCCATGCACATTCGAACGTCCTAGCCGCCGTCGCGGTCCTCCAAACCGTCATGCAGAGGCAATCAAGCGCCGCCGTCTTGAAGAGTCACCACACATCAGCGGACAGTCAACGCCCTCTTCGCCTACTCACGCCGCTCAAGCTCTAGCAGCTCTGTCTTCTCATCCCTCTCATCCTCCCATCTCGGCTGAATCTATTTGCGACTTCCAGACGTTGGATCTCCTCGTCAACGACTTCTTCACCTACATTCACCCATTGTGCCCATTCCCACACGAGCCCAGCTTCCGGGAAGCTTGGAAGAGAAGAGAAGACTACAACAATCGTGCTTTCCTGGCCCTGCTGTCATCCATGGTAGCTGCTCTTGTAGCTTCCTTCCCGCGGAAGCCCAGACTGCATCTCAAGGCACAACGCAGAGAGCTTGAGTTCCCTAACCACATGGCACTTGTCTTGAAGTGTCAAAAGGTTTGTGCCGATGCTCGTGGACCAGGCTATCTCGATAGTGAGAACCTGAGTGTCCATGATGCTGCGACCAGCTACTTCCTTGGTCTCTCGGCTTGCTACACATTCAGATGGCGTCAGTGTCGTCTGTATTGGAGCGAGTGCTTGACAATCATCAGAGCTCTCGGTCTGCACAAGCCGACTGAGCAGAACTTTACGCGATTGGGAATGTTGCCAGCAGCTGTGGGTTCGAACGGGCCGAATGTTGAGGGTAACCGCGACGACGTTCTCGACAACATCACCCTCGAGATGGGCAGAAGAATCTTCTGGACAATGTTTGTGAGCTCGAAGACGATTCATCAGTGCGGTTCTGCCTTTAGCGAACTTGTCATTCCGCCCGAGACTCCATCCATGCCTTACCCTCCACTTCCTGTCGAGGTCGACGACTTCTGCATCTTCCCTGGACACATTGAGCCGCAGCCGCCAGGCCTTGTTCCCATGATTGCTGGCTTCAATGCTAATGTCAGGATCTTCATGTCTTACAGTCCTCTCTCTACCATGGAACTGGCTTGGNGAGTCGATGCCTTGGTTGACATTGATCGTCAGAAGAAGGTCCTCCATGACTCACTGGAGCGATGCAAATCGGCTATCAGAGAGCTACCGCCTGTACTTGTCATTTGGCCGACTGACAACAACCCCTTCGCTAACCACAATGGAAACGAGCTCGGACTTGATTTCTCAAACACATCGTATGCACGCGACCCAGCAACTTTGAATCCTAATACGGTGGACGCCACACCCGAGGATCGAAGAAGACGACAATACGAGATCCAGAAGGCGAACATTCACGGAAGCGGTCTCTGCACGAGGTCCTACATCGTCGAGAAGTACTTCACTCTGATCGAGGCGCAGGCTCGAAGCAAGCTCCAGGCTGAGAACGCCGAGTCTGGTCTGTCGAGCGAAGTCGCTGCAGAACTTGATGGACTGCTTTCGGATGGAGCTTCTGCTGATGCACTGGACCGTGAGATGTCGGAAGAGCGCGAGGGTATCGTCAGGGACTTGCTCTCTGTTCTGAGCAGTATCGACAGGGTTAACATGGAGCCGAACGCGGACAGTCNNTTGTAAGTAGAATGGTTCAGATGACGATCTTTAGAATGTGGCTAACTCATGTTGCAGACAACAAAGATTCGTGTAGTGGCAAGCACCCTTCTCGAGGTGCCCAGGTCTCGTAAGGGACAAGTGGCGCAGCAAGCTGAGGAATATCTTGCAGCGTTCCTTGAGATTCTAGTAAAGCTGGAGCGTGTGAACCCTGGACATGACGACCCTCACAACCCCAACGACGAAGAAACCGAGTTGCGACACTGGGCGGACCTTCGTGAGTATCAACTCAAGTTCGCACAGCAAGGCGGACTGTCTAGCCTCGGTTGACTAGCAGCAAACATGGTTCAGGAGTGAGGCGTTTCATGGCAAGGGGAGCAAGGTGTACAAGGAGCTTGTGGCTTGATGGATAGGCAATGAAGCCGGGATGGCTTCATATGAAAAGCTTGCATGCTGTGTATTATACGATAACCCCAATAATAGCTCGACATATGTTTTTACCCATATCGTTTCTCCTGACGGATTGCTGTGGTTGCTTGTGATAATGCTCCTTCCTTTCAGGGGTATACCGGGCTTGGCGCTGGCCAGACTCCCGAAGAGCAATGGCGGCACTTTGTTTTCTGCTTACAGACCAAACATCATCCCGGACGTCGATCGGACTTGGAAGGCCCCAAAGCACGGAGCAAGAGGAGGAATAACAACAACAAGACAACTCTAGTGTCTGTTCGCGACAGCTTTGGACGAGGATCTGGTGACGAGACGCAGGAGTGGCTTGGGACCACGTAGCTTTGTCTACAGCTTCGACTAAACACAAGATCGTAACCACTTTCGTTAATCATGGAGTTCTCTTTGACTGGATCCCCGGCGACAACACCACTGGCAACACCAGGCGGCTCAAATCCAAGACAGAAGGAACAGAGATTCCGACCACCAGTCGCACCAAGTCCCTACGCCGAATACCAACAAAGCGGCTCCGAAGCGGGTTACTTCCCTATCCAACCCCAGCAACCAGCCCCACCACAACAACAGCCAGCGAGTATGGATGGACTTTCAAACCAAATGGGTGCAATGGGTCTGGGTGGTCAGCCTCCTGCTCTTGCTGCACCAAGCTCGCGACCACATAAAAAGAAGGACAGACATGCATACCACCACATCGAAACACCAGCCGCCGCCCAGCCTCTGCCAGCTGCAGTACCAGGAACCACATCGTCGCAATTCTACAACACTCAGAATGCTCCCATGCCTGGAACCGCGGCCCCATACGTTTCCCAGCAGATCACACCCGCCATGTCGCAGTTCCCTGCCGCAGCATCCACCTTCACGCCTGCCAACCCCGCAACGCCCATGGAGCATGCTGCTCGTCAAGGCGACCAACTCTTGTCAGCTCCTGCTTCTTCTCAGTCAGGTCGCGTCGACCCGGATCAAATACCCAGTGTGCCGAGGTCACGCGACATTCCCGCTCGCCATTACCAGGAGCGCATCTACCCTACCATGGAGCAGCACCTCCCTCCACCTGCCGCCGTTCCTTTTGTTGCTTTCGACCAAGGAAACAGTTCTCCGAAGTTTGCTCGTCTCACCTTGAATAACATTCCGACCTCGAACGAAGCTCTTCAAACTACCGGTCTTCCCCTTGGTCTTGTTCTGCAACCCTTGGCTCCCCTACAGGATGGCGAGCAGCCTGTGCCTGTTCTCGACTTTGGAGATGTGGGCCCGCCACGTTGCAGACGTTGCAGAACCTACATCAACCCCTTTATGACTTTCCGTTCTGGTGGAAACAAGTTTGTCTGCAACTTGTGCACTCATCCCAATGATGTGCCCTCCGAGTACTTCGCTCCTACCGATCCAACAGGCATCAGAGTCGATCGTTCGCAAAGACCTGAGCTGATGTTGGGTACTGTTGATTTCCTCGTTCCGAAGGAGTACTGGACCAGAGACCCTGTTCCTCTCCAATGGCTTTTCGTGATCGATGTCAGTCTAGAGGCATCTAGCAGAGGCTTCCTTGATGCCATGTGCAAAGGTATACTACATGCACTCTACGCCGAGGACGGTACAAACAATGTTCCTGCAGGTGTCAAGGTTGGTTTTGTAACGTTTGATCGAGAAGTGCACTTCTACAATTTGACTCCGGGCCTTGAGCAAGCTCAAATGATCGTTATGCCTGATATCGAGGATCCGTTCGTACCTTTGAGCCAAGGCCTGTTTGTGGATCCCCGAGCATCCAAGACTGCCATCACATCTCTTCTTGGCCGGATACCGGATATGTTCTCCTCAGTAANNAAAAGTCCAGAGCCCGCATTACTCCCGGCCATCAATGCCGCTTTGGCTGCTCTGAATTCTACTGGAGGCAAGATCGTATGCTCAGTGTCGAGTCTTCCCACGTTTGGTCCTGGACGTCTCTTCCCTCGCGACAAGAACGAAGGCCGCGACACAGACGCCGAAAAGAAGCTCTATACTACTGAGCATCCTGGTTGGAGAGGTACGGCCTCAAAGATGGTTGAAGCAGGTGTTGGTATCGACTTCTTCATGGCCGCACCCAGTGGAGGCTATCTTGACATTGCGACCATCGGACACTGCTGTGCGGTATCTGGAGGCGAGACATACTACTATCCCAACTTCCACAGCCCACGAGACGACTTGCGACTGGCAAAGGAACTCAAGCACACAGTCACGCGTGAAACTGGTTTCCAGGCCCTCATGAAGGTTCGCTGCTCGAATGGTCTGCAGCTCTCTTCATACCACGGTAACTTTACTCAGCATACATTTGGTGCTGATCTCGAATTTGGTGCGATCGATGCAGACAAAGCGATTACAGTCATGTTCAGTTACGACGGCAAGTTGGACGCAAAGCTGGATGCGCACTTCCAGAGTGCGCTTCTATACACGACTGCGACAGGTGAACGTAGAGTTCGCTGCACCAACACCGTCGCAAGTGTAAGCGAGAGCGCTCTTGAGGCCATGAAGTTTGTCGATCAAGATGCAGTGGTCAGTGTGATCTCCAAGGAGGCAGCATCAAGAGTCTCAGAAAGGACCTTGACAGAAATTCGCAACTCCTTGAGCGAGAAGACGATCGACATACTCGCTGGCTACCGCAAGAACTTCTCTGGCTCGCATCCGCCTGGCCAGCTTGTCTTGCCTGAAAATCTTAAAGAGTTGAGTATGTACATGCTAGGACTGATCAAGTCACGAGCCTTCAAAGGTGGTCGCGAGCCTAGCGATCGTAGAATCCATGACATGCGCTTGATTAGATCGATGGGGCCCATGGAGCTCTCGTTATATCTGTACCCACGCATCATTGGCATTCACAACCTAGAGCAGACAGACGGTTTTGCTGATGAGAATGGCCGTCTTCTCATGCCAGCTGCTATCAGAGCATCATTCGGACAGATCGAAGAAGGCGGAGCTTACATCGTCGACAACGGACAGGTCTGTCTGCTCTGGTTACACTCTCAGGTGTCTCCCAATCTGCTTGAGGACCTGTTTGGTGAGGGCTACAACGAACTCAAGCATCTGGATCCGTTCAGCTCTAGTCTACCTGTGCTCGAGACACATCTCAATGCTCAAGTGCGTAACATCTTGCAGTACATGGAGACTACGAGGGGCTCAAAGGCAATGACGATCCAACTGGCTAGACAGGGATTGGACGGTGCAGAGTATGAGTTTGCTCGTTTGTTGTATGAGGATCGTAACGGTGAAGCTCAGAGCTATGTCGACTGGCTGGTGCATGTGCACAGGCAAATCCAGATGGAGGTACGTTACGAGACAAAATCAATATTGGCATACATCGACTAACAACACATGCAGCTCTCCGGTCAACGTAAGAAGGATGACAGCGATGGAGCAGGCATCAGCAGCACAGTGGCGTCGACATTTGCTGGACTGAGGGCTCCATACTTCTAATTGGAGCAAAAGATGATATGATTATTAGGATGTGAAAGCGTTAAAGCGAGGGACTTGTTTATGAGCTTGGTGCCCGGGTACAGCAAAATGTTATGGTTCCTGTCCAGACTCCAAGAGACTTTTTGATGGCGGACTGAATGGATACGCAGTGTTTTGTCACACAAGTCAGACTTGTCTATGGTGACACCCTGTCTTGTCATTAAATCATGTATATCTTTTGGCAACTCGATATAAGATATTTGCCGCTTGTGTAGAGATAGTTGTAACCCAGATGAATATCACGGATGGGAATCTGTCATGTCATCACTTCGTGTTGTCGTTGCGACCTCGAATTCGCATACCAGAACTGATCTCTGTTGAAAACGTAGGGTAGGGTGTCAGCATCACTGGGATTTCACTCCTCAGACCTAATCGATTTTCCCTTACAACTGGTTGTACTAGTTGCAGGCTCTTGGGAAGCGTTCTTTCCCGAAGCAGTTTCTTGAATGCCACTTTTATAAGAATGTGAAATGTTGCGATAAGAAGGCAGTGACGCTCCTCGCATCGAACTTGCCCGAAAAGGCGTTATCGGAGTTTGGGGGCTTTGCCAGCTGTCTCATTCTGGAATCCAGAAGTTGCACGACTCCCAACCTGTCCTTTGCACAGCATACCCAATTGTCTGGACAATTGGTACGGACGGCAAACATGTTGTTCAAACTTGTATGGCTGCTGCTGTGCGTGCTGCCTCTCGTGGCACTCTGCGCAGAGGACTACTACAAGGTGACTACACGATTTACTGTATACAGTTCGAATCAATGCTGACATGGTCTGAACAGCNTACTCGGCATTGAGAAGAATGCATCAGAACGCGAGCTCAAGAAGGCATACCGAACGCTGAGCAAGAAATACCATCCTGACAAGAACNCCGTCCGTTGCACCCTGCCTCCCTGCCACAACCCCTGGCCTCGAATATCTGAATGACTAACAACGCAATACAGTGGTGACGAAACCGTCCAAAAGAAGTTTGTCGAAATCGCCGAAGCCTACGAAGCCCTCTCCGAACCCGAAACACGCAAAATTTACGATCAGTACGGTCATGAAGGCCTCAAACAACACAAGGAAGGAGGCCACCGTCAAGGAGGTAACNCCTTTGATCTCTTCTCTCGGTTCTTTGGTGGCGGCGGTCACTTTGGTCATGCTCCCGGTCAACGCAGAGGCCCTAACATGGAAGTGCGTGTCGCGGTACCCCTTCGCGATTTCTACAACGGCGCCGAACACGACATCGCACTGGAGAAACAGGCTATCTGTTCGAAATGCGAGGGCTCGGGCTCTGAAGATGGCAAGACAGATACTTGTAATAAGTGCAAGGGCCATGGTATGGTTATCCAGAAAGCACAACTCGCACCGGGCATCTTCCAGCAAATGCAGATGCAATGCGATCACTGCGGCGGAAAGGGCACAACTATTCAACACAAATGCAAGACCTGCGGCGGTTCCCGTCACGTCAGAGAAGTCGAGACCTTCACCGTGAACATCGAAGAGGGCATGCCCAAGGGCGCGAGGATCAACTACGAAAACGAAGGAGACGAAAGTCCGGATTACATTGCTGGTGACCTTATCGTGCAGGTTGTGGAAAAAGAGCCGGAATTGGGCAAGGGAGACGAAAACCACGATCGTACAGATGGCACTTTCTTCCGTCGCAAGGGCAATGATTTGTTCTGGCGTGAAGTCTTGAGTTTACGGGAGGCATGGCTCGGCGACTGGACTCGCAACCTCACACACCTGGATGGCCACACTGTTCAACTCTCCCGCAAGCGCGGTCAAGTCGTTCAACCAAACGCGGTCGAGGTACTCGCAAACGAAGGCATGCCAATCTGGCGCCACGAAGAAGGACCCGAATTCGGAAACTTGCATGTCGAGTACACAGTCGTGTTGCCGGATCAAATGGACAAGAACATGGAAAAAGACTTTTGGAACACATGGGACAAGTGGAGGAAGAAGAGTGGAGTTGACTTGCAANAGGATGCCGGTAGACCCGCTCCTTCTGCTGGGTCTGGACACGATGAGCTGTAGAATGGTCTTGTCTCGCTCCTCTTTATCCTTGGTCTGCAGCTGCTTGGTACTGATTGATACAGTATAATACCCCCATCCATTTGTTTCACTCGCATCGGAATAGAATATCGTTTTACGCTTCTTGGTGATTTCTACCCTTCTACAATGCCTTGATATATCTGTTCCAATCAAGCACACATGCTCCGTTGTATGATATATGCCGAGTGCATTCAGAGTTTCGCTTCCTCCTTGAGCTCACCAATCTTTAGCTTGCCCTGATACTTCTTCAACACACCCTCATTGTGATACTTCCAGAATTGTTTGCTCGCATCTATTCTCTTCAATCAGCACAGAGTAGGGGTGGTTTAAAAGGCGAGACGAGAGAAAAACATACCTTTTCCGCCCACCCTCTTCAGAATCTTAGAGCCACCAGGGTGTTCGTCTGCGAATTCGGCCATCGAGTACACGCCGCCGTCGATGATGATGTAGAGGCCTGTCTCGGGGTTNGCGTGGTCTTTTACTTCTTTTGCTGTTATGGATTTGGACATTGTTGTTTTCCTCTCTTCTCTTTGCAGTGTCGGTGCTAGGTGAATTGTGATGATGAGTTGTCGAAGTACAGGATATATGGTGAGGCGGTGGATATGATGGTACGATATAACGAGACGGAAGTTGTAATTGGAGAGGTGATGGTTGGTCGGTCAAAGGGTATGGGGTGTCTCTCCGCGAAACGTTGGAGATGCCGAGGTTGATGGTGGAAAGCAGTCGCCGAAAGTTGCCCTTTTTCGCACATGTGTTTCTGCTCTACGAAGGAAAGAGTCTGGTGATAAAACAACAAAGTAGATTGCTTGAAAAAACATTATCGTCAAGGTCATTACTACGCGTACATAAAGGATGTTTCTTCGCAAAGAGATGTAACCGGATTCTGTTCTTCCTCTCATGCATGCCCTTACACTTCGTGCAACCTCCATCTCTTCTCTGCCCACTCTCTCACTTCTTAGGCTTGCTGGCAGGATCAACTCTCACCTTAGTACTCGAAAGAGGTTTCGGCACATTGGCAGGCGGCAAACTCGAGCTTGAAATCTTTGGCAAGCCATTCGCAGCAGCAGCAGGTGCCTTGGTAAGTCCACTCACACCAGGAGGCTTTGGCAATCCATCCACGGGCGCTCTAGGCAATCCACCACTGGTCTTTGGTTTGCTTGCCGCACTAACCTTGACTTTACCTGCTGCAGAGCCAGCCAAAGGTTTAGGATTGACAGCAGGCAAAGAAGACAATGGCTTCGAGTTTACAGGTGGTAAAGAAGACAAAGGTTTCGAGTTAACAGCAGGTAATCCCGACACAGCAGGTTTTGGCACCGAAGGCTTGGGCAAACCACCCACAGAAGGAACAGGGCTTCCCCCAACCACACTCTTTGGTTTTGAAGCTGTGGAGACTGCTGTTTTCTTGACTGCGCCGGCGTAGGAAGGCGTGTTTGCTCCCAGTGTCTTTGGCTTGGAGGCAGGAGCGGGAAGTGCTTTTGTGCTGACGAGGGAGCGGCGGGTAAAGCTTTTGCTTTGGGATTGCGCCTGGGCCTTTGGCGGGTGCAGGGAGGGCTTTTGTTTCTTGACTGCTGTTGGTGCGGAGTTCGCGTTTGGTGCTGTTGCGGCGACTGCGCGGTCGCCGTAGCTGTTGATGTAGTCGCCCCATTTGCTGATGCTGCCTTCGATGCCTGTGGTATGTATTAGAAGAGTACACACTTGAAGAAGTCAGAAGATAGTGCATACCAGTTCCGACGGCTTGTCCACTGTTCTGTATCATAGAGCCTACACCGCCAACGGCATTACCAGCTACGTTTCCAGCAGCGGTAATGGCGCTGGATGCCATGCCCATGGCCGTGTTTTGAATATAATTCGTAATGAAGCCCGTCATATTTTCGATATATCCACTGATTCAACTTCGAGAAACACAGAAAGAGAGGTAGATTCAAGATGATAATGTTGGAGCTTTAGAGAATCAGAAGGGCAAAGAGAAAGCACAAACCCACAAAACGATCGAGACAAGAAAGATTCCAGACGCATCTTTCGCCAGCAAGAGAGCATCACTGTGCATAAACATCCCNNTTGCAACTCTTCCCGCAAACCTGGCAGCGAAGGTTGGAAGATCTGGGGCTGCGCGACAAGTGCAACGGAACATTTACGTGGGAGGAGTGCAAAAGTGACGTAAAGTGTGGCGCAAACGCTGNNGACGAGTCGCAACGAGATGTCACACGGCAGAGTGAGACAATCGACCGTNTGTCGGCCAGCGGTTGGACAGCCGTCAAGGTTACGTAGCGACTCCATGTGCAACAACACGCGACTGGACGGCGGCTGGTGAACTTTGCGGCAAAGAGAGTTNGCGAGAGGNGCCGGCAAGATCTCCCTCCTGGAATCCTTCAAGAGTGCGATCGTGGATGGACAGAGGAAGCGACTGGTGAAATGTGTGTGATTCAGAAAACAAGAACGCCTGATACGTGGTATTGATACAGAGATAAATCATCTGCGGCTGAAGGACAAGCCTTAAGCAAAACAATCATGCCCTTTCATAGCCCTTCGTCATTAGATTAAAGAAAAATTAGGAAACATCGATGCCGTGCTGTTGTTCTCCGTGCTCCGAGACAAGAGGGAAACTCTAAGCTCCTTGACGCGCCTTCTCCGCACAGATGAGGGCAATGATACGACTCAGTTCTGCGCTCTGGGCGGCTGATTCTCTAACGATCTTCTCGTCAACGCCCTCTTGTTTCGACAAATCTGCTGTGCTCTTGAGCATGCGGTTTTGAAGTGCGAGCATCTTCTGGAGTGTGTTGTCGAGGAAAGGTGCGCTGAAGCTGACATCGTTTCCGGTGTCGAGGCGCATTTCGAGCTTGCGAGGGCGCTTCTTCTCGGCCGGGTCCTCATTGAAGACTTGTCCGTTTTGTTGCGGCTTGGGTCTGNNTGACTATGGTTAGCGACATGAATATCATTGTGACTATGTCGTGTGAACACACCTCTCAACGAATGTGATGCTCTCGGCCATCTCAGCGACACGGTTTGCGATTCGGTTGGCCATGATAGCGTATGCTGAACCAACTCCGTTCACAGGTGTGTCTCCCTGAGAAGAAACACTGTTTGCTCTGGCTGCCGGACGAACTGCGCCTGCTCTTCCAGCGGCTGTACCGTTTGTTCGAGCTGCTCCGTTCGCACGAGGGGCACCGTTCGTTCTGGCTACGCCGTTGGTTCGCGGTTGGTTGGTGTGAGGACGAGTTGCTGAAGGAGCGTTGGCCATATCGAGTCTTGATGTCTTCGTGAAGAAAGTTGTGTTTCCGGACAGATGATAGTCCCGGATAGATGTTCAAACAGTGGTAGGTATCCAGATACAGAAGAGGTTTCCGAGTTTCGAGAAAAACGTCAAGTAAAAGCTCCGCGGTGGTCTTGTGGTATTTACGTGGGATTGAAGGAAGAAGGGTGCGATCTCGAGACCTAAAGGGCACTTAGGCAAGGCAGGGTGGCTGGACTCGATTCGAAAAAGCGGCTCACGAACCACACGTCATTTTACTTTTTGCCCTGCGGGGCGCGAATCAGGTTGGTCGTGGCTGGACCGCAGCTCGAACCTCGATCGGGCTCCAGCACGGTGCCACATTGCCTCATCGCACGTCGCTTGCTGACGCGAGTCGATGGAAGAACTGCTCGAAAAGCAGGAATGTTGCACTGCCGAGGACAGGGTCTGAAGGTCTCGAAGTCACTCGCTTCGTGTTTGATCAAATGAATAGCTGATCTGTGGCTGTTCGATGTTTCCTCACTTCTTGTGATTTTGTCAAAGTCAAAATGTCGAGACCGCAAGTCGAGGCAGTTTCGAAAGCCTTTGGCGATACTTTGTTAGGAGCAGGATTCGATATCCTAAAGTCAAAAGCTGGAGACCAACATCCAGCAGGGCCACCTCAACATGGTGCCATGGGACAGGCCGAGAGGGCCTTCTCTGCTGCATCGACCTTCCTCTCAGGGGTACTGGCGTAAGTAGAATGTAAAAGTGTTTTCGAGAGCAAGTATCTGATTAGCATGTCGCATCTCAGCATAAGCGCTTCGCAATTCATCGGCGCTCCGCTGAAGCTCATTGACCCTAAATTCTACGATGGATACATGGCATGGACCAAAGAGTCTTTTGCTGTCCTGACCGCGACCATGACCCAATGGTGGGCGCCTACTGCTGTCCGAGTCACTGGAGACGAGAGTATGAAGGATCAGCTATATCAAATGGAGGATGGAAGTCTTCGATGCAATNTTCCTCATCGCCTTGTCATGATGGCTAACCATCAGGTATGTTGCTGAAAATGATCCTGGATACACGAGCGATAGTCTGACAGAGACNAGCTTTATACTGACTGGCTATACCTCTGGTGGATCGCTTATACCAACAAGATGCATGGACGCATCTATATCATCTTGAAGGAATCCTTGAAAAACGTTCCCATCTTTGGTTGGGGTGCCCAATTCTACAACTTCATCTTTNTGTCGCGAAAATGGGAGACAGACAAGAGTCGCTTCCAACGGCATCTTAGCCAGCTCAGCAATCCCAAAGACCCTATGTGGCTGCTGATCTTCCCTGAAGGCACAAACTTGAGCGAGACCACTCGTGCGAAAAGTAAAGCCTGGGCAGACAAACAGGGCATCAGCGACATGAAGCATCAACTCTTGCCTCGCAAAACCGGACTTCAGTTTTGTCTGCAGCGGCTAAAAGAGTCAACGAATTGGTTATACGACTGCACAATTGCATACGAGGGCGTTCCGTATGTCCCCAGACAATCGACTTGATCGAATACAGCTGACAAAAGGAACAGAGAAGGCCAATTTGGACAGGACATATTCACGCTTCGTTCTTCGTTCTTTGAAGGACGCCCACCGAAGTCTGTCAACATGTACTGGAGACGATTCAAGATAAGCGACATCCCAATCGACAACGATGAAGCTTTCGAGAGATGGCTTAAGAATCGCTGGACTGAAAAAGATTACCTTTTGGAGCACTTCTATCGCCATGGCTCTTTCCCTGCCGGATGTCCGATCAAAGCCATGCAAGCCGAAGCTGCACTGCAAAAGCTTGCAAATGGCAATGGTCACGGAGAAAAGAAAGTCATCAAACCAGTCAACGAGACTGCCAAGTTCATCACTACCGAAGTCAAGGCAGGTGGATGGGAGGAGTTCCTCGCTATCTTTGCTCCCATTACCGCTGCTGCAACAGCACTTTCAAGTGGGGATATAGCGCCTGGAAATATCGACTTCGATGCATTACTGAACAAGGTGGCCCAACAGCAACAACTGAATCTGCTGATGGCAGGAAAGGCACCAAAGGCACCACAATCGACCGAGGACATGCGGCAAGCTCTGACATATGCTGCGAAATCAGCAGGTGGTCAACCAATCAAGGGGTCCACGGTAGAAAAGATCACAAGAGACGCCGCTCGGACTCAAAGAGAGATCGAAGAATCCATGAGAAAGCATCCTCTGCCAGAGTCAAGCGAGAAGCCAACAGCTGGACGAAACCTCGACCCTAAGCTGAAAAACACGATTGATAGCGTACATGAAGAGACACGGAAGCGACTCATGCGAGCTTCGCAGACGGCATCTCCAAAACCAGCACCAAGCGTTCGCAAGTCATTGCCAATGACACCTACGGAAACTGCCATTACACGGCCTCTATCGACATTGGCGATGGCAAAAGCCAAACAAGGTGTACAGAAGATTGCCGAGAACAAACAGAAGCAACGGACAACACCTGGTGCGAGCAAGGCCGGAACGTCGGCTTCATCAGCAGCGACAAAGCAGCCAGCTCGAGTATCGAGTGTTAGCAAGAAACCGGGTGTCCCAAATGGTACTGCAGCGAGTGGCAAGACTACCAATGCCAAAGCTCCTCAGAAGGCAGCAGCTAAATCAGCGCCTGTCAAAAAGGCTACAACATCTTGAGAAGTGCAGGATAGAGGCTGGAGAGCTGACTACCTACAACATCCGCATCTAATACCTTGATATATAGTAGAATGAAACATATATATCTTATGCGCCTACAATCGAAGTTCCAAGCCCTGAGCAAATCAGAAACCCACGATCTCAGCACGAAATACGATCTGTAAGATGATACTGTCTCTGAGGGTCCACAATCAGAGACGGCACAGATGAAGTACCACGTACCTGACCTGATTTTGGGACCTGACGTAGGATCAAGCAAATGGCAGCAGGCATGAGCACGGTCCGAACGACAGTTTCCTTTTGGAAAGAGCGTTAGCACAGTTGGGTTATCGAGTGGGTTATCGAAGTCGCGATTGTTGGCAGCATTAGGCGGGATCGACGTTATTAGCGGGATCGTATATGCGAGACCTGTGAGCGAGATTGCATCTAAACACTAATACAGAGGCGCAGACTGCCTACAAAAGCTTGATCAAAGTGTCGAGTTGATGCTGTCGAGTGTTGGTTGAGCAGACAGCGAAAAGGAGCAAGCACAAAGAGAAAAAGCCAGCGGTTTCTGTGCCGACGAGGAAAACGACGTGTTGTTGACATCGCGGCGTGGGGGAAAAAGCGTGAAGTCTCGAACGGCGCCTGCAGCTTAACGTCAGTCAGGAGCAGGGGAGGCACGCACACGCGAAGCCAATTCCAACGCGCCAGGCCGCTTCTTCTCTTCTTGTGCCTTCTTCTATTCTTTGACACATCTGCAGGGTGCAACGACCATCCATCGACACCATTTTTACCCAGCCCACGACCAGCCCCCCTGAGCCCAGCCGACCATGAGCGTCAGGGTCGTCGCGCGCATCCGACCCTTGCTCAAGCAGGAGCTGGAAAAGGACACCATCGTCGAGGCTGCGACAACCGTCTCGGAGCCGCAGGCCACTCCCTCGATCGTGCGCATCCCGAACCCCAAGAACGAGGCCGAGGCTTTCAGCTTCCAGTTCAACAGCGTCTACGACCAGCTGGCCACACAACAACAAGTCTTTGACAATGAGATTGCTCCCACCGTCAAACACCTCTTCAAAGGCTTCGACGTCACCATCTTTGCATATGGAGTCACAGGAACAGGAAAGACGCACACGATGCGCGGTGGTAAACTACTGGCCGAAAGAGGTGTCATCCCGCGCTTGCTCAGCAGCATCTATCGCAGAAGTCGCAAGATTGAAAAGGACTCTGAGGGCGACACCAAAGTCGACGTCGCCATGAGCTACTACGAAATCTACAACGACCGCGTCTTCGATCTGTTCGAAGCTCCCGAGAAGCGCACCGCTGCTGGCCTGCCCATCCGCGACAACAATGGCAAGACGGTTGTCGTTGGCTTGACCGAAAGACCTTGCACTTCCTTAAAGGACTTTGAGTCTCTCTACGACCAGGCCAACGTCAACCGCTCTACCTCTGCTACAAAGGTGCGTCGCTTTTCCACCCTATCAGACGCCCAACGCCACTAACCACCTGTTTAGCTAAACGCACACTCCTCGCGCTCTCACGCAGTTCTCTGCGTCAAGGTAACTCAAGTAACCGGTAACGAAGTCCGGGTAAGCACCGCAAGCGCCATCGATCTGGCTGGCTCCGAGGACAACCGCCGCACCGACAACGGTAAGGAGAGAATGGTCGAATCTGCAAGCATCAACAAGTCTCTCTTCGTTCTCGCTCAATGTGTCGAAGCTATTAGCAAGAAGCAAAGTCGCATTCCGTACCGCGAGTCCAAGATGACACGAATCCTCTCTCTTGGCCAGAACAATGGTCTGACAGTCATGATTTTGAACTTGGCTCCTGTCAGAAGTTACCACCTTGATACTCTTAGTTCTTTGAACTTCGCCAACCGCACAAAGAAGATCGAAGTCAACGAGGTCGAAAACAGACCTTTCTTCTGCACCGCACCAAAGCCTGAATCTAAGTCTGGCATACCTTCAATTCCTCTGGCTAACCGCCAACCTTTGCGACCTAAAGCACTGTCACATAACGTTGTTCCTAGCAAGGAGCAAGCCGAAAAGGACAAGATCGAGAAGCCAGTAAAGGCATTCTCTGTTTATTCTGATAAGCCCAAGACAACAACCATAGCACGACCTGGTCACCTGTCAGGACAAGGTTACCCTCGTATCGCTGAGGCACAAAAGCGCACTAGCAGTGAAGCTGTACCTACCATCAATCGACCATCGAAGGTGCTGAAACCCTCCGTAGCAGCCAGGCCAGAGGCCATGTCTCAAAAGTCAATTGAGGAGCTTATTGAAAGGAAAGTGGCCGAAAAGCTAGCCGAGCAGGCTCTCAGCACAAAGCTACCAGCAGGCACTGAGATCTCTCCCGACGTACAAGCACGATTGATCGCTTTGGAGCGCAGAGTCATCGACCAAGAATCCGCCCGCGCAGAGGGTCTGCAATATCTGCTCATGGCCAAACAGCACACTGTCCGCGGCGAAGAAGTCAGCGCCCTCAAAATGTACCAGCTCGCACTCNCCTACTTCCCCGACAACCAAAAGCTAGCGCAGAAAATGCTCAAGCTGCAAGAAAAGATCAACCGCAAAGAAGAGGAGCGCAGACCCAAGTCCAGCGGTGGTGTGCCTCTGATGACCGAAGACGGCGACGACGATTATCAACCCGAGGCTCACGAGCAAGACGACGAATCAGTCTTTGACAACCGCACCACAAAGCCACGCAGCAGCCGACCCNCCATCCGCCGCAACTTGAGTGTTTTCCGCGACGATGGAGCAGCTTCAGCACCTCAACCCCAATGCCGAACCACGAACTCAGACTCAGAAGATGAGTTGGCACACTCACTCATCAACACCGGTCCCGACCAAACACCCCGCTCCAAGCACATTCTGCGCATAATCAACAGCCGCGATGTTGCCCAAATCCGTCTGCTCAAAGGCGTAGGTGCCAAANAGGCAGAAATGATTGTTAATGCGCTGTGTGAGATGGATGATGAAGTCAGACATGTAGGCGAATTGGGCAGGTTGAAAGGCGTAGGCATCAAAGGTGTTGAACGCATGCGCGAGGGTTTGGCTGGTGTGGTGGCTTAAAAGGCAAGCACCCATCTGCAGCAGCTGTTTTCTGCATCTTCTCTTCCCATTGATTGTGGGTTTGTCTTGGGTTATTTTTTGAGAAACAAGCATGGCGTTGGGGTTATTTGCATGTATTGTGGCATTGTTCGGGCGTTTTTTTGCATCAGAGGAGTTTCTGTCAATTATATTCAATCAGGCAGGAAAGAAAGAGGACAAAAGTCGTTGCATTGGACGGAGATACACTAGAATCATCATCATCGGGTAGATAGGATTATCATTAGAATCCATGAAGAAGCAAGTCAAACATTCGAAATCAGATTCTCAATTGCTTGAATTATCAAGAAACAGGGCACTTAAGGAAGGAGCCACTCGAGGAAGGAGCCATTCGAGGAAGGAGCCACCTGAGGAAGGAGCCACTCTGGACTGTTGTTATAATTGTCACAATTCAAGAACGGGTTTGATTAAGATAGCCCATTCATTGCTCCTTCCATTTGGGAAATGTTCGAGAAAAAGGTACATTGCACTGTGCATCATACATTACAAATCACAACCTGAACGTCAGGGACGAGCAAGGGTTTCGGGAAGGGAAGATTTGATATTAACACCACAAGTAAGCAGGGCGAGAGAGTAAAGCTAGATAAAAGAATTCGTAGGTCGTGGATGGAGGGTGGAAAAACGGCAAAAAAGAAGACAAGTGGGGTATCAGGGTATCGAAATAATAACTTGACTGAGACCGCACCAAAAGACGGAGAAAAGAAAGAAGAACAGGCTTTGTGTGCTTGCGGTAAACGAGAAAAAGAGGACGAAAAGGGGAGTGGGTATTTGAGAGATTGGGCATAGCAAGGACACGCTCGAACGTAATAGATAGCAAAAAGATCAGAAAAAGAACATTCGCTCAAAAGAACATTCGCAGACGCGAAGATAAAGAGGAGTCGTAACATGTCGTTCGCGGGTCGTGGTCGTTTCTCGGGGAGTTTCACCAAATTATGAAACGTTAGTTGTAGGTGGTGTAAGTGGGAATAGAGGGGAATGTAGCGTTCAATATTGTTCGTTGTAGGACGGTTGATCGAAATCAGCCGCGGTGTTCGACGGCTCGGTTCTCGCTGGTGGCAACAGCAACGAGGGCTTCGAGTCTGCCCATGTCGGGGTTGGCTCTCTGGTGGACGGGTGCAGGACGCCACTCGGGAGACTGGACCTGCATGTTGTGACCGGCTTGCATCATGTACACGGTCGGTGCTTGGCCAGCCATGTGCACATAGCTGTGAAAGCCAGAGTCTGCTCTGGTGGGCTCGGGCTTGCCCTGATAGTGGGCCTGGAGAGCTCTTTGCTCATCGGTCAAAATGGCATCTGGNGGCTGCAGCTCAACCATGCCATTGGCGTGCATAATGGCTGGATGCAATTCTCTGCCTTGAGAGGTCGAAGGTGTGGGTATGCCTTCGCTGCTGCTAGACTCAGGTGAAGTACGGTGCGCGATCATGATCGGCTGACTTCCCTGAGGAGGACCCATCGGCCCACCGTACCAGGCTTGGCGTTTGTTAACATGGTCATCGGCGACTGGACGTATATCAGCAGGTGGCTGCAGCTGAGGCAGTGCATAGCCAGGAGCAGGTTGCTGATGTTGTTCTGAACGAGGTGCTTCAGGTAGTCGCTGGCTTGGGAGTATGCGAGCGTGGTCCACTGGAGGATGAGCAATCTCCAATCTGTTAAGACCTTGATGAAGATTGTGCTCCCAGCCTATACTTCTTCGGTCTCCAGGAGCAGAGGTTGATACCTCAATTGGCCCTGAGAGTATTGATGAACGACGACCAGAGTCAATCTGCATAGGACTGGTCACGTTGCGTGCAGGAACAGCAGGAGGAGGAGGCGCGTGGTCGAAGCTTTCGATGCCAGGAAGTCTGGTAATCTGACTTGCTGCTGGCTGGGAGGCAAGAGCAGGAACAACGTCATCAGGAGTCTGGTTATAAGCCAACCCACTGGTTGCAGGACGACTGGCATAGTTCGCATGAGTGCTAGGATGCCATGTTCTTCTTCTCCACTCAAGCTCAGCATCAGACTCACGGCGGTGGTGTGAGAAGGTAGAGGAAGTAGGACTGGCGACCATGCTGTTCGTGTTCGAGTATTGAGGAGCTGGGCCGGAAGGAAGAGGGGCAAAGTAGACGGGCTGATAGCTGGCCGCTTGTGGCGAATAGGGGCTGACCCCAGATGGGACAGACAGACGGCGAGAGGGTGTTCTAGTGCCGTTGTAGAAGGATGATCTGGCGATCGGAAGAGATGGCGACTGCATGCTGGCTTGGAACCTAGGGCTACCTTCGCCGGTAGAGAAGTTGGACGACGTGGGAGAGCTGTAGCCGCTGGGCGACTGCTGGTAGTAACCGAACTGAGGGCCATTATTGGGTATGGCCGGATTGAACGTGTCTAGACTCAGTCTCGCCCTGGCCACAGGATCCTGGTTCAGCATCAGAGGAGAGGGGCGCGGACGACTCTCTCCAATGTCCGACATGGCCAGGCTCGAGGTAGTCGAGAGGACGCTTGAAGCTGACAAGTTTCTGCTGTGCCCTCTACTGTACGCACTGTGTCCGCCGCTGCCAGCAGTCGATGCTCTAGGTCTCACGTTTGGTGGACGTACACGGTCTGTTCGGATCTGTCTCTGGAACCTGGTCCCGGTCGCTGCCAGGGAGTCGCCGGGGATCTCTTCGTTGACATGTACTGTCTGGGCATGTTGGCGCAGGTTGTCGAGTCGGGAGAACCGGCGGGAGCAGTGACATTCGAAAGGTCGTTCACCCGTATGTTTTCTGGCACACGTCAGTATGAGACGGTATGTCAGACTTGAGCTATATGCTTACCGGATGTGCCTGGCCAGATGCTCACTGCGAGTGAAACTGAGGTTGCATGGTGGAAAGTCGGTGCAGTAGAATCTCTGGCCCTTCTTCTTCTTCCTAGACGGCTTTCCGTCGTCATCACTTTCGTTGTCTGAGCCTGCTTGGTCCTGGCCATCGTCATCGCCATCGTCCATGTCTATGTCTTGCGAATCGCTAGACTGGTGCGAATGTACCGAGCGACGTGAGTTTTCACGAGATACCCCAACGCTGTCACCATGTTGTTGAGTAGGGTTCGAGTTGTTGGCAGGAAACTTGAAAGTCCCTCTGGTGGGGGTAGTCAGAGTCGAATCTTCGGCGGGGATTTCTTCAGCGGGTTGGTCGGAGAAGCGCGCACTGTGTCGCGGCGTCGTGGGTTGGTAGTCGTCGGTCGTACTACCGCTTCTTTTTCTGCTGCTGGGTGCAAGCATCGGTCTCGTGCTATTCCGAGGGTTCGACATGGCTGGCGAGATGGTCGGGGAGCGATGACTGAGTATCAGGAAGCCGAATGTGTTGAGGTGGAATCGATTTCTAACCGGCTTATTCAGATCAGTCGATTCGTCATGGCAAGACCTTGCAAATAATTCGTTGGTAATGGTGCACAAGAGCGGCCCCAGTATTGCCGAGTTATAAGCATACAAAAGGCGTACCGGTCAGGTTAGAGCATGTCATGAAGCTGAGAGGGTTATCGAAACATGGGGGTCGACACAACTACTCGAGGGTGAGTCGATATGACATGAGAGATGTAAACGCCGTCGTGGTGGAGGAGACGTAAGAGAGGAAGAGGACTCGTCTGACGAGCGGCAAAAGGATGGCAAGGGTGATAAGCAAGCAGCAGGTGCAGCAGTAGTGATGAATAGAGCGGCGAGATGCAGCCAACCCGCCACGCGCAACGTTGGAGATCCTGCGAAAGGCTGCTGCGTCAGAATCAGAGTTGGCTATCCAAGGTACGAATAGCGCAACTCGGCAACCTAACGGCCAGACAATCTGCTGTTTCCGGGGCTCGATCAGAACTAGAGTTACGATGACCAAGACAGGGCGCAGGAACAAGCGTCCGAGAAGGGCCGCGATAGACTCGAAAAGAGTGCAGGAGCGCCCACTGCGGGACGAGAGAGCATCCACAAGGCAAAGCAGATGATGATGACTTCCCCTCGCATATCTGAGCACGGACAGAGGCTACATAAACTTTGTCTACCGCGCCGGATCGGCAGAGAACATGTCGAGTGGGCGCTTGCTCATGCAGAAAGTCTGGAGCGAAACGTTTCCAAAACTGACAGGCAGGCAGCCAACCATCGGAATTTGTCTCCTACCAACTAGCCATCTACAGCATGTGCGTACCCGTCGACGCCCTGGCTACCACCCACCATACGCAGTCTGGGAGCTTCAGCGCGCAGGGCAGAGCCGGGAGCGAGCGAAGAGACGTGAAAAAGGTACCCCTCGACACTAATCAAGAGGTGGGGTGTGCGCAGCATGCAATGTACAAGAAGGTACATGATGGTGCATATTCAGGTGCAAACCAACCAGTCCACGGCAAACGCAAGACAATGCCCTCCATGTACTCATCTACCCCTCTACTCTTGTCCTTGTCTGCAAGACAGCAGCGCTTGAACACGCGTGCCCGCCGCCAGCCAGCCCGTGTTATGCTGGGGCCCCATCGTATACAAGACTCGTGGGTCACGCACACCATACACACCCACTCACATCATACATGCCTCGATGGAATCCGGACGAGGCGATTTACCCTTCCACACGATATACGGTGTGCTGAGAAGTTGACCACTCAGCGAGCGAACAAACCCGGCCAAGGCACCGCTACCCGGCCACCGCCAAGCCACAAAGACGGTGAAGGTCGTTGGAGGTGAGTAGGTAGAGAAAACGAGGAACAACAGTAAGAGAGAACGGGATGGAACGGGTCGTTAGCATGACAATGTGATCAAGAGGTGGCTCTCGATACCACAGTGCCCTCGGAGTGGGGACTTGCTTTTCTTCGTCCATGTTTCATCTGTGCCTTACTCTCACCATAGCATTCATGCTCTTTCTCGTCAGAAGTGTCAAATTGTGTCTCGCCGCGTCTCTTCCCAAAATCTACTGAGGTTTCAGGTCCCAGTCAATCCCACAGGTTACAGCGGTACCCGAGTCAAACCCGCAGTCGAGGGCTTCGCAAAAGGAGGGGATACGAAAAAGGTACAAAGACTCAGCGCGCGTGGTGCCAGACAAGCCAAGCTTCTTATGGTGATGACGATGCCAATGATGTGTCTCAGGAGCCGGGCGATTCGTCAGGTCGCAATTGCACCTGAACGCTAACTAGTTCCTCTGTCATGTTCAGCACCGCTGACCTGCATGAATGAAGAGCAACGCTCCGGCAAGCGCGCTTCCTTCTACAGTGCTTGATAGATTGGATTGCCCGCATACGGTATTTTACAAATCTTTGTATTGATTGCTATTGCCTCGCTCTTCATTCCCGAAGCCTCATGCCTTGCAGGTACACGCGAAGAGTGCGTGTGTGCCATTCCAGATCCAGGTACCGCAGAGAGTACATTAAAGTTTGTCATGTGAAGATCTTCTGCCCCTCCTCCACAGTCCACCTTTCTGTTTGAGTCCTCCTCTCGGCTGAGGCTGGCAAGCCATCGTTCATGCGGAGAGTTTTGGAGCTGCAAGGGCAAGACATTATTCATGAATCTGGAGGCGCCTGGATCTTTCTTCTTGCCCCTGACAGAGAAACACTGCGTGCTGCTTTTGAGACTTGTCTCGTGGCAACTCTTTTCGTCATGAGATAGGCATCGTGTCTAGGAATAAATAGCACACATCCACGAAACGACGATCACGCAAGACACACGCACTTTACCTTCCCCCTGCGCATCTTTTTGCCCCCCACGGGTAAAGGAGTTCCAAAAGTCCGGCTCTCGAACCGGTGTGTAAACGACAGTAAGATCATACTTCACCTTCTATTGTTCAGACGGAATCTCGCCCTATTGTACAACCACATTTTCAGCTATTGTCATGTGTACATCGATAAGTGACTCGTTGGTAAAGTCTAGGAAGGCCAGCGTTCCAGATCTCATTCTGGTCTGTACAGATTGACAGTGCAAAGAACCCGAAAGGTACTGCGTAAGCCTCACTCCCCTTTTGTAAAAGCAACAAAGTCTCTTTGCTCGAGGATCGGGACTCACGAGATAAAAGGAGACAAAATGTCTCGGATAACTCGAAAAGAGGCGCAACGAAACGTGGAGAGGATGATCGGAACAATTGCCTGAGCAGCAAGGTACCACTACGCAGAAGAAAGCCACGAAAAAGCCTATTTTGCCTATTGCTTTGCCTTGCTCTGGTTGATTGCCCATTGTCACTCAGCTGTGTATATCTTCATCAGCTTTCTACTGTAGTTACCCGACCCATACTCCGCATCTTGTTCTATTTAGCTCTACAACGCGGCATCGCCTAACTCCCAAGCTTTGCGAGTGGCACGCACTCCTGGACTTGCCGGCGGCATGGCTCATGTGGTTCCTGCATCAGGGCAACGGCAAAAGTAGGTATCGGAATAAAATCAATAAGTTTGGTCAAGCGCCCTTTTTCCTTCTTCTTGTCTAAAAAGGTTGATCACGCGAATATTGGGGTGCTTTCATTCAAATATCTTGCTTCCAAACCACCCATCATCCATCAACTCGTCTTCGGATCGCAAACGCTCTACTGTTTGTCAAGAGTCCGGACAGCTTCTCGTTAGCTGCTTTGGTGGTATCAAAAGTTTATTGCATGACCTATAGTTGTGAAAGTTAGTGACTGAAAGCGCCATCGAGGTCTAGAGAGTGCATACCTTTTCTCTCAACATGCCGATAAATTGAGCAGAGCTGACAGCCATGTCGGCACGGTCCTCGATGAGAAGACTTTGAGCCCACAGTCTAAGACTTGGATCGCCGTCTTCGCGCACAAGATATAGCGATGGTACCACGATGCTGCCGCAGCCCTTGGCACGATGATCCCGGCTCTTCTCGACCACGGCGCGCACGCGCTCGTTCATCTCGCTGTCAATGATGGGCAGCGAGGTCTTGCCCTGCTTCAATGCATTCTTGTCATCAGTGCCAAAGACATCCATGATCAATGCTGGGACGGCGTCACGTCCAAGCCACAAGAACTGTGTCTGACCATCGTCGATAAGGTAGAGACCGAAAGGAACGACGTTGGCTGAAGTCAAGTTGAGCGGAGGAGGCAATGCAATAGCGCCAGTCGTCGGGTCAGGAAGACCAGCAGTCTCGGGCATGTCGTGCAACGAGTACAGACGAGGGTAAATGTACTGAATCATCAGAGGCAGGGGAAGCGTCGAAAGTAGACACAAGGCGGCAGAGCGGAGATCGCTGGGGATCTGGGCAGATTTGCGGAGACCGAGCTACGGTCATGTTAGTATAGAAATTCCGACCTTGCAGCATGCAAGACTTACGTTTTTGATGAGACCCAAGAATAGAGTTGGCAGACCTCTGAGGTTCACAGGGAATTGAAGACCACCGCCACCCATGTTACCACCTGCAAGCTCCTTCTTGTATGTTTGAAGAAGCTCGATGATCTTGGCTTGAAGCGCATCTCTGGCAGCATCGAGACCGCTGGACAGAGCTCTCTCGACTGCCTTGTGACTGAAGTAGACCGCGATAGCTTGTTGATCAGCACTTGAGTAAACATCGGCCAGGTTTTGTGTGGTAGGAATTGACAGGGTCATGACACGAATGCGGCGCTCGCCGTTACATGTTGTGTGCAAAACACCAGCCTGCAAGCAAACAAACTGTTTTGTGACCGATTCATCAATGGCAATCTCGACAACGTAGGCTTGGTCGCGAGGGAATGCAGGGAAGGCGCAGAGGTCCGAACTACGGTTGAAGAAGTTACCGTAGAAAGTGCTTGGGCGCAATCCAGTGGTGGCTCTGACGCGCAATACAGCCTCTAGACCAATCTCTGAAGACAGGTAATCGCTGAACTCGGTTGCAAACTTGATGGCATCCTCGGTACGGGCTGCACTCCAAGCAGGGTAGAAATATGTTTGACCTCCGGTGTATCTGGGCAAGTTGCTGAGTGAAGCAACATCCTGGTACTGTGAAGAGAAGAGNAACATATCAATCGAGACCTGAGTTTTTGAACACTCGACTGCGAAACTCTTGTAGAAGGCGTTGGCGGTCTGCAGCAACGAACTCTCCTTGCTTGTTCCGAGAAGCTTCTTGTCTTCTCTCATGTCAAGCTTGCCGTAACCGTGGTTGGGCAGGGACGCAGTCAAAACAACCATCTTTCCACCGACATGAGAAATCATCTTGTGTCCAGCACGCATTGCCGATCCCATAGCTGAGAGACCGTTCTGAGTGCTCTGGAACATGGACTGAAGCTTGCCGAGGAAAGTCTCAATGTTTTGGCGGGAATCGGCCAAGCTGACAAGAAGACCATCAGGTGTAGGAAGGAAAGGCTCGTCGAGATCGCTCACAACCAGCATGTTTGAGTCGGTGGTACCGCTGTCATCGCGAGGGATGGTAAAGTAGTGCAAGCTCGAATCGACGGCCATGAAAGCCAGACGAGTTCTGCGGTCGGCGTTGGGAATGCGATCAAGCGACTCGGCGACACAGCGAGCGGCAGTGGCAAGGAGGCCACTTTGGACCGAAGCGACACTGACGTCGAACAAGAAGAGGTATACCAGAGGCTGTGGAGCTCTGACCATGTACTCTTGAGGAGCAACAAACTCCATGACAGAGTAGTTGAGCTCGGGTCGCTGCCAGCGGTCAATGGCTTGCTGCTTCATGTTGTCCCAATCAAAGGCTTGAGGAACATCGTTGGTGAGGTTGCACATGTTGCAGCGCCATCGGTGGCTGTGGTCGAGGAAAGTGGCAAAGGGATTGATGTAGGTACGGCATCTGCGACATCTTGCAATGACCTGGTCGGGCTGAACAGGCACGTCGTCTTCGGCATCGTGGAGGGTAGCGTAGGGCTGGATGACAAGGGCGAAAGGAAGCTTGGACTTCTTGAGGAGGGAGTTTGTCGAAGGAATGGCGTTCAGTGTCGAGCGGACGTACTTGGGTGGGCAGTTGGCGTTGGGCGAGGGGGTTACGCTGGANCTGTGGCACACGTCAGTGATGGATTGAAGACCAGAGCGAGGCAGACATACGTTAGGAGGCAGAATGATGGGAGGAGGAGGCAGATCCAGATCCGACACATGGAAGGGAGCACCCTGAACACTGATGTCGACAGGCTGGAGAGGGTTCAGACGTTGGGCGACAGGGGCGGCCTGCTGGGGAGCTTGTGCGGGTTGCTGTTGTTGCGGGGCCACGCCCATCTGCGCGAACTGCTGTGTCATCTGGGGCACTCCTCCTGGAGCGGCGCCATATGCATCTGGAGGCTGGTATCCAGCGGCGGGAGCGCCATATGCTGCAGCAGGCTGCTGCTGTTGAGGGTCAGGATAGCCTGCGGGTTGTTGGACCGGGGCACCGTAGCCATAGCCAGCGGCGGGTTGAGCNGACACCGTAGGCAGCGGCAGGAGGAGGAGTCTGTGTCGCGGGCATGCCGGCATTGGCGCCGGTGCCGAATTCGAAAGCCTGGCCAGCATAGGCTCTCTTCTTCTTTGCTGGCACTTGGGAGGGAGCAGGCACGGGGGTGCCGGACTGCGATTGNNATCGTACTCTTCCTGCGAATAGCCCTGCGCAGGGTATCCTTGGGGGTTGGCCATGATGCTGATGTGTTTGCCGACGGCGAGATGCTGCGGCGGAACAAGATGTGATCAGCTCCGGATTATATAGAAGGTATAGTTATTATTGCACACCTCGCTCGTAGATTGTCTGGGGCACTTGGACAGCTGGAGCCCATCTGGCCAATGAACGCGACCGACCCTTCCCCACACGTCATCTGGACCATCCATCTCCCTCGAGCCTCCTCACTCCTACTCGTACAGGCAACAATATTGCTGATGCCAACTTGCTTCTTCAAGATGACTGTTCGTTAGTTGACAGGTTACCAGACAGAATGTTAATCGAACCTCCTGTATCAACATCAGATCTCCTTGAAGCCATATAGTCAAGCTCAACGAGACCCTCCCTAGTTTTTCATGGCGTCTTCACGAAACTCGCACTTCCACTATGAGTCACGCTCCCCAGGCAGCGAAATGTATATACTCAACACGCAAATGATTACAAAGGATAGGTTGAAGTCATATGCACCCGCATAGGGAGTATCAGTGGCATATGTGCTCTTCAAAGGCCAGAGATATTGTCACCAGGTTCGTACGCTCAGCAACGAGACTTTGCCAATGTAGCTTGGCGCTGTCGTTACCACTTTCACGAATGTGACAATAACAACGATGGAAGTTCAATGGACGGAGGCGACGAAAGTTGGGATGGTACATTCATAGGTAGATACATTACGAAACGTAGCAGACTTCTCCACTTCCCAGTCCAAAGACCAGGAGAGCAATGAAGACCGCGATAAAAAATTGAAAAGCAGATAAACGGCAACATAAATGGCAGTACCTACGGCGTTAGTCTAAGTGGTAAACTGTGTTCGACATAGATCGACCCGAACGATTGCAGTATCTACGGCGTTAGTCGTACGTGATCAGATAAATGGCAGAAGAAATGTATCCAGTGAACACGAGCACCGGGAGAAACAAAATTGCACTACCTACCACATTAGAGGCTCAGGGCGGCCGAAGGAACCCTCTTGACTTTGCTTCCCCATCCTTCTTAGAGCACGGGCCGGTGACATGAACACGAGCATGCCCCTCCTCGCCTCAGAGCGAAGGCGTACTAGTCTGTCACACGACGAAGACGTGGAGCCTGTTGTGACAGGAGATATGTGAATGGGAAAGGAAGGAATGCAAACCATAGAAGATGTCTGACGACAGAACTTTGGCGGAGGTTGTGGATGAAAAGAAGGAAGGACAGATAGGAGGTCTGGGGCCTTTATATAGTCGACGATGTAGCATCTACTGACATAAGCGAGCAAGTGATCCAGGCTGCAACCTTAAGAGAATGTGCAGTCTGACTGGTCGTGATGCGATATAGAGATGGACTGAGCAAGTTACTGAGCAAGTTACCTTAATGTGGATTTGGTTGGACCTAAGATGCCGACAAAACGGGAGCATCCGGACCGTCAAATCAGAGGCGAGCATGGTAATGTGACCAAACATAACAAAGGACAGACGAATACTTGTTGCGAGAAGAGGTCGAGGCTGAGGCAGAAGACTTGAATATTGTTCAAATATCGTCGAAGAAGGATGACGCAGATCGGGTATATAGGAAGACGCTCAAGAACGTAAAGTCGTAGAAATGAGGTATAGGCGAAAGAGCAAGATAGCATGTCTAAGTGGCTTGTGCGTCAACGTCCATAAGGTCATCGAACATCGAGGCAGTGGTGGTTGCTTGTGGCGTCGAGGCATCACTCATGTTCAAGGGAGTGGCGATGGTGGATATGTTATCAGGCCTTTGAGTCCGTCGGCGCATTTTTGGTGGCTCAGGGCGTGTGTATAGACTGTCGAATCCATCCGAATCAGTGTCGGTATCCAGGGCCTCCGACCGTGACCGTTTGCGATGGTTGGCTTGGATAGGTAACGAACGCGTGAAGGCGTAAGGGCGAGATGCAGGTTTCCAGCGCATGCGACACAAGCGACGAGCAAGAGCAGCAGAGTCAGAATCTTGAGTATTCTCTTCACCATCTTCAATGTCTATCTCGTGGGATAGGTCGACATGACCGCAATCTGCAGCAGGAGTGTCGACTTCCTCCAGCTCGTATGGATGCAAGACTCGGGCATGATTGGGATAATCCACATCATTCTCTGACAGCTCTTCTACGTCGAAACCGCAGTCGTTCTGTGAGGTTGAGCTAGGCTTGGATGGCGAAGAATGCCAGACAGTGAGAGAATCCGGCGCATAGAGCGGCGCAGGTCCGGAACATGCGGAGCCAAAAGGCGACGAAGGGAGGCGCGAATCGACTGCGACATGATCTGCCATGGTCTCATTCAAGGCCGAGGGTTCGTAGAAGCAGCGGAGGCTCTATCAAGGAGATGGCGAGATAGACGGGAATGGTCGACTGTAGGCAGGAGGTGGCATCATGCAGTAAGGACAGGATAACGTTTTGTCGAGAACGCTCAATGACACGCAAAGAGACAATCTAGAGACTATGAAGATGAGTGGTGTTTGCTGAACATTGTGGCTTTGGTTGACTTGGTCGGACAAGAGGTATGACGATGGCGGAGCATGGACGAATGATGGGGAAGCCTAGAGACTCTGATCGAAGGGAGGCCTGCGGGGAGGTGTTCCTACAAGAGTCGCCCGACAGCTAGCACATGTCTGTGAATATAAAGAGGTTGACTGCCTGACAGGATCAATGCAGCAAACACTTGCAGGACGTGGTCTATCAGGCAGGAGCAGAGGTGCTCAGTAGGTGTTGGCATTGGAAGGAGCGAGGGCGGCTTGGCACAACGTGGAGAAGTCGCGGCGTGTCAGGGATGGATTCAGGGCGAAATAGAGGATACCGTAGCTGTTGTAACTGTCCATTTCATCTTCTACCAACTCCGCCAATTCCACCTCACCCGCTGCTCCGTCGTCGCCAGCTGCTGCGCATCCGACAAGTCTCCTCTAGCAATTGCGCACAGCCCGTACCTCGATGTGTGAAGCTGCGGCTTCGGCTCTATAAATACTCCATCAACATGTCGTCCAACACATATCCCACCATGCTCACAAAGGTCCGCTCAACCCTCTGCAACCGAAGCGTGCCTCCAGCCTAACCTGCTACAGTTCGAGTCCAAGTCGTCGAGAGCAAAGGGCATTGCCTTCCATCCCAAGCGGTGCGTTTCCCAACCTAAACAACCCACACCTGCCAGCATGCTGATCATACACANNAGACCATGGATCCTGGTCTCCCTTCATTCTTCGACCATCCAGCTATGGGACTACCGTATGGGCACCTTGATTGACCGCTTCGAAGAACACGACGGCCCCGTACGAGGTGTCGATTTCCACAAGACGCAACCACTCTTCGTGTCCGGTGGTGACNGACTACAAGATCAAGGTCTGGTCGCTCCAGACTCGTCGCTGTCTCTTCACTCTCAACGGCCATCTCGACTATGTCCGCACCGTCTTCTTTCACCACGAGCTACCCTGGATCATTTCGGCCTCGGACGACCAGACCATTCGCATCTGGAACTGGCAGAACCGCTCGCTGAGTACGCTAGCCGTTTCCTCCTTGTGCTAGAAGCTTTTCTCTAACGATCTCCTGTAGTCTGCACCATGACTGGCCACAACCACTACGCCATGTGCGCTCAGTTCCATCCCAAAGAAGACCTCGTCGTTTCTGCCTCGCTCGATCAGTCCGTCCGTGTCTGGGACATCTCAGGCCTCCGCAAGAAGCACTCGGCTCCTACCTCGATGACCTTCGAAGACCAGATGGCTCGCGCCAACGCAAACCAGGCAGACATGTTCGGCAACACAGACGCCGTTGTCAAGTTTGTGCTCGAGGGCCACGATCGTGGTGTCAACTGGGTTTCTTTCCACCCCACCCTGCCGCTGATTGTTTCAGCCGGTGATGATCGCTTGATCAAGCTCTGGAGAATGAGCGAAACAAAAGCTTGGGAGGTGGATACATGCAGAGGTCACTTCCAGAATGCTTCAGCCGCTCTGTTCCATCCTCATCAGGACCTGATTCTGTCGGTTGGCGAAGACAAGACCTTGCGCGTTTGGGACCTCAACAAGCGTTCTTCGGTTCAGTCGTTCAAGCGTGAGAACGACCGTTTCTGGACTATCGCTGCTCATCCTGAGATTAACCTGTTCGCCGCTGGCCACGACAATGGTGTTATGGTCTTCAAGCTTGAGCGTGAGCGCCCTGCTTCGGCCGTCTACCAAAACAACCTCTTCTACATCACAAAGGACAAGCAGGTCCGCTCCTACGACTTCACCAAGAACATTGAGAGTCCCTCGATGCTCTCACTCAAGAAGCTTGGCAGCCCCTGGGTACCCCCACGTGCAATCTCATACAACCCTGCAGAGCGCGCAGTTCTGGTCACCTCCNCCGCCGACGGTGGCTGCTACGAACTGATCAACCTGCCCAGAGACGCTTCCGGTGCTGTAGAACCTACTAACTCTCTGCGCGGCACCGCAACCTCGGCTGTTTTCGTCGCCCGTAATCGCTTCGCTGTGTTCAACCAGCCTAACCAACAGATTGACATCAAGGACCTCCAGAACTCTACCACCAAGACCATCAAGCCTCCGCCAGGCACCGTCGACGTCTACTTTGGTGGCACTGGCTGCCTATTGCTCATCACTCCCACTACGGTTGTTCTTTACGACATCCAGCAAAAGAAGCAGCTTGCCGAGCTCGCTGTCAACGGAGTGAAGTATGTTGTCTGGTCATCTGACGGCTTGTACGCCGCTCTGCTTAGCAAGCACAATGTGACCATTGTCAACAAGTCTCTGGAACAGGTCAGCACGCTGCATGAGACCATTCGCATCAAGAGCGCCGTCTGGGACGATACTGGTGTCCTTCTCTACTCGACTCTCAACCACATCAAGTACACTCTTATGAACGGTGACAATGGTATTGTCCGCACCCTTGACCAAACCGTTTACCTCGTTCGCGTCAAGGGTAGAAGTGTTTACTGCCTCGACAGAGCCGCCAAGCCCAAGGTTATGACCATTGACCCAACAGAATACCGTTTCAAGATGGCTCTTGTCAAGAGACACTATGACGAGATGCTGAACATCATCAAAAACTCGAGTCTTGTTGGTCAGAGCATTATCTCTTACTTGCAGAAGAAGGGATACCCCGAGATTGCTCTTCAGTTCGTCCAGGATCCCCAGACCAGATTCGAGCTGGCCATCGAGTGTGGAAATCTTGAGGTCGCTGTTGAGATGGCCAAGCAGCTGGACCGTCCCAAGCTCTGGCAACGCTTGAGCACTGAAGCTCTGGCTCATGGCAACCACCAAGTTGTCGAGATGACCTACCAGAAACTTCGCAACTTCGACAAGCTTTCATTCCTGTACTTGTCGACTGGTGACGAATCAAAGCTACACAGAATGGCCAAGATTGCTGAACATCGTGGCGACATGACTTCTCGCTTCCAAAACTCCCTCTACCTTGGTGATGTTCAAACCAGAATTGACATGCTCAAGGAGATCGACCAGTATCCTCTTGCATACCTGACTGCCAAGGCCAACGGCATGGAAGAGGAGTGCCAAAACATCCTTGAAGCTGCCGGGCTCACAGAAGACCAAGTCACTATGCCTGATACTGGCAAGCCGCTCTCAACACCACCTGTCATTGTTCCTACCTTCCAGTCGAATTGGCCCGTCAAGTCGTCTGGTTCATCTTCGTTCGAGAAGGCCTTGCTTGCCGATGGTGGTGCCGAGGAAGTTGTGCCCGCAACCAACGGTTACGACGCCGACTTCCTTGAGGCTGAGACCGCAGTCCCTGAGGATACTGCCGAGATTGAGCAAGAAGACGATGAGGATGCTGCCGGTTGGGACATGGGTGATGACAGCTTCGCCGAGGCTGAAGAAGAATTCGTCAACGTTGAGACCGTGGAGGCAGGCGCTGGTAGCAGTGAAGCAGATGTTTGGGCACGTAACTCACCAGTCGCCGCTGACCACGTTGCCGCCGGATCTTACGAGTCTGCCATGAACCTTCTCAACAGGCAAGTAGGTGCTGTCAACTTCAAGCCTCTTGAAGCTAGGTTCGAGGAGATTTACACTGCTTCGCGCACCTTCTTGCCGGCGAATCCTGAATTGCCGCCTCTTGTCAACTATGTTCGCCGCACACTCAAGGAGAGCGACTCACGAAAAATCCTACCATTCATTCCTGGTGATCTCGAGACCATAACCACGACCGACCTGCAAGCAGGAAAGCAATCAATGCAGAAGAACAAACTAGAAGATGGTGTTCAAATATTCCGCAAGATCTTGCAGACCCTGATTGTCAACGCTGTCTCATCGCAAGCACAAGTCAACGAGGTATGTTGAGCTAGAACATGTCTTAAAAACTACAACACTAACAGTTATCAGGCAAAGGAGCTTATCCAGACAGCTGCACAATACGTTCTTGCTATGTCGATCGAGTTGACTCGCAGAGAGCTTGTTGGAGGCACCACAGATTTGAGCTCTTTCTCTGAGGAGGACAAGAAGCGGGCTCTTGAGCTGTCGGCTTACTTCACAATTCCTGCTATCGAGCCTCAACACCAAACCTTGGCCTTGTTCACTGCCATGAACTTCGCACACAAGAACAAGCAGCTGAGCAGTGCCCTCAACTTTGCCAATGCGCTAATCGAAAGAGGAACAAATGCTCGTTTCAAGGAGAACGTAAGTTTAGACTGATCGCACGTTCAAAGTCCAGGCTAACATGATGTTGCAGNNGCAAAGAAGGTCAAGGCTGTATGCGAGCGCCAACCCGGCGATGCAGTCGAGATCGAATATGACTCGTTTGCCGAGTTCGACATTTGTGGTGCATCCTATACCCCGATTTACAGCGGCGAGCAAAGCGTAAGCTGCCCCTACGATGGCGTCAAGTACCAGGCACAGTACAAGGGTACAGTCTGTAAGGTGTGCGAGATCTGCGCCATCGGAGCGCCGGCTAGCGGTTTGAGGCTGACTGTTTAATCTGCTATCGAGTCGCCAGGGGAGGTTTGGTAAGGTGTTGAGTGGGTAAAAGAGGCTGTGCTGTTTTTTGTGTAGGCTATCGCAACCAGTATTTTTGCATAACGATTGGAACGGAGTCCACGTCATGAACGTTGCAGTGATTGCGCAGTCTCTACCTTGTCGTAATTTCATCTACCGTTTTGATATGGTTGTTCGCCGTTTTTGTGGTGTGGAAGTCAACGGTCCCCAGCCTTATTTTCCCCTACTTTCCACTTCCACGTGCGACAAGCCGAGTCTGGATCTTGTCAAGTCTGAGTTCATTCAAGCACGACTGTACGATACAGCAGACCATATCTGAGATAGTCGCGACCTCAACCGCAACACGGCATCTGTTTTCGAGACAAGGTATGTACACAGATGCGCACATCGAATCTGGTATTCGACGAGCCTCCTCTCGGCACCTGTATTATCATCCGCGCCACCCTGCCAACCTCTCCAACGGCTTTATACCGTTTTGATAGAAGGATAAGTGAATTCTCTCCTATACTGTGGGGATTGAGACCTTATAAGTAAGAATGCCTTGTGGCCAGAGCCAACCTTTTTCTTATCTACCTCAACCACTACTCAAATAATTATCCTATATTGACGCCAGCAACCATCCTCGACACACTCTCTTGAGAACAGACAGCCGTGCTTCTTACTCAAACCTACCACATCATCATGCGTCTCTCGACGGCGCTCTCATGTGCCTTTACAGCTCTGTTGGCGGTGCCTACCATGGCTGCACCCTTTGCCATCACACCCGGAGATGCCAACCACGTCATACTCACAGACGATAACACTGTCAACACAACAGAATCGATACAGGCAAGCGCAGTTTCGGTCGCAGCATCACGCCCTCCAGTCAACGTGTTCGCCACTGCAGACTCGGACTTTATTGAACTATCGTTCGTCAACAAGATGGCAAGCTCGAATGTCAAAGCCTATGTCACTGGTAGAGATAGCAACAACGCTCTCGTCATGTTACATCCTGATGGTACTTGGTATTATCCTCCGGCAACAACAGCTACGACACCGCAGCCTGTTACAGAGGACGTTGCCATTCCCCTTGGTGCACAGGGCTCGACTGTTAATATCTCGCTTCCTGGTTACATCAGCGCTGGTCGCATCTGGTTCGCCGACGGTAACCTGCAATTCTTTACTGTCAACGCTGGCGGTCAAGTCGCCCTGGTTGAGCCTTCTGCAGTCAACCCTTCAGATCCTTCATCAGCTATCAACTGGGGCTTCATCGAGTTGACCTACCTCGAATCTGCCATCTACACCAACCTCAGTTACGTCGACTTTGTCGGTTTGCCCCTTGGACAGAAATTGACCGCATGTGATGGCACTGTCTTGCAAGCACAGGGTGTGCACACCGAAGCCGTCGAAGATATCTGCGCCGACCTCGAACAGCAAACCTGTATTGACGGATACCCATGGGCAGATCTCTGTGCCGTAGACGCCAGCTCGAATGCTCTGCGTGTGCTTGCTCCTTACGACTACATCTCATTATACCCCAACGCCTTCTCCGACTACTGGACCTCATACGTGAATGACGTGTGGAGCCACTACAGCACCACACCCCTCACCATCGACACCCAAGTCTCCGCCGGTCTCGTCAACTGCACAACCACAGGCGACTACCTCAACTGCGATGGCGACAACAGAGCCTACGCCAAACCCTCCGCCGCTGACATCTTTGGCTGCAACGGCGGCNCCTTTACCATCATCGGCAGCGACAATGATGTTCACCGTGCCGTGGTCCCTCGTCTTTGCGCTGCTTTCCACCGCTCTACACTTCTTCTTGCTGGCGGCAACATTCAACCCATGTCTGATGTCTCGGGCTACTATACTAAGAGCGGTAGAGCTGCCAACTGGTACAGCAAGTACGTGCACGATTATGAGGTTGATGGCAAGGGCTATGCGTTTGCATACGACGATGTCACTCCCACTGGTGGTGTTGATATGGCTGGTTTGCTGTCTGTTGCTCAGCCCTCGCAGCTGGAAGTTACTGTTGGAGGTGTTTGATTTTCTTTTCTCTTCTACTCGTCGTTGCTGGCAGCGATGTTGATCTTTTGTAATACTTCACCCCTTCTACAAAAGGAAGAACTGGCTTTCTTCTTTGGATATTCTTATTTATCTTTTGGCGAGAGATTTTTGATTGTTGGAGAGCCACAAAATTGGAGGAGAGGAATTGGATAGATATACCCACACACTTTTATGTAGCCATATAGAGAACAACAGACACCGGAATCTTCTGAAAACAAGAAGACTGGATGTCAGATAAATGTAATGAACCTTTTTCGAACACGATATGTCCCTTTTCATCCTGTATTTCTCTATCGCTTATAGGCTCAGAGCCTCGAATCCTTCTCCTTTGGTATCTTAGACATGGCTCGTTGAGTAGACGACAGATCAAGGAGTTGAGCACAGTGCGCGAGAGGACTCTGGTGGGATGGCATCACGCATACAAGAGTATCCAATACGCAAAAGCAAGCTTTAATAACCAGAAGACGCAAAGAAAACAAGGCAATGCAATGTATAGCAGTAGGGGTATAGAACCTAGAAAGAGCAGAGAGACGAGCCAAGAAAAGTGGAGGAGGAATCGATATAATCACAAGAGCCACAGAAAAGCCCGTCCTTGGATGGCAAGGCAAACAACAATCAGATACTGATACAAAAATAGGCAGATCAATCTATACATCTCCGAAACAACACTCTAAAGATCACAAGATAAACACGTGCTCAATACTTCAAATCCACAAAACAGACAAGAGTGAATGACCATTCTGCAAAACGTCAGGGGCACGATCATCAGATCTGTCTCTCCAACCCTGATATACTCCCATGTTGCGCATCCAAAACTTAATAAAACGAGGATGGCAGTCTATTTAGTCTAGTGGTCTGGCCAGACGCAACACTCTACAGTACAAGCCTAGTTTTCCGTGGTCTTGACAGGGCGTCTTCCGCCATCTTCCAACTGATAACTTACGGATCAACGTTCTTGCTTTGCTAGAGTGTAGTCTTTTGTCTTTTTGTCTTTATGCATCGCTACTGAGCTGTTGATTCGACTACAAGGGGTTGTATGAACTGGTATGGATAAGAGCGAAGCGTATTTGGGTATGTGTATGTGTAATTTATGTAAACAGTGAAGGGGGTCAGGGTTCAATCCATGGAGGTGCCGATTTCCTCTTTTTCGCTTCACATTATGCCTTGAATCGTGCCAGGGCTCGTCGGCGAGTAGAACTGTGGCATATATCTCTACTTGAGAATCATCCTCATCTCATATTGACCATGTATTCTTGCTGAATTACAGATCCCTATCAGATCTACTCTCCGAGAAGGAAATAATGACTGCACATACGATGACGAGAAATTAGGAAAACGTCTCTCTGCTCTGCAAGTGCGACTGACGGCTCAACAACTGCTACTGCAGAACTGGAAGGAACCGAATCAGAAGTAAATCTTCTTGCACTAAGGAAACCGCAAACCTACCTGAATAGTAGCGTAGCTGACGAGAGCAGCTGTCGCATTTCGAGCACTGCTCATCACAAACCAAAAGAAATATAAATAACACGAGCCCAAGACATAAAAGCAGGAAAGCATATACCAAGGAAAAAAGCATTCATTTCTTTTTGTTCTTTTGGCAATTATTTAACGAGAAGCGAAGTTTGAAAACAAGGAAGGAGACAGAGGCAACCAAGCCACAGAGACATTGTGCCAGCACAGAACCATGTGTGCCCAAGAAACCCATCCTCTCCTATCTTTCGTCATGCGTGAAAAGCTGATTGACCAGCAATCATGTTCCTCTTTTTCTTCTTTCTTTTCCAGAAGTGTAGTAGCAGTGACAACGAATCCTTCCCATGGTGGACAAGCACTGGAACTTTCTTCGTGTATTGCTGAACTGTACTTCCATGCATGTCTTTTGTGTCGCTGAAGCAGACCGCGGCTACCAGACATTGCGCTCATCAGGCCTGAACTTGAAATAGTCAGGAGTGTGATAAGGCTCATGTGCAGGAACATGCTCAGGAATCATCTCAGTAGTCTCGATCAAGCGCAGCTTCTCAATCTCAAAGAGGTCGTTGATGAGAATGAAGAGCTGCTGTGCATCAGCAAGGATGCGCGACTTAACACTGGGCTTGCAAGCTCCAAAGCGGTCAGTGTGCCAGCGCTGACGCTCGGCTTTGAGAAGTGCAAAGTAAGCCTTACTGAAGGCGAACGAACCGGGTCTCTCGGCGATGCCAGTGCGAAACACCTTGTCGAGGCTATGGCCGCAAGCAATGGGAACAGGCTGACCGCCGAGGATATAAGCATTGGCACATTCTGAGCAGGTCGGCACTGGAGGGGCAGGTACGTGGGTCATGGTAGACTTGTCCTTCAGTTGTTCATCACAGTCCTGGCGCCAAAGAGCGTAGACGTTGACGGGGGTGTGCCCATTCAATCCGGCAGGCTGAGGAGGGGGAGCAGGGACAGGCTCAGGTGGGTGCTCATAGAGGCAGGAGCTAAGCAGAGACTTGTGACGTGGACGCGAGTGATTGCGTTGCTTCTGCGAGGCGAGGAAATGGGCCTTGTGCTCATAGATCTTTCTCTTGAATGTCTCGGGACTGTCGGGACGGGGCACGTCGGGAGCACTCATGAAGGACTCAGGCAGCTTGGGTCTCGAGTTTGAACCATGACGGCTGTGTCTCGAACCCGGTGTGAACTGCTTCTTAGACATGGGCACGTGGGGTGAAGAATGCTTGGTGCCGAATGAAGAAGCAGTCGACGAGAAGGAAGGCGGCAGAGAGTCGGAGCCAAAGTGGACGTTGTTGTGTGAGAGATCGTCCTTGTCTTCGTGGGAAGATTGGTGACTATCCTTTCTCGAACGGCGGCGCTGCTCGCTGGCTCGGTTTTCGTACTCGCGCAGAAACTCGCCGAAGTTGGGAATGCCAACGACAGTCTTGCGGCGTCGAGATAGAGGAGCATGAGTGCCTCCACCGAACATTGCCTGCTGGTTCAAGATGTATGCTTCCCAATCGGCGACTCCTTTAGGGATGCCACCAGGGTAGAACTCGCCAGAGCCGGTAGAGTTGATGTCCATGATGGGTGGTTGTTGGAGGAATGGGCTAGCTTTTCAGCCCATGCTTCCGCGACTTTGACGGACACGAAGAATTTTCTCGTCGAGCAAGCCACGAAAGGGGGTCGAGAGACACGGGAGGAGCGGTTTCGGATGCCGTGCCACTCGTACCACGGCCTTGGTTGTCGGATTAGGCTGCGGTCGGGGAAGTGCCAGAGATGTTTCCAGCAAACAGGGATCGCACGTGATGAGGTGCGTATGCTGTGCAACACAATCTTCGCTGCAGTCGTCGTCGCTGCGGTGTCGGCTTGGACATGTTCGAATTCGCGCAATACCTTTGCGAAATCGTCCTGAGACGCCCTGTGGTCAGCGACAAGCCTTGCGGCTTAGCTCCTCGCATCATTGGTCCAGCTCCGTCGCACCTGCCTGTAAGCTTCCTTTGCCAGCTACCTACTTTGAGGTTAGTATTACCTGCGTCTTTGGTGTTGCCATACTGAGTAGAGTCGCCGGGCCTACATTTCAAGGTCCCTGAACCTTGTCTGTCAACACAAGCCGGAACATATGTGAACAGTGCTCCGCTGTCCCGATAGACCCCTCGGTATACAACATAGAGCCATTGCACAAAGCTGATAGGTGCTGAGCCGGTCTATCTTCCTTGAGAAGATTCAGGTCAGTTCTGCATATCAAGATACTGCCCGGCGATCCTAGCAGGACAGACGTTGTCGCATAGCACTGCTTGCCTTGCCAAAGGAAAGACGATCCATATACGGTCAAATCTCCGCAAAGATAGTCTCTGTGAATAATGGCTGGATGGAGAGAAGACCTTGTTACCAACTCTGACATCAAATGGAGACTTGTTTGGAAGAGTCGCAACGGATGAAGTCGTCGAAGTTCATAACATAAGCATTCGGCCGTAGCCGGGGATATGCACGGACCGGTTCGTGCGCCGGCTTGCCTGCCAATCGGAGATAGCTCCTACAGCTCGGAAAACTTGCCCGGATAACAGGTCAATCTTGCTCTTTGAAGAGTGTCTAGAAAAGTGAATCGTTGATTTGGGAGAAGGAGAAAACATCTGTGGTATCTACGATCAAAAAGCTAAGCACGACCCTCCCTTCCTCCAAAAGCCCCGTCTCCGCGAAGTGAAGATTAATCGTTTCGTCGTGATCTACAAACGTCCCTCAGTAAGGGCTGTTGACGATGTCGTTTCTGCTGAGATAGCTGCCACGGCCAGTCTTTCTAGGAGTGGCCATGATGCTCTCACGAGTTGGTCTCTGCAGTGCTCTTCTGGCTACCATGTTGACCTCATTAGGGAGTGCCACCACAATGTTCTTGTCGCTACCGAAGCGGAAGTTGTCTGCTTTGACGTCCTCGGCGTAACGCTTGATGCTGTAAGGATCCTTGCGTCCAGCGAGAACCTTCTTGAGACTCCAAGTAATGACGAAAGGTCCAGTTGCGGTAATGATGGTTGTCTCGTCGGCATCAGGTCCGGTGTTGAATCTCGCCGGTGTGAATGACAGAGCGACCTTTGTTTCATGCTGGAACTGTGCAACATGGCTGGGTGTGAGTGCCAAACGACGGGGCTGAGGCTTCGAGTCCTTGGCAAACGACTTTTCGAAACCAAGCTTACCCTCATTCTTGCCATCGCTCTGCAGAGCGTCGATAAGCAGAAGATAAGTGCGAGTAGTAGCAAGAACCCAACGGCCGTTAGCGGACACATCGAGACCGATGATCGGGTCACCTAAAGCAGGAATGTGTGTCTTTGCGTTGATACCGAGACGATCAAACATACGAATATCACCCTTGCTTGAAGCGACGGCAATGTATCCTTTGTCGGTTGTGGCTGCAGCGGTGAATCCGTTCTTGGTGGCGTACTGTTTGAGCTCTGAATCGACGAGCTTGTCACCTTGCAGACGAGGATCAATACGGTACAGAGCGTTGTTGGACAGACCCAAGAAAGTTTGCTCGCCAGTCATTTGACTGAATTTCTGCACGCTAGTCAGTAAAGAGTTTTGAGCGGACATAGGGTGGACCGGCATACCTTTNTCAGGAGCGAAAGTGTTGACAGGAATGTCATCGTGAACCTTCCACTCATCGACAATCTTGCCATACTCGAGGTCCATGCGGAAGAGTGAGTTGGGGTTGTCACCATCTTGCATAATCATGTTGCGATCCTCGGCGTGTAGCATGATCTTCTTGGGGTTAAAGACTTTGCCGCCGGGTGTTTCGACCTTAGAGATGTTTGTGGAAAATTCAAGATGATTGTCGGGAGTGTGCTTGAAGACACCAATCTTGGAGCCTCTGACGACGAATGAGCGATCATGCTTGTAGCCGACAGCAAGCTGGGAGTTGACGTTTCCATCCTCATCTCTGGTGATAACATCATCTTCTGACTCGTCACTGTCGTAGTGCTCGCTTCTCTGTCCCTCGTCTTCCTCCTCTTCTTGGTCGTAGAATTCTTCTTCCTCTTGTTCGTCCTCTTCGCGAGCCTCGGCTTCTCTTTCGTCATCCTTGTCCTCCAAGACGAGGTCGTTGAAGGCATCGAGCACATAGTCTCTTTCAGTGTCCTTTGCCTTGAGCCACTTCGTCTGGTTTGAATGCTCCCAGAGAGCCTGCATGAGACCCTGTTGGAACTCCTCCAGAGATTCCTTCTCCTTGAAGCGCAGAAGCCATGAGTAGGCATTTCCATCTTCGCTGTAATGATTGAAGATGAACGAGAGATATTCAAAGTTGAAGACGGGGTTGAGTTCGGGAACAACTTCTTGACCGAGCCAGTCTCTGTCGTCGCTGTTGAGTTGCAGCCAGTACTTCCAGTTGCCGATTTCTGTGACGGTAGCGTTGACACCCTCAGCTTGCAGTACGAAAGTACCGGACTGGAAGTCGAAGAGGTGGAGCTCGACGTCTTGATCGGCCAGAGTTTCGCGAGCCTCAGGAGCCTTGTTTGCTGAAGGAGCGATGGTCGGAGCCTCTTCGTAGGCTCGGAGAGGGGCCTTGCCAGATCTGGTAGTTCTGGGCATGGCGTCACTACGCTTCACTCCGGAGTTGGACTGATTTAGGGATGGCATGCGTGGAATGGTGGGAGGTGGAGAGATGGTCGGAGAGCGGGATATGGTAGGAGAGCGCGAGGGGCTCTGTATAGGACTGGCTTGTGGGATGGGGTCTTCGTGGTCGAAACTGAACTCGCGCAGTTCTTCGTCGGTAGCGAGGTCACGAGGCCTGCGGTACTTGCGCTCGTATTGGCACTGGGCAGCTACGAGAGCAAAGGATGAGGCGGTTTCGGGNGTTGCTGAAGGGTCGCAGACAAATTCGAACAAGTCTCCGTCGTCGCCGCTGAGATCGAGCCAGCCAAGAACAACTTCGCCGTCGTCTCTGATGTCCACACGGAAGTGCAGGCCCTCGTCAAGCAGGAAGGTCTTTTCGTCCTTGTCGGATGCTACGCCGTCGAGTCGGTCGTCTTGTGTGCCGTCTTCTCCTACGAGCTCTGCCTCGCCTTCTTCGTATACACGTTGGACGACAAGCTGGTACTGGTATTCCTGGCCGGTGCGTCGGATTGAGGCAGCAGCGTCTTTGAAGATGAGTTCGGAATAGCCTTTGAGCGAGCGGGGGCGGACGAGGTATAGCTGGCCCTGGGGCAGTTCGATGATGGATTCTTTGGTGGCGTTACCAAAGAGGTATTTGCTAACTGGATGACAGAATTATTGTTAGCTGTCTTGAACCTGACACAGGAAAAGTGGGTGACGGAGTTGGCGGGGAGACGAACGCGACCTCAGAGCGAACATATTTTATACTTTCTGGCACAGCTGGCGACGATCGCTGTCAGACAGGACTACGGCCACGAAGAAACAGGAGCTGAAGCTACGATCAGGCGCATCAGATATGACAACTGCGAGAAAGTGTGTCACTCTGAGCAAACAGACGCCTTCCTGGCCAACTTTGAGAGCAATTTGAGACCCCGCCAAATTCGTGCAAGACAACACCCCGTCACTTTCCAGCCTGTCGCAGAAACTTTGATTGCCTTGACGCCTCTCACTCGTCTCGTAATTTCCACTGTATGAAACCACTACATGGCAGTCTTTACCTTCACTGAGACCGTCCTCATAATGTAATCTACACTACCTCAGTTCATGCAAAGATATGCTGAACTATCGAAGGCGCGTCTGACTGATGTTTCACGCGTCACACCGCGACTCCAAGTCCTTCCAACACCACCCTCGTCATTGCCACGACCTTTTCTTCTTCCAATCTATTGGCAACGAGCTGCAGACTCACTGGCATTCCATGGACCGCCTCTGCATTGTCTGACCGACGGTTAGCACATTCGCTTTTCGAGGTCTCCAATCAACTTACANNTTCTGCCTGGACCTGTGCATCGATCTGCGATAATGACTCCGTGCCTGATTCCGCCTTATCCAGCTGCTTGTCCGCCAACACTCCACTTGGGAATGACATGGCCGAATAATCAAGAATGTTGAACACGCCNCTGTTCTGGAATTAGAATCCGTACTGGTCTCTGCTTCGTTGGGTTGAATATCATACCGTATAGCCTACGTGTTTGAACTTGCCATTTTCGACGCCTGCGAAGGGTGTTGTCGGGCACAGAATCGCGTCGAGGCCTGCTTGAGTCCATCGGTCAAGGTAATCCTTGCACAGTTTCGTCCTCTTTATTTGGAGTTGCCACAATTTGTGAACTCCGATTTCTGAAGCTTTTGCATAGTCCAGCATCTCCTCTCTGAACGGTTCGTCTACAGGAGCCAGGATCTCTCTGACTGACTTGGCTCCGTCTGCCACGAAGAATTGTCCNCTGTCGGATTTGTTAGCCCTTGATACAACTGCAGTAAACCACCCACTCACAAGCAAATCGACTGCTTCCGAGTGCAGCTCCGGCTTCCACTCAACAACATCGTGGCCGGCTTTTTGCAATGCATCAACCGCATGCTTGAGAGCTCGACGAACTGGGGGAGTTGGCNNCTAGAATGTTACGATCAGCCTCGAACTTCACCAACAGTTAACGCCCACTTACATGACCATGCCATCGTTCCAAATGACGCCTATTCGTAGCTTCTTTCCTACATCAAGATCACGCCAGGGAATGGGCAAACACTTCGGATCGAGCTTCCAAGGTTCTGTATCTACGACATTCTTTGCGAAGAACTCGATGTCGTTCAAAGTACGAGCCATGGGTCCATTAACGGAGTTCACGGCTTCTTGTCCTGCTAGGCCTGACTTGCTTTGGATTGTAGGAAAACGGCCGAATGAAGGTCTCAGAGCGAAGATACCAGTACAAGCAGCGGGTATACGCACAGATCCACCNTAAATCACGTCAGTTATTCGTGCGTTACGGCGTAATACTCTCACTCTCGACTCACCGATATCAGTGCCAACACCAAGCACGCTGCCACCAAAGCTGATCAATGCACTTTCTCCTCCGCTTGACCCACCAGATGTAAGATTTCTGTTGCGTGGATTCACGGTCCGACCGAACGTGTTGTTTACAGACTCTGCAATCATCATTGCTGTAGGAACATTTGTCTTGACATAGAGTACCGCTCCTGCTTTGACCAACACATCCACCAAGACTGTGTTGTAAGTAGCCGGCTGATCTACCCAGGCCACAAATCCGATGGTCGAATCCTTGCCGATGATGTTGAAGTTGTCCTTCAGTGATATGGGAAGGCCATGAAGCGGACCAATGGGTTTTCCCGTCTTTTGCAGATGATCATCAAGGGCTTTTGCTCTCTCCAGCGCCTCAGGGAAGAGAGTCTCGGACAAACAGTTCGTCAGTTGATGACACACAGCAGCCCGTTTGGAAAAGGCCGATGCGACATCTACTGCTTTCCAATTGCCGCTGTGGATCTGCTGAAACAGTTCTGGAATCTTGGAATTGGTATACTTCAGTTCGTCTCCAGTAAAAAACCCACTCTCCTGCGGAAAGCCTGTCACATCCAATTGAGACTCGAGAGGCATGAGGTCGGCTGGTATACGCCATTCTGCGGGAATAGAATCGAACAGTGCTGCCCGCTTCGCCTCTGCAATATATTGCCAACTGCGTGTCATGTTTGTCGAATCGTCGTCTTGTTGTAGTCTGATTTTATGTTATCTACAACTTTCAAGACTGATCAAACATCTTTATATACCCCGCACGTGATGGCTATTTCCCGAGGCCTATCTCATTGATCGACGCGGCTATCTTTCGCCCCCATAAAGCTTGGCAAACCACCTTGATCTCAGGCCGAGGGTTTTTTCTCCATTGGCCTTGTAAATCTCCCTTCTCGATATCAGCATCGATAACAGAGGCCCTTATCACTGACAATCTGTGCCGCTGTACATCTCATGGCCTATCTCGATACGCTTGTATCCACACTGCCTTGATCATATAAGATGAAGTAACGAACAACATTCAACATTACCTATCAATCTAATCAACAACCTAATATCTGGAGATAACTTCGATATGGCAATTGCTAAGAAGTTCAAAGAGTATCTGAGTCCTGGTGGCACTTCTGAGGGAGAACGCAAGTTGGTACAGAAGCTCGACTTCTTTATCTTGACATTTTGCTGTTTGATGTACTTCTTGAATTATGCAAGTTTACCTCCACTGATACATATATTCTTGGCTAACGTTGATGTAGNNCTTGATAGAAGTAACCTANCCAACGCATATGTAAGTTTTCTTCTTGTCTTTGATCAAGTCTATCTACTTATATTATAGGTGTCTGGTATGAAAGAAGATCTCGATTTTAAAGGCAATGAACTCACACAAATAAATACCGTCTTCACTGTTGGTGAGTTATGACAATTGCTTGCCCTTGAGGATGGTGCGACTAACATGTTGAAGNGCTACGTTATTGGTCAGATCCCTTCAAACATCGCCCTCTACTACATCAAACCTCGAATCTTCTTCCCTTCTATGTTGATCGTGTGGGGTCTGTTGACTATGGTCACGGCTGCCGCCCAGAATCCTCAATCGATCATGGCTATCCGTTTCTTCCAAGCGTTGGCAGAATCGAGCACCTTTGTTGGAACACACTACATCCTAGGAGCATGGTATACCGAGCGCGAACTTGGTAAACGCAGCGGTATCTTCACAGCGTCTGGTCTTGCTGGAACCATGATCGGAGGATATATCCAAACCGGAATTCACTCCTCCATGGACGGTTTACAGGGACTCGCTGGCTGGAGATGGCTTTTTATTATCGATGCTGTAATCACCATACCGGTTGCTATCTATGGCTTCCTCTTGTTTCCTGACACTCCGCAAACGACCAGAGTGCCATATCTCTCTGAAGCCGAGCGTGAGCTTGCTCGATCCCGTGTCCCTCGTCATGTCCACCGGGCACCCTTCAACTGGGCCTTTGTCAAGCGAGTCTTTGGTTCCTGGTACTTCTACGGCTTTGTCATGCTATGGATCATTGCTGGCGAAACTGAGTCCTTCTCGTCAAACTCTCTGCTCGCTCTGTACATGAAAGCACACCCAGAGCGCAAATACGCAGTTTCGCAACTCAACAATTATCCCACTGGTGTTCCTGCTGTCGGTATCATTTCCACGATCTTCTGGGCCACACTTACGGATTTCTTGGGCGGCAAGAGATATCTTGTTGGGTACTGGATTGGTATCACTGGTATTATTACATCGGCGATGATACTTGCACCTTCTGCTACCACAGCATCGACGTTCGCGGCATACTATTGGACCGGCTCTGTTTATGCCTGTAGGTAATGTTTGTCTTGTTATCTTCTACGATCCGCTAATATGTCTACCAGGCNNCAAGCAACCTTTTTCGCATGGGCAAATGATGCCCTCCGTTACGAAGAAGACAGTCTTCGTGCTGTCGTAATCGCATCCATGAATGCAGGCAGTGGTACGTGTACAAAAGCACAAGTCAACCGCTACCAGATGGTGTTTCAAATCCCATCTCAATAAGATCGAAGCTCCATCGCATTGCAGAGTATTTTCCAAGATCTGGCAAGCTTCCACTGAAAGCCTGTCATCACTCAGGCTCTCAATGGAGGCCTCTAGATCTTTGATTAGCACTCTGCAATGCGACAGTTGTCGGAGTGATCCACTCTTCCACATGAGAGCCGTCGCTAATTGTTTCCTCAACTCACAGGTGCCGTAAACGCATGGTGGTCCATCATATTCTACTCTGCAAACTTTGCACCCAAGTTCACCAGAGGAATGTGGGCGATGATAGGATGTTCCATCGCATTAATCATCTGGACGGCAGGAGTCACTTGGATGTGTGTAAGGACAGAAAAGAAGGGGATTAGTCAGGGTGTAGAGGCTTATAATGGTGATGTTGGGGATGAGATTGTCAGTGTAGATGGTAATGGTGCTGAAAAGGCTTGACTGATTGTGAGTATTTTTCTGACAATCTCGTTCTCATTTTCTTCCATCCGTCCATGTCTTTCTATTACTTTTCTAGAAACCTGCTTCCTTCCCAAAAACATTCTGTTCGTGGAATCGGTTTTGTAAGGAGATAAGCAATCATGCAAAATATTCTCCCCAGAGCAGTAGCATCATCCCCTGACTATTTGTACCACAAGGGTGCAATATCTGATGTTGCCCGGACCTTTCATTCAAACACATATCTTAAGAGATTTATCCACGAGTAAGAGAACCTTAGGTCTTAATGGCACTGAAAAAGCATACCGTAGTCATAGTTTTAATAAGATACTCCCCTTGTCGGGCTTTTGGGTATATTTTTGGTGGCTATGTACAATTTTCTCTACTCGTCGTCTTCTTGTTGTCGTTGTCCATGTTTTCTTGTGCTCATTCCAGACTTTTGGAGGCAGAAGAAAAGCGCCTCTTCGAGAACCCGACAGCGAATCCTCGTTATCCTTATCCTGTACCAGACAGAATGTGAAGTCATTTCCAAACGTCGTTCTTACTCGTAGTCTGCGGCAGCAGTTCCGTAGATCTCACCGTCGACTCTCACATCCCAGAGAATGGTTCCGCCTGTGAACTTCATGCCGACTTGGTAGTTGAGCTTCATGTATCTGTTGTTGTCTTCGTTCATATCCTCCCACCAATGTTCGCGAGGAATGGATCTGATGTCAGGAGTGATGGTGCAAAACATACGGGTGCTGGCGGTAGGCTTGAAATCGGTAGGCGGTTCGTCGCTATCGCAGACGACCATCAAGATGCTCTCCTCAAAGAATTCGTTCTCGGAGGTGAAGTAAAAATCTCTGAGAATGGGATCGGCGTAAGGAAGGGCTTGACCCTTTGCGACGTACCAGTCAATCCGATTGTCCACGTACCAGCGACCATCATTCGGATCGTGAACTTTGTTCACAGACTCGCCATGCTTTTCTTCGTTGTAGACTGCGCGCATCACCACGCCGTAATGACGTCTGGCGATTCGGGTGCGGACAAGACCTTCGCCTTCGATACAGTGGATGATCGCACCACGAGCAATGGCAGTCCAGGCATTGGAAGGTTGCAGGACAGCGAAGTCTTCAGTGTCTTCAAAGTGCGTCTTGAGACTCTCATAGAGATAAACGTTATCTCCGAACCCGCCACAAAGAATGACACTGCTGGGTTGCTTTCCTTTCTTTTCCAAAGCATTGTACTGTTCAGTGACCAGATCGATAATTTGCTGAACGATGGGTCTGAAGATCTCGAGGATGTCCGAGGTCTTGAGAGTGATGAAGTTACTCTGGATACCATGGTCATGGTTGTCGGATGCTCCAGGCAAGATGATGTAGTATGAATAGTTGAGGTCGTTATGGGAGATGTCAAAGTCTCTCTTGGTACGCAGCTCGAACTCTTCCATACATCTGGCCCATCCGCGAGCGTTTGTCTCACGATACATCTTGCAAGTCTCGACGCCCAAGCGACGCTCGACAAGCTCTGCGAATCTAAGGCTGAGCATAGCGCTGCCGCAGATAGCTCCAGTTCCCGCGACTGATTCTTCCAGGCGAAGAGGAGAAAGCTGCGTGGCGACGTAGGAGATGAGGTCTACAGTACCTATGATACAAAATACAGTCAGCATATTTCTTGTATGAGAAATGGTACACTGCCACGATTGTCGTGTTGGAGAAATTTGAGTGGCCGGTTTGTGCTCATTCTGGCATACATACCACCTCCGCAGTCACAGATAATGTGGTGGTCACCAACTCTGAGATTGAAGTCTTCAAGAACCTTGAAAGCGTAGATGGCGGCAGCTTCGGGCTCAGTGACCAAGGACAACTTGGACGATCTGCCAAGTCCTGCCATCTGTGCAGCTTTGAGAGTGGCATCCTTGGCCGTATCAGACCAAATTGCAGGGACGGTAACAATCCATTCGATGTCGGTGTTCTCGATCAACACTGAGCCGTAGCGTCTCTTCATAGTCTCGAGGATGTGGTTCTTGAACAATGCAAGAAAGTCTGCAGCTACCTCAACAGCCGTCTTGCCAGCTTTGGCAATCTGGGCCTGGAGACGGTCACGAGAAGCCCAAGGAGGAAGCGGCTGGTATGGGTCAAGCAGTAGCTTGATCAGCTCGATGAAGTCCTCGGTCTTGTCAACACGAAATCCCCACTGCTTGACTTCGGCAACCAGTTTAGGGACTGTAACAGTAGAGCCAGGAGTCTTTCTCTTGCGTCCGGGTGTAGGAGTGATTTCAGAAGGTTCCTGGTAACTGTGCACGGTGGGGACTCCTTCAGAGTTTCTGTTGCCATCGAAACTGACGGGTGGTAAGCAAAAGACCGATGTGTGAATAAGTATGGGTAACACACTTCTTGATCAGAGGGATCTGGTCGTAAGAGTCAGGTTTGCCCTTGTATGTGACTGCGGCACTTTATTGTTGTTAGTACGATTGTACACTTCTCAGGACGTGAAATAAAGCGCATCAGGAGAATGTGTTTCCGTAGTCCACGGCAACAGCAAAGCGACCTCGTCTTGCAGTGCGTGGCATCTTTCTTCTATCAGGTCTTTGAGACATAGTGGCCGAGGAATTATCTCAAAGAAGATGTGGAAAAGAAAGGAATAAAGGATGGAAAAGAAGAAGAAAGGGTCAATGTAGTAAAACCCGAGCTGAGGTGAGTGAGTGAAGTGATGTGGGTGGAGGAGAGTGTGCGCCAACAATGTGCGCAGTGAAGTTATGAGTGTGTTCGTCGAGTGGAGGTGAAGACGGAATTTCAGCTGCGAGTGAATCGAATTGGTGGGCCAGTCGTGCGGTGAATGGTGTTTATTTAGTCTGGACCGGCACGTCAACAACAAAAAGTGAGACGATAAACAGCACTTCTCAAGACTGTCTCACCATCAACCTCGTTTTTGCACCACTGCGAACACAAATTAAACCACCAACAAACCACGACATCAAAATCCAGCCATGCCTGTGACACGTTCGCAAACCAAAGAGATGAGGGATGGAAGTGCTCCCTATGAGCCCCTCAAAAGATCAAGGCCACTCGCCGTAATGCCAAACGCCTTCAAGACGAGCGAGATGAGCAGGACGAGCAGGACGAGCAGGACGAGCAGGACGAGCAGGACGGGCAGGACGGGCAGGACGGGCAGGACGGGCAGGACGGGCAGGACGGGCAGGACGAATTGACCCTCGACATCACTCCTGAACCTCGCAAGCCTGCTAGAGAAGAAGCATCTACTGATAACAACCCCAAGTCTCGCAAGCGCGCGTGAGAGCCGAAGTCTTCATCGATGACAGTACAGAATCCCGCAAGCGTTTCCGATCTAGGAGCCTCACTCCGGTGGAAGAAATCATCGAGCAATCTCCAACTCCCTCCAACGACACTGTCCAACTGAAGATGGACGAACAGAATGATGAGATCGAGCAGCTCCGCGCCCTTGTAAAGCGCCTCAACGACGAAAAGCAAAAACTCTCCCACCTTAACAGAGATCTTGAAGACGCAATGCGAAGACTCCAGCATCAGATCCAGGAACATGAAGAAGACAACGAAATACTCGGAGAAAAGTTGAGTGGTCTCGAAGAAGAGAAGAAAAGACCTCAAAGAACACATCAACCAGCTTGAGAAAGATGAGCAAATTCAGAAAAGAGAAATGGACTGCAGTCCGAGAAAATCCGACAGCTCCTTGCCGAAAAACAGAAGCAGCAGGAGAAAAGCCTTGAAGAAGAGCAAGAAATCAAGCTCTTGCAGCAGAACTTGAAGAAAGAACGTCAGGAAGCCGAAGAAGAGAAAGAGTCTCTTCTGGATCAGCTTGACAGAATGAAGGAAAGCATCGTGGGAGCAACCAGGCTCGACAAACAGTTCGGAGACGGCAAATTCAAGAGCAGCATCGATCGCGTTTACCATGGTCTCAGGAACTACTTCTTGGCTATTGTCAATAGCCAAGAGTTCGGTTAGTACTTGCGATACAATCTTCCAGCCTGCATACTAACCACGTCTTCCGTCAGACCTCAAGCCTCAACGTGGAAACGGTACGCTGAGAAAACTTCTGCAAGCTCAAGTACCCACCTACAAAGACCAGACTGTCAACGATAAACTTCATGTCTGCATGACAGTGATGAGCATGGCCCTGGTCGATTTTGCCAACCAGTATCTAGTCTTTGGATTCCCTAACAAGGACTTACCTGCAGCAGCCTGGGTCGTCCACCAAAAGTTCGGAGGTAAGTAAGCTCAGGATATGTTTGCCGAGATAAAATTAACTCACACAACGGACAGAAACTCACGGTCTCAAAGACGACAAATCAGTCAAGCAGTGGCTGGCCCTTACTGATGAAATCATCAACAAGGCTACTCCAGAGGCCATGAAGAATGCAAGAGAAAAATCCATGAAGCACATCATGGACATGATCAAGAAGGATCTGCAAGCCGCGACCACCTTGAAGATTACCGATGACATCCTCGGCAGAATTTCCAGATTCATTTCGCCTTGCCTCGAAGACTTGCGTTTGCTGGAGTTTCAAGAATGGCAGTACAAGTTCGAGTTGATACCAGCTTGCGTTGAAGGAGAGCATGCTGCCTTTGTCCCTGAGGATATGGAAGACATATATGGAGAGGAGGGCGAATTCATCAAAGCATCTGTATTCCCGCTACTTTCCAGAATGGAGGTTGACGAAGAAGATGTAAGCGGGTCAATCGATCTTGTGTTGCCTTCCATACTGACATGCCAGCAGGATTCGAGAAAATGGGTCGCAATCAGTGCAGCAAAGGTCGCTGCAATGACTGACTGGCCAGCATAGATGACGTTTCAAGTATGATATTCCTAGCCGTTGCGCTCGTTATGGTGAAACTGACGATGGCAGTGAAGAGATACCGATGACAGAGAATGATGAATCGCAGCCAAGAATTTGACAGGAAGAGAACGAGATAAGGCCAGAATGAGCATGAAGACGCGATGCCAGCAAAGGACGTTGGCAAGCCCGTGAATGAGAATACGACGGATGACGTCTGCTAGAGAAGAAGGGACATTTTGCTTTGAAGGCCCCAAGATTTGCGAAAAGAGGCCTAGAAGAGTGTTGTTTTTGGATCTTCTTGATCAAGCCGAGGAGGAGACAATTGAGAGCACAAGTTGGCCATCATAGCTGCAGAGACGGGAGTTGCCAAAATGATGGAGAAAAAGGACAAAGGTCGTGGCGTATCATGCTTCAAGCATGCACCGCCTCAAACCTCGAGCCATCACGAAGAGCATGTATACCAGTAGAATTCCAAGTTCTATGCGATGATCATTCGACTTCCAAATTTGCATCTTCCACGATTATTTTTAAGGCATCGTCTCCAGGGACCTGACTTGACGCCACCTAATTTGGCCAAAGGGTGAGCCGCGTCATGATGGCACATGATGTTTGTGAGGACGGCAAGTATCGTGAACAACTCGACGGTATATCGTAGTCTTGCAGTCTCGCTGAACAGGAGTCGATAATCGACCTCTTATATTGAAAGCACGACTCCTGCCAACCGACTATCAAACCTCCGCAGAGCAATCAACAACCACGTTTCCTGCCCCAACATCTTCTTCATCGGGTAGTTGCGTCGCATTACGACAGCATGTGCATCATCACCAGCAAAGAAGAGCGAGTCGGTCGCTGGGAAGAGCCAGCAAGACATGTGTCCAACTACCATGCAGGACCAGCTCGACGAACATCCCCACTTCCAAGAAATCGTCGACGAGACAGCAACTACGGCAATGATTATCGTTCCAGCGACGCCTCAGTACGCTACATCTATCGCTCGAGTCAACCATCAGTCAGCTACCCTCGCCGTGATATTAGAGTGGTCGAAAGATGATGCCCACCACTGGCTACTACACAAATCATGAACACTGTCTGAATACGCCAGAAGTTGGAGGATGCTATCGAGCAGATGCAATATTGTATACGCAGTGGATACGAGTACGCAGAGATGGCTTTGGATGTCGATAATGTTAATTCTTATTGCTGCGACGGAAATTGCCACTCTTCACTCCAGAACCCCATAATCACCGAGGCAGCATAATATCCTCCCCATGTACAAAAGTCTTCAGCCTTGCCTGCTTCCGCTGCAACGTAGAGGCACTTTTGGACTACGGAAAGGCACAGTGTTTTCCAACATCGAAGATATAGCCAAAGAGAGCTAGTGCAATTTTGTCTTTCGGTGGGCGCTGCCCTGCTTCTTAAGACTATTGTGCATCTCGATAGCTATACGCGTTACATGCTATAGTACATGGGGAGGATAATGTCAATTACAGACCGCAAGACTGGATTAATACACGACAAGAAATATGCCGGATGTACCGGTATGGATACGGAAGCTGGCATGCCCGCAAGTGGCTGGACCCTCAAATTGGATGGCAACGGCTGGCGAGCATGTGAGACGCATGACGTCGGTGCTTCTCGGATGCGCCTGCATCTTGCGTCTTTGTTTCCTCTGCGCATTCCTGCCTCCCGACTTCTTTTACATCCTGACACAGAGACGTAAACTGCAACTGCGACTCTGTTAGAACCTATCATTCCAAACACACCTAACTTCGAAAGCTCAGCTTCCCTATTTTCATCATGTCAGTAACATTGACGTTCCGCCATGCCTGTGCCACTATTCTTGTTCGTATCTAACGCCCTGGACAGGAACCGCTCCCTCTCGATCCGATCAAAGGGCCAACATGGCAGCGAGAAGTCGTCCGGTGGCAAGCACCGCTTCACCATGGCTAGTCTTCGTGGTATCCAACAACCCGACCTCTCCAAGAAGCTCTACCGCTTGATCAAGACCGAAAACCACGCTATCGGCGCATACGAAGCTGCGGCCAAGGAGCAGGCCAACATTGCTTCTCAACTCAGTGACTGGGGCGAGGAGACTGGTGACGACGCCATCTCTGAGATTTCGGACAAGCTTGGTGTTTTGCTGGCTGAGATTGCCGAGCAAGAAGATGTCCTGGCTCAAGGTCTCGAGGACAGCAGAGGTGTTCTCAAGCAGATCCGCAACACCGAGTCTTCGGTTCAGCCCTCGCGCGACCACAAGGCCAAGGTATGTTCTTCCGTGCGGCAGACGACAATCAAGCATACTAACTCATCTATCTAGATTGCCGACGAGATCCAGAAGCTGAAGTACAAGGAGCCCAGTTCCGTCAAGATTGTTACCCTCGAGCAGGAGCTTGTCCGCGCAGAGGCTCAGTCCCTTGTCGCCGAGGCCCAACTCACCAACATCACCCGCCAGAAGTTCAAGGAGGCCTACGACCTTCACACCGCCGCCATCATCGAGCGCGCCGAGAAGCAGATTCTTTTGGCCAAGAACGCAAGAAAGTTGCTCAACCTTGTTGACGATACTCCCATTGTTCCTGGCGATGCTCACCCCACCTTCTCCCACGCTGAGACTGCAAGGGAAGTCTTGAACGTTGCTGAGGACGAGCTCAGAGCCTGGACTCCCGACGTCGAGCCTATCCACACCAACGCTGGTGGTCTTGGTGTCAACGCTATGCCTTCTGCTTCCATGCCCGCTACCTCTATGCAAGGCCACGCTAGCGGCGTCTCCAGCTCTATCGATGCCGGATCTCACATGGCCCCTGCTCAGCACTCTGAACACTACACCCAGCAGTCCGAGTATCCCACCCAGCACTCTGAGTACCAGGACTCCTCTGAACAATACACCACCCCAGCCGAGCCTATTGCATCTGCTTACGAGCCAGTCGCATACCAGACCCAAGCCCAGCCTTACACCACTGCCACCGAGACGCCATACCCCACTGAGGAGCACGACTCCGAGCACGCCCGTAACGTAGCTGCTCGTGTCCTCGGTTAGGTACGGAGCAGGGAATGTAAATTGGGAGATTGTGGGTTTCGAGAACGTTGAGTAGTTAATGTCCCCTGTATTGCGATCAGTGCCTTTGTCATGAGTTTACGAGTTATGCGTCTTCTTAGTTGAAATAGCAAACCCCTAATCTTTATTATACCATCTACTACCTATGTATTGAGAATTCGCATGGTTCTTTCGAAGATCGATCAATTGATCTCCTATACTGCTTATGTCACGGTGGTCTTCTCGTGTCTCATTATCAGATGGAGGCTCCTCTTATCATGATGTAAATTAATTACACATGTTACTGCTTTGCTCGATCCAATTCAAACCTCCACAAACACAACAACTTGTCATAAAAGCTCGTCGAAACAATCGGCTGCTCACCCCCACCTTCACATCCTGGCTGCACATCACTGCCATAATTCATACTCTTATGCTCCTCAAACCTGACCAACACCTCAATATCCCACTCTCCGTTTTCACCCTTCGTAACAGCAACCACTCTGGGACCTGCATGCATACACGACGCCAAAATATAATATCTGCCTTCTGTAGGAACAGCCTTGAGGAGTTTGAGGCGCCAGACACCGCCGTCGAGGTTTTCTTCGGCCAGGACTTGTTTTCTGCCGATTATGGGTGTGTGCAGGACACGGATGGTGTCGTCGTAGCTTCCTGTTATTGTGATGTTGGTTTCGGAGGCTAGGGGCAAGATGGCGGTAACGCCGGCTTGATGGGCGCGGCGGTCTTGCCATTGGGTTGGTGAGAAGGGTTCGTCTTCTGAAGTGTTGGTGGGAGCTAGGTTGGAGAAACGAAGGGTTGCGTCGTCGCCTCCTGAGTAGAGTTCTTTGCCTGTGTGGGAGAAGCTGAGGGTCCAGGCTTCTAGGTCGTGGACGAGGATTTCCGTTCCTGATTCCTCTGCTTCTGCTTCAGGGACTGAGATGTCTACGGTATAAACACCACCAGAGGAAGTTGTTACTCCTAGGATGTTGGTGTCGACGGGATGCCAAGCTAGCGACAAGACCAGTATTTCCGGCGAAAAGAATTGATAGGTTGAGAGTGGTTCCAGAGTGGTAGAAGCAGAGAAGCGGAAGAGTTGGAGACATCCTGTTGATGTTGCTACAGCTAAAAGACAAGGATCGTGAGGTGAAAAGTGAATATCGAGGATCGCGTAAGGTGTTGGTGTTGTTGAGATTTGTTTGCTAAAAGAGAGGGCTTGGTGTGAGATCTTTGAACATAGAGTGAAGGGGGTTGTGGTAGTGATGATCAAGCGTCCATTGCTGTGCTGCTGCCTTTCCTTCCTTCTCCTTCCAGGATGCTTATATCCCCATTTCAGAGATACACTTTTTTTTTGGCATGGAAGGATGGAAACAAATAGAAACAATGAAAACTGAAATAGAAGAAAAGAGCACAAAACTTACACCTCATCACCCTCAACCCTCAACAGAACCAACGAGCCAGTTCTGGTCTGAGGCTTCTTATCTGCATCTCCGCTCTTTTCATCGTCATCTTCTGCAGTATCTCCTACACTAGCATCCTGCTCTTTCTTCTCGAGAAAGTATGTACCGACGACAAGATAGTCGCGAGCTACAGGGCAGAACTCGATACAGCTGGGAGGTAAATCCAGGACCAGTGATTGAGTTGAGTTGATCGAAGTCATGGTGGGCGAAGTTGTTGTGATGGAAATGAACAAGAGTGATTGCTTGGTGGTTGGATTTTTGAATCGACTTTGTCGAACTTCTTATTCCCGGTCTATACCCGAAGATTGGTTAGAGCATATTATGAGATGGGATGTGTGACTCTCCGGAACAAACACACGTCAATTCATTCAACCTGTCATCTATCGTCACGGATCAAAGATGCAAGAACATTAGTAGCTTCTGAAAGCGAGTGTGTTGAGAAGAACATTTATTTGGTCTATAAGGACACAACAACTTTCGCTAAAGGGACGACAGAACAAATCAGGTAACTTCCTAGACCTTTTTCTCTAGAATAGACCAAGGATGTCTTCGTTGGCCTTGTTGCCACCTCCACCTTGCAGCTGTGTCTGTGGTGGCGGCGGTTGCGAAGCCTCCATGTTCAAGCTCGCGAATCCATTCATCAAGTCATCAGAGCCAGTGTTTCCTGCGGCAGGTGCGGCAGAAGCACCATCGGAAGAGCCGAAGATACCCATGAGATCTTCCATGCCGCCACCGACAGGTTCATTAGTCGTTGGGCTGGCAACACGCATGGGTGTACCGGCAAGTCCTTCAAGTCCTGATGAGCCGCCCGAAGGTGCCTTTTGCATACTTGCCGGTGCTGCACCGTCAAAGTCGATATCGAGTAGGTTCTCGGCGTGACTTTGTACAGTGCTGCCTTGTCCTGAGGCAGCGGCCGCGGCAGCTGCAGCGGCCAAGGGGTTCTCGCGTGCGTTCTGAGCCGCTTCCTCGATGGCAGCTTCTTGCAGAGCGTTGGCGGATGAGCGACCTTGACCAAGGAAGGTCTGTGGCGGCTTGTGGTAGACTGATGCGAGCGTCGAGAGGTCTGGCATGAGCGAGTCGAGCAGCGGTATCGGTAGGGTTGAGATTGTTGAGGTGATGGCCGGTCGTTGTGCGAGAACAATATTCTTTGCGATTTGAGGATCACTCGACAGGAGTCGCCAATAGACGTATGCTCTGTCACGGATATCTGGGTTGTCGCACTCTACAGTTGCAGTTTGGAGAACTTTTTGGACCAGTCCTTGAGCTTGGTCAGGCTTCTTTAANAAGAGTTTGACCACAGCGGTCAAGATTTGTAGTTGCGTCTGTNNTAGCTCATTAGCAGTTGTTTGAGCCGAGCACAATTCAGCAAAACTCACCTGAGTAAATTCTTCCGCGAAACCATCGACGAAGCCAGATAGGATATCACCAGCGTTACTGATTTTCTCAGCATACTCGCCAACAATCCAGATCAAGGCGCCTCTTGCAGTCGGCTCGTCCAAGTCATCGATGCATTGACACAGCGTAGGGATAATGCCCTCATAACCAGGGTATTTTCTGAAGATGTCCTTGATGACGACCACGACCTCTTGCACAACGTATGCTTGCTTGGTGTTGATAAGTTCAAGCAAGACGTTGACAGCCTTCTCGCAGGCGTTTTCAATCTTAATGGCAACCTGGCCGATGGCTTTGATGGCTCTTCTAACGAAATCCATATCGACTTCCATAGCATACTCTTTCAATTCGGCAAGCAACTGTTCCACATTTGAGTCGTTGGCGATGCGAACCATAATCTGAAGTTTTTGGAACTTGAGATACGGAGGGTCGTTATATTTGCAGAAGAAGACGCGCATCTCCTTGGACAAGAGGGAAGGCTGCTTCTGGAGTAGGAGGTCGATGTTGCGCAGAGCGACGTATTGGACTTCGGGTTGAGAGGATACGAGTGTGACTATGGAAGCCATGTTAGCGGTTGCAAGGCAGCGCTGATTGTGCACACATACCAAGNNCGGAGGAGCCATCTTCTTAGCGTAGGTTCTGCCGAGCTCAGGGTTGATGTTTTGCATGTGCAAGAAGACACACTTGACAGCAGCCAGAACGACACTAGGGTTGGCATGTTGGAATTGTGGTACAACGCGCTCGCAAATGTGCTCAGCTTCCTTCTGCTCGGTGGGCTTGTAGTCGGCCAGGGTGGACAGAATGGTAATGCGGCCCCACTCAGTGCACTCGTTGAGGGCGAGTAGGAGCTTCTTCAGGGTCTGAGGCGTCACGATCAGGGCGTTTGTCTCGGGAGCTGCCTCTCCGATCTCGACGAGTGCGGTCACACAGTTGGCGACAACCATAGGATTCGAATCGCTAATCATCTCCTGCAATGTCTCCAAGAAGCCGTTCTCCAGACACATGGACGGGTTGAGGTCGAAGAGCTTGGCCACACACAAGGCAGCAGTCTTGCGCACGTAGGGACTCTCGTCTCGTAACGTCTTCCGTAGCGGCTCCTCCATGTAATCGACCATCTTATCGACTCGGATACACCCCATAGTACGGATAGCCAGTGCTCTGACCAGAGGGTTTGGGTCTTCTGAGTCTTGTACGAAAGTGTTGACGGCCAGGATGCAGAGGTCGGGATGACTTTTGGCGTAGTTCATGAGGTATAGGTAGACGAGCTTCTTCTGGTCCAAATCGCCGGTGGCTATGTTCTTGAGCACATCGGGGAATAGAGCAGACACATCTTTTCCTAGCGTCATGGCCATGATGGTCTTCTGGATGGACTCCTTACGCTCGTAGGCGTATTGCGACACCAGACCAGCACGAAGCTCGTACGTCTCGCCCTTGCGAGGTACCGCCAGTGCACTGCGGAGTCGGTTCACCGCCATCTTGTCGTTTTACTTGTATTTCCCAGCTCTTGTAAATCTTCGTGGTTATATCCAGTGAAAGCGGTCGGATGGCGAGGCGGAAGTGGGGGTGTGTTGTTGAATACTGGAAAGGGACAATGAAATGAGGGTTGTTGATGCTCCAGAGTTATGACTGTCTGACGTGGAGAAGTTGCGCATGCATAACCCTTATGAATCTGATTACACTTTCGAGGACCACGACTGCTCTGTTTCATCTTCTTACTACAAGACGAGCCTCACAAAAGTCATGGTATTATCTCACTGTCATTTTATTCCTATGTCTCTGCTAAAGCAAAATAGCCGTCCAATCTTCCCAATCTTCGTCGCCTCTTTGTCGAAGCTCGCACCGAGGCAGAAGAGAGCGCATATTCAAGAAATGCTGTAAGTCACATTACATATCCAGACCATCATCTCGTCACCTGTCAAGTTATCATGTATCGTTGTCATGGATGCATAAGAGACGCGAAAGAAAATCTGGTGCTGGTAAAAGCCTGTACGACCAGGAGGTTGGAGTCTTTGGACGGTCATCTATGAAAGGTGGTTGTTTTGTTCGGCGACTGTGTAATACAAAACTGTTCGTATGAATACATGCTTATAAGGATGCATCTAGNNTTCTACAACCTGGTTCTGTTCATCTCCTCGGTCGCTGCTTTCAGCATAGTTGCCCAGCGGTCGACCGCACAGCGATGAAGCACCCAAGGACACCTTCGAAACTCGTTATTCGTTACTCGTCATCATCGTCATCATCTTCGTCAAAGTCGACGAAGCGGTTTGCAGCTGCTCTGCGTTGAGGCCTGGGTGCGGCTTCAGCCTCGTCCGACTCGCCGTCCTCTCCACTGTCTCCCTCGTTACCCCATTGCTTTGCTCCTTCTTGCACAGCTTCCAGATCGGCTTCCAGTTCTCTTCGTTCCTTGATGGTCTTGGCTTTTTGCTCAGAGTAACGTCCATCCATGCCAGCATCCTTTAGCATCTCCTTCAGATGCTTGATCTTGGCCTTTGGTGCGTCGTAAGGAGCCAGCTCACGGTGCCAGAGCTTTCGGATACCGCACTTGACAAGCCAACCTTGGAGACGCTTAATCTCGGCCTCGTCGGGTGTTTCTTCTTTTGCAGGTTTAGCAGCAGCCTTGGTGGCTTTAGCTCGGGGTTGTGACTTGGTCTTGGTGCCAGTACTAGCACTCTTCTTGCGCTGTTTCTTTGGCGGTGCCTCGTCCAGAACTACCGACATCTCGCTCTCGGAATCGTCTCCAGCTTTGACCTCCTCGTCTNNTGAGCCTCTGTCGCTGAGGGCTCGTCTGGGTGTTCAGATGCATCATCGTTGACATCTTCCTCGTCTGACTCGACGGTCTCCTTGCTCACACGCTTGGTAGTCGTTGTGGATTTCTTCTGGGCTGGCTTGGCTTTGGGCTTTTNNCTTCCTCGGACTCGAAGTCTGAATGTTCTGATTCTGACACGGAATGCTTCTGACGCTTAGAGGCTGGTTTTGGTTTGCTTGTGGAAGTTCTCTTTGCGGTCTTTGCTTTGGAGGCAGGAGCCTTCTTTGGTGGAGTAGGTTCGGGTGAAGGAGACTTCTGAGAGGGTTGGTCCTTGGACAATTAGTATGGATCGTGAGCATACATGATGCATTGCAGCGTACGAATGCATCCTCGATTATCTCCTTGCTTTTCTCGTTCCACTCGTCATGGCTCTTGAAGAAACCTGCGTCCAGACCAAGGCGTTCCTCGGCAGCAGTGCGCACTCTCTTGACGGTGATGGGATCGACTTCAGCCTTGCGCACGATGTCGCGCAGTGTCTTTTCTAGAATGGCATTGGAGAGAGGTGCTGCATTGGGCGACTCGGAATCGGAGGACATTGTTGTGCAGACTAGATCAAGTCGTTGTATGGACTAATAGCTTTCCAGAGAAGACGCGTCGCTGTGGCAGTTCACGCGCAGCTGCCCCACGTTTGACGCTTGGTTTCGGAGTGCTTTCCTCGTCTGGACAGCTGCATCACTTTTTGCATGAAACACTCACAACTCCTGAACGCCTACCCATACTCCGACTGGCCATCGTATTCTGCCACCGTCTCGTTTACGGGTCGAACTTCTCTCTGCTTGCAAGCCCCATCACATCCACGAGTCCACACACGCTCTACTTCCAAGCTTCTTGCCTATACAAGAGTGATGTCATTTTTGTAACTTCGCACGGCCTTTCCACAACATTCGATGTTACCAGAGTTGGCAAGGGCGTGGAGAATATCCTCAACATTTCCAACAATTTCTATCCGGCCTGTAAACAGAGAGCGAAGCCTGCTATAAGACCAATATAACCTCTGCTGTGACCATTCGTGAACTGTCTCCTAGCTACCTAGTATCCAAACGCCAGCAAGCTCCCTTGAGTTTTGACAGGCATTTTCAGCCGCATCCTCCAGTGCTCCACACCAGCCCTGGGCCCCAAGCGTCCAAAGCAAGCTTGCAGTTGAATCCCGGCTCTTTACTCACAAATACATCACACCTTTCCTGCTTCTTCGCCCAACAATAAAAGGTCCGGTTGCCTTTTGTCTAGAGTACCGATCCTGGTTCTTCCCTTTCTGCCCAAGCTACCAGAGTAAGTACCAATTGGCATGTGATCGTCCATCGCGGCTGTTCACTCGCTACGCCTCTTCTTCGCTTCCACCTACAACTCTCGCTTTGCGCCTACAAGAGTACTGACTTTCGCGACAGAGAAGCTCTTCTCCACCAAGGACGCATCAATAGCCATGGCTAATCCCTCAGAACCCGCCAGCGATGGCAAGGGGCGCCTCCTCCTCGTTTCCAACCGTCTGCCCATCACCATCAAGCGCTCCGATGACGCTACTTACGACTTCTCAATGTCCTCTGGCGGTCTAGTCAGTGGCTTGTCGGGACTCGCAAAGACTACAAAGTTCCAGTGGTATGGCTGGCCCGGTATTCAGGTTCCTCAGAACGAAATTGGTCTGGTCAAGGACAGACTATGGAAAGAGTACGGCGCGGTCCCCATCTTCATGGATGATGAACTAGCCGACAGACATTACAACGGCTTCTCCAGTATGTGCCCCTAGTCCGCTTGTCATGCTCTTCTGTACTGACACTGCACACAGNACTCAATCCTCTGGCCCCTCTTTCACTACCACCCCGGTGAGATCACCTTCGACGAGTCCGCATGGAACGCCTACCGCGAGGCCAACCGCCTGTTCGCAAAGGAGATCGCAAAAGACGTGCAAGACAACGATCTGATCTGGGTCCACGACTACCACCTCATGCTTCTTCCTGCTATGCTCCGTGAAGAAATTGGCGATTCGAAGCGCAACGTCAAGTTCGGTTTCTTCCTCCACACTCCCTTCCCCAGTAGCGAGATCTACAGAATCTTGCCCGTCCGTAACGAGATCCTCAATGGCGTCCTGCACTGCGATTTGGTCGGATTCCACACCTATGATTATGCTAGGCACTTCCTCAGCAGTTGTTCCAGAATCCTGTAAGTTTGCACGACTACTCAACCTACGACAATGTCACTGACAGCTCACAGCCAACTACCAACAACGCCCAACACAGTCGAGTTCCAGGGCAAGGTCGTCACTGTCGGTGCCTTCCCCATCGGTATTGATCCTGAGAAGTTCGAGGAAGGGCTCAAGAAGCCCAAGGTCGTGGAACGCATTCAGACACTTGAGAAGAAGTTCCAAGGTGTCAAGCTGATCGTCGGTGTTGACCGTCTCGATTACATCAAGGGTGTTCCTCAAAAGCTACATGCTCTTGAAGTCTTCTTGACAGAACATCCCGAATGGATCGGCAAGGTCGTCCTGGTTCAAGTCGCTGTTCCTTCGAGACAAGATGTAGAGGAGTACCAGAACCTGCGTGCTGTTGTCAACGAACTGGTCGGCAGAATCAACGGCAAATTCGGTATGTTTCTTAAAGAGGCAGGCATTGACAACCATCTAACAAGCAGCANNGGAACCATCGAATTTATGCCCATCCACTTCATGCACAAGTCGGTCTCGTTCGATGAGCTGATTGCTCTCTACGCTGTCAGCGATGTCTGCCTCGTCTCCTCGACCCGTGACGGCATGAACCTTGTTTCGTACGAGTACATTGCAACCCAGCAGAAGCGTCACGGTTCCATGATTTTGTCTGAATTTACTGGCGCAGCCCAAAGTCTTAACGGTAGCATCATCGTCAACCCCTGGAACACCGAAGAACTCGCCGATGCTATCCACGACGCCGTGACCATGGGGGATGAGCAGAGAAGTATCAACTACCACAAGCTTGCCAAATACGTCAACAAGTACACCAGTGCTTGGTGGGGCGAGTCCTTCGTCAATGAGCTCACCAGAATCTCTGAGCAAGCCGAGAAGAAGATTAAGGTCAAGCAGTCGCAGTTTGATGGCAAGATGCACGAAGAGATAACTCAGCAGAGCACTGCCGACCAAGACGTTGAGGGTACTGGCTCTGGTGTAAACTCTGGCGTCAACTCTGGTACTTCGACTCCGAGAAGACCTGATGCAAAGAGAGCCGCGACTGCTCTCTAAGGAAATGAGCTTCAAAGGTCAAATGTGACTGATTGATGATGGCATAGGCTGGCGTACATGGCGTAAGGAGAGATAGCGAGTGGCTAAAGGTCAACATGGAGTTGTAGATTATGTTAGTTTTATTATTCATGACACGATAGACACTGGAAACATTGCTCTTTTCCACATCGACCGCAACTTGTACCGTCTACTTTTCCCTCGCTGCTTGATTGAGTATATCGGACGAGGTGCTAGATCCTCATTACGTACCCATGTATCTCCCACAACAACATAGAGCGATAAGTGAGAAAGACGGAAACGCACCAGCTGGAGAGTAAAAAGATATACAGGTTACGTGCCTCTGATTCTTGGCCTGTTATTTCTGCTTCTCACTCCTAACACCGCGTTATTCTGATTCGAAAGACGAGGTCTCGGAAGGCGCGTAATCAGGATCCACCCGCCGACCCTCATTGCTAAGACCAGAGCTCCCACTAGATAACTGAACTGCTGGGCTTGAGCTATCAACGAATTTTCTGGTTTGTCTCGTGGGCGAAGGGGTCTCGGTATCGGCAGGGTCCCACTCCCACAACGGTGTCGTCTCACGAGAGTCATGGACGGCGGTCAGAACAAGCCATGACATAAGAGTCGCCCTCTACGAAGGTCAGGAATAGCCACATTGAGGCTATAAAAATGCACAATTGCTTTCCAGACCCAGGAGTGTGCCATTGAGACAGCCTAAGATAGAGTCTCTTCCTGGCCATCACTCCTTTCTGAATAGTGTTGTGCATTTTTGTAATGTACTGTGAGAGATCATAGCTTATAGGGAGGACGAAACCTTCGCTCTCAAACAGGGTGACTTACGCTGATGCTTTCAAGAACGGAGCTTCGAGTACTCGTGAGATGATGGATTGAAGGTCTTGTTTAGTCCATCGTCTGCCTTTTATCATGACTCTGGCAGGCGTATGCGTATCATGGCTGTGCGGACTACTTTGGAGGCGAGGTCGTTTGGCTTGCCGCCCATCAAGATCATGACTGCAATCCGGTGGTCTTGCATGTTTATTTTGACGAGTGCGTGCCACATTTGACTTCTGTTGCTGTTGTTGTTAAGCGTCATTAGCGGTGATCGGTCCTAGTCTACGCGCCGTAACCGTTTTTGGATTCTCATGGGCATGTGATGGTTGTCAGTGTGTTGGGGGTGGATAACAGGTTGCAGAGGAGTGGTGATGCAGCGTGTTTGTTTCGTATCGTGATGATACGGGGTGAGGATCGGCCCGGTCGTGGAGTACATCAACCATGACCTGTAGTTGGAGTAGACTCTGTTGCTAAACTTATATGGCTCGTAGGTTATGTAGAGTCGATCGCAGAGGTGTTGCGGAAGAGATGGCCTGTGCGCCAAGGCCTCTTGCGACAACTTGGGAAATCTACTTTCGTGAGATCGCAAGGGCCCAAACGAGCAATTCACACAACCATGGCCAGCAGAACACTCAGCCTCCCATTGAGGGCTTTCGCAGGCACTCGCCCATCCATCCAAGCCTGGCGCAGCACACGANTCCTTGCCACTGAACTCGCGCCCGCCTCAACAACACTTCCTGTTCCTTCGGATTTCACAACGCCTATTACTACACCAGTAGTCCAGGATGCCCAACCTCAGATCCTTGCATTGAAAGAGACGGATGGAAGTACATCTGGCAAGTTGCGACCAGTTGGTGTCGTTGTCAGCGCCGGAAAGATGGAGAGGACAGTCAAAGTCAGACTACCCAGTCAGAAATGGAACAACTACTTGAGANAAGGTAAATCTACACTCTCCGATATTGCATACAGTCAATGTGTTTCTGCGTCAGAGAACCGTACGCTTATTCTATCTCTTTCTCCCTGGTTATAGCATTTCAAGGACCATTCAGACCACCTAGTCCACGACCCCAACTCTTCCCTCAACATTGGCGACGTTGTTGCTCTCAGACCTTTCCGCGCCGCCAAACACGTCCACCACGTTGTTTCAGAAATCCTCGTTCCTTTCGGCACACCCATCGCTCAACGACCGCCCGTGCCCAGCGAAGGCGAGTCCCAAGCCGCCTACAATGCCAAACGCCACTCCAAACTCGAGCGCCGCACTTTGCGCCGCGCCGCTGCTAAAGGCTCCGAGTCCGCTATTGAGAAGTTGCAAGCACTAGAGGTGGAAGCCGGACAGGGTGTTACAGTAGGAAAGGGCGAGAAGAATGCCAGAAAGGCTGGGTTGATGGGAAACAAGGGCCAAAAGTTGCAAAAGGGAGTTTTGCCGGGAGGAAAGCATGCGGTTGGCAAGATTGACGAAAGAGCAAAGCACAACAAGGAGCAGGCTTTGAAGAGGAATGAGAAGGCTGAGAGGAACTTGCTTGAGGCTAATCAGGTCGCCGAGAGCAGGTAAGAAGGTTAAGGAAGCGATCGCTCACGTTTACAAACGCAAGCTCAGGAGACAGCTCGGTTTCGACTGGCTCGGTCTTCATGCTATTGTACAAAACAATCTTCAGGAAATGTACTTTTATATTCGACGTTGGCTCACATATGCAAAGACTTGCGCGTAGATCTCGAGGGGCTTTGTTGAATGACTCGAGATTTGAATAACTTCGAGAGTGGTTGGACGATGTGATGGTTATTTGTTCTGGTAGATCGAAAAAGAATGATGTACAGGGTGGCCCCCAGGCAATGAGTTTTGACCTTGAATTGACAACAGTATTAGTCACGGAAGATCTGAGAGCATTTTAAATAGTAGTATAGGACGTCTATATGGTTATCTTACATGTGTTAGAGCTGCGTGGCTGCTGAATCTTCATTGCTCGAGTTATGAACAATCCTGACGTTCAGGACTGTTAATGGCCAGATACTGATGGAAGCCAAATGATACTCAGTAGACATTTCAAAACTGGTACCCTGAGAAATTCAACCAAAGCTGGCTGTAAAGGGACCTTTCAGTATCGATAACAAAATATATTTTCATGCTTTTACAAGTGAAGAAGAGTTGATCGGAAATGATATACATAGAGGTTATTAGCCAAGGCTTTGAACGGCGGGAGTGAGCGAGCTTGTCGCGAGGCGTCTTGCGCTTCGAGTTGCATCACGACATTCACACGACCATCCAACTCATCACAACCACCATGGCGCCCGAAAAGAATGGAAGAGTCGTCTTTATTGGCAACATCCCTTACGGTACGCGCATACTTTTGTCTATGATACGCGACGAACACTGACCGAGATCCANNGGTGTTAGCGAAGAACAGATCATCGACACATTTGGAAGAGTCGGCTCGGTGAACAACTTTAGACTAGTACACGACAAGGAAACTGGCAGACCGAAGGGCTTTGGTTTCCTCGAGTTTGCAGACCCAGATGCTGCTGCCTCGGCGGTGCGCAACCTCAATGACCACGAAATCATGGGTCGCAAGTTGCGCGTCGACTGGTCCAACNGACAATAGTGGAGGCGGCGGCAACAACGACAACTCCAACAACAACAGCATGCAGCAATCACACACTGGCGACAGCTCAAACCAGCAACCCCGATGCTTCCTCCTCTCCCACCTGGCACCGACTTGCCCGCAGGTCTGACATGCCCTGACGCCATCTCCAAGACACTCAGTGCCATCCCGGCCCCTCAATTGCTTGATATCATCTCGCAAATGAAGGGCCTCGTCATGTCGGATCCTAATCAAGCAACCGAACTTTTGCGCCAAGCTCCCCAACTCGCCTACGCCATCTTCCAGGCACTTCTCCTTCTCGGCCTCGTGGACACAAGCATGCTCAGCAGCATTGTCCAGGCCTCCGCTCCTCAANAACCCACAGTTCCCTGCTGCGGCACCCGTTCCTCCACCACCTATGCCACAGCCTCCTCAGGCCGCATACGCTCCTACCCCTCAGCCCGGCTACCCAGGATACCCTCAGCAGCACTACCAACAAGCCACGCCGCCTGTCCAACAGCCTGCTTTCGCACCACCACCACCCCTCAACAGGCCGCTGCAGCTAGCCAGCAGGATCTGATTGCTCAAGTTCTATCTATGACGATTGACCAGATCAACCAGCTTGACCCCGTATCACGCCAACAAATTATTGCTCTGCGCGCCCAGCTCGGTGCGCCTGTTGCTTGAAGAACGTAGTCTCGACCATGAAACTGCGTTCTTTCGAAAACCACTCGCCATTACCAGAAGTACCGAATGGCATTATAAAATACCCAGCTACAGCAGAACTGCTAGCTCTTTGCCCAGGTATGAAGAGCGTCACTTGGACTGCTCAAAAGAAGTAATGCTGGCTTGCAACAATCATTACATCTTGCAAAAGTGTCGACAACGATACAGCTTACATAGTATCTGGCCGCAATATCAGGGAGCCACATGAGAGAAAGCCACGAGCAAATGACAGCATCTCGACTAGATAGGGCGGTATCTCGACTACAGTTGTTGAAACAACATATAGGTCGAGAATCAAGAGCGTTAGAATTCGCTCCAAATACAAACAAATATCCTTCCGTCTTATAATGTCTATGTAATGAAACCACAGTATGACTCGTGATAGCATGTACACAGACACAGCAGTGGTTCGCGCGGGACGTTTGACCCCAAAGCTTGACCCGAAAATGGGGTCCCTTGAAACGTTCATACCTTTTGACGTCGAACTTAAAAAAACTTCTTCTCAAGTAAACGTTTCTCACTTGCTTCTAGTATGCAGGACATGCCGAACGGCACCCTACAACAGCTCCCTCAACAAGCTCCCGGTTGCCCTGCTTACGGATGGGCTTGCCAAAATGCGGGAGGCTGGGAAAGTAGGTCGGGCACCAAACCCAAGCAGGCAAAGGTGAGCTGCGATGTGCATGGGGAAGGCGCAAACGCGACGACCCAGCGCCTGCCACAATTGATTGACCAAACACCGTCGACTCTCGTCGCACTTGTGTGATTTCTGCTTTGGACCTCAGTTTGTCGCTTGTTGTTCTTACGCATCCCTCACGACTCACGATATCATGACCTTAGCATCACCTCAGACACGACGATAATCGATACAACACGAATCGTAATTGTTTACTTGCGACTCGGACTGCTTTTGCGGTGAAGCCTCTCACTGTTTACGAGCGCGTACCGTCGTCTGGTGCGCATACCTACTCGACCATGTTCAGATCGCTCAGTAGCAAGAACTCGACGTCCTCGTCCAAACGCAAGAAGGCAGATCAATCGAGTCGCCGATCCGAATCTGTAATGTCCTCGTCGACACATCGCAAACACTCTCGTAATGACGAACGCTCTTCCAAGAGTGAACATAGAAAATCGACCTCGACCCAGCCTCCCGTGGATGGTTCCTCCGGCCCATCATCCTATTACACCACTGCTGATCGACTTAGTCAACTCGAGCCTCGATTTTTGACAGAGGAAGCTATTAGAAGCCTCGGTATGCAAGACGAAGGATGGGGAGATACAACCTCGCATGCAGAAGACTTGCCTTCGGGAGGAGCTTATGCAGACAACAAAGGTCGCTCCAAGAGTTCTTACAAGGATGATCCTGGCCGGAGATACAACGAAGGCCTGGTATACCGCTCTCCAGTCGAGGAAATATCGCCGAATGACCGCTCGCTGTCTCACGGAGACTATCCTCAAAACTCGTTTGGTACATCTTCTCATGTGCAAGACCAATTCCCAGGTCAAGACCCTTTGACGTATGCGCGTTCCGCATTCAATCCAGTTGCGGCCCAAAGTGCTGCTGCCGCGTATCATGCTGGTGGCCAGACTCGATCTCATGACGCTTTTGCTTCTGTACCATCCAATCAGTTCCCTCAATCAGGTGCGGGAGAAGCTGCCGAATACTACTCACAAGCTCCAATGCAGCCTTTAAACGCTGGAAGCCAACATGTACCCTCTCAAGCCTACAATGCCTCTCAAAACACATCAAGTCACCCCACAGCACAGACTGATTCTCTAATGTCTAACACTTCTGCCTATCCTGCTAATTCTTACACCACCGCTCCGACTAACGGGCCCTCTAATGATGGTCAAAATTACACATATCAGCAACAACATCGTCCTACGGAAGCTTTCGTACAGGGCCAATCTGCACCGCACGAAACCTACCATCAGCACTCTCACTCCGTACCTTCCGCAAACACCTACACTGACCAAGCCTACGACACGTCTTTGCCCAGCCAAATTTCAGGACCCGGTAAGCAAGTTTCGACGAACCAGAATCTGGCATATGTTACCGCCGCAGGAGCTGCAGTGGCAGGTGCTCATAGCTATCATCATCACAAACAGCATCAACACAACTACTCTGCTCCGATCAATGGTGGTAATATGTACGGANCAACCCCTCCAAGGCCGTACACCTCCGGAAATATGGCGATGCGGCACAAGCACAAAGGCGCCATTAGCAAATTCGTGGATTGGTGGAAAGACTACGAAGATGTGCGCAAGATGGAAGAGTACACCGAGTACATTGGTGTATGCAAGTATTGCTTCGATCCTCGTTCTATTGCCACAGATGCTCCCAGAAAGCACCATCGCGGAAGTAGACGGTCGTCTGATTCATTGCGAAGACGCTCCAGTGATTCACTTCGACGTTCCTACACCAATGGGTCGAAGTATGGCAGAGTCGACAAGGATTCGAGGTACCATTCGTCATCAGACAGTGAGCGCCGTAGTAAGAAAACTAGCTGGCTAGGTGCTGGTATTGCTGCGTACGGCATGTCAAAAGTCGGAAAGTCTTTGTGGCAAAACTCTCGTGACTTCGACGACACATACAGTGTCAAGTCTGGAAGGAAAAGCGATGTCTCTAGGAACGGTTTTTACAGAGAGGCGAGGCAGAACTACTCCTCGAATCAAGAGAGTAAACCAGAGCACAACAACGACCGCAAAGTTGTACACAACAGCTCAAGCGACCGCTCTGGAATTGGTACCCAGAGCTCAGCCAGACGGCCAGGACACACCGGCTCAGAGTCGAGACGCAGTCAAGATGATCGTTACAGTACTGTCAGGCCAAACTTTGTGACTGCTGGAGGCTCGCGACACAGTGAGGAACAGATTCATGTTCGTCATCCTAGTCCTGGAGCCGGCTCTATGTCACCACGTACGGCATCCCGTCGAGGATACAAAACCCGTTCAAGGAGCCAGAGTCCATCCTTGGTCCAGATTCTGGGACTGACTAGTTCACAAAAGCGCACGTCAGCAACAGCTTCACGCTCATCCTCACCACATCAGGAAGGCATGTTCACTGGCTTCTTCTCCAGACCATCCGGAAGGAATAGGGCCAAGCAGAGCAAGAAAAAGGGATTTTTCAATTTTGCCAACTCATCCTCATCATCTGCCAATTCTGACCTGGCTTTTGGTACTCGTCCTAAGAACGGCAAGCTACCCAAAAGAGCCACGAGAAAGAGCTCAGATGAGCACCTCAAGGCCACTTTGCTGGGTATTGGTGCCACTGCCGCTGCTCTTGGCGTGGTGCAGCGAAGTAGGTCAGGCAGCAAAAAGTCAGAACCAATAAGACTACGCAACAAAGACCCCACTTATGCCACACAGCGAAGCAAGCGAAACACCAGTGAGGAAGAAGAGGGCTGGGAGTCAGCAACCGATGATGATAGTGTTTCATCCGGCCTTGCATTTGGCGACTTCGATGGAAGGGGTCCTAGACGACAACGCAGCTCTGAATCCATTACTTCTCAGAGTTCTGGTACTGACAAATGGAGCTGGCGCTGGCGTCGAGAGTCGGACAAGAAGGGTAATGCTGACAACCTGCCACGAACCTATCACAATGACAGTCATCTCGGGGACGACCATAATGTCGTCACGTTGCAGCCACTGCAGTACATGCACCCAGCACCGATCTCTAGCCCAATGCACTTCGAAGCACGAGGCCAATCATCGATGCCTGGTGCATTTCCAGAGCAGCAATATGCAAGCGAAGGTGCGCAGATACAACAGCCACAACCGATCACGCCTCTACAATCTAGCATCTTCGGCAATCAGACTCCGCCTCGTACCTCCCATATTGATCAGCCTAGTCCTCAGCTATTCACACGCCCTATCATACCAACAGAGCTGAGGCGCACGCAATCAAGTCCTGTATCGAGCCACACTATGCGCAATGCAGCGATAGCTGGTATAGCAGGCGCGGCTGCAGCTGGAATTCTTTCCAATGGCAAAAGCAGAGCTAGAGATGACAGCCCTAGCAATGTCCGCTTCGACCTTACTGAAAAACAAGCCAAGAAAGAAGAGCGTCAACAACGCAAAGACGACGCTAAAGAGAGTAAGGAGCGTACCAAGGAAGAGGCTAGAGACAAGAAAGAGCGTGCTCGTCTTGATCGCGAGAGAGCTTTGCAAGAGGCGTCCAACCGAAAAGCTCTTGAAGACGCAAGACGCTATGCCGAAGAAGCGGAACGCCAGAAAGCTCTTGCCGAACATGCCGAAAACTATCAAGCTCAGTTGCGAGAAGCAGCGGCTGCTGAATTTAGGGAGCGGGAGGCAGATCGCGAACGAGAAGAGGAAATCAAAGAGTTCATGAAGAATGCACTTGCCCAACAAGCTCAGGAGGCTGAGTTGAAGAAGCAGCGTGGAACTTGGCAAGCTCAGCTGACAGCAGCTGCGAGACAAGACTTGCCTCCAAGTTCAGAAGCTGGACCTTCCACGGCTTCTCAACCAGCTCTCGACAGAGCACATGACTATCACAACGATCATCCCCAACATGACAGAAATGATTCCACAAATATGCCCTATGCTACTCGCTCGTATGAGCCATCGAACGAACACAGTGGTCAGCCTCTTATGGACGACGACCTCATCGATCCCGATTTCTTCACTCGCAGACGTAGTCACAGTGACCTAGCTCGGCATGAAGAACTCGCCGGACAGGCAGCTGCCAAGATTGTTGCTGATCTCGAAGATAAGTACAGAGATCCTGCACCGTCTCAGGCCGAGTTCTTCGCACCAAAGGAACTTTTCGAACCATCGAAGGGCAAGACAAAAGTCCACGGACCCATCGATGACACCAGTTATCAAGTCTATCACATGTCAGAGGACCAGCTTGCATCAATGCCCAACGAGCCACCGCCCCCGTACCAGCCATCTTATCAATTCGCTGACTTGCGAGACATGAAGGGTACCGCGCCTTGGGATATCCCAAAGCTCAACGTCATTGCTCCTACACCGCCTGCAAGCTACGCAGGATCAGCCAGGGGTGACAAATCGCCAATCATTGCTCCGGCAAGAGCTGTTCAGGGAACTAGCCAGGAGTCTGAAGCTGACATTGAACCCCAAAAGTCGAGCAAAGTCAGCTGGGGTGAAGACCAGACTCGTTTCTACCAGATTACGACCCCGGACTCATCCCAGGAGCATGTCGTTCTCCCTGACGAGCCGCCACACGGAGTATCAGGCTTGCGTGACGAATACGTACCTGCTGAACCATCTCAAGCAGAGTCCGACAACAGCAGACATATGACCAGTGAATCAAACGGCAACAAGGATCAGCCAGATGTGTTTGTTGAGGAGATTATGAGAGAAGCACCATCTAGAATCTCGGAACGCTTCTACCGACAGCCTTTTGTTGAAAGCGTTGATGACGTTGCTTTTACGCTGGATTCTCCAGGGACTGAAGGTGCACCACCAGTACGAGGGTTTGTCGAAGGTGAGGTTGATAATGCGAATGAGCTCGATGACCGTATGCCTCACATCCCTGGTGGCTTCGATGATATAAGCTCAGAGATTCGACCTGAAGACACTTTCAACAACGAAATTCAAAACCTCAGTCGTGAGGTTATGCAAGATCAACAAGCTCCCCACGAACACATTCAAAGGTATGAGCAATCAGGGCCCGCTGAGCAAGACCAGGACGACTATTTCACGACCGAGACGTCGAGAAGAAAGCGAGACAAGGAGGCAAGAAGGACATCAATAGAGCGAGACTATCAATCACCAGGCGATGATCATAGATCCGAGCTTCTACATGATCAAAACGACACCGAGCAGTATACAGACTACGCTAAGGTTGGAGCAGTGATCGGTGCTGCAACTGCGGTTGGCGCTCTCATGCACAATGCCAGATCTCGATCTCCCAGTAGGAGAAAGAGCGAGCCAGAAGATTTTGATCATCAACGTCCGTCATTCTCACACTTAGAACCTCGGGATACCGTTTCACAATCTACACCTACATCGCCTGTGTACGAGCGTCGACCATCACTTCCCAGCCACGCCTTTGACGATCTTGACATGCTGCCAGGCAGCAAGAGACCGAAAAAGTCGAAGAGAAACAGCTTACTCAACTATCCTGCTATCGGATCTCCTCTTCGATCAGCCATGACCTGGGACGAGTACATTGAACCTATGGACGTCACGCATCATGATCAACCTACCCAGTCGCAATCGTATGAGACTTTCGACGATGCTGAACACTCTCCTGAGGACTCGAAAACAGAGACAAGGAGAAATCTTCCCTCGCCTGAGTCCGAACGCGGCGCTGCATCTATCGTCTCTGCTCCTGCTGGTGATGAAGAAAGCGGTCGAAGACGCCAGAGTAGGAAGTCGCAGCGGGAACATGAGAAGTCAACGTCCNCTCGCAGAAGCGCATCAGTTGCGATGTCTGAACCTTATGAGGCCTCTCGTAAGCATAAGCGGCGATCACATCGTGACGACATTGAAATCGATGATGCATCGTCAACTCGCTCTCGAAGTTCCCACAGCTCCAAGAAGGACGATGAAGAAAGCAGAAGCAAGAAGAAGGGCGGTATATTGAGCCTCTTCCGTCGCAAGACGTCTGATGATGTCGCTAGCAATGAGCAGAAACGTACCAATGATGATGACGAACGGTCCAAACATCATCATCGCCGTCACAGCTCTGAGCATGTGGTTGACGATTTTAATGAGCGCCGAAGCTCAACCTCAAGGTCTCGTTCTCACACTGAAAAAGATGACCCTTCTTCGAGACATTCAAGCAGTTCTAGACACCGACGAAGACATGATCGTGATGGTAGCGTAGATGAAACCGAGACTGGTTCTCAAACATCAGAGTCCAGGCGCCGTCACAAGCATCGTAGTAGAGACCACAGCCGATCTCCAGAGAAAGAGTTCGATGATACTCAATCCCTGGCTTCCGAGTCGAGGCGCAAACACAGACATCGAGATCGGGATCTCAACTTGGACGATAGAAGGTCGCGCTCGCGAGACAGCAAGTACGTCAACGACGAAGACGAGTCTTTTTTAGGCGAACGGGTAGAGGATGAGGAGTCCGTACCTCTACCCGAGGATGATACTGTATCATCATCCCAGGCTCCAGAGTCAGTTGAACATCCGCAGGAATCCACTTCGCCGTCAGAGCATGACAAGATGGTAACGATGGAGCAATCGGCCGACTCGACAACATCGCCAATAGTCCTCAACGAGCCGAAGAACTTGCCAGATGTCGCAATACAGGGGAGTACGGATGACTCAACGCAACAGATTGTTGAAGCTCTATCCAGTCCACCACCGTCAGAAGGACTGTCACCTCCTATCGAGCATATGACTCCAGCAAGGCCAATCGTTCCTCTACGTATCGGCTCCTCCACAGCTGTTCCGTTGAGGTTCCGCCGTCCGCCCATCTCTCCTAGTCACCCACGGGAACGCTCAGCCAGCTTCAGCTCTCCCATTACGCAGTCACCGTCGTCACCAATAACGCCGAAGGCCAAGAGACCATTGTCCACAGAGTTCATGCATTCGACCGAGTTCAGACCGCTGTACCTGCTTGAACGCACACGCAAGCCCCAAGAACAGGAAGCCGAACAAGACTTGCCAAGTCTGCCTCCGAGTCGTAGCACAAGCTCGTCGAGCTTGCAGAGTAGTGAGGACTGGCAGTCTGCAGCCGAAGATTTTGACCCAAGCGAACACGATAACTTAAGTCCACCCACGTTTGATCAGTTCCAGACCGACGAGCCTGAAGATGTTTTAGGCTCCGCCCAGACTACACCTAAAGCGACCGAGTTTCCCAAGAACATTTTACAGTCTCGTCCTCATTTGGAGCCAGAGTACTACTCTTGGAGCGACATGGAGCGTGAGGAACACCTTCGCGAGGAAGCGGAGAGGGACCACCACGATGACTTAGTCAAGGAGCCAGCAGCCGCAGGCAATGACCAGAGTGGACCAATGTTTATCAGCAACACTACCTCGCCGGATGAGAATACCGAAGTTGCTGTCAATCAAGATCCCATGGCAACAGATGTGTGGGGTGAGATGAGCGACGAAGAGCTCCACACTACCGCGGCGCCCAGTCATGATGACTCTGCAGAGCCGAGCATGCAATCACAAGAACCGGACGCTGGTTCAAGCCTTACAGTTCCAGCCAAGAAGCGCAAGAATAAGAAAGCTGCCAAACTGGGAACATCTTCCAACTCTGAGATGACTAGCCCTGTTCGCGAATCTCCAGCAGAACTTGCAAGAAGGCGAGAAAAAGATGCACAAGATGCTGTTGATACTTGGTTCAAGCCAACTGCGGAGCCGAGAGAAGAACCCCTTTCCGGAACTAGTCAGGTACCACTGCCGGAGACGACAACGCCTCTCGAGCCAGAGGTCAAAGAGAGTGAACTCTCGCCTGCTCCGGTCCAAAGAGACGAACTTCCGACGCAAGAAGTTGAGCCCAGTTCTCCATTGCTGTCACGCAAGAAGTCAAAGAAAGGCAAGAAGAAGCAGAGATCTGTAGTCTTGGATGCACCAGTTTCTGAGTCTGAGCCAATTGAAGAATTTCCAGAGTCACAGGTAGTCGCTGAAGCAATGCCCCAACACGAGTCACCTAAAGGTACTCTACCCAGGAATGAAATTCAAGAAGTCCAGACTACGACAGCTCCAGAAGAGACAATCCAAGAACAGAAGTCTGATCTCGAAGCTTCGGAGACGTTCACTCCAATTGATGCTACCGTTGCAGCTACTACGCCTGAGAGTCTGGAGCAGCCTGATGACGGTATACATATCGAAGAGCCAAGTTATACCATGTCCAAGGCAGAGCGCNAAAAGAAGAACAAGAAGGCAAAGAAGGTTACACTCTCGATTGCAGTTCCTGCAGTTGCTGCAGCCGCATTAGTTGCTTCAGATCTAGAAGTCGCGGAGCAGAATGATGAGGGTGTAACTTCAAAATCTGAGCCCGTGCTTGCTGAGGACNGAGAAACCTACGGATGAGTCCGCCGAAGACAACACAAACTCTGTTTCTGCTCCTGCTGACGATCTCATGGATGAGGTTTCTCTGCTTAAAAAGCTCCTGGAGATACCGTACCTCTTGCCGAGACTGAAACAACTACGGAATCTGGCGTACAAGAGCAGCAGAATGCGGCTCACAAGAACCACACCGATACTGAATCGCGCATACAGGAAACGGACCCAAGTGTTCAGTCTTCTGATCTCGTGGCCAACCTGCTGCCTGAACAAGTAGCACTTCCCGATGAGATACAGGACGAATTGAAAGAGTTTAAAGCCACTGAGCCTGTTTCAGAGCCCGTCGCAGAGGCTTTGCCTGTCGCAGAGGCATCCCGAGGGGAACAGATCCAGCTTGCACCAGACGAAAAGTTCGGGGAGACACTCGCAAGCTCAGAACAAGCTGACCAAGGTGCAACGACAATAAACAAAAGATCATCTTGGTTCTCTTGGCTCCCAGGCGGTAAATCACAAGAAGCTAATAAACCCACGGCTGAGTCGAATGCAATTGAAGATGACCCAGAACAGCCCAATGCTCTGACACAAGAGCCATTTGAGCGTCTTCTTGAGCAACCGATACAACGCCTTGAGTTTGTTGACGAGCCGATCTCAGAGGACGTTTCTAAAGATGCATCAGAGCCGGATCAGAAAGTGGTTGACGACAATGAGGCTGATGCTACAAAGAACATGGAGGGGATCACGGCTGTCGAACACGATAAGTCGGAGCCCATACCGATTAAGGAAGAGCCCAGCGCTCATCTTCCACAACAAAGCGTAGCGGAGATCACTGAGAATGTTCTGGGCCTCTTAGAAACAGTGCCAACCGCAGCTCAGGTCGCGATTGACACAGCTTCAACAATCGAAGAGCCTGAACTAGTTGAAGATTTCTGGGCTGTGCCGTCAAAGAAGAACAAGAAAGGCAAAAAGGGCAAGAGGGCTGCCAAAGAGAAGATACTGCCTGAAACACCACCAACGTCTTCGCCTATCACCGAAAACGGAACCCTGGATGTCAAAGCTCCTCGGAACGAGAACACTGACTCTATCGAAAGTGACAAAACCATCGAGACTGTAGAGCCTGAACTTTCGAGCGATACGAACGTTCAAACTTCTAGCATCAATGTTACGGCAGATGAGCAAGCCCCAGCTATGAGTACAGTTGAAGACTCTAAGCTACATTCAGCGCCGAACACAGAAGACACGAAACGAGATGTCCCGGCGGAACCTGTATCTCAATCTTTTGAACCTGCAACAGAGCGTACCGAAGCGGCTACCACTGCCATAGAGCCTAACATCCATTATCGAGCTCAAGATGAAGGTGACAATGTGCCCTTTCACGAACCCGTTCCGATCGCCGAGCCTTCTACCGCAACGACGGAAGATGAATGGGCCATGCCATCGTCTAAGAACAAGAAAAGGAAAGGCAAGAAAGGCAAACAGACTTTGACAGAGCCCGTCGAGGGAGCTGAAGATGTTCAACCTGAACAAACAGCAGAGCCAGAGCCGCTCGAAAGTATCGCAAGGATCGAGGACACACCTATTACGCCAGACGTTTTCGAAACACCTGCAGAAGGCGCTTCAGCACAGTACTTTGAAACACCTGCTGATGAGCTTGCTGACCAATACTTTGTCACCCCGGTTGAGGAAGTTTTGGAACAGCCTCTCGCTGTTCCTATGGCAGATGACATACCATCGACGTCCGCTCGCAAGCATGAAGCTGACTCGATGTCACACGAACAGCTGAGACGTCCTTCTATCACACCAACTCAAGACAATGTCCACGGCGAGTCCGTGGTTGTGAAGGATGAACTGCTCTCTCATGGACAGATTGAAGAGCCCAATACAACCGCTCATAACACCACTCGCGAAGTGCCCAGCCCATCGGAAGTTGGAGCACCATTTTTGGACGATACTACGAGAGAGGAACAAACTCTCGATGATCACTTGGAGCCTTCTGAGGGCAAGCAAGTCGTCGAAACTATGCCACAATCGGTATCTAAAGATTGTGCCACAACACGCCAAAATCCTCTCAATCCTCTTTCCGATAAGTCTGAGATCTTGCAGTCAGAGAAGCTTGAGCCAGATCTCGACTTTACTCAAGAAGACAAGCGGTTCGCTGAGCCAGGAGCAAGTCATGAGACATCAACAGCAAGAGAATCTGATCCTGGTGACTTCGCGAATTCTGCTACTGGGCAATCCCAACCTCAAGATGTCGGTGAGCCTGACGCTACTGATGTCAATGAACCCGATGCTTTCATACCGATACCTTCCAAGAGATCGAAGATGGACAAGAAAAAGCGAAGAAAGCAAAGCAGCAGGAAGTCGAACCCGAATCTTTGCGAGACGGGACTGCCGAACATGAATCTCCGATAGCATTCGAGGACCCAGTTCTACCTCCAGCAGAGACCAAGTTCGAGGACGCTGTAGCAGCCAACAGCGATGTCACTCCGGCACCTCCACAACTGCCTGGAACGGAACCTGTCACCGAAGATCAGCCAATCACTAGGAAGCTCTCGAAGAAGGAGAAAAGGAAAGCAAAAAGACCGCCCCATCAGGTTTAGCAACACCTCTTGAGGACACACCTAAGCAAATTCCAATGACTCAAGAAGCCACTAGCTACTTCCCTGATGCCGCGCAGTATGATCAAGTCACAGAGCCTATGCAAGTAGAGGTCGCTGAAGGATCGAATGTTGAGCTTGTGTCTACTCCTCACGACAGATCAGGAGAAGCACAACGGAACCTGGAAAGTTTGTCAAACGATCAGGCGGTACCCGTCGAGCCTAGAAAATTGATGGTAGAGTCTGAAAGTAAACACAACATTTACGAACAGGCAGCAGAAGATATCGATGCCGATGAGATCTCTCAAGACACCAACTCTAAAGCAACATCTGATACACTTGAGCCAATGATCACCGAAGAATCTCTGGTCGAAAGCACGTCAGCTCCCACCAATATCAACGAGACGGACACCCCTTCTGTGGAGAATCAATCTCTGAGCTTCGCAGATGCATCACACGATTCTGGAGCCGAGTACCGAACAGTTGCGCTGCAGGCTAGTTCTGAACCTGCTGTCGTCGAAGACCAAGCGCCGAGTGTCCTTGATCAGTTGATTCTATCTGAAGAACCCGCTACTGATCTAGCAAACGAACCGACCAAGAACGATGACATGCTAGTAGATATACCCACCATCGAGACGAATGACTACAGCGCCCCTGCAGGTAGTGATGCTAAACCTGTTGAAATACCTGAAGAATCTCGGCTTCCACGAAAGATCATTGGCGAGACGGAAGCGCGAGAAGCTAGGGCCGAATACGCTGAAGGGCCTACGACAAAAGAAGAGCCTATGCCCGAGTCGGAAATTGTTCAGGAGTCCACGATAGAGGAACGATCTACAGTCGACTCCGAGCCCGTCCCAGTGAAGCTGTCCAAGAAGGAGAAAAGAACGGCCAAGAAACCAAAGCAAACTGCCGAACCCATATATGGGAGCCCGGAGCCAAGCGAAATCCAGTTCCTCGACACTGATACAGTCCCCCAGATCATCGAAGAAGATCCGTTGGCTCTGATGGAAGCCAATGAAGAGGTTACTGAGACGACAGACAATACTGCTCTTCAACCACCGGCTGAAGAGCCTGAGTTCTTCACAGCGGAGTTTTCCAAGAAAGCCAAGAAGAGAGCAAAAAGTCCAAGGTATGGGATGCTGGATTTGAAGTTGAGGAAGGCGACCAGCCCAAAAAGCTTCAAGAATCGAACACAGACCGTACCACTTCTTGGACAAAAGACCGTTCAAGAGAGTCCGTTGATGAGCCAACTCAAACGCGTAGCAGCGAACCTGTTTCTCAGAATGATCAACAGATCGAGCAACAACCTATTCTTGAGTCAACACCTCGGCCGGACGGAGAGTCGACTCAGGATAACGGGATTCCTATAGATCTCGGACCTGAACATACCGCTGATGATGAGCCGCTTGCCGATGTTGAACTTGAAGTTGTCGGCGAATTTGAGCATGCACCCGTCTCTCAAACTGCCAATGTTCTTCCTACTGTACCAGCTGTTGAAGACACGGAAAACCTCTCAATCAATCCTATGGCGGAGGCTACTTTCAACGAGAGTCTTGCACACGATGTGTCACCCAACTCTGGAGTCAATGACGAGGCCAAGATCGTCGAATCCCCTGAAGCACCTCAAGACATCAACGAGGGTACTCCTGCAGCTGTATCTTATCCGAGTGGTACAAAAGTCCTTGAGGACAAAGAGCAGCCTGATGATGAGGCCATTGAGACGCCAATGTTCGAAGAAAAGGACGACTTTTTTCTTCGATTTCAACCTCCAAGAAGAAGGAAAAGAAAGGGAAGAAGGCAAAGCCTCAACAAGATACTGTAGAATCAGAATTGATTGATGATAAGTCGATACCAAACCCGCCAAACGATCCTGGAGAGCCTACCACCGAGTCAGTTGAGCCATCACAAGACACAGATGATAAGCCAGTCGTCATCGCAGGTGACGACATTGTCCAGGAGACAAGCCAGGAAGAGCCAAGTACGGTTGCTGCAGATGACTGGGCACTTCCGACCAAACAGTCGAAGAAGGAAAAGCGCAAAGCCAAAAAGCTCAAGGGTCAGGAAGAACCTCCGGCTAGTGAGAGCGTCGAACAGGAGCTTGTCATGGAAGCCACACCGCCAAACGGGATCATGGAGAGTGCCGATCAGCTAGCCAGCCAAGTCGCCAAATCGGAGGCGACTATGGAAGAAACAGAGCCAGTGGTCGACCCTGTCGTCGATGATGATTGGAGCTTCTCCCGCAAACCGTCAAAGAAAGAGAAACGCAAGGCCAAGAAATTAATGTTAATCGACGAGAAGCAAGCTGAATCTGGAACTTCAGAGACCCTGGACTTGACCCCTGAGGCTCGAGCTTTGGTGTCCGACAGTCAGACTGCCGAACCTTCCAAGCCCGAGCCAGAAGTTGGAGCAAACTTATTGGAGCAGAATTTGCCAGCTGCTGATCCTATGGTTGTGGGAGATGTACCATATGAACTCGTCAAAGAAGACGAGGCGAGTCCAATGGAAGACATGGAACATGTCTCTTCACCTTGTAATACATCCCACGACATAGACTTCGCAGCTACGTTGGCAGCTGGCCTACAAGATTCTGGCTTTGACCCCAGTCTTGTCATAGATGATCCTGTGTTTCATCGACGAGCATCTCCCACAAGTGTAGGAGAAGCTGATCCTGGAGAAATTACATCTACGACAACAAGGAGGCCAAAGAGAAACAGCAGCCAAGGTGGAAGTAGGAGTCCTACGCAAGACGCTTTCATCGACCAACCTGAAATCGGAAGTTCTCAACCTGAAAAAGGGTCTGCGAACGACGACTTCTCCGATGCCTTGACAGCCGGGCTACTCGCTTCTGGATTTGCACCAGAGGCTCTTACCAGTCTCTCGGCTGGTACCAGGGATGCTCAAGATGAGCCAGAGGAGTTTACCTTTGCGATGCCAAAGAGGAAGAAGAAAGGCAAGAAGGGTACACGAGTTGAGATCATAACTCCAGAGCTACCGACACCCACACATGAGATGCCCCTCAAGTTAGAAGGCGAAAAAGAGCATTTAACGCCTGTGCCAGTCGATGTTCTACGTGCTCAAGAGCCCGAAGACGATCGTGTCGAGTCTCCAGTCGCTGAGAGAATCATCGACAATCCGACTATTACATCGCCAACGAGGTTAGCCAAGCCCACTTTCTTTCATACCTCCGAAGTCTCGCAATTCCTGCCCGTCGGTATTGATCACTCAGTCCAGTCAGATAAAAAGCGCGTAGAGCAAAGTCCTCAACCATCAGCGGATGTGTCGACGATCGAGACGTTGGTCAAAGACATCCCGCAACCAATACTGGAAGATGCACATGCAACGTCGACCACGGCAGATCCAAAACCACTAATCACTGCTCAAGTTCACAACGAGTCGGCAACATGGTCTTTTGACAATCTAGAGTCGCCTGTCGAGCAGAAAATCCCAGAAGCTCATCAAGAGACACACGCAGATGATCCTCTTGTTTCCGCTTCGTCTGATGCGGAACAGAATGCACAGACTTTGGAAGCCGAACCCATCTCCCCAGTGGAGTCTACCACCAAAGACAGAACTTCGTATCTCTTCCAGTCTCCAGTAGACGTGACTGGCTTCGACAAGGCAAGGGAACTGCCAGAGGGAGGCACGCAAAGACAGCTCAAATTCTATCAACCAGAAGAAGCACTTGGTTCAACCTTCAGCTCCAAGCGTCAGACTCCACCGGCACCTCTACCTCCAAGTCCTTCAGAACTGTCCAACATACCTTTGCCGCCAGTACCATCAAGAGTGGCAACTCCTCCAGCGCCTCTTCCCCCAAGTCCCTCTCGCCAATATGTGACATCGGCAGCTCCTTTGCCATCAAATCCTCAACCGGATCACTCACCACGTTTGACAAGGAAGAAGAGCCTCTATGACATCGGATCACCAGGTCCAGGACACTCTAGTAAAGCTGCAAGACGTTCTGCAACACCACAACAATCATTCCGAGAACAGTCTGATCCATTTCAACTAGAAGGCTCACCAGTTTTTGAAAGGGGCAACTTGGACGACCAGGTTCCAATCTTGCGACCGATGGGCTCACACCGGTCAATCATTAGCAACAGAGAACAGTTCCGATCAGCAAGTTCGACAAGCAACCACTCTGCTGCTCCTTCCTACGACGAATCAATAGGAGCTTGTCAGGTGATTTGAGGGCGGCTAGCAGGAGGCGGGGAGACGCGACGCATGGACCACCAACAACAATCCCCATCGAACCTCCCCCACACCGCCTTTGCAAGACGAAGAGTTCAACGGCCACGGTGCTTTCCGTCCTTCGGACATGGCAAACATCTATGTAAGCAGGCCTTCTATTATTGAGATATAGTCAATGCTGACAGAACTGTAGGAGGGCTGGGGCGATGTCCGCAGCTCGCCAACCGTGTCTCCGACGCGACCGCCTAGCATGCGCAAACGCCAGAGCATGCACATTCTCGACCTAGAAGCTAAACTCGACCAACTCGCTTCCGAGAACCGTTACCTACAGGATGCTATCGACCAAACCACTCCTGTTCGTCCATCAGTCGATGGCAGTATTGAACTTCAAGATATGCTCAGAACACGTGATTTGCAATTACAAGAGAAAGATGTCGAGATTCAGCAAATCCGATCATTGCTTGAGCCATTGCAACGAGAACTCGCGAAGCTGACTGATGTCAACAACAATCTCTCCGAAGTCAATCGTAGCTTCACGGCCAATAACGACATCCCTTATGCTACTTTGCAGAACGAACATGCATTTGCTCACAAGCAGTTACAACAAACGAGTCAGGAGCTCGAGGGTCTCAAGAGACAACATCATGAACTTAATGATAACATGGAAGAAATTGTCCGACAAGAAATTGCCAATGCATTGGAAGACAAGAATGCTGAGATCAGAAAGCTGCGCGAGGAGCTTGATGTGGCTAGTCAGCAGATCCGACTTCTTCAAAGCGAGATTCTTGCGTCCAAGGGCGACAACTACCTGACGACACGCGATGAGGACTATTTCGATACCTCGTGCCAGAAGCTCTGTCAGCATGTTCAGCAATGGGTCCTGCGCTTCTCCAAGTACTCCGACAACCGCATGTGTCGTCTGACTTCAGACTTGACCGACGAGAAGATTGCAGCTAGGCTTGACAATGCCATTCTGGATGGATCTGACGTCGACAAGCTACTCGGAGACCGTGTTCGTCGACGCGACGTCTTCATGTCTGTAGTCATGACTATGATCTGGGAGTATGTGTTTACGAGATATCTCTTCGGCATGGATAGAGAACAGCGACAGAAGCTCAAGTCGCTAGAGAAGATACTCTCTGAAGTTGGTCCTGCACGCGCAGTAGCACAGTGGAGAGCAACCACCTTGACGCTCCTGTCACGCCGACCAGCCTTCGCAACTCAACGCAACCTCGACACTGAAGCCGTAGCTCAAGAAATCTTCAGCGTGTTGTCTGCCTTGCTTCCCNCTCCGGCACAACTCGAAGCACAGATCTTATCATCACTGCGCAATGTCCTTCGCCTAGCCGTCGAATTGGCCATCCAGATGCGCTCCCAAAAAGCAGAGTATATTATGCTGCCACCCCTACAGCCCGAATATGACGCACAAGGCGACCTAGTCCGCAAAGTACACTTCAACGCGGCACTCATGAACGAACGCTCTGGCGACTACACCAGCAACGGCGAGCTAGAGCGCACCCAAGCCGTCGTGAAGATTGTTCTCTTCCCTCTAGTCGTCAAAAAAGGAGACGATGTCGGTGAAGGAGAAGATGAGATAGTGGTGTGTCCTGCACAGGTGCTCGTCGCGGGGTCCAAGCAGGGCAAAAAGGTTGTGAGGGTGTTGAGTGGGGCTATGGACATTGATAACCCGAGACGCAGCAATCAGAGTATTATCTCTGGGTTGGAGAGTGGAGGTATGATTTGAGGATGAGAGAATCAATATACCTATGCAGGGGGCCTTTTTTCTTCTTCTCTTACACATTCTTATGGCGGCATGTTTTATGATTGATGAGATTGAAGGGGTGTAATGCATGGTTTGAGGATGGAAGACGTACCTAGATATGAATAACTGATATGCTATCCATTGGAGCCAGGTGCATGATCAGAGCGACAGTCACGGGTCGAAGTAAACAACCAGAAACATGTCTTTCATAAGGTTGTGAGCATGAAGGAGTTGTTGATATACAGCCAAGTGTAGAAAAGAGATGAGCACGGCGCACAACAAAGCACGATGATGCATGTCGAATACCACACCACTGAACATGTATACCCAGCCAGTATCTATGCTCGATCTTCAGGCAAGAGAATGGGTAGGACCTATCTCGCAAAGTCCTAACAGTTGATACGATCGAGTACACAAGGAAAGCTCGACTCACCACCGACAACGAAGACACTGCTAAATCGTCACACTGGCACAATCTTATTATTGACTTTGATCATGTGTAATCCAAAAGACTATATTCTCTTCATACCTACACACAAGAAACATCAAAGACGGCTTGCAGCAGCACCTTGCCCCTTTGGCATTTTCCTATCCACCCCCAAAGCCTCCACATCCTTGGGTTTATAGTAATGCGGCGCAACCTCTGAAAGCCACTCTGGCTGCAGAGGAAAACACGAACGCATAAACTCTTTACTCGTAAGCACAAGTTCATGGTAAATAGTCCATTTAGGGCGGTTTCCGGTTGCAGCAAGCACAGACGAGGGATGCAGCCAAGTGGTTTGATTGTTCTTGACGGTGCGGTAACTGTCTCCTCCCCTCTGTATGCGAGCGGCATTGGGGAAAAAGCCTGCGGTGAGTGCTTTGAGGATTGGTGGGATGTTTGTGGCACCGCAGGAGGATACGGTGACTTCGACGCGATCGCAGAGTTTGGCGAGTTGGTCGCGGACGTCTCTTGCGCGGGTGAGACTGCGTTGTTGGAGGAAGTTCTCTTTGGCCCAGACTTGAGAAAAGTCCGAGTCGACCCATTGGTTCCAGATGTTGAGGTAGGTAAGGTGGTCGCCGCCGTCTTTGATGGTGAAGCGTTCTCTTGTGGTGTCGGCTTGTGTTNNTTTTTTGTCTTTTGGGCGGTAGAAGAGGGCACTTGCTTCGCCGAGCATGGAGACGATGGAGAGCACTTCTTCCACGCAGCCTTCCTTGTCGGCTGCGAGGATTGCTTTTGCTAGAAGAGGGTCTGTTGGGAATTCGGCCATTTGACGACCTACTCGTGTAAGCTCTCCCTTGTCGTTCAATGCACCCAAAGCGTATAGCTGTTCCAGTGAGCGGATGAGCATGTCAGGAGATGGCGGATCCAGGAACTCAAAGTTGAGCAAGTCGTTGATACCTAATGACTTAAGGAGTAAGACCACACTTGTTAGATTGGTCCTCTGAATTTCAGGTGTGGTTGATTCTGGCAAGTCGTTGTAGAAAGCCCATTTTGTGTACAGACGGAAGCATTTACCAGGGCCTGTACGACCGGCTCTGCCTGCTCGCTGATTCGCAGAAGCACGCGAAATTGGTACGGCGACAAGACTTTCCATGTTCGTGGCGGGGGTATATCTGTTCTCCTTGACGTAACCAGGATCAATGACATATACGATATTGTCGATTGTCAAACTTGTCTCGGCAATGTTGGTAGCCAGGACGACTTTGCGCACCTTTGGCGGCGTCGGTTCGAAGATTCGGTTTTGCATATCGGTAGGCAAGTTCGCGTAGATAGGACATATCATCAACTCGCCAGCAGCAGCTCCAAGTTTCCGAGCAGTTTCTTGTAAAGACTCGTTCGCTTGCTCAATCTCGTCCTGTCCGGTCAAGAAAACCAGGATGTCGCCAGGCATAGGTTGAGATAGATGGATCTGAAAGACTGTCGTGATAGCAGCTGATAGATAGTTGGCCTCCGGTTGCATGCTGTAGTTCATCTCAACGTCGAAAGTTCTTCCAGGAATGTTCATAATCGGAGCGTCGTCGAAGTAGGATGAGAACTTCTGTGCATCCAGAGTGGCAGATGAGATGAGAATTTTCAGATCTGGTCTTCCACGCGCAATGTCTTTGATGAGACCAAATAGAATATCGGTGTGCAATGTACGTTCATGAGCTTCGTCAATCATCAAAGCAGAATATTTGCCGAGATCGGGCTCTGTCAAGAATTCGCGCAACAACATACCATCAGTCATATACTTGAGAATGGTTTTATCGCTGGTTGCGTCTTCGAATCGAATAGAATATCCGACCTCGTTACCAACCTTGACACCCATTTCTTCTGCCACACGAGTAGCGACCGACATGGCAGCAACTCTACGGGGTTGTGTGCATCCTACCATCTTGCCATCCTTGGTCATACCGTGTTCATGGAGATATTGAGGCAGTTGCGTAGTCTTTCCGGAACCAGTCTCTCCGACAACGATCAAAACCTGGTATTTGTCGACAGCAGCCAGGAACTCGTTTCGGTACGTATACACGGGCAAAGTCTTTCGCTTCTCTTCGATTGTCTTTGCCTTTCTTTCGGCAGCGACGAGTTGTTGAGCAAGCTGACGTTCCTCCTGAGTCTGTTGTTGCATGCTCCCAGACATGACACGATCGGTCATCCATCGAATTTGCTGATCCTGGTCAAAGACATATTCGTAGTCGGCTTCGTTGACACGCTCAGAGACCATTATTTGAGCCTTCGTCTTAGCGAGCTGTTCGTTCTCCCATTCTTCGTGTTCAGTGACAAAGCGTTCTCTTCCATACTCGTCTCGGTCGACATGACGACTGTTCAATGCATCCGACTTTGCTTTTCGGCTTATCTTGCCCCTTTCTGTTATGTAGTCATCCGGAAGAGCGTAGCCCTCGAGATGGTCGTCGATACGCAGACGCTCTTCTGCAATTTCCAGAGTTCTCTTGTTCTTTTCGAATTCGGCCTTCTCCTGAGCTGTGAGTAAGGGGTTTTCACGAAGTTCCATCTGTTCCTCGGCAACTTGCTTGCGGAGCAGGGCGAGTTCCTGAGCCTCTCTCTTNTTGAGATATTCCTGTCGAGAGCGTAATCTGATATCCTCGAGTTGTGCCTTTCTCTGATTGGGGTCGTCGGCCAAGGCACGTCGAGACGCCGAATCATGCTTTGAGCGGTCCTCGACAATCTTCTTGGTACCACGTTCGTCCCTCTCTTTCAGACGCTTCTCGAAAGCAATGCGCTCCTTGCGGTCGCGTTCNTTCTGCGTCTTCCTCTGGCGAAGCAGAACGACGGCGAGGGGAGGCGGAACCGTCGTCCAATTTTGTACGCTTCGAGGCTGATGGCCGTGGTCGGTCCTCTTCTTCCTCTTCCTCTTCGTACTCTTCATCGCCCCAGCGGTCGTCGAAATCGCCATTGTCTCGTTGGCGCAAACGTTTCGTACGACGGTCGCGGCGATCGTGGCGGTCTGAGCGGTCTTTCTTGTCTTCTGTGCGATCGCGACGGCGAGCGATCGGTGGTGGAGCAGATACGGGCTGTTCGTCTTCGACNNATTCATGTCGAGCAGGGCATAGCGCTTCTTTGAGTCCTTGGTAGATGCATCCTTTGGTCGTGACGAGGTGGAGGATTTATCTGACTTTGGTAGGCGTTGGAAAAGCTGGTGACTGAAAGTGCGCAAGTCTCTGTCGTCGGCATCGATCATGGCTTGGAGCTTGTCGTGAAGCTGGTCTGGATTCTTGACCGAGCTGGCTGTCTGCTGGACAAAGTCGACGATCATGTTCTCTGACCCACCCACCAGCTTGATCAAGTTGTCCGAGATGAAGGTTCGTACGTCCATGTTGAAATGATCCCAATCCGGGAACCAGTAAAGGGCGGTTATGGTGCAGGTTAAGGGGTGTCTCGGGCAGAAAGCTGGTATAGATGCGTGAAGCCCGCCAAGCGTGCGTTACTGCTGTCGAGTCGCTCTTATCGAATCATCAGAAGATATTCAGGACCAAATGACATGCTGTATGTTGCAATACATAAACAGCGGATCATATACAACGTGTAAGAAGAGTGAAGGGGGTGATTAATCGCCAAAGGACAAACACCACCTTGATCGGTGCCAAGCCAGGGCATACCAAAGGTCCGACCCAAGTCAACGCGACCTCGACTGTCGTGCATCAGCCATGTTCACCTTCACGCCGCTGTTGGGCGCGCAGTCCGAGTCAGCTGCCTCGCAGTCGCTGCTGGAGCTGGATGGAGGCGTCAAGATCCTCGTTGACGTGGGCTGGGACGAGTCTCTGGACGCCGACAAGCTCGTCCACATTGAGCAGAACGTGTCAACCATCTCGCTCATCCTCCTTACCCACCCTACGCTAAACCACCTGGGCGCATTCGCGCATTGCTGCAAGCACATCCCGCTCTTCTCATCCATCCCCGTCTATGCCACTACTCCGGTCGTGTCGCTTGGTCGCACTCTCATCCAGGACCTGTACGCCTCGGCTGCCCACCAAGCTTCAATCGTCCCTGCCTCAGCTCTGGCCGAATCGCTCCCCAAGTCTCAAGTTCTCGCCAACTTCCTGCTCCAACCTCCTACCGCCGATGAGATCGCCTCCTACTTCTCTTTGATCAACCCTCTCAAGTACTCCCAGCCTCACCAACCTATCCCATCGCCATTCTCCCCACCTCTCAATGGCCTCACCATCACCGCTTACAACGCTGGTCATACTCTTGGTGGTACCATCTGGCATCTACAACATGGCCTCGAATCTATCGTTTACGCTGTTGACTGGAACCAAGCANAAGAGAACGTCTTGTCGGGTGCCGCTTGGCTGGGTGGAGCTGGTGGAGGTGCTGAGGTAATCGAGCAATTGCGCAGACCTACTGCCTTGGTGTGCAGTACGAAAGGTGCCGATCGATCACATCTCTCAGGAGGTCGTAAGAAGCGTGACGATGCACTACTCGCATTGGTTAATCAGACCATCTCAAACGGCGGCACTGTTCTGATCCCCACAGACTCGAGTGCTCGCATGCTCGAACTGGCTTACATCCTGGAACATCACTGGCGACAGGGAACCAATGGTCCGAACCAAGAACTTTACAAGAACACTAAGCTGGCCTTTGCCGCGAAGTCGGCTTCTGCCACGCTTCGATATGCCCGGAGTATGATTGAATGGATGGACGATGCGATTGTTCGCGAGATGGAGGCTGCCGTCCAAGGGAAGTCGGAAAACACCCAAAAGAGCCAGACTGGCCGTGACGAAGACACTCCCTTCGACTTGAGATATCTCAAACTGGTCGAGAAGAAGACGCAACTACATCGCATTCTTGACTCTGGGAAGCCCGCTGTTATCCTAGCAAGTGACAAGTCTCTTGAATGGGGCTTTTCTAATGATGCCATCCGGAAGATTTGCAACGACCCAAGGAACCTCGTCGTTTTGACCGAGAGAGCTGCGAACCCATCACCAGAAAACAAGGGTATCGGCCGCTTTTTGTGGGAGTGCTGGCGCCAGGCGGTTGAATCACGAGATGAGGACGCAAATGTCGTGGAAGTGTCGGGCGCGCAAGCTCAAGTACGCCAGTTGGATGTAGCACGTCTCGAAGGTGATGAGAACCTCCTCTACCAACAATACCTGGCTCGTAGACGTCAAATGCACAGCACACTGCAAGGCGACAACACGCTCACAAAAGAAAACGCAGCGGAATTGGCTGATGACGGCTCATCGACCAGCTCTGAATCCTCTGATGAATCTGAAAATGAACACCAAGGAAGAGCACTCAACATTTCTGCAACTATGACACACAGGCGGAAAGTAGGTCTGACAGATGCTGAGCTTGGCATCAATGTCCTCCTACGACGCAAGAATGTTTACGATTATGATGTGCGCAACAAGAGAGGTCGCGAAAAAGTCTTTCCTTACGTCGCTAAACGTGGCCGCGCAGATGACTTTGGCGAAGTCATTCGACCAGAAGAGTATCTTCGTGCTGAAGAGAAGGACGATACAGAAGGCCAGGATGCAGCAGAAGCCAAGACAGAAACTGCTGTTGGACAAAAGCGCAAATGGGACGAGGTTGCACCTCGTGCTATTCAAAATGGGCGAACTGGCAAGTTCCCCGACAAGAGAAACAAGACCGATGACCGAGAGTCTACGAACGCAAAGTCTACGAACCAGGATCACGACATGAATGGCGACGCAGCTAGCGAGTCAGAGGAGTCCGATTACGAGCCTGAAGAATCCCTTCCGGAAGGACCACTCAAGGCTATTTTCACCAAAGAATCCCTGCAACTCAATGTGAGAATAGCATACGTCGATTTCTCTGGTCTACATGAGAAGCGTGATTTGCAGATGCTTATTCCACTTATCCGACCGAGGAAGCTGATTTTGGTGGCTGGAGAGGAAGCGGAAACTCTAGCACTTGCCGAGGACTGCAAGGCCTTGCTTGCATCTGGTGAAGGCAATGCTGTTGATATTCTCACTCCTATCATTGGTGAGACTGTTGATGCCAGTGTCGACACGAATGCATGGACACTCAAACTCAGTCGAAATCTGGTCAAGAAGCTCGCCTGGCAGAATGTCAAGGGGCTTGGCATTGTGGCTATCACAGGTCGTCTCGAGGCTGTACAAAAGTTGCTCGCCGATGCCAATAGCAATGGAGATGAAGCTATCAAGAGAAAGAAGCAGAAGATGATTGCAGGTGGTAACGAGACTGATGCTCCTGACATGGCTGATGAAGCTGATGTCGAGACCGAGCCTGTGCTTGATGTGTTGTCGACCAACCCATTGGCCAACAATCAAGTCACAACACAGCCACTACATGTTGGTGATCTTCGACTTGCTGATCTTCGAAAGCTCATGCAAGCTTCTGGTCATGCAGCAGAATTCAGGGGCGAAGGTACACTGTTGGTTGACGGTGCTGTTGTTGTTCGCAAGACTGCTAATGGCAGAATTGAGATTGAGGGAGGCAACTACATGGCATCTGCCGGACGCCGCGAAAGCGCATTCTTTGCGGTCAGGCGCAAGGTGTATGAGGGCCTTGCTGTGATTGCCGGTAGTTGAGTAAAAAGTCTGTTGTAAGATACCCAAATCCATTATTTTCTGAATCATCAGAGTTGTGAAGGCACGAAAGTGCGCATGCTTAGCCGCGTATCTGGACAACTTGTGATTGTAACCAGTACTTGTAATTCGTGACACTGTCGGCCGCCGGCGCATGCTAAAAGAATCAAGCTTTAGATAATTACTGCATCACAAGACAATCACAAGCTCCCACGATTACCTCGCGCTGGCCACATCGTCAGAATGATACACCGCATTTACACCATTGGACAGCGCATGCGCATTGTCACGCGCTTTCCTGGTCTATAAATCGCCCGCTAGTTTCTTCCTCAAGCCCAAACCTCAACCTCAACGTCAGTTTACCTGTTCGAGTAACTGACACTCAACACAAACAACAGACCTTTTGGTCAAGCAATACATCCCACATGAGCAATCCTCCTTACACCTGGAAACCATACAGCTACCAACCCGTTGCCCCTCCCCCACCACCTCCAATGCCAATCTTGCTCGCCATGCCCATCTTGGTTGCCCCTTGTGTTGCCGTGTCCGTCGAAGCCTCGCCCCTCAAAGGCATTGCGGTCGCTGGCTCAGATACAGCAGCAAAAGGCAAGGAATTGGTGACTACAACTAAGACGACTACAGCCATCAAGGGCACCTCTTCCAAAACGGTTACAAAGACTGCTTCCAAAGCTGCATCTTCAGCTGCCAAAGCACATTCAAAGGCATCTTCTGCACCCGCATCTTCAGCAGCAAAAGCACCACCTTCCAAACCTGCCTCTTCAGTCCCTGCAAAGTCTACTACCTGCAAGACATCCAAGAAATCCTCGTCTTCTGCTTCAGCAGCAAAACTTGCGCTACAGTCGTTGTTTCCAAGACCGTCGTCTCTGCCTCCACATCCGCCAGGAAAAAGTCAGCCACATCCTCCAATGCCTCTTCCAAAACCACGGCTTCGCAGAAAGCAGCAAAGGTAAAGGCCGTCACTGCACCCACTCCTCTCTTGCCTGGCATGAAAATCATCTACCCCAAACACCACACTTGTCTACACGTCATTCTACGCACAAAGGTCTGGGAGAACGCTGTGCCTGCCAATCTCATCGCCAAAACCTTCTACGTACCTTGCGTATTGACAGTCACCGAGTTGATTGAGCAACTAATGGGCATAGAGGGAGAGAAGTGCAAGGCTGGGCCTTGACAGAAGTCCAAGAAAAGGGAGATGGGGTCTTTGTCAAGGGATGCAGTGTTGAGTATGGAAGCGATAAGGCTGGAGAGGCACTCAAGGGGGTTGGATGGAGTGAGAAGAATGGGGGTGAGAGACCGCCTGTTTGGGTCGTTTTGCACAAGGTTTGATGATTTAGGGAGCGAGTGGGGATGCTGATGGAGCATTCTTGTTGTGTTGTGTTTTTGGACTTTGTCTTTGAGAGGGTTTGGCTTGGGGGAACTGCAGGGTAAAAAGGCATCGAAGGAAGGGGTTTCTGTTTCTTACTTGATTTGTTTGTGCTGGAGCAAAGGATCAGAGTCGAGGTTCGGAGGATTATGTGTCTTTCTCATTTTTGCTTCATTATTTCTGTTCTGCTCTTCATGCTTTCTCTCTGGAACCGCTCTTGCTCTTGATATCTTGGATATGTAACCATGAAGCCCCTGTGAGGAGGGAGCGCACTGTATGTTTTTCTGGCAGAAAAGTAAGCAAAATAAAACCACCTATAAAGATTTTTTCTTGTTTTGTTCCTTTTACCTATATACCGATGGTTATAGTAGCAGTCTAATAAGTTATATGGTGTAAAGGTGGAATAATGTAAAATACATAGGAAAGGAATAGGAAAGAGACTATAACCCCTTTTTTGTGTTTAGAGGTCGCATAGAACATAAGCTAACGACTTTAACGATCGATCACAGCGTAGGAAGTAACAACTAACTATGACTGATCAACCAAGAACAAACTCGTCCAGATGAATTTCTAGCCCTGCCCAGAGTTCCGTAGTGGTTGGGACAGCCACTCTAAGAATGCCCTAGATGTCCGCGAATACACTACTCCGTTATTGCCGGCTGGTTCGGTGATCGAAAGCTCATGCCTCCTAGCAACTTCTTCACCATGTTCCACTTTCTCGAGTATCCATTCACTTACGAACACTCTCTTGTTCTGTGTCTACCTTAGTTGAGAATGACGGAACTTTCAAGATACCAAACAATCTACAGATGCAAGTTTAATCGACGTTAGCTCGTGAATGGTGGAGAAAAGAAAAGTGTCTCATGTAAGGTGGAATAATGTACAAGATAGAGGAGGAGGAGGAGTGGAAAAGAAAGAGAGCACAGCCTTTTTCTTCAGTGACGGAGTAGAGGCTTTTTCCGCGAATCAAATACTTCTGACCCTCGAAAAAGGCTAAACGCTTCTTTTTCCATGGAAAAAAATGAGAATGAACGCCTGGCTAGTACGGTAATGACATGCAGAAACCAGTTCTAACAATGGCAGAAGAAATGTTCCTAGTGCTTAGCGCGGGTGTCCTCGAAGCTCTCAAGCACGCTATCTGTCACGCTTTGAGGCTTGTCGGATGATTCCTGTGTAGATGATTCTGAGGGGGCGGAGACTTGCTTGGGGGCCATTGCGCGGGCCTGGCTTTCATTGACCTTGCCGTAGACACCCATGGCGGTGGCGATCATGCTGCCAATGTCTCCAACATTGCCGGGAACAACGACACTGGTTCCCTCCTTGGCCAGCTTGCCAAAGGCATCGACGTACTTCTCGGCGACGCTCAGACTGACGGCACCCTGGGCACTCTCCTTGCCTTGAGCGATAGAGTTTGCGACTGCGTCGATACCGGCAGCGGTGGCGCGAGCCTTGAGAAGGATGGCTTCAGACTCACCAGTGGCCATGTTGATCTGCTCGGCGCGCAAGGCCTCGGATGCCAGGATGACACTCTGCTTGCGACCTTCGGCAATGTTGATGGCGCTCTGGCGTTGACCTTCAGATTCCAGAATTTCAGCACGCTTGCTACGCTCGGCGGTGACCTGACGGTGCATGGCCTCGACAACGCCGGCGGGAGCGTGAATGTCGCGGATCTCATAACGCAGACAGGTGACACCCCAGTCCTGGGCAGCCTCGTTGATGGCTTGTGTAATGTTTGTATTCAAGGCAGCGCGCTCTTTCAGGACATGGTCGAGAGACAGCTGACCAATCTCTGAGCGCATGGTGGTTTGGGCGAGTTGTGAGATGGCGTACTCGGCATCTTCGACACCGTAGCTGGCCTTGTAAGGATCGAAGACGCGCGTGTAAAGCACACCGTCCAGTTCGAGGGTAACGTTGTCGGCGGTGATGGCACTCTGCGAAGGAATCTCAATGGCGGCTTCTTTGAGACTCTTGACGTAGGCGATGCGATCAATCAGAGGGACGAGGACAGCGAGACCGGGCTGCAGGATGCGGCTGAACTTGCCCATGCGCTCGACGATCCATGCTGTTTGCTGAGGCACGAATTTGACAATGGTGTTGGCGGGCAGTGATGAGCGCTGAAAGTAACTCGTAGGCTCGCTCGAGCCGGAGGAACGGGAGAACAGCGAGTCGGCAGAGGGTAGAAGGCGTGGCGGTTGCGAGCTGAAGGCAGCTCTCTGGAAGGTGTAGCGGCTGTTGGCCAGGACGGCCAACGAGCGGCGCGATGCTGCCGGTCGTAGGGCGGCCGACCGTGCGATGAGTCCCATGGCGTTCTCAGCCATTGTAAATGTGCTTCGATATGCTGTGCTGGTAGGAGTAGATGTAATAGTAGAGAATCAGAGAGGCGGGCACGATTGACGAACGGCGTGGGGCGGGCCAAAGCTTCCTCCAAACTCCGTCATCGTCGTTCTTTCCTTTGCTACTTCTTCTCTGCCAACACACGCAGCAAACATGTCGGAGTACTGGAAGTCGACGCCTAAATACTGGTGCAAGTTCTGCTCGACCTACGTGCGTGATACGACTCTCGAAAAGAAGTCACACGAGGCCACACCGAAGCACCAGAACAACATCCAGCGCTCCTTGCGCGACCTCCACAAGAAGTCTGAGCGCGACCACCGTGAGAAGCAGCGCGCCAAAGACGAAGTTGCCCGACTGAATGGCCTGGTCTCTGGCAAACAACAGCCCGCCGTGTCTGTCGCCTCTGGCTCGCAACTCCCGCTCNCAAGACTCAAGTCTACTGCACCTTCCGGTCCTGCTTCTGTCGCCGAGCGGAAACGACAGATGGAACAGCTCGCTGCCATGGGTGTCGCCATTCCTGAAGAATACCGTCGGGACATGTCCATCCAAGGAGAATGGGCCACTGTTTCTGAAAGACCCATCTACTCCCGGCCTGTCAAATCTGGTTCAGATGATGAAGACGAAGATACAAAGGCATTTGGGGTGAGGAAGCGAAAACTGGATGATGAGGAAGAGGACGTAAAACTGGCACCTAAAGCCTGGGGCTCACGCCTAAAGTCATATCCTGGTGCAACTGGCAACTCCGAAGAAGATCTGGATGCTTTGCTCTCTGGCGCCACCACANAAAAGGAAGTCAAGTCTGAAGATTCGGATCTGAAGAAAGAAAGTGATGTTGATACTGCTGATGCCATTGCGGCTGTGCCAGACATTACTGAAGCTGCTTCTGCCGAGTCTGAAGCCAAAGTGGAACCCAAACAGGAGCAAGACGCTCCCATCGTCTTCAAGAAGCGCAAGTCCAAGCGCTGAACGAACTGTAAAACGGCTTCAAAAACTTAACCACTATCTCATATGCGGAGTTCTGCATATACACGAGCAGAGCACGCTGGTATTCATACGCCTGTGCACTCTAGGCTGTGGTCTAGGTAGACGTGCTGGCAGATACGGCCACCTGAATCGTCATTCGCAGCACAAGGCAGGCAGGCCCACGGAAATGTGCTACCGGCATATTCCATGGCAGAGCGTGAAACAGCATCGACGTCAATGGCCACGCGACACCATATCACGACCAAACACAACGATTTAGCAAAAGCAGCTGTCAGAATGGCGATCACGTCGGAGACACGGCAAAGGCATGAAAAGGAGAAGACAGACGCAGGGGTCGAAAAGTCGATCATCACTCCTCAGGCATTCTTGATGAACGGCAGACCAAGACATACAATAACATAGGCGAGAGAAATCGAGGCTTTGAAGCCTTATTCATTTCGCGTGAACCTGGTGTGTCTTTAGGAATGTTCTCGATCGTGCTTCCTTGATGAATTGCGTAGATGAAACTTGATGAAACACGTAATATCGAGCTAGTCGATCAATTTTGGACGCGTGCCCGTCAGAGCGAATTGATTGTTGGCCTGGGACAAGAGAACTACTAGTGCTTGCATTCTTGAAGAACAATCGATGCTATTGTAACAATGATAAGAAGGAGAATTGTAGTTCCTCAGAAAAGAGATGTTCGTGGTTCGGCCAAGAGAGTGACGCAATTTGTTTTCATGTCTTGTATAGGGGTTCGAAACGGTGTCGCAGCTGAAGACCGACTCAGCAGCATAAATACCATGGTAACCCAGATATCCAGTGGTTCACGGACAAGCGAGGCTGTCATCGGTAAGGGCCACACTGTTACACGTTGACAGCAAGTGCGAAATAGGAGACGAGATTGTAGGGAGGTTCGCGCTATCGCTCAAGCAACGCGGCTGCATCGACTTGCGGAGATTAATATTGCCCTGGCGGCCGTGACCGACGACGGCATTCTGGAAAAAGGGCCTTGATCCGGGTCTGGAGTGTCACATAACTGTTTGTCCCATCTACCCGCGTCTAGCAAACACCATCGACATCAAGACCAACACACAGTCGCTCGAAATGGACGCGTCTTCGACATCCNCCCTGTTGCGTCCATCGTCTCCTGCGCCAGACGTGCCTCCCTCGCTAGCCCTCTGCCCCAGTGGCTGTCCTTCGCTGGATGCTCGTTCCGACCGATCCGTGTCCACGCCGTCAACAACATCTAGCAGATCCCTATCCTCGTCGTCAGCTCGCTCAGAATCAGGCCGTCGCAAGAATGGTTACATGCGACCACAGGGCACCGCCTTCTCCGACTCGGCCCGCAATCGCGACAGTGTCATGAGCTTAGGAAGCATCGCTCACATGCAGTACTACTTTGCTCGTACTGGCCTTCTCGATGGCAAGGGTGCTCAATTTGCGAAGCCAAAGAAAGGCGTCAAACAACTGGATACCAACATTGCCATCTATACCACTTCAGAGGATGGTTTGGTCGAGAGCCCAAGAGACGCCAACGACGAATGGTCAGAGCCTGTCATGCTACCACCGACCGTCTCAACATACGCCTACAAAGAGCCAAACGTACAACCACCACCAGAGCTCCCTATGCTCCGTCGACAGCTTCGCGAAGCCCTGGACGATGCTCAGAAAGTACTCGATGAGTCGGCCGAAGGCGTCACTTATGACGATGCTACTCGAGAAGCGATTGTCGAGTCCGTACGAGCACCTACAAACCCTGATGAGCCTCCGATCGCTCAAGGTTGGCACGAGATTATGGGTCTCCACCTTCTCGACATCATCACCCTGGCTATTCGTGCCGCAAAGACTTACTACACATCACACCCACGCCCTCAGCAACTCTACGCCATCCAGTCGGAGCGCAAGATTCGCGGAGACCTGTACGAAGTCCTTGATGTTCTAAAACGTGCAGCCGCCAGAGAGTTTCGTGGAGGCATCAAAGAGGAGGAAAGAAATGGGATAAAATCTTGGATTGATACCATCAATGACCTGATGTCAAAAGAGGTGTCCCACGAACAAGGAGAGCAGGATTCTCGAGCCAAATGCGCTTGGCGTCACGGAGACTGGACTGATCGGGAGCGCGAAAGAGAGTGGCTTTTCATGTCCTCCTTCGACACCGACCCAATGCCCCTTCCTCAATGGACCGAATCTACTCCGGAAGAACCTTCCCCATTCTTGCAAGCTCTCCAGAGTGGCCTGCGTTTGGTGAAACTTCACAATGAGATGGTCCGCCATTCTGAGCGACCATTTGGCGAGATCAAGACTTTCTTCACAGACGTAGCAAAGCCATATCGATGCGCAGAAAACTTGCGCTTTTGGTCAAAGGCTGCAGAGCTTCGATGGGAGACGAATCTATCTTTCAACGTGCTCCATGTTGTACACGGCAAGGATGCCGATGCTTGGAAGCAGTTTGACGAAACTATCTTCAAGTGGTGCCGTGGAGTGCGTGAGGAGATTTCCAAAGAGTGGGCAGAGTCCGAGTGATCTGCGCAACAAGGAACCTGTCCATGTTGCGAGGCTTTTGACGTTAGTGCGGTAAGGGTGTCGATTGCCGTTTTCTTCTTTCCTTTGTTTGAACCACATTGCTTCAAGTCACCTAATGCCTCCAGCGCAACACCTTGATACCCCAGAGGCTGGCTGTTTTTGTTTCTCTTCTGTCGTTTCACATCACCTTTTTCGGATCAAATTGGAAAGAATTCAGATTCGTACTTTTATCATTGCCAACAAGATGCTCCTCACTACGCGTGTCCCCTTGTCAGAATCCTCAGCTAATGTGTCCGGACTGTCCGGCTCCTGTCACTGATCACTGCCACATGCAGAGGGGTGTGACTGCATCGAGTCTCACATTCACACCTTGACGCCACGCGCTCCGCACGCTGGCAGAGACGGCAAAATCACATCCCGGATCTGTATAGCCAAGGATCAGGTGAGGTGCAAAGTTGTATCCAATCCGAGTAGTCATTGGTTCGGTATTTGTTCTTGCCAAAGCCCTGCATCAACCCCACACTCCCCGCAACATCGGTTTTGGCAGAAACAGTACGTACCAAGGATTTGTGCTCCTTCAAGACGTTCCTTCCTCAGACCTCCCCACTATTGCCCCGCCAAACTAGTCAGGACCTCAAATGAATTGCTGTGATACATTCTGACCTCGTATGATCGGACGTCCAATTGGCATCCCTTTTACTGGAGCTGGATTCAATTGCGACTCAAGACATATCACTATATACGTCTACGTTGACCAGTACGGGCGGGAAGCTTACGAAACACATGGACCTCTGGTACTTGAAGCTCTGGAAGATCTGTCCGACCAATGCTAACCACATACTGGCCTGATCAAACGCATCGTGCGGGGAACAGGTTACGACCCCTGCTGCATGGCTCAAGAGGAGCTACTGCAGCTACAGCTATCTCGAGAGACATCCTTGGGTCATGGCACTACTAGCTTAGCTATTGACATCCTTCGAGGTTGGACGATTGGACGATGCACATGCTTAATGGACTGATACGACTAGCATGTGTCTGCGATGATCAACTGCCTGGAGTAATCTAGCGGACCTCCTTTTGGATGGCATTGGAGTCGAGGGAATCTACTGTTCGTAGTGTAGGATACATGCGGCCAAGCTACAGGATGCTGACCGCATGTCCTGCCCAGTGCCCTGCTCCAAGCGCTTTGTGAGCTCGCTGATTGCATGGAGGAGGACGATCCGGACAGGGATACTAGTTCATCGACATTCATCCCACGCCGCCTTGATCGATTCTAGCCGCCGTCCAAATGTGGGTTCGTACCTGATACGTGGACTTCCCCTCACAGCTACTCCAATTCCATATACCCGACTCTTCAAGGATCGAGCGGGGCTATGTGGGACTCGTGGTATATATTCTAGGTATTCGATGCTCTTGGAGATCTATCAGACCTGCTTCTACCACTTTTTGAGAGGAGCTAGGGAACAAGATTGAACATCATGACTATTCCAGAGGAAGTCGATATTATCGTCACTGGCGGCGGATCATGCGNNGGTCAGTCTCTATTCTTCCATGTCAAGGGTCTATTATTGATTGCTCCTAGCTGTGTCGTCGCTGGCCGTCTGGCCAACCTGGACCACAACCTCCAGGTCATGCTCATCGAAGCTGGAGAGTCCAACCTCAACAACCCTTGGGTATACCGTCCTGGTATCTACCCCAGAAACATGAAGCTCGACAGTAAGACGGCTTCATTCTACTATTCGAGACCTTCTGAATGGCTTGGTGGCCGTCGTGCTGTTGTGCCTTGCGCTCATATCCTGGGAGGAGGAAGTTCCATCAATTTCATGGTGAGTGCAAGGTCTAGATGCAAACGTCTGCACGCAATGCTAACACATTGACTAGNNATGTATACTCGTGCTTCGGCCTCGGACTATGACGACTTCCAAGCTAAGGGCTGGACTACCAAGGAGCTGATCCCTCTTATGAGAAAGCATGAGACATACCAGAGAGCTTGCAACAACCGTGACATCCATGGTTTCGATGGACCGATCAAGGTGTCCTTTGGTAACTGTAAGTTTATCAACACGAAGCGATGGCGAAGCGTTCTTGTATAACCTTTTTGTCTTTTATCTTTTTCTTTCTATTTTTTCCTTCACATATCCATATCTTTTGTGTCACCACGAAGACCCAATACTGACCGTGGATCAGACACCTATCCCGTCATGCAAGACTTCCTTCGTGCTGTCGAGTCACAAGGTATCCCTGTCACGGACGATCTTCAGGACCTGAAAACCGGTCATGGTGCTTGCCACTGGGAGAAATGGATCAACAGAGACACTGGACGTCGTTCAGACTCTGCTCATGCATATATCCACAGCACTCGTGCTCATCACTCGAATCTGCATTTGGTTTGCAACACCAAGGTCGAGAAAGTCATCATGGAAGGAGGCCGAGCTGTTGGTGTCAAGGTCGTTCCCACTAAACCACTCACTCCTGGACAAGACCAAGCCAAGATCTACAAGGCCAGGAAGCAGATCATCGTTAGTGGAGGCACTCTCAGTTCTCCTCTCATCCTTCAACGCTCTGGCATCGGTAAGCCGACCCCACCTTTACCCCTGGAGGCATATCACTTACATGTATGCANNGGTGACCCAGAGAAGCTTCGTGCTGCAGGAGTCAAGCCTCTTGTCGACCTGCCTGGCGTTGGTCTTAACTTCCAAGACCACTACTTGACTTTCTCGGTTTTCAGAGCCAAACCTCATATCGAGTCTTTCGACGACTTTGTCCGCGGTGACCCTGCAGTTCAGAAGGCAGTATATGAGCAGTGGAACATCAACGGCACAGGTCCTCTTGCCACTAATGGTATCGAAGCTGGCGTCAAAATCCGACCAACCGAGGACGAACTTGTCCAGATGGATTCCTGGCCATGCCCGGAATTCCGTAGTGGATGGGATAGCTACTTCAAGAACGCTGTCGATAAGCCTGTTATGCACTATAGTGTCATCGCTGGGTGGTTCGGAGATCATATGCTAATGCCTCCTGGCAAGTTCTTTACCATGTTCCACTTCCTGGAGTATCCATTTAGCCGAGGATTCACTCACATCACCTCACCAAGCGCTTACGATGCTCCGGACTTCGACGCTGGGTTCATGAATGACAAGAGAGACATGGCGCCGATGGTATGGGGCTACATCAAGTCCCGCGAGACTGCTCGTCGCATGGACGCTTACGCAGGAGAAGTCCAATCCATGCACCCCTTCTACGCCTTTGACAGCCCAGCACGCGCTCTGGACATGGACCTTGCTACTACCAAGGCATACGCTGGTGAAAACCACCTCACTGCTGGTATTCAACATGGTTCGTGGTCGATGCCGTTGGAGTCTGGTACTGCACCGTCCCCCAGCTTCCTCAACAGTAACAAGCAAGAAATCCGCGAGGACCTCACTTACACCACTGAGGATATCAACCATGTGATCGAGTGGACCAAACGACACGTAGAGACCACCTGGCATTCATTAGGTACATGTTCAATGGCACCCAAAAACGGCAACAGTATCGTCAAACACGGCGTCCTCGACGAGCGCCTCAACGTCCATGGTGTCAAAGGACTCAAGGTTGCCGACCTCTCAATTTGTCCCGACAACGTCGGTTGTAATACTTATTCCACGGCTCTACTCATCGGTGAGAAGTGTGCTATGCTTGTTGCCGAAGATTTGGGCTACTCGGGTGCTGCGCTTGATATGAGGGTCCCCAACTATCATGCTCCTAGAGAGATTGCTGGGCTATCTCGTCTGTAAGCAGTGCGTGGTTATAAGGACTGAATAGTTGTCATTGAATCGACTTGAGGTAGAGGAGAGCGCGAGAATCTAGCTACTGAATAAGGGGTGTGGTTTTGAGCTGCCTAGGGCCACGGTTCAAATCGAAGCTGAACCGTGTCAGACTGATCTTTTTGTAGTTTTTCTGTGCTCTACATAGTTCGATGAGTCAACAATGAAGACATGTCATGTATTGCTCCATTCCCTCAATTCTCCTGTAGATCTATTGTGCGCTGAGTTATGCATGCTGCTTGTGCACGCATGGTTGTGAGCCACATGACAGGGTCATGGTTCCGACGATCAATCTAACGAGCAAGATGTTTTTCTCAACGCCAACAACAAGTGTGCAAAAATTTCGTGATGTTAAGAATGTAGCTTATGATATTGTATACACTGTGACGATACTTTCAAGTCGGTATGCCTGGAGTTGAGCGTCAATGATGGTCCTTCTCAATCTGTGAGTCTTAGAGTATGATTCGCTTTGAGAACATCACGTGAGTTCTCATGCTCTTGTCAGACCGAGACACAGAACGAAGCTGCATAATCGCAATGTAGTCTACTTGGACGAATACTGTAACTTAATTGAGTATTTGATAGACGACCATCTCGGAGCTCCAGTATGGATATACATGTGCTCACGTGCCATGGTACCTGATTGGGAAGCGAGCCAAGAGATATCAGGCACGGATAAAAAGGCAGACATGACATCACATGGAGAAACGCACAGACGTGGAGATGATGGACGGGACAATTGACGGATGGTGATGCTGACTTTTTATACACACACCTACACGCCAGACATCGATGGATCCGCGCAATTCAATCGCAGACATTGCTGGGCCGGCGGCCATGGCCAAGCCCAAGGGACCGCAGAAGTCGTACGCTTCGGCAGTAGGAGAAGAAGCGAGCTCGACTCGAGACGGCACGGCCAACTCGACAGCAGGCGGTAGCAAGAAGAAGCGCCATCGCGCAGGCAAGAAGCGTCGCAACCGCAGACAGAGCTTCGCTGCGCCCTCCGAGTCCACCGTGGCCGAACGCGATGATGACCAGAACCAGCGACCGACTTTGACCACGACGCGACCATCGGCGACACAGACCAGCTTCTACCGCCTCAAGTCGGCCGCCCGCAGCAACACCAGCCTCGAAAGCGAAGCCCTTCTCGATCACCGCGAACATCAACCCATCCGCCCTCGTCGAGGAAGCATCCAACAGGCTTCGAGGAGTACAGCCGGCCTCTTCCCTCGCAACCACCGCACCTCGCAGCATGCCGTTTCCCAGTCGAGTCCCGTCAAGCCCCGCCAGATGCACTACAGCGACGACGATGACGAAGAGGCCGTGACGGATCGTACTCCCCTCATCTCGCAATCCTACTACGACAGACCTCCAATCGAACGCAACCGATCTGGCCATCGTGCCTACGGTGGTACCCGACGCAGACAGTCGACCACTTCTCGCACATCCAGCAAGCGAGTTAGATACCCGAGCGGCAGTGACGATGACTACGATGTCAACAACNCCCCGTCCATGCCAGGTTCCCCTAAGCTGGGCACCCTTGACGATGTCATGATCGCACAGGAGTTCTCGGGCTCTCCCTCATCTGAAACCCGCGACGCCATCATCAACATCGATCGCGACAACGACTCGGACCGTTTCCCTTCTTCTTCACCACCAACCCCTTCTGCCGACGCTCGCAGACGTACCCTTGCCAATCTTGCCGAGAACGATGTTTGCTATCCTGGCAACATTGCCGAGTCAGAGCTTGGTGAAGACGATCTGACACCGACCGACCAAGGCCAACGCCGCACCAGCCGTCGCAGACGTCATCGACAATGGCCTGATCTCGACGTCCTGGACGAATGGAGTCGTATCGAGAAGGAGGAGAGGGATCATACTGAGCAAATTCGTTCGAAANAGATTAGCGAGCCTGTCATGGTCGGTGGCCGTCTGCGCCCCGCGAAGACACAGTGGCATCGCGAAGAAGACGATGCCCCATACCGCTACACGTACTTCAACGAGACATTCGACGGCACCATCCATAGCAGGACAATCTCAGAGCTCTGTCAATTCGGTGCCACCTTCCGTGAGCTCTTCAACCCAGAGCCACCAGAGCTCAGTGATGATAGCAGCTCCGATGAAGAAGATCAAGCTCCACCAGAAGCTCCGTCAGGACGGGAGTCTAGGCTTAGTTCAATCGCTGGCGATGGAAAGGCTCCAGATCGTTCCGCCTCGATCACCCCTGCTCAATCTCGACCACGTATGCCTAAGGAGAAGCGTTACGGTCCTCGCCCTACATTCTGGCTCGACGTCCTCAGCCCATCCGAGACAGAAATGAAGATCCTTGCCAAGGCTTTTGGTATTCACCAACTGACCGTAGAAGATATCATGATGCAAGAGCCTCGTGAGAAGGTCGAGCTGTTCCAAAGTTATTACTTCGTCAACTACCGCAGTTTTGAACAAGACAAGGACAATGAAGAGTACATGGAGCCCGTCAACATGTACGTTGTCGTCTTCAAGGATGGTGTCATCAGCTTCCACTTTTCCATGACACCCCATCCCGCCAATGTCCGCCGTCGCATTCGTCAGCTTAATGATTACATGTCTCCGACGGCAGACTGGATTTCCTATGCCATCATCGATGACATTACAGACGTGTATGCTCCTTTGGTCCAAGTCATTGAAGACGAGGTAGACGAGATTGATTACGAGATTCTTGCTCTACATTCTTCTGAGGAGAATGCAGATGACAAGGCTAAAAACAGTGCAAAGGCCAAGGAGCTTGAGTACGAGAAGATGAACAAAGTTGCAGGAAGCGATACCCAATCCGAAAAGGGGGAACGCACGGCTGGTGATAGTGGTGGTGACATGCTCCGACGCGTCGGAAACTGCAGAAAGAAGGTTATGAGTCTTTACCGTCTTCTTGGTAACAAGGCAGATGTCATCAAGGGCTTTGCCAAAAGGTGCAACGAGCATTGGGAAGTTGCACCGAGGTCTGAGATTGGCCTGTACCTTGGCGATATTCAAGATCACGTCGCAACCATGACAGGCAACTTGTCTCATTACGAAAAGTAAGTCCAGCTGAAGACAGTCGTTCCGGTTATGGTCACTGACAGGTGTCTANGTCTACTTTCGAGAGCACACGGCAATTATCTTGCTCAAATCAACATCCGTATGAACGAGCGTGCAGAACAGACCAACGATGTTCTAGGCAAGCTCACTGTTCTGGGTACCATCGTCCTTCCCATGAACATTGTCACCGGAATGTGGGGAATGAATACGAAGGTATGCTGGCGCTACAGATTGCATGTCCCGATTGAGAATCACAAGCTGATGATTCATTTAGNNGTACCTGGACAAGACGGCGAGGATTTGACCTGGTTCTGGGGCCTCACAGCTGGTCTTTTCGCTTTCGGAATGATCAGTTACTTCATTGCCAAAAGAGTCTATGGCATTGTCTAAATTTGACCATGCACTCTCGATCGGAACACATATAACCAGGAGGCGCATCGTCGGCATGTGGGAGTTTCTTTTCTCCAGTGGTCTCTATTTCAACTTAAGTATTACTATCAATCCTACGACGAATCAAATCAGCGCTGAGCTTTGCATTGCAGCATTGATTGTCAGCTGGCCAATATTCTTCTTGTTATGATGGTGTACACAAACAGGATATCACAGGTCATCACAGGCCATCACAAACTGTCATGCATAGAGGGTACGTATCTGGTCGAGCGACTCGACAGGCTTGACGTGCAGCAGACGACCTCAGAGCTTCTGACTCAGGCCTTGCCTTGTCCCCCTCTCGACAGCCAGTGCCCTCTGTTTTCCCATGCCGGCACATCACTTATCACCTGAGTGCCGAGAGTATCACGGTCATAACTCAAATCACTTTGACAGTACGTATCAGATAGGGCTGGTACCTGATCTGAAGCTCATCATGACATGTATGAAACGCATCCGCGCTGCACCTGCAACAATCGTTGGGATAGCCTGTGAGCATGTCGACACCGACCATAGGGCATTGAGAGTGAGCGATCTGCCGCCTCGTGTTGTAAATCTTCTCGGGCAGGCGCGGTCCGTTTCGTGATATGCACGCCATGCCCGGGGCCCGAAGCCCCGGGTCATGATCTGCAGCCACACGGAGGATTTTCAAGACGCTCCACCCAATGTCCTTGAGCCAACCTGCCTACTACCCTGGCACCCAAAATGAGAGCACGCAAGTCTACATGCTGGGGGACCAACGCTTCGGTTTAGCTGCATGTCGCACGTCGATAGTCTTCGAAGCTGACGGAAAGGAGCAGTGACCACGACATGGTATTGACGAATGTAGGTTAGACCACTCTGTATAGCCCGAATGAGTCGAAACTTTCACTCCATGCGGCACAGCGACCCATCTACCGTGACGTAGCGGAGATCGACCCTGCCAAATCTGGGACAGACATTAGCACCTATCCCAGTCCCAAGGTTCGAGCATTCAAAGGCAGATACCCAACATTTGGAACGGCAGCTTTCATTTGAACGGCTGCTTTGCTCCACGCAAATTCCTTCTTTTACAGGCTTCTGTTACGGAGCGTGGCTAGCGTGCACCTTGCAGACCTTCCTATTTCTACCCTGGCAGGCCTTGCAATTGGCCCAGCATTATCAACTTCATGCAAGAAGAAGAAATGTCTTACGCTCGCTGTCGGCGATTATCTCCTGTCTGGGGCTACTGGAGCCTACCTCGCTGATGTTTCGGGGTTCATGCGTCCTTTGTTTTGATGCCTAGGCCTCCGGGTGCCCTTCAACACACTCGCATTCGTCAGGGTGCGTTCGCACTGGCTGTGGTTCGTGTACCACCGTGCTGTGCAGAAGTCTATCGGCTTTGCACCATCCGTGTCCACACAAGAAGCCACCGACAAACCCATCGGCTTATATCTCTCCTGATCCTCTTTCGCTGCCTGATGTTGGGTTGATGTGCATTATACCCTTTCCCATGACTTTCAGCCCAACCATCAAGACGGAATCAAAGTCGTCGATACATTCGATACCATTGTATCTCGTCGCGCAACCATACCAGCACATTGTCCAGTCCAGTATGGCGGATCCTTCGTCGTCACCTCCCATGAGGGCCAAGCCAGAGCCTACAGACAGCTTGAGTCCGAGTACCAGTGTTGAGCTGCATAGAAGGAGCAAGACGGGCTGTATGTTTATTGGTCGCCCATAGTACGAAGGACGTTGCTGACCCATTGCAGGTAAGACGTGCCGACGTCGANAAAAGAAATGCGACGAGGCGAGGCCAGGCTGTAAGTCTTCTACATCCCTATATCATCATCATGATATAGATCCAGGTCCTGAGTCCAGAGTCTTCGATGTGTTGGATGGGCATTTCGTCCTACTAGCCTATCGTGTCGAACGTAGTGAGATGTATCATGTGCTAATAGGATCCCAGGCCNAGAATTGTGCAAAGAACAACATCCTGTGTGGCGGGTATGAGATGAGGAAGCCTTGGAGGAAGGGCGCCCGGAGCAAAAACAATGGTACAACCTGTTGCTAGCCGTGGTCGTCTGAACAGACAANNGCTGACAACCCAACTGTAGCTTCGATCATCCCTGAACTTCCACACATCATCAGCGCGATAGACGACCCTTTGGACTCGCAACTCCTCTCTTACTTCATTACCCACGCTGGCCAAGCCTTAAACATATACTCCGAGACACACAACCCATTCGACGGGTTCGTGGTTGACATGGCGTTGGCGAACACTGGCCTTATGCACTCGCTGCTTTGCCTTTCGGCTTCTTGCCTGCTCATCCATCAGCCGATGTGCGCCCAAGAGATCGTCGTCCGCCACAGCCACCACTTTGATCAAGCTGTCATCACTCTTCGAAAAGACGTCGAGGCCTACAGCTCAGACAGTTCAACACAAAGCGCAGACTGCATCGTGCTGCAAACAATCATACTCGCGCAGGAAGCGATTGTGACAGGAGAAGTACACGGCAGCTATCGATGTCATCTATCTGCAGCTTCAAGACTCGTTGAGAGCTGTAGAGATTTGAGCGCAGACGTGCAGAGTTTTGCTCGTCAGTTCCTGTTGTATCACAACCTGGCCAACACAATTTCATGCCTTGACCCGGTCAATCATGTCGCGAGGTCACTTGTGCAAGCAAATCAAGGTGAAACAGTGGAGCAGGGCACATCATCACAGGGCTGCGTCGACGCGCTCTTGCATGGCCTTCTAGATCCAATGTCCCGTACACGGCAGGTCCGAGACGGCATACGCTTCCATCGCAGCGCAAACAACTCGAGATGGTTCAAAGATGAACAACTGCTCAGTTTAGCCTTGGGAGTCGAAACACAGTTACGGACATGGCAGTCACAATTTTCGCCAGACACTCCACAACACTGGTGCTCACTGGCATATCGGCAAAGCGCCTATGTATATCTCTATCGAACCATCAAACCATCGATGCCGAGTCCAGAGTTATCACAGTCCTTGTCTGATGGATTTTCTTATGCGTCGCTCGCACTACGGGATATAACGAGTAACAACAACAGCATGGTCAGCTGGATCTGTGGTGTGCTGTTGCCCCCGTTGTTCTTGTTGGGTTGCGCGGCCTTTGACCCAATCCATAGACAAGCAGTGAGTGAGAACTTGGATGATCTATACGCGTGTAATCAAGGGACCAGTATTCTTCATGCTCGCGCAATCTTGGAGGAGGTCTGGTCACGGATGGATGCAGCCGCACATGGTGCTGAAGATGATGTCTGGGATTGGGAGAGAGTGATGAAGGACCTAAACGTGGATATCATGTTGTCATGAAACTAGCAAGATACCCCTCAATGTTTACCTCTCGCGTACCCTTGCTCGACGACCAAAGTTATATGATGGTATACTCCGCCTTTGTCTCCTCATGTGTCGAGTCTTGTCAAGTTCACTGCCATCATACGACGATGTTATATTATTGATACACAAAAGCAGACTGATATCCACCAAAAGCCCTAGCCTCATCGACTCCTTGATTGTATCTCTGGTCCTGATATGACTGTGCAATTTGATAGCCACATGTCACAGGCTTCTAGATACAAGCAGGTGCTACCTTGCAGTCACGAGATTTCAGCCTTCCAAAGTTTCGAAAGGCGACCTTGATGGCAGAAGGAGCGATGAAAGCCGTCAATCGCTACCCCTTCAGTAAAATTATGTAACAAAGGCATGTCCAATTGCCTTCTAAGCAAAACCCACTCAATCACCTACAATCAATTCTCTTCTGGTGACACATCTTTGTCGTCGCAGAAGCAGCGCCCGCTGCAATATGGTCAACTCCTCCTTCCAGATTGCATTGGCGTTTTTCTGATGGAGCATACGGGTGCGCGCGAGTACGGGTCAGTTTGATGCGCATACTAGGGGCAATGGACAAACGACGCATTCACTCCTTTTTCGCAATTGCGCTCATCTATGCGTTGAGTCCATGAGATGTCAGTTGCTGAGGTCGCGAACCCGTGTTCGGGGTATTCTTTGACGTGTGTCTTTGCGGGTTTGGATTCGAGGCTCGCGATCGGTCATGGCCATGGTGGCGCAGATTAGAAGTCGGGAGCGAGGATGCACAGCAATCTATACTGGTGATTATGTGATGCAAAGTTCTGTCAGCAACATGATCATAACCATGGAGAGTTTGCCCAAAGGATGTCGTCCAAGATGGAGGAATGTCATTGGTTGCTCGGATGCTTTTCGGTCGCACCTTCTGTTTCAACCTATCGAAGCGAACTTCTCCATCCCGCACGAACTCCTGAGAACCAAGATGTCCAAGAGCAGCATCATCGCTAGCATATGACAGGGCCTCTAACCTTAGGAGATTCGCGGAAGCTTGGTGATAGGCAAGACGCGCCAAAGAGATGAACCAGATGGTCTTGAACTCTGTCGTTCCTTCCGCAAGCAGGCTGAATTGTACGACATTGTTCTGTTCTGAAAGCAATAGCACACAGACGATCCCCACAGACCACCTCAGATTGGTTTTCACCACTACAATTAGACAAAACTGGTAGAGATGCTTGAACTGACAAAGTAGGCTTGTGCTTGCTTCAGCTGTGTGGCTCTGTGGAGTGAGCTTGGCCCCTCCGCTCGTCTATTTGTTACAGCCCGGCGTAGCGAGTTCAACTTAACATGTCGCCATCCTGATGAATGCACAATCTGCAATCTCGAACATGTTCTGGATCGATAAGAGGCAATAGAAAGAAGCGAAAGGGTGTTTGTATAAGAAGATTAGGCTTCACTGCCATCTTTTCTCTTTTCTTCCTTCTCCATCACACAACAACCACTCTCTCTTCTTTTTCTCAAGTAAACACATTCGTTCTTTACATCACAAACATGCACTTCGCTTCCCTTTTCGTCGCCGCTTCGGCCTTTGTCACCGCTCTGGCAGCACCTATCGCCGAGCCCGTTGTTGTCGAGAATGGCATCTCCTCGCTGGTCGAGCGCACCGCCACCGGCACTGGCCAGAACAACGGCTACTACTACTCCTTCTGGAACGCCGGTGGCGGCACCGTGAACTACAACAACAAGAACGCTGGCGAGTACGCGGTCTCGTGGAAGGACTGCAACAACTTTGTCGCGGGTAAGGGCTGGTCCACCGGCTCTGCCCGCAAGATCAACTTCAAGGGCAGCTACTCGCCCTCGGGTAACTCATACCTCTCTGTCTACGGCTGGAGCAAGAACCCTCTTGTCGAGTACTACATTCTCGAGTCGTATGGTACCTACAACCCCGGCAGTGGGCTTCAGCACATGGGCACTGTTAGCTCTGATGGCTCTACCTATGATATCTACAAGGGCACTCGCACCAACCAGCCTTCTATCCAGGGTACCGCTACCTTCCAGCAGTACTGGAGCATTCGCAAGAACAAGCGCTCGTCTGGTACCGTTACCACTGCCAACCACTTCAACGCCTGGGCCAAGCTTGGTATGAAGCTTGGTTCCTACGACTACCAGATTGTCGCCACCGAGGGTTACCAGTCCTCTGGTTCCGCCGACATCACCGTCTCCTAAGCGGATCATTTTCCTTGAGAAGCATGGAGCATTTCAATCTACGGGCGATGGTCACAGAGCAAAAAAGAAGGGGTTGATCATTTCTTTTCTATTTTCTTTCTTCTCTATCAACCATTCGTGGTTCAACACGCTTTCAAATACCCCTTTTCTGTATTATCGCGTTTTGCAACTGTCTTCTGTGTATACTGTCTAAGAGTGAAAAGCCGAGACGGACGCATCGAAGCAATATATTTTCTGACCAGCAAGTCCTCCCTTGTGTTTTTTCTTGCCGATTGTGACATGTTTCGTCTTTTCATCTTGTTGTGTGAAACAGTTGTTGACTGGTCTGCCCCTGTGCTGGACCTTGTAACGCAGTCATAGCTATACATTCGAATGGTGTCTATAAAGACAAAGCGGCTTCAGCTAAAATCCCCTCATTCTATCGACACTCCACATATCTCAGACCGAACGAGCTTCTTGAGCCCTGAACACCACTGTGTAACAGCCTGGTTTGGCTGTGGGTGTAAGCAGAGACTCGGAGGGAAAGAAGTCCCTGTTCGCTCCTTCCAAGAAGCACAAATTGCAGGTCCACAAGACAAGATAGGATAAAGGCGTAAATCGTTTCGATATCGTCTAGTATATGTTATATGCCACATGTGTTTCCATCGATTCCTTCTACAACTTGCTGCTAGTAGTGGTCTTGCAGCACAAGTCACCTTCACTACCCACAATACCCTCAACAGTGGGTTGCTTATGCGTCTCACTAAGCAATGTACTCTTGTTGAACTCTTGCGTGCTCGGCGGCACATCCAAAGCAGGGTTTCTGTCAAAGAAGTTGACTGGCTTCAGACTGACCTTGATGATCTCACAAGGCATGACTGGGAAGTCTTCGATGCGAGGGACGTGGTTGATACCGAACTGAACAAAGACGACAAGGTCCTCATCAACGATGTTGTCCTTGCGATCTGCCCAGCTGCGCACACCAGTGCCGCCGCGAGATTGGTTGGTGTACTTGCCGCCGGCGTATAGTTCGCCGTCCTTATATTTGACGGCGTAGATGTTGCGGTCCGAGAATTCAGCCCGCTTGTAGTTGAAGCTCTCCTTGTCGGCAATGCCCTTTTGGAAAGGCGGGGCGTGGATCTTGTAGGCAACGGGCTTGTTGTTGATAGGGTTGCGTACATTGCTGTTCTGAATCTTGAAAGTGCGGTTAGTGTCTGGGTTGAGGTCGTAACCACCGGATTGTGAGATGACGGTTTCTTCTGTGTAGTAGCCTGTTCCGTGAGGATTGAAGTCGCTGCGAGGCATGGGCAGGGCTTCGTCGTACACGAGACGGTTCGAGTGTCCATCGATGGCAGGGTCGACACGCAGAGAGAAGATGTGTTGATGGTGGGTGGCGAGGACACCGGGGTGAACCACAGTACCCCAAGGAACACTGATACCGTCGTCGATTGGCTGAGTCGAGAGGATGCCGGTCGCTCTGACTTCGTAGGTCATCTCACCGGCCTGGTTGAACATGAAGGCCAGGATATACTCGTAGTTGGCGACAGTGATGATGCTCTGGAGCACGAGCTCACGGTTGCGAACGACGGCAGCACGGCCAGTTCTGTAGTTGGTGTGCTTCCAGCCGATGCCGCCATCCTGCTCGTGGACACAAATAACATTAGGCATATCCTCGGCCTCACCCTCGTCGTTGGCGAGGACTCCAGAGAGGTACTGGATAGAACCAAGGCAGTCGCATCCCAGCTTCAGGTCGTTAGCCATGATACCAGCACCGACATCACCAAGATCGAAAGCAGCTTTCTTATGGAAGGGGTGACGAGGGTCACCATAAGGAATGGACATGTCTGAGAGCGAGAGACGGTAGAAGACGCTGCGTCCGTCATAACGGACGTTGTAAAGAACCATGCCTTCTCTTTGGTTGAAGCCAACGCGGAACGACCATTTCTGCCAGTCAAGAGTCTGGGATGTGCCTTCTTGGGTAACGCTGAAACTAGCACCTTCAGGCTGCAAGACTTGAAGAGGCTTCAGGTCGGTACGTAGCTTCTGGGCCTCTGGGATATACTCGTTGGCGTGAACAGGCTTCCAGGGCTGTGTGGGCTTGATGGTGTTGTCCTTTCCGGTAGGCATAATGTCGATACGAATGACCTTACGCTCGACGGCGCTGAGAACAGGCGAGATGGCCAGGGGNAAGGCGTAGTGGTTCGAGTCGAGTTCGTCGGTGTTCTTGGGATCTCTCATATAGAGGAAGCATTGGTACATGCGGTCATCGTCACCGACACCGTCCGAGCCGTAGATCCAGGGGTCGCAGACAACAGCGGTGCCTTCGGGGAGCTGTAGTTTGGCAATCTCTGCTTGCACACCCTCGTCCTCGAGAGCCAACTTCTCAATGTCCAAGATTTCTTCTCCATCCCCTGCGGCGTGTACGTTGGGTCCGAGTCTAACGTTGCTCTCGACTGTTGATGTAGTCAGGTTGACAATGGCTTCGTGTAGTTTGTTNCTAGCCAGATGATTAGTGTCTACACCATCTAAGTAATATGGCTGAGCGCTCACGGTCTTGCGGATATAGTATGCAATCATGACTCTGCGGTCGATGGTTGGTAGGCTTTGGCCCTTGAACTCGGCTTCGAGAAAGGGCACCATCTCGGCCTTTGCTGGCTCCTCGAGGGTGAGTACCTTGAACTGGAGGTCCGTCTTCTCGGGCCATTGGTTTCGAATCAGCGAGGATGCTGCGTGAATCTCGTGTGCTGACAGTGGCGCGAGTGGGTGAGCCACGGTCGACTTTGACGTGCGGACAGGCAGTGATGTGCTGTGTTGGAGAGACATTGTGGGTATGTGCTATGTGCAAAAGCAAGAAAATGACAGCAGGACAGGAAGAAAGCTTTATAACGACCGGGAATCGAAAGAAAGATAAGGCCTCGTGGTGGCACAGTGGAGTCGACGATCTGCAATCAGGGTCGCGGGGCTCTTGAGCCTATCTCCGCAGGCCGTATACCAACTCTTGCCGGCTCTTACCACGGATGGCTTCGATCAAAACCCAGAGACCTGTCTGTGCAACAAGAGCAGATCCAATCACATCTCTCGTGTCTTCATCGCATCTGTCACCGCAACGTTGCCTGCTAGGTGTCCATTTCACGAGAATCAGTTCGCCTGTCAAACAATTTCTCAAAAGTTTGGCTGACCCCACGCTGTTCGATCAGGCAAGTCCATGCGTATGCGGGCGCTTCTTGTCCAAAAGGGGCAATATAAGTGAGAAAAATGTCGCCGCGGCAGACAAGCCACCGTTATCAGCGAATGAGATTAGGCACTTTTGCCGTTTCCAAATTCTTGCCATAGCCAAATTTATCAGCACCGACCTTTGCTGCATAGGACATGGTTGGAGTTAGACTGAGCATTGGAGGTCGTTCGAAAAGTCTCTTCCGCCAGGCGCTTTGCGGCCTTCCTGAGAAAGGTATTCACAAGTCGTCGCTGCTAAATTTGATGTTGTCTGGGAGTGCTGAATCCACAATGGTGAAGGTTCAGGACGGTATGGGTTGATACCATGTCGACATCAAAGTAAATCCACCGTGAGTTTTGTTCTGCTTGTTCGAAATCCCATGTCTAGAGGTAACCCTGTTCGGCGCAGATCAGCCGAGGTGCCGATATCAAGCAGCCATCCCGCATTGATGCAAGGTGTCAAGCAGACAACAACCTTCACAACCAAACATACATCAAGCCCAACATGGATCCGTCAAAGAAGAAGCAATACCTTGCGGACAGCCCGCCATCCGTCGTCCCTCTGCTCATCAAGCCGCATTTCGAAGCACTTGGCAAGACTGAGCAGCTTTATTCGCATTACATCAGTCAGGCCTGCTTCGCTGGCACCAGAGTTGTCCTCAGACAGGTTTCCCNNCCGGAATCAGAGCCTATTTACGATTTTATCTTGAGTCTGCACAAGCACTGCAATGGTGACTACTCCAAGCTGAAGTCCGAGACTGGCCTTGACGATGAGGACATGAACCACTGGTTGCATTACGCCGCCCAATTCCTTGGCAACGCTGGTAACTACAAGTCATTTGGTGACTCCAAGTTCATTCCTCGTTTGACACCAGAGAAGCTTGCAGCTCTTGGAAAGGTCTCAGGCGCATCCAAGCATTACGAACTCTGTAAGGATGCTTTCTACGAGACCAGGGTTGAAGACCTCATGCACCTCGGCTACCCACCCCAGCATCTCACCACCTACTATCCCGACTCTCCTCAGATCACCAAGGATGAGATTGCCGCGGTGTCGGACTTTATCAAGGAGAACGGAAACCTGCTTCCCGAGAACACGCGTCTGACGAAGCTTTCATCTGGAGACTTTGAGCTTCTCATCGCTTCTGCCGAGACCGACCCTGCAAAGTCAGAGAGAGATGTCCCCGAAGCCTCTTTCACGCTGGATTCTGAGCCTGTCAAGGGCAAGAAAATCACTCTGAAGTACGGAGACCACGCAAAGGAGATGGGAAACATCGCAAGTTTCCTCGCCGAAGCCAAGAAGCACTCGACCAACCAGTATCAGAGCGACATGCACAGCGAATATGTCAAGTCTTTCAAGACAGGCTCCATGACCGCCCATGTCCAATCCCAGCGCCACTGGATCAAGGACAAGGGACCCGACGTCGAGTCTAACATCGGCTTCATCGAGACCTACCGCGATCCCCACGGTATTCGCGGAGAATGGGAAGGCTTCGTAGCTATGGTCAACAAGGAGCGTACCAAGGCATTTGCTCACCTCGTCGCCGAAGCCCCCAAGAACATCAAAAAGCTTCCCTGGCCCGCTGAGTTTGAGAAGACTTTCGTTGCACCCGACTTCACTGCTTTGGAGATTCTAACGTTCGCTGGCTCAGGTATCCCTGCTGGTATCAACATTCCCAACTACGACAGCGTCCGCCAGCATCCTGAGGGTGGATTCAAGAACGTCAGTCTGTCCAACGTCCTCTCAGCCAAGCCTCCGAATGAGAAGATTCCTTTTATCAAGGACGAAGATATGGAGATCTACAAGAAGTACGCCGATGCCGCCTTTGAGGTTCAAGTTGGTCTTCATGAGCTTCTTGGCCATGGTTGTGGCAAGATTTTGCAAGAGACTGAGTCCGGCAAGTTCAACTTCGACCGCAAGAACCCTCCCGTCTCTCCAATCACACAGAAACCAATCACTTCCTACTACAAGCCTGGTGAGACATGGGGTTCGGTCTTCGGCGGTATGGGTCCTAGCTACGAGGAATGTCGGGCCGAGGCTGTCGCCATGTATTTGGGATGTGACTACAGCATCCTCCAAATCTTTGGCTTTGGAAATGGAGAAGAGGTATGTCCGCTGAAGAAAAATCATTTTCTGAAAAAGAAAAGAGAAAAGAAAAACCGCCTGCTAACATTGAGATACAGGNACCTTCATGGAGAAGCAGGAAACGTCCTCTACGCAACATATCTATCCATGGCTCGTGCAGGTGTCGCTGCTCTGCAGTTCTACAATGTTGACGCGAAGAAGTGGGGACAAGCACACATGCAAGCCCGTCACGCCATTCTCAAAGTCTTCCTGTCTGAGCCAGAGTTCTGCGAGCTCGAATACACCAAGGATGACCTCAGTGACCTGACCATCAAGCTCGACAGAACTAAGATCGCCACCCACGGTCAACCTGCTGTCGGAAAGTTCTTGCAGAAGCTTCAAGTCTACAAGGCTACTGCAGACCTCAAGGCCGGCAGGGAGCTGTACGAGGGCATTACTAGCGTAGATGAGTGGTTCGCTACGAAGGTCAGACCTGCTGTCCTGGCAGCAGCTCCTCCTCGCAAGGTCTTTGTGCAAGCAAACACTTTCATCGAGGGTGACAAGGTTGTCCTCAAGGAGTATCCTGCTACTCCTGAGGGTCTCATCCAGAGTTACGCTGACCGTGACTACATCTGAATGCCGGAAGATGAGGTGGATGATCTTTCAGCGATAGCATAGCGTATTGAATTAGCTTTATTTACACCTTTGTTGCTCCAAAATGAGACTGTCTACATTGCATGAGGACTTCTAGAGAACATACGGTCAACTCCTGAGTCGTACCCCTTTTTACCCCGGCGTTATTCTCCTCATGCCGCTTGAGTTTATAGTACAGTATACAAATGCATAATACTTCTTGATGTAAAGTGATGTGCAAGGAGACATGACATCTGGAGCTATCTCCGTGGTCACTTATCTGATTTGGTAAGCAATCGTGCATTTTTATAACATACTATAGCACAAGTTGTCAGCGCAGGAGAGAGACTGTGAGACCGTCTTGGGCATAGGGAGATCTGAACGTGGGCCGGATTTTCCCTATAGTTTAGCGCGTTCTCTACAGGGGTCTCATCTTCCTGACCTGAGGAGGATTTCGATTGTCGTCGCCACTGCCGGCGCTGCGGTGGATGATGACGATGACGATGCAAGTTCTTTTCGCTCCTCTTGGCGATTCAAGTCTCTCGCTTGTCGAGTTGATTTGCTTCACATTGCCTAATCTCTCGCGCGAGAAAATCAATCACAGGTGGTCAAATACGTTTCAACCACCTGTTCTCTTCTTTGTTGAATCACTAGAAGAAAAACAAAAAGTGATTGCAGCGAGTGGAATTCAAATCCACGATTTCCTCAACCGCTAGATCTCGATTCCCGAAGGAACAGACACTGCGATGGCAGGTAGAGATGCTAATCTCTTGTGTTTGCAAGAAGACAATGCTGAGGCGTCTTGACCACTAGACCACCGCTGCTGATGTTGAGGTTAATGGAATCTTGGATGGATACAAGGGTTGACAGAGGAAGCGCGGGATTTGGCGCCGGGGCGCTGGAGAGAGACAGACGAAGGTAGGTGCTGTCTGGGTGTGGCTTCCTTACTTGCTCGGTTGAGGATTTCTGACACATTAGATTTGCTATTCTTCTACTGCCTCGCACCGGTATCTTCTCGTGAGAGTCTGAACAACTTGACACCTAGTCAGCTATCGTAACACCAGGTCTCATGATCTCTCGAATCTGCTCCTCGTCCTTCTCGGCCTGTGCGAGCCCCTTACCGGCCAAGAATGCAGGACCCATGACTGAAGACTTGAAACCTTGAGGGAAGTACTTGTCGTCTTCGTCGCCAGGAATTGGTCTTCCTGCCAACCAATCTATCCATGATTGCAGGCACCAACGGTTTGCGAACGAAGGCTCGACATACCTAGAGAGAAAGATTAGTCTTGAGTTCCGACGAGGGAATGCGGAATGGGTGATGGAGACATACCAAGGTTCTTGATCCCAAATCTGTTTGTAGATCTTGCCATTTGCGTTGATGGTATCCGCGATTATCTGCTTGCGCCAGACGATGGGTCTTGGGAGAGTGAAGTGGCGTAGAACAAACTTGCGAGTAGCAAGTCCCGTGTCGACTAGCCATTGCAACATTGCTGGCGGATCTGGATANTCTGATATCAAGCACGTCAGTATCTCACTAAGGCAAGGGTCATGGCAGAAAACTTACAGCATAGCTCTCCTCAATCGCTTATCCATCAGCGCACTGACAACTCTCCTGCCAGCATCCTTATAAGCAGCAGGGACAGCATACAACAACAATTCAGTTGTGCAATCCGCAGTATCCTTGTTACTCTGCGCCGGCACCATATACTTTTCCTCATACTTATCACACCACGCCTCCAACTCCCGAGTAAACTGCAATCCATCCTTCCATCCGGTTTTTTCTCCCGGCAAGCAAGAAAAGTCAATTTTCATCCCTTGTCCGACTTTAAGCCAAAACAAGCCCATAGCCGCAATTTCCATCTCTGTCAACTGTCTCCATTCAAATCTCTCAATCCAGCGAATGGGTTCGAGCAAAAACAGAGAAAGCGTGTATAGCATATCCTCATTCGAAATCTTGCCTCCGTACAAACTATGCAAGAAATTCGTCCTGGCCAGCGCTTCCGCAGATCTGTCGCTTGCAGGCGGGTTGATAATGACTTCCATCATGAGAATAGCGGTATCTACCATCCTCTTCGAAGCATGTTGTTTGGTAGACAATTGTTTCGTTTGCATGAGCAAAGAGGAAATAGAAGGGATGCCATAGGTGCGGAAGAGCGCAAACTCCAGAGCCTTTTGGGCGAGAAAAGGAAACTCGAGTTCGAAAATGTAGAGTTGGATCTCTTGGGCTTCGGAGAGGGTGATCTCGGATAGAGATTTGTGGTTGTATTGCTGTTGTTTTTGGTGCTTGCGTTGGTTGCGGAGGTAGGCGACGGTGAGGAGGTAGCCCACGCCTAGAGTGCCCAGGACTTCTGGCCGTAGGAGAAAAGACATTATGAAAAGTAGTGAGTGAGAGAGTTCATAGAGTTGGGAGTCTCATGGGTATTATAGGAGTAGATTAGCTGAGTAGGTGTTTCAAAATGTCTGGCACATCTGACTCGAATCCTCGACCGGGCTGCAAGCCTGACTCGCCCGGGGCTGGCTCAACGACGCCAAGGAATATGGTATACGCGGATTTATATGAAAACAATCAATGTATTGTCTAGACGCATGTACTTGTAGGGATATATAGATAGGTGCATTTGTCTGACTTCGAAGACATGACCCTGAACTGGGGGAGTGGAATGGCATACACAACAGCAGTTTGGCCCCTATCGAGCTCTTTGCCAGTCTTGTATATGTACACAATAATGTAATACATGGTGATATTGGTACTGAGGTGCCGAAGGTGGTGCCCATGCATAACTAGATCAGATGACAGCTCCGCAGCCAACAATGGTATTATCGAAACCACCAATTCACAGAACCGATCATACCCTGCCCAACGCCCTTGATACTATGCCACCATCCTTTCGGAATGAAAAGACCATCACCTGGACCAACTTCGCACTGGAGTCCTTGGGACATCCAGAAAGCGCCCGAGGAAGGGTTCCAGACGGCTTGTTCGAGTGCGGTACGTTCAGCGCCTTCCATCATCTCGGCGCCTCGCATGGTGGCATTGGCAGCTCCTCCAATAGTCGTCTGAACATGATAGAAGATGGCGTTGCCCACGTCAGGCTTGAAGAGCCGAACCTGCTTCTTACCGGCCAGTTGAACGAACAGATTTGGGTTAGGATCACGGTGCAGAGGTGTATAAGTCGGCGCGCGACCTAACCAAATACTTGTGTCATAGACATCGCCTTTGCCAGCCTTCAACACGAGTTCTGGTGTGGGTAGATCTTCCAGGAGGGAGGATGGCAGGTCAGACAATGAAGCTTGTGCTAAATAAATGCTAGCCTTGGTCTCAAGTTCTGAAGCACTGCTGATAGTCAGCGACCTGGCTGCAACTCGCACTTGTGATGACACAACATACTCGAGAAAGAATTGAAGAGGTTGATGGATCTGAGCGAATGTACCATCTTTATTCGTAATCTCCAAGGGAACAACAGTTGAACCCCATTTCTTCAGGTAAGCAGTGTTGAGATGGCAACAATCATCACGCTCCGAAGACTCATGGAACCATGTTTGACTAGCCGGAATGGAAGAAAATGATCCGCGAGGTAGGAGAGATGGCACAGCAGGGACGAAAGCGTGGTCTCGAAATGTCGTCAATGAGGCATCAGGCAAGATCGGGACAGCACGAGAAGATGATGTCGGTGTCGTGTAGAACCTACTACGGTGCAGAAGTCGTGATGGCAGTGAGGCAGACTTTGCTACTCCGAGTAGCATGACCAATGATCGTGGTCCAACAAATGGAGATGGTTGATGGCCGAGCAAGAGCAAGATCCAATGGCCGAGGCGCGGGAAGCTCCGCCAAACATTTGCGACATGCGACAAGCACTTGCGCTCAACTCTTCACACACTATTCGATCCAAACCAAATCGTAAGCCAAGTCTTGTGTAGTCGAAAAGAGACAAGATGGTCTACTACTTTACAAGCAACGTGACGTCGCCGTCGGCGTACATCTACATGGGCAAGGACAAGGTCGAAAGTCAGCAACCACTGGTCGCATTCAACATACGAACAAGTCGCTGACTGGCCTAGANNGACGAGGACCTAATCGCTTACGGCTTCGAAGAGGATGTCTGGGTATGACCGACCGGCATGCGCACATGTTCAACCCCGCCGTCTAACCACTCTTCACGACAGTTTCACGTCGACAACCTGTCCAGTGCCCACGTCTACGTGCGTCTCCCTGACGGAGAGTCATGGGAGGACATTCCCAAACCACTCTTGGAAGACTGCGCCCAGTTGACCAAAGCCAACTCGATCGAGGGTGAGGATGAATGCGCAGAAGCTACAAGAGGATAGAACTGAGACGGCAGTGCAGGCAACAAGAAGGACAACATCACAATCATCTACACTCCATGGTCAAACCTGAAGAAGGACGGCAGCATGGCCACCGGCCAAGTCGGCTTCAAGGACCAGAAGAAAGTCAAGCGCGTCTATGTCGCAAAGCGAGAGAACCCCATCGTCAACCGCCTGAACAAGACCAAAGTGGAGAAATTCCCGGACTTCAGACAAGAGAAGGAAGACAGAGCCAAGGAGCTGAGAAAGAAGGATCGCTCTGTTATCGCTGCACAAGTCCGTCCACAAAGATTCTTAGACAAAGAGGAGACACTGGCTTACATGATTGTCAATAGGNCAAAGGAGGAAGCTCGTATCGCAAGAGAGAGGAAAGAGCTGGCATACCAAAGAGACCACGCATACGACGACTGGAATTCCGAGGAGCAAGTCATGGCTTCCAGCAACCAGAATCGCGACTCGGACTGGGAAGACGATTTCATGTGAGGACAACCGAATTCACGACATTACATTTAGGCAGAATGAAATAGCAGTAAGTCAAACGTGTGATAGCCATGCACCATCAACTCATTCACAAAACTCCTGTCTCGCTCATCTCCGATCGACATATACTGCCGCGCGCTGTATAACGTCCAAAAAGATACCTGAACAACTTATCTCGCATCTGGAACATCAATGGATTATTGCGTAGACAGACAAGGATACAAATCTCATGTGAGAGATTTCGACTAATCTCGGAAAGAGGTCCTGTGAATCTGTAGACCGCTTAGAGGACGCTTCAGCCGCATCAGAAACGGTATACACTTTCCACCATCTTGAGAAATTCATCAACTTGTCCTGTTCATGCAAGTCGGCAGTTCAAGCTCAGCTGGAGCATAGATTTCGAACACGGTCGCTCCTGCTTCCTTTGGATACCATGCCAGAATTTAATTCATCCCGAAGTCCTCACTAACACTTCGCAACCTTGCATCAATGATTCTGATCTATATTGCCAATCACCAGCAACCAGTCCGACTGTAGGACATGAAATGTGAAAGCAAGAATAACCCTAGGAAAAAGGGTAACGTATCTCGTCCGGCCTGTCATGCATGTCCCAATGTGTATGCCAACGTCAAAACAGCAACGTGCGATAGCCCTCCGGCGTACTACGTCCAGGTCGGCAATTCGGGCACAAATGTTGATGGTACAGTCTTGCTCAATCGAGGTGGCCAGAGCAGCTCTGGATCGTTCATGTACATGTTCCCTCCTTCTTCGTCAGAAACCATCAAGGAGATAAATCTCGGTTCACAAACCCCGCAGCCTTTTACATCCCATAAAGAGACTGGTGAGCTGCAAAGCTTTTGGAAGCCCGAAGAGTTCCTGGCCATCTATGACTCAGACGAATACCGTGAAGGAAATGTCGTCTCAGGGTCGACTGGTACACGTTTGACTTGTGCCCTGGACGGTTCACAGCTGGTCAACTGTGGGTCTAACTATACCGGTACATCCCAGACCGGTCTTAGAGTGCAAGAGGACAGTTCTATCCAGCACGTATTGAGGGTGGCGGGTAGTGCCGACCACAACGATTATTACATGCACAACGCAACCTTTACCTTGATCCCAGCTTGCGATCTGAACGCAGTCGACGATGGCAGCACGCCATCGCTTACGGCCTCATCCCCCACGCTCACGCCAGCTTCCAAGACTTCCTCATCTGCAGCTGCGACCTCGACTACACCGTCCTACGTCAATGTTATTACAGCTCAGTATGAAAGCCCTACGGGCTACTACATTGAGATCAGCGACAGCGGCACAGCTGTGGACGGCACGGTCATGTGCAATGGCTACGCGGGCTCAGTAGGCATGTGGATGTACTGCGAACCACCTTCGAGCGCAGCATTTTTGAATGGACAAGCACCTGAACCCTTCAACTTCGACAACTCAACTGGAAAGCTTGTAAGCGCGTGGAGTTCTGGCGAATCGCTATCCGTCAGCGGAGGCTGTCTCTATGCAACGACAGATAGCAGGGCAGACAGCTTCATCTGTAGTTTGGATGGAGACAGACTCTTTGGCTGTCACTCGAGCGAGACACCGAATCAAGTGGGTCTTATGTGTGAGGCACCACATAAAGAGTTCAGTGGCTGCAGATTGATCGTTGCTGGCGCCTCCAACTACGATTCAGACGAAGCATATGGCGCGGTTTTCAAGTTGATTCCAGCCTGCGATAGCCCGGCATTTTGATGATTTCTTCTTCGGTGGTTTGTTAGAAAGTAATCAGCTATAATGATATTAATCTGCTTCGGTACCATTACCATACCGTATATGCCCAACTATGTGTTAAGCAAGCCTCAGATATCCGTCGTAAATTCGATCCACTTTCTCACATCACAAGATGGTACGCGGTCGTGACTACTTCAGACACTAGGTTGCACACAAGGTTGTTACAGAGGGGTATAAGCAAGTAAGGAAGGAACCTCTCATTAGTGCTCCGAAGTGGCCAGAAGTTCTGGCATAAGCGAATGACAGAAATGTCGTCCATAACAACCGCGTCGTTCTCTCCATATCGATCTGTACATTTTCGCATGACATATTCCAGCCGTCACTCATGCCGAGCGCTTTAACAGAACAACCACACAACCGTTCGAGACGATTCATTTCCGCTCTATAAGAAGCAGCAACGTCTGGACCTGGAAATTTTACCTCGCCAATACCCTTGGCAATGTTTCGCATGATTACCAATTCACTTCTTCGAGTCAACTCGATACGATGGCACTCCCTTGGGACACAGCGTTTCTTCACCGTTTCAGTTGTTAGAGCTAGCTGGTCGAAGGATCCCGAGAAACGTCGACAACAATTTGCCGCCAGACGAGAGAAGTACAGAACAGATCTGGAGTACCACACTAGGGAGAGGGCTCTCAATTACCCAGCGCAAAGAGCTTATCAAGCGGGATGGAGCGATGAGCACCGCAACCGAATAAATATATTGGCTTCGTTCCGCCGCTTTGTGAAGTCACGTTTGGAAACGGGCGAGTCGCTGGCTTGGGAAACACATGTCATGGATTATACGGACGAGAATGTCGTTCACCGCTGTGTGAGATGTGACCGTGCGAAATATCCAGGCTCGAGGCTCTGGTGGCGGCGCAAGGAAGATGGAGCTATCGAGTGTACCTCTTGTTTCACCAAGGACTTGTCAAAGGCCATTCCAATAGGCCACGAGAGTCCGCTCTTTACCAGGATGAGGGAGCATAGAGCTAAATGGGACCAACTACCTGAGGAATCGTCTTCGAAGCCAGGTCCCCAATCGTCCTCAACAAGTTCATGAGCGGGACTTCGTTCACTTGGGTCTCAACGCAACGATTCGCTCGTCTATGGCAGAAATCTGGATTGATCTTCTCCTTCGAGACTCTAGAGTATGTTTACCCATCTGTAACAGCCTCTGATCAGGCAATGAAGCCTTGTTCAGAGAAGAAACTGGATCAGTAAATTCTCGCACAAGAAGATCTTATGGTAGCGGACTCATCTCGGCCAGACGACTTCGAATTTGATATGCTTCGTCCTGTTGGTCATAACCTGCCAACTAAAATTTTCTCTCGAACAACAGATCATGACCCCGGAAATTCTGTGATCAGGTTCTTGGAACGCAATGATTCAAAACATCACACCACGAGGTCGACGTGCCACAAATCCATGCGATTGCAGCACGGTCATTATGCATCCTCGAAGTCCCGCATCGACAACAGCAGCAGCGTGGCGTCAATGAATATGTGGATTGAGTGGATGCATCTCACTACAAGTCTTGTGCAAGTCATGCGCCTAAGCTGGTTTTCAACCCCAGCATATCCCCACGACTTGATACCGTTCCTAGAACATATCGTCTATCTAACAGGATGGAAAGTCTGTGAAGCAACATAGTCGGGATTGATCTTTCCCTCGATGGTTTCGTTGGAAGCTATTCGGTCAACTCACGAGTTGACAAGATCAAGGGCTATCGTTATCCGAGCCGAGACAATTTTTGATTCATCGAAGCATAGCACTCATGACAATGAACAAAAGATCTAGCGATATCCATAGCGCAAAGGTATCTTCGCGGTGGAATTCCAGGACGCAACTGTCCTCGCTTTTACACCTTGATGGTTCAGTCTCAACTTTTTCCAAGTGCTTCCATCGTCACCGCCGTCGTCAGAACAGCCCTTTTGCATCTTCCAATCTGCAACGTTCATTCCTCTGATACTCTCAAAGGTTTCACCTTCTTAAGAGCGCTCTTGGAAGGATGAAGTCTGGCTATGGACGATTTCCATTACTTCCTTGGTTGTCGACACAGTCATCTTGTCGATCTTTTTAGACGTGTTCAGGAAGTATGGTTCAAACACAAAATCACACTAAGGAAGATAGGAGTGGACGACATGACACAAAGTCTTTCGTATACCGGACCAGCCGCTAACAAGATGCAAAATTACATACAGCCCTGCTCACGGAGCAGAGAATAAAAATACAAATACCGCTCTATGCCTCAAGTACCAGGATGCACATGAACCTCCCAGTTGGGCGTTTGCTCCCTCTGACCCCTGACACCAGGCGTTGCTCTCCCACTCTCCCCATCAACAACACTAGCAGTTGCGAGGTCAAAAGGTCCACTATGTACACTCATGCTAGATATCTCACTCCTTGTAGGCGATAGGCCTTCGGATCTAGTGCTGCAATCGCTATTGCTCCTGGTCAATGGGCTCACAGTGCCATGCTGAGGATGCGTAGGCGTCGACTGCATAGGTATGCGTGTCCGCAGCGGTGGAGGCGCAAGGAAGTCCCGGCGAGCGATGCCATCTCCGGGCTGTAGACATTTCGGCAGCGGTGAGTCTGGCGACGCAGAAGTATGAGTGATGAACGGATCTTCAGGAACTTGATGACGGATGATAGTGTTATTCGACATGGCTGATTGGGAGGATATCGGACGGGAAGCAGAGACGCCTGCGAGAATGGCTTCCGAGGGCATGGTAAGTTTGTTTGTGTTTTTGTCCTGGATATGGAGGGGTGAAGGATGTGCTGAAGGGTGCGCTGAGAGGTGTAGATGAGATCCATCGCTCGCGTGTCTGGGTACCACGTCTTGACTCGAGAAGGATCGTTTAATGGACAGAAGAGCTGCAGTTAGTGCAGAGCGTTGTCTTTGGAGGAAGCCGTGGGGGCTGTTGAGGGTTGTATCAGGAGATACGGAAGTCGCAGAGGATCTGAAGACGACAGGAGGCGTGGGCGTAGGATCTGGATTCATGAGACGTAGAGGCGAGCTGTCGTCTCGAAGATGAGGATCTTCGTGGGCGAATGGCCGGTCCCAGTGATTGAGGTCCATATGGATGAGATTGTGGTCGATGACAGGCAGTCGTCCAGATCTAGATTGTCGAGAGGCCAGATTGGCAACACTTCCCGAATGCCGTGTCGCACCCACCGCTGCGATTGCAGATGGTAAGGCTTGCGATGATGATGACATCCGAGGCTCTGCGGCAGTCTCTTCTTTCTCTCGGTATGGCAGTCGTCGTTTTCTTCTCCGAAAGAAGAACAGAAAAAGCAGACCTATCAACGCGACTCCTGCAAGGCTACCAGTCATGCCCCCAGCTATAGCCGCCGAGCGTTCCGAACTTCCATCTGCACTTACTAGTGGAGGACTATGTCCCCCACCGCTAATACCAATCGCTCCTGCTGTTGAGCTCGCAGCAGAGGTAGAAGTTGCTGGAGTCGTACTCCGTATGGCAGAAGTCGACAGTGTCCGTGAGGTACCTAACTCTACTGGGACGACACGCGTACTTGTGGTATAGACGACCGTTCTCAGAGTTGTTGTTGAGTGTGTAGTCACTCTCGCTGTTGTTGTCGTGAAGAAGGTATCCGGCTGATACGTGAACGAAGGCGTCCAGGACAGCGATTTTGAGATGGTATGTAAAGAACTTTTGCTTGAAGGTTTGCTTATCGAAGAGAGACTTGATCCTGTTGGTGTTCGAGATTGACTCGTGTGTGAGTTCGAGTATGTGAAGGTGGTGTATTGCGTTCGCGTGAGGACTATCGTCGTATATCGTTGTCCAACTCCACTGCTGCCTGAAGTGATGAGATTCTGTCGTCTGAAATCAGCTTCACTGTCGATTTTCTTGATCGCATTACATACTGCTGTTGCCGCCGAACCCGATGCCCTTTGTGAATCTGATGAGTTCTGCCACCAAGGTTGAGCCGAAGAGGAAATTAGAGCACGCCTACTTCTCATAGCTAGTCGTTAGAGGGACAATGTCAAATTAGGCATATCATATTCACCTGGGCAACAACAACAAAGGGACATTGAAAAATCAAAAGGCCGACCTGGTTAGGTTGAGCGTAAATGCATATCTGTCCCACGCGCCCTGCCGGCGGCTACTCAGCCCTGGTGAGCGAGGCCTGCATGGTAGCATTGAGATCTGAAACAAGGACACGGCTGCTTGAAAGAAAAACCATGGAATTGGCATATACTTAGAACATCAAGGCTTGCCTCGAACAAAACGGCTTGGAGTTGATGCGTAGAGATGCAGGAAACCGCGGCAAAGCGCTGATTCGAATGGTTGGCGCCGAGGGGGCGGCAAGCGATGGCAAGCCACCAAAGAGCAGGAGCGTCTCATGATTACAATGCCGAATCGCGACTTCGTTATATGAGAACCGTATCATTTGGAAGGTGGATTCGATCGAGTAAAAGCAAAGATGTGGTTTCGCCATCGATCATGTTGTCACGTCAGCCATAATATAATGCGGAAAGAAACGATGGTAAACAAAGTATTGACAACTGCGATCTAATCAAGAACAGGTAGAAGAGAAGAGTAGTTTCATCATCATTGGAGTCCGAAGTCGTCAATGTCACCTCCTTGCCCAAAAACCAAAGACCCAGTACTCCAAAGAATTGACGACGAGGTAAGAAAAATACGAAATGGTATTGTCAGGTCAACAATGATCAGCGACGACCATAGACTGGGTCTTCGTTTCTGATTCTTCTGGCGTCCTTCTCATACCCNCCGCGACGATCAGTACGTGCTGGAGGAGATTCTCGTGGTGAGGATCTCAGAGCGCCTGAGCCTGAACGTCGAGCAGCAGCTGAAGAGGTACTGGACCTAGTAGGTTCGGAGGCCAACACCTTGGTGTTTCTGTTCCAAGGCTTGTTCTCATCGGTACTACCGATGCTCTCGCGGCCACCGACGGCACCAGGATTGTGGCCGAACAGACTCATGATATCCTTCATAGTGAGCTTAGCCACAGCCTTACCACCTTCGATAGCTGCCTTCGCTAGCTCACGCTTCTTTTCCTGAAGCTCAATAATGCGCTCTTCGACCGTATTGCCAACAGTCAGCTTGAAGACGTGCACGTCGACTGTTTGATTCAAACGATGCACACGATCGATTGCTTGTTCCTCGACGAATGGGTTCCAGAAAGGCTCAATCAGAACTACTCGCGAAGCAGCTGTCAAGTTCAAGCCAAGAGAACCACACTTGAGGGAACATAGCAGTACTCGAGTCTTGGGATCGTTGCGAAGTGAGTTGAGTGATGCTTCGCGAGCATCGTTACGCATACCGCCGTCGTAGCGAACGTAGCGAATCGCAGACTTCTGTAGGTGTGGCTCAACAAGATCCAGCATGCTGGTGAATTGCGAGAAGACGATTGTCTTGTGTTCAGGAGTCTCGGCGTGCAAGATGCGTAGCAAGCGGCGGATCTTTGTCGAAGCTGCCTCAACGCCTGTCGGACCCGAGTATGAGATGTCACCTTCTTCCTCCTCGGATTCGGCTTCAGATCCAGAACTTCCATCCTCATCTCCAGATACAGAGTCAATGGAGCCCAGAGTCTCACCGCCTCCTTCTGCGTCCTCGTCGTCAGTGCCACCAGCTCTACCCAGATGGGGTGTACTCTGCTGGGACTGATCAACGAGCCACTCGCCCTCGCCTTCATCATCTTCGTCATCACTATCGACGATGATCTTGCGGTTTCTTCTGACGGGCGCGGCAGGAGCAGGCTTGCGTTCGGGCTTTGACTTGTGCTTCTTCTCCTTCTTCACCTTGCGGCCGAGTTTCTTGGGTGTGGCTTTAGCGATGTCCTCGCACTCGTTGCAACGAACAGCACCAGCTTTCACCTCTGCTGGAAGCAGTCTGACACTACAGATATCACAGTCCTTCACCTGGACACCCATTCCACCGAACATGTCAGCAAGGGCGTCGATGTCATTGTCCTGATTGCTAGCGACAGAGGTTTTGCGCGGTGTTTGGCTTGGGTTGGGTTGTCCTGTGGACAACGCGTCCTTGTCTTTGCCCATGGATCCAGAAACAAGCTTCGGGTGGTTGCAGGCTTGACGAAGTCTCAGAAGCAAGACGAGAGCTCCAATGTAGTCAGTCTTTTCGCCGCCCATCATGTCATCTAGACGCTTTTGTGCTCTTTCCTGAAGTTGGTCGTAAAAGTCGCGTTCTTTGGGATCAAGCTCGCAGACGATAGTCTCGACCTTACGCCCAACGATTTTCATTCCAGTGCCCTTCTTGTCACCGTTCTTTGTCTTGCCGCCAAAGCTCAGAGCGCCATCTTCCTTGAGAATGTCCTTGGTTCGGCGCTTCATGAATCCCTTGAGGAAATACTGGATGCGCTTGATGGCGTAATTACCCTTACCGTTCTTCATTGGAATCGTGATCTGCTCCTTCCAGGTAGCCAGATTGTTGTATGGCTTGATTTGCAAGAAGCAGATCAGACTCTGTAGTTCATCGAGGTTGTTTTGCATGGGTGTACCAGTCAAGCACCATCTGTACCAACTTCGTAGACCATAGGTAGCTTGTGTCGACTTTGCGTTGCGGTTCTTGATCGAATGTGCCTCATCCAAGATGACACGGTACCAATGGACGCCATAGCAGCCGACCTTTGCGCCGTCAGGATGGTCAGAAGAGCCAGCGAATTCAGATGCGAGAATCTGATAGGTCGTGATGACAACGTCATACTTCTTGAGTTCGGCGGCGAATTTTGTTCTCGATGGACCGTGGTGAACCAAGACGCGCAATGCGTGGCTCTTTTCGACCTTTGTCTTGATCTCGCTCTCCCACTGGCGGATGAGAGCGAGAGGGGCCACGACGAGCGTACCCTTGCCGACCTCCTTGCCCGGCATCTTGCGCTTGGGGTTCTCCGGTGGTGGTTTAGCATCGAGCTCTGGACGGGGATTGAGAAGAATCAAGCTGACAGACTGGACAGTTTTTCCCAGTCCCATATCGTCGGCCAGGATACCTCCTTTAGGTAGTACGCCATTCTTCTTGCGCTCGCCAATTTCCTTGTCGATCATCCAAGAGACACCTTCGACCTGATGCGGGAGAAGCTTGACGGTCAGACCTTCGATTGTGCCATCTTCCTCGTCCTCGTCTTCGTCCTCCTTGGTGTCAGGTTCTTCCTCTTTTGGCCCTTCCTTTACTGCATCCATGTCGAGCTTTCTAAGCTTTTCCTCGAGCGAAGAAATTTTTTCTCCTCCTTGACCTTCTGCTGTTGCTTTNTTAGCGGCTCTCTTGCGCAGGCGCATCTTAGGCTTGTCGCCATCATCGTCAAAGGCGCCTTCAAGAAGGGCCTTGATGTTGTGGCTTGTCTGGCTAGGGTCGACATAAGCATAGGGATCGGTGGCGCCGAAACCATCCTCTCGCAGGGCGGCATCGGGGTCGAAGCCATCGTCGTCGTCGTCGGCGATGGTGAGGTCGATGGGTTTCGGTAGAGGTGCAGGGACAGCATTGTAGGGCCGGTATGTGGTACTGGGTCCTACAGAAGAAGAAAAGAGCTGCCTGGGAGCGGGAGGGATGTCCCTCAGTGGGGCGTTCGAGGGCACACGAATGGCGGCCGAGTTTGCAGCGTTAGCGTAAAGAGGGTTACCAGACTGGGCGGGACGGGGCTGCGGTGGAGGCTGAGGTCTCTGGCCAGGCAGAAAGAAGGTCGAGGTCTTAGGTTGAGCTCCATTGCTTGGGCCGTGTGGCTGTCGGAATTGTGGTTGAGGGATAGTACGGTGTTGCTCAGGTCTGCGAGGATTGGTGTTGAAGACGTTGGCATACGGGTCTTTCAGCGGGTTGCGCAGAGGACTGGCTTCGCCAAATCTTGGTTGTGCTGAGAGCTTGGAGGCCGCTGTGGTGGGGGCTGGACGGGCGCTTGAGAAGGCTGTGTCTGCTGTGTCAAGCCATTCTGAACAGGGCGAGACTGTGAAGGCTGAGTCGGGTGANGCGGAGGACTCTGCTGATGGAAGGCGTTCGCGAGCCATGGTGGTGGTGTTTGTTGGTGATTGAAAGTGGGTGATGCCAAGTTCTAAGCTGCCATCGGTCTTGTCGAAGAGAGAGCTTGTGTCGCCGATGATGCTGTCGTTGTCAAGGTTCGAGTGTGGTGTGTACCTGGATAACAGTGTGTTGACAGGTCGAAAAGGTGTCTTTTTCTTGACTTGGCTCCGACTTGCCGAGTCCATGTACTTGCGACTTGTCGACAGCAAACACTGACGGTAAACAAAGCCACGGCGATAACAAGCGCCTCAGGGTCTCGAAAATGTCTGTGCGCCTGTCGCGCTCCTCGCGCTCGGGTTTTGGCTTGGCGCGTTGTTGGCCTTAGGTACCTCTCATTTGAACATCGCCAACATGTTGCTAAATAATGTTGTGGTCGGTGAGACCCTGTCGACTCACTCATGTCAGCAGTGGGGAACGCAGATGTTTATGTCTACATCTCCGGAGCTCGAATACCCTGCTGCAAAGGCTTTGTGCCAGGGCACGTGGATGGGTACCTGGACCGGGGCACTTGGCTGCAATTGACAGATGAATTGAATCTCATCGCATGGTCACGAAGCACCCCCGTTGTCGTACCATTTGGCAATGCGGTGGTGAAGAAGCCTTCGCCACTACAGTTCCATGAAGTTCTAAAATGCCCATCGAGATAGAAAACAAAGGTGCTTCTGATGGCTGGGGGTATGCGTTGCGCTGATTCAATATCCATGAAAGGAAGATCCATCCACAGGTATGGCTGAATGTCCGCGTTAGAGACCGAGATAATCTGGTTCGAGATCTCTCGAACGACAGCGTTCTGTGATGCTAGAGACAGACTGGCCGGTTCCGGGTCATAGCCCACAGTGATTGGTTTGTGAAAGCCATCGCAGCTTTCGACTGGATTATCGAGACAAGTCATAATAGTGGTTTCTTTGTGTGCGACCACTATTGATTGGATAGGCTGCTGAACGGAGCATACGAGAAAACAAGTCTCATGGGTGATATGATAAACGGAAAGACTCACTGATTATGATGAGAAGGGCTGCGAACCAGAGAAAGCTGCTGCTTGTTCCCGCTGTGTTTGCTCCCAAAGAACCCCACAAGATGGCAACGTCCGACCGGCCTCTACCAGCCAACGCAGATATCTGGCTGATACTCAGTTCCTGGTGCTTTTTCTTCGCTGGGTGGATACAATCGCGGCTTGCCCTAGGAGAGCCGACGTGATTGGGACAGTGAGCACGCCCGCAATAGAGTTAAGCACCCTGATAACAGTCATCCAGCGAGAGATAGATGAGACCTCATCTTGCGTCAGGCCGGCCCGCTGTTTGATGTACGAAGGCGCATCAAGGGGACGCACATCTAGAATACAGGTTAGAATCCAGGGTACAATAAGCACGGTCACGTAAAGTAGAAGGAGGTAGATTGTCTGCTTCCTAGACCGCAAAGGGGGCTGGTCTGGCTCTGCTTTCGGAACTTCGGACTGTCCTGGTTGTATACCCCGACAGTTCTCATCCATGGGTCTGACATGGCTGGAGTCATGCGAAGAATTGTTTTCCAGATCGAACGTCTCAAGCTCAAAACTCATGTGCCTCGTCGCAGGAGCTTCTGAATTGGCACAACTCAAGGTGGAAAACACGGGAGTCAGGAAGGACTGAGATAGCCTGCGCTGCCCATCTCCCAGAGCTGAATAGGCCACAGAGGGAGAGGACTGAGCAATGACGTCGACATGTACTGGGCCCTTCGAGCCTTTAAGTCATGGCTGGCGAAGAGAGAGATCGACTATCATTAGCAGCTGTGGCTGAGTCTAGCACATGCTTGAGGGACTATCAAGAAGCGTTCCTCGAGAGACGAGGCGAGGTGCAGCACAAAGGATTCGACCTTCTGCATAATCACGCTTGCCGCCGCCTGGCGTGGGATCTCACAGGGCTATGAATTAGGAATTCGAGCTGCAACCTACAAGGTGTATCTGCATCCGATTGCTGGTACGCACATACAGTCGTCTGCATACTCTGAGCTTGCAGCGAATCGCGAGTGTTACCAGGGTCAGAGCAGGCAGTCTGAAAACCAAGCAAAATCATTGGAGAACTTGAGGTTCAGAATGTTGATGTTGTTGGGATGTCGACGGTTGTCAACAGAAGTGGTCACATACGACGCCGCCGATCGCTCCTTCCACCATTCTCACCTCTAGGGTCCCGGGTATTATCGCCCCGGACCCGTTAAATTTGCCCACTGCACACCAGACTCCAGACTCCATCCGGTATGAGTCAGCCAGTAATCTTCGACTCATACCATTAACACTCACCAGTTGTGTATAAATATTCAGGAAACACATTGACCCTCTACCTCTCATTCATAAGCTCCACTCGTTTCCAAGAAGAAACACTGAGACTTGTGAATCCTCTGACAGCCACAACCGCGCTACCAAATATTCTTCTCATTGGATACTTCGTTCAGGCTCAACATGGCAAGTCTACAATACACCACCCTCGACGTCTTCACGACANAAAAGTTCGCCGGCAACCCATTGGCCGTATGCCAAGTCCCCAAAGGCGCCACCCTCACCCAAGAGCAAAAGCAAACCATCGCCGTCGAATTCAACTACTCAGAAACCACTTTCCTGCACCCATGCTCGAATGAAGGCAGCGAAGTACCCGAATGGCCCCTCGATATCTTTACAGTCAAGACTGAGCTACCTTTTGCCGGCCACCCAACCATTGGAACAGCATGTCATATCCTAAGCCAAACCGGCAAGACCAAGGGTAGATTCAAGGTCAAGGCCGGCATCATTGAGCTCGACTATACAGATGGTGTAGCAAAGGCTTCTATCCCTCACAACACCCACATTCACTCTACAACCGATTTATCCGCTTGCGCCATGTTGGACTGGCAAACTGGTCTCAAGCCCTTCTACAAGTCTGGGGATCTAAAGGTGGATGCCGTGAGTCCAGTCAAAGGCATGAACTTCGCCATGATCGAGCTCAAGAGCTTGGAAGAATTGGCAGCTGTGAACTTGCCAGGTAAAGAACTAAATTTCTCCCTCGACGAGGATTGGAATGTTGGGCCTTGCTTCAGCAAATTCTTTGTGCGTATGCCTGATCAGGGCGATGGTGTCAGGAGACTCAGAACCAGAATGATCGAGGGCAACTTCGAGGATCCCGCAACTGGGAGTGCTTGCTGTGGTCTTGCGGCATACTTGGTCTTGAAGGAGGGTATCCAAGATGGAAAGGTCAAATTTGATATCTTGCAGGCTGTTGAGATTGGAAGACCTAGCGAGATTGGTGTCGAGGTTGAGGTCAAGGGCAGTGAGATCAAAACAGTCGTACTTTCCGGAAAGTCAGTGAGCGTTATGGAAGGCAAGATATTCTATGAATAGTTGGATATATTAGAATGGTCGAGTTTGAAACAACCAATACGAGCGGCATGTATCTCACGGCGACTTATAGCAATTGAACTAGGCATAACAATGCACAGTGATTTCCAGGAGGACGCAGTATCCACAGAGAAAGCATTAGCTGAGGATGCTTCCATGGCCACGCTTCTGGTATGGAAATGATTGTGCATGTTTACAGCTACAATGGGACGGCCTTTAGAACACAGAGAGGTTGGGACGGGGGAATTAAGTTGTGCAATCATCGTTTCTCTTGTCTCGTCTTGTCTTCCTGCAATACCATCCGACCCATCTCCATCTCAAATTCAGACCTGTGAGAATCGGCAAAAGCGGTACTGTCATCTCTATCATTCCTCCTGGAGAGCTTGTACGATTTCACGAGTCTAACATGAGACTCATGTTGACCTTGGATACAGCTGTCATAGAATCCAGGAGTCCAACATACGAAGGTCTCATTATACCGCCTTGACCACACGTTTCCCACAGCTTGTCAAGGACTCCTTTGGCAGTAGCGATGTTCTTGGCGACCAATTCGGCGCTCTGAGGGGACTTTAGAAGACCTTGGCGCCTCTCTTGCATGAAAGTAATCTCTGGTGAGTCAGGTTGGTCCTCACAAGAGAGCAGGTGGGGGAAGATNTGGCGTTTGCGGATTGTCCATTTCAGAGGGTCGCGGCAGCAGAGATCGATGTTGATGTGATGACTGGGGCAGCTGCGGCAGCACTGCGAGGCCAGAGTTATGTAGCGTAAGTTTTGTAGGTGATCGGCGCTCAGGTAGTCCTTTAACCAGGATTCAGTACGGGGATAGAGGCTGTCAGGGCGAAACAGATGAGAATGGAGGACAAAGCGGTTGATGCGGAAGAAGATGGCTGTTCCCTCTTGACGAATGTGGCGGCAGGTCTGTAGTAGAGCAGGTTTGGCTGCAGGCTCAAGATTCGGCTTGCAAGAGTGATCGGGCTCCGTACCCAGAAGTAGAGCCGATTCATAGACCATCGAACGGATTCCCTGAGGCAGGTCCATGACCTCGAGAACGAGAGTCTCATCAGCTTGCTTCAAGGTCAAGGCATACGCTGATTTGACTCGATGGCGAGGTGGAGCGACACCACGTTGGTTGAGTGAGGTGACAAGATCTTTGTTGGACCAAGTGAGATAGGGGTTGCGCAGCAGATCGTCTTGGTGGAGGACGTCAAACAGTGTCTTACATGCTGCGCGGTACTTTGAAAGCTTAGTGCGCGCACGGCACGAGAGACCAGAGGGATTCTAATCGTGGTCGTCCATGTCTTCGTCAAGATCGAGCTGCAGCTCATCGATGTCTTCGTAGCGGCATGGGCAAATTGAAGATCTGTGCTTGCAGACCCTGAGTTGAGCGACGATGTAGGCGGCTAATTTTTTGAGACTCTTTTCCTTGAGGTTTGGAGGCTTGACCTCCCTGGGGTATTCGTCTCTCGCAACTATAGATAGCTGTTGTGAAAGGTTGTGTGCTGTCAAGAGATCCAATAGATCATCAGCGTGTGTATGCAATAAAAGCATCGAAAGTCTGTTACCTTTTGGTCGAGGTGGCAACAGACGCAGACAAGAAGTCAGCGCGTGCGAGGATCTAGTTGTGAGGTTCGAGTGTGGTTGTGTTTGTTGCGCAGCCGAAACAAGAATGAGAGACCGGCAGCGTGCAGACTGACGCAAGTGCAGGTGCAAGTGAATCTCAAGCAAGACACACTCAGAACACGAACTAGGAAGTCGCGTCTATCCAGATTAGGCACTCCTTACAAAGATACTGGTCACCTTGTAGCTATCAAAATGCACAATTTATATCCCAGCCAGAAGCGTGGCCACAGAGATACCTCGAAATAAATTCTCTTACTGGACAGCGTTGCCCTCTGAAAAGTATTGTGTATCTCTACAGACACACTGTGACAGTCTTTACCACGCGGGAGGCCGGCAGAGTATGTGAGCAACAGTTTTCAGGCATATACAATGGCCTGCATAGGCACAGACACGATTGCGCATTATTGTCAACCCGGGGCAAGGAGAAGAATCGGACTGGGCTAGGAATAGACAAGCGGAATTGTACATTGCCATGATAATGACTGTTCACGAGGGGTCATTGTGCTATGGGCATGGAGGGAAGATACTGATTCTTGATGTGGATACTAAGGAGTAGGTAACAAGAGAAGAGTAAGAGGGAAAGTGGACAAGAGTGCAGTGCAGAGCAAAAGCAGACCAAACTTGCAGAACCATGCCAAAGGGGAAATCCTCATCCAAACCATAGACTAACGCCTTGAGGAATCGGGAATATCACGAAATCGCAGAAGGGGACACAATCCATTAATGCTTCGGTCGACGAGCCATGTCACTTTAGACTTCCATGTCGAGGAAGATCCACTTGTCACTCGTGCAAGCGGCGCCCTTTGACCAGCGGTCGAGGGTAGTAAGCTCGAAGCCGACCCAGCCAAGGTCGCGAGTCAAGTCTTTGAGGTCTTCTTGGTCGGCAGAGCGATCAAGGCAGACGACAAGGTTCGAGCAACCAAAGTCATCGTTACCAGCCAACTCAAGAAGGCACATGAGGCTGCGGAGAATGATCAGTTGATGATCAAGAGACAGAAGATAAAAGTCAAACATACCCNNATTCTTGAGATCAGGTCCAATGACCGACTTGTCGAAAAAGACGAATAGAGTGCTAAGTCCATTCTTGTCGGAGACAAAGCCGCGGAAGCGCAAGCCAGCAGCATACTCCCAGATCTCGACCCACTCACGCACAGCGTTGTTGGGAACAGCCATGTCGATAGCGCTGTCGGCCGAGGGCGAAGGAGAAGGCAGCGGGGCACTTCCGTCGTTGCTTGTCTTGTTGTTGTAACACATACCCATCACAAGCGAGTCCTGAGCGACGGTGTTTCCCTCACCAAGAAAAACGGTGTCCAGTGTCTCGCAGAAGAGTCTCTCACATTCTTCCGTGATGGTGTATGCGGCGCCTCTGCTGCGCGAGCGAGCCTTGAGGCCCGGGCGCTGCGGCGACGACGAAGCCCTATTGACGGGCGACGTCCGTGGCGACGGTGGCGGTGACGTGCTCACCTCAAACCCACCACCCCGCTCCTGTCGTGGTGTTAGTNNCGACGAATGAGGACGAACGAAGATATGAAGGCACAAGTACGTACCGCCTGCCCCGCAGGTGGAGTAGTGGAAGCCCTTCAGGGCCATGTCGACGGCATCAACGGTGTAGGCGCTGGCCTGGATGTTGGAACGGGCGGCGACTTCCTTGGTCGCCTGGTAGTAATTACTACTACTATTACGGTGTTGATTGGAATAATTCGCCATTGAGAGGGTATGCCACGGTTGCGTGCCGGGGCTGGACGTGGATAGGTTGGGTTGTCGGAGACGAGTCGGTGAGAGACGTAGAGTCTGTTGACGGGCAGCGAGAGCGTGCGAGGCTTGATTGAGCGGTTTGGTTGCGGTTGGAGCGAGAGAGGGTGCGCAGGGCTTGTACAGGATTTATGAATCGTCGTCGTTGCGACGCTTCGAGAAAGCACTAGCCGTGCACCCCGCTCACGTGATTCTTGACCGTTCACCTATCGGAAACTCAATCGACGACATGGCTCTCTTTTCCAACGGCTGTCACTCCTACTAAACGTATTCACTTCTGTCACAAGGATCGATCACATGTAGAGTAGGCACAATGAAAATTCAGTGAACATGCCTTCATGATCTGTTGTATGTACAACGGACAATCGTCCATTTCTGAAAATGCAGCCTCCTGCCGAAACTTGAAACCTTCCACCCAGTAATGCCCAGTAGTGAGAGAGAGGCCAGACAAGCCTCTACTCCGCATGCCAACCAACGCCGACGCTTGATGATAGATATGGATCCAGTTGAATGTGTCTGGTATCCAAGAGAAAGAAATGCAGAACAAAAGAAACTCCTAAGTTGTGTCGACGAGGGCTCACATCTCGCGATAGTCGACTGATCGCTGTCTGCGGTTACGTGCTTGGTGACGGTGTGGGTTGACAGGGCGGCGGATGTATGCACCATCGTCACCTTCTGCTCCTGGTTGCTGGTTGTTGTTTGCGTTGTTCCAGTTCTGATTGCCTTGCCATTGCTGGCCTTGACCCTGGCCTTGACCGTAGCCTCCGTTCTGGCCCATCATCTGGTTGTTGTAACCGCCACCATACATATTTCCTCCACGTTGCTGCTGTTGTTGTTGTGGGAAGCCCATGCCGTTCATACCGTTCATGCCATTCATGCCGTTCATGAAGCCCATACCGCCCCATCCTCCGTTCACCATCATCTGGTTAGGCATGCCCATCATGTTCATCGGCATTCCCATCATACCTCCAGGNAAGCCCATGCCCATGGCTGGGTTGAAGCCGCCCATTCCAGGCATACCTCCTTGTTGGTTGGCGAGAGCGTTCATGGATTGGATGAAGTTGTTCTGGTCGAAGGCGCCTCCCTGCATTGGTGGTTGAGATGCGTTGTTCTGCTTGCGCATAGCTGCAGGGCCGGTAGGAATTCTAGTGTTCTCCAACTCGTCTTCGGCGGGACGCTTCTTAGAATCGGTTGCAGAAGTTGTTTGTGGTGTCGAGGTGGCCGACTTGTCTCCATCTACTGATGCGGGCTTTGGAGAGTTTGACTTTCTGTCAGTTGCAGCAGAGTTATTGATGCTGGTTTGTTGCTCAGTTGGTGGCGGGGTAGCAGACTTTTCCTTTTCCTTCTCCAGCTTCATTTTCGCCTTGTCCTCTTGGTAGGCCTTGATCTTGTCTACGGCCTCTTCGTCAGAGATGAGGTTGTCAACTAGTGTGTTGTCTGAGGAGCAACCAGGACAGACAAAGTCATTTTCAAGAAGGGCATTCTCGATACAGTCACGGCAATACGTCTTCCCACAGCAAGGAGTTTTCATTGGATCGACGAACATGCGTTTGTCAATTGGACATTCCAAGCCTCTCTCGCTCAATTCTTGGCTGTCTGTATTGGCAGCTTCGGCCTTGTCGGCCGCTGCCTTGGCCTTAGCCTGGAACTTTTCCCATGCAGCCTCGTCTGGTCTTGCAACAACCCATTCTCCAGTAGCAGTGTACATGACACCCGCTGGCAACTGAGAAACGTCGATGGTTCCGTCGCTCGATAGTGCGGTAGGCTTCTCGACAACCTTGAGGAAGGATCGTGGAATACCAGTAGTACGTCTGAACTTGGGGCGGCCGTCAAAGTTGGGGTCATTGTTGGTGGGACATGCTTGGATCCAGTGACCCTTTTCACCACAGCGGTGGCAGGTGTAACCTGGGGGCAGGGGCTTATCGGGAACGTTTGCTGTCTTCTGGAAGCCGCCAGTGCGGTGAACGGCCTTTTGGTTGGCCATCTCTTGTTGTTGCTGCTCCCACTGAGCACCTCCTGCCTGGAACATGGCTGCGATCTTCTCTTCTTCGGTCATGTTGGGGTTCATGTCTTGAGGNGCGCCGTTGCCCATGGGTGTTCCGGCTGCAGCTGCGGATTTGGAGGGTTCGATACGATGTTGATTCTTTGCCATGACGGGCATCTTGCCGGAGACGTAACGTGCGGCTCTACCAGCGCCGGGCTTGGTGGCAGGAAGACGTCTGGCGAGAACGGTGGTTCCACGGGAGATGATAGATGTGTCGTCATTGTATTCNTGCTCGGAGTCAGTTGTCTGCGAATGAAGACGTACACTTAGTGGTGTTTGCTTACCTTCATTAGTGTCGAGGTTGTAGATGTTAAAGTCGAAGTCAGTGCCGTCGCCGAGTCTGCTCATGTTGATTATGTCTCGCTTGAGCTCAAAGACGGAAATTCCAGTGCCATCAAAGGTCACTCTCTGCACATCCTTCTGGTTTTTGAACCTGAAGAAAACGGAAGAAGACATGGTTAGGAGTTACCGCAAAGGATGGGTTAACGTTAGAAGCAGCAGAGTAGTACAGCCGAAAAGTGAGAAACCAGATGGATTCCAGGCTCAGATTGTCAAACAAGGACAATAGGTCTTATTCTCGTGCGAATGCCGACTATGGTATAATTTTCTTCTTGACTTTGTTTTTCGAAGGTTTAGGAGGTCTTCAAGACGCTAAACACTATTGGGGGTACAAGATCTCTGAGTAGAGGGGAGAAAGAGTGTATTGGTGATGTGTGAAGACTTCAGGGCAAAGGTTTTGTATGTGGATATGCAACATGCACAGTCGCAGGCTTGTCCCTCCTCTCAGACCAACTCCTCAAACACTTCCACTTGCTCGTGTGAAGATCTTGCGCGGCTGACTCACTGGGCGACAATAGCGCGTTGCTGGCACTTGTCGATAGGCGCAGGCGGACGATGTGAAGACAGTCGGACGCGAATATTCGAGACGACAAAGACGGTGACCGTGATGGATGACGGCTGATGAGAAAGTCGTGTGGTTGATGAGAGACAAGAGAAGGATGTCTCGTCGGTGAAGTCCAAGCTGAAGGCGCAGGAGCCTGGAATCTACTTAGTCAGCCGGTTGGCGTCGGCAGAACTTTCCGAGCCTTTCCGAATCCGGAAAGAGCTCTCACTTTCTCGACCAAGGCAAGCAAGCACCTTCGACGGCCTGAACAACACAAATCTTGAATTCACTCAGGTACTCGAGTTCTGAGACAAACGATAAGGGAGTGATGAGTACTGGATTCACAACAACTACGTGTTTTACTACCATGTGAAGAAACATTGGACGCATGCGTTTCATGCTCAGCTCTGTCTCATTCATCTATGAATCGACTATTGTCTGTATGCTTTCTTTGTCTATCTACCCGCTTTCAAGGAATAGTCACAACCACTTTTCCAATTGCCTTGTTGTCCTCCATGTATTCATGTGCCTCGCCTATTCTCTCCAGCGGGAACGTCTTATCCAGAAACTGCTCTGGCTTGAACGTTCCAGCTTCCACCTTGTTGATCACCTCTCCAATGACTCTCTCCACGCCTTCATCCTCCTCCTGCCCGGGCTCTAGACTGTAGAATGTCATCTTCCTTGTAGGTGGGATAAGAGCAGGCGTAAACTCCTTCATAGCCCATTGCTTGGTGAGAACGCCTGTAACCACAACTGATCCATGCTTTGCCAGGTTCGGTAGCGCGAGAGATTGGATGGTGTCGGGCCCAACAAGTTCCAGCAGACAGTCGACGCCTTTTGGAGCCAGCTTATTCAGTTGCTCGTTGAGCTCGTGTTCAAGAACAACATGATCTGCTCCGACTGACTTCAGCTTTGCAACCTTGTCCTGCTTGCGTGTTGTAGCAATGACGGTACATCCGTGTTCCTTGGCCAAGAGAATAGCCCATACACCGACGCTGCTTGTTGCGCCATGGATCAGAGCAGTATCGCCTTTGGTGAGTTGGCCTGCTTCGAACAGAGATCCATACGCTGTCCACATGGACATCGTGATAGCACCTAGCACATTCCAAGACAGAGAAGTCTGTGGCAGTCTGAACAGTCGTTGAGCTGGGCAGATAACATATTCGGCATAAGCTCCATTAAATGCTTTACCTCCTCCGTAGATGAATCCGGTGCAAAGCTCTCCTTTCTTGAACTTGGTGTCAGAGCCTGCTTCCTCAACTATGCCCACGAATTCCTCTCCTGCTCAACAGGTCAGTCAAGGTCGTAGACGGTACACCCCGAAGGACCTACCAAGAATCTTCGGCGGATCAGGATGGAATTCATCAACGAACATTCCGAACTCAGGTGGTGCGGGTTTATCACCGTTGCGACCACGAAGCTCAGCACGATTCAATCCGGCGGCTTTGACCTTGACCAGAATCCAGCTCTGTGACGGAAGTGTAGGCTTGGGGTAATCCTCATCCATTGTGAAGCATCTTGATGGAGGGCTGGCACCAGGCGAGGATAAGACGGCAGCAGTCATATTGCCGCTAGGCGTGTTGTCCCATGAAGGCATAGTGATATGTTTGCTTCTTGACAGTATCCGAGTCTTTCAGTTGATGGACTCAAGAAAAGAAAGGCGTAAACATACGGAGTATAGAAAGCGAGGTTGGGAATATTGTGACATCATCTCGGCTGCTGGTAATGCGTCTTGTGTGGCATATCCTGTCCCAAGGCTCTCCCAGGGGCCAGTATCTCAGCTCCGTGAACTATGCGGAATGAACATGGCGTACTATGGCAATGACACATGATAACTTACATGCTTGCCAGACAAGCATATCCAGACACTGAATCGTCTAGCAACACAGCAACAATCTCCTGTGCTTCTACATATGGATCGGGCTTGCATTCGTGATTTCCACTAGACCTACATCACTCACCCGGGCCCGAGAGACACTGGTCGTTGGCACAGTCCGGACGCGACATAAGAACCGAGGCTGCATGTGTCGTGCACAATCACCCTAAGAATATGTATAGATAGATTTTGCCAATCGTCAAGCAATGTATGCTGTAGCATTCATGGTAGTAATGCCTTTATTGCGTCTTGGACCTTGGCTCGCAGACAATGACTAGAGTCTCGATGTGATTGCACTCGCATAGCGGATTGGAATGGTTGAAAGTACGACTGAGGGTCGAATATGGGAAAGGACGAAGAGCGCTTGAGGATTTTTCAGATATGATACATGAAGAGGCAGAAGGGGTCTATTGGCGATCGAGAATTGGCGCAGAAAGAACGTTTACTCGTCGTCGTTCTCCATGTACTTTTGCTTGAGGTCCTTCCATTGGCGCTAAGACGGGTGTTAGCGTGTGGATTGTGGTGATGAATCTGAAGAATATTCGAACGTACGCCCNTGGTTGATGGAGTTCCAGACGCTGTTGGAGGCGTTGTCGAAAGCNACTGCAGAGGGATTAGACCGAGATGGACACAGGGCGAGATTGGCTGGGGAGGTTGCGTACATCTCCATGGCGAAGGCGCTGGTGAAGACTACGCTGAGGAAGACGTAGTTTCTACGGAAGATGGTGCTGTTGGACAGAGTCAGAAGGTTGTCGAGAGCGGCCGAGGTGGTGGATCGAAGACTGACTTGTAGACATTCTGGAGAGCCTGCAATGGGCGTTAGTAGGGGGCCAATACGAGCGCAAAGATAGCTGTCTTACGGAGGAGGCCATTGTGAAGGGTTGACGAGTTCGACTGCGACTAGACGTGAATGTGGTGAACCTGCGACTGCAACTGGCGACGACGAGGGAAGCCGCCGCTCCATCCTCAACTTCCATGGTCAGCAAGTCTTGGCAGTCTTGGCGTTGGTCTCGCTCTTTCCGCTTGCTGCATCTTTCGAGTCTCTCGAGAATTGACACTATCCACACCCATTGAATCGGGTTCCTCTGCGACAAGGCTTCACTTTACTGGCACAAAGATGCCTACCGAAGCCTCCAAGGTGTCCCGCGCTGGCATCGCAACCTCAGCAACCGGCGAGCGACACATCNCCTCCTCCGTACGACCTGATGGATCTGTAAGGAAAGAAATCCGCGTGCGCCCTGGTTACCGCCCTCCGGAAGACGTTGAACTCTACAAGAACCGAACAGCCGAAGCATACAAGAATCGTGGCAAGGGTGGGGTTCCAGGCGCCGATACTGCTTCTGCCCCGCCAGAAGCTCCTTCTGCCGCTGCCAACAAGAACGCAAAACGTAGAGAGGCCAGAAAGAAGGCCGCAGCGTCTGTTCCAACCAGGGATGATATCCCTGCCGCAACTGCAGCCACCGAACAACCTCCTGCTGCAGTAGAACCCGCCAAACAGGAGCCTGTCGATCCGGAAGTCGAGAAGACAAAAGAGGCCAAGAAGCTGGCCAAGAAGCTTCGCCAGGCACGCGATCTGCAGGACAAGAAAGAGAAGGGCGACTCCCTGCTTCCGGAGCAGTTCCAANAAGTCATCAAGATCAATGAGCTCATTCGACAACTTGAGACCCTGGGTTTCGATTCCAATGGAGACAAGAAATCCACAGAAGCCGAATCGTGAAGTTCGCAGGTCTAACGCATCTCTACTACAATCGCCATGACATTCATCGTGTCATACAGCCCGAAAGGCGTCTCATATCGGACATGAACCTCGTCTGCTCTGACCTGCAACATGCTCCCTCTCCCACCTCCAACCTTTGATGCCACTTGTCGACACAATTCGTCAATTGCTTGGGCTTGCGACCAGAATCCCACGCTGTTGAGCTCTCCAGTCAGCTCGATGACAATCGGCTTTTCGTCAAATTCGGCGATCTTATAAGTGCTAGAGAGACCTGCTACTGTCAGAGGGCTTGCTTGCTTTCTGGCTACCCAAGTGAAAACTTACTGCATTCGTGCCCAGAAGGTATGAGCACTAGTGTAGTTCTTGAGATGCCGTACAACGCTCTCTGCTCTAGCGCTATGTGAACCTTTTCTGCAGCTGCAGACACCAACATCGATCGAGATGCAGTCGCTTGATCGACCAGATTGTATGGTCGGTTTGCTGTCTTTCTGTCCTCGGGTCTCAGGCCAATTGATTCGCCCGAGTATCTCTCTTCGTAGGGTGGTGGGTTGTCGGCCATCTTGAATCTCAATAGACAAAAAGACTATGCGTGCTGTCTGGGGTGCTTCTGGTGTTCAGAGCTTGATATCAGAAGTTCAGGCTGACTTCTGCGCCTTGATATCGTTTTTGTGCCTGAAAGTTCGCAAGACCATGCGAGCGTTGTTGAAGATAGTTGGTTGGAATTGTCAGGTGCCTGAATTTACCTTCCAGGCGTCTTCTCGAATCCTTCCAGCGAACTTCTGGATAACCGGCTGCGACTGAGCCTACTCACAGCCGGGTGGCTTGGCACCAATGACTGGTTAGGATTTCCAGCTCCACCTCTACCATGCTCAAGCCGAGACATACTATTCTGAAGTTCGAATTATCGTAGAGTTCGGCACAAGATGCCGACTGACCACTTGGCTAACCAATGCTATTGCCATATGCCTGCTATCCTGAGGACTAAAGAGCATATAGATTACCACCTGACTCGCTTCAACACCAACCAGGCATCATTGAGGGTTCGATGCCGGGAACAACGGCATTCCTTTAAGGCCGTAGAATGTGGCTCATCCAAATGCATATCGGCCTGTCATGAGCCTTGGGCAGCTTCGCCATGGGAGTTGCGGGTCAGACGTGCAGTATGACTGATTTCTACTCAAGTATATAAAGACACATATCCAGTCCTTTTGTCCATCCTTCTCGAAGTCACAATCAACTTCTCATATCTTCCTTACACTTACACATCACCGTCAAGATGGTTTGGGGATACCATGCTGCAGAGCCCAACTCCTACCTCGTCATCACTGGCGCAGGTGTCAAGGGACTGAAGCTCACCAAGAAGGCTATGGTCCTGCCTTTCCAGAAAGTCACCAAAATCTCGGTTTCCNCGTTCCATTTCACAACCGACCTTCAGGCCATGACATCGGAGAAGCTGCAAGTCTGTCTGCCGGCCGTCTTCACCATCGGTCCCAAGGATGACCAGGAATCACTCACCAAGTATGCCAGCTTGATGACAGACAGTGCCTCCGATGCTGGCGTTGCCAGCCGCCAACACATCCAGGCCATCATCATGGGCATTGTTGAAGGTGAGACCAGATCTGTCGTCTCCAACATTACCATGAAGGAGCTCTTCGAGAAGCGCAGCCTCTATAGAACCAAGGTTGTCGAGCACGTTCAAACCGAACTCACTCAATTCGGCCTCCATATCTACAATGCTAGCATCAAGGAGCTCCGTGATCTCCCTGGCAGTTTCTTCTTTGAGTTCCAGTCCAAGAAAGCACACGAAGGTGCCCAGGTATGTGGATCAAATTCCTGTCGTCTGAGGTTGAGAGCGGAGTGCTGACCGCCAATTTGGANNCAGAACCAAGCAAAAGTCGATGTAGCATATGCCCGTACGTGACATCCGTCTCATCACTTTCTTACACTCATAATACTAATCTCCATTTTCAATAGGCNNATGCAAGGTGAAATTGGAGAAGCCGAAAACCTAGGCCGCACCAAACAGGAAATCGCAAAAATCAACGCCAACACCGCCGTTCAAGAGACCGAACGCAAGATCGAAAAGGCAATGGCAGATTCTCGCTTCAAATCTCAAGAAATTGATATCGAGAGAAAACTGAACATTGAGCGTATCCAAGCCGAACGCGCCGCCGAGCTCAGAGATGCAGACCTCCAAAAGGGCGTGCAAGAAAGTAAAGCTTTGATGGAGTTGGAGCGCATGAGAGCAATAAACGTGACCAAAGCCAAAGTAGCAAAAGAATCAGCAGCTCAAGAAGCAGATGCACAACTCNTACAAAGCCCGTCAAGCCGCAGAAGCAAACGCCTTCCAGCAATCAAAACCGCCGACCTCGAACTCTACACCACCGAAAAACAAGCAACAGGCCACTTCCACAAAAAGCAACGCGAAACAGAAGCAAAGTTCCTCCAAGACAGCAAAGCCGCAGACGCCTCTTTGTACCGCAAACAACAAGACGCCCTCAGTGATCTCGAAAGTAGAAAGGCAGAAGCAACCGGCGACCTTGAAATCAAAAAGGCACAAGCAGCCGGTGACTTTGGAATCAAAAAGGCTCAGGCAGAAGTCCTCTACATCCGCCACGAGCGCGAAGCAGCAGGAATAATCCAACTCGCCACCGCCTACGAAAAACTCGGCAATGTGCTGGGAGGCCCTCAAGGCGTGCGCGATTGGATTATGCTCCAAAACAACATTCTCGTGCAACTTGCAAAGGCAAATGCTGAAGCTATCAGAGGTTTACAGCCAAAGATCAATGTCTGGACTACGGAATCGCAGGAAGGTGCTGCTACAGACTCGTTTGCTCCCATCAAGAATATTATGCAGAGTTTGCCTCCGCTTNTTTCGACGATTCAGGATCAGACGGGTATGATGCCGCCGGCTTGGTTGGCGCAGATGCCGAATGGCCATGGACGAACGGATTCCGCTCACGAGCTTCCGCATGCTCTGCAGAAGCACAAGAGTATCAATGGTTCTTAGGTCAGAGGCTACCATGCCAACATTTCCTTTCCTTTCTAATAATCAGTATCTTGTTTCGGGAGCTAGAGGACTCGCAGTATCGAGTTTCTCATCGGCTGTTCTTTTTTACTATATCCGTAGTCGTCAGTAGTAGAGTGATGTTACAATCTATTTAAATACCCGATTCTATCACCTCTCAACATGTACTCCTCTGTGTCTCTGTATAACTCTTTTGCATTACCTAGCCGCGAAGGAGAACCGAGTCTCGAAGATTTCTGCTGTCCGCCTTTCTGTGGGATCGAAGCAAGGAAAGAAGCGAGGACTAGTTGCACCGATGCATCGTACCTTCCTTACAAAGGCTTGCGAATTGGGATTACAGAGAAGGTAACAAGCACACCAGCTCGTGGGCTTAGAGTGCCTAGTTGGCAAAGGAAAAAGAGAAGGAAAGCACGATCGCGAGCCAATTTGAATGAGATGAAAAGGCAGCTACAGCATGGATGAGTTGCCTGGGGAGAAGAACAATCACGTCATGGTCCTGGTCACAACTCGAAGAGATGGTTACACTTGCCTTCATAGGACCAGATGAGAGAAGGGAGCATCAGTACAAGTACAAGTACAGCACAGAACAAACAACCATTGTTATCATTAAGCGAAAGACTAAGATTAAGCAGGGTATGGATGAGCGAAGCAACGCCATCAGATCTTCAAGGTCGTCATTTTGTCTGCCAGTTTCGTAAAGGCCGAGACAGATATATGCATGCATTAATTCTTTCGTTTTCCCTCCATTTCTTGCTGACATGAGAGCAAAAAAGCAACCGGAATTGGATAACAACACAAACATCGCAGGAAAGAACAAAGAAGCAACGTTATCCTCCACGCTAAGCATCAGAAGCAAAGGCGTAAGGGGTATATCCCGAAATGCTGAAAGAAGGAAAAACGACAGGATGTAGACAAACAAAAGAGAGAACAACCTCGAGGACTCCGCTTGTAGATAAGAAAAGATGCAAAAGATAGATGCAGAGCCATGATATGTTGATGCGACAGGCCAGCGGAAGTAAGAGACGAATCAGTAGAGGGAGGCATGCTTTCGGAATACTGCGTACGCTGTGTATGGTCGTAACGCGTGGGAGCATCAGTGATGCGTCGAAAATTCTTAGACCATAGCGTCGATAGAGTTGAACGAGCCGCCAGATTCAATAGAATCGCCAGTCAGGCCCTCGTTCTTGTAGAGATCATTTCCATCCCTCTCAGGGAAAAGAGTGCGATCAATTGCTTCAAGAATCAGAATGTCACTGACTGCGACACTGGAAGCACACTGCAAACGGCGAATGAAGGCGATCGTGCGACTGAGTAGCTTTTGCAGCTTTTCCTTGGGCACGAGCTCCTTGAGCCAGTCGATATTGCAGTTATAGACTGCTGCAAGAACAAGCATATTGCCGAATTGCCTAGAAGACGTCAGTTGCTATCCAGACTAGAACGAAGATGCAAAGCCTTACGCATGCGCGGTTCCCATAATATTGGTGACAATCAAGCGGTGGTCAAAGTTCTCTACGCCGTCAAAAGCTACGGTACTGCGCATAGCAGCATCGATACAGATGCGGCACTTGGACTTGACCATCTCCTCGTCATTGTATCTCGAAATAGCGGTGAACAATGCAAGCTCGGTTTCCCGATCGCGACCGTTGGCATCTTTTGTTAGCTCTTCGAGAGTTTTGCCACTTCCGAGTTCGTACATGACATGCAGAGCATAATCAAGATAGGGTCGCGTACAAACGTAACGGGCACCGTAATACTTGCCTCTCAATCGAGCAGCGACGATGTCTGAAGCAAGGGGATCATCATCCGACCAAGTGTACTCGTCCACAAGTTCTTGCCAGCCTTTCAAGTCATCTGTCTGCTGCCAGAGAAGTTCCGCAAGCCTTTGAGGATCTTCCGAAGATACTNNGCATTCTGTCAGCTTGATTTCGTGAATGGGGTCGAGCAGCAACATACATTGTCCTCCATATAAATCTGTATGGATTCTGTTCAGCTTTGTACGCAGATACAGTTGAGCCGAATAGTACAAAGTTATGGTGTATCTCTCCTGCTGCTCCTCTGGGGTCCATGTCTCGGCTTGTGTCATGGTTGGTAACGGATAAGTGACTGACCCCTCAAGTAGATGGAGTCCACTACGAGGATAGTCCCATTCGGCGAGGATATCACTNGTTTTACAGTCAGCTTAGTCAGGATTGCTCAAACTTTGTGCATACCTCTCAAGCTGTAAGGCGGACCAAAAAGCAAGGATAGTTAGATTCTCATGCTTGTTCAAGCTTCGCGCCTTCTTCTTGTCCTTGATTGTGTTGTCCAGGCCATCACTGTACATGGTATAAATAAATGTTCTCAAGCGATTTCCGTGACGAGAACTTACATTTCTCATGCGGTAAAGGCAAGTCCGTGCTGCCGTACTTATCCAGCTCCAACTCTCTTGAACTCTGGCAAGTTGACCCTTATAGAGGCCAGCTAGCAGACGTGCTTGGGCGGCCGCGAGCTCGTTCGAATCTGTAAAGTCGCCGAGGATAGAGGCGGCTTCGCGATAGTAAACGAATCCAGCTATCTTCTCATGGTTTTGGGCTTGCCTTTTATCCGATGGCTGACTCCCAGTGCCGTCCCAGGAGCGAGCGCGGGAGATTCCAGCGGAAGAGTTGGCCACATTACTAACGAACTGTCTCGGAGATGAGAAAGCTGGTTGCATATGAGGCGATGCCATTGTTGCGTGGACGGGGTTAGCCCTACTCGTCGGAACAACTTCTTGTACTGAGCCAGGAAGGGGATCAGGAGCCTCGCAGATCTTGCCCAAGGCAAGGACTAGATACACGATTGCATTGGTAAGGTTCCTTTCTGGTGCGCGTTTGAATTGTGGCGATGCAGCATTGCTCGTAGGTTCGCCTCCTGGCAGAAGGCCAATGGCAAACTTGTCGTTACGTTTTCTCCGCTTGGCTTCACGCTCACCAGATCCATTCGTGACAAATAACGGCGAGTGGTGATTCTTGGGTTCGACGCAGTGCATCGGTTTGAACGTATCTCTGAGATATATTCCTAGACTTTCGATATCCACAAATGGATGCAAGCGGTGGATGTTCTTTTTGTAGGAGTTGAACAGATGGTCAATAGTGTCGATATCCATGGACATGGCAGGTGAGCCAGGAGTGAATGGCTCAGACCTTCGAGGATCGTTCTCAGGCGTTGAAGCGATGAGATCGTCTCCATTTGAACTGCCTGCAGGACTTTCGGCGCCGATATTCACTAGCTCGTCTTTGACACGCTCGCCAGCACCATACAGACGCAATATGCCACGATCTTCGCCTTTCATGACATAGTTTTCGCTGATGTTGCATTTGCTAGTCCGTACGAAAGGTTGAATGGAAGGCCAACGGAGCAATAACTTGTGAGCTGCCGTAGTATGGTCGCCGATCTCCCACGTCTGCTGTTGACTGTCTGTCAGTTCCTCGGGGTTGTTGTTGTCTATAGCCATAGCATCTGGGTTCTGACTGGGCGGATTTGGCGTGTCAACACGAGCGTGTGCTGAAGGTTGAATGGCGAGATGTTTTTCGACAATACCGAGGCGGTCACTGATGGATTTGAGAGACGTCAAGACTTCGGCAACCATCTCGGAAAGAGCCTGGTTGTTCTTGTCGGCTTTCGTGGGATGCGCATCCTTGTAAACACACAGCAGATCTTGCTCCTTGCATGTTGCACAGGGACGATTCTCATCGCATTTGGACTTACGCTCGCGACATCTATCGCAGGCCTGTNNGGATATACATTAAGAAACCATTGCCGGAAGTCAGAACGTGAATTAGCCTACCTGACTAGCGCGCATACTCTTCTTGCGCGAATTTGGATTCGACATGTGCATGGGTGGCATATACTGTGGATAGTATCCCGGTGGTGGTTGACCATAAGGATCCAGCATAGGACCCACTATGTAGTTGACATGTTCACCCTGTGGAGGCGGTGCGTGCTGCACATAAGCAGCGGGATGGTGTTCCATGGGTGGGCGAGTGTTCGGTGGTGGCCCAGGATGTTGCGATGAGGGCTGAGACTGAGGCTGCGACTGCAGAGGGTTACTCGAAGGGCGTGGATACTGAGGCGGTGCAGGAGGTATGTCTGTCTTGATGACAGGAGTTCCGTGGAGAGCAGGCGGAGCGGGATATGGATGTTCANNGCCCTGTCCGGGCCCTCTGGGTGCGGCGCAGGGTGTATCACGGTCGGCGGGGGTTGCTGGGCGTGGTATTGGTGCGGCGGTGGAGGAGGAGGAGGGNACACTCGGCAGACTATGGGGTCTGGGTGGGGGATAGATCTGTTGGTTCAAGGGAGGGACAGAGTGGTCGGATGGGAGCGAGGGACGGTGGTAGTGCTGGTCGGGGCCGGCTAGGGGTGTACGTCGTTGATCCATGGACTGACAGGTTTGGCTCATAGACGGCTGTCCGTGTCAGCGGCGCTCCGACGTTGCAAGTGCGCACGCAGGGCTCCGCAGGACAGGTTGGTGGGCAGATGGGGTAGGTCAAGGCGGCAGTGATAACGGCGGCGGCAGCAGAGACAGTAGCAGAAGCAGAAGGAAAGCAGGAGCCCTTTAGCCTCTGGTAGGTACTTGGGCAAGCAGACACGGCGACGGTCGGAGATGAGCTGATGAACGTCTGTTCGAGGAGCTTGTTCAGTAATCTGTGAGATGGCTCCTGCTCAGATCAGATCGGATCTGGTAAGACCAAGATGCGGCGGCGGCGGCGGCGAAGGCAGGTGGCAGGGGGGGTAACGTGGGCGAGAGCGACGTGCAGACAGGTAGGCGCGACTGAGGTCGGGTCGAGTACGATGACTTGTGCCTGATCCGAGTTTCCTGGCAGTGGATGACGGAGAGCTGTCGAGGTCGAATCTTTGTGATTTGCTTGTCCCCTGTGAGATACAGTGCGATTCGCTAGGCCCATCAAACGCTGGTGCGCACGCCGCGATCTCGTTTGTCGAAAAAGGTCGTCTTTCTTGCGGATCTACGCTACCGGACAAGGGCCATGAGCATGCTAGACACGACTGTGGTCCCGACTCCCAGATACACCCTCTGTTTAGCGCCAGTGTCGGCCGCTTTAGCTTCCGTCGTGGAAAGACGCCCAAAGACTGGCAGACCCTAAACGCATGGGAATCTGCGCTGAATATCGACAACGACTGTCATGCAGCTCTAGTGCCTGGAAGAAAGAGCTCCCAAAACACCAGCCCGCCCGCCTTGAGCTTTGTGCGAGTCAGACAGTTCGCTGCCAAAATCCTTGACTCGCGACCCCTCAAAGTCAATTCAAACCTTCGTTTGACACTCTAACTAGCGATATGACATCTCGTACTCGGTGTAGTCATCCACTTAATTCAGCACAATAATCCTCGCTATATTTGACCAGCCTGGACCTGACCATCTCTTTTCTGATGACTGACCCTGGAACACGTTTTGTTTCTCCGAGGCGAAGCTTAATTCCCATCTTCAGAAATCTCCATGCCGAAACATGCCTATGGACCCTGGCGCGTGGCTGGATGTACTGGGCGATACAAGACGACCAACAAAAGGCAACCTTCTTACGTATTTCCACCGAACGGCACGATGGTCACTACTACTGCTTGATTCCAGAACCTACTCCTCAAATCTGCTTGGGTTTCGACCATCTCATCCTGATATATTGATGTACAGTAACTGCCATGAGCCTCCTTCGAGGCGAGCGTGCTGTGCCTTCACGCCAATCTATACTGCCCACACACACAAAGAAACATTGAATACTAATCATTCAATTCGACCACGCAAGGTGAGCGCACGTAATTTCCTAAACAAGAATCACTCAATGCAAGAGCAATTCTTGCCCTTGTCAGATCAGCCGTCTGCCTTCCCGGATCCCGGACATCCAAACCGGCGGTGTGAGTGGTATGGCGATCTCCCACTTCTACCGACACAACCGGTTTCAGATTTGACCCTGCTGCCAGGAATTTCAGGTCATCTTGCTGTGGGTGTCATGATATATCAAGGTTTGGCAATGTCTTTCAGGACGGCTTACCACTCTGGGCTGTGCCTTGGACGAACCTGATTCCTCCTTCTCGGTCCAGCAACCCAAGAACAGTCGCAGATATGTCCGCAATTTGTGTGACCAAACGCCGCTGAAGTCTCATCGCTACTACTTGCCTGATGGTCACTCTTTCACTCTGGATATCGATCTAGCTTTCTTAGCGCGACGTGGAGGACCGCGCCTGTGGTTTTGAGACCTTTGACATGCAACGGGGCGGAGCGTCGCGCAAAGTGGAGACAGGACAGAGTCCAACCGTCCATCGCGAGTCGTGAGGCGGGTTAGGTTGCACGCCTAAAAACCACATCGTCCCGCACCGGTCTCTGCCAACTGCGAAGTGATGCTTTACGATAGGGCTCTAGTTGACAGCGCACATTGCGTACAATTTGCTGGAGAGCTTTCACCGCTTGGACAGAAGAACTTATGATCATGAGACAGGAGGGGCTGTAGATACAAGGGACCTTGACGGGTTCTAGAACCGTGATACAACCGTGACTTGTGAACTTGGTTCTGTTGCTGCGAGCGAAAGCAAGCTGCCACGTCGTGCAATTATTGCAATCGGGCATCACGTCTTTTCACATCTGATTGGACCTTTTGCACCTCAGTCGCATTGTCGCACCACATCATCACTGCAGCCCAGCATGCAGTATCGTTAAGTAATTGGCGATTCCAAATTGTTTCACAGCACAACGACCAGCCACCCCCCCGCATAGGTGCATCCTACTTTCATGCACGCTGGAGCAATAGGATGGAGATCTGCAGACCGCTTGGGTACTTGACAGTCTGTCAGGCATAGCCTTTCGTAATGGCGTGCCACTTGAACTGGATCCGTTGCTCTCGTCCGCACAACCCCGTCACGCCGTCTACTCGACCATTGAAGGACTTAGCTCCTGTTCCTGTGCTAATGACAGGCTTTTTTTCTTGTTTCTACACGCTACGTACACGCACGCCATGATCAACTGTGTTTCTAGAAACAGTCCAAACTCAAAAATCGTCTGGTCAATGTCGTGCATGAAGAGGGCAAATCATTATTGCCTCGTGCGAGCAGCCGCCGACGGCTAAAGGTGGCTCCACTCGGCGTCTATTGAGGTACTGCATTCGTCGACACGCGCAAATTGCCTGCAGCCAACACCTGTTCGATGACCATTGACCGGTCAATTGGCTCTCAAAAAGAAATCCGCCGAGCTCCAAAAAATGAATCATCCGTATCGAGTGACTTCTATCTTGACGATCCGTAATACGAGATGCATCTTTCCCTTTTGTTTCGAGACCTGCATGATTAGTGTTGCTCATCTATCTCCTGACTTTTCTTGGCCCATCAGTGTTTTTGATCACGAAAGGTCTGCGTGAAGGCGGTCCTATCGATGGCTGGCGTGGCCGCCGCCGTCTCGTGTGCCCGCACCCAGGTTTCAATCTTGCCCCTGACCAAGACGACTGATCCATCGAGCAATTTGTTCGGCTCGATCATGGACGTCTCGCCCAGGGCCATGACCACATCTTCGGGTGCGATCCAGGTTTGCTGAACGATCTGGTCGACAGTCCAAGATCGATTTGAAGGATTTGACAAGATGCTCTGACAGATCGAGGCTGACCAGTATGCTAGATAGGCCTTTCTTCCGAGACTCGATAGGGCTNNGAAGTTTTGTCAGCGTGGCTTCCAAGGTGATGGTTTTTTTATGGAAGTGGATTTCTTACGTTTTTCAGGACCACCGAGTCTGCCTTCTCGTCGACTTAATTCATAGCTCACACCCATAAGCAACTGGCCCAGGCCACGTTTCTGCCAGGGTGGAAAGACCAGAATACAAGCCACATTATTGTTGTCCCAGCTCATCTTTTCCTTGCTGAAAAAGCCCACGACTTGTCTTTCGGCGGTTTGCGGATCCGTAAGCACGAGAAGGTAGTAACGAAATGTGGTGACATCGTAAAAGACAGACTTGGTGTCGAGGAAGAGCTTGGCGAACAAGGAGAGGTTCTGCGAGTACAGCTGCTCGACGTATTAGCAAGCTTCAGGCAATTGTAGAATGTAGTAGACCATGTGTACCTTGTGCTCTTCACCATCGATCTCGTATATTGATTGGTCGGCCGTCTGATATATCAGTGTTCCCGGTGGCGGCGACTCTCTCAATGGACAGACTCTCTGACTTATGTCAGCTTGGCCTGGACGTTGTGCGCCAGTAGATGAGGGCGACCGTACTCTGTGTGCAAGGTATGGCATGAGCTCTTTGGAGTAGCGAAAACAGCTCTCACAGACATAGAGGCGCTCGGCCTTCCTGCCGACGAGATCCTCAGGGTAGAATGAGGGATACCATGGCTTGATCTGGATGTTGCCCAAGACGACGTTCAGGACATTAGGTTCGGTGGGAGACTTNTTGGGCGTCTGATGTTCTTGGGGCCTCGTCTGAGGGGACACTGCAGCGGCCATGTCGTGGATTGACGAGTTTGTCCGGACGAAGCGTTCGCATCATCACTGGCGTTGAGCGAGACAAGTCATGCTGGGATCCGGGTGTTCATGCAGTGCGAGCCATGCCTGGTATCTGTATCACAGCTTCGACCTGATCGTCATCGTCGTCGCGACGCCGGGCTTCTTCTCCGCCAAGACAATGCTCTACAGGCTAGGCACAGCACCGTACGCGTACTCGAATATGTAGGTAATGTTTATCTCAATTTGACTTTGGATGACCTGCTTCATGCTATTGCTTAATCTGTCTCAACTCATGCTAGAGCATGTCAATAGTGCATTGCTTTGACATGCTTCTCAGCCTCGTTTCGCCTGTTTCGGTATGCGCCGCGTCTATGGCACTGCATCCTATCCAGGCGCTTTATAATTCGCGTCCTTGTATTTGTGCTCCTATAGCTCTCTATGGCAGCATAGATGCCTTCCGGACTAGGCTTCTCGGCGCATACATGTGGCTCATACCCGAACTCCTTGATCAGATAGTCGCGAGTCGTGGGTCCGATGGTTGCAATGAATGTTGTGGTTGGCGATGATTCTGTGACCTCTGACTTGTAGTGGCCAGCCTCGTCGAGCCATCCCAGGCAATCGAGCATCGCTCTGCATCCTTGAGGTGAGAATACGACTACCCATTGCTCCTTGGCCTTAGAGGCAACATTGTCCGCAAGGGCACGAGCAAAGTCGATGTGGAAAGATGCCATCTCGCAAGTCTCGTAGATGACAACCTCGTGAACACCAATGCGAGCTTCTTGAGGCAAGTCAGGAGACTGAAGAGATTTGGGAATAATGTCCCTGCGAACTTCTCCTACCAAGAACAAAAGAGGAAGCTTGCGGTCTTGCCTTACCGTCTGACTTGTGGGAAGGCTGTTGTGGTGGTCCAGCATGAAGGCAGAAAGGGCGGCACCGTTACCAGTCTCCTCGCCAATGATCTGACATTTCAAGCCTAACGATCGTAGTCCTCTCGCAGTCGCTGGTCCGACAACATACAACGGTAGAGCTGCGGGCAGAAGTTCATCTCTAATGTCAGAATCCAGCGACTCGATTATTGATGTAAAAGCCTCGACAGCACGTTGTGAAGTGAAGATAATACCGCCGAAGCTTGACTCGGCAGCTACAGAAGCATCAGGGTTGAAACCCCGGCCCGAAGTTATGTTCTTCAGCCAGGTCAGGGCATCTTCCCTGAAGCGGTGTTCTAGGACGGGTAGAAAGGTAGGTAGGTAATTGTTCCAGCCAGCAAAGATTTCTTGGTAGCCATCAGCGGGGATGGACTTTGTCTTGAGCAGCAACACAGGTATGTCTGATGTCGTGGACGCCATGTCGAATGGTATGTCGTCGACGGGAGGTCGAATTGTAGAAGCGGGAAGAACCGAGAGGTGATTGGAAAGAGGCCCGATGGAACCCGAGCACGGACGAAGGAGCCCCGGAAGTGCCTGACAAATGCGAAATATAGAAAGATCGATAACATGCCTATCACTGAGATTCCGTATCCTATTCTCTCGCAATTCGGCTGCGCAGTGACAAAGACAACCGGAATGCCGCCCCAACCACTAGATGCGACGCCCGAGCAGAAGGCTCAGGTCGATGAAGAGGACAGAACTCCCAAGCAGCTACCGAAGGGCGTAGTCTTGGGTCCTGATGGCAAGCCGTACGTTAAGAGACAGTAGACAGGGTACTAGATCACATACTGAGGCGAATCCACAGGTNGTCGGTCATGCACTTCAGTGTCCTCATGGTTCGCCATGGCAAAGCAGGGTACATCGAATCCAGCCAAGATCGCGACAACGACACCACCAGCCCAAGCAATCGCCTCCCTCGACATGCCGGCAGACTGTCCACCAGACGTAGAACAGCTTGGTCGCTCGGCATGGACACTTCTTCACACCATGGCAGCAAGCTATCCAGAAAAGGCTTCACCAGAACAGCAAAGAGAGACAACAACGTTTATGCGACTATTTGGCAAGATGTACCCTTGCTGGGTATGCGCCGATGATTTCAGAGCATGGATGAAAGATGGCAACGAGCCACGCGTGAGCAGCAGGGAAGACTTTGGACAATGGATGTGCGAGGCACACAACGCCGTCAACGTCAAGCTGGGCAAGAAGTCGTTCGACTGCAAAAAGTGGGAAGAGCGATGGAGGACGGGCTGGAAAGATGGACGATGTGGTTGACCGCGCCTTCTGTTGTCTGTCTATACACTGCGATGCAAACTGCTCCCCACGCCACTCACCAAGAAGGGAAGCAGCGCTGTTGACAAACAAAGCGACCAGGACGACGCGTGCACTTTAAGCCCTGTCTGCCTGTGCCGAACGCAACCTTACTCAACTGAGAAGGTCTCGTGCGTCAGCATCACAGAAATCGACGAGGAAAGACACGTCCAAGTGCAAATATTATGACGTATGCATATAGCTTGGTCACGGTCTTCGCGTTAGAGTCGCGTTTCGAGGCTAAATCGTTACGATAAATACTCTTAGAGGTTCCTTATATACACTCTTCAGCTCCTCACTTTGATCCTGCAAGCTGCAAGCCCTCTGGACAATCAGTTCTCGTTGACATCACCAGTCGTCAGCTCCGTCACGCCATCATCACAACCCATTGAACCAATTGCACTCTTGCTAGCTCGACACCCCCTCACACCTTCCCCAATCAACTCACATCATGCCTGGCACACGATCATCTGCCCGTTTGGCTGAGAAGCAGTCCAGCNCCCCAGCTGCTTCCCAAGAAACAAAAGACAACAAGCGCAAGGCCGAAGATACTCAATCTTCTCCTTCCAAGAAGGGCCGCAAGGACACTGCTGAGCAAAAGACCATCGAAGAGACGCTCAAGCCTGCTGAACACACCAACGGTGATTCTGAATCCAAGCCTCCTGGTGAAGCTGGTCAGACCGAACGTGCTGAGCAGAAGCCCGCTGCCGACTCAGCTGAGCAAAAGTCATCAGAGCAAGCATCTGAACAGAAGCCCTCTGAGCAGACTAACGCTGAAATGAAGGACGACGGCTCCATCAAGCAGGTCGGCGAATCCTACCAGGGCCAGAACAGAGAGGGCGAGTCAAAGGATGATCCCGAGAAGGCTCTCAAGGACTCTCGTGGTGGTCAAGGTCTGAACACCATTGAGCCCGAGAACCCTAAGTCTAAGCCCGAGAACCTCCCTATCGTATGTGCCGCTCAATCCTACGCCATTGCATCGACTAACAGTCCCAGGNATGACATCCACCGCGACTTTGCTGCAGACCCCAAGGTCCCCACCGAAGAGAAGCCCAAGGAAGATGAGGACGCAGGCGGTGCCGTCGAAGAAAACAAGGATCGTGCTGAGCAGATGCCCAGCAACATCCAAGAAAAGGGTATCATCTACTTCTTCACCAGAGGCCGTGTCGGCATTGACGACCCTCAGAGCGTTCAGGACCTGCAGCGTAGCTACTTCGTCCTGCGTCCCCTGCCCACCGGCGCAAAGCTCGGTGACGGCGCCATCGAAGACGTCAAGAACAACCGTCTCTTCGCTCTTCCCAAGAAGGTCTTTCCCAAAAGCCCTAGCGATAAGTTTATGGTCTTTGTCGAGAGGGCAAAGGCTTCTATGGACGAACTGAAGAAGGACTTCTTCTCAAGCTCAGAATACGAAACTAAAACTGTAGGCAACCGAACCACACACCCTATCACTCCCATCGGTGAAGGTGTATACGCCATCACGGCTCAAGGAGCCCGATCCGAATCCCATCTCGCCTACATGCTCACCATTCCTCAAGAACCTGGTCAAATGCAGGAAGACATGGGCATCCGCTCAAAGGGCAGCTTCGTGCTAAGTCTAAAGAACCCTGAAGCCAAGGGCCCATCCTACGCTACCCTCGACCAGCCCGCTGAGTTCCCTAAGGATGTCATTGATGACTTCCGTGGCCGCAACTGGATGCCCGCTCAGCCCAAGCACCTCGACTACGCCAATGCACAACTCCTGATGATCGGCGAATCCCTCGATGACAGCCACGCACTCGAAGCCACATCCAAGGATGAAAAGTCCGACGACAAGGAGACACCGCAAGAGGAGATTGAGAAGCTGGAGCATGAAGACGAGCTCCGTGTTGAGCACCTCAAGGGAGACGACACGGTGTTTGCGGACTTGGGGCTCTCCCACAAGGAATACCCCAGTGTCCCCACCACCTGGTAAACGGTGTGATCTTTCAACCCCTGTAGTTTTAGTTTATGATATTGTAATGGGAAAGGAAGAGAATGAAGGACGGGTGTTCTTGTCGGCTTTGACCCTTGCGCCAGGGACGCATGGATGGAGGATAAAAGGTCTACCTTGCTGTACTACTCAGGAACGATGTAACGAAACAGAGAAAACGGAATCAAATGAAAAGCATTGTTGCACGTATCTATTGCTTGCCAGTCTTTGCCTTGTGATACGTCCCTACTGTTGCGTGCTCGGATTCCAGAAGCCGCATTCTGGTCTTGATCACTTGAGTCCTTATACATACCTTCGTCGTTGACATGTGTACTGTACCTCAGTGATATTGCATAGCCTAGAGTCAGGCCCAAGTATGAATGAGCTGACAATGTTCGATTTTGTGTACCAAATGGCGGACGTAAATTGAACGACGTTTGCTGTCTCTCGATATGGAGCTGCTTCAGAAACCAAAAATCATTGCTAACCAACAGATACGCTCTGATCTCCTTCCAAGACAACTTGAAAATATCTAAGCGAACCGAGAGATAGTACAGCACACTCGAGTATAGCAACGACCCTCTCCTTGGAGGAGCAAAAGGCAGTGCTCAAATAGAGACAGGGTCGTCCCCTCATCGATTTTCACTTGGTCAAATCTGTATGCACACACGAATATGGTCGTCTCGCAGAAAGCTCTGGGAAAGTGCGAAATGGTTTAATCCTTGTGTTCTTTTTGCTGTAATGCAACTTTGCTTCTGGAATACGCTTGCTGATGCCGGACAAAGGAAATGTAGTGGAAAAAGAGGAACAAAGCAGACAACGCCCCCAAATGATGAATCCTTCCTCTTTTCGAAGACAGTGTGATGGAAACAGAAAGACATGCTCAAATCGTAGTTTACACCTCTTGCGAGATGGAAACACGATAATAGAGAAGAGAAAACGACAACTCTCTTCAGGTATCCTTGATCTCATGACTCTAGCTCTTTTGTATGTTTGTGGGGTTTTCTGGCTGTATCATGGCCCGCTTCAGAGGAGCCAGCGTTGGCTGGTCTGATACCATGGAGTCTTCTCGTCTGAAGACTGTCTGGTTGGACTGGCGTTGGTATCGGGAACGGCAGGCTGCTGTCGCTTGTCTGACTCGATCTTGTCGGTCACCTTCGTTGAGTCGAACAACTTCTTCATAACAGGCAAACTTCTAGCCCACGATCCAGGTGCGAGCGGAGGGTTGATGATGGCGGTACGCGGCGTGTGGACGCTAGGACGAGGAGTGTTGTCAGAGAAGTAGGGAAGAGAGGTTGCAGCCGAGTCGGTAGTATTTGCGGCGAGATGAGGCGAAGAGCTCGTAGATGGCGGAAGTGGCACGGTGACGGGGTAGTAGTCCATGGCGGTGGCGTTCGGCTTGGGTGGGTGATATTTGGGCTTGACGAGAGTACAGTCGCTGCAAAGAAAATAGAGTCAGCAATCCAGCTCGGAAGCATTAGGATCATGATAGGTAGTACTTTTAAATGGCAAGAGATATATGGCAAGAGATAAGAAAAATAGATCCAGAAGTCAGAGAAGTTCGCAGCTCATGAATTACCGCATGATCTCTTCGAAGATGAGCTCTGTTTCACAGTTAGCATGTTCTTGGGTTGTTCGGTGAAGCTGGTCTTACGCTTGAGCTGCTCCTTGGTGAGGTTGTCCTTGTTCTTGTCAAAGTCGAAGAACTCTTCGGGGATGGCGTCGGCGGTGGGCTCGTCTTCGGGGTCGTGGTAGGGCTCGAGGTAAGGGTGTCTCAGAGCGTCCTCAACCGTAATGCGCTTAGCAGGGTTGAAGGCGAGAAGTTTGTCGAGCAGGTCAAGGGCAAGGTCCGAAGTCTTGGGAAACATGGCCTTCCATGGGATCTTCTTCTTGAAGGGCAAGCTGCGAATGTACTCGCGGGCACGACGCGACTTGATGCCGTAGTAGTCCTCCATGGTGGGCGTACCCAGGACGTCAAGGATGAGGGTGAGCTGGTGGTGGTAGTCCTTGCCAGGGAACAAGGGCTTGCCGCTCAGCATCTCGGCGAGAATGCATCCGACCGACCACACGTCAATGGCCTTGGTGTACTCCTTGAAGGTGAGCATGATCTCGGGAGCGCGGTACCAACGGGTGGCGACGTATTCGGTCATGAAACCCTGGTTGTCCTCGGTTGAGGCAGCTGAACGAGCGAGACCAAAGTCGCAGACCTTGAGATCGCAGTTTGCGTTGAGCAGCAAGTTGGAGGGTTTGAGATCGCGGTGCAAGACATTGGCCGAGTGCATGGCCTTGAGGGCGCGCAAGGTCTGGTAGATGAAGTACTGGCAGTGGTCGTCGGAAAGCTCCTGGGTGCGAATGACACGGTGCATGTCGGTCTCCATGAGCTCTTGGATGAGGTAGACCTCGGTGAAGGTTTCATAGCTGCGCGGCTTCTGGATGTCGAGGATGGAGATGATGTTTTCGTGGTTGAAGTAGCGGAGGAGCTTCATCTCACGCAGTGTGCGCAGACAGAACATGGAGTGGTCAAAGGGTGTGATCTTCTTGATGGCGACCTTCTGGCCCGACGGCTTGTGCAGTGCAGAGCTANNCGAAAGTCAGTCTGAGTTCGCATGCCTTCAATGGTCAAGGGGTACATACCACACGACACCGTAGGCACCCTCGCCGACTACGTCTTGAATGTCATACTGCTCTGACACGTTGAAGGAGATCTTGCGGGATCCGCTCTGGGGAGCTGCGCGCGACATGCTTGCGAGCTAAATGATGGTAAGGCTGTCGGTGGAAAGTGCGATTATACAGGGGAGGTGCGAATCAACCTGAAGTTATCAGCCGAGGGATGCGAAGTGCGCTTCTGCCTTCTTTCTTTCACTCACTCAGTTGTCGCCCAAGGCCGTTTTGAGAGAGGGTGATGCGGAAAGAGGGTCCAGCCGTTCTTTCTTTCTTTCTTTGGGATGCTGTTCTTTGTTGGTGGGCTAATTACTCGAGTGTTTGCTGCAGCTCCTGTCTCTGTTTGTTTCCCCTTTGGCTCGGACGTAAGAAAGACAAGTCGCTCAGCAGCAGGTCAAATGCAAGAGAGCCTTGTCGACCCAGCGCGGGGCACCATGAAGCAGCCAAAAGCACAGTCCCGCAAATACGCGCCTGTTTCCAATTGTACTAGACCCGCCCATTGGCCAGATACAGTCCGCGCTACTGACTTGTTTAAATTAAGTCCCTCCCATCCCCTTTGTCGCATCCAACTTGGCATCCGCTGCTTGAAAGTTGAAACAGACGTCTCGTCTATATTGATATATCACCAACTATCACTTCCTTACCCGCAAGTCCCGACCAACCGTTGAGAACTGTCTATCGATTGCGCGCACGCCATGTGTTTGCAGTCATCAGCCATATTTTTCCGTATCTCTATGCGATTCATGACCATCTATAAGACAAAAGGAAATTGCATAACCCCTCCGTATAAGCGCCATGCTGCATGAGCCCGCACCAAATCGAAACCCCTTGACCATCGCAATCCCAAATTGTCATCATCTTGTCATCCTGTCTACGTCGTTTTCACATTATACCGGAACCTTCAGGACCTGCTGAGCGGGAGCCTCAATCCCATCTTAGCCTTCCCCTTGCTACTCGAAGAGGGTGATTGTGGCTGCATCATGGCTGTCGGGCTCGTCGCATCCGGGTCAGAGTCATTCTCCACCAGCGTCCAGCTGTCTTCGACCTCCACTTCTTCCTCGTCTTCAGCGTCTGTATCACCCTGTGCCGCTCTAGCCACACGTTGTTGGACCAGCGTCTTTGCATACTCCATATCGCGATAGATGGCCTTGACAACTGTGCCGACACCATCTTCGGATCGAATCTGCTCTCCTAGGACTCTAGCCTTTTCGATCATGCGTGAATCATGCGTCGCGATCCATATTGCTTTGCCCAATGCGTTCTCAGTGACAGTCAGGACCTTTTGACCAACTCCAAGATCCTGGACTTTGCTGCCAAAGAAAAACTGGTCGCCAAAGAAAGGCTTGATGATGGTTGGAATGCCAGCGCGAAGACTGGCACCAGTCGTTCCTGCTCCGCCATGATGAACAGCAGCATCGACTTGTCGGAACAGCCAATCGTGTGGAGCGGATGCAATCTGGAACATGAATTCCGGCAAAGGCACTTCGAGTGCTTTGGCATCCTTCTTGTCCATACGATCGGACCAGCCCTTGGAGAGGATGCAGCGAACATCGGCCTTTTTGACAGCCGCGATGATGTCCATAGTAAGTTGCTTTGGGTCAGGAACGACCACTGAACCGAAGCCGATGTATACAAGCTTCGCCTTGTCCGTGCGTGCTTTCTTGATAAACTCGAGCAGCTCCTTCTGTGGGGTGAAGTTATCTGCTTCATCGAGGAACCAGTATCCTGTCACTCGGATCCACTCGCCAAAGTCGAGAGGGGGAACAACCACGCTGGGTGAGAAGTTGTAGAAGAACGGAACCTTGTCCTGCTGCATCTTCTCCATGTTCGTGGCCTTCAACCCCAGGTCTTCTTTGCGCCACCTGTTGATCGTACTTGAGGTGGCTTTCCAGAAAATGTTCTCGAAGATGACGTAAGTCATGTAGTTGTATGCGCCACCCATCCTGTTGTTCTGCATGCCGAAAGCATGAGGATAGGCACGCGTCCTGGTCCAGGGCATAGTAAAGGCTCTGAAGTAAGGGATACCAAGCGCTTCCGCAATGTGAATTCCAGCCATGGCGGAAGGGCTCTCGATCAATAGATCTGAATCTTGACAGGCTGCCCAGGCTGTCTTGAGAAGACCTCTGACAAAAGGCCAGAACTAAGGCTGTTAGTGCATGCTCGATGTGAGCAGTGGTGAACTTGGACGTACCTTCTGGTTCGTCTCATAAAGAAAAGAAGGCGTGAACATGCCATGATCGACGCAGAGTGCCATCAACTCTGCTGGATTACCTTCAACCGGTGCAAAATCAATGCCGTGGCCTCGTACCCAGTCACCAAACTCGGCATGAGAGGCAATTTTCGGTCTGTGCCCTTCAGCAAGCAGGCCTTTGCAAAGGGCTATATATGGTTGCACGTCTCCACGAGAACCGATAGTCAGGCAGGTGATCCGTAGGGACTCCTCGGGCTTGAAGTTCAAAACCGAGGCCGCTGGATCATCGAAGGAGATGGCTGGCGAGTCGGCATCTGCAACAATGTTAAAGGATGATACGGTCATGAAAGATGTGACTGTTGTACCTGGCTGGTCCATACCATGAGGAATTTGAAACTCGACTCCACCACGATCGCCTTGACGAGCTTCCTGCAACAGGAGGTTTTCTGCTGCTGCTGCCTCGGCATCTCTCTTCTCGTCTTCTGTGAGCAAGACAGACTCCTGAGACGGTACCATCGAGTCCAGCGAACGCAAGAGAGTGACTGTGCAGTCATCGCGTAGGTCTTGCGAGCCGAACTCGAAGAAGATCTCTTCGTGGCCTCGTATCACAACAACCATACCTGAATACCCAAATCGGAACCCTCTCTCCTTGTCAACATCCATGATGTCTTTGAACGGGACAACAAGCNNTAGCCAAGGTTAGCGTGCATAGAGTATCAATGTCAAATTCAAGCTTACCTTTGTCCAATTTCCAGGCATGAAGCCACGAAAGCATAGCCTCGTGCTGCCAACGTACAGTTTGCCGTACAAAGGCAAGACTCGATGGAAGAAACCAAAGAATGTTGCCACAAGCTTCTCAGAATCTGGCAGGGCGAAATGGTTCCGGAAGCTCTTTTCAGCCTCACGAACAGTCATCTCATCTTCAGAATCCTGCACTTCTTCTCCGGGCACCAGTTCGTCTGCCTCAGCATAGTGTTTCTTACCACCAGCAATCATGCCAGAGAATTTGTCATAGTACTCCAAGGGCGAACCTCCAAACAGACCGCTGACACGCTTGCCAGAGTTGTATAAGAAGCCTGAGGCACGTTGAATGGGAACAGCTCCGACTTTCATCAGCCCTCCTAAGGCCGAAGAATCCGATTGTTGCATGTCTTGCACTTGTGTTTCTGGCATGTTCTTTGTCGAAACATCGGCTCCAGGCTCTTTGCTAGTCTTCTTGGCCGCGGCAAACGGTACATCGCTCTGTGTGTTGGGGTTTGCATTATGCAATGCAGTGTTGTCGTGATGCTTTCCAATGGTTGGCTTATGGAACATGATGCTGCCACTTAATATGTGGCTACCCGAAGCATCTGTGCCGGCTGCAGATTCTGACATTTCGCTGTCGTTGCCCTGATCAGAAGAAGACACATACGATTCCGAAGCATCCTGTAAAGGTCGGCCCCATTGCTTATGACCGCCCTGCTGTTTTGTAGTGCGGTTCGCGGCATTCTCTTCTCTTCCTTGGCTGAGGTCGAGGGTAGAACGTTCCAACTCACTACTAGATCGAGCACTTCTGGAGGTGAGGCCAGATGCTGGCGATAGAGTTGCCATGACATTCTCGTGAAGGCTTCCCGGAGCAGGACTCATGGATGGCACACGAGATTTTCTTCCGTGCACTGATGAAGGTCGACGATCCGACATGGTGAGAATTGGTGAGACAGGACGGCTTGCGAGCACACGTTGCGCACTCGTCTCCTGGGTCAAACTTCGTAGCACACCAAGTGCCTCCTCACCAAAGCCGAAGAAAGAGAAAAAGTACNNTAGATGACCGTCAGTGAGCATCCAGAGATAGACCAAGCAGCTCGAGAGACTTACCTCGTCAACAGCGAAGGTCTCATCATTATCAATAACTCGAATCTTGATGGTGTCGGCGAAATCTGGATAGTTGCTTTCCTCGATATCGACAACGTTGTCGACTGGCAAGCAGATCTTGACACTGTCACTGTTGTTGCGTGACCGGAAGATGACCTTCTGTATCTGCTTGACCCACTCTGTTGCACTCGAGGCAGTTTCTGCCTTAAAGTGGTAGGTTTTGGCATCCGTGACGACAGAGAAAGATGCGCTTTCCTTGTCATGTCCTTGTGTCGGAGTAATGTCCGCCGAAACGCCATAACGCAGATCTATAACATCTCTTGGAGAAAACGGAGTTGAAGGATCTTTGTAATAGGACAAGACATCTCCCTTGAGCACAAACCAGTACTTCTTGTAACGTGGATTCCGTTGACCACGCTTGGTGAGGTAGCCGGACTTGATGGTCACACCAGTCTTCTTCTGTAGATATGCGTAGAAGCAGATGTGACGTTGTGTGATATAGATGTAGCCTTGCAAGAGAACGCTTTGGAGGTACCAGCAGGGATACTTTGCGACAACCTTCTCGGCTTCGTCGAAGTTGAATATATCCTTCAGAGCATCTGGCAAGGCGACCTGGGTCGTACTCGACGACATATCTGGGGTGGGGCTCGGCTTCCTGCTGGCGGGCTTCCTGATGGTCGACTGGGAAGACCCTAGGTCTGTCCCCGCATGAGGGCTGGGTTCGGGTTGATCGACGGCGGCCTTTGAAAAGCGAGAGGGAGTTGTGGTTGCGAAGGTAGTCGTAGGCGCGGGCCGCAGACCGGGTAATGACTGGACTAAGTTGTTGTCAGACGTTCGTTTGAGGTGGTTATTGCGAGAGAGCGGGTTTTGGCGCAAAGGGAGCGCCGGATGTATAGTAGACCTGTTAGGTCTCGTCGGCGGGGCGGGTGTTGTGTCGTCGCTATCACTGTCGGCCTCTTGGAGCATGGACCGCATCGTGTTGGCCTTTGACTGAGTTGCAGCGATGATGCCAAAGACACTTTGATGCATCATGGCCATGTCTATGATTTGTGTTCTATCCACCTCTTGGTCTTGACCTTGATCTTGGTCTGCATCGTCGTCGAAACGGAAGCGTTCGGGCAGCTCCATCGACACTCTCCGGCGAGCTTGCGGTGTGTTGCGGCGAGAGGACATGATGGGCGAAAGGTCAAGGTACAGGGCAGTAGCAGCTGAGGACGGCCCGACCTGAGATCCTGATGCAACAACGTGGTCGAGGCACGAGGATAGACGAACACTTGGATTCTGCACGCGCCCCTCGAACCTACTCTACTGTTTAATCTGGGGTTAAAGCTCGTGGCAGGCCGATGATCGAAAGAGAGGGACCGTCTTTGTCGCTTCAAACATTACTGTACTGGCTGGCCTGTCTTGCTGCTACATATCGCATGCTGGGCTGGACTGGAGCCTCAGAAGGTCCGTAGTTTTCCGATCTGCACCTTGATAGGCCACCGCACATTACTCGACCACCTTTGTGGCCACCACCTTTGATTGTGAAGCCTTCCCCACACTGTCGAGCACGTGCCATCACGTCATCTGATCTGATCGACTCGTCTCTCGGAGGACACTGTGAGTCAACAATCATTAGGGAAGGGAGCGAGAGGATGCAGTGAATATGAAATTAATACATGATATATGATGGAGCAAATCACATGCATATTTGCGGCTACCTGCCGACAAATTGTGAATTTCGATTACAATCAGTTAAGCAACGCTGATGCGGTCAACCGCCCTCAGGTCCATCTTCTTTCGACATCATAACTCAAGCCTTGGCCTTGGCGAGACCAACGCTGTTGCTACCAAGGTCGTAGACCGAGTAGTATCTGCGGAGGAAAGCATCACCAAGGATAGCAAGAGGACCAGCAGGGGCAGGGATATCGAAGCCCATGAAGGACGAGATACATGAACCCTGGACCTCAAGGATGTAGTCGTAGGGAGTGATGGTGAAGTTGTAGCCGGTCAGGGTGAAGCTGAGGTCAGGAAGCGAGTCACGCTTGTCACACTCGATTGTGTACTGGCCGTTGTAACCCTTCTTGGCACCGATCTCCTTATTCAGCAGCTCAGCAAGAGTGCTGGGGAGGGCGATGAGCGAAGTGCCGGTATCGAGGATGGCACCCATGTTGTCGAACTCGGCACTCTCCTTGCCGAAGGTGATGGCGTCGAGGTCGACCTCCCAGTAGGCCTTGCGTCTGAGAGGGAGCTTGGTGAGCTCGCCAGTGTAGTGGTTCTTGTTGACACCACCGAAGATGGCCTCAGACTCGGCCTCCTTGTCGTTGGTGTCACTAAGGTAGAAAGCGAAGACAGGCTCATCGAGCAGGTCCTGGGCGATCATCTCGTAGAAGGGAGGAGGGATCTTGTTCACACTGATCGAGTCGTATCCAAGACCAAGGATGCCGTCGAAGCGGCCGAAGGCGAAAGCAAGACCAGGTTCCTGGGTGGCTTCACCGAAGAGCTGGTTCTTGATCTTGATGTCACCAATCTGGACAGTGTCCTGGGAAATGTAACCCTCAACAGCACCCGAGCCGTAACGGATGGCAAAGTCGGAGCCGTTCTTCTTGTATGTGGAAGAGTCGCTGTGGTCGTACTTGTTGTGGAGGTAGCAAGCGATGGAGCTGCAGTCAGACGAGGGGATCCACAGGTTGGAGCTTCCAGTATCGAGAACGACCTTGAACTCTTGAGGAGGGTTGCCGATAGCAATCTCGGAGAAGTCTACAACATGGTCAATAAGGCGACTTGGATGTAAGCAGGGAGTTGGACTTACANNCTGAGCGTTCAGGAAGTTGCTGACGGCGACGGGGTGGCCAGCCTCAGAGTGCACCGAAGTCTCCTTGAACATCTCATCGATGTGCTTCTGGGGGCGAACGCCCATGTACTTCTGGCCGAGGGCCTGGACGTGCTCGCCGATGTTTGCGCCCTCCTGTGATAGCTATTAGTCAAGTGATGGTTGAACCCAGAGCACGACGCCACTCACAAGCTGCTCCGAGAGAGGAACCTTCTTGAGCTTCATCTTGTGGACACCAGCCGAAGCCGAGCCAAACAGCGCACCGGCTGCCATGAGAGAACTGCCCTTCATCTTGTTGTATGTGTGTGTGGAGTTGAGGGATGTGTGGAGGGAAGATGAGAGATGGAGGATTGTGGAGGACGGATGGAGAGGTAGTCGATCGATAGCTTGGTCGGACCAAGACGGTGGCTTGCAATCACGAGGGGCGCACTGGCTTGTACGTCATCATCACCAAGGTGCTGTTAGGCAACCGCTTTCGCTGAGACAGGCGTCGGCGTATCGTACCATAGCATTCCGTTTTCCCGCGGCCGCCAATATTTGCAATTGCAATATTGAACGGTATTGGCTATACTCCCTGCCTCTTGATGTTATCCAACTATATACAGCACACAATGGCACCCAGAGCCAGAGCACAATTTCACAAGAAGCTGGGCGTCTATACATGGGGTCGACTTGTGCCTTGCATGAGTAGCTCGATCGCTCCTTCCGCAAACTCCGTTTCGACGCCAGACGCCGGGTCCATCACCTGCCGCAAACGGTAGCACTGGGCAACCACACCAGGCACATTCGCACCTGACCTCGCTGTACCTCAGATACAGCAGAATCTTGCACAATGGTTGCTATCTGAATGTCAGACGTTGTTACAGTGTTGCTGAACGATTGTTGTTTGCAAGGGACAGAGATATTGCCAAGAGAAGAGCCCGAACGCTCGTGTGCTCTGCTGAAGCCTCGACAAGCAACCAATCAATCTATCGTGGGCTGTCACCGAGGCATAATTCTCTGCGAGGTAATCAAAGAAATCTGCCCTGTCGCACGAAATCTCGGTCTGTGTGCGAGGGCCTCTTCGAATTTTCAAGCATCGTCAAAGATGAGGAAACCCCGAGCACCATCAATGTTCGAGGGCCGATTCAGCGAGCAGTCTGGCGCCGAGAAGTCTGACTCTCGAATACGAGGAATACGTGACTTCCCTGACTGCATCTTCGCAACTGAACCATCGCAGATATACCCATGTACTCGTGTCACCAAGAAGTCAGCATACGAACGAAGTTGAGACTAATAAGCAAGACGCGAGGTATGTGGACTTTCTCGTGGTGGTCTTGTCGCCCATTTCTCAAACGCAACAACTACCCACGAATGAGCATTGATTGCCAGACGAGAGCAAGCAGACGCTCGCATAACACCTTCTTCTCAAAAGTGAAACGATGATCTTGATGACGGAAGTTGAATCTGACATGCTTTCTTTATAGCTGAAGATGGCTGCTTCCTACACTTTTGAAGACCTTTCAGGTCCAACCTCAACTGTATCTGACAACCCATACGACGGTCTGATAGAGGCTTGCCACGACAACGCTGTAGGTGAAATACTGGCCTCGTGATATCCTAGACCTAACAACTGTAGGNTCGAAATTCAAGCTCGCTATGAGACTCATCGTAGCAACCGAGGTGCACAACAGAAGGAGAAACTTACCTCTCCAGACTTTCCAGGTGTTACTATCGATACCATCCTCGCAAAGCTGGAAGACCAGACCATTGAACCCGGCTTCAAAGACCCAAGACATTGCCTTGTGTTCTGGGCTCGTCCTCCGCCGCATGTCAAGGCTGTCATTGCAGAAGTGCAGAAGAGACTCAAGGCAGTCGCCNCCCAGTGAGGACTTATTGACTCAGAGCTCAGAAGCGCAACTAGCTAACCACGAGTCTGTGAATCTACAGATCTCTGGACAATGCCACAAGACAACTTGCACATGACAGCTCTGGAAATCACCCATTCCCTGACTGCCCCCGAGATCAACGAGTTAGTCGAGCAGGTCCAACCAGGAATCCCTTCAATCACAGATTACACCTACGCCCACCGAGCCCGCGTGGTAAAGCCATCGCTCTCCTACGACGCTCAAGCCTTCGCACTGTCCTTCCTCCCTGCAGCTGGCGAACCTTGCACCGCGGACCCATCCCGCAGACCCGAGGATGACGAGTTTACATACCACCATTTGCGACGCGATCTCTATGCCTTGACTTCTGCTACTGGCGTCAAGGTTGCGAGCAGATATGTTGTGCCCTCGGCTCACTTGACTGTAGGTCGCTTCATCAAGACCTCTGATACGGAAACTGCAGAGGGCAAGGTCGATCGTGCTCGTATGCAAGAGCTTGTCAAGACCGTCGAGGAAATCAATGAATGGCTCAAAGCTGAGTTCTGGCCTATCGAGGGCAAAGGCATCAGGGCAGGTGGTGAATGGATTGTTGGCGAAGGAAAAGGTCTCGATAGCCGCCACGGTGCTCTTTGGTATGGCTTCTTGTTCCCAATTCGTAGATTATCTTGTGAACTAACTTTCTGTCTTTCTAGGTACGGCTCTGGCGAAACAATCAGACTAGGCAAAGGATTCTAAGTGGACATGTCGTTTCACATGCATTAGAGCCACATGTCTCTTCTTGCATTCTCGTTTTCTAGAGACTATAACGAAGCATCATTCGAACACTCGCTCCTTTCGGGAGAAAAATGGAAGAGTACAATAGACACTAAGATTCTGATCAATCACTCTTAGACCTGGTGAAAGCTATACTTCTTGCTCTACACGCTTCACCGCATATTTCTCCGATTTCACCCGACCAAGAAAGTGATAACCAATGTTCCCAACACCCATGCACTCATCCTGAAAGCTGCCTCTACGCTGTATGTCCCTTGAGAATGTCACTTTTTTAGACCAAACAAGACCACTTGCCGAATCGAGGGCTGACTGCGAGGTCCGACAAATTGTCCTGAGCATACGCACGTAAGGCACAGCACGGGCAACGTCTAGTCAAGCATTTGTCAGGGTCTTGGGTAGATACAGCACGGCAGATGACTATAGCGACTATGGCTTGCTATGAGCATAGTTTCGAAGAATGGCCTAGGGTAACCCACATCATCTTACCTTTCGGCCGTTAGGGTATGCATAGGTATACATGAAGTATAGACGAAGACCAGCGGGGGATCCGACTGGAATCAAAGTCATCAAAAGATTTCCTAGTCTTGAAAGGACACTTGAGCGTGTTCTGCGAGCCAATGGCAGGTAGGAAAACAATATTTATCTGAGGTGAAAAGAAGAATCGATTTTGTAAACAACAAGATGTTTGACTTTACACCTTAGCAGCCACTTTCGTCCCTGCCAGAACTATTCTCGCCGCCAGAATCGTGCAAGCACCACTCAAAGCCATGATGCCTCCAAAAATCTGTAGGCCAGTGTACTTGCCATCCCAATGGACGATCAGAGCTCCACCGATAGGATTACTGCACAATGCTGCAAACGAAATGATTGCAAACACTGTACCATTCCTGACTCCAATCTCTCTGACATCCGAGATTTGAGCAACCAAAGACGGAGCGAGAGAAACAAAAGATCCACTGCCAAAGCCGTATAGAGCGGCAAAGACGATGATGGGTGCATTGGAGGCGGCCGGCATCCATAAAGCGAGAATCAGTAGACCGGCAAAAGTCATCATGATGGTCATGACATTGTATCGTCCAATTTTGTCTGCCGCAACTCCAGGCAGCACGCGACCGAAGAAGGATGCGCCGTTCAAGATGGGAATCAGATACTCGGCCAGCCTCGACGACATACCTAAAGTCTCTGCTTGGAGGATGAGATAGTTAATCGGCAGGAACATTGCAAAGAAGAANAAGAAGCTCCCAAGCACCGTGAGCAAGTATGGTGTCTCCTTGAGGGGCCGCACGAATTGCATAATGTGGAATGGCTTTGGCCGAGGAGGAAGGCGTGACTTGACTGTTGCATTGGCGACAAGCATGAGAGTGAGGATGAGGAAACCACAGACGCGCATTGTCCAGCCGAACCCAATCCTGGGAATAAGTTTGTTGACCATGATTGGGAAGATCACACCGCCTGTTGACGAGCCAGCGGCCATGATACCGAAAGCTGCTGCACGCTTCTTGAAGAACCAGGTGGGCATCACGCTCATCGCTNNGCGATGTAGGTCAGCATGTTCTGCCGAGAATTGGGATGGAGGAGATATACCTGGGTAGAAGCACATGCTTGCTCCCGCAGCACTGCAGATGCCCTGAGAAAGCATGATCTGGTAGTAGTCTGTAGCAAGACTAGCCATCATGACACCAAAGACGTGAAGGCAAGTTCCAGTAATCAAGATGTATCTAGGACCGTAGCAGTCAAAAAAGTAGCCGATAAAAGGTCCCAGGAAGAACATCAAGAAAGTTTCCATCGATGGGATCCATGATACTGTGCTAGGACTATCCCCTCGTAGTTGATGTGTTTCATAGTACTCTTGAAAGACTCCGATACCTATAGTAGAAAGTTAATGTGGCATTTAATGGAGTACGCAGATCAACATGGCCAAGAAAACGGCAAACGCAAGCTATGGTGCTCAAGAAGGAAACAGCAACCCTCCCAGTATGTAATCCGTGTAGCTGTAGAAATACACATTGCTATCAAGGAGCAGGGCAGTGTCCGCTGAGAGCCAACAATTTAGTTTAGCGGCTCTCTTTGGCTACTCCTCTGCTCCAAAAGAAAAAAGATTGTGCCTTTCGAAGGCGTGTCCTTCGCTTTACACCCTGGTGGGAGGAGAATAGACATAGGGAGGACTCACAATTGATCCATCCAAAACTGCAAAACATGCAGCAAAATGCACCCAAGACAACCAACCATGCATCCCTTCCACCATCAGGATTATCTCTGGGATCAAATGCCGGCGGCGGTGTAGCGACAGGATCTCGTTGTCCATCATCTCCAATTGTGGGTCTTTCGGCCGTAGCAACTGCTCCTTTCTCCTCATCAAACATGCCGTCTTGTCCTGGTTGCAGCAATTCTGGTTTCGAGCCCATAACCGTATCCTGGTATGATGAGTGCGAGGACTGCGTCTCGAGACCGTGTTGTTCTGCTGCCATGTTGTCGTTCGGCTATATCTATACGATTGGCAGTACCGGGCAGCGGGAAACGCCAAAGTATAATCGCGGATAGTCAAGGAAGTCAAACAAGAAAAGATGTCCAGTCGTCGCAATGCCTTGTCTTGATTAGGACAAAGGTGAGGGAAGGTGATAGAGATGAAGAAGGAGCACAAGAATGGCGACAGAGGAGAAGAAGAGATGCCGGGTGTAAAGATGGACCTGCCGTATAATAAGGTGGTCTTGAGATCTCCACCCAACCACGACCCAGTAACTCGGGCGTAGCAGGTGCGTCTCTTCATCAATGCATCAATGCTCTCTCGGCCGAACGATCCTTGAACATGCGCACCTCTGATATAGCCCTCTTCTTCTGACTCGTCCGTAAATTGAAAGGCGTTTCGTCTCCTCGTTCCAAAGCAAGCAATTCAGACGTCGCTCTCGGGCGCCCCGAAAGTGCCGTCGTTCCCTCTCTTTGGCCGTTGCGAACTTAACCCCATCCTCACCCATGATTTCTTGCTGATCAACAAGAGATGGCGTTTTGGCTCAGAACGAAGACCGCTTCCTCTGAAAGGAGCGATCAGCGCCACATGTATATCCACTTCTGTTGACAACCGTCGCCATCGCAATAACATCTCAGTATTGAACCTCGGACATTCCACCGGCTGTCTCTACGTACGAAGTGCTCCACGCCTGAGTCCTCCCAGTCTAATGTAACAAAAGAATTGCACAGTACTTTCCACAACAGAGTGACAACTACGGAGAGAACATTGACTTTAGTTATCTCAATGGCCACATCTCTATCCAGAAAGCAACCATGTATTTCTACAGCATATCACAATACTATATGTCATCACAGAAGAGGGGTAAATCGTGAGATTGTGACAGTCTTCTGCACACGAGGGTGCAATAAGGAGACGCGACACTTGATAAAGCTTGCTCCGAGGGATTCATCCTGTCTCCACACCCTTGCTGTCGCTCACGGGCATAACCGTTGTTGATCAGATGTCAAAGCATGGTTCGGAAACATAGGCTGGCGGAAGAATGAAAAACATTGGTAGACAGGTGCTTGGTTAAAAGCACAGCGTGGTGGATCGTCGTTTGTGATGTCTAGCAAAGTAACAATGTAAAACTCCAGTCCTCGTCATCCCTCCATGTGCCAGTGCTATGCGCAATAGTATAGATAAAGGCCATACCGCCCATGCAATGTCATCAACATAATGTACTAAAGCAGAGGGATCCATAAAACAATGATCGGTCCCTCGCAACCTTGCGCTCCAGACTCCATAAACCATTCATCATCTCACATGTCGAGCAATTCCTCAGCATAAGTATCCAGTTCGATGATTCTGAATCGACCATCCCACTTCTTCTGCCACGCTGCTTTCTTGTAGGCAAGACTAATGTTCTTGCTCCAACTAACAAGCTCAACCTTCCATCCCTTCTTCAAGGCACGTTCGGCCATCTTGAGGAAGCCTTCAGAATACTCGGCCTGGGCAGCATCGCCAGTAGCCAGCACCATGGTGGAGGGAGACTCGGTGTCGACAATAGATTCCATCATTTTCAGGTGGATAATCTCGTCAACTCCTTGCTCGATATACCTCTCGGGAGCGAAGACGGGACCGGTGTTGCTCGTTTCTGAGCCACTACCGGCACTATCTCCTCCAGTGCTGGTGCCATTCTTGTAGCTGCCACTGCGTCTGCGCCACTTCTTCTCCTGCTCCTGGAAATATTTCTGGCGCTCGGTGAGCTCTCGCGCTTTGAGCACCTTATCCAGGATGTTGCATTCGTAGCCGACACGTTGGGCCACGTCGAAGGCGGCCATGTGGGGCTTTGAGCCAACCAGGCATCGTTTGGCGACAGGTCTACGGCGCTCCATGAGCAGAGCCAAAGCGTCGAAGGAAAGGTCCACCTTAGGGACATGAACGTTCGGCGGAATATTCCTTGCTCGCTTGAGCTGGTCATGGAAACCAATAAAAATGTTTGAAGCGTCAACAAAGACGTGAATACCCTTGGGGTCATTCGAGTGTGTGATTGAGTTTGCGGGACTAACGAGACTTGCTCTGTCCTCGTAGAAGTCACCAATGATCTTCAGAAGTAAGGCCCAGTTGCGGTCCTCGCCAGAACGAACAGTCTTGGGCTGAATTGCCGAACGGTTGTTCTTGATGGGAGTCTCGCTGACTTGCTGAACCTTGTGGAATGGGTTCGCATTGGCGTCGGTGGATTTGTAAGGGGTTGATGTCGTACGTGTGGGTTGTACGGATGCGGGAAGCAGAGGCGAGCTCTTGGTAGCGAATGGTGTCGAAACTGGCCATCGCTTCTTGAACTCTTGCTGGTGCTTGGACTCGGGCGTTTTGGGTGTTTTGGGCAAGGAGTCGAAGTGGATTGGTTCTGACTGAGGTGGTGTAGATGCCTTCTGTTCTGGTTGACGGGGCTTTGTCGGCTTGAGAGTGTCACTGGACACAGGTTTGGGGGTTGATGCCTTTACAGGGCTCAAAGGGCGGTGGGCTTTGCCGACGAGCTCGGCAGAGACGATGTGGGTACTGGCCTTGCGAGCCGGCGTGTCATAGAATGAAGGCGCCTTGGGCTCAGGCTCGTCGACATCGCTGATAGCCTTCGCAGCACCAGCAGCCAATCTTTGTTCCCTCTCTTTCTTGTTCTTCTTCTGTCGTTGCTTCTTGGTCAACTTCTTGTCATCTTCGTCCTCCAGAGGAGCATAGTCGGTAAGGTCGCCGAGATTGACTTCGTCTCTCCACTTGATGCCAACTTTCGCGATACGCTTGCTCGGAGTACCATAGGCGGCGCCGTCACTTGCGTAATCGGCCTTCTCGGGCATGCGCTGTTGAAGTGTTGGAGAGGCATCAGCAGGCTTGGGTGCAGGCGAATTGATGGGGGTGCCTAGATATTGCCAGATCTTGCCAAAGTCACCTAACGACACGCCCTCGTCGACAGCATTGAAGTGCTGTAACGGCGAGGCAAGTGGCAGTGACGAAGACTCGTTCATGCTGTCGTACTTGGTGATTGACGGACGTGACGGCACATCTTTTGCTTGAGAATTGGTCGGAGAGAGGGTGTTGATCAGCTCGAAGACATGAGAAAGGTCCCATGGCTTGGTCGACTGTACTGCAGCCATGAGAGGCGTGAGGGTGAGGAGGTAGCGACGTGTGTATGGATCGTAGTGGGGGCTGTTCGAGGAGTGGCAACGAGCGTGGGCTAGATACGACGGGTGCGAGAGTGATGGGCGAGGGGTGGGCGAGGCTCGAGGGGAATGGTCGTGTTGTGTGCGCGAGTGAGAGAGCTGTTCATAATAATGTCTGGTCGTGTTCTAGAAGGCGAAGAAGGCAAATGTCAATTGACCGCTATGTAGTCATCCATTGCCCCACATCAACAACCAACCACCAAGACAAGCTGCCCAACACCGCCACCAAGACCCTGACACAAAGCACTTGCGAACATCTCTGTTCAAGTCTTTCTCGTGACATTTGCTTAACAATCTGGCTACAGAGTGTCATGTTGGACTATGAACACTCATCGCTGAGTTTAACGGCAATACCAAATCTGCTCTGGCTTTGCGTGCACCCGGTTCCCGACACGGCACCTCAGGACACACACTCGAACCCCTCGTACGCAAAAGATAAATACCAGATCATGATCTTCCTCCTCTCTAGAATGTATATATCATCTCTATCTTTGACACTTGTTATCCCACCTCAAAGCTCAAACTCCTCGGCTATCGTACACATTCAATTGAAGCCTCGGGTCTTGAGTCCACCCCAGACAAGCGTCTCTATCCACACTCCACGTCTCCATACCAATCATCCCTTTCAACCACAAACCCTCAAATGTCCGCCGACTTCTGGGCCGGTTACGTCTCAGGAGCCGCCGGCATAATAATGGGCAACNCCCTCGACATCGTCAAAGTAAATCTCCAAAGAGGAGACCGAGGAGCAGCTTTACTCGCATCAACCACAGCATCCNCCCCAACATCACCAATTCTTCCCTCTCCGTCAACAACACAATCAACCAATGCAGCAAAGTCACTCTCTACCTTGCTCAAAGGCACTGCTGCCCCAGTCCTCGGCTATGGCGCTCTAAATGCTTTGATGTTTATAACCTACAATCGCTGCATGGAGTCTCTACACCAAGACCCTGCTCACCCCTCCTCTCTGTCCAAGACTTGGTTAGCAGGTGCTCTGGGAGGTCTAGCCACTTTCCTCGTCTCTGCGCCCACGGAATTGATAAAATGCAGAGCACAGGTCAGCGGCACCGAAAACAGTTCTTGGAGCATCGCAAAAGAGCTGTGGAAGGAAAGAGGATTGAGGGGTTTGTATTGGGGCGGCGGGGTCACGAGTTTGAGGGATAGTGTGGGTTATGGGTTTTAGTAGGTCTTTTCCTTCTTCTATTTCCCGAGTAGGTCATATTTGTGTGAGAGTGGTGCTAAACATGTTCTCAGCTTCTGGTCATATGAGTTGAGCAAGAGAGCCTTGATCTCCGAAAAGACGGACGCGGAAAAGCCAGAGTGGATGACCATTTTGCTTTGTGGTGGTATTGCTGGTGTGGTGACTTGGGCTTCCGTGTTTCCATTGGGTATACAAAAGTCTCGTTTGGAGGACGACATATGCTAATTTTCGGGTTCAGATGTCATAAAGACCAGAGTGCAGACCCAAGGCATCTCCAGAACTCCAGCTGGAATGCTCTCAGGAGAGCAGTCTGGATTGCTTGCGGCTCGAGACTCGGGGCGATTAGGCACCCTACAGATTGCAAGACAGGCATATCGAGAAGAAGGGCTATCTGTCTTCTTTCGTGGGTTGGGTGTTTGCAGTTTCAGAGCTTTCTTCGTGAACGCCGTACAGTGGGCCGTGTACGAATGGATGATGCACATCTTACTTCCCTCAAAGGCTGGACCATACTCAGATAAACACGACTAGACGACGATAGAACAAGATTTTACTGGCATGAAAGATATAGAGAAACAAGGCTTTTCATTGAGGAAAAGAAGGATATACGTCCAACTACCTGTCTTGAGTAATGAAAAGGAAACTTAGTGATCGTTCTGAGATTGAACAGTGCATCAAAATTATATGAAACGCGTAATGCCATCACTCATGAGGTGCTGCTCATGTGTGTGGATACATGCTGAGCACTGATGAGTTGGTCGTTAGACAATATTGGCAGGAAAAATGCCAGTAAAGTTGTTGTTCCAAGATGTCTTTCGTATCATCCTTCGAGAGGCAAGAGGCAGCTCTACATGATCTGGTCCTGGGTAAGACCCATGGGCATACCGCCGGTCTGTTCCTGGCCTTGCATGGCATCCATTGCAGGCTGCTGGTTGGAATATCTGACGTAGGTCAAACCAAGAGGGCGACCACCATATTGGTATCCAGAGAATTTGGCTGAGAAAGTTGTTAGAAACTATCAAGCTTGTGTACGTTTGAGGCATGACTTACTGATGGCGGTGCCGGCATCTTCCACGCTGCCAAACTCGACGACACCAGTTCCGCGCGAGCGACCGTTGGGCTCGTACTGAATCTCAGCACGTTCGACCTTGCCGATGGTAGTGAAGAGCTCGACCAAGTCCTCGTTGCTGGTAGACCAGGGCAGCTGAAGCGCGTCAGTAATCCATTCTGAAGTTCACGCTCTAGAGTGACTTACGTTGCGGACGTAGATGACAGGTCCGGGCTCGCCGCCAGAAGTTGCGAAGTCAGTAAAGGCGTTGGGAGGAGCGGGAGCTGCAGGAGGGCCACCGTGGAATCCACCAGGAGGAGCACCACCAAAGCCGCCGCCAAATCCACCACGACCGCCAAATTGTCCACCGAAGCCGCCGCGGCCACCCATGAAACCTCCACGACCGCCGAACTGCTGGCCAAAGCCTCCACGACCGCCCATGAAGCCACCACGGCCACCGCCGAAGCCAGGTGGGCCAGCGAAACGGTCCTCTCTGACTTCGAGGATGCGACCGTTCCAGTCATATCCGTTGAACTGCTGGATGGCGACCTGAGCATCATCCGGGTTGTCGAAGGCGACGATACCGGAACCCTTCATGCGACCGTCAGGGGTGACATGGACGTCAGCACGGACGACAGTGCCAGTGTGAGCTNNACATCACAGGTCAGTACATTGCGCATACGCTGCAAGCACAGTTTCGAGCTCACCAGCTTGACGGAAGAGGTCCTTGAGATCTTGCCAGCCAACAGTGTAGGGAAGCTGAGAACACAGTCAGTATCATCACGGCGCTGTCAGAGAGGCTGCACAAACGTTGGAGACGTAAATCTGGCGGCTTCCACCAGCCATCATACCAGGGCCACCGCCGCCCATAGCATCGTAGCCACCGCCGAAGCCGCCGCGCATTGGGCCTCCTTGGAAGCCACCACGCATACCGCCGCCTTGACCACCGCTGCTGAAACGGGGCTCTGCTTCACGGTCNCTGTGAGATGAGAAATGAGCTACGATGGTCAGTCTTCCAAACAAGGGACAAGGACTCACCTCGCGAACGTAGACGAGTCTACCCATAAGATTCTGGTTCGAGAGAGAGTTGACCGCGTTTTGAGCTTGATCTCTGGTTGCATATTCCACAATTCTGTAGCAAATCAGCGTTTGTTGACAAACAGAGAGCATCAGAACAAGCATACCCNNGCATCCCTACAATCACCCGGGACAAAGTCCTTCCGTCAATCCATTGTCCTCAAAAAAACCATAGCCAGGGAAACCAGCCAAAAATCATGAGCCCACCTTCGACATTCCATTTGGGAGAAGCAAGACATCGGCGAAGATCACCTCACCAGCNTACACTCGGTCAGAATCAATCCAATTGAGGTGTTGTGTCCAATGATCCTCACCTTGGCGCATAAAGTCCTTCAGGTGGTGCCACTTGACATCGTAGGAGAGGTTTCCGACGTAGACACGGCGGTCTTGTTGGGAGTGTTCGCGCACGTTCTGCATCATTTGTTCTTTGGCGACAACACGCTCTTCAAAGTTTCTAGGAGCTGCTGCTGCGGCGGCACCGCCTTCACGATCGGAGGGGTAGGCGTTGTTGGGTGCGTAGTTTGGAGCGGCGGCTGATCCGTTCACGGGAGAGCGGGACCTGCGTTCGTCTCTTCTGTAGTTGTCACGCGAGCGTGAGCGGGATCTGGAATCGTAAGAGCGACGGCTGCGACGAGGACTGCGAGAGCGACGGCGCGAGCGAGATCTGTCACGCTGGGTGGGATCAGTATGTAGCCTTAGCGGTAACTGACGACCAGATTGACAACGAAGTGCTGATAGAGGTAGCATTGGTGGAGAGTGGGCAGGCTCAGCAGCAGAACCGACTTTGGTCATTCGACTTGGAAGTTTCCTGACGGAGATTCTCATTCTCTGAGGGTGGTGTGAAAGAGCGGACGAGTGTGAGCTGCGAATCTCGAGTGATTGGCGATGAGCGACGAGCTCGGGTGAAGGTCGAGTGATGATTGAGTGAAGGTGTTCAAGTGAAGGTGAGCGCAATGCCAGGCACAGTTGCGATGCAGCAGTTCAAAACTCGCGGTAGGTGTTTATGCCTTTGTCCAGCGCGCCTTCCCAGCACGCGCTGCAACAAGATGGTCGCGACTGCGCAATTGCCCAATTCTGACGCATCGACTTGTCAAGCTCCATCGCAGCTTCCTTGTCAGACACACCTCCCACCGGCGATACATCGCAGCTGCCCACCTACTGCTACTGCCACTACCACCAATGCCAACGGTCGCAACACATAAACAACAACATGGGGAGCTGTCTACTTACACTCTCGCGGGGACGGTAGGTATCGGTGTCTGTTTGCTGTGTGATGAGCCTTTGGGTGACGAGGGGAAGGAGAGATGGGGAGGGGGTTATGGAACATACCACCCATTGTACGGTAACGGAAGGGTAGAGGTTGAGCTGTCAAGCGCCGAAGAGGTGCAGACCACAGCTACAACAACGGAAGGAATGACAGGGGTTTGCCTAAAGCGCAAGTCTGCGTTAGAAGATGCACCAATGAACGCGAATGGAGAACGAGTCTTGATGATGGCTAAACCGGCCAAGTAGTGTGTAAAGGCTACCCGAGTATCGTCTACTGCCACCACCACTCAAGATCGCCCGATTGATGCCGGCTCGTTGTGCCCCTCCCTCGACACACACCACACACCAAGGGTCTCCTCAATAGCCCACAGGAACCAGCCTTGGCCGAGACTCCATAGCCCACGAGTCTCAAGTCCATCGCCCAACCAAAGTCACCACTTGGGTGCTTCTGTACTCACCTTGATAAGATGGCGCGCAATCGGCAAGCGTTCGTAATGCAAGCCTCCGGGAGTTTCTGGGTCGGTACGGACACACAAGTAAGGTGAGCAGATGCTGGTGACGTTTGATGATGTGGAGTCGTTGTGTTCCCGATGCGAGAAAGGTCGTGAGATGCGATGCGCGCGCGCGAAGGTCTCTAACAGGACACCACGCTCGTAGACGTGGAGAATGCCAAGCCAGTGGCTCAACCGTTCATCACGACGCGTTGATGCTGCCAGCTGAATACTGACCCCGGACCCTGCTCTGTCTAGGATATCTCAATTATGATCTGATTCTCGCTCTAATTGCCTACTGGTAATGACCATTACATATGGAACATGAAGCACTCGCTTGTTGAGACACCCTGAAGTTGCCAACATAATCAGCAAGCTGCGCTGCATATCACCAGTTCACTAGATTTAAGCCATGCATGTATGCTCGTGCCGTTTCTCGGAAATTAAATATGTCTCAATACACAGCTCAGCAACTATGGAGTCTGATGAATTACGGAGATGCCAGCTTTGTTTGACTGTCAAGCTATCTTTATTAGGACTCAAGTCGAGTATGGTGAGGGTTATGGACCATCTCTGACGATTGCAAGCACCTCAGTGAGGTTGAGAACTTTTGGCTGTTCGAGCTGGTGCTCTATCTGTTTCGTCCTCTAGACTCGGGAAGTCCTTAGAAGACGAGCATGTCTGAGCTTCATGGTCCATCATCAACTTTGGGAGACGAGCTTCATCTGCAATGTGTCTATGAGACTTTGCTTCCTATGCATCGTTTCTTGCTGCAGAGCTTGACTAAAAAGGGTGGTGCACAAGCACTAAGCTAGCGCTACGCTTCACTGTTGAGGATAGTCTGACCTCGAGGAAGGTGCGAATTCCGACTCAATCGCTATGGCTGAGCCTTGTGGAGGATGGACAGTATATCCGGGCTTGGCCTCATTCCCTGGAGACTCTGGTTTCACAGTGCTGTCTTGCCCATCCGGTGGTCGCAAAGAAGTAACGCTCCTATCTCAGGATATTGGCGTTCTGTCGATGTTCCGCATTCAGTGTCCTTTTTCCTTCGGATCCGGAGGTGTGGCCATATCGCTAAGACGTAAAGTTTTGCCCTGGCCAAAGACGAAACCCTCATATCCAACGGGTAATGCACGACTCCAGTCAGCTACAAAGCAAGAGTGGCACTCGTAAAGATCTGGAATGTGTTCTGAACCATAATCTGGACTGTTGTGACGCTTCCACCATAACCTCAATCCTAGATAAGGATTGCTATAGCAAGTAGCACATCGATGCTCTATCTTGTGCTCATAGAGGACGGGCGTGTGTGTTTTCCATGTCATGTGTTTCCAGATATCGGGCCGTCTCTGGATAAACTGTCGTAGGCCTGCTGATTGCCTGGTTGCTGGTTTCTGGTCATACTGTTTCCGTCTCTCCACTGCGTCTGGTTTGCGGTTTCTGTCGTGAACCTTTTGCGCATTCTCGGGCTTGCCATAAAAGTAATTGATGTAGTCGATTCGCCGTTGATTCTTAACCTTGATCGGATCTTCAAGAAGTTTGCGACGCCTCCAAGCATTCTGTTGATCTAATCTCTCTCTGTGCTTGACAGGATCCACATCTTTGAAGGATGACAACTGGTCTGCGTTACACGCATGGAACATTCGTGTGGGAAGAGAGGCCATGAATGACCGCACTGCAGGACGAATCAGACTTTGGAAAGCCAGAGACATGATGTTGGAAGATGACTGGGTGAGGATTGTGAGGGTATGTATGGGCACAAGATAAATTATATGTCGAAAGTCGCGAGCCGGCATTTTCCGCTTCGGTACTTGTACGCAGCAGCATGAAGTTGATTATAGAACCAAAAATACTAGAGCGTTACCAGTTTCACGAGCGATAGTTGCAGAAGACGATGAGTGTTCTCGGGAAATGGAACCAGAGGCTTCGTTCGAGAATATCTTGAGACCCTTGGTTGGATCATGAAAACCGTAATCACCAGATGTAAGCCATCCCGCCAAACACCCGCTACAAGCCATGCTTATTTCTATAATACAAGCCGCAATAACAGCCTACGTGACTTAGACGATGGTCTCAAGCTTTCTGGCGTATTCGAGAGTGTTTTCGATGACCTTGTCGCTGGTCGAATGGATGTCCTTTTCACCCTGTGCCAACTCTTCTTGCTGAGCAGGGAAATAGATGCGACCTTCCTTGGCGACCCATCCGCGTGAGTGGGCAAACGAGATGACGGCGCCTTCGGAGTCGAGGAAGAGGAGGTTCTTTGCATTGGAGATGGGGAGAGAGGGNTATGCGCGCTCACTGCACGAGGCGATTTCGGAGCGGATTGTGTTGACGAGGACCTTGAGTACATGTTAGCGTCTGACGTAGTAGAGTTCAAGGAGGAGTTGTAGTGATACCTCTGAGAAGACGGCAAACTCGGGGCTGGGCACTCTTTCGCCCTTGGTCTCGCCCCAGACGCGGTCGTAGCTGCCCTCCATCAAAGCTTGCTCCAGTCTCATAGGGTATTGGATGAAGGCGTCCTCGTCCAAGCGCTTTCTACCACCAAAGGCCATCTCGAGGCCTTCGATGATGGTGTGGAAACCGGCGTAATCTCCCTGGCTCAACAAGAGTAGTAGGTAGAGTCCGGTAATCTTGCTCTGGTTGCCGTGCTTGTCGTGCGAGCCCCATCGTTCATGAGGTAATGAGTAGAAGGGCTGGAGTTGTTGGAAGTAGCGTGTGAATGACTCGGGGTCTCTTTGGCGAATGGAGACGAAGGCGCCGATCTCGAGGACTTCGCGGGCGAGGGCTAGATGTTGGTGAGATGTTGAAGAGTTGGGGACGAGAGCGTGTAGCTTGAGCAGCGAGATCTTTGCTTGTGACAAGAGGGCGGAAGCGTTGCTGAGATTGCTCTCGGACAGCGAATGGAGCTGCTGGATGGTCTTCTTGACCTCGCTTTCAGACATTTTGGTATGGGTAGAATCGTTGATAGTAGAGAAGAGGTTCGTGTATGTTTATGAGGCGGTGCGATGGAGATGGTCGTGGAAAGAGGGATGTTTCTTGGTGATGGATGCAGTCGCCGCTTGTGAAGCTACTGAGAGTCCGTCGCTCTGCGTCGTCAGAAGCTCAGACCATCAACCCTCTACAATCAACATTCAACTCGGTGACGCCCTCACTTCCGCCAACCACTTTCCTCGTCCAAAACGACCACCTACACCATGTCAAGCATTCCTCGTCCGCAGGAATCCATGCAGCGCTCTTCGATTCTTCGTCTACGGAACCATTATGTTCTGGTCATGCCTTGAAACAAGCACGCGAAGACCCTATCCTCTGTTGCTTCGGACCTTTCTTGCTCGGAACCTATCAATGCATACATCACCGCTTCGCATTCAACTCAGGCTAGGTGTTTGTTTGTCTACTGCATCAATCATGACTTTTCGCGATGTTTGGAGTACTATGGACCGCCACGGGAGACGTCCTTCGGATGTCGGGTGAGATGGTCGCGGAACCCCTCCGTGTTCGCTTGCCGACTGGCGTCTTGACCAACGGCATCGGTTCCTCCACATCACATGCCATTGTTTGGCAAGGCGCCGTAGGTAGGGAAATAATTCCATGATTTCTTAATACTCCCTCTTTGTCTCCTTCCTCAGTAGTCCCTGCATACCCTCCGCCTTCATCTACCCCCATACCCATTGTCATGCCTTCAATTACTCTCAGCCTACGAACGATTGGGCACTTGGCCAGGAATGGCTCAAAGGTACTAACCACTCGCTACCGTGACTACTCGTCAATCTGACCTCGCTCAGNNCCTCACAACCTACTCCGCACTTTCGCATCCTCGGCCAGGAGATCAGAAATCAACAAGGTCTACTCATCGGCTGAAGAAGCCATCAACGATGTCAAGGGCGACAGCACACTCCTCTGCGGTGGCTTTGGTCTCTGCGGTGTACCCGATACCTTGATCAATGCTGTCAAGAACAAGCCTTCAATCAAGGGTCTGACAGCCGTCTCAAACAACGCCGGTATCGTCGGCTCTGGTCTTGGTCTACTCCTCGAGTCCAAGCAGGTCAAGAAGATGATTGCCAGTTATGTTGGAGAGAACAAAGTCTTTGAGAAGATGTATCTTACTGGCGAGATCGAGCTCGAACTCACACCACAAGGAACCCTCGCCGAGAGGTGCAGAGCAGGCGGTGCTGGCATTCCTGCCTTCTTCACCCCAGCAGCCTTTGGAACCGTCGTCCAGACTGGAGAGCTCCCTACCGTACACAACAGCGACGGTTCTGTCGCTCGATACTCGACACCCAGAGATGTCAAGGTGTTTGACGGCAAGAGCTATGTTATGGAAGAGGCTATCAAGGGCGACTACGCTTTCATAAAGGCATGGAAGGCAGACAAACTCGGCAATCTCATGTTCAGATTTGCAGCACAGAACTTCAATGGCGCCATGGCCCGCAATGCAAAGGTCACCATTGTCGAGGCCGAGCACATTGTTGAGGTTGGCGAGATCGATCCGGCAGCAGTACATGTACCCGGAATCTACGTCGATCGTGTAATTCAGAGCACGGAACCCAAGAACATCGAGAAGGTGGTCAACGCCAAAGACCCGGCCGAAGCCCTCAATGCTCTTGGAAGTGGTGATGCCGCAAGCAAGCGCGAACGCATCGTCCGACGAGCAGCCAAGGAGTTCAAGAATGGAATGTACGCCAACTTGGGCATCGGTATGCCAATGATGGCGCCCGCCTTCGTCGACGACAGCGTCGAGGTTCAGCTTCAATCCGAGAACGGTATCCTAGGCCTGGGCGCCTATCCTCAGAAGGGTCAGGAAGATCCCGATCTCATCAACGCTGGCAAAGAAACTGTTACGTTGAGACCTGGTGCATCAGTATTTGGCTCTGACGAGTCGTTCGCCATGATCCGCGCTGGCAGAATACACATGACCATGCTTGGAGCTATGCAAGTTTCGGCAAGAGGAGATTTAGCTAATTTCGCGATGCCTGGANAAGGTAAGGACTCAACGTACAACCCTTTACACAAGAACGAGAACATGCTAACCATACCACAGATCAAGGGAATGGGGGGAGCCATGGATTTAGTATCGAATCCCGAGAAGACAAGAGTGGTTGTAACAATGGAGCACACCGACAAGAAGGGCGGGCCCAAGATCATGAAGATGTGCGAGTTCCCCTTGACCGGCAAGGCTTGTGTTTCGAGGATTATCACCGAGTTGGCTGTCTTTGATGTTGACTTCACGACGGGATTGACATTGATCGAGCATGCCGAAGGAGTCACGGTTGAGGAGATCAGATCGAAGACGGAGGCGCCGTTTAAGGTATCCGACTCGTTACAGGTCATGCAGCAGTGAGAGTGTCGAAAACAAATTCAAGTTATATCCAAAGCACGTATCTCTATCTCTGGAGTGGACATAGGTGAAATCGTACATAGCTGAAATCAAAATATGTTACAAGTGATGTACAGATGTTGTTCTCAAGACATAGCAAGCCGATTGCTGAGTCAATGTGAGAATTAAAAGAAGCATAACCCATGAAACGCCAACCCAATGCGCGTAGAGGAGCCTGAAGAGGCATTGGAATCGTCACCTCCACGCTTTCCAGAGACGAGGGCTCTCTCTTGCAGTGTATCATCTTCTGCTCAGAGACGAGCAAAAGCCTCCTACAGTCGTCCTTCTCTGCATCATCTCCTTCTTTCCCTTCCTTTACTTTCCCCCCCCCCCCTTAGAGCTTGTCCTTGAATCGTTTCTCCAACAGAACGAAATCAAGGCACAACCACAACACCCATACTCCCCGCCTGCGCAACCACACTCCTCGCCACTCCCTCTAACGTCAACCCACTCAACCTCTCCTCCCCATGCTTGATCCTCGCAATCTCAAACACATGCTTCAGGCTCACCGTCCCCACAACGCCCAGCCCACCATTTCCTGCCGTCAATTGACCACCACTCGCTTTGCCTACTCCCGCCAACCCAGCTCTAGAGTTTGGCCCTGCGACATTGCCTGCACCGCGCAATTTGTTTTTCTTGGGCTCTACGCCGGCGGCGGCAAGCAAAAGGGACGCGGTGGGTGGTGTGCGGAGTTCGAAGGTGAAGCTGCGGTCGGGGCGGACGGTTACGCGTGCTGGGATGGGGGTGCCGGGGACGTAGGTTGCGGTGCGGGCGTTGAATTCCTGCGGTTTGGTCTGTCAGTCCTCTCTTCTTGTCTTCGTTTGTCTCTTCATCCGTATGGTCAAAGAGACGGCAAGTAAGTCTGTACACACCTTGCAGAAATCCATCGACTTTACACCTTTGGAACCCAGTGCGGGACCGACGGGCGGCGAAGGCGAGGCCTGGCCCGCGCCGACGATGAGTTTGACTATCTGATCTGTTTGGATTGCTTTGCGCGCCATGGTTTTGTGGTGGATGTGTGTGATGTTTTCAGAAAGTGGTTTGCGCCTTTGCGATATCTCGGAGGTCTCGATGGTCGGGGAACTTTTTGTGGTCCGTGCTCGAGATGTGGTCAGGAGTGTCACCCTGGTCAGAATATCATCTGTTCTTGTTCGACGGTGATGAGGTCGTGTATGTCTGTCTCTTTGAAAGTTGGCATGACGAACAGAATTTAGAGAAGACGTCTTTCTAATGGTAACGTGTGATCAGACGAGAGCCATTGGGAGCCATCAACCTGTGCTCGGCAGAAGTATAAGCCTTCCGTCACCGTAGCATGAGGTCACTCATAGCACATTATTTCGAAGACGGAGCATGAATTCTTAACCGTGTTTATTCGGACGTCTTGACATTATGCATTAAAGTAACAGGGAGAGGGCCCTGTCTATCAGAGAAAGGCGTTTCAATGCCCTCTGTCGATGCTCAACCACTCCTCTCCTATGAAGTCCCACGTTCATCCTCTCTTTGTCGATATTTTCACATTATCCATCACTTTCCAATCCACCCAAAACACCACGTATGATATCCTCTAGCAATCAGATGTATATCAAAAGCAGGGCAGCGCTCGTGGCGAAACACACGTAAGTGCCTTCCCGCGCTGCCCGTTGTACCTCCCAATGAATCAAAACCCTCAGTCGTTAGATCCTAGAACCATCATGGCTCTCGGCTTCTCGTACATGTACATCCTCCTCTCGTCCCGCTGTATGCATAGCCGTGAAATCGATGAAGAAGAAATAAAGACACAGGTCGAAGCGAATGACGAAGAAGGGTATCGAAAATCCCAGAAGACTCCTGGTAAAACATGTCCTTGGAAAAATTGCACAGAAATTGCCGGTTGTTGAGGATTGAGTTCGAATAATCCAATGCTCAGATCCTGCTCGGCCGTATCGAAGAGAAAGCGCTGTACACCACATGATACTGGAGATGTTGTCGTGAGGCCAAGCCCGAAGCATGTCGCCCCGTAAAAAGCATTGATCAGACAGGTAAAACAATCTTGCTGGTTAGGCGACTCATGCCTTCTGTTGTGACTTTTGTTGGTAGTACTCATTGTCCGATGTCGAGGCCAGAGTGTCTCCTTCCCAAGACTCGTCAACAGGGCTTCTTGCACCGACCGAGGGGCTTCTGCTGGAAGATGCTACCGAGGATGAAGAGCCCATGGTCCATTCATCGCCGCTATCCATGCCGAAGTTGGCTGGGTGGAAGTCATCCTCGGCCAGATCGGTAAGACCATACGCATGGCGCTCCCTAGCCTCTCCGACCTCGACATAATCGTAATCCCAGCGGAACATCTTGCCAGGCTGCAGTCTCGGCAGGAACTTGCCCTTGGCGATGTAGTAGGCACCAGCGGAAAGCAAGCTGCCACCAACGAGATCAACGGCGTAGTGATGGGAAAGGTACATGGTGGACCACCAGAGCCAGCCTGTGTAGATGATGAACAAGGGACGAAGCTTGGGGAAGGTGTGGCTCATGAACAAGGCTTCGATAGTGGCACATCCAGAGTGCAGCGAGGGAAANGCACCAAAGACCATGGGCGAAGCGGTGAAAGTCGAAGTGTACAGATCGATACCGAAGAGCTTGTCGATTGCGGCCAGACCGGCAGGAGAGCCTTGCATGGAGTAGTTGGCGGGAGCAAGGCCGTACATATTCTCGTACCAGGGAGGCGAGCAGGGNAAGAACAGCTGGATCATGACACCGGTCAAGTTCATGTAACCGAAGGCTCTTGCGAAAGTAGGAGTGGTTCCGGGCGGGCCGAAGAGGAACATGAGACCAGAGCAGACGAAGGGAGCACCGAAGTGGGTGATACCGTAAGGCAACCAGGCGAGGACATCGAGGACGACGGCCTTGTGGGCGGATAGGATGTTGCTCAAGTTTGCGCCATAAAGGATGTTTTCAAGAGCAGGCAGCACGCGAACCCAGATCGGAGGTCTGTATTTGCCGTCGATGAANTCTGGCGAGGGCGAGTTAGCGGAAGGACTAAATTACGGACAAGGAGAGGTTGATGCGGCGTACTGGCAGGAGAAGAAAAAGATGAGCCATGCGGCAATTGGCAAGAATGGCAGGAAGAATTGGCGAGTGACGGGTAACAGCAGCGACAACATCAACAGCGTAGCCACGGCCGTCTTGACCATGGGACCGGGCGATTGGATGACGCAGAGGGCGAAGATGCCGACGACGGCGAGAAGCAGGTATTGGGCATCGTAGACGGACCATTGGTGGTCACGGAGGGAGCGCAGCGTGTCTTTGGGGTTGAAGCTGGTCTGCAGGGCCGAGATGGACGAGGTGGGCGTTTGTCTGCTTCGGATCTTGGAGCGTGTGCTGCGGAACTTGCGGCGCAGGCGGTGCGGCAGCATGGTGGGTAGAGATGGAAGGAACTTGTTGCGTGTGAAGAAGCGTTGCGTCGACTCGCTGTCGTCGGCGCCCCCGAGGGCAAAGTATTTGCTGCTCATGCTGGTCCTGGAAGGCACGGAGGAGGAATATAGCCACACGCCGACACGGGTGCTGGGTGATGCTCCTGTTGTCGAGTCGAGTCGCGAAACAATATCGAGACGGAGAGAGAGAGAGAGAGAGAGAGAAAAGTCACAGGCTCACTTGGACCCAGGTGCTTAGGCCTACCAGGATGCTTGGGCAGTTATGAAGTAACCATCAACTTTGGCTCAAGGGCTTGCTTCCTCTCGGCAAGCGGCGCAACCGCTGCGCGATCAAGCGCGCAACCAAAGTCCGTCTCCGTCCTAATTTCCCAATTATTTCTCTCACCCAAAGAAACAATCCCATCCTATTGTTCCATGGCGAGCACCAATGCTTGCACTAGGTCGCGTGCACTCTGCCATCCCAACTCCGAACAACTGCTTGATCCTGCTCTCTCCATCTCTCTCTGTCTGTTTATCGATGACAGAGTCAACACTGCCCGGCTGCCCTCGGAAGCTGACATATCCGTCACCAAAAACTTTGCCTTAGCCTTGCTCCCAAGCCCGCTCGTCATGCCAATAAACACAGTGCATCAAGCAACCTCATGTGCAGACAACTCACCAAGGCGCAAGCATCCTTTGCTCCTTCAATCCTTTGCCGTATTCCCTTCGTACAATCCTGATCTCCCTAACCTGATGCCTAAAATCCCCAAAGCATCGCCAATCTCACAAGTGTCGTTGATCGCAAACAGACAGCATCGGCGCAACCCCGAGTCGTGGAGTAGTTAGAACCAACCACCAACCATAAATGCCAATTCTTTTCCAAAGCCGCCGTTTCTTGACGAAACCACAGCGACAAGGGGGAAGTTTTACACGCGAACCATACGTTCCTTGTCACGGCAGGGCAACCTGCATCTTCGTTTCACAGTCAAGGCCGCACCTGCAGCAGACTCGCGATCGATATCTCAATCGCTTGGCTGCTGTTTGCGGCCCTTTAACCAGCCCACTCACGCGACTGCCAACGTCTTTTATGCTCCCTATCCCCCTCAAAGCACAAAATGAAAGGAGTCACCACATTTCCTTCACCGGCCCTTTTCTTCACCGTCTAGAAGGCGAAAATTTCTTCGCTACCAACTGCCGCTTGTTGAAAAAGCCATCGCGGTCAAAGAAAAAAATGGTCGCGCTTCTCACGGTAAACTCGGCCAACTCTTTTGGTTCGGAGCATCGGAAGATCGGAGAGCAATCTCCATGCCGAAATTAGTTATGCAGCAAGTGACATTTCCTTAACCATGTTTGTGCAACAAACACAGACATCGAACCCCAACCTCTTTTGTTGCGTGTTGCAAAGACCATGCAGGTACGGAGGTTCTGAAGGGTAGATCAGGCATCTTTCTGCGCAGATCAAACAGTGCGACAGTGGGGTTTTCGCGTGACACTGCTTTTGTGTCTCTTCTCCTTGCGTTCCGACCCCAGTCGCCCATGCTTCCACCCGTGTGGAGGAAAGTGTGCTCTGCCGTGTTGTTTTTGGGGTGTTGGTTGACTCGGTGACCATTGACCGCTCCAACCAAGTCCAGATCTGCAATTGGCAGACCGGTCAACAGTGTTCGAATCCAGAAATGGACTTTCAAGACCATTGGCAGGCAAACAAGTAGGGAGAACGGCTCCTCGTCATTGTCACTAGGCAGAGAGATGAGGATGTTGAGAACTTGTTGGCAGGTAAAAAGGTTAAGATACTATGGTGTCAAAAACACCAAACAATCATCTGTAGAAGAGAAGAACGAATCGACAGAGACCAAAAAGACAAAACTGCTGCTGTTGCTGCATGGTTCCTGCTCTGTTGCTTGCTGTGCCGAAAAAGAAAAAACACCAGTAAAACTCCATCTAAAAGACAAGATACATGTAGACCGCTGTTCTCGTTCGCTCTTCAAAAATCATAGACCCATTGCTTTCCTTGCTCCATATCTTCTTTGCACATAATATCCGTGTTCATGTCCATCCGAATGCTGTAGTCGTTAAAAGTCATGTACGTGTGTCTCGAAATTCCCTTCGTCATTCACAAGTCCTTGTATGCATCATGCGTAAGCCTCATGTTTCTCAATGACTCTCGAGCCATGCGTCCAAGCTAGCGTTGAACAGCGAGTCGCCAGGACCGCCATACATGCTAGGATTGAACTCGAGCATGTCTTCCGAGCCCATGAATGCGCTCTCGACAGCGTGAGTTGCGTTTGGTGAGAAGTCGTCCTTCTCATCGACACTGTGGGTTGATGAGGTTGCTGCAGGCGACAAACACTCGTTCTCCTCGATGATGATGGGTTTGCAGTCGACAGAGGGGAAGCTGAATGTGTTGTCGCTGGAACCGAAGGGTTGACTCGGGCATTGTGAGCTTGGTGGAGGACTGTGAGGGAGCTGGGGCGGAGATGAAGGGGCAACCATGACATGTGTAGTAGGCAAAGAGCTGAGATCAGCTGCAGTGTACTTGTACTCCTTCTTCGGCGAGGCATTGCCAGTTGAGAAAGGCGACGTAGGAGGTGTGTAGCGGGACAGCTCTTCGACAGAGTACTTGCCGTCTTGCTGCTGGTAGTTGGCGAAATCCTCATCATCAAAGTCGTCGTTGACATTAGCTGCAGGGGTGTTGGGATAGCTAGCCTCGCTGGCAGAAGAGCTTGCGTATGCAGTGAACTCTGAGTTTCTGCGCGAGTTGATCTCCCTTTGGTGAGCTGCTCTCTCGAGACGCTCAGAGATTTCGTAATGGTTCTTGCGAGGACGACCACGTCTGACTTGGGAACGCTCGAAACCGGGGAGAGCGCCGTCGCAGACTCCACGTTGGCGGTGGCGTGTGAGAGCATCTTGTCTGGCAAAGCCATTACCGCAAGGGCACTTGTGAGGCTTGTCACCACTGTGGATCTTTGCATGACGCTTCAGATCGTGCTGTCTGACAAAGCACTTGCCGCAGTGGTTGCACTTGAATTGGCGATCACCAAGATGGGTCTGGACATGAGCACGGATGTTCTCTTTACGGCCAAACTTCTTGCCGCATCCATCGAAGAGGCAAGTCCACTTGCCATCGCAGTGGTCTTGAGGGCTGATGTACTGTTGGACGTCCTGAGGTGAGATACCAGTATCCTCGATGCTAGCGTCAATGTCGAGAGTCTGCAGCATAGCCTCACGAGGAGAAACTGCCGACCTCTGAGGGGAATCTGTGTAGTAGCTCATATTGGAGGTAGCTTCACCAGAAAGCATCATTGAATCGTGGGCGTAAGTTGCGTGGCTGGCAGCAGGCGAAAGAGCCTCGTACACAGTAGGCAAGGGGTTGAATTTGCCGTCCATAGGAGAGCGCATGGGCGAGCTGGGATCGGCCATTGACGATGTGTACGAGGGTGTGCATGCGTAGTCACCAGCGAAGGACTCTGCGTACACGGAATGCTGGTCTTGGTAGGGTTCCTGGACCTGGACAACAGGGACGTTGGCGTACTGGATTGGCATGGGCGACATTCCGGGGTGCATGGGTGACACTGCAACTGAGTTTGGCATGGGCGAAACATCGAGGAGGGGACCCTCAGGATGGCCAGACATGGGTTGCTGGTAGTTGGAGCAAGGAGTTGTTGGCCGTGTGGCAACAATGATGGGGGTGGTGGGCATTTGAGGTTGCGATTGAGAAAGTGGTGTCTGAGGAACATATCCGTAGGTGCGGTAGACGGTCTGGATATGTTGTTCAAGGTTCAGGATGGCTTGCTTTGCTTGCTCGGCAGAAGCAATGTCCTGTTCCATGAAGGCTGGTCTGAAAAAGTGCTGCTGGTTAGGGTCCATGTGATATAGTCCCGGCTGGTAAGGTCTGTGCTGCTGCGTTTCTTGCACTGAATGCTGTGATGATGGTCGTTGTGGGTTAGTTGGCATACTTACCTCCTGTCGTGATAGGAGAGTCATGCCCTGGTCGATGCTCAGTCCACGGCGGTGGCCAGATGGACGTTGCCTTGACGAGGCAGACATGTGTGTGTTGATCATCGGGACCTCGAGCGAGTTCTGTCTTCTGTGTAGTTGACGTCGTCGTTGGATGCTCGAGGTTGGGTTGTGAGTTGACAGCATTTTGGTGGTGAAAGATTGAGTCCGGATGGGGTTAGTTGTCGAATTGGTCGAGGATAAGTTAATATCTCGGTATTCCGGATCTGTGAAGGCATTGGATTAGCACATGTGCATGTTATACTGTCGAAGAAGCAACTCATCCATACCTCACGCAGTGCAAGCCGCGTCCGCCGGGCGGAAGAGTGTCTTAGAGTCTGATCAGGCGCGTCGCACTAGAGCGAAGCTTGGTGATTTGGTATATGGGGCCTAACGGCCTTTGGGATGGATGGTTTGAGGGTGTTTAATTCGCAAAGGAGATTGAGATTGGTTTTTGCAGATAGATGATATCTACAGAAATTGAGGAGGAGGAGTATACAGGAACGAAATGCGGACGGGCTCAAGGCCTTCTAATGAGGCCTTTGCTTACATGGGGGACGACTTTGGCGCTGGTTGCTAGGTGAAGCTGGATCTTCTGTTGACGTTGCTGCGCAACGTGCAACGCCATGCACCATGACGAGCCGAAATCTTGGTTTCGTCCCGCTCCTTGTCGGGGCCGCTGTCGTTCTACCGAAGGCGGTGAGGCCGATCGTGATTGCTGATGATCTGATAAGATGGATTGAGCTCCATCTGATCTTGCATGTGAAAGCGGTCCCATAATTTGTCGCCAGCAGTCGCTCTTTCCCAAACTCGAGGTTGTATTCAGTCCCTCGCAATCACTCAACATGAAGGTGAGTTCTCCATATCCCAACTGAGATATTCGCTCTGACACATCAAGATCCTGGACGCCGGTACCGAAGTCCTCGACGACCACGACGTCCTGAGGTTCATCCGCGACAAGCGCGTCCAGATCAAGGCTGAGAAGGAGCAGTCAAAGGAAGAGGGCCGACCAAACACACACAGACCCGCCAACTTTATGAAATCGTTGCAAAAGCATGAAGAACACCTCAGCGACAAAGACCGCCCATTTCTCAACAACCCTCGATACGACGACAACTCTCAGTACCTGAACAAGTTGATGCAAACTCTGGGTCCAAGGGTGCAGCTCACAAAGTCCGAATACTTGATCCTCGCCAATCAACGCCCATACAGACGCGCCCACCTTGCCGCCATGATCGAAGACGTCGATACTCGCTTCACTATGGAGGAGCAGAATTTCATCAGAGATACAGTAGCAGAGATCCTAGGCTTCCCGGAGGAGGAAGGCGCAAACTTGGACTCCCAGCCTGTCCTTGTCAGGGGTTGAAAAAATATGCCGGACAAACATTAGCATACCAGACTGAGAGACCCGATCGCATACCTATACAGTCCTGCTTGTGGACATGGCTGCTCCATCACCCGCCCGGGTTCATATCAACACGCTGCAAGACCAGGCATGCGCGAACGAGATGGGTCGACATGGAGAAGAATCAGGGAAGAAGAGAAAATGCTGCTGAAGGCATCGTGCCACACGAAGAACGAGATGTCGCATCGCATAAGCTCACTAGAAATTCAGAAGGACGCGACGGTAAAGCATAGGTCATGACTGGATCTCGTCCTGAACTCGCCCATCTCTGTAGATCTGTATAGATATCAGTGTGCCACTCCACCACCTCTCCACGCTGCAACTGTCCGCAATGAACATAAGTACTCCATCTTTCGGCAATATTCTGGCGCAGATCAAGTCACTCAGCTTTTGACTACCGAGTACGCCCATATTTTTCTGCCGAGGCTAACCAAAAACCGACCATCATCAAGCCTATCAGCCTTTCAGCTCATTTCTTCGACGCCATGTCAACACCATCTGTATGCTATCACCGTTGCGATAAGCAACCACACAACCTTCTTTCACATCCAACGCGATTGCCTCATACAGAAACAAATCATGTCATACCAGTTTTTAAAGTGCCTGGCTGTTCGGAACGGCAATTATTCATTTGTTAACACTCAACTCCCCATCCGCCCAGCGGATCTGGTTTCGCTGTGTTTGCCGCTCTAGCCTTCTGAAGTCTCCTGACTCGGTTTACCATTAAACCGATACTCACAGGCCCGATGATTGTGCAGAGTAGAATTGCCCAGGTAGCTACAAGGAAAATGTCGGAACTGCCGCCGCCTTCGACAGTCCCGAATACACCGTTGCTTTCTGCTAGTGAGGAGATCAGGAATCCAATTTCGCCTCTGGCCACCATGGCACTCCCTAGCATCAAAGAGGGGTATAGGGATTGCGGTTTGGGCAGCTTGCGGGGAGTTTGCCTCTTGCGCTTGGAGTTGGCGGAAGGGGTTTGCGCCTGTGTGCTGCTCTGGCTGCCTGCGGATTCATTGGAGGCATCTGGCTCTGTCGTTCGCCGACCTTCAGGCAATTGGACTTTGGTCGGTGTGCTTGTGAAACGGACGAGGACAAGACCGCAGGCCAACTTGCCCAGAATCATGAGGATGGTATAGACGAGTCCACGCCAAACAATGGCACCGCAGAACATTTGAGTGATGGGAATTGAGAAGCCAACGGATGCNCTGTTACATTTATTAGTGCTCTGACTGACAGCGCAGATGAACATGATACTTACGAAGAAGAACGGCTTCAGGACCGAGTTCATGGCTGGTGCATACATGCGCTCATAGATAGCCGCACCATTCAGCTTGGCATGTATCGAAGAGACAGGCTGATCTGGCGCGCGGGTCTCGGGAGCCGCAACATCAGACGATAAGGGCCCCGAGGATATGGCTTGATCTCCACTCGAAGTAGTAGCCTTGTTTGCTTTGCATGCCTTCTTCGCTGTCGTAGGGCTAGGACGTTCTTCTTGCAGCATCGAACTTACAAGAGCATCCCACCAATTGATGACAGCCCCAGCAATGTAAGCCGCAAACAAATTGGATGTGCCAGCATACGTCGACCCAGTGACAAGACCCAAGAGGACCAGAGTGTGAGCACTGAAAGCAGCAACCGGAGCGCAAGCCAAACTTCGAAGTCTCGACTGCTCTTTCTCTTTATTTTCAGTCTTTGCTGTTCTTGAGAATACATGCTTTGTGATGGGTCTCACAACCGCCCAGCAGAAAGCAGGCACAATGACAGCAAATGCGATTGAGACGAACACAGGCCTGATGACAGTCACAGCTGAGAACGAGTCGGCAGATTGTCCAAGGTTGGATATGACTTGAACCATGACAAGCCCTGCCACATCATCCAGCATTGCAGCACTGGACAGGATGACGCCCAACCTGCTCTTCTCAAGACCACTGGTACTGAGGATGGTAAAAGTCGTACCCAGAGAAGTCGAACACAATGCAGCTCCAGCAGCAAAAGCCTGAACTGGTGTAGCTCCAAGAAGTCCCATCAAGACATATGACATGCAAATAGGGAAGGTGGTGCCGATCAGAGCCACGAGTCCAGAAAGATAGATATTAGACCATAGTGATGCAAATGAAGTTGATAAGCCACCNTATAGAAAGATGTTGTTAGTCATGCAAGGTATTGGAGATTCGGCAAACTACTTGCCTTCGTAGACGATGAGAATCAACCCAAGATAACCCAACTGCATCACGGTGTCTTGCACCTCTTCCGATAGCCAAATCGCACCTGGCGTACCCCATGCCACTCCAATCAATATCTGACCCACAAGACCACAATAGATGGCATTATCGAGAACCCAATTAATGCCATTGAGAACAAGCAGAAAAGATGCCTGGATTAGTATCGTCACGATCCCAGGTTCGTGGTATGGAAGCGCGGCCAAAGCCATTTTGACAAGACAAGGGAGTGGAGAGAAAAGTGAACAGGAGGTCGAGCAAGCCTTACTCAAAGGCCACACGGATATGTCACTGATACAATTACAAAATCCAATTGGATTTCCGTGCGGAAGCGGTGGTCATTGGGATCTTGATCGAGTCACGTTCACTTGGCATCAACAGGCCGACTTTTGTACGCAACGTCTGTCTCCTTCATACAACATTCTCACCTGCGCTCGAGAGGCCAGTGGTTCGATGTAAAACAAAAGACTAGCAACAGCCTCTATATCGTTCGACGAACACGTCAAAACGATTGCTCTCTCACGTAACGCCGTCTGCATCTCTCCTTCTTTCCCTTCCAGAGGCATATCCTTGTCAAAGCAAAACAGGAGAAGCGACTCCGCCCAAAGTCAATTTTTGATGTGCAACGCCATCTCCAACCCCGCCTGCCCCGTCGGCCTGCATGCCTATCTCGACCGACCGTGTCGTACGTACGATGAAACATAAATTTCAAGGATTGGCAAAGGACATTTGATGTCTCTCTTTCCCTACTCTCTGTCTTGAATTATCACACTGTATATTCTCGCACTTCTCATTCACAATGTGGTCTTATCTATTGCTCAGCCTGTTTGTCGTTCAGACTTTGGCAATATGGCCCATACCATCGAATATGACCATGGGAGAAGAGGTGTTGTTTGTGGATCGCAGAGTCAAGTTCATCTATAATGGTGTCGCCCAGGTAGCATTGCCCCAGCCAGAGCAGACGCCGTTCGAACAAGATCTTAACCTCTTCATCTTGCAGAACGGAAACTATGGTCACCACAATATGTCATCCCAGAAAGTTATCTCTACAGCGATCGAGACGGCTACCCATACCCTGTTCGAACAGAATTTTGTCCCATGGAAGTTTCATCCTCGTCATTCCAACTTCGAACCTGCGATGAATGCTTCTTGCACATACATCAGAACAGTGCATCTGGAACAGACTGATGTCGACCCGGCGAACGTAACAAAGCCGCTGGCTGGCGATGTCGACGAATCATACTCGTTGTCTATCGCGACTGATGGTCAAGTCACGATCACAGCGGCCTCCTCTATTGGCATTGCCCATGGCTTGACAACATTCACCCAGCTGTTCTACAAACACTCCAGCGGTTCGGTCTATACGCCTTACACTCCAGTGGACATCACAGATGCTCCAATGTTTCAGCATAGAGGCCTCAACATGGATGTATCGAGGGTCTGGTATAGTCCTGCTGATGTTATCCGAATGATCGATGCTCTGGCGTATAACAAATTCAACCGTCTACACCTTCATATCACAGATGCTCAGTCCTGGCCACTCGAGATACCAGCACTGCCGATGTTGGCCGAGAAAGGCTCGTACCGTGAAGGTCTGACATATAGTCCGTCGACCATGGCGTATATTCAAGACTATGGCGCCTCTCGAGGTGTGGAGGTAATCCTTGAAATCGATATGCCCGGTCACACCTCGTCTATCGCGTACAGCTACCCTGAGCTGATAGCGGCGTTCAACGAGAAGGACTGGTCGAAATATGCTGCCGAGCCGCCGTCCGGTACGTTGAAGCTGAACTCCACAGCAGTGACCAATTTCCTGGACACTTTGTTCGATGATTTGCTTCCACGAGTTCTACCATACTCGTCCTATTTTCACACTGGAGGCGATGAGGTCAACGTCAATGCCTATACCCTCGACGATACTGTACGCTCAAACGATACTGCAATCCTACAACCGCTCATGCAAGCCTTCGTCGACAGAGCTCATGCCAAAGTGCGAGCTGCTGGTTTGACTCCGATTGCATGGGAGGAAATGCTCTTGACTTGGAACCTGACTCTAGGATCGGATGTTGTGATACAGACCTGGCAGAGCGACGAGGCGGTCGCAGAAACCGTCAGCAAAGGCCACAAAGCTCTTGTTGGCAACTACAACTACTGGGTCAGTTTCCTCCATGTGTGAGGTAACGAAGACTAAGCTAATGAATAACTGTTAGNNTACCTCGATTGTGGCCACGGCCAGTGGCTTGATTTCTATCCTGATGTCTCCCAGCAATACTATCCCTACAATGACTACTGCGCACCACTGCACAACTGGAGAGTGATGTATGCCTATGACCCGCTCAATGGCGTCCCTGCAAACCTGACACATCTCGTTCTGGGAGGCGAAGTTCACATCTGGAGCGAGCAGACTGATCCCGTCAATATCGACAGACAAGTGTGGCCACGTGCCTGTGCAGCCGCCGAGGTTCTTTGGAGCGGCGCCAAAGACGAGCAGGGACAGAATCGCAGCCAAATCACTGCAAGTCCAAGATTGAGCGAGATGCGGGAGCGCCTGGTCGCGAGAGGAATTGGCGCCGAGCCCATTCAGATGCCATTCTGTACACAAAACGGCACTCAGTGTGCTCTTTGATTTTTTGTTCGTACATCGCGTGAGTTGTGACTCGTGAGGGGTCACAATATGAATAGCTCGCGCTCTGCCAGAGGCTGATGCGAGGGAGGAGCGGAAGCTATCTTACTAGGCCCAAACCGGCAACGCTTGCGAGTGTCGGCTGTTCGAGGATCCGGAAGACGCGTCTCAGCTGTATCCTGCTCGAATAATTAATTATAAACCATCTCCATACCATCGTATATCGATTTCCTGAGATCTCTCGCACCCCGCAACATACAATATCCATAAGGCGAGTTCGATCGTGTGGGATACCCTGTCGCAATCATGGCCGTTACTCGGTCCGACGCCTCTTCTGATCACAGCTCAATTTTGATTGGCTTGGGCAGCATATTACTTCTATTGCTCGCAAAACACCTATTCTCAAGGATTCAAGAGGAACGGAAGATTCGATCGCTAGGAGCTCACGCCAAAATCATCAATTCGTGGGTGCCTTTCGGACTTGGGTTCATCGCAAGAACTGTACTTGACCAACGCAAGCACGATTTGCTTGGAGGATGGTACAGGATCTTTGCAGACCGTTCGTCGATTCACCCCTTTACTCGTGAAATAAGAACTCTGGGAATGCGATTAGTCTTGACTGCCGACGAGGAAAACATCAAGGCTATCTTGGCCACTCAGTTCAATGACTATGGCAAAGGTGACCAATTCAATGCCGAATGGCATGACTTCTTGGGAGACAGTAAGAGCTCCAATTCACATAGACAGAAGAGACACTGATACGTTATAGGTATCTTTACCACTGATGGAGAGAGGTGGCATGCATCACGCCAACTCATCCGTCCTCAATTCATCAAGGATCGTGTTTCTGATCTAGCAGTCTTCGAGAAACACTTGGAAGTCCTTCTTCCCATGCTTGGTGGCTCCAAGAACAACCAGACAGTGGACGCAATGGATCTGTTCTTCAAATTCACGTTGGATGCTAGCACTTCTTTCTTGCTTGGTCACAGCGTCAACAGCTTGGAGAACCCTCAAGATCGCTTCTCTGACGCCTTTGCGACGGTCCAAAACGTCCAATCAATCATTGCTCGAGTCGGCNCCCTCAATCGATTCGTACCACGCAAAGCATTCTATGCTTCTCTTCGTGTCATGGAGGATTTCATGCAGCCATTCATCGAACAGACTCTGCAACTGACTCCGGAAGAGCTCGAGAAGAAGTCCAAGTCAGACGAAGGCTATAACTTTTTGTATGCGCTTGCTAGCTTCACGCGTGATCGCACGGTCTTGAGAGACCAGCTGGCTGCTGTATTGCTTGCTGGACGTGACACTACTGCATGCACCCTATCGTGGCTGTTCAGCGAAATTTCTAGACGACCAGACATTGTTTCCAAGCTGCGACGCGAGATTGAAGAGCACGTGGGTATGGACAACAAGCCTACCTATACTCACCTGAAGAACATGCGATACCTGGCTCATGTCGTTAACGAGACCTTGAGACTCTACCCTATCGTACCTTTCAACGTCAGAGTATCCTTGAAGGACACGACTCTGCCGCGTGGTGGTGGCCCAGATGGTACTCAGCCTATTGGTATCCCTGGTAAGTTGACCTGGCGGAGGACTCTGCTGTCACTTTACTGACTGTAGCAACCTANNGCCAACACACCTATTGGTTACTCTACCTTGTTCCTCCAGCGTCGCGAAGACATCTACCCACCCACCTCCGAGAAGTTCCCGCATTACCTCAACTTCGAGCCCGATAGATGGGACGGATGGAACCCAAAGATGTGGACATNNGTGAGTGGACACCAACACATCAAGAAAACTCCTACTAACCTGGATGTAGACATTCCGTTCAACGGTGGACCACGTATCTGTATCGGTGAGCTCTCACAAACAAGTATTATCTGAAGTATGAGCTAACCTAATATGACAGGCCAGCAGTTTGCTTTGACCGAAGTTGCATACACTGTCGTCCGTATCCTGCAGACGTACTCACGAGTCGAATGCAAGATGGCCGAGCGTCCAAAGCTGAAGACAGACATTGTGGTTCAGCCATCAGACCCACTCCATCTGGTCTTCCACCGAGACTAGAAGTCTTCACTAGGGATACCTCTCCAACAGCTTTCAAGCGGTGACGACTCATGTTTATCTAATGGTAATGAGGGACTCGAGAGAGCAAGCAGTCCTGTTGCAGAAGACATCTTAAGGCCGAGCAGTCCTTCCAAAGACCAATTTTCTCCAGTCATGTGGTTGTTGGAATTGATTGGGGGCCATGATGGACTTTTCTGGTATATCTAAATTCTCCTTGAGTGTGTTATCCTTGTTCATACAATTCATAACCGCTGTTCGTCCTAAAGTATTGCCATCATGCTCAGATACCTTGGACATGCAAGGTGCAGCACTTGGCACCCACCAACCCGGCTACCTGCCCTCCTCCTCTCCTGACACTCTTCAGCACTCCTCAACCGTCGCACAAACCCCGGACTCCCCCCTCCCCGTGTCTCACTAACCCACATCTCGATCATGGACGTGTACTTTGTTCTTCTTGTTGCGCCTTAAACCCCCGACTGTTACACACGATGCGCGGGCGAAACGGCACCCTGCGCTTTGCCCATGCACCCCGCCATATTGCTCTCCATGTCCTCCCTCTTTCCCCTTGTTTTCTCCAGCTTTTGCCCCCAGTGGTGACAGGTGTCTGTGCTAGAGATTCGAAATGCAACCTGTTTTATGCTGCTTCGTTGCGTGTGTGGAGGCCTTCAAAACGTGTGTGCAGCAAACACTGACGACATTAAGCAGGCCTCACCAAAAACGTTGTCGACCTACGTGGAAAGAGCAGAGAGGAATGAAGAACCTCCGGAGGGAAGAAACAAGATGTAGAAGAGATGGCAGCGTAGATGGTAACCTCACTACACGGTAAGTCGGTCCGCTTTACCGCTACAACATGCTGCTTCACCCTCGTACATACGTGTACATGCATTCCACAAACCAAAGTTCTAGAAGTGTGTGCAGACATCCAAAGGAGGTACAGAAAGTACTACTGTATGTGAATCATCCGAGTCTGATAGATTTCTTGGGCTTCTCCACATCACATCCATACATGCCAACACTTGCACTTAGCGAAAAGGAAAAGAGCAAGGGAAGTCATTCATACCCGAACCATATTATCTGAAGTGACTGAGAGCATCATCGCTTCGCTCTATATTTCATTTATCCGGTCAATTATCACCCGTGCTCATCATCACAGGGAAGCGATGTTGGAAGCAAGCCACCAAATTCCAAACCCCTGGTTCAAACCAAAAACGCCCCATCCATTTGGGATCTTGCATGCAATGGATGTGTGATGGACTTCTGCGTTATGTGTTCTCATTCGTGTTGATCAATTTCCGCGTGGACTGGTGTCTGTCACAGACAAGTCCAGGTCTAGAGGTTTGCCAGGCCTAGGATATGGATATATTGATTGGCCAGCACATTTCGGAAGAACCAGCACAGAATTCGATGCCGCGATATGAAATTGGAAGAGAGAAGCGAAGAGAAGCCCTTCGGACGATCACCAAAGATCAAGTTCTGGAGCTCGGGATCGGCACATGCCCCTGTCGGAAGCCGCAGAGTGCAAGCCTCTCTTCCAATATATCGTTGGCTTCGCATAAAGATGGAACTTGCGGTCAAGCAACAAAGAACCAGCACACTTGAAAAACATCCACTGCGATTCGTCGTCGTGGCTGATCTAATCACAGACACGGTCAGCCCAATCAAAACGCTGGCACTGTATGGACTTTTTGTATCGTAACATCTCATGACAAAGAGAAGCAACAGTGATTCGTGATCGACATGTCATGGTTAAACACGAGTTACTGGTGTTGAATCTCCACGTCCACGTTTGGACAGGAGATGGACCGAGAGTGACCCGACAGTTTGGCTCACAGGGGACGGCGCGGGGCGCGGGACACACGGCTCCGTTTGATCTAATGCACTCCAAATGCATCAGGGTAAAGGGGCGCCTGGGGGTGGAGAGAGGCGTGTAAGTAGTGTGTATCGGGAAACGGCTTTTTGCGGATGTCAGCCAGAAAAACTCAAGTGTGCAAGGATGAGAGATGACGGGCTGTCATTCGCAAGAGGGACGAGCAGCTGGCGGTGTGAAATTATCCTGGATGTGGTGATACGTGTGGTGGCGGCTGAAAAGATGTGACCAGGAGGTTGCTGCTCAGAGGTGTGGATATTTATTCCTGGCCTCCTTCGCTGCTTGATCTTTGTCGTTTATCTCCTCTTTTTAATTCTCAATCTTCCATCAAGGTTACTTTCGTCTCACCAAGATTGAACACTACAAGCTTCCATCAACATCATACCAGATCAAGTCAACAAGACACTTGGTCCTTATCAACAGATCAAGCCTTCGGTTACATCCCTCTCGTCTTCGGAAGCAGCTGTTGGCTTGCACCCAAGCTTCACCTCTTACGTCAAACATCGAAGACCATCCCACACATTCAATCGATATGACTCCCGCACACCCGCAAGCTGCCAGTCGCCCGCGTCTGATTCTGCGCTCCGACTCTTTCACACACGAAGACATCAACGCTGCTTTCGCAGCCTCGGCCTCGCAGCCTCGGACCAAGGATCTCAAGATCCGCATCGCTCAGAAGGACGAGACGCCTGCTCCTCCGCCATCGCCGACCGAGGCCTTTCCATCTCACCGTCCTTAATCGACCGATCAGGGCTGATACCCATCACTCGACACGCACTCTGTGTTCAGATAACCACATCAAAGCACTGATAATGGAAGTAGTCGGAGTTATTGGGAAGGGGATTCGGAGTTTCTTGGATTGTTACAGTAGCCTAACAGAGGCGACAGCAGAGCTGATCGGAGCATTGGATTCGTTTTTGATTTTTCATCCGTTTTGATGGTCCAGGGCATGACCGTGCCGGCGTTTTGGTTCATGAACTTGCTGTTTATCCCGAGTTTCGCTTACTCAGAAATGATGATGATGCATTGCAACATGGTTATTGCATCAAGCCTTGCGACCACGGAGCTCGTGTATCTTCTCGCGGAATTCATCGAGCGTCATTTCTTTCTCACCGTCAGTGCTTTGTGTATTGTCGTTAGATTTGACTGCTGAGTCGCTTAAGCCAACAAACTCATCAACCTTCGGCACGTTGCTCAATTCGGCGTCGCGGCTAGGAGGTGGCGTACCACGCTTGATGGCATCGTCGACAGCATCCATGTATTCCTTGTCATGTAACTTTGCGTCAAACAGTAGTTGGTTGACTGTCCTCCAGTTTTGGTATCGCAATTCGTCAAGTGGATATCCTGTTGGGCTGATTCCTGGTGCCTGTTCTTCTGCTTCTGCCTCTGCCTCTATCTCCACCTCTCGCTCAGCCTCTGTCTTTAGGGCAGAAGTTGTTGATGAGAGAAGATTTTGAGCTGTTGACGAGTCTGTCGTCATTTCATCGTACACTGTACGGATGTATTCTTCGGGCACATTTGTGTACAGACTCGAGCCGTTGAGCAAAGAAAGCGATACAGGCTCGGTGTAGAAATTACGGCCCAGATGCGTGTTCTCGGACAAATATGTGACATCTTGCTTGAGAAATTCGAGAATTTTCATAGATCTTGATATCGTCGCCATATCGTTTGCAGTGTTATTCTTGTCTGGATTGAGCTGTCTCGAGAAGTTCCCGGCCTGGAGCGCGGTGTTCATTCGGTCCAGAATATGAGGGGGNACAATATGTTGGAAGTTGACTAGCTGTTGTTGCAAATACTCTGGGTCATTGACACGTCTAGTAGCGTTCAACAAGTTTTGCCAGTCTATGAGCTCCAGAGCAGCACCCTTTTCGATGCGGTTGGCGACTAGATCAGTCCAAGCTGATTTGATTGTTTCAGGGTCGCCCATCTCGCCTGCAGCTGCTAGGATGGAACGCAAAGTCACTGCGTTGGGCTTGAGACCATAATGTTCCATTGCTTCAAGGGCATGGTCTATGATATCTTTGCGCTTACCTCGACCAGCGAGGTTGGCAATCATAGAGTTGAATGAGGCTATGCCTGGGGGCGAATTATGACTAGCCCAAATGCCAAACAGATCGCTGAGCAAAGCACTGATAGTGTTGGTAATAGGTCGCAACTGATCGGAAGACATCTTTGTATAGGCGTGATCCTTCAGAAGACCAGTAATGGCTATGACAAGTTCGTTGAGAGACTTGTTGTTTAGAGGGGCACCGGAGGCCGTGTGTGCATAGCACACCATGATCATGGCACGCAGGATAGCAGCATTTTTAATAGGTTCTGCTGCGGCAACCTTTCTCAACCTTGTCAGGAGGATCTTCAGGGCATCATGACCAGGAGTGGCACCGGCTTGACAGGCGAGCATGAAGACCTTGTAGGCTTCGTGTAGCGGACGTTCTTGCACAAAGAGGGTGACGAAGCGGGCAGGGATTTTGGCGGGAAAAAGCCTCATGGTGGTGTCCAGGGTAAGATAAGCATTTTTGGCATCACCACGCAAGATGCGAGCTGTCAAGATACCTTGTAGAAGGGCTTTAGGAATGCCGAAAATGACGTTGGGTTGACGGCGGTCGGCTACGACGGCGTTGTGAGCAAGATGATATTGGAGAAAGACGCCAGGGAAGCGGGCAAGAGCTTTCTCATACAACTGCTCGGTATCCTCGGCGGGGCGGCCCTGGAAGGCAAAGAGCTCGAGAGCAACGCCGTAGAGGTTCGCGTTGACGTAGTCGTCGCCTTGTTTGACCAGCCAGGACCAGAAGGCGGTTCCCTTCTCAAAAGCAGCCGACTCTTTAAAGAAACTCAACAGATGCAAGTGAGCATCGTAGCTCGGAGGCAGGACTTTGGCCTGGATGTCCAGGACCAGAAGATCGGTAAGGTTGTTGAGTTCAGCAGGAATGCGAGTCTGGCGGACAGACGAGGAGAGCAGTCTCAATGAGGTGTGTAGAGACTTTGCAATGTCTGCGACATCTTGTTCACCAAGCGGGAGCTTGTTGCGAAGGACATTATAGGCGGAGGCTATTTGTGGTATGTTGTTCGCATTGAGGGCATCCCGGAGAAGCTCAATATGGCGAAGGAACGGAGGAGGGCGTTCCGCTTCGAGTGCAGTCTTTTGTCGTTTCCGAATGTGCTTGGGTGTGGTTGCATAGGAACGAAGTGGTCGTGTGAGGGCAAGAGCGGAAAGTCGGGAAAGAAGTGGTGCGAGTTCAGGTCGAGTGGCTACGGCGAGTCCATGTGTTGCGAAAGCGCCTGCCTTTTGCAGAGTAGACGCGCGCAGCATCGAGTGGTCTTCTCCCTTCTCTTACGGCAGGAACAAAGATATGATAATCAAATGTCAAATTAATTCTTACTCTCGGAGGAGAGACAGAACTCCGCAAGTTTGCATGTGAAGCAAGAGCTCGCTTCGCCTTCCCCTTTGCAAAAGTCGTGGGATACGAGCAGCTGGCTGTTGCTGTCAGTTCACCCACGTTTGAAGCTCCCTGAATTAAGGCCACGACCCAACTACACAACCACATCTTGCCAGGACTGATCTCTCTACAACATAGTCGCCCATCATGTCGCCCAACATGTCGCTCTTCTCGGTCAATGCCGTCCTGATCTTGGCCGCTGACGACTCGTCGCGCATCCTCGCCAAATACTACTCTCCCNCTCATGCTCCTGCGAATGCTACGGCCAACGACTTCCCCGGTGCCAACCCATACCCTCAACTCAAGGACCAAAAGGCTTTTGAGAAGGGACTCTTGGAGAAGACGGCCAAGCAGAACAGCGACATTATCCTCTACGACAACCGAATTGTAGTCTTCAAGATGGAGAGCGATGTCATGCTTTACGTCGTTGGAGGCGCCGACGAGAACGAGATTCTGCTCTACTCTGTTGTTCTGGCTCTGCGCGACTCTCTGAACATCCTGCTCAAGTGCGTAATGCCCGCACTCTGGACTTGGACACATTCGCTGACCCTCTTTTGCAGGAACTCTGTTGACAAGCGCACAATTGTTGAAAACTACGACCTGGTATCGCTTGCTATTGACGAGATCATCGACGACGGTATTGTGCTCGAGACGGATCCTGTCATCGTTGCGTCGCGTGTCAGCAAGCCCNCTGTCCAAGACATCAGTAGCGTGCAGGGCATCGACCTCTCGGAAGAGGGTCTGCTCAAGGCATGGCAGTTCGGTAAGATGAAGTTGGGCGAGAGATTACGACAGGGTCTGTAAGAGGTTGTAGTCGGGGCATATATAGCCCAAAGTGGTTCACGGCATCTGGCAAAAGGAGTTATAGGCGTTATGCGGCAGCAGCATGACAAGCGTCACGACCAATCATCGAATGCTTTGTGGGATACTGAGGATATCTTAGACAGACCAGACGAACGGAACGAGTCAGTTATTTGACCATCAATTCAAACAAATTCAAAGATGGCCCTTTTTTCGGTGATGTCATGGTCTTTGACTTGTTCGGTGGGGCAGCTGCTTGTCGCCCTCTTCTTACTCTCTTCCTCTTGCATACCAAGATACTTTGTCNAAACAAATATGAAGCAGCGATTCTCGTCCTTGGACGTCAAGGTTATTGCTCACGAGCTCTCGTCGGCCTTGGTGAGCCTGCGCGTCTCAAACATCTACGATCTTTCGTCACGAATCTTCCTGTTCAAGTTTGCCAAACCAGAGCGTCGCGAGCAACTGATCATAGACTCGGGCTTCCGATGCCACCTCACCACCTTTGCTAGAGCCACCGCCGCTGCGCCCTCGCCCTTCATCACCCGTCTCCGCAAGTACCTTCGCACCCGACGAGTCACGTCAGTCTCGCAGATCGGTACCGACCGCATCATCGACATTCAATTCTCCGACGGCCAATACCATCTTTTCCTCGAGTTCTATGCCGGTGGCAACATTGTCCTTACCGACAATGAACTCAACATCATCGGTCTGCTGAGAAACGTCGACGAGGGCGCCGAGCACGAGCGCTACCGTCTAGGCCTCCAATACAACCTCGAGCTGCGTCAAAACTACGGAGGTGTCCCACCATTGACCAAGGACCGAGTCCGCGCTGGTCTGGAGAAGGCCATTGAGCGCCAGTCGCAAGATCAGTCGACAANNAAAAAGATCAAGAGGAAACCAGGAGACGCTCTCCGCAAGGCTCTCGCTGTCTCCATCACTGAGTTCCCTCCTGTTGTTCTCGATCATGTCTTTGAAGTTACTGGCTTTGATAAGAACGTCCAACCATCAGAGGTCCTTGAGAACGAAGAGACGCTCGACAGACTCATGGCTGTCTTTGACGAGGCTTCCAAGGTTCTTGCCGACATCACCTCGGCTGAAACAGTCACCGGCTACATTGTATCCAAACGTAGCAAGAGGGCTGCTGCTGACGCCAGCGGAGATGGCCAGACCGAAGAAGACAAGGCCAAGGGTCTGATGTACGACGACTTCCACCCTTTCAAGCCGAAGCAACTCGAGAACAACCCCGAGAACGTCTTTCTGGAGTTTACTGGCTTTAACAAGACAGTAGATGAGTTCTTCTCCTCTATCGAGGGTCAGAAGCTGGAGTCCAAGCTGAGTGAAAGAGAGGAACAGGCAAAGAAGAGGCTCGAGTCAGCTCGTCAAGAACATGCTCGTCGTATCGGTTCTCTTCAGCAAACACAGGAACTCAATGTCACAAAAGCTCAAGCTATCGAGGCCAATTTGGATCGTGTAGAGGAAGCCACTGCAGCTGTAAATGGTCTTATTGCTCAAGGTATGGACTGGGTCGAAATTGAACGCCTGATCGAGATGGAACAGAGTCGCAACAATGCCGTCGCCGAAATCATCAAGCTTCCGCTCAAACTCGAGGAAAACACAGTCACGCTGCTCCTGTCTGATTATTCGTACGAAGAGGAGGAGGAAGAGATGGGCGATGTAACCGAGAGCGACAACTCGGACAGTGAGGATGAGGACAAGAAGAAGTCAACCAAAGGCAACCAGAAGGAAGATAAACGTCTGACCGTCGACATTGATCTTGGCCTATCTGGTTGGTCGAACGCCCGTCAATACTACGATCAGAAGCGCGTAGCTGCAACGAAGCAGGAGAAGACCGAGCAGGCTTCCACCAAGGCACTCAAAAGCACCGAGCAGAGAATTCAAGCAGATTTGAAGAAGGGTTTGAAGCAAGAGAAGGCAGTCCTTCGTCCTGTTCGCAAACAACTCTGGTTTGAGAAATTCATTTACTTCATCTCGTCTGATGGTTACCTGGTTCTTGGCGGCAAGGATGCTCAACAGAACGAACTTCTATACCGCCGTCACCTGAAGAAGGGTGACATTTACGTTCATGCCGATCTCCATGGCGCCTCGTCTGTCATCATCAAGAATAACCCTGGATTGGCTGAGTACGAAATTCCTCCATCGACCTTATCTCAGGCCGGAAACTTGTCAGTCTGCACGTCAAGTGCATGGGACTCCAAGGCTGTCATGTCTGCATGGTGGGTAAATGCTGACCAAGTATCAAAGACCGCTCCTACCGGAGAGTATTTGACTACCGGTGGCTTCATGATTCGCGGCAAGAAGAACTTCCTTCCTCCTGCTCAACTTCTTCTCGGCTTTGCTGTCATCTGGCAAATCAGCGAACAAAGCAAGGCCAAGCACGTCAAGCACAGACTACAAAACGACGACGTCCGTGGAATGACCCAAGAAGCAAACTCCAAGGCAGCCGCCAACGACGAATCTGATGACGACTTCCCTGATGCCGGGAAGGATGATGCCAGCGACGACGAGTTCCCCGATGTCAAGGACGAGGGCAAGACTGACGAGTCTGATGAGGATGACTCTCCTGACGCACAAAAGGGCGATGCATCTCCTGGTAGCGAGGATGCAAGAACGCCGGAAGAGCGTTCAAACNCCCTTCAGCCTCAAGGAGCTCAGCAGTCGCGCAAGCAGCCTGAAGATGAAGACACAAACTCGAGTGACTCTGAGTCCGAGGGTGAAGAGGAGACAGGCGAGAAGCAGCAAGACTCCAAGCCAGAGGCTTCCGAGTCTGCACAACCGCAGTCACAAGGCAAGAAGGCTGGAAACAAAGGCAAGAATGACAACTCCAAGGCTGCTCCCAGTCAGCCCAAGCAAAATAAGCCTGTTCGCGGCAAGCGCGGTAAANGCCAAGAAGGCAGCACAGAAATACGCCGACCAAGACGAAGAAGACCGCCGTCTCGCGATGGAAATCCTAGGCTCAAAGGCCGCAGAGGAAAAACGCGAAGCCGAAGAAGAAGAAAAGGCTAAAAGGCCGAAAGCGCCGAAGCAGCCAAAGAACGCCGCCGTGCCCAACATGAAAAGGCGCAGCGTGAAGGTCTCGAGGCCGAGGAGATCCGTCGCTTGAACTTGGAAGAAGGCATTGAAGCCCTAGACGAAGAAGAGAGCAGCGCCGTCACACAACTCGATGCTTACGTCGGTACACCCCTTGCCGGCGACGAACTCCTCGAGGCAATTCCTGTCTGTGCACCTTGGGCTGCACTGGCAAAGTACAAGTACAAAGTCAAGTTGCAACCTGGTGCACAAAAGAAGGGTAGAGCGATACGCGAGATTATGGATAGCTGGGCCAAGGCCGGCACGGTCAACAAATGGGTTGATCAGTCCATGACCGACACTGAACGCATCTGGCCCAGAGAACTTGAGCTCATCAAGAACTGGAAGGATGTTGAGGTTATCGGTGTGTTGCCTGTCAGCAAGGTCAGAGTCATGATGAGTGGAGGTGCACACGGTAGTGGTGGCAGTGGTGGACAGAAAGGCAAGGGCAAAGGCAGAGGAGGCAAGGGCTCAAAGAAGTCTCGTTGAATGTAGATAGCTAGCCCCCTTGATGTCAAAACTTGTATAGCATTATTTACTTTCCTGTTAACTTACATACCGATGGAAGAGCAACCAAAGGGCTCAAGGAGAGCTGGTGTAGAAGTCATCAAGTCTTCGAATCCCCCTGGACACTTCTAGTTTAGGATATCATCAATAGGCATACACGCAATCATACCAGATCGAAGCCACTCCATAAGAGAGGGAAAGAGCCACTGTCTAGATTGTGTGGTCAGCAATGCCAAAAGATTGAGTAATCACATCCTCAAAAATCAAACACAAAGTCTAGATCATAATTCCATTTTGACCTTTGCCATGCCCGATCCATATGCATCCTTTATCCTTGTCTAGTAGTAATGCTACTCGGTGGTTTTCCTCTATTCGTCATAATCATACTCCCATTTCAACTAATTTTATTCTTGTAGATCTTGTCATCTGGTCAGGTAGCACATGATGCCCCAGAGGCAACGGAAGGCCTCTATCCTGTCGTTGACGTTGAACAGATCAAACCACTTGGACCGTTGCAACACTGGATGGCACCAGTCCTCGTCTTCAGGAATGGTTTCGGGGAAGTTGCCGGTGGCTACGAAGTCGAGGTAAGCACCGTGGACTCGCAGCTTGAGGATTGAGACGTGATAGTACATGCTTGAGAGCACGTAGACNCTGTCATGTTCGGTTAGCGATATATCTTGTCGACGGTTCTTGTGGTTGCTTACCGTGTCCCAATCACTATCTTCGTCTTTGCCAATTGCTTGATAATCGCTGCTGGGGTCCCAGAAGGATCGCATCGGCTCCATGGCCTTCCACGTCTCGTATTGTGTCCTCTTCTTTCTCTTTCCATTGGCAAAATGTGCAGCAGCTTCCTTGCCGAGTGCTGCTGCAATGAGGTCGTTGGCATCGTCCATGTCCGGTGTTTCCGGTTCTGCTGCATCCGATGCCATCTCGCTGAACCAGTATTTTCCACTCTTCGGAACGGGCTTGGCCCAAACCTTTTCTACACGGCCTTGTCGCCGTCTCTCTTGTGCGAGGTGTAACAGGCTGCCAATCTCTTTGAGCTGGTCCAGGCGTAGCTTATCCCGCTTCTCGTCATCACACCCCGAATCAAAGTCTTCCAACTCTTTGCGGACGTACGCAGCCATGAGTGGTCCTTGTAGCAAATGTCTCTTCTCCTTCTCTTTCGGCACGCGATGTACCAGGAACGACTGGTAGTTGACGGGTAAGCGTACACCACTCAACAGCAAAGTGGGATGTACGCGCGGCGGGCCGATCTTGCAGCGGAAGGGAAAGGCGGCTGCTTCCATGAAACCTTTGATTACGTCCATACGGTAGACCCAGGGCATCTTACTGCCTGTAGAGGTGCGTCTGCCACGGTACAATTCTCGCAGGAAATCGTCCGAAGAGGCATCGGAACCATGAGAGATGATTTTTGAGAGTGGTGGGGATTCCTGATCTCTTGCGATGAGTTCGCTGTATGTTAGTGGTGTGGCAGGACCAAGGTCGAACTCGACAGGCTCTTCTAGGTTCCGCACATCGATCATCATGTCTGGATCGGCATATTCTGGGTGGTCTTCTTCACGAACGCTCTTGCCATCGTCATCCAAGACGAAGTAGTCGTCGAGATCTGTTTCCCAATGTTCGCTCATGCTGTGGAGAGCAGTGAAGAATGTGCGGAAGTCGCTAAGACGAATTTTGTTCAAGCCTTCGGGGAGGTTGGTGCGGGTGACGGTGCGATAGGCAATGTCGTTCTCGGTCTTCAACTCGACGAGCCTGGTGACGAAGTTTCCCTGGTTATAGTTTGTGTTCTCAGCCATGGTAGGGTTCAGCGCTTCGTCATTGGACGGCATGTACGGACGACCGTCGTGGTCGGTCGGGACCAGCTGGTCTACAGGGCATGGTGTTGCGAAACGGACGTTCAGGTCGGTGTAGAACTTTGCTGTAATGTCCGAGACCTTGCGTGACTGGACAAAGTCGCGGCGCAAGTCAGGACGGTCAGACTCATCATGCCAGTCTCTGATTCTCAGGGCTTCTTGTCTGGCATAGTTGGGCAAGCCTACGTGGGTCGGCGGATCGGGCTGGGGTCTTTCTTTGAAGGGGTCGATATAGCTGGCGTAGTTGCTCGCTGTGTCGCATACAGTCAGAGGGTGGGAGAATGGCACATGTGGTGGAGAAGAAGAAGAAGGGTCTAGAGGTGTGGAAAGGCGATTGGCATTCAGAGCGCTACGAGCTTGCGTGTGTCAAAGGTCACTGCTAGGCGACTGCATGAATTGACAGGGACTGCTGTGCTTGGTCGAACTTGGTCGACTTGACTAGGCAAAATGCATGATAGCCAATGTGCGCCAGCGGACCTCGAGGGATGTGATGAGTTGCGAGACGACAAACATACCAGCACCGAAACCACCAAACATGGTGGGTGGTTGATCAGGCGAGTCTTGTGATATTACTTGGATGTATGAAAAGCGAGGGTGGTGGTGGTCAAACGAGAGGCGAGAGAGATGCAAAAGAAAAGCGCACGCAGATCAGTCACTGATGGGCGGTAACATGGTGACAGGTCGAATCATTTGTGAAGATGTTTTGCAAAAAGGAACATGACAGAATAAATTCGGCGTCTAAATTCCTTGTCGCCCTCTTGCACGTCTCTCCGCCGGCACCCCTCACTCACCTTTGCACGATGGTCCCTGCCTTTCGCCAGTGACGGCGCGGCGTTCGGGAATGAAAGACTCGCCGCACTCACGGCCCGAATATTGGATGCTTGTTTGCGCCCGCCACACCCGATGGCGGAGCGATTGAGGAAGCCCTCAACGGCAGACCAAGAAAGACCAAGCTAACAGGGGCGCCACTACCTAGACCGGCTCATTGCGAGCAACGACCCCACCATTTGCTTGGAGCTCCCGCTGGAGGAAGGTACAGCCAGCCACGCGGGTCGTCATTTCCATTTCCATATTCGTTTCAACATCTTTGACTTGTTTGACATCTATCCTCCTTATCTTTTCACACATCAAAATGGTTCTCAACTTTGGCATCATCGGTACCAACTGGATCACCGAGTCCTTCATCCAATGTGCCCAAGCAACCAAGCAATGGAAGCTGGCAGCCGTCTACTCGCGCAGTGAGGAGACCGCTCGCACATTCGCCGGCAAGTTCGAAGTCAAGACTGTCTACACATCCATCGATTCCCTTATCCAAGACTCGAACCTCGACGCCGTCTATGTTGCCTCGCCCAACTCGCTCCACTACTCGCAAGCAAAGACAATCCTCCAAGCAAAGAAGCATGTCATCCTCGAAAAGCCCGCCACCTCGACCCTCGCCGAACTCCAAGACCTCTTCAAGGTCGCAAAGGAAAATAACGTCTTCTTGATTGAAGCCTACCGCCACATTCAAGAAGTAAATTACAAGCTACTCCGCCGCGTTCTGTTTGAAGAAAAGAAGTTGGGCACTATCTTCGGAGCCAGCCTCAACTTTTCCATGTATAGCTCGCGCTACAATAACGTTCTCGCTGGCGAGACCCCCAACATCTTTAGTCTTGACATGTCAGGCGGCTCTCTCGTCGACATGGGTGTTTACCCCGTCATGTTCGCCCTTGCCCTGTTCGGCAAGCCCAAGTCGCAGACCTACGCTCCCTTCATCTGCCACACCGGCGCCGACGCCGGTGGCTTCATTGTCCTGCAGTACGAGAAATTCGGCGTCCAGATTCAGCAGAGCAAGTGCTTCACCTCCTTCGCCCCCACCGAGATTTACGGCGAGAACGGCACCATCAGCCTCAACTCCGTCACCGATATTGCAAGCGTAAAGCTTTGGGATCGCAAGACCAAGCAGACCGAGGAATTGGCAGAGAAGAAGATGGACTTGAGTTTGCAAGAGGAGGCTGAAGAGTTTGCGAGAATCATCAACGACAAGGATGTCGATGCTGCCGCTAAGCTCGAGCAGTTGAGTTATGACATTGTGTCTGTGACTTCTGACTTGAGAAGGCAGAATGGCATCTTGTACCCTGCGGACAAGGCATAGATATCTAACATGACTTGTATATAACGCATCATAGATGAAAAAAGAACATTTGTATTCGAACACGGAAAACACCTCTTCTCATCCTTTCTATCTCCTGCACGCTTGCTATGCAAACCACTCGACAGAAAGCTAGAAAGTCTCTAGAAATATACACAAGATTCCACCTTGGTTTCCCTTCCCCTTTCTGTTCTTACACCCTACTACTATACCCACCAAGCACATTCCCCTTGGCAACCNNCCTCCTCTCATACCATTTTCTCCCCTCATCAACCCAAAACACCGTCGATGCCAAAACAACCAAGCCTACGATATCTTTCAGACCAAGCGCCTCAGTCTGGAACACGCCCTGCAAAGGCGGGAAGTAAATGACCAGTGCTTGACCTAGCAGGCTGCCAGCAACCGCATAATTAAACATGGCATTAGCTTTATGACCCGTAAACTTGATCTCGCCTAAGAGTAAAGATTTGGTGGCTGAGCGGCAGGTAAGGGCGTTAAACATGTCGAAGAGAACGAAAGCGGTAAACGTGAGTGTGGTGTCGCGAGGAGAAACTTCGTGAGACGCAAGGTCCGTAGAAGAGAGATTGGAGATGTAGGTGTATAGCGTGCCTGCCATGATAACCAGCGAAGACTGGAGTACACGGCGGATTAGGCGAGGAGTAAGTACACGAGCGTGACGGGGTCGGGGAGGCAGTTGCAGCATTGTTTTGTCGACGGGCTCGACACCAAGGGACTGAGCTGGGGGTCCGTCCATGAGAATATTGATCCAGAGGATCTGCATGGCATTCAGAGGGTTCTTGTAACCGAATGCGCTGCTCAACATTACAAGGCCCAGAGCAGCGGCAGAGGTGCTGAGTTGGAAGGTCAAGAAGTTTTGGATGTTGTGGAAGATGCCCTTGCCTTCTTCGATGGCGGCGAGAATCGTGCTAAAGTCGTCGTTTGTGAGGATCATGTCGGCAGCTTCTTTGGCAACGTCGGTGCCGAGTTTGCCCATTGCAATACCAATATCTGCTTTNTTGAGTGCTGGTGCATCGTTGACACCGTCACCGGTCATGGCTACCACATCGCCTCTTGATTGCAATGCTCGGATGATCTTCATCTTGTGGTCTGGGCTTGTTCTCGCAAAAACCGAGGTGCGTGAGATTGCTTGGGCGAGCTCTTCATCGCTCATTTGATCCAATTGATCGCCGCGCAGGACTGGCGAACCAAGTGCTGATGACATGTTGATTGGCATGCCTAGCTTTTTCGCAATGGCCACAGCAGTCGTCTCGGCATCACCAGTGATCATAATGACCTTGACTCCGCCAGCCATGAGACGGCGAATAGAGCGATCCACACCCTTACGAGGAGGGTCGTTCATTCCTACCAGACCAGCAAAGCAGAGTCCAGTGTACAGATGGTCTTCATCAGCCAATGAGGAGCCCTCAGGCTTGGGAGAAGTACCACGGGATATGCGGCGATCCTTGGATTCACGAACAAATCCGCTTGCCAAACCAAGAACACGAAGCCCATCTTGTGCCATATCTTCAGCTGCTTTTAATGCCTCTTGACGTCTTTGCTCATCCAGAACAACCTCGCGCCCTTGCGAAGTCATGTAGGTATCGCAGCGGCCGAGAACGCGCTCAAGAGCACCCTTGATATAAGCAGTGGCAGCTCCATTGGGCTCGAGCGGATTGTGAATCACCACACCCATCCATTTGCGTTCTGAGCTGAACGGTGTCTCGTTGCGCCTACTTCCAATATTTTGTCTGATGTCATCTTCGCCAAAAGCATCCAGAAGATCCAGGAGCGCGACATCAGTTGGCTGGCCAGTCCATCGACTCTTCGCATTCGCCATGTCACCTCCCATGGTAGAGGAAAGAATGGCAGCCGAAGCCGCTGTGGCATGAGAGGAAGATTCAGAGCCCAAGCGTCCATTGTTGACAATGTTACCGATACGAAGAATGGTGCGCGTAGCAGAATCCGAGGGAGCAGTTGCATGTACCTTGACGACATCTACAGGTGCTTCGTCGTCAAAGTGCCACATCTTGGTGACGGTCATATGGTTCATGGTGAGAGTTCCAGTCTTGTCGCTGCAAATGACATTGACCGAGCCGAGAGTTTCGACACTTGGGAGTCTGCGCACGATTGCATGTCTTTTCGACATGCGCAGAACACCTAGAGCCAGTGTGACAGTGACAATGATAGGCAAACCTTCGGGGATAGCAGCAACGGCCAGAGAAACACCGATCTGGAACAACTCCAGGAAGGGTCTGCCGCGAATGAAACCAATGAGCATAATAAAGGCGATGATTCCAAACGACATGTAACTGAGCTCCTTGCCGAGGTTGTCCATGGAAAGTTGTAGAGGTGTACGAGGGCTCTCAATCTCTTGCAGGGAAGCAGAGATGGCACCAAATTCAGTACCACCTCCTGTACCAATGACAATACCTTGGCCGTAGCCCGAACGAACCAGTGTTCCCATGAATGCGATGTTCTTCTGTTCGTTAAGACGCAGGTCTGCGCCCACGGTGCCCGAAGCCTCGGAGGCGTACACGGGCGAGCTGGGATATCCTTCTCTTTTCAACGTTGTAATGCTTGCTGCGAATTTGTGCACAGGTTCGTTCTCGCCAGTAAGATTGGATTCGTCGATGGATAGGTCTGCGGCACGGGTGATTCGAATATCGGCAGGAATGCGGTCGCCAGTATGGAACAGGACGAGATCTCCAACAACCAATTGGCCAGCGGGAATGGTCATGGATGCCTTTTCGGCACTGGCCAAAAGGATCTTTTCGGCTTCCTCCAGAATGTCATTGTCAGGTCTGCGCTCTGCGCTTCGGATGACATGGGCGGAATGAGGTACGAGCGAGTTCAAGGCCTCCATGGATTTTTCAGATCGGTATTCCTGCACAAAAGCGACCGTGACGACAATCAGGACGGCAATGGCGATGCTGATGGCGTCCTCCAGATTGCCCATGATTGCCGAGATGGCGGCCGATGCCAGTAGCAGTAATATCAACGTCTCTTGAAACTGCTTGACAAATCGCAACCATAGTGGCTCGGGTTCCTCGTGAGGTAATTCGTTCGGGCCATCGCTGTGGAGGCGTGTGGCGGCTTCGTTCGGTTGTAGACCATGTGTCAGCGAGGTGGACAGGCGCGTAGCGGTCTCCTGAGGCGTGAGGACTGCATGGTTGGCTGTGACGGTTTGCTGTGAGGGGTTGTGTTAGAAGCTAGCATTCTAAGAAGCAAGCAAGATGCGGCATTTAGGGGACGGGGAGCAACTCGTGCAGAGCGCTTAGAGCGAAGAGCTCGGGGAGTTGAGAAAAGAAGCGTGTGAGGTAGATACCGGAGTCCTTTGTCGATTCAATGGTGGACGAGCTTGTTCAGGNGGTGCTAGGTCCTGCCTCGAGGCATTGTACATGGGCAAAGCCGGGGTGGACGAACGGGACATGTCAATGGGCCGTCGTCAACATGGAGCCGTGATGCGCGCTCGTCTTTGACCGACACGAGGAAAGTACCAAGAACTGACTTTCGGGAGGGGTGCGAGTCTGTCGAAGATGGCAGCAAGAGGATCAAATAAACCAACGCTCCAGTAGTGCCTAGGGTACGTGGCCTAGCCAGTCGACGAATGCGGAGAAAGCGGTTCGATCTTCGATGCAATTAGAATAGGAGAGGCTCGATATTGTGCTTGACGGTCCAACTGTTTTCTGTATCACTACTACTGATTCATGGTGAAGTATCGTCATCTTCGAGCAAACTCTATAGATGCCATGTCGTTGGCCATGCGGCGCCGAATGCAGTCCGCAACCAGCTGCATTCGTGCCAATTGCAAGCCCTATTCCCGCCCCATTTCCTGACCATGTATCCTGTGACAGTGCACTCGATTGAGAACACATTATTTAGATCTGGCAATGCGTACTGAGTCTACTTACATTTATACAAACAGAAAATCGATGTTTCTATAACTCGGTACATATTGTTATGCCAGCTATTGATAAAATATGCAATTACCTATCCTGGTTCATGCAAAGGACGCACCACACGTGACTCTCTTGGCCGGGTCCTGCTCGTTGCTCTGCCCGACGCGGTCCTGCTCTGCTTGATCTGCTTGCTCACCGACATCTATACCATTCCACGCGCGCATCTGTCGCATCTCTGCAGATTCTCGTCGACGCCTCTGTCGACTCGTGCGATTGCCAAAAATCCACTCAGAATCCTTGCGCCTACGGTGTAGTGGTCTTGCGACAGGCCGAAAAGTCTAAGAACTCACGACGCGTCGCGCGTCTCTGTCGTCAGTCAACACTTGACGCTCCGCCTTCTTCGCTCAAGACCCAACACCACACACCATGTTCTATTCGGAAACTCTCTTGTCAAAGACTGGTCCGCTCGCCCGTGTCTGGCTGGCTGCCAACATCGAGCGTAAATTGACCAAGAACAACATCCTGCAGTCCGACATTGGAAGCAGTGTCCACACCATCATCAAGAATGATCAGGCTCCTATTGCCCTGCGCCTGAGTGGCCAGCTCTTGCTCGGTGTCGTCCGTATCTATAGTCGCAAGGCTCGCTATCTGCTAGACGACTGCAACGAGGCCTTGATGAAGATCAAGCTCGCCTTCCGTCCTGGAAATGTCGACCTCNCCTCCAACCAATCACACACTGCAAACCCTGCAGCCCTTGTGCTTCCTGACACAATCACCGAGTTGGATCTTTTCGCCCCTATGCCTGATCTTGACGAGCTCCTACTCGACAGCACTCCTGCACCTGGCCAAGACCCTACGCTTTTGGATTGGGGCACCAGCCAGCTTCTACCCGAGAGCATGAACACTCGCGAAGATGTCAGCCAGACTCTTCAACTCGAGGACGATGATCTGGGCCTCGACATTGGCGACATCACCGAGGGCGCTGCAGGAGGAGACACCAGCATCGAAATTGGTAGACACCAAGAGGCGGCCCGTCCAGAGATGAACGATCAGAGCATGCTTTACGACGATAACTTGGATCTGGACATTGGCGGCCCTGAAGACACTATTGAGAAGGACATTTCCATGGCCCCTCTGCCCATGGATGACGACATCGAAATGGGCGGTCTTGATCTCCAAATCGAAGAAAGCAACTTCGACGCTCTCAACCGTGCAGATGTTCGCCGCGGCCGGGATAGTGTCTCGCCTCTTTCGTCTGTTCGCTCCAGCGTCGAGCGCGACCTTGAGCAGACTTTCCAGCTCGAGCACCAACCTACTGAGCTCGAGCAAGACGAGACCATGATCCAAGCACAACAGCGTGCCAAGCGCCGCAAGGTACTTCCTGCTGACCTTAACACCGAACTCCACAACTCCCAGATCCGCGCTCAACAGGAGGACCGCAGCAAGATTCTCAAGGCTCCTGTCTTCCTTCCCAGAGACCCCGTCCTTCTCGCACTCATGGAGATGCAGAAGAACGGCGGCTTTGTGTCTAATATTCTGGGTGACGGTCGTAGCACTGGCTGGGCTCCTGAGTTGAGGGGTGTCCTGTCTCTCGAGGTCGTACGCACAGCTGGCGAGCTCAAGCGTAAGAGAGACAGCGGTCTCCCACAAATTGAGATCCCCGAGGAAGAGGAAGATACCCACGCTCTTGGTGCTGCCACATCACCTGCACCCGAAGATCTCCAAGACCCTACACTGGGTGCTGACGACTTTGCTCCTGCTTTTGGTGGTGACGACATCNCCTCTATTGTTGAACCTGCTCAGGAGGAAGAGATGGAAGCTTATTCACCAGCGCCCGCTTTTGATGAGACTACTATGCCTGTACTGCATCCTGCTGATTCTGGTCCCGTCTCGCTCGGCACCAAGCACGCTGTTCACCTTTTGCGTGAACGCTTTTCAGATGAGTCTGGCGAGCCGCCATCACCCACAACTCGCGCCCAACGCAGTGTTCTTTTCACCGACTTCTGCCCCGAAGAGCGCACGAGCAAGCAAGACGCCACCAAGATGTTCTTCGAAGTGCTCGTTCTCGGTACAAAAGACGCCGTCAAGGTGGAGCAAAGCTCTGATAAGCTGNGTGCTCCCCTCCGCATCCGCGGCAAGAGAGGTCTCTGGGGCGATTGGGCCGAGATGGGAGCTGGCGGCGAGATTGCTAGCCAGCGCCCCGAGGTCGCCGTCACCATTTAATGGCCTTCTGTATCTTACGTTGTGACGTCCTTGCAGTGATTTTCAAGCGTTTGAGGGTTGGTATTTGACGGCGTTTCCAAAGGGGTGGTGATTGATATCAATGGCTTTATTTGCAAAAGACATGGGGATCTTGTCATGCTTGTTGAGCGAGCAGTGATACGCAATGTGCATGCGCAGCTATGCGCAGGGCGAGGCTGCTTCTGAGTTTACCTTTTTGATTTCTTGATGAGCCATTTTGCAATTCGCAGCCCTCGTCTACCCACTGCATGCGGCAGAGTTATAGGGCATTCTTCTTCATTAGTTTAGCTGTCAAGTTAGAGTAGAAAGTTTAACCAAGACTTCGGCAAAACACTCAACGGTGCGGAACAACGGAAGCTACCCGTTCCCGAGCGTACCTTGCATGTCCTTTTGCTTGTCTTCCACCTGGCACGGCCATGTTCAAGTCCCATCTGCTTCTATAAGCTTGATGGTTTCCGATCGCAAAATCTGGTCCATACAAGGCCCATGACATGAGACGCATCCATGTTCACAAATCAGTAAAGACGGCTCGCAAATCTCTCGCCGTGCTCGCCGCCAAGTGCTCATCAAAGTTCATTACACGCGTCGTCAATCTTTTCCTACGCACGAAACGTCAAGGCCTTGATAACCCTTTCCATATCAGGCCCTAGCTGACAGAACCGATTCATCCGAAGCCCTAGGGGCCGTCCTCTCTTCGTGCCTGAGAAGTGGCGCTAGACAGGTCCATGAGTTTGCACAGAGCATCAGCTTGGTCCTTGAGGCGCTCCGTACTCGACCCTATGCAGAGTAGAGTTAGACCTGGTGTGCTCGCCCTGTTCGATCACCATTGATGTTTCCTCCTGGGACCTGCCCTGTCGATCTAAACGTGTCGGCAGTAATGGGCTGCACACTCTTGCTGCTCTTTGTCGGCGGACGAGTGCGGAGGAGCTCATCAAATTGATATGGCAGACCTGTATACGGTCGAGCAAGTAGGGCTCGATGATCTACAGGTAGGCCTTGATATGATATGAATAGGTATAAGTATTGTAGTAGCCCTTGGTGTAGTCTCCGGATCACCAGATATCACCTTTCCTTCTTACAGCCCTATACCTCTTTGTCTTGACACAAGATGCATATCCCTTCTTTGGTCTCTGCCTCTGCTGCTCTCTCCATTGGCGCTTCAGCACGCAGCTCCCTCTACGTCGACAATGCTCCCGATCACGTCCGCCCCTACGTCATTGAACGATACGCCAATGCCCAAGCCGTCGCCGTCGGCCAGCAGATCTACAGATTCCCCGTCACTGGCGCGTCCTCTGGTGGTGCCTTTTCCATCCTCATGACAAGCTCTCCTGGCTCTGGTGCCTTGGGAGTCCTGCCCCATATCCACCGCACCCACTACGAAAACTTCTTTTGCAGCAAAGGACGATTCCAGCTCTGGACGCAAAAGAACGGTGATGAAGAGGCCAGAGTAATGTTGCCTGGAGACTATGGCGCTGTGCCCCAGAACACCACACATACCTTCCAAGTCCTTGACCCCGACACAGAAATGCTGGGAGTCATCCAACCTGGTGGCTTTGAAGCGCTGTTTTTCGCTATTGCGGATTCAAACTATACGTCCTCGACTTCGTCGCCTTATGTGCCTTCCTCGGGCTCTGGAGCCACTGATGCCGGTGCCGGCTCCTCGGCTTCCTTGATCTCTGCTTTGGAGTCTTTTGATGTGTTTGCCCAGCTGGACTTTTCTCCTCGTCGCGATCTTGTCAACGGCAGTGCTCCTGCCAACGCAACTTGGCATACTGGCAAAAACACACCTGCCTCTGACTCACACACGCCCTTTTACGTGGCCAAAAACCAAGGACCCATGTACCTAAACTCCGAACACGGATACCAAATCATCGCCCCTTTTATCGCGTCCACCCAATCTTCCGGCGCCTTTGCAGAAGGCACGATTACCATGTCCCGTCATCTCTCCAACACCACAATCCCTGTGAGAAAGTTTGCTCAACACATGGCTTTTGAGGTTTTGGAAGGTGCGTTGCAAGTCAGCATGCAAGGAGAAAAAGTGCAGTTGTTGCAGGGTGATGTGGTGTTTGTTCCTGGCAACACTAGCTTTTCTTACTGGTCTGAGGTTGCGTTTACCAAGTTTTTGTATGTTGGTGCTGGAGGTAAGGGATTGGATAAGGCCTTGATGGAGAAGGCTGTTGAGTGGGAGTATCCTACTTGGCCTACTTTTGCTGTTTGAACAGGCTTTTAGGGTCTTTGAGTTTTTGTTTTCGGATATGGACGGGGTTGATAAAATGATAGAATTATAGAATTGATAGAAATGTATAGATGAATGTTACAAGTAGATTTTCTCACAAGCTCATTTCACGTCTTCCATCCAGCAAGTTTTTGTGCCTGTTTATAATCCAAAACCCGCCTTCCTGCACCGTGGTGAGAGAGGGAGGACTGGGGGCGATCTCTTTCCTCGGTCTTGATGATCTTTCATCTTTGTCCTCTTCAATGAGCTGAATTCTGCCGCAAGTAAATGGTTGCAAGAACACATGATACTTGTGAGAAACCGAGGCATGCCCACAGAGAGAGTCGTCCTTTGCTACCCTCTCAATGGATGGAGCTTTTTACTAGGAAACAACGTTATGTTTGTACAGTCACTCACGTTGTACACATCAGCACACTGGGAGGAAGGATATTACTACGTGAAGGTAAGGATGTTATAATGCTAGTGATTGTATTCTTCTTGTGATTGAATGTTAAGGGTATACCGGCTGGGAAAAGAGGATCGTCATCATCATAGCCTGCAATGATGGCATCGCCCACGTCAACCGTCCAGTCTCTAATCGATCAGGGCCGAAAGTGCATCTGTAGCCCTGTTGGAATCAAGGGCAGTCCGGCACTCCCTCGCCGCCCGTGACTCGTAGGTTCTCTTCTTTTGAGCATAGCTTTCATACACAAGCTCCCTCTCTACTAAGCTTGTGAGCTGAGTTGCTTGAAGATGAGTTTGGACTTGTCGTTCACATAAACTCTTGCCTCGGGTATAGATTTCTCTCGTCTTCTCTGTCTCGAGCAACCTCGTAAGCTGTTCTTCTTGGAGGTGCCTATAGGACTTCTTTCCGCAGAATTGCTTCTCCTGGGCATACCTTGCTCTCTACCTTTCGATCCTTATAAGACTCGCAAGCGGACTCGGACCTGAGATGGCACTGTCATGGATATTATGAGCCCTCTAAAGCTCATCAGGGTCAAAGACATCTTCGGCCATGGCGGCTCTGTTGCCACCTCTAGCAGCCCAATCTTCCCTGCGCCTGCGTTCTCTTTCTTCTTGCTCAGCTTGTAGTCTTTTCTTCCTCTTCTGCTCTCCTCTTGTCCACCGCTTCTTGCTCCTCAGCACTGAGCACAGTAGTCGGGTCTGTACCGTCTTCTAGCATGCCTTGGATAGCAGCCAAAGCACCCATGCGAATGACCTCTTGGGATGGCCATGGCACAAAGGGAAGTTGTGAGAGTGGGTCCAGCATAGCTTTTGTTTCTGCGCTCAGTGTGGCCACAGCTCTGTTTTCCGATGTAGCTTCTTGATCGGTTGTGCTCGTGTTATCGCCGTTCTGGGCTGGTGTGGCCATGCCGTTTGTGATTTGAGTGGTGGGTGCATCAGGGATGACAGGTTGTGGTTGTGAGAGCAGATCGGTCGGGATGTGGCCGCGGAAGGTAGGTGGGACGGTGGTCTTGGAGATGAATTTCGCATAAGAGAGCAGTTCTTCAACGCCGACTTGACGCGTGTGTTTGGCGGGCTGTGAGGAGGGTATGTCGAGTAGTTCTTTGCGGGTGTCGGCCAGAGTGCGCAGGGTGGACTTAATCTTGTCGTCTAGGGCGTCGGCAGTGGCGCGCAGCTCGAGGATGCGCGAGTAGTTTGCATGGTGTACGGCGACTGTTGAAACTTAGTGAGTTTAAAGGAGTGACGATAGAGAGCGGTGAAGCGCACGCTGTTCCAAGCTCTCGTCCAAGTCCTCGTCTGCTGCGACTAATGCGTCTGCTGCCGAAATGGACGGATTGTAAGCTGCGACTGATTCGACCAACGTGTTCAGCGCTGTCTCTAGACGCTGAAAGCGTGTCTGGAATACACTGAGCATGTTGATGTAGAAGAAGGAAGTTGACCAATCAAGAGCCTGTCGCATTCGAGACCCTCAACAGAGCGCCAAGCCCATCGTCATGCTCGTCTTCTGTCTTCTGTTTCTACCCCCAGTTCAGTTCAAGACTTTCTAAACGTCCAGTTCAGCCTCAGACACTGAGAACATCGGCTTACTTGGGGCTCGACCACGTCAAGATTGATGCCGACTGCTCGGGTGATACGTGGCAGCTGTCCGCTACGCTAATCATGCAGTACAAGTCTCACCGAATGTCCTATCAGCCTCCGCGGATGAGACCTAAGCTGACGCCTGACCGGTCTATCTCTCTAGCCTGCTGAACCCGTACCCATGTAGGTTTGCTCGAATAAGACACTGTTCGTTGCCGACCTGACGGCTTTTTGCTTCTTGCCATCGTGTTTCACTCCACGTCTTCGTAGCCATTCCATAGCAGTGACACCTGTATAACCACGATTCCTTGATCTCCTCTGCGTAGTAGGAGATCCCATGCCTCCCTAAATTCGCCCACCGCAAAGTAGAAAGATCGGAGAGACCATGGACCCGCGCACTCTAGCACAAGCTTTCGAGAAGCACGCACGTCGCCCACCATCCAGTGGTACATCCACTCCTGATCATATCACTCCGTTTCCCATTCGTCTCATACACGAAATGGCTCCACGAAGAGTCCGTTCTGTCTCGTCGCTCATCAAGAAGCCTCAGAACGATGACTTTTATCGTTTTTGGGACCGCTTCCTCGCAACCTCTCCAGATCGCTCTCTGAACACGTCTGCACTGGGCCGTCGTCTCGAGCAGACACTCAAAGATGCTAGTGGCGAGGAGAATGGTCTGCATACCCAGGAAAGTCCTGCCGCATCTTATGAACAGGCAAAGAAAGAGTGTCAGGACAAGGTCGCTGCTATCGTAGTCGAATGCACACGTCTCAACCAGCGATACCGAGACAGGCAATTTGAGGTCGAGCTTGCTCAGGGCGACTGTATCTTCCCCTTGGTGGATGATGAGGGCAATTCTCACTCAATACAGCCATCTGGTGTCAAACGAGTAAAGGTATACACATGACGCGACTCTTGAACACTTACAAATGCTTATCGGCTTGATAGGACATTTTCGAGAAGCCCACTTTCAACGTAGAAGGGGCTTGTGGCGACGATGTCATGCAAGGTTCACTCGGCAACTGCTGGTTCATCGCAGCTCTTGTCTCTGTCGCCGCAAAACCAGGACTCATGCAAAGACTCTGCGTAGCTCGGGATGAGACTGTTGGCGTGTATGGCTTTGTCTTTTTCCGCGACGGGACCTGGATACCAGAGATCGTCGACGATCGCCTCTTCATACACGTCTCTGATGGCGATGACTTGTTCGTTGGCAAGTATGTAGATGAGAGACAGACAAGGAGTACTTTCAACAACAGCAACGACATCACCAAGCTAAGAGAAAGCCTGCAGAAGGGTGGTGAGGCGCTGTACTTTGCGCGCTGTCGCGATAGCCAGGATACCTGGTTGCCGCTAATAGAAAAGGCGTATGCAAAGGCTCATGGCGACTATGGTTCGTTGCATGGTGGCTGGGTTGGCGAAGGTACAGAAGACTTGACTGGCGGTGTATCAACGAGTCTTGCGCCATCAGATATCCTGGACAAGTCATTGCTATGGAAGCAATTGATGCAGGTCAATGATACGTACCTCTTTTCCGGAGGTGCCTTCCATTACAGGGAGGCTGGCAGCTTTGGCAAACACGCTTACGCGGTGTTGCAAGCTGTCGAACACAAGGAATTGCGACTGCTGAAGATCAGGTATGCTCTTTCCATTCCCAAACACCAATGGAACTTTTGCTTACTGACATGCATCAGAAATCCTTGGGGCAACAACAAGAACCCGGACAACTTTGATGGACCATTCAACCACAAATTCGAAGAGTGGAATGCTGAGCTTGTTGAGCAGCTCAAGTTTGACTTCAAAGATCCTGGTGTACGAATTGCCCGTTTAAGACGAACTTATTTATGCTAACGATAGCAGGTGTTTTGGGTGACTCTAGATAACTTCCTCCGGTACTTTGACTCTATACAGTGCACTCGACTTTTTGACGAGACATGGTACGTATATGCATGATTCAGCATAGGATGTTTCGAATCCTGTCTCAGGATATCGGACCCTCATCACATTACAGAGTGTTGTTCAGGATCGGATGAACATATATTGAAAGCCTGCTACCGCTTGCAAAAGGCAGGCTCTCAATGCAGACCTCCAGCGTTTTGGATCACACTCTGCAATGCAAAACCTGTTGTGATGCACCATGCTTCGCGTAAGAAATATGCTAATTGTGCTCTCAACCTACAGGCTGTTGACCCAACAATGGACTTCTGTCAGCGTGCCTGCAGGCACAGTCACCTATCTCGACACCAGCTTCCAGATCACTCTTATCTAATTCAGGTCCCGTCGTTATAGTTCTGGCTCAACCAGATGTCAGCTACTTCCAAGGCTTGCAGGGTCGATACACATACTCCCTGCACTTCCGTGTCTACAATGTCAAGGATGCCACAAAGTATCTGGCACGCAGCATGCATGTTTCCTGTGGCAATTATACCAACACCCGTTCCACCAGCGTAGATCTCGACCTCGAAACCGGTAGCTACAACGTCCTCGTCAAGATCGAACCAACACGGACCCTCTGCCGCACAGCGGAGCAAGTCATCGAATCAGAGGCGCCCTACCGAAAGCAAAAGCTACTCCAAATTGGCCGCAACTTCGAACTCGCACACGCAAAAGGCAAGCTCCGAGAAAAGGAGGTGGAAGTGCGGAAACAGAAAAAAGAACAGGCGAGAACAGAAACCCGTGAACGGCAAGCCAAGATGAGGAAGCGAAGACACGAAGCGAAGGCCCGAGACAGAAAGCGCAAAGATAGAATCGCACAAGAGAAGAGGGCCAGAGAAAGAAGCGATCTCCTCAGACGGGCAGGCTATATGCCCGTTCCTCCCCCTACCTCCTTCCTCTCCTCTACATGGTGCACCACCTCCTCCCCTATCTGAAAATTCGCCAGCATCTGTCAAACCTGTCAGGATCAGCCCACTACCCTTGAAACTCACTGGGTGTATAGACATCTTCGACACAGATCCCAATGCTGAGCTTGACGATGACGATTTTGATTGGGATAGCGAGATGGACGGTGATGCTTGTTCGTCGTCGAGTGAGGATGAGAAAGACTGGTACGCCGAGGACCCGTGGAATGCGCTTCTCGTACTCGGGTTGAGAGTTTATTCGCAACAAAGTGCTGTCACGATCAAGATTCGAGAAGATGATGAATCGGACGATGATGAAGTGACGCCATCTGCGAGTACCGCAGGGACCGACAATCTATCGGAGACCAAACCCCCAAATCAGATGATCAAGAGCGAAAGTCTAAGGAGGCGCATGCTCCGGCTCGGCCAAGTGATTCAACCCCCTGCTAATCCCGATGATACCGCAAACAAGCTCTCAACCTCTAAGGAAGCAATACCTACGTCAGATGAAGAGTGCAAAGGCCTAAGCAACACCATTGGTGAAACTCCCGTCAAGAGTGACACTCCAGCGGCCTCAAACACAAATGACACACCCGCCACAAGTCCCGAGCAAAAGAACTAGGTCCATAGACTAGGAAAACATGTGCTAGTGACCTCGAGCGCAGCAGGTTCACCAAGTGTGTCGAAAGGGTCATCTTTTGCAATGCAGCAAATAAAGCTGTCAGCCACCATCTGGAAGGGAAAGGTTGATGTGGTGGTGGTGGTGGTGGTGGTGGTGAAAGTACGGGCTTTGTCAAGTCTCCTTACTTGAGGTTCAGGCTCACGTCCGAGAAAAACTCGCTCCGCCAGTGGTCAGGGGGCCATATCAAAATCCAATCTTTCTGATGTGAAGGTTCGTTGAGCTTTGGATTCTTCTTCCTTTCGATACAGGAGCCATGCCAGTTTTTTACGCTCTCGACATATTCTGGTCTCTCCACATAGCTGTCGAAATGCACGATGTTCCATCTGTCCGGGCTTTGACCATTGATGCTCATGCTGACAAACTGTTGCGCATATTGATAGCTGTTTTCATTGAAGCATGGCAACTAAGAAACCCTTTGCTCGAGACTCCCCTTGGAAGCTATTCGGATTTGCAAAATATTGTGTATTGCTACACCCTGTGTTGTTCGGAAATATCCACTGAGAATAGCCTACGTTACGCTGTTTCTACAAAGTCTTCTTGGGCCTCCTTGAAGTGTTTCCACCTTGCTTTATCATCAAACCTCCAGATGCTCAGACTATCATGCTACTTGTCGTTCTAGTGACTCGAGCCTGCTTACATCATGGAAAAATATCCGCCTCGATGCTTTTTCATCATCCACTGTTCCAGGATTAATTCTCATCGTTTCTCGATCCATCCTTCTACCATTGCTGTCGACGAAGGATGCTTGGCGAGAAGCTGCAAGATCAATAGTCGGCATATTTCAGGTACTCTTTCAGTTCAGTTGTACAGGCCTCCGTATTGAAAGAGTTTCCTGGCCATCCGTTCCGCCTGTAGATCTGGTACACAACCTGTTATTGGCATTAGCAGGGAAGATGATCCAACTCATGCATCGCATACTTTNNTGTGACTTCGTCCTCAATTTCAACGTCGTCAGACTCGTCGGTCTCCAGCAAGTTATTCTCCCCNACAACATTATCCGCCCTAGTGAAATATGTGCCTGTATCGCCGTGGGAATCGTCGACAGGTGGTGCAACCATCCAAATCAACTTCTCATACAACCTCCTCCACCTCTCAAAAAACTGCTTCAGCGGTGCTGTAGGGAAAGCCCTCCATTTATCTCTATCCTCTAGCCGTTCATATTGATCCCAATTGCCCTGAAGATCATTGGCAAGAATGTTATAGCTAGTGATGTTTCCAGTTAATGTGTCAAGGAGCAGATACGTTCCTTCTCTATCCGTTGCTTCTGCTATGGGAACCACATGACTGGGAAGAGTTTTTATGGCNTGAGGGGAGGGGTGTGAGAGATAAGGTAGATGGCGCAAGAGCTCGATTACTTCGTCTGTCTTGCCACGAGCTTTTAGTTCGGTGGTGTTGATGGTGGGCCAGCCGTCTTTGGGCGGCAAAACCAGAACGCCGAGGTCAAGGTAGGGGAGTGTGATGTAGAAGGTGTAGAAGTCTGTTATGGCGGCGATGGTCTCGGAGCGGGAATATGACGAGGAAGTCGTTGGTTGTTGCATGTTGTTTTTTTAATCTTTCAGAAGAAGCTGTCTTTGGGTAAGAGTGTGTCAGCAGGACTTGCCAAACGAAGGTGGGTTCATCATGCATACATGCATGATCGGCTCCAAGTGCTCGTACGAACGCGGCTGCCGCCCACCCACCACTTTTTGCGGTTCAGTCTGCCGTAATAAGGAACATGGCGAAGTTGATGATTTCGAGATGAAGTATAGTAACGGTGTGATTGTTTGTTAAACCTCAGTCGACTAGTAGTAGATAAGCAGAGTTACACTACATAGCTTGATTTTGGCTGTCATATCCGGATCATCGGCTATCACAACTGTAAAGCGATGTTCAACGGCACGCATATGAAGGTTTCATGTTAATCGTGTTAATGATCTGACTCGCGAAAAGAAGTCGCGAACCACAGTCGCACTTTGGTGTTAAGAGATTGCGTGGTTGATTCACCCACAGGCGAGGCATGGCTGTGGTAGTGATACAGCGACATATCACATCGCGAGAGCTAACCATATGTACCAAATTCTACAATTCCTCAGGCAGCAGCAAGTGGTGCTGCGCTGTACTCGAGTACACATGGCGGAGGCCTTCAAGGTCGTGGAGGCATGTGAGGTGTGGTCGGAGAGAGGTTCGTCCGAAGGCTTTTGGACGCGGACCCCGCTTCCTTCCTTGCTCCAACGCATGCTCGTCCATACCGCCGTCCGTCAACTGGGGGACCGCGCAAGTCGCTCTGAAGATTGTCCGTGGCTTCGGGTTTTACGGATCCGCAGATGGCTGTCCGTCGTCGGATAGTGAAATGTTACACCGTCGACTTGCAGCAGAGCGCGGTGAGAGTAACTTCCGACCATCCTACCTTGATGCATAGAACTCTCAGTCAACAGCCAGAGTGTATATAGTCAGCCAAAGACCTTCTCTCAATACCGCCTCACCTCAATCAATAACTCCCAAGACCAGGAACTCTCTATAGCACCCCACCTCAGTCAATACAGCAAACCACAAACATGAAGGTCCTTCTCGTTGGCGCCAACGGAAATCTTGGTCTGCGACTCGTTGCAGCACTCCTTACCCACGGCCATGAAGTCGTTGCGTACGTCCGCTCGTCGAACAAACTCGAAGCCCTCCTTCTAGCAAGCGTATACAGCCAGATTGTTGTCGTCGAGGGAAACGCCACAGACACCTCCTCAATCAGCCGTGCGATCCTCGAGAACGATTGTGAAGCTGTCGTCAACACTGCTGGTGTAGCAGCCATGGCGCCTTGGAAGAGAAACAACTTGCCAGAGATCTTTTCCGCGGTGCTCAAAGGTACGCAACAAGCTGGATCAGAAAGAGGCCAGCCCCTGCGGATCTGGCTTCTCGGAGGTTTGGGTGTGTTGACCTTCCCTGGGACAGAAACCATGCTCTCGAATCAGTAAGTCGGACCTTTTGCATCCTCCTTGTGCCAAAACTGTTGCAACTCCACTTGACCACTTTCCCGAGGCGAGGTATAGTGGTATTGTAAGCTATTGAAACGCACAGTGGCCTCTCGATTAGCAGTGTGACCATAGAGATAGTCTCGTATGGCGTTCTCTGTGGGTGCCACTTCCTGCTCGAAAGCATTGTGCATTTCTATTGCTTCACTGTGACGGTCTTTGGCACACGAGGAGGATCCTGAACTTGTACAGATCATTGATGAATTTCCAGCGTGCCGATCTTCCTCGAACATCGTCAGAACATCAAGCTCCTCAAAGCCTTGCCACCTCGTTCGGTCGACTGGTCTCTGCTTTGTCCAAGCACTATGACCGCCGAGAACCTGGAAATCAGCGTGCCGACCAAGTCCACCCATAATAGGCTGACTGCCAAGGCTACATCGCCACCACTATGGAAGGACTCGTGGCTCAAACATATTCCGTTCCTCGGAAAGGTCCTTATCGCAGCGATGAACGCGCCACGCTATGAGACTACTCTGGAGCAGAACGCCGATTTCATTGCAAGCGATCTGAGAGACCGTGAGAGCCGCTGGATTGGAGTACCGGTTGGAGTCATCAATGTGTGAGGAAGTGACTTCGAGGCAATCGCAAGCCCATAATAGCCGGGTTAAGGTTTCGATACCGTTAAGACATGAATACAACATTGACGTAGTTGTTTGATTCAGGCACACGACCACAGCCAGCTGATGCATTCGTCAAAGCTGAGATGAGGTCCCTGATTGCCAGGCTGGTAGCGATTGGGGATTCTTCAAGTAGAGCAGTAGTAATAATAGTAATCAAGTCGTATCCTATGTTTTTGTTGATTTGTTGTGGATGCGCTTCCAAGAAGAGTGAGACTGCGAAGGATCTTCGGACCCTTCGGGAAGAATTGCTGACTGGGCAGGCGCTTGGACATTGCTTGACTCTTGTGTATCTGAATCTTGCGCCGCTTTTGTCTTCCCTCTCTCCAATCAAGACGCGGTGCCTGGCGCCACTGATTAATGTACCATGGACCGACTTCAAGAATACGAAGTGTGAGTCCCTGAACAATCCTTCAAGCACAGTGTGCTGCTCTCAATCTCTCGCAAGCAGGAACAGTGTAAGTTCTGAGTGTTGGTAGGCCAGAATCTGTTTCCGGAACGGTCATGTCATCTACCAACGAGGATTGACACATCGACGTCTAGAAAGAACAACGTCTCAAATTTGCCTCGGAGCTCTTCAGACCTGTCGTCGAGGTGGTATCTCAAAGTCTTCTCACAGCATTGAGCGAGTGCCAGCCACGTGTGATCAAATGGCATCTAGCGCGACTCGTATCCTACAGACAAGTAGTCGAGTACCTCGTCTCAGAATACTAGAGTGGGCAATCTGGATAGGCAGCCAGAAGCCTCCAAGAGCACGGCTGCAATCTCCACGTCCAAGTCCAATAGTCGGCTGCTAGTCTCTCTATCTCCGCACTCGCCCGAACACGAAGAGTGACCGACCTAAACACAATTTACAAGGTTGGTCCAGCACTCTGTTGGTGAGAGCCATCGCCTATATATGTAATAATCTTCACCTCTCTCTCTTTCTCATTCTCATCGCAACTGTCTGGTTCTTTAATACCAATTAATCTTTCTTTCCTCTCTTGTTGCTTTCAGCACCCCACATTCGTTACCAACCGAACAAAACTACAGCAAAATGCGTGTCTCCGCCCCCACTGTTGCCCTTGCCATTGCGCAGACCTCTATCGCTGCCTCTGTGCCTCAACTCCAGGCCCGTCAGTCCTCTGAATGCTCAGCAGTCCATATCTTCACCGCTAAGGCACGTTTTTGAACTATATGGGTAGTCTTACTAACATCTTGTTCAGNNGGCAATAACGAGCCTTACCCCGGTCGCCAGGGCAAGCTCATTAACGCTGTCTGCGATGGCCTCCCAAGCTGTGACTACGAGGACATTCTCTTCTACAACCCTGTCGAGGCTCCCTACTGCGCTTCCATTGAGGAGGGTGTTGCCAACGGTATCGCTCAGCTCAACTCTTACGCCGCTCGCTGCCCCGACTCCAAGTTGGTCATCAGCGGTTACTCCCAGGGCTCCCAAATCGTCAGCGACATCCTCGGCGGTGGTAGCGGCACTTTCTTCCAGGACTGCATGACCAAGCCCACTGCCAACCTTGACGTCAACTCTGAGCTCGGCAAGAAGATTGTTGCTGTCACCACCTTCGGTAACACCAGACACACTGCCAACCAGCCCTACAACCAGCTGAGCGGTGCTCCCGACAACGGCATCTTCCCTCGTCCTGCCTACCAGTTGGCCAACCTTGCCACCTGGACTGCCAAGTACCACGACTACTGCGTCGCCGAGGACCCCGTCTGCGCTGGCGGTAACGTTGTTGAGGACCACCTTAACTACTTCGACGTCTACACCAACCTCGCCGCCTCCTGGATCAAGCAGCAGATTGCCTCTGCCGATGTTGTTGTCTCCAGCACCATTGTCTCCCCCAGCAGCACCTTCACCTCGGTCGCTACCACTGACAAGGTTGTCCCTACCACCTTCGCGTACAGCAACAACACCGCCACTGCCCCTGTCATCACTGCTTCTGCCTCTCTCTCCTCGATCCAGACTGGAGTCCTCGCTATCCCCACTGTCGCACCCGAGTCTACCGTCACCGTTACCGTTGACTGTGCTTCTGTTGACACTTCCGCTATCGCCTCTTACACCTCTGTCTGGGCCTCCACTGCCGTTGTCTCTCAGAGCGTTGCTGCCTCCGCCACTGCTGGCTCTGGCTCTGCCGCCACCACAGGTTCCGCTGGATCCAAGTCTTCCAGCGCTGCCAACGGCACGCACACCCTCATGCCTTACACTGGTGCCGCAAGCTCCATCTCTGGCGCCGTTTCCGGCTCTCTTGCCGTTGTCCTCTTGGGCGCTTTCGCTCTGGTTCTCTAAGTTCTAGGTTCTTTTTGTACAAAAAGACATCTTCGTATGTGTCTAGACTTTATTTCATATATCACTTAATGACTTTTCTCATGTCCTACTTAAAAGTTCGTCCCAACTTCTCAACTTGTTGCAACAGGTAAAGTGCGAACAGCGTGCTATTATAGCACAAGGTCTAAGCTATGTATTCTCAGTTGGAGAGTAGAACACGTCGACGCTGTGCAAATAGAGGCTCGAACGATGCTCTCGGCTTTATCCGGCAACATCGAGTCATGAACTCGTGCTTCACTCCACACTTGTTTCAGCGTCTCCAAATGTTCTTCTCCTTGGAACGCTCACTCGTGTTCAGGACTAAAGTTCGTCGTGATAAAGCATGACTTGACATGCAATCGCACAACACAATCTTTCTCATGTCCCAATCGCGTAATGCCTTCACAGCTGTCATGCGCGAATGGGATCCGACAGGGGTTGTAAAGTGGTGAAATGAATATGCATGCGCGAAGCCACATCAGGGCTTGATGCATCTTGCGCAGCCGCCTGAAAGTCGATCACCCTATATAACCCAGCGACCTAAGACTTCAAACCCCAGTGCAAGCTCTTTTCTCCCCTTGGCTTTTCGCATACCACGCCTCCAGGCGTGACCTTGACGATGGCAGTATGTATAATTGACTTCTTCTGGTTTTCTGGCTCCTTAACATCGTCTTGAAGTATCGCAACGACGACCATAATGTGCACGAATTGCAAGATCTCGGCAACGATCACCTTTTGCCAACACAAGTCTCTCAAGATACGAGTTATGATTCAAGTTCTTCCCGAAGATCATCGACTGTCCCTTTGCCTGCTCCTTCAGGAAAGACACAACAGATCGACTATGATTGTCATGCCGTCGACCCAGAATCAGCAGGAGCAAAACGAGAAGTCCGACCTCAATTCAGCCTGTGGAATACCTGGTGGTTAGAGGGTCTGTGTTGTGTACTTGCCGTCGGAGCTCTTGTAGCCATTTTTGGCACGGTCTACCCATTCCGAAACAAGCCTTTACCTCAGTGGCCCCATGAGCTTTCCATGAACACGCTCATCTCTGTCTATGCTGTGACCATGAAATCTGCAATGGCGTTTGTGCTTGCTCAAGGTACGTGTGCCAGATTCCTCCTGCAAAGCAACACAAGACTGATATAGTACAGGCCTCGGACAATTGAAGTGGCTATGGTTTCAGCAAATTCGGCCTCTTAACGATATCACCAAATACGATAGTGCTTCGCGTGGAGGGCTGATAGGTCCTATAGGTCTCTTATGGACTATACGAGGAAGGTTGGGGCTTTCACGACTCTGATGCGAATTCTACTAACCAGATCAGGTCCTTCATGGCATCACTCGGAGCTTCCCTAACGATCATGGTACTTCTCCTGGACCCGTTTTCTCAACAGCTGATCCGATACTACTCTTGTTCGATATCGTCACCAAGCCCACAAGCCAGCATTCCTTTGACTTCAAATTATGGAGGAGGTGGCGGGGAATCCTATCTTACTGGCTCGAATCTAATTGCTTTGCCATACCAGATGCAAGCGGCGATATCTAATGGACTATACAATCCTGACGCGACTGCAGTTTCTTGGACGTGCCCCTCAGGAAACTGCACCTTCCCGGACAGATATCAGTCCGTTGGATACTGTTCCGAATGCAGAGATGTGACTGGTGAGCTGGTTGAAAAGAGCGAATCCAGATCGACAGCATACTCGCTCCCTTCAAATCTCTCCGCTTTACCTGGGATAAGAACATTCACCATGGCCACGGAGGCTGGATCGAATCAACACGACTACGACGTGACCAGCGAAATGGTTTATGCTGTACCTTTTCCAGAGCACTGTACGAACGATTGGACGTGTCGTGGTCATGGTGCAGCTCGATGCAAACTCAAGCCATGTATAAGGACATACGAAGCATCAATCCGAGAAAGCGAGTTTCACGAGACACTGCTAGAAACAAACTCAGCTTGGGGTGCCGACACATCGGATTTCATCATGAACAGCGTGGACTTGACTTGCATCAACACATCCACCAAAGCGGAACTCCGCAAGCAAGGATATAGCTTCGACGAGAAAACCAAGTGGCTGGCCTACAATACTTCATACGCCGAGGGCGAATATCAGGATCGAGTCGGACCTCTAGTATATGCTCCGGTTCCTCCAAAATGTCTCTACCGCATGGACTATACATTCATGAACAGTTTGAACAGATACCTGATCAGTTTCCTTGCCGGCAACGTCTCGTATGGCGTCAGAGAGCTTCAAGGCCCACAGCAACTACTGGTCATGTTTGACGTCAACAACATATCTTATACCGGTATAGACGGAGCCTTCCACAACATCAGTACAGCAATTACGAATTTCATGCGGCAGAACGGAGCGCAGAACGCTACGAACAACATCACTGGACTGCTGGCCAGAGAAACCACTTGTGTTCACGTACGCTGGGAATGGCTCTGTTTTCCAGCCGCATTAGTCCTTCTGACCTTGTCATTCTTCGTTGTTGTGGTCGTAGAGACACGAATATCAACTGGCAACGATTTCAAGGCTTCGGTTCTGCCTCTCATGTTCAACGGCATGCATTTACCAGACCATACAACTGAAGGAGCCGCAGCTACTCGTGTTTCAGAGATTGAACAAGAAGCTCGAGACATGTTAGTAAAATTCGAAAAGACAGCTGGAGGTTGGCGGTTTCGTAAGGTGGGCACGACTTCCAGCGATATGGGCATGCCATCGAGAACTCTATTGTAGAGTCCGAGCATTGTCTATTAAGAAGACACACCTGTTTGTGCCTATATGGCCATATATACCGGTCGATTCTTAGAGTAGCCCTCGCAACCCCTGGTCAACATCACACCACCAAGATGCCTGAAAGCTTCTGGTGGCTATATTCGCCATCCGATCTATGGCAACTCTCCCTCGACAGATAACTATGCAATCTTCATCTAGCAGGTCTTACTGTCAACGGACGGCTCCAGCTTTGACGCAACAGACGTCTGCTACCAAAATTTATGCTAGGTTGCTTGTCAAGAGTCTGTGTTGGTCGTATCTTCCTACTTCCTACTGTTACCTAGTGTTCACTGCAACAATTCGTGCATGGATCGGACTGCAGCACAAAGATGATGAGCTCTTGGATCATCTGCCCATCTTCCCGCTTCTTCGACGAAAGGCCCTTCGACGGGTCGACTTTAGCACAGATTCCTCCACATCTCCAAATCTGTTTCTGAGTTCGCAATTGCGATCGTCTCCTTCCCGCGTACTGAAGTCTGTAACGTCGCCCTCTGCTCACAAGCTGGTCGGCTCTTAATAAATTTTGCTTTGTATTTCAATAGCACTTTGCATTTCTATAGCTATACGCATTACAGAATTTAGCACATGGGGAGGCTAGAACAGTTGCCCGCCCCCTCATAATCATGCACGAATTGAAGTGACCTATAATATGCGAATGCGAGATGTAGTTCTCAATCATTAAAGTAACCGAGAAGCGGTGAACATGATCTGCCAAAAGCTTACACACGTGCCAATATGCGAGCCTTTATCTTCAGCCAATCCTGGTATGAGCGTCGAGTCCAGGCTTTGCATATATATTAACTGTGCCTTGCTTACTCTCTCCGCATTTTATTCATATTGCTGTTCCGCTGTACACAGTTCGTTCATGCAGGTAACCAGGCTTACGCTGTTCAGGTATCCACGTGTAAATAGATGCTTGATAAATGATTGGGCAAAGTCATGGTAAGTTCACTGGAAATGTTCGCGGCAGACTGCATGGCGAGGGATCGTGCAGGAGAATTCGCGTTCCAATATATCACTTAAGCCACTCTGCTCGAATCCTATATGCTATTTTATAGTCCTCTAGCTTTCTGCCCTGACTTTCTTGTCCCGCTTAGGTAGGGCACATAACATAAGTTGTAACTTCCCGCTACTTTTTTCTCTTCCTTCCTGTCCTGTCGTTCCTGCAGTGGCACATCAGATATCGGAACGATGCATTTTTCTCTCCTTGGGGCTACGGTGTCCCTGTTGTGCGCGAGCGCTACAGCGTTTACCCCAGCATCGACTTCTGGAACAGACAAGCTTAACGATCATGGTATGACAAAGCTGAAGACGAATCTTCACAAGCACCGCGACCAGAACACTTGCAGCTTGGACACAGCCGTCGAGCGTCAGGAGTGGTATGTCAAGACAAGACCGTTTCTAGTCTTGATCACATGTTGACAGTACCCTGCAGGANGCACTCTCTCGAACTCCAACAAGAAGAAATACATCAATGCTGTGCTGTGCCTTCAGTCAAAACCAGCAAGGAGTGGCAGCATCGCTCCAGGTGCAAAATCCCGCTATGACGACTTTTTGGCCACTCATATAAACCAGACTCTGACGATCCACGGCACTGGCAATTTCCTCAGCTGGCACCGTTACTACATCTACACTTTCGAAGAGGCTCTCCGCAATGAATGTGGCTACAAGGGTTACATTCCCTACGCCAATTGGGGAAAGTACGCTGAGGACTTGTTGAATGCTCCTATCTTCGACGGCAGCGAATACTCCATCTCTGGCAATGGCGAGTATGAGAACCACACGGGTGCTGTGATCCCCAGTCCAGCCACACCATTTATCCAGCTTCCTGCAGGTTCTGGAGGTGGCTGCGTGTCGGACGGACCCTTCAAAAACATGACTGTCAATCTTGGTCCTTTGGCTCCTGTATTTAGCGATGTCCCTGCCAACCCTCGTTCTGATGGCTTGGGCTACAATCCTCGCTGTCTGCGTCGCGACATCGGTGCCTATGCCGCCAGCATCGCTTCCACGGATGCCAACAGCACAGCCCTGATCAGACAAAACACCTACATTGGCGACTTCCAAACCGTCATGCAAGGTGACTTTGCAGCAGGCTTGCTGGGCGTACATACAGCCGGTCACTTTTGGGCTGGCGGTGACCCTGGCGGTGACATCTTTTCTTCTCCTGGTGATCCTTGGTTCTGGCTTCATTATGCACAGATCGACCGTACCTGGTGGATCTGGCAAAATCAGGATCCGGCGAGCCGCAGCAGTGCCAAGGGAAACAACTCTTTGGCTGGAACTATCACTTTGAACAATAGCCCGCCGTCGAGGAACACCAGGCTGGATGATGTGATTGACTTGGGTGTTAATGCGAAGAGCATTCTGATCGAGGATGCGCTGAGCACTACAGCTGGACCATTCTGTTATGTTTATGTTTGAGAGGGTTATGATCTTGCACATCCAGAACCTGGGTCGTCTAGAATGAACATAGAAGAGCGAAAGACATGACACTCGCCATGGAGCACTCTCATCACCCCTCTTGTTCACTTCGTGAAGCCGATAACTCGGAAGAATGGAAGCTAGACCCGAAAACATACAGAAATGACGGATGAAGTATAGCAAAAATACAAACCTACTTCTGCAGGTGATCCTCAGAGTGCACGATCAAGTCGAAGAATCTAGAGCAGATCCTAGCAAGGTAGGAACGGTCGACTAAGACATCGCCGAATCAGGAAATGAATTCGAGAAAGATGTTCATCACTGACAGAAGCCGCTAACTGGACATAGCAGCTAACAGGTCTCAAGTCTCGTTTCCAACCGGTATGGCACCTGTAACAGCCGTCGAGAAGAACCAAAGTTGACGCTTCGACAAGTCGAATTGTGATAGTCGTCAACCAGATCTAACTTTTAAAGTAGGGCACAACCTCGGCTTTTTCAACGCAGAGGCGATGCATTCGATCCGAGATTGGCAAAGATCCAGCGTCCATCCAGCGTTTCGAATGCGCAAGAGACTTGTATCAAAAAGTCAGAGGTTGTTAGCGGTGATGATCCAGAAGACCAGAGCCGCTGTGATATTCCATCACAAAATGAGACCATGCAGTCAGCAGTGTAGGCGACTGACGGCAGCTTCAACGTCGAAGCTCGCTTCAGTTCAGAGGGGTTTCGGTCCGAACGCGACACCGCCGAAAGACTCGTCATGCTCTGTACGCGTATCACGGTCGCGGTTTTCGTTTTAGGAGAATTGCGGTTCAAGGAAAGTAGGTACTGCCTCTGTAGAGTTCTCGTGTTGTCTCTGCCACAGCGATCACTCCAGACCGACCGCTGCCAAAGCCAAAATTCCAATGATCTGGTCTGCATCGCCCATCAAGACTCAGTAGTGTTCTGTAGGGTACAGCGTCCGAATCGCGCAACTCCCAGGGTCCTATTGGCCCAGAGGGTGAAAGAAATATCGCAAAATCACAAGCTTGTGAGGATGCCGCAAATTGTACATATCAACGGTTCTCAGGGAGATCCCGAGGTGCATGCATGTCATGTCCATAAGCTTTTGTGAGGGAAAACCGCTTCGGCGATTTTGGTTGACCAGCGGCATGGGTTTGACTTTGTAGGCATACTGCTCTCTAGGACTGGGGGCATGTGGTTTGGACCCAGGAATGCGGGTGGTGAACAGGGCGGTAAACCCTATTACGATATAGAGGCTAGTGATCACTGGTGGTTGAAGCAGTTGTGTGTTGGCAACAAGAGCTAAATCGCGAGTGACATGTGAGCATGTTGAAGCTTGACGAAGCAGATCGATCTGGTGTCTTTTGCGACATCTCCTGTTCTCCGCAAGATCATGTCGATGAAGTCTGCACAGGCAGATTAAGAGTAAACAAAACCGAATGCATGACAACGGGTGCTTCAAAGAATCGAAGGAGTCTCGCCTTCTTGGTTTGTCTCTCCTTTGACCTCTGTCAGTGATTTCTGAATAAGAAAGTCTTTGTAAGCAGCCAACAGTCATCGGTTTATTGAATCAGGGGATGTCGCAGAATGTGTAGCTCGGTTCAAGGAGTCAGTCAGCATAACGGACAGAAGTGGTCACTGGTAGCCCTGGGGCGGTGACGGGCCGTCAGTTGAAGAAACCATCATGCAGCAGAGTAGGGCACGATTCATGGGGTAAAGCGGGTTGCGACCCTGACTCGCAGGTAGATGCTGTCGAGCCGAGCCTGCGAATCGCGGGTGTTCGTCCATGACTTTCGTTCAACCTGAAGCTGACCGGCAGTGACGGCCGGCATTCGAGAGACCCGCGGGGAACGATACCGGAAATGTATGATTGCTGCGCGGGCTGCGCGGTGGTCGCGCGACGCTCAACTGACGACAAGGTTGAGAGTGCTGATCTGAGTTTCTTTCTCAAGAGGGCATGCCGCCCGAAAACGAGGAAAGAAGCATCGTCGTCTTGACTCTGCGCCAGACGTGTTCATTCTCGGGACTATCCGCAACTGGACGCATAGGGTTACACATGCGAGATACACAAGTACCACACGCGCCCCGGCCCCGAGTCAGAGGCTCTGTCGCCATCGGCCGGGTCCGATGGAAACCGCGGGCGACGAGGCTGCGGAAAAGCAGATCGACAGGATGGACAGCGACGACGAGTCGCGAGCTTCACCTAAATGAAGCGGCGCAGTTTGCCTCGTAACAAGCAATCCACTTCTACTCCGCATGGAGGTACTCGACATGCGCTCTATTTGAAGGATCACTAGATTAGTTGTCACTGGCTGGTGATTTGCCTGTAAACTATAGGCTATAGTCAATAGCCAATGTACGACTCATGATCATGCATCAGGTTGACAAGCAGCCTGAATCCTTCCCAAGATGCATGACAGATACAAAGTGGAGGTCAATACTACGGAGTTGATAACGAAGCTGAATCGCTTGATGAGACATTGGGAGTCATGCTACACTGCATATGCGGGAAATTGACAGAGGATACGAATCGTGAGACGTGCGAACGTCAGAAGGTCATGACATGTTGAATGGAGTTGATGAAAATATGGAGCAGCATAGGAGGCCACCCGTTCTATCGTGATTCGATGAAGTTACCAAAAACTCCTTGACTCAAGGTAACCCCTGCCTGAGTCTTGATACTTGTCTCCTGTGAACCAAGCATCGGGTATTGATAACGAAAATAGATCTCTCGATGCCTTCTCAGACACATAGGTAGACATGAGGGTAGTGAAATAAGATGCAAGCAAAAAAAAATGATATAAGATGCAACGCTGGCCTGTGTGCGATTTTCGGGAAGAAAACCCGATGCCGTTCCCGAATGTGGTACGGACTTATGAGAAGCACAGTTCTTGACTTCGAATGGTATTTGCGAGTACGACTCAGCGGAAAATCGTGACTCGTCGTGTCATCTCATGGATGAGACGATCTGCATCTGCCGAGGCGATCTTCGAGAGCCCCTTCCAGTTGGAGAAAGGTGTATCAGGGTTGTTGATACACTGGACCTGATCCGCTTTGATCCGAGTAAGATTGTCGATGAACCGAGATTCGTCTTTGTTGTAAAACATCCGTCTTCCTTGGAAGCACAGATCTAGAGTCTTAAGCATTGTGTGGTCACCCAGTATGCGTAACGTGTCCATCAGGTCTTCGTCATTGGTGAATCTACGTTCATCGGCATCCCGGAGATGTGTGTTCATTGACGGCGTAGCGTCTTCAAACATAATGATCAGACGACGGAGCAGACTGACATTGGCAAGACCGATGCTTTTTAGAAAGAACTGAACATCCTTGTAGCCAATCTCGTACGTGTCTGTTGTCCAGCGGACAGCTCGCTCCTTCTTGCGGCGCTGGAAGTAGAAGGTGTTCTCAGAGTATAAAATACTGCGGCCCTCTTCGTGGACTTGGCGACAGGTTCGAAGCAACGACGAAGATCGGCTGAAGTTGTTGGGATATGCAAAGTCCAACTTGTCCTTCGAGACAAACGCGAGCCGATAGATCTGATTGCGAATCTCGGCTGGGAGATCTAGGAAACTGCGTTTTGAGGTGGTGTTGGGCTTGCTGATCTCCGAGGTGACGCTCGATGTACTGGAGTAGCCGGAATCTGCACATGAGACGGAGCGTGGAGATAGACAAGTGGGAAGTGGGCGTATCAAAGACTGAGCCTGTGCAAGTAGGGACTTGATATCGAGGTCCACAACCAAAGGCCCTTCGTGACCACGCGGAACCTCAATAGTCAACGACATGGGTAGCAAATCTTGGTGCGCTGGGCTCAGTTCGGAGGATCCACAACTTGAAGCAGAGTCAACAGTCATGCCAGCCGGATGTCGTGAAGTGCTTGGNGGAGAAACAGAACGCTTGCGCTTTAGCGAAGTGTTGGAGTATCGGTCGCTATCGTCAACGTATAGATCGTGAAGGGGCTTTGTCGTGGTCGCGTCCAGGTTGTGTAAACTGTGTGGGTTGGTAACCTCATGGTCATACAAATTGTTATCTCGCGATGAGGGCTTGGTCGCAGTGGCTCGGGTTTTGCGGGCTTTGGTGACAGGTGCCATGTTTTGAATTGTGATTTTTGAAGAATACCAGATTCCGGGTGGTGTTGCACATGCAAAGAGGCTCCAAAATGTAGAGAAGGTTGCTTGAATGATCTACGAAGATGCAGTATTCGGGAAAGTTGTTGCAGGAACGAGAAATACAGGCAATTCCGGGAGGAGAATGTGGCCCAAGACTGTTTTAAGGGGGATGGAACGATGTGATGATCGAGAAAAGCGATTCGTCCTAGACTGCTGGTCTGCAGAGGTACATGTATAAGTCAGCCCCGCGAATGAACACGACCTAGCCGAAGCTTGAAATTATTGAGTGTGACCTATACAACGTCGGAGACATGCTCGGAGCGTTGCTGCTCGGTAGGGCATGCTGAAAACAGCTAGGTTCAATGGCTGTACAGTTCTGAGTTTTAGAAGGAGTTAGGCGACGATGTAGATGATTGCCGAACCATCGAGCACTGACGACATTCAGAGTTAGCGAAGGGGCATGACTCCGGGGCACGAAGGCCGTTTGGGATTTCTGTGGCAGAGTTTTGGTTTTGATTGTTTGCAGGGGGCGCGTAAGCAGCCGCAGCTATCAAAGTCTCAAGATTTGTGAGGAGCACCAACTTTGTGACTGACTCGAGCCGACGCAGGGTTTGGAACACGAAAGGCACGGCTTTGTCAAAGGCGGCGGAGCAATACTGAAACGGCTTTTTTGTTGCGACAATTTGAATACGGCAATTACGTGGAGTGTCGCGGTCCGTCTTGCAGCCTGACGGATCATGATTATCAAGATGCTTTTCCAGCTTGCGTTCGGAGCGAGTTCCGTTGATATGAATTAAGGGCTTCTACAGTGTGCAAACAGCAGGGTTGAATTCTGAATGGAGTCGTGCCTGTCTATCTGGCTGTTTACCCTTTCTCCTGGCTGAATTGTGCTTTCCCTGAATGCTCACTGCAGAACCGTCAGGTTTGGAATCTTCGCAACTTCGCTTTAGCAAACAGCCGATATCCGTCTCTTGGATTGCAATTACCACCACGACGCGTGAGACGATTGTGCGATCCGGTGGGACTGAGCCAGCTCAAACCCAAGCTTGATCAGCACATCAGAAGTGGCTGTCATTTGATTTGATTTTCTCAAGCTATTTACTCCGCAAGGGGTATGAGCTGTAGGTGGCTGTCAATTCGGGGAGTGTATCAACTAATGGTTGCAAGATATGAGCAGGGTCATCACCTCATCATGTCCGCGAACGAAGCTCGTATTCGTAAACTCGTGTTCGTACCAAGACATGCTGAGCGACGGTGACCTCAAGCTGGCACACCGCACGTGAATTGAAGGAGGATATAAAGCACCTACAACATCCATTTTGACAATCGTAGCTCACTTACAAGCAGATCTCCCAATCTAACACTTCGATTTTGTTTTCAGATCTCTCCCTTTATCATTGCTTACCTCATCATATCACCATGTCTTCCGCACCTTCCAAGCCTATAGTCTTCTATGACATTGCATTCAGGGAACCACGACAAGAGACAAATAGTGCCCCAAATCCTTGGAAGATCAGACTTGCCTTGAACTACAAAACACTTCCCTACGCCACGACCTGGGTACCTCTACCTGACGTCNAAAAAGTCCGACGAAGCCTCCAAGTCCCTGCGTGTCGAAAGTTCGGCGACGGAACCGACTTTTACACTCTGCCCGTAATTACGGATCCCAATACCAATGATAATGTTGGCGATTCCTTCGACATTGCTGTGTATCTGCAGAAGACATATCCAGGCTCGGGAGCAGACTTGTTCCCTGCACAGAAACTCGACTATGTGTTTACAGCCGATGAAGCATCTACGGTACCGCTGACAGATGTTCGCGGGNGAGAACATGACGAGTATGCACAATTCAACATGTCAGTGGATGCAGTGTTTACTGCTCATGTCATTCTCATGGTTCAAGGAATGCCTTTGACCACAGCTGGCGAGCAAGTGTTTGTCAAACGCGCGGGCGTAGACTCTTTTGTTGCGTTTGCGTGCGAAGGGGAAAAGAGGCAGCAAGTACTGGTGTCGTTTGAGAGTAAGTTGGAAGGGCTGGCTCAGGTGTTCAAGAGAGATGAGAGTGGACCATTTGTGCTTGGTGCAAAGGCTAGCTACGCGGATCTGATTGTTGGGGCATGGTTACGGATGGCCAACACAAGTCTCAAAAGTCCTGAATGGGAGGCGTTAAGAGGATGGCATGGAGGTGTGTTTGGGCGGTTGCATGATGTATTGGACAGATATGCACACACAGACAGAGGACGTGAGGTGCAACTTTGAGAAGCTCTTCACAACTCAATCAAATGATGGTCGATCACATCAGAGCAATGATTATATGGCTGACTGTCTAACAGTACGTCCATGGCATTTCCCATATTCTTGACGCCTATCTCCCAATCGAGTGCCGACATACGTCTTCCTGCCTTCCACCATACAGTTTTCGAGCTTCCACGTCGCTAGAGAACCTCTATTCCCTTCCATCTTCCACAACGATGATACCACACTGGACGCGAATCCATCACACGAAGCTTGATCTTCTGCTCAATCTCATTCCAACTCTACTCAGTACAGCCCAGGTGCGTTGGTATACTTCGTTTCTTCCTATCCTATCGTTAGACAACTCATCTCTCTTATCTTGTAAGCGTGAAGATCATTGAGGCGCCGACTTACAAGAGACATGTTTGTCGACGGTCTCGGGTACAGTTCTTCGTGATTCCAGTGGACCTCGAAGCTTTTTGATCGAGTCCAGCGCCCTCTCACGAAGTCCTACCGGTAAGTAATCCATAAGGACCTTCATTTCGGCAGCAAATCGTGCAAATTGTCGATCACTCTGCTTCGACGATTGGACTTGTTTGGTCAATGCCCCAACAGCCTGTACTTGTTTCCAGATGACCTGATCCGAGACTTCGTTGTCGGTCTTGAGCTTCTTGTTGGTGATGGAGAGTACTTCGTTCTCGGCCTCGAGTTTCTCGTTGGTGACGGAGGAGTTTGCAAGTTTTAGGCTCAGTCGGTGACACTTGTTCATTTGTGATGCTAGACGAAGCTTGACTTGCTTGTTTTCTTCTTCCAGGACATCGTCCTCTCGTTTGCGTTTGTGAGATTCCTCTGCAGGTTGTTCGACGTTGATGACAGGGGCAGGTCTGCGTCGACTGACTTGGATTACACGCGGCATCTTGACCGTGGAGGAAAATGTTGAGAAGAAAGGAAGAGTGATGGCTCCGTGGTTTTGTAATTGAGCACCTACAATAATGCGCGTTTGTGCAATGTGCGATGGCACGGCTTCCTGCATCGTACCCCTGAAATCTTCCAAACGCCGACGCCAGCATGCCCGATCCTCCCCTAGTTTGCGTACAACTCCCTCAACTCCATCATGTTCCTCCAATACTAGTCTCGTATTGCTGACTTGGTTCCCTGAAAACTTGACTTCCCGCTCCATCACATCTCGCCTCTCTCCGACCCAACCATCAACGACGACCCCCCCCCTCCCCCCCCCCCCCCCCCCCCCCCCCTATCCAGCGCCCTCAACATATCACTCTCCTGCACCAACTACCCATTCCTCCTCAACACCCTCCTATTCGCCGCAACAAGGTTACTATTCACCCTACCCAACTCCTCACACCTTCTCTGCAACACCTGCAACTCATCAAGCTTGGCCCTCAACTGATGATTCGTGTCCAGCAAATGCCTATTCAGCATCTCGAGCTTGGCTTCCAGGAAGGGCACTTCGCGGCCATGTCTGCGGGCTCTGTCTTGCTCTTCTTCGGAGACGATGTTGCGGAAGGTGGTTTGGTGGTCCCAGTGTGGGGAGGCATAGTTTCTGTTGGCGGTGCCGCCAGACATGGTGATGGTTTTGGAGTGGGTGTGGATGGTGGTTGTTTTTGTTGTTGGGGTTGGGTGTTGGGCTGTTCTAAGATAGGTGTTGGTTTTGAGAGAACGCATTGTGAGGACTGTGGAAAGAAGCTTGTTTTTGTGGGTGGTGGGGAACTTGTTTATGAATCTTGTCGTGGTGGTAGGATTTTGATGCCGGATGTAGGCTCATGGGGTTGTGCTGCTTTTGATAACAAAGGCTTGATGAAGATTCTTGATGACAACACATCAAACTGGCTTAGCAAACAACTCCAAAAGCACGAGCTTCTATGTATCCGTCAAACCTCATTCCTCTTCCTCTCAGCCAATGCCATCCTATGTGTCGTTACATCTCCGGACAGTTCCGTATTTCCCGTCCAGTCAACGGAGAGCTGTGTATATTATGTGCGGCTCCGCTGCTAATCAATGTCATCTGCGTTTTGTTCAAGAGAACAGAAACTTGAAATAGTATATCGCGTGTTCTGTGTCAGTCAACCTTTGAACACAGCACACCAAAGTTGCCGATGGGAGATTCTACGAGCACAAGAAGAGAAGGAAGAAAAAGAGAAGGTTGAGATGGCAAGATATGGTTATTATTGAAATCTTTTTCATACATTAGGGTAAATACATTATTATGTAAACCAATAATGAGGTAAGGACAGTATGTCAACGAGGAAGGCAAACCAGAACGACAAAGCATAGTAGTTCCTGCCTTCAACCACCACCAAAGATTCTTGTTGTCAAGTACATGTGCAGGTTGAGCTACACTTTCTGAAAGACTGATGCACAATGTGCGATCAAAATAGACTGATGAATGAACAGTAGCCTTCTGTCTAGTACAAAGTTGCGTCAGTATAAGCTTCTCATAGCTCTAGACATTTGCAGTAGAGTACTCACTATCAGGATTGGGGCTGGTCGGTGGGCTTGCTTGTAGCAACAGTCATCATGGTTGTAGGCTTGGGAGCCAAAAGTCCATCCAAGAAGCGCTCGACCTCCTCTGCGGTCATGGCATCCGGATCAACGTTTACTTGGGATCTCATCATAGAGACAGCCGAGGCCATGATGTTCTCGACTTCAGCCTCATCGATGGGACCGTCTGGAACCTCGATGCGCACATCGTCTGGAAATGCCTCCAAGCGTTCCTTGAGTGCTTGGGATGGGGTTTTCATGTCGATGGATGCTTGATCCCAGTCGCCAGGGTGGCACAAGGGAACTGAAAGAAAGTCGCTGACCGTGCAGACGACGCCGATGATCTCAAAGATTGCCCAGAAGCCCATGATGAAGAAGTTGCGGTATGGTTTGAGGAGAAGAGTAAGCGAAAATGTAGCGTTGAGAGAAAGAGACAGAATCCATTGTAGCGGCTGCTCCTTATATCCCTGTCGACTGGACCACCAGAGAGTGGAAAGTGATCTCGTGAGCGGGGTTCTAAACTGGTAATCGGAAGATTAGAGATAGAGACTCTTGCTTGTTGTAGTGGACGAAGTATCTTCCATGGTCATCCAAAGCGACGAGGTGACTGAAGACCCATATGGACCATACCTGAATACCTGAGGGATTAACTGTGATGTGGTCGGAGACTTGAATGCTGAACTTGTTTTTTTCTTTTCCATTCATCCTCTGATTTGCTTACACCAGTCTCACAGGCGTTATGACATGTTTTCTGATCAACGTCTGTCTCGACCTAGAGTTTGTTCACACACCTAGAGTTGACTGTGGGGAGCGACTATCAGAGCGAGGAAAATCACGCTCAGTAAGCCTGGGACATGCTGGGGTCTCCACTCATCAGTACTGAAAAACAGAAGACAGGAGAGTTGAGGCTGTGTAAAGAGTAAGAAAAGAATCACAACGGTCGATAGCGGCATGAAGGGTACAGATGATTGATGAGAGAGAGAGAGAGAGAGAGAGAGAGAGAGAGAGAGAGAGAGAGAGAGAGAGAGAGAGAGAGGCTCAATTGAGTTTGATTCTGAATGAGCGGATCCTGATAAGGAACGTGGTTGTGAAGGGTTCTCATAAAGCTTCGACTCTTCTTGTTTTGAGTGTCGGGTGGTGCCAGTATCTGATGAACAGGATCAAGCTCAGATCATCATGCTTGATTGAAAAATTGTGGGGTATGAAAGGCTTGCGCTCCATGATGTGGCAATCAGGTCTTCTTCAATTTTCTTTTGCTCTTGATGCCTTTAGTTCATGCTTTGTGGTCTTCCCGATGCCTTGTCTCTTTGTGGTCGAGCAATCCGCTGTCGCTTATCTTCGAGTAGTGCAACACCCTCTAGCTTGGTCAGCACATCATGAATGGTCGTTTTTGTCGTGACCTTACTCACCGGTGTTGACTGTGTTCAAGGAAGATCCTCAGCAAGCTTCTTGATGTGGATCTGCATGTACCACAGGCGAACAGCAGAATAGACGAAGCTCATTCTGATTCCCTCGACGTCTCCACGGTGAATTATGAGCTTTGCCCATCCACTGAGATCCTCCTCCATGCCAGAAAATGCCTCAGTTCCAGTGGGGCTGTCCTTGAGCTTGTACAGTCCAAGATAAGCCTCAACCAACTGCTCAGCGAGCTGTTCGACCTTGTTGTCTTTGATCAAGTCTTCGGCTAATTTTTCGGCATTCGTCTTGACAGCGTGAACCTTCTTTCCTTCGTCGGAGTTTGAGGTGCATGCGAAGAAGGGAGCGAGATCAAGTGGTGTGTGACGTGCAGCNTGCTTTGGAAGCAAGCTGCTTGCGAGGCGCGCGTCCCATGTCTGTAGACGTCTTGTCAGTCATGATGCAGTCGTGAGTGTGCTCGAGCTTACTGATGAGTGTGATTTCTTGTGTTGGTTGGAGTAGTGTTGCGAGGATGGTGTTATCGAATCGAGAGATTCGCGTGCTTGAGAAGAAGGATAGCAGGAAGATAGAGCGAGATGCTGAATTATAGCAGGGGGCCGGTCTTTCAGAAAATGATAGAAGACAACACCCAGAATGTTCCCTGAATGAAAGCAAAGTCACAAGTAGCTATTGATTGTGCTGCGCGGAAATGAAACAAAGGACTGATGAAAGGCGAGGGGCTGCCGGGAGGAGCAGATATTGAAATGTAGACTTGAAGATTATTTCGTCCGCTGGGTCAAGAAAGCCGTATCTCAGGGCGCAAGCAGAGTACAAACATTCTTGTGTGTTTGCTAGCTCGCGTCTTTATCCATCATGTTTGGTTCCAGCTGTCCTTCGTGTTCGAAAGTCCGCAACAGGGGCATTCGAGAGTAGACACGACAAAAGCCACTTTGGCCATACTGAAACTGCAAGCGGTGCGTCTTCGTCAGGTTAGGCAGCTCGTACTGGCATGACCGTTCCTCAGCTCGACAGGCGTCATTACTCGTTAACATGCAACAAGATGTAGGGTCACTCATTTCTTGTCGTCCTGTGCCTTCTTCTTGCCCTGCTTCTGCTTCTTTCTCTTGCTGCGGTCTCTCTTCTTCAATGCCTGCATGCCCTGCTTACAGACTTCTGCGTAGCGGGTGTAGAAGGCTTCCAGATCATCAGGTTGTACGACTGTGCTCAGCTTGATCTTGTCCGACTTCTTGCGGTCCTTTGTTTGCGAGTTGCCGTCTGTCGCGCGAACGAGAATAGGTAGGGGTGCTGATGGAGGATCCAGATCGGCGAGAGGAGAGTCGGTGGGTTTGGTGGCAGATGACTCGTCGAACGTCACTNNTATACGTGTCAGCATAGCACAAGAGGGTCGGAAGAGTGTTTGCGCACGTCGCTTCTGCGTCAGGAAGATGCTGCCGTGACCTTTTTGCTGGCGCGTCTCGAGCAGAGAGGCCATTTTGGTGAAGAACTGTACCATAATTAGCTTTTGGATGATATTGCTGCTGCGCGACTGTACCTCATCGTTAGTGAGATGTGATGACATGATTGTGGTTGTGGTATGCAAGATGGAGCAGCACTTGACCTGTCGAGCGTCGTTGCGGGCAGCGACGTGGATACGGAAGTCGCTACCGACCAGTTCCTTCCCTTCGAATTACGTTCTGTACCAAGTCATGGCGAGAGTGTGGGGTAGTTGCAACGCTCTTCACATGCCGCCAAGCCTCTCGGGCAATAATTATTTTATATTCTCTCTTGACATTTTGTATTTCTAACCAAGACATTCGCCATGCGCCCAAACGATTCTTTCATCAAGCCAAAGCTGCCAAAGGCACTGCTGGACCAAATTGGTGGTGATACTAGTAACAATAAGAAGAACGCCCCAACACGGAAAGAGCGTCGCAAGAACGAGAGAACCCAGAAAAACAGAGCCATCAGCAATCAAGGTCGCGCCCACCGCCGCAGCGACCTCAACCTCAGAGACGTCCTCAACCTCAGCCGCAAAGAGACGAGTTTGACGAGAGTGATGACGAGCCTACACCGCCACTCAAGCCAAAGTCGAAACCTACAAAAGAGGACAAGCCAAAGTCCATCCTGAAGACGACCAAAACGCAAGACCCTCCGAGACCAAAGACTCAAGAGGACTCGCCACCGCCGCTGGCACGCGTTTCAAGAGCCGTCAAGGATAGACTGGCTCAAGATGACGCCGAAATTGCTGCCTTGGAGAAGAAATTGGGAATCAAGTCGACAAAGAGATCCAAAGCTTTTGCGGATGACGGACTGGACGATTTGCTCGAAGGTCTGGACGACGAAGAAGATGACGGTCCCAAGAGAAAGCGCTCGGATGACGATGATTGGTTGCGACAGAAGAGGAGGAAGGTCAGTCAGGCAGCTGCTGTCGAGGAGGAGCCTTCGGATGATGACGAGGAAGAGGATGAAGAAGACATCAGCGGTGATGAAGATGGGATTGATGGTCTTGACGATATCATGGACGGTCTGGGCGAGAGCGACGAAGACGGTGATCTCGACGGCCTGGAAGATGAAGACGAAGACGACATGGATGAGGAGGATGAGGAGGATGAACTGGACGAAGATGGCGACAAGGACATGGCCGACGGAAAGTTTGAAGACTTTGACGAGGACGATGAGGAAAGCGAAGAAGAAGAAGAAGCGCCTGCGCCAAGGGTGCGCGAGAATCCTTACGTTGCCCCCGTACCCGCTGGTGCTGCTCCAGTTCAAAAGTACGTTCCACCTTCGTTGCGAGGTGCTCCTTCGTCAGACACCGAAGCCCTGGCACGTCTTCGTCGCCAGATCCAGGGTCAGCTCAACCGTCTTTCAGAAGCGAACCTTCTGTCTATCCTACAAACCATCGAACAGATTTATCAGAACAACCCCCGCCAATATGTCACCACAACGCTTATCGACCTTCTGCTTGGACTCATCTGCGACCGCACTACTCTACAGGACACCTTCCTCATCCTCCATGCAGGTTTCATGGCCGCTCTGTACAAGGTCATCGGAACAGATTTCGGTGCTCAAGTCATTGAGCGCATTGTCAACGACTTTGACAGACACTACACCGGAGGCACCACAGCAGGCAAGGAAACCTCAAACTTGATGTCCCTGGTTTCCGAACTCTACAACTTCCAACTTGTTGGCTGCAACCTTGTATTCGACTACATTCGTTTGTTCCTCACCGAGCTCAACGAGCAGAACACAGAACTCTTGTTGAAGATTATTCGCAATTCTGGACCTCAGCTTCGCGCCGATGACCCATCGGCACTCAAGGACATTGTCATTTTGGTGCAGAAGGAAGTCACCCGTATTGGGGAGGCGAACTTGTCGGTGAGAACCAAGTTCATGATCGAGACAATCAACAACTTGAAGAACAACCGCGTCAAGACTGGCGCTGTGGCTTCTGCTATCGTGTCGGAACACACAACAAGAATGAGGAAGACTTTGGGTTCTCTCAACAACAGATCGTCTCTCAAGGCAAGCGAGCCTCTTCGCATCGGCTTGGCAGATATTCGTGACACAGAGAAGAAGGGCAAGTGGTGGCTTGTTGGCGCAAGTTGGCTCGATCCTGGAAAGCAGTCCAAGGATGAGAACGTCTCGGATGAGCCCATCGTCAAAACCTCAAAGAACGACTCGACTACAGTATCGGCAGACGACGGCAGTGTTGATCTGATTCAACTAGCACGTCAACAAGGCATGAACACCGATATCCGTCGTGCCATATTCGTCACCATCATGTCAGCTTCAGACTACCAAGATGCACACTTGCGCCTCCTCAAGCTCGGGTTCAAGAAGGCTCAGGAGCTCGAAATCCCTCGTGTGCTGGTTCACTGCGCGGGTGCCGAAGCCACCTACAACCCATACTACACGCTAATTGCCAAGAAGCTTTGCGGCGAGAAGCGCATGCTCAAAGCCTTCCAATTTGGTCTCTGGGACATCTTCAAGCGCCTGGGTGAGAAAGCCATGACAGCCGACGATGAAGACGATGCCTTTGACGACGACGAAGACGAGAACATGAGCACCCGCAAGATTGTCAACCTCGCTCGCTTCTACGCAGACCTTATAACCGAAGGCGGCTTCNCCATCACAGCACTGAAGACGCTCAACTTTGCTTACCTGCAGCCCAAAACGAACACCTTTACCGAAGTCTTGTTGACCAGGATCTTGATCAAAATGATGAAGAACTCCAAGGGTAGCAAGTGGGAGCTCAGCGTCAACGAGGTGTTTGCAAGAGCTCAAGATGTACCGGATATGGTGCAAGGGCTGCGCTACTTTATCGAGAAGGTGGTCAGGAAGGCCGAGATTGCCAATGGTAAGAAGGAGCGCAAGGCAGTGAAGGATGGATGTGTGGCTGCCATCGAAGCGCTAACGACACACGTCGCGCGCGATGATGGCAGCGAGGATATGCTGAGTGATTCTGACTAAGTAGTTTTTCGATTGTCGAATTACCAACAGAGACCTGCAAATCAATCTGGCAAAGGCTCACGTGTGAGTATCAAGCTACCTATGTAATAGATCACCGTGGATGGCGCTCACATGTGAGACGAACACAAGTGAATACGCAATCATAATTTCCGTTGCGGAATAAACACAACAGCCACCATTTCCTTCTCGAATGCACATCACATTTCCAGCATCATGGCACCCTACATCTGGATCAGCAAACCCATCCCACGCTCTCGAAGCCGTTCTCGCTCACCCACCAGATCACGAAAAGATGCAGAAGAAATCAGCAAATACAAGAGAGAAAACAATGCTCTGAAAGACGAACTCAAACACCTCAAGCGCCGCCTGGCATCTACTGTCAACGAGAACCATCAGAAGAAAATGAGTTTGGCAGCAGCAGTATCTCAAACCCACCAAAAGCTCCAGATCGACAATGAACTCCTAGAGACGGCAACTCAGGAGCAGGCACAGGCTGTCAGGACATATATCAAAGCGGTCAAGTCGTTGGAGGAAGAAGACCATCAACCCAAGGCCAGATTGCAGAGGCTGGAGGAGAAAGAGGTTGCTTACAAGAAGGTGGTGTCTGAGTTGAAGGTGCCGCTTCGTCCGGTTTCCGAGGCTTTTGTCGAGTTTCTTGATCATGTTCTCTCTAATGAGTTAGCATGTCAGGAGCTTGGCAAGTATGGGAGAAGACCAATGAGTGACGGTCCAAGAAGAGCACACCAAATAGCTCAGCATGCTCAGCCTTCGGCGAGGAACAAACAGACTTTGGGATGTTGGAAAGGGGTGAGATGATAGTGAATTGGAGAAAGCAGTCAGGGGTGAAGGCTAGGGTGAACACAAACTAGTCAGTATGGTCTACTTCAGTGTTCGCATGTCACCACCCTTTCGCTCGATAGCCAACACAACATTCAAAACCTCTCGCCTTCACCTTGGACGCCGAACCTTACTCACACGCATAATTTTACGACCTTGAACACACCAATTGACAGTTACACTTCCATCCTTCTTCAACTTTGTTTTCAGCATCAACACCACGCGCACAGTCACGGCCACGAAAGTCTCTTCCAGTCACCATGGACGAAGAGACCGCAAAAGAGATCAAAGGTCTCCAGGAACAGCTCAACTCTATTGTCACTCGCAAACGCAGAAGAGAGGATGACACTCTGGAGGATGAAGTCAAGAATCTCAGACAACGTCTCACCGACTCGAATAAGAAATGCCTGGACGCAAGCAAGACAAGCGCAGAGCTGTCCAAGAGAAACAAGCAGCTTGAGGCCGAGAACGATACGCTGCAGAAGTCAAACAAGAACCAAGCACAGTCAATCAAAGATCTGAACAACGAGTGCGACCAGCTGGAGAAAGACAAGCAGACGCTCCTTGCAAGGTTGGACAAACAGGAGGACAAACAGAAGAGATACGAGACTGCCTCGAAGGACGCTATCTCAGCTCTCTATGCCAACTCTCACAACCGCTTTGGATTGGGCAACAACACTATCTCCTGTGAGTTAACATCTCAAGAATCTTGACAAACATACGACAGGAAGAGACGAGTTGACTGACAGCGCCACAGGAAGACATCAGATACACCAACACATCCAAGGACGATACGACTGTGGAGTAACCAAGGACATCGGAGTGCCAGAGTGGAGGCATGAGTGAAGGAAGCATCGAGAGGGCTGTTTGAGTTGCGGGATATGGTTGACATTGGTTTCAGTTGGCATTCACTGTTCAGTACTGTTTCACTTAGCCAACAATCAAATCAGCAAAGAGCTCGCTTGATTGTGTGCTAATCGTCAAAATCTGAATAATCGACAAAAACTGTTACACATCCTTCCTATTTCCTTGCGCGTTTAGACAACACAAACACCAACCCAAAACCACCCACCATGGTCACCCCCGCCGATCTCATCAGAGAAATCACCCTCACAAACAACTTCCTTGCCAAACAAAATGCAAACCTCAAGATCGAAAATCACAACCTCAAAGTCACAAACGACATGCTCAAAAACAAAGCCGCCACCGATCAAGCAATTATGAACGCCGCCATCTCAATCAAGAACCTCGAACTCTACAATCAGAACCTTGAAGGCGAGAACCAGCATCTGAGGGAGCAGCTTGAGCACTGTGCTGAGAAGAAGAAGATTGATGATGAGTTGGAGGTGTTGAGGATGGAGGTTGAGAGTATTGATGAGGAGTTAGTGAAGCGTGCGAAGGAGATGGAGATTATGGAGGAGTTGGATGAGAAGATGAAGGTGTTGAAGCAGGTTGGTGTCCTGGAGGACGGTCAGGAAGATGAACAGAAACACGACCAGGAGAATGGCCAGAAAAGTGGCGAGGCCGAGCTGGAGAATGTCTTGAAGGAGAGCCACGATGGTGATAGCGAGTGATTCAGGGGTAAGTTTGTTTGTCACACATGTCTGGATAAAGGCTGATCAGTCGCTTCCAGCAGTGCCACAAACAATCCTCTCAAGCAGTTGGAAGCAGCTTGTGCATCCTGTGCTTAGAGAAACGATGGGGTAGTGTTCTGCTACGAGCTCAACGACACATCTGTCATTCATCTTCAATGCAGAGTGTGGTACTTCATCTAGTACCCTAGTCACACTTCTCACAAAACGAAAAGCCTTCCGTTATCTTCCCATGATCTCCTACCCTTACGGCTTGTGCTTTCGACTCCCAATATCAGGTTAGCACGAATGCCGAGACAACCATCGCCGAGACAAGCACCACACGCTAACCAGATTTGTTTTCTCGTTCACTCCACTGAACAACGTGCAGTCTCTTGCTGCGTGTAGGTTCTCCTTCCACTACCTCCTCCGAGCCTTGACAAGGTCTAACATAGTCGCAGCCATAGGTTCAGAGTCACCAAAGCATCAACAGACACACCAAGAAGCCCTCGAACCACATTCGAGGTCCTTTCTCCACCTCTCCGACTTCTCTTCGCACCAACAAACCTGCTGCTACACAAAATGACTGCTCCCCACGAAAAAGTTGATGTCAAAGACGTGATCGACCCCATCAACGCATTTGGACTCGCCAATTTCGATGATGTAGCAGACTCAGACAAACCCATAACGGAGCACGAGCTCTGGAACAGATGCCTTCAAGCCGAGAATAGACTCCTCAGAACCCAGAACAAGATGCTCAGAGAACAGCACCTCAGAGACGTCGAGAAGGTCTCTTGTGTGAGAAGCGAATACAACGCTGACGTTTTCTCGTGTCTGGAAGAGATCAACTCGGAGCTAGAGGATAAGATCGAGGATCTGGAAAGCGTGCTCAATGGTGCGAGAAGCGAGGTCTTGGACTTGAAAAGCGAGCTTGATCGCTCTGGAGATACTGAGGCGCTCTCCCGTCTGGAAGGTATCAACTCAGATCTAGGAAGTGAGGTTGTGGATCTGAAAAGCGAGATCTCGGATCTGAAGGGCAAAATCTCGCGTCTGGAAACCAAGATCCAACTCTACCGAGATTCGGACGCAAAATGATTTTCTCCCTCCCCCTGATTCGAAGAGAAATTTGAATCACAAACTCCTTGTTTCTTTGACCGTTTAACACACACTCTTGTCAAGCTGCAGATGTCCCATGATACTATCCTCTATTCCACGATGATTCCTCGCATCAACCTATTCACGCGTTTCTTGAAGACACTGGACACTCAGGATCGCATTCAGACCGTCATGTCAGCATCTATCACTCAAGATATGATTGGAAGATACAAGAATGCTGTAGAAGAGAACGCTCAGCTCCGTGATGAGAACGGGAACCTTCGAGTCAGAAACTACGAACTCAACAGGGAGCTAGATGTGACATACAGAAAGCTCTGGAGCCTGGAGATCGAGGGAGGTGGGCACAAAGGATTCTGAGACGTGCGTTTGCTGCAAAACTTCACTTTTGTGTTTGATGAAAACGAAGCTGACCTCTGTCGTAGACTGCAACACATCGTCTCGCGCTGCTGCGATTAAAACAAACACAACACTTGCGCCTCACCTCAGCGCGCGTTTTCTTCCTCCACAACCACACTCGATCTTTTCTCTCTTCCAAGTCAAGACACGAGATTCAACACACATCCAAACACCTTCATCATGGAAGCCGCCGCCGAAACACACACCGATCTGCTCAACCTGCTCAACGAAAAGAACATCGCTCTCACCGAAACCAAAGCCGAAGCAGCCCAGAGCGCTGAAGCTGTCAACAAGATCATCGAAGAGAACCTGCAGCTCAAGGCTGAGAACGAGCGTCTTCAAGTTGAAGTCAAGGAACTTAGAATCAAGCTGTGGGACGCAACCGAGGAGGAACGCAAGATGAATTCTGGTCGTCTGCGCGATGTTTTGAAGGTTCTTTGAATGCATCATGGACTTCTCAGGTACCACTGCATAGACTTGAGATACGTTTGAGGTGGTGTTGCAATGATAATGCAATGCTCGACTTCAGGTTGGGGGACTCAGGGGTAAGCCATTCTCGACGAAGATCAAACTTGAGTTCGAAGACTGACATTGTGAACAAAGAAGTCCGACACAGTCCGCTCTATCTTGTCAATACCTCTCTCCGTTCCTTTGATGCTCCTTATTGTTCTTTCGTTGACCCAATTCAACATGAAAGAAACAAAAGATCCAGTTACGACAACTGCCCATGCTTGTAGCTACTGTAGCCATTCCAGAATCGAACTTCTTTGCACAGCGCCAAATATCTGTGTTGAATTATACATGACTTCTTCGTCAGGTCATGTGTGACTTGAGTATCTATTGCGTGGAAGGCACTACAAGAATTGACCAGTTGTACTTGCCATCCCACGAGATGAACCAAAGGATGCCGCTTTCGTCAGCACAACTCGAGAAATGTTTTTGTCATTTGATTGTTTGAACTCTCCATATACTCGATCTTCAAAGTACATTTTAGATCTAGCAGAGCCTTAGACAGAGGGATAGCTGCTTGATAATTCCTTCCTCAAAGTAACGTGATGCGAAACAGGTTGTGTGTTTTGGCAGAACGAGAGCCTCATACATATCTACCAAGAAATCAGACACTTTGAATGATGAAAGTGCGAGAGAGATGCGAAAAGCTACAGTCACCGCTGCTCAGAATCAGACTCACACCCGAGCAAAAGTATAACTCGTTACACCTAATGTGTCTTGGCCGCGTACAGTACCAGCTGTTCCGCTCAGGCAAACGTCCGTGTTCACGTTACTGAGTAGGTTGAAGATGAGTAGATTTTCTGGGGTTTATAGTCGATTTAGGATGTGCACGCAACTTGGCCATGGACTCGGAGCCCTTAACTATTCTGCCGTGATTCGTAAGCTAGCGAGGACTCTCGGGTAACAAGATATACTACATATGAGGACGAAGGATGGTATAAAGGCAGATTCGAGCTGAAGACGCCATGCGATGCGACAGATGTCCTTTACAATAACGTTTGCGCAGAATCTCAGATGAGTGACCAGACATATAGTCCTGAGATATCATCTCTCCTTAGTCAGACGATGCTTGAAATCAAGAAGTATCGTGTGTCTTTATACAATACTATAAACTGAAGCTTGAAGAGATTCAAGATCACGCCCGCCAATGCCAAATGGAGATTAAAGACGAGACTCTTGCCCTCAAGACCAAGCGTAAAGAGGTCGACGAGGAACTTCGTGAACGCGAGGACGAACCCGAGGTGATCGAGGAGAACAACGAAGAGCTCCAGTGAAGGATGGCTCGATATCTTACGGTCACTCATACCGGAAATTTATGTTCCAACTTCACTCGGTCAAGCTTCACTCTCTTACCTCACCCTCACACTATCAACGTCAATCACTACGACTTCACGAACGTCCAATTCACTCACCTCGTCACTCTCACATACTGATAACGGCCGTAAAACTCTGCTTCGTTCTACTTCTTTCTGCTCTCTCTCTCCATCTCCACTTCATCCATCTTCATCGCCAGGGTAACATTCATCGTCCACGATCAAAACCCATCATCGTTCTCAGAAACCTCGCAGCGCCACCAAGCACACACCTGGAAACGCAACCATGTACTTCACCGACGATCAACTGTCCAATGACCCAGAGTTGCGTCCCAAAACCTGGCGTTCGAAAACCGCCTTCGAGCACGAACGTCTTCTTCTCCNNCTCAACACACTGGCCAGTATCTTGCACGAGACGGCTGCACCTCCTACGACCATGGTACCCTCATCCACCACTTCCTCCTTGGTCTCCTCAAGCTCCAGTTCTCTGGTCTCTGCCACTTCAACAACCATCGCTGTCGACCCAGAAAAGACACCTCGTCCCACATCTTCGATCTACCCCAGCACCTTTGCTTCGTCCATTGCCTCAACCCCTCGCTCCGTCTCCTCATTCTTCAACACGCCCTTTGGCTCTTCCTCTCGCATGTCTGTCAACACTTCTTCTCCTGGTCTTGCACCTCACACACCCATCGTCTTTTCCTCGCCCCAAACCAGCACTTTTACCTTCGAGACCGCAAACCCTTCTCCTGCGAGGGTTGACTCGGTAATGGGAAGCCCTATCCGTTTCCTGTCGCCTAGCATCTTCAAGCGCAAGAACAAGAAGAACTTGAAGAAAGACGACGCTGGTCTAGAGCAGAATAGTGTTGCTGGCGCTACTGTCGAGGAAGGAAACATTTTCTCGTACTTCAAGGCTGCTGCTGGCAAGGGAGACGACTCTGAAAGCGAAACGAACAACTCCAAGGGCGAAACCACCGACCATAAAAACAGTGTTTGCGAAGACGACAGTGACAACGAGACCATCAGGGGTGTCCCCAGCAGCAGTAGCTTGGACAAGCAGGGCAAGAAATATGTCGTTGAGGCTCTTGGTCTTGGTAAGATTGGCGAACCTCAGTCTCTCGAGCATCAGTTCCGCTTTGTCAAGAAGCAGATCGAGACGGCCAGGAAGATGTTTCTCTGCAGCAAGTTGTGATGGGCTGGGCTGTGCAGAAACTCAATGGTGGAGTTCTGGACCTCGATGACATTGGTGAGTATCTGGTGGACTCGAGGGTTGCGAGAACGATCTGTGGCTGGACGACATACAGCGAAGGAAAAAGAAAAATGAGAAAGGAAAAGGGGTGGGTGAGTGGTGAAACTGGCAGTACATCTGTCCATACTTCTTTGCTCGTGGCTTTGTTTCTTACTTCTGTTCTCTACTTACAATACAATCACCATCATAGCAAATCTCCTGTCCTTAGACACCCGCTTATGTCCATACCATGAACTCCATCGCTTCATAAACCAGTCCCAGGTATTCTCACCAATGCTTTCATAAGCAGAAAAACTCCAGCAATGCATAAACTCCAACAACAATCCGCATATCTCTTATCACCTCTTCCCGAATCTGCCTCTGCCATTGGCCTTTGAATTCTTGTTCTTGATGTTGAGCCGCCTGAAGTTGGCATGTGCGGTAGCGCTGATTTTCTTGGCTGCTTTCTTGACAATGCCATCGCCCTTGGAGCTCTTTGCAGCGTCGTCTTTGTCTGCAGTAGTGGTTTTGGTGAGTTGTCTCTTGCGCTTTGCCTCTGTGTCACTGTATGCTGCGTCTGAATCTGCGTCCGAGTCGATGTCGTCCAAAGCACCAAGGAGCTGTGTTTCGGCGACGTTGGCTTCGTTGTCGGAAGTCGTGTCGGGCTGGTCTGCCTGAGCTGGAGCTTTGGGCTTTGGTGCAGGTCTCACTGGAATGTGATCAGTATGGTTCAAAGTGTCTTGATGTTGCAGGCTGGACTTACTGATGACACGCTTTGTCTGGCGCTTCAAGCCCTTCTTCTTCCAAGGCTTTCTGAAAACGCCAGTATCTCTCTCTTCCTCTTCTGACTCTTCGCTCTCAACACCTTGGTCAGGACCTAATGGCATAACGACCTGACTGTCTTCGACTTGGACAGCGGGCCTTGCTGGTTCATGGTTGTCTTCACCATCCTCCATCTCGCGCATCATCTCCAGTTCTTCATCAAGCTTGTCGTCTTCTTGCTTCCTGAGGCCTTGGATGATGCTGCTCAGACTTCTAACAATGCCACGCTTCTTGAAGGGTGGTTGCCGCATCCTGCCTATATTCATACTCTTCATCTCGTGATCGTTCTCTGCTTCCTCGACGAGAGTATCCATGATGAGCATATTGGATGTCCTACGCAAGAAGGCGGGTGTCGAGAGACCCTTTGCACTGGATGGCGTGGCATGAGCAGGTTCTTCATCCTCACGCTTTCTCTTCAGGGGTGTAGTCGAGACGAAGGAGTCGAGCAGGAAGCGTTTGCTACTTGAAGCAGGAGTGCGGTCGTGTACATTCTCGGGAGGGGATTCGTTGTCGGCAAAGAGGAGTTGTGAGGGTTTGCTTGGGGTGAAATTTGCATTCGCTTCTATGGATGCGAGAGCGGTACGGGAAGGCTTTGAAGCAGTTGACGACGGGTCGTCGAAGAGACTGAGGATATGGCCGTCCTTTTGTGGCGTAGGTCCGAGGTGCATTCGTACAGCGGCAGGAGTGGGTTCGAGTTCTACTTCCTCCTCTTGTAGTGATGGAATGCTCGATATTAGAAACTGCGATTTGGGCTTCTGTGGTGTTGCTGCTGGAGCAGCTTTCTTGGGTGTTGCATCATGTGGCTTTGCAGGTCTGGCGTGTTGCGACTCGGTCTGCTTTGTCGCTGGCCGTCTCAACCTATCGTACTCTCTGTACTTTGCAGCTNNGCAATCATCCATCAGTACAAAACCAAAGCTTCTAGGTCTCGTGCCTGTCTTACCAATCTCGACATTGTTCTTGATGTCCTCACGACTCGGCCTTTTCCCGCCATTTTGTACAGAAAACTGTTTTTCCCACGTCTTCAACTCTACACGCAGAGTTTGCGTCCGCTCTTCCGACATTGTTTCGACATGTGATGTGTTGTTGTTATCGACCTACTTGCAACAAAGGAGGCTCAAAGGAACCTCGGGAAGTCGCGACTCGGACGCGCCTGCTTCGCGATTTTGACCGAGTTTTGATGACGTGCATCAATTTCGGCAACCACTACTTTTCTACCTCCAACAACAAACTGCAACTGCACACTTTTACCAATCAGTGCCGAGCTGTTTCGAGTGATGGCCGCACCATCGCTGCATCCGTCTTGGTGATTGCAAACCATCACGAGATTCTGGAGCGATCGCGCAATTCTCAGCCCGAAGCTTGCAAAGCAGGAGTGCGCTTCAATTCCGAGGGCTTTTGTAAGCCGGCGACTCGGCCATCTTCAGCGGCATATACGCTTGTATATACATATATAGACAGCTGACTACTATTGTTCCGTACACTTTCGACTACCCGAACTTCTGAAACCAGTTTTGCTGTCTAATCATACACACCCAATCACATTGCTCAAGACTTCTTCTACCCATCCTCCTACCATGTCAGATCCATCAATCTACACATATCCGTCTCCTCTAGAGGGATATGGAAATCTGCCGCCCCTTTCAGAGTATGTGTTCAGATAACCCTATACAGCCAACGTTCGAAGTTCTCACACTAGCAACAGCGAGAAGAATGCAGATGGCAAGTCCTACGTAAACCCGCCAGCAGCCAACCCAAGTCCTGCATATGAGTCCTTCGTCTCTCCCATCACGAACGACGAACGTGGTGGTTTCGACGTCCACGTCTACTTCCAGCAAAACATCGATTCCGAGGTCAAATTTGCAACCGAGCTGTGGGAGCGTATTCGAAGAGAGTGTGAGTCGATTATCCCTTTGTGCAAGTGAAAGTATCCTGGGCTAATTCGCACTTTTCAGNTCCCCGAGCTGCGCGTATACAGGGTCTGGGATAAACCAATTGGTCCGCATCCCATCGCCATGTTCGAAGTCAATTTGTTTACGCCTGCCCAATTCGGTGCCTTCATCCCATGGTTGGTCATCAACAGGGGTCCCTTGTCTGCATTGTTGCATCCAAACACCGGAGACGACATTCGAGATCACACGCAACGTGCTACTTGGCTCGGTCAGCCTTTTCCTCTGCAGATCGGTTTGCTCAGACGGTTGCTAGAGACGAGGGCCCAAGCGGCTCAGAACAATCAACAGGTAAATTAATATACATAGAATACGAATGTTGTGGCTGAAGATCTTGCGTCGGCGCATTCGTCTAGAATATGATGCCGGGAGCTGAGAAACCATTCCAGCCCATCTGTTGCTGCTGCCCTTGAACAAAGTTTGGATCGAAATGTCCGTATGCTGGTTCTTGAGAGACGTCATCCAAGCTCTCGTAGCTATCCATCATGTTGCCGTTGTTGTTGGTTGCAAAGTCGCCGACTGCATGCAGGTCTAGCCAGGAGAAGGTGAACGCATTGGTGTAGGCTTGTTGCGGTGTCTGATCAATGTTCATCTGGTTCTGTTGCTCGGTCTGTGCAGCAACCTGGGCGTTTTGTGTCGCCTGATACGTCGGCTCGTTGCCATTCAAGTACGAAGTAGATGGCTGTGGAGGAGGCTTCCGCCACAGTAGTCGCAGCATCCTGCTATACCGATCGCCGACATCGTTTTGACAAGAGCTTGCCTTTTGTAATCGTTCGACAGCTTCTCCCACAGTCCTCTTGACATCTCCGCCATCCGCGCCCAAGACTCCGGTTGATCTTGCTTTGTACAAGAAGACAGCCGAGTAGATGACATAAAGGTAATACCGCAAGGGCATGTACCTGAACTCTGTCGTAGGATCAAGCAGTGTGTTAGAAATGGTCAGTAGCTTTTTGGCAGAGTCAATAGAATCGTAGATAAATCGCGCGTCTGGCGTTGCGGCAATGAAGTCTGTGAATGCAACCCGTCCATTCGCACGTTGCGGGCCTCGTGATGTTTGTTCATCGCTATATTCTTGCGCCATTCGTGTCAGAGTTGCCTGGTATGCGAAAGCATTGACGTAGAGTCGAAGGTATTCGAAGGATATGATGAGAGCTGCTTTGATGACCGATGTANNCCTGGCTCGAAAGTTAGCCATTGCTCAGGTACTGCGATATGGAGGTTGCTTACATGGCAATTTGCCCCAACGGTCATACCAAGCGCTCATGGCTTCTCGAAAGTCGTCCNNTGACGCAAGATTAGCTCTGTGCGCTTCTTACCCAGTACACAAGGCACTCACAATATACTTGACGTATTCCCCACCAAAGTTCAGTTGTGCGCTCCTGTTCTTCGAGGAGTACAATACGTCGTGAGCATTGCTGAAGAGCTGCGTCAACTCCAGATGAGCTTCACAGAGAGCCGCAAAGTTGTCCATAGGATTGCCTGGGTATTTGATGTCCTGGAAATCTCGAGATGAGAACTTGATCATAGCCGGGCCCCTGCTCCAGAAGGCTTTCCCGACACGAACAGATATATGGCGATCGCTCATGTAACATCCAACCCAAGCAAGACGCTTCCGAACGTAGTCCGGTGCGGCAGGATCAGACTCATTCACAAAACCTGTGCGATCAATGCCTAGAAGATAGCCCATTCGAATGGCCATGCCTGAAAGCATCCACGCAGTCTGTTCTTCTTCTCCTCGACCAACTGCTGTCATTGATTGGGGCGGCCTCGGGACCCATTCGGCCAGCACTAACAGCGCCTCTACAGCACCGAGAGTGGCGATACCACCATACATGAGTTCGGCAATGAGCTGCTGCATGTGGGTCGAACAAGCTTCATGGGTGTCCCACCACGATGGCTCGTCCTTGGAAGCAATGGTGCATACAGCAGCCAACAAATATGGCTCATGTACCGAGTTAGCTGCAAGTAGGTCTGCCTCGAACATAAAAGGCGGCACGACCGAGTAAAACTGGTGATACTTCATTTTGTATCTANNGCGAATCTTGTAAGTGTCAGATTCAACACTGTTATGAGCAAGAACTTACCTCTCTATTAGTGCATGCATCATGCCTAAAGAGACATGACCTTTTTGGTACGGTGGAAATTGTATTTGCATGACTGACGGCGAAGGATGGTTAGACGAAGGTGTCCTGTCTTGGGCGTGCTGTTCTGCGCCACTCTGATGTGGAGACCTTGCATACATGGAACCATGTGCGGAAGGCGTTTGTGCTGCTCCTTCATTGCGACCAGCCACGTTAGCTAGGAACTCAAGGGCGTCAGATGGGTTTTGCAGGTTGGTCGAGACGATGCTTTCGTCGACAGTCATCTTGGTGTTAGGATGAGAGGTTGGTGCCTCCGGAGCAGATGCTGGTGTACTCCTCGGGCCTGGCGTATATTGCGGCCAGGATGGCAGCCTTCTGTGGTAATTTTCGTCCCTTTCCTCGTGAGTGCTTTCTTGTTGCACATGTTGCACGTGTTGCACAGGAGGAACAGAAGATTGCCCGATATCCTCGCTCGAAGAAGCATTACGAGAAATGCCATTCTCTGGTTGCTCAGACTCTGTAGCGCTGCGTTTGATTCTTCGGCCGCCACGATGAGATGGACCGAGAATGCATTCATGGTTTTCTCGTATACATCGCTCACAAGGTGGTTTTCCCGGTTCGCCACTGCCATATCTGAAAGTTATGTCAGGATCGAAATTTGACCAGGCTTCTTGCCAACGAGGATCATGATTGAGGAAGATTGGTGGCTTGGACCTTGACGACCCTCCTGATAGTCCAACACCACGGCGACTGATTACGAGTAGAAGGAAAATTGGTAGCACCTACAAGTCGCAGCGACTTTTTCGTTGTCGACAATGCAGGCAGGCCCTATAGGTTCGCTTCTCCCGCTCGGGTACTCTGGCGCGTCGGATGGGAGGCAGCATGAATGCCTGATCACCTTGAAAGGGCAGTCCGGGGATGTCGCGCGAGTCGCGCGGATCATGATGCGCCATGATGAACAGAGAAGCGACAACAACAGAGACACTGATCAAATTATTCCAGTATGGTGTAAGACGGGACAAGCGGCAACATGTCCAGCGGTGTACACGAGCTCAATTCGAGATCAGCGACAATGATGATTTGGCAGAGTTGGAGATGTGGAATGGAACGCGAGGTCGGCCTTCTCGACCCATGTACCTGGAACCCTATTCGAGCTGGCCACCGTTGAGAGCAGGCGTCCACTTGTCTTGGCCACTCTACACTACAGACCTTGGTCGAGCGATTTAGATCGCGGGACTCTTCTATGCAAGAAACGAGTCCAAGTTCCCACCATCTGGCTTTGAGAAGTGTGATTTGGTGCTTGTCACTTAGGCAAGCTCCCTCGGCCGGAGCTCCATGCTTCTGTTATGCGTGAGTCGGCCCGAGATGCATCTCATGTCTGTATCTTGATCTCCACGGTTGTCATCTTGTGTGTGTAGATCATATGGCAGCATATCCCAGTCCCGTCTTTCGGGATTATAAGAGAAGATGACATGAGTTACAATGTAGAACTTGACGAGTGATGGTCACCGAACAAAGGCCTGCTCAAGCTCTCCGTACGTCTGCCTCGAGTGGTCTGAGTGGTCCGAGCGTCTATAAAGTCCGTTGCGATTGCCTGCCGCCAACTTTCACTCTCGCGCGCGACCCTGATCATCCACCAACAACTACTCAAACATGTCCGGTCGCAAGGACTTTCTGAGCCAGCCGGCGCCCGAGAATTATGTGGCCGGCTTGGGTAGAGGTGCGACAGGATTCACAACCCGCTCAGATCTTGGTATGTACTCACAGTTTAGACACGATCCGTTCACGACTCTGACTTGTTCCCAAGGACCCGCGCGTGAAGGACCTAGTGAAGAGCAGATCAAGGAAGCTCTTGCCAAACGTGCCGCCCAGCTTGGAAATGCACCGCCGACAGCATACGGAGTTCCTGGAAAGAAGGAGGACGACGATGACGACGATGAACGCTTCCAGGACCCCGAGAACGAGACTGGACTGTTTGCCAGTGGAAACTACGATCGCGAGGATGACGAGGCCGACAAGATCTACGCCGAAGTAGATGCAAAGATGGACAAGAGACGCAGAGCCAGACGCGAAGAACGCGAACGGAAAGAAAGAGAAGAATACGAGCGCAACAACCCCAAGATCCAACAGCAGTTTGCCGACCTGAAGAGAGAGCTCGGAGGTCTCACTGATGAAGACTGGCAAAATATCCCCGAAGTTGGAGACTTGACAGGCAAGAACCGCAGAGCAAAGGCCAACTTGCGCGAGAGGTTCTACGCTGTCCCAGACAGTGTCTTGGCCGGTGCAAGAGATTCAACGCAGTTCGACACGACTGTCAACGATGAGGGAGCTCAAACGAGTGCGGCCGCAGACAACCTGGAAGGTGCCATGACCAATTTCGCTCACATTGGAGCTGCAAGAGACAAGGTGCTGCAAGTTCGTTTGGATCAGGCTGCCCAAGGCGACGCCGCTTCTGGAACTGCTACAAGCATCGATCCGAGAGGTTACCTGACCTCTTTGACCAAGTCTGAAGTCAAGGCTAGCGAAATTCCTGTCGCCGACGTCGCAAGAGCGCGTGAGCTGCTCAGATCTGTCATCAACACCAACAAAAAGCACGGCCCGGGATGGATTGCTGCAGCTCGTCTGGAAGAATTTGCGGGAAAGATTGTTGCTGCACGAAATCTGCTGGCACAGGCGGTGGAATTCTGTCCAAAGTCCGAGGATGTCTGGCTAGAATCCATGCGCCTGAATGAGAACCACAACGCCAAAATCATCGCCAAGGAAGCCCTCAAATACAACGACCGTTCGGTGCGCCTCTGGGTGGAAGCAATGAAGCTGGAAACCATCATGTCAAACAAAAAGCGAGTTCTAAGGCAAGCTCTGGATCATGTCCCTCAGTCTGTCGCAATCTGGAAGGAGGCCGTCAACCTTGAGGAAGACCCAGCCGATGCTCGACTTTTGCTCGCGAAAGCTACTGAGCTGATTCCGTTGTCTGTGGATTTGTGGTTAGCTCTCGCTCGACTGGAGACTCCCGAAAATGCACAAGTCGTTCTGAACAAAGCAAGAAAGGCGATCCCAACCTCTTGGGAGATCTGGGTGGCAGCCGCACGACTACAAGAGCAGATTGGCGCCGAACAGATGGTCGGGAAGATCATGGATCGCGCTGTGAAGTCTTTGGCACGCGAGTCAGCCATGCTAGAGCGCGAGCGATGGATCGAAGTGGCCGAGAACTGTGAAGAAGAAGGCGCAAACCTCACTTGCAAGGCTATCGTCGAACACACTCTGGGATGGGGACTGGACGAGGATGATGACCGTAAGAAAATCTGGAGGGACGATGCAAAATCATCTATGGTCAGAGGTCGCTACCAAACAGCCCGCTCCATCTACGCCTATGCGATTCGTGTATTCCCTAACAGCAGCATTATCTGGTTGGCCGCAGGAGATATGGAACGTAACCACGGCACAAAAGAGTCGCTTGTTTCCTTGTTGGAGAAGGCTGTAGAAGCTGTACCTACCAATGAGGTGCTGTGGATGCAGCTCGCCAGGGAGAGGTGGAACGCAGGAGACATCGACGAGGCTCGTAGAGTCTTGGGTAAAGCCTTCCAACAACAACCTGGAAACGAAGATATCTGGCTGGCAGCCGTCAAGCTCGAAGCAGACAATGGAGAAGTCGGTCAAGCGCGCGAACTCCTTAGGACAGCACGTCAAGAGGCAGGTACTGACAGAGTCTGGATCAAGAGTGTTGCTTTCGAGAGGCAGCAAGGTGACAGAGAGGCAGCTCTCGACCTCGTCAACCAAGGTCTACAGCTCTATCCCAAAGCTGCCAAGCTCTGGATGCAAAAAGGGCAAATCTATGACAATAAAGGTATGCTTGCGCAAGCACGTGAGGCCTTCAACACAGGAACCCGAGCGTGCCCACAGAGTGTACCATTATGGCTACTTGCGGCCCGTACAGACGAAAAGGCAGGTATCATTGTCAAAGCACGCAGTATTCTTGACCGAGCACGTCTTGCAGTGCCAAAGAACCCTGAACTTTGGACCGAGTCAGTACGACTCGAGAGACGTGCTGGGAACAATGCTGCAGCCAACCAGAAGATGGCGCAAGCACTGCAAGAATGTCCTACCAGTGGGTTGCTGTGGAGTGAGAGGATCTGGCATCTCGAGGCCCGCACTCAACGCAAGCCCCGAACGCTGGAGGCTATCAAGAAGAACGATAGCGATCCTATCTTGTATGTCACAGCTGCACGTGTCTTCTGGGGCGAGCGCAGACTAGACAAGGCAGTGACCTGGTTCGAGAAGGCAATTGTCCTAGATCCAGATATCGGTGACTCGTGGGCATGGTACTTGAAGTTTTTACGACAACACGGTACGGAAGAGAAGCAGGAGGAGACCATCAACAAGTGCGTGCTCACCGAGCCCAAGCACGGAGAGGTTTGGCAGAGCGTAGCAAAGGCTCCCGAGTATGCCAAGCTGGGTATCGATGAGATTCTCAAACTCGTTGCCACTAAGTTAGACTAGAAAGAGACCTTGACTCCCGGTCCGAAACTCGTGTAGGTAGGTCAATATCACGAATATAATAATGAACAAAATGAGGCTCTATGGAAGCCGACGACAAGCGCTTGTGTTGATGGACTCCTGGTGATCGATCGCTGCCGAAAGCTCAGCTCGCCATGCCGATGCACGACATGTGGATTTCAGTGATGTCATCGTGGAGAGCGGGCAGGAAGGAGCGCATCATTGTTTTCTACCTTCACAGCTGTCTCCTTCTCTTCTTTCTTTTCATCTCCCATCTGTTCTTTCTCTGGTAAGTCACCCTTTCAATTCACTCTCACCTCGCCGTTTACGCAACAACACCCTCCATACCATGTCCTTGATCGCCCCTCTCCGCGGTCAGCTACCCCGCGTTGTCCGAAGAGCACCTTTGCTCACCTCTGTTCGTCCTAGCAGAACACTCCAGTCTCACTACCAAGCCTTCTCAACAACAACCGCAAATATGTCTTTCAGCAACGCAGACACCGGCAACAAGACCGCCGACCCCTACACTGCTAAGAACAAGGAGCAGCCTGAGCTCAATGAAAAGGTCGGCGATCTCATCAGCTTCGTCGACAAGTCGAAGTTCTGCATGATGACCACTCGCATTGCTAGCAGTGGACTTCTCGTCTCGCGCTGCATGGCCCTCGCGGCCAAGGAGGGCAACGGTGTCGACCTCATCTTCCACGCCAACAGCGAGTCGGGCAAGACCGACGACCTCGAGTCAGACAACGACATCAACCTGGCCTTCCTCCAGCCCTCTGGCGAGTGGGCCTCCATCTCTGGTATCGCATCCATCGAGACCGACCGCGAGAAGGTGCGCAAGTACTACTCTCCTGGCCTCAAGGCCTGGTTGGGTGACCTCGGTGACGGCAAGCACGACGGTGGCCCTGAGGACCCTAGAATCATCCTCATCAAGGTCAAGGCCAAGACTGCCCAGTATGCCATCACCAGATCAGCTACCGGTGCTATCGGCAACTTCGTCGAGTTCGCCAAGGGCGTTGCTACCGGCGAGACTGCTCAGGTCAACAAGCTCCGATACTTGGACGAGTCAGAGCTCCAGCAGTGTAAGTCTAACTAGACTATCTTAGCCATATGCAATCATGCTGACAAACTCACAGGGCGCTCAAGCAGCCAATAAGCTAGCAACTTATGTAAATGAAGCCTGAGGAGAGGCCAGAAAGAGCCAAAATCAGCTACGATGTAATAGCATGACCACAAAGTAATGAAACAAGCATGTTCGGACTTTCCCATTGATTTCGTATTGCCCATTGTCGACGTCTGTATACATTCTACAACATAGTGTGACTGTCGCTGTCACTTCCTGTCGATTTTGTTCGTCTTCAAGATAAGCTACGGTGTGCCTTAAGATACGCTTACTCTTGCCTGTCTCTGCTTGTCTCGAACTCGTAGGCTGTACTTGCCAGCCTCATCAAGGCTTAAACAGCTCGTGAACCATGGTCAATGCGTGCTGTTACATGAGTGAGGATAAGGCTGACGGCTCGTATTGCTCGTATTTCTTGCCGTGTGTATGACCCTGGTCCAACCATCAACGACATACAATGCACGACACCGTCGCTGAATCTCTTCAAGACTTATTCCGCTGAACAAAGCAGTGTTCTAGACCTGGAGACAGCAATCCCCGCATGCAAAAAAAGAAACAACGAGGGGAAGTACTCACCATGTATCGATCTGCGCATCGAGTCTCGAACACGCGACCACACATATGACAAAACAGAGACACTTTCTCCTCAAATACTGAATCGCATTCGCCCAATGCCGTAAATGATATACCAGCCAAGATATACAGTAGACCACACAGTACCATGATCATCCAACCATGTACAACTCAAGTAGAGTCAGATCGATGCTGTCTATCGAGTAGGATTTCGAGTCGTGGTCGTTGCTTACCCCGTATTCACATGTCAATTTCTCCGCTTGATGGCGCACAACCTGAGACTGGCACATCGTGTTGCCTTCAGCACTAGCGAGTTGCCTTCCATGCTCAACATGGCCAATATGGCTGATATCGTGCCCATCGAACCTTAACTCCCCAGTGGAGGCGCCCATGGGGGCGTTCGCGGCGTTTTAGGGATCGCCACACCACGAAAGTTTTAGAGCGGACACGCCGAACCAAACGACGCGACACACCTTGGATACTCTTTGCTATCCGGAGCTCGAAAACGGGTTCACTGACTCAAAATACGGACCGCGGGACAGCTTCATCAACCCGTCGACCAAACGTCCGAGGAAATGAGCCCGTCGGTGTACCTATCCCTGGCCGAGCCGCTGTGAGAACTATCGAGACATACCGGCCGATACTGCCGTACACGTAACCCGACAAGGGAGGCTTGAACTTGGCATTTACCTGCATCCACATTCTCTTCGGCCGATAGCGCCACGGCATCATCCCTCACATTCTCCGCACGCCGCTCGGAATGCTAGCTCAGTATGCGTTGTCTGGCAAATCGGTATCCATGTGTCTTGTGGCTGTCGAGAAATTTTTACATGCGCATGAAAGCTGCGTGTCTTGAGAGATAAATCAAGGTGACTTCTGGCCCCAGAGAAGCTGTCTCAGGTTAAGCAGCATGCCGTCCTCTTGACGAACCCCACTCTGGGAGCTTGTCAGTTCAAAGCTCTCCTGGGCGATGGTTCCTGGGTGTGCTTAAACCCTGTTGACAGTCACCCTTGGCCCCTGGTCGCCAAGGCAGAATCCACCTCGACTTGCAGAATGCAACCACAGATTGGTAGGCGGCCCAGATCCACATTGTACCAGACCTCGTGACTCCTCTACAAACATGTGAGATTGTGGATACCCTTGCTAGTGACCTCTAGAAGCGGTAAAAGGATCATCGCTGTCCTGTGGGATGATCAGGCGAATCCTTCAACGCTCGAGGTTTTTCTGATATTTATTGGTTCTCTCTCCCCCACCTCTCTCCACGGTCCACTCTTTCTCCAGACACTTCCCCAGCAATCCCCGCCTGTCCATCATCTTCCCTATTGAGGAGAGGCAGCAAAGATGACTGAAAAGACAACATTCGGCGATGTCAACTACGCATCGCGCAAGGATGACTATGCTTCCCACAAAGAGCAGACAATTCATGATGAAGCTCCCGCTCGCCAGGCTTCTGTCGCCCTCAACATTGTTGACAACCCTCTGAGAGTACGCAGCTATGCATTCCTCGATCTTGTGAATTTTCAGAATTGAAGCTGATCGCATCAATAGCGCGGCAACAAGGAGACTATCGTCCACGATGCCAGGACATTCGCTGAATCGAACGGCATGGCCGACCATGCAGCTCTCTTCGGCAGAGCGGCTCTTGTCGCACGCGACCCCCAGAACTTCGNNGAGTCCATCCCCGATCTCACAGAAGAAGAGCGTGCAGCACTCATCTACGAAAGAGACCACAAATGGCATGGACCTAAGATGCTCTGGTTCTCGATCGGTCTTTGTGCCATCGGTGCTGCTACACAGGGCTGGGATCAAACCGGTTCAAACGGAGCCAACCTGTCTTTCCCTGAAGAATTTGGCCTCACCGGAACCGCAAGGGGCGAGTGGATTGTCGGTCTTATTAACTCTATCATTTTCTTGACTGCTGGTCTCATGTGAGTGTGTCGAGGTCCTGAGTCTCATCGCATGGCTGACAATTTGTAGTNNGGCGCCTTCATCGTCGACCCTCTGAACAAATACCTCGGTCGTAGAGGTGAAATCTTCCTCACCGCTGCCTGTCTTACCGCCACTCCTATCGGTTCCGGGTTCGCACAATCATGGCATGGTCTCTTCGCTGCCCGTTTCATCATGGGCATCGGCATTGGTGCAAAGAACGCTACCGTCCCAATTTACTCCGCTGAGATGGCACCTGCTCGCATCCGTGGCGCTCTTGTCATGTTCTGGCAGCTTTGGGTCGTCATTGGTAAGATCGCGGAACTTACGAGATACTTTGGATACTCCATACTGATCATTCTTCTTANNGGTATTTTCCTTGGATTCTGCGCAAACGTTATCGTGAAGGACGTCCCTCGCATCGCATGGCGTCTCCAGCTCGGATCTGCCTTTATCCCATCCTTTATCCTTATGTGTGGTATATGGTTTTGTCCCGAGAGTCCTCGCTGGCTCATGAAGCACGGCAAAATAGCTCAGGGCTTCCAGTCCATGGCCACGTTGCGTGCACACCCCATTATCGGCGCCAGAGACTACTACTATTCCTACGTTATCTACGAGGAGGAACTCAAGGTTGCCCAGGGTTCGACCTACTTCACTCGTCTCAGAGATTGCTTCACCGTACCTCGCATTCGCAGAGCCAACTATGGTGCCTCGACTGTTATGATTGCTCAGCAGATGTGCGGTATTAACAGTAAGTCAATATTATTGTCATTTGTTGTTCGCGAATCTGACACCTTGCAGNTCATCTCGTTCTACAGCTCCACCATCTTCACCAACGCCAACTACACATCTGACCAGGCTTTGTACGCTTCTCTCGGCTACGGTGCCATTCAAGTTGTTTTCACAATTCCTACGCTCTTCATGATCGATACCCAAGGCCGAAGAAAGCTGTGTCTGATCACATTCCCTCTCATGTGTATCTTCTTGCTAGCGGCAGGCTTGTCGCTGTTGCAACCCGAAAGCGTTGGAAAATCTGCCAGAGTTGGACCCGTTATCCTGTTCGTCTACCTCTTCACCATCATGTACTCTTTGGGAGAAGGCCCCGTGGCATTCCAGTACTCAGCCGAGGTCTTCCCCACCATTCAGCGTGAGCAGGGAATGGCATGGGCTGTCTGCATCAACAACACCTTCGGTAAGTTGTGAGATTTTCAGGAAACAGTAAACGTCTTGACTAACACTCGCTATANNGCTGGAGTCCTCAGTTTGACATTCNCCCGTATGTCATCCGTCATGACCCAAACCGGTGCCTTTGGCTTCTACGCCGGCCTCAACCTGATCGCTTGGGGCATGATCTTTTGCTTTGTCCGCGAGACTAAGCAACTCACCCTGGAGGAAATTGACCAGGTCTTCTCGGTGCCCACAAGAGACTTCCTCAAGTACGAAACGGGCACCTGGTTGCCTTGGTTCGTCAAGCGCTACCTCCTGTTCCAGAAGAACACTCCCAGACCCCCACCAATCATTGAGAAGGCCAGCTGGACTGACAAAGTCGAGCCTGTGACTGCTTGAATGATGTCTCGATAGACTCGACGACATGGCTGGAGAGCCACATAAGAGTTGGACTATATGTTGTTTATGAATAATCAGAGGAGAGATACCCTTAGAGGATGCAATGCGAATACAGAATTCGCAAGAGTGGTAGCGTCGTAATACTGTTTAGTGGATTTCAAATACTGTAATTCATGTTTTGTTGCGCACTCAAATTTCGCATCTCAAAAGATAAGTTCGCGCAATTCAGCAAAGTGTCTTGCTGCTCTTGCGCTTTGCCTTGGGCTAGTGTTGGTCTATCGTGGCAGGTATAGATGGGCATCCAGCAGTAGTCGCTTCAAGATCCTGAATCTGGCCAACCAGATTCAATCCTTACAAGCTAAGGTGATGTGGTGTAGTGGTAGCATGTGTCGTTGTGGAGGTTAAATTCCAGCAACGCCGACCCGACGGCGGTTCGATTCCGCCCATTGCCAGGATCCGTTTCTTTTTGGTTCTTTTTGCATCTTCCACCGAGTCTTTCTGTTGAGAAGCAAAAGTTGGCAAAGATTTTTGATGCAGAGACTCGAGGGTGGACTGTGCGTGCCGCGGTACGTGGGGCTGAGAACCGCGCGGGTTTTTTGTTGCGCGAGGGAGGGAAAATGAATAATGAGCTCGGGAGGCTTTGAGGCGATACTTCGGTTGCTGGGGTGGATTGCGACTTCTTATCCAACCAACTTGCAACTCTCTTGATAGAATACAAATCATCTTCTTGACATGCACAGTCATCTTCTCAGATCTTTGAGTGATCTGCAGTATCGTGAACAGATTCGAGTTGACGATTCGATGTGCAGAATATGTCCTAACATGAACGATTTGCTCTCCTTATACATAGGCCGCCTACGCCTGGATCCATGGCGAGCAGCTGCTACGAGACCAAACAGTGGCTACTACTCAATCATTCTTTGATCTCAAGATCTCTCTAACCAGTGCAGTGCTCGTACTGATCATGTCTACCTTGTACCCTGGCTGTCGATGTTGTCACCAACATCCAAGATGATAGGTTCACAACTGAGACACATGAGCATGCAACAACAAAATTCACTCATACCAGCGCAGCGATTCCAGTCATACATGCTTGGTTCGCACAAACGAATATTTCACTGCTAAATTTGAATGACAGAATCTCTGACTTTTCTACTGTCTACCAAGAACAAACCTTCATCAGAACAAGACTCCATCGGAACAAAACTCCATCAGAACAAAACCTTATCAGAACGGAAAGCTCGAACATCAAGTACGCATCTCACGATGGCCAACTCATACCCCTTCGTCGACACACTCTCAGAGGTGCGCCAGAACAAGAGATTCGTCGAGGCTTTGGAGTATGCAAACAGCAGATCCGAGCAGACACTGGCAAGAAACTCTGGCACACCCCGATGCGTCCACTTTGGCTATCCAACCGAGATGTACGAAGCCCTCGAGAGCGAGCTGCACAAGAACAAGCTGCTCAAGAAAACTCTCAAGGACAAGGACGAACTCATCAACAAAAGACTGACCGAGACAAGAGAGCTCGAACAGCGATTTGCAAAGGAGCAGCGTCAACATCGAATCCTGCGCAGGAGACATGAGCAGGAGCGGATGTACAACCGCTGCCTAACTGAGAAGGTCACGAAAGCACATTTGAAAGTATTGTCGATGCAAGACCAGGCAATCGAGGAGGTCAAAGAACTCAAGGTCGCAGTTGCCGAGGAGCTCTACAAACACACAGCTACCATCAAAGACCTTGAGGGACAGATCCGCCACTACAAGGCCACGCTGACCGAGGTGCACCGGATCCACAAAGCCTCGCTGACTGAGATGGATCGCCAGCACAAAGCGGTTCTGACCGAGGTCGCATCCCGCCTGCGCGAGTCCAAGCACAAGTCTTCCAACCAAGCTCCAGAAAGGCACATGGAAGCTTCATCTTCTCAGCCTCCCAACAGTCGCGGAGAACCTTCGAAATGTTCATACCGGGGAATTTCGACATCCCAGAACACACCTGCTGGGTCAGGTTTAAACACAGCCAAACCCATCCGCAGTATCCTAAAGAGGCCTATGTCAGATGATCCAGCAATCATAACTATCATCAAGCGAAAATGCACACGCGAGGTCTACTTGCTTGAAAGCGACTGCTATCCAAAGCCCTCAAGTCCAAGATTCAGAGAATGCGTCGAGAAACAGCTGAATCTTGAACAACTGGCCCTTGCACGATTCTCAAAATACAACACATGGTGTGCCGAGCTCCCCGATGAGATCGACAGACCGGAGCAGGATGTCCCTGAACAAGATCTTTCAAGCTTGGATTCTGAGTCCGAGAAGAGAAGACAAAAGAAGGAGGCGGAGCTGAGCGCGTTTGTACGGGATCATGTACGAAGAACTATGACAATGAAAAGGAAGCAGGGTGGAAGCAAGGTCTTCATGGGATTACAACGAAAGGAGTGGGAGCCTTGAGACACAAATTACCCCTGAGGGCGGGTTGCATTGCGATGGTGAACTAGTTGGGTAGACGAACATAAGAGTCAATACGACATGTATACGTCAAATTGTGTTTTGTAATACAGGTTTCCACCGATATCGTATACCGAATGCCAAGTATGACCTTCTGCCTAAGTCAAGGAGCGAATGAGAAATGAACAAAGAAAGAAAATAGACCTCATACCACGCGCTGAGAGTCATCGAGGGAGTTTCCAGGCTATATGAGTCTTCCCTGCCTGTCCGCGAAGAGGTAAATCCGGCCATCGTCCACTTTATTCCATCCACGTCAAGCGATCGAAAGAATCTGCAAGAAAAGACACTTCCCACATTCAACTTCTGAACTCTTGACATTACTGGTAAATCCATCTCAAGTCGTGTTTGAGTATTCTCCAAAGTAAAATAGTTCTCCTCACATCAGGAAAGGTCTAGTTATCTCAGCAAAAGAATAGATAACTCGAACATCAAGTATACCTCTGAAGCCTCAGAGATGCCCAACGCAGACACCGAATGTACCTCTGAATCCAACAACTCATCCACAGCCATCTCGACCACATCAAACGACAACAATTCCACCATATCTATCTTGCTCGAACCGTGGAAAATCGACATTCGCGATGTTTCCTTTCCAACAACAACTCCAGAAACACGTCCACAGTAGTCTGGCACAAGACTTGCAAAACAGCAGTCATGGCAAGAACAAAGAGCTTTTGCTAAAGCGCAATGTGTGAGATTCGAGCCTTTTAACCACCCCTCTACTCCTGATGACACCACTACTGCACCTACCGACGACGACAGCGAACAAGAGATGCTCACACAACAAAAACAACAATGGCACTTCAAAAACGAGCAAAAACCTTTTCGCAACTCGAACAATCCTCTTTTGCCAGCCGCTTCGCCTCTACAAAGAAAAGGTGCCTAGCAGAAGCACAGTCATAGTGGTATGGAGCAGCACTTGCAAAGCAACACTTATGGCAAGAACAGAGGGTCTTTGCTAAACGGCAGTGTGTGAAATTTCTGTCGCCTGACTCCAGAACCTCATCAATTACACTATCAAATCCATCGACTACACTATTAGATCTACCCTCTGCTACTAAAGATGACGAGGATGAAATCGAGGAGTATAAAGAGGTGAAAAGACCATGGCATCTCAAGCTCCTCGCCCAACGCTTCTCAGCACCCGAACAACAAGATTTCGCCAGTGCGAGGATTATAGAGGCAGCAGAGGGAGTAAGGTATGCGGGAGAAGCATGGCAGTTTCCTGATATGGAAGAAATCGGTTTTAGAACAAGGTTCTGGTAGAGGTGAAGGAGCTTGATTTCGAGAATGATGGTGGTGATTTATAGGTGGAAGAAAAGAAGGACGCATGGGGGAAAGAGAAAAAGAGAAACAAAGAAGACAAAACGGACATCGCGATTGTGAAGAGAGTACACGATATATGAAGAAATCCGAATAGAGGCAGACTTTGATCCGTACCTACCTTCGAGGCATTAAAGTATTGCATCTTGTGGATTTGACAGTGTGTTCTTGGACTCGATGTGACAAGAAGTGGTGTTGACAATACCAACTGAACAACTAAGGAGGTATCAAGCAATTTTGTGCGAACAGAACCCTTTCTGCCATATACCGTAGAAACCGCCCAACCAAACCAAAACAGAACCCCTTTTTCGCAAAAACCATGATTCCGCTAATGTTAGTAGAAGAAAAACGAGACAAAACATCAAGAGGAATGATCAAGCCTTGAACCCTTTGCCCTCGAAGCCGGGTCTTGCCTTCTTCTTTGCACCACCGCTGGCTCCCTTCTTGCCACCCTTCTTGGAGCCCTTCTCAGCGGCTCTCTTGGCTAGGTTTTCGGTTCTCTTCTTGTCCTTCATTTCCTTGCCCTTCTTGACATTGTCGAGACGCTCGTTCCACTGTGTTGCGCTCTTTGTCTTTTGGTCTGTCTTGCGCTTCAGGGTCTTTTTGAGGAGGGATTGATCGTCCTTGACGCGTTCGCCGTGGGCGCGCTTCTTTGCGTTGAGCCACATGTCCTTCTCTTCAATCTCCTTGCGCTTGTCCTCGTCCATGCCGGCGAGTCGCTGAGCTTTCCTTTCGGCAGCGGCCAGGGCGGTCTTAATATCTGAAGGGCCCTTCTTCTTCTTGTGTGCAGCGATGGAGCCGAGTGTGGGGTCAGTCTCTTCTTCGTCGAATGCGACGCGGCCGAAGGAAAAGTTGTTCTCGTCTATAGGGCGTGGTGAGAAGATGTCAGGAGTAGCTAGGGGACTACCGCTGCCGCGTAGGCGCTCGTTGTTGAGGCGCTCCTCCTCTTCCTTGGCCTTCAAGCGCAACTCCTTCTTGTGCTGCTTGCGAGCTTCCTCCTTCTTGCGACGCGACTCGAGCAGTTCCTGTCTGTTGCGAGGGCCGCCAGTGGGACCATCAGCCTTGCGCTGAGCGCGCAGGGCCTCGATACGAGCCTTGAGGCGGGCTTGCAGCTCTTCGGCGTTGACCTCTGGTAGTTTAAGAGCAAGTGCTTTCTTAGGCTTCGTCGTGGCAGATGCGTCTTCTTCTGTGGGATTTGAGGCGGGGACTATTGATGATGTGGAGGATGTGGCAGACTGGTTTGTGGAGTTGTCGAAGACCTCAGGTTGATCAGGNGCTTGCTGGCGTTGAAGTTTCGTCGTTGTCGACCAGGCCAGAGAAGTCCATGGCGTCGTCGGCAGCCTCATCGGCGGATACGTCTCCGGCGTCTTGCATATCCTCATCGACAGACTCCTCAGCACCGGCGGCGGATTGAGGTTCTTGCTTGCGAGCGGCCTTCTTAGCATCCAGCTTTGCCTTTTGCTTGTCGGCCTTTTCCTTCTTCAGACGGCGCTTCTCCTTTCTCTTCTCTGCTTGTAATTTTTGGTGCTTGAAGTAGCGTCGGCGCCATCGTCACTGTCCTCATCATCATCATCATCATCATCATCCTCTTCGTCGACCTTTTGCTTCTTTGCGGGTTGGTCTTTGCCAGCGGGTATATCGATTTGTGCAGAGGACTCGTCGTCGTCGTCGTCGATTCCCAGCTCTCGCTTTCTCTTGCGCTCGTTCTCATCCATGACGTCCTTTGCGGATTTTTGGTTTGCAGGGTCGAGTTTTGCGCGCTTCGCTTGGCGCTTCTGCTCTTTGTCNTGCTTCTTGCGCTGCCATTGGTCCNNTGCAGAGGAGAGTGTGAGCAGGAGAGGCTGGGTATGGAACTAGGTTCGTGGACATACGCTGTTGTCCTTGGAATAGTATTCGTTGGCGGGAATCAGAGAAAGAAGACCCTCGAACGCCTGAGCGTGGCTTTCAAGACGTGCCTGCAGGAAATGAGTATTGGAGCGGAGAAAAAGAGGGAGAATGCTTGTCTACCTCTAGATCGTCAGCCATGATGAGATTATATCAGAAAATGAAGATAAGAGTGGCAAGATGGACGATGCGAATGGGTCGTCCTGCAACTTCCTCACGCTGAACTTTTCCTCAGCGGGATGGGCTTGGCGCGGCAGCGGTCTGAAACGGGCGATGACGATCAGTCCGGGGTAACTGGGTAGCTTCATGTTCGCGCGAACTGGCCAGAGCGACCAAGACGCAACCATGGAAAACTTCGCCCTCGACGCAACTCACAAAGGCGGCCTGACCATACAGCACTACCTCGACTGCTCGCCCAACGTCGTCAACATCTTCAAGGAGGTCAACAAGCTGGTTCTTGTCGTCACCATTGGCTTGGTCTCCGTCTCTCTGCTTCGCACCTTCCGTCCCTCGACGTCTCGTGCCTCACCATGATCGCCCGTCTGTCACCTTCCTCGTTGGTGTGGCTGCTCTTCAGCGCCTCAGCACAAGCATCCTATGTTATCGAAGGCCTCTCCTTTGGCCACAAGGGCGCCATCTCGCCAAACGGTCGTGCCGTACCTGGTTGGCACCTTTCTGGAGAGAACCACACTCCTCAACTGCTCTCGGATCGCATCATTCTCACCCCTCCAGCTCCCGGTGGTACACGAGGCGCTATCTTTGCCGATAACCCCATCACCCAGCCCGAGTGGATTGTCGAGACCGAGTTCCGTGCTTCGGGTCAAGAGCGTGGCAGTGGTAACCTGAACTTCTGGTTCGTCGATACCGGCCGTTCCGCTGTCGGTCAGAGCAGTATATACACCGTTGGCAAGTTTGACGGTCTTGCACTCGTCGTCGACCAGTATGGTCCCCGTGGAGGTTCTATCCGTGGTTTCCTCAACGACGGCTCGGCCAACTTCAAGGACCACCACAACGTCGACAGCCTGGCGTTTGGTCACTGCGACTATGCATACCGTAATCTGGGTCGTCCCAGCAAGCTGCGCATCGAGAACGGTCCTCATGGCCTCCGTGTCGACGTCGATGGCACGCCCTGCTTCCACAGCGAAAAGGTCAACCTTCCTCCTGGTTACTTCTTTGGTGTCTCTGCCGCTGCCTCCGAGAACCCCGACTCTTTCGAGGTCTACAAGTTTGCCGCATCCACCACAACCTCCATTACACGTGAGGAGCCCAATACTGAAGCAAAACGTCAACATCTCGAGAAGCTCGACAAGTTCCCTGGTTCTCCCGAATCTCTTCCCGATGCCGATGCCGGCACTATCCTGGACCAGGTCCACCAGTTCGCTGATCTCCACAACCGCCTTCAAGCAATGAACCACCAGATCGCAAACCTGTTTGGCGAGTTTGAGCGTGTTTCTCGCCAGATGAACGATCATCATGCTGAATTGATGTCCAAGGTTGCTGGTACCAACGCTGGTGATTCCAGTGACAAGTCCCAACAGCCTACTGGCGATGCCCTGCTTCCCCTAAGCCGTCGTGTTGAGAACATTGAGCGTATTGTGCTCGCCGTCCAACGTGATGTTGAGGGCAAGGACTACCGTGAGCATTTGACAAACCTACAGCAGTCTATCGAGGGTGTTCGTGGAGGCTTGACTGAGCATCTCCCTGAGACCATCTCTCACAGTAAGTCGATCTTGAATCACAATCCCGTCTAACACGAATACGTGATGCTAACGTTCTTTCTCANNGTGATCTCAACCGCAGCCCCTAAGATGGGCATGTTCATCTTCGTCGTCATTGCCTTCCAGGTCATGCTCGCCGGTGCCTATATCATCTACAAGAGACGCAGAGCAAATGCTCCCAAGAAGTACTTGTGATCTCGTCACGTCTCCATGTATATCTCCTTCACAGTATCTTCTTGTCGATGTTGATGTGTCGAGATTAGCGTTTGTTCATGAAAGCTTGTAGAAGTTAGCGTTTCTTACATAACTTTGTTGTATAGAGAAAGACCTTTCGAAATGTTTAAGGTGTCAAAAACTCCTAGATTAAGCCGGGAGAACGACAGAGCCAGCGATCGTGGCATGGACGAGCGCGTAGTAGGCTGTTGATTTCACATCTCGTCCACTTCCGCGTCAAGCGAGCGCAACTGGAACTTATCTGTCTTCATCACTTTGAACCTCTCACTCATTGTCCCCCTCACATCACCCGCGTCATTCCCTATGGTCTCGAGTCCCGAGTCCCGAGTCCGTTTAGCGCTTCTGTTCTTTCTTCTCTCAGTTCACTGCCACCTTGTTAATTCATCCTTTCACCCCATCAGACGCGGTCCACATCATTGGAGATTGAATCTGCCTTCTCTGCACGCCAATCCAAGTCAAAACAACACCATTCAGATCGTAAGTTCCACCATACAGCCATCCTACATATCAATCGCGCCTCCTGACACGCGATATCTCTCAGTAGGCTGTTCCCTCGAGAGACACTCGTTCGGAGTCTGTCACCAGACTTTTTGTGCGCTATCATCTTTTACATCTTTAGGCGTCTGTTTGTCGACAAACATACAGTGCAGTGCAAGTTTTGACACTCGCACACGTACTTGAATGCCTCAGATCTCACATCACAAACCACAAATCACACACTACTCCGCGTCTTCTGTCGATACTCAATTCGAGTATGTCATCGTCCAACAACAATACTGAGAACCAACCTGTTCCGCCATAGGAAAACATGGCATCGTTGACTCTGGCTTCCCCTGATACAGCATCATCAGTCTCCAGTCATGACACATCAGGCCCATGTTCACCCACCTTCACTGGTCTGCCTGCAGAACTTAAGAAGACGATCGTGGATGAAGTGGAAAACTCGTCTCTGCACAACTTGCGCTTAGTTTCTAAGGAGCTCAACGTCATGGCTATCAAGCCTTTTGGGGAGAAATGTCTTGCTCAACGTCGCTTCATGACGACTGAGTACAGCCTTGAGGGCTTGGTTGATCTCACTGCTCATCCTGAGTTTGGTAAAGTCTCATCGCGCAGTATGATGATTTATAGAACTGATGCTGACATCTTCCATCGAAGGCCCTTGTGTACGAAAAGTTCTTTTCAATACGTACATGCTCACTGCGGATAGCTTTGCATGGCTGAGAAACCACGGTAAAAGGTACCGAAAAATGAGAGGCTGGTCAAGAAGATGTCCATCGCATCTAGATTCAAGATCCCATCAACCACTCATGATGTGCAAACTCGCAAAACTCAGAATCGTATCCTTGCCGAAGTATCCTCGAGCTTCAGGATACTATACAAGCTCTTGATTCAGGCTCTTCCAAACCTCAAAAACATGGCCAGCGAGTAACACTTGGACTCTTCGACGATGTGATCTGCAGAGACCCCGAGTATCCGATTTTCCGCAAAGCTTATGGATTTCACGAGTACTGGAGAGGTCTTGATCCTATTACTGAATTCAGTAACAGTCAATGGAGACCTGCGCAGACCCAGATGTTTTAGTTTCTACTGGTAGCAGCACAAGAAAGTGGTATTCCTATCTACCCTCTCGAGCTAGATCTTGCCTCTGAACCCGATAGCGGTCTTGACGAGCTGCTTGTCAAAACTTCTCCGGACAGTGACACTCTATGTCACGAGATCAATGCCTGCGTTAAGATAGCAATCGACTCTGAATGCAAACTCAGCCGAGTTAATTCTGGACATCTGGATTTGACTTACTGCGGCGCTCCAGTTACGTACCGCAGCGCAGAAAATGAAGACCCTGATCTTCTGCTTGCTGGGGACAACAACCAAGGAAATGTGCGCCGCTACATGTATGGCGCTGGCGGTACTTCTCCGTTTAATCCGTACATCCTCCCACTGTTCAGGCATGTCATTCAAGGCGAGATGCTGGGCGAAAGGCAACACGAATTACATCTAGAGTCCTGTGTTGTCGCAGCATCGAACTTTCTGATAACCCTTGGAGCCTTTGAATTCATGAAGTTACAAAAGTGACCCTCCTCAAGATTCACATCTTTGACAGGAGACAAGATGCTCTTGATCGGAGAAACAGTGCTTGGCCTCTTCTGAAAAGGATGGAGGATATGTTGAGAAAGACGTGTCCCAGAGTGCGCAATTGGATCATGGAACAGATCTCCTTCCACGCTGTGGATGACCCAGCCGGTCGAGCTGTGGTAGTTGATCAGCGCTGCGAATGGGAGGGCGTGCATGGTGTCCTCGTAGGTCTCAACACCATGATCTCCAACATGACCGCACCCGACGAAGAACAGAGAAGAAGATGGTGGGTCGGCGAGATCGATGCTGATGGAAATGATTTAGTCTAGCATTTTCATCGCTAGAAGGGAGGGATGATTCCAGAGTCAAGAGGTGCTCTACGTACAACGGCTGCTGCTTAGTTCGCTTCGATCGAATGTATACCAAGGTCTGGAGAGAATCGTGCCTTTTGACGGGTGTTGTATCATGGTTCATAGAAGAAATCGGTAAAGGGTTCAGTCCAAGCGTATCGGAGAACTTGATTATCAACCACGAGTCACAAATTCGAGGCTGTGATCAATGCATTCACAAATTTAGACGATGAGATTGTCTCGGATGGTGTCATGCTGTATTAAAGCTGTATCAAAGCTGTATCCAAAAGAGGAAACAACCGATGAGGTTCTTCAGGACAAAAGCCACACCTCATTCCTTCCCTCGGACTCTCCCTTCCGATCTTCCTTCCCTACTTTTCTCCTTATCCATTGTCCTGACCATTATAGCCCATCCAACCACATCCTGAACCATCATAAGCAGCGATGGTCTAGTGGTCAAGACGCCTTTGCAAAACATGTCTTGCAGAATCGGGCTTGACAGATGTAGCTTTAGCACTTGCGAATTACACCGTGTCGAAGGAAGTCGCCAAAAGCACTTGATGCAACTCATCAGAGGAACAACGTAGCTAAGTTTTATGCACCACGAGTTTGACGTGTTCACTTTGCCTCTCCTCTTCGTTCTGCGCTTGAGGGCTCCTCTGGAGAATATGTGGCCAACTTCAAGATTCTTTGCGCGCACGACTGCTGAAAAATCTCCCGTTCACTAACAAATAGTAGTATAGTATGCTATAAAAACACACAATCACTTACTCAATCAGATGAGGGAGTTTGACCACATGATCTTTATATTTTACCACATGGGCTCTTAAGGGCCTCTGCGCTTACCACATACCTTCTACCATCAAACCCACCCACTACACTTTACCTCTTCGACTTCCGCGTCCCACCAGATACGACAATCCCTCTTCCCACTTTCCCTCTCCTTGAGCCACTCAGCAGCAAGCGTCCCCGTTCTCCGCCGCATGGCAGAAACAGACTCTTTCCACTTCCAACTCATACCATGATCCGCACCCTCCACAACAGCAACCCAGCACTGCGCTTTAGTTTCTCTGATCACCCTTCGCAAATGCTCAAGCTCACACATTTTATCCATGTCCCCAACAATAAACAACACTTGCACATCCTCTGCAATATCCAAAATGATGTTTTCGCGACTATTCTTGTTTTTATCCCCAACCAGTGGGAAACTGACTAATACTAATGAGGTTGTTTGGGTGGTTGCTGCTAGACAAGCGGCACGGGCACCCATACTTCTTCCCCCCCAATGCTGTTGAGAAGTTTTCGTGTGAGAGTACTGCAGCAAAGGCTTTGACGCGGGAAGCAAGGTTCATGGTTCCTTGGTAGGTGACGATACCCGACAGTTCTCCAAATCCATCTGCAAAGTCTGCGACTGCGGGTGCAGTGATGCCGCCGCCGGCTCCGTGGGTGAAGATTAGAGATGGCTTTTCGTGCTCTGCGCCTCGTCTTTCGCAAATGATTTCTCTGTCATTGAAGGGGATGGTGAATTGCTTGATCTTTGTATCTTGCGCGTTTTGGTTGTCGTCGAGGTTTGCTCTGACTTTGGTTGCTTGACGAGATGAAGGCGAGGTCTTTGGCTTCTTTGTATTTGAGCGAGTCCCAGAAGCAGACGACTTACTCGATTTGGCGTTTGAGTCATCTGTAGACTCTTCTGTGGCTTTGCGCTTGCGACTTGATCGCCGGAGTGGTTGCTCGTTTGTTCTGGAGTCGTTGTGGTCAACCTTGGGCTTTGCTCCGTCCTTTTTAGCCATATTGGCACCGGCGATCGTTGTCAGTCTTGATCGCGGTATCTTCGCAACTATTTGTAATTTGAAAACCGCAAGTCTGAGATACAAAGTAAGATGTGTTGTGCTCAAGCCGAACTAGAAGGAGCGATCAGTATGCCGTGTGGTAGTCCGCTTTCGTTGACAACTAGTACCATACTGATGGCACATTGTTCTTAACGTCGAGCACTCCAACGTTGGCCACTAAGGGAGCAACCTCTCCTTGCGCAAAAACACAGCACCAATTTCTTTGAATTTGTTCACAATGGCAGTCACACCTTTGATAATTTACAACTTTGACGGCTCAAGCAAGAGAGAATATCATCAAAACATGTCATGCAATCATGGTTGCATCATACCATTATCTCTACATACAAAAAGGCCCTTTGGCCTGTACTCGCTGCATCATCATCGCAACCACCACTCTAACCATAGTTGAAAGGGTTCCTGCAAAGCGGGCACGTACTCGCATTACTCGTCTTAAACCACTTGAACAAACAAGAACTGTGGAACAGATTCTTGCAAGTGCTGCACCGCTTACTCGGCAACTGCCTGTCTCCAGAAATAATGCTGTAGCAAATGGCACACTCGGATTGTCCTTTGAGTGCACCAGTGACGTTGCGTTTCCAAGTGGTGAGGCCGTCGATCAGGTTGCCATTGCTGAATTGAATTACGCCCTGGCAGTTGCGCAGCCAGGATTGCCATTTGCGCTCGTCGGCGGCAACGCGGTTGAGACCTTCGACGCGTGCAGAGGCCAGAGGATAGGTCTCGGGCAGGCGGATGACGATGGACATTGTTTGCTCGTCAACGAGATACGAGAAGTGAACTTCGCGGCTGCGGGGCGAGACCTTGGTGCTCCAGCCTTCGTATTCGGGGTCGTTTCTTACGGCGTCTGCCCATTGTGATACAGAGTCCAAAGATGCGGAGACGATCAGTGGGGCTATGTATTTGGCAGTCCAGCTCTCGACGGCCAGACCGGTCTGTCTTGACTTGATGGCCAAGAATTGAGTCTTTGTGAGCGACGGTACGTGCATCAGGGATTGGTAGTACAAGTGAGCCAGTAGCCAGTGCATACGCTTGTCAGCGCTCAAGCCTTCGAGGTCACCCTGTTGGTCGAGGTAGTCAAATCGGCGTATGTCATACTTTGATACATCGACGGGACGGCCACGAACATGACCCAAGAGCTCCCATGTCAGCTCCAGCAGGTGGCCTAGGTATTCACCCTCACGCAAAGCCTCAACGTAGTCAGACTTTACCTGGTAGCTGGAGTTGGCAAAGTGATCAAAGACGAGTTGCCAGCTGTAGAGGTATGCTTGCAACTCGTGAGGAATCCCTGTACGGAAAGATGCATCCGCCAGGCTGTCCAAGGTAGGAGGAGCGAGCAGCAAGGACAACAGCTCCTCAGGCAACTTGGCTGCCTTCTTCTCGAGCGCTGCGTCGAACGAGACTTGCTCCTGTGCCGCCGGGATGATACGGTGCAAGATGTCGAAGGCAGTCTTCTGCAGAGCCTTTGATGGTGTGTAGAGGAGAGGGTATAGCTCTGCTTCATCCTCAACATTGCCAGTAGACCATCTTGCAACCTCATTGCCCAACGATTGGAAGAGTGCTTTCAGGGGTTCATGGTGTTCATCAGATTGACCTTGACCTTGTCTGACAAGGTTCATCAAGCCCATGTAAAGCACTTCAGAGCTCTCCTTCCAAGCATCAACAAGATCATCGTTGGGCTCTTCGCTTGACTTGAGGCCACGGAGAGTAGAGGAAAGTTGAAGAGTGGCGTAGACCAAGGCCATGCGACTCTCATCAGCAACCTCATCGCGGACGAAGCCTAAATCCCACGTATGGGTCAGGAATGCCAGGATCTGTGACCAGTGTTCACCATAGATATCGCTGACACCAGGGAGAACAAAGAGCAAGGTCTTGCAGGTCTCAGCCTTGATGGGAGTGACGACCTCATCGTTATCGAGCCAAGGTAGGATATGCTTCATCAAGAAGATGAGACGCTGCTTAGCAACAATGCTGTCAGCCTGCTTGCTCTCAGGGAACAAAGCATTAAGCATAACAAGTTGTGTAATAGCCTTCTCGGGAGACTGCGTGGCATCCAAGCCAGTGAGATCGGCAACCAGCTCGTTAGTCTGTCTGTCGAGTTTCTTGCTGTCGGACAACGCTTCCTTGAGACCACTGGCACATGCTGTGAAAGGTACAACATCCTTGCCCTTGTAAAGCTGCAACGCCTTGTCTTCGTACTCTTGGACCTTGGCATGGCCACCACCATGAATGGACTCGAGATCACCAAGTGCGTGGCTCAGTGCTTGAGCGTGGTAGAACGCAGATGTACTGCTGCCCTTAGAGTTCTCAAAGAAGTTATCGAGAGCTGTACCAACAAATGCGTAAGATGACGATGCATCTTCGTATTGCTGGAAGCAGTCCCCGACAAGCTTGTTGGCTTCATTCACGAACTCAACAACCTCGGCCTCGGTCTCTGGGTTGGGCGAGGCAAGGCCTCCCCGTGCTGTCAGAGAAATGCTTTCTGTCAAGAGGATGTGGGTGATGTAGAAGAGCTGAAACAGCTCTGTTTGCGTCTCAGATTCAAGTGCTTGGTGCAGAGTACTGTTAGAGAACATCCTCGAGGTGTACATGGCAAATCTCAATGCTTGTGACAAGCCATCGGCATCCCTCAGAATCTTGGAAGAATCGGGGTTGGATTCAGGGTCCACTAGGTAAGTCGCGCCACCCAAAACATTGGTGATGGCAAGTGCGATGGAAGGTGCAGTTCCGACGAAGGGCCCGATCGAAGCCTTCCAAGACTCCAGATCAGGCAGAGCTTGCTTTGCAACTTCCCGTTTCTTCTGTTCAAGGTCACTATCCCTGATAAGGTTGGCAGCCATGTCAAGAACTTGAGGCATTGGTAGCGAGCTCGATGACACATCTCTCAGACTCTGATGCACAACGTCAAAGAGTATGGTCTGGGAACCAGCCTTGTCTGCCTCGGTAACGATACTTTTGCTGATGCTAGAGGCTTTAGCAGCCAACGTCTCATCAGTAGATTCCTCCAAAAGCAGAAGGTTGGGTAGAAGCTGAGAACCACTAGACTTCTTAATGTGCTCCTTAACAAGAGTCTTGTTGCTTCTTGAGATCTCTTGCAAACCATCCAGAGCAGATCCCGCCTTGTCAGAAACCGAGAGTGAAACAGTGAGATCTGCTAGCATGCTGTTAACAGTTTCTGTAGAAGCTACACTGGGTGCACCCTTGAGAATGCCCGAAACGAAGCTCCATTGCTCTCCCGTCTCTAGACTGGACTTGAACTGGCGCTGTAGGAAGGCTTGGATATCACCGTTCTGAGCAGCAAGCTCTGCAGCAGGGTTGACTCTGGGCGACGCCAACAAATTGCGGAAAGCGTTCACCTTTTCTTCCGAGTCCGGGGTGTTACCGAGAGCGTTTGCAGCTTTGTTCCATGCCTCGCCGAAACGAGGATCGGCCTGGAAATGATATAGGAGGGAAACGAACTGCCTCTGCGAAGGCGAGGACAACAACTCTGGTAGGTCTTCCACAACGAAATTTGCGATGGTATCTTGTGTCTCTTGGTCCTGAGCAAGCAAAGTTTTGCAGTGATTTTGCAACTCGTCGATCGCGGCAGCAGCGCCATATGGTTTGCCGTTTCTAGATGTGAGCGATTCGAAAGATGCTTTGATGATGTCTTTGGCTGATTGGGAGAAGACCGCTTGCAGAGACTCTGGAAGTTGATATTCCTCGCGGAGAAGCTCCGACTGGAGCAAAGCCCATCTTTCAGCAGCAGACGCGACGTGTGCTTGCGACTTCTCGAAATCCTTCGACTGCTCAGGAAGCGAAGTTCGAATGTCTTCAACAAGCAGCGCAGCATACTCAGGCCACTTTTTCTCTAGAACAGATGGCAAGCGCTTGCAGAATGCAGCTTTCGAAACATTCCAAGCAGGCTTAGCACCCGAAGTCAGCCAGTCCGCGGTGCTAGGGGATGGTCGCAGATACTGCTCAATTGCCGGGATTGCCATCTTGTTCAGTAGAGTCTCGTGCTCCTCGTCAGACAAAGAGGCAGTGTTTTGAACCAGATCTAGAATCTTGAAATAGGTAAACCATGCCGCGGATGCATTGAAGCGATCGTCCTTCTGGCCGACACCATCATGCACCGCATTCAGCAGCTCTTCCGCTTCAGAGTACTTTTGAGGTAGGATTTCGGTAGGCAATTTGCTAAATAGAAGCCAGGCATTGGTCCAGAACTCGGCAGGTCCAGCCTGAGAGCCGCGCTTGATACAGCCTCTTATTCTTGTGCTGGCGGGCTTCTTGGATGTATAACTTGTGGTCCATGCTTGAGGGAAGGTGTCGGTAAGCTCTACTAGAGCTAGCATAAAGTCGTATGATGATCCGGTCTGATCATGAGGAAGCGCTTTTGAGATGTAAGCTTCGCTGATGGTTGACAAGTTGGCCTCGGCAGCCGTCTTTTGCTTAGACAAGCATGTGCGCAAGAAACGGTGAATAGATCTCCTAACAACAACGTCTTCTTTGTAGGAAGCCAATTCCCAGATCTTGTTCTGACCAACAATACCCTCGTATGTTTCCTGTTGCTTGGCCGCCTCTTCCGGAGCCAGATCGTTGAGCAGGTTCGAGATGACGGCTATGCTCGTGGCCACGACTCGTGAGTAGGTGGCTTGCGCATCGGCAGGACTAACGCTTCGTTCATCGCTCAAGGTCTGGACTGTCTCGTTTAAGAGGGCGTCTCTACAGTGCTCGAGAATTGGTTGTTGGAAAGCCTTCCCGAGGTTCTGTAGTTTCTCGGGAGTGTTGAAGACGAGCTTCAGAGCGTCCTGAGCAGCTCTTGCAGCAGCACGATCGCTGTCTTGAGCGCCTGCAAGCCACGGGCCAGCAATTCTCGACATGTGCTTCACCATTCTCTTTCCACTCTTGAGGGCGATCTGACCGAGGACATTGTGTGCTAGTTGACGTACGCGACGAGCGCTGTCTATTGAGAGACGGGGATATAGTTTGACNCTGGTCGCGCAATGATCAGTATGCTGGCTTCTCGAGTTGACATGACATGGACTCACCCATGCTTCCAGAACTGCCTCTTCCATCTGCTGGTCGGGAGCAGAAACATATTGCTGCAGTTCTTCCAGAGCCTTGGCCTTTGTTGTGCTGTCCTTCTTGGTCAAGTTCTTGAAGGCCACTCCGACATTGGGGTCCGAGATGTTGGAGAGGTCCGGCGGTTCACCGATCCATGACAGCGGCGACGAGGATACACCAAATCCAGTAGCACCAAAACCCCCACCAAAGCCGCTACCTCCAGTAGAGCGTGCGCTGCTTGCTTGAGACCTGAATGCCTTCTTCATACCTCTTGATATGTTTGTGCGAGGATGGTGATATAGAAAAGCAAGCACTGTTCCAACCAGAAAGAAAATTAGTGAGTGTACTGTACAGATGGTTCCTTCTGCTCTCAAAAGTCGCGACTGAGTGGAAAGTCAGTACGTCACTCAGAGAATAGGCTACAGCGTCCGTGCACTCCATCGACACTAGCTTCTTTGAGACGGCCCTTCGTCCATCTGTTTGGTCAGCCAGCAGCCATACGACTGTCTTCCCTCTTCAAGTCCTACCTCAGCCTCTGGGGAAGAAGCCCAATCCGCCAAAATGAAGTTCATGATCGAGTAGGTGCTATCTGGAAAACCACCGAGATCAAGTTTCCTGCTAACAACCATCAAAAGTGACCTGCCAATTCTCTTTCCCTACCCCAGAATCTATCCAGGTGAGTACAATGCGGCAAAACACTCCTCGAAATGAATATACTGACAACATGAACAGAACAATATGCGTAAGCTAGGGACATACGACACTTCACTGTTGATTGCTGACACGTTCGAAAAGATACATGTGCGATCTCAAACGTATGTATCAGACATACCAAACTGCAGCCTCAAAACACTTACGCCATGAGTAGGCACTCTGGATGCAGGAGGCCACTGTGTCTTGGAGATGCCTTCGGGAACTGGAAAGACCGTAACTCTACTATCGCTTATCGTGGCATATCAGCAACACTACCCAGAACATCGCAAACTGATTTACTGCTCGCGTGTGTTATGACCCTTAACATCACATGCTGCCACATCTAACATGTCTAGGTNNACAATGTCTGAGATTGAAAAGGCACTCGCCGAGTTGAAGGCTTTGATGAAATATCGATCAGAACAACTCGGCTATGTTGAAGACTTTAGAGGACTAGGACTTACTTCGCGCAAGAACCTTTGTCTGCATCCCTCAGTCAAGAGAGAAAAGAGCGGTGCAATCGTTGATGCCAGATGTCGATCGCTGACGGCAGGTTTCGTCAAGGAGAAGAAAGAGAGGGGCGAGGATGTAGAGCTTTGCGTCTATCACGAAGTAAGATACAGCTTGTACGAGACTTTGATGTGAATACGACTGCTGACTCGCTCAGNNAATCTCGATCTTCTGGAGCCGCACAATTTGATACCTCCAGGTGTCTTCACCTTCGACGACGTGCTCAAATACGGCGAGGAACAGAAGCAGTGCCCATACTTTACAGTCCGACGAATGGTGGGTTCATTGTTACTATTCAAGCTGCCATCTCTAACCAGCTTTCCAGNNATGCCTTTCTGCAATGTTGTTATCTACTCATATCACTATCTACTAGATCCAAAAATCGCCGAGAGGGTGTCGAAAGAGCTCTCCAAGGACTGCATTGTGGTATTCGACGAAGCTCACAACATCGACAACGTCTGCATCGAATCGCTGAGTATCGACATTACTGAGGACTCGTTACGGAAGGCAGGACGAGGTGCAGCCAATCTGGAGAGAAAGATTAGCGAGATGAAGACGACAGATGCAGCAAAATTGCAAAACGAATATGCAAAGCTGGTGCAAGGTCTTCGAGACGCAGATGAGGCGAACGATGATGGTGCATTCATGAGGAACCCAGCACTACCGGATGATCTGCTCAAAGAAGCTGTGCCAGGAAACATCCGAAGGGCAGAACATTTCGTCGCCTTTCTCAAACGTTTCGTCGAGTATTTGAAGACCCGCATGAAAGTCTTGCACGTCATTTCAGAGACACCACCTTCCTTCCTGCAACATCTCAAGGAGCTTACCTTTATCGAGAGGAAGCCTCTGCGCTTCTGTGCAGAGCGGTTGACATCTCTGGTAAGAACGTTGGAACTTCAAAACATCGAGGACTACCAGCCGCTGCAAGAAGTCGCCAGTTTCGCAACTCTGGTCGCAACATACGAAACAGGTTTCCTTCTGATCCTCGAACCATACGAATCAGAAACCGCCACTGTGCCCAATCCCATCCTCCACTTCACCTGCCTGGACGCCGCAATCGCCATAAAGCCTGTCTTCGACCGGTTCAGTTCGGTAGTAATCACCTCTGGCACAATCTCTCCTTTGGAAATCTACCCAAAGATGCTCGGCTTCAACACGGTAGTCCAAGAATCCTACAGCATGACGCTGGCCCGTCGCTCGTTCTTGCCCATGATCGTAACCAGAGGAAGCGACCAAGGCGCCATTTCATCCTCCTTCACCATCAGAAACGACCCCGGCGTCGTGCGCAACTACGGCAATCTGCTCATCGAATTCTCCAAAATCACGCCTGATGGCATCGTGGTATTCTTCCCTTCGTACCTGTACATGGAAAGCATCATCTCCATGTGGCAAGGCATGGGCATCCTCGACCAAGTCTGGAAACACAAACTCATCCTCGTCGAAACACCCGATTCACAAGAAACCTCTTTGGCACTGGAGACCTATCGCACTGCGTGCAGCAACGGTAGAGGCGCCATCTTACTGTGCGTCGCACGTGGAAAGGTTTCCGAAGGTATTGATTTCGACCACCACTATGGTCGCACTGTGCTCTGCATCGGCGTCCCCTTCCAATACACCGAATCCCGCATCTTGAAGGCGCGCCTCGAGTTCCTCCGCGAAACCTACCGTATCCGCGAAAACGACTTTCTATCCTTTGACGCCATGAGACATGCCGCTCAGTGTCTGGGTCGTGTGTTGCGTGGTAAAGACGACTACGGTATCATGGTGCTCGCCGACCGCCGCTTTGGCAAANAGCGCGTGCAGCTGCCCAAATGGATCAATGCCGCTTTGCTCGAAGGCGACAGCAACTTGTCTGTCGACCAAGCCGTGGCAACCGCAAAGAGGTTTTTGAAGATGATGAGTAAGCCTTTTCCGGCAAAGATGCAGGAAGGCGTCAGTACATGGAGTATCGAAGACCTGGAAAGACACAAGGAGAAGGCTGAAAAGGAGAGGCAGAGGGATGAGAGAAATGCTGGGGTTAGTGGTGATGCTGTTATGAGAGAGGCTCATGCTGCAGAGGACGAGTATGGAGGTTTGGACGACGACGATATCATGCAAGTTGATGCTTGAGGGCTCTTCACTTCTTCGATATGGGTCACACATGGCGGAACTCAAAAAGACCAGGTAGATACTTGCTATACTATTCTGCTTAGACACACTCGAGGAATCAGGAAAAAGACAACGCGTACTGTTTTTCCGTGCCCTTTTGTCTCTCTTCTTGATACAACGGTAGACAAGGCAAGGAGATGCAAGAAAGAGTGGTATCGACCAGATGTATCAATCAGGGGTATCAAATTTGCAACAAAAACTACATGACCTCGTCATCAACAACCTCTTTATCAGTCCTTCTTCCACTAACATTCTTCCACGCCTCTGTAAACACCTTTTCCTCTCCATCTCTCCACCCCCAAGCAACACAATAATGTGAAGCCAACAACTTCCACTCTTCAACCTCATCCAGCCATTCTAGCCTCTCCACTCTATCTCTTTCTGCCTCACTCACCCACTCATTGCCATAGTAGATTTGCTCGACATCGGCGGCGCCTTGGCCTGAGCTAAATCCAGCAGAGGCGAGACGGGAGCGCTGGGCAGCGAGAGAGTAGTAGCGGCGTACGGTCTGCAGTTCTATGCCTCTGGAAGCGAGGTTTGTGATCATGGTTTTGCCGAAAGAATCGTAAGGGCGAATGGGTTCGTAAAGGATAATTGCCAGAGGGGCGGAGGGGATGAGGGTGGTGAAGTGAGAGAGGATGGAAGAAGTTGTTTGGGGTGGTAGGTAGCAGAGACAACATTCGCTGATCAGCAAGGTGGGGAGATTGGAAGCGAGGTTTGGTATCGAGAGTGGAGCAGAGCCGGCAAGGTCGCGTAGATCGAGGGAGTGGAGGCTATAGTTGGGAGACTGGAGGGAGGACTTGTCGGCGGACATGGTCATGAGGCCGAGCATGATCTTGAGTTTTGGTGTCGAGCAGATTGCCGAGAGTTTGTCGCGGACATTGTCGAGGAAGTCGAGCTCGTGGTAGAGGACTTGGTGTCTACGGCTGGGGGACAGACGAAAGAATCGAGTGTCGGAGCCGGCGCCCAGTGAGATGATTTGGGCCAGAGGAGCAGTGGATGCATTCTCGGTGTTTGCATCGATTGTGGCAGCGAGAAAGTTGTCGACTAGACGATCGATAGCTGAGGTGCGGACATAGGTGCCACGATTGATCAGAGGGTATCGTCTCGGTATTTGGCCTTGGAGAAAACATGTGGCATATTCGTCATTCAAGTAACCGAGCGTGACAGCACTCAGTCGGGAATTGGAAGCGTCGCCGTCGGTCTGACGAATGATTTTGTCGCGAGCATCTTGAACGTCTTCTTCTGGGGCGTCTGGATCTGTAGGGCGGCCGCGTCCTCTGCCTCGTCGAAGACCTGTTCGACCTCGAAGGCTGTTGAGATTAGGGATGGAAGGAGCGGCCATCGTTCCTTCTCCAGCAATGACGACGCCGGCCACCGAGGCCATCTCCAAAGGAAGGAGCTGCCTCGGTGGCCTTGACCGCCTTGCCAAGACTGCCGGCAGAATTGTTCACTGCGAAGACGAAGCATCCAATCTTTGGCGCGCGCAGCACTACCACCATCGCAATACGTCCTCTACCATCCCCCGCCCTCACATACACCATTACCACAGCCATGGCCGACGACGAGACTAGACGCGAAACCTCCAGACTGTGGCGCGTCTGGAAGACGACCAAGCAGCTGTGCTACGACAGAGTCCGACTGCCCTCTCCATACCACCCACTAGACCATCAAGACTGACGCACAAGTCGCAGGNGCTACGAACTAGCCGAAGATGAACTCGACGTCTCCCTCGATCAATTCCGCGACCAGTGCGGCGACGGCAGCGGCCAAGTAAAGTGCGTCTCTTCCCATCAACCAACCACACGACCACACGACCACTCTCCCTTCTAACATGCCCGCGCGTGCAGCAAATCCAAAATGAACTTCCAAGCCCGCCCCTCAGAAGCCATGCTCACAAAATACACCGCCCTGCCCACAAAGTCCAACCCCAACCCCGAACCCCAAATCGGCACCATCTACGTCGAGTTCAGCACAGAAGCCGCAATCGGCATCAAGCATCTGCGCAACTACGCCCAGTTCCTCAACGACCGCAACTTTTATTCTGGCATCTACATTACCAGTGCTTCCGTCACCACCAGTGCTCTCAAGCAAGCTGCAAATCTGCCCATTGGTATCGAGGTCTTCCAAGAGACGGATCTGCTGGTCAACATTACCAAGCACGAGTTGGTGCCCAAGCATATCTTGCTGAGTCCGGAGGAGAAGAAGGCTTTGCTGGATCGTTACAGACTCAAGGAGACCCAGCTGCCTAGAATCCGTGTCGAGGACCCCGTGGCCAAGTACCTAGGTCTGCGCAGAGGTCAGGTCGTAAAGATTATCCGAAAGTCCGAGACTGCTGGTCGTTATGCCAGTTACCGCTGGTGCATATGAGAGTGGGCATCTCACACCTTGCGATGCGCGTTTCAACATTTGTTCATTTCTGGCGCTATAGGAAGGGAGCGAAAAAATTCGAGCTCAGAGCTAGGGAGGGCTACTGAGTGTTTTTGCATGGGCGTTCTACTGGCGTTTTCCTCTAGGAGAAGAAATCCTGTCTACTGGCCTACTCCAAGGCCCTCTACGTCATTCTTTTTGGTCTCGACTCTGGTAGGCACATTATCCTTTGCCAGATCACGAACCAAATTAACAAAAAAACATATTCACACTTCAACTTTGCTCGAACAATATCTTTGCAGCATATTTCGGCTCTATGTCAGGGCCTTTCATACCTTGGTTTTCCAAACCTTGCAGGTTTTGTTGTGAGATATCTGTATAATAATGTGAGACTCTGCTTTTCTGAAAGGAGATGACTGCAGATTAGATTCTCTGCTGCGGAAGTCTGTCGACTTTTCGTGTCTTCCTATCCGTGTATCTTATCTGAGCTCCTGGCCCTCTCTTAAAGGCACTCGGGTTCAGCTGTTGGAAGCACAGCACATGCTGTGATCTACAGAGGAAAGCAGTGGGTTGTGACGAAGCCGCTGAGGCAGGTGCGATGGATGAGAAGATACGGTCAACCTGGTCAGCAAACAGCGAGAAGCATAGCAGAGCATAGAAGCAGTTTGAATAAGTAAAATCAAATTTATACGATGCAAAGGAAATACTGCGTTATTTACAAGGCCGAAAACGATTCGCTTGTTTCGCTTTTTATGCATGAAAGAACCATCGTTTCTCCTTACTCATCCTTGAAAGCACCACTCTCCATGTCCACCTTTCCAACACTCCACACCTCCTTCATGTCCTCCTGCTCATCACTAGACAAGCCCAATCCACCTTGTCCACCTTCCGCTTCCTTGCGCTCTCTAGCCTGCGCTCCCAATCTCGTGGCAATGCGCTTGAAGTAGTCCTGCAGACTTCTCTTAGGGCCTGCTGCGAGTTCAGCGCCAGGTCCAGCCATGTACTTGGCAAAGACAGCGTCTTCCTCCTCGACAACGCTGAACATGGCCAAGAAGGCGGCTTCGGCGGCCAGCTTGACGGGGATGACCATGTCGCGCACGCTTCCGAACACGGCGGGGGTGAGGAGAGCGAGGTGAGGGCGGATGAGGTCGTTTTGCTCGCGGGAGACAGTGCGCAGCACGACTAGCGCCAGGCGGCGTGTGTCTACGGGCTTGCTGGGTGCGATTGCTGCGGCGAGAGCCTCCATGATTTGTTTCACGGGCTCGAATGATTTGTCTGATGTGGGAGTGAGTAGGTACTTGCCGGCTGCAAGAACGCAGTTGTCTGCAATGGCAGGCTGGCTGCTACCGATGCCTTGGCATATGGTAGAAGGCAGGACATCGGCGAAAGGTCCAGTCAGCGACTCGGGAGCCTCAGCCAGAATCGAGTTGAGGGCAAGAACAGAGGGGTAGGTGTGGTCAGGAGTAAGAACACGTGCCTTGACAAGACCGCCGCCGACATCTTCCGGTAGAACCTTGACCAAGGCACCCAGTAGACGTGCGTTGGTGATGGCAGAAGCCTCATCAGAGTCACCGGTGTCAGAGTCAATCAGACTCAAGATACCGGTTCTCGAAGCCTCGTTCATGCTAGATCCACACTTGACGACTACATCATACAGCGCCTTCAACATGGCATTTCTCACGCCAGTATCGGCAGTCTTTGAACCAGTGATCAACTCGGCAATGAGAGGATCGATACGGGGNGTGAGGGTAATCAGCGTACCGAGCGCCTTCGCGGCTCTGATACGAAGAATCTCACTCGAGGTATCGGCAAGCGACTTTGCGAAAGTACGTTGCAACTGAGGCAAGAAGGGCTTGAGGAAAGTGGGAATCTTCTCGAGAAGGTTGTTGAGAGTGAATAGAATAGCAGCCTTGACCTCGACTGAACGCTCAGACACAACACGAATCAAAGGACCGGTGATCTGAGTGACGAACGGCTTGAGGGCATCGGCACTGGTACGGTCGATGATATCAGAGATCGCCAATGCAGATGCTGTACGCTGTTCGGCAGAACCGTTCATCAAACCCTGCAAGAAGATGGTAAGAACAGCGTTGATACCCTTGGGCAACGAGAAACCAGGCAGATTGTGGCCTGCGACACCAACTTGGTTGAGAGTCTGTCTGGTAGAGAAGACCAGGGACTCCATCTCCTCCTTGCGCAGGCGTCCAGTGAGCGCCGATAGTGCCGACCATGCTGCCTTGACGACCTCGGCATCACTGTCATCGAAGCTGATGAGTAGCGTACGAATGAGATCAGGGTAGTAACGTGAGATATCAAGGTCACTTGTCTTGAAGAACGTGGCGAGATGCAAGTCTGCACGGGCTCTTCTATGGTGGTCTTCATGCTTGGTCAGAGCAAGCATGGCGCTCATGGCAGTGTTAAGGCCATCGAACTCGTCGATAGACAGGAGAACAGCGTCGAAGGAGTTCTCAAGATCGGTGCGAAGCTCTTCGTCCTTGGTGGCGAGCATGCTGTCCATGAGTGCGTTGAGTATGTTCGGCAATCTTCTAGTCATGGCGGAGCTTGCAACTTGAGCAAGCGAAGCCAAAGCCNNTGCATTGAATGCAGTGATCGGGGGAGTGAGAAGGGTGGGGAGGAGGTTGGGCAAGATGGCGTTGGATCTGGTCTGCTCGGTGAGCAAGGTAAGCAGAGCCGAAAGAGCATTGTCTGCATCCTCGTCGGATCTGAGCAGGTTAAGCAGGTACGGCAGGACTTGGTCGATGGCGCGCTTGCCAAGAACCTTTTGCAGAGAATCGAAAGCCTCTGCGGCTGCTTCTCTGACGTCTTCGTCGCTGTCGACCAGAGCGATGCGTACCACGGAGACCAGAGTCTTCTCGTGATCCTCGAGTGCATCGGGCGAGGCAGATGCAATCAGCTCGCGCAAAGCGATACAGATACCCTGCTTGGCATCCACGTCGGTAGTCTGAAGACCCTCCTCGAGAGTAGGCAGCAAAGTTGACAGAACACCTTCTCCAGCCTTTCTGATAAGCTCTCCCAGAGCGTTGCCGGCAATCTCCTTCTGCTCCATGTTGGGACTTGCGAGACGGCGAATAAGGAGCTGGGTAAGGGTAGGGATAAGCTCGCGAAGAGTACGGGGCGAGGCGACAAGTGCTTTCCAGACGTTGATAGATGCAGTGCGCACAAGACCGGAAGTATCGCAACGACAGATGTACAACGCGGAAAGGACCTTGTTGCGCTTCTCTTCTCCAAGAACCTCGAGAAGCGATTGGCCTGCTTCGTTGGCACCTTCTTCAGCCTCCTCTTGCTCTGCGGTTCCACTAATACCAGAGAGGTTGAAGAGCAGATCACCAACCAGCTCAACGGAACTGAGACGAATGCGGTAGCTGTCATCTGCCAGACCACGTTCGAGCTCTGGAAGCAGCAAGTCGATAGCGCGAGTGGCAAAGTTCTTGACCAACAGTCTACCAGCACGCAGGGCAGTCTCACGGATTGTGTCAATGTCGTCAGCAAGACCAGACAAAATCGGGGGAATGATCTTGGACAAGTAGTTCGAGAAACTGTTACCGAAACATGCAGGCAGGTAGATAAACAGCGACATAAAGCCCTCGCGGACTGCAGGCTTAGAACTCGAGATATTCTGCAAGATGGTGGGCAGCGTCTCTTCGAGACGACTGGTGCCAAGACCAGCAAGGACTTCACTGAGAGCCTGGGCAGAACCAAGTCTGTCACCAGCACCAGTGTCTGACTTGAGGGTAGCCATGAGACTAGGAATGAGATCTGGCATAGCTTCCTCACCAAGTTTCTCGATGGTCGAACCGAGAGCTTTGGAAGCTGTGGCGCGAGTAGTAGGAACGGGATCGACAATGGCAACTCTAAGACCAGCAACCAAGATGGGCAGATGAGTGATGAGATCCTTACGTTCAGTAAGGTGAGCCAGACTACCGATGATCTGGGACGCCTTCTTCTTTGTTGCAG